AATCATTCTTACCCTTCCAATGGGAGAAATAACGAGGGCTATGTATTTCAAGTTTCAATCGATAGGGCGATCAAATAGATCAATCGACGTTCAAGTCGAACAGTTGGTCTATATATCAGTCATTATTCATGAATGGTGAAAATGATATTCCTGCTTCGGACAGGTTCTTCTTCACGGCACGAAGTACTACTGACAGACATGAATGCAGTTCGATATAGCCCTACTCTTGCCAGCAGCCTGTGTCTAATGAAACGCGTTGTTGCTGCAATGAACGCGACCGCGTTCTGATTGATGATTGGTCATCATTGACTTCTATGAGCATTTCTAAGCTTTGATCGTATTCAATCTGGCCATTTTGTGATTATCCGAAAAAAACGGAAACGATTCTACTAATGCTTTCGTCAACGGGCACATGTTGAATATCAATCTGTATTCTCTTCAAGCTTTTCAGCGAGTGTATGTACATTCTTTTCATTATCTTTTCGTGCTTATCACTTTATCATTATGCAAGGTAGCCGTAACATCGCTATTTATGACTTTGTACTAGACACTTTTCCATTCTTGATCGTAACGGTGACTTTTCCTTTCAGCGTATCAACATCCGAGCTTGCACCACTCCAGAACGTGAAATCTCCGTCTGGCATGACGAATTTTTGTTGTTCAACGTTCCAATAACTCATATCTCTACGTGTAATTTTGAATTGAACGTTTTGTGATTGATTTGGTTTGATTGATCCAACTTTTTTGAATCCAACCAATTGACGAACGGGAATGTCGGGTAGATTGTCAGATTGTGGGAATCCGATGTATAGTTGACTAACTTCTTTTCCAGAAATGGAAGATCCAGTATTCTTGACAGAAGTGGACAAGGAAACAACATAATTCCACAAGCTTGATTCTCCGCCAACGGAAGTATTTTGTGGAACTTCAGTTGGATAAGCAGAGTTGTCAGTTACTGCTTGTGCTTTGAGTTGATTGGAATGTTGGAAAGTTGTGTATGAGATACCGTGACCGAAATGAATCAAAGGTGTAACATTCTTTTTGTCGTAATAACGATAATCGATGAAAACTCCCTCATCAAATGGAACGGGAATTTGATTGTTCGAATTCATTTCACGAACGACTGGCACGTAGGTCGAAGAATCGTTGCGGGAAAGGATGGAATACGGCATCTTTCCAGAAGGCACAACGTTTCCATATAACATATCTGCCAACGTATTTCCAGATTCTTGTCCGGGTAAGTGTGGGAACACCAATGCTGTCACGTTTGGATGGTTGAACCAATCATCCATATAAACTGGACCAACGGTATGAACGACAACGATTGTGTTATTCGAACTTGAAGCTACTTTTTGAATCAGTGCGTTACCATTTGATTCCAACTCCAAGTCTGTGCGGTCAGAGTCTTCTCCAGAACGTGCCTGAACAAATACCAAAGAAGCATCTGCTTGTCCGGCAAATTGTTCAATCAACTTTCCATTTTGGCCGTCCAGGTCTGTATCGATCAAGTTGCTTTGAAGTGCACTACCGTATTCACGAGTGAGATCTGTTAAACCTTGCAATGGATCGATCAGATATGGGAAATATCCTGCTCCTGATCCCCATCCCATGGCATTTGTTCCGTTGTTTGTGCTATTTCCAGGGCATAAGTTTGATCCTGGGCCGATCCAAAGTTGGCATCCATTGATACCCATTGGGTTTGGTCCTGCATCATCACCAAATACGGCAATTCTTGCTTTCTTGCTTAGAGGTAGACCTGTTCCTTTGACATCTTTGCGGCTTGGGATATAACCTTGTGGGCCATAATCGTTTTCTTTGCGATGATTGAAGATCAGGGTAATAGCTTCCTCACTGATCTGTTTTGCAGTATTACGGGAGTCATCAGTTTGTACATTGACATGTTCATTGACGATACTGCCATTCAAATAGGTACCTTGATAACCGTCTTTGTAGCTCACTTTTGGATAGCCTTGGTCTTGACCATAGTAATAGTATTGGGTCAAGAATCGTTCGACAGCATTGTTCAAACGTTTGATCGGTATTTTTCCATCATTCACTGCATCAATCACAGCTTGTCCGGTTACCAAGTTTTTATAACCACCACCAGTTGCGCCACCCGGCATTGTAACGTCTACGCCAGCATTATGAGCAGATGAAGCATTGAAGACGGCCGACCAATCCGAAACAACGAAACCTTGGAAGTTGAGTTCTTGTTTCAAGATTTCGTTCAAGACCTTGTCGTTTTCACAGCCTTGGGTTCCATTGATTTGGTTATATACACACATGATTGCACCCGTTCCTGCTCTTACTGCATTCATGAATGGTTTGAGATACAATTCGTGTAAAGTGCGATCACTTACGTCAGAACTGTATGTGTTGACAGTGTTATTGATCGGATTCAAGGTGAATTGATCATCTGCCGCATATAGTTGTCTGAATGTTTCTTGTTCGTAAGTGAGGAAGTGCTTTGAAGTAGCTATAACACCTTGAGATTGAATACCCTTTACAGTTGCATAAGCTGCTTCACCCACCAAGAAAGGATCCATTCCGAAACCTTCCCAATTTCTTCCTTGATAGACACTTCGACCTAATGGACCTCCAGTGACGGGACCCAAGAGAACATTGATACCTTTGCCCTTGAATTCAGCAGCCATCACTTCACCTCTTTTTTCCATTAAATCTCGATTGAATGTGGCACCCGTTGTCAAGCCAGCAGGAAAGACTGAAACAAAGTCTGAAGCACGTACGCCCGTTGGACCATCTTGAAAGCAAAGCTCTGGAATACCAAATCGATCAACTCTACCAAGAGTACCTTCACATCTACCAACACTACCGATTCCACCTGTCAGGTTTGCTTTTTCGGGTAATGTTAATTGTGAAACGATCGATTGTGCTTTTGAAACGGCTGATTGCCAATCACGACCTGGTTTGGTTGACCTGGCTACATTTTGTGTAGATGCTGCTAATGTGCTTGTCACGATCACAGCTGAGAATACTATCAATGCATGCCAGTACAGCATACTCCACTTGTCGTTCATCTTGCAAAGACCTTTTAGTGCTGGGGATGATGGAGGAGAAGCTGTGCAAAAGTTGGCGTCTTTCGACCCGCTGCTTTTATAACTTCCGTGTCCGTTCCTACATGACGGCAATCTCTAGTCGACCGGCAGAAGAGTGAGGAGAGGATTAAAGTTCTTAATCAAATCATATGGAGGAGGATCACATTTAGCGTAAACCGGTGATTGTCATAATCAAGGTGGGGCCCCGTCCGAAAGTTCCTTTCATTCTCGGCTGCTTTCGGTGTGTGGAAAGCAAAGAATTGCTTTCCCCATGGAAGAAGATCTCTTTTGTTCGAAAAGTGGGGGAAAAAGTGAGGAGAGAGGAACAATGCTTAATTCCCGCTAAAATCTTCCCCACCACGCTAAGGTTAGTGTCCGCTACCTTCTCGTGCGTTACGTCTAAAAGTCAAAGTCACCGGTTGCCGGTCCCCGGTTCCCGGTAAACATGCTTAAAGGCTTCTGCACCTTCAGTGCTTATTTAATCACACACCATCATCACTCTTAGAATGGGTAACGTATAAAATTGGTATTATGTGTACTTGTATGGGTATACCGGCAACAAGTGAAGACATTGATGACAAACCGAGAATCCGAATCTGATGATGATATAGAGTACACTCTCTTAAACGTGTTGACCTTCGGGTCTCAAATGGTAAAAGCCTTTTTGCCATGGCTTGCAAATTGGCGGCTTTGGAGGTGGTTTTGGGCAATTCTTTGCACTCTTTGGCTTCTTATGTTTTGGGCAGTACCACTGTGGCGGTGGCGGTCTACAGCCTTTAGGTGGGATTGGGCATCCTTCAGGCGGTGGTGGTGGACAGCCAGGGAAGCGAAATCCTTGTGGGAAGAATGGAGTGTATGCAGACCATGGCAAACCAAATGGCTTTCTGTTATTTTTGAAATAATCTAAAACGAAAAGTTTTTCGGTTGGGTTCAACATCATGAATTCCTTGACAAACTGAATTTTATCAAGATCGATGTGGGAGTCATCAATATTGCTGCCTAATCCTCTAGGTTCTAGAATGTTTGCAGATTGAGTTCTTGAGGTGAAGCAAAGAGCCAACAAAGGCATCAATGAAAGGTAGCGGAAAGCAATCATGATTCTTGCGAGAAGACTTGCGAGGGGAGATGTGGTGTGGGGAATCAGGAGAATGGATCATACTTCCTTTAAGTAGCCTTTGGTACATAAGTTCAAGCAAAGAGAAAATAAAATGAAAAGGAGAATGGAATCGGATGATGAACTCCTAAGGAGAAAATGAAAGTCGGATGACAAACACATACTATCACTCAATGAATGGGTAAATCATGAAATTGCTACTGTGCGTGCTTGTTTGGGTATATAGGTAACAAGAAGACAGGAGAAAAGGGGGTATCGATGATGAAATAATAAAACCAAACCTGGGTAATATCAGATTGATATTGTCCATAGAGAGTGCAATGCATCTCATCAAATGTGTTGATCTTCGGGTTTCAAATGGTAGAAACCTCTTTGCCATGGCTTGCAGATTGGTGGCTTTGGTGGTGGTTTTGGGCAATTCTTTGCACTTTCTGGCTTCTTGTGCTTTGGGCAGTACCATTGTGGTGGTGGTGGTCTGCAGCCTCTAGGTGGAATTGGACAACCTTCGGGTGGTGGTGGTGGACAACCGGGCAAACGGAATCCTGGCGGAAAGTATGGAGAACATGCACTCCAACTAAATCCAAACGGTTTATGATCATCTTTGAAAAAGTTTAAAACGGAAAATTGTTGATTAACGTCTAATTTGATAAATTCGTCAACGAAGACAGAAATGTCAAGATCGAATTCGTAGCCTCTAGGGTCTAGGATGCTTGCGGAATGAGTGCTTGGGGTGAAGAAAAGGGCCATAAAAGGCATCAAGGAAAGATAGCGGAAAGCAATCATGATGATTCTTGAGAGGAAAGGGTGCGGTGAGAAAAGAAAGGTTGCGAGAGGATGTAGTGTGGGGATTCATGAGAAAGGTCAATCTTCCTTTTTATAGCTTTCGGTCCATGTGTTCACACAAGAGCAGAAATGAAATCGGATGATAAACTCCTGATTTACACGGTCACGGCTTGCCACAGTCCGTTTCCATGGACAATTTATTAGCCACTGAAGAGAAAGAAGGTGATCATGGAACATTTTTCTCATATTTGGATTCTCGTAGAAGGGTTGACTCAAACAAGAATTCTGTGGGGTGAGGCGTGAAAAGAAGCATTCCTCTACCGCACTTTTTGTTTGTCGTAATAGCCCAAAATTCCGGCGCCATGGGAAATTAGGAGTGAAAGTTCATCAATACGGAAAGAAAGATTAATTATCGGAATAATAATCTACGAAGGTACCCCCTCTTTCATCTCAGAATTCTTCGAATGAACATTTGGCTGAATGTTTGGTTCTTTGTCTCCTATTCTGACGGAAGCTCAGGATGTTGGATTGGCGGATGCGGAATTGCACATCCTCCGACTTCATTCGTTGTTGATGCTAATGGTGACAATCCATGATGAACGATGGTCATATGATAGCTCTTGTCACGAGGACAAATGAGTGAATGCTTCCAAAATTAGCAGTGCCAAGACTTAAATTTCAATTTCACTCAACTTTCATCACATCAGCTGACATTGGAAGAAAAGCTCGTTCAGGTTTCGAAAACTGCGTGCGTAAATGTACAATCGTAAAAGAAAAGCGGCTCAGAGGATGAAGACTCGTTATGACAAACACATGTGTGTGTGTGTATATGCCAAATCAAACATCCTTTTTTCGAGGCCTGAATGCTTGAAATGAAAGGTAATCAAGCAAGATACTGTCCATGTACCGTTATTGGTTGATGAACTCAAATATGTTCGTATTCCGGCTTTAAATGATAAAAGCCTTTTTGCCATGGTTTGCAAATCGGTGGCTTGGGTGGTGGTTTTGGACAATGTTTTGCACTTTCCGGCTTCTTGTGCTTTGGGCAATACCATTGTGGTGGAGGTGGTCGACAGCCTTGAGGTGGTTTTGGACAACCTTCAGGTGGTGGTGGTGGACAACCAGGCAAACGGAACCAAGGTGAAAAATAAGGAAAACATTCTTTCCATGAAAATCCAAAAGGTTTTGTGTTGTACGTGAAAAATTCCAAAACTTGTTTTTGTTGAGATTCATTCAGCTTTTCAAATTCATGAATGAATTCTGGAATGGAAATCGTTACGTTTACTAAACCGCCTTTTTCAATCTCTTTCAATGATGTACGACGGTCCAATGGAGTAGCCAAACTAGCAGCATTTGTACTTGTCATCATCAAAAACAAAGTCGTAAAGCAGATCACTGCCAAGGAACGAAAGACAAGCATGATGTTTTGTTCAGGGTGGGATGAGAAAGGGAAAGTGTGGTGGGTTGAGAAGAGGATCAACAAATGAAAAAGGCTGTCTTTTATAACTTTGCTGAGTCTGTTTTCCTCTTCAACAAAATGACTTCTTTACCACAACCCATCGGAAAGTTCATTTGCACGGAACATCTGAAGTCCGTCGTCCGTACTATGTCGAGCCGCCAGAATGAATGAATGCATGATTGTTTGCAATGCGCATTCATTTGAAAAGTGACGTGATATACAAAGGTTAATTCACACCTGACAAAAGAAAAAACAATCACCGAACTTACCGTGTCCCCGTCCTCCGTCGTTCTTTGAAAAAAGGAATAGAGCTGCTTGAATGGAAAATGAGCGGATGTATGCTGAACATCTTTACTTTGAATGTTGCTTCTTTGAGATCACATCCGGTGACTTCTTTCCTGTCAAGATCGTTGTCATAATGCTCCGGGAAACAAGGCCGTTGAATCACGATGTGTTGTTTTGGAAATACAATTTTATTCAAATAAAAAGAGACAAGGGGAGTGGTGAATTCTTACAGAATCGGAGTCGCAAAAGGTGAAGCGTATTGCAAAAGATGAATAGAGAAAACGCTCTACTTTCTGCCGGTTTGTTCGCGTGCCTTTTGGGTGGCCAAGTATCTGTCAAAAGAGGAAGAAGGGGGATTGTGTTAGTACTACAGCAAGGTTATCTTCAGCACCTTCTACCCTGTACTCACGCTTCACCGCCGAACAAAGACAAAACACCGACGGAAACAGCGCTGACCAAACGTCTGTCCCATGATTTGACTTCGTTTTGGTTGTTGTATGCAAAGATACCGACACCTGCGACCAAAGCCACATTGATGAAACCTAAAGTGGGCAACCAATACTTTGGATCGCTTGAGAAAGTTGACCAGTATTGAGAAACTTGTTTGCTGGTATCATCGTATGCTTTGTGAGCTTTCTTTTCACCACGCTTTGCTGCATCAGCTGCTCTGCCTTCCAAATCTTTGGCTTCTGCGACACCCTTTTCGTAGGCGTCTTTCAAGTTGTGTTGAGCCTCGTTCTTGGCCTTGTTGGCGTCCTTTTCCAAGTTTCTGAGAGGAGGAGAAGGGGAGGAGGTTAGGGTCTGAAACAAGGCACCATTGTCGGTTATTGGTTACTCACTGTTGTGTTTGTGCAGACATTGTGAATGAAGTTATTCTAGTATGGAGTGAAAAGGTAGAGTCTCTTTTAAAGAAATGATGGATGGAAAGAGGAAGATGATGATTATCTTTAACCCAATCTGTCAATCGGAAGTAGCCGCTTATAATCAAATCTTAGTTCAACCGCAACAGATATGGTGATTTGAGTGATAAAGTGCCTCTTACTGTAAAGATGAACTTTTTTCTTTTCATTTTCAGTCATTTCTCCACCTACTGCTGCTGCACAGTTGCTCCGCTTTAGTGCATTTCCTGTGTACGTGCGTGCAACACAACATATGATCAAACGCGTGCGCAGCGCACGCACTTCTACTTGCGTGCGTTAATTCTTTTAGCTTTTTTTTCTCACAGTTATCTCTCTAGCGCGGCACTGTGGCTGTTTTGGTATCAGCACGCTGACGTCTTGATTCGACTTCCATAGCAATCGGGCACAATCACTAAGCGAGAATAAGGGGAAGATTGATTGAAAGATTGCTATCATTCTCAAGAGAGGTACGGGAGGCATACTTTACGGGAAGATGCTCTCGAGGTTACTTCTAGAAGTCATGTTGCATTAATTGAGGCAGTGCAATGTTGAATGTATGCAACCTCATGAAGGAGTCGGACAAAGGGCCGAAATGAAGTGCCAGGAAAGCAGGTGGTCAAGGCCCGTGCGAAATAGATTAATTCTTAAAATTGTTTTTCTATACCAGCCTTCCTTTAAAGCAATCAAAGGTCATGCTTGATGTATAGACACTTTTTTCTCATCTTTCCCATTCTCATCCTTTCTTTCTTTATCTCACATTGGTCACAAATGGCTGGTCATCTATTCAACAAATTGGTTAACAAGCTGGAAGGTGGAAGTGGAGGCGGATCATATCAACAATCTGGCTATCCCCAATATCAACAGCCAGGGTATCATCAACCTCCTCCCCCTCCTCATCATGCCATGCAACAAGGACCTCCTCATCAACATGGTGCACCTCCTAAAATTCACGTAGGATACTTTACCAATTGGTCCATTTATGGTCGCAAATATCATCCTAGCAAGATTCCGGTCCAACAACTATCGCACATCCTTTATGCCTTCGGAGATGTACGAGAGGATGGAACTGTGTTCCTGACAGACTCTTGGTCTGATGTTGAAATTCATTACGATGGTGACTCTTGGGAAGATGAAGGGAAGAATTTGTACGGAAATTTCAAGCAACTGTTACGAATGAAACAACAAAATCGACATCTCAAAGTGTTGCTCTCTATTGGCGGTTGGACCTTTTCTTCGCATTTCGCCGCTGTGAAAACTCCACAAGGCCGAACGCAGTTCGTACGATCAGCCATGCAAATCTTGGAGGACGTGGGACTAGATGGGTTGGACATCGATTGGGAATATCCGAAAAATACACAAGAAGCTGATCAATACGTTCAATTGTTGGGCGAATTGCGTCAAGCTTTGGACGCTCGTGCCAATGCGATGCAATCAAGACATTGGCTCAGCATTGCTGCTCCTTGTGGTGAACAAATGCGAACGCTACACGTTAGCCGTATGGACCCTTATTTGGACATGTGGAATTTGATGGCATACGATTTCTGTGGAACATGGTCAGAAAGGTCAAGTCATCAAGCAAATCTGTTACCTTCACAATCATGCGAAGCAAGTGTGGAAAATGCTATTCAATTCTATACTTCACAAGGCGTCGCTCCTCACAAGTTGATCTTGGGAATGCCATTGTACGCTCGAGCATTTGCACAAACCAAAGGATTAGGACATAAATTCCATGGAGTACCCGAAGGTGGGGCAGAACCGGGAAATTTCAATTATCGTGATTTACCATTACCGCATCATGAAGAACAATTTGATTCACAAGCTTTGGCACAATTTTCCGTTTGTCAATCACGTAAAGAATTCGCATCGTATGAAGGACCCGAAAGTGTGGATGCAAAGTGTGATTATATTCATAAACGTGGCTTAGGCGGTGCGATGTGGTGGGAAGTATCTGGTGATGCGGATGAAGAGAAAGGTGGCGTTGAACGTGCTTTGATTCCACGAACGGCTTTTCGATTAGGTGCCTTGGATCCAACACCCAATAACTTACGCTACCCTTACTCCCAATATGACAATGTTCGCTCAGGACAACCTCTTTAGGCAAACATACATGGACAATCAGAGTACTTAATCATACACTCAATGAATGCGATTTGATTGATTACACAAGGTGTGAGACAGCTCCAGTTAAATTGTGGTGAGTGAGTTTACATCGTTCTATATGCCCTTCAAATGCATGTAGTCATCTCCAAAATCAGCAATTTGCGTTACTAGCGAGACCAAATCTTCGAACGAGGTGAATGGATGGGTGACCATGCGAATGAAATCACCTTGCCCTTTTCCAAGAGGAGCAAAGTCAACTGCAAATCTCCTTTGTTGTCTGATAGCATTGTGGACATATTGCGTTGCTTTGCTTCTCTCTTCTACAGATGCATTTGCACCTAGAGCAGGTCGAACGCAAACTTGCAAGAAAAGAGGTGCACCACTTGATTCCGTTTGTGCTAGTTGCAATCGTTTTGAAAGATTCGAATCCGTTTTGATGTATTGCACGATTCGATTTGCTGATTCGATTCCTCTTTCTACATGCTCACCAAAGTACCTTGCACCTTTCGATTGCCAGGCTATGTACAGCTTGAGGGCATCTCCCTTTCTTCCACAGCCAAAGTTCACCTTTGCGGGACCTTCATGTCGTGCATTCTTTCTCCGTAGTGCAGCTTCCGATTCTTCTAGCTTTGCTGCTGTGTCCGATTCTACATCTCCATCATTTGCATGGAAGAGATAAGGTGCGTCTAATGCATTGTTCTCGAGCACATCCCCTTTGCGGAAGAGCACGAAAGAACATTGGTGAGGGATGTTGAGCAGTTTGTGAGGGTTTATCGTCAATGAATCGCATCGTTCAATGCCTGCCATCCTTGATCGATATCGCGATGAGAACAGGACTGGTCCTCCCCACGATCCATCGACGTGCAACCACAATGGAGTCTCGTATGCACTTCTATACTTGTCACATATGTTTGCAATTTGATCCAAATTATCAAACGATCCCGTTACTGTCGATCCTGCTGTTGCATTGACAAAGAATGGGAATCCTGCCTTTTCACCTTTTCCTTCGTTGTCTTGGTATAGCCCCTCAAGTATTCTGTCCAGAGCATCAACGTCCATGTTGCCGTATATGTCACAAGGTACCTTGACTACGCTGTTCAAGCCCATTCCACAAGCCAATGCAGCTTTCTCGAGACTGTAGTGCGAATCAGCACCTGTTATGATCAAAGGTTTGGATGCTTTAGCTGACCTATTACGCCTTCCCATCAATTCTGTAATGACGCCTACAACACCTTCGTTTTTGAAAGCAGGAAAAGAATGATTGACCGCAGTTTGAATGGCAAACGTATTGGACATCGATCCACCCGGCATCGTCATTCCATCAGCATAGGTAGGGTTCCATCCACACAGACTTGTCAATCCATTCACGCATGTTTCTTCCGCTAAACAGAGCATCGGAGCAGCAGAAATTACGTGTGCATTGGCATTGATGGCGGCCAAAAGAGCTTCACTTGCTATTCCGATTGGCATTGGGGTAGAGTAAAGCTGCAAAAATACACCGAAGTCAGTCACTTGATCCATTCAGATCTTTTCTCTAACTCACCTTATCAACAAATCTTCCAGTCCATGGGTTGACACTGTTATCGAGCAAACTGGCCATACTCTGCAGAACCTTCTCGTTTGAGCATGATTCATCTGAAAGTGACAATTTGACTGCCTGTCTCATCTCTTTGCTCGAAGTGAATCTGGAAACTGGTTCATCTTCATTCTCTCCTTTTTTGATCCATGCTTGAATGATTTTGGTTGTTTCGTTGAGATAGTAAGCTACCTCTTCAGAAGGAGAGGATGTAGAAGTAGAAGCATGGCCATTAATCTGACCATTGGTTATCGTCATTGTATCTTGAACGATGGTTGTAAGACTCTAGTCACCCCCCACCTTTTTCCGAATGTTGAATTTCATCTTCCGACTTTTTCACTCAGCGTGGGGGTTGAGAGGTCACGTGCATGACAAGATGCACCAAGCGTGCACTGCGCCGCCTTAATTGGTGCGTGTCAAGGTCACTCGATGAGTCAAAAGACACACAACACACTGTATGCACTGCACGCATAGGTTTTTTAAGATCTTCTTGAATCTGTGCATTTCATCATCATCAATACCATAAACCTCTTCTTTTGCTTTGCTTGGCTATTTGCCGCATGCATTGTTATCGTTCATTATTACGCACAAACATTTTAAGATCTCGTCTTCCTACTTCTTCTTTACAGCCAATCAAATTTACAAGAATGGCAAGTTCAAATGCAATCGTGCCAGGCACAACGCCTGATGCACCTGCACCTTCTTCTGTCACACAAATCAACAAAACTGTTCATCCGTTCAGTCGTGCACAATTAGAAGGTTTAATGACAAAGAGATTCTTTTATACGCAAGCTTTTGAAATTTATGGTGGTGTTTCAGGTTTATACGATTATGGTCCAACGGGTGCTGCTTTACAGGCAAACATTATTTCTGCTTGGCGTCAACATTTCATCTTGGAAGAAGAAATGTTGGAACTTGAAACAACAATTATGACTTTGAGCGACGTATTGAAAACATCAGGTCACGTTGACAAATTCGCTGATTGGATGTGCAAAGATACAAAGACGGGTGAAATCTTCCGTGCAGATCATTTGGTCGAAGGTGTTTTAGAGGCAAGATTACAAGGTGATGAAAAAGCAAGAAAAGCAGAACAGACAAATGCACAACAAGCACAAGAAGTTCCAGTTGAAGGTGGCGATGCTAAAGATGACAAAAAGAGCAAGAAGAAAAAGATCAAGAGTACCGCAAAGAAGCTCGATGATGAGACAAAGGCGGAATACGAATCTACATTGGCACAAATCGATAACTATGGCGGTCCCGAATTGGGCGAGCTGATTCGAAAATACGGTATCCGAGCACCCGAGTCAGACAATGAAGTTTCTGAGCCAGTCGAATTCAACCTCATGTTTGATACACAAATCGGTCCAACAGGTCAGATCAAAGGTTATCTACGACCGGAAACTGCTCAAGGTCATTTTGTCAACTTTGGTCGATTGCTCGAATTCAACAATGGTAAAGTACCTTTTGCCAGCGCACACGTTGGTAAATCATTCCGTAATGAAATCAGTCCTCGTGCAGGTCTTTTGCGGGTGCGTGAATTCATCATGGCAGAAGTAGAGCATTACGTTGATCCCCTAGAGAAGGATCATGATCGATTCCAAGAGGTGGCCGACCTTAAATTGTCCTTCTTGCCTAAAGGAACACAACAAGCAGGCAAGAGCGACATCTCTGTGCAAACCATTGGTGAAGCTGTGAAGTCAAAGATGGTTGATAATGAGACACTCGGTTACTTCTTGGGTAGGATTCATCTGTTCTTGGTCAAGATTGGTATCGATCCAAAGAGACTACGATTCCGTCAACATATGGGTAACGAGATGGCACATTATGCCAGTGATTGTTGGGATGCTGAAATTCATACAAGTTATGGTTGGATCGAATGTGTCGGATGTGCAGACCGTAGTGCATACGATTTGACTGTTCACAGCAAGAAGACAAAGCGTGATTTGGTTGTTCAGAAACCATTGAAAGAGCCCAAGGTGTACGATAAGCTTGTACCTTTCATCGATAGAAAGAAGTTGGGTCCACATTTCAAGAAAGATGCAAGATTTGTTGATGAAGCTATTGCACAACTTGATCAAGCTGGATTGGAAAAGTTACTAGTTTCCCTCAGGAATGGTGAAGCAGACGTTGGTGGATACAAGCTAACGTCTGATCTTGTCAAGGTGGAATTGAAGACGATTCGTGAAAACGTTCGTGAATTCACACCAAACGTTATCGAACCTTCATTCGGTATCGGACGTATCTTCTATTCACTTCTCGAACACTCATTCTGGTCTCGTGCAGAAGATCAAGAGCGTGCAGTTTTGAGTTTACCTGCTTTGGTCGCACCGTACAAGACATCGGTCATCCCTATCAGTTCAAATGAGAAGCTGGCTCCGCTCGTCAAACAAATTAGCCGTCAATTACGTGCAAAGGGTATCGCAAGTCGTGTGGACGATAGCAGTGCTTCGATCGGAAGACGTTATGCACGTAATGATGAATTGGGTACTCCTTTCGCATGCACTTTGGACTTTGCAAGTTTGAGTAAAGGTACAATGACCTTGCGTGAACGTGATTCAACTACACAAAGAATCGGACAGATTGAAGAAGTGATTGATGTGATTAAAGCTTTGTGTGAAGGAAGTATCACATGGGAAGGTGCTTGTCAGCGTTTGCCTGCTTATAGCGGAGAGCAAGAGCTAGATTGAGTTTTCATCTTGTCAAAATTATACATTGCAATGATATATTATTGTACAGATTAAGAGCATATTGCTGGCTTGTCTCGTTGTGTTTGTGTGTTGGTAGAGGCGGCAGAAGTGGCGGCTTGGATTTGCGATTTCATTCTCAGCTCCTAGCCGTGCCTTCTACTCCTGTCTTCTTAAGAAAGAAGGGGGTATATCGGTACCTGAAACAAATTCTACTCCGCTATCATGACTTTATCCGGAACCGCCGCAACAACAGAAGGAGCTCCGCAAGAATGTCAAATCAAGAGGTGAGTAAAATGCAAGGTCAGGAGATTATTTAAAAGACAGAATTGTGTCATATAAAAACGCATCGAGTTTGCAATCTTTTACCCGTTTATTGTTTCATCCCCCTCCTTTTATCTCGGCTTACCACAATACTACTGATAATGAATTCGCTATATTGGCTACTCAACCTACTCCTCTTGACTTTGGCGGCTCACGCCTCTGCATCAATGCAAAAGCGTGCTGTGACCATTGAACGAACATGGGAAAAATCGGTAAAAAAAGCACAATTGATCGTCGCACAATCGACTTTAGCCGAAAAAGCAAATTTGACAGGTGGTTTAGGATACGAAGTAGGTTCACGTTGTGAAGGTACGTTAGGCAGTATACCCAGATTAGGATTGCCGGAATTGTGCTTTCAAGATGGTCCAACGGGTGTACGTGCTTCAGATTTCGTCACAGTTTTTCCTGCTGGCTTGACAACTGCTGCAACGTTTAATCGTCGATTGATGGAGCAAAGAGGTAAAAGACTGGCGTATGAATTTCGAGGCAAGGGCATCAATGTACTCTTGGGTCCCGCCACTGGAGGTCCATTAGGCAGAAGTGTCTTTCAAGGCAGAAATTGGGAAGGGTTCGGGTTGGATACATACCTGAACGGAGAAGCTTCTTATGCTACCGTCAAGGGTATTCAATCACAAGGTGTTATTGCTACTTCAAAACACTTTATTGCTTATGAACAAGAAACTTTCAGAACTCTTTATGCAGCCAGCAGTAGATTCCAATTCAATCCGATCAATAATACAGAGCATGCTTATAGTGCAAATGTTGACGATCGAACGTTGCATGAACTTTACCTCAAACCGTTCATGAATGCCATTAGAGCAGGATCGGGAGCTATAATGTGCGTCTACAATGAGATCAATGGAACACAAGGTTGTCAAAATGAAAAAGTCTTGACGGATATATTGAAACATGAACTTAACTTCCAAGGATTCGTGGTCTCAGACTGGTCAGCCGTATTTGATGCTGCTTTGGGATACAATGCAGGTACGGATGTGATTATGCCGGGTGGAGCTCACGGAGGTGGAAAGCGTAATCTTGTCACTGGACAAGCAATGATTGATGCTGTGAATGCAGGAAGGATTCCAATGGAACGTATTGATGATGCAATTCAACGTTTGTTGACACAGTACTACTATCATGGACAAGACCATGGATATCCGAAAACAAACTACAAAGACGGTTGGCAAGGAACTGAAATTTATGGTGTAATCGTGAACGAACATGTGAACGTACAGACGTTGGAAGCCAAACAAGTTTCCAAACAAGTCAACGAAGAAGCAATCACACTAATCTTCAATAACCGACAAGAGGATAATTGTGGACCGCAAAAATGTGTTGAAGGTAGAAAGGTGAAAGGAACAGGTTTACCACTCAACAAAAAAGCCAGAATTGCCGTCTTTGGATCGGATGCAGGACCAAATCCGATGGGAATCAATGGCTGTCAACTTTGGCTTGGACCTGGATCAAACTTTTGTCCGGGCGATAGCGTAAGCAATGGCACGAATGCAATGGGTTGGGGATCAGGTGCAGGATTCTTTCCATATCTGATCGATCCGTTGGCAGCCTTAACAGAATCGGTAGAACAGTATGGAGGCGCAATATCGAGCAACCTGAATGACACCGATCTTGATGGTCCGAATGGCAAATTGATCGAACAAACTGCGGCTTGGGCGGATGCCTCCCTGGTTTTCGTTCAAGCACGATCAGGTGAAGACTCCGACCGATTCAGTTTGGAATTAGAAGCAAACGGAAACGCATTAATACAGAAAGTTGCTTCAATTTCTAATAATACGATCGTGATCGTTAATACCGTTGGTGCTATCTTCATGGACGACTGGTACAATAATCCGAACATTTCCGCTTTGCTCTTCCCGCATCTGCCCGGTCAAGAATCGGGCAATACGTTAGCGGAAGTGTTGTACGGAAATGTTGCGCCTTCCGGTAAGATGCCGTACTCAATCTTGTCCAAGAAAGATGCTTCAAACTACATCCCAATCGTAAGAGATATGCAACCAGATGGAACGATTCCCATCCCATTCGATGAAGGCGTCTTTATTGATTATCGATTGTATGACAAGAAGAACGTTACTCCTTTGATCCCATTTGGACATGGTATTTCATATACCACCTTCAATCATTCCGATCAACTTTCTGCTCAGCCAATCAACGATGGTTCAAGTTATCCTACCGAAGTAAGACATAATACATCCGTTGGCGGAGATTCAACATTATGGAAATATATTGTTTCGCTTTCTACTTCTATTACCAACACTGGATCTTCTGTGTCGGGTAAAGAAGTGAGTCAATTATACATCGGCTTCCCCAAATCTGACAGTTTACCCGATATTCCCGTCCGTCAACTTGTTGGATTCGAAAAGGTTGGACCTATTCAACCAGGCGAAACAGTATCTGTCTCATTCAAAGTTACACAAAGAGACATGAGTTATTGGGATGTCGTTCAACAAAGATTCGTCATGCCAGACGGAGATTTCACATTTTGGAGTGGAGCCAGTTCTGATGTGAATACCCTCAAAGGTAAAGTCACTGTCACGATCAAGAATGGGACAATGTCATGATTATGTGTGTGTGTGTAGTTGATGATTGAATGAGAGAATGACGTAAGGATCGTGGAATGGTGAACATTAAGTAATACAATCACTGCATTTAGCCTTCAAACAGCCGTAAAGCGCGCGTATGTATCCACTTACCCTATTCAGTCACACTGTCAATGTGCCTTGTTTGTGTTGAATGTCATGCAGGGTCAAACAAAAGTCAAAAATAAGTTTGATGATAATGCCACTTCTTAGGAGTGATTGTGTCTATATATGGGGTAAGGGTATAATCCATTCAAGTTGAAAACCATCCACCATCACTACTTGATAATCACTCATCAAAATGCCATCTTCAAAAGGAAAGCCAACCGATCCCAAAAAGAGGGAAGAAGCAAAGAAAGGTGAGTAAAACGAAGAGAGAGGGGAACTGCCTCCACTTGATCATCATGACCAACACTCTTTTTCTCCTTCCGTAGAGGTGCTTCAAATGGAAAAAGGTGGCGGTAAAGGACAATGGTCAGCCTGGAAAGCAGCCGAAATGGCAAAAGTGTACGAAGCAAAAGGAGGAGATTATGAAAATACAGGCGATAATCCAAACAAAGCCGAAAAAGGTGATCCAAAACCCAAAGAGTCTGCTGTTAAGAAGGGAGAACGTAAACCAAAGGGTGCTCCAGTTGGTGAAAAGAAGGAAACTTCTGCAAAGAAAGCAGCTTCTAACGACAAAAAGACAAAGAGTTCAACTTCCAAATCTACTTCCTCCGCCTCTGCAAAGAAGAAGGATACCGGAAAAGGCGCAAAGACGGAAGCTAAAAAGACTACCACAACCACTCGTTCTGGTAGAAAGGTCTCAGCTGCTGCTTGATTAGTTGTGGAATGAGTTCGGCTGCTATCGTGCTTTGAAGGTCAGGCTTGTCGAAAAGGGCGGCATCAAATACCTGTGTTTTTCGACCCTAGCCTGTTCGCTATACATCCTGTATGTTGTTGTGATTACCCATCCTCTGTTCTGTAATGTGATTAATTTTATTCATGGCGATGCTACACAGGTGAATGAAGACGAGATATGAGACATGATGGCTTCCAAACACGGGTACTTGCGAATGTGATCGATCTGAGTATGACGGATAAATGCAGTCAAATTTGCTGATCACACGACCCACATACTAGAATATCTGTCACATCCATTGTCGCTTCTCACCACTTCCACCAACTGGCTTAACGGTTAAAGAAGAGACATATCAACAAGCAAGTTGAAGGGACGTCTACAATATCAGACCTATGTATGTCAAAATGATATTGTTGGATAGATGGTAGTCGATTACATAACCCAATCTGCACCTGCAATCTGTACATCACATCTTTTTCGTGCATGAATAAATTGACCGAACTGCTGCCATACCGCAAATGGGCAAACGCGCAGTTGACTGTAGTAAATTCCGTGTGGCGCCTACACAGCGCAAAGCACGTCTTCGATGCTGGCAGCGTGCCGGCTTGTATGCACTGCGCAGCGCAGTTTGACAAATAGCGCGTTCCTTGTTTTGATGGATTTAATATTCAAACACTGCTTTTGCGCCTACGCCAGGCTCGGAACACGCACGCCCAAAAAGAAACTTCGTTTGCCGGGTGATTTTCGGTTTATTTGGCACATTTGGCAGAAGGGGGGCGTAGTGGATTTGATCTGGCACAATAATGTATATCTCTCGGCCGCCCCGCCTTTACGCGCGCGCTTGCATGCAGCAGGGTTTAAGCTAGGCTATAGGCCTGCCATGTATACAACTTGCGCGGAGAGGGTTTGGATCCGGACCCGCTGATAAGATCTTTCTCTCCATGCTTGTGATATCTCACTCGTGATTATTTGATTGAAACATGTCTGCTGGTGATGGCAGGAGGTTTTCGTTCTGTAGCCAGTATACATGTTCTGCCGTTCATTCTATGGACTTGGAAATGACACCTCACAAAGCACGCGCAAATTCATCGAGGAGCCAGCACGGATAAATAAACCCTTTTCTTGCGCACTTGTTTTTTGCTCTGCTCAGCAGCTGTCCATTGAGTCAATTCAACCCTTTTTGCAGCACGTAATTTAATCAAGATAGACAGCTAGGAGTTCCTACCACTTGCCTCGATAGAAAGAAATCCGTGCGAACGAGAAACGCTAAGTAGGCTTCGTGGGTGTGCAAAAATAGACTGCGCGCGCGCGCGTTGGTTTGCCTTCCTTCTAATTCGATTTCTGCTGCTTACTGAATTTGGACTTTTGAATGGAAAGGACGAATTGATTGTTTGAATACATGTGTGAGAAAAGCAAGACAAACGCGTGGAAAGAATGAATCCGATTTGAGGAGGAGGGCCAAGAACTGGAAAACACAAAAATCGGTGCGCCATTTCCTGAATTTGTGCAATAAAGAAAGGTAGGAGGACAAATTGATCAAACAATCGCCCACTTTACCTTTCCTTCCCACCACCAAGTCATTTTCGATTCAATTTCATGTGAGTACAATTGGATGGCGATCAGGATGACAATGGTGATGACTTTTTGATGGTCATCATCATTCTCATTTGTTGTCATCATCATCGTCTGTTGATCAACACTTACTGACAATCTTATTCTCTCTCCATTTTACCCTCACCATCATCCCTTTTTTGCCACCATTGTTGATGATCATACAATCATTGATGTTTATTATTGTGTGCGCGCGCGCATTTCTGGCCGGATTCTCAACACCGCCCTACGCACACTGCACACGCGTATTTTTCCACTTTGCGCTACGCAAACGCACCACTGCACACACACACCCTTTTTTTACTCATAATTATTTGGGATGGCGTTGTATTTGTCCTGCGCGCTTCTCATGCACGCTTCTCATATCGTTGCATATTCAACGGCCCATTCACACGTCGCGCGTGCGTGTATACCCTTTTGCTCTTACACTCTACTCTCTTTCCTTCTTGACCACCACCATCAACTACTTACAGTATGGCTCGTACAAAGCAAACAGCCCGTAAATCAACGGGTGGTAAAGCACCCCGCAAGCAATTGGCCACCAAGGCCGCACGCAAGTCCGCCCCAGCAACCGGTGGTGTGAAGAAGCCCCATCGTTATAAGCCAGGTACTGTGGCTCTTCGTGAAATTCGTCGTTACCAAAAGAGTACCGAATTGTTGATCCGTAAATTGCCATTCCAACGTTTGGTTCGTGAAATCGCTCAAGATTTCAAGACTGATTTGCGTTTCCAATCCAGTGCAATTGGTGCATTGCAAGAAGCAGCAGAAGCTTACCTTGTCGGTTTGTTCGAAGACACCAACTTGGCTGCCATTCACGCCAAGCGTGTTACCATCCAACCTCGTGATATCGCTTTGGCCCGCCGCTTGCGTGGTGAACGCAGCTGATTGTGTTGCAATGCAATGCAATCGTGTAATGATATAGTCTCTCTATTTTCTCTTTATTTCTCTTCAGAAGTCTCTTCACTGATCATGATGATTGTTCTGTGTTGATAATATTCTCTATTCCAATACATCCTTTAGCTTCTTAACGATTGTGTGAAATGTGTGATGGCGATCAGATAGGTCACTAAGAAATGGGAAATGAGCGCTGTCTTTGCAGTGGTGAGGCCTGGACTCTCTTTACGCGTACGCTGAGCATACGCGCGCCAGATCTACCTCACGCCATTTCCGTTATGAGCACGGCATTATATAATCAAATTAGCGAATCCAAAGAAAGAGTTACAAGGTGGTATGAGAGGGAGAGAGAAACAACGAATGAGTGTGTATATGGTACGAAGGTAAAGAGAGTGTGAATTGAGAGAGAGAGGGAAGTTTTTATTTCTTCTTATTATTAGAGGTATTACCATTGTTGACCGCTTCTTTTTCCGCTTCGGCAGCTTGAACCAATTCTTGTGAAGCATCTTGGAATGCTTTACAAATTTCTTCGGCCAATCTACGTTGTTTTAATTCTTTTGCACCATCACAAGAAACTGCCAAACTGAAATTATTAGCATAAGAAATCATTCCTATCGCCAAAGAAGATTTACCGGGCGAACTTGGTGGAAGAACATGATAGGCAAAAGCTTCATGTGTGCCAAATTTGATAGGTTTACTTGGTCCGGGTAGGTTTGTTGCAACGTGATATTCACGAACGGTTAAATCGAAAATTCCTTTACCGATCGGATAATTGGGTGCATACCATGATCGTCTTTTACTGATAGAACTGAACAAGTTGAACCAAATATGTGGCCAATGAGATCTTTTGATTCTGTTCATTTCGCGATGGACTTGACTGAGTTGTTCTTTGAACGGTACCTTTTTGGGATCATTGAATGCAAACCAGGCAATCGCACCTGTTGTGAAGTTCGTCAATTCCCAATTACCTGTTGGACGTTTACTGATTGGTACAAAGACGGCAACACGTTTGTCCTTTACTGGTCCAGGCTCAGTTCTTTCGGCAGCCATACGAAGTGCTCGGGACAAAACGGCACAAGCGACATCGTTCAATGTCAAATCCAAACCAGCATCCGAGAATGCGTCTCGAACCAGCTTGATATCTTGCATTGGAATACCATCGCTATGACAGTAGAACCGATCTGGGTTTCGTTTGCTGCCTGGATAATCAAATGCTTTTCGACTACGGAAGTACAGTCCACGAACCGTGTGCCAGCCATGTTTGGTTGTGCCCCATAAAGTTGGATGAACATTACGTTGACCGGGTTTCTTTTGTTCTCCCTTTTTACTACGGATATCAACTTGTGCTTGAACTTCTTCAATCTTTGCATCAGTTTCCAAAGCTGATAAAGCGGTATGATAACTCATAATCATTCCTTGTCCATCACTTAAAGCATGATGAACTTTGATCATCAATGCACTTTTTGCTCCTTTGCTAGTATTCAAACCACGAACGCAAAGTGCTTTCCAAAGTGGTTTACTGTAATCAAAATGTTCACTTAAAAATTGACCTGCGATCGTATGCAAAGCATCATCATCCGTTCCTTGTGGTGGATTGTTCATCTCGACGATATTATCTTCAACTTTAAACGTATCTGCATAACGCCATCTTGCCGGTCTAAAGTAACCACCTGCTTTTAATGTTTTGCTATACCTTGTCCTTCTGCCGCATTTATCCGTTTCGGTTGATTCTTCGTGTACGGGTTCACCACCATTCTTCTTGAATTGTTTTTCCTTCTTGGATGCTACCGAAGGTGAAAGTTCAACGGCATAATGGTATTTCGGATACCAAGCGACCAGCTTCCGGAAGAATTTGTACAGGGTTTCACTGTCAAGCTCAGTCTTGAATAAATACACAGAGAAACATGTCGTTTGATAATCATCACCTTCCATAAGAAGAGCCAAGTTGTCAATCCCAGTCACAGGGAAACATCTTCCACGCTTCTCGTACACCGGTTGCGAGCCTGATTCTGATCGTTTGACAGCAGGTGTAGCAGCAGCAGTAGTTGCTGCAGATTTCTCATTCACTTCTTCCTTCTGCGTTGCTTTTGGTGCTGGCTTGTCTTGTTTTAGTGTTTTTGTCTCTTTTGGCTTTTCTTCTTTTGGGGGTTTTTCTATCTTTGGCTTTTCTTGCTTTACCGGCTTGGATGATCGTTTGTCAATCTTTTGTTCTGGTTGAATTTGTTGACTTTTACGGTTTTCTTCCATTTGAGCACGGATTCGTGCTCCTTGTTCGGAAGCTGTCCCTCTTCCGTGTGTTGGTGGTGATGCAGTAGACATGTTTAGGTTGGTGATGGTGAGAAGAAGAAAAGAAGAGTTTCCTCTTGGCATTCATTCATGCTTTCCTTCCCTCTTTCATATGCTTCACCCTGCATACATTGATCGTCCGCTTAACTTTCTCTCCGCTTAAACTTACCCGACGCAATAAAACGCGTTTGAAAGGTTATGTCAAAAAAACTTATACTGGAAAAGTGCCTTCCCAAGCCGGATTTGGGCGATAAAGTGGAGGAAAAATGAACTAAACGGAAATCGGGATTTAAATCCGAACTTTGGCGGCTAGAGGCACACGCACACACACACCATCAATCAGAACAACCACTTTCTCCTTCAAATTCTCATCACATTTCAACTTTGGGTTTTCATCATATAGTAAGAACATAATCAATCACATCGGAACAGAAAAGAATCTTAAAAGAGCATTTGCTCTCTCAGGCAGCCACGGCAGCAGCAGGCGCATCTTTGGCCTTCTTGCTCTTCTTGGCACCACCAGCGGCAGCAGCAGGAGCAGCAGAATTGGCATCTGCTGCACTCTTGTCACCTCCAATCTTTTCTTCCCATGTTCGTTCTTCAACATCCTTGCAATCACGCGTGACTGCTCTTTGAACGTTTTCAGCAGCTGCTAATGTATGTTCATACTCCTTTCCTTCTTCTCCTGAATTCAAAATCTTTTGTAAAGATTCCATATTACGCTTGAACCAATATGCTGGCGGTAATGTTCTAGTGTATGCTTCAGATGCTGCTACCATGGCTGTATGACGAACAGTTGGTGTTTCAGCATCGTCACGGGTTGCACTTTGTTTCGTGCCGGGTTGAACGACATTCTTGCGTGCTGCATGTAAACGGATCAAACCTGGTTGCAAAGTCATCACCATATACATAATGTTTTCCATCGGTTCAGGAATGTCCAAAACCACACTTGGAATACGTTCTGGATCATCACTTTCGGCATTTTCCACTTTGATCTTCCAAACGAGAGGATCGTTGAGTTCGTAAGAAGGTGCGTTTTCCTTCTTTTTCGATACACGGCTTGGCTTCTTTTTCTTCTTTTCTCCATCTTCTGCTTCGCCGCCTTCTTCAGCGCCTTCATCGCCGCCAGTCTTGCCTGAACGGTTAAAGTCGATGAACTTCTTGGGTACACGGATGTAGATGGCTATCAAAGATGACCGTGAGAGAAGGGGAAATGTCAGTATAGTGAACAAAGTACATCACCATTGCAATACTCACATCCATCTTCCGTGAATGATCCGTGAGGTGCATTCTTTTTGAGAACGAACAATTCCGTTCTTGCTCCATCAACGTTTGACCATCCTAATCCTTCCAACTTTTGACGTTGTTCTAAGATCCAAGGACGAGCACGTTCCCATGTATCACGGGTCCATGGTTTAGTGATATGTGCAAGATTAACTTGTTTACGTGCATTTTCAGCAACCGAATCGGATGAATCAAAATGAATTCCTCCTTCGATGCCTGTATTCTTCTTTTGTTCTTTTGGTTGAGGGTTTGAAGTTGCTTCTTCAGCGCCCTTTTTGTCCTTCTTTCCCATGATTCCGACGGGGTTATGTATAAAGAGTTAAAGCTTTTTGAGGAAAGGTGTAGCAGTTCTTGATGAAACTGCTTGATGGTGATGAGATAGAAAGTGCTACAATGACAAAGCAAGTGATGAGCACAAATGGTATGTTTATTGTAAGAGAACAATAAACAATAGATGGGATTAAGAGTATGAAAGTTGGATTTGGTAAGAGTTTATCACAATTGAATGGATGATGGAAGAAGGAAGGAGAGAGAAACAGAATGGATTGATTCTATTTGAGGACGGGGGAAACATTGCGCGCGCCAGCTCATCCATTCAAAACAGAAGGGCACCTGGAGCAAAAAGGTCGGGGTTATGCTACAATTGTCATGAAGTCAGTCGACGCTCAAGCCAGTTTCATGGGAAAAGCCAAAAAGAGATGACTGTGATTGTGCCATGTGTGAATAATGAACATTGTCAAAACACAGCTTTTGTGCACTTGATGACGGATTTGATGAATCTTGACCGGGTTCATTTGCCCATTCTTTATTTTATCCGCGCGAGACCCCATCCAACTCTAACAGGTAAAGTACCCAAAACGGACATGAATTGAAATTGTGACATGGTCAGACGATAGACTCACACTCTCTCTCTCTTGTAGAGGTAAAGTACCCAAATTACCCAATCTGATTCTCAATTGCTTACTTTGCGCACGGTTCTTTTTTTAAGTTGGCTCACATATCGGCAGACAACATTGCTCAAAGCACACTGTGCTTCTGCCTCGTTTTACAGACATGCAAATTATGCATGCGGCCCAGGGGGCTTGCACCTTTTATGCACTAATTTTGCGGGGTACATGCATTTACAGCCAAGACGTCGGCGCGGAGAGCATGAAAAATTACATAATCACCATCCTCATAGTGAACAAACTCTATTCCATTCCATTTGCATATTGTTACACTTCACCTGACAACTCTTTCATCGCTTCTTGAACCTTTCCCAACGCATCTTGTGCAAATGTTGCCATCTCTGCCGTCATTTGAGCAGATGCTGAGGCCATTTGATCTTCACCACTACCGCCGGCCATGGATTTTTGTTGTTGTTGTGCCATGATTCCTGCTTGCGCTGCTACTTTGGCATACAAAGATTCAGCTTTCTTGAGTTCTTTTAATCGAACAACGTTTGCATCTTCACCTGCAACAGGAGGAGCTGCACCTCTTCCTTCATACAGCATTCCAGCAAAGTTCATCATTGCTGGCATAAACCCAGCATCAGCACCTTTGCTAAACCATTCTTTCGCCGTTACGTCATCCGGTTTAACACCCCATAATCCTAAATGACGTTCCTTTGCCTGTTCTCGTACCTTTTCCGCATCTCTTCCGTCCGACTCACTTCCCAAGCCAATCTCTTCCAACATCTCTTGTCTCAATAAGTATCGCATTCCAACTTCATGTGCACTTTGACCATCGCCCAAATTGGCAGCTTTCTGGAAATGCTCAATTGCTTTTTGCAAGCAAAGATTTCTCTCGGGTGATGAAGGTGAGGTATTATCCATCATTGCCCTTTGAGCCAACATGATTGCTAACGCGTGATGACAACGAACGTTATCCTTGTCTGCTCCACGTTCAAAGTATCCCTGTGCGGTCTGGGAATGTTTCACGTTCTCTTCTTCTGCACTTCCTTCTTTCATCGAGTTCAACGAAAGTAAGCCCAGTTCGAACCAAGCTTCCGTCAATCCTTTCTCTCCTGCTTTTGTCCATAGAAGGATAGCTCTGCTCTTCATCATTTCCGATTGTGCTTTTTGTGTTTGTTCATCTTCCTTTCCATCGTCAGTCTTGCGTGCACTAGCAAGCAAGATACGACCCATTCCCAGCATACCTTGTGCATCTCCTTGAGTAGCCAAAGTTGCATATACTCGAATAGCTGCTGCTTGTTGATCCTTGATTGCATCTCTTGTTTCCGCTGATCCACGTTCCAATAAATGCAATCCGACCGGTGGAGATGCCTGTCCAGACAATACCATTGAAGCCCAATTGTATCCGGCTGCATTTGTTCCCCATTGTGTTGCTGCATGCAATGGTGATCCTTCTTGCATGGTAGCGGCTGTCGGATCGGGCATCGTTAGAGGATCGCGATCGAACGCGATGATGAAAAGTCGGGATGCGATTGGCAGTCTTCTTGGATCTTTCGAATGTTTCAAAAGGGAGACAGTGAATTGATGCAGAGATCCAGATTTGAGGTTGTTGGAATTGATCAGATCTTTTACCTTTTCGTTTGCTTTTTGTTCTAATTGTACTGCCTCTTCGCGAGATTTCACATCAACGCCATCTCGCAATTGTTGCAGAACAACAGACACAACTTCTTTTGCTATTGGTTGTGGTATATCTGCACTTCCTTCTGTGAATATTATCTCTGGAATAATCGCTTCTAATGACTTTTCCATCTCTGGCGGTTGAAGATTCTCATAAGTGCCAGCCGGTTTTCCATCAACAGTGGTAGCATATCGTCTGACTGGTATGGGTGCGGGTATAGATGTAAGCAGAGCGGTAGACTGCACCGCCTGTAAGGGCCTTGTTGAAGAGGCAACCTTATTCAAAGGTACCCGTCGCAGTAATGATCTGCTTTGACGTAACATTTTTGATGAGAAGATGATGGATAGCGGGAAGAAATCTTCTCCACTGGCTAAGGATGTTATTAATCAAAAACCTTAAAAACGCGTGGCAATCAGTGAGCTTCCAATGCATTCTTCTGAGTAAAGTACACTGCTAAAGTGCCTATCTCGGAGTTACGGAAAGTGGAGTTAACAGACCGGTATACATGACAAATATACAAATAATGTGGCATTGAACGTATGAATGATGTACAATTGATGATGATAACAATTTATGAAAATAATAATTCCAGATTCTGTAATGCTTCTGATTTTTCATCAGGTCCTCGTGCCGATCCCGCCAAAGCAGCTCCAACAAGTGCTGTTTTGCGTGCTTGAATGGCCAAAATACGATCTTCAATCGAATTTTCGATCAAATAACGATGAACGTGAACAGGTCTTGTTTGACCTAATCTGTGTATGCGATCAACCGCTTGATCTTCTGTACTTGCATTCCACCAACAATCCAGAAGCCAAACATGATTGGCTGCAGTCAAATTCAAACCAACTCCTCCTGCACGTAAGGATACCAAGATTAACATCCGTTTAGGTGAACTGCTAAAGGCGTTCAACACTGCTTCACGATCTTTTTGTGACACTGTTCCATCCAAACGCACAAATGGATGATGATTCTTGCGCAGGACAACCTCGACTAAATCCAAGAAGGAAGTGAATTGCGAAAAAATGACACCTTTAAACGTTGGGTCATCGTAACGCAGCTGATTCAAATGTCCGACCAATGCCTCTAATTTGGTACTGCTTCGAATCTTATCATCTTGAAAGTATACTGCAGGTTGTATGGTAAGGCTGTCCTCCTTCTTTGCTGCTTCTTGACTGTTTTGAATGGCTTCCATGATCCTATTCCTACGCGTTCGTACAACGGTTGCCGTATTACCCAACGTTACCGGTCCTTCACGACAAGTTGGACAAGGGATTTCATCCTCTCCTTTTTCTTCGCTGCGTTGAATATGTTCAATGATGCATGGCTTACATCCCCAATGTTTGCATGGCATCACTAACAATTCAGACTTTTCTTCAAAGCAGAACGGACATTCCGAATGATCATCGTCTTCTTCTTCGTTTCCGTTTGCTCCAAACAGTTCTTCCAATGCTTGAACTGACACTTTCTTCTTGTCGCCCTCTTCGTTCGAATCGGAGCCTGATTGAAATGCTGCAACGAGTTCATTAAGCTTCTCTTCCATTTGACCCAGCACAGATTCATTCACTTCCGATTCTCCCCCGTTTGTAGTTTTCTTGGCCTTCTTGTTGCCTTGAATCACCAACAAAGGATGACAAACAGCCTGTCGTAAACGCATCAAAACGGAAAACATGAATGTGAAGTTACGTGCAATCGTACCTGCGGCTGCCAATGTCTGATACTGCATATGTGCACGATCATAAACACTTTCATAGATTTGTCTTTCCAATGGCGTTAGTGGTAATCGAACCATATGGGTTGTTTTGGGAGGCAGATCAACGATAGGTTTGCCATCTTTATCTTTCATTCGCTTTTCACGTCGAATCAAGATAGATTCCAACACCACTTGCACGATCTCCAAAGCTTTAGGATTCTTTTGCATAAATGGCTTAGCGATGAATGTGTTAAAGAATGCAAAGTCTCCCCATGGTTGAACACGTAGAAAACGTAAAAGACTGAACAAATCCGTCAATCGATTGACAATTGGCGTTCCTGTCAAGCACCATCTTCTTCTTGCCGTCAGATCCCGACAAGCACGCGAATTCTTTGTTGCTTTGTTCTTGATGTGGTGTGCTTCATCTAAGATCACTCTCAACCAATCGACGGCATACAGAGGAGCAATCTCGAGTGTTGAGGAGGACTTGTTTGGTATGATATATCGACCATACTCTGAGGTGAGGGTACCGTAGGTAGTGATGACAATATCAACCGTTCCTGCCGTCAAGCGAGAAATGAGTTCACCCTTCGATTCACCATAATAGAGCATGGTCTTCATCGTTGGAATTGCACGTTCCATTTCATCCCTCCATTGTCCGACAAGAGACATCGGAGCTACGACAAGTGTTACCCTTCCACGCGATGAAGATGTCATGTTGAACATTTCTTTCCGATCAGCTTTTGTCAAACCGCCTTCTCCTTTTGCAGCAGCGGCAAAAGATGACTTCAGAGAAACTTGTCGGTAAGAAGGTCCTTTTTTGGCATCTTCCTCTTCTGTTTCACTTTCTTCTTCTTCGGACAATTCTTCATCAGGCGACGGCTGATTGCTTAGGATGAGTGATGCCATTTGAATCGTCTTGCCCAATCCCATCTCATCGGCCAAGATTCCTCCTCGTGCTCCACGACCGGCTGATGGGAATTTGAGGCTAAGATGACCAGTGTATGGATTGAAGTAGAATTTCGAACAAGCCGAATCTAGAAGGTACATCCTTTCATCATCGACTGGGAAGATATACTCTTCCCATAGCGGATGCAAACCTACAGATTCTCCATCTTGCTCTGATTGATTTTCCCTTTCGTTTATCCGGCTATTTGGCTTTTCTTCCATTTTCATCATCCATCCTAGCGATTGTTTTTGGTATGCTCGTAGGGTTAGAGCAAAGTCTGGATTGGGTTCCACTTCGGGTAGACTCATATCATTCCTTTGTGCCCGATCATACACCGAATCAAGTTGATTTTCCGTTATTTCCGTCCCATCGTCCACTTCGGGTGGTGTGCCCTCTCGAGAGTTTGGCTTGGTGCCGTTTTGTGCTGGAGCAGGCGAGTTGCCATTGATGGGTGTCGTCCGTACAGGACTACTTAGAGGTTCTTTCTCTGCCTCGTCTCTACTCTTTGTCAAGATTGAGCTTGTCTTGTTTGCACGTAATGTGCAAGCCCTAAACAATCTCAAAAGGGAAGACTTTCTTTCCCTGATCTTCTTTTCCTCTTCTGTCTCTTGAGTTTCTGCACCCCATGCAGACGATGCAACATCTTCACGAGAACGAGAGCCAAACGACGTCTGTCCATTGGCCGGCGAAAGGGTAAAGGCGGATTTGAGAATGTATGCGCGTATCTCCAGCAAGATATCACAGCCAACAGTCAACGACTCAGGACAATCAACAACGATACCTTCAAATCGAGCAGCTTCATTGTCAATAGCTCTCGACATCCATGGTGATGCTTCTTTCGGTATTCTTCCGATCTCGAATCCTTTCATATTGACGAATCGAACAATGTAATCTTCCTTGACCTTTTTCGGTTTTGTACCTCCGAATGACAACGTTGTTTGTTTTTTCCCTATCCCATTCGATGTTCTTCCATTGCCATTCTCGGATGGCTTTGCACCCTTTGGCGTTTGCCTTTCTATCCGCACCCTGTCGCCTTGTTTTGCATAGTTTCGACCTTTGCTTAGCGAATATGCAGAAACGACAAAACTACCGATGAATCGATAATGCCATCCGTCTCTTGACTGTTCGTTTAGTGAGGTAGGCAGACGAATAGATTGATTCGATTTATTCTCAGGTGCTCGTGATGTAGGGTTTTCGATTTTTCGTCTTTTGTCCGCTGAATTGGCTGGCGGAGAACGAGAATTTGTCTTCTTTGTAGAGCTCTCGGCTGGTGGCGTATTTGACCTTTTCTTCCTTGTTTGCTTTGGCTTTCTGTCTAGTTCCCTTTCGTATTCTGCTTCCATAAAATCTCTATCTTCGTCTTCTAATCGCATCGTCTCTTTTATCCAATCTTCTTTTTCCTTTTCATCTTTGAAAAAGGGAAACATGACCTTTCCATCTTGTTGCTCTTCTTCCTCCTCTTCCTCTTCTTCTTCTCCGCGAAACAAAGACGTTAAAGGTTGTGAGCTACTTTCCGCTTTGGCCGTCGTTGTTGCAGATGAGTCGGGAGGTGTAGATGCAAAGAAGTCCTCTCCTTCATCTTCTGTTGGGGTGACCATTTTTCTTTGTCGATCGATCGACACACCCTTTGCAAGCAATGATGGTTTGAATGATTGCTTGATTGATTGATTGATTATGCAATAGAGCAACACTTTTATCTTTTGTTTCTTCCTTTCTCTTTTACGCGTAAATAGTCGTGATTTCTGGTTGGCTCAGGCCGCCTATTAAACGCGTCATAGGATCCAAGCGTGTTAATAGCGGCCGGCTTAAAGTCTAGGCTCTACACTAAGACGGCGTATATTTCACGCGCTTTGGCCCTTTGTACGCGTTAAGATTTCATCCATCAAACCGCTCATCACGGTGACCAAAACAACAAAAGATGACGGTTATCTAGAGATCAATGCATTCTTGCATTTCGATCCGGTGGGATGTATGATGTCATCAATAGACTAATGAAATAGTAATTTCCTTCATGATCGGCATAAAAACTTGAAAAGTGCTAAGACTGCTTTATTGGCGTTTTACCTTTTTAATCTATCAAAAATTTAATCAAAGAAATGATACTCTGTTTGCCAAACAGAAGGGCAGTATTCCACTCAACCCTTTACGATACAATAATCTGATCTATCACGAGAAAAAAGACATATATAAAGACCACGTCAATGCACTCCAACAATCATTCCCTCCTTCACTTATTTTAACCCCTTTAATCGTTGTTATAATTTTTCTCACTTCTTTCTTAACTCTATTGGGTTTGTTCATCATGTTCAGTCGACTTCGTCAAGCAAGCAATAACGGCGAAAGCCAGAATACAAGCGGAGGTGGCGGTGGTGGCTATGGCAATAATACCAGCAGCTACAATTCCAACTCCAACTCGAATTCGAATGGTGGCAATCAGACAAGCAGCTACAATTCCGGCACCAACAATACAAGCGGCTATAATTCCAACACCAATGCTAACTCAAACAACAACAACAGCTCAGGAGGCTATGGCAACCAAAGCAGTAACAACAATACAAGCAGCTATAATACTCCAAGCAGTAACAACAACTCAGGATCGTACAACAGTTCAAACAATTATTCAAGCAATGATACGTATGATACCTATAATTCAACCACAAGCCATAGCAGGACAAATTCAGGCTCAAACAATGATTCAAAGGCAAATAACAATTCCAACAACAAAAATTCAAGCAGTGGCTATCAATCCGGTTACTCAAATGATCACGGTCGCAAAGAACCTTCCGAGACAGGTCAATCGACCGCTTCAAGTGTTTTCTCATCGTCAAATGCAGGTGCACAATCTAATGTGAGCGCAGCCACTTCCGTTTCAACCGGTTATGGCAGCAACAATCATAAAGGTTCACCCAAAAAGCCAAGTTATCAACAATTAGGTTCAAAGATGGACACGATCAAAGATGAAGGTACAGATACGTATGGATCATCAAATGTGAACAACAATGAACCATCAACAGCCAGCGCAAGACGTGATACGCTTTACGAAGATGCGAATGAACATGTTGGAGGCAATAACAGTAATAATCGTAATCAACAACAACAAAACAATGAAAGCGTTAATAAGACCTCGGCGAACATTCAATCTTGGCAACAAACAAGCGCTCATATATCATCAACAACAACCAACAAAGGTTCAAATACCGGAAATAGCGGCAGGGACTCAAACAGCAATTCCGGCGGCAATGGTACAAAGATGACCTATTCATCGAGCAACAATGGCAAGACAAACAATGATTCACATCAGAGCAATGCACGTGAAAATTCAAATGCCAACAACAACAACAGTAGCTACGGCAAGAGTACCTCCAACAACAACCAATCCCACGGTAGCAGCGGCAACAACCAATCTTATGGAAGTGGCGGCAACAATCAATCATCCCATGGAAGCAGCGGCAATCACGACAGTCATGCTCATGGAAACAAGCAATCCAACAACAAGAGTTCCCGTAACTTGAGCTCGAGTGGACGCAGCAACAGCGGCAAGTCGGCTAGCGGTCGTAGTAACAGCGGAAAAGGTCGCAGTAGCCCTCGTCAAAGCGAACAACAACAACATGTCGGTAGCAAAGGCACAACGACTTACAACAGCAATGGTACGGCTCAACACTTGGATACGCATACACGCACAGCCAGTAATACTGGTTATGGCAGCAGTACAACGTCCAACAACAGTACCGGAAACAAGAATTCTCAAGATCCTATCGCACAAGCAGGTGACTTTAACGATCCTAATGCCGAGAATGTATTCTTGTCATCAGAATCAGGTTCAGGTTCTACTCGTTCGCCCGTTGTTCGATTCAGAATTCATACTGCCAACTTGCGCGTTCATTCCCCCGTCTTGACAAAGAAGACTGAGCAAGAATCACAAAAAGAACATCAACTCGAGGAAGATTCCGCAACGTTGAAACATCTTTTCAGTTTGATGTACAATCGTGATTCTCCAATCTTGGAACCGAACGATTGGCAAATGGTTTTACGTTTAGCACGTTGTGCACAAAAGTATGACGTCGTTCGTGCAAAAGAACGTGCAATTGCTTATTTCACAAAGAATGAACAATCTGGCGCTCTTTCTCCATTTATGACGTATGCATTTGCGGTGCAATACAATTTGCCAACGTTGGAAGCAGCAGCTGCTGAACGTAGCGTACGTTATGATGTCAACAAGATTCCCGAATTGATTTTCAACATGATGGGTTTCACAGCTTTTCAACGTTTGGCCTCGTTCCATGCAAAACGTCAAGAATATTATCAAGATATGTTGAACGCTTTGAGCATCGATCCAAAAGAAGTTGCTGATCAATGTTATCAAACCGGTGGAGTTTGTGTAGTTACACCTCTGGCACGTTTGAAGCAAACCTTAGCATGGCCAAGACAAGTTGGACGTGATGCAAGCAAACGTGCTCCTGAACCGGCAGATGTTTTGCGAAAGATAATTACCGAAATTGGTCAAATCGATTGTGGTACGTGTGCAAAAGCTTTGGTTGAAGCAGGTTTAGCCATTCAACATACCTTGGAAACATTACCTTCTTATTCCCAAGATGATCAATCTTAAAACAAACAAGAAACGCTCCTTTTTCCACTTCCTGTTACATACTCACGCTCCTTCGCCTTGTGTTTCCATAATAGTCTTGTCGTATTCCATCTCAATTTTTCAGGATTCTTTAATCGTTGGTCTTCTTTACCATGTATACATTGTCGTCATTGTGATGGAATGCATCTATACAATATATGCCTGTTTGATGGTTGTTGATGGTAATGAGCAAAAGAACAATTTGACGCGTGTTCCTATCTTACGCGTAAAGAGCGGGACGCGTCTCGGTGTCGCCAATAGATGTTCAATTGCATCTCAGACCAAGTGATATGGCCTTTTGAACGATATCTGAATACCGCCTTCCTCACCTGAATTCCAACATGATATGTCCTTTTGGATGATGATGGTAATGGACAAGAAGTTTAACGCGTGTTTCCCTCTTACGCGTAAAGAGCGGGACGCGTTTGGGTTTCGCCGATAGATGTTCAATTGCCAACTGGACCGATTGATATGGCCTTTTGGACGAGGTCTGCTCATCTGTCAGCTTAAAAATACACTTTGGAAAGAATCATGGCAAGTATCTCTATTATTGTACATTCTATGATGATGGCAATGAATAAGGGAACGAACAGGTTAACGCGTGTTTCCTTCTTACGCGTAGAGAGCTGGACGCGTCTGGATTTCGCCGATAGATGTTTAATTGCAAATCAGACCAAGTGATATGGTCTTTTGAACGAGATCTGAATACCTCCTTCCTCACCCGAATTCCAACATGATATAGCCTTTTAGATGATGATGGCAATGAACAAGAGCACAATTTACGTGTTTCCCTCTCACGCGTAAAGAGCGGGACGCGTCTGAATTCCGCCGATAGAAGTTCATTTGCAAATCGGACGAAGTGATATAGCCTTTGAACGAGATCTGAATACCTCCTTCCCAACATGATATGGCCTTTTGAACAAGATCTGTTCATCTAGTTGCTTAAGAATACACTTCAGAAGTAGGATTATGACAAGTATCAATATTGTACAATCTTATTTTACACATGTATGATGACGAGAAGTCTTTATCTTATCCCCTCTTGATCTTATCGAGCAGTAAATCCATCCTGGCGCCCAAATTAGGTTGACCTCTTTGTCTTCCCGTTCTACTTCCACTTTTGGAATTCCATTTATCTTGTCTCTTTTGTCTTTCTTCTTTCCTCTGTTCGCTCGTTTCCATGTCTTTTGGTTTGTCGAATGTCCTTTGCTCGCCAACATTTTCTCCCTCTTTGTCTCTGTCAGTATGTATGACCCCACCCAAGAGACGTCTTCTGGATTCCATTTCAGCAGCTCTAGCAGCTTCAGCCTTGGCTTGCTTTCGTTTTGACATCGAATTGCCTCCCTCCGAGCTCTCTTGGCCTTCGTTCCTTCTTCTCCTTTGCGATGCCTTTTCTGCTTCAACTAGATCAAACCCATCCTGTCCTTCTATCCCCTTCTCAGGTGCAAATCTTCCTTCATCACGTTCTGCAAAGATGCTATCCGATTGATTTTCTGATTCGGCTTTTGCTTGTTCTTTAAAGTACTTTTTCTTAATCTTTGCTTTTTCGATCAAGTCTGCTTTAAGTTTTTTGGCTAAAAGGAGTGAGGCACAGTAGTTGATTGTCAGCAAACAAATCCTTTCCCCGTTCTATGATTCATCCTTTTCCCTTCTCTTCACTCACCTTTACCGAGATAGGCTCCATCGGGAGCATGACTGGGACCAACTTTGAAGCCACCCTTTCCTTTGCCTTTCAGATTCCCATCTCCCTTATTTGAAGATTGATGATTTGGCTGAAAGCCTGATCGTGTTCTATGCTTGACAACACTCTTCTTCTTGTTCATTGGAGTTACAACCATCTTCAATCAATCAAAAACAGAGAAGGGAAATGTGGTGAGAAGAAGATAGGATATGCATGTTAACGCGCTTGCATATATTCATAAATCAACTTTTATTTCAAAAAATTCTATAGCACGTGTAGCTTAACCCGGGGTGATGGCGTGAATATTGTTTGATCACGAATGGCTAAATGCAATATGCAATCTGATGATGGTCAAAGTGTGCATGCTATTGGCCAACAACAATAAAGCTTCTTACTTATTCAATCGATCATAGAAAGTGCTCTGCAGCTCCCTAAACACACAAAAAGTCCATTAGTCTAAGCAAGCCATCATCTCCACTTTCGTGTGTCTAGTGTCTCTTATCATATTATCTTTGCCTTTATCATCATCAACTACGATTTCTGTACAAGTGTCGCACCTCCGCTCTGTATTGAAAGGAAGGAGAAGAAGGAAGTGTTCTGTCAGCCTCGATCTCCCAAATGCGTGACCCACTCCACCGCAACTTACCATAATTGCGTCCATCTCATTCTCCTCAATCGCAAGGGCAGGAGTAGCCCAAAATCGTTTGGGTAGTTCATGAATATCCTCTACTACTTCTCCTCCTTTTCCTGATGAGCTTGCTGCGCTGCTACCACCGCCACCGCCGCCGGTACTAGATTGTGAAGACATCTGTTGAACTTTTTCGGGATGGAAATGAGGTCCTGATTGAAAGACTTCTTGGAAATGATCAAAGTTCTTTGCTACATCTTGCGGTGCTGCAGGATGAGGATGGGGTGTATGGTCTGCGGCTGAATAACAAGGGAAGCAAGAAGGCGGTTCGTTGTTAGTATCATCTTCCTCTTTCTACCCTTCCTATAGGGATATACTCACAAGTGGATGCTTTGCGATCGGGAAACTTGATCCTAGGCTGACGTGCTTCTGAAGCAAGTCTAGCGAGCGTTCTTCTAAACATGTTTATGTATTCTGTTGATGTGGTATTGTTCAAAGAGGTGGGGTAATCACAACAATGACTTGATCGATTTGTTCCGAATAAATGCGTCAATGATTGTCACGTGTGGAGGTGGTGTTCTTCTCGTGTGATTGTCAGCTTGAACTTCAATTGATCGAATCAGAATAAGAATTCTGGACAGGAAACTTTCAACCAATACAACGAACAGCAATCGTTCTCAGATGACTATGTGTTGATGTTCACAAGATGGAATGAATGAGTTGTTGTCATGTCAATGAATGCGTGCATCAGGCGGGCGCTGTGCCTCCGCTGGCGCAAAGACTGAACGCCTCTTGTGCGCACGCCTTTTCTCCGTAACCCTAACACCATGACTGATGATAATACAACACTTACGCCTATCGTTACGGATCGTACAGCGGTGGTCAAACACTAATCACAAAGGTAAAGGTAGAGAATGTCTGGATTAATTGTCCACACCCGCTAACTGAGATTTACCCGACGGAAGGTACGGAGATTAGTCACAGTGTCTGACTCAACGGTTATGAATATGATGAACGGTAAGTGGTAGCACGAGGTTACACTTCTACTTGTACGCTAGGCAATGTATATCCCGCGGAAGTGTGTGATGGAAACAACCATGTTGAAATACTACCAATGTGCCATTATTTCGGTTCGCCTTTCTATTCCAACCACTCCAACAATGTGGGCGATAATCTTTTTCTCCTGATCGATGATGATTTCAACCTTGTTTTACGTTCACCAACCATACAAATTTGAATTCAATCATGAGCTCCGAAACATGGTCAATGATTGGAGCGGAAAATAAAGAAACGATTGTGACTGGAAATACAAAAAAGATTAGAGATGAATTAATCCAAAAGATTCGAGAAAAAAAGACAGGAACAATCTTTTGTGTTGAACGAATTGATGTAGAAACACGTCAACCGATTATCGTTTTTCGTCAGGATGATTCGCCAAAGCAAGGTGATACACTTTTAGGCGTTGCTACCGTAACTCAGATTCCATGTACAATCTCTGATTCGAACGATCGATAGCAAAGCACACCAGAAGCCTCGAGTTGCTAACGATTGAATTGGTTACGCTTGATTACAATGTAAGAGATTGCATCAAAATACACCATTTCCGAATCAATCCGTCGTAAAGAAAGCCAAGGTTTAGATATGCTTCATGAATTGTATACTCAGTCTACCATTATGACGTGGGCGTATACAATTCCATCTCCTATAAAACCATTTTCGGATCGTAGTGAGGCGTAAAAATGCGCCTGCTTGTCTTTTTGCGCTGGATTGGCTAGAGCGCAGCGCAGCGCAGCCTTTGTGTGTATGCATGCGTGTCAAAAAGCTGTTCCCAATTAGTGCGCCTTTCTTTGGTTGCTGCTGGAGAATGCGTGCGTGTGTGTGTGTGCATGCACATAAGTTTAGTGTGACCTTTCTTCTTCTGTTTGAATATCATCATCACACAACACACACAAACCCAACAGCGATTCTTTCTTGAACGCTTGTTTTTGTCTCTCCCTTTTCTTCTTTTCAACTCTTTCTTGATCAAGTAGGGCTTTGAACAGGTACACCAAGGGGAAAAGTCAATCGTTCACAAGAACAACGTAACATCCTTGACAAGTTGACTGTATTCTACTTTGTTGTGGCAAGAGAAGGTGTTTCAGGTCAAGCGGAAGTGTTTGTAAAAGCTTGAGAATTGTCCACGATTCCCCCTCCTAATCCGACAAACGGCTCGAATAATATGTGAGTACATCCAGAATCGATCAGAATCATAAAAGAACACATTGTCAGCATTGCAACACAAACAGAGGTTAAGTATCCCTCCCAGGTTGCCGTTGCTGCTCCGACTCTCTATTCCCTACCCCAAACACGTCTCCAACCCTCAGTCCTGACCCATCGCTCCCTCTCCCCCATCATTTCCGCATCTCATCAATCTCCCAATCTCAAAGTGCCGCTTCCCTCAAGATAGCCTTACTCGTTTCCTCAGTAGTCTATCCCACTCGTCGCCGCTTCTCCCATTTCGCTGCGTGCAACGGAACGAATTGAGAAGGCTTAATTCGTTTGTGGATTCATTTTCTGACAAAAAGGCTCAACTGTACCCTCCATGGCAGACACGACAAAACGAGCTCGTTCACCTTCTCCATCGCTTGTACGAGGTAACGACAGTAAACGTACGAAAGAAGAACAAAACAAATCTAACGCAAAAATGGCAGACGAACAAAATTTAACAAAGGACGGTGAGTCCGACAATGTCGACTTGGGCTCAACACAAGACGGAGAAGAATACAAAAGTACGGAGAAAGCACATACTTCCAATAGCATCGGTGAAGCTGCTAAGCAATCCTTACCCGCTGGTACTGCCGATCTTCACCAAAACGATAGCGGACATGCTGATGCCGAAGCACCTCCTGCCAACATTTCCATGCGTGCACTTATCGTGACTGGTGACGCAAGTATCATCATCGGTAAAGCTGGTAAACATATCAACGAAATTCGTGAAAAGAGCGGCGCCAAATTGACAATCAGCGAAAGCTTGCCTGGTAATCCAGAACGGATTCTCACTGTTGCAGGTGCTTTGGACGCAGTAAGCAAGGCGTTTGGTTTGATCGTTCGACGGATTAATGATGAGCCATTCGAACAAGCATCCATACCCGGTAGTCGAGCCGTTACAATTCGCTTCATCGTACCTCATTCTCGTATGGGCTCCGTGATCGGAAAACAAGGTACAAAGATCAAAGAGATCCAAGAAGCAAGCGGTGCACGATTGACGGCTGCTGAAGCCATCCTTCCCGGTAGTACAGAACGTGTGTTAAACATTTCTGGTGTTGCTGATGCCGTTCACATCGCTGTATACTATGTTGGATCGATTTTGTTGGAACATCAAGATCGTGCAGCCAACAACCTCATCTATCGTCCAACTCCAGGCCCAGCACGGGCAACAGCTCCAGCTTACGGTGCTGCTCCAGCTGCGATGCCAGCATTCAACTTTGCTCCCAATGCAATGCCACCCATTCAAGCCGGCAACTTTGGCGGTCCAGGTGGGTCACAAATTCCTCCCGGATCGCAAACGCAACAGATCTTTGTACCTAATGATTTGGTCGGTTGCATTATCGGTAAAGGTGGTCAAAAGATTAACGAAGTTCGACAAATGAGCGGAAGCCATATCAAAATTATGGAACCTGGCGCAGGTGTCGCAGCTGGTGGAGCAGGTAATGAACGTTTGGTCACCATCACAGGACCGCCTGCCAATATTCAAATGGCCGTTCAGCTACTCTATCAACGTTTAGAACAAGAGAAATTGCGTTTAGCAAACAATCCTCCTCGTCAATGAAGAAGATGTGTAGAAGTGTTTTGTTGGCATTCCACACACATCCAGAACAAAAACGGCAAAGATTTCTAGTGACGGGTAGAGAATCACACATTCCTATAAAACCCTTTCCTTCAAAAAGCTACACCATCCATTCATACACACACACACACACACCAACTTGTAACTATGTATCCGGCCTCCTGATCTCCCTTTTCCCACTTTTCAGACTCTTAAAATTCTTCTCTCTCTCGATTATCATAATAAAGCACTTAACAAGCTGTGTTCATTATACAATCCAACAAAAAGCGAAAGTTCGTAAAAAGATTAAACAGAAGAGTAATGAAATTGATATACTCCATTTTGAGTCTGGTTCATAGCATTGATAAGAGTTAATTCGAACGTCAATCGATTGATGGCATGCTAAGTTGAACTTTTCCCGTCATAAAAACAAGCTTGCCAACTCGAGCTTCGACGGTGCCGGCAAGGTTCTTCTGCGTCTTTTCTGCTTTCGGTGTTCTGCATCGTGGAATACCATGCTCTTAAAAGGACTTTAATTCTCAGCATTTTGACAGACTCTTTGGTCATTCTTCAAGTACGACAGCTGCTTCGATGAAAGCTTTCAATACCACTTATTCGTTATCATCAAGTTTGCCGAGTTCATATATCAAGAGATGGCCATATATGTACGACGGTGCTCCCTCGCGCATACTGTCCTAAATGCAAGCTGAGAGAGGCCGATGCTTTTTCTGGCCATGACTTTCGGCCCCAACAGATCGCATGTGGTACTCGTGATGTTCTATTAGACATTGAAGGCCCTAATATGAGGATGACAAACGTACAAATACAGATTGATGACTTCCATCTTCATCCACCACCACGCATTCTCTCTTGCAAATCTTGTGGAAGGTTACCCTCCGTCTTTACTGCGTATAAGCCCGGAACTCTCTTCTCTATCCGTTGCCATTTGGCAACCCAACTTTCTTCAGGTTTGATCAAAGCGATGAGACCATCATAATTGCTGGTAGTGCAACGGATGACTTGATCTGTATCTTGCATCATCTACAAAGAAGGGGATTGTGTTGTCAGTATCAATTCGCATCCTACTCGCACAAAACAAACCTACCTCTAAAATGGCTTCACAATTTGGACATCCACGTTGGGTGAATTCTTTTGCCCTTTGTACGAATTTGCATCCTAAACAAGAGCGTAAATGATCCGCTCGGGAAGCCATCGTCGAAGGATTATGACGAAAACAATTGCAAGGGCGTGGTGATGGAGTAAGAGCAAAGATTGCTATGAATGCAACTTAAAAAATTAAAGTGTGTCACACATTCTTCTGTCAGTACGCAGCTTTTCTAAACGCGACCTTCCCTCTCGAACTCCTTCTAGCGCGTAAAAATAAAGAGCCCGTCTTCCACTCTGGAAATGCGGAGAAATCGGCATGACCGAGGAAGGCAAATGTGGATCGTGCACTGTTTGTTGTCTTTCTCTTTGAGCTGTCGTGTGCAACAAACACTTCTTGCTCACGAACATCATACATTCCAGCATTCAACTTCCACGTTCACAATAGCCCATCACGTTACCCACTCGCACTTTATTCAAAATGGCAACTGACGCCAATTGGTGAGTGATGCGAGGAAGATCGATAAGAAGCATTCATGCAAAGATTGACCAATATTCCCCCTGCTGATAGCATCTTCTGTAAGATTATCGCCGGAAAGATTCCATCGAAAAAGCTATATGAGACAGACAAAACTTTTGCATTCTTGGATATCGGACCAATTGCGCCAAAACATTGTCTAGTCATTCCAAAGTATCATGGAGCAAAATTGACCGATATTCCTGATGAACACTTGCAAGAACTTTTACCCATTGCTAAGAAATTAGCAAAAGCAAGCGGAGCAGAACAGTACAATATTCTACAAAATAACGGTCGTTTGGCTCATCAACAAGTCGATCATGTTCATTGTGCGTTTTCCCGGGACTTTTGCTGCTTGCCTGATTCTCATTGACACTCCTGATCCTCACCTCCTCCATTTGCAGTCCACATGATCCCCAAGCCAAGCGAAGAAAGTGGTTTGGTCATCGGCTGGCCCACCCAACAGCCCACTCAAGAGGCTTTGCAGAAGGTAAGCCTTTCTCTAAATTCTGAAAATTTCGAGCTGGAAATACTGACGACCCCTTTTCACTCTCTAGGCATACGATGAAATCAAAGAGAAGCTCTAAATTCTTGCCCTTTATGCTCGATAATGGTATATGATATTAATTGAAAGAATGAGCATGGTACAAATTCTACACTTGAGTTGTGGTGCGCAAAAAGATTAATGTACATAAAAGGGTATATCGATACATTTTTTGGTTTTCCCATATGTTCAATGCTTCGAATTAGGTCCGCGCTGCCACCAAGGTCGTTCTTCATTCTGGCTATGATGCTCTTCGGAAATTTGATCAGTTGCAGGTTCTGTTGCGGATATTCTGCGATCTTTTGGTGTGCTTGTTCCGCTACTGTTTTGTCCACTGCCTCCCTTTAAATTGGCTACCAATCGATCTCGAGCTCGGAAAGGGCTCTTCCAAGTCGAAGTACGTTCAACGTTATGATCGTCAGGATGCAAAGCAGCAGCAGGTGCTGGTGATGCCTCCCTACTTGAAACATCTTCTACTTCGTGTGCCAAATGACTACGATGCAAAGATAGCTGTGGCATGATCAAATCCAAATCGGCTCTTCTACTTCTACTCCTGCTCCGGCTTCCTCCTCTACCACTACCGCTTGCGCTTCTACTCTCACTCCTTTCGCCTTTTCTGCCAATGTGCTCGTCATTCCCTGTACCTGCGCCACCTTGACTTTTTATCAATCTTCTGCCACGACCATGATGTTGATCGACACTGCTGCTACGAGTAGTTCTAGTAGGAAGAGCTCTTGTATCGGAAACAGACGTACCCAATTGAGGGCGATATTCATACGATGGAGAATTACGAATCTCTTGCTGTTGCTGTTGTTGTTGTTGTCTCCGATTGAATCCTCCTCCTGGCGTGATATCCGGTCCCCAAACGCTTGTATCATCACGTACCCGACTTCTACTTCTACTCTTGCTACGATCGATTGCAATCGGTTTGGATTTATTCGTTGGTTCTTCTCCAACATTTGCACGTCTAGGCGCACGTCCACGTCTGATATCGCCTTGCTGTTCATCCATATAGCCTGAAAAATAAGAAGAACGTTTCTTGTGAGTCTCGGCAAAGTTATCTTGTTCCAATTCCGGCACATCATCGTATTCAGGAATGGTTGTATGGGCAACATTGCTCGGTCGTGGATCAATTGCCTCTCGCAAACTTGATGGTAAGTCTGAATTGGGGGGTTGCTTAAGCCTTTCTGACGAAATAGCAGATGGCAGGCCAGCTATTACACTCTCAGAACCGAATTCCGTTCCGGCACCACCTGAGATCCATTCATCTTGCGATAATTGTAGGATAGTCCACCGTTTCGTTGCATCAGGCTCGAGCAAGCCATGTAGAATGCGTCTGATGGCAACACGATCTTTGCTCTTGCCGTCAAAGTCAACATCCGTCGTCTCATCATCAGACATTGGATCTTCTTCACCTATGTTTTGTGACATGGACAATTCACTCTGATCGGCAATGATGATAGACTGATTGCTATCACTTTTCGTCATCGCATCGGATCTTCTTGGTGGCAAGCTAGGCATGCTTGCGCTCATATCTACCGGTACTCCTTCAGTAGCCCTGCGCGCAAGACCTGATATGAATGACTCTCGATTATCTCCTTGCTGAACCGTTTGCCGTCTAAGATGTGAGCCTTCTCCAAAGCTTTCTGCACGACTCATTGAAGTGTCTCCATTTGTAGTTGATGAGGTATCGCCCAACTTCATCCTCTTTTCAGGTCGTTGCGTACGTCTCTTGAGCCTTTCTGGCAAATCCCATTTTCCTTGTATGATCTTGTTCTGCAATCGCGGCTCAAACGTATCCGAGAATGGCAATCGACCTGCAAAAAGTGCATAGACGACGCAACCCAAGGCCCACATATCAGGAGCAAAAGGTGAAACTCCATCGGGGTCATCCATTTCGGGCATCAGAAAGATCTCAGGGGCGGCATAGGCCAACGATCCTGCCTGTGAGCGTGGTTGAGCCGAACTTATGCCTCCTGCATAAGAGCTATGTCTGCGTAAATGGGTGGCTGCTTGAGAGATTGCCGTTTGATTATGCTTGCTTGTTCGATGACCATAAGTACGTGCATGACCCAAAGAAGGAACCCAATGACCTTCAGGTTCACCCTTCACTTCTTCTTTACTGGGTATCTTGCGTGCCAAGCCGAAATCTGCCACACGCCAGCAGATTGAGACGTTAGTAGTTGGATCTAATGGATTTGAAGAGAGATCTGAATCGTTTGATCTTGTGTGCTTTCGTGAGGCACCAAAGGGCAGATCCATTGCTTCTTCTGAGCTTGTGGACGGATGATGTGTATGTGGTGCAATCCATTGTTGTCCAAGTACATTCTCGAGCTTGATATCGCCATGCAGAACACTAGCTTTGTGATGCAAACACAAAAGAGCTTCAGCAACTTGTCTTAAAACGTCTTTGGCAACTGAAACTGGCAGACCTCGACTGGGCTGGATCGATGCTTGTCTTTGTCGCATAGATGCACTGCGTAAGATAGACCCTGTTTGCAAACTACCAACAGACTTTCCAGGAGATGCGTTTGATGCCGGTGAAGTTGCCAAGGACGATGAACGCGCCAACAAGACAGACAGAGGTGCAGAAACGATTCGATCATTTGCCGTATTTGAGCGATGGCCATGAGGGATGAATCCGGATCCAGTTCGATTATATCGAGTTGTCGGATTTTCAGATTGATCTGCTGCATCGCGTGAGCTTCTATTTGAAGCACTTCTTTCTAGTCCGGTATCAACCACCGAATTCTTCCTAGAAGAAGGTCCTGTTCGAATGTCCTGCAGAGATTCACCGTTCAACCTCACATATGTCAAAAGGTTCCCTTCGCAGAAAGGCATGACCAGAAAATCGATCGTCTTGCTAGTTCCGTTCGCCATTGTCGTTTCATCCAAATGAATACGTTCATGATAAAGGAGCGGTAGAAGATTCGGATGAGCTGGTATAGACTTCCACAGCTCTAACTCGTCAGAATGTTCTTTGGACGCTTGGTTTTGAGCGGTCTGTTCAATATTCTCCTTCTGATCATTATCAGACGAGTAAACAATCTTGACAGCGACTCTATGCCAATTCTTGGTCTCATTGTCGTCAACTGCATCCGTCTTTGCACCTTCACCCATATCCCATGCTTCACGTACGGTAGAAAATCCACCAAAGCCAATCGTCTTACCCAGAATATATCGTCCTCCCGGACCCAACCTTGCCCCTTCTTCGTCAGGTTTGATGGTTGTAACATGATGACCAGAGAAAGAAGACATGCTCTGTAAGCTTGGGCTGGCTTGAACAGTGTTGTACAGTTGAGCTGCTGCTCTTGCCAATCCCAGTTGCCCAGCTGATTCTTGACTTCCTGGCATTGACCGCGTATTGGGCATCGAAGAGCCGATTGCATCAAAAGTGGACGATGCAAGATTTCCGTTGCGAGATGGACTCAACGAATAATTGCGCCCACCAGAAGTTGAAATTACCGAAGAAGGCGGTGATGCTAGCGAATCGTTCATGCTAGAGAGAAAAGCCGCAGCCGGTGAGCGAATCATCGGTGATTGCGATGAGCCTGTAGTCCCATCAGAAGCCTGTCTGCTTCGTGCTTGTCGAATATTCACATCAATCACCGGCCGTTGTCGGTTAATCGAAGACGAAGGCGTTCTTACCACCTCAGAAGAGGTCATATCTCCCGCCCCTCCATCTTCACCACGCTGCCACCATAGTCGAGAGGATTGTGATGCCGTAGATTCCTCACGTTTAGGTGCTGGAGATGGCATTGATCCGGTCGTGCCAGCGGCTGCATTGTTCGGATGAGAAGCTTCCGATTGCAGTGTCACAAATTCTGAACTTCTCCTTCGCCTCCCTCGTCTGTTGGCCTCTTCCGCATGTGAAGCACTTTGGTTCTTCTCACTGTTTTCTCGGTCATCTTGAGCAATGGGAGGATCGTTCTTTGGGAGGACTTGATATTCTTCATCGGTCGAATCGGCCAAAGCCGATCCCAACCCATGTGGGTCAAATAAAGGCGTAACGATCCGACTTTGTGATGATGAAGATGGCTGAGCAGAGGGCTGATTCGGGATGGATATTGCTTGACCTTTTGGTGGCGTCATAAAATTACACCTTGTCGTTCAATGGAACGAATGGTTTATTGCATATGCTGTTTGAACATTCGCCTGATCCAATACGATCACCTCCACAGTGCTAGATTGGGTATGTTAATGGTATAAAGATGATATGATCTTTCCTTGTGTTTATGCTGGATTCAGTGAACGAAGGAAGTCTTATTTGATGTTGTGTGAGGAAAGGATGTTATGGAAAGCAAGTAAGATTGGTTGAATGGTTTGGATGCTTCTTATGATGAGCCTTAAATTATATATACTCTTTTGCCCGTTCCTCCAAGGGTGGGCGGGCGCAGCGCGTAGGCAGAGCTTTTAATGCTGAGCCTTAGCCTTTATGCTTTTTTGGCGCTAGAGTGGGGAATTCAGGTTATATAACTTTAATTTTTATACCTCATATAACAAAGGCGGAGAAGGTATTCCTGCAACGGTTCAAAGCGGGTATTATGCCTGTAAACTCATATTCAGGCCAATCACATACTACAACAACCCGATTGATTATGATTTTATTAGCAAGTCCTTCTAAGATTGTATGGTGTTACATGATTATCACTGCAGGAGAAACTGTCTCACAATTTGGATTTCCATTGAGAAGATGCTTGTCGCCACAATCGCATGACCATCGTACTAGGCGCAACTCCGAACGAATCGTTGATCTGTAAACCAAGCTCATGTACTAAGATTACCCTCGCTAATGCATAGTGATGAATGGCATGCAAGCAAACGAACCACAGCTCTCTGCCTAACGAACTACTTAGTTCAATCTCAGCTGGTGTCGTTGCAGAAAGTCGGACATGTCTATCTAGATGAACATCCCACGATGCATCTTGTCCTTGTTTTCGGTTGAATATTCTTTGTATCCTGTCGATTGTTGATTCAAATTCCTGTAGAGCTGATTTCGCACTGGTTTCCAAAGGGACAACTCTTGTTCGTTTGTCGTAATCCAGATCGATTCCCTCATCGCCACCGTCGTTTCGTTTCGATGATGATTCGATACTGTCTAGAAGTACTCGATAATGGTCATGTACATGCCTTAGATGTTTACCGAGAGTGCTACCGGGAATCAAGCGGGATTCAGCCCTCATTTGTTGATCTCCGACCGTTCCATCACGTAACATTGCCAATGGCTGATCTAAGATTTGCACCAAGCTTGCTACGATTGTCTGTCTTGCTTCTTCGCGGGATGTTGCTTCAAGATTCACAGAAGCAGAAGAAGGTCCTGCTTCATGTGAATTGCGTTCCATCTGAGCGTGATGAGTGATGGTATAATTGGAAGGTGACTGAAAGTCTGAATTGGAACTTGATGGTGAAGAAGAAGAAGGCATATTTTCGATCTTTGTTCGTTTTGGTGTTATGTTGAAGTTCCTCTTGACATGCAGCTCTTTCTGAAAAGTATGCAGATATGTTTCGATGCTGCAATGTATGACAAAGTGTTGATGTGAAGGAAGCAAAAACTACAAACAAAAGAATCAAACTTTGACTTGAAACGAATGAATGTGCACGTAAGCACTCTTACACAACGCGTTTAAACCCTTAAGTCGGCTATATTTTTATCCTGCTGGCTAGAACCATGCAAGTATATGCACTCACTCTCAGAAATGACAAACAACCATCACTGTCATAAACATCAATGCATTAAGATGAACACGAATATACTGAAAGGAGATGAGAAGACTATAGAAGCAAGATGGGATCATTGGGATCATCGCTAGTAAGCGCTACATGCCAAAACTTGAGCAATTCGTTGTCCCATCCCGGAGATTTGTGACAGGGTCATATTTGCAGAGTAGATTACGTCAATCTCTACTTCTCCGCCAATATGGAATGTCTGGAACGCAGAACCATCATTGAGGAGTTGAAATTTATCCGCAATAGCCAATGAACATCCAGTTGTGCCACCATCTTTGATCAATGACGTACCGGATTTATTCAGTTCAACATTCATCATTTGGGTGATAGAGTCCACATGTTCTTTTGTGAACACTGAAGATGGGAAGAAGAATCGAATGACGTTTGGTAATTTCCCAAATTTTACAACAGAACAGATTGTTTCTTCTTGCGATTCATTCGGTGGTGTCAAAGGCGGAGTGATGATCTGACTGGTATCGAATTTGTTCACCGTTGGGGTTTTATCCTGATCAACTTTCAATCCGATCTGTTCCATCAAACATTCCGAGAGTAGCTTTTGTTGTGGTAAATCAACTTGCAATGGTACGAAAACATCTTGTAAGATCATCGATTTTGATGGTCTTAATTGTCTCTCTCGTGCCAATCGGGTTTGCAATGACAGTGCTCTACGCGGTTCAATGGCAGCTCTAGGTACGATCTCCGAGCTCAGGCTACTTGCACCTGCACTTCTAGGTTGGCTAGAAGGCAAAGCAGGACTTAAAACCGAAATCGTTTCAGGTTCGCTGAAAGAATATTTACCTTCTATAGTTGAAAGTGAGCTGCCATCATCGTCGTCGCCAGAACAAGAGAAAGCGGTTGAAGAAATGGTTCGATTAAATAAACTTTCTTCTTCTTCTGAGAATCTACTAATCGTCAACGAATAAATATCAGAGTTAAGCTTCTCGCTAAGAGCAGATTCTTCAACAGTTCCCGGTTTGGTAGCGTTTTCTTTTGCAGTATTCTCCAGTGTACGTTGAAGATCAAAAAAGCGTTGAAATAAGTTTGGAATATCTCGATCACAAATTCTAACTCTTTTAGATGCCCAATCTTCATTTTTGACCAAAAGCACTCGAAGTTGTTCCATTAGAGATACAAATTGTGCCATGTTATGCTTTGCCATTTGTTTTCCGGTAAATTCGAGTATGATAATTGCATCACTGATTCTTTGTAGGAATTGTGAACAGTAAAGTGGTTCTAAACAAGCTTCAACGAGTTCCATGACATCATCAATCGTCATATTACCGCTATTATAGAGTGCAACAGCCACCGGGCCGATGCGAATTCTACCGTGAAGACTCGTTGAGAGTAAATCCGATTTGAATAAAGGAATTCCCGAAAGACCTTCTGTGGTTGGAACATCTTTGATATGCTTTGTACGCAATGCAATCGCATGCAATAAACTTGCTAAAAAGTTATCACAGATATTTCTTTTTTGTATATCCAGCTCTTCCGAATAAGAAGGCATATACCAACGATTTATACGTTGGACAAGCATATGTGCAGCTGATTGAATGATTGAACGTGAGTCCAAGATCATAACAATTCGTTTTGCCACATCGTCATAGTTGTACTCCGTTACCTTCTCTAATTGCGCTTCTATCAAGTGTTTCCTCCAAGGCGCCATATTCAAGTAAGAGAATTGGGTTGGAACCAAAATTTTGCGTAATAAGGTTGATGTAGGAACAAAGAATCAACTTATCATTGTTCTATTTATGCTTTCTAGGCAAACTCCTCTCTTGAGAGTATGGGGCTTTCAACAATTCGTGAGGCACGCCGCCTATGACGAATGCGGGGTTTGTTAAGGGGCGCTTCTTCTCGTTTATACTATTTTTATCATCACAAAGGGGGGCTGAATAACGTATTGTTAAGTTGAAAGTGTATAAAGATACAATTCTTCCGAAATATAAGTGGGACTATTTGTTTATGAGAACAGCAATGCTGTATAAGGATAGCCTGACATGTAACGGGGATATATTTATACATGGAAACGCCCAGTACGTCTTCGGAAACGGCTTTGACGGCGCGCTTTATTATCGCTTTGACTATCGCTTTGACTATCGCTTTGACTATCGCTTTGACTATCGTCTTGACTATCGTCTTGACTATCGGAATTTTCTTGCTTTGCTTCTTGTTGTGACTGTTCAGTGGGTGCATTTGTATTATAATCGTATGTGCTGTTTGCTGGCAAGATATAGTATTGTACGGTAGAGTTTCCTTCGCGATAAGGACTCTCCTTCGGTCCTTGTGTACGATAATCTTTAGTAGCAATTTGGTCACCTGTAGCAATATCTAAGCCATGAATCGATCGATTAAAGACAGCCAAAGCCGAAATTTTTGAGTAAAATGCAGTTTGATGTCCTGCTTGATAGATACGAGTGAAAGAAAACAGTCCACTTTGACGTACAGAACCGTGTATTTTATGATCGGGTGTTTTTAAATCTGTAAAACCTGCTTCGTCAAATCCTTCATGGTGAACTAGCTCTGCGACCTTTAATCCTCCAATATAATTGCATATATAGCCTGCATCTCCCGCCCACAATGTCACTGTAATACCTGCTTTGAGTAATTTACGAAGATCTTTGATAGTCATACTTTCACGAGCGTCATCACCAGTCACGGTAAATGTGCCTCCAACATAGTTTGATGACTCGGTGTAATTCGTGAAAGCGCCTATTGCTTTTAGGACGTTAGGTGTGTTGAGATAATTAACATAATCTTCATAAGGAAAAGGATCCGGAGTTAATTCCCTCATGTCATATTCATCCCTACCCGAAATAACGTCGTATGGCATTTCCACATGATCTGAACAAAAGTCATCGGCTTGTGAACAAACGTCATCCCTGCCGGTCGAATAGCATTGCCTAATTTGATCAACACAATTGCCGGGGCCGTATAAACTGTTATAGATTTCGTCTTTAATGGTTTGATTGTATAAATCCAAATCGTACGGATTACCTGGGTTAACGGTATAATTGTAGTACGCTTGATATTGTATAAGAGGATCATACCAACCATTATTGATCGTTACACTTTTTATGTTTATTTTCTTGGCTCCTTCGATACTCTTCTTGTTTTGTTCTAAGAAATATTCATTGAAAACAGGTCCATAATGCCCTCCGTAGCTCTCGGTAGCAAAATGAAACTCATCACACGCGTAATCGTCAAAGGCGCCCATAAATCCTTGCAAGGCTTTCCAAAATGCTGGAGCAGCATTTTGTGTCGAATTGGCCGTTTTAACAACATTTTGATTAGAGTATGTACCACATGTACCATAAGGTTGAGCATAATCAGGGCAATTTTCGCTTGGTAAGTTGACCGATAAACCATCACTATAATTTGGGTTAACGTATCCCGGTACTGCTGTAGAGTACGAGAATCCCGTGCCGACAGGCTGATCAATATAAAGAACATTTGAAACATTGTTCCACGAATAAGGATTGTAGGTTAAGCCAGTTGAATTACGATAATGACACGGTCCATTTTCTTGGAAAACAGAAATCATACTAGAAGAGCCAGGTCCTCCATTTATAATAACTGTCAAAGGTGCTTTTTTCGGATCACCGTTTCTAGTTTCGAAAAAGTACCAAAATAAATGTTCATCTTTACCTACGTCCGAATAGCCCGAAAAAGATTTTACCCCTGGAGTAGACTCACAAATACCCGAAGGTACTTCTTTATAACGAACATTGATTCCTGCCGCTCCTTGCTTGTGGATTAAATCTTGTGGTTCAGCAACAAATTGGGCGTTAACAGCTAATCCAAGAGTAATGCATGCTGTTATAAGCAGTGTTATTAGGTATTTGGTGGAGGAGATCATTATGATCAAGTAAGGGGAAGGAAAGGGGATGATATAAAAGAGAGGTGGAATAAGTAAGAATAAGAATGGCTTTATTTATAGTGTTTATCTGATTAGTGATGTTCGGATAATTATATCTATTAGTGTCTTCTATGCACATGTCAACGGCTTCTTTTATTATGTTTGTGAGATAGGGGAAGCTTATTTATCTTTTTCGGCAACTAAACAGTCATCTGTTGATCCAATCATTCGGATTCCCGCTCCGCCACGCATAAATATCCGCTGCTTTCTTCTCAACGAGAGCCAAGCGGGGGAAAATATATAATAGCGACGCGTGCACTTATTAAGCGGTTGAAGCGTAATAATTCGGAGGTGATACAGATGACTAAGCATGCATTTATAGGATCCATTCTCTGTCTGATTAATCTTCACTCCACTTCCTCATTACGATCACCATAACGAGACGACAATCCAATAATGAGCTTCGCAATTTCAAGAACGACATTGAACGCATCTATGCGAAGTGCAGGAGCATCCAGCTCTTCTATTAAATTGATGCCAAGGCGGAACATCCACGCCACCATTAGCCGACACAACGAGGGAGATGATGGTTTCGCCAGACCAGGTCCACCTCCTCTTCCCGTAAAAGAACAACGAGAGTTCGAGAAATTGGTACGGGAAAATGCAAACAAGCCACAATTCAAGCCTGCCGCACAAGCAAATGATGATAAACATCCACAATATCGTGCAAAACCTGTACCTGAATTCCAGGGAGATACAAACCCAAACACGGGTGAAGTAGGAGGACCAAAGAATGATCCACTCAAATGGGAACGCGAATGGTCTTATGGCGGAAGGGCGACAGAGTAAGTGACGAAAGAGTGGAATGCAAATTTGTTGACAAAGATCGCTAACAATTCCCTTTCCCACAGCTTCTGATGTCATTCAATGTACCACTACGATAGATTTACACACCCGCATTCAAATGAAATTCGTTGAATTGATATGCATACAATGTACATGATTATTAGGCACCCGATCCGCTTTCGCACCCCCTAAGAGGTGGTGCTCAAGACATGATTCTCATCCTCGGCCGTAAACAAGAATCCTTCCCCTACCAAACCTTCTACTTCCTGGCGAATGAACCCTTCATTAGAGTTGGGAATTTTGCGGGCAATTGCAGAGATATGCACCCCAGTATCACCGTTACCGGCTTCGCTCAACGAATCAACAATCTGCATGATTTTGCGATGGAGTGGGTTTGTAAATTGTTCATACTTGTTATCGTCATCCAATCGCATTCGATCGTTGTTCGCATATGCGTCTTGGCCGCCTGCGCCGCCTCCAACACTGCCGCCGGCTTCTTTGATGAGAGAAAGATGTGCATGAATGCATTCGATTTGATGATAGAAGATCTCGTTAGAGTCAGTAACGACACGCATATGACCTGTATTGATATAACGACGTTGTTGGAATGATTTGATACCACCAATTACACGAACGAAGTCAAAATCTTTCACATGTTTGAACTTTTGTGTACCGGAGTTTGCATCCATCCAAACACGAACTTCGATCACTCCCGTTGCATCACTGATTGCATAGATTACGTTTGTAGGGTTTGCGGTGATACTTGAAACGTATCCAACGAATGTGAGCTGCATTTGATAAAGGCACAGATTGACAGATTGTTAGCTCCATGGCAAACAAGCAAACAAACAGATCTACACCAAACAAACAGATCTGCATTCATGTTACTCACCTGTCCGATTCCCACACCATCTGCAACGAAATCAGCTTCAGCGTGTGCCTGAGTTGCATTGAGGATTTGTCGAATTGTGAGAGGGCGCAAAGTTTGCAAAGCTGCCATCTTGCCACCACTTTGCGATGCACTCTGACTACCGCCTGACATGAAGCCACCACCAGCACCTCCTCCGGTGGAATAATTCTGGCCGTATGCGTTGTTTTCGAAAGCTGTGAGGGATGCGAAATGTCAGTCAGAAACGGTGGCGTGATACTGCAATTAATCTGGAAAGCATGAAGTGAGTCTCACCGTTTGCCATATTGACGACAGTTGTGTATGCGTGAAAGATGGTGATGATGAAGAAGGAGAAGAAGAACAACACCTTTTGTCAGAATATTTTGTTGCTCAGCTGCATACATTCGCAATTAACGCGTGTACAGTGGTGTTAATTGTGGACGCGTCTTGCGCGCAATTAACACTCATACACAAGAAGAAGCACACTTCCATACGCCATACGAATTAACCATCATCAGGATTGCTCTATTGAAGTAGTATATACATGTTGAATGAGAACTGGGTCAGATATTGTAGTGCTGAGAGAATGAAAGAGAATACAAGGAGAAACAGCCAATCAAACCGCCACACGATGGCGTCCATGCTCACGATCATAACAAGATCTGCAACGTAACTGTCCGTCAGCAGTGACTTTTGCCGAACTGTCTAGTTGTTTCCCGCATTGTTGGGGTGGTGCTTGAAGTGAAAATCTTCTTGAGCTATCGTTGGAGATCGGCTTGGCACTGCAAACCAAGCATTTCCTATGCCATAATTGTCCACGCGGTCCACGAACACCTTCCAAAGATGAAGTTTTGGCATTGCAACCACAACAGATTTGCATTCCGCCTAATTTACCAAATTTATCCGATGTTGAAGTGGTCATCGTATCCGGTCCTCTGTTCGGTAAAGAAGAAACGGCTAAACTTGCATTGGTACGCATTGCGGGATTTGAAGATGGTTGTGAGTGCAACAAAGTTGAACGGGTTGGCGGTGCAGCTCCTGACGTTGGCTGAAAGCGTCGATTGGCAGAAGAGGATGATGTTGAAGGTGTATAGCCACTTGAGGAACGACCGCCGCTTGCTTTGGGTGGTGCTACTCCGTTCAGGTACGATGTAGGCAATGTGTGTTGCTTTGCATCTGCTTGCGTACTAGGACGGGGTAAGCGTTGATGGGTAGCATGATCTTGTTCACCGATAGAAGAAGACGTTGAAGAAGATGGCGTCATTCCTACTGAGCCTGAAGTGACTGGCTGTGAAGAACGTGTGACAGTTGCAGGTGGTGCACAAGCAGGATGTGCAAATCGACCTTCATCTAATCGGATAAAAGAACGAAGAGCGGTATCCAAAGTCTTCTTGCATACATCGCAGTAAAAGCAGCTTGAATGGTAGTGTACAATACCTCCTTGTAAAGACACCATACAAGCTTCACTTGCTATACCATCCGTATTTTCAGGTCCATCAAAAGGTCCTCTAAAGCATTTCGCACAAATTTCAACATCCTTGTCTGATGACTTCTCTAGCATCTCCTTCGATAGACTATTGCAACGACTGCGGGAATCCGATCTTGAGATAGCGGTTGGCGTTGTTGGTCTGAAAGCTGCTAGATTGAAGCCTGTGCCTGAAAATTGCGCCGTCAAAGGTCGAGCGCCTGTAGTAAAGCTGTTTGTGCGAGTAAGTCTCGAAGGACTTTCTCGGCCAAAAGATGATGATTGCGGTAAGGTGGGAGATGCTAAAGGTGTAACAGTAGCAGATCCAGTTTGAGAAGCTTTTGGAACTGGCTGTCCGAATTTTCGTGAAAGTTCTGCAATAGCTGCACCCATCCCTTGCCTTGTTGCACTTCCACTCATCAATGATGTTGGGGGCGAAACCCGACGAGGACCGGGTTCCTTGAATGGCGAACTAGGTCGAGCGGGAACAACATTTCGTCGAGGTAAAGGTCTGTCAAAGCATTCCTCGCACACCGGCCTTCCATCCATCCCTAGTGTAATCTCTTTCTCGGTCGAAGAAGCGTTGCAGCCCACGCACTTCCAACACCTCCCATGCCAAATATGCCCGTCCATTCCCGATTTGACAAACTTCCCGTCTTCCTTTGTCGATCCGATTACCGGATTACAACAAGTAAAGCAGTTTCCGATCGCAAAACGTTCTGTATAGCATGACTTGCAGAAATGTTCTTTTGCTCCACTTGAAGCCTCTAGTCGTCTGTTCAATACCGAGCTTGCATCTTTTAGCGGGGTGGAAGAGGTTGTAGCAGAAGGTTTGAGGTAGATAGTCGCATCTCTTGCAAAAACAGTTTTGCAACCGTTGCAAGCCCATCTTTGCCGTTGTTCTTCCGGTTCTATAATGCTTCCGCAAATCTTGGAAATTGCGCCGTCAGACGTTGGAAGAAGTAATGGTGAGATTGGTGCAGAACTTTGAGCAGGTGATGAATGTAGACTGTTGAGATCTCTTGTTGCACTTGAACGAGGAGATGGCGTTCTTAGATCTTTCGAGATGGATGATGGCATTGCCAATGTCATATTGCTCATCCGAGCAGCAGGCATTGCCGGCATATTTTGAGTATTAGACAGCTTCTTTTTCGGGAAAAATTTTGGAATATGATATGCAGTGATAGAAACGGAATGATAATGATAGAAGCAAAGGAAAAGAAGCAATCCAAACGCAATTGGATGATGGCTTCGAAGAAACAGGGGTAAATTTTGTGTTAATTATGTTCCTGAATAATGTTTCACCCTAAAAGTCAACTAATAATCTACGCTTGTGGCCCGGCTTTGGATTATTTAAGCGGGTGTTATTGCATTTACGCGTTAAGCTAAACAAGACAAGACGCGTCAAGATGCACGAGAACAACACTTTACCACCACCACCACCAAACCATGGACAGATCATATTGGGATACTTCATCTATATTGGCAGATGCGGTAAGGATACCATGTCATGTAGCAAGAGATTGTCCGGGACTAGCACATCTACAAGGGAATAATGAAGTAATGGGCAATTCATCAGCTAATGCTTCTCACTCTGATCGAAACGAAGATGAAATCACCAAACAGAAAGCCTTGAACAACAAACACAATCAATCAATACTACGAAAGAACACAAGGATAGACGTACCTTTTTGGCTTGCAGAATTGTTGGCATTACACGGAATCGTTGATTTGACAGTACCAAGGCCATACAGTGCAAGGGTAAGAAATGCATTGGACGCAGAAGCAAAGAGTGTTCAATTACGCAATCTGAGTGCATGGTGGTATGCGATCGGAATTCGATTAGGTTCCTTAATGGAAGCAGAAGAATTGTTGAACAAATTGCAAAAAACCTATTCGGCCAGAATCAGGCCAATTTATTCTTCCGGTCAACACTTGGCAGCAAGTTCAAATTTACGTAAAACATCGGATGGTCAATCGGAATTAAGTACGAATTTGAACGATAACGTTGACAGTTTGGGCGCTTATTCGGCCATCTCGATGTCGGCTGACATGGTAGAATTCATCAACGGATTGGAAGAAGTTGAAACGCAATTACTCAAAACGGCACAAGAATCAGTTTCCTATACCCAAGCATACCTAGCCAGCGGTCATTGATGTCAGGTGCATCCACTTTTCTGTACAATAAGGGTTCCTGCATTCCGCAAAAGAAGATTCTCTCTCGTCACGATGTTTTGTTAATGAATTTCAATGCGATGCGATGCAAGTTACATACATACAGGTATTAAGAAGAAGCGGAATGAGAGAAAACAAATAAAAGTACTTTTGAGTGGTTGCAGCAGGGTAATAGAGTACAAAAGAGAGGTTGCGAAACATAAGTACAAGAATAAACGTGTGTGCATGATTGCAAGAAATCCAACAGGATCTACTGACGGTGACCGAAATGATCATTCTCTTGCATGGAAACTTGCAGTGATCGATCTTCTTCCCGCATTCGTCTCACACGATCTGCCAGATCTTCCAAAGCGGCAATCCTATCAATCGAAGCGGAGGATGTTGATCGATTATGTCGATGTTGTTGCCTTTGGAAGTTGCTAGACATGGGAGAATTTGTATTCGTCCGAATATGCGATCGTGGATCGTTTGCAGGCGGTGAAAGATTGATAGACGTAGCGGGAGAAAGTGAATGGGATGATGACCTAGAGGCCAATTCATGTGCATGAAGCGCCGCAGCTTCATTTCTATCATACAGTGAACCTCTTGGTGGCAATGGACCTGCAGGCGGGTGACGCAATACCTTTTGTATTGGAGAGGAGGTGCCAAGTCCCTGTTGTGCGGACTGAAGTGCTTCATTACTCATCGCCGTCAAATTACTAAATTGCGAAGTAGAAGATCGACGAGAAGGAATGATTGTTTGTTTTGCATTATTACCATCCCGTTGACGCAAGAATGTTCGCAACGTTTCCAACGCATTCGAAACTTCTTCGTATTGATCTGATTCACCACTTCTTCCCGCTCGTCTTCGATTGATTGGTTGATCAAATGAGGACGTAGGACTGATAAAGGATGTACTCCATCTCTTATTCCTCTCCTTTCCTCTTCCGCTACTTTCACCGCCTGTGCCAATACTTGATCCGCTCCTCATTCGAGATGTTAAAGATGGAGTATAATCCGATCGTAAACTTTCAACGGACAAATTAGCCGCTTCTGGCATTGTTAACAAACGTGAAGATGGTCTATTGCGTCTAGAGCTGCTCGATCCTATGGCTGCCGACGCTGCCGCAATCGTAGAAGCAGCCGTTCCTTCCTTTTGTTGAGAAATCGAAGAAGACGTTGAGGGTGAACGAGCTAATCTCAACTGCGGAGAACGTCCAGCACTGTAAATCGGATTATCACTTCGAGAATGTTGAATTGGCGAACGTGCATTATTTCGCATTCTCTCCGGTCCAATAAAACCAGTTGAAGAGGATAAAGATGGCGTATTTTGTGTACTAGAATCGGTCGAAGAACTCATCGTACCCGCAGCTCCTGATCCTGTACTGAACGTCCTTGGCCATGTTTGAGGATATTCCATTCCTCCGATGGATAATCTGGATCCTGGGTATTGCTTTGTACTAGGCTGAAGGAAGCCATATGATGGTCCCATGTCAGACGTTGTAGTAGTCATCTGTACATCCCTGCTCTTCCCAATTGCAGCATAACGATCAGCGATTGAAAGCGAATCTCTTGATCCTGGCGGCGAAGGCGAGACTGGTGGAGTGTCCCTTCCATGAATCCAGCGTGAGTTATCTACTTCGTTTGTTGAATAGACTGAATCATCTAAACCCGAAGATGTAGTCGTATTCTGTGAGAATAAACTTTGATCACCTATACCCGTCGTGCGTTTTGTTGTTGATGCAGACGAAGAAGAAGATGTTCGTTGCATTGATGAATCTGCCGTATCCATAAATACATCTTCTTCATACTCGTCATTTGATCGATTGGGTTGCATCATCGTACTTTTATAGAAATTATCAACGTCCAACCCTAAACCTGCTAATTCAGCCGAAAGCGAAGGCGGGATCTCACTCTTCCCACCGGCCGTTCCTGGCGTACCATCAGAAAGTGTTCTACTAGCACCATCGTCTTGACTGGATGAGAAAGAAGTCGAAGCGGAAAGTGTTCCTGTTGGATCTCTATCTTGGTAAGTCTGATGACTAAGCTGGGCCACATTAGGGTTTGTCGATCTTGTCGCAATTCGTGGGGAGATTCGTATTGATAAAAGCTCATCGTTCCGTTCTGTGCCTGATTGTGTATTTCTGCCTTCTTGTTGTTGTTCTGCCAACGCACGAAGTAGTATTCCCTGTTCGGGTGTGCCTGGCATAAATTGAGCCGCGAAGGCGGAAGGTGTGTTCTGATTCGAGTAGGTTGTAGTGCCTTGCTGATTTCTCTGGTGATCATAGTTCTGTTGCTGGTCTGTACCATCTCGTATAGAAGTCAAATGATTCGGCAAGGACCAATTATTGTTCATCAGTAATTCCATTAAATCTGTATTATCATCCTCTGTAGAAGCATCTTGGCGATCCTGTTTAAGTGAAATATAAAAAAGTCAACAAAAAAAGCATTAATGAGACATGCATATATCCTACTCACCCTCAACGGTCGTGTTGCTAGGAAAGCCTCTATTTCCTCGTCAGTCAATGACGAAGAAGGAGGAACGTCTGTCATGAGAAGCGATTAGACTCTTTTTGAACCAGTAAGCATCTTTGACAAAAGTGATAAAGTCCAGCTTTATCGGAGTGTTGGTTGGTTGTGATAGGAAGGATTACTGGTATGATGATCAAGATTATTTGATTCTTGATCTCGGCCCGACTTGTACCCCTTCTTTGTTACTTGCAGTATGGTTTGAAGAGGGAGAGAAAAGACAATCAAACAAAAGGACGGCGTACATAGATTTGATTTTGTTGTATGCATGATGAAATTATCTCCGTCCATAGGAACGGTACAAAAAAAGAAACAGTCAAGAAAGGAAAGGGTTTTTTTGGTCAATATGCACATTCATAGCATACATGCATGTTCACATGGTGTACAAACATTCATTCACAATGCATATGCAATCATTGAACTGCTGCGATGTGATTTGCATCAATTGAAGAGCAAGCAGCAGCAGCATTATTCGGCATTAATGATTGTATCCCGTATATATGCAGCATCCATTGCTCTTCCTCTCTTCTCTCTTCTGCCGAATATCGGTACATGGAGTATTCGGAGCCTTTTTGTTGTGTTGATTGATTGCATACATACAATCACAGACAGGGAGAGAGAGCATTCTTCCTTCTTCCTTCTTTTCTCAATTAACGCTAAAAAGGTTAATTTCGTTCATTGATTCATTTGCACTAGACAAGCCTTGCATTTATTTATTTTTATTTCCGGCCATGTCAAATCTTCTCTCGGCTCATGCCTCGGCGCCACAATCACTTTTACCCTGTAATTGTGCATTTTGCCGCGTGTATTTCCCGATACTGAAATGGCTTCACATCCCTCTGTTTCCCCACAGGCACAAAGACAGAACAGGGATCCTCGATATGCAGAAGAACGAGTGTATGATGATTGATTGCATGAGAAAAGGCTGTGCTTTTTGTTATCGTACGTAGGTGAACAAGGGAAAAAGTCTTGGTACTGCACTGCCCGGCTAGCGTTACTTAATTCGATTAGCTGCGCCCATTTTATGGTATTTGCAGTCTTCATAAGAGGGTATGACGGATAAATAAGAGTACACTAATAACGGAATAACGGAAATACAATCAATTTAAAGGAATAAATCTGAGACAATCAAAGAAAGAGAAAACAAACAAACAAATCAAACATATAAAAAAAATCATCTCTTGCGTCATCATATTTAGCGCGAATCTCTTTTGTGATCATATTTAAACTCCGCCACGTCTCCTTTCATTCATTTTTCCATGGAGATTATAATCATTCGCCGGTCTTTTAATTGATTTTGAAAGCCATTTCAGACAGATGCGGATTAACTTCATTTGTTCCTGAATAAAAAGACCGGAGAGGTAAGGGAAATTGTCGGATAAATAGCCATGACAAACAAAAACGTGTCATCAAAATAGCCCGTTGATGTGTGTGGCTCATTTTAGCGGACCGTCGATCAAATTCGTCTGTGCGATCATGCAGATTGGCGTCTTTTGCTCATATCCGACAAATTGTGCCTTAAAACTTGTTGTTATTTCTCCATCAGGGGCTCTTTGTCTCTAACGGTTGCTATCCTTCTGTACGCTAAACAATCAAGCTAAACTGATTTGAACCTCGGCTCAACCCTCTTTCTTAGTTGAATTTTTCATGATTTGCTCTACTTCATCTACTCGGCATCCCACGCTTACTCGTTCGCCGGTGCATCGGGATTCCTATGAATAGAGAGATTGTTCTCTTTTGATCATTAGCTTGATCTACTTATACATGATCACAACCAATAAAGCAAGATGGGGGTATATATAAATATATACATACATACGTCCGCAAGTATGCAGTACGATAAGTGTGAGAAATTTTATAAAGATGATCATCCCTTTCACTCACTTGATCAGGCGCACGATGTATACGTATGCACCTATCATCTGTACATACATACGCACGCACGCATAGCTCCATTCCCCCTTACACTTTGCATATCACCATCCATCCAAAGTACCTTAGCTTAGCTTTATGCAGATCACTATTCACTGTTCACTGCTAAAAGCCAAAAGGGGAAACTTTCCATTCGTCATTGACAGGCAGACAGCAACAGCAGAGATGATCGTCCGAAGACTAAAGAAAAGTGCATGCATGGTCGATCATTTGATGTGAATTTCAGTAAGCCGAATGTTTAAATGCATCATGCACTTCACTCTATGATCACGAGACTAGGAACAATGTGTTGAATGCAATTGAGCATGCATTTTGTGTAAAAGCAAAAAAAAAGATAAACGAAAGATAAAGCATTATTTTACACATTCGGTCAAGAGACCTAACTTTCTCTCCCTCTCCAAGAGGAAGAGAATACAATACAAAAAAAACAGAGCAGCATTGCCCCTGCCAACCCCCTTTTCAACTCATTAGTCCGGCTACACTCATCGGAGATCCAGCATCGCTACTTACAGCGCTCATTGAACCAATCGTAGTTGTGGCCGTTGAAGTTGCGGAAGTATCAAATCGAACAGGTGGTAATTGAACGGCTGATAATCTCCTAGCATTATGTGCAAGCTTTTCTAACGAATGACATCCTTCTTTATGACTATCGATTAACGTTGCGAAATTACTCAAAACGTCCACCAGTTTTCCACCCCCATTACCAAAGTCGATCGAGCGTGTCGGTATGACAGCAGAATCAACAACTTTTTGTGGGATCGCATTCACTGCTGCTTTTGAGGCGGTATAGTTTGACGATGCATCCTCAGCTGCCTTCATTGGCTCAACCGGTATGACCATATCTTTATCCGTTAAAGTACTCTCCTCTTCCCGTGCAGTAACTGGCGGAGCGGATAAAGAAGTTCTACGTCCAATTCTAGATTCTTCCTGTTGAACTTTCTCGTCATCCAGCTTCAATTGCTCTTTTTGCAATGCAGTTCCGATCCATTCTTTTTCATATGCATAAAATCCATTTGCCCAATCACGAGCAACCTCTTTGGCACTATCGAGGAAAGAAGTCGCACTCTTTGCGTTCTGTAATGCTTCCGACCATGTTGCAGTCGGATCTCGTATAGCCTCCATACGTTTGGGGGAGGGATTTTGATCTCCCACAATGTCCTTATTGCTCTCCTTCACCGGTGAACCTGATTCTCCTCTCTCGCTCTGTACGTTTGAAAGTGGTGAAGATGATCCAGAAATGCTTTCACGTTGTTTACGTGCTTGAACATCATTGAATGCTTTCATCACCGCACCTTTTACCGCATTCTCTGTCCGGATGGCCGTATTAACGTTACTCGTGCCGGATAATGCTAATCGTGCTTGACTTGCAAGAAGTGATAATTGTTGCGCTCTAACACTGTTACGACGTTGACGTTCAGAAGTAGCATCGGCGGAAGCCTGACTGTTCGCCGCTGAAGGTCTACGATTAGCAACCATCAAAGCTGTAACCGGATGAACCTTACTGCGTAAATTACGTGGAACGCTCATCGCTCTATGTTGCCTTGCGTTCTGCTGTGCTGAAGATGATGATGATTCGCCATTCTTGTACGATTGATCAACGCTCATAGATTGTTCAATTGCGCGCATCAATGGATTACCAATCTCATCCGGTAACGAAACCAACGGTATCCTAACTCTTTTTGCCGTTGGTATTGAAGCTTCTTCGTCTTCGTCTGATAAGATTGCAGATCTGCTTGTGTTGGTTGTACTGCTTTCCTGTTTGTTGATATCGAAATAACTCCCAGATCCTTCTTCTCTAGACCGTTTTAAACCGTTTTGATCTGTCGAAAATCCATCTTCTTCAATACTAGGCGAGACAAGAGGTAAATAGGCCGTTCGAGAAGGTGTCAAGATTGCACTTTGATTTGTCTCTTTGTCTGGATGGGATTCTGTTCCGGATTGACTGTCGAGAGGGGAAGAGCGCAGTGAGGATGGTTGTTGTTGTTGTTTGGGCGATAAGCTACCTTGAGAAGGTGTTTCTGTCATTTTGCTTGGAGGTGATAGTTGGATGCTGATGCTGTGGATGGCAGGATCGAATGTTAAGGCGACATCGAATTAATATTGTTGTGTAGGAATGTATCCGAATGGAATGGAGTAGAAGGTGATGTTAGTGAACAGAAATGTGTGTGAACGAAGTTTGAATTTGTGTTCCAAAAGTTGATCGAGGTTTTCTTTTTGTCTTTGATCGGGAAATTGATTGTTCTCCTGTCCAAACAATAGCAAAAGCAAGTGCGGGATTGAAGAAAGAAGAGGAGTAACAATGTGAGACAGATAACAATGATGCACGCCCTTTAACAATACTCTATATACGAAGCCACAAGGTGCCTATTGCGTACTAAGAGAGAAAGCATGCACAACAAACAAGGAGAGGAAAACAAGTATTAGCACTTTAACAGAGCAATAAATGGGTAAAAAGCCTAGAATCCATTTTATAAAAAAAGCAGGCCAAACGCGCCCAAGGATATGCACGGAAGCCAGTCAGACCCTTTTACTAGAATAAGGCACCTGAACAGGTACACTGGTAAAATGCCTTATGAACGAATGTTATTCCGCATTGATGCGTTAATTGCTTCTATTGATTTCAATGTGGGCCTGCGTTGGGGTCCAGACCTTTTTTATTATTACGCGATATGTAGCCTGGCCTGGCTGGCTGACTGGCTGAATGAACGAATTGAAGCGCTGCGCTACTGGCCGCTTACAGAAGACTTACCATTTAGGCGCGCTTACTGTACTGCTTGCTCTCTTTATTTTAATTCTCAGCCTAGAGATTATCCGAATGAATGCAGCAGATATACCATGCCTTGCTGCTGCTATCTTGCACATAAATCTAGACTGAGGTGTAAACTTTATAGAATCGCTCTGCATACACAATACGGCACCGAAACAAAGAGCGAATAAGCGGGGGGATGCATGCTCTTTGCCCTACGCCCGACAGGTTTAAAGTTCCGCCATTTTAATAATAGCTCGGTTCACACTACCGGATATACCGGTCAGCATCACTGTGTGTATGGATAGAGAGCATACATTCAAGGTACGCAACTTATCATCAATCGTCATCGAATCCGATTGGGAGTCAGGATGAGATGACAATCCACCATTGAGAAAAGTGCAAGATTCTCTGAGGAAAAGTACAAACAACTATCATTGAAGTTGGTCAATAGCAGTCACCCAATGCACCCATCTTGACTCCCATTGAAGATGACACGCCAATGTTGATATATTGATGCTGTTTGCTGATAAGATAAGTGCAACACCATCAAGACAAAGCCACTTGAAAAGATGAACAGGCTGGATCTCACTTTGCTCTCGCACGAGACCTGTGCGTGCGTACCTGCGCTGGCAAAAGAAGGTGTACTTTTCGGGCAGTCCTTCTGGTTTCACTATCAGTGTGACTCAAAAGAGGCAATAACGTAAATGAGAGCGAGATGAACGGCTCCCTCTTCTTTGATTGCACCACCACATTTGCTCATCATGATTGATGGTAATCTGTTGTAAGTTTGAGGTTAGACCCATACAATGGGCGCAATGCTAAGCTTCAGAGGTTGTGTGCATTGATGGAATGGCTGCTATTCTCTAGAGTGCTTGTATGTCTCGTTAGTGCAATCAAACGCGTCCACAATAAAAAAACTCTTAAAGCCGCGTCTAATTTTTTTTTGGAAGAAAAGGATATAAAGAGCACCGGTCTAAATTATATGGAAAGGGCAAACAGCACCCGCTCGCTACTTGCGAATTGATTGACTTGTCCTTTTTTTTCTTTGGCAATCATGGCAGCAACTGCAGCCGTCGCTCAAACAAGGTTGGACAGATTGGTCACCTTGTTATCTTCAGGATCAACTCCTGCGATAAGAGCTACAGCTGCACGTCAATTAGGTCAAATTGCGGCTGTTCGAGTTAGGAGTGGAGAACAAGCAAGAGGTAGACAGCATATCACTCAACAGCAGCAAGCACAACAGATACCATCAGTAAAAACAGAAGAGGATGATGACGACGAAGACAAGAAATGGATAAATACTACAGACAGCTCAGATACAACAGCTCAGCCAGCCAACACTCGCACAATAGATGATTCTACATCCACCTATCGTGGTATCGAAGGTGATTGGGATCAAGCAATTTTTCTATTAGCCCGTGTTTTACCACATCTCCGATCAAAAACATGGGACACCCGTGTTGCAGCAGCACAGGCAATCGAAGCAATCTGTTCTGCTTCAGGGATTTGGGATCCAGATGTGAAGCATGAAGACGCATACATTCAAACACAATCAACAGAAGCTGGACCATCTTCCAACAACAGCGAAGCATCCTTACTATCTTTTGATAATTTCTCACTTTCAAACGTGTTCTTGACCGGAAAGAAGCTACTGGCATCTGCCGGAAATGAATACGACTTACCCACATTCAGCTCTGTCGAAGAAAGGCTGGCACATGCAAAGAGGGATATGCAACGGCTCGGTCTTGGCTCAATGGCAGGTGTGGATGTAGATCTAGGTGTGGACATGGAAAAGGAACTACTCGGTGGCGAAACACAACAACACCAAGGTGAACAGAGCGGAAGCGTGCCCAAATCTGGCACGCAAACACCAGCATCGTCCACTGTTGAGGATGTCACACCACAGATTGCACCAGAAGAGGTGGATATGAGCAAGTTGAGTGCACGAGAAAGGAATCAACTTAAACGAAAACGAAAGTTGGAGGGAAAGTCTGGTCCCCAACCCAGTCCGAAGATTCGAGTAGTAGAAGACCAATCCAACGCACAAGGTGGTGCAACATCTATCAAAACGCCAACGAACGGGAGTGGAGATTATTTGACAGCAGGAAACAAGTCTTCCCTTCAAGCAACATCACCTGGCGGCGAACAAGGTGCTTTGAGTCCCGGAGGTGCGGCAATCGCATCTGCTGCTGATGCAACATCATTAGTGGTAAAATCAGATCAATGGCCTTTTACACTTGTTTGTGCTTTGCTTTTATCAGATCTATTTTCGCCAAAATGGGAAGTACGTCATGGAGCTGCTTTGGGATTACGTGAATTACTCAAATTGCAAGGTTGTTCTGGAGGAAAGATGTTAGGGTACACACAACAGGATGAAATGCAAATTGACAGGAAACCAATCACAAACACACAACGACATCTTCAATGGAGTGAAGATATTGCCGTTCGTTTGTTGTGTGTTCTGACGTTGGACAGGCTTGGTGACTTTGTGTTTGATCAAGTCATCGCTCCCGTTCGTGAGACTACAGGTCAAGCATTGGCCAGTCTGATGAAGTGGATGGAGATTGGTTCAATAACAAAAGCGCATAGTGTGCTATTGGAAATGATCAGACAAGATTTCTTGTTGGATGGAAAGTCGTCACAAGCGGAATCGTCTGCCTTGAAAGCAAAACGTGGCGTGAAGGGATACGCTTGGGAAGTACGACATGCAGGCTTGTTAGGATTGCGATACGAAGTGACTGTCCGCAAAGATGTACTGCAGAGTGGGGGTATTTTAGAGGATGTTACAAAACTTGCAATCATCTGTTTGCGCGATGATGACGATGACGTTCGAAGTGTTGCAGCAGCCACACTCTTACCCATCGTTGATCAAATTGTGGAAAGGATGCCGGGTAACGTACCTGTCCTTTTGGATCAGCTCTGGAATAGCCTCATCTTGCTCAAAGATGACTTGTCTAGCAGTACAGCCGGAGTGATGGATTTGCTGACAAAGCTCGTCGAGAAACCAAAGGTTGTTGCTGAGCATCTCACAAAAGACCAAGAATCGGCAAGAATAGTTGTAGAATTGATTCCTCGTCTTTATCCTTTCTTTAGACATACAATCGTCTCTGTCCGTTTGGCAGTTCTGAATGCATTACTCACATTCTTGAGCAATCCTGCTATGCCTACCTCTTGGATTGACGAGCGATTGGTCAGACTAGCGTATCAAAACTTGATTGTGGAAGAACGAGTATCTATACGAGAAGCAAGTCTAAAGGTTTGGACATCATCCCTTGCAATCATTGTCAAGAATGGAAAAGTGGAGAAAACGATTGAGCCACATATTGCGAAGTTCTTTACGATTCTAATGACACCGTTGGGGACACCAATCGATTTTGCTCTATTCTACAAAGCACCCAATGCTTTCACATCTCGCGAACAACATAATGTCGATAAGGACATCCTTACGCAAGATCTAGCTTTGGTAGGCGTCGATACAGTCATAAGAGGTCGATTGGGCGCAGCCAAGGTGTTGGGATCTATCCTTGCCGTTTCACATGAAGCAGCGGGAAGTTCGACATTTGGACCTGCATTGCTTGATTACCTTGGTTCTACATCTGCATTACAGAAGTGCTTGGCAAGTGTTGTGGTGCAAGAATGGGCTGAACATCTTACGAGGGAGAACACGAAGCCAAAGAAAGAGCACGATCAATCTTTCGACATGCTTCAGCATTCTCCTTTGGCCAAAGATGTCCACGACAAGCTCTTGAACATCTTGGAGTCTCCTGCTCCTTCGACATACGCAGAGATGGTAGTGATGCTGCAACGTATTCAGCGTCAATCTCAAGGCCTCTACACCGCTTTTGAGCGAGATGGAAAAGTGAAGAAAGATCGCGTTCCCACTTTGCCTTCTCAAGTTGATCCAACGGGACAATTGCGAGACGGTTTCAGTATTGATACAGCCAAGAGTGTTGTCAGCACAGGATTTGAAGGTCTATCAAAACACATCTCAGCAAAAGTCAAGAATGCGGTTCAGCCTGCTTTGGATGATCGTCGTGCAAAGATTATCACCGAGATTGGATTTTACCAAAGCATCAAAGATCGACAAGATAATCAAGTGATGGCAAGTGCTGCTGGTGCGGTGATTGCTATTGGTGCCTTGCCAGCAAAACTTAATCCAGTCATTCGAAGTGTGATGAATAGTGTCAAGTTTGAAGAAAATGCAGATTTGCAAAGGAGATCAGCATATGCAATCGCAAATTTAATCAAGTTATGTCAAAAGCCAGATGCACGATCCAATCCAAGCGAAAAGATTGTCAAGAATCTTTGTGCGTTTGTTTGTCAAGATACAACCCGAACACCGGTCTTTGATCAAGCAAAGCAAACGCTGATTGGAATTTACTCGTTGCTCAAGGAGAGAGAAGCACAGGCTGCATTGGCTGCTACAGGAGGGCCTGGTCGCGGAAAGAGCAAGGCAGCCATTCTCGCTGCTTTGCCAGATAGCGATGTCAACCTTACCGAGGAAGAACGAGAAGGTAGAAATATCCGTAGAGGTGCCGAATTTGCTCTTTTGGAGATCTGCAATCAATTTGGTGATCAACTCTTCGACTCGCTGCCAACATTATGGCAGTCCATGACTGGCTCTCTGATTGACACTTTCAATGCCCCGCAAGGAGACGTAGTTGATGCTGAAGGTCAAGCTGTTATTGATTGTTGTGCAATCATTCAAGTTGTTGTGCCACATCTTCCCAACACTGCACATTCTCGCGTCACTTCACAAATCCTGCCAAGCTTAACACAAGCTATCAAGAGCAAGTACAGCGTGATCAGATCGAATGCTGCAAAGACGTTAACAATCTTGGCCGATTGTATGCTACAAGATGTCATGCTTCACGTCGTCAAATTCATTCTCCCGTTGCTGAGCGATTCGAGCAATGCATCATATCGACAAGGTGCCGCTGAATTGATCTCCTTCATCGTCGATCAACTTGACTTAAAGATCTTGCCGTACGTGATCGTGCTAATTGTACCCATCTTGGGCCGCATGAGTGATCCAGATGAAGACGTACGATTGATGGCCACAAACACTTTCGCTTCTTTGATCAAGATGGTTCCTCTTGAAGCTGGCTTACCTGATCCGCCAGGTTTGCCGGAAGAACTCATGACGAAAAGGCAAGATGAGAGACAATTCTTATCGCAATTGCTTGACGGGACCAAAGTTGAATCCTACACACTTCCCGTTCCAATCAAAGCTGATTTACGAAAGTATCAAATGGAAGGTGTTAGCTGGATGGCATTCTTGGCCAAGTTTCAATTGCATGGAGCCTTGTGCGATGATATGGGTTTAGGCAAAACCCTGCAATCGATTTGCATTTTATCCAGTAAGCATTTCGAACGTGCTCAACTCGGGGAAGGCTCGCAATCAAGCACTTCCCGTAAACTGCCATCATTGATCGTTTGTCCGCCAACGTTGACAGGACACTGGTGTCATGAAATCAAGCAATATGCAACGAACCTGAAACCGCTTCTATATGCCGGTCAACCTGCCGAACGAGCAAAGCTACAGAAACAGATTCATTCGCATGACTGCATAGTGACCTCGTATGACACTGTCCGCAACGATATCGACTTTTTATCAAAGATCGAATGGCTCTACTGCATCCTTGACGAAGGTCATGTGATCAAAAGCGCAAAAACAAAAACGACCAAAGCTGTCAAGCAGATCCGAGCGGAGCATAGATTGATTCTGTCGGGTACACCAATACAGAACAATGTCTTGGAATTGTGGAGCTTGTTTGATTTCCTAATGCCTGGATTCTTGGGTACGGAGAAGCAATTCATGGAACGATATGGAAGACCGATTCTTGCTTCCCGCGATGCAAAGGTGACCGCAAAAGAACATGAGCGTGCTTCTTTGGCTTTAGAGTCATTGCACAAGCAAGTTTTGCCGTTCCTATTACGCAGAATGAAAGAGGATGTATTGGCTGATCTACCACCAAAGATCATTCAGGATATCGGATGCGAGATGAGCGTCGTACAAAAGCAGCTCTACGACGAATATATGCGTCAACAGAAATCGGAAGAATTTGATGATTCCAATCTTGAACGTGAAGGAGCTTCGCAAGAGAAACAACACATCTTCCAAACGTTGCAATACTTGCGGAAATTGGTCTGCCATCCGTCAATGGTATTCAATCGCTCCAATGCACGTCACAAGGAGATCGAACAAGCCTTAATACGTTCAGGCAAGTCGTTGAACGATATCGAGAATGCACCAAAGCTGTTGGCCCTCAAACAACTTTTGCAAGATTGCGGTATTGGAGGTGCAGAACAAGTGACCAATTCGCAAGATGCATTAACTGCTGGCTTAGATGATGCAGATTCGGCAGGCATTTCACAACATCGAGTGCTAATCTTTTGTCAACAAAGGCAAATGTTGGATATCATCGAGAAAGACTTGTTCCAAAAAGACATGAAATCGGTCACGTTTACCAGATTGGACGGAACTGTTTCGTCGGACAAACGATTTGAGATCGTTCAAAGATTCAATTCTGATCCTTCAATCGATGTGTTGCTGCTCACAACATCCGTTGGTGGTTTAGGCTTAACGCTAACGGGAGCAGATACAGTCATCTTTGTTGAACATGATTGGAACCCGATGAAGGATATGCAAGCGATGGATCGAGCTCATAGATTAGGTCAAAAGAAGGTGGTGAATGTGTACAGATTGATCACGAAAGATACTTTGGAAGAGCAAATTATGGGATTGCAAAGGTTCAAGTTGAACGTGGCGGGTAACATCGTCAATCAACAAAACAAAGCTATGGATAGCATGGAAACTGATCAAATCTTAGATCTATTCAATGCCGATAGTGGCGATGATCAAAAGAATTCTGCTGATCCAAATGCCGCCAAAGGCAAAGGCGGTCTCTCTCAGAAGGCATTATTGGCAAGTTTGGAGGCCATGCCAGATACGGGAGACGATTATGCTGGCTTGCAGGATTGGTCTGCAAGTTGAAAAAGAGGGAGAGGGGAAAACATCATTACTCATTGTATCATACTGACATATTCAATGACAGAAGCATTTACTGAATTCGTCATGACCAACGGGCCGACTGGCTAAATCACAAAGGAAGGCGGATAGAGTGAAATGAATAAGTGACCTCTTTGAGTCGACAAATGGCAGGCAGATTGCCGATGCTCAGCGCGCGGCGCAGCGTCTGCCTGAATTTCATATCGCCCGCTTAACAGATTCGGGCTGGGCTGGCTGTGATTTGCTGAAAATGTCGGATTTTGATTGTTTTATCATCACATTCGATTCGATGTCCAGTAAGATGCCGAATTGATCATTGGAAGCTATGACCTCCAAACAAGAATTCATGATTATGCATCATGTTGAAATAAAGTTGATAGAAAGCTTATTTTATGCTCATCGGGTTTAATACAAACGAACCATCAAAGTTGTATTGATGCCGACCGGTGAACGGAATACAAAAAAGAGTGTAATTTGTATTGGTTTTGTATTGACAAAACACGTCTTTGTGAAAATCCTCTGGTTTTGTGCCTTGTTTTTGTGTGGGTGATTGTATGTAATCACGTTTATTCGGAATGTGTATAGTGAGGCGTGTTGAAGGGTGAAGTGCCGTGGATTGTGTGTGTGTGTGTGATTGCAGTGCCAAATTGTCAGCGTTAAAGACGCCAACTCTAACAATAAAGTGAGAGAGAAATGCACACGCACACACGAACGCACGCTTAAAAAAACGAGAGGTGGAATTGTTATAAAGTTCTATTAGGTGTGCGGTGATTTGATATGATTTGATGATATTGGAAGATTGTCAGTCAACGATCATCAATACGATCATCCTGGGTATCAGGTGGGATTGAGTGTGATTGCATCACAGCAAGTTCGTTCTTGATACGCGCATCAAGAAGAGGCATTCATTCGAAACGGAATCTTTCGATTAACAAACGCGCAGAAGAAAGGACTGCAATCATTAAAACCTTTGTTTCTCTTTTGATTCCATACCACGTCAAGCACTTTGAGCACTTCAAAGAGTGCTGAGTAGATGCAGGTACAATCTCACAACCTTATCCGACCATCAAAATATTCAACGAGTCAGGCACAACGAAGGACACTCATAAGTGGAGCACTCGAGAGAACACAACGATTGGCTCAAATTTGACCCCTACAACAATCGCGATCTTTGCCCCTGCTGACCGGAATCAACAGAAGCATTCTGATCGGCTGTTCATTTCAGCACCAAGATCGTCCAGCTTAATCACCATTCAATCGCCGCCTCAGCTCATCAGCGACAAAGGACTTAGTCGCTCTCTCTGGAAGATCTTTTCGTGGAAGCCCATCTAATAGCATTCATTCAGTTTACCCGGAATAGCCATTCCCGACAAGCCACATATCGAAGCTTCCATCAGGAACAGATCTGACTGAATGCGCACAAATCCAAACAAACATCATCAAGGCTGAAATTTGGCGATCAATCGCAAAGAGCATTCATCAAAATTTAGCTACTGCATCGCTTAGCAATTCAGGCACCGCCATCGGGTCAGAAGATCGATTGATACTGTTGTGTATCTTGCATATACAAATCGGGCAGTCTCCATGTCTTCAAAAGTAGCATATCCACCCGCCCCTTCCTTATTGCAAGATCCCTCAGCTAAACCCACCGTTGCAACCAACGGTTACTCTCAACGTCCCCGTCGGGAAGCTGCAATCAAATCTCAAGCTGTTACACAGGCTATATCCCAAAAGCGAAAAGCGAGTACAAAGTCAACCACTTCGTCTTCCTCCGTTCCACAAACACCTGCTAGAAAGATGGCCGCACTACCAAGAGCAAAACGTGCCCGACGTAATGAGGCGGAAATGCTCGGTTATGATCTCAACGGTTCTTCGGGAGCGCTATATGCGCCATCAACTTCCATGACAACAATGCAAGCAGGTTTACCCGCCTCTAAAGGGTCCATTGTTATGGGCATGAATGCAGCCTTGACAGACCATACTCAAATGAATGCGTACCGTAGTGGTGGTTCTTCTTCGAAGTCTCATGGAAGCTTCGCAGGAGGAAGCAGCATACGGGAAATGATCGGCGGGCAAGAGCGGGAAGTGTTTGTCGTCGACAGCGCTAGTCCAGCACCGAGTACATACAGTTATGGACATGATTCCCTCAAAGGAAAACGAAAGGCACAAACTCCACCGGGATCGAATGGAACTTCTGCTGCGGGAATCGTCTACAATGACTTACCTGCAGGAACGTCAAAGAGAAGGAGGAAGAATGAGCCACAAACAGATCTGCACAACCCTGACATGGCACCAGGTCTTTACAACGGTCTAGGGCAACTTTCGTCTTACAGGGGCGGGTACCATGCCGGCAACTCGTATCACAAACATCAGAAGAATGGAACGGTACCGTATGCAATTGACACGATTCCTCGTGCGATACCGCCACCGAAAGAACCGATCGATGACAGTGAAGGACACTTCATCGTGCGGGAAGGTGATTACGTCACCGAAAGGTATCGCATATCCTCTCTACTCGGTCAAGGCACATTCGGTAAAGTGGTGAAATGTCAAGACTTAAGTGGGTCAGGTGAAGTGGCTATAAAGATTATCCGAGCAGTACAAAAATATACAGATGCGGCCCAAATCGAAATCAGGGTTCTAAGAACCCTGCGGGATCACGACCCCACAAACAAATACAAGTGCATCCATTTACTGAATACATTCAGTTACAGGAACCATGTTTGTATTGTGTCGGAACTTCTAGGTCAAAGTGTTTTTGACTTTTTGAAGGATAATGACTTCAACCCGTTCCCGCCACTGCATATATGGCACTTTGCGAAGCAGCTTCTTCGAAGCGTTGCGTTCCTGCATAGTCTAGGGTTGGTTCACACGGACTTAAAACCGGAGAATATTCTATTGGTCAACGGGAAATTCTCACTCGTTCCAATCACATGGCGGCCCAATTCCCGCAAAAAGAGGGTTCTCCAGGATTGTGACATTCGGCTAATTGATTTCGGGAGCGCTACGTTCAACGACGAGTATCACTCGCAAGTTGTTTCTACTAGGCATTACCGTGCCCCAGAGATCATTCTGCAGATGGGATGGTCGTATCCATGCGATGCATGGTCGATCGGTTGCATTCTAATCGAATTCTACACGGGGGAAGCACTCTTTCAAACTCACGACAATCTTGAACATCTAGCAATGATGGAAGCAGTTCTCGGCCCGATGCCGGATGATTTCCGCCGTAAGGCCGAAACCTATCGACCAACGTATTTCAAGTCGGGAAGGTTGGATTTCCCGAACAGTACAACGAATCGTCAGAGTCGAAAATTCGTTAAGGCCATGAAAGCGCTTGATGATACCGTTGTTTCTCAGCAGGGGTTCTCAAAGCACGATAAGTACTTTAAGAGTTTACTGAAGAAACTGTTGACCTTTGATCCCAATCAACGGATAAGGGTTAGTGATGCGCTTAAACATCCATACTTCTCGTTGGAAAGTCACGAGATTCCTCAGTAACTATGTACCTTAATCTTACTCTATTCTTTTTACCTCTTATCATCATATGCTCATTCTATCTACTATGTGTATTTTATATTCATTACCCATTGTTCTTGTTACGATATCATGCTTTCATACCATCATCATGTCAATTGTTTGTTTGTTGTTTGGATTACTGAACGGGTAAAGAAGTGTTTGTTGTTTGTTTGCACAGACCAATTAGTGCCTGCATATACGCGCACACGCGGGGGTGATTTAACCGACTGTTATTGTGCCACTCACATTCGTTTTTTCTTACAAACCTCCATCTTGACAAAAATGAAGATCGTGGTGACAGGAGCATCAGGTCTGCTGGGAAGAGCAGTTTATGCTCAATTAAAGCAAGATAATCATACAGTATTGGGTACAGCACTCTCTCGAGCAAATTCCGACAACGGATTGGTGAAATTGGACCTGACAGACTTCACTGCCTTACGACAATTCTTGGATAAAGAAGAACCACAAGCAATCATTCATACCGCTGCAGAACGTAGGCCGGATGTTGTTGAACGATCTCCTGAAGCATCAAAGATTCTCAACGTGGATGTTCCAAGCACGATTGCGACTTGGTGTAAAGAACATGCAAAGCAACCGTTGTTGATCAACATCAGTACAGATTATGTTTTCGACGGCACAAGTCCTCCATACAAGGTAGATGATTCACCAAACCCTTTGAATGCTTACGGGAAGAGCAAATGGGAAGGTGAAAAGGGTGTTTTAGAACATGGCAAAGAAGGAAGAATCAGTAATTTACGTGTTCCTGTATTGTACGGCAAAACGCATACAAACGATGAATCTGCAGTGAATGTTTTGCTGGATGCTCTAACAGTAAGCAGCGCAGGACAAGATCTCAAACCGAAAAAGATGGACGCAAATGCTGTACGTTATCCTACCAATGTTGCAGATATCGCAAAAGCATTGTCGCAAATGTGCACAAAGTATGCAGATCCCGCAAATGGCGGGAATCAGGCTGGAATCCCGCCAACTTTGCACTTTAGTGCGATGGAAGCAATGACAAAGTACGATATGTGCTTGGTCATGGCACGTTGTCTTCGTGCTGTTGGTGAAGAAGCAGAAACGGAGCATCTTGTGCCGGAATACGAAGTGGATCCGAATGCTGCCACCTCCAGACCACGTCATTGCAAACTTGACTTGAGCGTTACAAAGGAGATTGGTATTAGCACAGAATGCATCAGTTTCGAAAGCGTGAGTTGGTGGTGTGGAATGATTGTACTCTAGAGTTACTAACCCGATCTTTTCCCTTTTTTGACCAGTGGTGGAGAGAATATTTGGAAGAGGTGCGTGGTCGTGTAAAAAAGGCATAAGCCGGCGGTAGATTTTGTACATCTTACTGCCATACATACTGCGCAATGTGATGATATTGACACCCAATTCCCTTGTCTGTTTTCTTCCCGACCTTCTAGTATGCCGAAAAAGCTAGGGAAAGACGAGCAAAGGAAGCAGCCGAAGCGGAAGCGAGTCGGATAGCGGAGGAGGAAAGACGTCAGAAAGAGGAGGAAGAACGAAGAAAGCGAGAAGAACAAGAGAGAATCAAGCGGGAAGAGGAAGAGAGGATACAGAAAGAGGAGGAGGACAAAAGGCAGAAGAAGTTGGCAGAGGAAGAGAGAATACGTAAGGAAGAAGAGGAAAAGGAGCGTCAAGAGAAAGAGGCTGCAGAAAAGACCGCAAGAGAGAAACAAGAAGCAGAAGAATTACAGCAAAAGCAGATAGAAGAAGATCCACAGCGAATCTCTTCGGAAACGGCAACGCAGGAAATGACAAATGAGAGTCTAGGGGAAGGTGAGACAACACCATCTTCCGAGAAAGAACGCCACGAGAGCAATAAAAGCAGTCATGATGTATCTACCAGTGGCCCTGAAGTAGCCCGATCTTCTTCTTCAAACGGTCATAACTCTCTACGAAGTCCATCGTCTCCCAATCCTAGCTTTTCCTCTTTGCAAGCCAGACCTACGCCACCTGCAACATCTGGACGAAATAGCCCTTCACTTTCCGTACGTTCGGTAGGAACGGCATCCTTCTTGACTGGAACGACAAATATACCCACGCGAACTGGCGAAGATGGTGCGGCTACTGCTTCTGTGATAGATGCAAACCCATTGGGCATGAATGATACTGTCAAAATGCGAGAAAGTGACAAAGAGGAAGCGTCAAAGAATAATCGAAATATGGAAGATGGTAGTGGCTTCTTCCCGCAAAAGCTTGTTGAAGCAGGTGATGGAGCCTCTTTGGGAATCAAATCAGAAGGTGCACAGCAGAATCAGTCTATCGATTCGGATAATTATGGCGAGCCTAGCCCGCGGGAAGATGCCAAAAGCTCTCTGCCGTTTACTGGTCAGGCTCCTTTCGTTGCTGCGGGATATGGTGAAGTTCCCTTTGGGATTGATGAGCAGGCAGGTAAGCCACTTTCTGATCAGCCAGCAAGAGAAGAAGCGACTTCAGGTCATCAGCGACAAGCATTATCACAAGACAAGAAACCACAAGTGGCCTCTTTCCAGATCCGAGTTGGAGATCCACAAAAGGTTGGTGATCCAGTCACTGCACATATCGTTTATACGATGCGTGTCATCACTGATTCTCCGCATTTCCGATCCGGTCAGTTTTCTGTTTTGCGAAGATACAGTGATTTCCGATGGTTACATGCGGCTTTGGTTCATAATAATCCGGGCATCTTTGTTCCACCCGTTCCTGAAAAGGTCAAAATTGGACGATTTGCTCCTGATCTGGTCGAAGCAAGAAGACATGGCTTGGAAAGTTGCGTGAACAAGATTGCCAATAATCCTGTCTTGCAGCATGACGAAGATTTCAAAATCTTTATGGAGAGTCAAAATTTTCACGCTGATGTCAAAGCGCGGGATCAGATCAAAGGTCCTGTACCTACACCTGAACAAAAGACATACTTTGGATGGAGTACTTCGTTCACTGGAAGTACGTACAAATATCATGAAACCGATGAATGGTTTGATGAGCAAAAGGTGTATTTGGATCATTTGGAATTCCAATTGAAGAATCTGGTCAGGATCGTGAGCACGTTGGCACAACAGAGAAAAGATTTAGCAGCCGCTACATCGGAATCAAGTCATGCATTAATGATGCTTTCGGGAAGTTCATTATCACGTTCGCTCTCTACATGCTTCGCCGGATTGGGAGAAGTGGAAAGGAGATCGTTTGAATTGACTGATGTTCAAGCAGATGCGGATGTACGTGAATTTGGAAGTGTTTTGTATGAATTTGAACGGATGGTAGGAAGTGCAAGAAAAGCATTTGCAACACGAATTGATGCATGGCAAACATGGCAAAGGCTAGAAGATGAAGCGAAAAAGGTTCGAATCAAACATGAAAAAGTCAAAAAAGACGTTCAACCTGGAAGTTATAAAATGCACGATGGAGGAAGATTACAAGCCGTTTTAGATGAATTGGCAAATGTTGAAACGAAATGTCTAAATGCAAAACGTGAATTTGACGTCATAGGAAGAAGATGCAAAGAAGAGATGGACAGATTTGAATGGGATAGGATTCGTACTTTTCATGATGCAGCAGAAGTTTGGTTACAAGGAATGATCGAAAGAAGTACAGAGATTATGTCTGAATGGGAACAATATGCGGCTTTATTGGAACGACAAACGAATCACAAGATCGAAATAGAGTGAGGGAGAATGTACAATTATACTCAATATCATGTCATACAATACACTTCGTTATAAGATAAGAGATAAGAATGCGAACAGATAAGGATAACGTCCACTTTCATCGTGAGAATGTGTTGGGATATGACGTATACGGTACGCCTGGCACGTGTACAGGCGTCACTTGCCGTATCACGCCGTATCACGCCTTAACGCCTGATTCGCCACAAAGGCTGACGATCCACAGTTTTGGTGCCCAAATTAGCCCATATGTCAAATATAAATAGTCAGATATCACATGTATATTTTACCCACTTTTCTTTACCTCACAAATTTATTATTATCAATCAGAAAGCAATGCCTGGAGACTACAAAACGTAACAGAATGCTTATATCAGCATTGCAATAAGCGCGTCCACTCTGAAACATTTCTGATTGGCCTTGAAAATCCTTATCTTTGAGGCGAATGAGCAGTGTATAAATCGACGAAATCTATACTCGAATAGCGCCCTGTATGCAAGCAAAACTGTCAGACAGGTTAAGTGGCTCAGGTTGGCATGCATCGTTTAGTTAGATTAAAAAACCCAAAGATAAGACAAGGGTTGATAGACAAGAGTGTACTGCATAAGTCATGCAACACTTTATCCCCTAATCTTTAAACATTCACGGTCGTTATCATGTACCTCTCCTTAAACGGATAAAGACGGGGGAATTTATAACTTTTGTCTCTTTCTTACAGATGACAAAGAAGAGCGATTGATGAGTATAAGAAATTTTAGATTCATTCATCCTAGTATCATCTCGCTATAAAGGGAGAAGATTAACTTAATAACGTCATACATATCAAGTTCCTTCCCCCGCACGGTGTCTTTCTTGACAATCGGACTTTTGATCAGAAAGAGCAACCGCCTGTCATGTCAAATTCTTCCAAATCGATCGGCTTTTCTTGTGTGGTTCCCATAGAGCGAAGGAGTGTGACATCCGTTGGTATAGATCGAAGTCTGGGAATGGTTATTTCCTATCTCTCAGTATTATTTTTCCCTTTTGATCCTATCTTTAGCTATGAGATATCTTGTTAAAGTAGTGCCTTTTTCCGATAAACTTACAGTATTTTTGTTCCTTGACGTACAGATCGGATGATCATTACAAGAAAGTATAAATATAGCGATTCAATCTTGATTTCTTACACCCCTATTTCTCTTGCTGCATTATTGTTTCCTTCTACAATACAACCCCACCAACAACAGTACGCCACAGAACACTCATCCCCAATCGAAAGAAAGGTTGTTGTTTTGTTTCCAGCCGATTTGCTGTTGATTAATTGAATCGGCATTACCATTCCTTTTCAATTCCCGGTGGCCCCGCGAAGGAACTACGCGTCAAATTAAGCGGGAAGCAAGCAAGGCTCGGCGCAGAAAGGAAGAAGTGCACCTGTAACGCCCAACTACCCGATTCCATTGGATTGACGTACTTAAGGTACTCGAAAGGCAAGCAAAGGAAGAAAAAACTTCTTTTATTTTGGTGTGCATAGTGCATAAACACAGACATTGTGAACACTTCTTAAACAGAATTTGCAATTGAAACAAGAAATCCGCCAATTTAACACACTGAAACACAGCCCTTGTCAAAAGGAGATCTCTTGGAAGCACAGAAAAATAAAAAAGGAACGAAGCAACATAAAATTATCTCTCCTTTAAGATAAAAGATTCATTGACAAAAGTGTTGAAACATACAAACGCGTTCATTTCCCCTTACCTCTTCTTCATTCAGCCTTTGCTTTGCTTTGCTTTCCTTCCCTTCTACCTTCAACCATCTACCCTCCTCACACAAACAAGCAAGCAAGCATGGTCAACATCACATATGGGCTCATCGATGCCCCGGACGGCAAGGCAAGTGCTTCAAGACTGATTTCCGCTTTTGGTTCAGAGATGGTGGTCACTTTACCAGATGATGGAATTGCTTCTTTTGGATCAGGTGATATCGCTTGGATTATGACTTGCACAGCTTTGGTTTTTACCATGATTCCAGGTCTTGGTTATCTATATTCCGGTCTAGCACGTAGAAAGAACGCCTTGCATATGCTCTTGATGACATTCATGGCTCTTACAGTCGTTTCCGTTCAATGGGTTCTGTTTGGATATAGTATCACTTTTTCAACAACTGGAGGCGCATTCATCGGAGATTTGAGTAACGGTGGATTCAAAGGTGTTTTAGAACAACCAAAAGCAGAAGCAAACAATCGAATTCCAGAAATCATTTATGCAATGTACGAAATGATGTTTGCCAATTTGGTTCCCGCAATCGCTCTTGGTGCTGCATGTGAACGTGCAAGAGTTTGGCCTTTCATCGTTTTCACTTTCGTTTGGACTACTTTTGTTTATGATTTTATCGCCCATTGGATTTGGTCTTCTAACGGATGGGCATTCAAATGGGGTGTTTTGGATTATGCAGGTGGTGGTCCAGTTGAAGTTTGCTCTGGTATCACTGGTTTAGTCATCTCGTATTATTTGGGCAAACGTCATGGATACGGTACAGACCGTCTCTTGTTCAAACCTCACAACGTTTCACATATCGTCTTGGGTACCGTGTTCCTCTGGTTCGGTTGGTTAGGTTTCAACGGTGGTTCAACTTTCGCTGCAAACTTACGCGCAGGAATGTCATTGGCCACAACGAATACAGCCGCAAGTACGGCAGCAATCACATGGATGATAATGGATTACAGATTCGAACGTAAATGGTCCGTTGTTGGATTTTGCACAGGTGCAATTGCGGGTTTGGTTGCAATCACGCCTGCTGCTGGTTTCATCGGTGTTCCAGCTTCTTTCCTTGTTGGATTTTTGGCAGCTTTCATCTCTAACTTGTGTACTCAAGTTAAAGTCTTTATGCGTTGTGATGATGTTATGGATATTTTCGCAGTGCACGCAGTGGCAGGATACGTTGGTATCTTGTTAACCGGTATCTTCACACAAGCAAGTGTGGCAAATAACGATGGATATTTGGAAATTCCAGGTGGATGGCTAGATGGTCATTTCATTCAATTGCCCATTCAATTGGCATGGTGCGTTGTTGTGACTGCATGGACTGGTGGTGTTACGTTTGTGATCATGTTTGTCTTGGATCACATTCCCGGAATCGGTCCTTTCCGTTCAAGTGAAACGGCTGAGATTATCGGTGTTGATGAAGAACAATGTGGTGAATTCGCATACGATTTCGCATTCTTCAATCGTGATTTGGAAGGTAATTACGAACCGGAGCATGGACAAAAGCTTCCAATGATGGAACACAAGGACGGATGTGCCGTTCAAAAGTCCACCTATCCCAACGGATCACAAACTGAATCCACTGATGAAACTACACCAAATGAAGCAGCAGAGGAAGTCCTACATAGAAATTCGGAAGCCAATGCAAGAGCAGCAACAAATCAGCCTGAAACAACAAAAGAAGAATGAGCATTATGTCTATACCTTCACAGCATCCCCACACAATTTAATTGCTTTTTCTATTTTATCATTTATCTCTCTTTAATCTGCTTCAAATGTCATTTTGTAGACATATTTATATTGTATACAGGGCAACGATTGACAAAAAAATGCAATAATTCTATCGTAACAAAAGGTGTGTGTGTCTAGTAAAAACTCTATTATTCTATGAAGGTGGACTTGCCCACGTCCAATCACGAAATCCGTGTGATCGGAACAGGTTGATGACATATTGTTCGTCTTGTCTCTGTTGCTTTGAATGGGCGCGATAATCTTGAAGTTCTTCTTCTGGCATTGAGAATGCAACTTGATCGGCATCACGTTGGGAAAGATGAGCGTCTGCTAAGATTGCTCTGTATGTTTGAACGGCTTGATGAACTTGTTCGACGCTGTTCATGCCAACGATTGTGGCCATATGCGGTGTAGGGTAACCAGGATTTGATCCTTGCTTTTTCAGTTCTGAACCACGGAATCCGAAATGTGCAGCCACTTTTGCCAACGATTGTCCTCGTGCTGAAAGTGTCTCAGAAGCTTCCACACATAGTGACTTTAGCTTTTCACTTGCAGGATGCCAAGCAGGAGGACCTTTATCGGTCAGCAATCCCATACTGAAAGGACTTGCATTGATGATCGTTGGAGCGATCCATTCGGGTAAAGAAGTGCCACTTCTTTCGGCTCCCGTCAGGCGAGCTCGTCTTGGCTCTTGTGCGAATTTGGCGGTATACTGAGAAAGCATGTCGTTTTGCAGGGTATGATTACTGTAATTGACGATAATGTCAACAGCGCGGAAAGGAGCATGAGAAGCGATCAAGCGACTTAATCGCAAAAGGGTGGGAAGCGGGTAACCTCCAATTCCGACATTTCGAACTATACCTTGCTCTTTCAGCTCAAACAAAGTTCGTATTGCAGCCAAGATCTTCTCGTCGCCTTGTCCGTGTACTGTTGCTGTGAGAGCAACATCTTGGTCGTCATCTGATAGACCACACTCTTTGCGGACTTTAGCATCCTCTACAGCATCACGAGCAGCAAAGCCAGCTTTCTGGCTGGGACCGACGTTATCACAAACGAACTCAACATCGTGCAAGACAACGCTGTCCAAGTAGGTTGTATTGAGTCTTCTCAAACTGGTTGCCACACTTTCACGTATCCGATCGGGTGAATAATCGAAGTCTTTCTTGTCTTGACCATATCTGCCTACCTTTGTTTGTAGGTAATATGACTCTCTTGGGTATTCTTTTGATAATGCTTTCAATATCCTTCCCAAGCTAATCTCTGAAGGATGATAAAATGGTGAAGTATCGATTGCACGAATGCCATATTGAAATGCTAATCGGATCACCCGATATGGTTCCGTGCTTTGTAAGATTTCATCATCGGTAAAGATACCTTTTCCAAGCGCTGATCCTCCAATCAATAGCGGTGGACATCCTTGTCGAAAGCTTTCTGTTAGGGGTTCGTTCAAGTGTGAATACCAAGGTGCTGTGCTATGCTTCAATTCTTCATCCGCCAAATCTTCCAAGTCATATTGTGGAACCACGCCTTCTTTCCTTAGATTGTGCTCTTTCAGTTCCCCGTTGACCAATTTTCTCCCATTTATTGCCGGTTTGACATTATAGTGATCCAAAGTATCTATCGATCCCATCTTGTTAGATTATAAAGATGGTGGTTGTTGTTATTCATCCTTGTTTTGGCAACGTTTCACCCCTTTTCATTCAAAATCGAATGACCTGCATAATCTCGGAGAATTTTTAGTCAAATCATTACGTACGCAAACAGTTTGGGAAATTGCGTGCGCTGCGTGAAATGTTACAAAAAAAATGCTTGGCTTGGCTTACAACAGTACACAGTACAAGTACTCCACCTGTGTGTGTGTGTGTGTGTGCTTCTTGTGCCTGCCCTGCTATCTCCGCTAATTCATCCCGGATTTAAAACACGCGAATCAAACACTTAGGCGCGTATAGAGCAAGCAATGACTTGAAAGGGTGCGGGGATGACTCTATACCTCCAAATCCTATTGCAAACATGACAAGCTCTTCAAGTAAGAACGATCTAACATTCACTCTACATTATTGGCCAGTCATTCCTGGCAGAGGAGAATTCATTCGATTGGCTTTTGAATGTGTACAGCATCCTTACAAGGAAAACAACAAGTCGGCTACTGAAGCATTTCCAGCTCATTTCGCTGTTCCATTGCTAGAGATTGGCAATGTACCCAATCTTCAAGATTCAGCAAGTAGCAATAAATCACAAAAGACACAAGAGGGTCAAGATGCAAAATCAACATCTGCTAACAAATCCGGTCAATCAGTCTTTATCAGTCAAACAGCGGTAATTCTATCTTACCTGGCTCCAATTTTAGGCTTGGACGGTGTCAATTCCCTCCAAGAGCAAGATCCGCAATCGATCGCAATTCGTCAAGCTCAAGTCTTACAATTGACAGCAACGGCATTGGATCTGAACAACGAAGTTCACGATACCCATCATCCCGTAGCAAGTAGCGAAGTATACGAAGATCAAAAGGACGAAGCAGCAAGGAGAACGGCAGATTTTCGTAAGAACCGTCTTCCGAAGTTCTTCACACATTTCCAAACTGCTTTACAGAACAATCCTGCCAATTCAGGCTGGCTTATTGGCAAGGAGGTCACAATCGCTGATCTGACTTTGTACCAGGTATGTAAGGGTGGGTGATTGCTATGCTCTTTCGTGATATTGACATCTTTTTGTTTTGTTTTTGACATGCTAAACAGGTCTTGGACGGTCTTCATTTCGCTTTCCCAAAACGTATTGCCGCCCTAAAGAAACAAGGTGAATATGAAGACCTATTCAAACTTCATCAAAAGGTTGCACAACTACCAAACATTGCCAAGTATCTCGACAGTGACAGACGCAAAGCGTACAGGTAAGTGTTATCAATTGGTGGGCATCCCCGCATCTTCTTCTGACATTCTTGCCTCTCCCTTCTTCCACTTTAGTAACGGCGTTTTCCGTCACTATCCAGAGCTAGATGGCGATGATTAAATAGTAGATTGTAGTAATGCATTTTATTCAAGGTACATGATCTACACCGCTTTCACCATTTAATACTCGTCTTTAGGTAGATGCGGAAGCGGCTTGAACGGGTGGCTGTCCTCCGTCTCCACCTTGATCTTGACCAGCTTCAGCAGGAAGGACAGAAGAAAGTCCTTCAGTTCGTACATTCCAACCATATCCACCTCCTGTATGACCGGCAACATCATCACCTGGGCCTTCGTAGTGCAATTTGGCCACATCGTAATTGTCAATGAACTCCCAACCGTTTTCACGAACATGGTATAGATTTACAGAGTTACCAGAGTATGCGTCCCTATGAGCAGCGGCAAAGATACTTCTGCGACCCAACTCTTGTGCATCAGCATCGCTTAAGTCCCAGTGATAGCCTTGATCCAAAACACCATAAGCAAACGTGGAACCGGAACCAACACTAAAGACGTCACCTTTGAGTCGTGTTCCGTCGGAATCAACATAGAAAAGCGCAGGCCCAGTCTTGTCCCAACCGCAGATCATCGTTCCCATACTCAAGCCCATTCCCTTATAACTGTAAACCAAATTGCTCAAATATTTACTGGCAGCAGCTACGGAAATACGTTCCTTATTTCGCAATTCATGTAATCGACATTGAATACCCAAATATGTTTCCCAATATTGACAATCAGCTGCACCACCTGCCATTGTACCGAGTAGGTAAGGATTAATTTCGATAACTTTTTTCACCGTTCCTGAAGCGATATAACTACCGGCCGTTGCACGAGAATCAACACAAACGATGATTCCGCCTTTGAAACGGAAGGCTAAGGTTGTGGTACCGTGTTGTAGCTTGATACGTGCGTTTGCATTGGTTGAATCAACATCGGTATATTGTGATAAGAATGCTCCGGGATCTGTACTTGGAATGTCGAACGAAGGTACATTGCTAGATGAAGATGCTTTGTTGGATAATGCGCTCGGGTCGTATCCTTCATAATCATCTGCATGTCCCAAGGGATTGGAACTTGGTCCAGCGAATCTTGAAAGAATAGAGTTCATTTTGTGTATGATGGTACGGGAAGATGTTGTGTAATGGTGTTATTCTTTCTTTGTCTGTCACTTGCGCGTCCTTTTGATCTGCCCTGTGCGCAGTGCAATGAGTGAATGCGCGGCTTTAAGTGAAGGCTGCGTACGCTTGTTAGCGTGAATAGTCATGGTTACTAAGACTTGACTCCTTTCAAATCTTCTAGTGACCAACAATAATATCTATAAGTGGGCAGAAGCAATAAAGCACCTGACGCCATTGTGTTAGAGTCTGAAATCCTCCTATCGCCAATTATAGAGGTACAGGACTGGCGGTGTGTTTACGATAGCGATAAGATGCTCGGATTCATTTCTGCCTCCTATCGTAAATTCGTTTCATAATGAAGAAGCTCCTACTTTTACTCCTTTCTGCCTAAATATGATTATTTGGTTATTTCCATAAATTGAATGAACTACGTTCTGAGACAATGGTGTTCACCTCATACACCACTTTCACTCTGATTTTCATCCACATTAACACAAAATGAACTCATCCTACATTCAAACCGTATTCATGCTCGTCTTAATGAGCATCTTCCTCGACAAAGCTTTCTCAGCTCCGCTATCACAAGTGAGTTAAACCACATGTTTATTTTATCCTCTCTTTCTGACATTCTTTCTGGCTACTCTTACGCACTAGGTAGCTATTCGCGATGATACCTCGGGTATCCCAAAACAGTGTCTCCCTTCAGCTTTCTGCTAAAGAGGGCTTAGAGCTTAAATTCAAGCTCTACAGATTTCCCTCATCATCTGAAGTACCTATACTTATAATGCACTGCCTCTCTACTCCGTTCTATATGTAGAGGTCGTTAGAAATTGAGAACAGTGAGATGATAGGCTGTAGGAATGTCAGAGACTCATAAATCCGTTATTCTGTCTGTGAAGGCGCTGAGATGGTAGGGATTGCATGTTTGATTCTTATTGTATATAAAATTTTCCTTCGGAAAAACCGGTCTCATGGTGGAGTGGTATCATACGATCTTAGGGATTATTTCCTAATATTTCGGATTGAATTATTTAATAATTTGATCGAGTGCCGGGTTCGATTCCCGGTGAGACCCCTTTTTTCCTCTTTCATCTTCACATTTTCGCGCTTTTATTGGAATTTCTTGATTATTCTTTTTTGGCTCAAGCGTGCCACTACTCATAAGCACATTTTTTCCCTTTCTTCCGAGTGTGATTTGGCTCAGATCTCCTCGCCTTGCCTAATTTGCACAAGTTGAAGGGGAAAAGGTTAGAAATATTGAAAGAAAGGATAATTCACCTTTTGTCTCTGTACAACAACCTATCTCTTTAATCAACATGTTTGCTCGTACAATCGCTCGAACAGCCGCACGGCAGCCATGCAACGTAGGAATGGCAGTGGCAAGGCGTGGAATGGCCACAAACAGTAATAGCTCAAGCAAATGGGCAACGTCAAAAAATGCCTACAGAGCAGCATCTGTCCTAGCATTGGCTGCTGGTGGCGTTGGAGTTGGATCAATGATTGGTGATTCGAATAAGATGCAACTTGAAAGTGCACCCAAGAGGAAAGCATACTTTGAACGTGTGATTGTGAATGAAAAGGGAGGAGAGAGCAGTAAAGGTGGCGAGAGCAAGAAGGAACCACAACCACAGCAGGAGGAGGAGGAGGAGAAAGAGGAAGAGGAAGAAAAGTCTGAACAAACAGAAGAGCAGGAAGAGGAAGGACAGGTAGACAAGCCGGAAGAGCAGAAAGAAGAAGAAGAAAAAGTAGAAGAAGCCACACCTATTGATATGGAAGATTTATCCGAAGATGCATCACAACAATCCGCATTCGATCCCGAAACAAACACGATCAATTGGGATTGTCCTTGCTTAGGAGGAATGGCACAAGGTCCATGTGGGGAAGAGTTCAAGGAGGCATTCAGCTGCTTCGTATTCTCAGAAGAAGAGGTGAAAGGTGTTGATTGCATTGACAAATTCAAAGGAATGCAAGATTGTTTCCGTAAATATCCGGAACACTACAAAGAAGAATTAGAGGATGAAGAAGAATTTGAACGAAGCGAACAAGAACGGGAAGAAGCACAAGAAGGAGATGAAAAGAAGCCTGCTGCTCAATCTGGAGAGGATGAAGATGAAGGTGTACGGGAGTGGAGAGCAGAAATGAGTAAGGAATGAAAGATGTGCTTCATTCTCTGAATATACTCTTTTGTTGTATCTGGAACTATGTCACTACTCAGTCTCGATTAATTCATCCATATACACAGATTCGTTGTGATCATGAGATTCATTGTGTTACGACGCTTTTTGCTTCGGATATAAGCCACGATAATTTTAGCTCGGCTTCTTCTTATTTTTTTTGGAAGAAGTGTTAATGCAAAAAAACTCAGGCAAAAAAACACGTGAAAATTAATTGTTGGATTTTTTGGTTGAGAAAGCGTGGAGAATTGAGATAATTTACAGTCCTTCTTCTTTAGCTACTGCTTACCATCCCTCTGTCAAACATGTCGAGACCGAATATAGAGAACAGTAATCGAAGGGAAAGAAGGTCGAATCATGAAGATGGTGAACAGCAGCTCACGCGTGTTCAACGTGGCATTCAGGGAAAGATGAATGGAAAGAATGCATCAAGATCACGTAAAGCACGTCAGCAAAAGCAAGTGTCCGAAGAAGATGAATTGGCAGAATTGGAAAGACGGACGGAAGAGATGATGAAGGCTTACGATGAAAGCAAAAAAGCCGGAAGTAGCTCTTCTACGAAGTTAAAACGGTTTGATGAGCTACCTCTCACGAAAAAGACGATGATCGGGCTCAAGAAGTCATCCTATGTAGAAATGACAGACATTCAAGCAAAATCCATACCGCTCTCATTAGGCGGTCGCGATATTCTTGGAGCAGCAAGGACTGGATCGGGAAAGACGCTAGCTTTCCTCATCCCTGTGATCGAGCGATTGTACAAGGAAAAGTGGGGACCTGGAGATGGTTTGGGAGCGTTGATCTTATCGCCCACAAGAGAGCTAGCGATTCAAATCTTTGAAGTTTTGCGTAGGATCGGTACAGCACATTCGATCAGTGCTGGTCTAGTGATTGGAGGTAAGGATGTAACACAAGAGAAGAACAGATTAGGAAGGATGAACATCTTGGTGGCCACGCCTGGTAGATTGTTACAACATATGGATCAGACTGTCGATTTCGATACATCGAACGTGCAGATGCTCGTTCTAGATGAAGCGGATAGATGTTTGGATATGGGATTTCAGAACACGATTGATGCAATTCTGGAAAATCTACCGAAGCAAGGTCGACAGACTTTGTTGTTTTCAGCCACTCAAACGAAGCGTGTAAAAGATCTAGCCCGTCTCAGTCTCTCCTCACCAGAGTATGTTGCCGTGCACGATGAGGACAACAAGAAAGGATACATGCCGGAGAACCTGCAGCAGCACTACATGGTCGTACCTTTGGAACAGAAGCTTTCCGTGTTGTTCTCTTTCATCAGAACGCATTTGAAAAGCAAGGTGTTAATCTTCTTTTCCGCCTGTCGCCAGGTACAGTTTGCCCACGAATCATTCTGCAGAATGAGACCGGGAATGCCACTTATGTGCCTGCATGGAAAACAAAAACAAACAAAACGATTTGACATCTTCAACGCATTCACCAAATCGCAGCATGCAGTTCTATTTGCGACGGATGTCGCTGCGAGAGGACTCGATTTCCCAAGAGTAGATTGGGTAATCCAAGCTGATGCTCCGGAAGATGCTGACACATATATTCATCGAGTGGGAAGGACGGCACGATACAATGCGAAAGGGAATAGCTTGATGCTCTTGCTGCCTAGTGAGGAAAAAGGTATGCTTGCCAGCCTGAAGAAGAAGGGCGTTGAACCGGAAATGATCAAAGCAAGAGAGAACAAGGTACAAAGTATCAACGAAAATTTGCAAGGATTCTTGTTCAAAGATACCGAACTTAAATATCTTGCCCAAAAAGCATTCGTTTCTTATGTTCGATCAATTTATCTACAAAGTGATAAATCAACGTTTGACGTTACCGAATTACCACTTGAACCTTTTGCCGAATCTTTGGGTTTGGCCGGTGCACCCAAGGTTAAATTCGTAAAAGATGCACAAGCCGCAAAGAAGAGAGCGCAGAAATTACTCGAGAAGCGGGAACGATACGGGAAACCGTCGGGGACACAAGAGGAGGATGAAGCAGAAGCTTCGAATAAAGTTCGCACAAAGTATGATCGTATGTTCGAGCGCAAGAATCAAGGCGTCTTGAGTGAACATTATCAGAACTTGATCGCTGATGATGAAGAGGAAGATAGCGAAGAGGAGACAGAGACCAAGGTTGCTAAAGCAGAAAGCGATGATGACGAGGAACAATCTTCGGATGAGGAAGAGATGACTCGGGAACAGGCAATCGCGGGTAGAAGAAAGGCGGATAGCTCAGATTCAGACAGCAGCGAAGAAAGCGAAAGTGAACCGGAGAAGGCAAGTGAGAAGATCACCTTTGATCAGGAGCAAGACGATGAGGACGACTTCATCACCTTGAAGCGTGCTGACCATACCCTTGACGGAGAAGATTCTCTGCAAACCGCAAAGGAGTCCGAATTGTCTAAACGTAAATTACAGATGGGCACAAGCAAGAAGCGATCGGCAGCAGCGGGATTGCGTGGATTAGGAGAGAAGTTGACATTTGACGATGAAGGTAATGCACATCGCTTGTATGAAATGCAAGATGAAAGCACTCTGGGCGATGCACGTTCAGCAGCACAAGAATTTGTCGATCGTGAAAGACAGGCATTGCAACAGAGTGACGTACAAGATAAAGAACGTGTACGTGAAGCCAAACGTGAGAAACGCATACGCAAACGTGATCGTGAAAGACAAGAGAAAGAAGGAGAAGATGCAGGACCGACTGTTATGCTTGCTCCGGAAGATGATCGGGAAGATGGATATGAGACCCCTGACTTTGATCTAGGGGACGATGATCAAGCCGAGGATGAAAGTGACGATGAAGAGGCGGCATACGAGCAAGAACAATACAGACCCAACAAGCGAATGAAGCCAACTTCAACATTGGAAGAAGATGAATCGTTGGCTTTGCGTTTGCTTGGTGGGGAGTAAAGAAACGAAAAAGACAAAAGGTAAGTGTGTTTTGCTCGAGTATGAGATGTACAAATGATGGTACTCTTATGGTAATTTGCGTCAGATAATGCCCTTTTGATCAATTATGAATGTCACTTTCGCCGGTGTATGTTCGATCAAAAGGGAAAGACGAAGCCTAATTCATAAAACTGATTCCAGTCTTGTGAGAGAAGTTGATTGATTATCATGCTGACAATTCGTTCTTTTCTCCTTTTGAGTAGCATTTGTACAGTACTTTTAGCAATATATTCTACTAGATAACATTTTAGACTTCAGAAGAAGGGTGAGGGCACTTGATAGCCAACGGTTCAGATCTTCTAATATGAAGCCACAATGTCCGAATCACCGTGATAAACGTTTGCCTATAAACCGGTGATATGCATCTTTCTATCGGGATTAACAGACTAATGAATAGTTCTAGGTCTCGTCCCGAGGTTAAAGCACATAAGCAGTGTAAACTTAAATTATGCATATGCACCATCACCACTGTTTGACATGTATTGCATTTCCACGCGTAAAGTGGCCAGTCGTTACCTGTCAAAAGCAATTTTTGAACTTTTTTACTGCTCCCCTGCCCGCACCAACTTTCTTTAAAATGGGACATTTGGATTCACTCTGACAATTGAATGTTCGCGCATTTTATGGGAAATCATTCTCTTGACCATCATCAACAACGAATCGTGAGGGTCTCATTGCCAGGGGGAGGAGAAGGTCGTAAAGCAAGAATCCGCGAAAGAAAGAAGTTACGACGTACTGAATACACACCCAGCTGATCTTCGAATGGACCATCATTAAAAGCTCGAGAGATTCGTCAGGATACCGTTTTCCCCGCTATGTACACATCTAATGGCCAACAACGGCCAATGGCTCCTTATACATCTCAATCATCCGGAAGACCAAATACCAACGCAATGCAGAATACCGGATCATCAGTCTATGGTACCGGCTTTCGTAGAAATGTTGGCTATCAACCCATCGTTGCAAGTACGCCTTCGAATAATAGCAATATTGGTTCGTCTTCTATTAGCGAGAACATCGTTCAAGACCATACCCCAAGAGCACCTTTCTATCCTACTTTTGGAACGTCTTTTGGGAACAGCAACCCTACTGGCTCGAACAACAATAACGTGGCCAATAATTCCATCAATTCGCAAAACCATCAGCAAAGGCAACAACAGAATACCCAGCACCATGTTCAGCAGCAACAACAGCAGCAGCAGCAGCACGATCATCCATCTATGGGATTCGGAACGCCCATCACATCCAAAGGCATGTTCATGAATCAATATCCAGTCCAAAATACCGGAGAACCTTCAAGGATGCAAAATATGCCAGCATCTGTGGCAGATCATGGAGATCAAGCGTATGGCATCAATCATCAACAAGCTGAACAGCAGCAGCAGCAGCAGCAACATTATCCTCAATTTGCAACGCCAAGTAGCGGTGGAGGAGACAATAACGGATCGGATGCTAGCGGTCTCCAGAATACAGCTGCTTTGCAACAGCTAAACAGGCATATGGCCCAATTGGCTGGAAACGTGGCAACATCAGTCAGTCAAAATGAATTGGTGATTTCTCTTTTGGAGAGGTTGGTTTCTTTGACTGAGAATCTTGCCAATCCTTCTCATCAACAAATAAGCCATCAGCACCAGATACACCCTTCTTCCAACGTCTCCTCGAACGGTGAAGCGGTCACATCACAGCACCCTTCCACCTCTTCTTTCCATTCAACCTCACCCAATGCTATTCAGCACGATCAGAATCAAAGACAACAAAGTGACAGCATACAGAATAGCGGAATGAGTCAATTACCGCAATCCCAAAGCTCTAGAGGACAAATGATACAAGATTCCAGTTCGGCAATATCACGAGAGACGGATCGATCCGTTTCAAACGAAGATCTTAGTAACGGACTCTCGATTACATTCTCACAGGCTCCATCAGAGACATATTCCCGAAGGCAGAATGATAGCATTTCTCGATCCGCAGGAACGAACGGAGGCAGTGAGCAGCATATTTCACCGGAACAAGTACAGATACATTCGACGCAAAATCAAACAGAGAATCGGCAACGATCTTCGAACCAGACCTTACAGGTACCGGCGCTAAACGAAAGCTTTGATGATCCTTTGAACTTTATCGGGACACCTGCTTCGACAACTTTCCATCAAGGTGATGGACCGAGTGAAAGGGCATATATCCAACAACAGACACGACAAGGAAAAGGCACTTCGATCTCTCACTCTTCGGTAGACAATCAGCTGAGACAATCAAACACAGATAGCAGTGATTTGAGCAGTGCTGCTACCCCGCATTCTGGACCGCCACGATATGATAATGGAGATTCGATAATGAATATGGAAGATCATATTAATCGCATTCCAAGTCCCGTTTTCAGTGAATCAATCCCTGCGGCTGATGTTGATGATGATTTCTCTTCGTTCGATTTGAGCATGAATGTGATCCCAAGAAGAGAATCAAGGCGGGTCAGCATGCGGGCACAGCAGCAGAGGCAATCGTTATCGCAGCAGTACCAAGCTCAAGCGCAGAATCAAATCAGACAACAGCAAGAGCAACAAAAGGCAGCGGAAAGCGAGTTGGTTCGAGATGCTGAGCAGGTGGAGAAGGAGCTACAGCCACAGCAATCTGAGCAGAGTCGTCCTATACATAACAGATCGAGTACGAATCAATCTGCTTCAGCCAACGATGAAAATGAAGAGAATGAACCGGCAAATCCACGTGTTGTCCTTCGCCGTGGCCGTAAACGTAAAGCAGTTTTGCCAAGGGAATCTTTGCGGCCATCCCAACCAGCGGCAGAAGAAGAAGAAGCTGATGAAACGCAAGAAGGACCGGATGATTTATGGTTAGAATGGCTTGAACCACGTTCACCTCCGCCATCAAAGACACGCAATGTACCGAAAGCACTTTATCGAACGATCAAAGAAGTTCGCCTTGATAGAAAAGCAAAGACAAATAGAAGTTTAGCCACGATCGGTAGAATCCCGTTGAAGGAATACTTGGAAGTTGGAGGTGATCCAGAATATCGTGCCGTACGAAGAATGGCGCGAACGGTATACAACAATTGGCTTGAACCAAACGTTCGATTGGCCAAACAAGCAGAAGATCGACTTTTGGCATGCTTTAATCGAATCGAATATGATTTTCCAATCTTGGCAGATTGTGAAGGACATTGGAAAGCACGTGAATTGATGTTACAAGTTATTGATAATGCAATTGATGAAGTTGCATTTCATAAACGTAAAGAGGCAAGATTGCTTGGTAAACCTGCAAAGAAGAGTGGACAAGGAATTCCAAAGAAAGATTCTCAAAATGCAAAGGTTGCACGTTCCACCTCTCAAGATCAAGATCTGTCTCGTAGTACGAATGGTGGGCGGGATGATACAAGACCAGCTGCAAGAAGGCGGGTTGAGAATACTGTAAGGACTAGAAGGTCTTCGCAATTGCCAGATGAGGAGGAAGAAGACGAGGAGGAGGATGAGGAAGAAGGGGACGAAGACGGAGATGAAGACCAAGACGAGTCTAATATGTCCAACAGTGATGCAATTTGGAACATGACCTCAAATGGAGCAATTAATGGAGGTCGTACTTCTAACGGATCTCATGCTGATTGGGATTCATCTCATGATTATGCCCTTCTGGATGCTGCACCTACAAGTACAGCTGATCAAAGTGCTGATTATACATATATTCCTACTCGAGCTTCTTATACTCGAAGAGGTGCACAAGCTGCTTGGTGATGGATGGTAAATGATTTGTATGATATATAGTAATGAACTGATTTTTATGTTATAGCGTAAAGTTGCCGCCTCGGCGCATAAGGTGATTCCCGGCAAATGTACCCCGAGTGATTGATTGTGTGTGTGTGCGCTGATCTATTGATGCATACGCCGTGCATTTGATACCTGCAGGCATTTCGGGTCTAAAGAGAGAACAAAACAAAAGTGGATTTTACCAAAGCATCAAAGATCCATTCATTGGGTCCCACTTCAAGGGTTTTACTCGTGAAAAGGGAAGTTTGTTGATTATGATCAAAAGACAGACTTTCACATCATCACCTTCACATCCTTGAAGTCACCCATCACACAACATGTCAAGCTTCACTGCTATAGCCAAATCAAGCGGTGCATTACGATTAGGACAAGCCGGTGGAGGTAGTGGAGCGCCTGCTCCTCATTTCGATTCAATCTTACGTGCTGCTCCGGCATATGATGAAGATGACGATTATGAGGAAGTAGAAAGGCGGAACGAACAAAGAGAGGAAGAAGAAGATTTGAATCTGCCAACACCAACAGATGTAACAGAAGCAATCAGACCACACTTGCAACATCATTCATCCCTGCATGCATACTTGGACGCGAATATGCTGTTGGAAGAAATGATTCTAGGAACACAAGAAAGAATATATGAAGATTCGGGAAGGCTCAAAAGTCAAAGAGCAGAGCTAAGACGAGCCGAAGAAAGTTTAAAGGTCCTGCAGAGTGCAAAAGGTAAAGGAACGGGTGCAGCGTTTTGGATGCCGAAGAAAAAGAGGGCATACAAGGCAAAGATGGAAGAATCGTTGAACAATTTGGACAAAGTACAAGATCAGGTAAATATGTTGGATCGCGATTGGAGGGAACAAACCGAACACATCGCAACCCTCAAAGCGGAACTCGCCCAATTCAAACGAGTTGAAGCAAGATTAGACGCTCTGGATAATCAAGTCTTTAGCGGACAAACACCCGCACATCCTGAAGAAGATGAATTGGAACAAAAGTATCATATCTTATGGCAAACGGCAAGAAGGCTACAAGCATCTGTACAACTTGAAAAGAGAGCACAAACACATCTAACAAAAGCGCATACATTATGTCATACAATGGTAAATGAATTACTCAAAGGTTTAAATATCGGAATCGAAACAGGTGTGGCGAGCAATACCAAACATAAAACACAATTATGGAAAGGGACAGATTCAAAGTACACAGCAAGACATTCTCGTGGGGTTATCCTAAGAGCAAAGACACTTTGTGGTGATTTGCATACCCATTTCATCTCCGCAAGAGCTATTCAGAGAAGGATAAAGCCACTACCAAAATTGGAAGTGATTGAACTTACACGATTACCCGATCAATGGAACAGTAATACCGTTAACGAGAAAGGTCTACATAGATCGTTAGAATCTTCTTATGCACAAAGCAAAGTCGTTAAAGCACACATCGAAAAAGAACGTGAAAAGAGCGTAAGAAGACAAAAGAAGTTGAAGGAGCAAATTGACGGTTTACAAGGACAAGCAAGATCTATTTGGCTTGAATTACGTCATATTCGCAGAAACATTATTGAAGTTATTCGACAGAATGAAAATGAACCTTTATCGTCAACTGACACCGTACCGCGCGCTGCTGATCTTTTGGCGAGTAGCAATAGTATCGGATCGCAAAGGCCATCGCAAGAACGTCCTTTCAACCCTTCCGTTCCACCTTCAGCAGAAGCATCTGCAAGGCCAAGTATGAGCGGTTCTCTATTTCCTCCACCGTACAGACGAGAACTTGCTTCACAATCCTCATTAGGCATTCAATTTCCTCCTCTCACCACAACGGATTCAGGTACTTTGGCCGATTTTGCATCTTCAAACGATTGGGAAGCACGTGAACAACATAGATTGATCACTTTACCTCGTGCTTTTCGTCGTGTGATAGATAGAGAAAGTATAAAGAAAAGTAAAGAAATCGCAACTCGAATCGCAGTGGAAGTTGGAGGATTTGACGAAGATGATGATGTGGCTGCTATTGGTCATATTGATACGCCGGGAGAGGAAGATTTACCGGGCTTCCATTTAGCTTTCAATTGAGGGTGTAAATACGATTTTTCAATTTATCTCACGAAACTGCATGTATATTAATGAATGAAATGATGAACTCGAGCGCTGTGTATACAGATGAGGGGAAAGAGAAATCATAAAAAAAGAAAGGCAGGGACAAGGTCTTAATCACGTTTGCGCAAATTGCTCATGGAGGGACTCTTTTTACGTCCTGCTAACATCATACTTGCATCACTCTTGCGTCTTTTTACCTGTCTATCAGCATTTTCTGAAGTTGGATTCTGCACGGAATCTTCAATCTTTTCAGAAATCGAAGCTGAAGAATTCATACTTGGCGTCATGTTTGGCAAAGGTGGTGCATCTTCCCACCTTGGACCGTTTCTGTTGGCTTTAGAATTTGACGATTTACGTGGAGAAGAAGGTTGATCGAATTGTATCCTTTCGTCCGCTTCAGCTGCATTATCGCCCATACTGCCTCCGTAATCATCATCATCATCGTCATCGCCTCCGAAACCTTTCAATGGCACCTTGTACGATCCACTCGGTGCAACGGCTGAACAGAGTTCGTCTGCGTCTTCAATTCCGTAATTGATAAATTCGAAATTCGTATTTCCAACTCCAAAAGAAGTAGAAGAGGAAAGCATGCCCGTGTTACTTCTTCCACGTTTGGTTGGACTCATGGGTGAATTTGGGATCGTTCCATACAATTGCATCGAAGGTGTTTCAGGAGTTGCATTTAGCATGTTCAACCTTCGATTACTTGCAATCTTTCTTACACTCTTGTTTGGCGTGTTGTGTACGGAAGATGAACCATTTGGATTTTGCATGGAAGCGTATTGGTTGCCATCCATCGAAGAAGAAGGCGACATCATGTGCAAATTCGGCGTACTACGCATATGTCTTGGAGATGGATGAGAAGCTGAATCTCCCAAGGCTGCCATTGCAGTACCTGCTCTTGGCCTTTGTCCTGCGAATGCACTTTGTCCTACCGGCATAACTTTCTGTTGTTGAGGTGGGAAAATGAGCTTTTGATGATGTTGATTTGAGGTGAGTTGTGGATAAGAAGTGATGAAATCGGACTTCGAAATAGAGGAAGGCATTAGGCCAATTGCAGAGTTTGGCATTGGAGGAAAAGACGAGAATGATGAAGGATCCAAAACGGCAGCAGGGTTGATAGCGGTGGTTGTAGAAGTAGCATTATTGTTGTTTGGCAAATTGTACAAACCCAAAGAGTTTTGCAAGTTTGCCAAATAATCGGCTTGTGCCTCTTTGCTACTTCCTAGATCGTTGTTTGATCCCGCTTGCATCTTACCGAATTGCATCATCGTGAAATCGTTCATTCCAACAGCGTTCTTTCCCGATAGTCCGGATGCCATTTGTGGAGTGAACGAAAACGCTTGAGCTGCATTTCCTGTCCATGGAATTTGGGGCAATGCATCTTGATTATTGACACCACTACCCGATGCAGGTGCACTGCTTAATGACATGCCAACAAAAGGTGTAATTGGTGTGTGTAGCTCGGTCATATTGCTTCCTGAACTTGCAGTGTTTGGTCTTCCGGTAGCAGGGCTGACGTTCAAATTATTGACAGAGGAAGATTGATAAAGCTGCATGTTGTTATTCACTCCTTCACTTGATGATCCAGCATTCGATTCTGAATTTGCAATATTGCTCGTTGATCCCGTGGCATTTACTTGATCTGCCAATTGTTGTAGCCTCTGCTGTTGAGCGATCAAAGCTGCTGCTCTTCTTTGATTCATAGAAGATTGTGAAACCGCGTTCAAATTGTTGAGCATATTCGAAGATGAGAATTGACTGTCGTTTGAATTTCCAAGAGAAAGGGAAGAAGATGAATGTGCAAGACCGGAATTGAACGAATCAAGGTTAAATTGATCATCGTTTGTTTCGGTTGCATTATTGTCCACTAGATCTTCCGGTCTTTTTGGAACTTCGACGGGTGCAGGAACGGGCATCGTACCATCCCTTGAAACAGCTCTACGTTGATAAAGAGCACTGTTTGTAGTTTGTAGAGACATGCCACCACCACCACCACCGCCACCGCCACCGCTGGAAGTAGAACTACTTGCATTGCCTGAGATAGAGTAGGAGTGATCGCCTGCAAAAGAGGCATTCTCGTTTCCGGCGGAGTGGGATGCAACCACGGTATCATTACCGATTTCACTATCTTGTGCCGTTGAATCGCCAATTCCGCTATCTTCTGGTTCTCCATCTTCACCTTGTTTAGGCCAACCCATTTCGGATAACAATTCTTCTAATCTTGCAGTATATCCCGATGAAATTCTTCTTTTCAAATTTGGAACACTTTTGAATGCTTTTAGCTTTGAAGGCAAAGAAGCACCGGGTGATCCAACCGCTTCTTTCATACTTTGCAAAGAGGCTTCGTTTGACGTATCGAATTGCATGCGCTTTTTACGTTGTAAGGCTAGATGAGCACTTGGAGCCGAGCCAGTCTCAGGAGAAGGAATGAACCAAAGATCGTTTTTGAATCCATCATCACCATTTCTATCCGATAAACCACTTGTAGAATATGCATCACCCGGTGAAACGTGAGTGAATTGATGATCCTTCTCGTTATTTTTATGTTCATCTTCAAAGTTTCCCATCGAATTCCAAGCGGGTAAATGATGAATTGAAGAAGAAGGAAAGATATCCGAACCTGATTGACTACTTGAAGCAGAAGATATACCGTGATTGTTTGCGTCTGCCCTTGCTTCATATGCAGCCAAAGCACTCAGGTTCCCATCTTCATCTGTATGTTTTGACCAGAATAAATCTTGTCCGCTATTGGATGCACTCATTCCGCCTCCTTCAAAAAATGGTGTCCAATTTAGTGTAGGTGAATCGGTTGACATTTTCTGTTCGATGAATAAGCCTAATGCGTTGGTTGTTGAGATGTATGGATCTGACTCCTCTTCTGATTCGGGTATAGAAGAAAGTTGTGAAGAAGCAGCCGAGAAGGGTGAATAGGATGATTGTTGGTCTGTAGGTGGATGAGAGAATGACGAAGTAAGCATTGCGAAATTTACCATGACGGGAAGTGGATGTGATCGGAGGGGATGGAAAAGAAACAACTCTATCGTGTGTACTCACATATTTATGTATAACCCGTCGGAGAATAGAAAGGTACCGTGAATGTGAGTGCGTTCCTATGCCCCTTGTCGATCAATTCAATTAGATCCAGATTAGAGTAAGCAAAGCAAAAGTGCCTTGTGTGCAAGAGGGGTGTCTGTTTCGCTTGTTCGATTGACAGGTCGGATAGTTGGAAAAATGAGGGAGAGAGTGCGAGAAGTGAACGAAGAGATTGATCACGTTTACTGATTGGTGAAAAAACGAGGCGAAGTAACGGTCCGAGCGATCAATTCTGTTTCTGGACTTCGGATGTGGGTCAAGTTGTGGGGAGAGATTTGTATGTTTGCGATAAGGAAAGTTTGCGTGGGAGATTGCCAGTGTGTGAAATGAATTGATAAAAGAAACAGATTGCGTGATCTTTTTGTGAATGATTATGATAAGCCTGGACCACTCCGTCTTTTTTTTTCTTTTCTGTATTCGATGATCGGGTAAAGTGGCTTCGTTTGAGATTTGGTTTTAGATAGAAGCTCTTTTCGAAATGATAATTTGTGTCTCTCAATGAGCCAGTAAATTGAATGAATCGAATGATGGGGAGAGGGCGAAAAGTAGGGTATTCAATAACCAAAGCGTGTGAACGAAGGAAATGATGGTGAGACAAAGATGAGTAATGAATAATGAATTCGCATATGAATTGAAAATTGACTAGTTTTAGATTATGCACTTTGTTCAATAGATTGATGTGTTTTTTTTCTCATTCATACTCCACAAGTAGCCGGTAACCCCTCTCAATAACCGGCCTTTAGAGAGTCAAAGGAAACTGTCAAGATGCCATAGTGCAAAAGCCACCGAATGCACCATACTACTAAACAAGCAAGAATATCATCGCTGTAAGCTTAGAATTGTGGACTCGTTAGTGTAGAAATTGGAACATCTATGCATATATTGCTAGCCCTGAAGCAGGGTTGCTTTCGTCAAGGTCATTTGTGTTGGTTATCAAGCTGTACCACAGCAGTATTCTGAATCAAAAGTGGGACAGATTGAGAGCGGAGTAAAGACTTGAACTGTCTATATTGCCAATAATGGAATGGTGTAATGCGGACTGTTTTGTGTAGATCATCAGCTTGGATAGGGTAGATGTTGATCAAAATCATACCCCGATCTGTTGTTGCTAGAACCCTATTATTGAGTGTTGATGCACACGTTCTTGCAACCATAATTAAGGTTCACCGTAAACTCACACACATACACACATAGATTGATTCTTCATTTCGGCAATTGAACAGAAGCATCAAGCCAGCAGATGATAAACCAACCTTTATGCGTCACGGATCACATATGTCTCATATGTTCGACAAAACGATGATGATGATTAAAAAAAAGAGCCGAGAGTGAAATTGTGCTGGAGGTGTTTATCTAGGAAACCTATTTAGGAAACAATGGCGCGTTTGATATAACTCGTCAGGCGCGCGCGCGCGTATCCGTTCTAAAGCGCAAGCACATGGTATATGAGACAAATTGGCCTCATAAAAGTTTAACTTTATACAATGAACCCCCCTCATTACTCCCTCAGACAAGGATCTCGACCGTCGCTTTGAATGAAGCCGGATCATGTGAATCGAAGCTAGTGTTGTACTACGAAAGGAAAGCTAATCCGGAATATTGGAACGAGTTCACGATCATCATTATGTAATCGGTCACTTTGAGAGAGATGGTGTAGAGAATTGATCAAAATTGTGCAATATCTATAGAGAAATCAAAATACAAAAAGAGAAACAAGAGAAAAAGCAATGAACAAAACAAAACAAAAAAAAGTTGGGAATATTACTCGTTCATAGAGGATTGAATAAGGTATTAGCAGGAACAACAGTCGTCTTGTGTATTAATGACTGGGGATATATGTAAAGGGAACTCTATCAATGAAAAAAAGAGAAAGGACGGAGAGGTGAAAATGGCTATTATATACAGGTGTCATTGAAAGATGACTTTTGATGCAAACGTTGAATTTACACCGTTTGCATAGGTGTAGGAGTGGTGGTTGAGGCTGCTGGAGTAGCTTGAGCAGCTTCAGGTGTTGTACTTGCGGCTGCTGTGGATGGAGCTTGAGATGAAGCAATCGCAGCAGCAATAACAGCTTGTGCTTGTTGTGTTTGTTGTTGAGCAACAGCTTCACGTTGTTTAGCCTGTTGTTGAGCTGCTGCTGCTTGTGCTGCCGCTGCAAGGGCATCACTAGAAAGGTCATTAGTGCTAATTGCTGGTCTGCCTGTTGTAGCATCAGCTCTTGCGCTTGGACCGCCACCGTTTGCATGTAATAATTGCAAGCCCAACAAGCCGTGAGATCCGCTATGCAAGTAGTGATAACGCAAACCGTTCAGGTTCTTGTAACGCTTTCCACATGCACCAACTTGACAGATATACATCTTTTCGCCCTTTGCAAGAGCTCCAGGTCCGAGTTCCATACTTGATTTACTGTCTGGCGAAGAAGATGTAGGTGATTCGTCTCCATTCTCTGAAGTGGGCGTAGGAGGAGCAGAATCAATCTTGATGCTGTTTGCACTTGCTGCAACCGCATTTGCATTATCATTCACCACCGCGCTCAATTGTTGTTGTGGCGGCAAATTGTTTTGATTGCATTGACCGTGCAAACGATGATATTTCAAGCCATTCATCTGTTTGTATGCTTTATCGCATCCAGGTGAAGTGCACTTGTACGGTCTATCGCCCAATGCACCTGGGTTGGCCAAGCTGTTCTCTAGAGCAGCAGATGAGTTGGCCATAGAAGCAGTCTTTTCTCTCTTTGCTGGTGGCACGACTCCATTAAGTTGTGAGATAGAGCTAGATCCAGCTGCTGGGAAGAAAAGATTTGGCGGTGCACAAGATGGCAAATCGTGGTCTTCATTATTGTTGCGCAGCGAAAGAGATGAGAACGCTGGGCTACCGCTACCACCTCCAAAGAATGCTGCTTCCATATCATTGTCTGCTGTTGGTGTTCCGGGAATAGAGCCACCAGGTGTAGAGAATGGAGAGTTGGCAGAGTAGACTGATGAAGCACGGGAATTGCTGCGACCAAGACCGTTATCAATCAATGCTCTACGGAGAGATTGATGTACTTGACCATTGCTGGCACCGTTGGCAAATTGACCAAAGCTGCGCTTCTTGCCTTTGAAAGGACTACGCATGATAGTAGTATCGAATGCGGAAAGGTGTTCATTGGTGTCCAAAGCACTCTCGCTTGTGCTGCTTGAAGAAGAGCTTGCGATTGCGTTTGTCGATTTGGGGCTTGGAGGTTGAGATGCTGTGGCGGAAGATGAAGGAGAATGTGCTTCATCATCTGTGATCATTGCCGGTACATCATCATCCTCGAATTTGACGTGTGCCTCTTCATAGTGTTGTAAAAGATCATGTAGATTCTCTAATGCTTGACCGCAACATTTGAAGTTACTGCAAAATGTATTGTCGATCTTTGTGCGTGGTAGGGATGTGGACGGTAGGGCAGTCATATCTGAATCCGTTGAGGCGACAGATGATGAAAATCGTGCGATTGAATAGTCCATTATGCTGTGATTAGTAAGATAATCAGATGAAATGTCAGCACAAATGTTACACAATTGTCTAGAGACGTCACAAGATCGCCGCGCAGCAGAATTGTGACTGCTCAGCTCAGCGCGGGTTGTGTACAGATTAATAATGATTACTCACTCAGCTGCATCTTTGCCAAAAGAAGCGGCAATTGCTTCACGAAATGATCCACTTGAAGCACCTGCAAAAGAAGAGCCCAAGATGCCATTACTACTCCCTGTAAGTGAGCCAGACATACCACTTTGACGTGTGATCGTGCTTTCTGGCGAATTTCTAGATATCGCGATTGGTCCTGGCATTGTGTATGGTGTGATGATTGTTGAGGGAATACGTTGATTATGTTCAAATGAATGAATGAAATTCTCCAATTGATATATATGCGTGGAATCGGCCAACTTGTTTGTTGTGTAAGCGGAGCCGCGAGTAAAGAGCTCAAATGAATGCGGATAGTAGGATGAGTTAAATCGATTTCAAAAAGATGATGTCTTGATGATAGGTAGTTTGACTTAAAGCTTGAGATAGCTAGATGATTGTGGCGATGAATAAGATAGGATGGGATTGATCAATGGGGAACAGGTATGTTGTTGATACATAAGCAGTACATCATGTACGCCAATGTACATACACACATACACACACGCTGAGAGAATGCCTAGCTTCGGATTGGTGGCCAGTAGGGAGTGAGGCTAGAGTGAGGTTTTAGAATTCACAAAAATGTATGTACGTAACCAATAATAATGCATGTTTGAAACTTTTTGATGCATGAAACCAGTCTTTAATTTTTATTCGTCCGGAAGTCTTCTTCTCTTTCTCTTACAAGGAAATTAATAACCGCGCGCGACACACTATAATACATCATGCACTTATATTTGCTCGCATAGAAAAGGTTGATCCGGAGATGTTTGTTTATCGGGCTAAAGTGCCTAATAATCAAACCGTTTAAATCTCGGAAGGCTCATTCACCCTGAAAACGGCTAGCGTTGGCTCAAAATGCGGTTTTGGATCCTGACCGAGTATGTGCCCAAATCCTATGGGGAGAGGCGCGCAAATGTAGGTCCAAGGGATGATGAATTGACATCTTAAGTTTTCATTAATCTAGATAAAAAAGAAGGTTAGAGGTAAAGTGCACAACTGTATCTCGTTCGGGAAAAAAACAGTTTGGTCCGGGTAATAATAGAGCAACAAGTTTGAAGGGTACTTCTCTCTCAAAGTGCGCTTACATGTGGATTTAGTTGAATTTTATGATGCAACATGCAACTCTATTCTTTCTTTCCTTTAGCCTTTTTCTTCCTTTCTGACAATGCGGCGCCACGAAAGTGTACTTTTTCCCTATAAACGGAAATGCCGCAAAAGAAACAATAAATCTGTTCACGCTAGAAGAAACAATGAGCCGTTGCATTTCTCCAATGCGGTTTAGCACTTGAAGCATGAAAGAATGCATGCGGGTTTCTTTTGGGTGAAAACAATAAACGTAAAACACTGCTTTTGTGCCATATGCGAGTAGATCCTCGGCTTCAATGTATGTACAAGTGCACGGTTAATGCAGGCACTACACTTGAGACTTGTCATTGACTTTTTTTATTACATACACGCACTTTCGTAACAGAAACGGTTACCGACGGTTGTCAGTCTACAAGGCCCTAGGGTGCTAATAGTATTCTCTCATCGATCATGATTACCTTAACGTCTAATTTCTTTCGATCCGAACAGAAATGAGACTATTTTATAATCATCGTCATCATCAATTCTCGCCTGGTAAGTTTATAGAATGATTATTCTCAATAGAGAGTGTGGTTGCAGACTACACCCCATGCGATCATTCTGCATCAGATAGGCTATTTACAGGTGTAAAGAAGCGGTGCCGAGGCAAATATGCAAGTTTCGGAGAAACACGCGTAAGAAGTGACAAAAAATAAAAAATTCCCTTTCGGCTACGTAAACCTAACGTTTCTTTCACTGTTAGAGTGCGAATTGATGGGATGATGATGTGGTGTGGCTGAACAATGCTTGTGGTCGCTGATTTTGGAAAATTGTGGGAAAAATGAACGGAAAATAAGAATAGCCATGCATCTCTTCTTATGCACATTCTTTAATGTGAGACATGATTCTCATTCGGAGTTTAAAGTCCGTCCTTTGTGACAGGTGAAGATGGCTTGGTAATGGCGGCGAAGGCGGCGGTGTTCTAGACACTTTCAAAAGAACAAACTTCTCTTGCATTATTATCAACATAAGAAATGAGAATCATTGTCTGAAGCGAATTTCAATAATTCATTATTTGATTTAAACAATTTCACCGTTTATTAATTAATCGTATGAAATTGAAATTGCTTGGCATCAGGTTTCAATTCTGGGCGTTTTATTATTTCTCCGAAAGATGGAAGCGTGAATCTTGCAGCAGAAATGTACGCGTGGATTACACGCACGACTAAAAGGAAAGGCAGGCAAAATGTTCTGCCAGTCATGAACGAATGAATGAATGTATGCTCGGCTGGGCAGTAATGCCCTTGAAAGCATTGAATGTATGCACCATATGCTAAATTCAGCCAATCAACCATACATTCTAGTGATGGTGCCGTTTTGGATGCATAAAGAACAATACAAGCATTGCCGGAATCATGATTAGTCAAAGCCACGATCAATATTTAAGCTCTAATCCGGTCATATTTCGGAGTTGTATGAACTTGGCTGTCAAGTACATACAATACATACCCGTGTTATTGATCTGACACGTTGCATGTGTACACGTAAGTTCCACGTATGCTTTCAATCAATCGTTCGACCGCATTCAGAGAAAGTCCTTCTCATCTTTCTTCGTGGAATCATATTCCATTTCTATGGCCTCGACAAGCTCATTCGTCATGCTTCCCTTCCATTCTCCCTTTCTACCATAAGGATCCTTTATGACACGCTCTGTTAATCTGAGGGTTGCTCAATCTTAGGCATGTCACGGTTGTTTGTACCGATGAGGAAGGACATATCAACTACCTAACAGTGAATGGCTTTCCATATGCTATCACGATGATGTGGTTCGGGGGGCCATACGGGATCACAGCATTCTTAAGCATCCTTTCCTCGAGCTTAACTCCGACAGCTTACATAAGCTTGTCTCTAAACTGATTCTTCGGATAAGTGACGCCGTTGGAATCGTTTAAGTTTTAGTGAGAGGCTAAACAGAGAACCCTCTTAATCACCATCAGGAAAAAGTTGCCGTACTATAATTCATCATTACCGCATTTACTGCACTTTGAGCGTTGTGGCTGGCGGAGAATTGGTTTTGATGACTTCACTTTGAATTGCGCGAATGGACTGCTTTGATCTCTTCTCTTCCCTTCTTGGCCCTTATTCCCGGCCTCTCGATCTGAACGATAAAGTGCAGCCTGCAATGTGCACTACACGGCGCGTCGGCTGGGGAGAAATTTAATTAAGTGGAGTAATGGCATTTAAGCAGAGTAAAACAGTAGTTTTGTTGCTTATTTGTATTCCCGCTTTGTTCGATTGCACTGAGAGAGTATAAACTGCAAAACTACGTATTCGATGATTTCATCACAGAGCATGTATCATGATCATCATTGTGAGCCCTGTGAGGGTGCTGTTTTTGAACGGAAAGTCTCCACTTTCAATTAACCCTTACAACCTGCCGAACAAATCGAATAGCACAAGTCAAGGTAAAATTAAAGCTCGTCATTCTCCCCGATTCAAAACTGTAATCATGCTTTCCATTCAAATCGAACAAAAACAAATACAAAATTTAAAACACACTGTGTATGTATGTATTATCATGCATTACACTGCATTTGCTTTAATAGCTTGACCTGCATACATTTTTGGGGTCATCTTTAGCATAGATCAACATCATATAACTCATGATAACTCCATCTCTTCATTTCATTCTGTCAACAACACTCTCATCATCATAATTGATCAACTCTTTAAAAGCAAGTTTCAAATCGGATTGATCATACCCAATCCGCTTTATTGACATTTGATCGCTAGAAGACGAAAAAGTCATCCAACTTTGGAGCTCCACCATCACTCCACAATATATACCTTGAAGGGCAGCACTCGAACTCTCAGACATTTTATTCCTACGAAAAGCACTTAAGTGAGCCTTTCTCATCAAAAGAAGTTCATCAACACCTTTAACCCGAATCGGTATTTGATCAGAATCATCTTGCCGTCATGGCGGTGCTTGATAATTTCAAAAATTTCATCAGACACGGTAAAACTGCTCGTGAAGGAAATGGATCAGATTTCAGTGCTTCATCTTCAACAGCAGCTAATATGTCGTCCAGACAACAACAGCAACAGCAGCAGCAGCAAAAAGGGGTGAGTATCGATGTGGAGAAAATGATCTGCGCTAAATGAATGAGCGTACCTGATGGTGGCGGGCGGTGAATCAGACCTGGCTTCGGCTCCTGCAACGGTCCCGGATCAGAGCGGAATGGGATGAAATCTCTTCTGTTCTGCTGAAGAACGCCTTCTTTCTTGCACGCTTACGCGAAACCTTATACTGACATGACTCATTCTTACACAGCTTGGATCACAAACAGCAACTGGTTCATCTGCACCAAATTTGACAGAATCAGGTTATCAAGTTGAAGCAAAAGGAGCTCCAGCAGGTGCAAAAACAAATTACGATTCATCTGCTTTGGCAAAAGGACATCAAGCAGGTCCTTCGGCGCCCGGAGTAACGGCAGCAGAAACTGCATCTTCCATACCTGCCCATGTAACTACAGGAAATCAAGATCTTGGTGCTGGAACGCCTTTGCTTTCAACTGATGCACAAATGTATACCAAAGAAGCAGAAAAGATTGTGGAGGAAGAAAGGATTGCATCGGAGAAAATGCCAAATTATCCTGGATTAACTGAACGTTTCCAGCTGATCTGCAAGATGGGAGACGGTGCTTTCTCGAATGTGTACAAAGCACGTGTACGTAAAACAGGTCAAAAGGTCGCCATCAAAGTTGTACGAAAGTATGAGATGAATAGCAGCTCAAACGATGGTCGCTTGGACCCTCAATTCAGAAAGAAGAATCGTGTCACTGAACGAGCAAACATCTTGAAGGAAGTTCAAATCATGCGCAATTTGAAGCATGATGGTATCGTGAAATTGTTGGAATTTTCTGAATCAAGAGATCATTATTACCTTGTTTTGGAATTATTAGAAGGTGGTGAATTGTTCCATCAAATTGTCAAATTGACATACTTCAGCGAACCTTTGGCCAGACATGTGATTCTGCAAGTTGCAAACGGTATACGACATTTACATGAAGAATGTGGAATCGTTCACAGAGATATCAAGCCAGAGAATCTACTCTTCGAAAGAATCAAGATCATCCCATCCAAGATTGATAAAGCGAGACCTTATGATGAAGAAAAAGAGGATGAAGGAGAATACATGCCCGGTATTGGTGGTGGTGGTATTGGTAAAGTCAAAATTGCCGATTTCGGATTGAGCAAGATTGTTTGGGAAGAAAGTACAATGACACCTTGTGGTACGGTTGGTTATACCGCCCCCGAAATTGTCAAAGATGAAAGATACTCCAAATCAGTTGATATGTGGGCACTGGGTTGTGTGCTATATACACTCTTGTGTGGTTTTCCACCTTTCTACGATGAAAGTATCTCTGTCTTGACCGAAAAAGTTGCAAAAGGATACTATACCTTCCTCAGTCCATGGTGGGATGACATTTCTTCTTCGGCAAAAGATTTGATTACACATTTGCTTTGTGTTGACACTTCTAAACGGTTCACGATTGATGAATTCTTAGCACATCCATGGTGCAACGTCAAGGATCCAATTCCCGATCTCAATTCGGCAGATATTGCATTGGCAAAAGCAAGTGAGATGCCACTCGATAGTCCTCTATTACTAAGTATGAAGAAGGGCAATGGTGCCCGACAGGCAATGATGAGTCCAGGCATTAATCAATTGAAGGAAGCATTTGATGTTACATATGCCGTTCATCGTATGGAAGAAGAAAGTGCGCATAGACGAGGTGCTGGCGGTCAAGAGAATTTGCGAGGAGTAGCATTGAACGAAGATGATGAAGACGGAGATGCAGAACAAATTCAATCTGCTGCAAGAAGACATGGTGAAACATTTTCACCTCCAAGAAGTGAAAGAGAATATCGTCAACAGCAACAACAGAGACATCAACATAACCCATCCACTTCTTCTTCTAATTCTTCAGCTGCTCAACAACAAGCCGCCGCTCAACATTACCCTGGTCGTGGTGGCGCTGATAGAAAGATGGCAGAAGCCGCTCTTTATGATGGAAGAGCGGGCACCCGTGACCGTGGTTCTGCAGCTCGTAACAAGAAGCAATTCGAATTGAATATGGGCAATGCTACCCTATTAGGAAGAAGAAATCGTGGAGGTGCTGGTGGCGTACCTGGCAGCATTGGACAAATGTTGGATCATGGAGCTTCACATCCAACGAATTTCGTTCCTGGTAGTCCAATGCGCGTTGATTAGAACTAGAAAGAAAACACACACCATCACATCCTCATCTCCCTTATTCAAAAGCTGTAGACTATTTTAGTGATTCATTTTGTCCCATACACGGATCCTCATAATTTCTTATCATTCATTCAATAATGACATACGCAATACACATACACACACTGCGAGCTGGAATGCAATTGCTATTAGTACTATTACAAAGCATAAATATACAGATTAGGCACAGCACTTATTCTTCTTCGTCATCTTCTTCATCGGATGAACGAATGTCTAAAGCAGGCATTGAATCGTCTGAATCCTCACCATCATCATCTTGAAAGCTCATAGTGCCTTGTTTGGCCAAAGGTGAGGAAACTTTACTGGTTGTTGTTGAGGCGATTGCGACAGTAGATGATGAAGTATCCAAGGTGGTAGGTAAATGTGACAACGTACCATCTTCGGCACTTGTAGTAGCGTTTATCGCAGACGGTTTACTTGGTAAAGAATACGAAGGAGCTTGCTTGAATCCTGAAGTCCGTTCAGGACTCTGGCTATCGTGACGGAGCGAGGTCTTTGGCGATCCAATTCGTGGCGTGCTCGGTCGACGGATGGGCTTGACTGGATCGGGTGAATAAGGCACATTTGCCGCCACCGTCTGCTCTGATGGATGGTCATTGCTCGTTCGTGGGAAGAGTGTCGCTTTTGTGGTTTGTTGTTGCACCACTTCCCCGCCATCGTCTACAATATCCAGTACATCACGCATGATCTCTTGTTCACTTTTTCCACGATCTTCATCTAAAGTCACCTCTTCAAGTTGTTTCTCTTCTGTTTCGTTGGAGATTTCTTGTCGATCTTCGTCGACATGCAATCGTAACGATAACTTTGGTGGCAATTTAGGATGGAAAGTATCGCATAGAGCAATTCTCAGAGTCTCTGCTGCTGCTTGAATAGATCGGCTGGGATGATTCATTGCTTCTGCACAAAGTGTACTTGCTCTTGTCGTCAAAACGCCCAACAACGGTCCGCGACTGAGGCTTACCATACGTGCAAGTGAAGAGACAAATTGTTGAATCATTTGTTCACCTTGAGACTCCCTCAATGCAAGCTCTAGTACCCCCAATAGCAAAACACAGCTCGATTGGGCCAAATCGTGAGATTGCGGCGAAACGAACGGAATCAGATTCTCATATAGCTTGTTAGACAGCAACCTTACTGCCGCTGCACAAGCAGCCTGCTCGTCCTCCGAGAGAACTTTGAGACCTTCAAGTGGTTTGAAGAGCACTTGATCAGCTTCATACGTCCTTCTCTTTTTGTTAGCTCGTGAATTTGCTCCGTTGGTCGATGTGGCTACCGATGAGTTTCCGCTCATGTCTTTTGCCTCACTTTCTGATTGAGTCACCAATCTAGCCAATTGAGCCAAACATGTCCTTGTGCAACGGGCCAGCAATGGTGCATGAGGATTGAATACCATTGGCATGTTTGCCAATGCATTGAAGGCTGTGCAACGAACAACAGCTGAGCTCTTCTCAGCGATTATAATGAGCTTTTGAATAGCCTCTCCATATCCTCTTTGCCATATAGAGGCAGGCAGACTTGCAAGAAAGGTGATTGCGCAAATATGAGCACGAGGAAGCAGCGCAGCTTGTGTAGCATGCAAGATCACTTCGGGAGCATGGTCCAGTCTTGTAGCGGAGGATGAATGTAGAGATAGAATCGAATGAGCAAGCGCAAGAATCTCTTCTGTCGGTACTTTAACGGCACCTGGACTTGGTTCACTCAAGAAGATAGCAAGGATTCCCGGTTTGGGAGTACTGCCCAACAATAGAGCGAGTCGAGAATGTGCTATCCGCAGATAAGCCACATCGTCGCCAGGGTGTGCTTGAGGAAATACTGAATTGCCTTGCTGATGTAGATCTGAGGTAGGGAGGAATGCGCTAGAGCAAGCCTCCCATGCCATCTTGGCATCACGCAATAGCAACCTCAGCGTTGCTGACCATAAGTCCATCTGTCCTTCCCGTCCTTTGCCGGTGAATGGCAATTTGGCTAACAACCGAGTAGCTTGTGTGACGCAGATCTGATGACTGAACAATAGTTCAAAGCAAATCTTCTGTATCCTAGGCGCATGCGATCGGAATGACGTGGGATGTAAATTGATTTGATTGACGAGAGCATTTAGCAAAACGGGTAAATGATCCTGCTTTCTTTCGATTGCCTGTTCTATACTTTCCATCAAAATGAGTGAATATTTTGTCGATCCTGCACTGCCTACATTACGCCAATATTCCGGTTGTTGTCTTGCTTCAGATCCCAAAACTGAATCAAGAATCGCAATTGATTCTTTAGGATGCTTGTTAAAGTTCACCAAAGCAGCATTGATCCATTCCGAACAATGAGCGACAATCTTTTGCCAAGGTATCGATTGTGCCAATTCTGCGGCCAGCAGTAGTCCCAGTTGAGCCTCTTTTTGACCTTGAAGTAGCTGGCGAATACGTATGAACAGTTTATTGAACTCCTGAGAGTAGTCAATGCTCTTTGAAGAAGAGGAAGAAGATCCTACTTCTTGCAAGAGTGTGGTAAATCGGAGATTTGACACAGCATCTTCTCCAGATAATAGCTGTGTAATTTGTCGATCGATCGGAGCGATCCTCCCTGCATCCATCGAGGAGCCATTACGACCTCCAAATGACATCTTTGTCACCTGTTGCTATAAGATGGAGGATATGATCAACGCATACTTAAAATTTCCGGAAAAAAGTATGCACAAAAATCAAAATTTTTAAGGCGCGTCACCAGTCTAGCCAGTCGTTTTATTAATGCAGTGAAAAAATGTCGTTGAATTGATATGCAACAAATATATATATAAAGCAAGAAGATCGAAAAAGTAGATTGTATCTGTTTATAAGAAAGAGGTAGCAATCAATGCATGCATGATTATTGGGGAAAAAGGTGCTGAGACAATCATCGAGAGCTCGAGAAAGGGAAGAAATACATGAAATAAAGAAAAGGGGAGAGGGAATTGATAAAAATATAAAAGCAGTAAATTCGTGTCATTATGCCTCTTCTACTTCTCGACGTTGAGTAACAGCCCAGCTTATACTGGCATTTTGATCGCCAGACTCAACGCCACCGTAACCGTGATAACCATCGTTATAGTCCATTCTGTTGTCATTTTTATATGCAGGTAAAGCTTGCGGTGAAGGAGTTCCGCCTCCCATTAAATATCCTCCAAGTCCACTACTGAAAGCACTTGTTAAGGAAACAACTCGGCTAAAGTAGCCTCCTCCAGGTGCACTTTGCGCGGCAGGGACCTGTTCTCCTCCATAGTGATTGCCACTGCTGCCATACCTCTGCGATTGCGAAGATGTGCGAATCGAATTGAAACTTCCAGAAGGTGAAAGCGAACTGGATGAACGACTTGACATACTTTGTCCGTACATTCTAGACGTTTTTGCAATCGGAGGTTTGATGGTGGATGGCCATCTAGGTGCGATGCCATAAGGAGGTGCAGAGTTGAACGAAGTTGTCACGCCTGTATCATTCTCAAATTGCAAAGGTGGCATGTCCAATGCTTCGTCAGGCGTAGGCAATGGAGGTAACTTCGTGCCTTGATCCAAATTCATAATTCCAAAGAAGTCATCAATCGAAACGTTCTTCCTTGCTCGTCTCTTCCTCTGTTCACTTCCCATCATATCCAGGCCTTGCGTTCCGATACGCAATTTTGGCTTCTCACGCAAAGAGTTTGATCTAGGCATGGTGGACATTGCTTTGGAGAATGACCATTCCCGAATAAATTCTGGTCTTGGAGCGGGTGGAGGTGGGAGTTCGCTTTCATCAACTTCTTCATCAAGATATTGATCTTCATCCTTGCTTGAATCAAATCGACCGTGATCATCATGATCCATGGGCGTTGTGATCGTTTCTGTAGATGTTTGACTTTGTGTTGGCAATGGTGAAACTGGCTCCATGTGCGATTCGACGGAAGATGTGATGCTGACACTGTTATGACCGGATTCAAGATGATCATCTTCGTCTGCCCCGATTGACATCGTAGGAAGAGATTGAGGCAAAGGAGATTGATGATCCAAAGCAGGAGTTGAAGGAGCAGTAGATTCGACATCAAATGGACGTAAACCTCCAGCTTCAACATCGAATGAATCACTTGGTTGATGTTGAACAATGTGTATCGATTGCGGAGTATCAAATTGCTCATTACCTGTCGAAAGCGGAGTGCCGTCTTTTTCAACATTTGCTTCTTCTTCTTCGTCTAGCGTATCCAAAGACGTACTCATGCCCAATCCTACCAAATCAGCTTGTACTTCTGCAATGAATGCGTCATCATTCTTGCTGTTTCTGTTCTCGCCACTTCCGGGACTGCCAAGGTAATCGGAAGTTTGATGTGTAATTCCACTCATGCTTCCCATACTTGTACCTCCTTTTCCGCTTTCCATGCTACTGTCATAGGCGAAAACGTGATTACGCTTCTTCTTGGTTGCACTTCCACTGCTACCTGCACTTTCGTATGAGACAGCTCTACGATCGGCAGTGGGAGAAGGATTGCTCAAGCAACTGACAGTGATCACGCCATTCAAGCTGCCATTCGATGATGAATCAGTCATCAAGTTAGACTTTGCTGAAACGCTACGAGGTGGTGGAGCAATGGTGACATGCTTGACCTCAGCATCCTCTTTGACATCATCTTGCATTGTAGTATCTGCAGTCATCGTTGTAGCCATCGTATCATCATTGAAACTTTGATCGTGTAGATTAGAGAGAAGGCGGGCATTACGCATATTCAATTGATCCTTCTCGGTTCGTGTCTTTGCATGCTGTTCCTTCTCCATTTCCAGAGATCTTGCCAAAGACAAGATTTGCATTCGCATATCCTTCAAGAGTTTGATGGCTTGAGGTGTTGGAGGAGCATCGAAATCGGTAATGATAGGAGAAATGGATCCTTCGCGAATTGCAGCACTGAGCATTGGACTTGGTTGTCTATCCCGTAGAGATTTCTCCAAATCCGAACATCTCGTTCTCCATCCTTCAACATCTTCACGTAACATCTCACGTTCATCTTGTGCATCTTCAAGTTGTGTCTTGAGTTCTTCATGCTTTGCCATTGCTTCTTTCATTTCGGCTTGATGATGTTGTTCACGTGCTGCCCGGACTTGGGTCACCTCAACGATACTAGCTTCCAAATGTTCAATACGAACACCCAACGAACGTTTCTCTTCCGCACTCCATCTTTCCAGTTCGTCGTATTCATTTCGAGCACGTTCGCTTTCCGAAGCCAATTCAGACTCTAACCTAGCAATATTACGGCGAGCGTCATCCAAAAGAGCAACATCTCTTTGATGCTTGGATTTGAGTTCTTCAAACATTCCATATGGAACGCCAGCGCCAGGACTGGGCGAAGTCGATTGTTGTTGTTGCTGTGCATTGAGACTGTTGACGAAGGAAGATGTGGATGAGATTGACGATTTCGATAGATCGGCAGGAGAACTGCTGTCAAGAGGTGAGGCGCGGTATTGAATACTGCTTCTTCTGCCACTGTTTGCAGGGGTGACAACATCAGCAGCATTTGAGCTAGACGAATTGTAGATCAAACTTCCACGTTTGTTGGGTGTACCAGCAAAGGAGCCAGCGACCGAAGAAGCTGGGCCTGTTGTGGCCGAACTACTGTGCGATGCAGAACTTGATAACGAACTAGTTGATTCAGCATTAGCACGATGTTGCAACAATTCCGTTCTTGAATTGTTCAAATTGGTTGCAAGACGTAAAGTACGCATGCCTTTTGCGCTACTCGGTGCATTTGGCACAGCAGGTGCAGTAGCAGGCGCTGTAGGCATCGAAGCTCTCCACGATCGTTTCATTTCTACGGTGGGACCACTGTTTACCTTTCGAGTAGGAGTTTCGGGAAGTGCTCCGGTCAATCTTGCCTCGGCCAGTTTACGTTGCATTTGGCTCATAACAGGGCCGGATGATTGCGGCGTAACGACTTCTGGTGATTCAATAATGTCTTTGATCGTAGGCGTGACTGCAAGCATTTCTGAATCTGAAGATGTATCCTGTGAGATATCTGCATCATTGGAATCTGATTGTATTTGCTGTTGCATGGATGCAAACGTGGGCATAGAATTGGATGGCGTGAATCCACTACCTGTCGAGCTTGATTGCGGCGTACGAGGAGATAAAAATAAGCTGGCCGGTCGTCCACTCAATTTCAACGGTCCAGGAGTTAAGCTGGTACGACGAGTGCGTTTGATCACCTCTTGCTCGGCTTGTTTACGCTTTTTACGTTCTTCTTCCGTTGCAACGAAATCAAATCCACCCTTTTCACGCAGAGGTGAGAGAGCTGCAAGGATATCCTCTTCCTCCTCTTCTTCTTCCATCAGAGTACCCAAACCTTCACCTCCAGTAGATGAGTCAACGCTAGCATGCAAATCTCCATTGACAGCAAGTGATGGTGCGCCATTGTTCAAAGCTGCATTTACAGAAGCTGAAGGCGAAGAAGGAGGGGCAGCGAAAGGTATGGATGCCAACATGGATCCAGATGAATTTGTGGTCTTCAAATTCGATTCGATCAAATCTTGACTTGCTCTCTTGTTCATGCCTTCATCGCCGTGCAATTCGTCAAAAGTGGGCAATTGAACGCTACTTTGACGAGAATGTCTTTTAGAGCGACCTTCAAGCTTTTCCAACGCTGTCAAACGGTCATCACCGTTATTTTCACGCTCTTGCGCTTCTGCTGAAGCAATTGCACTTCGCCAATCGAAGCTGTTACGTTTCGAAGCAGGGTCAGCCGGGCCTCCAAATAAGACACTAGCAGATTGCAATCCACTCCATCTTTGAGAGCTGATGCGACGGCTATTACGTTGATTGTAAGAAGAAGATGCAAATGAGTTGGCTGAGTTGGATGGTGTCATATCGAAAGCTGCTGATATATGCGCAGGATTGATGCCCAAAGAACCCAAACCTCCCATAATCTCCATGCTCTCTTTTCGTGTACTGACGCTATCCTTTCGTGAATGGCGGGATGACCTACGTGCGTGGGTTTGACTTGACCTGTTGGGAAGTGCAACAGGTGTTGCATCATTGCTCGCTCTATTTGCTTCATTGATTGGGGTTGCGGGTGTTGCAGTGATAAATGGTCTTGGCCCGTTGGATGCAGCGGCCATTGGAGTGCTATCATCCATCAACTGACTTGTGGATGCAAGAGTGGGTGTCTTTAGCATATCGATATCTGGTGACTGTTCAACTGTGGCGCTTTCATCCACATCTTTCCAAGCATCGTTCACAGCCGAAGATGGTGCGTTGAGAGACCCGATTAAGCTGACAGGCCGTGACCGTCCACTCGCAAGGCTGCGAGAGCCACTGCGCGAGTGACTTCTCGAATGTCCGCGAGTATGGCTATGAGGTGTGGATGCGATGAAGGAAGACGAGGATGTCGTAGAGAGACGGTTGGACGAGGGCGCAGATGGCACATTTGCATTGTTTGAAAGTAGCTGTGATGCTGCAATCAAACCAGATGCAGTCACAGATATAGAGCCGGTGCGTGAATGTCCTCTTCCATGACCACCAACGCTGGATCGAGAAAAAGAGCGTGAATGACGTTTGTTGTCGATAAATTGATTGCTCTCCCGTGCGGCGTCATTGATGATGGCTGCTAGGGCGCGATCGCCTTGGACGCTCAAACGGTTTTGCGAAGTGGATGGAGCAGGGATAGAAAATGATGATTGTGAATGTTGCGAAGAAGAAGAGAAGCTACCTGAATTGGTTGCGGGAATTGAACTGTTTGCGAGAAGAGATTGTCTTTTGGCTTGTTCCATTTGAGCTTGCTTTGCGCGATAGCTCTTCAACTTCTTCTTTGCCGATCGCAACCTTTGATCACGTTCTCTATTGGATGTGTCCAATCCTTCTTGGCTTGATATGGATGATTCTCTCATTTTGCTTGATTATTTGGAGGGACAGGGATGGTGGTTGTCTAGATGAACGACGATTAGATTCCGTAATGGATCTGATCGATGCTTTGCCTTAGCGGACCGTATTCCTTTTGGCAAATTCGAAGAACGGCGCCGGAGAACGGAAAGGCAAAAAGTCCGAATAACGCCAAAATGGTACCGCAAAAGAGAATTTCGAAAAAGAAAGACTCTCGCAAGAAAGCGATGGGTCGCCTGAATGAATGTCGTTAGCGGATGAGGAATGTGATTTGTAAGTGCTTTCAAAGCAATCTTTCTTTCTATTACGCCTGAACCGATCCCGATTGTATTTTATCGGAGTAGATAGATGATGCAATAGGTCTTGTGTGAAATATCTTCTTGCCAATTCGGACCAGCCAAATCAGGCTAAAGCTGTCGTCTGATGAAATGCAAACGAAAGAGAAGATGAAAGATAGTCTCGTTAAAGAGAGAAAAAAAGGAGGGATGGATGATGGTTACTACTACTTTGATTCCATCCACCATTCGTTCCGCTTCTTCGATATCATACATACGCGCATATACTTTTGTTCGTTATGCCCCGCTTAAAAGTGTGTGCGTGTAATATACGCGCTCAGCCTCTGATAGGGTACCCTTTAAGAAAACCTTTTCCATGCAGGCGTCCAGTGCCCCCCTGTGCAAATTAATAAGAAATCAAAAAGAAGTCTATTTGCGTGCTTGGACTTTTACGATCAATTAGCTGCAAAATAATTAGACTGGGTTTGTGCACGTTCTTTTGGATTAATGAATATTTTCCAAAAAGAAAAAAAAAAAACTATCCGAAAAGAGGCGTGAAGTGAAGCAAGGGGTTTAGCATTTTTGGCTTTTTTCTTATATTGAGCACTTGGCCACTGTTGTTCAAAAAAGGGACGGCATCTTTAACGCGGTGCGTACATACATTGAAAACACGCGTTATGGATTACATATTCCAACGCACACGCGCGGCATCTGCTAGCACACACAACGCACACTTCACACTAAAATACTCCCGCACACGCACACGCGTTCATCAATCAATAGCAGCAGCAGCACCAGCTTAGAGAGAAAAAACAATGGCTAGAACGTATTAGAACAACACACACTATAAACATTCCCCTTGATCATCATCTTTGAGTGCCGTCATCATCAAAAAACAGAAGAAAGAGTGATTTGTTCATTTTGAAGATCATACCTTTTTTTGGCCTTTTTCAATTTCTTATTACAAGTTTTGTGTTTACAAGCAACATTGCAAGTACAACACCAACACCGCTTTTTAAGCTCTTACTTCGGAATTCCCGCGACTCCTGACTGAACCAAATTAGTCTTTGTAACGCGGAGAGGTGTGTGTACAACAACAAAAGCACACTCAAAGGTTCAATTTTGTACGTTTCTTCCTTTCATCATCTTTTACTTACGATTCATTTGTGACTGACCTGTCTCACTCCCGTTACAACAAAACAGTTGATCCTCAATTTTCATCCTGTTTTTGGACTCGCTGGCAGGTCCCAGCGCATTTTTACTAGATCAAGCAACTTTCTCTCATTTGTGTCAATATGTGTGGTATCTTTGCTTACATTAACCATTTGGTCGAAAAGGACCGTCGCTATGTTGTGGACACTTTGGTAAACGGTTTAGCAAGACTTGAATATCGTGGTTACGATAGTGCCGGTATTGCCATCGATGGTGATACGGAAAAAGAGGTTCTCCTCTTTAAGCAAGTTGGTAAGGTGCAAGCTTTGCGCAAACACATTGACGAAACTCCAATCGATTTTGCAAGAACATCAATCTCACAAGTTGGTATGGCACATACACGTTGGGCGACGCATGGTCAACCTTCTCCATTGAACTGCCATCCTCATCGTAGTGATGCAAACAATGAATTCGTCGTCGTTCACAATGGTATCATTACCAACTTCAGAGAATTGAAGATGGTCTTATCAAAGCGCGGATACAAGTTCGAAACCGAAACTGATACAGAAAGTGTTGCTGTTTTGTGCAAATACCTCTACGACAGCGCTTCAGGAAGAAAGCCTGACTTCACATCTTTGGTTAAGAGCGTAATCAAAGAATTGGAAGGTGCTTTCTCCTTCGTTTTCAAGTCAATCCACTACCCTGGTGAAGTGGTCATTGCTCGTCGTGGTTCGCCTCTTTTGATCGGTGTCAAGACAGAAAAGAAGCTCAAGGTAGACTTTGTTGATGTTGAATTTGGTGGAAACACAGATGCAGATGAATCATTGAGCGTTCCAACTCAATCTGGTTTGCTTGCACCTCCAGGTGGCAGACCTGCTGGTCCTGGTTCATTGTCTGTGCCCAATGCAAACTTGATCCGCTCTCAATCCCGTGCCTTCTTGTCTGAAGACGGTCTTCCCCAACCAATCGAGTACTTTGTCGCTTCCGATGCAAGTGCAGTCATTGAACATACCAAGCGTGTCTTATACCTCGAAGATGATGATATCGCTCACATCTCTGAAGGTGAATTACACATTCACAGACTACGCCGCAATGATGGTCTTTCTTCCATGCGTTCGATCGAAACATTAGAGATGGAATTGGCCGAAATTATGAAAGGATCTTTCGACCACTTCATGCAAAAGGAAATCTTTGAACAACCAGAATCAGTCGTGAACACTATGCGTGGACGTGTCAACTTTGATACTCGTCAAGTGATGTTGGGTGGTTTGTCAGCGTTCCTTGCAACGATCAGACGTTGTCGTCGTATCGTTTTCTGTGCTTGTGGTACTTCTTACCATTCCGCATTGGCAACACGTGCAATTTTTGAAGAATTGACGGAAATTCCCGTTTCGATCGAATTGGCCTCCGATTTCCTCGATCGTCGTACACCAATCTTCCGTGATGACGTTTGTGTGTTCGTCAGTCAATCTGGTGAAACTGCTGATACGATCTTGGCTTTGCGTTACTGCTTGGAACGTGGTGCTCTATGTTTGGGTGTGGTCAACACTGTCGGCTCAACGATCTCACGTGAAACTCACTGTGGTATCCACATCAACGCTGGACCTGAAATTGGTGTTGCATCCACCAAGGCATACACATCTCAGTACATCGCTTTGGTCATGATGGCCGTTCAATTATCAGAAGATCGTATCTCAATGACCGAAAGAAGGAACCAAATCATTGATGGCTTACATGATTTGCCCGAACAAATTCGAACAATTTTGGCACAGGACAAAGCCTTACAAGCATTGGCACATGGAACATTGGCAAAAGAACGTTCTTTGTTGATCATGGGACGTGGTTATCAACATGCAACATGTTTGGAAGGTGCATTGAAGATCAAAGAAATTTGTTATATGCACTCAGAAGGTATTTTGGCCGGTGAATTGAAGCATGGTCCTTTGGCTTTGATTGATGAATCTATGCCTGTGATTTTGATCATGACAAAGGATTCCATTTACCCTAAAGTCCGTACAGCATTGATGCAAGTTACCGCACGTAAAGGACAACCTATCATCATCTGCAACGATGATGATCAAGACATTCAAGCAGACGCAAAGACGATTCGCGTTCCACGTACGATTGATGCCTTGCAAGGATTATTGACAGTTATTCCATTGCAATTATTGTCATACCATTTGGCAACTGCAGCAGGAGTAGATGTCGATTTCCCACGTAATTTGGCAAAGAGTGTGACTGTGGAGTAAAGAGTCAAAGAAGAAGAAGAAGAGAATACAAGAGTGATTTATCGTTTTACCCTTCCCCCCCCCCCTTCACAACCAAGTTCAACAAGGTCAATTTTGTCGTGTGTTTTTTTGTGTTTCCAATTTTTCTTTGTTCTTTCATATAATCGTATTTGGAATCTTTCTTTCTCTCCCTCCTTCCCCACGCAACACAGTGAACACATCCTTAAGCTTATTTTACCAATAGCATCTTTATCCAATCCAATTTTACTGACACTAGACTCACTCGGAAGTTGAGATTTTGTGATTGCATTGAGAAAAAGCCATCCAGCTCTTTCTTTCCCTCCTGCCACCAGACTACATAAAGAAACAATGGAGCAGTATTGGAAGTATTTAGATCGAATGATGCCCTCGCTTGAGGAAGACCAAGGAGAGCCATGGCAAAGTATAGTATGCTGGGATCGAAATGATGATTGGTACGATATGTGTCCTTTAAATGAGGAAGATCCAGATTTCGGGCATTACGATTATAATGAATACGACATGGCAGAAGATCTATCACGTCATGATCATGCCATTGAGGATGGATTGGGTGCAGGAGCATATTATGATAATTTCGGAAACGAAGTACTTGAAGATGATTGGACAGATGAGATTCCACGGGAGGATGATTGGTTTGATGATTTTACACAAGAAGCTGGCTGTCCACATCCATTACTGGACATTAATGAGAAAGAAATGAGCGCTTTGATGAGGAGATGCAAGACGCTTCCACAGAAGGAGAATCAGAGTACGCCAAAGCCCGCTGCTGCTGCTGCTGTTGCTAGATTGTACCCGTCCTGTTTGGCACAGCCAGAAGTATGCATGCAAGTAGGAAGAAAGGCCGTTCTGGAAAAAGAACAACCTCAACGTGATTCACAGGAAGATGTTCATCCGATCGAATATAGGAATGTGATTCAAAATTATAACAAAATCGTCATCCAATCCCTCGAGAATGCTATCAGAGCAATCCGTACTTTTAAAAATCATACTCTGCTATGTGATGAATGCAAAGCATCCAACAATTATCATTCCATCGTAGTTAAAGAAGAGGTTAAAACGCTTTTTAAAGAGCTTGAGCCATTGCTCAATACCATCAAGGAAAGCTGATCCACCATGCCGCACTTTTCACAGTCATGTCCAGTAGCACACTTACCTGATCGCTTTCTTTCTCGCACATTTCATTTCATTGATCCCATTTTCAATAATGCAAATTATGTTTTGATAATCATACAGATTGTTGAGAGAAAACCATATCCAAGACAAACACCAATCAGAGCAATGCTTGTTTCTTGTCGTTGTGCTCTGGGTGGTTCTCTTCAAAGATATCGAAACGAGGTGTAACATCCTCTGTTTGATCACAAACACGAACGACTGGGTTCTCGGTAGAGTATTTGGTCAAAGCATCAACGTCTTCCTTTGTGAGGTTGATCAATTTTTGGTTTGACGTGATACGGCTATCAGTGACGGATTTTGGCAATGGGTTGCATCCTCTTCCAACGAGCCAAGACAAGATGACGTTAGCAGGAGTGCAATCGTGCTTCTTTGCCAAATCTCCAACAACTTGCAAAGATGTTCCTTTTGCTCCTGCACCTCCCAAAGGACTGTATGCTTGTGGAACGATGTTGTTCTTTTGCAACCAAGAAACCAATTCAACTTGAGGGCATGTCATTGACAATTCAACTTGATCGGTGACTGGCTTGATACGAGCGTAAGACAAAAGTTCACGCAAACGACGAATGTTAAAGTTGGAAACACCGATTGACTTGACCAAACCTTCATCGACGCACTTTTCCAATTCACGCCATGTAGCCTCGTGGTTGTTTGACATAGCAACATCAGTCTTTGTCTTTCCGGAAGCGTCCTTGACACCGTTACGGGAAGGCAAAGAGCCATCTGATTTAACTTCAGGTTCGAAAGCCAAAGGCCAGTGCATCAAGTACAAGTCCAAATATTCCAAATCTAATTCTTTCAAAGTGTTCTTCAATGCCATACGAACGTATTCGGGACGATGATGGGTTTCGAACAATTTGCTGGTGACCCAGATGTCCTTGCGTGGAATACCGCTATCTTTGATACCTTGACCGACTTCGGTTTCGTTACCGTAAGCATGAGCACAGTCAATGTGACGATAACCACTCTTGAGAGCGTGTGCAACGGCAGCACGGACTTCTCCAGGTTGGGATTGCCATGTTCCCAAACCGATGGAAGGAAGTTTGAGTCCGTTGCTTAAAGTGAAGTGAGTAGGTAGAGACATTGTTCAAAATTGTTTAAAGAAAGATGATGGAGATAAGAGAGGGGAGGCAGAGTTTGAAATTGTTTTTATATCTTCTTGTTTTTGGGTAGAGGAAGTTCAGAGAAGGTCTTCGTCCAGCGAATGAATTTACAAATGGTCATCCGACAAGCCAAGCAGTAAAAAGACTGATAAAGTGCCTTTGGAAGATGTGTAATCATGCCGCACACAAGAAAGAGATACAACTTTATTATTTGACACACAGGTACGCACTTTAACTGCCTAACACTTTCCAATACATTACCGGTGACCGATACACTGCCGAAGAGCGAATTGATATTCCACGTTCCTCAACACAATTCCCCACGTCGATTTATTGAATGCTCATGTGCGTGTGTAATTCTCCACTTAGCACTGTTTTATGCGAACGCACCCCCAGGCTATATAGCGCACTTACAGAACACACACCGGTGAACTCTTGTCTCGCACGCATTAACACCGGGGCCGCGCCAAATTGATTGATTAGCAAGGAACACTTCTCGGAAATCTTTGTTACCGGCAATCTCTTGTCCTGTCCGTTGAAAAGACTAAGCTGGCCTGTCGATCTGATGGATGAGTTGTAAATTATATTCTCCGAACAAATAAAGGGGCACCTACCCCACTAGACTGTATGAAATACGCACTGTGTCCTGCCGTTTATGTATAGGTGAAAGCCATGCGACAGCGATAATAAACTTCAATCATTTCATCACCGCCACCTGTTTATTATCAACCCTTAACGCCTTCAATATTAAATAAATGGTGATTCACTTTCTATGATTAAAATTATTTCCACATAGCGATAAGTTTTGCGTTTAATATACTTTCCGCCCCCATTTTCCATCGTGATGCTTTGAAGGGAAAGTGGCAATGAGGTTTGACTTGCGGCGTCACGGCTTAAAGTTGCTGATTCCCAAGCCGCAAGTACTTTGTTAGCCATACCACTCGCTGAAGATGCATGATCTTATAATTCTGAATGATGTTGTCAATAATGTATGAGTTTTGGCATCATTCATTCTCCTTCAGCCAACAACAAGGCTTGGCAGGATCTATGTGCTGAGTATCTTTGAGTATGTTTAAAGTCAATCATCAGTTGACTTTTGACAATCTTCCTTTATTGTCACGCGGGCTGTCACATAGGCAAAATAGAGGCTGAAGCTTTCGCATCAACTTTATTTAGACGTAGACGTAAGATAAGACATCAGCGCCATATATGGTATGATCTCAACAGCCTCTTACGCCTCATATGATGGGGTAAAAGCTGAAATCTTATTTGATCAGCGTTACGATTCTCATGGTGGCGCACGCATTCACAACCGCCTTCAAAAGAAACCATTCAAGGCACGCACCTTTTGGGGAATTCTATACCCGGCGTAATTGAGGAAAGATTGTGGCTGAATGTAGATGGCTCGAGAGAAAGTTTTGCCAAATGGTGATGGTTTTTATAATTGTACTTTAGTCTTTCGTTGACATAAAAGCTATATATATGAGCATCTTTGCACCTCCTTATCAACGTCCTCCATCATCAATCTACTCACTTTCATTACACATTTCGTGCTTTCAAACTCTTTCTCAAACCATTTACAGTACCGCTAGTCGTCTACTATATTGGTCAATATGCGCTTCACAACTATTATCTTCTCTTTGATCGCCCTCAACAGTATCAACGGCTGGGCCGCTCCTCTTACAAGATTAAACCAAATTGAAAACCCAGTCGAACGTCGTGCTGCTTTGTTGGAAAATATGGTAAGTTTTGATTGAAAACACATACGCAATCTTTTATTCTTTTGACTAAATTCCCTTTTTTTTGATTGATAGATCGGTGAAGCAGATGTCACTCTGGTTAAACGTAGAGGATCAAGATCAAGAGGAAGTAGCTCGTCTTCGTCTTCGTCTTCTTCTGGTGGTAACACGTGCAGTGGATTGTGCATGCTCAGTAGACATTGCGGTCCTTGTAGGTGTAGTTGGGGAAGGTGTGTATGGTAATGGGTCGTCGCAAGTTTTCCCCTTCTTTTGTTTCATTCTCCAAACTTTTTCACTCTCATTTCAATATTCCAAAGCCCCTCTTATTTTCACTCAGCTGGCCTTTGTGTTCCTCTTCCTTGAAAAGGTCAATGATCAAATATACAATTTTCCCTTTTCCAAGTCCGAAATTGAGAAGGTCATGTTTAGAGCAAATTCGCAGAACCATACGTCCAGTTCTTGCCCTTGATCTTACGCTCTCACGGTGTGGATGCTAAATTGGTCATGTATTCATTCAAGGAAGTCTATTTTACAGCTAGCATACACACATTGATTGTACAACACAAGAAAGAGGAAGAAACTGCTTAGTTCATCCGTCGATTGGCCAAAGGTGTTGTTGGCGCTCCACCACCATTACTATCTTGACCTGTTGTTGTTGCAGAAGGGTTACCAGTCGCAGCAAATTTGAACAAATTTCCACGCATTGATTGAGAAGATGTTAATTTTATACTTGAAGCATTTGAAGTTAAACCAAGACCTCTTATATTACCCGTTCTTGGCGTTTGTGGAATAACAGCTGAAAATCGATTTGCAGCCGGCGTAGCAAGATTGGAAGGTCCTGCCATTGGCTTACGAAGCGTGGATGGAGGTGGTAGCATACGCATGGACTGAGATTGACTCATCGCAGACAACATACCAGCAGGTCCAGGAGTTGCAGTGATACTTCGCGGAACAGACATCCTTGGCGTGGCCGCTGATGAAGGCATAGGCGGCACTGACGGTCTAGGAACAGATGATCTTCCAGCCGCTGGAGTGGGTGCAGGAAGGGCGTGCAGATCTGTATTATGAACAGCTAAGCTCTTGGTTTGTCCTTTAGTCTTGTAAATGCCTACCAAACGACTGGCCAATTCAAACATTTGGTTTCGTAAAGAGATAACGATGAATTGAGCTCCTTTCGTCCGCTCTTTGATCAAATTTGCCACAATACTGACATTTCTGAAATCCAATGCAGCATCCAATTCATCCATTGCGTAGAGTGGCGTAGGCTTGAATGCGTGCAATGCAAACACCAACGCCAAACTACTCAACGTCTTTTCACCACCACTCAAGTTGCTGATATTCTTCCAGGACTTCTTGGGCGGCATAACACTGAACAAGATCCCTTCGCTGAACGGATCCATACTGTCAACAAGTTCGAGCTCTGCATTACCTCCTAGAGTGATTGTTTGGTACATCTCTTTGAGCTTTGCAGAAATTGTGTTGAAGCCAGCCAAAAAGTTATCTTGACGCTCTTGACGTAATCTGTCATGTTGTTCTTTTGCCTGATCGCGCTCTCGAGTAGTTTGTTCAAGATCTTGTGCTCTTTCCAAGAATTCATTCTCACGACGACGGTACTCTTGCAAAACGGTCAGATTAGCAGACCCTTTTTGCAACTTCTCTTCATACACGACAATCTCGGCCTTGATCGTATCTTTGCTCATACCTTTTAGCTCGTCTGGTGAGTATTCTTGCAACTCTAACGAACGGGTCATTTCTTGCGAATCGATACCTTTATCAGCTGTCTCTGCACCTTCAGCAGCCTTTGAATCTTCAGCATCTGCTTGGTCTCCGTCAGGCTTTTCTTCTGCATTCTTGCGATCAGCTTCGCCCTCAACATCTTCATCAGAGTCGATATGATGCAATTCAAGCTTTTCATGTTTCTCTCGCCAATGCGCTAGGCGCCTCTCATTATCGCCAAGAGACTTTTCATTATCTTCAAGCTTTTGACGGATTTCCATCTCGAGGGCGCGGAATGAATTGATACTTTCCATGCATGCATCATACTTCGACTTTGTTTCATCTTTGGCTTCTTGCTTTGCTTCCATTTCAAATTGACATTCTTGTACTCTTTTGCGAATCTCATCAACTTTGGATCCCTTGTTTGTGAGCGTATCCATCACATTGCTCAACTCTTCTTCGATACCACTCAAAGCTTCTTCATTCTTTTCAAGACTTTTAGCGAATTTCAGCAAATCTTTATCTGCTTTGCTTTTTGCAACTTCGGCTTTAGTGATTCGTTCACCATACAAGTCGATTCGTTCTTTGATTCCATCAACTTTACTCTTCTGAGCGCGTAAAGCAACACCACCGGCTTCTAGAATCTTTTCTTGCAAAGCAGCAATGTCCTCTTCGATGGAAGATGTCTTGGACGTTAGATCAGCAAGTTCAGAGTCCAATTTCGAGATAGTTGCATTCAACTCTTCAACCCGTTTCAAATCACCTGCATCCGGTCCATGATTCGATTGAAGCTCTTTGATACGACGTTTCGCTTCTGTTACCATCTTTGCGCCAGTTGAGATATCAAGCTGAACTTTTTCCATTTCGATATCAATCTGAGGCATTCTTTGCATTGCTTTATCCAGAAGTGCTTTCATTTCATTCTTGTGTTTGATATGACTTGCAAGAGAATCTTGATCTAATTTACTTTCTCGATCTAATCTAGAAATTTGTTCTAATGTATAATCTTGTGCGAATGCTTTTGAGCTCATCGCACCTTTTGCTACCCTTGTTCCACCACCTGACATCGTACCGCTCTTATCGATCAATTGACCGTCCAATGTCACAACACGCCACCTTTGAGCACCATACGCGATTCGGTTTGCATGTGGAAGATCTTGTGCTACCAATGTATCACGCAATTGATGGTAAAAGGCTGGCGCAAAACGTGGATCTTTTGGCTTGACGAGATCGAACAGACGTGGTACGTTTTCAGGCGTATTGATCGGTCCAAGGTTCATCTTGGCAAGACTGTTTAGCAGAATGAAGTTTGCTCGTCCCAAATTATTACGACGAAGATGCTCGATACAAGCTTGACCTGTTTCAACTCCTTCAACGACAATGTTGTCCAATCCAGGGCAAGCTGTACTAATGGCAACGTCATACTTTTCATCAATAACACCAAGATTGCCCAATCGTCCATGGAATCCTTTGATCATACCCAAATCTGCTTGACGAGCAAGACTGTTCAATACCTCCCCGCGTGATTGGTTGGATTGCACGGACGTTCTAGCTTCTTCGCATTTCGAGCGAGAGGATGATGCCTTGTTACGCAATTGTACTTCTTCAGCTTCCATGCCATCAAGTTCAGCTTGATATTGTCGAACTTTCTTGCCTTGTTGAACCTTTTCTTCTTTGAGACGTTCAAGCTCTTCCACTTTGCTTTCATTAGACGATTCAACAGTTTGCAGTGAAATTTTTGCATCTTCTGCTTCTTTTTCCACCTGACCGAATCTATCTTCCAAAAGTCGTTTCTCTTCCGTTGCAACTTGTTTGGCATTTTGCTTCTCGCTTCTTTTGGCAGACCATGGTTGTAGCTCTTTTTGCTTCTTTTCAATCGCATCATTGAATGCTTGCGTTTTACCTTTCAAGCCTTCACGAACTTTTTCCAATTCGGCCTCTTCCTTTTCGAGTGAATCTTCCAGCTTAGCTACTTCTTTGGCATGATTACTGATCTCTTCGGAGGAGTTTTCAAGGGTTGATCTGGCTTCTGATGTTGCATGTTTTTCGTCATTCATACTCTTCTCGATCTTCTTCTTCTTCGTCTCAAGGTGCTTACGTTGCTCTTTCAATTGGACGTCATCTTTTTCCAACTTTGACAATTCCTTGACAACCTTGTCGGTTTCTTTGGCAATCTTTTCGTATTCGGCATTGATTGCTTTGAATTCTGCGTCTAATTGCTCCATCTCTGCTTTGGATCCGGCATTCTTTTCGGTCTCTTCTTCTATTCGTTTGCGTAACTTTTCTACCGAGATTGTTGCAATCTTCATCTCATCCTTGCATTCCATCATGTATATTTGATAAAGGGTGGATTGTCGCATCGTAAGCTCGTTCTGATCACGTAAAAATCCTTCAGCTTCTTGTTTCTTTCCTTCCAAGCTATCTTTCTCCTTTTGTACAATTTTGAGTCGTGCAAGACGTTCACCACGCACTTCGTTCAATTCATCCACCTTTTTGGAGGCCTCTTCGATTGGAGTCTTGTACGAGCTGGTTCCGATAATGTCCTCAAGGTACTCTAGCAGACCTTCTTCGTGCTCATTCTTTGCTTTTGGTGGCATTTGCGCAATACTTTCCACTTCACCTTGTAAGATCAAGAAACGCTTATGATCCAAATCGATTCCTCGCTCTTTGAGTAATGTAGTTACTTCTGTAAAGCTTGACTTCTTGCCGTTCATTGTGTAAACGGAGGAATTGTTTCGGTAAGCTGTACGAGCGACGACGAGCTTCGTGTTGGGCACCGGCTTGAAATCATCGCCTGGAAGATCATAGATGTCACGGAAATGCACCTCAACAGTACAACTTCCGATGTTCAGTGAACCTGCGCTATTATGGATCAATTCGCTCAATTTTCCTTGTCGCATCTTATTTGCACGCCATCCAAAAACGAAAAGCATTGCATCGATCACATTGGACTTTCCACTTCCGTTTGGACCTACAACGGCTGAGAAAGATTTGTGGAAGGGACCAATGATTTGTTCTCCTGCATAAGACTTGAAGTTACGCAAAACCATTTTGTGGATGATCAATCGTGTTTTGGGTGGTGCTGGTGGTTCTTGAGGTGCGGGTGTTTTTGATTGACTCATCGGGGTGAATGCTGCTGAACCGCCTGCATGTCGTGGAGTATAAGGTAAATTTGGAGCATCAGAAGTAGGCGTGGCCGATTTGACGGCTATTCTGTGTTTGTCAGGCGTTTGAGGTCCCGTTGTTGATGAGGATGAGGCTTGTGGTGTGCTTTCTCGATCGAATGATTCCTGTTCAGGCTCTTCTCTTTTGACGCGATATTCTGCTGCACTCACAACACGAGCTCTTCTTTTTGGTTGCTCAGGCTGTTCTTGCTCTTCTTCATCACTGCTATCAGCTACCACCAAGCTGCGTTCTATTAATGTTTCATCAGCAAGATCCTCTTCACTGTCTCCTTCTCCTTCGCTAGCTACCGCGTCTTCATTTTTGCCTGCCTCTTCTTCGCTTGCCTCTTCTTCAGAGTCTGCTTCATCTTCATCCTCCTCTTCTACATCTTCACTTCCATTGTCATCTGAGGCTTCTTCTTCTTCTTCTTCTTCTTCTTCTTCTTCTTCTTCTTCTTCTTCTTCTTCATCGCTATCTTCATCTGCTAGAACTTCTACATCCTCTTCTTCACTATCGCTATCTTCAACGATTCGTCTTTTTGAGGCTGCCGTTCTGCCATCACTTCTCGGAGCATGAGAAGGTGATTTACTCCCATTACTGCGTTCATCCGATGTCCTTTTACGTGGATTTGCTCTCTTGCCCGGCATGGCGAATGATGAGAAATGTGAAAGAGATTTGCTTTCTTTTCCCTATTTGCCAAACCTTGATTGGATGCAATTGATAAACTTTTTTGTTCAAATGATGGTGATGAACAGATTCAATAAACAACACCAACACGATAAAATTCGTGCATACACCGTGTGTGTTGCTTTTAAAGCGTATAGCCCTGGCTTGATTACGTGTTTGATAGCCTGGCTGAGTGAGAGTTTGTGTTGCTCTTTTACGCGTGCGCAGTGCAGTTAACGCGTAAATCCCTTTCTCCTTAATTATTTAGGCAGTGCTTTATGCCTTCAACGAACGCGCCTCTTGCACGTGTGACAAAGGGAGATATTCATATTCTATTGTCGCATGTACCCACGCGTAAGCCGGGACCATAGGTAAGGGAATATCAAAGAGAGTTTTGAAGATAAGGTTGCATGCATGAATGCATTGTGTACAGTTGTCCCACTTTTTGCCGATATCTAGCGTGAATGTTTAAAGTGGGGGAAATATGAATGAATGCAATGGCAAAATGATTGGCCGGCGGGGAGTGAAAAGAAGATAAGAAGATAAGGCAGGTACGAGAGCGAACAACATTTTAATGAAACTAATGAATCATTCTACTTTTCTAACCACCAACACTTTCTCATCATGGCCACTGAACGATCTCATAGTGTTTCCTCCTCTTCAGCATCGCATCGTCAAGATGATGTGTTGGAAAAGCAGGCTAATGAATCAAAAGAAGAGCCGCAACAAGCTCTCGGTCAAGTTGACTTAACAGACGTAGACTCTGATGCTGAGAAGAAATTAAAGGAAGCCAACTTAGTCCTCACTCCAGGACAAGAACCAATCACTGAACAAGAATTTAAGCAGACATTAAGAAGAATCGACTTAATCTTGATGCCTTTCATGTGCTTGAGCGTTTTACTGCAATACCTTGATAAAACATCTCTCAACTATGCAAACTTGTTAAACATCCGTCAAGATTTAGACTTTACCCAAAGACAATACAGTTGGCTCGGATCAATCTTTTATCTTGGTTATTTGGCCGCATCTCCTGTTCATGGTTACTTTTTACAAAAAGTCAATCTTACTCGTTATCTTGGTCTTATGATTCTACTTTGGGGAATAACTTTAACCCTTCATGCTGCTGCTTTTGATTACGCTGGACTTGTCGCTTGCAGACTTTTCCTTGGAATTTTCGAAGCCGCACTAACACCTGGATTCATCCTTCTTACCGGTCGATTTTACAAGAGTAGAGAACAAATTGCAAGAACGAACATTTGGTTTTCCATGAATGGCTTCGCACAGATTTTGGGAGGCGCAATCAGTTATGGTGTTCAAGTTCAAAAGCCATCAAAATTAAAAGTTTGGCAAGAATTATACATCATCTTGGGTGTCATCACGGTGGTGTATAGTTTTGCAGTCTTTTTCGGTATGCCAGATTCTCCTGAAACGACCAAGATTTTCAAAACTGATCGTATGCGTATGGCAGCGATTGAACGAATCAGAACAAACAAGACCGGTTTACATGACAAAAAGTGGAAATGGTATCAATGCCGTGAAGCACTTTTGGATGTTCGACTTTACCTCGTCTTTTTATTGATCATCACAACCGATATCGCAAATGGAATTACGAGTAATTTCAGTTCTGCAATCTTGAAAGGACTGGGATTCGATTCCAAAAAGACTGCTTTGGTAGGAATGAGCACGGGTGTAAGCGAAGTCGTTGCGATCATTTTGGGTATCGTGATCGCTTATGCAACAAATACACGATTCATTCCTGGTGTTTTCAGTTTCATGATTGCAATTGTTGGCGGTGCTCTAGTCTTGGCATCTGATGAACGAGTAACACAAGTGGCAGGCTACAACTTAATCTTCTTTTTCCCAATCGGATCTGCATTGTTATATTCATGGCTTTCTTCGGCCATCGGTGGAACAACGAAAAAGATTGTTTTCAATGTGGTTTTGCAATTCGGTTATTCTGCCGGAAATATTATTGGTCCACAAGCAGCAGGAGTTGCACCTCATTATCGATTGGGTAAAGCAGTCATGTTGGCAATGTTTTCCATTTCGGCTTTTGCCATGTGTGCAATTTCTTTGGTTCACTTTGTTTGGAATAAACAACGTGATCGTGCACATGAAAAAGGTCAAGATGAACCTGCTTTATCTGAATTGGCAGATCATACGGATAAAGAATTGAGAAGTTTCCGTTATCCTTATTGATTATTGTATTGCTTTCTGCTTTTCTTCAATGTCATTGTGATTTTAGTCATCATTATGAGTGCCCCTCTCCTTTCCCCCGCGTGTATCTTTTGTTTAGCGTCAATTAGCGCCTGCATAAACTGAACGATATTCGAAATTCAACATACAACTTCAACTTGTGATTGCATTTGCTCTCCCTACCATCATGCCATCAACCACACTTCATCATGGCACAAGCTGATGAAAGGACGCCATTGCTAAAACCAAACAATGGCATACATCTTCCTGATCGCTTGGGTCCTGATGAACCCCAAGTAAACGGATCACAAGAACGATCTGTACTTGAAACAGCGGAAGAAGTACATGATGCTTCCGATGCCATCAAGCTTAATTTACCCAAGACTATGGTCTTACCTTCCGTTGCGGCTGTTTATGTAGGATTAATGATCGCAGCAATCGATTCTACCCTTGTAGTTTCTTTGATCGGTCCGATTTCTTCTTCTTTTGGCGCTTCAGATCGTGCATTTTGGATTAGTACTTCTTACATGCTTTCCTTAGGGGCTTGTTCGCCAATTTATGGTCGTTTGAGCGATATCTTTGGGAGGAAGAGTTGTTTGCTATGGGCAACGATCATCTTTGGTTTAGGCACAGGTTTGTGCACGATGAGTCCTACGATGGAATTTTTGATTCTCGGAAGAGCCGTTCAGGGAATCGGCGCCGCTGGTCTTCAACCCGCTTCGGCAATTGTGACAAATGACTTGATCCCACTACGGAGAAGAGGAATGTATCATGCTTTCGGTCAACTTGTGTACAGCTTTGGCTTTGCTATTGGTGGACCTGTAGGCGGATTTTTGAACGATTGGCTAGGATGGCGAGCAGCATTTACGATGCAAATACCGCCGATCTTGTTGGCATTCTTTATGATCTTGTTCTTCTTGAAGTTACCTAATTTGCCAATTACGCGAGAGCAACATGCGAAAGAAGTCGAAATGAAAGGCAAGCCGCTGTATACAGTCATTTGGACAAGATGTGATCCTTTAGGCACAACTGTGATGGTGGCTGCTGTGGTGACTATGTTGCTCACGTTTTCGCTCGTGTCAGTTTACGATCTCGCATGGTCCGACGTGAAAGTGTGGGGCTTGTTGCTAATCGCAGCAGTTTTGTTTGCATTCTTTGTTCTGATCGAAGCAAGATGGACACGCGAACCAATCATGCCAATGCGTTTCATGACGCAATGGAGTTATACAAGCATCTTTTTGTCATACTTTATCATCAGTACGACGCAAGCTATGCTTTTCTATTTGCCATTCTACCTCATCGTTGTAATGGAAGAATCGACGAGTGAAATCGGTTTGCGATTTTTGCCAATCAGTGTTGCAACGCTCTCTTCGGCATTCACAGTAGGAAGTTTGCTAAGAAGGACAGGACAATATCGCACAATGGCAATCGTTATGACAATACTGTCAGCTCTGTCACCGGCTTGGATGGCCACTTGGACAGCCAAAAATAGACCTTCAGATGCTTCCCAATTCTTAGCAGTTGTACCGGCTGGAATAGGTGGTTCAGGTTTGAACACCATTTTGATGGTCGCTCTCTTTGCCGTTGCGGGTCAACAAGATTCCGCTGGTGCTGTAGGATTGGTGTATTTGATTCGTACATCGGGAGTCATTGTGGGTATTTCGGCATTAGGTTCGATCATTCAAAAGATTCTAATCGTTGAATTGAATAAACGTATTCATGGAAAACATGCAGATCAAATTATCAATTTGATTCGCAAAAATTTGAATGCAATCGCAACTTTGCCAAGCAAACAACGTCAAGCAGCAAAAGAATCTTATGGAATCGCATTGCAATCGTTTCAAATTATCATTGTAGGGTTGTCGTTATTGAATCTTGTCATTGTCTTTTTCATCAAAGAACGTCCGCTTAGTGGAAGAATGGAACCGCAAAGGCCTACAAATGATGAAGAGCAGGAAGCACAGTCATAACCACATTACCCCAGACAACCCCCCCTCCATCGTGAATACCCTTTTAGACACAACGATTGTTTTGATAGAATACATGTGTTGTACATTTAATCGTCTATGATGTTTTACCCTCTTTTACCGCGTAACTTTAGGAATGAGCCATGTTTGGGATTGAGTGCAGCAACCAATTCCATTGGTCCACAAACCCGTTTCAGAGCCACATTTCCCGCGACGAGTAATTCCCTTATCCGTGTCTGCAGGAGTGGTTTTTAGAGAGTCAGCATGTGTCAGCATGTGTTTCATAATGGCCGGCACTCCACTCACCACGTCCGTTTCATTTCGTAATCCATAAGCACCTTCAAAATGTTCATCCCTCAGCCAATCAACCGTTTCACGTCTTGCGATAGGGTTTGGAATATTACGTGAAGCACGTAAAAAATCTCTCCATAATTTCATACATTTTTCGTGTAACAAAAAATGTTCTAAAGTGAGTGAATTACCTTTTTGAAATCTTGATGAAAGTGGTTTTGGAGGTGGTGTTTTGCCATGTTTTTTCGTTGTTCCACTGCTATAAGCATTTCTCTGTATTATGGCCGTGCAGCTCTCGCCTAAGTGTTGATGAATGATCCCTGATCGTGCTATCGATAGCACATTGCTATTGGCTATATTCCGTATGATCATGATCGGTTGAAGATGATGATAAAAGAGAAGGAAAGTGATTGATTGATTACCAAATAATGTATAAAACGCGTTTCTTCTCACTCTTCGTCCCATTTCTCTCCACTATTATAGGCTATGCGTGCATGCATGTACGCCCTACACGCACACACGCCTCCGATGCCATTCTCCGAGAAGCTGTAGGTGACCTATTCATCAAAGAGATTCCGAATCCACACACACCATCATATCATAACATATGTTCAACGATTCGGATTGCATATGCAAGAGACAAGTTTTTTGATAGATACATCCTTGTGTATTTAAAAGAGAGAGAGGTAGACAAAAGGCAAATAAACAAAAGAAAAGGAATGAATGAGGTAGGCACTTGTGTAAAGAAGTAACCTGATTAGCGGGACGTTGGTTGATAAAGGTAGTGATATAGTGGAATAGAACTGATGAGAGGAGAAATGCGGGCAAGGAACAATGGATCCCTCCTTCCTTTTGCATTTCTCCCCTCATTCACCCCAAATGGTAGACGATTTCTTTCGCCTTTTTTTGATAAAATGTTGGTTGATTCTTTTTTTTCATTGGCCCATTCTACTTGAATACAACTTTTTGGGTGGGTGGTGGTTGTGGTGTGGTGTAAATTTGATGCAAAACTTTTAGGAAGAATTAGAAGAGAAAAAAGATAAAAGTGATGAAAATCATCTTTATTTTCATCATCATCATCATCATGAAGAAGAAATTCCGGCGGTATTTTCGTCAAAGAAAAAAAGAGGAAAAAAGTGACGTACGTTTGGTTTGTTCGGCAAAAAGAAAGAAAGAGATGTTTATGACGTTAAGAAAGTGATGTCTAGGTATTTGATGATGTTTGGATGAAAATTGTAGCAAAAATTGTTGAGCTTTTTATTATTTTTTGGGGTTGGTAATATGTTGCGCATTTTCGAAAGCAATTGAAAAACGTTACGACAAAGACATACACTCATCATGCACGTTCATCGTATGCGAATTGCTGTTCAACGCCAATTCCTGAACCTTGTAATTCCCGTTTGTAACCAGAATGAGTACGTGGTTTCATCAGTCCAGCATATCCACCTTCATACGATTCGTTCATGTCAAAAGGTGTCACCACTCTTCGATCAACGGGCGATGGACGTTGTGGAATTGCGCCTCCGTTGCTGCCACCGCCGCCCATATGAGCACCCAAGTGACCCGAAGGTGAATGACCAGGAGCAGAACTGTATCCATTAGTATGACCGTAAGCCCCAGGTGCCAAAGGTGCATTTGGGGTTGTGTTTGATCGCATCAATGGAGGTGGGTTAACCTGTCCGTTTGTCATTGAACCATTGGCTGATTGACTGGATGCACGTTGATAACCAGTTGGCGAATCGGTACCCAGAGAAGCACGAGAACGTTGAGCGTGACGTTCTTGAGCAGCAGCCATGACTGCAGCCGTGCGTGGATAATTGTCAGGATGATACAAGAACGATTGAATGTTTTGCTCAAACAATGGGTACAAAACATCAAGGATATTGTTCTGTTCGGCCAATTGTTTTCCACGTTGGAATGTGATCCAAACACCCTTCAAATGCATTGCTCCAACTTTGACAACGATACGCTCTTTCTCGTTCTTCAAGATTCCATCACGTTTTCCACGAGACATTCCACAAACGTTGAGGAGTTTTGTACCATTGATCATATTGTTGTCATGACGACGGGCAACGCAAACACCACGAGCATCAACTTGGAAGCACAAAGTACCTTCATCTTCCCATAGAGTTGTTGTCACACGATGACGACCAGCCAAAGGCAATTGGGTGCTGTATTGAGGAGCAGAAGCATAGGAAGGCGAAGAGGAAACGACCTGTGGTGTGTAAAATTGAGTCAAAGTAGCGAAAAAGTCCAATTCGGATGGGTAAAAGGTTGGAATGTTTGTCAGCGTTTGTTCTGCCATTTTTTCTTAGCAATTCACGGAACACAAATGTAGATGATGGAGGTAGAAAAAGCAAAAGCCCAACAAAGATATCAAGTCGGAGGTTTATATTGGCGCTTCTTTGTGCAATATGAAATTGCATTTTGCATCCTAATAGATAGCAAATCAGAAAAGGAAAAATATCGCCGAAGACAGGATCATCCGGCTCTGAACGCCGTCTCGAACGCGCAGCGTCATTGTACGTTTACTACTCGCACGTAATTGTCAATTTGACATTTGACGCAAATCACATCGAAGAATCCCTTTGTCAAACGATAAACTCATCATCGAATGTTAACCGTGCCCCTTTTTTCACGACGGAGCCGTAGAATGATCGGCCAAGTAGACGACAAAGAGCTTGGCCCTTTTCAAAAGCCCGCTAAGAGCAATCAAAGGAAAAAAAGAAGAAGTGGAATCCGCTCGAAGCCGAAAAAGATATATACGATGCGCATAAATTGATCACCAATTACGGCCCGCAACCTCAAAAAGAATTCCGTCCCAGGTCGGAGTCCGGTGAAATCAAAAAAGAACACAACAAAACACTACTCACACTATTAGAAGATGCATTTCCATGAGCACCATAATAACCACCTTGATGATGAGTCGGATAACCTTGAGGGGAAGGGAAAACGCTGCCGACGGAATGAGGATGTTGATGATGATAAGGAGTTTGCGAAGTTGGCGTGCTTGATCCGCTATGATGAGCGGAACCACCACCAGTGCTACCATTCAAACCACCGGCCAAAGCGCCGCTTCCGCTATAGGCAGAATGTGGTTGATTTGCACCTGCATTTGGGCCACCTTGATGTGGTTGCATTCCATAAGCGGAATACGCTCCACTTCCAGCACCATTGCTACCGGTAACTGCACCTGAAGGAGTTTGAGCACCACCAGCGCTACCGTAATAACCGCCTGAGCCATACATGCCATGGGCTTGGCTGTTATAAGCATTTGCACCGTTTGTGCTGTTGCTATAATGCATGCTTTGACCCCAACCGCCTCCACCACTGCTTGGTGATTGATGAAGAGAGCCGGTATGCTGAGAGCCAGGAACGGTATCAAAGCTTGATTGAGGTGCTAAGCCTGTATCGGTGGAGGATGTATGGTGATTGCTGCCAGTGTTGGCAGTACTGCTTCCGTATGCATTTGCATGAAGGTGATGACCGTGTTGGGAATACATGTTGTTGTTTGATCCGTTTGTTGTTGTTGAAGGAGAATAAGCACTGTTAGCGTATGCACCCGCTTGTCCAGTGTTTGAATATTTGCTTCCGTCAATGGGTGATGCAGTAGTCATACGCCTTTTTGCGATGCAATTTAAGATGCGAAAAATTGAAAAAAGGGGAAGGACGGTGAACCTTTGATGAAAAACTTTCCTTTTTGCAATTATACAGCGAGAAATCCAAAAGGAAAATGAACTTTATCCGTCAAATGAAACGAAAGCGGAACGCTAATTTGAGTTGAAAAGATTTGACCGATTCAATCGAAATGCCGACGTAAGATTAGGGTCGGGAAACGTAAGGTAGAAGCAAAAGAGGAAAATGAAAAAAGAAACAGAAAAGAAAGAAAAAAGGATGTCTATATGCTGTTCTTCTGGCAATCCAGTCTAGAAGAAATGCAGTTTTTTTGATTGATTGAGCGAAAAGTCAACTTTTTAAAAGTCAATCTTTCTCGCTACAAGTGTTGGAAATGTTGATGATGATGATCAGATGAGAGGAGGAGGTTTAAGCTATTGTCTTTTTTCTTTTTTCTTTTCTCTATTCGAAGACAGCGGTACATTCGTGTGTGTGTGTGTGTTAGTGAGGATTTCTGCATGTACGCATATACATGTGCATGCAGCATACAAGTACGACGTGCACTTCATTGAGAGATTGGTGCACTTCACCAGTGTGTTTGTTAAATGTAAAATTTTTTCTTCACTTTTTTCATTTTAAGACGTGTCTTTGAGTAAATGCGCGACGGGAAGAATTGGGTGAGCCAAAGCGTCAGTATTGTAGAGAAAGCAAGGCATATGCAGGATCAAAATGCAGCCGAATCAGCAGAGGTTCTCCTAATTGATGAGTGACTTTAACAAAAGAAGACTATTGAAATAAGTTTCACAACTTTAGAAACTTTTTTCCTTTTTTCCATTGAGCTCCTCTTCTGTTGTGCTCTTATACTCCCGATTATCAATGCAATAAGACGAAATGTGACAGATATTCGCTTCAATGCTCGGCAAGAGCGTTAAACAGCCAGAAAAGCAGTTTGGGGAGAAGAAACATAAAAGATGCATATATGCACGCATGTATATATATACGCACGCACATGGCACATATTTGTACTCTATCAGCCTGCCATTCAATGATTAAAAGGTGACTTGAAGGTCAACAATCCATCATTAATTATCAGTGAAGATGACTATCATTTAAAGGACTGCTCTTTAAGTACTAAGAAAAACATTCCATTTTAAAGAACAATTATTTCAATCACAATGTCTCAAAGAATTCTTCCTTTCCTAGACATCCAATGATTATTTAATAGGCACTCACCTTGTCTTCTTTAACGAATAAGCAAATACTGATCCATTGCGTTGAACCAACCGATCATCTTGTTCAAAGGCGCGTGACCGAAGGTAATCTAATTCGTACGAAGAAGCAATAGTAAGATGTGACGCCGGATAAATGAGTGAAAAACAAGCACTGCAACAGTGTTCTTACTTGTAACCCTCAAACCTAAGCGAAGGAATTCTATAAATTTCCTTATTGCCAATGAATTTCCTATTTTAATCAATGTTTATTTTAGTCAGTGTGATTTTTTAGTCCCATATGGGCGCCATTAGACACAGCCTATAATGCCGAAAAGCGGGAATTGACTGCGTATGTGCATGTATTACGCCTGAGTATGTATTCCATGCGGGTGGTTTTTTGAGTGTGGTTATTTTTCCGCCCCTGTTCTACCGGCTGGGCAATTTTAACCGGTTCAATTCTTGCTGCTTTTTGACTGAACGCGTTCCCTTAATTTTGGTGCTTTTTTACCGGCTTAACCGTATGTATGATGTGCACTCAGTCATGTAGGCTTTTTGGGAAATGGCGTTTCGGTCGATTTGCACCAAGCAGCGTGCGTGCGTGCGTGCTTGTTCATCTCCGATTGAGAAGCGCACAGACTGACCCAGTGCCTCTCTAGAAAAAGGAAAAGACGGAGAATAAATTGGCTTTGACCTCCTGTTCGGTCTCGGTATTCTCAATTGATCACAATATTAAATGAATGCCCCACGCTATCAGAAATGTGATCTTATTGAGAGAAGGGGAGGGGGATAAGCTAATTCATTGTTGAATGTGTCTTAGTGCCAACAAAACCAAAAAAGTGGCTGAAGGAGTTGGGAAATGGTGTGCTTCCCTCAAAGGAAATCAAGGTGGGGTTGCATCACTCTCAAAAGCATCAGAGCAGAGGGAGATGATTAGCGTTTATGATTGCATAAATGATATCTTTCCTTTCCTTCTCTTTTTTTGTCTTGAATGAAATGAATGTTATACTAAGTCAAGTCGTGAAAGAGATAAGAACCTTACCAAGAATATATCCCAGAAGAGTAAATAAGAATCAGACTTTATTCAAGTACCCACAATCGATCATAATTGAAACGGGAGCGCTTATTCAGGTACGATCGTGTTGAGCAGCAGCAGCAGCAGCAGCAGTAAGATCCTGTCAAAATAAGAGCTGTACAGCCAGCTAGCAAACAGCCAGCAAGAAGCAGACGCGTACGTGCGTGCGTGCGTGCGCGTGCGTGTGCGTGTGCAGAGCAGCACAGCACACAGAAGTCGTTGTTGCATTTCTTGCATTAAGCGCAGCGCGCGCTTGCATGCTGTTTTTGCACCGGCGCAAAAGCCGACAGACAGGGGGCATACACACAAAATTCAATCAATGCACGCCCCCGGAACTTTAGCTTTTTCACGGCTCCGCCCGGTCTTGTGGATTGTTGCTATGGCGGCGGGCGGTATGTATGTAAGCCAGCAGTTGAGGGGGTTTACAGAAGTCCACCCCTTTCTTGCTAGCTTGCTAGAATGACAATGGCTTTAATTCGGATTTCCATCCTTTGAAACAAATTGAGAGTGTTTTGATATGGACACGGCTGCAAACAGTAAAGCAGATCAACTTGGGTTGGGGTAAGAGCTTATGCATCATCATGTACATGCAAGCAGAATTGCCAGCAATACAATAAGGTTACTTCGCTGAAAAGATTAGATAAGCTCATTCTTCCTCCCATAAAAGATGCAATCAAATGCATCAAATAAACAAATGACAGCATATGTGTAGAATGCTGATACATCCTGCATCATACACGATCTTGCAGAATAAACAAATGCACCTTCACTTTAATTTTACAAGCATTGCATACATCAGCAGCGTTCATCTCGTTAGATTGTAGGGTTATAAATATATACGTTACATACTTCTGTGAATCATAAAAGAAGTTAAAGAGCCAAGGGAGATATATACAAAACTAGCAGCCGCTTAACACCACTTAAGATCGACAGCAAGAACCGTTTCCGTTTGCAACACTTACACCTGCAGCATTAGCAGCGATACTCTTTGCGTCTTGTGTTGAAGGAACGTCCAAAGTTGGATTACGACGGAAAAAGTTGACGGGTTTAAGCATAAATCTGCACGTTTCTGCTGGCATGACTGGGAAATCTTCCGGTCTGGGGATATGGGTTGTTCCAACGGTAACATAAGTAACGATATCCTTATTTTGAACACTTGCTTTTCCATCTCCAACCCATTCTTCAATACTATCTTTTGGTGCTTTGAATGTTTGAGGAACAAACATTCCTGATGGATAACGTTCTTTTGGATGGTATGGAAGTGTCCAAAGGTGATGTTTAGCAAATGGAGCACGAATGGCTGCAATACCGTCATGGTGGCAGTGTAATCTTGGCATATCCTTGCACATAATCTTATAACCAACAGGCTTGCCGCTTGAGTAATGCTTCACATTCTCATTGACAATCGTCCATGTACGTTCGATATCAGCTTGTGCATCACGAACTCCTTCACCAGTGGTTTTGAGAATTCGTGTTGGAGCTGTGAATGCGTTTCCTGCCCAATTCTCATCACTCTTGCTTGGTGCTGGTGAGGGTTCGATATGTTGTTCAGAGACGGAGTTGAATTGACCGTCAATGTGTGGATCCAAACGAACGGAGAACAAATGTTGATGGTAATGAGCATTGATGCGTGGTGCAACTTCTGTTCCGAATCCACCTGTAGATTCACCTTGTGCCAATTGATACAAGTTTAAGATACCGGTCAATTTGATCTCGCATTCGATGTTACCATCCAAATGGAAGTTCCAGTTGAATTGATATTCGTAATTGGCAACTGTGCAAACCATTGACAAGACCAACTTACGGTTACGGACGTTATGTGTGCGGCCGCCAGGTCTGTAATCGGTATGCTTCCATAGTGTACCAGCATCTTCTTCGTGAATGCAAATGGCATTCTTGACTGTTTCAACGGAACCGTCATGTTTGACAAAGTGTCCGTCCATGTATTCGATCGTACCCAAACAATCACATCCCAAAGCCAAAGAGTTTGCCAAGAAACCTAAACCGTATTCACCAATGTCGAAAGCGAATTTACGGTAATGTGGGTGTGCTGGCTCGGCATATGGCACAACCATTTCCACAAAACTGGCACGGTAGAACAAAGGACGTTCTTTTGGTGATGCTTTACTGAACCCTGGAACTTCGTCATCCTTGTAAACGATATTGCTCAAGACCATACCTTCACGTGGGTGGAATCCGACGTGCAATTTGAATTTACCCCATTCCAATGTGTTACCTGTACGTTTGAAGCTTACACCTTCTGGTTGAACGACTGAGAGTGGCTTGATGTCTGTTCGCATCTCGATTGGCTTGTCGCTATCAACACGGGTAGCCAGATCAGGCAAATAGTCATGTTTGGCCAATGGAGGAGGAATACGATCACGAGTATCAGGCTTTGCAAAGTTTGCTTCAGTAGGAGGAGCGGTTGATTTTGTGTTAAGTTTGCCGTCTTTTGCGACACGATGGGCAGGATAATCGATTGCCAAAACTTCTCCTGTTAAATTATCAACGATTGGCAAGAAATCAAGAGGGTGTGCATATTGATTTTCATCTTTTCCATAACGTGCGTAACATAAACATTGTTGAACACGTTTGTTCGGGAATCTTTCATCCCAACCGATACTCCAACCATCACAGAATAGTTCTTCAACTGAAACGCCAACATCTTTTGCTGCTTCAATCACACGAGAATCTTTGCGAATCGCCTGTTCACTCATCACCAATTCTTCCAACGTTAATGCAGGTTGAACGCCAGCATCTTGTTTGGTCATAGAAAGAACGGTAACGGCGTCAATATTGGAAGCGTCCAAGGTAAGATCGTAGGCTGATCCTGTGATTTCGTCTGCCATATGAACGGAAAGTTGACGTGGTGGTGGAGCAGCGTGACCACTTGAAGCTGGAGCTCCTTCACCAGCAGGGAAGAAACCTGCTGCGATGACTTCTGATTTGTGTGGTTCATCAACCAAAACGTTCAAGAAACGAACAGCTTTGATTCCTTTCTCTTGAACATATTTACGGACGGTTGATGTAGCAGCGACGATCTGTGAATGGAATCGGTCAGCATGATGATAATAGCTATGCAATATGATTTACTCACCTCTTCTGCATTGAGAGGGTCGAGCGGATGAATGGCTGGTGTATTTGTTGCAATCTTTCCTGGACTCATGGTGATTTGATTTGTGAAGGAATGATGATGGGGTTATCAAGTCAAACTTTAACTAGACAAGATGATCAATTTGTACCTTTCCAATTAGCTTCTTCTTTTTTGACATGGATAAAAGATTAATGTGCTAATCTGCCTCACATTGTCCTTGCCACCAGTGAAGCACTTTAACCGACAGTTGAGTTATTTTTGCCGTTGTTTCTCTCGGGTAGCTTCCATTTGTTATCCGAGGATAGGCACTTTATCTGTCAACGCGCGCTTAACTCTGTTTTGCGCGTATCGATTGGTTGCTTATCTACAAGATCCTTATCGCTGATACGGTGCCGCACTTCTCAGAAGGATCGGGCGTAATAGTCCGATTTGTATACACACTTTACAACTTTTGTATTCTCATGACAACTTTTTGTATTGAATTCATTTCACACGCTTTAAACGCGATAAGCGCCTTGTTCTCCCTCCTAACAATCCTATTGGTAATGGTACTAAAGATGCTCATAGTGATGATGTAGAAATGGTGTATGCATAGGTAAGATACATAGATCTAATAAAATACGGAACCGTATCGAAGATCATGCTTCTACTTCTTGCGGAAGATGTTGGTAGGCGAAATGTGTAAACTGAGAAACAGATTGAGTATTGTTTGATTTTTGTTGAGGAGTACTTTCAGCATCCCCTTCACCTTCTTGTCCGATGGCTAATTCTTGTAACCGGACTGCAATCCGATCCGCTGCGGCCCGCATGCCCTCTAAATTGAAAGCACCGGGACCGATCTGTGGAAATTAAGTTAATACATCACTTGTCAGCATAAATTGTCATCTTTATAATCATCATTGACAAATATACTCACCTGTAAAGCACTAAAGGCACCTGCACAAAAGAGAGGCAATTTTCCATATTGCAAGCTCTCTGTTAGCCATGGCAGACCACCGTATTCTGGAACGGGATGCTGCTTTGCGATATTTCTCAGAAATGGCACCTGAGAGAATTTCGGAGCAGCTCCTGTGGCGGAGATAATATAGTGAGGCCGTAAAGTTTGTTTCGTTTCTTTGATTTCGATTTCATCTTCAGCAATTGATTCATCGCCGCTATCTTCGCCTTTGCTTGATTTAGCTGATGCGTTGCTCTTACATGGCTTCTTGACTTTCTCTGATGTGGTAATATCTAGACACCATTCACCTTCATCTTGATCGTCTTCATTCATCGGTGTCCATTCCGCTTTATCCACTTTTGTACAAGTCATTATCTTTAACTTTCCTTCTTGTTGGTATTGCTTGATCAGTTTCGCATACCGTGGAGTGATACTTCCACCATTGCGTGCTGCATACATTGCTTCCAATCTTTTCTGCGGATCATCCTCCTGCCAAAAACGCATCTTTTCTAAATTTGCATAACGTGCAACCCATTTGAGATCCAAATCAAAAGGCTTGATCTTGAAATATCCTCGCATCAACAGTGTAACATCCTCGACACCATTTCGAATTGCAACATCACATATTTGAGCAGATGTAAGACCACCTCCAATCACGACCATAGATGAAGGTTGTTTGTCTTTGATTCTTCGTTGTAACGGTAATGGCGGTAATGTTCTTCCTTGCATGCCAAGTTGTGTCGAATGGCACCAACCTGGTCCACTGGGCACAATTTGGGTTTTGTCGGTTGTATTGGTAAGGTATTCTGGCACACCTGGCGTTGCACCTGGACCGCCTGCACAAACGACTGCTTTTGCTGCAATTCGTATGCCATCATTCAACTCAACCGAAAAGCCTTGTAACTTTTCCCAACCAGAAATGTGTAGTGTTGTCCAATCAAGATTTGTCACTTCACCGCGTACGAATTGAATACGTTTATCCGGTTCATCATTTTGCTGGAATGCTTCTTTTGCATTTGGCCATGGCTTTCCTTCATTGTCCAAACCATATCTCTTTATACAATCTTCACGAATGAAATCATGAAACAGCTTCGTACTGGGTGTGAAATAATCCCTTCGATCACGTTCGTTGACAATGTCTCCCATTCGTTTTGACGGTTGTTGTGCACGCTTTTTACGTTTATGCTTTGAAATCTCTTTTCCTACGCATCCTGGCACTTCAATCAAGTCTGGACATCCATCCTGAGAAGTACGGCGAACTTTGTCTTGATGATCATTTGGTGTTTGTACTTTCATCCTGCCTTTACGTTCGGCAAATGCAACCAAAGCGTCAATATCAGCAGGAGCAGGATGAAAGAAGAGTGGTGAACGTAAATGTGGAATTTGATAAATTCCAAACAATCTATCCCAATTTGCCATCCATTCTCCTAAACGATCAATGATCAAAATTCGAATCGATCCATCACATTGGCAAGATTGCTCGTTGGTATTTTGAGGTACTATCACCCTTTCATTTCCACGTCCAACAGATTTGGTCTTCAACAGAGGTCGCTTGGCATCTTTTGTTGAAGTTTTGTTTTTACTGCTTCTGACTGAATCATCTTTTCCATTCTTTCGTAACCAATGCAGATGTGTATGTTCTTCTTCCGTATACAAAGCAGCAGGTCTGCTTTCTAAGATGCGAGTCACAACTGACAAAGCAGCCGGACCACTTCCGATTACCACTAAATCAAAGAAATGTTCAGATGGAAACGTGACTGGATCCATCTTGACAGATTGATCGTGGTGGCAGGGATTCAAAGAAAGAGGAAGATGGTTTCACTTTGAAATTGTATTCTCCGCCTCCAATTTATCCAAGTATACAACAGATTGCACAATTTATCCTTATCAAAAATAACCCTTGCAGTCAGATGAGTTGTTCGATGACCCATTCGTTCTACAGCACTAATTTCACGCTTACCACTTGATAAAGAGAACAGCCACAGACACAAGAGTACTATCACAGTCAGTAACTGAAAAGGTACTCATCTGATGGGTACTTTACACAGACCGCCCGCTGACGTAAACTTTTCATCGATGCTGTTGGAGAATCGTTTTGACCATTTTCACAGTAGTTCAATGATTGCGGTTTGATTAATATAATATATCATATGAATATGCTGCATCTTTTCCTAGTCATCAAGAACTCACAACATGAGGACTTACTGATTGATTACGTAAACGCGTATTGTTTTAGACTGGTGTTATTTCCGATCATATTTCTCTCGCTAGCCTTCTTCCTTTTAATGTCCACAAACAAAAGATGATGTTGATACGATCTTGTCGATCAATATCACAAAGATCGCCTTTACTTCCCTCCCTCAAAAGGTACATATCCACTGTCACTCAATATTCTTCTTCTCCCAGCGCTACCAGAGAAGTACCAACTCCACTCGTTCTACTTTCGGTACCAAAATGGGAAAGTGGACAAGAAGGTAAAACGACATTCAAAGCATTCATAAACCATTTCACAAAGCAAGGATGGAATGTTAGCTGTATAGATTTGGATCCGGTCGTAAAAGAAGATAGCAAAGTGCAAGAAAGTTCAGAAATATTGACCGGATTAGAATCCGAATTATCACAACAGATGCGAATAATTTCACGAGGATCAGGTCCTTTTCCACCAATGTTGGTCAGCTATGGACTTTCAACCTTGGTGGCCGAACAATACGTTTCTTCGCATCCGCTTTCCGCTCTGGCTTTGCTCAATCCACCAATTTCACCTTCTCACGCTCACAAAAGTCATCCAGACATCTTTCCAAACGATCTGGCGCAATTCACTTATGAACCAACATTTCCAATCTTGATCGCAAGAACGACAACAAATGTAAAAGAGATTTCTTATTGGGATATGCATCGGATTGAAGAAATGCAAGAAGAAGAAGCTGATGAAGCTTTGGATAGACGGATATGGGAATTGAACGACGAAGGAGAAGGAGAGAAAGCAGGGCCGTATCAATTACGTTTATGGGCCGAAGAGAATGGCATGTGAGTGTGAGTGTGAAGTGTTGTCATAGCAAAGCATATAGTACAGCTCAAGCTGATCTGCTCATTCTGTCTTTCAGAATGCCGCCTCAGCTGCCAGAATGGTTCACAAAAGGCAAATATGTACGAAACGATCGATCAAACAAAAGAGAGCCACTCATTCTAGACGATTCACATCTAGAAGAATCTTTCATTCGTGGTTCAGGACCGGGAGGTCAAGCGATCAACAAGCTGAGCACTTGCGTACGATTGAAACATGTTCCAACCGAAACGATTGTGAAATGTCAAGATACGCGAAGCAGGGAACAAAATCGAGATATGGCTAGAAGAAAGATGGGACAACTGCTTGAAAGGGTGGTATTTGGAGAGAGGGATAGTGTTTTAGGTCGAGAAGCACTTAGAGCTAAAAATCAAAAGAGAGTCAAAGAACGAAAGAGGAAGAAAAAGACAGCCGCAAGGAAAGAGAAAAAGGAACGAAAGAGAATTGAAAAGATTGGAGTGGTGCACACATTGATACTTTGATCTGTATATTATCGCCATTTCATCGTCATCATACAGTGTTAAATAAACGATCGCCTGTATCTCCAAGACCTGGTAATACATATCCTTTCTCGTTCAAAACAGGATCCACTTGTCCTACCCAAATATCCAATTCTGGCCATGCTTTTGCGATAGCTTGCAAACCAGATTCAGATCCCAGAACGGATAATAGCGTGATCTTTTGTATTGGAATGCCCCATTCTTTGATCATATTGACGCATGTGATTGCCGTTCCACCTGTAGCAACGAGTGGATCCAAGATGAAGACTCTATCGACTGTTGGATCAGAAGGCAGCTTACTGTAGTATTCCACCGGTTGTAATGAAACCTTTTCACGAAAGAGTCCGATATGCAATACTGTCGTTGATTCAGGCATCAATGCTAATGTGGCATCTACCATTCCTAACCCTGCACGTAAGATCGGTACCAATCCGATCCTCTCTTTGATCTCTTCTCCTTGGAATTGTGATAATGGCCCTTGTCCTTGAACATGCGTAGAGTCTAGCTGCTTTGTTGCTTCGATTGCTACGATTGAGGAGATCGTCGAGATTAGCTGTCGAAACTCCTTTGGAGATGTCGAGGCTGAACAGAGGGAGAAACAAGGGTTAGTTTGAGTAATCAAATGTTACAGACGACTATTTCTCACCTAATCTCAAATTGGCCAAATGATGCTTAAGTAGCGGATGTGATACTATGTTGATCGACATTTTGACTGAATGGAAGTGATGATCGAGAAAGATGTAAATGCTGAATGATTGCCAATGATTGCAAAGTGTATGCACGACCAAGAGATAAGCTGCATCATTAATCGCATACTCGCCCGGACCGCCGAAGAAGCCAAAAAGCAACAGAGCGTGTGCATGCACGCATCTTACGCGTCTTAAAGAGATAATGAACGCGGGGGGGAAAGTGTTGGACTTTTCATAAAAGCGGAGTGTAAGATGATTGCTATTGTGACATGACATGGAGTCATTCTTTCCACATGACCATATCCCTCTAGCACAACGATGTCTGCTTCAAAACGACTGAAACCATCAAGAACGATCACAAGTGAAAGCTTGTTGGATGAGCGCATGTCTTCGCCGGCTATAGGTCCACTCGATATTCCAAGCATACAAACCGAATATGTGGTACCGCTGCATCTAGAAGCTAATGGCAAACCTGTCAGACAGAAAGGATTGGGAGATGTCTGTGAGTATATTTGTTCGAGTCTACATTTACACTTTTGCTGACACGAGCTCTACTCCCAGTGGTCATTTCGGGAGGAAGCGGATATAATGAGCTTGTCGGTGCAACTCCCGGTGCAACATTTGTGATGCCAATCAGTGATGATGGCGGCTCATCTTCTGAGATCATACGTGTTTTAGGTGGTCCTTCCATTGGAGATTTACGATCCAGGCTCGTTCGTCTGATTCCAACTTCCTCAAGCTACCACGGCGAAAAGCCACCTGCTTCGAACGATGCTTTACATGCGCTGTTATCGTACAGATTACCAGTTACGGGAAAATCTCGTGATATCAAACAAGAATGGATGGATATACTAGAAGGTCGTCATAAGCTATGGCGAGGAATAGAATCCGAGCGGAAAGAATGCATACGTGGTTTTCTGGTGTATTTCGAATCGGAAATCCTGCGAAGGGTACATAGAAACTTTTCCTTTAGAGGTGCTTCTATTGGAAACTTTTTCCTTGCTGCCGCACAGAAATTCTTTCGTTCAATTCAAAGTGCCATCTTTTTGTTCAGTGCAACAGCTTTGATTCCGCTTTCTGGCGGAAAGGTTTTACCGGTCATCAATACCAATCATACAGCCACGATTGCTGCAGTGTTGCAGGATGGACAAGTGATTGTCGGTCAATGCGAAATCTCTCATCCTGCTAAACGGGAAGCAAAGAATGCCGATGAACACCAACGATTGAGTAGGCGGAAAGCATATCTTTCTGGAACGCATACCCCATCTTCGCAGATATTTGACCCTTTTTCAACGGCCGCAAGTTCTTCTTCGCGCCTTACGGTAGGCAATGTAGGAGACGGTCTCGATCCCGGCAGTGAGAGTGACGTGGATGGAGAAGATGAAGACGATGAGAACAGTGACGGGAATACTGGTGGAAGAGGCTCGCTCACATCGACAAGCCTGCAAGAGCCTATACCCAAACGGCAAAAGCGGGTCAACAATATCGTATTCTCAAAGATGGAGCATTCCACGTCAACCAACAATACAGGTTCCGAACATGCACCTTCGGATAAGCTGCCGTCAAAAATCTCACGATTGTTCTATGTGAATGCATACGGAAATGAAGTTGATCCAGCGCCAAATCCCGAGTATTTGACCAGGCTGAACCAATGTCAAACGGTATTGTATTCATGTGGAAGTTTATGGACAAGTATCGTTCCGTGTATTGCATTAAGAGGTGTAGCAACTGCCATCTCCACATCCGTTAATTTGCAATACAAAATCTTGCTGCTAAACACAACACATGATCGAGAAACATCTGGGTTAGAAGCAATGGATTTCGTAAAAGTTTTGACGGAATCTATGCGACATTGTGATCAATTGGATTCTTTACCGGTCTCAAAAGTGGTTACACATATAATTTATAGCCCACAAGGTCGTATTCCGATCAACGTTGAGCAAATGCAGAGAGAAGGCATTCAATGCGTTCCTGTTGATTTGCCATCCGCTCAATTACGATTTGAAGAGGAAAGTGTAAAAGCTGCTCTGCAAAAGATTGCAGGCGATGTATAGTACTTTTGTAAAATAGGGAAAGTTTGAGGAATGGTGATGGATTTGTGTGACCATTATTATACATACACAATTATAATACAGAGAGGCAGAGCATTAATTATACAAATGGTAAGCATCTTCTTCCATTCAAGCAGTCTTGCCGTTGCGAATACGATCAATTCGGCTTCTCGTCATGCCATCGTGTGATGAACAATGAGCATGAATAGCAGTCGGAACAGGATGATGTTGTTGTTGTTGTGTACCCGTTATCCTTTGCCAAACAGAAGCAAGGCCAAACCAAAGTTTTCTTCCTATTGCAGGTTCGATTCGTTCGACAGTATGATTCAAAATTCTACCGGTTTTCGGATCAAATTCATATCGAAAGATGAGCGTATATCTATGTTCTGCTCCTGTTACCCGTAAATGACCAAGGAACTGAACACGCAAGTAGATCGTTTCTTCTCGTGAAAGGTTGCTTGATAGACCTTCTGAAGCACTTTGTTGTTCTTTACGTGAATTTGCTCCTTTCTTCTCACGACGAATACTTTCGATTGAAACTTGTGTGTTTGTGAATAAGACGTTGAGCGTATGACGTAAAACCTGTGCACTTGCGAAATACAAACTTCTTCCTGTGAATGAAAGAGAAGCAGCTTCTTCGTCTGTCAAATTGGCATCCGCACTTGAACCAACAGGACAAAATCGAAAGTGTATATTGGAGTGATACACCTGTTGATCTCCTGAAGCGGCCAGATCGCCCGAGAGTGAATTTTTGTCTCCACCGGATGTTACACCTGTTAGTCCTCCTAATAAACCATCTTCTGCCGCTCTTTCACGTAAACTTCTAAACATCAAAGCATCCAACAAAGACATCTTTGAGGAAGATTGTTTGTCGTGCGACGAATATTGATCATAATCCACCAACCCTATCCTCATGAAATCCGGAATAGTTGCACGTAAAAGATCATACGCTCTTCCTACCCTAAGTTGAAATTCATGTTCGCTCACTTCTCGATCCTTTTCGCCATTGTTCCGGGGTGAAGATGAATTGGATCTTTGTGGTGCTGGAGAAGGTGTAAAGAAGCCGGCATTTGATCCTTTACCTTCATTTGACGGTACTTGCCATGCTAGAGCGTACGGAGGTGGCGGATGTGGTTGGGTCGAGTGATGACTTTGTTGTGTGATTGTGGTGATGCTTGTCGTTTGAAAGTGTCTTGTGACCGGATGACATTTTTGTGTGAGCACTGTATTTTGTCTCAATACAGGTCTAGATAGACTTTGTAAAGAGCGAGACATTATCACTACAAAGCAGTGACCAAAAGAAGATAATACTATTTCCGAACATGAGGTTAAAAGGATAAAGCGGGCGCTAAAAGAATTGAATGAAATTTTGTTGACGTGCATGGCATGGCATAGCGTGGTGTGGCGTGCTAGCCAGAATAACTTCTCGGGATGAAGGCGCGGGAGAATGCGAGGACGGAAAAGAAGGGGCGTTTGAATTTGACAAGCCAAGTGCCTTCGGATTTGAGTATTTAAACCGATCATCTTACTCCACAAATGATGCACTGCACACACACACTCTCTCTTCTACGGCCGTAACCCTTTCAAGCACAGTGGCACGTCCCTAAAATGAAGGGCTGACGTGCTTTAATTTCTTACACTCTTCCTTCTTCTAAATCAAATCTTCGCTTCTTCCGAAGGGTAACTTTGATCCGAAAACATATATAAACCCAATTCGAACATAGCATTCACTACTTTAATCCTTTCCACAACATCATCAGCTGTCATCCAGTCAAGATCACTTCTTCACTTAAACAAGCAAAAGTAGCCGCTCAACGAGTAAGCAGGCTAGAAAGACATATTACATCTTCTTCCACAAATCTAAACACCTCTCGTACAATGACAGGTCAAAGACAACCCGTTTGGCCGATGGATAAGCCATTGGCTTTGACATTCAATCATTTCGGACCAAAGTCAAAAGAACATTATGCTCAAGGTACTTTTGACCCTTCAAAAGTAAACAATGAAAAATTACCAAAATTATTCTCTCCCGTCAAATTGCCCGTTCAAAAGAGTTTAACACTTAAAAATGCAATCGTTGTCAGTCCAATGTGTCAATATTCAGCCGTTGATGGTTTTCCCACACCTTATCATTTGGCTCATTTGGGTTCATTTGCTATACACGGAGCAGGAACGATTATGATGGAAGCTTCTGGCGTTACGCCTCAAGGCAGAATCACACCGGAAGATTTGGGTATCTATAAGGATGAACATATCCCTGCTCATGCTTCTTTGGTTTCTGCATTGAGATCATTCACCAAAGATTTGACAGTGGGTGTTCAAATTGCTCATGCAGGTAGAAAAGCAAGTACTTGGTCACCTTTCTATGAAGGACCAAAGAAGAACCCAAATTACGTAACTGCCGAAGAAGGTGGATGGCCTGAAGAAGTTGTCGGTCCTTCAGCATTGGCTTATGATGAAGGCCATATTGTCGCCAAAGAATTGACAACGGAAGAAGTACAAGAGATCGAAACAAAATTCGTTGAGGCAGCAGATCGTGCATACAAAGCTGGTTATGACTTTGTCGAACTTCATGGTGCTCATGGATACTTGTTGCACTCCTTCTTATCCCCACTTTCGAACAAGAGAAAAGATCAATACGGTGGCTCAGTTGAAAACCGTGCAAGATTGATCACCAATATCGTCGAAAAGATCAACAAACAACATCCCGATTTGAGCGTTTGGGTTCGTGTTTCCGGATCTGATTTCGCTGATCATTTAAAGGAAAAAGGTGAAGATCCATGGACGATTGAAGGAACGAAGGAATTCGCAAAATTGCTCTCTAAACTCAATGTTGACGTTTTGGATATCAGTGGTGGTGGTTTGGTAGGCGCACAACAAGTTAAAGCAGCACCTGGCTATCAATTACCATTTGCAAAAGCAGTTTCTCAACTTAAATTAAGTCATCCTTTGGTTGGTACTGTTGGAAGAATGGAATCCGGTGAACATGCCGGTTATTTGGCCGAACAAGCTTTGCACGAATCTGATGCAAGTTTGGTTTTGATTGCACGTGGATTCTTAACAAAGCCAAATTGGGTTGAAGAATCAGCTGAGAAGCTTGTTGGAGAAGTGACGGCAACTAACCCACAATATCATAGAGCTTTACCGGTCAAAGAAGTATATCGTTCTAAACGTGATTAGAAATCTACTGTGTAACTAAATATAGTATTGCATCAATCTTATTCAAATTGCCGTATATGGCTTCTTGTGATTTACCCCCGCTTCTATACATTGATTTAATCTCATAAGCAAGGAACCGTTTGTTGCATGTGCATTTGATAAGAAGTGTACCCCACTCTTACGAGAGTATTCCGAGTTTGCTATCCTATCATAGATTTTCGGTAAACTGACCACCGATCTATCCTCCCGATGCGCGCGCTTGTATGTCATGGACTTAGATTTGTTCCCACAATAAAATCAAGACAGGTGAGACAGAGCTAAACATATGTGTATACAGTAGATTCGATCAAAACCGCCGTTCGATCCGCGGTGGCAAGGAACCCTGTCAGTTACCGGCTTCGTTTTAGGCCGTTGAAGTGGTTAAGAGATGCCGGTTTGCCAAGATTGGCCGTTGTAATGTACATGCATTCAAAACCGTTGGTTGCACTTGGCCTATATGCGATTCCTATTTGTTTCCGTAAAGATCCTATTTAAGCGTTGAAATGGCAAAAGGAGTTTAAATTGATTTTTTAGCGTTAAATTGAGCATAAATTAAGACTCACTTCACTAAAATATTCAAACACTAAAACAATGACATGACGCCGTTTGCACCTTATCAGTGAGATTTTAAAGCCTATCTTTTTGCTGGCTTTTTTTCTCAAGGCAGAAAAGCTGTAACCCTACTCGATTCATTGTCTTACAACACATTCGAAATAGAAATAGAAATTCGATATTATTCAAAGTACTAAAAGACTCATATTATTCATCAAGATCTTTAATGAAAGCGGGGCCGGCGGGGGAAGCTAGCCCGATCACTGCCTATCTTTTCTCGCTTATGGACCTAAATCGAGATTTAGCGCTTATTTCTTTTACCCAAAAAACAAGGGACAAAGAGTTTACAATGATAGTGTCAAAGGGTTACACTAATATGTATGTACAATAACCAATTCCGTTGTTTATTAAAAATCAAAAACACCGCTAAACATCTTTTGTGGCTTGTGATTTTAAAACACACGTTCGCAATCGAATAGAAAAAAGATGCATATGGCTTCCCGTTATGCATCAAAAGTGAAAGAAAACCAATTTTAGATCACCATGTGGAGCGAAATGCATGCAAGACGCCGAATGAAGCAAGAAATAAGCTCATCTTTTCACATTGGTTCCTTGTACGTCAATATTGCATTCTATTCTTAACATGCAAGATTGCCGTGGATGACGCTAATGCAAACGGGTATACCCGCTTTACCTGTGAAATGACCGTGAAAATCGACAAGCGATTCGAAAAAAGAGCTCTTGCAACGGGTTTCAGTCCGAAACAAATGTCTTTTTTCACCTTTCCGTGGGTTGAATTGACTTGTTCCACGGAAAGAAGAGCGTTTTAAAATAGCAAAAAACGAATGATCATGACCCTCTAATCATATAGCAATCCTTTCTATTCCATTTCGATCGCATGCAAGATCTGCATTGCTTGGGAACCTGTATTCATGCTTGATAGAACAAATAAGCGTTAAGTGCATTGCATCTAATGCGTTCCCATCTATTTAGCGTACCCAACTCAAAGATCGTTAGGACCAGGAATAAGTCTAGTCTTATTATACATGCATTAGTGCATACTCATCTACAACTGATCCCACGCATCCAGATTGAAAGTTGTGACAGAAGTATTTTTGTTTCTGCATGTTCCAGTCATCTTGAATTTGTGGGAAACCGGCACTCTTTCACTTTATTGTTAAAAATGTACCAAATAAAATCGAATCATTCTTAAAATAAAACTTATGCACGTTAAACAATGAAGAAAGTGGCTTTAATTAAATTATCCGCAGGCAAAGAAAAGAAAACCAAAGGTATCGTTACGGCATTTTGAAAACTTTTTTGTTAGGTTTCATGCAAGTTTAACTACATTCACAGATCTTGACGAGATAGGATGCACAACAATTGTATTTCGCATGCATACGTAGCCAAGAAGATCTTCCGTCTTGTGATAGGAAGGGAGCATAGGACTTTTTCGGACATGATGCGATGCGGAGAATGTTGTCTATGACCCGAGAAAAGAGAGTAAAAGGGCAATTGCTTATAATATTCCTTATTTGACGGCGTCCGTGCCGCGCGGAGTTTAAAAAATGGCGAAATGAAAGGTGGCCATCAAATTACCCTTGTTTGTGTGTAGGTGGCATTAGCCCCCTTTGTTCTTTTTCTTTCGGCAGCGGAGGTCAAAGGTGATGAAATGCCCTTTGTTCACTTTCTCTGGCTAAATGTCAATGAGGAGAACAAAGGATGATTTACAACGTTAAGGCTCAAGTGCACGTCCTATAGAAGAATGAATGCCACTTTCAATATAGGCACATCATGCGACTTGTGTCTGAATTAAGTTGCGGTGACTTGTTTTATGCAGGTTGAATACGTTCCTACACAAGGAAAGTAAGGCACGGACAATATTCATTACGAAAACTTCCCTTTGTTCTTCTTTCTGATCATCCTGACCTGTGAAGCTCGACCTTTTCTCTTTTGACTTTAACCGCAAAAAATACATTGACAATTTAAACAGCAAGTCAAAGGAGGATTGTAAGGATTATCGTTTTCAATTAAAGCCACAAATACAAGCAATACTTGCCGATATCGGACAAGAGTGGCGCTCAAGATAAATGTTTATTGCGCCTTTTCTTGGTTTGACAGTGGATCTACACTCTTTCATTCTCTACCCTTTTTTTGTGCGCGGCTTTGGATTCATTCAAACGGAGAACTAAAAAACAGTTGAGTCGATCGTAAGATTTCCATTTTTATCTTCTTGACCACAACAAAGGGGTTCAGATTCATCCACAAAGCACAGGCAGGCATTTCCTCAAATCTGAACGAAAAATTTAATCAAAGCCATCTTTCAATACATCCATCTTCCCTTTCTTCTCTCCACAACGACATTCTTTGTTTATTTTTCTTTCTCTAAAAAGATTCACTCAAAATGACTTTATCATCTTATCTTTCATACAACCATCCACCTTCTTCACCACCTTCTTTTGAACAAAGTAATATACAAAGGGATCAAGATCAAAGGGACAAAGAAGTTTTCACTTCATCTCCGATCGAATTCACTTCTTCTCACCATCATCTCAACGAACAAGAACAAATTCGAACGTGGGAAGAAGATCAAGCTGAAATCAAACGTCATTTCGAACAAAGGGAAAGAGATCGTTTAGCGGGAAAAGATCAAGAGGAATACTCTTACGATCCATTTGATCGATTTGATGAAATGGCAGATGATCGTCAAAGGATATCTCATTATACAACAAATGATCCTTCAGGTTTTCCACAGCAACTTTATTCTTTTGCTGCTTTACGATTAGAAGCTGATGGTCAAGTTGCACGTCAAGGAGGATATGCTGATCAATCATCAGCATTTATCGCTCCACCTTCAGAAATATCTCAAGGAATCACTTCACCTGCAACAAGTCCTTACGTTGGTTTTGGCACTTCTCCCACAACAACTTCTCCGGCATCCTTCAGTTCTCATTTGCCATCTTCTCCTGTACAATTTCAAACGCTTAACAGTCATTTGGGTTCAACTGCTAATTTGGCCCACGCTTATCCTATTCCAAACTTCGCTCTTACATCTGCCGCAATTCCACAATCAGCAGACAATATCGGTTCAAATATGATGATCAGACATGCATCACAACCAGTTTTGCGTGATCCCAATCAAGATTGGCATATGGCACAAGAGAATCATTATACCAGTGGCATGCCAATGCAAATGCCTATGCCAGACACTCAATTGTATTCATCATCGATGAATGTTCCCTTCCCAAATCAAATCCAAGTGCCAGTCTTACCGCCTTCAACACCAGCAAAGAAGACCAGAACAATCCAAGAAAAGTCTCATGCACGTAAACGTCCAGACGGATATGTTAAAAGGCCACAGAACTCTTTCATTCTTTATCGTACACACGTTACAAAGAATAACTTGATTCCAGAACAATATCAAATCAATCGAAGTCAAGATAAATCAAGAATTATTGGTATGATGTGGAAAAGTCTTACACCTGAAGAGCGTAAGCCATGGGAAGATTTGAGCAGGGAAACGCATGAAGAACATTTGAAAATGTTTCCTTCTTATCGTTACAAACCCGAATCGAACAAGAAGGATAAATCAAAGAGGAATTTGAATACGCCAGATGATATCGAGAAAACATGCGAGGCGATTGCCAATTCGATTCTCAAAAGTCAAGGACGTCATGCTCCTGCAAACGCTAAATCAAGCAGAAGGAAGGCAAAGAAGAAGTCCAAGGCTGATATGGAAAAGGAAAAGCTTGCTGGTCCAAGTGCATCCTCATCACGAAGAGCAATCCCGAAAGCAACAAAGAAGTTACGTTCGTCTGTTCGTTCAGGTCGCAAATCTGATAGTTCTGACAAGGCTGTTACGGGAGAGAAGTCGGCAAAGACAAACAGTCGTACAAGAAGAGGTGGCAAAGGCAAGGAGAAAGAAAGTGATTCAGATGAATCTGAAGAAGGTGCACCAACTCTGATGCCAATCTTCAATGCGCCTAATGATGATCTTTATCATCAAGGCCAGGACAAAGAGCAGGATTATCATCCTCCAAATCTCGACTTGACAACTAGACGTCGATCGTCTTCGATGCCAACGGGTATGCAATCCAACCACCTCAAGCCATTCTTCCCGGCTAGTTCTTTGGGTGCTACTTCACATGACGTTCAGCGTTCTTTGCCTGCTTCCGCTTATCCGACATTCCTTCCACACGTTGAAGAAGATCCTATTGCTGCTGCTGCCGTTGCTGCTGTTACATCGGATGCCCATCTTTCTGATGCCAGTGTGGAATTATTTGCAAGCTGGCAAGATCGTATTGCACAAGCAGCTCATCAAGCAGCCGAGACGAACATCTACGCCAATTCTTCATTGTTTGATGCACAATTTAATGGAATGCCTTCAGCACGTTCGTTCTCTGCTGATAATGCTTTATCTTCTGCAATGGGTCATCATTTCGCATATGATGCTTCCGGTCAACATCAAACACGTTCAGAACATGAAGATGATGTTCATTTTGAACAAGCACATGACAATGAGCATGCACGACCGCATACGACATCCGCATGCTCTACGTTGGCAATGACTGTTGCGAAAAAGCGACCAGAGCGTCTTGCATTGGCCAGATCAAACTTGGACGCATTGCCAAGCATGTCACCCAGAACAATGCCAGGAAGTACATTGACATCAATGCCAGCTCTTACGCCTCGTCATAATAGCGATTTCTCAGCCAATACAACTCAATCCGCATTAGCGAGACAAACAAATACAGAACCTATTGCTCAAACTGGTTTTCAATCCACACATGAACGTCCACATACATCGTACGCATTACGAAATGGAGAAGATTCCATGTTAATTTCACCAACGAATGAAACAATGGAAGATTTACGAAGGACAAGTTTGACAGGAAACAATTGGCAATCGTTTGCTTTGCGTAGGTCAAGATTATCGCAATTCGATGTTGCATTACCGGTAATGCATTCTCGTCTTTCGATCGGAAGTGGTGCACAATCTCAAATGGCCACTCCAACAGGTTTCCCACCAACCCCATTAACGGCAAAATTTAATCCTTTTCGTTTTACGTCTGGAACGTATTTAAGCGGAATGGAAAGTCGTAGAAATAGTTTATTGGTAGAAGAACATTCTGAACATCAACAACATCATCAACAGCAACCGCAGCATTAATCACTTTCCCTTTATAGTTTTTTTGTTTTTGAGTTTTGATAGCACGTTATAATTACCGTTTTTCCCCATTACATTTGTTCGCACGTTTGACTAGAGTGAGAGTTGCACAACTGATATAAGAAGCCTCCTGAGGGCCAAATGTAAGGTAGACATCGTGGGATTGCCGCCCCTTATTTTCAGGTGGTGTATGCCTATATCTGGAAGAATCATTACGTGGCAGCTCCTATCACCAGGCAAATGAATAATTGAAGCTTTCTTGAGTAGGTCGTGGTTACCATCATATCCCGTGCGATTTGAGACTATGAGACACTTCCTCTCTATTCCCTTCTCTTGCATTCTTTTGATATGCCTATGCTCTCTCGCATATGCACAGGTCCATCTTGTGGAAGAATTCAAGCCTGAACAACCGCCAAAAGGAGATGATCGACTAATTTACTTGGTAGGCCCACATCGAGACCGATACAATGTAACGTTGGCTGATACGGATGGAGGTGAAACGACACAACAAAACGAATCCGAAATCACATGTGGTTACAAAAATAATAACGCAAGAAGAGTTTTTACAAGTCCATGTCAAGTTAAGCTTGAAAAGGCAGGAGAGGAAAAGTTTATGGTTCGATGTAGTAAATGGGTGAAAGAAGAATATGCGTTGATCGAATTCGAAAAAGGACAAAAGCCAGCTTTCAGTATTCCTTCTGATGCAAAACACGTTTGGGCAGGTTTCACATCTGATTCGAAAAAAGCAAAGTTGAGGAAATCAATCAATGGCGAAAAAGTGTTTGGCAAACAGGTAAACGACAGTCTTATCGTCAATTGTTATACTGATAAACGCACGACCTTGACGTAAGCAGCCAGCTTGTGAGAAAGGAGCATGTGTAAAGGGATGCATGTCATTAACATCCATAACGCCCAACTTCAGCCCTTGAGAGGGGTATTAGTAGACGGAAATAGTTTCATATTGTATCATTAATCAGTTGATTATCAATATGCTTCTTCTCATCCTGATGAATGATGTTCACTTGTGAGCTTCCCTCCATCTCGGCAATTCTCTCGCTGATCACCATTCCGCTATTTAGCATCTGATGACCCGTCTTCCTACTTTGCTGATCGTCAGCTTGTCGATCTGTTTGGCAATCTTTACCCAAAGAACGGTAGCCGAAGTGCATCTCGAAAAGGACTTCAAGCCTGAGCAACCGCCACAGAAAGATACGAGGTTCGTCTATCTTGTTGGACCGGATCGTGGTTTGTACAACATCTCTCTTTACAATCCATACGATGCGCCTAATTCGGATATCACTTGTGGTTATACGTTATCAAAACACGGCAAAAAAGTACTTAAAAGTCCTTGTCAAACATCTGTGGCAAAAGGATCACAAGAATTCAAAGTGACTTGTCAAAATTTAAAAGAAGATATGGCTTTCATTAGCTTTTACCCAAATGAAGTTCCGGATTTTTCAACTGCTGAAGAACATGTTTGGGCTGGTTTCACTTCTGATCCTCCTAATCAACCTCTTCGACATTCTTCTGATGATGACATCAAGGGTAAAGCCATTAATGATAGCATTATCGTCAATTGTGCCAATGATCGCCGTACTCCGTTGCAATGATGATGGTTTGTGTCATAGCATTCACCCTTCCTTCTTTCTGTCCATCTGATAATGTAACTCAATATGCTTTTGTGGCTCAATCTATAATAGCTTAAAGCTGCAATGCAAAAGAGAGGGCCCTGCACTAGCCCACTGTGAAAGATTATTGTGTGTTGCGTGTGTGTGTGCGGGCACTAAAGCAGTCAAACGTCTTATTTCTGTGCTATCTTTCTTTTATCAGATTAATAAAAACGACAACCCACACCCGCCGGAAAAAGTGAAATTATGCAGGGAAAGGTAGTTCAACTTTTGACAAGTAAGAGCCGCAGAAAGAAGAAGATCATTCGACAGATGACAAGAGAGAAATGCATGATTTTTGCATTTGAATACATGTCAAGTGCTGCAGGATTGTTGTTGGATTTGCGTGTCTGTTTTCCATTTATGCTGTTTGCTATTGTTTTCTGCCATCTGACAAAGGATGTGATAAAAAAATTCATCTTATCTTCTTCGATCTTCTCCTCGAGCGGGCTGCACGTCATTCATTTCACCCATCACACCTTCCAACTCCTACCGGCCCGCATTACGATTCCGTACCTTCAGCCCTAGTTTGATGCAGGAACGATAACGCAAAAAAAGATTGAGCAAATTTGGCTACTTTGTCGATATCAGATTGACCAATACGCAAAAAACGCTCAAATTCATATTTTAACCCCTTTTGCTCAATTTCTGTCTCTTTCTCACCTTCACCTACATTCTCATCGCCATGTCTGCAACAACAGGCAACAAGGTTTTCGCACCTGCTATCTTCTTCATCGCTTTTCGTGAAGCATTGGAAGCATCTCTCGTCATTGGTATCTTGACGGGAACGTTGGAAAACGTCGTTGGTGTCAAGAATGGCGATCAAAACGGTCGTGCATTGGTGAAAAAGTTACGCAAATATGTGAGTATCATCAAAGCAATCAAAAGAAGACGCTCGTGAAGCTAACATCCCCTTTCACCACCCCACAGATCTTTATGGGAGCAGGCATTGGACTGTTAATAGCATTTGCCATCGGTGCTGCTTTTTTGGCAGTGTTTTATACCCAAACGACTGATTTGTATGGCCGATCAGAAGAATTATGGGAAGGCATCTTTAACTTGATCGCCGTCCTCCTGATCACGCCAATGTCCTTGGCCATCTTACGTGCCGATCGTAGCAGACGTAAATGGCGCAAAAAACTCTCGAAAGCATTTGACGGATATCAACAAGAACGTAGAGATTTGGCCAATGCGGTACATATCAGCACTTCCCATGAAGAGGCAAATGTCGAAAAAGGCGAAAATGTTCATTCAAAAGGCGATCAAAGCGATTCACAAAAGGGAGAAGAAGCAAATGATGTAATCACCCCTGCCACCGAAGAACCTACGCACGTTTTGAATGACAGCACCGCAAATGCACCTCAAACCACAAAGGCCCCTCAAGGTAGAGTTGAAGCTTTATGGTCTGCTATCAAACGTCCATTCAGCGGTGAAGCTCGTGGCGCAACTGCCATCTTTGTCATTCCTTTGATCACCACCCTTCGTGAAGGTTTGGAAGGTGTTGTGTTTATCGGAGGCGTGTCTCTCGGTCTTCCGGCAACATCAATCCCTCTGCCTGCTATTCTCGGATTATTCTGTGGTCTTTTGTGCGGTTTCATCGTTTTCAAAGCAGGTAGTTTCAACAAGATTCGATTCTTCTTGGTCTTTTCCACATGTTTCTTATTGGTCATTGCTGCCGGCATGTTTAGTCGATCTGTGTATTACCTGCAATTTTACCAATACGTTCAATTGGTCGGTGATGCAGCAGCAGAAAGTGGTTCAGGACCCGGCAGTTACAATGCAAATAATTACGTTTGGCATTTAGACTGTTGCAATCCGGAGGATAAGAAAAATGGTGGAAGTGGATGGGCCATTTTGAATAGCTTGTTTGGTTGGAACAATACCGCAACAGTTGGCTCAATTTTGAGTTATATCTTTTACTGGCTCGCCGTCATTTCTTACTTGGTCTATTCTCACTTTCGTGAACAAAGCAACAAGGTCAAAGAGCAACAACAACGACAAGAGCAATCATTGAACAAGAATGCCGCCCCTTCAGAAGGCTCACAAATCGAAGAACGTGTTAGCGAGAAATCTGTTTGATCGAAACGGCCCACGCTCAGTAATCGATGATGAAAATGTTGATGAGGAGCGTGATGGACGGCTTGGAGGAGGAAGAATGCGGGCCTTAGTGTGCCTTGAAATGCACTAAATCCAGGGCTTTGCGTCGCTCAGGGCAGTGCACCTGTTTGTTTTTTTCCCTTGCCTCCGCTTAGGCCCTCTTTTCTTCTTGAATTTCTTCTTGTACTCTTACTCTCACTGTTAATATCCCTATTAAATCACAAATCTGATCATATACGACAATTCTCTGACAGACAGATTGTGGTTTCATCAATTACATCTTTCCCGAACATCGAAATAGGATCACAGACCTTCTCGGCATGTACTAAAATGAAGAAGAAGTGGGTAAGAAGATAGAATGGGCCGCTCCGTGTCCGCACTATCGCTTCCCGAATGAATTCATCAACTTTGTGTAGTCACACGCTATGAATTTAGGGTGATGATCTACAGGTCAAATGCATACGTACGTCGACAATGAATTGAAATCCCGGCCTGATTGTTCGGAAGATTGGAAGGATGTCATCTTTTACGATGGGAAAAGCTCCACATCCTACATGTGTATTCACTTGGCAATATCGTTTATGATGGAACGGACCTTGTTTCATTGCGAACAACAGGTCGATCATGATCAAGATGTCGTCCATTCCACCTCCTTCATCCTCTTCAATCCCCTTCTTGCAGTCTTTGGGTGAATTTGATGCCAATATGCCGATGGTGTCGGTACCTTGGAGTCAACCTGCTTCGGTAGTGGTGATTTTATTGGGAGAACACATCAGTCAACATACAGCATTGAATCTATCCTATTCCATCTCTTTTGTTGGCCCGTTGCTTCTTGGTGGCCTAGTATGGGATATATTGACGACAGATGTTGCTCTCGCTTTGCAATCATTGGTAGGATGTATTGGTGGAGTTCGGAACGGAAAAGACAAAGGCAATCGATTAAGATCATCTTCCGATCAAAGCAAAGATTCTGTGCAATCTCAAGCGCCACAAAGAGAAACTGAACCGAGAAATTTAATCCTTTCAAGTTTCATTGACCGTTCACAAAGCGACGAAAGAGAAAGAGACGAACAAATGCAAATTGCCAATTTAGACAAACAGGTTACGGTGAAAGTTCTTTCTGTTCTCAACCGACTTTGTTCTTTCTTAGCAAGAGCATCTGCTTTGGCTTTGATCACACTGTATATCGCCTACACTCATGGTGATCATGAAATTCAGTGTGGATCATGGCCGCATACAATCGTTGGACTTGGCGCAATTGCAACATCAATGATCACTGTATCAATTTTCATCAACGCATTTCTTGCATTTCCAGAAGCTTCACAATGGCTTTTCTTTCCACTTTCATTTTTTGCCCTTGCGCAATTTGGAATGTCTTTCGCTACAGTTGCAGCTTGGAGAGGAGGCTTAAGACCAAGTGGTGTGGCTTGCTATTTGCGCATCAGTAGATGGAGCGGTATCTTTCATTTGGGCAACTTGATCTTTTTTGTTTTCTTGCCGTTTTTCTTCTTCTGTCAAAATTCATCGCTTTCTGTAACGAAGAACAAGAACGGACACAAGCGCAAGACAAGTACGATCGTCGAAAATAGTGATACATACGCTGCTGTCATCTCCGGTGCTTTATCTAACGCTCTCTCCAAATTGAATCGTGAAAGATTGACAAAAAGAAATCGGGTGTCCAGTTTGACTGCAACTGGTAGCGGAGTAGCCATAGCCAAAACACTGCAAGACCCTTTGCCCTCAAATCCCGATCAGGTAAAGGATTGGATTACAGCGAGACTTGCAACATCTACAAGAGATCTGTCTGCCAAAGAAGGAGATGAAAAATGTGCCGTACAGTCAGATATGGAAGGCATTTTAATACTACCGGGCCAGCCTACAAGTTCTTATGGCAGCAAAGCTCACACCATTTGTGTTTCCGAACCCACCAATGTTTGGGCAGATTACATATTTTGGTGGTTTTTAGCATTTTGTACGGCTCTTTGCGGGACTATCATCTGTTTTGCGAATTGGTCTGGAATCTTGACCTTGTGAGTATGAAAGAATAAAAGCACCGCTGAGAAGAAAAAATTGTTGACCTTCTTCTCCCTTCCTTTTTCCAGCTCATACTTCCCAGTTTCGGTTGTGCTGTTCGTCCTTTTTTGTCAACGTCTAACGACATCACCCAATCGTGTCTTTGTTACTGGACAAAAAGTGAATCTAGCAGACTTCAACAAATCAGACGAGGGTCACCGTAGAAATCGATTGGGATCTTCACCAATGTCTGTTCGCCTTGCCGCTGCAGCTTCAACATCAGCAACTTTGAAAGCAGAAGATTCGGTGCGCAAACCAGTCAGAACTTCTTCTTTGCCTCGAAGATCTTCAGCAGCAGATGCTACTGCAACCAAATTCCGTGAAATATTTCCTGTTCAGCAAAAAAGTTTACGCAGTAGTCTCGAAAGAGCTCTTCCAACTCGTAAACCAGTTCCGACTGATTATGCCCATACTTCAGCGGAAAGTGTAACGGTGGCAGACGAAGACACACGAGAAAGGGATGGCAACGATTTCTCCGCCAGATTTAGCGGTGCAGTCGGTACACTTATGAGAAAGTCGAGCAATTTCAGCTTGAAGAGTAGAATCGTACAATTGATGAGAGAAAGCTCCAATCAGGGACGTCCAAGTAGTGTTGGCAATGGAAGCGATCTTGAAGATGGACTGAGAGGTTTTTATGTACATGAAAATCAACAAGATCCTTTGATGAAGCTAGCTGCCCAAGGCTTGACATCTTCGTCGTATAGCAGTAGCACTCATCCGAATCGTATCTCTCCTTCTACAAAGCGTTCTTCGGGTAGCAGCGGTCAGCCAGGTCATCAAGCAAGATCGCCACCACAAGAATCTAGCATGGAGGACGTCAACAACCAATTGCACGACGAGAAATTGAGTCGGAACTTGTTGAAATTCAATTCTCCGACTGAGAGAAAAACAAGAAAGAGTAGTCCAGCAATGCTCAGTATCAGACCAAACTTAGAACGCAAGAATGGCGGAGCTTTGGACGTTCCGATCTCTCCTCCAAAGACTGCGGCCTCAATACGTACTCTTGCTGATGATCATAGTTTGCCTAGACATTCAAAGATTTGGAGCGAACAACCAACTGACGATAGCCTCTGGACCAGTTTGACGGATGACGAATCGCAGTACAAGCAAGGCCTTCAACCCAGGTACCGTCAACGAAGGCGATTAGTGCTGAATGGTCCTGTTACAGGAAAAATGTATGACCTCGATGCGCTGTTGAGCACAAATATCCCAGAGTCAACATCGAATGATACAACACATTCAAGGAGCGATCACACTTCTCTTCCCCATTCGCCTGCAATGCAAAGCGAGGAATCCGAAATTACTCTGCCAATCTCTCCACAAGTGGTGCAAAGGGCTTACACAGCTGTAAAGCCTCTAATGCCACTTGGCTATCGTTCAACTACATTATCGCCAACGTTAGAAGTGAACGAAAGGCCAAGTAGCTTCTTGCAACAAAGTGCACCAAGCTCAATTGCTTCCAATCAATTGTCCACTATGCGAAAAGGCACCAAAAGTTCCATCAATGACAGAAACAGATCGGAAAGCGTAGGTAACGCTTCACAAGAGCATCAAGCTACATATGACACATTTGGAAACTACGGCAACGTTTCGATGGATTACGTTCCTGGTATCGCTTCTTATCAAAATACAACAGATGTGCCTCTTGTCGCTTCTTATCAAAACACAACAGATGTGCCTCTTCTTGTTCCAAATGATTCACCTGAAGCTCATGTCACGACGGGAAGGGACAGAGGTCTAAGCAATCCTAACAGCATTTCATCCGTTATGCTGATAGGTCAAGTCCCGGCTCATGCAAATCGGACAAAGTCTGAAGTCGAAACATTTGATTATTCGGTCGCGGGTAAAGAAGGTCATGATAGCAAATCTTCATCAAGCAAGAAAGTACCTTCTAGTGAAGCAAATTCTTCTTCGGGTGGTTCTCTTTCGGTATACCATAGCCCGAATACGTCTTTTTCTTTTTCAATCGCTCAAGGTGCTATGGGTGTACCATTGCCGAATCTCACCAACCTTCAGGAGGATGCGATCATGGGAATGCCAACTTCTAATTTATCAGCAACGGCTGTCCCTCTTACAACAATCGACAGTCTTCGCGATTTAGAAAATGAAGAAGAAATGGAGAACCTTCGATCAAATGATTCAAGATACTTGGAGAGGAGGACTGATATCAAAGGCAAGCAAAAAGCAGAAGAGGATATCGAAGATACCTACAAAGGTGAAGTTCAAGGCAAAAAGCTTGACAAAAGTGAACAATTCCTGCAAGAAGCAAAGCTGGGAGATTCAATCAATCTCAGTGATGACGTCGACATTGACCAACAGCCAGACTGGGTTTTGGCAGATGAGAAGAGAAAGGAAAAGGAGAGAAAGCTCGATCAAGCACTCAAAGCAGGCATCGAAATGGCAGATGAAGATGTTTTGTCAATCTTTTTAGACAAACGAGGATTCTCACGTAGTCAAGCGGAAGAGTTGAATGCTCATAGGAATGAAAGAAGAAAGAAGAGATTGTCGAGAGAAGGGCCAACGCAATCGATGCGTTCAGCTCCAACTGAAATGCAACGTATCTTGTCAGGCGGAACGACTTCAACGTACCATGAAGACGATGAGATCTCTTCCGCGTCTGAATCTTCCACCTCACAAATGCAGCATGATAAACTCTCTCATGCCAGAACATCTCCAGCTATGGGCAAAAAAGGTCAAGATCAATATTCAGAAGCTTCTTTCGGCTTGCATGATATTGCTGACAATCCGAAACTCAAGGAGAGGTCGATCAGATCATTATCGCCATCAAGTCAAAAAGCATCTTCACGAAAGAAACTCAAACAAAAAGAGCGTGCTCGAAGTCCCGATCAACTTCAAATAAGGGCAGCAGAAGCAGTTGTTCAAGCAGCACCGCATCGATCCAGCGTTCATATTCAAAAGAATGCTGAAGTGCACAAGACAGCAAGCGGTGATGATTTGTTCCGAGGAGCAAGCGAGAACGTAAGCCCTTTGGTTATTCCAAGTGCCAGTATATCTCCTCTTGCAACAAAATTGCCTTCGCCAATGGAGCAAGTTGATAAGCCAATCTTGGAACACAAGAGAAGCTTTGGACAAGTAACCACTGGAGGATTCAGTGTGGAAAGTGACAACAGTTCTCGCGGAGCAAGCGTAAAGCGACAACTTTATCTTCGTCAAAATTCTGGCTCACATTCCACTTTTAGCTCAGATAGGCGCAATCAACAATCAAGTTCTTCAAATTCTGGCTCAGCTGCAGTATCAGAACATGGAGATTCAATTTCCACCAGAAGTCCAATGACGGGAATGGGAGAACGAGGTGGAATTGATATCGTGAAAAAGCATGTCTTGCCAAAGATCAATACAGCAAGCTCTCCCGTCGTTACACCACAATCAGCTTTGATCGCCTTGGCAGGACCGCCTTCTCATCCTCCAACCATTCCACTTCCACCTCCACCACCAGAATCAGAAATGAACCCCAAGGATCTCAGTCCAATTTCTGGTAACAGTATGGGTGCAATAAGTTCCACTTCGCTAAACAATCAACGTACTCTCGAACGAGTAGAGGAGGATAGCGGTGATTCAAGACCTTCAACGCCAGAAATGGCGGCCAAAGCCAAAGCAATCGTTAGGCAAAAGCGTATGACTCCTCAAAGAAATGAATCTAACACTTCTATATTGAATAGCGCCAAAGAAGACGACTCGATTGCCGGATCTTCTGCATACGAATCGGATGAAAAATTACCGGGCAGCAAGAAGAGATTCAAGTCAAAGCAAAGAAGGGGCAAGTGAATTACCACCACCATAACATAATCACACTTCAATCCACAGTCAAACTCATTCTCTAATTCACCATCTAGTTCATAATTTCTAATCTGTTCCCTCTAATTCATTCATTTGTTTATTTTATCACACAACTTAATCTCGTCGATCATTTCATTACATTACAAAAACATGCTATCACCTTTTCGTACGTAAAATACAAATTTGACATAATCGTCCGTAGGAAAAATGCTAATTTAATACAAATTGAATTTATTTCTTTTGCCGTTTAAAGATTGCAGATTTATGAGGAGCTCTTGATTCGCTTTGTTCAGGTCCACGTTTTTCACCACTTCCCAATCGGGGTGCTTTGCCGGCAACTTCATGAAAGCTACGAGCTTCTCCAATATCGTCTCTGTCTAATTTTGATTGTCTTGCACGTATATCGCTATCCCATTTCCAAAATGAACATCTATATTTCAAATCATCGTTTGGATTACCCGTTCCGCCACTCCCGACCGGTCTTGAACACATCCAAAATTTACGTCCATGATTAGGACCTGGCTTGTTCACCGTCCATGCTCGTGCAGGTTCGTTGTGGGTATAACACAATGGCGGCTGTTTGGGCGCAAAGATTGATCCCCATGCCAATGCTGAAGTTACACGATCTGCACTATTCGTATCATCAAAAGCGTCTGCTCCTTCTCCTTTCCTCAGATCTGGCGATGGTGATGGTTGTTCTTTGAGTGGTGATGAAGTCGGGTCGATTGTAGATGATGATGCATCTGTATCTTTCTCCGTACTTTGACTAACTTGATCATCTGTCTTTGCCACAATATCCTGTGAATCTGGCTGTGCCTTTGGTTGAGAGAAGAAGGAGCGTAGATTTGTTTGTCCATTTGACTTTGCCGAAGTTGAGCTTTTGCGATCATTGACCTTCTTGGATGGTGTTGCCTTTTTTAATTCAGTCTTCGCCTCTTTACGACTTGCCGGTGTAGCAGATGTGGGAATCGAAGTATTTGTCTGTGACGATACCGTTGGTGGGGGTGTCTTTGACGGAGGGACTGGTGCTGCTGGTTTGACGATTGTCGATGATACTGCAGATGTTGAGATAGGCGAAGGAGATTGTTGTGCGTTCGGAGCAGGACTTGGCGAAGGCGTCAAGCTCGGCTTAGGAGCAAAAAAGCTTTGTATCCTTCTCCCAGAGAATTCTGGCCAAGTGTTAGTTGCTAATGGGGGCAACTTCCTCTTGGTGGTAGGATCCGAGAGCAAAGTGTCCTTTAGCTTTACTGTCTTGCCATTCTCCAGCTGGATCTCATCATGAAAGTCAACGTATACCGGACAATGATCGCTTCCGTAAATGTTGGCTTGAATATCTGCACCTTTTACCCATGGCATCAAGCCTTTGCTGACCAATGTATAGTCTATCCGAACGCCATAATTGGCCGGTCTGGTATCTTTGACGGTATCCCAACATGTGTACATGAACTTTCTTGAAGGGTGATGGTTTCGTGTGACGTCATGAAATGCTCCATTTGGCACGAGAAACTGATCCAACCATTGACGGGCCGGATGAATGTCGAGATGCTCTTGACGAGTGCGTTGATTGACACCTTCACAATGATCGATCGGTAAATGGGCGATGTTCAAATCTCCAACGATTATCACCTCACGTCCACTTGCCAATAGATTCTCTACTCGTTCAGCAAGGGTATAATAGTATCCCATCTTGTACTCCCGTCTACCTTCATCAGTTTCGTTTGGGCAATACAGATTGAAAAGCACAAATAGCCCACAATCCACCACGACTGCTCTTCCTTCTTGATCGATCTGGTCGTAAACCGACAATTCAGGAGCACGTAGATCAGGATAACCTCCAATGCTGGTTTGAGAGTCACCTTTGTTCTGTACCAATTCACCCGTCAATCCCATCTCTGCTTTTCGTACATGACAGACATCTTTTTTGACAAATGTTGCTACGCCAGAGTAACCTTTTGTAGGATGAAGGTTGTAATATGCTTCATATCCTTCTGCAACACACATATCTCTATGATAGGTTACCAATGCTTTACGTGTAAGTTTGACCTCTTGAAAACAGATTATATCTGCTTCCAAGTAATCCAAACATGCTTGCCAATCTTTTAGTGAATACCAAGGTCTATATTGACGTAAAGTGCGTAAACCGTTTATATTCCAAGTGGTGATACGCATGTTTCTTCTTTGAGTTTTATCTTGCCAGCATCTTTTCTAGTATTGATTCCCTTGAGACTTGCAATGATGATGAATAGGATGATGGTTGAAACAGCTTCTTCCCAATAGAGAGGAGTGTTCTTTCTTACGCGTACGTAAGCCAGCCAGGCTACACACCACACGCATTGACATTTAATTTGGCATGTGGAGCCATTTTTAGCGTGCTGCAATGCATGTACAACAGCAGAGCATGAACAGCACTGCCTACAAGCCGGGTTAGTAGACATGTCCAAATTCAAAGTGGCTTTTCACTGAACCGCTTCCAATTCCTCGCACGAATTGTTCCCCGCAAGATTTACAGCATTCACTTCTCATTCCCTTCCACGACAATAGCACACATATACTGACACCTCAATAATTCACACCGCAGACATTTATCCAACATGTCAGCCCAATCAACAGAACCAAAAGAAACCGTACCTTCCGTTGCAACTCATCGATTCGCAAAACTCAACCCTTTCCGCGATGACGATGACGAAGGAGGTGATGATCTCGGTGAAGAGATCAATGAGACATCAATCGCCGGTGGTGGTAGAGCAATTGGTGGTAGTGCAGATATTGAAGCTCGTAAGAAATTACGTGTAAGCCATGTCTTACGTTCATTCCTTGCACAAGAAGGTGAAATCTCAAAAGATGCCGTCGGAGGAGATGATTCAGAAACTAACCACTCTGAAGCCGTTCAAGCTTTATTGGCAAAACCGCAATTCGTTCATCCTGAGTATGTCAACGATCGTAATTACGGATTAGCAGAATACTTTATCAGTTCATCCCATAACACTTATCTTGTCGGCAAGCAATTGTATGGATCAGCAGATAGTATGAGCTACAAGCATCATTTATCAGCAGGCGCCAGATGTGTCGAAATTGATGCATGGGATTCCGATGATAAAGCAGAGCCAAAAGTGACACACGGCTATACACTTACTGAACATGTCTCATTCAGACATGTATGTGAAGCAATCAAGAATACATTGGAAGAAGAAATTACTGCAATCTCTCAACGCCAAGCTCACCCGCCTTTGCCCATCTTCATCTCTCTCGAGAATCACTGTTCGCCCGGTGGTCAAGAGCGCTTAGCAGCAATCATGGAAGAAGTCTTTGGTGATAGATTGATCACACAACATGCCAAAGACCAAAATGATCCTATCAAGTTGGACGAATTGACAGGAAAAATTCTTGTAATGGTGGAATATTACGGTCTCGAGAAAGATGACGTTCCTGATGATATTCCTGCGAATGCAAAACAAGCTCAAGATAGTGATGATAAAGCCAGCAAAGAACATCGTGAAAAGAAGGATGAAAAGCCTGCAAAGATTATTCCTCAATTGGCCGCTTTGGGTGTTTATGCTCAAAGTATGAAACCAAAAGATGATGCTTGGCTCAAAGGAACATTGACAGAACCACAAAATCACCTCGTCAATGTTGAAGAACGAGCAGTATTGGAATTGATTGAGAAGAAACAAGGTCAAAGTGTTTCAAAACATAATGCCAATCATCTTATGCGTATTTATCCAAAAGGAACTCGTATCAATTCAAAGAATTTGAACCCTGTACCTTTCTGGGGCGTTGGTGCTCAAGTATGTGCTCTGAATTGGCAAACGTTTGATGCTTCTATGCAAATCAATGAAGCATTGTTTGCTGGTACAGACGGATACGTATTGAAACCACCATATTTACGCAAGGATGGTAGCGGTCAAGCACCCAAAGGACAAAAAGTACAATTGACATTGGAAATTGCAGGTGCTACTGACTTGGCTGTTCCTGAAGGTAGAGAGAAGGACATCAAGCCGTACGTGACCTGTACGTTATACTACCCAAATCAAAAAGGCAAGCCAGAAAAGGAAAAGACTTCGCATTATCGTGTCCATAAACACAAACAATTGTTCGGACACGAACAACCACCTCCAACGTCACCGGTTTGGGAACCAACAGAAAAACTTCAATGGACGTACGAAGATGATGATTTAGCATTTTTACGTATATTAATCAAAAGTGATGATGCGTTCGCACGTAATCCTGCATTTTTGACATCTGCTGTTAGATTATCAAGTATTCCAAAAGGATGGCATTTTATTCGTTTGTTAAATTTACGTGGTGGTGAAACAAAGGCTACTTTGTTGGCACGTTATCATAAAAAGAATGTTTGATTTTGGTCGCTGCATTTGCATGGCAATATTTCTTCTTTCCTAATTATTTTGTATCTCTCTATTCACTGCACTTTCTTGGTTGCAAATTGATGATGGTTATTCTTAGTGTTGTGAGACCCTGCCAAGATTCTCGGTAATATCAGTACGATAATTTGTTTATCCGCACTTGTAATTCTTTATTATGATCAAAATAAGAACAGACCTTCAAAGTGGGGGAACCGGAGAGGCGAGAGAGTACATCAAGGATCCAGTGTGTGATAATAAAGCTGTTTCCGATCATAACGAGTAAGAACAGTTTACCGGATAATGCTATACTAAGAATGGAATACCGTATTCCCCCACGTTTACTTTTTCAACCTTTTACAGTTAATTGTGTTCCGATAATATGAGCGTGGGGGTTATTTGTTTCCTTATTTAAGTGGCGTGGGCGTAATTACCCAATGAAGGGCGTTAAAAGAGGGACAAACAATTGAATGGGTTTATCCTTTCATTTGTTCCGCGGGCAAACAAGCACTTTCCCCCACCATAGTTGAGTAAATGCATTAAACATTATCTGTTATTGTTGTTGTCCACTTTGATCATGCATACATTCATCATCACAACAACCTCAACTCTTTTTGTATATCTCATTGATGTTCATCCAAATCGAAAAAACCGGCTCCTTTCTTTCTTATCGTCATCATTTACAAAATAGTATCGGATCCTAAATTACGCCCAAACAACGGTAAGTGGTGTTGTTTATTGCTCATTCAAATTTGAACGCCGAACGAGCCACCACCGATGACAACGCTCCAAAGAAATAATGATTCATTTCGCAGCCGCTGCAAATAATGAACACTAGGCGTCCGTGCCGGCTTTCATTTCAAACTCCATCTGTCATCTGACGGTGAAATTGAATGATCGCTACCTATTCGGTCGGCAGACAGGCAATTTAAGCGATGTCCCTTCATTCAAATGTCCACAATTTTATAAATACTGAAATGATTTCATCTTTTCTTCTCAACAGTTTCTCATCCCAAAACAACAGAACAATGTCAGTCATTCAAGGCTATAAGCCAATCCTTTTGCCGGCGGGTATTTATGCTCCAATTCCAACTGCATTTATCGAAAATACGGAAGATTTGGATTTGAAATCGACTGTAAGACATGCGATCAGACTTGCCAAAGCTGGCGTTGGACTTGTGACATGCGGATCAACAGGTGAAGCAACTGCAATGTCACCAAACGAAAGGGCACAAGTTTGTCAAGCAATCCGAACAGCTTTACAGCAAGAAGCATTACAAACACCAATCATTGCGGGAACGGGTGGTGGTAGCTTACGTGAAACAGTGTCAATGTGTAAAGATGCTCACAAAGCCGGTGCTGATGCCGTGATCGTGATCAGTCCAAGCTACTTTGGTGCAAATTTACAATCTGACCGTAAAGCTCTCCTAGACTTCTTCCATTCTGTTGCCGATCAAAGCCCATTACCCGTCATGGTTTACAACTTTCCCGCAGTAACGAATGGAATCGATATGGACTCTGAATTATTAGAACAAATCGCTCAACATCCAAACATTTGTGGTGCAAAATTAACTTGTGCAGGTGTGGGAAAATTAGGTCGTTTAGCCAATAGTACATCAGCAAAACAAGTTAAACGTCAAACACCTTTTCACGTCGCTCCCGGTTTTGGTGATATCATCTTCCCATGTATGATGATCGGAGCAACGCTTGCAATCGTTGGAACGGCGAACGTTGTACCGAGGTTGTGCATTCAACATTTCAAAGATATCATTCAATTTCAACAATCTCCTTCGCGCGAATTACTAATTCGAATTCAGGCTGATCAAGATATCATTTCTCGTTTTGATCGTGCTACAAGTAAGACCGGAATCGTAGGTACCAAATGGATGTTGGAAAGGTTTTATTATCCACAAGGTGCACCACGTTTGCCTTTGCGAAAGCTTGACGTTGATTTTGCATCGATGCAAGATGCTGTCATGCCTGCTTTGCAACGGGAAGAACAATTGGAACAAGAGAAAGGTGTCACGCAAGATGCCATGCAGATGAAAAAGGTGCCATAGACAGAGCCGATGTGCTACTTCTTAGTTGTATCCTTGTAAAAAATAGGATTGATCTTTATTTGCCATCCGGCTAAAGTATCTGAATTCGACAGGGATAGAAAACAAGTTCAACATTAGTATAGATGAATGTGTAGAATTGCATGGATCTGGGTATTTTGCATTCTTGACTATATCTGGAGTTGATCAGAACATGGCCTATCTGTAGAAAAGCTTATGCGAAGACAGTCTCATATAAGCTTAGATCAAGCTAGGTTTCTCCATTCCCTGGGTATTCTTTATTCATACAGTTGTGCCCACTAACATCCAAACACCGTTAAAAATTCATTTGACGTCAATCCTTCGATCACTACGACCCTGTCACGGAAATAAGCTAACAGAATGCAAAACGGCTTTACACTGATAAAGAGCCCGTATGCACGCAAACCGTTCGGAGATAACATGTGCAGCACCTTCCCCGCATCGGAGTGACCGAACAACCAAAAAATATAAAGAGTGTCGTCCGACACAAACGATCATCACACACCATCAGCATATACAACATATCTCTATCAAAGATGACTTCCTCTCATTCTGCTAAGCAAAGTTCATTGCCATTAGCTGGTTTAGCAAGCGATGGCTGGACAAAAGAAAAAGAAGCAACTGCAACATGCTTTTGTGGAGGTGTTCAGATGGTCTTTGTGAGTAAGAGATGTTCTTCGGAGGCTGGTGTTAGATGGACGAAAGACTGAATCTATACTGTTTCCCCCTTCTCAGCCTACAGAAAAGCCCGGTTTGGTAGATACGTTCGTCTGCAACTGTACAGATTGTCGTAAAATTACAGCGTCGATGTTTGCATCAAACTTTATCGCAAAGGACGAATTCATCTCATTCGTTCGAGGAGAAAATCAGCTTAAACAATTCGCACAATCAAAGACGATCGAATCGGGAAACACGATGACCAATCACTTTTGTGGAAACTGCGGCACTCTCATGTTCCGTGTTTCTTCTGGCGCTCCGGATGCAAAGATTATGCGTATTGGTACGATTGATGATTTTGCTTTACAAGAAACGAAACTTAAACCACGTATTGAACAATATACAAAGGATCGTAGCAATTGGTGTGCTGGTGCCCGTAGTGCTGAACAGCATGAAGGTGCTTTCTATAAATTGTAAAAGAAGGTCCTTCATCAGCGCTAGTGTTTGATACAATGTCGATGACGAATATCATTCCAGATCGCAAAGGTATTAGCATTAATCTTCTTGAATGAATAATTAGAATACAAAAGCAGAATAGAGCATATCATCGTATAATTCATTTCTTGAGAACCTTGTGTTGACTGACCGGTGCTACTTCTCGAACTTGTCTTCTTCCGGCTTCGACTTCATCGTCCAACGCAAACGGTCTCCATCGAACACGAACTGGATCACCAACTTTGATCCGTAAGAAGCCATTCGCCGGTTCTTCAGGTATAGAGTACATACCGAAACACGGCGAAGGTCTCGATTTTATTCCAGGCTGACTGATTCGAGCTCGTGTTTCACGTAAGATTGCCAAGGGTACATTTGGATCACGATGAGCCGTTTCAGGATCAACTGTGGTGAGCAAACACCTTTCGCATCTAGCGACTAGATGAATGGGAAGTGTACCTTTCTCAGCTTCAACCCATACTGTCTCCCAGCTGTCTTCACTAAAGGCTGCATATCGTGCAACCTTATCCTTTCCATCTTGTACTTTTCGACTTCGCAGAACGATGTTCGGCCTAAATCGCTGAATAGGCAGAGAAACATCTCGATCGGATCGTGACCAAAATACTTTATCGTATCGAAATTTTTCTTCTTTGATTGCTTTTTGAACGTGTTCATTTACCTCTGCCAAACTCTCCCTTGTTGCAACCAAGAAAGGATAAAGATCTTGAAATTCCACTCCTGTAACGCTATTCAGTTGCTTTTGTCGATCATCCTCCCATCGAGAAAGATCGTGAGGGGGCTTGAAGATCGGAAAAGCGATTCGTTTAGAGGACACCGGATCAAATTGAAGAAAGTGTACTGGATACCCAACCAACTCCGATACCCAGTCGCTAGGCGTTCCTTTATATCCCCAATCACCCGGAGCAAGTTGGGATTCTCTGCCATCAGCAAAATCGCCATAAAAGCTTATATTCTCTACATGCGGCCATGTTCGTAGCGTTTTCTCGTCAATCTCTAGAGGCACACCAATATCGGGTAATTGTACTTTTGATTCCTTTCCTATCCGCAATCTGAGCATGTTGTTATCGTAATCGAAGGAAGGAATGATATGTGTTATCTTTGGTTCATCCTTTAAGTTGAGCCTTTTCAATCCCTTTTTCGCAACGACTGCCCATCTTCGATCAAATTTGAATCCTTTGCGAGATACCATTGCATCATCCAGTTCAATCCCTCTTCCGCTTTTGACTGGGTATACGATAAGCGAATCAATTTCTGCAATATCTTCATCTTTCACTCCATCCCTTTCTGTTTTACTTGGCGGCTTTAGGTAAAAGTGATAAAATGCGGAAAGAATCAAGATGATAATCATCAATGCCACATTGATAATAACGTTCCTTTGAAATTCGGCATCGTGCAATATCCTCCCGGGATCGCGGAGTAAGCCTCCGCTTACCATGATATGCTGTTTTTGTCTGAAAGGACAAACAAGAGGATGAATGAAGTGGGCGTAGTGTTACTTGTCCTAATTGTTGCGCTTTCTTCTTATGCACGCATACATGCACCAATTTTTGGTTAAACGCAACAAGCGATACGCTCACTTCTTTGCACAGCGCTGTGCCACCATCATAGCTCATCCGCTCGATCCGATTGCGGAGAAGGAATTCATATTACCACACTGATTGTGCCAAATTCTCCTGGCTAAAGAAAATGTTCTGATTTGTCGTAATCAGTCGTGAAACGTTATCCGTCCAAGAAATGAATGCTTTTCATTTAGCAAATCATCATTGCCGCACGTTGACGCCTACCTCGTGCTGTCATAAATTCGCCAAAAAGATCATCAATATGGGTGTTGAAAGATAGTACCATTCATTGAGAATGAGAGCAGTAAAGCTACATGCACAGCATTCACACTTCAATTGTGGTCAATACGCCAGCTTGGCCGCCAAACATGACGCCGAATCGCACTGCTTTATCAGCTTTCGAGCGCCATTACGACGCCTATTCACCCACAAAGGCGTTGCAGTATGGGACGTGCTTTCATGATTGGTCAAATCCAAAGGAAATACATAAAAGAGTCTTTACTGTGTATCGCTGATCCTTTCGACCGTCCACAGTCTTACAACAGAATATCAAGCATCATCAGTTGGACAAACAAGAGAAGGAGATTTGGAACATGTCTAGCTCACGCTCACATATCATGAAACATGCGAACAATAGCGGCTCAGTACGCTTTCATCCTAGTGTAGAAGAGATTGAATCGAAAGGAGGTGGTGAGGATAATGAACCAGGGTATCGCTCTTCCTCCTACAAGGAGCTCAAACCAATCTCTGGCAGGAGAGCAACGGGCTACACACCTGCAACGGACGATCTTGAAGACGAACGTCGACAGATTCGCCAATTGATGAGCGAACGCAAGATCAATTACAATCAACACTCTAGCCGAAATGATCGAAACTTGGCCAAGAAGAAAGAGTTGGAAGTCAATAATGCAAAAGATATTTCGCGAGCATCTATGAGTGATCACAGCGAGATCAGTGCAACAACCAAGCAACTTTATGATCAACCCGCTAAACATGGATTTGGGGCCAAATTGGTCTGTGCAATGCGATTCGTAAAGAAACATGATCATGCAGGCCATGACATGGATCAATCTGTTGCAAAACGTTCAGGACTTAATCATCGCAAAAGTTCGATAGAATTAGGATCAGAAGACGAATTTGAGCCAGTAGAAAAAGGCACATATATGACCGCTCCAAGTTTGACCGAAGCTTTTGCGCCAATCTTTGCCGATGGTCATGGAATGTTTTTGCCTTCTACAGCAAGAGAAGGTAATCCTCATAACTTTCACAAAAATTTGGCAAGTCTTCCAAAAGGGAACAGTAGTTTTGCTGCAATCGTAGAAACGGCCGTACAAAAGCAGGTAGTAGGCGGCGAGGGTCGAATGCAAAAGAAGTTAAGGAGGCCACCCCCAAAACGACATGAAGATACAGATGCAAGTGTTTCTGAGGAAGATCTTGAAAAGATTCTTTCCGAAGCGGTACGTGAACGTATCCATGTGCTAGCAGCATCAGCAAAGCGAAGAGTCCGCGATTCAATGCTCAAAATTGCCGATTCAATGGAAGAGCCGGAAGGTGATACTCCGAGAAAACCTTCATTCGATCAAGAAAGGCAAAAGATCAGTCATGGAGATGAACTTCCCCGCCGTACTAATAGCAGAAAAGGCATGACAAAAGTTCATTACAAGGCTGATGATCCTTCTGACTATGCTCGTCGTCACGAAGGACGAGAGCGTAAACAAGTCAATGATGAACCTTTAGCCTATGAAAATGACGGAATTGTGGATGCCAAGACTGCTTTCAAAATTGTGGAATCTGAACGACATCGTAATAATGGAAATGCAGCAGTGCATTCTGATGTTATTTGGATCGGCCGTGATGGACATCAGATTGATGATCCTACCACAAAGAAATCTAGAACTCGTCAAAGGCAGTTAACTAAAATGCCTGTGTTGGATGGAACAGAGAATGCAGCTGTTCACGATGAACCTTTAGCTGTAGAACGGGTCCAGCCCGAACCCATTCACAAGAGTAGAGAGGCTCGTGCTGAACGTCATTACGATCATCACGGAAGACCATCAATGGAAAGCGTCCGATCTGAACCACAATATCGTTCTACTCATGACCGATCTCGCTCTCGTCATAAGACACGTTTATCAGAGGACAATGTCGTTTCTGAGCATCTTAATCGAGCATCAGAAGATAGTCCTAGAAGCCATGGAAGCACTCGACGTCACCGTAGCCGCCATGAAAGGCCACATCGTTCTCGCGAACCAAGTTTGGAAGAAAAAGACCTTTCACAACTTGACCGCGCAAGAATGGATGAAATCTCACACCGTCATCAACGAAAAGCAGAAGAGAAAGAAAAAGAACGTATGATGACGATTCGAGTGAACGAACAAGCGGAACCTGTTAAGTCAATTATCGAAAGAGAGAAGCTCTTGAATGACAGTCACGCTATCAAACAAGCAAAATCTGAAGAGACTGATCACATTGAACCAGTCGAAAAGAGTGACGAGGTGAGCACAGCCAATAGTCACCACAAGTTCAGATCTTTACGTGCTTTGGGACATGCAATTGCTCTTGGAAATAGTATGCATGGAGGAAGGAAGACTGATCACAAAACTGATGATGTTTTGGATCCAGAAGCAAGCGAAGCCAAAGATCACGAAGGAAGTGAGCATGCGAACGGTGATGTGCAACACAAGTTTAACAAATTTGTTGACGCTCATGGAGAAACAAGATTGAACGAAGCTTTGGATATTGCAAAAATGATGATGGAACAAGAATTGTTGGATGTCAAAGCTGAGAAACGTAGACATCAAACGACAGTGGCTGCCTTGGATCCAAATGCAGATCAAAAGGGCGTAAAAGGCGCATTCAAAGCGGTGAAAAATGTTACCGGTCATCTTGCACATCATGATGGTGGTGGAATTGCAGCCGCTGCAAGAGGTACACGTTCAAAAGCAGAAAGATCCATGGCTTCTGCAACGTCTGAACAACAATCCTTCAATCCATCAGAAGATGCGTATGAACAAGCACTTCGAAATGAGATCAAGAGTAAAAAGGAACGCATCAAAACTTCTCATTTTATTAATGATCAGAATTTCGGTATCAACGGTCTGATCTGAGAGAATTTTTTGTGAATACTCCAGTCAGTACTCATCTTTGTAACGATCTTTGGACTTCTGTTTTGTTTACTTTACTTATTACTCGTGTCATTAATGTAATCTGTATAACGAACAAGTAGGAGAAAAGCTGTTGAGAAGAGCAATGTGTTGTGTATTATATCAATCTAAAAATACAAAAAATGGTAAAAGGCAGTAAATCTATAGCAAGTAAAAATTTGTTCAAGATAAGAAATCGTCCACGATATGCTTAACGATCGGTAGTCCTTTCCGGTGTGGTTCGATAGAAAGTGAACGTGCAATGATGATCGCATGACTGTTATTCATATCCGGGTAATAAGTCCATACTTTTGTCAATTTAGGCAAAATATCTGGATTGTTAAGATTCGCAACCATTGTACGTTGAGCTGGCGATAAAGGTGCTTGCTTTTTGGATTTTGGCAATTCTCCATGCTTCCAAGGTGAATGCCAAGGTGGACGAGTGGTTTGCGATGGCTCGGTTGTGACGTGTTCATGTGGTGTGGCTAGACCGGGTATTAGGTCTCTTTCGCTTTCTACATTATCTTCAGCAACGGCCATGACCATATTCTTCATCAACCTTGACGTTCTTTCTTCAGTTGCGTTTCTAGTTTGTTTATCGTCTTCTACCGATTCGATGGATGTCTGATTTTGCTCTTCATTACCATCCTCCTCAAATTCTAGCTCGTTCCATTTTCGTTCTAGCTCTTCAATTCGAAGTCGACTCTTCTGACTGTCTTTGGACAGCTTATAAACGACTCGAACGGCAAAAATTGGAAACAAGACTGGTAGACCGAAGAAGATGATATAATTGTAGGGGAAATTCATCGGAATTCTGTTGGGGTTGAGAAAACCGGGCGTCTTGCTGACTTTGGCGCGAATATTTTGCAAGAAAGTCTGCTTTTCGGGTTCGTGAAGTTGAACGTCTGTCAAAATGGCAGCGTCAGATAATAACTTTACGTCTACTCCATCTTCCTGTTCTACGAATGGATCCCAAAGCTCAATACATCCTGTTCGGAAAGGCACGGTAATATCATTGACTGCATTTGCATAAAAGTGTACTTTTTCGAATCGATTCAAAGCACGAATGAAGTACGTATCGGGTTTTGACATATATTCCAAAAGGCCAACCTTTCCTTCCTCGCCTTCAACTTGCCATCCTTGATCTGCTCCATAAATCTGTTCACCTGTTCTGCTTAGAAGTCTAGCACCGAAATAGCCGACCAAACGTCCAAATGTACCTGAACCTGGAGGTGAGCCAATGTGAGGCGTAGCGATTGTGATCACTTGACGTGCTTGAATTGGCGGTCTTCTGGCTGGGGTGAAGAAAGATTGAGATTCGAGTAATCCAGCAGCAAATCGTACAACCAATCCACCAAGTGAATAACCAACCATACTGAAACGTTCAATTTGTTTTCCTTCCTTAGCAAGCTTTCTCTGTTCGATTTTAATTTCTCGAACAACCCTTTCGCCCAACCAATCGATTCCATCGTACGTCTTTCCACCTTCATTGCTAGAAGTGTTTAAAATGACGACATTCATATGATCTTCTGCATTTTGATCACGTACTTTGCTCGCATATTTGCTCAATAGCTTCTCGTGTAATCTGTCTAATTCTTCTTCTTCCTTTTGTGCTTTTTCTTTCTTTATTTCTTCTTTGGTCTTCTTTGTGCTCTTCTTTATTGAATCATCACTTTCATTCCCAACAAACTTTGTCTTCTCACGTTTCCCAGTCGCATTCACAATCGTTGTTTGTTCTCCAAATGAATTTGCTAACAAGGTCTCAAGAGTACGTAAATGCTTTGGTTCTCCCCATAATCCATGACACAATACGATTAGATGTACGGGTGTGGATGTCTTGCTGCTGCTTGCAAGATCAGCCGTTGAAGCTGCTGAAGAAGAAGCACCAGAAGTATTGGTTGCCATCTCTAGCTTTTGTTTGGGATGAGGAGTTGGAATCAAAGATGTAGAATGTTGTTTATATACATGCATTCATTCATTAACCAACACGAACAATGCACCATAAGATTTCAAATCTTGCATTTACTCAACCAACGTCAAACTGCTCAAATGCCGTTTAATGAATAACAAATCCCGCGGATTTACACAAACTGCTTACGATATGCATTGCAAAAGGTGGAGATTAACTCCCGTAAAAGCAGCACAACAGGCGCGTAGGCTTACTATTCATGACAACTCTCATGGCTCAGCATGCAAATTGTGTACCGAACGAAATACAAAAAGAAAAACATCTTAACGCCGAAGATTCGGCCTTTAAAGGGGTTATATGCGAATGCGAAAAAAAATGAGGGAAACAATTTATATCCTATCACCATCATCTTCTTGTCGAGGGCTATGATGACTTTTGGTTTCAAAGAATGTAGAAATAATATGATTCGTTTTGATCTTTTTGGGTGCTCTTGATCTTCTGTCTTTTTCTCTTGGAATTGGTGATTGTCCAATGCCAATACGTGGATCAACGTTTTGAACCGTTTGACAAACTTTGCTATTGCAAGTGAGACTATAATCTTCATCTTGAGATGAACGAAGGATACCGTGACTATTGTGTGAAGTTGTGATTGCAGTGAACACCGGTTCATATGTTCTTTGTAAAAGTGCAAAAGATGCTCCACAGCCAAAGACAATAATTGCATAAACCACACAAAGCAAAGCAACCGGACCAAAATATTCAAATCGATTTCCAAGCCCATCACTTGAAGGTTTTTCAAAAGAAGAATTAATGGTAAGTGCCATAAAAAGTGCAATACTTGCAAACGTTGCACAACCCGGACTGACAACCAAAAATTGAACAAAAATTTGTAAAAATGCTTTACGCATTTCTTTTTTTTGTTGTTTTCTGGATTCTTGTGTAAAATTTGTCGTCAATCTTGAAGAACTTTCTTCATCATCTTCTAAAATTAAATTTGGCAAGAAAGATTTCAAAAATTTTGCAGAAAGTTTGGTTTTGATTTGAGGTTGATCGATTGCTTCTTTTGATCTTTGCTGGCTTTGATTCATCTCGGCTCTGTTCAAGGTTGGCGATGGTAGTCCGTTGAATCTGTTCAAGGTTGGCGATGATAGTCCGTTGAATCTGTTCACAATTGGCGATGGCGGCGGCAATTCGTTGGCTCTGTTCAGAATGGGTGAGGGCGTCTCGCTGGCTCTGTTCAGAATTGGTGATGGCGGTTCTCTGGCTCTGTTCAGAATGGGTGAGGGCGGCTCGCTGGTTCTGTGCAGAATTGGTGATGGTGGTTCTCTGGTTCTGTTCAGAATTGGCGAAGGTGGTTCTGCTTCATCAATATGAGTAAGCGACAAAGAAGAATGAGCCACTATTGGAGAAGCAAAGATTGGCAAGGATCTAAGTTTTTGCTTCAAGGAAAGATCACCTTTGCTTCCATTGTAAGATAAACGGGGAGGTTCTTCAAACGTGATTCTCCTACAAAGCTGTGTCTCCGATTGTCCCTGTGACATGATTCCTTTCATTTTGGGCGAGTATTGATGTGCTGTGGTAACGATGAACGTCATAACGTCATCTGCCGGTCTGTTCAATTCTGAACGAATGGTCATGATCAATCGAAACGTGATAGACGTATATAATAGCCAACAAACGACTGCCCACACGAACCAAAGGTAAAATACAACGCTTGCTGTTCTTGTACCTTGAAGTACCTTGTACCATATCAATTGTGCCTCAGTGACCATTTCTTGTGTAAAGACTGTTTGATTTGCATACATTCCTTGCCAATCCTCCTCCATCTTTTGCGCTTTATTATAATGCGCATTTGCCATGAAACTTGGAATTGCAACTGATGTGCATAAAATGGCAGGTAGGCCAGCAGCGATAAAGTTCACCATGAAAGCATTTTGGAATAATCTTTCTACCCAATTCAATCGATCATTGTAAAGACCCCCGATTGGTTTGACCCGAGTTGGTGTTGCGTAATGCGAACCCAACATTGCCCAATAAACCCCAAGGATTGCCGTGCACCAAGGCAAAGTGATCCATAAAATAAAGTTTGCTGGCTTTACTTTGTAGTATTCGTAATATTGACAAAATTGAAAAAGTAGAGCGACCAAAACCGTGATGAAGATGCTTTCTACCATGGCGAATGATAAGATTGCATTTGGCTAAAAGATGGTGCGAAGGAGAGAGAAGAGAAGTTAGTACACTTTCAAACATGCACAGTCAGGAGATACTTACCACAATGATAGTCCCGGAAGGACGTTTGACAAGACGAGCGACCCAAAATGATTTATCATACATTCTACGAATGATGATCAATAGCCCATTAAAAAGAATGACGACGAATAGTGAAGCGCCAAATTTGACCTGAAGAAAGATATGTGGAATTTGAAGATGAAACAAGAATAACCTCGAAACGAATTCTTTCATTTCTCCTACATTTTGAAAATCCGGTAATTGTGGACGTACTCCTCCGTATCCGTTTGGCGAAGCCATGAAATTGAATGAATGTGAGTATAACGACATTGTGTAATGTGTTGTGTGTGTAAGATGGAATGAAGGTGGCAAAGAAACAAAGATTAGATCTTGACATCCCGAATATGTGGGTCAATACTCTTTGCACAAGTTTACGTACGTAATACGTCTTATCATCCGGAAATGATGATATGAACCGATGGGCACAGATCGCTTTTCGGGATCTTCTATTATGCAGGGCATACATATTTTTTCCGGCTATTTTAATACTTTATCCCATAAATGAAGCGATCCGTTCCTCAAGATTGACACCATTCAAGCTCGGGCCGCTTTGGCAGTATGTGACCATATGGCTTGAACACCATCACGATGACAGTCGAAATGCTTTAATGTGAATGAAATTGAAAACAAAAGGTATCTGTAAGTAGCGTTAGACCATAAGGGTCTGTGTGAATTTTGAACGGAGGGAAAAAAGTAAGATTTTCGTAGCAAGGCTAGAAAGGTCTTAATTTTGACGAGGGGTAAAATGAACAAAGTATGGCGTGCATGGAAGTGTAAGACTGTCACCGTAAGTGGGAGGACTGTTACGCATTTGATCATTGTCAAAGTGTACGTCATACCTTCCCAGGATAGCAGCAGTGACTGCCATACCTTCATAAACAGCAAGTGTTTTACCTAAACACATTCTTGGACCGGCATTAAAGCTGTGAAATTTGAATTGACTGTATTCTTTGCAACGTAAACGACCACTTTCATCTTTTTCCAAAAATCTTTCTGGCTTGAATTCTAAACAATCTTCACCCCAAACTTCAGGCATACGACTCATTGTGAAATCACTCCAAATGACCGATTCGCCCGCACGAACGTCAACGTCGGGTAAACCTTCAATTGTTGCCTCACCACCCGTTGGACGAATGATATCATCTTGCATAACACGTTTCACATTCTTTGGTACGGCTGGCCATAAACGAACGGCTTCATAGAAACAAGCTTGTAAGAAAGGTAATTCTTTCATATCATCATATTGCATCGGACTTTGCGATTCAGGTGTTCCAACGACTGGTGCGATTGATTCTCTGATCAGGTCGATGTACTTGGGTGACTTCCAAAGTTCAAAGAAGAGCCATGCCAAACTTTGTGCAGTAGTATCACGACCAGCGATCAAAAAGTTCAGAATGACGGGCAACAACTCCTCTCTTGTCAAGCCGCGATCCATGAATAATTCCAAGAGATCTTTGCCTGTCTTGTCCGTTGATGTGTTGGTTCCTTCTTTTTCTCTTCTGGCTAAACGGGAATCAATGATCTGGTAACAGTATGAGTCCAATTGACGAAGTGCCTTGCGCATCTTATAGCCTTCTTTCGTGAAGTACTCTGACCATTTTGGCAGAAGGGCGAAGATACGATGATCCATGACTTCTTGAGCAAAATCAAAATTGGTAGCGAACTGATTCGGAATTTGCAGGCCTTCAACTTTTGTCGGTAAGCATTTGATATCAGCATCAAATGCCATCAATGAGAATGAACTCAAAGTGAACCTGAACATGGTATCGGGAAAGTTAACTTTTGTGTTTTGTTGACAAGCATTTTGTAAGAGGGTGTCTAATGTTTGAATTTCGCGAACGACTGTGTTCTGGACATGTGTACGGAAATTGTTGAATGAAAAGATGTTGGAAGCCAACTTTCTTTGTTTAAGCCAGATATCACCATCTGAAGCAAAGATTCCATGAACGCCCAAAACATCTTTCATGATTCTTTGTTGATCTGGACCTTTTGGATAATTATCAAAATTTGTCTTTTGAACGTGTTGAATGTATGCTGGATTATTGATCACAGTTACACGACCACCCAAAGCTGGGAACGTCATTGTGAATGGCATTCCACCTTTTGCTTGAGTGGTTTGCAAACGATAGATTTCATCTAGCAATCGAGTACGTTGAGCCAGGATATCCAAGATCCATGTCAAATTACCTATGAGAGGATACGCTGGTTGAGCGACAACAATGTTCTTGCGGCGTTTTGTACCGACCAGGCTGTTTGGATAAGCGATGGCCAGTAAAGCTGTAGAGATGACGAATGTGATGAGTAAAGTCTTTGCGTCGATTGACCCGAACAAACGGGATAACGAAGAAGATTGAACGTCGATCATTTTGACTGATTGTACGATGGTGGATAGAAAGGAAGATGAATGCGTCCAAGTCTACTTTTATTTATAAATCGTTTTGACAAGTGGAGAGCCGCTCCGGTCGAGATATCCCTTTCCTCGGTCAGACAATCAAAAGCCCGAGGGTAAGATCGACTGAGGTATTAGAGTATTGATGCAGCATTTATCCTTCTTTTTTTTCCCACCCTTTCGCACGATCCTCTTCTTCTTTTGTGGCAATGAGAAAGGGAGCAAGTCAAGTGTGTTTTTATTTTTAGCGTACTATTTTTGATCATACCTTTTCTATTTTTGTGGGGTAATGCAGTTAAGCTATTCATCATGCATTGACAATCACAATTTCATTTTCCTCAACCCGGAAAAAGGTCTGCCTCGGTGATGGATTGGGTCATGAGAAACAAAAGTGTGTCCCTCGGTGTAGCATAGGAATTCTTGCCCGAACCTTTGTGATGACTGGAATGAATCAATGTTTGGGTAAATTAAAGTGATACGTTCGAAGTTAAGATTAATGTTGCTTCGTCATACCATCAATCTAGGCCAACAATCTCTCTAAGTGATCTGTAAAGGTAGAATGGAGGAGAAGACATAGCAATTCATAGCAAAGTGTCTTTACGGACTATTGCTTGAATCAACATTCATTTGCTTTCATTCCTATTTAGGGGCAGAAATCAGTGCTTCTGCTGTCAAGAGACTTCTGCTCTATCCTGTTCACAACGCCTCGCAATACTGCTCAACTTCAGAACTATTATTATCCTCATATTCTCTTTATGATGACGAACAAACCCTGTTCTGGAAGTGAACATGAAGAACCTAACCATCTTTTTATTTCGGATTTAGTGTTGCGGTTGTTTGCTTAAACGCCGGTGCTGTGCCTATTTGAGGAATACACGGGCGCAATACCGGCATTCCATAATTTATGCATAAGCATGGCTCGATCGCCCGATTGTTTCCTGCGCAGCGCGTCGCACGGGTGCATTTCAGCGCGTGTGCCTCTTCTCTATTGAATTTGGACCTGATTTTTGACAGGACAAATTCTATACTTAGTAATCTTCATTACCATCATCAATCCCATGAGGAAAACATCATGATACGCTTTAATGTAGTCTTGTGCTTGGTGATTGCTTGCTCATGGCTTACAATTACGCAAGCTGTGCCATGCCATAGAGCTAAATCGCCAACTCTCCAAAAAGAGTGGAGGGATGTACCATCAAATGACAGACATTTCTATCAACCATACACAATTCAAGATCATCAAGTCATTCATGCAACAGACTTAGATGACGGAGATGGAAGAGGAGCGCCACATATGCCAGCCTGGAAAGATCCACGTAAAAAGGGTGGAAGTATGTTAGATTTGGTCGGAAACGGTTTACGTGAACCGATCAATGCAATCATTTCAGGTCATTCGGATCCGTACGTGTTGAGCGATGCAGGTTTACGTGATTATGTTCGTACGATTGGTTTTTCGTTCGAATGTTTGGATTTGCATTTAGGTGGCCTTCAACGTGCAAATTTGGGTGACGGACAAGGATGGATGACGGAAATGTTTGAATTTCGTCAAACGGAATCTTGGGGTGCGCCAGGTAGATGGATTGGTGCTTGTTGGGAAACGTTCAGGGGTGGAAACCATTTCAGAGTTTGGAAACAAAATGGTACAAACGCTGATACTGGCGCTTGGTTCTTGGCTGTCTCGTTGGAAAAAGATTTACGTCATCATCATACAATCGATGATGATGGATATAATCGTGGACGTGATTTATTGGTAGAAGCGGCACAATTAGGCGGAAGATGGAAGATTTGGAAGTGGAAAGCAAAAGTGCAATATGAAGATGATCTCTTGGCTGCTGGAAGACGTGGAATCAATCATGATATCGATCAAGATGGAAGAGTGGCAATTTTGACCGTTCATCGTGTGATCGAGATTGGAACGCTCAGCATCCCTTACAATCCTTCTTTGCTTCACATGCCCGGTCAATTGTGTACCCAGTTCACAAGCTTTTTGACCCCTATCTTCCATCTCATGCGATGGATTGCAACAGTCAACATAGGCTGGTGATCACGATTTCTGTAAATATAATACTCTGCTTTTTCTGTACTATGTCACGCTTCTTCTTTTGAATATATGCGCCAGCCAATGATGTTGATCAGAGGATACCCACGATGATTGCCATTTAGAAGCAGTAAATCCTTGGCATCGTCAGAACAGCACAATCGATGATAGTGGAATTGCAGAAATTGCTCAAAGTGTACCGTCAAAGACGATGAATGGGAGCACACCAGCAAAGCATAGCTCGCATTTCAAAAGAGTAAGATCTGCCAACTCACCGGAAACAGACTCGCAATATATCTATCCCGCTTTGCCAAGAGAGCACAGAAAGTGCAAAAATAGCATTTTCACAAACCTGGTCTATTTCAGATTTCGCCGCAAAAGATTCATGTTTTCGCCATGCGTCTTTCGCCACCTCCTACACGCTGTCGTCGATTACAGCCGCTTGTGTGAGAGAGGTCTGATTTATCATTCTCTCTTGTTGGTTTTAAATGTGCGACTCGAGCTGGTCCTTCGTGGAGATCGTTCCCGTTTCGCTTAAGCGAAATACAAAAGTGATTGTTGTATCTGACATGAATGAGGAAGTGGAATGCAAGGCAAAGTAGACAGGCTTGATGGGAAGAGATTGACCGCTACTTTGCTATTGTCTACTTTGCCTTGCATTCCACTTCCTTGTTCATTGATACCACCCTGTTCAGTCCTTTCATCCTCTGTGTGGCCCGGTTGTGAGCTCCTTTGCCTTGCATTCCACTTCCTTGTTCATTGATACCACCCTGTTCAGTCCTTTCATCCTCTGTGTGGCCCGGTTGTGAGCTCTTTCGATGTATGTCACTCGTCATGTCAAATGTTATGTATCCGAGGACCTTATATCCTGTGCTGCCGCCTTTGCCCGTTGTAATTCGTGTACTTTATGTTTGCTTTTACGATATAATGAGAATAACTCACTGCAAAAAGAATAAAAAGGTTCACATGGGCGCTGCTACTGAACGATTGGAAGAATGCTCGACACTGGCAAATAATGTGTATCACTCTCATCTTTTTGCGTATTGCAAATTGCCATTGGCTTGAAAAAAAAAGGATTATCTGTACAAAATGCTAATTACCAAGTCGTTGACCTGAGCCCCAACTGTGTTCTACGTCATCATCGTCTTGCTCTCTTTGATTATCGTTTCCAGAAGGCGCTCTACGAATTTCAGCAACCCTTCCGCCACTTCCACTAGCCGTTTCTTGATCTTCATCTGTTGTCTTCTTATTGCCTTCTCCGAAAGAAATTGATCGACTAGCACCACCTACAGCTGAACCTCCTGCTGCCGCACGTCGAACGGCTTCTGTACCAGTCTGCGATCTGGCTGTTGTCCTAGCTGCTTGTGATCCCGATAACGTGCTACCTGCTGATGCTGACGGAGCCTGATTTTGAGAAGCAGAAGAAGCTCTGGCTCTTGCTTCTGAGCTATTCGCTGCTTGTGAAGCAGCCGCACTGGCAGCTTGATTACGACCAGCAATGCTACTATCACGTAGTGAGCGTAATCTTGCTTCTGCAGCCGCAAGCATTGCCTCTCGATCAGGTCTTGATTGACCAGTCAAGCCTGTCCGTCCAGAATTGGTAGCGTTTCCACCTGCATTTCCTCCTCCTCCGCCGCCGCCGCCGCCAAACGGAAGCCATGATCGAAGTCCTCCGCCGCTGGTACTGCCCAATCGTTGTCCTCCGGTAGAAGGTGCTGCTGCATTTGCTCCACCACCAAAAGACCTTCCTGCGGGCGCATATGCCGTTCCTCCCCAAGCAGTACTACGTACGCTTCCTCCTTGTTGTGCTTCTTGTCCTTGCACTCTTGGATCAGGACTGTCACGTAAGAGATTTTGCAAGAAGGCAGGAGTTCTAGGCAGATAATTAGGACCTCTTCCGCCATTGGTTGCCGGCAAGACCTCGTTCAAGAAATAATAGATATGCGCTGATAACAATCCGGTTGCACTTTGAATCGCATATGGTGTCCCTCCACGCAAAAGGTCGAAGAGCAAATATGCATAAGGCAGATACTTTGCTGGACAATTGATTAATCCAAACAAGCTCACGTTTGAGTGTGGATTTGCTCGGGACCACAAATACACAATCGCCATCAAGAGAGGATTGAATAAGACCGGTGATTTGAGAGGATAATTCGTTGCGATGATCATCGAGCCAACGATCATGAGTGCCCAAGCATAATCAGCAGTTTTGCGATAAAATTTATTCGTTTCCAGATCTGTTGAATTTCTTAAAAGTAGAAAAATATCAAATAGCAATTGTATTCCTGATCCACCATAGAAGAATGAAGTGAATAAACGCCAAATTTGAAACTTTCCAGTGATTGCTGGCCACCACAAAAAGAAGATGTACGGACTTATGATCTGTAACATTCCGGGTAGCGTCACTCCCAAAGTGGCAAAGATCATCGTCCTTGTTACAGGCGGGATCTTATTGATCTCGTCCATGGCTGCGAAGTGCTTGTCTGAGGAACGAGGGCGTAGATGATGGTAGTTGTGATGCAAAGACTAAGTCTTACGCGACCGCCAAAGACCGAACGTCAGTCAAGTGCTTTTCAAGGCAAAAGGTTGAACGAGATCAAGGGCGTCTCTCTGGCGACAGTTGAGATTGATTCGGAAAGCAAATTGAACAAGGGATGATAGACAAGGATTAGGAGAAAGGCTGAATAGTATTTTGTCATTCTTCAATATTCTACATACGTGGAAGGTGGAATCAGGACCGTGCGCGGCTAGGCGTAGACCCAACAGCACTGCCCGCACAGTCTAACGTACACTGGTACGAGAATGTCTTCTTTATTCCTAATGACCATCAATGACATCAATGGATTACTAATTATGATAGCAACAAGCCATACCTCCTTCTTCCCACAGCGGGGAATTGGTGTTCCTAATTAAGAGTATGAATAAATGCTAAAATAAGGTTATAAGCTTCGCCCATCGTGCTCGCTCGGCCGGGTGAATAAGTGATTGTTCCTCGGCTTTATTTTCCCCATGGGACACTTTTTTTTTCATTGCGCACGCAATCCAGTGCTAAGGTGCACAAAGACCCTGCTGCGCGCTTATCGTGGTTTGTACTTAGACAGGCAAAGTGCATTTCCTGTTGATCTAAAAGATAAGAAGAAACATAAATGAATAAATAGATGAATAAATGCATGCATATACTCACTCATTCATTCAGCTTACTTTCTTTTGACTTGGCTGCTTTATCTTTTTCAGATTCGGGAAAATAAAGCCGTACTCTCTTCTACCACCACTATCTCCATCATTCATCATCATGGCTGCTAATCGTTTTTCACGGCTTCCTCTCAGTATCGCCTTGCGTCCATCCAGATCAATCGCTGGACCAAGTACGGAAAGGATCGCTTATCATTCACGACAATTCCAAACTTCTTCCCCTTCCAAAGGCGCATGGGACGGTCCACTTTCACAAGCAAAGCTAAACAGATACTTAGTCGTTGCAGAAGACTTTCCAAATCCAGGTGCATTGGCACGTAGACTGGAAGTTCGTGATGCACATATGGCTGACGTACGTAAAGGAGCAGAAGTTGGAAGAGTGGAATTGGGAGGCGGTCTGTTAAGCAAAGATTTCAGAGATGTTTCCGAATCCGATTCTCCCGTTTATTCTTTGTGCGGTAGCGCTTTCGTCGTTCAAGCTGAAAGTTTGGATGAAGTTCGACAAAGAGTTTTACAAGACGAATACGTTCTTGCACGCGCTTGGGATCCATCTTCACTTAAAATTTATCCTTTCTTACCTGCTTTCTTTCAACCGCAAGCCGAACAATCAAGCGTGAAAGAACAAATGGATGTCATTGATAGACGCACACCTCGCGGAATTTCACAAAGTAGGGCAAAATTGATCAGAAGAAATGAAGTTTTCATCAAAGATCCACGTACTTCAGGAGCAGCTCTAAACAAAGCTGATCGAGCAACAATTCAAGGATCTTTGAGCGAATTAAGAAGGGTTGGAGGCGAAAGAGCAGGACCAAGAAAGGCAACTTTGGATAATTTACGCAAATATTCAGTGCCTCCGATGTACAGTGAAAGTGCTTGAACTAGGATCTTGTACGACAAAAGAAAAAATCAAAAATGTAACGTGATACTTTTAATTGATAGCGTTCGATATTTAATCTTTGTAGCATTTTGAGAGTCTTTGCCGCATCAATGAAAAGTTGTTCGTCTACTTTTCGCTCCAGATTTGATGTCGTGATCCGGAGAATGATCAATTTCCATAGCGCTTTTCCCGTGCGGTCGAGTTGAAGGAGATGCTAAATGAGAATGACGGCCTGCAACACCTGATGTCGATCTCAAAAGACTATATTCGTCTTCATGTCCACGTCTGGGAGTATAAGGTAAACTTCGACCAGAAGAATAGCCGGATGATGATCTCAACAAGCGTGCTTGTTCTCCATTTGCCACGTCCTTTTTCAGAACACCTTCACCACGACCTTGACCATAAATTATATTTTCGTGAATAGAATTGAGTCGATCACGAGCTTGAGCGTTGGACTTCTTAATCTTTCGCCCTTTATTGCTTTTATCGTACGTCTTTTCGAATTTACGGTTTGCCTTCTGAAAGTCCGGACTGAGCGTTACTTTAGCCTCAGGATATTTGTCTAATCTTTCATGATAGCCAGGAATCGAAGAGAAACGAGGAGTTTGCTCTGGTGTTGCTTTTTTCATTATTTTTTGTCTTAATGTTAGCTTTTTATCCCTCCATTTCGAATTCAAGCTTTTATACGTTTTCTTGAACTTTGCATTTGCATCTTTTAGTTCTTGTGAAAGTACCATTGTCTTATGCTCTGGCTTCAAATAAATCACTCCAGGCTTACGACCTCCTTCAGCATGACTTTCTCCGTTAGGAGCCGAAGGTGTATGAGCTGAAGGTGCTTCTGTAATTTCAGGACTTTTGCGCTTTGATGGCGAATGAACGATTTGCTTTCCGTCCAGTGATGGTGAGCGTGAGAGTCTTTTCTGACCGGATCTGGGCTCCGGATCCGTCCACTGAGTAGGATCTATTCGGTATTTCGTTTTACTGTCTTCTCCATGCACAGGTTTTCGCGGTACATCTTGAACGGGATCCTTGGACCCTCCAGCTGCTGAATACGTCGTTGAAGAGTCTAAACCGTGCCATTGATCTTCATTCATCATTCTCTTTTGGAGATTGGGCTCGGCAACTTCATCCCAAGCGTAGACGGAAACAAGATGTGTAAACACTCCAACGAAAATCAAGGAGAAGAGACAAGAAGACCAAATAGTCTTCGTCACGGTATACATCTTGCTTCGCTGTCTTTGATGCTTGAATAAGAGGAGGGCTTTTGCGGGAGTAGAATCTTCCTCTTTTATATCTTCCTATCTCGTTCATGTCTCCACAGCTCTAAGCCCGTTTGGCAGCCATTTGCGTTCGGCGAACGGTAAAATCTTTTTTCGGGGCAAAAGAAGTTTTCGTTAGCTTCAACAAATTTTTGACTACACAGCGATAATCTTGGCTGATACTATCAGATCAATGTACAAGAAATCAGATTAAAAACAAAAGTACTCACTCTGGCAATCACCCGCCCACGAATCATCCCAAGGGGAACGGGTCCATAATCCCTGCTGTCGGTGCTATTTGCCATATTGTCACCGGTTAGCCAAATGTGACCTGGAGGTACAACGATGTATCTTGGTTCATTTTCGCTTGAGTCACTTTTCGCGGCATTCTTATTCGTTCTCCACTGCAAATGATGATCCTCCTTGACTTCCGATCTAGGATCGATCAAAATTGTATCGCCTGCCAGGCCAATGACCCGTTTACACACATCATATGAGGCGTCACGCATTGAACAAATGGCCACCAAATCCCCCACAGCGATTCCTGTGCCCATGGCTGGGTCTGCTTTATTTCGAGGACCACCAACATTTTTTGTTTGTGGTGAATTGTTTACTCTTTCGTCATTTTGATGGAATGCCGGGGCTATATCGCGAGGTAGGTAGGGAGCCAACAATCGAAAGGATGGCAGTGGCATATAAATCAGATAATCACCTCTTGTGTTCAATGTTGGCAGCATTGAAGGACCAATTGTTTCTGAAACAGTGATGAAACTATCTGCAATCAAATGAAACGCAAATACTGCCTTTGCGCTATATACGGTCGTCGTTGCAGCGAAATTGACAGCTGTGTTAAGCCATGGCGGTAGTCTTCGATATGCAAATGATATCATTTTGTTATACCATAATGTTGATGAGAATTGTTATGAAGGTTGTTTAGAAGGATGATTCAAGCAAGCCTGCCTAGAATGCAATTCACGCTAAAAGCACAAGAAGAAAGAAGAAGGACTTGCCCAGCTTAAGCGGGTTATCCAGACTAAACGCGTACGTACGCCCAACATAAGAAATGCCCGCTTTCTGTGTAGCCAGGGTGCATCTTCTCACCGCTTAAAGGCTGATCTGTTCGCCGGACGACGAGGGGAAGGCCACACAACGAATTCATTCACGCTGCTTGTGTGCCGGTGTTTCCCCGACGCTATAGTACATTAGTAGGATTAATTCATTTATCGCCATCTGCTTTAATCACACTAAGCTCTCATATCTGATACCATCATCATCACCGTTACCACCAATATACTCGATGAAGTAAAGGAACGAGAAGCACTCATTTTTATCGACAAAAAAGGGAACAATCTCGAAATACTCTCTTCTATTTGCATCATTCATCCCTTGCGCCCAAAGGTGATCGCTCGTTCATCAGAAGATTCATACACCGCCTTCGACCGATTCTACCCGTCATCCCCACATTCTTTTTTATCCGGACTGCAATCTCTCATGCTGGCGTTATTGAAGTTTGTATACAGGGGATCGTATTAGTGTACTGTAATCTGTTGCAAGTTGAAAATAGAGGGTAAAATAGGCTTTGGCCCTTCAAGTTTTGATCAGCGGCGAGGGTAGCATTCATCAGCAAAGTATTTCACACAAAGCCACATCATCATCATTATGCTACACGCAAGTGCTGTGGCGGGAGCTTGCGCTGGATTGGTTTCATCCATCGTTACATGCCCATTAGACGTTGTCAAAACAAAATTACAAGCACAAAGCGGACCATCAAGACCTTTACGATCAGGATGGAGCGGACCAGCAGGACATCCCAATGGCGGAATAGGAGGCGGAGCGGCAAGAGAAGCATGGGAAAAGAAGCTACTCGATCAAGCACGTATAAAAGGCGTTTCGGTAGCAGAGATCAGTAGTCAATACGAAGGTTTATCGGGAACAATGCGAAAGATTTGGACAGAGAATGGAGTGAAAGGATTTTACAGAGGTCTAGGGCCAACGATATTCGGGTATTTGCCAACATGGGCAATATACTTTACAGTATATGACCAATGCAAAACATTTCTTGCTACAAACTTCAATCCAACCGGAGAGGAAGACTTTATCAATCATATCTTTAGCGCAATGACTGCTGGACTGGTGAGCACGACTTGCACAAGTCCATTGTGGGTTGTCAAGACGAGATTCATGCTACAGTCTGTCAAAGACCCATCGACCCGGCCTTACAGGCATACTGGAGATGCATTTGTTCAAATATACCGCACAGAAGGATTACGAGGATTTTATCGAGGACTATTGCCTAGCTTGTTTGGTGTAAGCCATGTAGCTGTACAATTTCCACTGTACGAGAAATTCAAGGAATGGGCACGAGAACAGAATGATACCGACGAACTCACGCCAAGTTCAATCTTGCTTTGCAGTAGCGGAGCAAAGATGATTGCTTCAATGTTGACCTATCCACACGAAGTGTTGAGGACGAGACTACAGATGCAACCGAGAATCGTTGGCTCAGTGGCTTCGACGCCATCTGCAGCACCGGCGAACGGAGGGCTTGAAGGGAAGGTATCGCACGAGAGTGGAAAGAGAAGTATGCATACTCTGACGGGAAGAGGGATAGGACAAAATCTACGGAATCTTAAAGCGAGGCGGACAGGATATTTGCCACACGTGCGCAATAGACAGATATCTGGAATGGGAAACGTTTCTTCTGGAGGAGGACAAAGTGGAAATCGATATACCGGAGTTTTGCAAGCATGTGCAACAATTGCCCGAGAAGAAGGTTTGAGAGGATTTTATAAAGGAATGGGAGTAAATCTTATTCGGACCGTTCCAAGTTCAGCTTTAACGATTTTAACGTATGAAGTTATGATGCAACATCTTACAAATACTGATCATGAACCTGAAGAATTAAACGATCACAAAGATGAACGGTAAAGCACAGCATTGCGGCGTCGGCTTTCCTTTGTTTCATCTTGTCTTTTTTTCTCATTTCATTCACTTGTGTACCGCATTTACTGGATATCACATTGTAGCAATTCAGCATTTATTTATTTCGAGAGGAGAATGACTGTCAGAACCGGTATGCCAGATGATGTTCATTTTTCGCGGCCCGTGAATGAGAGGGATGAGGTAACGGATGGTTACAAGCCGAGTGCGGATTATAGCATCATTCCGCGTATTTCCGTTTTGGGAATGGTGTACCTTTGTTGAGGTGCCTGGCTTGACTCCTGAATGATGACAATTTGTTCCTGAAATGAATTGCGGATGCCAAGTTTGGTAAACGTCATCCAAATAAAACGATCGAGAGCGCCGAAACACCGCAGGAATATTCTACAGGAAATCCAGCAAAGCATATATGTGATTTTTTAGCGAAATTACACGGAACATACAAATATTTTTAGCAAAACGGTAAACCGAACGGTCGACAATATGATGCAGCGTATGGCATCAATGGTTGGATATAAAACAGGCCACTTCTGTTCTTCTTTTCGACGTTCTTCACCCATCTCTTTCCCATCATTCCAACTACTCAATCCCATCAGTCAAAATGAAGTTCTTCCCATTTGCCTCTCTCATCTGCCTAGTGATGGTGACTTTGTTCACTGTCAGCAACGCATCACCTGCTAACGCTGTGGTCAAGCGAACAGGACAATATCAATCCATTGTTGAAACATTTGCAAAGATTGCTGCAACGATTAAAGGATTGGATCAATCTCAAACAGCTGCCGGTCAAACTGGTACGCCAGATTTCAGTCTTGCAGCAAAAGGTCTTGCAGAATTAGCAATGGAAGCTGAATCAGCAGAAATGCAATTACGTGCAATCGGTACGGCCAAATTGGACGCTTCAAGTGCAGCAAGTATTGGTGGCTCGGTTACAGCATCTTCTCAATATGTCAAAGGAATCACAATGATGGTTCAAGCAGGTAAACAATGGTTTGAGAAAAACCATGTTACACAAACTGTGGTTACAATTTTGAAAACAAACATTGCTCAATTCAGAAGTTTGTTCCACGAATTGAATCGTCATGTTGATTATGCAACATTGCAATCTTACGCTCCTGCCGAAATCACTTTCATTTGCAGTATGGTTAATGCAGTTGTTGACCTCGATCCTAGTGCAATCTCCTCAGGTGCAAAGGCATTCTGCGCAAGTCAAAAGACAGGCTACTTTGATCCCAACGTTTTCGGTGGTTGCACAAACGCACCCAAAGGATATGGAAGTTGCGGTAACAGTCCAACAACATTCTTCCAACAAGCTTACACTTCTGGTACAATGGGATCTTCTTCAACTTCTTGCACTTCAGGTACCCAACCACCAAAGAGTTTCAGCATTCCCTCCAACTGCTTGAAAACCAGTCATTAATTTGTTGGGCTAAGCGGTCACTTTTTGTCGGTTTTGCTTTCCTCCTCCTTATTTCGCTTTTTCATAAATCATTCACTCTGAAATTTAATTTTATTCTCTTCATCATGCTTCATTTGCCAAGAATAAGGTATGACGATACTTCATTTTAATTGACCACGTTTGATGACGATGCAGCATGACGTTATGTTTCGCATTCCGTTGAATGAAATTTGAAAACCATAAAAGCGGACCGCACTTTATTTCGTCAATAGGGCGCACCCCTGATTCATTTCAAGCCACAGCTGGAATGAATCCATCCGTAAAAGGTGTTACGACGCCTTTCATGTTTCCCAAAATAATAACACATCTGATCGCTTTCAACATTTGTTAGAAATGAAAGTTTTCTAGCAGTAATTGCTGACGTACCTGGTCATCAGACGTGGGCGCGATCGATCAGGTACGTATTCCGGAACGTTGAGAGTGTAGCTGGGTTTCAAATTGCTGCCCTTTCTGCAGCTTTCGTGGGTTATAAAAGAAGGCACGTCCACAACTTTGTTTTTTCTCCTCTCTACCCAAACAAATTTTCTCTCATTCACATCATAAGCACCATGAAGCTTCTCAACTTCTTTACCCTTTTCACCGCTGTGATTATGGTCATGGCTATCTCCACAATGGCAATGCCACACACCTTGGACAAGCGTAATGGTGCCTCAATTGCGGGATCATTTGTCACAATCAGTCAATTGATTGCTCAATTAGATCAAGCTCAACAAGCTGCCGGTCAAACAGGTACCCCGGATTTCAGTAAAGCCTCTGGTTTCCTCGTTCAATTGGCTCAAACAGCCGAAGCTGCTGATGCAGGTCTTAACGGTTTAGGAAACAATAAATTGGATGATGGTTCTGCACATAGCATTAAATCTTCACTTCAATCTTCTGCTTCAAGCGTTCGTTCAATCACTGCTTTAATTCAAAAAGGTAAGGAATGGTTTGCTAAGAACAATGCAACGCAAAAGGTGATTCAAATTTTACAAGCAAACATTGCTCAATTCCATCAATTGTTTGCCAATTTGAACGCACATGTGACCTCAAACTATGTTCAAGCTTATGCCCATTCTGAAAAGAGATTTATCTGTGCAATGGTTGATGCGGTTGCCGCTTTGGATAAGAATGCGGTCTCTGGAGGTGCAGTCAGTTTCTGCAACAATGGCGGTGATGGTGGTGAGCCTGATGACGCAAGTAGTCTTGATGCATTCAACAATGGCATCACACCCTCAGGATTTGAAACATGCAACAACAGTCCAACCATGTTCTTCCAAGAGGCCTACAATAGTAAGACTCTCGGTAAAACCACTCAATGCACTTCAGGTCAAAATGTTGTTCCGAATTCATTCGGAGTTCCGATTAACCCTTTGTTGCTTTGAGTATATCAATTAACTACTTTGGATAATGGTATCACTGATGATGATATTCCGATGTTCATTCAGTAGATGTATATAAACAATCTTCATTTAATCAGACAAAGATTTGACATGTGTTCAACGAATAGTCTTCCTCTTCTTTCATTACGCCATATGCTAAACACTAAGTTTGGTATAATCTTCGACTTGATGATGCAAGTTCTTGAAGTACTGCGCACGTTGGGCTTTGCAAAACGGTGGCCGCTCAAGTGAGGGGGACACACACCTAATTTTCTGTGAATGTGTTCTTCTGACCACATTGGCAAGTAGATGACTTGCAAAATGGTCATCTCAATCAGCTTCATCACCCCTGCCATCAATTATATAGCAACCCAACCCCCTTTTTAGCCGATGACAACATTGATATCATCATTTCATCGACCCCCACTTTGCGTTTGTCACTGATCTGCATAACAATTGCAACTCCTAACAGGACATTTAAGAATAGGGATCTTATCTAGAACCGGATTTAAAGAGGCCTCACGAGGGCTCACAGAATTCAACTTTAGTGGAAGTGATCAAGCACTGGAATGCTGTCTCTAAGCACACGATCACAACTCTTAACAACCACTAACAACCCGGCATAAGACTTATGAAGCCGACTTCGACTCTTAAAGAGCACTGACTATCCGGCGTACAACTTATCAAGCCGATCCCATCAACATCATTCACCGGCCAAGGCATTGATAGCATTGAAGAGAGCTCAAATGTGCCTGCAAGCAAGCCATCATCAGTGGAGCGTATGTCCAAATAGGGGAGAATAATAAAAATCCGCCTATTCTCATTCCTAAGAATGGGTGCCTTGATTAGGGTGCCTGGGTTGACTCCTGAATGATGAAGTTTGGCATACACGTAAGAGCGATGTTGGCATAGGACCGCCGCAGGAATGTTATCTGATAGATCGGAAAAGGTATCCCTGTGAAGTGAGAGTCAAATTGCTCGGAACATACAAATGAACGTGCAACAATACTTCCCAGCATCTGGGATCAATCGAAGGGTATAAATATGAGACAATTCAGCTTTTTTATTCGATTGTCAACACCCACCTATATCCCATCCTTCGAGATACGCAACCCGAGTACCAGTCAAGATGAAGTTCTTTCCACTTGCTACTCTTTTCTGCCTCATGATGGTGACTTTGGTCACTGTGAGCTATGCTTCACCAGCTGCTGTTTTGAGTAAACGATCAGGAAAATACCAATCAATCGTAGACGATTTTGCAAAGATTGATCAAACAATCAAAGAATTGGACGAGGCTCAATCAAGCTCTCCTCAAACAGGCAAGCCCGATTTCAGTAAATCAGCAAAAGGTCTTGCACAATTATCAATGGAAGCTGAATCAGCAGAATTCAAATTGCGTGCACTCGGAACTGACAAATTGGACGCTTCGAGTGCAGCAAGTATTGGTGGTTCACTCACATCATCTTCTCAACATGTCAAGGGAATCACAGATATGGTCAAAGCAGGTAAACAATGGTTTGAACAATACCATGCCACCTCAACTGTGGTCACAATTTTGAAAACGAATATCGCTCAATTCAAAGACTTGTTCTCCGAATTGAACCGCCATGTTGACTATGCAACTGTAAAATCTTACGCTGCTCCCGAAGTCATTTTCATCTGCAGCATGGTGGATGCAGTCGCTTATCTCGACCCAAACGCAGTTTCAGCCTCGGCAAAGGCATTCTGCGCAAGTCACAAGACTGACACCTTTGATCCAAACGTTTTTGCCGGTGACGCAAATTCACCTTCAGGCTTCGGAAGTTGCCATAACAGTCCAACAACGTTCTATCAGCAAGCTTACACTTCTGGTACAATGGGAACTGGGTCCACTTCTTGCACTTCAGGCACACAAACGCCAAACAGCTTCAGCATCCCGAACAACGTCTTGATGCTCAGCCAATGATTGGTTGGGGAATTTGTCGATAAAGTTGACTGTACCTGTCCCAATTCTCCCCTTTTCTAATGTGACTCCCATGATATCGAAATTCAAATTTCATCCCTTATTTTGTCATGCCGCGCTTGCCTTGCACAGTTTGTCTAAGATGATGAGTAATGATGCAGAAGCATTCAGGTATGGCGTAAAGTTCTGCAGTCACTCAGGCGGAGTATGAACTATAGGAAGCGGACCGCAGTCACATTGATGAACAGGACACACCCCTCACTCATTCCAACCGCCGCTGGAATGATTCAAACCGACAAAGGTGATACGACGCCGAAATCTTATTATTTTCAATGTGACTTTTGAGTAACAGCCGTCTTCTCGCCGGATTGGCCGATATCCTTGGCCATCACATGTGGGCGTTATCGGAAAGCTAAAAAGGACGCAACCCTTACAGCATCTCTGAGCTTCAGATTGTGGCCCTTTGTACAACCGTTGTGGGTTATAAAAGGACAGCAAATTCACGATTGAATTTCCCCCTTCCCAAGACAAGCAAGTCTCTCCCATTATCCAATCGTCATCATGAAGCTCGTCAACTTTCTCACCCTTTTCACAACCATGATTGTGGCAATGACCATCTCCACGATGGCAATGCCATTCTCCTTGGACAAACGTGATGCAGCATCAATTACTGGCTCGTTTGCTACGATCAGCAAGCTGATTTCTCAATTAGACCAAGCTCAAAAAGCTGCAGGTCAATCGGGCACACCTGATTTCAGTAAAGCTTCCGGCTTGTTGGCTCAATTGTCGCAAACTGCCGAATCTGCTGATTCAGCATTGGTCGCTTTGGGAAGCAGTAAATTGGATGCAGGTTCTGCAAGTAGCATTAAATCTTCACTTGAATCTGCTGCTTCAAGCGTTCGTTCGATCACTACTTTGATTCAAAAAGGCAAAGAATGGTTCGCAAAGAATAATGCAACGCAAAAAGTCATTCAAATTATACAAGCAAACATTGACCAATTCCATCAACTGTTTATCGATTTGAATTCTCACGTTACCGATACTTACCATCAAGCTTACAAAGCCCCTGAAACGAGAATCATTTGCGCAATGGTTGATGCAATTGCCACTTTGGATAAAAGTCAAGTTTCCGAATCAGCAGTCGATTATTGCAACGGTGGCGGTGATGGTGGTCAACCTGATGATGCAAGCGGTCTTGATGCATTCAACGATGGTGTCACCCCTTCAGGTTATTCTTCATGCGGCAACAGTCCAACGATGTTCTTCCAACAAGCTTACACCAGTAAGACTTTGGGTACTTCAGGCACTCAATGCACTGCAGGCGAAACAGTGACTCCGAATTCTTTTGAAATTCCTCAGAACGCTCTGATGCTCTGAGTTTATTTGATCGAATGTTTTGGTCATAGACCTCATCAAGGATGGTATTCCGACGACCGCTCCGTATATATGAATGATTCGAATTTATAAGCTTCACCCATCGAGATTTTCTCTCTATTGCGCCCTCTGCTGAGTTTGTTGTGTGCCTGAAAGTCTAAGGTTAAGCTAATGAGATTGAATGCGAAGCCGCTTGTGACGCTCAATCAAACGGTGGCCGCTCAAATGAGAGGATACAAATATAATTCAGCTTTTTCTAAGACCACGTTGGTAAACAGATACCCTATAAAACGACGTTCAGGACGATATACGTCTAAGAAGCTTACACGGATAAGACTTCAGGTATTGAGAACACTTGTTATCCCTTAGGTAAAACCATGACTTAAACGCTTTTCAAAGTTCCTAGTGTTCCTCTATCGCTCTGAGTTCATTTGATTGATGATTCCTTCACAGACGAAATTAAAGATGGTATCCCGGCGACCGGTCCATGGAAATGAATAAATCAAGTTTTCATACAATTCTCAATGAGAAGTTATGATATTACGCCCTACTGAGTTTGTTGTGTGCCTGAAGGTGAGACTGATCAACTTGACATTAATTCGCATTTGGCGCTCTGCGAAACGGTTGCCGCTCTCAAATGAGAGGATACGCATCTAATTTCGCATGCTTTAGACCGTATTGAAAGACAGATACCCTATAAAACATCGTTCTTTTTTTGTGTTCATCACCTTCTAAACCCACCAATAAACCCTCTTTCTATTGCGATCACTTTCTTAGCAACTCTCATAATGAAGATCACTCCATCGTTCCTTATCATCGCTTTCATCAGCTCGGCACTGGTTGGTGTGACAGTAGCAGCGCCGCATGATCCTGTCGTAAAGAGAGCAGCTACACCAGTCTATGTCGAATTTGAAGAGATGGCAGCAACGTTTACGGAATTCTCCAGCGAAGAAAGCGATGCAGCACCACCATACAATCATTTGGCGTACGATCTTAACGTATTATCAACTACTGCTGATTCAGCAACTCAATTGTTAAAGCAACTTGGTGGAACGCCATTGCAACCTGAGGATGCTAGTCTCATTAGAGAAAGTGTGGCTACAATCGCACGTAAATCCGCTTCGGTTCAAGAAATGGCGATAAAAGGAAATGATTTCTATCATGCGAACGAAGCTGTTGGTAAGATTTGTCAAATCCTTCAATTGGACGCATTCCAGTTCTATACTCTCTTCAACGAGTTAAAGGCGTATGTCACAAGTGATGTCTTTTCTTTATACGGTAAAGATATGAGCAAAACCTTATGCTCTTTTGTCGATGCCATTCACACCATCGAGCCCAACACGTTTGCCAATAACAAGTCTGCTTATACGTATTGCGTCAATTATGAAGCAGGTTTACGTGGTAACCTCGATACGGATGGCTTTGACATCAATTCAGTTGCACCTCCTGGAATCGATTCGTGTGGAAACAGTGCTTCTCGATTCTTGGATGCCGCATATTCCGAACATACACTCGGTTCGATTGTGACAAAATGTACCGCAAAGAACGTCGGCCTCTTTGGTCCATCCTTGCCAGAGAATGCTCTCGATTTGCAACCGTAGGTACAGATTTATTCTCCTTTACGTCATAGCTTGTGCCCCTTTCATTAGTGCTTACCAGGCACGAGCGCACACAGCATGTCGTAATTAATCGTCTTCAATTTATTCATTTACCCCTTTTCATAATTGTGCGAGCTGTCAAGTGACTTGAAATCGTCCGATTGCACCACTGTAGACTTTGACTTGTCTTCCATCGCTGACAAATTGTTCGGAGCCGGTATGTTGATGACTTTTAGGGGGCCGTGACTGAGTGTGAGTATGGTCATTAATCATTTATCGGCGGAATTAATATTGCCTTTGACTTCATTTCATTATTTCATGGAGTTCCGAGGCTTTTTTCAATTGGAGCCGTAATGCGAACGTTCATTACCATTTCAGCACGTAAGAACGGTTTGTTTAAGCCTTTTTGATGTGTGTGTTTCTTTCGCACGCTTCATATTGTAACGGAACACTTGGCACCTCGACTCTTTCATTTCCGGGTGAAGGCATATAAATTTACGCCTACTCATCTTTCTCTCCTCGGCTCATCCCCTCACATCTTCTCCAAACAATCTTCTTCTTCAAGCAGACTTCTTCTCAAGATTGCAACATGAAGCTTCCAACCATTTTCACTGTAACGACTATTTTGGCAGCATGTTTCGCTACTTTGGCTGTAGCTGTGCCTTTCGAAGCAGTCGCTGTGCCGTTTGAAGAAAGAGCAATGACAACAAACAAGCCAGTCTATGTTACGTTCAAAGAGATTGCGCATATCATCATTCAATTAGACGGTGCGCAAAACAATCCTGTTCCACCTGGACCTCCTGATTTCAATGCGAGTGCAAATTTACTCAATCAATTATCCCTGAAAGCGGAAGAAGCAACAAGTCTGCTTCAAGAAATGGGAACGGATCAATTGGATGACGATAGCGTAGCGCATATCGGTAAAAGTTTACGTATTATGGCTAAACATGTTGTCTCGATCACAAACATGGTTGAAGAGGGCAAAGCCTGGTTTGCGCAATACAATGCAACCTCAATTGTTGTTCAAATTTTGCAATTGAATGCATTCCAGTTTGCTGCTTTGTTCAAAGAATTAGAGCAACATGTTCCTCCGACGGTGTATGGAGACTACGGCAGAAGCATTACTGCATTCTTGTGCTCGATCATCAATGCTATCGAATATCTTGATCCGACAGCATGCGCACCTGAAGGTAAACGATTCTGCAAGAAATGTCAACATGATGAATCACAATACTATCAAGGTGGTTCATTCGATCATAGCCAATTGGCCCCGCCAGGAATGGAAACATGCGGAAACAGTTCAGCTAATTATATGCAATGTGCGTATGGACAACAAACGATGGGCACGGAAAGTACTACATGCCCTTCTCCAACTCCTGCGGTTTCGTGCTCTTCTTATAGTCCACCACAAAATGCCTTACTCTTGTAAGATGTTCTTTCCGTAGTGACGTGAAATTGAATTTGATGCTTCGCTTAAACCTGCGTGAAATGTGGAAGTCACTGGCCCCTATTTGATGAGATAGCGTGTTGTTACGGATCCGTTCTTTTCTTCCTTCCGATCCCTGATTCCAAACAGCGGGATTAAGCTGGTTCCTCGTTTGAATGGATCGGTAAGCGCGCTACTTTTCATCTTCCAACCTTCCATGGAAGATGGAAAGGGAAGAAAGCGAACCTTACGGAGTGCGGATAGCGACCAATCTCCGGAGTTCCTGATCTGTATCTTGGGAAGTTGCAACAAGTAGTGAAGGGATGAAAAGTGGAGTCGACAAGTCGAAGCTCGACTGTATGCGGTAGAAACGCCGCAAAGTGGAATACAAAGACTACAAGATCTTGCTAGATGAAAGGTATATAAACCGGCCAGAATTTATCCAAATCATCCTTCCCAACCCAACAACCCATCTTCTATCCTCCTTTCAAACTCTCCAAACAAAAGAACACTACAATGAAATTCTCATCTTCCTTCGTTGCTCTCGTTCCTTTCATCTGCTCACTCTTTGTCGGTGCAGCACATGGTCTTCCTGGCTACCACCCTGCTGTTTCCTCTCCACCAACAAGCAAGCCAATTTACAGCTATTTTGTCGAAATTGACGTAATCGTTGCTCGCTTATCATCCTGGTCACCACATGACCAATCATCCGATTATGCTGGTGCAGAAAAAGATCTTTTCGAACTTGGCAAATCAATCGATCAAGCAACTCAAGCATTAAAAGTGTACCAAGGTACGATTGATACACATGAAGCTCACAAGATTGATTCTTCTCTCAAATCATGTGCAAAGAATGTTGTTGGTCTCACAACAAACGTCAAAGCTGCTCAAGCCGTATTTGCTCAATTCAGCTACACCACTTTGATCGTTCAAACATTGCAAGCAAGTGCCAATCAATTTTCTGTATTGTTCCCTCTTTTGGAATCACACTCTTCTTCAAGCTCTTTTGCATCTTTTGGTTATTCAATCGGCTCTATCATCTGTCCTATCGGTGAATCGATTGAATACTTGCAACCCAATTCGTGCAATCCTGAAGGTTTGCAATTCTGCAAATCATTGAAAGATAGCAAAGCAGGCCACATTGACACAAAGCCAGCTTGCCAAGTTGTCAAACATGCTGAACCATTCTCTCAATGCAATCAAAGTGCAACAACTTTGTTCAAGTACGGTTATGATAACAAGTGCATCGGTAAACCACAAACACAACCGTGGTGCAATGGAAACGATTCTGGTCATGACTCCAACAAAGGAGGTAACAAACAAAAAGATCACCACCAAGACAAAAAGAAAGTTCCACAACCAAACAATGGCCCTCATATCGAAGATCACGGTCACGGCAAGAACGATGATAAGACTACTGTCAAGCAACCCGAATGGAACAATGGCTCTCAAGGCCAATTTGGCCATGATCAAGGGTATGATTTCGGTAACTCCGGCAGCTCCAGCTCCAGCTCCAGCTCCAGCAGCAGTGGCTCATTCAGCGCATCATTCGGAGTCGATATCAATGTCGTCTTTGGCTATACACCAGCCGAAAACCAATTGTACACGGTTTGCAATCCACCAAAGTGAGGCGGGACTCAAACAACACCATTTCGAAAAAGGGGGCAAAAAAGGTGGTTATCCTCTTTTCACCCAATCACACAAAGTAGACATTCTTTTTGTTGTGGACAATGTGTAGGAAGATTACTGAAGAATGAAGTGAATAAATGAATAGCAAAATCATAATTACACACAGCCCCTGTCTTAAGTTTTCCGTTGTGACTTGATCTCTCGCGCTCCCGACGCGGAATAGAACGGGCCGGTATGCGTAAATGAAGACATACACTTAATACATCCAAGCCACGGGGTTGAGTTGTTCACAGCCTCGAAAGGACTCTTAAGCGCTCTGACTTTCATCATTCCTTCCGAGGGAGGAAGAGACTCGGGCATTTGTAATGCTATAAATACCATTCCTCGGAATTCTTCATTTGAGAAGGGAAGCGGAATGGTATAACGATGCACGGAGCAGCAGCAACAACAAATTTCAATAACGGAATATAAGCGGCTCCAGCTTGTTTTTAAACCTTTTCTCTTCACCCATCAACCCCTGTTCTTTTTCTTCTTTCCAAGTCTTTCAAACAAGATGAAAATCTCTTTCTGCTTTGCTATTCTTCCTTTTCTCTGTATGCTCTTTGTGAGAGCAGCATATTGTCTTCCGGACAATAATTCAGCCAATTCTTCTCCAGCAACAAGTCAGCCTATTTATAGCTACTTTGAGGCGATTGATGCAGTCATTACTCGTTTATCCACTTGGACCCCAAGAGATAATTCATCAGATTTCCCTAACTCCGAAAAGGATCTTTTTCAGTTTGGCCAAGCGATCGATCAAGCAACCCAAGCATTGAAAGCATACAACGGTACGATTGATACGCAAAGTGTGATCAAGATTGATGCTTCCCTGAAATCAAGCGCAAAGAACATTGTCGGAATCACGACCAATGTCAAAGCTGCTAAGGAAGTATTTGTGAAATACAACTACACCACGTTGATCGTACAAGTTTTGCAAGCAGGTGCGAATCAATTCTCCGTTCTGTACCCACTTTTGGAATCACATGTTCCTGCAGCATCTTTTGGTTCTTTAGGTTACTCACTCAGTTGGATCATTTGTTCGATCGGTGATGCAGTTGAATACTTGCAACCACATTCATGCACTCCTCAAGGTTTGGAATTCTGCAAAAAGATGCAAAACAGTCAAGCTGGCTCTATCGATACCAAACCTGCTTGTCAAGTAGTCAAAACTCCCGATTCATTCTCTCAATGCAGCCAAAGTTCAACAAATATGTTCAAATATGGCTATGAGAACCAATGCATCGGCAAGCCACAAACAGAACCATGGTGCAGCGGTAACGAAACAAAGACTGACTCTGACGATCAAAGCTCTGACAGCAGCAGCTCAATCACCGTTTTCGTTGAAGTTGACATCAGCGTAGTCTTTGGATACACACCAGCTGAAAACCAGCTGTACACCGTTTGCAATCCACCAAAGTGAGGCGGGACTCAAACCTTAAGACACAAGGTTTTGGTAAAAGGGCACAAAGGAAGCAGTCCTCTTCTGGCCCAATCACCCAGAAAAGTGGGCATCCTTTTGTTGCAGCATTGTGTCAAAATTCACTGCAGAATGAATGAATGAACAATAAATCACAACAATACACAGCCCTTGAAGTTGATTTAGATGCCTTTAAACTTTTCCGCTGTGCCTTGATTCCTCGGCTCCGGTCGTGGAACGTTGAGTCAAAAGTTTTATGTACCCTAACCCTACCTTCCATGGACGGGGTAAGAACGCCATGAGAGGGTAAAGATGAGAACCATTCCTCGGGAATTCTCCTGTTGCTGGAAGGGAAGGGAATGATATCAAAATTCGTCGAGAAACACTACGAACAGTGGTTACTACATAAGGTATATAAACGGGTCACAACTCATTTCATCAACACCCCATTCTCTATCTTCTTTCCAACCCTCTCAAGAACCCTCTCAAGAACAAGATGAGATTCAACTCCTGCTTTGCTCTTCTTTCTTTTATCTACTTACTCTTTGTGGGGGCAGCCTATTGTATTCCAAGGAGTGGTGGTCATCCAGCCATTTCTTCTCCACCAACAAATAATCCGATCTTGGGCTTTTTCGTCGAGATTGATGTAATCATCGGTCGTCTTTCGACTTGGATTCCAACGGACAGTTCAACCGATTTTCCTGGCGCTGAAAAAGATCTTTTCCAGCTTGGCCAAGCCATCGATCAAGCAACACAAGCATTAAAGGTATACGAAGGTACGATAGATGTGGAAGCTGCTGTCAAGATTGGAGCTTCACTTAAAGCGAGTGCAAAGGCTGTTGTTGGAATCGCGGCCCATGTCAAAGTTGCAAAAGACATACTCGAAGTGTATGGTTATACAACTTTGATTGTTCAAGTCTTACAAGCAAGTGCGAATCAATTTTCTGTGTTGTATCCTCTGTTGGAAGCACACATTTCCGCAGATGTTTTCGTTTCTTTGGGTCATTCGCTCGGCTTGATCATTTGTTCGATCGGTGATGCAATTGAACATTTGCATCCTCACTCCTGCACGCCACATGGTTTGAAATTCTGCAAGAAATTGAAACACAGTCAAGCAGGCTCAATTGATGCCAAGCTTGCTTTGGGAGTAGTCGTGACTCTCGATTCGTTCTCTCAATGCAACCAAAGTTCAACAAAGATGCTCAAGTATGGTTATGAGAACAAATGTATCGGCAAGCCACAAACAGAACCATGGTGCAGCGGTAACGAAGCAAGCAGCAGCTCAATTGACGTACTCTTGGAGGCTGGCATCGGCTTAATCTTTGGATACACACCAGCTGATGACCAGTTGTACACCGTTTCCAATCCTCCAAAGTGAGCGATGTTGCAAGATTGGATCCAACAGCCTGTTGAATCCTCTTTATCTCAATACATGTACTAGACAACTTTTGACAACATTCTGTTGCTGCAATTTGATTGAATATGCATGAATGAATAATACGGAATTATACAACTTTACACTGACTCTGTCGTCGGATATGAGCATATTAACATTGATCCGTTGTGCGTTTGATCCATGGAATCCTGGCACGCAAGGAAGCGGGCCGATATGTGTTTATTAAGTCATACTCTTACCAATACTTAAAGGGGTAACACCGCCTCCTCTTTCGATTCTTTACACCTACCACCCTATCTACAAAATGAAGGTAACACTCTTCTTAGCGATTTTCATGCTGATGCTGATGAGCATTGCTAATGCAAACAATCATGCAAGTGCAACATGTCCAATTCCACAAACAAATACGCCCATTCCAGCGTATTTCAAGGAGATGAACAAAATCTTGAAGCTCTTATCCGTTTTTGAGCCTTATTCTGATGCAAGACCTGCGAATGCTACATTTGAACGTTCAGCAAAAAGGTTGTTTAGACTTGGCAGGACTATGGATCAAGCAAGTCAAGTATTGATGCAACAAAACGGCGACCTTGACAAATCAAGCGTTGAGAAGATTGACAATTCGCTCAAATTGAGTGTTCAATACGTCGTGAATATTACCAAATTGGTAGAATATGGAAAGCCGTTATCGGATAAGTACAACTATACAGCAGAGAATGTCCAGATCATTCAAGGCGTTACAAGTCAATATTCAACGCTATTCAAAGCTTTGATTGCACATGTGCCACATTGTGCAGCTTATTCATCAATCACACTTTCGTTTGCCAAGATTATTTGTGCTTTGGTAGAAGCGATGGAATACCTACAACCGGGTGCATTTGCAAAAGGCGGAAAAGAATTTTGCGATCAGCTTCCAACCAACAAAAATCCGCCAAACCCAGAAGAAATTGAATGTATCTTCACTCCTCCCGCTGCGTTTACTCAATGCGGTAATAGCACAACTGCTATGTTCAAGTATGGCACAGATAACAATCTTATGGGTAAACCACAATCGTCCGAATGGTGTCCTTCGAACGGCAATCCGTCAACGTGCACTTATCATCCAAGCTGTGCGTTTTCACAGTCATCCGCTTGGTGATCGTTAGAGGGATTTTGTCATTTAGCGGACTTTGACGGTTCATTAAACTTTAGCATCTATTTTCCTTGTCCTTCTCACACGGTCAAGTGGACTTTGATAGTTGACTGTAATCCGCTAATGCATGTCATTCTCACCTTCATGTTCTGAAAAGAGTTGTAAGTATTCTAGTTCTTCTTCTTCTTAAGTTGCGCCGAACAAAAGGGGTTCTTCCTCTCCCTTAATTCCATACCAGTAGCATCTTCTGTGATACGTCTTGAGAATCGTCAACGGAACCGTATGTCAAACAATTCGGACTTTCTAAAGAGAACGTTGAAAGGCGAAATGAAGTCTGACTTTCCTTCTCTTTTTCCAGTCGCGGAAGTGCGCCAACGCGGTGGCCGTTCGGCGTCGTTATCAGACAAAACGTAATAAACTTCTCCAACATTGTTTGTACTGTCAAATTGCCAAGAAAACAATGGCGTCAAAGCAAACTTCAAACTCACACAGAGAATCGCATTCTTAATTCCATTACACTAGTGACAAACGGATGACACTTATCGCGATGACAATTTTTCTTCATACTACTGCATTCTGGCGTCGGAGGGGCTGAAAATGTTTTAGCATACCGAATTACGCTCGCCAATTGATCCTCATTTGCGCCCGATTTATATTGGAGTAGCATGTCTACCTTCCGATATCGAAATCGAGTAAGCTAAAGATGGTTCTAGTCTATATAAAGCGATAATTTTTCAACAAGCATACCCCCATCCTTGAGCAAGCTTGATTGCCTTCCCAATTCCCTCTCAACATTTTCCCTTTGCACCATGAGATTCTTCCATTTTCTCGCGCTTACTTTGATAAGCCTTTCTGTCTTGCTTGGATCATCAAAAGCATGCGATCAATGCGACGTTACAGCTGCACAAAATGCTGGTGTTCCAACAGACAAGCATGTCTATGTGTACTTCAAAGAGATGGCAATGATTATCAAACAATTGGCAAATGCACAATCTTCTGCAAACATTCAAGGTCCTCCCGATTTTAGTCAAGCTGAAAAAGGTTTGTTCGCTTTAGGTAAAGTCATCGATCAAGCAACGCAAGTGTTACAGGTTTATCAAGGTACATTGGACTCTAATAATGCGCATCATATCGACAAATACCTTGCTTGGTCAGCAAAAGACGTTGTCAAAATTACAACAATGATCAAATATGCCAAACCGTATTCCGATCAACAAGGTTATACGGGCGTGATCGTTCACATCTTACAAGGCATCACTTCTCAAATTTCAATTTTGTTCCAATTGTTGGAAATGCATATGCCACCGTCTTCTTACGCATCGTCAAGCTATAGCATCAGTGTCTTTATTTGTGCAATGGCAGATGCGATCGAATACCTTCAACCAAATTCATGCACTTCTCAAGGTAAACAATTCTGTGCAAACATCTCAAGACAAAGTTCAAGCTCATGTGGTACAACATCATACAGAAAGAAATGTTCAAGCGTTGTCAAGGTTCCCAATTCATTCAAACAATGCGGTAATAGTGCAGCGGCCATGTATGAATACGGTTACAAGAACAAATGTTTGGGCTCGAAGCACCATAAGAGTAAGTGGTGCTCTGGCAAGAAGAAGGTCTACAAGCATCCAAAGGTTTCTGATTATTCGTCCAAGAGTTCTTCTTCCAGCTCAAGCTCAAGCTCTACATCAACAACAACAACAACGAGCTCCAGTTCAACTCAATACACTTTCTCTTACTCTGCTTGCTTTACCTACACTCCTTCTGCGAGTGATTGGTATTGCTCAGGCCCTTCTTATTGAGATCTTCATTTTGTCTAGTGATTCTTCTTCTTGCTTTTTTCCTTCATAGTCTTTATCCCCTCATGACTGATACCTCTTCACAGAACAGTACTACTTGGTAGATCTGAATCAATGATATCCATTTACTCCCTCTTAATGATGGTGGTTTGGTCGTTTACCCCGCGTTATTATTTGATGTATTCTGTGCCGGCAATTTTACCCGCGTAAGGCCCGGATAGCCGATGCATATACTGTAAGCGTGTAAAGGGTGCATTTCTTCTTCCTATCTTCCACAATCACAATCAACAAACATGTCAAAGGCCGAGCAATTACCAGATTTAAGTCATCGAACACTCTTCGATATGAGTGGAAAGGTGATCGTGGTGACAGGAGGTGGAACAGGTTTAGGGTACATGATGTCAACTGCATTCGTTCAAAGTGGTTGTGAAAGAATATACATTTGTTCAAGAAAGATGAAAAATTTGGAAAAAGCGGCAAATTCATTAAATGCGATTCGAAAAGGCGTTTGTATTCCGTTGGAAGCTGATCTTACAGATGCAAAAGGATGTAAAGAACTAGGAGAAGAAATTGCAAAACGTGAGAATAAGATTCACGTTTTGGTAAACAATAGTGGAGTAGCATGGGCAGCGCCAATGGAGAAATTCGATGAACAAAAAGGGTGGGACAGAGTGATGGCTGTTAATGTCAAAAGCGTATTCTACCTCACAGTTGCTTTGTTGCCTTTACTCAAAAAGGATGCGAACATTGATAACCCAGCAAGTGTGATCAACATCTCTTCCATGTATGCAACTTTACCTTTCCCAAATATGCCTTCTTCGGCAATCGGAACGGGAGGCTGGAGTTACTTGGCATCAAAAGCTGCCGTCAGTCATCTAACAAGAACAATGGCAGCAAGCTTAAAGCCATCTCACGTTAACGTCGCCGCTATAGCACCCGGTTACTTCCCTAGTTTGATGACAAAACATGGTGATGGCAGTATCTACGATCGATCCCAGCCTGCCGGGAGGCAGGGAACACCACCCGACATTGCAGGTCCAGCTCTCCTTCTAGCCGGAAGAGGTGGTGCACATCTGAGTGGAATCATCTTGGGCACAGATGGTGGAATTCTATCACAAAACTTCAAAGCTCTTCCTAAAGAGATCTCTGATTATTGGCTACCGGAAGGATGGAAAACGCAAGAAGACGTTCGACCGGGTCAAAGCAAGCTTTAAATGTGTAAAAATACAGTATTACGATCAGTGTCTCTAAAGTACAATTGCAGTGTGTAAAGATTTTATCCCATCCTGGGATTCTTGATGTGTTTAGCCCAAAAGTTCTTCTTGCCATCAGTCTTGGCCTCTTTGATACCGAGCATATGCATGATCAAATTAAAGATCTCAACATTGCGAAAAGATTCTATGTGTTTTGCTGATGTTGCTTGAATAGAAGGTCCCCTTGCTAGGAAGAAAGCGTGCATGTCTGGATGTGTTGCATCGTATCCATGATTTCCACGAGGACCATAATCGAAATTAAAGCTCGCCATCTCTTGATGTGTAGTGACGCTCCAACCAACTTCAGGTATTACCCACAAATTTGCCACCCTTTTCTCTACCAAATCAGTCATTGTCCAATTCCACCTCTTTACCAATTCCTGTCGATCAACGACATCGAATCCGTGTCGGCCTTCTCTCTTCATCTTTTCACTTGCTGCCGCCAATTTACGCCTTGCCTCTTCTTCGTCCGCACTATTCCTAAACCGTAAACCTGCGTTCGGCCACCCATCTTGCGTTACGATCTTGCCTAGCAAATCTCTACCGAGAATTTCATCTAAATAAACGAGTTTTTCGTTAGAGGTGAACGTCATCCCATGATCACTAACGATGACCACATTGACGATCGAAGAAGCATTACGTTCTGCAATACTGGTAAGGATTTGATGAATATATCCATCAACTCTTCTCAAAGCAGTTGCCACCTCTACCAATTGTGGATCTGGGCCAAGATTGTGCGTTGCAGTATCGACATCAGGTGCATATGCACAAATAAATTGCGGTCTCTTTTCCGTGTCCAAGTCTAACCATTGCATGATTTGATCATGTCTTCTTTCAACAGACCAATCTTTTTCGTATTTCTGAAAATATGTACTGGTAATATTGTTGTGTGTGATCGGAGGTCCGGGCCACATCAGATTAGCCGTTTGCAATCCTTTGTTCACCAAATATTCCCAAAGTGGACTGCCGTGCCACCAGCTTGCGTCCCAAGACCGATTTGGGTCTGTGTAGTAGAATGAAGAGTTCTTGCCTATTCTTCCATTCTTTTCGCGAATTCTATGGAAGTCATTTGCGATGATCCCATGTGAAGAGGGTTGCAAGCCTGTTTGTAAGGTCCAATGGTTTGGAAATGTTAAGCTGGGCGAAGCTGGCAGCATATAATCAGATGTAAGGACGCCGACTGACTGATAATCTTGCGAGAAGTACCTTCCCTGAGACAATGCTTGTAGGACTGGCGTGTGTCCTGATTCTAAATATGCTGGTTTGAATCCATCAAGGGATAACAGAATCACTGTTGGAGACCAAGCATGTGTTCCATTTGATAAGAATGAATCATTGGCATTAGGCTGGAAATATGGCAATCGAAGCAGAAGGGACAATATCAAACTGGTGATTGCTGCAAATGTTGCTTCCCTTATACGACCAAGTCCGGCCAACATTCTTGCAATCCCTAGTGAGGGTATCAAAGAGAAGTGAATCCCGATTATATGAATCTTCTGTGCTCCCGCTTCACATAATGATACTCAGGCGTTTAAGCCGCCTTCACTTTTAAAATAGCGCCCAAATCTCATGCACGGACGCGGGGGTACAAACGAAGTTCTCATCATTCCATCTTGCTCTTGACAACAACACCTTCTGACTCCTTCAGAGAGCGCTGTGCGCTTCAAACATGGCTTACGGACAAGTTGAACAAGGTATTTCACCTTTGATATCGCTCTTGCGAATCATCTTTTCACAGGCCGATTTAATAATCTCATTAGCCGGACCGACGGAAGCTGAAAGGGATCGTAAAATAACATTTTATGATGAAATCGTTCCAATATCGATACGACTGCGTATTCCCGCATCAAATCGTACACTACCCGCACCATCAGATGACTCTCTGCCAAACTTTAACATACCTTTGACGGTACCCGATGCAAATGATGACGAATACGATGAAGGAGAAGAATATGGACAGAGAAGTCAAAAGCCTCCCTTGCTTCTAGCCCTTCTTCTGTCTTTCTTGCGAGTCAATGTAGAAGCAGCTTATGTCCCGCCTAGACTGCAAAGAAGTGCAACAAACATATTCTCACATGCCGAAACGGAATCATCGTCAAGCACGCAATTAATCGCATCAGTTGCGGAAGATGATACAGCATATCAATCTGTCAGACTTCAGGGGCTCGATGCAAATATGGAGGCAACTCGAATGTTCTCTTCGACGTGGATGGGAAATGCTATCCCACCAAAGTCAAACATCAAAAAGCCTTCTTCGGGAAAAGGTAAAGAGGCATTCGCCGCGCAAGCTGAACGGGGAAGAGGAGCAAATGTTACGTTCACACGACAAGGGGATGAGGAATATTGGACAGTAGAATGGCAATGTCAAATGCCTGTCATCTTCTTACGTTCTCGTCATCCTAATCCTGCAATTGTGGTCAATTCAGAAGTAGTATTGCAGCTGCAAGCATCAAAATTGAGCTCTTTGGCGCCATCATTAGTACCCGTTGCTCGAACTACGGCACCAGAGGCACTCTTCCTTCATGACCTTCTCAGTCCGCTTTCTGAAGGTCCATCATATCCCGATGAGTCACACACCGAGCGAGCAGCAAGAGCTGATGCCAGTCTGGCAAAGCTGCCGCTAGGTAAACTTCCAAGTTCTGTACTTGGTAGCAAATTAGTCACGCCTGCTCGAGGAGCAAAAGATGTTGGTAAATTGATTGAGGAAAAGCTGCAACTAGCAAATGGCGATATGGGCGATGCAGAGGAATACAACAGCCTCAAACAGGGTAGGAGAGATTTGACAGATGAAGGCCTGATGAATATAGGCGAAAACGATGGAATAAATGAAGACCCCGGTTTAGGCGAAGATTTGATGGTGGTAAAGCGAAGCGCAAGAAAGGCATTAGACGTACGAAGTGCGGTACAGGTGCGAATGCGGACAACAAACATCGCAGGAGTAGGCGAAGGTTTTGGCCAGAATACTTCAAGCGATGGCGACAATGGTATTTTACCCACCCTTGTACTTTGCGTAGAAATCGAGAATCCAGCAAATAGCGGTATCAGGTTCCGGATGGACGATATAAGCGTTCAGGCTACCTTACCCAGTGAAGTACAAAGCGGTGGAAATCTGCATCCTTCCGCAAGGATTCATGTTGAAGCGAACCAGATTGGAGAAGCAGTCAAAAGCATGGTGATAGGGCAAGGTAGTCAACATAATCTGCTTTATCGAGTCGACTTCTCTTTGCCGTATATGGATGGCTCGTTAAGTACGAGCGATCTGGACCCAGTGGCTTTGGCAGCTGAAACGCAGCGAACGATCACGATCGAGTTATTTGGACATCCGGTCTTATTGCAGAAAGTGATCGCAAATGGCGTTGTATCCTCCGAAGATTTCTCGCCTGCTGAGAGCTTTACGTCGACATGGTCTTGCACTCTAGATTTTGCAACACAGATTCAATCACTCATCCTACAGGAAAGAATAGCGGAAGGAGCAGGTGGATTTACCCTGGGTCCGAGAACGGTTGACCTTTCAGGCAGCTACGATACGCTTTACGAAGAGCCGACTCCGGAACCAGTCAAGCCAAAGGAAACGAAAAACACACCGACGCCATTGCCGATTGCTTTGGCACAAAAACGAATGGCATCTGCACAAGGGTCGCCAAAGACGCCTCTTCCCAGATCAAGTTCTATGATAAACAATTCGATTCAAAGTGCACCCATTCGACCTTCGATATCGCGTGCTACTACTGATACCCGTACACCTTCTACAAGTGTAGGAACAGTCACACTGAGAGACTCACCTTCGATTCATAGGCCGAATCTACGAAGCGCAACGGGTGGAACAAATGTTTCCGACTCATTTGTTCCATTACAACAACGAGCACCAGACTTGGAACAATCATTAGTTGAGAGAGGAAGAGGATCCTTGAATTACCTTCGTAAGGACAGTCAAATTGCTGCAATGCCATCTAGCATGGTTGGACCTAGTCTCTTGGCAAGAGCAAGACGAAACCGCCAGGCATCTTTGCTCGCTAGTGGTAATTATGGCAAGTATGATAATATGGAACCAAACCGCTCAACGAGCGGCGCACGCCGAAGTACTTTATTGAGTCATGCTCCTTATTATACTTCTGGCACGCAATCTAAACCGTTCATCCGACATGGACGCTTGGAATCATCCTCCTTGCATATCAAGAACGCTCTTTCTGGCAGCCAAAATTTCGATCCAAGTGCTTTACCAATCTTTCCTTTAGGAAGCAAAGCAAATTGGTCAAGATTGCCAACTTTGGTACAACAATCTGGCAAAGAACAAGGACTGTTGATCGAAATCAAGGCCTTGTATGAAAGCCCAATCGGTGATGAGGATGATTCAAAGAAAGAATTGGACGTTCAAGTGCAAATTGACAATCGATCTGATTTCACACGAACAGTCTTGTTACAGTGGAACAGAAACGCATTCGTCAACAAAGACGGAACAGCATCAAAAATGACATTCTTACCCGATGATGATGCAGCACAAGTTGGTCCCATCCCGCCCGGTCAAGCCGAATTGGTGGTTCTGCGTATTTCAACCTTATCACTGGTGAAGGACCAAGGATTCGTCATTCCGCCTCTCATGCTTACAGACGTAGAATCCGGTATGCAACAGACATTGATCTGCGTGCAAAACATCGTACATACCGCAAGTTGAACAAAAGATAATGTATTATATTATGTGAAATGCTATAATCTATCACGCATGTACAATGGACGGCTATTCTTCCATCTTACTTTGTTGACGAGCTTGTCGCCTCTCCAAACGGAAAGCCTCAATTTGAGCTTTGAGATCCGTTGCTGGAAGTACTTCTTCCAATTTCAAAGGTGCTCTATTGAATGGATCTGTTGGATCTGACAATAAATGACTCTTGATCGTAGAACGATCCAAGATTGCCTTACTAGAAGGTAGTGTGACAGGATCGGTCATCAAAGTGGCCATCAATGGATCCAAAAATTCATCTGGAATTTCTCCAAGTTCTTCATCTTCTTCTGCTTCTTCTTGACGTACTTTTTCAACTTGTTCAACCATCGTTTTAATCACGTCCAATTCAGGTCCACCATACAACATATACTTGTATGCAATCCTGATCGCCTTCTCAAACGTTGCTTGTCGATAACTTCTTCCGTCAGCCGAAATAGCTTTGACAAATTCTGGTCTTTTTGCCAGATTCATATACACTCTTAAAATCTTTTTGAGTAATTCACGAGGATGGAAACCGACCTTCTTTGGATCTTTCACCTTTAATTCTTGACATTTCTCTCCTACCATCAAATCCAAGTTGAAATCTAACATACTGGCTAAACGTCCAACGATCTCACTCTGCATAAAGGCATCCTTCGTCCTTCCTTCCTCGCCAGTAAAGTCGATCAGTCTTTCCATGAATTCATTTCCGAATTCAAGCATGCTCCTGATCTGTCCTTCCAACCCGCGAGCGTGGCCTTCCACTTCGCTCCTTTCTTCGGCTGTACGTTGTGCGAATGCTTGGCTATCTATTTCGACCTGCTTATTGCGCAATTCAACCAACTTTTCCAAAGCATCATCAAGCAAGAACGTCACATCGTTCAACAGACGATTGACAAAGACAGCAAAACGATCATCATCAGCACTGGCTACCGAATTCAATCGTTCCTTGTGTTTTGCATTGTTCCAAACCGTTTTGAAGATTCGCGATAGATGGTAACGAATGTTGAATTTGTCATAGAATTGCGTGTGCGACCCTGTGGATTCGGCCTCGATCCAGAAAGACATCAAAGCTGGTACAAGATGTTCCAAAGCAAGAGGATGGAAGTTGATCAAATCTCCAACCACACCCGAACTTGCTTGACCGAAAGGAAGAACGTTATAGAAAAGGATCTCCACAAGCTTCGCCTTCAAGAAAGGGTTCGTGATGAACCATCCTGAACTCAAGAATGTCGTACAGAACGTAACCAGATCCTTCTTTGCTGGTTCTGTCAAAGCGTTGGGTTTGTACCGACCAAAGAATAGCAAGACCTCGCAAACATCCTCAAAGATGTGTTCAGGGAGCATTCGGAATAAGACTGGAACATCTTTGCTTAATGGAAGCTTGACCGTTGTATGAGGGTGGTTTCCACCGTTATCCGCAACACGTACGAGCCAGGTCATAATAAAGCTGACCAAAATCACAAGTCGATTTACGAAATCGTCATCGAGCAATTGAACTTCAGTAGCAAGAAGCTCAGACTCCATTCTTGTGACCTCGGCCTGTGCACGTTTTAAGAATACTTCGTATTGCATAGCTTGTGGTGAAGAGCTCCATGAAGCTCGATCTTGTTCGACCTCCTTCACGCGCTTCTTAAGTCTTCGCATTTCCTCTGCTTTTTCGTTCAGAGATCGGATAGCTTTGCATGGGCCAAGGTTGAGAAGTCGTAAACCGATGAAGTAGCATTCTGTGATGAAGTTTGGCGGTGTGGTAGAGGCAGAAGCTTCTTCGGCCCACTTTTTCGCTTCTGGCTCACTCGCATTCAATCTTGTCAAGTCGTCCACTTGGAAACGCTTTTGCCGCCTTAGATATTCTGCATCGATCCGGTCAATCTTTGAGTAATTCAGATCCATGAACGGCTCACAGAAGCGCATCACTAGTTCGAACAGATTCACCATAAAGCTATCGGACGACACCTCTTTCGACCGCACTCGCATCGCTCCTCTCTTTTTGTTCAGCTCACAAGCTGTACCCCAGTATGCAAGAACGGCTTCTCGACTTTCAGCGCCGCCAGATCGAATGAGGTTGTTGAAGAGCTTAAAGTGAAGTCCATGTATAGTTGTCAAAGTAGATCGCAGAGTAGTCTGAGATCCATACATAGTCGCTTTCGCGGAAGGATCTCCAAAGAAGTCTCGACATATCGCAGGTGACGAATCAGCGAAGGAGGACAAACGCAAAATCGGTCCAAGAACACTGTTTCGCTCAAAAGATGGCCCATTGAGATTGGCAGGATTGAAATTATCGAGCTTCGTTATGCTTACTGCGATTGGTTTGATATTCGAGCAATCCAAGAATGCATTTACGTATGTCGTCCATTCCATCGACCCTAGGTGAATTCCTTCCCCGCCTTGCGTTGGGTTATTCTGGTTTGTAGGAGCTGCATTTGCGCCACCTGCTGCGTTTGCGCCACCACCTGGTTGCTGACCTAAAAGATGAGCCAAGACTGCACGTACATCGCCAGCTGCTGCAGCAGCATTCAAAGCCTCGTTGTTTCCACCAGGTCCTCCATTTGAAGTCGATGGTGTTGGCTGATTGAGTGAGGTTGTCGTACCATCATCTGGACCCTGCAGCACCTGCCTTCCGATCTCAGAAAGTGCAGGTCCAACGATATCCTCCAAGCCCTCTCCATCGAAACGTTTTGCCAATTCAGATAATACGTCAGGCAATTCGTGTGCTGCAAAAACGGCCCATCGATTATCGTCCCCGTCTGAGAGGCTCGAGACTTGTGTCGGTGTAGAAGCGTATGGGTCAGCAGTCGAAGCTAAACTTCCCGATCCTTGTCGTAGTAGAGAGGGAACCAGGCACAAAGGCGAGACAGTTTTCTGTCTCAATTGTGATGACGAAGGTTTTGACGCATTGGCAAACATGTCCGGCGTCATGATCACCAAGCCAAGATAGGATATGATCAGCACTCTAGTCTCATCGAGTGTGATTTGCGCTTTAGGTGCGTCCTCTGAAGATAGTGATTTCCGGATAAGTCCTTGTTGTGACCTACTCCGTTTCCAAGCGCCTGCCAAATAGTCGAATGATGTCTGTCCCTTAGGTAGATTTGCCAGTACAGATAGTTTATCATTGTCCTCCGTCATTGTTTCGGAAGGATCCAAAGATAGTCTAGCGATTAAGACTCTATCGGCTATTTCGCCAGTAATTGGAGGTAGTGTCCCTTTGTTCTCTTCTTTCAATTCTTCTGCTAATTCTTTTAGGTACACTCTCTTCCATTGACTTGACTCTGCTATCGATCTATCCAACGTAACATTAAAGATCGTTGCAGTGGCTGATGATATCCAATCAGCCAAAGATGTCGTCATTTTGGGCCCTTTGTTGTTTGAAAGAAAGGATGATGGTGTTCACGCATTGAGAAAAAGCTTCGCAATCCTCAAGTAAAATGAAAATGACCGTGCGTGTGTGCTTGAGTGTGTGTAGGCGCCAACGCTTGTCATCATTCTACGATTGAGTGGAGTTGCGTACGTAAGCAGGTTTTCCCAATTAACACTTGTGAACGCGTCTTTTGTGTTGTTTGTTGTTGTTAATTTTATGCGCTAAAAGCAACTGTGCAACTCTACTGCACCGCCATCAAGAAGTTGTGACAGTGAGGTACTCATCATCAGAACGGTCACCATCTCTTCATCTTGCAATCGATTAACGATGGCATATAAACGGGCATCCGTCTTAGCAGGACTGCCTGACGCAGATCGAGAATGGGAAGACGTTCAAGCAAAAACATTCTGCAAGTGGTTGAATACAAAATTGGAATCTCGCGATCTACCACCGATGAGATCTCTTACGACTGATCTTTCAGATGGTGTTCGTTTGATCGAATTGATGGAAATAATGGGAGATACAAGTTTGGGCAGATATTACAAAAATCCAAGAATGCGTGTTCAACAAGCCGAAAACGTGAATAAAGCATTGGACTTTATCAAAAGCAGAGGTGTGATCTTGACCAATGTTGGTGCAGAGGACATTGTTGATGGAAACCTCAAGTTGATTCTGGGAATGATTTGGACTTTGATTCTGCGTTTCACAATCGCAGATATCAGCGAAGAAGGTGTCAATGCAAAAGAAGGTCTATTGCTCTGGTGTCAACGCAAGACGGCGCCGTACAAGGAAGTAGATGTCAAGGACTTTACCTATTCTTGGCAATCTGGATTGGCATTCTGCGCTTTAATTCATCGTCATAGGCCTGATTTGCTCAACTATGACTCTCTCGACAAAACAGACAAGCATGCTTGCACACGAACCGCATTTGATGTCGCACAGCAGCATCTTGGAATTCCACAATTGTTAGACGTTGAAGATCTTTGCGATGTCAAAAAGCCGGACGAAAGAAGTGTGATGACGTACGTTGCGCAATATTTCCACGCTTTCAGTAGTATGGAACAAGCTGAAGTTGTCAGTAGACGAGTGGCAAAATTTGCAGATGTGATGCAAAGTGCATGGATGATGCAAAATGACTATGAAAGGAGAGCGAAGGAATTGTTGCATGCTATGATCGAAGTACAAAACGCATGGACAGCAGCAGCATTTGCAGGAACATATGCCGATGCAAGATTACAGCTCAAGAGCTTCAACGAATACAAGGCTGGCTCAAAGAGAATCTGGGTACAAGAGAGAACGGATTTGGGGGCACTACTGAGCAATATTCAGACGAAGTTGAAGACTTACCATCTACGTGAGTGGCTGCCTCTCGAAGGCTTACGTCAAGGCGATTTGGATTCGGCGTGGGCCCTATTGGCCAAATCGGAAGCATCAAGAAGTAGAAGGATCAATGCAGAGATCAGAAACGCCAAAGATTCACTTCGAGTTAGATTTGCCAACCTAGCCAATGCATTTGAACAAAATCTGCGTAACATCACAACCGAAATCGTTAGCCTGAGTGGTGATTTGTCAGAGCAGCTGGTGAATGTGCAAAAATCACAAAGCGAATTGATCCCATTACAGAACGACTTGTTGCTAGAATTACGGGAGACAGACAGAGAGTGTCAAGAGGCCAATGTGGAAGAAAATGATCATACAGTGTATACGCTTGATGATTTGATCTTTGAGTTGGAATTGGTGACAACAAGTGTGGCCAAAAAGCTAGCATTCATCGAAAACCAAATCGTTTCAAGACAACATACCAATCTTACACCGGCGCAATTGGAGGAATTCGAAAGTACATTTCGATACTTTGACAAGGATGCATCAAACACGCTCACCGTACCAGAATTGGGTGCAGCGTTGGCTAGTCTGGGTATCATTTATGCCGACGAAGATGTGGAAGTGATTCATTATCAGCTAGAACAAAACTTTGGATCGGTATCGTATGATGCTTTCTTGACTTTCCTACGTGAGATTTCAGAAGATTCTACCAGTCCTGATCAATTGATCGAAGCCTTTCAAGGTCTTGCATCTGACAAGCCCTATGTTACCGAGTTGGATCTGCGAATGGCTCTCTTGCCTCAAGGATCGATCGATTACCTTGTTCAAGCAATGCCTGCTGCGCAGGTTGATGGCTTACAAGAGACTGCATACGATTATGAGCGATACTTGGGCAACTTGTTCATGTAGATTCTTTTGATTGGATGCTATGCTGGACAATAGCAAAATCATGCACGCACTCGCGATCACCTCAATCTTCACTTTATCAATGTATTAATTCAAGTCTTAGACGATTCTTTCTTCTTTTTGAAAATTTGTACAATATGAAAATATTTGGAAAAAATAGCAATCTATCAATGAATGCAGTTTGCTGTGCTTATTGGAATTCGCTAATGCTGCGACCATGACCATCAGCTCCTGCCTGTTTGCGAGCTGACAAGATCAAGTCGATTACGTCTTCCACGCCATCTCCATGCTTGACACTTGTGAAGATTGTTGGGCCTGCATCACGCATCTTTGCAGCATCTCTCTTCATCACGTCAAGAGAAGCACCGACATATGGTGCCAGATCGATTTTATTGATGACAAGAATGTCAGATTGCGAAATACCTGGACCTCCCTTTCTTGGCACTTTATCACCACCCGAAACATCGATCACATAAACGTGTAAATCGGCCAATTCAGAACTATAAGAAGCTGCAAGATTATCACCACCACTTTCGACGAACAACATTTCACATGCATATTTTGCTTGAAGTTTTTCTAATGCTTCCAAATTTGATGAAATATCTTCGCGAATTGCAGCATGTGGACAACCTCCTGTCTCGATTGCTTGAACACGATCGGAAGGTGTCAGTGCACTATTGCGAATCAAAAATTCTTGATCTTCTCGTGTAAAGATATCGTTCGTCACAACGCCAAGATTATACTTTGTTCGTAAACGTTGACAAAGGCTCAAGAGCAAAGCAGTCTTTCCTGATCCAACAGGACCTCCGATTCCAATGGTAAATGCTCTTTCTTTCCAATCTCTTGTTGAATAATTTGGTACATCTCTTTCAGCAAATTTACCAGCGTTTTCCATGATTTCATGTGTATGTCCATGTTCGTTTGCTGGCGTTGAATGGGAGTGAGAGTGTTCTGCTCCTCCATCGTGTGAATGAGCATGTTGTGCAGCATTGGTCGTAGTTTGACCAGGTGCAAGTTGAAAATCGCAGACTTGATTAGACATTGTATCGAATGGTAGTGATGATGAGGAAGATGATTGATGCTTTTCTATATGCATGCATGCACAGCAAATCAAGGCACATAAGCCAAGGAAACTTTATTTACACAAAAAGAACCGTGCGAGAATAAGAAGAAAATAAAGAGCACACATTCATTTAGCGTGCTCTTCTTCCTTCACAACCATACAAAAATGTCTTCTCAAGTAGATGTACAAGATGGAGCAGACGCTTCTAAGCTGTTGCATGACTTCAAACTCGTACGAGTGCTCAACGAAGATGCGAGAAGCAAAAGTGCAATCTTGCTTGGCAACTTTCCCACTGGCGAAGCTGGTTCAGAACAAGCAATCGTGATTATGGAAAAGACGCATTTCTCCAATTCGTTCTATGAAAACTTGTCGACCGATGCTGACAAAAGCTCAAGCTTGTCCAATTTCAAAAGTCTTGGATCAAATGATGTATATCATTGGGTTCTCGGTTGGATGGCCACGCCAAACACTGCTTCAAGCGATGTGGACGCACACGTCAAATTGACAATCATTCGTCCAGCAACGGAAGCACACATTCTCAAGTATACAGAGCAAGAAAAGTTCATGGTAACAGAGACACCAGAGACGTATGCTGGGATCGTTGAACCTTGGATCAAGAATCAGCCTGTCGAACGCATTCAATGGGTATACAACATCCTCGAGAAGAAAAAAGAAGCCGACACGATCTTGTTTGAACGTCAAGGTAGCTCAGATGGATTCATCATCTTGCCTGATTTGAAATGGGATCAAAAGACATTGTCCTCTTTGTATCTCGTTGCTATCGTTCATGACCGCTCGCTTCGTTCTATGCGAGACTTGAAGAAGGAACACATTCCACTTTTACGTTCAATCATGCAAGAAGGTCAACGTGTCGCAAAGGAGAAATTTGGGCTTGGCAAGGGCGAGAGTGAAAGCGCTGGACTGAGCAAAGTTCGCTGCTTCCTTCACTATCAACCGACATACTACCATCTACATGTCCACTTGCTCTCTTCCGATTACACTTCTCACCCTGGCGCTCTGGTTGGACAAGCACATCTCTTGGATGATGTGATTGATCTGTTGGAAATGGGCGTTGATTTCACAAAGCGTACGTTGACGTACTCCTTGGGTAGTCGTAGCCCATTGCTTGCTCTGTTGCAAGAACAAACTAGTCACCGTCCAACAAAGGTTGCCAAACTCACAGAATAAGAAACAACTCCTTTTCACACCAATTATGCATTATAGATATACCCTATAATTTACCTCAACTCAGAGGTTTATTGTTGCACAACAATCATGTATTATAGATACCCTATAATTTCACCTCACAACTGAGGTTTTTTGTATACTATGTACAATAATGAATAGCATTTATTCATCACCATCCTCCGTGTCGTAAATCTAAAGCACCCAAAACGATAAGTGAAACACCTAAAGGTAAAATACCAGCCAAGACAATGATATCTTGATAGATTCTCCTTCCTCTTGTTCTTCGTTGCAATTCACGTTCTTTTCTCGCGAGCAATATCCGCGTTGCTTCATCTGTTTCTTGTGTACTATGATGAATGGATGTATTACCGTTTCGTCTTCCGTTTGCTCTGCCATTCATATCTTCTTCGTTTCGCGATGATGGTATTTCATCATGCTCTGAAGCTTGAGCTAGACTATGTCGGAACGCACTCGGGGAAGGTCCTTCATCGGCATCGTCCCCATCTTGATCATCCAACAGCGGTTGACGTTCAGCAGAATCGAGAGATCCGTTCTGTGGTGCTCTACTTCCTCTGCGCCATTTGTTGACTGCAAGCACACTTTGCGGTCCCAAAAACCAAGCAGATGCTTGACGTGCCATATCTGCGGCAAAAGGTGGCAAGATCGCTCTTGGTTGACGAATGTGAAACAAAATAATCCAAACAAACGCCGGTAACACAAATCCAACACCCGCTCCCATCAATCCTAAAACTTCTTGTGCTCGAGTGAAATTTGCTTGAACAGCTGCATCATCCGGATCGTTCTTTTGACCTTTGCGTAAATGTATTCCTCCAACACCACTCCAATATGCTGTCACTGCCGTCATTGCCCATAGCAAAACACCTGCTAAAGCATCTTTTGCAGGCTTGGTCCACTTTTTGCCCAACAAGGACTTCTTCCTTCGCTGTGACGCATTTGGCGTGGTTCCCACTGTTCCTAGACCACTGGACGTACTAGCAGAAATCGTACGATCGGCATCGTTCTCATCTGTATCCTGATCACCAGGCCGTTTGGAGGTTCTGAAAGGGTTCAAATTGAACAAGAACAATAATCTTGACCAAGCCGAACGAACAGTGACTAGACAGAGTGCCAAATGTGAAATCAGAATTGCCATAAACAGGATTCGGGCCAAGTTGAGGTTATCAGTCAACGGCAGAGTCGTGAACAAATTCGGATGAACTTCAACACCCAATCGTTTTCCCATCCCTTGCGTTCCGACACCTATTCCGAATCCAATTGCCAGTGCAATTGCAGCTACTGTTTGTGCTGCTTGTGCACCTAAGAATGCTTTCACATTGCTGCCCGACATTCCCGTCCTTCGTAAACTTCGATTATGTGCAATGATCTGTAACGGAGAAGCACTGAGACTCAATAGCGGCAAGAGTGAAAAAGGCGCCCAAACTGAAGGAGAATGAAGCGGATTCATCTCTGGTGACTTTATTGGGAAATGCGGTTCGCTTGTAGGCGGCTGTTGGTATACGTATGCCAATAGGATAGCAAGGATGCAAGGATAAAAGAGCACAGCCAGCGTTGTTGAGAGACGGATAAGATTTCTCTTTGCCAACGGATAAATGACGAGAGGTGTAGTGATGAGCCCTCCTATTACGATTGTGACAAACAGTCGGTTGTGAAGCGGTATACCTCGAGGCGAGTAGTGGAAGAGTACTTGGAGTAGTAGGTCCGCAAGAGCGAAATAAGCCACAACTGCTGTACCCGTAGCATAGCATGCCAGAAGCAAACCAGAGATTGCTCTACCGATATTGCCTTTCCATCTGGTGTTCCTTCCAAAGCTGGCCGCAGTGATTGCTTCGATATTTGCACCTCCAACATACCGACCAAGGACGACCCAAAGACCACCACCTGCTCCCGCTAAAGCTGCCACAACCACTAAACCGACAATACCCAAAGTGATTCCTGTCCGATCAAAGAATGCCGGCATACTCAGCAAGACTGCAGGATTTAGACTTGCACTGAATAGATTCGCAGTCACATGTGGAGCCGAAAGACTTGCTTGTGCTGATGGACTTTTAGTGATCTTTACCAGCCATGATCGTAGAATAGAGGAAGTCGGTCGCAGAGAGTTGAGGTAAGATCGATCATCGGCGTTGCTTCTTAGACGCGGTAGTCGTGGTCTTCCATTGCTATTTCTTCCAGTCCTTCGTGCTGTTTGCTGATCTTCTTCATCATCACTCTCATCCCAAGCTGTATGTCCAACATTGATTGTCGTTAAAGGTTCTTCATCATCATAATCGTCATCGTCATCATCTTCATTCCCATCTCTGCCATCAATCATTTGTACATCAGTCGTAGTACCATTGTTCAAACCACGAACTGTGGTTGAACCCTCCTCATCACCTTCATCATCGTCAATGTGTAAAACTGTTCTCTGTAGTAAAATCTGTGATCGAACAGAACCTGGTGGACTGCGTTGTGCTAGCAATTGTGTATCTTGAGGTTCTACTGTACTCCGCCTCAGAGCACCATCCGCATCTGCCATTGAAGCAGAATGAGGAGGAGGAGCAGACATTTGATGTGATAGGAGAGAAGTGCAAGATATGGAAGTTGTGAATGAAAGGTGTACTGCGCTTTTAGAGAGAAGGGGTGAACGTGTGGTGAGCCGCGGATCTACATTATTACTCCACACAGGCGGCAATGCTTTAGCGCTTATGCATTAATGAAAAGAAATGTTGAGATTAAGGTACACGTCATTCCCAAACAATCATGTTCCCATCAAGGATAGGTTCATCAAAGAGCGGTTCATCATCATCTGGTACACCAAGTAGAAAGTGTCAAAAATGCTTACAAGAAGGACATGCAACGTTTGAATGCAAAAACACAAGAGCATATACCAGCAGGCCTACCAGAAGTAAAGCATTCATCGATCCGAAAACGCAAAAGAAACTGCGTGAACAGACGCAGAACATACGTGTACCAGATGAATTAGTCAAAACTAAGCAAGAATCTGAGAAAGGCAAGGCGAAAGCTGCAGATGTGAGACAAAGTGAGAAGGAGCGTGATCGACATACTAGAAGTCGTAAGAGGAGAAGGTCACCTTCCGTGTCATCGTATTCAAGTAGCAGTTACACCTCTTCAAGCTACAGCTCACGATCCGATTCTAGATCAAGGTCCAGGTCACTAAGCCCGCGGAGAGACTCAAAGAAGACAAATCGGCGTTCTATGTCCCCACGAGCTCGGTCTATTTCGAGGTCTCGATCGCGGTCAAATTCGCCGCGCTCTAATTCCCATTCGAATACGTCATCGATAACAGGATCGAGGCCAAGATCACGGAGCAGATCGTTATCTCACTCTAGGTCGATAACACGTTCCTTATCTCGGTCTATGTCACCCGTCGTAATCGCTCAAAAAAGATCATGAGAGCATATGTTTACTCATTCAGCTTTATAATCATGACAATGAGACCTACAGCAGGGATATGCAAACGTATGATACAAAGTATGCCTTGACTTTCAAAAAGCTAAACTTGGGTCCAGCCCGGACGGTGACAATGTTACCAAGCGGAAGGACACGGGGACAGGAAGAATGCGAAACCATATAGACAGATAAGAGAAATAATATTTGAGAGAGAAAAGATCCTGCTCCTTGTTTTGATTGAGTGAGGAACTTGCTTTGCGTTACAATCACACTAACATTGATTTGAGTGATCCTGCCAACTTTTTCAAGATTGGCTTTTGCCTTTCAGCTTCTTGCCATGTTGCTTGAAAGATCTTGCTTGCGTCATCGCGTAAAGCGCTTCGTAATTTCCATGCAGCTTCACAATCATACTTTTGTTTCGAAAGTATGGCCAGTGATGTGCTGGATGAAGAAGAAGTGGTGGTGCTGCAATTCAAAGAAAAGCATTCCGAAGAAACACTTTGTTCTGAACCTGTACTTGAACGTGAAAGCGAATTTAACGAGCTTACCGAAGAATCCAAATCTTCCAATGTGTGATGCATTGAAGATGATTGAACGGAATGTTCACCTTCTTCTTCAACGGAATGAAAGCTGAAAAGAGGTGAAGCTTGAAAGGTTGTGATTGGTGAATCACAATGTGTACTTGCTTCTGAACTTGAACCTTCGTTTGCATTGTCATTGTCTGCCATGACGAGAAAGGTTAATTGCGGTAATGCATTCTTCGGATCGTTTGTGATCAGACTATGCTTTCTTCCGCGATTTGCTCTTACAGGTGGAGTAATGATTCGTTCGTCTGATGTTGAAGCTTCAGTGTTGGTGTAGACATTCTTCTGGCCGTTGACAGAATCTTCCAAACCGTTGGTGGTATTGCTGAGCATGACTTCTCACCTATTCTTGCTATCGATCTTGTTCGAGACTGATGATGGTGAATGCAATGAAGTGAAAGAAGTGCTCAACCTTGAAAGCAAGAGTAGTTGCTGGGGAGCACAAAGGATCGATTGCGAGGGAAAAGACGATTGAAATTATATGTTACGCATATAAATGAAAATGCGTATTGCATTTTGACTCATACGCAGCTTTTTTTTTCTGCCTGCTCAGCCTTTTGCTGTGTTTTGTATCTACTCTTTCCATTCCATCAAGCCGCGGTACATTCAATTCCTAATCACTCGGGCAAAATACTGTGTGCAGCTCTAGAGAGGCGCAATGAAAGGGAAAGCCTTTGATACGGAGTTGGAAAAAATGATAAGAGAATTTTATTTTTGCTTATTTCGATCACGAAAGAAGAAAAACCCAAGAACGGGGTTACGTTTGCCAAGCAGATTATGACAATGTTTTGTTGTCTTGGTATTGTATTTAGCCCGTACAGTATACCTTTAAATATCACATTTTATTTCGGTTGTTCGTCATTACCGTTCAATTCGATGGAAGGCGTAATCAAGTAGGGTGGAATTGAGGGTAAGCAAGCCGAAAACGTTGCCCTCGCCCCTTTGTGCTTGTAATGTTCGTGTGAGAGAAATGGAAAGAGCGGCATGACCCCTTTGATGAGAATGAAGTCTCCCGCTCTTTACTCCCTCCTTCTATAATTAACCCTCTTCACTTTCTTCTTTTCACTGTCATCAATCATCACAGACGTTTGCATTTCCGATAACAACCCTATTTTCTGCCATTATTTCAAACAGCATAGCATTTATTCTTGGCCATACTGCGCCCCACCCCAAACGGAGCGGCAAAAAGCTTGGCCCTTTGTTTATTTTCCAACTCCGATGACGAGCAGCAGCACAACGGGTGATTGTTATCGTATTGCGCGTGGGTAATATTCCATCTTTCCGTCTTTACTTGCAATTATCCGTGGCAAGCCACAAGAACAACAAAGGAAGTACATTGACACCTGAGATTCAAAACAAAAGACCTTATTCCCACGAAAGCTCTAACATTCTCAGAAATGACTTGCGGCTTATTCCTCGATTGAAGAGTAGAGCCATTTCCATTCAGAATGGCGCAATATTATCCGCAATAATCCCCCTTGTCCGGTGGTATCTCCATTGTCAGTCTAAATTGACAAGGAGTGAGAGATATACCATTTGCTTGAATATGCGGTCAGTAGCATTCCACCTCAGTACTAATTGGACACCCTATGTGATTTTGACTTGGTTCACATTAAGCTAGGGTAAACTTTTCGTAAGTCTAGATGATTTTGCAACGTCATTGATATTGGATGGGGCGGGGCTCACTTTCAAGAGACCTTAATTTCGGCCAAAGGTGAAACACTCATAAGATGTGAGATAATACTCATTCGAGATAGAATCTACAGGTAATCTTGAATTTGTGGTCTTTGTTTGACATCTATTCTTACAGGTGTCCAATGTATTTGGCATCATTTTACCCCGGAATCGGAGTTTATATTTATCCGATAGCGGGTTTTATTGGAATGCTTTTGACGCGTAATAACAGTCAACGCTTCTTTTTCTCGTTGCCTTTTCTTGCATTCTTCTTTATCCTCATCATTCTCCGAAACAAATAGGCATTCAGTGCGATCAATACCCACAATGTCAGCTTGTTTAAAATTCGTTCAACGAGTAACACGTGCATTCGTAAATGCTGGCGGTCATGATGCAACTTGTTATCCAGGCTTACACATTCATACAGCCAAACCAGGTCATATTATCGGACAATTCACAATTCAAAAACAGAACTTGAACAGATTGAAAACACTACATGGTGGTGTGATTTGCTCATTAACTGATACTATGGGTAGTCTGGCTCTGGCAAGCAAGGGATTATACTCTACTGGAGTAAGTACGGACATTCATACAACTTTTGTAGCGCCGGGAAAAGATCAGGAAACAGTCACTGTCGAAGGCAAGGTGATCAGTTTGGGTAAAACATTGGCAACTACTAGATTTGAGCTTAGACACCCAGATACAAACGCTCTTTTGGCATTCGGATCACATACCAAGTTCGTTGGAAAGGCACATACACATCCCGAGAACGTTGGTGAGTAAGTCAGAATTCATCACAAAATAAGCAGACAACTGACCATACCCTTGAACCCCACACAGAATTCGACGAATCAGGCGAAAAGGTCATCAAAGGCAAACAGCCAAACGAATGGGCAGAAGATTAAAGAATGAACAAGTGTAATTTATAGACTATGCAAAATAATACAAATGGCCAACCAAAAAAGGATCATACAAATACAATCACAATCTCGTGCTCTAGGTCATCTCGGTGACCCATTTCCCCCTTATTAACCTCTGCTTTGCCATGAGAGGCGGAAGTTCCCAACCTACATACGAATTACGTTCAGATGCATCAAATGCTGGTCCGGTTCCGTACGATGGCACCAGATAAACAGTCTTTTCATTTACGCCAGAAGTCGAATCAGCATTACCAGAAGCGGCCCTCTTCTTAAGATCTTGTGCTGCTCGAATCAACTTTGCTCGACCATCACTTTGGTCTGTATCGATAGGTTTGGACAAAGAACAAAGACTTGATCCTAATTTGTACACCCAGTTCGGATTAATAACAGTAACTCCCTTTAGCCAATTTCTTCCTTTACGTTCAAGTGTATCACCTTTTGCCTGTCCACGTACGATGTGCGAAAAGATGATCCATTCGGGAGGAGATTGGTGGAACAAGACGCTACTCTTGTGTATGAAACATGCTTCAGAAGGAATGCCTGCTGCCAAATAAGCAACATTACGTGTTGATTGCATCTTTGCTCCTTGTTTGCTTTGCTTGTAGAATTGATGAGAAATCGTTTGATCACCTTGTCCACCTTCTTGTTGTAACATTGGTACTCTGGCCGCTCCTTCAGGAGACAAATCAGCTCGAACGGCAATTTGATCAATAAAAGCAGCAGTAAGGAACTGACGCAGAACGTTCAATTGCTTTTGCGTAGGCGGATCAAGTTTGGGTGATCGCAAAGCAGAAAGATCCATTGTGATCGCCGCATTGGCTTGTACTAAAGTTGCAATTTGACTTCGAAGTTTGTGGATTTCTTCCATCGTTTTTGGCACAAGGAAGTTTGTTCGACAGAATTCGGATGTGCCTCCTGCATGTTCGTACGCACCAACAGCGCTCAATAGACGAAGCGGATCGCTCAATGCACCACTCATTGCAGCAAAGCGATTGAGAGCTTTAAAGTATGCGCTCCGTTTTGCCCTCCTCTGCTCTTTCTCCTTCTCACTTTCGTTGTCGAGGTATTGAGCTTCCAATGCTATCTCTTCTTCCGCAACTGATTGCCCTTCGATAGGATCATGCAACGATTCTTCGCGTACGAATGGATCACCAACGCTCAAAGCAGACACCAATGCAACAACAAAAGGCAAGCATCCATGCTGATGGCCTTGTACCAGCATCTTTGACAATCGAGTACTGAGCGGGAACAAGCTCATAGATCTGCCCAAAGATGTGACCTTGTACTGACTTGCTGAAGCAGAAGTTGAACCATCTGACTCCAATGCACCTAAGCGTAGCAGCAACTTTTCCGCTCTTCGAATCGCTTGCCTGTCCGGAGCAGTCGGAAACGGGAAATTGGCAACATTGTCGATATTCATACTCTTCATCATAAGTACCAAATTGTCCACTGGCATTCGAAGGATTTCTGGTTGAGCAAATTGAGGGAAATGCTCCTCATACACATTGCTTGAGTACAACCGATAACAATGACCTGGACCAGTACGACCAGCACGACCGGCACGTTGATCAGCACTTGCTTTGCTGATGAATCCCACTTCGAATGATTGGATGCCGTTCACAGCATCATATAAACGTTCTTTTGCCCGTCCGCAATCCACCACGTAAGTGATACCTGGAATTGTGAGGGATGTTTCGGCAATGTTCGTAGCGACAACTACAAGACGACTTCCTTCTGGCGGCGGTGCAAACACCTGCATCTGCCTCTCTGAAGGCAAGAGGGAGTAAAGTGGAAGAATATGCATTGGCTTGTCGGTGTCATCGCGAAGCTCTTCGGGCAAATCCGCATCATACTCTTGTTCCTCTTCATCATCGGTTTCTAAGGCCTCCTCATCGTCGGTTTCTAAGGCCTCCTCATCGTCGAATGTTTCGTCTGCGTTGCCATCCTCGAGAGACAGTCGTGCTTCTTCCTCTGCTCTGTCGTTCGGATTCATCGATAGATCAACATCTTCTGCCTCAATGTCAACATCTTTGGCAGAAACAAAGACTTTGTCTTCTGTTCCAGTCTCATCATCGTCCGCATCTCTCAATCGTGATTTATTGCTGATTTTGCGTCGGTCGCGAAGCTTCTTTTCTATAGCCTGTTTACCGAATCTCTTTTGCAATCGTTGGCAGACAGTAGAGATTTCTGCTTGTCCAGTCATGAAGATAAGTATTCCACCATTTGGCAGCCTGGCATGAATCTTGCTAGCTTTTTTGATCGCCTCTTCAACGTACTCATGATGTGTACGTCGGCTAAAATGCGTCGTGACCGGAAACTGTCTGGCTTCTACTTGAAGAATCGGAGGTCGAATGTCAAACAAACGTTCGTTGCCGGCGAAATCGTCAACTCGCAGAGTAGCACTCATGATGACTAGCCGCAATGGCTTTCCTTCTCCAGCGATCCATTTCTTGGCACGGAGTCTTGCTACTCTGCTCAGAACTCCAATAAGAACATCCGTATTGACGCTGCGTTCGTGTGCTTCATCAATAATGACAGCACTGTACTTGTTCAGCATGAAATCAATTGCTAATTCTCTCAGCAACACACCATCTGTCATGAATTTGACACTGGTCGAAGGGCTGACAGTAGCATCGTAACGAATTTGATGTGAGATTCTATCTTGTCCTAAATTCAGTTCATGGCCTACCCGTGCAGCCATACTCAAAGCCGCCACTCTTCTCGGTTGTGTTACACCGATCAAACCAGGATTAGCAGAACCTGGACTTCCAAATCCAGCTTCAAATAAGAATTGCGGAACTTGCGTAGTTTTACCACTTCCCGTTTCACCACACAAAACGGTCACCATATTCTCCATTATAGTACGGACGATCCTTTCTTCCTCTGCAACCACGGGCAATTTTAGTCGTGCCTCTTGTATCTCCTCCGATCGGTTCACATTAATGAAGTCGTTCTTCTTGCCTGTCTTTGTACGCCACTCCTCCAAAATCTGATAATGCCTCTGAGCAAAAGGACCGATTTGACTAGGCATCGGCTCATCTTGACCCAAAGGGCCTCGGATTGTCCCATCTCCTAGGTCTCCCACTCTTTGTGTCATACCTCCAACTGGTTCTGGACCGCGATATACGCCATCGTCTTCTGCATTCTCTGAGTCTTTTCCGTTGGCTTTTTCCTCCATGCCAAGTGCTGTCAGGGCCCATTCTTTGAATCCTTTGCTTTTTGATGTCTTTGGCAATCCTCTCCGCTTGGATAGCTCTTCACCCTCTTCCTCATCATCTTCTTCTGACTCCTCGTCACTCTCCTCGCCTGAGTCCTGATCTTCATCTTCACCCTCGAATGCGGAGAATGGCAAAGAAGCTTCTCCTGGCTCTTCGTTATTCTCCTCGTTATCTGATGCCTTAGCATAATCCTCTTTTGTGGGCGGACCGAGATCGGGATTTCCTAGCATACCTCTCTGTCTCATAGCTTCTATGAGTATTTGACGCTCTTCTTCATCCGTTTCGTCCCCGGATCCCATTTCACTATCGCTGAGATCAGAAGCAGACTCATCTTCCGATCCAGAAACTTCATCTTCAGATACCGCATCAACTGCATCGGATAATTCTTCATCTTCGTCTGAGTCAATGTCGGAGGAAGCAGAACTGTCGAAGTCACTTTCGTCGTCGTCTTCATCTTGTCCTGCGGCTACCCTGCCCCAAGCTGTGCGCCTGCCGATAGGCTTCTTTATTTGCTTCTTTCGCTTTTTCATGACGGGTATGATAGGCTTGCCATCACTTCCCAATGCAAGCGCTGAGCCTACCACTGTGGCCTTTTGTTCATCCTTGGGTGCTGAAATTCCATTGGAGGAGTTTGGGATAGGCTGTGCAGATGCTGAAGGCTGAGCAAACAATGCACGAGCTCTATCTATACGGGCTTGCCTTTCATCATGATCATCGTCTTCTTTCACTGCAACGTCCTCGAATCCTCCCTCGTCTTCGTCTTCATCTACATCTGAGCCTCTTTCGTTCACCTTATCAAAATATGCATCTTCATCGTCACTTTGATCTCCTCTGTCTGCGTTCACTACGAGATACTTGCCCTTACGATCTGATCTTGACCGTTCCTCTCGTGCCAGGTCCATATCCAGTCGCTCTTGTCCTGTTCGTACTTTACCGGTACCCAGGGTGGCAGCGCTCATCAAAGTAGATCTATCACCAACTTGAGCACTTGATTTTGCCAAATCAGCAATGAGTTGCTGCCTCTTTTCCTTCTTTAATTGACGTGCAATGAATGCGTCTAATCGTTTTCGTTTCTTTGACGATATCGGTCCTTCAGCTGCATCGGGATCTTGTGATCGTGCTAAAAGTTCTCTTCTTTTTCGGTCTGCTTCCAATTTTATGCGTTGCTCTTCTGGATCAATCATCACTGCATTGCTTCCGCTGGCGTCCATGTCCATGCTGCCCTCAATGTCATCTGCATCACTCCTTTTTGGTTTAACATTCTTGCGTTTCTTGTGCGTCGTCCCAGCGAATGACTGTCTTGCTTTCGCATTATAGCGAGTCTTTTGTTTATTTGGAGGGACCATATTGACTATCTCCTTTCCTATCCTCTGATCCAACCAAAGCTTCGACAAAGATGGAGACGTACAAGATGATGACGCGGAAACAACTGTCCAAAAAATCTTTGGTCTGTCGATTGAGCTAAATACATAAACAAAAATTTCAAGCGCTAGGCTAGTGTACCTTTTTTTTTTATTTCTTCTTAAAATTTTTGGCAGCGTCGGAAAATGACAAAAAAGTTAAAGGTGGAGAAAATAAGAAGAATAACTTGCAGGGTGCTGAAATTCAAGTTTGACTTGATACCATCACTCACACAATATGGCTGCGGACACTTTGAAGAGTAAGAATGATGAGGGAGTGTCACGGTTCGATGATGCTGAGGTGGAGCAGTCGATCAGGCATCATAGCATCACAGAACAAAGACTAAATATGGAAGATTCAGAGGAGGAGGAGGATGGCGAAGAATACGAAGACCAGCTCGAAGATGAAATTGCAGAAGATGAAGAGCAAATGGGACGAGTAGAAGATGCTGATTGGGAGCTTGCACGTGGAGATTTCACAAAGATGTTCAATCGATCAAGACAATTGGCACAAATTGCAGGTCAGTCATCTTCGAATGCATCTGGATCCAATGTCCCATTACCGGCTATGAATCGAGCAAGAAGGACGAAGGCAAAACCATCACGCACGCCTGCGAAAGCTCAAGATGAAGAAGGAAAACAGGCTGATGATATTAACACAAACACAAATCGCACACCCGCTGACAAGATAGAGGAACAACTATCAAGTCTGCGGCAGAAGTTCGGCGCTCAAATGCGTATTGATGATACGTATGATCCCAGTGCGATCACAGGTGGTGCATTGAGTGCAAACGTACCGCGAAAAGGGAATACTGGCATGGGAGAAAAACGTGTTCGTGATAAAAGTGATAGATCAACCGTACAACAAGTTCTTGATCCACGCACGATGGTGATCTTGTTCAAGATGTTGCAACGTGGATTATTGAAAGAGATTAATGGAGTCATTAGTACGGGAAAAGAAGCAAATGTTTATCATGCAAGCACGTACAAATATGTCACTACAGGAGAAATGGTAGCAAATGGCGAAACTCATTCGGACGAAGAAGGACTGCCTCTAGCTCTAAAGATTTACAAGACTACCATCTTGGTATTCAAAGATCGTGATCGTTACATCACAGGAGAGTTCCGATTCAGGCATGGATACGCTCGTCATAATCCCAGAAAGATGGTCAAATTATGGGCCGAAAAGGAAGCCAGAAATTTGAAGAGATTGGTGGGAGCTGGTATTCGTTGCCCTAGGCCGATCGAATTGCGCGATCACGTATTGGTGATGGAATTCTTGGAAGATGGAACAGGAAGAAACAGTCCTCGCTTAAGGGACGCAGAAAAGCTAATCGACGAAAGACGACAAGCAGGCGAAGGAATGATTTGGGAAAATTTGTATGTGGAAATGATGGTGGCCATGCGTGTGATGTATCATCAGTGTCATTTGGTTCATGCAGACTTGAGCGAGTATAACATCTTATATCACAAAGAACATCTTTACATCATTGATGTTTCTCAATCGGTCGAACATGATCATCCGTACGCTTTCGACTTTTTACGTGCGGATATTGCACATGTTGACGAATACTTTGCAAAAAGGGGAGGTGTTCAAACTTTGGGTGTTAGGAAGACTTTTGAATGGATCGTTCGCACGCCGGCTAGGACAGAGGGACAAGAAGAAAGTGCTGGCAAGAGCAATACTGATGATTCGACAGCTATTGTTTCACAAACCGGAAAAGAAGCTCCACTTAACACACTTGCAACTCTTGCCAGTGGTCCATTCAGCAAGTTCGAGTACATTACACGTGGACCAGGCGAAAGTGATGAAGAGCTTTCCGAGGGAGTTCGCAATATGATGATGAATGCACAAGAAGAAGCAGAATCAGGCAAGACTACCAACGAAACTTTCGACGATGCTGTGTTTAGACAAGCTTATATTCCGCAAAATTTGAATGAAGTTTTTGATCCTGAACGTGATATCGAACAACGCAATGAGGGACATGCCAACGGACTCATTTATGCAAATGTCATCGGCGTTGATGGTCGGTCAAAAGAGCAAAACTCAACGGAGAACCCTGCTGGAGAGGAAGATGGATCGGACAGTGATGATTCTGATGAAGAGGAAGACAGCGACAGTGAAGAAGGCGCAGAAGACGGACAAACGAAAAAGACGCCAAGAGGACATCGTCACGAAGATCGAGATGCAAAGAAGGAACGTAAAAAGCAAGTTAAAGAAGCCGCTCGTGAAAAGCGAAAGACAAAGATGCCAAAAGCGGAAAAGAAGAGACGTATGCGCACCAGCAAGAAGTGACAAGAAGTCCTTTCCTTTTCTTTGTATAATAGCACTAACGTAATAGTTGATAGAATGATATGATATGTACAATGATGCGGATCCAGGCTTACACGTTGACGAAATCGCTGATGCGGTCTGTGTGGTCAGAAAATAGGGAGACGATCAGTAAATGCATATCTCTATCGTATTCATTTCATCATAAAACTTACCACGAACGCCCTGTGCAATGCACTCTGCAATCCATGTGATCGAACGAATCTCTTGCTCCTTCAACTTTAGCCACGAATAGAACGCTCCGAATTGGAATTGATTGATAGTTTCAATCTTATTTAATCTTGTCTCTTCCTTGAACATCTTGTCCTCTAATCCATCAGCGGGAGAATCTCCATCAGAAGATGCGGTTGCATCTCCAAAGAAGGCTCGGTATTCCGGTACGTAATCACAAACGGCTTTCACTTGATCGATATCATCTGCTCTTGCTAGAACATTGTTTCCTGCTGGGAATAGTCTTCCAATACTTGGGAACAGTCGTGCGCGATCCTCTTTCGACAATGAAGTTCCAAAGGAATTTAGTGTGATGTTGAGTACCCTTCGGTCTGCTTCAAAGGCCAACAAAGTTGTCATTGCTTCAGCAGTAGGCCCTCCCAATTTCTGACAAAAGTCGTAAAAGTCTTCCAAGTATGCTTTGTATAGTGTATTGCGAATGATCTCAATGTTCAAATCATCCAAATCTGACGCAGAGAGACAATCGCGGAAGTAAGGTGCCAAAGGTGTTTCCACCAATACACTTCTGTAAAGCTCTTCGACTGTGGTTGCAACACAAAGTGCAGGCATTGATTCAAACTTGCCCAAAGGATGACATCTTTGTAGTAGCTCATGTGTATCACGTTCATGCAGCGTTCCTGTGATGAGCAAGATCACATTATCGATCATGTAAGAATACGTTAGATATTCCAAGAATTTTGCTAAATCTCCTGAAGCATTCTGACGTAAGTAATCAAAATCTTGTACCATCTTACCCGTTGCTTTTTCTGCAATGGTAGAAGTTGAAAGTGGTGAAGGTTCATTTGCCAAGAAGTTACCATAATCCGTCGCACTTAATTGCATCTTCAGATCGTCCAACGTTTCACATTGTGCCAAAGCTGCATATTGTTGACTGCCCAATAAACCCATTTGATAGCCACGCACTAGTCCTTCTGCATAGCCATAATGAGCGTTGAATGTGATCATCTCCATCTTGACTGGGTTTCAGGTTGGTATGATGATCCCCCCACAAATGAGATGGTTGCAAAAGAGAAGTGGTGGCAGTGAATCACATAATCAGACACAGTGTGTGCCCCTGTATGCGCTTGCGAGTTCGATAACGCGACTCAAGCTGCTTAAGCCTGCCAAAGATATCTTACACGCACGGCCCTCAGCGGAGAATAAAGCACGTGTACCTTCCTGTGCCTGCGTTTATGATCATGATGATCATGAGGAGTCACTCAATACCTTCATCATTCAGCTGGGTTGCAAATCATTTCTTACGTAAGTAGCAGAAAGATGCAGTCAAATAATATCCGAACTTGATGAAGTGATTTAAAGGTAAATTCTCAAATGATCTAATTACCTCACTTCATATCGGATCTATGCTCATGATTTCGTACCTGGTATGTATTCGTACGAGAGCAACAATTTGACCGATCTTTTGCAAAGTGATGGGAATATTCTCATGTTCATTAAACGGAACCGAGCATGAGATGACTTCGAAGTAGATGATCTGTTTGATATATTTTGTCGAGTATATGCATGCTGAATTTGCTAATCGACGTTCGATTGTGGGCGGCGTAGTGTAAAACCTTAATTTGAATAAACGATGAACAAGACAAGCATGGCGTAATTCAATCGAAGGCGTATGGCTGTCATTAGCGTTAAAATTCAATTCATGTGTTCTTTCTCCCCAAGTGTGTCGAGAAGGTTTGAATGATAATACGCTAATTGTATGTACGCATAAAAGAAAAATGGGAAACGCGCATAGGTTCCCACTTGTTCACACTTTTGTAAGGCATAAGGGCAGTACCAATTAATTCTTTTTGTATAAGCATATAGTCAGTGTTAATGCATATATATTAGATAAGACTTAGAGGTGTGCGGGAAGCTAAAAACAAACTTAGATAAGATAAAAAAATGATTTGATTAAAAATGAAATATGAAAGTATGATCAATCTTCTAATTCATCATCTTCTTCATCTTCCCACTCATCCTCCTCCCTATCTTCTTCATCTTCCTCTTCATCCTTATCTTCTTCTTCTTCCTTATCTGATACCGAGGCTCGGGCTTTAGGGTTTTACCGGTTACGTCGTATCATATTATTTCGAAGTCCTTCTTATCTATTATTAAATAAGACCGTAATTTTATTTAAGGTCTAGAATAAAAGAGGAAAAAGAAATATTAGTAAAATAGAATAAAAGAAAAATAAACTTTTTAGTATTTACTTCTCTAAGTAATGTAAGTCTGTCTCGAAAGTTTAAGTTTGCTTGACGTACTTGATCAATAAAACGTTGAAGGCCAGGCTCTAATCTTTGATGATATTATTCCACGAAGGCTGTTCTTCGATTTCTTGTATTTACTGCTGTTTGATCTTCACGATATGGTATCCTATGTACTTCCTGAGGAGGAGTTTCAGGTCTTACTTGATGACGACCACCTAAAGCTTGATAACGGCCCTCAGGGCCTGTATTCGTTACATGTAAACTGTATAAAAGACAACGAGTAGGTATATTTGCACGAGTATTAGCCAATACTAGACATACTATCCTTATATCACCACGATTAAGTTCTCTATTATCGTCTAAATCATCACCTGTAAGACTATATATTGATAAAAGTTGATATAAACGGTAAGCTTATGTTGTTATAACATAATTTTGCATATTAACTACTTGACCATTTAATCTTCTTCCTTCTCTTATAGTCATTAGACTAATTATACCATCATTTAAAATACTTTCTCTTATTTTAAAATTATTGAAAAATATAGCTCGATACCTGTATAATTGCTGCCGAGAGATGTTTAGAAGGTCCTCCTCGACTAAGTATATTAGGTGTGGACCTGAAACGACCCTATCTCCCTCACTTGATGAGGACTCTGAACGAGCATGGACTTCGTTGTTGACGATCTTACGAGCTAGACTTGCGCTATGACGTTCTTGAATACTTATTTTGCTTTTAAAGAATGCTTGAATGAAGTTGATGTAAAAAGAATTTGTTTGAAATTGAGGTGCGAAGACCGTTGTTGAGGAGATTGATCAAAATATTAGAAAATAGTGGTCTTATATACCTTTCATCCCTCTTTGAACATCATAGATATTATAATCTTTCATATTTCCTATAGACCCTTTTACACTTTATCAAAGACCTTATACTACCGTCTCTTCTGTCTTTTCGGGTCTATATATAGCGGGGTTACCGTCTTTTCGGGTCTTTATATAGCAGGGATATTATAGGGAGATCTAAGATCCGATAGCGTAAATGATCGTCCTGAAAGGCGTAATTAATAACGACCTGAAATAGTGGAAGGGGCGGTAACGGCGGAAGTAGAGAACGAACCTCGGTAGATATAATAATAAATAAGGAATGACTTATAAAGATCAATAATTAATGTATAATCCTTATCTGTATCATAGTCGATGATTAGATAGAATATATATTCTTTGATCAGGAATCACGAACCTCGTGGTCTGGTAGTTTGTATTTTTAATGCTAATTGATCTTTTGTAAGACCTTTAATAGGGATTCCTAACTGATTAACCTTCTCGCTGATGATCCGGTTTGTCGTTTCCTCGGTTATACTAAACTTTGTATTAAAATCATAAGGTGGTGAACCATCCGGTAGTGATAAAGATGTATAATATTTACGAATACAATGTCTTCGTATATAATAACTAGCTTTAGGACTCTTCTTGATGTCATCTGGAGTCCACTTTACTAATGCTTTAAACGAGATGCGGGGTTCGCCTTCCTCCTAAAGTTTCACGAGAGCTAAGATACCTTTTGTACTCGGTATAGTTATATTTATTTGATGTCTAGATGCGTTTATTAGGGCTGATTGAGCTTATGGTGATTGTTGAGATTGATTAATCGCTCTACTTGGTTGTAAAGGTGGTCTGTTTATAGAATTTATAGTAATAGTAGTCTCTTGATGTAATATAGGATTTATAGGTATACTAGAAGCTGATAATATTGATGGTTATTGACTGATCGAGAACACCAGAGCCTGTTGTTTATCTGTTATAATAGGTAGAGGCGGAGGAAGAATAACAGACACTCTGTTGCCATATATATTATTGATATATGATACTGGTTGGGTACTTTGACGTTCGTAAAGTTGACGTCGAAGTTCGTGCCTCTCTTCCTCTCCTTTATCTATATTCTTTTATATTTACTTAAGGTTTTCCATGAGTGTACTGGTCATAGATTCGGCTTTTTCAAGTCTTTACCGTTCCTCTGAAAGCCTTATCTTACTACCTATACCTTCTCGTATAATAAAATCATTATCCGGGTTATCTGTGTTATCAAATATCTGTTCCTTAATATATATATCATTGATAAGGTACTTTAGTAGTGTATCGAGTCTTATATCGTTTGTCTAGCCTCCCCACCACTGAGTATAGACAATCGAACGCCGTGGTTCGTTATAAGTTAGAGTATAGATTACTTTATCTTATACACCACCTCTACAGAAGTAATAGGATATCCAGCGAATATGTTTAAGCTCTTTATAGTGAGAATAAGCGGGTAACGAGGCCAGATATCGGTTTAAATCAGCCGTAAGAAGTTTAGTATCTATAGAAGCTTTTAACATACCTGTTACTTTACTCTAAAGAGGAAAAACCTTCTTTTCACCGGTTGATTCGGTCTGAGCGGCTAAACGATAATATTTCTTCTATCGTTCTATAGCATTTACTATACTTACTAATAGTCTATTTATTTTGTCCTATAATTTATAGTTCTTTACCTTATCAGGACGGTCCTGATTAGTCTTCCTATAGATAACATATATTTTGACGGCCTGTAAATGAGTGTGAAACTTTAAGTAAATCATATCGAGTTGATACTAACGAAGTTCGTATATCTTATCTACTCTTACCTAAAACCGATATGTAAACACCATAAAGCACGATAGAAGCTCTGTATATATTCTATCAACTAAAATATTAGGGTTAAGTTTACCGGAATCGAGCAACGGGTATCGTTGGTTAAGATCATAAAGAGTTTCCTTTAAAATATATTATAGATCCTGATAAAGTATAGGTTGAGCATGCTTTCGAACACGTTTTCTTTTCTCTATCTTGATCTGACGTCGTAACGCGGAGGTCGCTATCTATGTCTAGAGAGAATTATCGACCGGATTCTTCTCCTGTCTATATCCTAGGTGATATGTAAAATACTACTTCAATATATTTCGATATGCTTCTATAGTTTTAGCTTATACTCCTCCTTCTCTATCTTCACGGGTAAGATGTTAAATCTAAATATTATAAATATCTATATTCTTATCTTTATCACGAATATCAAGAGCATCTTTATAATTATAATACTTTCTCCTTTCTTAGAAAAGCGGATTCGGTGTTTTTATACGGTCTGGACCAATTTTATAGCTTATCCATTTTCGGATCTACTGAATAGAGCTTTTATATGATACCCGAGTTGATAGAGCTATAATATCATTTAAAATCATTCTAGATAAATCTGCCTATTGAGATTGAGTATAATCTGAAGGAGCGCGGGCTTCGTGTCCTGTTATAAATGATTCGCTATCTTCTAGAACGATTTCAATATTATCTGCTAGCTCATTAAGATCTTCTTCTGCCTGTTCTTTATCGATAGATTATAGAGTAGAAGGAGCCATAGAGACCGGTGTATTTTGAATACGGTCAGATCCTATGCGTCTACGCTTATTCGTTGTATTTTCACCGTTTGTACCTTAAATATTAGATAAAATTACTTCTGGACTAGCAGATAATATAGCCCGAACCCCGTGGGACCTACTACAACCGCTTTGTCGTCGTTTATAGTTTGGTATATCTTTTCTTGGTGCCATTTTCACGATTTAATCATATTAAATATATATAAATGTAAAAAGGTTTTCTGTTATAAAGTAGAATTAATAGTTTTTATGATTAGCATTCGATTTCTATATTATTTAACTCGTAGAAATATATAGAATCAACTTCTATAGAGATTATATACCGTTTAATAAGATTTTATACGATATATCAAGCTTTTTCAGTCATAAATACGTACCGAGATGGCGACGACGAGGTCCGTAGCCTGCTTACATGTATAAAATTCACACGTGGGTGGTAGTAAAGAATAAACAGGAATGGGGCTTAGTATATTCCAGATCTAAAAGGTTCCCTGGGAACTAATATGATATTTAAAAAAAATTTCTTTAAGCGGGGAGTTACCTAGTAAATTTACATTAACTTTTATTCCCTATATTTGGGAACCATTAAACGCGCTAAAATCTATGTTCTGTGAACCTCTACACTGGGTGCTAAAGTGCCTAAATTTTTTCTTCGCGCCTACGGCGCGGGAACACACACAAAACACAGCGTAAGTGCCTCGACTAATAAGCCTTTAGGCTTATTAGGCGCGGCACGCACAATACACACTCAAAATACACGGCTCAACTGCCCGCGCGCGCGGGCATCCAGGCATGTTTTCAGTCATGTCATTCAGTTCCCACCACCTACTATGTATGCATCTTATTCCAGCCCTCCCTTTCTTCGTCATTCATAAAGTGCACAGTTCTTTGGCCTGACGAAAGAGGGGAAAAGAGGACAAAGGATATACATACTCTCATAACATCATAATTTCACTTTTTATACCGTCGGCGCGCATTTACGCTCGCCGTTTGCCTGCCCTTCAGAAACAACACGCGCCCGTTCGATGACCCCGTGTAAAAAAGCTTCCTTTTGTGTTTTACTCAGGCATTTCAACAGTCTCCTTGATCCTCCTGACCTCCTCCTCTTGCCTATATAATCCATCCAACCGCTCCCCACCTCCATCGATTCGTTTGGACTGCCTTTATGTACAACTAAAGGAAAGCCGCATAACACAAAGAAAGAAAGAGGGCGAAAGGTAAAACTCCGACTTGAAGGCGCCCTCTCTTAAACAATCTCCTTTTGTTCACTCCTTAATCTCACTTTACTCTAGACGTCCATCTTTCAGATTTCGCCAAACAAAAAAACACATCAGATTTGATTTGATCAAATATCAAATATATCACACCTTCTCATAACTTGAGCAAAGTTTTAAGTGAACCACAAATTCAAAGCAATCATTTAAAGCAAAGCCGCGAATCACACTTCATCCGAAATTTCCTGGCCCGACTCATTTAAAGCATTTATTTCAACCGGCGCACCGCATCCAATTTGGCAATTTCATCACAAATTGCATTTTACCCGACTCTCTCTCTAAAAAAAGGAAGAAAAGAAAAGAAGGAAAGTTGGCTTTGGTCACATCTAAACTCCGTCCATCGTATCCAAGAATCATCGAACTACCTAGCAAGATTTGGTGATTTGATTCATTCATCCCCTCCTTCTATACCACGAAGCACAACAGCATACAATCATCTCACAACCCCCACCCCAGATAACCACCATTCAAGATGGGTTGTGGAGTCAGCAAAGTCGATAAGGAAGGGCAATTACGCAATGATGAGATCGAGGCACAATTGAAAAAGGATCGTCTAGCACAAAGAAATGAGATCAAAATGCTACTATTGGGAGCGGGAGAATCAGGAAAGTCAACGATTCTAAAACAGATGAAGTTAATCAATTTAGGATCGTATACGGCAGAAGAACGTGAATCTTACAAGGAAATCATCTTTTCGAATACGTTGCAATCCATGCGTGTGATCTTGGATGCTATGGAACAATTGGATATCCCATTGGCAGATGGAGGTAATGCAAGAAGAGCAGAATTGATTCTTAACCTACCTTCACAGTTGGACACGGATGATCTACCGATGCACGTTGCTGATGCTGTTAAAGGATTATGGCATGACGCTGGTGTACAAGAATGTTTCGGTAGAAGTAGGGAGTATCAATTGAACGATTCAGCCCAATACTACTTTGATGCGATCGAGCGTATGGCGCAGCCCAACTATTTGCCAAGTGATCAAGATGTTCTACGATCCCGTGTTAAATCCACAGGTATCACAGAGACACACTTCCAGATCGGTGAATTGAAGTACAAGGTGTTCGACGTTGGAGGTCAGAGATCGGAACGTAAGAAGTGGATTCATTGTTTCGAGAATGTGACGGCGATCATCTTCTTGGTTGCAATTTCGGAATACGATCAAACATTGTACGAAGATGAGAACGTGAACAGAATGCAAGAGGCTTTGACATTGTTTGACAGTATTTGCAACTCAAGATGGTTCACAAGAACGGCAATCATTCTATTCTTGAACAAGATTGATTTGTTCAAGCAGAAGTTGCCTTACAGTCCTATGATCAACTACTTCCCTGATTATACGGGTGGATCAGATTATAATGCAGCATGCGATTATATTGTGAACCGATTCGTTGGATTGAACAGAAGTGATTCAAAGACTATTTATTCCCACTTCACCTGTGCAACAGACACCAACCAAATCAAGTTTGTCATTTCTGCCGTTAATGATGTGATCATTCAAGTGAACCTCAAATCGTGCGGTCTTCTGTAAATGAGATGCAATCGCGATACGAAACGGAAAGTCAGCTTTATATCCAATCCATCAAAGCAGCACATTCTTCTTTCATTTGCACACACACACGTTGCAAATCAATCAATAGCAAGATCATTCCTCAGAGCACAACCTGTAAGAAAAAAAAAAGAAAGAGGATGTGTTCTCTTCATCATCATCAATGCTTAGTCTCTATTTACGATTCTATTGCTTCTTTGTCACCTACTGTTTATACTTTTTTAATCTTTTACCTTCTTTTGATTTTTGATTTTATCATACTTGTTTTAATATAATCTCATTTAGACAAAATCCTTGATTGGCATGTGAGAAGAACATGCTTCATTCTTAATGATCTTCAATCTACGCGTACTCTCTCTAAAGTGACGCGCTACTGCATGCATCAACACTTTTCTCGTCCTTCCTCCACCACCTTTTGTTTGTGCTTGTTCAAGATGGCGAAAGGCAAAGGAGCATCATCAACATCCAATCCAAATATAGAATGGGTAACGTTGATCAGTAAAGACAACTATCAATTCGTGATCGATAAACGGTTCGCATTACGTTCAATTTTTATAAGGAGTATGTTGGGAGAAAGTAGGACGAGTAATATGGCTAGAAGAGGACAAAAAGCAGCATCATCAGCAGCAGCGAAAGTTAACACTGCCAATGCTTCAGCTTCAGAGTTGTTGGAAACGATCCCGAATGGAACACCTTCTGCGGCTCCAACGGACGGGGACGATGAGGCAAACTTGGATTCGATGAACGGACGTGCTACTCCACCTCCTCAAGGATCGCACTCAACAAGCACAAACGGAGCCGATCCAGATGGGTACGTGAACCCATTTGCTTCTAATACAGCTGGCGGCGGCGGCGGTGGAGATGATGGTGATTCAGACATGGAACTTCCATTCGAAAACGGATTTGCAGAAGCACAAACGAGTATTGTAAAATTTCCAAACATTCGTGGAATTATTCTAGAGAAAGTTGTGGAATATTTGTGTTGGAATGCACGTTACTTTGATGCAAAAGATGTTGATATACCTGATTTTCAACATCGTATCAAACCGGAAATTGCCGTTGAACTGTGAGTATGGCGAAGGGTGACTGGAGAATGCATGACTAGATCGCTAACGAGATGATAATGTTTTCACTCTCTCCAACAGTCTGATGGCAGCTGACTACCTTGAAGAAGATTGAACCTTGTGACAAACACCCAAAAACCTGTACATTAGCTATATCATGAAGTGTGTATCAACGCGAATCAAGCGCATATGTTCTTTTCGGATTGAGCAGCAGATCTGGAATTCGTTTCAATTCTTAATCGTGAGGAAGATGTGATAAAATTGGAGATCACTAAAAGTATGACCAGCCATAGGGCTATGACATTTGATTCGGCATTGTGCTCGTTTTGATCATCGAGTCGCACTGAATTGTCAATTAAGATCAATGATAGTTTTCGCACGATATCAAGCCCGCAATGAACCTGAGCTACGCTTCAACGAAAGCTCTCTCTATCATACCCGCACACTCTCTCACATACTCTGACATTAGATGTATTCATTCATTAGACGGAAGGACGTTATACCTCATCTCCAGCTTCTTGTATATATCGATCTGTCGCCTTTTAGTTTATTTGTTTACAGAGTGAGTTTGGTTCGTAACAAGAAAAAAGATACGTGATCCCTGTCGCCAGTGCGAACAAAAAAGAACTTGTAGTCTCGTCTTCCTCTTCTAATTGCCGCATGATCTCGGGAAGAAGAGGAGCAAACAAACGTTCTCCCACTTTTGCACAATCTCTACCCATCTTAAGCTTCAAAGACGAATGAAGCACCAACCTTGTGTGCATCAGCTCCGGCTGTGTTGTCAGACAATTTAACAGTGTCCAAAGCCAAACCAAGAGATGCCTTAACACCAGGACGCAAAGCTTGAGTGTAACCCAAGCACAAGATACCGGAGTTGTTAATCTTTGCCTTGACGAAAGCGGCGTTGTCAAGGTAAGTCTTTGTACCGACTTCCAAGTTAACGTTACTGGCAGGTCCCTTGGTGTCATAAGTGGCACGAGCACTTGTTTCGATATCAGCGTTAACACGGTGGTAGTAACTTGCAGTGTAAACGTTCAAGTTGCTCAAAGCGTGAAGGGCAACAGCGTATTCAGGAGCATGGAAAGCGGCAGCCAAGTTGTACTTTGACAATCTGCCATCCTTGACATCGTAAGTGGCTTCGGTACCGAGCAAGAAACCATCACGACCCAAAACGGCATCAGCAGTGACGGAAGGACCTTTGAACAAGTCCAAGTGCTGTCTGGTGTGGAAACCGGGTTGTTTGTAAGTGCTTGCGATCAAAGCATTCTTGGTTTGCTTGTCAGGGATCAAAGTTGTGATCAATTCCAATTTGAGACCTTTTGCGATGTGGTTTTCCAATTCAACGTGATTCTTCAAAACGTTAGCAGTTGACCATGCTTGAGTGAAGTTGACACCGTTCTTCTTATCGGTCCATTTGGCTTCCAAATCACCGCTGATCTTGTTGTCCTTTGAATCACGAACACCCAAAACCTTGAAAGCGACATTGTTTGGTGTTGTGGTTTTGACTTCAAGGGTGGAACCGTGAATTGGGTAATCTTTGCCCAATAAGTCATTGGCAGCTTTGCCGATATCTTTCCAGCTTGGTGGAACGGGTTGAGATGAAGCAGCAGCCATTGTAACAATCAAATAAAGAGAGGATGATGGGTGTTATGGTGGATGTTACTTTGGGCTGGCAACAGTAACCACACAACCTTTGACACCAAGCACGCCGCCCATTCATTCACTCGCACGTACACTCAAACACCACACACCTACGCACGCACGCAAGCACGCACGCCTTTTACCGGAGATATTTATTCAGGCACAAAACGTGTCGTCTTTTTTTTTTTCTTCCAATCGTGAAAATTGAGAAAAAAGAACAGGCGCGCCAATGGGCTGGCTGGCTAGACAGGTGTGTACGCCCAGCAAGATGAATATTCGCGCGCGGCAGGGTGTGTTGGGGTTTATGAATCAATTCATAAGCCCTGGAAACAACGCGTGCCAGGGCTTGCCAACACGGAATCCAGTCCGAGGATGCCCGGTAATCGGTGGAGTGGATTGCTTACGTCAGCGCAAATGTTCATAGAGTTGAATTTGAAGACAACTTGTTCGAGATGATTATAATAGGATGAAGCCATAAGTAGGAATTATTTATAGTTACCTTCTTCTCATAGCTCTACGAAGACAATTCTTCTTGAAAGGGTTAAGGGTGCCGAAAAGATATCATGCCAAGAGAAAGCTATCTGTCATTCAGTAATACATGTTCCTTAACGAGATACAAAGATAGTAATCATATCTGCTTCCTCTCCTTTCCTTAGCAGTCGCCGGTTTTATAGTCATCTCCGATCAATTAAAGTGGGGAATGAGAAAGTTACAACCGAGGAAAGTGAGAGTTAAAAGCCGACGTGGCTTTCTATTGAGGCGCTAGAGCAGTGTTTGTGTTTTTAGCGGAATTCCCGATCAAGTTAATCGCTTTCTCCGTTTAGTGTCTCTTGGCGGGAATTGAATAATGCGGGGGAACTATAAAGGCAGAGGCTTTTATTTAATTAATAAACTGCCACCAAGCCACTGCACAGCAGTATTTTAAGAAGAGCAATCTGTTTGTAACGCTTTTACGCTATCAAAGCACATTTGAGGTCATTTATTTCATCCTTTTAGCCCAGAAATGCAATAAGACATGCACCCCACTTATAAACCAGAAATATCCTTTTTCCGATAAGTTAATCAAACTGCTCCCACGCATTTCACCGACGGTTTAAACAGCAGCTGTACCTCTTGACTTGCTCTGTGTACCTTACACCGATCGACGTTTATTCGCGCGAATCATGTCTTTAATGTCATAGCTAAGACTATAAAAAGCAATCCATTCCCCGCCTTTATTCATTAAAAGAATTCCTCTTTCCCCTCATCTTCATCACAAAATGTCGACCGAAATAGAAAACGATTTTGGCAACATGTCCCCTGATGAAACGAAAAAAGAGAAGCATTCTCAATTGATGGTACAAACGGAAGATATTGAAGAAGATTCGTCAAACGGATCAAATCAACATTATTCCCCACAAGATTCAACGAAACAAAGAGCAGGTAAGATCGCCGATAAAGCTTCTTTAGCACATGATGCACTTTATAGTGATCCAGAAAAAGCAAAATTACTCAAAAGTGGTACACGTAAATTGGATTGGACAGTTGTTCCTCCGTTACTGTTGATGTGGTTAGCAAACTTTATCGATCGATCAAATGCGGGAAATGCAAGAATTGCAGGATTAACAAAAGATTTAGGCATGGTGGGAATGCAATTTAATACAGCTTTGGCAGTGTTTTACGTGACTTATATTTTGGTAGAATTACCTTCAAATATCATTCTCAAAAAAGTTGGTGGAAATATTTGGTTACCTACGATTACCTTTGTTTGGGGTGCTGTAACAGCCTGTACCGCTGCAACGAGAAATTACGCTGGATTCCTAGTTATTCGATTAGTACTAGGCTTGGCAGAAGGAGGACTTTTGGGAGGTATCACCTTGTATCTCTCAACTCTTTATCCACGTTTTCAAATTCAACAAAGAGTTGCTAGATTTTATGCTGCTGCTGCATTAGCAGGTAGTTTCGGAGGTCTTTTGGCAGCAGGACTAACATCTTTGGATACAAATGGAATCGAAGGATGGAGATGGTTATACATCGTCGAAGGAGTGATCACTTGCGGATTTGCAATTTTTGCAATTATAATTATGCCAAATTCGGTTTTGAAAACGAGATATCTCAATGAAGAAGAACGTAAAGTATGTCAAGAAGCACTTGAAGTGGACGTTGGTGTTGGTGCATACACTTATAGACTTCTCGATAAGCCAAACGAAAAAGCTGACGCTCACGGTTCAGACGCCGAAATTGGCGAGCGCACAATCACTCACGGTCACGAAGAACAATTTGAATGGTATGAAGTACAAAGAGGAGCATTGGACATTCAAACTTGGTTAACGGGTATCTTATACCTTTGTGTTTGTTGTTCACTTTATTCAATCACTCTCTTCTTGCCAACGATCTTACGTGGTGTCTTTCCTGATTCAACTCAAACTCGCGTTCAACTTTTAACCGTTCCGCCTTTTGTGCCAGCTGCGATTATGGTGTTGATTGTAGCATACTTTTCCGATAAGACAAAGATGCGTGGTCCTTACATTATGGCATTCTTACCAATCTCAATCATTGGTTATATCATCCTCGTTGCAACAAAAGACAATAATGCACGTTATGCAGCCGTATTTTTGGTTTGTTTCGGAATCTATCCTGCTATTCCATGCATTTTAACATTGATCGCAAATAATTCTGCCGGTCATTATAAACGTGCAACTTCAACCGCCATGCAACTTATGATCGCAAACGGAGCAGGTTTTATTGCCACTTTTATTTATGATGAAAACAAATTCGGTGGAGCAAAAGGATACGTTGTTCCACATGCAATCGTTCTTGCATGTTTATGTTTAGGTTGGATTTGTATTTCCCTTAATGTTTTGTATTGTTATCGTGAAAATGCTGCAAGAACGGCCGGAAAACGTGATGGAAATATTGCCGCTTATGAAGAATTGGTCAAACAAGGTATCACTAAAGCACCAATCGGAGATCGTCATCCTGGTTTCCGTTTCTCATTGTAGACTTTATTTCACCCTCAATTTATCCTTTTTGTTTCTTTTCGTACATCTGAGAGAAGCGATTATGACTTTCCTTCCTACGCGCCGGCGCAGTATGAGCGAAAATCGCAAATTCAAAGACGGAGCAATATCATATTACGAAACATGATCAAATCTACCTCTTGACCAATCGAAAGTGATGAAATGAGAGTGTATTAATAGACAACGTCGATAATTTCCCCTTCCCCAAAGCAAATGAACGATTCGAGATGCCAGATCTCGTATAGGAATTTGAAAGCCATTGATGGCGGCAGAAATGTAAGGTTCGATCATCCCAATTGCCTAGAAATTGATATGTCGAACTGCAAATGTGTGGAAAGTGTTTGACCATGGAAGATGGATCTATCGCCGGCGCAAGAACGTGTGACCTGTCAATTAGAGTATGTCGAGCACAAGATGAAAGCATTGATACGATCAGTCACCATCACATCGCAAAGAAAGGGGGAAAGTTTACGCACTTACTTAGGTAAGTCAATGCCTTTTCCATGATGCTACCTCGTATTTTTCACGTAAAGGGTCTTTGATTGGCGCTCCAAGCGCAAAGTCAAGGTGAACGAGAATCGCAACTGAAACGCAGATGGTCGAAAGAAATGGTGAGAGTTTCATTTTGAGTAAGTGTGTATTGCAGACAAGCTTGTCAAGGTTCTGATAGGGTAGAGAAGATAAGATGCAAAGAAAGAAGATGGATGGATGTCGTATTTAAGCTTTTCATTTCTTCCGTGTTCGAGTGTAAATCGATCTTGAAAATTTTTCGGTCAGAAGAACATAAATTATGTGATATACATTGCGAAGAGCGCGGTGCCGGAAATTATGAGAGTTCATATAATATTTGTTTGTGCTCTTTTGATGAAAATCTTTCAAGATCGATACAGACTCGGACTCCGAGGAGATGAAAGGTATGAATGTGACAGATATCCACACCAAAAACAATCTTCTCATTTGCACCTGTGAAAAGTCTCATGATGCACTCAATATTCAGTCTGCGTGTACTTCTTCCTTGCTTGATCCGACAATCATTCTAGGAATGCCAAATTCTTTCACTGCAAAAGCATGTCACGATGCTGAAGTGATCTATTGGGTAAAAATGAAAGAATACAATGTGATAAGTCGAAACGAAAGAGCGGAGAAAAAGCAAGTAGAATTTGTTGGAGGCGGGAAGGGATATCGATAGTGATTGGGCGTCAATGGAATATTATGATGTCCGTCATATCCACTCGTACGTAAAACCCTAGCTTATTATGCAGGAGTGAACATTGGAAAACAATCTTTGATCGTTTTACTATGTTTATTTTCCGCATGAACTTTTAATTCTCCTTCCCGAACAGTTGATAAGAATGTTTGACGACATGTTTGACAGATTACTGTTAATGCTTTTTCGTTAACTTTCAGTTGTGATTTTGCATCACCTCCTTTTGTCTTTGCTGCATTCCTTTCACGCTTTTGAATCGCTCTCTGTGGTATGTGTCAAGATGTGGTCGTGTAAGTCGATTGTAGGTTCTATTCCCACTGCTCTATCTACTCACGTTTCCGTTACCCATCTTGTCCGATAATACGAGGTTGTATAGATGATGATTCGAGAGGGGATGGTTGTGTCTATGCTTGTGTGTGTGTTTCCCCAAATTCAGCCAAAAGTTCCAAAAGTGCATTTCAGGCAGGGTGTCGTGCATGTGTCCAAAAATTAAGCATTTCACACACGTGCTTGCTTGCCTTAGATTTGGATTCCGTTTTCCGCTCTTGTCAATTCATTCACGCTATGAATATATGCTTGTCTTGTGAAATGGGAATATTCTAAGTCATGCATAATGCACTCTCTTTTTAGCATTCACATGATACGGACATACAATCAACCGGTACTAAAATGATAAGCCACAAAAGAGATTAGCATCCCTCTTTGACACCATCATCCCTACATCATGATATTCAAATCACCTCATCCTACCCTTGACCTCCCTCAAGGGGAAGAGGCAGTCTTGCCTAGATTCCTCCTTGATCCAGCTCAAACGTCTGATCGTTCAACACAACCTATCCTCTATCCACCTCCTTCTTCCGGAAAAGCATTCACATCAAGACCCAATGCAAAAGCACTCAGTCTGAAAAATATGTGCGAACTAGCATACGGAATAGCAAATGGTTTGATTAATGGTAAACTCGATCAAGGAAATCAACCATTCGAAAAAGGTGATGTGATTGCAATTTATTCTCCAAACCAACATGATTATGTTCCAATCGTTTTAGCCATTCAAATGGCAGGTGGAATACCGGCACTTTGTAATCCTTCTTATAAACCAAACGAATTAGCACATCAATTACGTATGACCCGTGCAAGAGCAATTTTCACAACCGCCGATGCTGGGCTACAAAAGCCACAGGATAAGAAACAGCCCAAAGCAACGACTCTAGAAACACCATTCACACGAGCTCAAGAAGCTGCCAGATTGGCTTTCGAGGAAAAGGGAGACGCAGACACTGGCGGATTCGATAAGCTTGATGGAGAGCCGGCCGTTTTGGTATTCGAAGATGATGACAAGAAAGGTATTCGGAACGTCCTTCTTGGAACCCAAACAAAGATTAGCGAAGAAGATCGCAAGAAAGTGTCAGAAAGAGCAACCGCACTAAAAAGTACAGATGCAGCAGTCTATTGCTTCAGTTCAGGAACGTCTGGCTTACCAAAAGCAGTTGTGCTAACGCATGGCAATTTGGTATCCAATACGATCCAAGCTACGTTCTTGCTGTATGACCGCATGAATAAGGCTGTGGAAAACGGTGCCAGGTTCTCAAAAGATGGCACGGATGGCTGGTACGACAAAGCACAAGCAAAAGGTGCCGGGAAAGAGTATAGGCCGGAGAAGAAAGTGCAGGCCTCACCCGCAAAAGAAGGAGAAGCGAGCAAGAAGACGTCCAAAAAAGGTATCAATAAGCTCATAAGTCAATTTAAGAAAGGCTTTGGTGCGGTCGTAGAAGTTGAGAAGAATGGTACTCCAAAAGCGAGCGAAAGTTCCGCTTCGAGTCCCAGTTCCAGTCCAGAGGAAAAACCTGCACCGCAATACCTTGGCGAAACTGGATTTGCAAGGATTGAAAGTCGACCAAAAGGTGAACAAGAATTTCATATCGATGTGCTTCCCCAGTTCCACTGCTATGGTCTCTTGGTAAACTTAGTGGCCATTCACACTCTTACACCACGCATCATCTTACCTAGATTCCATTTGGAGACATATCTATCCAGTATTCAAGAGCATGGTATCACCTTTGGGTTTGTTGTTCCTCCAATCTTGCTGGCTTTGGCTCAACATCCTCTTGTGGACAAATATGACGTTTCTACATTATGGCGTGTTGCCAGTGGAGCAGCAAGTTTACCAGATGAAATCACAAATGCCGTCGGTGCACGATTAGGAATCGTTTGTACGGACGGATATGGAATGACTGAAATGAGTCCGATCGTTGGGATGCAAACCGTTAGTGACGTAAAGATTGCTCCTAATACTGTTGGAGTTTTAGCACCCAATACGGAAGCAATGGTTTTGGATCATGAGGGAAAACAATTGGGACATAATGAGCCCGGTGAACTGTTGTTGAGAGGACCACAGATGATGCATGGCTATTTACGTAACGAAGAAGCAAACGAGAAAGCATTCTTTACGGATGAAAACGGTCAAAAATGGTTAAGGACGGGAGATGTGGTAAAGATTGATGAAAGTGGATATATCAAGATCACTGATCGATTAAAAGATGTTATCAAATCAAAAGGTTTTCAAGTTTCACCGGCAGAATTGGAAGGAATCTTGTTCAAGGATGAACGTGTGAAAGATGCTGCAATTATTGGTTCGATTGATCCACACGATGGCAATGAACTTCCTTGGGCGTTTATCGTTCCAAGTCAAACGTTACCTGAAGACGAAAAGGCAAAAGATGAAATTGCAACTTCAATCCTCAAACGTGTTAATGAACAAGTTGCGGGATACAAAAAGATTGCCGGTATTACTTGGCTTGATGCTTTGCCAAAGAGTGATGCTGGAAAAGTATTGAAAAAGAATCTTGCCTCTCAAAAATGAATATATAATCCTGGATATGTACAATATAGTGTTTAATCCTTTAATTACTGAATCGATAATTTATCTGACCCATAAGAAGGGTACTTTAGCGAGAGAATATAGTCTTGAATGAGTGATCAAGCCTTACCTACCCTCATAGTCAGGTCATGTTACACAATGCACCCTAAACTCATATCTGCGGCCATAGAACCGTGAAAATACCGCATCCCGTTCGATCTGCGAAGTCAAGCACGGTATCGCCTAGTCAGTACTGCGGTGGGGGACCACGCGGGAATCCTAGGTGCTGCAGTTCCATCATCTCTTTTTTGCTTTTTGCATGTGACGTCAATATACATTATCAATCTTATCTTTTATACTTGACAAAATCGTTTTCTTTTTTATTTATACAGATCATTCTATCAACTGAGTGATGATTATAGTATGACCAATTCTGATCATGCTCCATAAGAAGAATACCTCAGTCAGAGAAGATGATTTTGAATCGTGTTCAAGCCTTACCTACCCTCACAGTCAGCTCATATTGTACAATACACCCTAAACTCATATCTGCGGCCATAGAACCGTGAAAGTACCGTATCCCGTTCGATCTGCGAAGTCAAGTACGGTATCGCCTAGTCAGTACTGCGGTGGGGGACCACGCGGGAATCGTAGGTGCTGCAGTTCTATCATTCTATTTTTTGCATGTGTCATCAACATATCAATCTCATCTTCCATGGTTGACAAAACCGCTCTCTTTCTTCCGGTCATTCTTTCAATTGAGCATTAAGCATAGCACGACCAGCTTTGACTGTGTTTCTAATTTTGGATGAATCGAGAGAGGATGAAATAAAGTAACAATTCAACCCTGACTAAAGACGGTTTGGTACAGCTGATCTAGGTCGTAAGCAGAATTTTTGGTTTATCATTTGTGTAAAACCGATATGAAAGTTTGTTTTTTCTGAAATTTATTAAAAATCATTAAAGTTTCCTCTCTACTGGAATGAAACTCACCACAGAATAGTTACCAACAATAATAGCATTGTGGAAGGTATACGAAGGACGAAGAATGATTCAATACGCATTCTTGTTTGTTGAATTAGAAATCATTAAATTGACAAAGTGAGGAAATGGTTTACACAAAAAATATCTACGGTAAATTAGAAAAATTACAGCAAGAACAATAAATCATGTAGCTTTATGAGGTATTTTTGATTAGATGTGAATCACACTCGAGACAGACTTTAAACTTTTAGTTGGTTTATCGGTTACTACCTCTATCTTGATTGACCCCTTGATAGATTGCGACTGGATGACCATTTCATAAGCGTGACTGTGATGATTATGTAATTCGTACGTACAACGTTCCCTTGACGCTAAGTGAGTCCGCCATAAATACACAGCCATCATGCAGGCACAGCTTAAAATAAATATGTTCGGCCTTTTTATCCGCGACATGTCAGTGCATTTGTGTCATTGTGGAGTACACAGCCTTCTCCTGAAAAGAGCATATTCGGATAGGGTTGTTCTTCTCTCAAAACCATCATCATCGTCTTAAATACACACAATGACGCTGGCAGATAAATGGAAATCATTCACAGCAACTCCAAATGCTCAAAAAGCAGGAGATATGTATAAAAAGGTAGAAACGGGAGTTTGGAAAGTATTGGAACCGGTTGGAAGAGGTGCAAACAAATTAGCCGGTAGAGCAGGAGCAGAAGCTTTTTGGCCAACAGAATTGGCTGAAGGTGAATTAGACAAAGCAGCAAGAATTTTGAGAACTTTCACTCTTGATGGAGTTCAAGCAGATGATAGTGAAGAAGCAGAAAAGACTGGTGGTGTAGAAGGAGGCGTACAAAAAACACAAGCTGAAAAAGATAAATATTCTTCACGCAAAACACAAAAAGTTATCAAAAAAATTCCACCAAAAGTTTTGCAGGGTGCAGCTGGAATTGCAATTATGACTTGTTTCAGAACTGGTTTTGGTTTTTCAGGTTCAGGTGGTAGTGGTGTCGTAATGGCAAGATTACCCGATGGTTCTTGGAGTCCACCTTCGGGTATTTTAGTGCACACAATCGGATGGGGATTCTTGATCGGTTTAGACATTTACGATGTTGTCTTGGTCATTCGCAAACCCGAAGCTCTAAAAGCATTCACACATCCTAAAGTATCAATTGGCGCCGAATTGTCTGTTGCTGCGGGCCCAGTGGGCAATGGAGCTATGCTTGATGCCGGCATTGATGCTTCACCTTGCTGGAGTTATACAAAGTCAAAAGGTGCTTATGCAGGCTTACAATTGGACGGAACGATTGTTCTCAAACGTGATGATGCAAATGCTCGTCTTTATAATCAAAGGGCAGAGGTTTCAGAAATTTTCGCTGGAAAAGTTACAGCTCCTAAATCCGTTCATCCTCTTTGGGCAACACTGTATGCTGCCGAAGGAAAAGAAGGCGTCTATGGAACAGATCAGATTCCAAAGGGTCTGGCTCCAGGTGAGATTGGAATTTCAGCAGAAGAGGCTCAAGAGTTGGAAGCGATGGGAAAGGAGGATGAAGAACAACAGAATGCTGGTGCAAGTGATGCAAAGACCGCTCGTCGTGTTCCTCCACCGTTCGGTGGAAAAGAGGATGGCGAAGAACAAAGTGCGGACGCAAGTGGTTCAAAGACTACTCGTCGTGTTCCACCACCACTCGATCAACCCTCGCAAAGTGGGGCTTCAAACCTTGTGGATCCAGTGTCTGCAAAGGCAGATGAACCTCCAGCTTTCACAGAAACAGTCGCTGGCGGTCAGCAACCTCCTCCACAGGCAGCAGTCCCAAGCGGCTCAACCTTGATCCCTGAAACGCAACAGACTACACAGGCTCAACAAACTGTCACATCTTCTGCTTCAAAAGATGTCGCCGGTGGAGGACCTCCGGCCTACACAGAGTAAATAGGGTTAACAAGATAAAATGGAAGATTTGTAAAGTGAGAATGCTACATGATGATGGTATATGGATGAATGATGATAATATACAGATGCTAATAATGATATTAAAGAATTCGAAAATTGTCGTAAACGTCTGATCAAGGCTTGCTTGCCCACATTGATGAGCCGGATGTACGATCAGTGGCGGAGTAAACATGTGTGTTTGGCATGGAGTGTTGTGTTCGAGACGGATATCGTGAGGTGCCATTTTGAGGTCTGCTATTACGTCTTGGTTGATAGGTGTAATTACTCACTGCATGCATGCTATCGTTTAGCCCTTGCTTTGGACTTCGCCTCGGGTCTGAATTCGGTGAAGTTGGAGGACTGTCGATTGTCATACTTGACGATTGTGTCGGACTGCCGAAATCTTGCGATTGGCCGGACAAATTTGTTGATTGGATACCCATCTGATCAATCCATTGATCAATCATTTCAGATATGCTCTTGCTAAGGCTTTCATCTTTGCCTTCTCTGGCGAAACCTACTTCATCTTTGATCCACTTGGAAATGGAAAACGTCATTATACCTTCACTTTCTGCGCGTAACTTTGCATTGATGTCATCCGAACAAAGCCATGCCGTTTGACCAGAATCACGTTGTAAGATACTGCAAAGCGATACGATTTCATCATCGGGTGATTCACCACGATAAAGTGGATCTTGAAGACATTTGATATAATGAGCATTATTTTCGATATGCAAAGCCCATGCATTTTCCGGAAGTAATTCCACTTGATTTTGTTGAGCATTAGGAAGTGTATATGTTCTTCTTTTTTGTTGAATGATAGTTTCTAAAATCCATTTGTTGGCTCGTTGAGCTCTATCTCTTGTTTTATCTCGTGTTTTGAGATTGTCCAATTCACCGACAACCACTTTAGGAACGATGAAGGAAATAGGACTTACTGTAAATCTTCCCAAACTCATTGCATGGGCATTGCGAGCCAAACACTGAGTGAACATTGTGGTGCAAAACGGTAATGCGTCCAAAAGTGTATTGGTGTCCAAAACAAGCAAAACACCAGCGTTTCCCTTGCCCAAACTTGCAAGGCTTGAAGCGAAGCTATCCCTTGAAAGACCATTTACGTCATTATTGAATGCAGAAGAATAGCCCGAATCATCTTCAGGTATATTGATTGTGTCTGTGTCCATTATCTCCTCTTCTTGCCAAATTTCTTCTACGTACTCCCGTTCTTTTAAAGCCTTTCTCACTTCACCTCTTGAGATCCATAAGCGGACTGGACCTCGATTTGCCGAAGGAGCAGGATCACGTGCTGCCATCAAATCAGCATAGCTAGGCATGATGGGAAAGCGGTCTAGCCCGTAACATAAATGTGATCACAAAATGGAAAGCATGGAGCTTTTTGTCAATGAAGTTTAATTGGAAGAATTGATTAGGTGTTGGACATACGTCGGTACCTTGTGTTACATTCACAGGCGTGGAGTTAAGCTAGCCCTGCTCTTACGCGGCTGTAAGAAGGTGCGCTATTGTTGCTAATGATTCACGTGTCTGCACCAGTGAGAAGAAAAAAATCTGGACAGAAGCTAATCCTTTCTTGTACCATCACCAATCGATTGATCACCACAAAGACTACAAACAAAATGCTGCAACTAAGTAGATCGTCGATAAATGGATCCATGAGATCATCAATTGCTCCTCTTTCCAGCAGAGCATTCAGTTGTACACCATCCACATCTTCGGCACCTCGAGTCGAAGCAACAAGACCTGCCTCACAAGAAAAGACAGTCGTACCAAAAGATATCTATCAATTGACCAAAGAATACCCTCGTCATCCACTACTAGGGTTCTTCGGAAGAGAAAGTAGAAAGGTAAAGCTACCTGGAACAGAAGGTCAAACAAGAGAGGAAAGAGTACCCGTCGCTTTGGCAGTGTCCGATCTAGGACCAGATCGCAGTGGAAGATCTTGGATGGCAGCAGAATTACGAACAAAGAGTAGTCTAGAGTTACATCAATTATGGTACGTATGCTTGCTAGAAAGAAACAAACTTGCAACCACAAAAACAGAAATTCAAAGAGCGGGAGCAACAGCATTTGCTGCTTTAGCAAATTACAACGGTAAACGTATTGAAGCAAGAGTTCGCAAGACAATGGCAAGAATCAAGTTTGTTTTGAACGAGAGAAGGATAGCACTTCTTGATGCTCAAGACAAAGCTGCTCAAGGTACTCTGTGGGCTGAAGAAGAGGAAACCGTTGAAGAAAATCTATACGAAGAGTCCCCAGAGGAACAAAAGGCCTGATGATCTCACCCAGCAATTGTACTTTTGTGATTCTCTCCCTCAATGTTGTATTTGTATCAAATGATCATCGCTGTTTAATTTGAACAGGTGTGATATGGAATTGTGTCATCGGCGTATGTTTCCCTTGTGGCTGAGTTCCTAGCGCGCAGTTATGATAATTGTGTCCAAAGCGCCATGCCAATGCAGCTGACGCGTTGCAGTTTCACCCTTCCGCCACCTCCATCATCAGTTCGAAAGAGATACATTTGTCAAGATGGCTTCTTTGTTTGGATCATGGGGAGCAGATCCTTTTGGCGAGATGGTAGAGAAAGCAACATCCGAACTTCTACCGGCCGGACAAGAGGATATAGCTCTAAATTTAGAGATTTGTGATCAAGTGAGATCTAAACAGGTTCCACCGAAACAAGCTATGCAAACAATCAAGAAAAGGTTGTCTCACAAGAATCCAAACGTTGTCTTACTCGCCCTTGGCTTGACGGATATCTGTATCAAGAATGGAGGAGATCACTTTTTGGCAGAAGTTGCATCGAAAGAATTTATGGATAATCTTGAATCCATTCTACGCACACCCGGTGGTCCAAATTACGATGTAAAGACGAAAGCATTAAAGCTCATCCAAGATTGGGCACAGATCAGTGAATCAAAACCACATCAAATGGGCTACATTATTGATACATACAAGTCACTCAAGTTTTCCGGCTTTGACTTTCCAGCTTCGGACCCTAACACTGTTGTAAGTGCGGCTTTGGTCGAAACCCTAACGGCACCCGAATGGACAGATAGCGATGTGTGCACGAGATGTAGGACAGCTTTTACGACATTCAACCGAAAGCATCACTGTCGTAATTGCGGGAATGTATTCTGTCAAGACTGCTCTAGTAAGAATATGGCATTGCCCTGGTTCGGTGTAGGACAAGATGTACGGGTATGCGAAGGATGCTTCTTGCGAAAAGCCCCGCCAAAACCAATAATCGATGGCTTTACACCCAGACTTTCGAGATCAAAGTCTACTGTCGTTCCATCTGGAAGAGGTGGTGTTGGTTCGCATCAACGATCGAATACGCTTGGAGCCAGCTCTGGTAAGAACAATCGAAGCTCAGCTCGAAAGAAGGAAGAAGATGATTTGGCACTGGCAATCAAGCTATCTCTTGAAGCATCAGGAGGCTCGGCCCCCTCACAGCCAGAGTTCCGAGAAGGAAGGCCAACCCGACAAGCTGACGGAAGAATGATGGAAGGTACGGATGCCGACGATGATCCTGATTTGGCAGCTGCAATTGCTGCAAGTCTTCGTGATTATGCACCTCCACAACCCAGTGCACCTGATGATGACGGACACGCGACACCAAGAACAAACACATACTCTAGTCACCCGCAAGGATCCTCATTGCCATTACCGCCTTCACTGGAGCTGCCAGCTTCAGATGTTGATGCCATCTTGACATTTTCGCAAAATGCATTCTCGCAAGAGAGATTTGCACGACAAAATGGCAGATGGCAAGTTGGTCCTGGACAACAACAGCTTCATTCAGATTATGAGCGTGCGACAACAGTGAGGCCCAGAGTTGCCAAGAGTCTTGATGAAGCAACAAGACGGCAAGGCGTTCTCGCTTCGATGCACGACAAGCTGTCAGAGGCTGTTCGCTTGTATGATGGTCTGTTGGATGCTCAAATGAGTAGACCTTCTTATGGAGCATATGGAAACCATCCGCAAAGCCAAAACAACTACTATGCTCCTCAACAAGATGTTAGGCATTCTGGCCATCAGCAGCACATGACCAACCCACAGTACCAATATTCTCCTCAAGCGAATTTCGCAACTTCGTCTCGAGCTCCTGAGCCAGTATCAAACCTGTACCCAGTGCCACCTTCTGCTACGTACGGATTGAACGATGCAAGTCACGAGTCTAGCGGTCCATCATCTCTTGGATATGCTGGACCAGAAAGTCCCAATCCTTACGCTGGCAGAGCGCAGCAATATTTCGCACCTCGTGATTCGAGACAAACAACTGCCGATCAAGGATATGCTCATCCGCCAAGATCAGAGTATGCTTATAGCAGTGAGATCATGAACGGACAGCCATTGCCGGCAAGTCAAGATTACATGTCAAATTTCAGCGGACAAGCCTCTTATGAAAATCAAGCTGCTACAAATGGTATGACAAGTCCTTCATCTACTGCGTACCAGCGATATGATCAATCTGGCTATACACCAAATGCCATCCCTTCTGCACCTTTTTCACCGGGTCAATCGATGCAAAACAATGTATACCTGCAACAACATTCTCAAATGCCAAGTCAGCCGCCACATATGGACCCATCACAAGCTGCTCATTATGCACCTCTACATGATGCCGTTGCTCAAATGTCGATAAATGCACCACCTTTGGAATCACCTTCGGTTTATGAACCAGGTGAAAATGCAAATTATGCTCCATATCCCAATGCACCTACACTCAATCCTCAGGAAAATCAGCAAATCAACAATGTGAATGATAATACGAACAAATCGGAAAATGAATGGCAAGCTGTGCCGATCATGGATTCTAGTGCTTCTGTGCTTGCCAGTGCACCACCACCTCCGCAAGATAACAGGAGACAGGGATCAACTACTTACTTGAATGGTAATAATGTCAATTTACCTTCCGTTCCAAGTGCGCCGATCGCATCACCTCCAAGTACAAAGTATGCTTCAGCGAACCCAAACGCAATGCCTATCAATAGTGATGGAATGATGAGTCCTTCTCAACAACCACAACAGCAACAACAGATGTGGACAAGACCGGTTGAAACGCCATTGATCGATTTGTGATTGGGTGAAACGCTTTTTGCCTGTTGTCTTTATGAATTTTAATGAATATTTATTATCATGTACATCCGACCTTATTCTATACTTTCTCTCTGTTCTGTGGCTCTGACAAAGAGAGGTACGATGCCTAAATGTGTGAAGGATGGTTAGATATGAATTCGTGGCATTTTTGGTTGTACAACTCACCTCCAGTCTTTGGCTTGAAATCGTCATGCTGACAGGCACGGAATAGGGCTTCCATGGCACCGCTGTGAGAAGTGATATTGATGACATCGTGTCCATCGGCCAATTGCCATACGAAGCTTAAAGCGTCTTCCAATCGTTGGGTCATAACTTCTCTACTCTCTTTGTAATCCGACTGTTATTGGGGGAGAAAAGGTCAGCAAAATGAAAGCTACGCGGACAAGGGACAAACATATGACTCACAGCAAAGATTGTATCTTCTTCGTCCATAGTTGCATCTACTGTCCATTTGAACGGTTCCCAAGATGCAGCGATTGTACTTCTCTTGCTCCGCTCATCACATGTATGTCGATCTTTGAAATCTTCTCGCAGGCATTCCAGGATGTGAGGTCGGGTTTCAAGAGGTGCAATCAAAGATGTCGTTCCCTGTACTGTTGATTTATCTTCGTTCGGATTGGCTGGCCAAACGATCCCATCGTACGTTAATTGCAACGTACGTGCCGATCTGATCATCGGTGAAGAAAAGAACATAGTTGGTAGCGGGACAGGATCCTGATCTTTGAGTTCCTTTTGCCATTTCCCATTGGCATCAATTGCTTGTCCTTCTCCAACTTTCGTCAACGGTGGATCGGGTCCCCAAACACTCTCTCCATCACCTTTCACCAGAGACCATTTTGCATCCCATTCTTTCGTACCGTATTTTGCTTCGGCAACATTATGTACGCCTTCTCCGTGTCGTGCCGCAAAGACAAGCTTATAACTTTGTCGAGTATGATTCGCTTCACTGTTCAATTTGGCCAAATCTGCAATCACTTCTTTCCATCGTTTTCCTTCTTCTAAACCAAACTTTGGTGCATATGCCGGTAAGGAATCGTTCGGAATGGCGGGATTCGTATAGACAAAGTAAGCCGGCAATGCCTCAAATTTGTATTTCGAACGAGGAATCTTGAAAGCTGTTGACATTTTTGACGTAAAGTTTTGCGAGAAGTCGGTAGAAGGAAGACAAGAAGTTGCTGGCATGAAGAAGCATCATTAGGACCGTGCACGCTTGAGCTTATATTTTTCTAAACTTCAGAATGGTCATACGACTTTTTGCAAGTTAGTTGGTCATTCTTTCAGTCAATTTTCAAACGCAACCTGAATCCAATGAATGATCAAAATGAAATCTGATATGTGTGTATACAAGAAGGCCACGTTCACAGACAATGCCGGAACTTGAAAGGAATGCTGAATGGGAAAGAGGAGGGCATGTGAAATAATAATAATACATAGAGAGAGAGGCAATAAGCTCATCAGAAGCTGGTTGTCAAATGAAGGCGAAAGAAGCGGTTATATAAGTACACATGAAAATAGAAAAGCCAAGAAAGAGAGGAGTATGTGTCGTAAAGAAGATGAAAGCCAGACTTGGCATCATCTTTGAATTAGCAGAGAACCGGGGAAAGAGTAGGGACGTTCCGAGCGCTTTTGATTGCTCATTTTGCTGCACATTCCGATGAAAAGATTTGAGAGTATGAGTAATGCTTCCTTCCATGATGTAGATCAGTCCAGAAATCCGATGAGAAAAGTGTCTTGACATGAATAGACCTTGCACGTCCAAAGGGTGTGCTGTGTGGTGTTATGAGACTGTGGCACAAGTGATGTAGAAGAGCGACTAATGACAAGCACCTAGCTAATAACACAGCCACAGCAACCTGATTGTGAATCTTCTTCCGCTTCCGATGATTTCTTGAGCTTGTCCTTTGGAGAATCATCTTCTTTTGAACTTTTTTGTGGTTCTTGCCGTATCAGTAAATGCACAACTGTACTCTTTCCGGGCGTCATTGCTCCTGGACTTAAGGTTTGTTGATTTGATTTGCCGCTGGTTGTGGGAGGACATAGGATCACTTTATCGTCAAGAATGTGCCCTAGATGTAGAATGCGCATCGAGTTCAACGAAGTAGGTTTAGGTGGCCAATCTGTATGAGGGGTAGATGTGATGATCAGTGGTCGGTACGTCAAATGCATTTCAAGCTCATAAGCTACTCACCTTGTGGCCATTCATCCCAAACCTTCTCACGAACGGCTTTGACGGTATTTGCGGGATCCACAAGGAAGAACCTCCGTTGTCCAGAGATGAGCAAAACGTCTAATCGAATCTTGTCAGACGGTATACCTGCTTGTGAGAAAGCACTATTGGATTTCCTATGTTGCTGTGACTTGATTGTTGATTGAAGTGTTGTTGGTGATTGTGTGTTTACGGGCGAAGAGGGTCCGCTTGCGTCATGACTAGATGCCACATCGGACAGTGTTGATCCTTTCTCTTGAACGGACATGATGTGATTGCCACTGCGATGTTGGACTGGCAGATGGTGGCTAAATAAGCAAGGGGATAGATGCGACTTATTGCGATTGATGAATGTTCATCAACTATTGTTTGCAATGCAAGTAAATTTCCGAAGTGCAAGAGAGGGGAGAGTTGTTTATTTGTTGCAGCTGTTGTTGTTATTGTTTCGGTTGGTCGTTATTTCATTTGCGATAGGATGATGATTATTGAATATCGTTATCTCCCAATAGAATGTTCGACTCGATTTCCCTTTTTCCGTAAAAAGTCGCACTCGAATGAGATAAGATGATGGTCAAGAATGTATCATCATGTACTCCTCCGTTTGACGGCCTTGCGCTCACCGATAATGCGGGATCTTAAACCGACTGCCAACAAAGAAAGCGGAATAACAGTGTTAAAAACACACACACACAAAACACGCAGGGCCAGGATGCATGTAATCTGCACGCGAGGACTTTAGTAGTCGTATGATCATTTAAACAGGCACGATAACAGTCTCAATCATTATCACACTTTCAAGGTTCCGAGCATTATATTTTCTCATGATTTGTTTAGTCTCTGCCGTCATTCGGTTTCAGCGTTTCCGTTGTGGATCAATAAGGGTATTATTATATTGATCGAATATGCGGCAATCATTTCCGTCTTGAATAACATTATCGCCGCCAAGAAGCCACGATGACTTAAAAGCAGTGCTTCTCAAATGATGAATCATCCCCACTGGTTGATCCTTGGCATCGATTGAAAAGTTGCTGCATAATTTTGCATTGTATAACCGTCGGTAGTTGATTGGTTTTAGTCAGGCACAATGTGGAGAGCAGCCAGGCAGGCAAAGTAAGCAACGCGTGTAAATGCACTTAAGTAAGCTTAATGTATGCGCCGTGATCAACTTTCTTGATGACCATGACCTCTTCTTCCCATTAATTGCAACCATGCCTCCACGCACAAGACCAACAGAGAATGTATGGAAATATCCAAGACCACCAGCATTACAACAAACAAGCGCACATTTACGTGTGGTTTGGAAGTATGCAAAATCAGGTGAAGAAGTGGTGATTGCTGATACAAAAAGAGGTTATCGTGTTTTGGAAACAAGTCATCCTCCGACCTATTATTTCCCACCAGAAGATGTGAAAATGTCATTGTTGAAGAACAGCGCAGCAAGAAGGACCATGTGCGAATGGAAAGGGTGCGTTCAGATTTGTAAACATTTGAGAACGACGCTGACTGTTATTAACCTCCCTCACCAATAGAATGGCACTTTATCACGATTTTGCTCCTCAACAGGAACCACTTGCAAAGGCTAGGATATGGTCATATCCATCACCTACTCCCTCTTTCACACAGATCAAGGACTATCTATGCTTCTATGCCTCTAGTAGTACCAATCCGAACACGATTGGAGGATGGACATGCGTAAGTGTGGAGAGAAGGAGGGGAATCGGTCGACATTTATATGATACTGACCCGTTCCATCCCTCCAGTACGTCGATGATGATACCGTTCAAGCTCAAGAAGGAGATTTCTGTGAGCACGAAAGAATATTGTACTTCCAATGCAGGATACTGAAACAATGTCTCCCCCTCCCACAGATGGTTCATGGATCACGCCTGAGATCACAGGAGGCGATAGAGGATTCAAAGGCGGTAAGTATGATACAACAGTCATTATCATACCGAATTATTTGCTTACTATTGTCATACGAACAGGAGCTGGAACATGGGGATGGTGATCATTGCCAAGGATCGGTGATTGAAGTATGGGGCTGACTAGCGTGCGTGCGCTAATTTCATACAATCAGCCGTGGATAGGGCGTAATAATTGCACCGCCGCCGTCGTTGCCGTTGTTGATCGGATAGGATCGATGCTCTTCATTTGTCAAGATCGAAATGCGGATAAATTCATCAATGACCTTGGCTTACTTTGATGATGAATGTATATATCCTTTATTGCGTCAAGTGGGAGCCAATAAGAATATAGCTTTACGTCAGCCACAATAACACCGCTATTGACGAGCGAGAATGAGCTTATGGGGAGATGGAAGCTATGTCTCCGTGGTGAGGATGGTAATATCTTCTCAAACAATCCTTCTTCTTCAGACAATTCTATTCGACATCTTATCACCATTTTATTGTCATCACTTCTTTTTTTCCCACTCGTGCTTGTATGGCCTGTACCTTAAATTCTCCAGATTTCTGCTTAGTAAATGCGCTAAAATCATCCGCGCTTTCTGTTAGGGAGAAAGACGGCTAAAGTGCCTGCTTTCTGTTTACTTCGGCGTTCACTCATGCATCTTTGATTCTTGCCGAAAAGCTTCCTCATATGATTATTATTTCTGCGTGCGCGTGACTTGCATCGGATTGGGTTCTCTGTTAGGAGCAAGAGAGCAAGTTCTAACTCCCAGATCGATAAAGAAATACTTGACAAAATTACTCTGTTATTGTTCAGTTCTTCTCATGGGAAGGGAGCAGAAGATAGACAAATAAGCAAAGCTACGAATGGCTTTAAAGACTAAATATAAATGTCATCCGGTAAACTGTTATACCTGATATAATTGGTCTCTTATTGTTTAAGCTGTTAGATATTCTCGAGGGCGATATAAGGTATGATCTCAAACACCCTTTCTTGACCTGAATTATTGGAGATGATGTCTAATTATTGATATATATGAACAATCAATAAAATTCTTCAAATAAATTCATGACGTCTTATCTTCTTGATATATCCTCATTTTAGAGGACCATCTTCATAAAATATTCTAGGATATGATTCTTGATTCAACATCTCTATACAACTTAAACTTGATCTACTTCTTTGTTATAGAGCCAATGTCTACTCAATGAGGATGGCCGGAACAAACCTTTTTATAAAAAGGCGCGGTCCCCGTGAGTGCCGCTAGTTTGCGCTAAATTGTATGCAGTCAAGGTGCCTTACAAGATTGCATTACAACAAAAGGAGAAGGAAATACAAAAAAACAAGAAAGGGATATTTTGCCTTTTTTACAGGGCGTCAAAAAGAAAAACGCCACGACGATTCCACAGTGTCGGCTAATAGAAAAAAAGAAAGAAGTGTTACAAACAAAAAAATAAAATAAAATCTAATCAATTATACGGAGTAAGAATAAGCAGGCATGCATATACATTACAAAGTTACAAAATTGCCGTAATTGGGGATTAGAGTTGAGATAAAAGAAGTGAAACGGGATGACAAGATGTTTCACTACCATTGTCACCCTTCTGATCGATCTTGGGATCAAAAATTACCCTGGATTGCCTACTCTTTGATCTAACATTTCATTGTCAGACAGAGGTGGCTATTTTGCTAATTTGTGGCTATACATCCTAATCTTCTTTCCGTGTTTAAAGAAGTGTACAATTGCAACTCCCGTGATTTGAATTGTGTTGTTCTTGTTTGTTGATTCAGGTCATCTTCTGATCGCAGCATCACTTCAATTCATCTGCTTGTTGGATTGCCTACCTTTTCCTTCATTCGATCCAATCATCATAGTACAACAATTCTGTCCAGAGGGGCGATCAAAATTTCCCCTGATCGGTCTTCATCCAACAATTCAGTAGAGTAGATCTTTTCCCATCTTACGACATCGAGCAAGAATTTTCAATACAACTCCAACTCTCTAATCAATTCAGCCAAATTAATCAACGTGTTCTCCAATTTTAACACGGCTTCTTACCAACAATTCCAATCACAAAACTCAAACTTGATTCTTGCAAGAGGAGTAATTGCGCAAGTATATGCATTGCGTCGTGCAAAAAATAACCTCACCACTGTGCCTTTGGTAAAAAGGTGCTGCTGAAAGAAAGGTGCGTATGCGAGAAGGATTGCTTGCGCATAAACTCCCTCAGTCTAGTCTTTGCTGCTTGCTGCATAGGCGGCGGATTTATTATTATTTATCAAACACTTTTTTTTATTCTCTAATCACACACTAACCGTAATTCAATCATTCATCTCTCCTCTCTCTCACATAATACACACAACAAAAACAAAACAGCTTGTCTTTCTCTATGGTTCAACAATTCACATCCATTTATTGCGGACATCAATCTTGTCACATTTAATTGTGTACAATCGATGTCCATTTAAGCATACAAGCAAGCACACCAAACAAAGACGAGATCACCTCCTCAGTTAATTCAATTCATAATACAATCTTACAAGATACCCCCCTCTTCACCTCCATCATCAAGCAAAAATGGCAGCAATTGCCACTTCTTCAGCTTCATCCACTTTGTCCAAATCAGGCAGTGCGGCAAGTATTCGGCCTGCCTTACCAATGACGCGCGTTACAATTCGCGACGGCACTTCAATCGCAATCAACGGTGAGTATCACAAGAGAAAAATTGCATAATTTATCAAAATGATAGCCAACTGCTTTCTAGATTCCATCATATGCTTTTCTCTTTTTTATCTCATGATGGGCACCCTGCCATGGTCATAATCATCGCAGTCATTGCATGATTGGATTATGAGGCTCTGACCGTTATTATTTTCATATCTTCTCTCACACTTCCCTCACGCGCATCAAAACCTCTCATCACTTGCTCTCCTACCACTCATCATCATCAAATCATACCGCAACACTCGTCTTGACCACCTTTTCTTCTTCATCAATTTCTCGGCTCCTTTACCCCTCCACTCCGTGGGCGTACCTTCTCTTGCCTATATTTATCCAAAATCTCTCCTACCACCATCCTATTTGATGCGCATAATTGACCATCTGCTAATCTAATCCTCGTCTCTTTCCACTACAGACCATATCTATATTTCATCACCATGGGCACCTGGTGCAGGCGAACCGTACTTTATCGCCCGTGTGATGGAATTTGTTACTGCATCTGCTTCCAGAAAAGGAGCAGCTGTTGTAGCAAGTTCATCAGGAACATTACAAGTACGTGCTAATATCTATTTACGACAACGAGATATTACACATCGAGCAATTTACGATCCAAGGCTACTGGTTGCAACAATGCATTCTGATGTTTTTGCATTGGAAAATATTCGTGGAAAATGTCAAGTACGACATCGTGATTTGATCGGCGATGCACCTGCCGTTTCGGCATGGAAGAAGACTGATGATCACTTTTATTTTCATCAATTGTTCGATCGTTTTTTACATAAATCGTTCGATGTTATACCCACGGATCGCGTTCACAATGCACCAAAAGATGTTCTTACAACTTTGAGGAATCGTTATTCTTTCATTGTTGCAGAACCCGGGTTATCGATTGACATTTGCGGTCCTGTACGTTCTTGTAGCGTTTGCGATGAATGGGCAGCAGGGTCGGAATCTGTTCGATGTGATACATGCAAAGAATATTTTCATATGACTTGCCTTACACCACCTTTGGTTGCTAAACCGGCAAAAGGGTACAGTTGGACATGTGCACCTTGTTCGAAGAAGAGAGAGCAATCACAAGGGTTACCGATGACAAGAGCAGCAGCAATGGATGCTTCTATTGCTTTGACAGCAGGTGGCGGATCAAGTAATATGAACAGTCCTAGTGAGGATGATGCCAGCAGTGTATCCCGTTTACCGGGCAATCAAGGCTCTCTACGAATGGGACCGGGAACACGAGGTAGAGGGCGTGGTAGAGGTAGAGGCAGAGGAAGGGGAAGAGGCGGATACTCGACCACGTCCAGGTTCGCAAATGGAAGTGAAGAATCTTCTGTTTCAGATCAATCGAGAGAAGTTTCACCTGCATCGTCAACCGTTTCTGATCGAAAGACATTGGATGATGAAAGAGGTACAAGGTGCTTCAACAGATGGCCATTTCGATACTTTGGAGAGCATACTACTGCAAAGGATGTTTTGGACCCATATGACTCTATTTATCCTCTTGCAGCACCGAGATTAGGTGTCAAGTTTCAAGTACCCGTAATCACATGGCAGGAACAGCAAGATCTTGGGCTGGGAGTGTATGTCCGACCCGAGAACAATGAAGCGGCAATACTAACAGAAGAGATCAAACAGCAACAAACAAAAAGACCTCCTGGCAGACCGCCAAAGATTAAGAAAAGTACAGATACAGGTGGAACAAATACACCGGTTTTGTCTACTTTGCCTTTACCTTCGATAGATGGAACTTCATCCGCTGGCGGTGGTACGCCTGCACCTGGACTTCCATCGATAGAGACACCCAAACCACCAACAGAGAAAGATTTCGAACGTGGCTTGGATGAAAGTGTGGATGTATTATGGAAACCAAAAGTTGTGGTGGATAAGGTAATGGATGCATATATGCGTTTATGCGATAAACATTTCCAAGCACATGCTCATGAAGTCGGGTTGCTAAATCGTGCCGCTCAATTGATGGTTATCCACAAGGGCAACGGACCAGAGGCACTTGCTAATTTGTCAAGAAGTACGGATGATCAGTTGGATATCATCCATTGGTCGCCCAAAGAGAGTAAACAATTCGAGAAAGCAATCGCTGAATTTGGAGCAGATGTAAAATCACTCAAACGTGCGATTCCCACCAAAACTCCCGGACAAATTGTACGAAAGTTGTATTCGTGGAAAGGACAAAAATTGGGGGAACAATGGCAAGAAGAACGACAAAAATCAGCGGAAGGCAATATGGACGAAGATGCAGTGTCGAAGGAAGACTCTGGCGTTACCAGGGCTGTTTCTCCGTCTTTGTCGATATGGAATGATGATAATGAAGCTAGCACATCAAAAACAATTGTGATTCCTGCTCCTTCATCTCTTGGAACTCAAGCTTCAAGTATCAGTACAACCAATGTATCTACAAGTTTACAATCAGGTAGTACTACGCCCACTTCTGTGAACAAGATATGCAAGATGTGCACAACCACACAATCCCCGAGTTGGTACAAAGGACCCTACTCATGGCACAACAGAAGACTTTGTGTTAATTGCGGTATTTATTGGCGAAAGTATGCTGCAGAATCTCCATCAGAAATCCTGACACGAAAGAGAGAAGCCCAAGAAGAATCAGCAGCTGTGCCTTCTCATGTTACCAAAGTTGCCAAATTGGCCAGATCGGAATCCGTTAAAGGATCTTCCAATACTTCTACACCACCTCCAGTACCTACAGTGACCAAATTCGAGCCAGGCAAATGCGTTCTTTGCAAAAAGATGGAACCAAAGCGCAATTTGATTCAATGTCGACAATGCTCGCTAAGTGTTCATCAAGGATGCTTTGGCTTGACGGATGAAGAAGTTGCAAGCGAGATATGGTATTGCGATGCATGTATGAACGAAAAGACTTTGGATGCAGCTTTGATACCACGTTGTATCTTGTGTCCTAAACCACCTCTTCCGGCAGAAATTCCGGTGGTGGCACCAACGGTACGACCTGTAGGCAGACCACGCAAGAATGCTGCTAATACGCAAGCTGCCAGTGCTGTTCCAATCGCACCATTGGATGCTTTGGATGCGTATAAACCGACGGAGTGCAACAATTGGACACATTTACTTTGCGCTCTTTATATCAACGAATTGGCATTTACCGAACCTGAACAAATGAAGATCGTTGAAGGAGCAGGGAATTTGCCTTTTTGGAGGTACGAAGCGGTTTGTGATCTATGTGAAAAGAAGGAAGGCGCTTGTGTTTCATGTTCGGAACCATCTTGCAAAAGAACTTTTCACGTTTCTTGTGCACATAAACAAAATGGTTTTACGATGGGATTGGATCTTACGCCTGTCAAAAGTACAAGAAGGGATACGGTCGCCACGGCAACGTTTAAAGGTGAAACTGGTCATATGGCTGCAGCAGTATATTGCGACATTCATGCTGATGTTGCCAAGTTCCGAAATTTGATCGATTTGAGCGAAATTGACCCAAATGCAGATATTTCAACAAACAGTAGAGAAAGCAAGACGGCAACTCAGATATTCGCTCTTACACATAAAAACGTCAAGGCACCTTCTTCTGGACTATCGGTTGGTGGAGCAACTGCATCTTATGATCCAACAAGTTATCCACTCTTACGAAGAGCAAAGAGATTTGATGTCTTATTGGGAAACGGCACGATCTGGCACTTTTCATCAAATGAGAACAAGCCAAATAGGAAAAGTCTTACTACCACTTCAGGGTTCAACCGGGCTCCGATCTCAAAAGAAGGCTCTCTGCTTTCGCTCATTGGCAGCAATGCAATGAAGACGAACGGGGTAAACTTTCAGGACACTAAGCAACCTTTGCGACATCTAAACGGGAACGCTGCAAAATCTTCCTCTACAGCAAGTCTGCCACGAGAATGTCTTCGATGTGCAACAGAATTTTCTCCGTATTGGTGGCCGATGCCTGAAGAAGCAGAAGTTGAAGTTCAATCGCCAGACGAATATGGTGATTGGTTTCATCGTTTCCAAGGTTTACGTAAAGAAGAACAAGCTTGGAAAGAGAGCGGAAGGTTATATTCTGATTTTGAAGAGAGATTATCGCCTAGAGAGGTATCTTCACTACAAAGACCAGTCTTGTGCGTTCAATGTAGACATCGTGTTGGACCTGACCTTAGCAAGGTGTAATCCATACTCAAACACACACCAATACCCTTTCTTTGCCTTTTTCATTTCTGCAATGCTGACTGTAGACTAATCATTTGTACTTCCAAAAAAATCAATCTTACCCTTTTTTTTTGCAAATTCACACGAGCTTCGTTTGACTTCAGGTTTATATTATTTGCATTATCGAGGAATGAAGCCTCCAAATTGATACAAGTATTTAAAGATCCACGCTGCGGTTAGCCTTTGGGTTGAAGAAGAATGAGTTGTCCTTTCCGTCATTTGCCCATGGGAATGGCTGTGAAAAGGGAAGGAGAGGAAAGTGTCAGTATGCTGGGAAGGAATGCTTTTCTATATATAGCGGCACCCACCTTTTTGCGCATATCGTTATATTCGTACTTTGTTGTTTCGGGTAATTCACCTCCATTTTCATGAATTTCATGATCACGATGATGTAAATGTTCAGCTTCTATACGATAAATGTAAACTGCCATTACGACTGCAAACGGAAGGCAACCGTAAATTGAAACTTTACGCCAAAGGTCAGCAGATTTACCTGCATGATCTTTATGATGATTACGTTCTTTGATCAAATCTTGTCCCATATGTTCAGAAGCGGCAAATCTACGTTGACTTTGTTGAAGGATTGAAGACCGTAAAGCAGCAGGTCTGGCTGCAGAGCGTAGCGCGAAACGGGCGGCGACAGGGTTCATGTTGGGCGATCGATTATAGAGGTGATGATGAGGACAGGAAAGAGAATTGCTTGATCGCAATCAAAGTCTGTCACCTTGGCGCGCCTCTCTAGTGCCCAACTTCTATTCGCTTGTGCTTGTGCGCTGTACTCAAGGGCGGTTCAGATCGGACATATTCATTTGGCATATCTTCTGGGCGTAGGCGCGTAAACGATAAAGTGACTGCCTGTCAGGGAAGAAGAATGCACGTGCGATTGGGAAGAATGTCGCTCAATATGCTTAACGCGGTCAGACCAACAACGTGTACAGCAAACAATAGAGATGGTATCGAGAGTACCATCACATCCTCCAAAACATGGCTTCAGAGGAACCTACCGCATCTGCGGATGCAAGTTCAGCAGCTGCTGATGCTAAAGCAAGACGGGAAGCACGTAAAGCCAGAATCTTAGGCGCTGGAAATGATAGATTGGCAAGAATCACAAAGACAGGACGTGGTGGAGAAGCGGAAGCTTTATACTCAAATCCACCAAAGCCCCTAGGAGGAAATGTAAATGCCAGCATAGATGATGATGAAGTGCTACAAAGAGCTAATGCTGCCTTGCTTGGAGGGACGGGAAATGCAGACGATGATCCACAGGATATCGATATCTCACAACACCAATCAGCACAGACGAATCCATTCTTGGCTATGATGCAACAACAGCAACAAGCAGGTGCAGGAGGACAAGCAGATCAAGCAGGTATGCCACAAGATCTGCAAGGTATGATGCGTGCTATGCAAGAAGCTATGATGAATGCATCACAAGGACAGCCAGGGCAACCCGGACAAGGACCAGGTGGTCCACCACAATCACCTTTTCCGTTTGGTCCAGGTGCTGCTACAGCTCAACAAGTTCCTGCCGGACCAAGCACAACAGATGCAATCTTTAACCTTCTTCGTGTGTTCATTTTCGCAATCTTTGGTATTGCTCTGGTGTACGGTGCTTTGTTCGGACGGCATGCAGATGCTAAACAAACGGTCACAGAACATGCAACGGAACAAATCTTGGATAAATTCGCTCACATGTCTTCTCTGCACAGATGGGCTCGTCTGGCGTACGAAAGACCGGCACAATGGGAAGCAAAGTACTTCAGCATGGAAAGCTTTGGATTACCGATTCCTGAGGGAATTCCTGTGTTTTGGCTTTTTATTACGTTGGAAATTGGATTACAGAGTATGCGAATCATGCTGCAAAGAAGAAGACCAGCTCCACCAGGATTTTTGCTAAAGGTTGCATCCTTTATTCCAAACGCAAACATCCAGCTTTTGATTCGCACACTAGCATCGTATCTACCACTTTTAGATGCATTCATCAACGACATTGCCGTTGTCGTCTTTACGATCGGATGTGCTATCCTCTTTGCTTCTTGGAAGGTTGGCTTAGATCCAATCTTGGCACCATCAGATGCTACAATGCCTCAAGGGATTCTCGCCAGCGGAATTCAGAATATTGCAGATGCTGCCAATGCTGTAGTCAGTGAAACTGTTCATGCTGTGCCTGATATCATCAATCCAGCAGGACCTCCCATGTAAATTTAATAACAGATAAATTGCAAATTTTACAGGTATGATAAAGAGCAGAGATGAAGCAGAGAGGTGATTGTTTAATTTTTGATCTCAAATGGCTCGCCTAGCTGCCATCTCCTCATCGCTGTTACGTGGATTGAGTCACCCGATGATTCTTTTCCAGACCATGCACTTCCCCAAGCCTGTAAGACTTGCTTGACAGTAGGCTCACTAGAGTCTAGTACTTCGCCTGGTAATTTGGAAGCTGCCAAACGCATTATGAACGACTGCGAGTAGAGGCTCTCTTCTGCATCTTCTGCAATGCCTGCTGGCTCGATCGATCGTGTTGGCATTCCGGCAGCTTGACGTGCGAGTGAGCGTGTAAGACTGCGCAAGAAAGGCAATGAAGTCTCATTCACCGAGCCGGACGCCTTGTCAGGACGTTGAATGCGGGTCAGAAGGAGCGAGCCAACCTTTCCGATCGAAACTTGAGGTCCTTCGGTACTTTGTGTGGAAGAGGATCCATGTGCGAAAGAGCTGGCAACGAACCATGGAGTTGAAGTTTGAGGTGATTCACTCCTTCTTGGTGCATCGGCTGGAGGTGCTGCAACATTGCTCAGCGAAGAAGCTCTTGCTAAGTGAATACGTTCGCCTAATCTAGAAACGACGTCAAGAATGGCATTGCCTACAGTTTTTGGCGCAGATTTCGATCCTTCTCCTTCCTTGGTGGGTTTAGGGATAAGTGGAAATTCCAATAGCTGTGGAATTGGGATATCGATCATTTCCTGTGAAGATGAAGATGATGAGATACTATCATCGATTGCCAAAGTTGGAAAGAGCGCAACCGTATGTGCAAGATCGGCTAAAAGTCCTTGAAAGATTTCATTTCGTCCAACAAAGTCCGTTTCACAATTTAGCTCAACGATTCCCGCCCTAGCTGCTAAGGTGATTGGTGAGAATCGAACGCCCTGTTGTTGAGAATCAGTCGTGCTGGAAGCTGGAACGCCATCAGTGACTATGCAGACGGCCACACCTCCTTCTTTTGCCTCTCTATCACTGACTTTGGATGCCTTTTTGGCACCAGTCATTTGCATATCTTTTTCAAGCCATGCTAATGCTCCTTTGATATCATTCGATGATTCTGTTAAGGCTTCTTTAGCTTTGATCATACTTGTGCCCGGCATTAACTTTCGTAGTTCTGCGATATTGGCAATAGATGGCTTCTTTGTATCGGCATTGTAGATACATGGCGAAGATGAAAATGATCGTACTGAGGCGTTTGAGATTCTTGTAGCCTGGACATAGCGTCCGGCTTGTCTTATAATCGATCGACTCATCCTTTCGTTCGTCTATATGATGGCGGATAGAATTAAGGATTTCAACTTTCTTCTCAATTGTTAGCGCTTATTTTTTGTTTGCACACGTGAAAATGTATGCGTCTTCCTCCACTCTCCATGCATACAATGACAGATTCACACGATTAGTCATTCACTCTTGATGATCAACTTCCATCACAAGATACCCAAAAACAATGGCAGACATTCGACAATCGTCCATCAAGTTGCTCACTTCCACTTTGAGCAATACAGAAGGAAGCAAAGGTGCTGATCAAGCATCCACTCTTGCACAACAGTTAGAACAAGCCGTCTTTGAAGCACATCAAGGCGATACGGGAAATGCATATCGTGATCAATTACGATCTCTTCATCTTGATTTGAGTAAGAATAACGTTGATCTTGCTAAACAGCTAGTCTCTGGACAAATAAGTGCACAGGAGTTGATACAAGCCGGACCAGAAGTAAGTTGACTTGCATTGCTTATTCGTTTGATCGTGTACTTAACCCCCTTCCTTACATCCTAACAGGGACTAAAAAGCGATGAACGAGCTCGTGAAGATGAGCAACTACGTGAACAAGGTAAGTGTGATAGATGGTTCACTCTTGAGAAAGATCGACTAACAGCCAATTCTCTCCATCTGCAGGCCTCCGTGAATCCCTTGGAACACATAAGATCCCCGTTCACGAAACGAACGGAAGCTTGGCAGGTCCAGCTGCAGCTGATACACTTGGTCAGGAAGGCGAAGTGGGCATTCAAGAAGCAAGTATGGGCGAAGAAGGTGATTTCAAACAGCGAGCACAACCAAAAATTCAAGGATTAGAAGGAATAGAGTTTGAAAGTGGACTTTAGAATTTGTACTTTTACGCTGTTAGATGAATGGAAAAATCTCTATAACACAAATACCGGATGCTAATAATAAATACAATGGAGGGATATATGAAGTGGGTACGACTGTCATTTGAGAAGTGGATGTCCACTCTCAGATTTCACTTGCCGTGCTCGTACCAGCACTGCCTCCCATAATGGATGCTAATCGAGAGATGAAAAGATAGGCTGCCAGTGCTACAAGGAGAGGGAAAAGAGCTCGAGATCTTTGTTGGTTTGGCTGCGCCTGTCCTGTTGCTTGTGGGGGGTTTTGTCGTTGTGGTATTGCTTCTGTACGAGGAGCGTGTCTTGCAACAAGTGTCGAGGCTTTTGCTGTAGGACTATTTTGAGTCAAGGTTTCTGTGAGAATGGAAACGAGGTCAGTAAAGTTCCATAAGTATGCTTTATCCATTCATCATCCCACCTTACCTGGTGCAGAAGTGTCTGTGTTATTCTTCTCCTTCGTCGCAATGCTGCTTGGATTTAGGGCACTAGAAGCGCCTTCTCCGTCATCCTTCTTCTTTTCGCCCATATTAGGTAAAGCACGAATAGTAGCGTCGCAGTAGTCCGGGAACAATCGTTTGAATTTTGGTTGTGTGATGTTGAATGCGTGCGATCTTCGTGCCAATGTTTGACGATCAGCATGTGTTGCCATCACACTTCCAGTCGTCATTTCATCCGAGCACATGAACGAGAGCAGTCCGACAAGGATGTTGGCAACACTCCAAGCAGGATTCCAACTTCCAGGATGGAAATCACTCATAGATGTACAGATCTTTGTATCCGTGTGAAATCGACCAGATGGTGTAGACATTTTGATTCCTGGAGGTTTGAATGGATATTCTGGTGGAAATAATAGTTGTCCCCAATATTCACCTCCATGGAAAGGTGTATCTGGCGGTCCACGTAAGATAAAGTGCCATTCTAACACATTCTCTTCTCTTGGACGACCATAACAGAATGGCGGAGGATCCCTGTCCATCATTTGGGCTTCTTTGCCGAGCCTTTTTGAGGCGGCCTTTGTAGCCATTATTGGATGCTGGTGTTACTTGTGCGAATGTGTGATTGTAGGTATTGAGTTGTGCTGTTCTTGAAAACGTGACTGTGTTCAGTAGTCGTGAAAGTTGCGATGATGGTTTGCTGCTAAGAATAGCTATGATTAGGAGAGGACGCAAGAATTGGCATATGAAGTGATTTCGGCCTGTGAATGGCGTATCTTGCCCAGCCTCTTTCCTGTGCGTGCGCGTAAAAAGGGATTACTGTAGCCGTGCCCGCGTAGACACAGACAGATTGGCCGCCTGACCGCCCTAGAAGCTTCGATTTATATAGCTCTACAGTGAGCGGGCAGGCAGTAAATTAATTATTAAACGGATTTAAACCCAACGACGTACGCACACGTTTGCTTTCTCATCATTTGTGTCCACCAAACAATCAAATTCCCACTCTTGACTCTCATCTTATAGATCGCTTCAAGCCATACGTAAAGATGATGTTGCGACCTGGGTTCGTTGCGCTTTCGCGCTCATTGCAACAATCCTTTGCCACCACAGCTCGATCTTCGAATGGGATGATGAAAGGTGCCTCCACACGATGGTCATCTTCACTTTCTTCTTCTTCAGCTTTGCGTGCTCCATTCTTACCAGCAGTTCGAAGCAGTGCAATCAAGCCATCTCAACCATCTCTCACAAGCGTTCGCGGCGTACGTACCTCACCCTTCAGACCAAACAATAATGCCAATTCCGAACGTGGATTGTCATTGAGCTTGCCACATCAAGCATCTTCTGGTCCAACGAGCTTTTCCCAACCCGGTGGCTGGACTAAAGCTTTGACAAGCGTTGGTATTATTGCAGGTGCAGCACTTGCTGCAAATATCTTCCTCAACAGACCTACAAGAGACGGACCCATGGACGAATTCAGCAGAAGTTACCTCAACCGTACATTCGGCTATTTAGCTGGTGGTTTAAGTTTGACTGCTGCGGGTGCAGTCGCCCTTCACCGAACAGGATTCTCTTATCGCTTGATGGCCACAAATCCATGGTTGGTACTTGGTGTCGGTCTTGTTGCGTCTATTGGTGGTATGATTGGTGCACAATCTTTGCCTCCAGGACCAGGCAAGACAGCATGTTGGTTATTGTTCAACGCATCACAAGCAGCCGTTTTGAGCCCTTTGATGTTCTTCAACCCCGCTTTACTTGCCCGTGCTGGTCTTTACACTGCCGGCGTCATGGGTAGTATCTGTTACGTTGGTGCAACTGCTCGTGATGGTCAATACTTGTACCTCGGTGGACCTCTGTTGGCGGGACTTGTCGTTGTTGCTTTGTCATCTGTCGCTCCAATGATCTTACCCGCCACTGCCGTTCGTGCATTGGCCGCTACTGAAGCTTTGAGCTTGTACGGTGGTTTGGCCGTCTTTGGTGGATTTACGCTTTATGATACGCAAGTGATCTTGAATCATGCTCGTATGGTCCAAGCAGGTGTTAAACGTGATGACCCACTTGCAGAGTCCATCAAATTGGAACTTGACTTTATCAACATCTTTGTTCGTATCGTTCAGATCCTTGCCATGCAACAGAACAGAAGGAAGTAAACAAACAAGCAAACAATGCAAGGCAAACCTTGATGTAAAACAATATATGCGAATCGACTTTTATGTAATTAATCTCTGCTGATCACCACTCAATATAATTTGTAGTATGGAACCTAACAGATTGGATAAGAAGATATAAATTAAGAATGCATTTGATGAAAAAGTTCGTTCAGTATGTGTACATATACATAATTTCAATTGCACAGGACATATTGCGTAATTGCACAAGATCTATAAAGTGTGTGTGTTTTCGTTACATTTTGCGTTTCGTTTGCGTTTGCGTTTGATATGCTGTTTTGTCTCTAATGTTTTTTCAAATACCCAAAGCGCCTCTTCCTCCTCCTAATTCATTATCCCGTACTTTTTGCGCTTCTTCTGCTACTTTTTCCCATCCTTTTGCCCTTTCTGCATTCTTTTCTTCCCTTTGCCAAATTCGTTTGATCGCTTCAATGACAATCGTATTTGAGAAAGATGCGTTTGATTGCGATTGCATTGAGGCAGGTGGCGGTGTCATTATACCACGAATGATTTCTTCGGATGACATAGTCAATTCCATTCGACGGTAAGAAGCTAACAATTGCCTCTTTGCTGCACGTTTTGCACTTGGAGAAACTCCTCCAACACGAGTATTACTAGAAGATGAATTGATAGAGCTTCCGTTGACGCTGGTAATCTTGACGATTCCTTCAACTTCTAAACCCTCCATGACATCAATCAATTCAGAACTTTCCAAAATAGGGAAATCGTCATTTTTCAAGATGGCCGAATATGTGCTTTCGATTTCGCACATTAGTGTACCATCACCATTGCTTGAACAAACACCCATAACGGATTTGTTCACGCCATTACCACTTCCTCCACCAAGAACGTTCAATCCATACCCTCTTCGCTTTTGCGCAACGAGAAGAGCCAATAAGATCAGCTTTGGTTGCAAGCCTAATCCACGAATCTTGTTCAATTGTGGACTTCCCAAAACGGTCGAAACAACTTTGAGAATATGCGCAGGTGTGATTTTAGGAGCATTTGTCGGTGTTAAGCTGGTAATGTCGATTGGTGCAGCAGTCGAGGTAGATTTGCGAATCGTTTCTTGTTCTACCAATTCAACTGCCAATCTGCATGCATCCAACGCTTTACGAAGATCACCTGTAGCTGCAGCAATCTTACGTGCAACCAATTCGAAAGCAGCAGGTACAAACAGTGGAACGGTCTCATCATCATTTTGCTCTTGTAGTTCACCATCTTGTTCTCTTGTTTCAGCGCTGTAACTCGATTGAAGCAGAGCAAGACGTGATCCAATTACAGTCTTGATCTCTTCAGCCTCAAAAGGTCGGAAATTGAGAACGGCAGGAGCAGCGCCTTTGCTAGCCAAAAGCGGTACAAAACGTTCGGTAAGATCGAGTGAATTTGCAATCCCGATCAAAGCACATGCTTTTGAATCCTTTTGTGGCCATGAGAACAAACGGTACAAGATATTTTGATGAACTCTACTGCGTAAGAGGTGATCAATTTCATCCAACACGATCAATGTTTGCCTCTTTTGATCTTTCACCAATGTGGTCACTTGACGTTCTGCTTCTGCATCACCAGCTTCCCCGCTTGGTAAAACTGACTTGTCACCGTGAAAAACATTCAAAATACGTCTGAACAGTTCACGAGGATGTTGAATGGTCATGCAATCGATGAATGCAACTTGCAGACGTTCATTGTCCCGCAAGAACTCTTGTGATTGTTGAATGTCAGCCATAACTGAGCGAATCAATGCAGTCTTACCCGTTCCAGGCAAACCACAAACATACAAGCTTCCTCCGTCCATGGCTCCGTTCATGTCTGTGCACAATGAATCTCCTTGAGGCATTGCTGATCGTTCCATATGTGCAAACAAGCCAAATCGTTGTTGCATGAATCGTTGAATTGCTCCTCGTTCACGTTCACGTCCAACAATGTGTACGTTTGGATCTGATCCATATCGCAACAATGCACGAGCATGAGCAAAGATGTTGGTGTACTTTGATGTCTCTTCCTCCGAGTCTGCATCTTGCTCTTTCTCATCTTCTGCTTCTGATGCTTCCGGTGTCGTGCATCGTGAAATAGGACTGCTCATTGCCGTCTCACTTCCCATCAATGAAAATACTTCAGACATGGGTGTTGCTTGACTGGAATGGAACACGCTTGCCAATTCTTCATCTGTTGATCCTTGAGAAGCATTCAAGCGAGGTCGAGATGATGGCAATCGCAATTCAACAATCGTATCAGCACTTTCACCATTCTCCGACTGATCACAATTATCAAAGATCGATCGAGATCGTTTACGTGTTGTGATTGGCGTGCTGACGGTACGACGGAAAGAACGTCTTGTGAGTAATCTTGGACTTCCGGGCATAGAATCTGATCTATCAGACATTGGCACCGCAGCTTGTGTACGTGTTCGACGGACCGTAATATCGGCTTGATAAGCGGCCGTTTCATTATGCAAATCACGTTGAGATAATCGTCTAAGAGGTGCTACGTTTTCCTTGTTGCTATCATCACGGGATTCACCTTGTTCAGGTGTACGATAACATCCACCTATTCTGCCACTGCGGAACGGTCTATGCCTTTCACCATCTTCATCTTCATCATCTGAGCCGTCGCCGCCGCTACCTTTGCGTAATGAAAAAGAGCATAAGGATGACGTACCCAATGCTCGAAAAGAAGAAGATCGTTGAGGATAAGAGCAAGAAGAGGAACCTGAAGATGCTGCTTTTTTCATTGGTGTATTGTTGGAATAAGTCATATTCCCTGTTGCGGTCCAATTTGAAAGGGTATCATTGTTCATCATGGGCATGGAAGCTGTACGGAGAAATTGTCTGGATTTTGAACATGCGTCGTTCTTTGTTGTTGGCTGTATGCATTGTGGTGCTTGATTACGTGCGGAAAGTGCACGTGTGATGGGCATTTTGAGAGTTGAAGATGGGAGCAATGAAGCTTTATGGGTAAGAGCAAGAAATTGCAATGGAAACGGTCACTGATTGTTCTCGTTTGAAGTCGTTAGGCGTTATTGACATCAAAATCCGAAAAAGAGTGGATTTTGTGTGATTATATTGAGCTTTGAATTCTTATGAATTGTTGAATCATAAAAGGTATTTGAATCCTTTGCTGTTGTAAACTGATAAGAAAGGAAAGGTATATTTCCAGTAATATGTTTTTGATAAGTGGTAATTATGATCTTAGATGAGAGAGTATGGGTGAGGGAATCAAGAAAGCATTCATCCTTAAGCTTTCTCTTGTATAAGAATGGCCAAGTAACACGTCTTCCTATAGCAAAAGGGTGTAATTTTTATACTGTCTAACTGCCTGATGATCCTACATTTCTTGCACACTTCTTCTGTGCCTGCTTCTATCTTTCTTTTTTCTCATTCGCGTCAATTTACGCGTTATTGAATTACCGCGTTTATATCTCGTGCTGATCCTTGGATGCATGTACGCACGTACTTTTACGCATACATCACACGGGCGGGCAATCAAATCGGAAATATTGACATCATTAATAGGCCAACTTGGGCGGGGCGGAAAGGGAACGCCATACACTCTAAAGCTCAGTTTATGACCACCATGTCTATGATTACATCTCGCAATGCCTCTTGATTATTCTCCGATCTTGTTCAGACCAATTTAATATCATTTGATCAATGAAGTTTGAAGCTCAGACTGTAACACAACAATGCTGCTTAGTCATTCATACGCGACATTCATAGCCGGCACAGATAAGATAAAATTGAGTTTGGCGTAATTAGTGTCAATCTTCCACCAACACACATTCGCAAAATGATCATCAGAATATAGTCAAAAGAGGGATGAAGACTAACATTCGTCGAATCTCTTTAGCATGTTCAACTTGCAGAGCTAGAAAGGTAAAATGTGATGGTGAAAGGCCTGCTTGTCGTTCATGCATAAAGAATGGTGTCACTTGTGTGTTCAATGAAACATCTGATCAACGTAAACCGTATTCGAAATCATACGTTAAGACACTGGAGGCACGAATAACGGCATTGGAAGCAGAGGTTAGCAAACATAAAGCCAATCATGAGCAAGGTGCCGACTCTGGTAAGAATGAAGCGCACTTAGTCACGCAGCCAGCGGCAGACACATCAATACGACAAGGACCATCCGATTTGGATTCAAGGAGAACATTTCAATCGAGCAATATTGCCAACAATGATCGACTATTGGACACTATGATCAGACGTGGCGGCTGTTTGTCTTTCGTCAAGAACCGAACGCAAGATCCTTACCTGGAAACACAAGTGATCAGTAACTTTTACGGAGCATCTTCTGGTCGCAATATACCCGCAATGAGTCAATTCAGCGCTCGTGCTATGCCACCGATGGCACTCAATGATGAGAATTATGATCGAAGAGATCTATACTATGACCGGATAAATGAATTCGTCGATGCGTACTTCCAACATTATCAGCCAATTTTAGGTCTACTAAATAGGAACACCATATCCACGAGAATCGGCTTTTACGGAGGAAGAAGGGCTCTAAGTAGTGATTTCCTGCTGACTGCACTTGGTGCTATTGGCGCACTTTCTTTGCAAGACTATGCTGCTTGTCATTTCTTTACCGATATCGCTACTAGACAGCTGGCCCCAGAAACGGTTCGTCCAAGTACAAGCACAGTTCAAGCGTTGGTATTGATGGCGTTGACGGAATCTTCACTCGGTTGCGAATCACGTGGCTGGCTATATATTGGAATGGCTTCTCGTATCGCATTGGAGATTGGGTTGCCTCGTGATATTCACGATTATTGCCGACATGGCTGGATTGACGGGGAAGAAGCAAGGCTGCGACATCGAACTACATGGGCACTATTTATCGTAGATCGTATGCTGGCATTGTACTATGGTCGTTTTCCTTCTATAGGGCCAGAGTCAATCTCACTAGCCATGCCATCTCGAAGACGTGAACTGCAGGACTCGATTTCGTTACGATGTCCATTCGCGACCGGAGAGAAGGGCGAAGAAGCACGTTTGAAAGGTGAATGCGTCTCTTGTGAAAGCTTTGAGCCAGGTTTCGTTTGCTTGTTCGAGCTGTCAACGTTTTCTGTCGATATCAATGCTCGATTGTATATCAACCCCGTCTTATCGGGCGAGGCTGGTACTACATGGCTTGATTGGGCAAGCGATATGAATGTGCAAATGGCAAGATGGCTGTCCGATCTTCCGATCACGCTCAAGTGTAACTTTACACGTGGCAGGGTCCCTTCTCCTTTGGCCATGCACATTCACATCGTTTATCATTCATTGATCATCTTGCTCAATCGACCTTTTCTGGCCCTGAGTGCAAAGAAAGCCGAAGCAAGATTCGCTGCCCAAAGTTGTCATTTCTCATCGCGCGAAATCGTCCGATTGACAGCTCAAATAAAAATTCATCATGGATTTCAATATACCCACAACTTTGTGGTTTATTGTTTACATGCTTCTGCTACGATTGCGGTCATTAATGCGAAGTTGGGAACGGGAACTATTCAAAGAGAAGCAAAGAATGATATCGTTGCTTTGTTTGCTCTGTTTCGTGTCTTACGTGATTTTCACAGAAATGCAGCTTTGGTTTTGAACATCTTGACGGAATTGGTTCAAGCTGCATTTGCAAGAGATCCATTTTTGCAGACTGTTCTTTCATCTGGAGCTGGCACTGCCAAAGTCAAAGGAAGAACAGATGATCAAGCAATGATTGAAGACCACCTGGAAAGCAGTCAGACAGCCTCAACATCTTATTCGGACACTCTTGCCTCCATGCATGCCCAATCCGACGGTGCTATATCGAGTGCAAATCTATTTGAGTCTGATCCGGGCACTACAGCTGAATTCTCACAATTTGCCATGGTTGATTGGGACTTATTTGCAACTTCAACATTGAGCACAGTGATTGATTATCTTGACGTTCAGCCATGGCTACAGTCATAGTAGAATAGACAGATAGGGATGTTACAACCCGTGCGTACGCCTAAACGCTTGCTTCGATTTGATTATCCGACGACATTCCGAGCTGTCATATATTGCTTCTATTTCTTTATCTTATCAAGTGTACTTTTAGACAAGGTCTTATGACCCAATTTCATCCATTTGTCGATAAAAGAATGTCTGTGTGCCTGCGTCTAATACTTTCTTGGTACCTGTCAGAAATGCTTAAAGATGGCTTTCTGTTTACCATCGTGGCGTTACGCAAATTGAGCAAGCGTTTAATTTTAAGATAAGCAAGTTTTTCTTGGCCGGCATCAGGCTTTTAATAAAGAGATAAGAATACGCGGTACCCCAGGTGTAGAAGAAAACAGCCTTTGTCGCGTGTACTGCCCCCATGCTTTGTTCCTTATCTTAAGTGTGTGCCCACTTGATTGGCTAGCGGCGCTCTCGTTCGGATTTTGCTAAACCGAAGATACGTGAATAAGAGAAACACGGCTAAAGTGCAGTAATAGATTTAATCGTCAAAAATGCGGGATGAACGATAAAAGATAATAAAAGTAACTTGAGAAGAAACTGCGCTGCCGCCCGACGTACGCGTATTACTGCCAGAACATCAAACATATCTGCTGCTGATGGCAATGCATTTCAACTCGGCTTCATGCATACACAATGTGTCATTCTGTACTTCATCAACCTCACTTACAGCCTCCATTTCGACTATGGACGTATAAAAAGCAACAACTAGACAAAATACGTTTCGCAGTATACCCCACAACACCCTTTACCCTTCCTTCTCGCTCTTCTTCTCCTCAACCGTTTTACACAATGTCAATCCTTGGAAGGGTGGACAAGCTCCTCAAAGTTAAAGGAACTGATCCTTTACCCGGTCAATCAATAGCCGAAAGCTTTCTAAATAATAAAGATTTACGTCCTGTCGAGCCAGAAAGAAGAACTTGGTCATCATGGTCTTTCGTCTTTTTTTGGGTCGCCGACGGTTTGAATTTGAGCACTTTCTACCTGGCAAGTAGTGCTTTTTCACTTGGATTATCTTGGTATGCTGCTTGGATAGCCGTTATTCTAGGTTATACAATCGTTTCTTTCGTTATCGTCATTACCGCGCGCATTGCCGCCATTTATCATATTTCGTTCCCCATCCTCGCGCGATCTTCGTTTGGTGTCTGGGGTGCGATCTGGCCAACGATCAACAGATCAGCTATGGCCTGCATTTGGTACGGAGTTCAATCGTATATAGGAGCCCAGTGTGTTACTCTTTTGCTAAGAAGTTTGGCTCCAAAATACATCCAAATGCATAATTCCCTTCCTGCCTCAGCCGGACTCACGACCGCCGATTTCGTTTCATTCTTTTTGTTCAGTTTGATCTCTTTACCAATCATTTACATCAAGCCCGAGAAGATTCGATGGTTCTTCATGGTTAAAGCAGTCATTGTTCCAATTGCTGCTTTTGCCTTCTTCGGATGGTCAATAGCTTCTGCGAATGGACTCGGACCAATTGTGCATACACCCGCAACCGTCTCCGGTTCGGTATTTGGATGGGGATTTGTATCAAGTGTAATGAGCTGCATCTCAAACATGGCAACCCTGGCTGTCAATATTCCCGATGTGGCCCGCTTAGCGAAATCGAAACGAAGCGTTACCTGGTCACAATTGCTTGCCATTCCTTTCACTTTCAGCATCACATCTTTCCTCGGAATCATTATTGCCTCATCATCACAAGTCATTTACGGTGAATTGATTTGGGACCCTGTACAGAACTTGGGTGAACGTTTGAATCGCAACCCATACGGATCAGCAGATCGAGCAGGTGTTTTCTTCATCTCCTTCGCTTTCATCATCGGTCAAATTGGTACAAATGTTGCCGCAAATTCTCTTTCGGCCGGTCACGATTTAGCAGCCATCATGCCACGTTACATTACCATTCGCAGAGGTTCATTCGTAGCTGCTGCAGTCGGTTTTGCCATGTGTCCTTGGAATTTACTCAAATCTTCAAATTCTTTCACAACTTATCTCTCGGCCTATTCGTTATTCTTGAGTTCAATCTCTGGTACTATGTTGTGCGATTACTACATCGTCCGCCGTGGCGTTTTGCAAGTCGAATCTCTCTACACATGCAAACCTGATCAACCGTACAGATACCTTGGAGGTTTTAATTTACGTGCCTTTGCTGCTTACATTTCCGGTATCGCAATGACAGTGACCGGATTTGCTGGCATTTTAGGAGCAAACGTTTCTTCAACCGCTCAACACATGTACACTTTGGCATATCCGATTGGATTTTTGACCAGTGGTTTGGTTTATTTGATTTTATGCACAATTTTCCCAATTCCTGGTTCTTATGATGTACGAAAATCCGGTAAAACATTTAACGAACCACAATCTTGGGAATCCGATTCTTGGTTCCCTGAAGTGGATGTTTCTCATCATCGTCAAACATTGTCGGGAAACATCACCCCAAGCACCGAAAAAGATGGCTCTTTGACGGAAAAGGCTGATATCCGTGAAGAAGAGTATCGTTAGAGCTCTTTTCACAGACAAACTGTATTTATACTTCATGACCGCTTATAACGAATGATATTGACTCAAGTAACGAATAGTTTCTGAACACCTCTTGCGCGCATAGAAGCACACTTTGAGTAACGATTAAATTTTGAATCAGCAGAGCGAAGTCTCTAACCACTTCACAAGAGCACACCCGCTTTTAGAACTGTCACACTTTCGAACAATGTTGATGATGTGCTATTAAGGTATGATGATAATGCTACAAATAGTATGATGTGTTCCTATTTCACGGTGAAAAAAAAGTGTATGCAAAAAGAAGATATCTCGTGAAAATGATAGGGGTGATGTAAGATTGAAAAAAAGAGTATTACCCCGGCGCAACAAATCCGATTTCATCCTTGCGATTGACGTATCGATGCGGTAAGAGATGGAGATGGCGAGATTGGCTGTGAATGAGAAGTTGCGTTCGTTTGATCTACCAACAAAGCCGCTTCAGCGTACATCATTTTATAACGCATCAATTCTTCCGCCATTTCTTCTTTTGCAAGTTTAGACATGACAACATTTTTTACCAAATCAACGTGTTCTTGTTGAACGGCTCCTAATTGATCTTCTAAACTTTTTACACGAATTTGTAATGATCGATTTTCAACTTTGAGTGTTTCAATTTCACGTCTATGAGCTGTTGCTGCGCGAACTTGTTCTGCAAAATCAGATGCATACGAATCCAACATGAAAGGCGTAATCTTGAATTGGAATGCGTCCCGTACGAATTCTCCTACCTTGTACTCGTCCTGACTTGACTCTGTGCTCGAATGAGGCTCTCCGTTGCCATCTGGACTGGCATTGGCATCAGGCGTATGTGTTCCGTCCTCTTCCGTATCTTGCAAAGGATCCTTTCTGTAAATGTCAAAGATTCGGGCGGCTAGGAGTGGCACAGCTTCATCAAATGACATCTGTAAGAGTTGATCCTCGTTCTTTTTCATAAGCGCGAGTGCAAATCGGAAGATCGCTTCGATTCCTTCCGCAAATACAGAGTCTAGGATACGGAAGCAAATTGGCAAAGGTGATCGATAGGTGAACAAAGTCATAATCCATCCACTGGCGTACATTGAGCTCTTAACGCCTTGTCTGACCAGATGTCTGTGCAACAGAGGGAGACACTCTTCCAATAAACGCTCAAACTGGAACAAACGAAGTTGCAGGGAAGGCATGTTGGGCACGAAATGTCCTCTCAAATCATAACTCTTCATCAATCGGACCAAGGTTGAAAAAGCTTCTTCATCTGGCATATTTAGCAACAGTGGACCGACGACGAATTGCATTCCTTGACAATAACCGCACTCTTCGTCATAGAGGGAATACGCTTTGACCACATTGAACAAATTCTCTTGACCAATTCCTTTGCCGTCCTGGAAATAGACTTGCCCAGGGAACGTACGAGCCAGATCCTTTCGGATCATCTTTTCATGTGGACTTGTCTGCTTGAGGTAATAAGCATAAATGATTTCCATCTCTTCATCTTTGCTGCTACTCATCAATTGCCACATCATTCCGCGCAAGGCTGCTGGTATGCCAGCTTGAATGGCTTTACTCAATTTGCGAGGTTGGGTACGTGCAATATCTTGGTAATTGCTCATCACATCACCCCAAAAGTCCCAATCTATACCCTCTTCCGAAGTCTCATAGTCCACAGGCCCTTCGATATTGGTATTATAATCTTTCGCATCTTCATTCTCGTATTCGAAAAGAGGTTCTTCTTGTAGGCCATCTTGTTGTACCTCTCTTGCGTGATCATGTCCATTTTGTGTTCTTCCAGCGCTATGTTCACGCTCATGTGCATTTCGTAATTCATTCAGCTTCTCCTTCAACTTTTCTGTATTGTTCATACTGTTTCGTTGACCTTCGTGTACGCTCAATCTCGCCGTATTTCTTGCCAAGAATTCCGAGCTTCCTGTCGCCTGCTCACCAGGAGTGATTGGGATTTCAGTTTGACCAAGATTGATTGTATTCCGCTTTGATGAATATGGCTGGGTGGTACTGAGCGAAACAGAGGAAAATCGATTGGGATTGACATATGAAATATTGTGTTCAGGCACATCAACGGTACCGCCAGTGGATTCTTCCTCTATCGTCGAAGCTGAGAATCTCTTCAAAGCCGCTCTAGGTGTTGCAGGAGCGTTCTCTACACTATCGTCCCTTCCATCAGGCGTCAATGGTATTGAGAATGGATTGGAAATCGTTTCGGTTGGATCTAGAAGTGAGGGTGCTCCTTCAGAAGGTGCCATTTGCGTAGAATCAGATCCTTCCGAGGTTGCATGACCACTATCTTTTGAGAAGTTTTCTGTAGAGATAGTGGACTCACCAGTGTGATCTGCGTGTCCTTTACTATCCTCATTTGAATCGTGCGTGTATGCTATTGAATCTTCCGTTGATCCGTCTGCTGTGTCTTCGTTTTGGTTTAGAGTTTGATAACCCTCATTTTCGTCAATACTTGAGCTGGTACTCTTTGTTGCTTTGCCTTTTGGAATATCAACACTTTCGGGCTTTTGATTGCCTCCTCCTTCGAATCTTGACATGAGCGATTTGACGCTCGATGCTATTCTTGAAGTTTTTGAGTCAACTGTTGATTGTGATTCAGCTTCATCTTCTGCTTTCTTTTCACCTAGAGTAGATTGTGATGAAGTTGATACGTGCTTATTCACTTCTTGTTCATTCCCGCTACCATCAGCAGCATCTTGAAATGCTTGATCGTCATCACTATGAGCGGGTGAATGTTTTTCGCTATCTGAAGTCATGATTGGCGATCAGCCTTATTTGTTGGAGGGAGGATGATTGTTGTGGTGAAAGGAGAAGGAACAGGTAATATTCTATACTTTGTTTTTGCGTGAGAAGGGGATGACAATGTGAACGGAACCCCCCTACCTTCTCCTAAGAAACGGTATGCCATTATTTCTTTCTGTTCTTTTTTGGACTCCGCCCCCCCCGCCTCATTCAGCAATCAAGGGCGATCTGGCACTTATGCCTACGCTCAGACCCTTTTTTTGTTATTTGGTATTTTATGCAAATCATCCGCCGGTCAAATGCTAAATATAACTCAAACAATACAAAACACACACTTTTTAGCGTGATTGACAACAACAACGACAATAAGGTAAAGCGTACCTGATTATATACATTATTATAATATACTACAGAGGATGAAATATTCTATCCATATCTAACATCATTATTCCAACGACTGGCTTGCTCGACTCTTTTCATACATTCTATTCTTCCCAAAAGCATCATCAATTCAACAACCGTTGGACCAGAGACTTTGCCCATCAAAGCAAATCGCAGCATTTTCATAAAAGTTGCCCTTCCACGAGTCTTTTTATCAAAGTGAGGCACTCGTTGTTTTGCTTTCTTTTCAAATTGCATCGCTGCTTCTTTTATTGCAGAAGCGGTGGATGTACTGGAACGCAAGTCTCCTTGTTTTAGTTCTGTCAAAAATGACCGAGCGACAGAGAGGGCAATTGACCTTACTTGCTCATCAATCTTTGTCACCTCCGCTATAGCATCCCCGTCGGAATCGACAGGAAATGTATACAGAGCAATGGTCTCATCTGCAGCCTCTTTCATATTCATACTCCGCTTGACGATCGTATCGATCAATAAGGGGCCCCTTTCTTCGGTGAGGAAGTGAGAAAGGGCTGAGCTGATATCTTTTATGCTAATCCATTCTTTTAATTCGGAATATAGTCGTATCCTATCAGTTTCACTTGCTGCTTCAACTTTGGCCGAAAAGTGACTCTTGTTTAAGAAGCGTAATTTGGATACATCTGGACTGGCTCTAGATTGTGAGATACGATCCAATTTGAACTGCGCAATCATTTCTTCCATACTGAACACTTCACTTCGTGAGTCGGGAAGATGCCAATTGAAACCCATCAATGCCACGAAGTTGATCAGTGCTTCCGGATCATAGCCTGCTTCTCGATATGATTCAACATGAACGACTGCGTCTCTCTTGGACAACTTACTGCCGTCAGGGTTTATCAACAGAGGTAAATGAACGAATTGTGGCGGCGCAGTTGCAAGAGCTTCGTACAATTTCAAGTGTGTCGGCATAGACGGTAGCCATTCCTCACCTCGGAATACGTGTGTGATTCCCATTTCTGTATCATCTACAACATTGGCGAGATGATAAGTCGGCCATCCGTCACTTTTGACGATGATGGGATCCTCCAAACGACGATCATAGGGGAACTTCAAATGTCCATATACTGCATCATCAAAAGATGTATCCTCTTCCTTTGTTTTGAATCGTACGACGAAAGATTTCCCTTTGTGGATCATCTCCTGTGCTTCGTCTTCTCCGGGCGGAAGGTATGTATCCCTTGCGATATCGGATGAACCATCTTTAGATGGCTCTCTGAAGTCTCTGTAGGCATGCCCAGAGCGTAAAAGCCTCTCGTAATAGCCTTTGTAAAGGTGTAAGCGTTCCGATTGGACATATGGTCCTCGATTGCCAGGCTTGTCAGGACCTTCGTCATAGTCTAATCCAGCCCATTTGAGTATATCTTGCATAGCCTCCACGGCACCAGGTACCAACCTCTTTTGATCTGTATCTTCTATTCGCAAGATCCATTTTCCACCAAGGCTTCTTGCAAATAGATGATTGAATAATGCTGTTCGTAAACCACCAAGGTGGAGTTGACCGGTTGGAGAAGGAGCAAATCGTAAGACGGGAGTGTTTGAGGAAGTTGCAATCCCTCTGTACTTGAATCTACATGCTTGAAAGAGATTTTTGTTTGGCAGATGCTTAATCACCATTCGATCAATGGCAATCAGCATCTTTCTCTAAAAGCATGTTGGTTTGAGCATGAGAAGAAGTTCATGTTCAACTTTTGTTAATTACGCTAGTGAAACTTCTTTAAGCACAAAAAAGCCTTTACGCTTCGAAAGCCTTAAAGCGTGCAAAGATACGAAATGAAAATGCCAATGACAAGATCGCGCGGCGCAAGGGCACTTGACCAGTCTTTTATGGAAGCACGAAAAGATGCCTTGCTTGCCCTGTACCGCGAAGGGAAATCCGCGTGTTTTAAACACGTCGTAAAATCCATCCGTTCACCATCCATCATTTTAACCATTCATTCGTTCTTCTCGCATCAACCAAATTACGTGCGCGACTTTTTGATCTGGCACTCAAAGCGAGACAACACGATATATGACAGCGTAGGGGTGTCACACAAAGGAAATTTGATTTGGAGAGAAAGGATCTCGCGCTTAATATCTCTTGGACAATGGCGACACAATCTCTAAATCTCAATGGAGCGCCTGATGAAAGTGTTTTCAGCGATGAAGTGGTACAAAAGCGATTCGAATCTCTGGTTGCACCATTGAAAGACGCCATCCAGGGACAGACTCTCCCATTGGCAGAAGGTAAATCCGAATTGGACGCAGCTTCTTTGGCACACTTGACATTCGTCATCCAACAATTCCAACATGCTCATTTGGAAAATCAAGCTTCTTCTTCTTCATCGATCACCGCCAAACCAAACAGGATACCAGCATCATTCTTCTTGTTTGCCGATAGCCTAAATGCATTCGACTCACCCTTGAGCACAAGCTCGGCTGTGTATCAATTGCTACGTGCAGCTCTGGAAAGTATCGCAGCTTTGAACAGGCCGTCCTGGTCTTTCCTTAGCTCTTCAAGCGCAGAGGATGTAGAGCAAGGCTTACAGCTGATCACACAGATTCGCAACAAGCTCAAAGAGGCTAATGCTATCAAGCACGTCCGCATTGCAGCCTCTGGCGATTTGACAGGAGCCGAGAAGGATGAATGCAGAGAAGCAGCACAAAAGATGGATTGCCAATGGGTAGAAGATCTCGATTCAGCTACTCACGTTCTTTTCTCTTCCGATGCAAGTACAACGAGCAACACAACTGAATCACAAGAGTTCTTCCGTACATTGGCCAAAACCACGCTATCAGGAGGACGAGAAGTATCGTTGATTCACGTTTGGTACAGACCCGATTCATATGATACATGGCTTCCAGCGCGTGATTTTGCAGAACCAGACACTGAAGCAAATGCAAGAGCACAACAGAGATGGACCATCGGTTCACAATGGCTTCGGGATAGTGTCAGATTCAACGAATGGATGAATGAAGAGGATTATGAGCGCGATGAAGAAGAAAGCAAGGATGCTGCCGTCGCTACTGAACAAGTCCCTCAAAGCACGAGTGTCAATCCACGAAAGCGTGCCTTACCTGATGAAGTGACTGCAGAAGACGAAAGCACAGCAAACGGTGGTGCAGGTACGGGTAAAAAGATCAAATTGCTCGTAGCAGCAAGACCTGTGGGAGCAACTGCAATTGATCTATCCGGTGCAAGTGGCCCTCCTCCTGGAAGAAATTATGAGAAAGAGCCACTAAGTAATCCTTCAATGGGAAACCTGCCAACCGAGCCTGAGGTACCGCAAATCACAACAACATCTACAGATGATCAGACAAAGGCACTTTCCGGTCAAGCAGAAGAAGCAGAACAACCATCTCAAACTGAAATTGAGGTCAGCGATGAAGCAGCACGCGAGAGGGAAAGATTAAAAACCGAATATGTTGCAAGGAAGTATCTAGCTGAGCAAACGCAAGAGGTCATCATTCCATCGTATGCCACTTGGTTCTCATTCTCCGCAATCAATGCAGTCGAGAAACGCAGTTTGCCAGAATTCTTCAACAACCGCAACCGAAGCAAGACACCGGCAATCTACAAAGAATACCGCAACTTCATGATTAATACATACAGACTTAACCCGAGCGAATATTTGACATTCACAGCTTGTCGTCGTAACTTGGCTGGAGATGTCTGTGCTATCATGCGTGTTCATGCATTCTTGGAGCAATGGGGTTTGATCAATTATCAGATTGATCCCGAAACAAGACCTGCAACCTTGGGCCCTCCCTTTACTGGTCATTTCCGTGTCACTGTTGATACACCCAGAGGATTGCAGCCCTTGCATCCTGGTACTCAAAGACCATCACAGCCAGGCGTGCCACACTCGATCACAAACGGTGCTGTTCCTTCCGGTACACCAGGCAAGCCTGATTTGACGTTGGAGTTGCGCAAGACAGTTTATCAAACTTCACTAAAACTTTCTAGACCGATTGATGAAGATCAAGCGAATGCTCTAGTCGCTTCTGCTGATCAAGAGAATGTGCAAAATGGACAAGGAAATGCTTACTCTTGCGATACATGCGGTGCAGATTGCACAAAAACACGCTACAAGAGCATTCGCTTGCCTCAACGCGGCAGTCATAGCAACGGCTTTGCAGTCTGTGCAAGCTGTTATCTCGAAGGTCGTTTCCCCAGTAACATGTACAGCGGTGACTTTGTACGTATTGACGAAGGACCATTCAAGCAGGGCGGCGACCAAGCAGACTGGAGCGACGTTGAAACTTTGCGCTTATTGGAAGGATTGGAAATGTATGATGATGATTGGGCTCAAGTTTCCAATCATGTTGGCACGCGCAGTCGTGAACAATGCATCACCAAATTCCTGCAATTGCCCATTGAAGATGACTATTTGAATGGAACTAAAGCTGCTCATCAGAGCAACGGTCATGTTTCAAACGGTGCCGGCCAACATACACAAGGCGATCTAGGTCCATTGCAATATCTCCGTGATTCCAAAGCGGCCGCTGTTCCATTCTCACAAAGTGACAATCCGGTCATGAGTGTTGTGGCATTCTTGGCAAGTGCTGTCAGTCCAGCTGTGGCTGCGGCAGCTGCTCAAAGTGCGCTGGGTGAATTGACAGATGGTCTCCGGAAACGCATTTCGAAAAAGAGTAAAGAGGGTGAAAGTGCTACAGAAGATGCAGGAAAAGAAGGAGAGAAGGAAAAGGGTGATGCAATGGATGTAGATGCTGAACAAAGCGCAGACAAAGAGGCTGGACCGGATGCAACTACCGGTAAGGAAGCAAGCAAGACTCCCGAAAAGACAGCAAGTGCATCTAAGGACAACAGTGTCATTCCAAAGAATGATGTCGAACGTGCTGCATCCATTGCTATTGGCGCAGCTGCAGCAAAAGCTCACGTTTTGGCCACATTTGAAGAACGAGAATGTCAAAAGCTCGTTGGTCAAGTTTTGGAAGCACAAATGAAAAAGATGGAGATCAAGATGGCACAATTTGAACAATTGGAATCTCTCATAGAAGAAGAGAGAAGATCTTTGGAAATTTCACGTAAACAATTGTATGCTGATCGTTTGAATGTTGCTAAACAAATTCAAATGGTACAAGATCTCGTTCGAAAAGCACAAGCAAACCCAAAGAGCGTTGAGCCAAAAGAGATTCAACAAGTCAACAGCGTTCAACACGGTTTGTCTCAACAAGGTCCTATTGTTCGTGAAGCAAATGCTTCACAGCACCCTACCGCAGCAAACGGAAATGTCGCCGCTCCTGCTCCTCAAGATGGTTCAAACATTGCAAACGCTCCTGCTAGCTCTGCAGAGGCTACTATTCGTCAACTATAGCCAACAAAATATAGATAGAGCCTCTTTTCAATTCTCGTACATGTATGTAAAAATGGTAAAAAGAACTGTATAAATGTGATTGTATTCTCTGATTCTGTTAGTGTGAGGAGACATCGCTTCCTTTAAGAGCCTGCTTATCGATCACAATATAGATATTTTTTTTTCGAATTCAATTAATCACAAAAAGACGGAAACCGAGAGTAAGTATACAGATGTGGAATTAGTGGAAGCGAGCTGGAACAAAGACGAGGCGAGATGATTAATCACTATCATCATTGTATTCCTCATCGTCATCGTTCGCGTCATCATCTTCATCGTCCGAGATGACTTGCTTGTACTTTGTTGTTGTCTTGCGTTGACGCGCAGGTTGACTCTTCTTTGGAGGGGTATCGAGTAAATCATCATCATCTTCGTCTTTGACAGGCAATTTACTCTTGCTTGGCTTTGAAGGCATCAAATAGGCGTCTTCATCGTCACTGTCATCTGCCACGAGCTTGGATTGCTTGAGCTTTTTGAGGCCATTCTTGCTGCTAGAAGCAGACATGCTGCCACTTGGCTTGCTTTCATCACCAACAGCTTCACTTGCTTCACGCTTTACACCTGATGATTTCTTAACCGCAGGCCTCTTCTCAGCAAGGACAAAGTCATCATCACCGTCAAGAATCATAGCATCTTCATCCTTTTTGACTTGTTTGCGTGGCTTTGCGGCTTTTGCCTTTGTGCCAGCACCACCGCCACTCTTACGACCACGCTTGTTATTGCCAACATCGGCCAAACGACGAGCGTCTTCGTCCAATAAAGCTTGCCATTGTTCTTCAAACTTGTGCAAATCTTCACCCCAAAGGTTTTGCGGTGTACGTCTGAGCAGAGTTTCAAGCTCTTTCTCTTTTTCATCACGTTGTGCCAACAACTTATCAACTTTTTCTTTCGTGAGATTCCAAATTGCCATACTCAAAAGGTAATCATAATCCGAATCCGTTCCGATATCTTCTTCCTCTTCTTCATCAGCGTCAACGTCTGCAGCAACCTTTGGTTTGACTTGACGTGGGAATGGACGGAAGTCTTTTGCGCGCAGTTCGCTCACCAATTCCTTGCGTTTACGGTTGTTAATTTGAAGTTGTTTGTTAATGATCATTTGCACGAAACGAGCTTGATTGGACAGACGTTCGTATTGCAACTTGAGGTCATCAACGAGGAAGTCTTTACGCTTAGAGTAGTACTCCAAACGCAAGAGATAGAAATCGTCCAAGATCTCTTCGGGGGAAGTGTACTTTTTAATCTTTCCTTGATGATCGAATAAGACCATGTTTGTAGTGGAGATTTGGGATGAAAGCTTGAAGAAGGCTTCTGCACCTTTCTCTGCGATTTCAGCTTGTCCCTTTGGATTCATCTCAACCACAAAGTGAACAGTTGTGTCTGTGTGGTATTCTTTGTACTCCTTGATTGTTGCTGGAACCTTGTCAGTACCAATGACACGTTCTTCCAAACCTTCTTTGTATGATGAAGTCCAGGTTTTGATGGGCAATTCTGTGATCTCCCACGTCTTTTCATCCCTTTGTGTCACAGTACCCAAGCATTTGTAGCGGTTACGGTTGGCGTCTTCCGGAATGATTTGACCTGTGAAGCCACGGTACCAAGGGTGCATTTGAATGTACTCTTCGCCGTTCATGCGTCTCTTGATATTCTCGACAACGTCTTTTGGATTGTAGTTTGGAATGTAAGAAGACCAACCAGTACCAATACCTTCACTACCATTGAGCAACAACAATGGTACACAAGGAATGTACCATTCAGGTTCAATACTTTGACCATCTTCATTGAGGTAATTCAAAAGTCCGTCATCGGCAGGGTGGAACAAGGTACGTGTGATATCTGCAACGTTTGTGAAAATGTAACGAGCAGAAGCAGCATCTTTACCTCCCATCATACGTGTACCGAATTGACCGTTTGGCAAAAGGATGTTGACATTGTTTGCTCCAACAAAATCTTGAGCCAAATTGACAATAGTCATTTGCAAACTTGTTTCACCGTGATGGTATGCTGCATGTTCCAACACATAACCGGACAAGGAACCGACCTTGATTTCGCCCTTGAGCTTTCTCTTAAAGCAAGAGAACATGACTTTACGTTGACCGGGTTTCAAACCATCAACGACGCTTGGAATACTACGTGCGTTATCAGCCATGCTGAACAAGATCAACTCCTTGTTAATGAAATCTGCCAAAGGAACTTCGGCAATTGAATGGTCCAAGAAAGTGCCTGGTTTGAATTGACGCAACCATTCTTTACGGTCATCAGCTTTCTTCTTGTTGAATGCCAAATCGATCAAATCACGATCACCTGGTTGTGTAGTTTGGAAGGGAAGCATGTGGGTATTCATTGCTCGGAAGTACTTCTTACCGTCTTGTGCATTGGATGTACCCAGACCCTTGTAGTATTTGATTGCCCATCCTCTGCCTTGCGCGTTTTCTTCTTTCCACACCTCGTATTCAGGCATAGTGAAGAAGGTCTTTTCAACATTGCCCTTTTTGCATTTGACGATCGGGGTAATAAACTCAACCAAAAATTGAGGTTGCTTCAACAAAGAAGGGAAGAAGTGATCGAGGAAATTGATGATCAAACCTTTGATGTGTGATCCATCGTGATCTTGATCGGTCATGATCATCAAGCGACCATAACGAAGACTGTCGATAGATTCATACACTTTTCCGTGTTGAAGACCCATGATGGTCTTGATGTTTGTGATTTCAGCATTCTTCATGATTTGATCGTGACTTGCTTCACGAACGTTGAGCAATTTACCACGAAGCGGGAAAACACCGAAATTGTCACGACCCACTTCTGTAAGACCTGCTACAGCCAATGCTTTGGCAGAGTCTCCTTCTGTCAAGATCAATGTACATTCTCTGGCTTTTCGGGTACCAGCGTTGTTTGCGTCCTCCAACTTGGTGATACCTGTGATACGGTTACGCTTATGTCCATCCGTCTTCTTGAGAGCGCGTTCTTGTTGCATTTTTGCGTGAAGCATCACATTGTCAACAACACCACTGCTCATGATCTTCTTGGCAAGAGCATCAGTCAAGGTCCATTTGCTTCCGAATGCACTTGCTTTCAATGTCATGTTTTCCTTTGTTTGACTGTCGAATGTAGGGTTCACGATTTGACAGTTGACAAAGATCCATAATTGCGATCTGATTGCTGCTAATTTGACCGTATTTTTCTTGCTCTTGGTGACATATTCGGAAATTCTTGTGACGATTTGATTTTCAACCAAATCCACATGTTTACCACCTTTGATCGTTGCAATGTTGTTCACGAATGAAACTTGTCTGGCCTCACCATCGGAAACAGCAAAGGCGACTTCCCAAACTTTTCCACGATCAGTGATGCTTTCATAAATGATAGATTGCTTCGGCTTAGCAATCATATCGGCACCCATGTCCTCTTCTTTTGGTTGTGTACCTCCGCCCAACTCATTGATGGCATTGATGTACATTTCCACGTATTGCTTGAAACCTTTGATCTTCAAGCGCTCTCCGTTCAAAAAGACCTTGCAATCGCGCACTGTACCAGCCATATCGTAAACACGCTTCATCATCAATGCCTCCATATCGTCATCGATCTTTTCCAAGTGGAATCGTTTGAAGTCAGGTTTGAAGGTAATGCATGTAAAGTCTTTTGCGCCAGTAGCTTTTGTGATCTTGGGCTTGCCACGGGTGCCCATATTGTTTGAGAAGACTTGTCGGTATTTTTGACCAGAGTTGCTATCAGCAGTCTCGACGACGAATTCTGTACTATAGATGTTTGCTAATTTGGCACCGTAACCGTTACGACCACCGGTGACCTTGTCTTCAGCATCATCGTAGTTTGAAGAAGTCAACAAGTTACCGAAAATCAATTCAGGAATGTAAATGCCTTCCTTTTCGTGGATTTCGATCGGGATACCGCGTCCATTGTTCCAGACGCTAATGGAGCCTTCTTCTTTGTCAATTGTCACTTTGATGGTGTCCATTGATGTGTCTCTGACTTTGTTGTCAGCAGCATTCACAAGGATTTCGTCAAAGATTTTGTAGAAACCGGGAATGTATGAAATCTTTCGATATGCCATTCTTTGATTGGCAGGATCAAAGACCCACATATCTTCTTGATGGTGCTCTACACTTCCAATGTATGTATCGGGACGTAGCAAGACATGCTCTAATTGTGACAGCTTTTGGTATGTCTCTGTTGCTGTTTTCTTGCTGCCTGGTGCAGGGGTGCTGCGCGAAGAATTGACAGCGCTTGCTTGTGCTGAAGACTCAGCTTTGCCATTTCCGTTGACGGGTAACATGTCGATATCTTGACTGTCATTTTCGTCTGCTTCGTTGCTCTTTCTAGCTTTCAAAGGCTCAGCCTTCTTTTTGGGAGCTGCTTTTGTTGTGCCTGCAGCGCGAGGTTTGGCGGGTGCCTTTTTTGTCTTGGCGGGAGGTGAGATGACGGAGAAAGAATCGTCCGTATCCATGTTTGCGATTTCTGTGGATATTCTATTGTTTTGAGAGAATGATTGTGATGTGTGAATGAAGCGTAAAGTGTTGAGATAGGTGAATGTATGCGTTCTATCTTGTGGTATAGGATGAGGGAGAAACAAAGATCCTCTATTCCTACCAAGCGGAGAGGGTATTTGTATTTGTCGTGTAAGTTTTGCCTGCCTCGTTAGCCTTGAGACTGAGAAACGAAAGATGATGGGCAGAAGAGAAAGGACCTCGCCTTGACTTCCAGGTGATTGTGTTTGTAGTGAGAAGGACAGATGCAAGCTTAAAGCCTTAATTTGCTGCATTCACAAGGAAGTGTTGTTTGCCTGCAGGCGGTGCAGATTGTTGTTGTTTATTTTTGAAACGCGTGCCCTCGACAAAGTGCAGAGCAGTGCGAATACACGCGTGGTGCTGTACAAAGTGCTTTCAATCAAAACGCGTTTGTTGTGCAATTGGATACACGTGACATTTCACCTCTTGCTGCTCCGTGCGAAGATTGTCATTCCTTCTTGTCCGAGTCTATGCTACACCTCTCTCATCATCAAAAGGCAAAAAGATAAGATTGATGGCGAGCAAAAGGTGTACGGGTACATTTCTGTCCCTAGCTAGGGTACGAGCGGTCCCTTCAGCCGGACCATCATCGCTTTCAAGGCAAAACCTCATGTGCTTGAGCAGAACATTTCACAGTATTTCGCTTTCTTCTACACAGCCTACGAGAAAATACTATCAAGCCAGCTACACAACGCATAGAAATCTATCCAATTCGACAGCACGGTCGCAACAGTCTATCAAAGTGCTAGATAAGGAGCATGCTATAGACGATTACACTAACATACCAACATCGATCAATTCGCGCTTACAGCCAGAGCCAAGATTGCCCCAGACTGTATCGCATCCGATTAATCTGTTATGCAACCAAATACATCGGTCTATGCCTGAATTTGAGGTGATCAAGCCACCATCTCCAGTGGTCACAGTTGAAGACAATTTTGGATCATTAGGTTTTCCGGAAGATCATCCTGGCAGATCACCAACTGATACATATTATATCAATAGGTCAACATGTCTACGGACGCATACAAGTACACACGAAGTGGACACATTCTCCAAAGGGCACACAAAATGGCTCCTAACAGCTGATGTTTTCAGGAGAGATGAGATTGATGCAAGCCATTATCCAATCTTTCATCAAATGGAAGGTGCATGTGTATACGATTTGAGCGAATACGAAGAGGGAGGAAGGGTGAAAAGAGAATGCGAAGAGATGGAACAGCGTCTAAAGACTTCTCAAATTGAGATTGAAGACAATGTCGATATCCAGGAAGCTGGTGGCTATCAACCCGCACACGAACAAGATCCGAAGAAGAAAGTTGCCGCTCAATTGGCAATGCGACATCTCAAAGCTAGCCTCAACAATCTGGTTTTGGATCTCTTCAGCGAGAGGCATGCGGCTGATGTGGCATCTGAAGTCGCAGCAGGTTCTACGGCCGAACCTTTACGAGTTCGTTGGATCTCCGCATCGTTCCCATTCACTTCACCCAGCTTTGAGATCGAAGTCATGTTCAGAGGGAAATGGTTGGAAATCTTGGGATGCGGTGTGGTGATGGAACGTACGTTGGAGAATGCAAAGGTCACCAACAAACTAGGATGGGCTTTCGGTCTTGGTCTAGAAAGAATAGCAATGGTATTATTTCAAATTCCTGATATTCGTCTATTCTGGTCCCAAGATCCGCGATTCTTATCTCAGTTCGCCTCGCCAAAGTCTTCCAATGACAAAAAGGAACACGAGTCGAAAACCGGTGTATCTTCAGCAGGAGGTGCAAGCGTGCCAGATAAAACCACGTCACCTTCCAAGCTTCCGCTGATCACCTTCAAGCCATACAGTCGCTATCCTCCTTGCTACAAGGATGTCTCATTCTGGCTGCCGACCAAATCTAGCACTTCCAACACCCCAGCTTTGCACGAGAATGACGTATTTGAAGTGATTCGAGATATCGCAGGAGATTTGACGGAAGACGTTGTCTTGATCGATGACTTTGTTCATCCCAAAACGCAAAAGCAAAGCAAATGTTTCCGAATCAATTACAGAAGTATGGATAGAAATTTGGAGAATGAAGAGGTGAACCAAATTCACGCAAAAGTGACACAAAGATTAGTTGATGATCTAAAGGTTGAATTGCGATGAGATAAAAATGTACAAATATAATGCAACAAAGGAAAGATGTTCTTTTACTATAATTATCAATTTTATAACTCAATCAGCAACGATCATCGGCCTGACTTTCTCATCCGTTACAAGAGCACGGAAGAGCCGTCTCCATTCCAATGGGTCTCCTTTGCTCTTTCGCATCAAAATATACGTCTTTGCTTGCTTTGCATTGTTGCCAGGTTGGGCATTGGACGACAGAGGATTGATGATAATTTCTCCGCGTAAGGCACATTTACGATTATCCGTTGTTGTAACCCGAATCGTGCAACCGTTCGTCAGATTCTTCTTTGCTGTGCCTCTTCTTGTTATAGTTGGATCTTCGTCATACACACTAACCATATCCAAGTCCATTGCATCATCTCCGATCGTGCTTGAATCGATGGGAGAACTGGCTGGGTCATCGTTTGTAAAGAAATCGTCATCTTGATCTGAGCGCGTTGGACGAACGTTGTGAGTAATGGACATGTTGCCCAAAAGGTCGATGATTTGCCTTGCCACCACATCTGCCGAGCCACTACAGAATGCACGGGTAAGATGCGGAGAAAACCGAGCCACACCGCCTGCAAGACTTGACCATTGGGTCATATGATTCATGGCTTGGGTGAATTGACTAGACGCCGCACCTGCTGCCATGCCCAGTCCATCAATACTTGCAGAAGGAACATTGTTACGACGTGCGCTGATTTGTTGAGACATTGCGATCTTGATGGGATCTGATGTCTTAAGAGCAGGCACAGCAGATGAAGGCGGCAAACGAGCAGAGTCAAATGCCAATCCTGCTCCGAATGCTTCTGGTTGAGTTAAAGAGATGTGATCAGGGACATTGGCACGCTTTCCGTCTGTATGCAATTGATATGTAAGATCGCCAGAAACGATCAAGCCCTGCAATAACCCTTCTGCCAAGCTTGCAGGATCCGGATCTTGACCTCTTGGCACAAAAGGATTGTCGCGAAGATACCATTTGTGCTTTTTGATATCAGCAATCGAAAGTCGTTTCTGTGGATAAACGCAAAGCATTCCATGCAGCAGAGATAGAGCGTCTGATTCAATCTTTGTCCAAGGATAGTATGTTTGACCATTAAAGTACGCCATGAATTCCTCACTTCGCCTCGTTGGCTCATCCCAAGGCGTATTTCCAACAAGAAGAGCGAATAACACCACACCTGTGCTCCAAACATCTGCTGGCTCTCCTCGATATGGTTGACCATTCATCTCTGGTGCAATGTATGGCAAGCTGCCACAAGCTCCTTTCATTTCTCTCTCTTTTCCTTTGTACCTGTACACACTACACAATCCAAAATCGGCCAATTTGAGTAATCCATTTGCGTCCAATAAGAGGTTTTCCGGTTTGATATCACGATGTGCCACACCTTGCGAGTGGATATATTCCAATGCACCCATCAACTGGACGAAGTAGACATGAGCCAAGTCTTCCATCACACCTACATCAGGAGCAATCTTGTCGAACAGGTCACCACCAGCGCCATATTCGAGAACCATGTACAAACCTGGAACATGATTTGATGAAGTTTCCTTGAGGTACTCTTCTGCTTCTAAGAACTCTAACACATGTTGATGCTTGAGGACTTTATGTATCTGTACTTCCTTTTTTAATGCTTGACGGTCTGGAGGATGAATTTGACGAGATGCAGCAGAGGATGGTTTTGCATAGGATACCACCTTTACCGCTGCTACTTTGTGAACAGATGCTTTTGGGTTGATGGCACGGAATACTCTTGAGAATCCACCGCCTCCAATTTGCTGAACTATGCGATATCCTTTGATGTCAGGATATGATTTACCAGTTGAAGATGTTGGAAGAATCATCTTGTCTTTGAAGATGGAGAAAAGGAATCAAGATCTTTTTGCTGAGCATATATCTTCTTACACCAAACATTAAAAAGTGTTGTTCTTTTTAAAGACGCGTTACAACAATTTACGCCATTTCGTTTGTTCGCGTCTTGTGTTGTTTTCTCTAGGCAGAGCACGAGCCAACCACCAATGCTCCTAACACAACTCCGCCCCTTCTGTTAAGAGCCAGTGCACATACTAGTCAAGTTTGAACCATCATCCTCACACAACATGATCTTCCTACGAGAATAAAAGATACATTTTTGACATCATCATGGCCAGCTCAGGGAGAAATCATCTCGGATCCTCTTCGGCTGCGTCATCATCATCTCAAAGCTCTGACAGCGAACACATAGATTCAAATGTCAACACACAAGGATCGTCTAGCTTGCTAGATTTGAAGAGGATATATGAACAGGTAAGATCTTATTGCAATTATGAGCCACATGTACAAAGACTGATAACCAATCACTCACCCCTAGCGACGGATACGGCATATCGTTTGTATTCTCGTACGAAATTTGGAATTGCCAGACCTCAAAACAAATCGACATCGTCAAACGCCATTGCGACCTACAGCTCATCGATCGATCAGTATAACGAGCAATCATAGCACGCACACACTAAAGCGCACTCCCTCTAATCGCACACTAAGAGCATCTGTTCGAAGAAGGGCATCTTCCGTTGCCTCAATCCCGCATACCGACGATGAAGATGAAGATCGACAAAGACCATCCAGAACATATCAACCTCCATCACTATTTCTACCTTGGGATACTGATTCATTGCGAAGGTCCATCAATGCTCGATTTACGTATGCATTTGTCTCTTTTGCAGATACCAAAAACTCTCGAATAATCTATCGAACGCCGGTCACGAGAAAATCTGGCCTTCATCATGCTTGGGGAAATACTTCAGGCTCAGATATCGAATCAGATGGTATTGATCTTTCCCAACTGACAAATGAGGATGGATCTCAAAGTCATTTGCGCATATCACTCTGGGCTGCAACACAATTGGCTGTAGAGTCTATGCCTTCAGAGCACGATGCGAAACGTATCATTGAACCTGGCTCGGAAGAAAGTAGCGGCTTTCAGCTTGTCTGGGAGAGGGATGTGAGATTGCAGAGCCTACACAAAGTTGAGAAAGAGGTAAGTCCTACACTGTGTGCTACGAGAGAATACTCGAGCTGATATATCTCACCTTTTATCCTTGCAGCTATCGAACGTCTCCCTGACGCTTCCGGAGAATTCAATGATCTTGGGGATGCGCTTGCCTCTTGCACAGGTACACGTTGCTGAGACAGATTCAGGGGATCAAGCACAAGATGGCAAAACTCGAGATGATACCGGAAAGACTGGCATATCAAAGAGCGGAAGTGTGACACAGTATTATGTCGTGTTACCTCAAATCGAGGTCGGTCAAGACCTTTCAGAGAGTGGAGGAGAAGTGCCGCTGGAGAAAAGTTTGATCAGAAAGCTATTGAAAGAAGGAACCTTGAAACGTGGCTATGATATCGCAGACATACTACAAGTCCTTCAATTACAGCGTCAAATGTTGGAGGAAAAGGAAGGCATCGACAATGCAGGTTCAGGTTGCTCTTCCATCCTCACTGGAAAGGAAGATAGCGGTGTGCATCGGATAGTACAGCTAGGAGAAGATAAGGAGCGCCAACGGGTCCTGCTTGCCAAACGAGATGCTACACGAGAAATTGTGAAACAAAAGAGGAGAGAGATTCACGATCGTAATGAAGCTTTGCATCGTCGTCGTGCCCGACTAGAGATCGCAAGAAGACTATTGACGAATCGACAAAAAGTGTATGAAGAATTGCGAAAGAAGATGACACAATTATCCAAAGTTCGTCTGAATATCGAAGCAAAGATTTATGCACGTAGGGTCGTCATGCTTCGTCAAGTGGAGTATATTTATCCGATTGATCTGATCGATGGTGCTCAACTTTTATTTGGGATAGTGGATATTCCTCTGATGAATCGTGATGGAAATGAAGACAATCATACAGACAAGGAGAAAAGAAGTAACGTAAAAGTGGATCAGAGTGATGATATCGTTAGTAGTGCTTTGGGAATGGTTGGTCAGATGGTGGCATTGATCAGTGCGTACACTGATGCTCCTTTGCATTATCCAATCGCAACTGCTGGTAGTAGATCTGTGATTCAGGATGGGATCAGTGTGATGAGTGGACCAAGAGCATTTCCGCTTTATTCAAAAGGCGTTGAACGGTATCGGTATGAATACGGTCACTTTCTCTTGAACAAGGACATCGAACAACTAATGAATCATGCCGGCATCACAATCTTGGATATTCGCAATACTTTGCCTAATTTGAAGAATCTGATTGTTACACTCACAGCTTCTAGTCAGGTGAACAGTAAGCTATCTCGACGTCATCATATCGGATCAGAAATGATTTCTTTGCCAAACACCAAAGCGGAGAGCTTGGGGATCGGCAGACCGACAGGTCCAGCGAACGACAAGCATCAACAAGGCGATCAGATCGGGTACGGAGCAGTTGTGGAAAATCAATCCATTTTAGGACATTCAAAACGGTCAACGGCAGGATCGAGATGGGGAATGTCGCTTTTAGGATGGGGCTCATCAGCGAATGCAGGGGCGTCCAGTCCGTCTAAATCACCACATCAACAAATGTCTAATGAGACACAAAATAATGTGCCAACCGTACGAACTCTAGGAAGAAGCGGATAATCATGTAATCGTACCGTATACCCGGGTAATCTTTCAAAAGCATGCGTTTATAGAAATGAGAATGTACAATTGATGAAATCATGTTGGAAGAAATACAGATGCGTGAAAAGAGGTATGCAAAGAAGGTATCTCACTGTTGCTGTCGGTTTGCCAATGTACGATCCACGAGACCAATGACTACAAAGCTGGATAGGACCACTGCTGATCCTACATACGCCTGCGTACCACCAGAATGCGATCCGAGTAAAGTATCACCAACGATGGCCAAAGGAATTGTTAAAGAAAGCCCAACGGTTGCTACTAGAGGGGATGATTTGAGCATTGCCAACAGATAAGCAAAATCGCTGATCACAGTGATGGACATATTGACAACAACGCTTAACCATTCCAATTTTCCGTGTGGCAATTCGATCAATTCGATCCTGGTCAAGTGTAAAATGAGACCGATCGGCCACATAAGAGTAATACTTAAAATGCCAACGAAACCAAAGAACAAAGGCATAGATACCCTCTCCTCACGTCCGATACGGAATTTGAGTAATACGACGTATACCGCGTAAAATAAAGCCGATGCCAAAGCAAGTAGATCTCCAGAAAATGGCAAAGCAGGTTCGTTGCTCGGGTTTCCACCTCCGGGAATTTGAGTTTGATCGTCTCCTGTGCTTACATCGGCTCGCATCACCATCAAGACTCCTAAAAAGCTCATAGTGACTGCGCCCAATTTGGCAAATGAGAATACTTCCACGCCAATCATTGCACCCAATGCCAAAGTGAAAAACCCACTTGCGCTACTCAAAGTTGTCGCACTTGCAACGCTTGTCAATTTGAGTGCTAAATTCAAACAGTAATTTGCCATAAACCAAACGATCATAAATTGCAGAGCCAGGACTGCAGTCTGGTGCAAATCCAATGGAGGAGATTGTTCTTCAGTGCTGGGAAGTTGCTTCAATGCTTGTTGTGAAAGTGGTCTTCTGCCGTCTATAGATGAAGGTCTCATCAATCTTCTTCGTTCGATATCCAACGTATTCTGTCTTGTCCTTCGTTCGTCGGTGTTTGCTTCTTCATCATCGTGACTTCGGACGGGAGCATATGTATCTGTCCTTTCTGTAGACCATATCGATCCCGCTGGAAGAATAAAGCCAACTTTTGCCCAAACGCCTTTCAGCTGATATGCTTCGGTTGTGATGTCCCTTGCGCTCTTTCGCCTTTGCTGTAGTACGACTGCGAACGGTATTAGGTACAAAGCGAATGAAGCCGTATTGAGATAAGTTACCGCAAAAGGTTTATCGTACCCTTTCGTTAGCTGATAGTTTGTCAAAAAGTTGGAAGAAGTCCACAGTAGGACCACAAGCAGCAACAATGACACACCTACCAAGAATGTGTCGTTCGTTCTTGGAGCCTGTACTGATCTGCTTTCCTCGCCTCGTACATGATCGTGATCGATGCTTCTCCGCCTTCTTCTACCTCTAGAGTCACTGCGGTCCCCGTTTGTGGTCATTGTGCCATATCCTTCAGCGGAGGAAGGAGACATTCCCCTTTTCCCACAACAAGAAGAGGTAGTCGGAATTGTGGAAATGATGCAAAAAGCGCGATCATTAGTCTTTCTGGCGTGCTAATTTTTTTTTTCTTATCAGTGAGGGTCTTTGATAAAAACACCTCTAATGCATCTGAGCAGTGTTCCATTATTCAGGCGCGGTCATCATTCTTTATCCGCACTCAACATATCATCATGATATAAAAGCAAGAAAAGTATAGATTGTTCCGTTACAAAATACTGCTATCCGAGATGATGAGAACATGTGAAATCCTTATTGAGTTTTTGGAGGGTTGGTAAAGATACTTGGATTAGCTTTGATATTGCTATCATTTTCACCTGCTTCACCCAAAAGGTTGATCAATTGGAACAAGATTGGTTCCAAAGAGGCACCCAAAGCCAATGGGTTCAAAATTGAAGTTAATTCAGTCTTCTTTGAACAACCTGAAGTGGCCACCTTTCCGGCAAATGCATCATTGACGAATTGATTGCCCAAAACAACACCTGCAATTTCTCCTGTGATGTGACCACCGTTTGCTAATTCAACAAATTGAACGGCCGATCCTTGACTGCACCAGCTTTCGTACAACTTTACAGCAGGTGCATAAGGAATAATTTCATCATTGAGAGAGTGATAGAGTAGGACTGGGGCAGTTGGTCTTTGAGCAGGATTGACGCCCATAGTTTGATTGTTAACCAAAGCAGAAACTTGAGGATCATACAAGAATCTATCACCTAACTTTTGGAACTTCTTAGAAGAAATACTTTGGAATGCAAAATGACCCAAATCAGCAACTGCACAATTCTCTCTTACAAATTGCAGCTCTGCTTGTCCATAAGGTGTTGCCAATTCATTAATCAAGGGAATGGCAGTTGCTCCATAAGCAGAAGGAGCAGCAAGACCAGCAATTGCGGCAGGAAGGAAACCGGCAAAGAAAGTACCGTCGATCAATTCAACTACTGAAGTTAAATTTGCCGGTGTTCCACCTGAAGACCAACCTTTTATATTTTGATTCAAATCAGGCGCATAACTTGGTTGAAGTCCTGCTGCCCATCCGGTTGCGATCGCACCGCCCGAATAACCAACACCAACGATTGCAGGTTCAGCGATCAAACCAACTTGTTTACCAAAATTCTTTGCTGCACGAATGCTGTCCAAGACACCCGTTCCGGAAAGTTTACCTGCACCGAATGCATTATCGGGTCCTTCGTAATCAGGTGCATTGACGATATAACCTTGGAAAAGGTATGTTTGAATGATCAAATTTTCAACGGAAACGATCAAACTTTCTTGATCAGCTCCAACACGATAAGTATAACTTGGAGCGCATTGAGGACCGTTACTGTCTTCGGCAGTATGAAAAGAAACGAATTTATCCGTTTTTGCAAGAACTGGTTTCATGATTGTAGTTACCGAAGTGATTGCAGTTAGATTAACTGATTCTGTACGATATTGAACTTGATATGCTTCAACAGGTTCGGGAAGTAAACCAAAAATACCAATAACAACTTGACGGGATTTTAAAACATCTCCATTCTTTGCGTTTTGATAACCTGGTGCAGAGTTATAGAAATCATCATCTTGCGGAGGTGGAACAAGTCCACGTTCTGTGTAGATGTGGGATGGAACAACGGCAGCAGAGATGATTGTCGTAGCATAAACGACCAACAAACCCAAAAGGGTGGAGAGGGAGAGTTGCATTCTGGCGGGGGAAGGGGAGGGAGGGGGTAATGGGTATATGAGGGGGACGAGGGAATAGAAGGATGACGGCAAGGAAAGCCAAGCTTCTTATACGTTTCTCATTGTCAGGATTAAAGTTTGCTATACTTAGGTGTATTGTATGCATCCATATCACCATCAACTCTATACGGGCCGAATAAGAAGCCAGCCGGAAGAGAAAATCTAGAAGAATAACAATAAAGGGATGCACAATGACTGTAAAACGGAAACATGCGGTTACCTGCAAGACAATCCAAACTATCGTGCGGATGATCATCTTTTAGCAGAGGTTGTGCCGGGTATACATAGATTGCTTATGGATGCATGATGTTGTATTGTTCTGTTTTTCCCATACTCTCTTTTTCTGTTTTCTCTCCGCATGATTTGTTTGTCTTAGCGTCAATCTTGATTGATTACGGCTTTTGACAAAAAAATGATCAAAAAGACTTGAAAATTGAGTGAAAACATAAAAAATGATCGAATCTTAAAAGACGCTAACGAAGTAACATGCGGAAGCCACGCTGAACCCCACACACACCACACTCAACGGTTTTGTAGGAGCAGGCAGAATAACAATGGCATCCATCAGCTTAGCGTGAGTTAGTTGGACTAAATTGTTTTTTTTTTTTTTCAGATCTGATTATTTGTTTTCCAAATCGACAGATAATTCCATGGAAGTTGACATTGTATTAAAAGCACCGAGAATGAACGTGAATCGACCGAAAATTAATCTACAATAGGAGTTTGAACTATAATGTGACTATTAAATGAGTATATAAGCGGAATACGGTTAAAGTTCAATTAATTTAAAGTCTGCTTTGACGGTGATTGCCTGATTCTTCTCCCTCTTCTTGCTCAGGTAAGCATTCCAGCATTTGCTTAACGGTTTTTTGAACGATATCAGTCATGTGATCATAGTCCAAATACCTTTCGTTGAAATAGATCTCTGCGCTGAACTTCCCGTTCCATACTGATCCTAACATCCAAGGACGATTGGTGAGAGAGCGTGTTCCCATGTATACGTCGCACAACGTCATTTCCAAGCCAGGATTCGAATGTCTTTCAGTGATGAACCTTGACACGTTTCCGATGTATGTCAAGCCTGGGAAACCAGGTGGAAGATAAACGCTTGAAGTGGAAGCAACGCTACTCAAATAAGGCATCAAAAGTGTATCCATTGCCTCTCTTCCCAAAGGATGAGGATGTGTGATTTGTGCTTGTGTTGCTTGTCCTAAAGACATTGCAATTTCCAAAACTGATGCATCTTTTGTAGGAACCCAAATCAAACCTGGCATCATTGCGCATGAAACGGGTCCATGGGACTCGTTCCTGTTCACTTCAATGAATTGTTGAACGGGTAGTGGAAGTGTGCATTTGATGCCTTCTGGAACTTCTTCTCCCCTTGCTGCATGTGCTGCGCCGTACTCTTGTGACAGTGTATACAGATAGCTCGCTCCCATCAGCCCAACCAACGGCATTCCGACAGATTTGCAAAAAGTGTTCAAAGCTTTCGTTTCACGTTGACTTAGAGTAACTTTTGTGAACGAACGTTTATTTTTACGGAAAGCTGCATCTCCATCTGATGGAATCAAGATCGAATCTTTCGAAGCAGCATCCATCAAGACATCTTGCCAATGTTCGACACCTTTTTGTTTATCTTCCTCTGTGGGTTCCATTTGACGATCGTATGCAAAGGAGACACTGACGGGTAGTCTACGTTGCATTTCTTCGGCGGGAATCGGAGTCAAAACGATCGAAGGGTCGAATGTGTCACCCCGGGAAGAAGCAATCATGCCCATCATTTCATCGTATGCTTGTGCTCCGTAATAAGGATCAAAGATGACGTGGGAAAGATAGTAGGCAACGGATACCTTGTGCTCCCCAAAGCAAACGTACATGGAAGCTCTCCTTCCGTCTCCGTCACCGACACGGCCATTCAAGACGAAATCTGCCAAGTCAGCCGGATCTTTAAGTCTTGGAAAGTTGATATGTGTACTGACCAATTGTTGTGCTTGAGAGGCTGTAGTCGGTTTACGATAACGCAAATACGTCACTTTGTTGAGCTCATCCGATTGTGAACCCGCAGGATCACGCAACTCAGTCTCAAGTGTACAACCGATCAGGGGATGTTTAAGATAAGTTTTCAAAAAACCATTTTGAATTCTTGCAATCATTTCGCGTTGTGAATCTTGACCTTTTGTTTCAAATTGCGTCACTATACATCCTTCTCCGTGTCCGTTCATACTCCGTTCCAAGAAATCAAACATCTTTTCTCCTCCAACGACTTCCCGTTGATAATAGTCTGGCTCTAGTATTTGCCATTCGTATTGAGCTTGATCAGGTTGGGGCTTATTGGAAGAGCCGTTGTTTTCGCCAATTGAATGGGTAGAGGACGACATCTTTTGGGGTGATCAGCAGAAAATTGTAGGAAGAGAGCAGGATGGAGATGGTGACAAAAGATAGAAAGAGAAGAAAGAGACGTCGGGAATCCCTTATCAATGAAGAGAATAATTCTACGAAATGTATATCCGATCGATCTGAATTCTTCCCACATTGTTTATACATTGTTTAATGTGCTATAGGTTCCCGCTCTCAAGAAAGCTCTTTTCCCTTTTCACAAGCAGCGGGCTAAAATAGGGTGCAATTTAGCCTGTAAAGAAGATCTACATTACCTGACATTGTATTAAGTCCAACAGCTGAGACTCTTTTAGCAAGTTTCATTAGGGTTTATGTAAACAAACAGATGAACTAGTGATAGTGCATGCTTTGGTGGTTTCATATGGTGGAAGAAGAAGAAGAAGAAGAGCAATTCTGTGTTTTTTCTGGTAAATACATCCCGTACTCATCTTCTGCTTTAGCTTCTTGCTTAGACTGTGCGGCGGCCCCACAATTCCACTGCATTTGACGCGCGCTTTATGCAGATTGTTTCGGAGCATTTTACATTTTAGCGTTGAAAATGTTTATGCGAAAATGAAAATGAATTCTGGGTGTTGAACAATAATGCTCTAAAAACAAAGATCGAAGCTAATGTTTAACGGCATCATATCACCTTTTTCTTTCTTTCTTTGATCAAAGTGGGTGCAGAAGTCTAAAGAATCGAAATCATCGGCACAGACGATTCTCACGCTCGAATTTGAACGAAGTTATTATCATATAGTCACGTTCCTATCTGATCAAGGAAGGACCTGATTTGTGTTCTTTGGTCATGTATATTGCACGTTCATCGAATCCAGCTAACCATTGTATGTATCCGCCGGTTCCCTCGATATCGCAAGTATGCTTCCCTTTGTTTCAAACTTCGCAAGGACTGCATAAATGAAATTTTAAAACACATGTACTTTTATTAGTCACGTTCACAGAATGAAATTCGAGAAAAAGAGCTTGCCGTGGGTCATTTGAGAAATGCAAGTTCGCAAACCATTAACTAGCATCACAAGTCAAACATTTGACAGAAAATTGAAACGTGTGCTCACATCACATCTTGAAAACAATGAACTTCCAAAACGAGACCCTTTCTTATCGCACATTCCGGGGTCCCGAATTTTATATCAGTGATAATCTCTTCGCTTATACTTCTGTTCTTGGCAGTATGCTATCAGATTCAAGATGCCATTCTTAATTAATAATAATACAAGAGTTTATCCGAACCCATTGTTCATGCATACATAGTTTTCATTTATGTATAGACACATTAATGGATTATCTGAAACGGTACCATCATTTCAGATTACAAAATTTATCCGATCACCATGTGATATACATGATGAGAAACTCTCTTTGACGGTGTATGACTCGAATGTTTCGTTTTATCTCTGGAAATCGAGATGGAAACGTGCAATCAAAATCTACTCGAGAAACTTTACAACCAACAAATGCAATATCGCAGGAGGTCTGTCTTTCTGAAAGTTGTCCCGGATTGTTCTCATAAGTCAAAAAATCTCATTGCGAGCCTCAATTTGGTATCCGTGTTTATCCTATCTTTTTTCTACAGTCAAATACTCAAACATTGCGCAAGTGGAGACAATAATGGTCAAAAGAAAAGAATTACCATTGATCAGAAGACTATAATACATATTTCGTTCTTTTTTTCGTATAAAGATAAACGTAGGTAAACTATGAACAACCAAAAAGCTACTTAGGGTTAGGATTAAAGAAAGCCAAAAAAATAAAAACAGGGTAGAAAGATCAAGAGCGAATAGCATATTCTTGCATTAAAGAAAGGTGTGATTGTGGAACGGGAGTGGCTTTTCCCTTTTCATAATCAAAAACGACGCACAATTGATCGGAAGTTGAAACGATGTCTCTTTGTTTGAGTGAATAAGCAGTCATACGTAAAGTGAATCTATCGGGACGTTCCATCGGGAAAACTGCTCCTTGTGCAATGATGACTGTATCATTTCCTTGAATTGGTCTTCTATAACGAATTTGTAAGTTGCTCAAAATCATCGAAAGGTTACTGCCTCCCGGTCTGACCGAATCAGGTCCAAAGATCTTGCTCATATACATTGCCCTTGCAGATTCGAACCATTGAACATAACGAACGTGATTCACGTGTCCGAATTGATCATGATCGCCCCAAACAACACGTTGATCCCACATCATACTACGATGACCTAATCCTTTGGCTTCTAGATGTTCGATCGCGTTTTGGAATTCTGCATTGCTGAATTGCAAGCCGGGTAACAGTTGTTGCAAGCTTTGTGTTGGCATTTGGATTTCTGCTTGAGCAGGAATGCTTTGTGGCATCGGTTTTGCTAAGAGTGAGGCTCTTGCAACTGCCGCTCCTGATTCTTCAATCGTGGTGACTGAGGCCAAACAGCGGGCAGCAGCGGCGGCAGATGGACTGCGTGGTAAAGCTGGCAAAGCACGTCTCAATAAGGAGCTCATTCTTGTGTTGAGTGATGATGGTCTGTCTAGGATGGTTCTAGGGAGATAATTTGGGGAGCAAGAAAGGTAAAGATAGACGCAAGTGATTTATATGTGGTATGGAATACTTCCACTTCAGATATGTGTTTCCCACAAGATCAAAAATTCTTGAACAAACAGCGCTAAGGGATAGTGTAGGTACGCAATTCTCATGAATGACCTGATACTAACGTGAGCTAGAGGATGTACGTTTGAACCCGAGTAAAAAAGCTGAATAGATACAAGAAAGATGGCACTAAAGCAGTAAGCGTCAAGTGTAAATTTCTTTTCTTACCACTTTGGTAAAACTTTGCTGATCCCCATCATGAGAAGGACTACTTTAGCGGGAAAAAAGCGGCGAATTTTGACGGCATGAATATTGATCCCACGAATTAGTCTGCAATGGAATTTTCCAAGAAATGAAACACGATTGCAAATGGTAATATATCCAGTTTTTTCTTTCATTCATTCGAAATGCAATCTTTTTCGTTCGGGAGGAGGAATAGATTCTCTCTTTCGTTAGCGACTTTTTCTTAGCGTTTCCGATGTATGAGTAGTTGCCGTCTGATGTGTGACAATGCATTCGAGTTATTCATTGTAATCATGCCGTGAGTAGTGGCAGGAGAATAAAACGATTTACGCTAAAAATAAAAAACTCAACGGAAAATAAATCTTACAAGCGGGGTTCAAATCGGCACTTTGTGCACTTTATCAGTGTATATGCACGTCCAATCTGCATAGAAGCAAGCGGCCCCAGAACTGTACAACGAGTGCAGTGCATTTTGTGGTACGCGTAGAATTGTTTAACCCCCCGTCATTGTAATCATTCAATTAAAGAAAAGAAGAATGTTTAACAAAATTACGCTATCGAGGTTTAAGACATACACAACCCATATCTTTGTAAGCTCGCATGCTCTTTTAAAACGGACCCGACCGACTCTGGGGACCAGGAGGAAGATTCGACGGAAAGTAGGCAATGGACTAGCGTTTATTTCCACTTTTAACGCTTTAATGGCCGTTCTTGGCATCCATTCCCAGAGTGCCGGCGGCGATGCTGAGGATGTTTTGTCTTGAATCGAGTATGCACATGTTTAGCGTATTTTTACATGTCAATTTTTGACTGTGATTGATTCATTGTTTAATCTATTTTCTATAAATCTGCAAAAAGAACCCTTTTCCTTGCGTTTTATGCACTTGTAAATAGATATATTTGATCTTAAATGCATTTATGCATCTAAACAGCTGTTTACCCTTTCAAATTCAATTATTTTCCGATGTGGGGCAAAAAGAGTGGCGGAAAAAAGAAGCATTAAATAAAATCTCCTTGTGTGTGTGTGCATAAAGAATTGATCTGATAGAAATTGAAAACCACGCTAAACAATTCAGAGACAAAATCATAAATTTGTCAACGGGTTTTCGTACGATAGGATAACAAAAGCCACTTCAATTAAGACAGTATTCGTGATAAGAAGATTATCTACACATCGTACAAATGATTCGGAATAAAGAGAGAGAGAGAGAGGCAGAATTGACACTTGAATGGAGAGTAATATATGTCAACTTTCAACTCTATTTTAGCTTATCCTAGACGCACCCTTTTTCATACGATCATGGTCACTAGCCTCAAGCAAGTGATCAGACACTATCCATTGAGGCAGACATGCAGTCAAATCGTAAGCAAAGCCAATATGCACACCAAAATCAGCTAACGACAATGTCACAAACAAATCAACACTTCTTCGGATAAATTGCCTGTCAGCACTCTACCAGCGTCTTGGTTTATGCCCCGTTAGCAGTTCAATTCACTAAACCCAGGTTTCTGTCGAGAACATCACCATCGAAACAAAGGAAAAGAGGGACTGTTGCTTGGAATGCGATAAGCAGGCTATAATGTGTGAACACTTTCTTCGTTCCGCTAATTTGTGGGACTTTAACGCTAATCCCATATGGTCAAAACTGAAATCGATCAAATGTCAAAAGAACTACCGGCGACTTTTGTATAGATTCCAAACAAACGAAGATCTCCCCAATTCCTTTCCCAAAAGCCACGAGTCGAAAAACTAGTTTCCTAGAGAAGAGATGACTGTACGCTAGCTCTAGACATCGTTTGCGACCACCATCATATCTCCCTCATCCATCACAAATCTCCAAAATGCCTATGAAGACATTCGAGCACTGGGCAATTTTATGCCATCCTGCTTGGGGTCATGTCCGTCACTTCAACGGATTCTTGACCCGTATCCTACGTCGTCATCGCGAAAGAGATGTCCGAATTACCTATCTTCTCCATCACACTCACGCTCGTAAAGCACGGGCAGAAGTGAGTCAATTAATGGTAGAAGAAGGTGAATCGTACGAAGAAAGTGAGAGGTTATTAAACAAGATTCGCTTTATCGGTTTAGCACCAACGCAGGCGTTATTGGAATCACCCGAGTATCAAAAATTGTTGTTGGGGTCAACGACTTCGATCAGATTCGGAATGGAATTGCAGTCGGCTTTTGGTCATATTTGGGTCGATATCTTGTCTTCTCAGGATCGCGATAGAATCATACGTTGTGCAGCCTCTGACCAGGTTTACTCGTACGACGAATGGCCAAGACCGACCATTCTCCACACGGATATCGTGAGTAGCACCGTTAATCGCCGCATTGGCACTCGTGAGCTAACACAACCTTACTCTTTCCTCTTTCCAGTACGGCGCTCCAATGCTCAAATTTGTTCGTGAACAAGATGAACAGAGAGGACAGCGAACGCATAAGGTATGTATAAAAATGAATAGCCTAAATTTGGACTGCATTACTGAAATCCCTTCCTGCTCCCATCAGATCTACCATTGGTCTACCGAATTTGTTAGCTTTTGGCGCATGTTCAAGAAAGATGATATCAGTCAAGGTGGAATTGAAGATGATGTGGTATCGATGTTAGCAGATCCGGAGCAATGTGCAAAATTACCAGCAAATTCGGCTAATTTTCTAGAACAATGCTTCGAACGTTATAATCGTAATGTGAATCAATTGCTATGCTATCCCGGCTTGAAGAATGGCATGTACGATTTCGAGATCAATCCTGGTCAAGTAGGGTGGCTACGAACGTACATCCCTGCTTTGAACAAAATGAAAGCGGCAATCACTGAATCAGACGGAATCGTGATCGCAAGCTGTGATGACTATCAGCCGTTGGCCAAGCAAATAATCGAGAATTGGCTTTGGGAAGAACATAATGTTCGACTGTATGCTATCGGACCGTCGATTGAGGATAATTTACTCAGTGAGCGACCAGAGAACATCGTCGTTCACGAAAAAGATTCTGCGCTGATCTCGTTTATGGACAGATGCCAAGAAAGACACGGACAAAATAGCATCATTCTCTTGAGCTGGGGTACTATTTGGGCTCCATTTCGTTATCCAGACATCCTTGAAGCCTGGATTGATGAAGTTTTGGAGAGCGGAAGACCGTTTATCCTCAATCGCTCTGCAGAATTGTTCTCACGCTTGTCACCATGGATCGAAGAGAAGCTCAAAGTGGCAATTGCGGCAGACACCGGCTTTCAGACCAATTGGATTGCTCAAAGGACCGTTTGCAGACATCCAGCTTTGGGTGTGTTTGTGTCACATTGCGGATATGCGTCTGCTTCTGAATCCACTGTTCCTATCATTGGTTGGCCAAGTTTCTTTGATCAAAGTATCATTGCACAAATTGGTGTAGACAATGATGCAGGTTGGCAATTATACCAAGTTCGTGGTCCAGATGCAGCGAAGCAAGGTCAAAAATGCCGCGCGTTAGAATTGCAAGGTAAACAGATTCTTGGAACATTGGATGCCGTACGTGAAGAGGCAAGACAGGTTTTGCAAGAATCTCATTGTCAACATCCAGTCTATCAAAGAAAGATGGCGAACTTGAGAAGGATTCGAAGGGCTATGCATGCTAGCATGTCCAAAGGTGGTAGTGCATACGAGGACGTTGAACGTCTTTTGGACTTATCCTAAATCGAAATGGGCTTTACTCTATAATATTCTTGATAATCTTTACTGCTTAATTGTACATTTAATCTTCTACTTAATCGATACCAATACTTCGAGAGGGAGAATGTGCCTCGTTCTTTGTTGCATGAAAATTACCTCCCGGAATGAACGCGCTGCATGAGCAAGACGGCGCATTCATGCAATCATATACCATTCAGGATTGAATCTGTTCATCTTTCTTACCACCACATCTACATCTCACCCAATTCTAGATACCATGAGCGACTCTGTATCATTGGTCAACCTCACGGCCGAAGAAAAGGTGCAAGCCCGAATAGGCTACGACGAAGCGTTGCAATATAGCATGTTCTATTTTCGCGAAGCGATTATTCCGGTCGCCCTTTTTACGCCTTTGGTCACACTGTATGTCTCTTTCATGCTCTTTTCCACATCTAGTCAACGTAGATCGTTTATTTACTGGTGTTTGGTCCTTGCTTTCGTTCTCAATGCCATTCAGACTAGTGCATATATTCGATTTGCCGTTTTGGGTTATCACCAACACGATGGCAGTATTGCTTTACGGTTGGCTAATAATTTGCATCTCTTCGTTCCCTGGATATTTGAGATGGCATTGACCGGAAAAGTCTATCAGTTGTATTCTTTTGTTCCTGTTTGTGTTCCGACTTGCTTTCTTGCAATACGAGCGGGTCTATACTCCGCAATCATAACATGTACGCAAAGAGGAGATACAAGTAAGCTGAAGGGATTATACCTTGGTGAATACATCTTGCAATTCATGACGACAACGTACTGTAGCTCTCTTCTGGTAATCAAGGCGATTCGACTACATCGAGCACAGGTCCACAAAGATGATACGCCAAAGGAGCAAAAATTGACCTACTTACGAGTTGTGATTGAATTAACTCTTATGACATTTGCGCCGGGAGTGCCAATCAGCCTTGCATTGGTGGTTATGTGGTGCCTACACATGCGCTACGATACTGAAAAGATCAAAGAAGCCATGAAGTTATTGATTCTGATCAATACGTACGGTGGATGTGAGTACATAGCAATGCAGACATCGGAATAATCACTGACCAGATATTCTTCCCCTTTCATGAATGTCTACATCAGTACTTTGGGCTCTTTTTGCTGCCCAATGGAGCACTATACGTGACATTCGCACGCTTCACGTCACTGAGCAATCTCACCGCAACCCAGATATGGTGTACCGAAATCATGCGGAAGAAATTCCCATGCACGAAATGCCAAGACCAAAGAGGACTTCACGGCCGCAAAGTAGTCAAAACGATATCATTGAAGTTGTTCCTGAAAGTGATGCTACACCAACCATCTCGCTTTCTGAGAATCTTGCAGCTCAGACGCCACCAAGAAAAACGTTAAAGCGGATGTGGCTTGGACGCCGGCCCGCAATCGGACCCGAAAGATCTGGTTTGAATTGGTTGACACGACCAAAGGAAATCAAAGTCACAGAGGAGCATGAAGATATGATAAAGGCACGATCGATAGGCAGCAAAAGAAGAAAATGATGAACAGCATACCGGGCTCCTTCGAACAGCTGCCGCGGAGATCAAAAGTGGCTTGGGGCTGCGTATGACCAAATTGCGGATAGCCGAACGAAAATTAGAGACAAGAATGTTCTTCATAACGGATCCGCGCATCGACATTTGAAGATAGGCGGCGCTTTCATGATTGAATAATTGTTTACCTTCTTGGCACCTTCCAACAAAGTTCTAAAAGGGTGTTCAGCATGTAGTTTGCTTCTCATTGCCACCTTTCAGTAATCACCATGCGTTCATTCTTTTATTTCGCTTATTCTCTTGTGGCATTCTTAATCGTCGCTGCCAAATCGCAGGACAATGTTGTCAAGAAAACTTCGAATTCTCTTGTTTATCCTAAGGTGCATAGGGTAAGCAAGACCTGGTCGTATCGTTCTGCAAAGGCAAAAGGCAATGTGACATATGCTGATCCATACTTTTGGCTAGAGGGCTCTGCCAAAGAGAAAGACATACAACAATTCGTTGCCGATCAAACTAAGTTAACGGAACAGTATATTCAAGGCTGTAAGAGCAAAGATGCTATTATCAAGTCTCTGACAGAAGCCAATAGTTTTGACAGGTATGGCTCACTCCAGCTCGTATCTTCAATCGAAAAAGGTGATTTATTTTACCTTTATAGTTTTACCCATTCAAGCGATGAAGCACCAATGTGGTATACAGCATCTTTCAAGGAGTTTGCTGCTGCGAAACAGAACAATTTTCAGTCACCTCCTGGAAAGAAATTCTTGAATGAAAGCCTTTTAAGCTCTGATGGCAGCCAAGCTATCATTCGCACAAGTGTTTCTCCGGATGGAAATATTTTTGGATATCAAGTAGTAGGAGCAGACGGTGTAGCAAATTGGTATTTCCGTCATTTCAATTCGCCTTTACTTGCCGCTAAAACAACACCAGCCGGTGGCGAGGGTAGCTTGAACGATATGATCTCGCTTGGTGCTCCCGATTCGCTCTTTTGGATGCCTGACAGTAAAGCTTTCTTTTATTCGCAAATCGTTGATTCGAACGGGGGAACGAATACCGATCATGGTTACAAGGTTCGATATCACATCTGGGGAACCAATAGTACAAAGGATGTGACGATCTTTGATACAAAGAATGCTGGCAGTCACGGTAGCGATAATTACTACTATCTCAATTTAAGCCCGTGAGTCTGATTAAAGATTTCATTGATATCATCAAATTGCTTATGATCCCTCTCTCTTATTTACGCAGAGATGGCCGTTGGCTCGTTGTGACTGGCTACCATGATATCTCTACCTACAATACAAGCACATACGCCACATTGCTACCCGGACAGCAGATTTCTGAGAATATGAAATGGATTTCATTATCGCCCGCATACGAATTTTCTGTAATCCGCGGAGGTATTGTAGGTGACACCTACTACTTCTATACCAACAAAGATGCAAAGAACGGAAAGATTGCAAAGATCAAAATGGATTGGAGTAAAGCAAAGAAAGTCAAATTATTTACAGAATTGCAAGATCGTCCGCCGGTTATTGACGTTGTACCTGAACGCCAAAACTCTAAGCTCATCCCATTCGGAGTTTTCATGACTGCAAAAAACGTTTTGATTCTCGTTTACATCGAACAAGGTGAAATGGCGGTATATTCGTGTAAAGCGGGGAACGGTAAGCTTCTTAAAAAGCTGTTGCCAACAGGTAAGTAAGCTGTGACTTTGAGATATTTCCACAGTGTATTTATTGGCTTTATCGGTTATTCTTCTTTCTTACTTTAGAAAAGGTATACGTGGACGATTTTATACCTAATCGGTATAGCAATACATCCTTCTTGTTAGCCGAGAGTTGGAATACACCAAGCAAGATCTTTGAGTTCAAATGGGATGGAGAGAACGTGCAGTCTTCAAGGGTAACTGTTCAACATATCAATAATACCAATCCGGATGATTTTGCCGTTGAAAAACTTTACGCGACATCAAAAGATGGCACGAAAGTTCCCTACTTTATCACATATCGTAAAGGAACTCAAAAGCCCGGACCTGCATTTATACACATGTATGCAGCATCTGGCGTTGTTGACAACCTCTTTTATCAGTCAAACTACTTTGAATTCTTGAGAAGCTACAACGGCTACTTCATTTGGGCAGGAGCTAGGTGAGTGTGATTATCAAACTAGATGGTGCATGCTTCTAATATATTTTCTCTCTCTCTCTTTAGAGGCGGTGGTGACGAAGGAGGAAAATGGCATGACGCAGGATCGGGATTGAACAAGCAAAAGACATTTGACGATATCATTGCGATTGCTCAAGATATTGTCAAGCTAGGTTATACAACTGCGGGTAATATTATCATCGAAGGTGTTTCTGCTGGTGGTTTAGCAGTTGCGGCAGTGCTTAATCAAGCTCCAGCAGGTCTTATCGGTTTAGCCCTTCCAGTACGAGCACCTTGTGATGCATTCCAATTCGAATTAAGGAGCACGATTGGAGCAGTAAACCGTGTAGAGTTTGGGGATGTGACGACACCAGAAGGATTTGATGCAGTTTTTGCTTGGTCACCATTACAGAATGTCGATCTACACAAGCCATACCCAGCCGTCGTTCTTACACCGGGATCTTCAGATGAAGTTGTGCCACCTTCAAGCAGCTATAAATTCTTGGCTCAATTGCAATACGATCATCCGAACAACACCTTACCGCTTTTAATGTATGTGGCACAGAACTTGGGACATGTTCCTGCTACTGTTCTGGAAAGTACATATCATTTCTGCGTCATGGAACAAGCTCTTCATCTCAGGAGGAGGAATGAATAGCTGCAGTATGCTTCGGTAGGGCTAAAAGAAAGCAGGACACAGACTGAATCTTTCTTTTTACACCATACAAATACATTTCTAAGAATATATCCTTATAATCAAAGAGCCTCAATCTTATAGCGATGACCACATATCCCCTCTTTTAAGGGTAAAAAGCTACTTAGGGTTAGGATTAAATCCTACCCCTAAGTAGGTTCTAGGTTTTCAGCTATAGAGAAAGTAGGACAGAGATTTTACACCGTGCAACTAGATTTCTAGGAACGTCCTTATAGTCAAAAGAGACTCGTATTTATTGTAGTGATGATCACTTATACGCTTCTTTAAATTGTCTCTCGTAACCAATCAATATGATTAAGAAATTTCGTATATTGCGACAAAATGTTTAAAACGGGGCAAACCGATTTCGTCATCCTTAAGACTCAGCCATATATTATAAATTGCTTATGAAATGAAAATCTGACGTATGTCATGGTTATGTGTACTGGATTGCGACATCATCATTCCATCTTCACAGCCATCTTTAAAGTACCGTCGATCGAACATGACTTTGGGCTTCTTATCGATAACGCCTAGCCGAATTACACGTTTTGCCGCCCTACGCTGTGTACGCCGCCCCAACATCTTCCCAGCGTAAGAGCTGTGATGCTTGTTTATATGCAATACGCGACCGAAAAAACTCCGTATGTAGGGCTGAAAGGATCGAAAGCCTTGGCTCTAGTGCCTCACTTTGCGCACTGCAGTCTGTCGATCGGAGAGATAAAGTTTTGCTCGCACGGTCTCCCTCTCAAAAAAATAAAGAAAACATTTGAAGATTTCTTTGGCGTAAATTTTTCTGTTGGGCTGATGCAGCAGCAAAGTAGGCAAGGCTCAGTGGAGCTTCTTCTTACTATAACAACCTTTCCTTCCATCATTACACCACCTCTCCTAAACCGTGCTGCTCGCCATGTCTAGCTCAGGCACAGTTGCTGTTCAAGCAACAGGCTTGAAATCATTCAAACAAGATGCTGGAAAATCAACACAACAAGAACCAATCAAAGTAGCAGTAATGACTTCAGGCGGTGATAGTGCTGGAATGAATGCTGCCGTTCGATCTGCAGTAAAGATGGCAATTTATAAAGGTGCACATGCATACGTCATCAGAGAAGGTTGGGAAGGTTTAGTAAGAGGAAACGAAGCTGGAAGTGAAGAAGGTCAAAGAACTCCAACCGGATACGCAAAAGGAAATGATGTTTTCATTCCTACATACGGGGAAGGGGATCTTCTACGCGAAGGAGTTGGAGAAGCAGATGAAATCGGTCTAAAAGGTCGCTACATCGTTCGTGTAGGCTGGGATGATGTTCGTGGCTGGATGTCAGAAGGTGGTACCTTGATCGGTACTGCTCGTTGTGCTGAATTCAGAGAACGCTCGGGTCGCCTTAAAGCAGCAAAAAATTTGATCTCGTGCGGTATCAATGCTCTAGTATGCTGTGGTGGTGACGGAAGTTTATCAGGCCTGGACAGACTACGTCAAGAATGGAGTAGCTTGGTCAAGGAGCTACACGACACAAACAAGATCACCTCAAAACAAGCAGAAAAGCATAGTTCGCTGCGTGTTTCTGGAATCGTGGGTAGTATCGATGGTGATTTCAGTGGTACAGATTTATCTTTGGGGTTCCCTACAGCTCTAACACGTATTGTAGAAGCAATCGATTCAATCTCTTCTACCGCATCAAGTCACCAACGTGCTTTCGTTGTTGAAGTGATGGGACGTGCTTCTGGTGCACTTGCCAGCTCAGCTGCCATCTCGGTAGGCGCTGATTACGTCTTTGTGCCTGAACGTCCTCCTTCCGTCAATTGGAGAGATGAAATGTGTGATATTTTGCGTCGTCAACGTATTGTAGGAAAACGTCGCACGATTGTCATTTTGGCAGAAGGCGCGATTGATAGTGACTTGAACCCCATCAAAGCTGAAGATGTCCGTCTTTGTTTGGAGAAACAATTGCAAGTTGATGCTCGCTCTACAATTTTGGGACACGTTCAACGTGGTGGTAAACCGGTTGCTGAAGATCGTATCTTGGCTACTCTACAAGGTGTTGAAGCAGTTAACGCAGTAATGGAAGCCACACCAGAAACACCATCGTACGTAATCGGAATACGAGATGACACGATTGTGCGTTTGCCACTGATTGAAGCTGTCAAACAAACCCATCAAGTGTCAGAACATATTCAAAATAAACAATTCGACAAAGCGTTGGCATTGCGTGATCCTGAATTCATTGAAGGACTATCGACATTTGATTTGATCAGCCATGTAGACAGCACGATCAAGCTGCCAGAAAAACAACAAGCAAGAATTGCGATTCTCACTGTCGGTGCACCTGCTGGTGGAATGAATGCTGCTATCCGAACGGCAGCGCGATACTGTCAAGCCCGTGGACATACTCCTTTGGCAGTACACAATGGATTCGATGGTCTTGTCGATGGTCAAATTGCACCTTTGTCTTGGATCCAAGTTGATAACTGGGCAGTCCGTAGCGGATCGGAATTGGGAACAAATCGTCATTTGCCCGACAGAAACATTCAAGGCGTTGCAGATGCAATCACGAAACACAAAATCCAAGGTTTGCTATTGATTGGTGGTTTTGAAGCATTTTTGTCTGCAAAGATCTTACACGAACAAAGCGAAAAGATTAAAGCTCTGCAAGTGCCAACTGTTCATATTCCGGCAACTTTGAGTTCAAACATCCCTTTGACGGAATCGATTGGATTCTCTACCAGTTTGAACGAAGTTGTGAATGCTGCTGATACACTCAAGAGAAGTGCCAGTGCATCGCGTAATCGTGTCTTTTTCCTAAGTTGTCAAGGAGGAAAAGAAGGTCGTTTGGCCGTCTTTAGTGCTTTGGCCGCAGGAGCAGTGATTGTCTATACACCCGAGACGGGTATTACACTTCAACAATTGGACGCAGATGCGGCTTGGTTGCGTAAGCGTTATCAATTGGACACCAAAGGTAAAACAGAAGGTCGATTAGTCATGGTGGCAGACAAGGCAAGCGATGCGTTCAATTTGGATGCCCTAAAGAGTATCTTTAATGAAGAAGGTAAATCATTATGGTCTACACGTGGATCAGAATTGGGTCATTTATGTCAAGGATCTAATGTTTCACCGATTGATCGTTGTCGTGCTGCACGTTTGGCAAGAAAAGCATGTGAATTTATTGAAGAGAATGTAGGCAAACAAAACACGATGCCAGCAATTGTTACGATTAACGGTACAAGATTGGATATTGTTACATTGGACAAGTTAATTGAAGCTTCCGATTTCGCTAACCGTCGACCGAAAGAGCTTACATGGTTAGAATACAAAGAATTGACGGAATTGATGGCGGGTAAGAAGTTGATCTGAGGGTAGGAAGTGTATTGTGGTATACTTGTGTACATGTATGAATTCCAAAGATAGAATAATATTTTCATTTTCTGCTATCCTTCTAGAGATGCCATTAAAATCAGTTCGAATGTGTCGATACCTTTCCCCTGAATTTCTGTTCCATCCTGTGATGTCATAAAACCTTCCATAAGTCTAGCATCATTCGACACTGGCGTACACGACAATGTCTCTGGCCTACGTGTAGCCACAAAGATGAATACGTCATCCTCTGCATCTTCGTCTTTAAGGTTAGCAAGAGCATGACTTGGCGCATACATGTCACTCTTTTTGGCTCCGAACAACCTCCAAGATTGTTGCTGATCATTTGTTGAATCGGCTTTCCGTTCCGCAATCAAGACGGGAGAAAAATCGAACCAAGCGCCAAACGTCCGCCAAAAAGGTTCTTCTTTTGGAAGAGATCGAATTTTGTAACTGATGATGACTTTTGCATTTGGGGCTTCGGCGGTGATTTGGATCAAAGTACGCATGAGTGGCGGTAAAAGTTCAGGAAAATATACCAAATCGCTACACAGTATATGCGTCACTGGTCTTGATTCATCTCGGGCTGTGGTCAAGATCGCTTTTGCGTCACTTTCAGAACCCCAAGGAAGGGGTTCCACTTTGACGTTATTGCCGTAAACACCTGCTTTTGCGGCATTCCTTGCCAAGAGTGGAAGAACGTTGTGCAAATCTGTCAAGACCACATGTGAGGATTGGGTGTTGTGTTGCTGTAATTGCTGTGCGAGATGAATTCCAACAAGGCCTACTCCAGCGCCAAGTTCGATTATGGTGTTTTTGTTACCGCCAAACAAATCTGAGCAAGGCGGATCAAACTGGTCCGATGAGGTGAATGTCAAGTATCTCTGCAACAAATAACTTGCTTCCCATATTCTGCCTGCTATACCAAAAGTCTGAATATCTTCTTGTGTATCTTTTGCCCATTCATTATTGCATGAATTATATCGTTCAAAAGATGGTTTTATGCTCAAACCACCTTTTGGGAAGTTTGGGTCATCTTGTCGATCTGGGATTTGACATGTTCCATTCATGACCTAAACTTTAATCGTGGTTGCTAATTATAATTTCTTGCTTCTTCTTCTTCTTCTTCTTCTTGATTGACATATTCCATGATCAGACGTGACATTGCCGTTCAGCTCACGCATAAAAAGAATTTGCCAAGACGCGCTAAGAAGCAATTTTCCTTGCAAGGTCGGCTTGGCTTGGAGCTTGGCCTTGTTGTTTGTTCATCAAACATTATTACGGCTTTTCGGGCGCGGCGCCCTACGTCATTGACCGTTTATAGAAATCCACGCTAAAAACACACCTGGTCTCCGCATAGAGGAATGAATGGTGAATTGGAAAACGTCATTTAATGAAAATGCGTATACGCAACCCAACGCACGCACGGCTTTGCCCAGAAATCCAAGCACGCAAACGCGCAACGCACTGCCGTTTAGGGTTTCTTACGCGCCGCGAGTTATAGGCATTTGTGCCTTGTAACTGGTGAACAAAACTGAGGCTAATGCATAATTATTATTTGGCAAAAAAATGCAAAGACTTGGCAAATGTTAAAAGGAAAAAAGGTCCGAAGGAAGAGTACATGTGCGTTTGATACAGGACGGCGCCGACGCCATTTGGGATATGTTGTTTGCCTGTTTCAGATCGAGTTCATTACCCTGACAAAGCATACCCAAAAAAGCATCTTGATTATTAACAACCTTCTTGTCATAACACATTACACTTTTCGGCTACCATTACCGTCACTTTATATCTTTAAGATCGACATGAACCTCTAAACTTCTATCACAACAATCACAAAACGAGAGGAACACTCCACCTCAACCCATCACATCATCGCCAAGATGACAACCTTTTTACGTAGGATCGTTTCAGGTCCAAAAGCTCGTTATGTCGACAAAGATCTGGGCGTGGACCTAGATTTGGTTTACGTTTCAGATCGTTTGATCATCATGGGATGGCCAGCAGCGAATTTTGAAGCAATTTATCGTAATAAACGTAAAACTGTTCGAAAGTTTCTTGATGCAAAACATGGTGAATATTATAGGGTATACAATCTATGCCCTTGTTGGGAAAATTCATACGATTCAAACGAATTTTATGGAGAAGTTGGCAGATATCCTTTTCCCGATCATCATCCACCACCTTTGAGTATGATTCCGATGTTCGTTTGTGATATCACTGCTTGGTTGGCAAAGGATGCAAGAAATGTTGCAGTGATTCACTGTAAAGCAGGCAAAGGTAGATCAGGTACAATGGCTTGTTCTTATCTACTCAGTTTGCCAATCTTGCCTCCACCGCCAACGTCTTCCCAATCAACAAAAGAGATTGAGGAACTTGACTCACAACGGAAGCAGGTTGCAGACAAAGAGTTGGTAACTTCACCAACGACAATCAAGCCCTCAAAAGATGACGGATCGCCCTTACTTGAAACTGTCATGTTGGGCAACTTGCTAGCAGAGCATCCCGAAGTCAAGGACGGAGTTGACTTGCAGGATACAAAGAATGAACAGGCTATTGCTAGAACACAAGCCGCCCAGATTGCAATTGGTGGTAAAGACCAGTGGAAGCAAGCATACACTGAAGAAGCCCTTTCTGATCGATTGCGAAACGTATTTGAACTTCACACTTCTCGAAGACTTAAAGCCCCTCGGGTTGCTGCTCCACCGATTGCAGAGGAAAAAGAGCCAGCTTCATTCTTGCAATCCGATCCGTCCACGAGCATGCAACGAAAGTCTTCCGATAGCGGTCGTGTACGAAGGTCGAAAAGCGTTTCGAATCTTGTACGGAAAGCATCTAAAACCATTTTACGTACAAGCCCTGCAAAGCAATCGCCTCCAAAGTCCAGTGTAGACCTAAACAGAGCGAATGATTCAGCCACGCCAATCTCCAGTCCTCCTCGCGATTCAACGGCATCACCGCCCGATCAGTCGCCCACTCGAAGAAGGAGCAGTCAATTGGACCTGAAAGCGCTGGGTGTCACACCGATGGGCAAGTCCACAACGGATTTGAGGTCAGAAGTGGGTTCTTCAAGCGAAGGTAGATCATCTTCGCAAACTAACAGGCGAAAAGCTTCTTCGCCAAAACTCCCTCCTGTACGTTATGGAGGGATTGTGCAAAGTATTGCATCTAATACGCGAGCGCAAAAATCACAAAGTGCAAACTCAACGCCGTTCGACACTCCTACCAAGCAACAGAAGAAATGTAGTTATTTCCCAAATTCAGACGGACTTCTTCATCCAGAGGCCACCCTTGCACCAGCTCTTTATCGACCGGGCGATGTGATCAATGTGCAGTCCGATCAGCCTCTTCCCGACACGCCTTCTCCCAATACAGCCAATGCAAGTCAAGTATCGATTGGAGGACCATATGCTGAAAATGTGGATTTCGATAGTGATATGGAAAGTGAAGGAGAAGATGAAAATGCTGTACCGCCTGTACGATTGGCAGTTAGTATTCCTTCACAACGTCGATTTGTAGGATATTGGGCAAGAATATTGAGCGGAAACGATCCACGTGGAGATGTGACGAGTGAAACGAAACGCAAGATTCGAATCATCCAAATTCAAGTTGATCGTCGTGTTCAACTGACAAAAGCAGGTGAAGTGCCCAAAAATGCAGGTGGTGCATTGAGCATACACTTGGGCCGTTATGATCCTGATTTGGAAACGCGGCTGAGGGGATGGGAAACGAATGCACGTAGAAGGACGAGAGCTTTTGGATTCTCGGATCCATCTGCTGCAACGCCTGATTTGCCTCAATTGCAACTTAAAGAGCATGGAACGGATTATCGTGGACCCGCTCGAAAGGCCGAAGAAGAGAATGCCTATAATGAACAGTGGCGACATGTTGAAAGGCAAAATTCCGGACAGAAAGCCTATGATACAAAACTGTCTGCTCAAGGCGCAAGCTTTTGGGGTATCAACGTTCTTGCTGAACAAGAACGAGCACGTAATTTCGCATGGGCAAATAGCGGACACGATGATTTGCTGGACAAGAATGCACAAAGGGAGGCCTCAAAGAGAGAAACGGATATCAACATTTTCGCAAGCGTTCGGGAACAGTCCCGACATACTTTGGAAGCTTCTACGACACAAGCTGATTTCCGACAAACAGAACAAAGGGCGAGCATCGTTCGACATCAATTTCAATTAGGTAAAACGCATTTGACAAATGGCGCACCCGTGCTGCCTACATGGCTCAACTCTACTGCATGGCAATCAAGAAGAAGCGTTGATCATCAAGGTCCTAGACGCTTATCTTCAAGCAATGATACTTCGCCTAGTGGATCTTCCATGTGGGGAACTGCACTGAACGATCCTCACTCTGGACCGCATCTCCGAGTCACGCCACCAACTTCGATTGAAAGTTTGCCCAATACGCACAGTCATAACGGAAACGAAGAAGAATTTTCTGAAGGTGAAGAATCCAATGAGGTGATTTTGGACGCGGATAATGCACTTCAAATCAAAATGCTCGTGGGAAGAAGTGGTGCAAGTCATGCACAATTGCCCGATATTGCAAGTTGTGGTTATGTTTGGTTTATACCTTCATTTGAAACGCCGGTCGGACAAATGAAGAAAGGACAACGGATTCGCAGAACTTTCACAGCCCAAGAGATTGATTTTCGAAAAGGCAAACAGGTCTCAAAGATTCTGGGAGGCGAGATTCGTCGTTTGAGCGTCGAATGGGAATGGGTTGAAGTGGAAGACGACGAAGATGAGGAGGAGGAAAAGGTGACTTCGTACGACGCCACACTAAAGCTTCCCTTTTGAAAGGAAAGAAGCAAGACTTACAAAATTTTCTGTAATATGTACATTATCGTCCAAATTGGGAGACACACTATCACATACATATCCTCTATAGAATTTTCATTGTACAATAATACCTTTTTTTTTGGTCAGTATGGAATACAAATCCTCCATATCTAGTTCAAATATCCTTGTGCCAGTGCAATTTCTGCATTCATCACAGATGAAGTTGCAGCTCCGATCATGACGTTGTTTGACAAGACTACAAACTTCACATCGAATACCGGGCATTTACGCACCCTTCCCACGTGAACGCATGCACCATTTTGATGATCACGATCCAGTCTGGGTTGCGGTCTGTCTTCTTCTTCATGAACGACGATCGCCTGTGCAGGTGCGCTGTGAGCCTTTAGCTTTTGTGCTTCACATGTGTAATTTCGCAAAACTTCCTTGACTTGATCTATGGAAGGTGGCGGTCTTTGTTTGAAGGAAAGGGAAACGCATTCTGTATGTCCGTCCAAAACGGGAACACGATTGCATTGTGCGCTAACAGTAACGGGCTCTTTTTGGAATTGAGTGCCATCGGATGAAAGACTTCCTAGCATTTTCATCGTTTCTGCTTCGATCTTTTCCTCTTCTCCGCTAATGTAAGGCACGACATTATCATGAATGTCAAAGGAAGATACACCAGGATAGCCTGCTCCACTGACAGCTTGTAACGTTGTTACAACGACCTTGTCGAGCGATCCAAAGGCATCTTGTAGAGCTTTTAGGGGTGGAATGATACCTGTGGTACTGCAATTTGCATTTGTGACAATAAAACCTTTCTGGAGCCCTTGAGCTTTTTGTTGATGTGGCAGGATGCCAAAGTGTGAATCATTCGCTAGTGGTACAACGAGTGGACACTGTTCATCCAATCTGAAATTCTTTGCGTTGGAAAACACCCGTAGTTCTGCTTTTCTGAATGCTGGTTCGATCGTACTTGCCGGTCCGCTGTCCAAGCCACTGAAGACGATATCGCAATCTTTAAAGTTTTCTACGGTGCATTCTAGAACAGGCACCGAAGCAATATTTTCCGGAATACCCACGACCTGCTTCCAACGACCTTTTACTGCATCTTTGTATACTTTTCCAACACTTGCCGAAGATGCACCTAATTTATGAATTTTGAAATTTGGATGTTGGGCTAAGAGTAAGATGAAACGTTGTCCAACTGTACCTGTTGCTCCTAAAACACCCACTTTTTGTTTTGTTAATTGCATCATAGGAGTTCTCTCGATGGTGGTGAGAAGAAAGTGTTTGTGCGCAAGCAAAAAAAAGAAAACCTTAAAAATGACTCGGACGTTTTGGGGGAATAAACAGATTGTTGTTATAAGACTCCTTTTCACTGCTATGGTGCCTTTGAACGTGTGGCAAGATGTCTTTTGACGCGTGCGCCGCCAAGGAAAGGAAGATTGTTTAAGAGAGAAATGCTCCACTCTATGTGTGATATGACAGGAGCACACAGCAGTTTGGGCGTTAATGCAAAGGGGGCTCGTCCCTAACTCCTTTCGGGCATCCGCGCTATTGAATCGGGCGCTTTAGAACAACACATGACCTTTTCGTAAACTACTTCCTCCTTCCCTCCATCGTGGTCAACACTACAATCATGACGAGCGAAGATTCATTGCAGGAAACACAATCTTCGTCCATAAAAGGACATGGATCAACAAACGATTCACCTGCGACAAGTGTACCACCACAAGAAGGATCTGAATCAACATTAACATCTAGAGCACCGACGCCTGCACTGCCTGAACTTACTTTTCCAGATAAGGTAAAAGAGGCAATCGAACGAAAATCAGCAGATGCCCTCAAAACTCAGTTCTCACCACTCAACACAACGGATTCACTCCCGCATAACGGAAGAGGGAAAGGTAGACATCGTGCGACTTCATCTGCCGTCTCTGCTTCGCAATATGCAGTGATCATCGGGATTGCTTTGATTGATTTCGATCATGCAGAAGGACCAAGAGTTGAGTATGCACATCCAAAAGAGGTAGCAGAGGATGAAGAATTACGCACAAACTTGCCTTTCCTTGCTCTACCTGACGGATCACACGCTCGAGAAAGCGATTTCTGCTACTTCCACGTACTGAGCAAGTCTCTATCGCCTTCGACTGTATTTGGGATCAGCTGCAATCGTCAGATAGCAAGTGATAGTCTAACGGTCAGAGGAGCAGAAGTCACACGAAGTACTGTACAGAAAGCTGTTGTTGTACTCGCTCGTGATCCGGTATTTGGTCCGATTAAGGAAAAGTTGGGTATCGTCACACAAGCGCTATTTGCCCAGAAAGACTTTACCAACGTCGACATTTTGATCGAATTTCATGCCACTCTGGAAGCGGGACTGAGGTCCGCACATGCCATACCGCAAAGCCTACCGACAACTCCACAAGATGGCAAAGATGGTGCAGTAGATGCCCAATTGGCTGTACAGAAATATCGCGAGGAAGAGCGAAAGGAGCGTGAGGCAACAATGTACATGGGAACATCGTTGCGAGAGCTAATCTACAAATGGCGCTTCAAGACGCTCATGCTAGTCAAGCTATTGTTGCTACAGCGCAAGATCATGTTCTTTGGCTATCCTGTGGAGAGACTGTGCACATACCAATACAGTTTGATCTCGCTTATACCCGATCTGCTTTTCAACTTGGCAGACGCAGGGTCGCCTGCACTCGATACCCAAACCTCAAAAAGGAAACGTGCCGAATCGCTAAAGACATCTGATCGTCAGAGTTTAATGCGATTCATGGGCTTCCCGCTACATCTATTCGGCGAAGGCTCATTCTTCCAGCCTTACCTACCACTTCAGCAACTGGAAATGGCAGCAAAGAGCAAGAGCTATCTAGTAGGAACGACAAATAGCATCTTTCGAATGCAGAAAGAATGTGCGATCGACGTAATCGTTGATCTCGAACAGTCCAATATCGAATTTCTGGATCCCCATTTGCACAGTATAATCGCCCTGACGCCGGCTGATCGGAAGTGGATGGATGATATTGTACACTTGGTGCTGGATACATGGAATCCTGATGATCCAACAAGACCCATATCGATGCAATTCCAGGGTAGTGACGATCATCTAAGGGCGAAGTTTGAGGAGTACATCACTGCATTATTGGCTAGCGTCAAATATAGCGATTACCTTGCTGCTCATCGTGCCGAGCCTGATCCGATAATAGCATCCGATCGGCCAACCTCTGAGTCGTTCGGGGCTGAATTCGTTCATGCTCTCAAACAGACACGTTGCTTTGAGCTATGGAATCGCACAACGGATCAAATGATCTTTGATTTATTCGAGAAGAAACATCCGTGCGAAGGCAAGACGAGCACGTTGGAAGATGTCTCGCTGAGATTGACGAGCGGGATTTATGATATGCATCTAGATGAAAAGTTGGCTTTGCCAAAGGAAACGCGAGAGATGGTGAGCAATGCATTCAATGAAGGAGGCAAGACTGCATGGAAATATGCCAACAAATGGGGATCAGATTTAGCACGATTCCGAAGAGAACAGATGGCACGAGCTCAACAGGCGAGTAATAATGACAATGCAGGAACGGAAAAAACAGTCGATGACGCAGCAGCTACGATTCATGCTCCCGATCAAGGCATCCATCATGTCAATTCTGCACCAGAGGATGCGGCTAAGGGAGGTAGTGGCAGTGGCTTCCTGACACCTGCTCAACAACAAGCAGCGTTGGATCTACAAAAGCAAGCATCAGCTGCTGCAGCACAGGCGGGAACACAAATGCGAGCAGCGTTGAGTGGATTCGGAAGCTTTTTGTCAGCACGTCAAAAGGCATGGTCAGCAGGTGCCGCGCCCGGAGAAACGAATGTCAAGCCAGGAACAACGGCGGAAGAACTAAGTGATGCCGGCAAAAAGACAACACAGTCAACGGCTGCCACAACTTCATAATCATTTTGTCAGAAAGCCTTTTTTTCTTGAGCAAAGCTGTATTTTACACATGTACTTAATAATCAATATGTCAAATCGATCGTGTATGCACTATCTGTGGTCATGTTCAAGTGAACAGTGATGGAGCCATACATGTTAAGATAAATTTGAGTATTGCTCACTTGATTTGGTGAAATGACGGTACTTGCGTTATTGGAGGGGATCTCATGAATACTTGCATTCACGCAAGAGACACCCAAGGTGTGCAAGCCATTAATGATGATCGGATAATCGCCTGATTGACCACGAGTACCTGCCAAGATATGAATAGCACGATCCTTTGGGTGCAAAGTAGCAAAAGTATCATAACATTTGCTCTTTGTACTTTTGTTATGTAACTTCCTTCCGCCCGATTGTGTCTTTGTGTAATAATTCAAAACGTGCCAATCACCCGCTGTTGTCCAACCGCCCAAACCTTCGTTAACGGGTAAAAGAAGCCTTGCCAAATCATCATGCAAGCCGCGACCGGAGCCCCAATTGGCCCGGCCTGCAGTTATGTTTGCTCTTTCAAACCTACTGATGAACCAAGCCGTGTAAGCTGGAACTTGTTCACCGTCATACGTTCCGTATTCGTTCACTTGAACTTCAATATCGTTTGGGAGTTTGTTATACTTCTTTAAAAGTTCACTCAAACTTTTTCGCGAATCAACTGGATCATTTCCGCAATTCGGTGAATATCTACCGAATAAATGATGATAACTCCAAACATCCGGAATCACATCACAATTTTGCGGAAGGGAAAGGTAAGTTGTATAGTTTGTCCACCATGAATTATTCAAAGCAGGTAGGCTTGAACTTGCAGGACCTTGCAATGGGACTGAGGGACCTAAAGCAGATCTGTACTTCCTAAATGCATATGACCATGATTGCAAATATTGATCTTGAGTTCCTGGCCAGAACAAACTGATGTCGGGTTCGTTCCAAATATCGATTTTCAGACCGTCAGTCATATTATTCTTTTTTAGATCCCCTGTAAGTCTATCTAAGAACTCGCCGTACTAAGGGTAGATTACAGTCAGTATGGACTCAATGCCTGCAGCACACCATTCTACTTACGAATGAACAATTACCATTATCACATGGATACCGAACCGTTGAAGGACTTTTACCGTCTGCACCCCAAAGATCATGTGGCAAAAGGACAAACGTTGCATTTTGTGCTCGAGCAGAACGATAATTTTCCAAAGTTGATTCAAATCTTTGTTCGTATCCTGCAATGCTTGAAGAAAAGCCCGGAAATGGAATTTGAGCTCCTCCTGCACGTACCATTGTCAGGCCTGCACCTAGCTGAAGATCGACTGGAATCGTTGGTGCTTTATCAGGAGAGTAGGCGGGATCGTTCGGGATTCCGTACAAGATTCCGCCGGCTTGCCCAGTTGCCGTTTTGCCTCGCTTACAAACATCAATCACTGCTTCACCGACAAGATCGTTGGCTTTGCTTAGTGAGAGCAGTAAGCTTACTAATATTAATAAGATTTGGTAGAACACGTTGAAAATCATTTAAGAGAGAGAAGGAGGGGATGCGGTTTGTATAGTATGATTAAGTGAAAAATGGTCAACATTCCTCTATTTATAAGCAAATGGATCTTAAACTTGATGATACAATTCGGTTCAAGAACACGAGAAAAGGACTCACACGACGTGTGTATCAATTGGAAGGACAAATGTTGTTCTTTGCGTTCAAATTCAAAGAACATTTTTTCTCGTAGAACATTCCATCAACGATCAATTTGACAAAAGAAGTTTCCATTACCCCCATTTTTAGAATACTCAACGCCTTATGACAACCAAGATTACCGTGATCGATCAACGAAATAACACACCAATTCATTTTACCCCGCATTCCTTGTACGCTATAGGGTCGGTAAACATTGAGACTTTGTGTGTGACCGCTGCAGGAACGATATCAAGGATCATCATTGTCATGCGGGGTCATGAAGAGACCCTTCGTTTGGAAGAGATCACCGATAGGTCTTTGAATATTGAAAGCCGGCTCCGCAATCTAAAGCGCGCTCCGTGGCACCGTGTGGGGAAGCTGGCTGTCTGCTGATCAATTTGCAATCATCGGCAATCGTTGTCGTGTTTTGTAATAAGCAAAGTACACATCAAATATATTTGTATAGGTCACCGGTGCTGCAGGTACCAGCGAACAATTGCATCTCGGAATTTGATTAGGTAATCCTTCACTTTGCCATATATGACATTCACTTGCATATGATATCGACAATCACCGATAAAGTTATCCGCATGTTTATGGCATTGAAATGTCACATTGGCATAGTTTATGCATAGTCGGAACACCGACGGTGGACCTAAATACGTGTACCGTACCTGTGTCAGCGGAAAGGCCCGCACCCGCCTTGGCATAGCCCATAAACACACGCTAAAATAAGGATTATCATGCGGGAATACGACGATGGCGTCAACTTTCAAACTCCACACTTTTGAAAGATTGTACAAACATTGGCAGTCATTCTTTTGTTTCTCTTCTACCACCATCCTCACAAACAATACTGCTGCTCATCATGTCAGATTCAGCAAGTTTATTTTCCACAACTTCAACACTTTTTGAATCACCTTATACCGCTCTCAACTTTCATAGTAGTCAGGCAGGTAATGCTCCAAACACTGTACCAATCGAAGAATGTTGGGCAGTCTTGGTGGTAAACCATGATCGATTCAAAGCAGACACGAAACTTCTGAGTAGTGTAGGCCTACCAAGCACATACGAACGTGCTTCTCAACCTGGCTCAAGTAGGTCGGGATTGGGTAAATTGGACCTTCGTAAACGATTACAAGTACAAATTCCATTTACGCATCTTCAAAGTGCATCGGTCGATCGTATTCCAGTTCCTACAACCATCGAACAGCTGCTTGCAAATCGTCCAGAATTCAAATATGGCAGAAGACAATCGTTGATGGAATTGATGGTAGAAGATTTGGTCGGAATTCGTATTCGCAGAATTGATGCAGCAGCGGTAAAATTGTTGTTCAACGGGAATGATGTACGAGATGCAACGATCTTTTTTCCCGCTCATGTCCTTCTACGAACGCCGAATTGGGCAGTTCAGAAGAAGTTGATCGGAGGCGGCGGTCAATCCCAGACGTTCGCAAGTGCGCAAGTTAAATGGGCTACTTGCATTTTCACATCACCCGTCGTGCCGGGTAGTGCGGATGACAATGACGATAAAGCATACAGAGCACAACGTGAGAAAGAGATCCTGTCAAAATTAAGCGTAGGTGAAACAGACGATGTGATTCTTGCAAGATCCAAACCACCGTCTGAACGTAATGAAGCGCTGTTGGATAAGCTTTTGCTCTTCTTAGAGAGAAGGGGAGTGGTGTGGTGTAAAGTTGGACATCTGGCTAAACCTTCGATGTTGAATTCGGATCCTGTCCTTCGACCCCAGTTTGCCGTTCAAGGTATGTTCCCTGAGCCATTTTTGGACAGATGCAAAGCATATTGCAAAGGAGCGGGAATTAGCTTAAATGGAAAAAATATGATGAAACCAGAAGCAGAAGAAACGGCGAAAAGTAGTAGAGCACCTTTGATCATTGCGGCTGCAAAAGATCACGTTTCAGCATCCGACATTGCAAGAACAAAAGGCAATGTAGAAATTGCCGGACAAGATGAGGACTTGATTCAAAATTGGCATGTCAAGGTTACCTTGGAACCTTATATGATCGGTACGCCTCTTGCGGTTGGAGGTGCAGCGGCAGGTATTGGTATGGGAATGGCTGGCGGTTTTTGATTGACATGCGGGCTATATGGACGCTTTCTTGACTTTTTTGTATATAAACAATAATTCGATACCTACCTATCAGTTAATCCCGCTCGGATAGAAGTCCGAGATGAATGGTTTGCAGTTAAAGCCACAATGCCGTGGAAAAACTCAAAAGGCGGGCGTATCGGCTGTACAAGCCTGGATGCACGCACGCGCACTAATATCACTGTGGGGGTTTAAGAACAACACTGACGCCATGCAGTAAAGTGAGCATTCATTTGTCTTTGTCATTCAAATCTTCTCGAGTCATGAACTTTGATGGGCATGGGGATATAAAGGGTCGATGGCAGGAATAGAACTCTTCTTTCAGTACGATCAGCTTGAAGTACACAAACATGACTGACAACAGATCCTCCTCTTCCATTGAGATCCGTCTTGAAGATGGTGATCAGGCTATTCAATTGACCACATTGAAAGGAAGTGTAGAAACAGCCATTCAGGACAAGAATGCAAATACAACAGAGGAGAGAAGCGATGATGAAAGTAGACCGGCATCGATAAACGAAGGTCCGTCCATTCAAACACCAGCCCTTTCGAGTCGTGTGCCATCATTGCACGGCTCTGAATCAATCTTGAACGCATATGCTGAACCTACAAGTTCTGGCACACCAAGCTTTGTAACCCAGCTTCCACCCGTTGACAAAGGCAGACAAGCATGGACGTTCTTAGCAGTTGCAACGTTGCTAGAATGTTTGATTTGGGGTATGGGTAACTCGTATGGTGCTTTTCAAGATTATCACTTGTACAACAAGCAATCACCACTTTATGGTTCTTCTTCTGCTGCAACTGCCGCTGCTGGTACTTTGATCACTGCAGGTCAATATTTCGCCCCATTTTTGTTCTTGGGCATTCTCAACGCATTTCCACATCGTATCAAACTGTTTCAAGCTATAACTCTCTCAGCTTCTGCGATCGGATTAGTGGGAGCAAGTTTTCATCCGAATGTAGCAAGTGTTACACTTTTACAAGGTTTCTTGTCTGGTTGGTCAGGAGGTGCATTTTATACACCTGCAATGCTTTGGCTACCGCAATGGTTTGATCAAAAAAGAGGTTTTGCAACCGGAATGATTTTTGTCGGTTCAGGTATTGGAGGTGTGGTTTGGCCTTTTGCTTTGAATTATTTGTTGGAAGGTGTTGGATTTGAATGGACATTACGTGCTTTGGCTATTTTGCAATTGATCTTGGGTGCAACGATTGCGTTCTTTTTGCGACCTAGGCTGCCTGTCCAGCGACCGACAACACAAAATGACCCTTCTTCCACCGCGGGAAGTCGTCACGATGCAAGTCGTAGAAGGCGAAACATTCTTCGATCCGTCTTACCATCCCACAACAAGATCCTCCATTCACCTTTGGGAATCGCAAGTTTGGCAGCGCAATTCATGCAAAATGCTGCATTGATGTCAGTTTCCTATTATATTGCACCTTATGCATCTTCTTTAGGATTACGTGGTACGATTCCAACTGCTCTTTTGGCAACTTTTAATGCTGCTGCTGCCATTTCGTATTGCATCATTGGTATCTTGTGTGATACATTACCGCATATCGTTTTGGTTTTGCTCTTATCGGCTACGGGGTCTTTGTTAGTTGGTTTGTTACTAGGATTTGCAAAGACGTTGGGACCTTTGATTGCATTTGCGATCTTATTTGGCTTATTCAACGGTGGTTTCTCAACAACAATGTCGCCTATGGCACGCGAGATGGCAAAAGCCGGAGAAACGGAACATTCTGCCGTATTTCTCGAGTTAATGTCCTGGCGAGGATTGGGAGGTGTGGCCGGTCCCCTGATCAGTTCAGTATTATACAAAAGTCACATTTCCGCCGCACAATCCCAAAACGATTCTGGTCAAATTTGGGGTGATAATGCAGCTTATGGAAGTCATGGTTTGGGACCTGTGATTTTGTTTTCTACGGCTCTTTCTGCTGTGGTTGCATTCACTGCTCTTGGAATGATCCCTTTGCGGAAAGCAGTACTTAAACCTAGGCAGCCAATGCCTTCTTCTTAAAATTTTCTGTCTTGCTTGTATATTACCAATCGTATGGAAATTTATTCTCAATGCGTCATTGTGTCTGTATAATGAAAGGTACCTTATTATAATGCAATCTAAGCATAATGTTGTCATGCACTTCTGTTTGTTCTTTTATGAGAGCGATCCACTGTTTCGGAAATCGGAAGATTGTGTGCACTCACTCCACACTTCCCCTTTGTGCACAAAATGTGGCTTAGCGTACACGCAATAAAATTAGGGTTTTATCCTTTGTTCCATCATTGTCTTTAGCATTTGCTTCTTTCCATCATCATCAAATCCTAATGATAGGCGTAGGTCTTCGCAGAGCGTTGACGTGTCGCTCAAGCACTCAATATGGCATACGGATACCCACTACACCAATCGATAGCCTTTCAGCGGGATCATCTTTACGCACATATGCCTCGATAGCAAGAACACCAATCCTACCAGTCAAGCCAGTATGGCAACCACAGAGGATCACTGGATTACCACATCAGCTAAACAAACTTCTTTCCATCTCCAGTTCTCGCTCTTACGCCACACACAAGGTAAAAGTTGCACCCGAACATGAAACATTTGCAGAACGATTACGACAAGCAGAAGCAGCCGAGATGAATCGAGTAGAACAACAAGAAGATTGGAGGATACCGGAATCAGAAGCAAAACCACCAAAAATACTTGAACCGATTCTATACTTGTTCGTTGCTGGCGCGACCGCATATACTTGGGCAGCATGGAAAACTGTCAAGGAAACAAAAGCGATCGCAAATGGTATACGGGAAGGTTCGGATGTATTTGGAGATTTTACTAGCTTCTTATCTGCAAGATTATCCGGTGACGATAAGGGAGCTTCGGGTGGCATAAGCGAGGCACAATTGCGCTCGGCAAGAAGGCATGAACTGGCTGTCAGGCTCGGATGGAGAATGCAATGGTTGATGGGATGGTGCGATCAGCTGTACCTGCCTAAAGGCGCTAAGCAGGCCATCGGATCTGCGTACCTTACAGTAGCAGATTGGTACCTGAAATTGCCGGAGGATAAACTGGTCACCGTTCCAGTACTTGCTTGCACGACTGTCGTATTTCTAGCATTGAACTTCAGTCGTACTGGAGCTTTTGGCAAGAACACATTCGCCTTCCTGCGAAAGAATATGATGCACATTCCTGCGGCAAATCGTCTTCATACAATGACAACATCCGTTTTCTCTCATCTAGGAATCGGACATATCCTTTTCAACTCTCTTGCACTCTTTTCGTTTGGCGGTGCAGGTTTAACCGCTTATACGTTCCTGCATGATGGAAACGGATACAAATTACACACTCCCGAGGCAACAACATTCTATCACTTTTTGGCATTCTTCGTGACTGCAGGAACGTTTGCTAGTGTATTCTCACATATTTTCACACGAATCCTTCTCCAAAGAGCAAACCAAGCTTATGGTACGGAATTCGCAAAAAGAATGACCGGAAGAATACCCGGATTAGGTGCAAGTGGGGCGGTATATGCATTAGTGAGTGTGTTTGCATTTGCTTATCCAAAAGAACGAGAAATGCAGATCGCATTTATCCCTCAATTGCATGCACCTGCAAAAGACTTTTTGACAACTATGATCAGTATAGAAACAGGATTTTTGGTACTTTCTTTGGTCAGAGCGCGATTCATCGGATTTTTCGATCATGCTGCCCATATGGGAGGGGCTCTGTTTGGATATCTGTATTTCCGATATGGAAACGTGATTTGGGAAAGCCTTAAACACGAAATTTATCAACAAGATGAACAATTTCAAACCGCAAATTATAAAATTGACAAGAATAAAATCCAAAGTGTTCCTGTCCAGCAATCCAGGCACGGAAACCCGACTAGAATCGTTTAAATGCCGATCTCTATGATTCCACTATTCCACCGCTCTTTTAGCATGTACTTTTCACGGTCTAAAATGAATTATTGAATTCTTTGCATTCCTTTGTATGAGGCATACTTGATTAGGGCGTTGACATGCATCGAAGTCTGCAGGTCCACGCACGATCAGGGTGTTGACACGCATAAAATGCCCTTTGTTTATTTTTAACTTGCATCTTAAACGAGAAACATAAAAAAGTTGATCAAGCTTTGGACACTTCATTCGTAACACCCTTTCTGACTCACAACAGGTCTTCAAACCATGTTTCGAGCAAGCTTACACAAGGCATTCAAGCCGGCGATGTCTTGTCAGGGCGTACTCCGTACGACCCCTCGTGCCGGCCGAAGTCTCATATTAGCAGCCAAAGTCCCATCAACTCGAGCTAAATCGGCGTCTGATCATCTGTATTTTTCTACATACGCAAGATCCTACTATGAAACTTTCTCAAAATTTTGGCAAAGTACAAATACGCAATCAAAGATCGCTCCCGAACATGAAGAATTTGCAAGACGTTGGAAAAAGATGGAATTAGACGAAAAAGAAAAAGAGCAAAAAGAAGAAGAAGATTACGCAATTCCTGAGTCAGAAGCAAGTCCTCCAAAAGTTATCAAACCTATTTTATACTTCTTTGCCGTCGGTACTTTATCTTATAGCTGGGCTGCATATATGACTGCAAACGAAACTGGTCGTATGGTGGAAAAGATCAGCAACGAATTTCGTTTATATACAGACACATTCATCCATAATGCAAAGTATATTACGGATCATTCTGCAAAATTTTCTCCCTTGACACTCTTTCAAGGTTGGATCAGTGAAGCTCATCTTCGTGCTACAGAAGTCCAAGATAGATTTGACCGAGGCAAAAATTATTTCAATCTTATTTCTGATTGGTGTAGTCGACTTAATTTACCGCAAGAACTGCAAACATCTTTAATCAATTCATGTGAAACAGGCTTGACTTGGTATGGGAAAATGACACCAGCACAATCTGCATCAATTTGTGGTCTAGTTGTTATGGTAGTAGCATCCTTAGGCTTGAAGCTGTCCAAAAGAAGGACTTTTGCTTTCTTGCCACATGATTTTGGAAAATATTTCATGCATATACCTGCAGGAAATCGCTTACATACACTAACAACATCTTTGTTCTGTCCCAATTTTATTCCGTTGGGATGCTACAGTTTTGTTGTACTCTACACTGTCAGCACGTATTCACTAGATAACGTCAAAAGAAAAAAAGATGCTGATGGCTATCAGATTCATATTCCCGAGGTTACAATCATTTACCACTTTTTAGCTTTCATTCTCACCTCTGCAACTTTCTCAAACGTCGCTTCGCAAATATTTGCAAGGGTACTGTTTCACAGAGCAAAATGGTCGCTTAGCAGAAATATAGCATTAATGAAGACTGGAGCTTTTGCTTCCAATGCTGGAGCTATGGGAGCTTTTTATGGCTTACTCGCAGCTTCTTTCGTCAGTAACGCAGAAATCAAACTTCCGTATGAGCTCACCTTGGGGAAACTTATCCTAGGTGCCGCTTGCGTTGAAGTCGCACTTCTGACGTATAGTTTACATCAAATGAAATTTCAAGTCTTCGTCTTTAACAACGCTGCTCATGCAGGCGGATTGATTTTTGGCTATATATATTCAAAAATCGGCGATTCATTCTGGGAACGCTTGAAAGGATTCTTTTACGAACGCAATCAACGCCTTGTTCGTTTAAAGCTCTGTAGACATGAAGAACTTGTCCGTGTACAGAACAAGTTACTACAAAAATCGATTCAACTAGAAGAGCTGAAAAAAGGGAATCAATAGATCTTCTACACTTTAATTTCATACCATCTATTTTCATTCCAATGTTGATTCGTATCACCACTTTAATTAATTTTTTATCCTTTTGTTCTGATCAGACTTTGATTCGCGAACAAAGCACCCCTTTGTTGTAGAAAAATATTTTATACCTACGTGTATAGCATAAATAGACCTTCTTCAAGTTAAAAAAACACCTCAAGTCTAAGCCTAAATATTCTCACATAAACCCACAAATGCTTCGAACAGCTAATATACATTGGACTGCCGAGCTCTATGAAAAGCAACATACTTTCGGTATACTTCTGGGTATACAATTATCCGTATTATTGTGTTGTTTTCACATCGGATAAGTACATTGCACCAAAATGTGTCGTAGCAAATTTAGTTACTGGCTTTGCTGCAATCAAGTTCAGTAAGAAACTTGTGATTACCAAAGGGCTCCATATACTTATCCGGATAAACATGATGAGAAAGGTCTTTGCAAATCGTTTACACACTCTCACGACCTCTGTTTATGGCAAAGTATTTCTTGGGACCTAGTGAAATACTCTATCCCGATTCTTCTTTTTGGCAGTTCCTACTTACATCCTTGGAAATTTCATCGCGATCCTTTTTTCTCATACCTTTACTCGTGTATTATATCAAATCACGAAAGTACGATTTGGTCCTCAAACTGCAACGAAGTCGATCGTAAGAATTCCAGAACTCGGTGTTAGAGGAGTGTCATACGCTTTGATGGCAACAACCCTATCACGTTTAGAGAACAAAACCAAGACTCACAGGAGACACAACTAAACCATTGCTATGTATTGGTTTTATCTCCGTGGAGGCAATCTTACTTCCTCTTAGTCTTTTTGATAGGCGTTTTGCATATAACACTGAGCGTATTATGCGCTTAGGAGGAGCTATTTTTGGTTTACTTTACGTTGAGTATGGCATCTCTGTCTGGGAGAAAACAAAAAGCCTTTTTAGTGAGGGAAATGAGCAAGCTTCTCTGGTATCAAGCTCTGGTCATACAAAAGCTGGTGAGAATGAAGCGCCCGCCAATACCGAAGATCGAATTTCTAGTCATCCTGTAAACGAACAGGTAGAAATTCTCTAATCCTTATCCTACTGTTGATGAGATTTATTCTTTTCTCAAATTTCCCTTTCTTGTCTATTACTAACATCTCAAATGAGCTCGCTCGCTTTTACTCTTGGCTGTTGAGGTCTGCTCAATGAATAATTGTTCTTTGAATTTTTGAATGATTTACTGCTCGCATATTGCTCCTAAAACGCACTGATGTAATCATTAGCTTCATTCTCCCTTTGTTACGATATTGCGCAGGGCAGCCGTTGCCTAGAAATTCATTAACTCTAGGTTGATTATCAAAAAGTTTATTTGATTGGATATTTGACACGTAACTCACATCCCTTTGTGTAAACATACCAGTAAGTACTTGCAGATTCAAGGATATTTAAAGATAATACACAAAGCGGAGTATACGATTGCCTCTTTCTCTTCCACTTCGTCATAACAATCTAAATGCTTCGTTTAGCCTGCCGAAAGCCTATCCAGCGTCACTGGGCACTTAAAGCCAACTTTAGCACAACGCAAAATAGATTATTGTCAACGGATTTCTTTAAAGCGTCAATTCTAGACTTGCCACTACAAAATCAGGCTAAACCTCCTACTAGAATAGGATTTCACACCAGTGCATTCGTCAAGCGTCCTCAAGTAGGTTTGGCTGCAGAAAGTACGAATAGGGCAACGTCAGAGCCACCAAAGCTTCCCTCTTTCTGGTCGCGAGCAACAGAATTAACGAATAAGGAGAAAGAGTGGACGGTTTCAGAAGAAGATGCGCAAAAGCCAAAGATCTTGAGGCCAGTATTATTCTCCATTGCCGTAGGCGTAACAGCCTTTGCTTGGGCGGCGTATATGACGATCAAGGATAATAGAACAGTGGCTCTCACGGTAGAAAGGGAAAAGTACCTAGATTTTCCTAAAAGAGATTTTGACAAGGAAGAATTTACGGATAATCTCTTCGATTTCTCGGAACAAGAAGAAGTTCGTCTAGGGGTAATCGCTTATTTTTCAAAACAATCAGGAGCTGAAGATATCTCATGGGGCGATCTCAATGAAACTCAAATGCGAGCATTACGAAAGGTGGTGCATTTGAAAGACAGACATCCATTAGGAATCTTTAAGGGACTATATGAGTACATGGAAACGAATCGAAGTCTGGCGGTAGAATTGATTAAGCCGATCCTTTTGTTGCCTTCGACGCTTTATGCGACTTATCGTTATGTCCTACCTGTCAGATTATCTGATGAAAAACTGGCCGCGCTACCAATTTGTGCAAGCATGGTTTCTATTGCTCTAGTTCTGAAACTGGGTAAGAAAGGATTGTTTGGAAAGAGTGTGAATGGTTTCTTACGCAGGCACATGATGCGAACGCCATCTGCAATTCGATTACACACGCTCGTTACTTCAACTTTTTCGCATACACGTTTCGTCGATGTTGTCCAATACTCAGGTGTCATCTTACTTATCGGCAGCTCATATCTTGAATTACCAAAAACATCAAAAGAAGGTAAACCTTTGCATACGGCCGAAGCCACGACATTCTATCACTTCCTCGCCTTCTGTGTGGCTGCGGGAGCTTTCGCCAACGTTTCTTCGCAAATTTTTTCTCGTATCTTGCTGCAAAACGTAGGAAGAAAGTATGGTCATCAAATTGCCAAAAAGTTGATCGGGAGAGCGCCTGAATCAGGTGCCGGCGGCATTGCGGGAGCGTTAATTGGAAATTACCTTTATCATAGTCCATGTTGGGAAGAATACTCAAATAATGAGAGAATAACATTGCACACAGGCATAGCCTGCGGTAGTGCTATTCTTCTAATTTTTGAAGCAGGAGTACTTACGCTTGGGTTCATCGATAGAAGGTACCTGGGCGGGATCGATCGTGCAGCTCGTTTGGGTGGAGCAGTGTTCGGATTGATGTATGCTCGCTTCGGCAACGCTTTTTGGGAGAGTATGAAACGTTTCTTTTATGATTGCAATGAACAATTACTCATAAATATGAATCAGACTAGCAAAGAACCTCAAATCTCTACACAACAACCACTTGCTATCACTGAAGAAATACCTACTATCATGGAAGAAGTCAGACTAGGTTAAAGTCCCTTTCTTCCTTTTTCATCCCTTCTTGTCGGTTATTATTTCCCTTTCTAACCTTTTCTTGATATACGTGATACTGCAGTACATCACACATTTGAAAATTTGTCTTTCTTTTCTGACCTTTATAAATTGATCAAATTTCCGTCGTAAAATTGTTTCTGGTATTGTGTTTATCGTCTTTCCACGCACACTTTTCAAGGTAATTCTACATCTTGCATGATTCATTTTTTTCGGATATAAAGGTATAAATCAGCTTTTAACCGATCCACTTTCAGCGTATGCTTAGGCTGTTTATCAGAATGCACAAAGGGGTTGATTAGGGTTTGACACGCAAGCATTTTCCCTTTGTGCTTCGCACTTTTTGAAATACAAGAATTTGCTATAAAAATAACTGATTCATTAAACATGTTAGCTTTGAATTTCCTCGACCCACTTTAAACAAGCGTTTAACAAATGTTTCGAGCAACTCTTCAGACGACGAACAAGAATGGCATAGTGTCGCGATCATTTTATACCGCTGGAAGACTATCTAGCTCAAAATTCAACTTTGCACCCTCTCGGGCATTCCATCGAAATACTGATTTAGCAGCGTTATATCCTAAAGGTCCTTGCGTGGCTAAAGCCAGACAGCAAAGCACTTTTGTCGGGGAGCCATCGAAGCAAATTGACGTGAAGATCGAAAGCGAAATACATAAAAATGAACTTCAACTTACAGACCAACAAAAGGAATGGAGACTGCCGGAAGAAGAAGCTCAGACTCCAGAAGTCATCAGGCCTCTGCTCTACTTCTTAGGAGTTGGAGCTGTTTCTTTTGGATTTGCAGGCTGGCTTTCCGTGAAAGATACAAGAAAAGCGGTGGAAAATGCAAAACGTCAAAGCGAACATTTACGAGACTTACACGATAAATATCCCGTTGGGGAAAGTGCAGATAAGGACGCTTATTGGGGTCCTATAAATGAAGCCGATCTTCGCGTAATCGAGAAGACCAACCTGATCGAGCGAAGAATTGCTAGGATAGAATGGTTACAATACTGGGCCAATGCCTTACATCTACCTGAGCGATTCCAAAAAAGGACTTTGAAGCGGTACAACGATGACAAAGAGCTGTACAGCGATGCTGAAATCTCTGTTTTACCCATTATAGCTTTCACCGCTGTAGTATTCATCGGAATCAAGCTAAGTAGAACCGGAGTGCTGGGTAAAAATGCATTCAACCACTTGAAGAAGCATATCCTACAGATTCCTGCCGCTAATAAACTGCATACTCTCACAACATCAACATTCTCACATGTACGGCTCGGCAGCTTCTTACTCAATTATTTCGTCATACTTGGCCTTGGAAGCACGTTTCTACAAACTCCACACTTTCGTAAAGACTTGAATGGCAAACCATTACACACGGCAGAAAGGTCAACTAAATTTCATCTCCTTGCCTTTTGTATCTGCAGTGGAACCTTTTCATCTGTTTTCTCGCAAGCATTTACACGTTTAATGTTCATCAGAGTACGATCTTTATTCGGCACACACGCGGCAAAAAAGATCGTTGGACGAACCCCAGAAGTTGGTTCAGCAGGTATATCTTACAGTTTGGCCGCAATGTCATTTCCTGATGCATTTTATGCTCGGATCGATCCAATTGATGGATATGAGGGCCAGCGTTCGAAATTAATTGCTAGTATCTTTTGGTCCTGCCTCGCTTACAGTTTTGCGCTTATGCCGATTAATCTTTGGAAAGGCTGTTTGATCAGATCGGGCGACGTTGCTGCAAGAGTAGGGGGTGCATCCTTCGGTTTTATTTATTATAAGTACGGGAATAAATTTTGGGAAGGAACAAAAGGCATTTTCTATACACCAGAAGAGAAACTCATGATCGCAAGAAAATCTGATTTGACATAGCCTGTGAACCCATTTTCAATACAGAATTCACCACTTTTTACTTTCATGCTCTTCAAATCGATGATAAGTTACAGGATCATCTTTGATTGAGCTCAGTTTGCGTGCTCTTCAGGCATATCTGTGGGTAAGCTTCGAAAACCAACGCGTGAAAGAATCAGTAAACAATGGAACCACTTTCATCAGCTTAAGTACATTGATTAGAGTTTGACACATGCTTTTCGCAATGCAAAGAAGATGAATTGATTGATAAAGAGGAAGAAAGGTATACTTGCTTAGCGTGCTGCAACTATCCTTTTGTCATTTGGCATAGGCCGCTTATCCAGCAACGGCGTAAGTGATTAGGGTTTGACATGAGAAAGGGTTCCTTTGTGTTCCAGATACACTGTCTCGTATAAATACAGATCAGACCAAAACTCACTTTCATGTTCCTACGCCTATCCAAAGATTAATGTGTATCTAGTCTACAAAAACTTCGGTACGATGCTTCGGACAAGCTGTCAAAGAGGGCTTAGCAAGCAATTATTAATTCAACCGCATTCTCAATTGCCACTCTTCTATAGGAAGATCATCACTTCAGCTATTAAACAAAATTCGAATACATCGCTTTATCCGCGGCTGAAATCACCTTATCTTTTAGACAAAAGTCGTTTGGAACCACTCGTTTCACGTATTCCAAAGTTTCAGAAAACAAACACGCAAGATGAATGGCTTAAAGTTGAGTCAAAAACAGAAACACCGCGGGTTTTTCGACCATTTTTGTTCTTTGTCGGTATTGGAGCAATAGGTTTCACTGTCGCCGCCTGGGCTACCGTCAGAGAGACTGGAGATGCGGTTGCTAGGGCAGGAAAGTTTACCAGCTTAATACCGGCCGTACGTGAAAGTTTGCCATTCAAGATTGAAGGTGATGAAAGTGCTTATTGGGGATCATTAAACGAACAAGATATTCGAAAACTATCGCATCTTGGAATGTTCTTACGACAACGGAAAAGGAAGGCATTTATCAAAAGATGGTGTGATCGCTTACACATTAGTGAGAAAACCCGTAAAAAATTCACAAGATTCTCAAACAGACTTCTTACGCTAAGTCCTCTACTAAAGGAAGAGCATAGAGTGACCGTACCTTTAATTATGTTCTCAACGGTAGCATTCGTTGGCGTCAAGGCTTGCAGAGGATTTCTCGGTCAAAATATGATTGCTCTTATGCGAAGACATTTGTCGCATATTCCGGTCGCTAATCGCTTACATACACTTTCAACATCCAATTTCATCCATGTTAGAACGGGTAGCTTTCTGACCAATTCCGTCATGATATCAATTATTGGTGGCGCCTATCTAACAAATCGATCGTTCTACACTGATGATCGTGGCAACTCCAATCACACAGCTGAAGCTACGTCATTCTTTCATTTCTTGGCATTTTGCTTTGCAGTCGGGACGTTTGGCAGACTAAGTTCTCAAGTCTTTTCTCGAATTTTGTTAATGCGAGCAAAGCAGATTGCAAACCCAAAAACGTTGGCTACTGTCGGCAGAACACCTGAAATGGGCTCCGCTGGAATTGTGTATGGCTTATTAGGAATGTCAATTCCACATGCAATCGCAAGCGGTGAATGGAGAGACAACAAGCAGCTTCCATTTGTAGCATTGTCTATTCCATCTCTTGCTTTGCTTCTTTTCAGCTATAATGGTGTACTTATCGGGCTCACGGTAATAGGAGCAGAAGCAGCGCTTAGCATCAATGCTGCAGCTCGAATGGGAAGCACTCTTTTTGGAGCAGCGTATTTCAGCTTCGGTAATAAGTATTGGGAGCGGCTTAAACAAGTCTTCTACGAACGGGACGAGAGATTACAAAAAGCACTTCTTAAAAAAGGGAATCTTGTAGCTGCAATCCAAACTTTGGAGTCGCCTAAGCTAGATGAAGCGCTTAGCAAGAAAGGTAAAATCATGGGAGCACTTGAAAAAATAGAACCTTCTAAGGTCCAAGAAGCACTTAGCAAGAAAGGAAAGAGTATTGACGTAAGTCAATCAACAGAACCTTCGAAATTCGAGATGCTAAAACAGAAAATTAAGGACAGAAAAAATAAGCATACCCATGATCAATAACTTTAAAGCCTTACCTTGTCAGTTCATAATCACCACTCTAATGATATCACTAAAAATTTTTGACAGATAGAAATTTGGAGCATTTCAATGTGTATAAGCTGAGCAAGAATAATTTATGATTTGATGTGTGATAGGCTCAGTGGGGTTATGGTTCTGCATAACGCTCGGACCGCCGCCTTTCAGAGGAAGTACGATTAGCTTTTGATAGGGTTGCATAAAGCATGAAATTAACGGTACAAATTCCTTTCTAGAGTCTACCATCACCGTCAAAAGATTATATCGCTTTTTGTCTAAAGAAGTCTGGAGTAAGACGTAACTTTTGCCTACAGAACAATCTTATTCAAATAGCAAGATGTGGCGAAAGGGTCATCATACTGCATTGAATACTGGTGCTTTGAAACAAATCTTACCTAGATCATCCGCTATCCTCAAGTATTCGACGGCAAACTACAATTCTATGACCTCAACATGTCTGCGTCTACCAACAAATGCCATTTATTCCTCACCGTTCAAGCCTAAGCGATCTGGCTACGCTGTAAAACCTCTGTCACGGTGCTATAGCACTCAAGCTCGAATTCAAACCGTGTCTAAAAGAACAAGCGCAGGGTTGAAGACCATTTTTACTGGCTACAAGTATAAAAAAGGTGAATCGTTCAACGTCTTTCTACCGGTCTTGGGGATCATCTGTGTGGGAACGTTGGCGTACACGTTTTCTTCTTGGCCAAGTAAAAGCGAGCAAGACAAAGCAAATAAGTACAACGAGAAACTTACAAAGCGACCCACAGATGCACAAGCAATGTGTGCAGATATACAAGCACTAGAGGCAGTTCTGAAGAAAATGGAAAACTCGGTAATTTTGAAGTATTGGCAACTCATCAATGCACAACAAACACGATTGAGGAATGATCTTTCTAAGTCTTATGTCAGATTTTGGGACGTCGGCTTTTGCAAAGTTGATAAAATACACCAGAACACGCCATGGAGCGCAGTTAGACTTACAGTGCGAGAAATCAAAAATGTGGTAATGAGCTTAACAAAGTGGTTTTCAAGATCATGTGTCTCTCTCCAACAGGCTCGAATGGACTCGCTACCATTTCTATCATTCTTCATTGTGGTTTTTCTCAGTCTTCACACCAATAAGATACGCAGTATGGTAAAAAAACCAAAAACAGTTCTGGGTCTTTTTTCGAGTTCATTTTGATTCTTATTCTTAAATTCTAGTTTAGTCGATCCTTCTTTGTATATATTTCCTACTGTCTATAACGATCTTCTTGAATGATTAAGAAATGATATCTCAAAGCTTGTAAGATTGATCTAATATTTTCTAATTTGTATAGCAAAATGTAACCTATGGTTTGATACTACGGGTCTTCACGAGACTCCCTTTGTTCGTACGCGCAGGCTATGTCAGACTTTTAATCCATAAACGATTGATTAGCCCTTGACACGCCGTTTCTTTCCCTTTGTATGTTGTACATAGAGTAGCATCAAGTTCATTACTATATAAAGCCCGATAAAAAAACGAACATTTATTTTATGCATAGAACAAAACCCATTACACTCATTCGCGATTATCGCCTTTCACAATGCTCCGAAAGTGTATTCAAGACACATACAGAATTGGTTTGATGAAACATGGCTTACAGCGAGCTCCGATGAACCGATATGCAATTTCAAAACAACTTAGAACAATCAAATCATCTCCACAGCCGCTCTGGAAACAGCAGGCGGGTTTTAATTCTTCGCAATACAACTCTGTTTTACCCGGCAACTCACGGTGGCAAAGCACAAAAGCAGAAACGGAAGAACAGATGGAAAAAGTCAAAAGAGTGATTTTGGGTGAAGAAAAGCTATACACAAAATCAGAGAAGGAATGGAGAATACCCGAATCAGAAGCGGAACCTCCTAAGGTTTTAAAACCATTCTTATATTTCATAGGAATCGGAGTTACTTCGTATACAATTGCTGCTTGGTTAGTGATCAAAGACACAACCAAAGGGATGCAAGATGCGGTAAAGTTGTACGATCAGTTGCCAGAGCTTCGTTCAAAATATAAAGATGTAGTACGAGGAAGCTGGGGATCTTTGGGAAGTATAAGTGAAAGGGATCTAAAAATTGTTGAATACCATCAAGCTGTGATGAAGCAAGAGGAAAGGGAGAAACGGGTAGCATACTGGTGCAAACTATTACGCTTACCAAAAGAGCTCAACGATGGTTTGATACAAGCAACAAGATGGATGTCTGGCACCTATATGTCACTTTCCGGAAGTGAATTCCCGTCCGCTCCGATTATAGCACTTTCTACCGTAATTTTCCTTGGTTTCGACATCAGTCGAACGGGAATTTTCGGCAAGAATACGTTCGTATTACTACGAAAGCATCTAGTTCATTACCCAGCTGCTAATCGGATTTACACGTTAACGATGTCTGGTTTTACACACGCTCGTTTTGGCAGCTTCCTTATCAATGCAACTGTTTTATTCTTCCTCGGTAACAGTGTATTGGCAGGTTCAGGATATTTTCCACATCGTACGCCTGAAAGGAATAGATCGTATCACCTTCTTGCATTTTGTATAACGGCAGCAACATTGACTTCTTTATCCTCGCAAATTTTTTCACGGTTGTTGTTTATGCGTGCTACAAAGTTATACGGATCTCAAGTTGCAAGAAAGACCGTCGGTCGTATGCCGCAACTTGGAGCAATTGGAATTTCGACCAGCTTGGCGGGAATTTCTTCTGTCCAATTAATCGCATTTGCTGAGCAAAAGTACCACTCTATGCAAGAAGGACGCAAGGAATTTAAGCAAGCTATGGACACCTTTGCACTCCTCAACTTCTTTTACGTCTATACTCGTTTGGTCTTCCTGGCAATGAGCCTTTTTCAAGGAAACATGGCGACGCGAGGAAATCCTGTAGCTGTAACGGGGTTGCTTTTTGGTTTCACTTACTCCATCTTTGGACTGGATTACTGGGAGCATTTAAAACAAATTTTTGCTGAGCGTGATCAACGTTTACAGCTTGCAATCTATCAAAGTCATCAGCTAGCAGAAAAAAAGTTAAAGGAGTTTTATCCTGACCTATACGATCGTAAGAAAGTTCCCAAGAAGCGCTTCGTATAGAGTCTTTACTGGCATTTTCTTTTTCATAGCCCCTTTTTCACTTCTCATATCACCTCTAATAAAATAATCACAACAATATTCACTATAGTAGATGCCTCTTCAGCCAAGCAAGGGTAAATGACAGCTTTAGTCTAATAGTCAAATAGTACGACTCAATGACGTTTTTTAGATGTAGGCTACCCTTTGTCCTTACGCGTGGGCCGCCTTTGAGAAAAAAAGATGAATGATTAGGGCCTGACACGAACAATCATCCCTTTGTCTTTCACTCGTGGCAATATAGGTACACTACATATAAGGAGGAGTTACAAAGGACATAACAAGCTTTCTATACCGTACTACATTGATTTCAACCTCCATCGTAGAATGCTGCGCTATGGAACTCAAAGAGCGTTAAGGAATCATTCATCAATCCGACACCTCTCTCAATTACCTCGAACATCAAAATACCTCAGCACTTCTACAAGAAACCTTCCATCAACTCAAGATAGACTGCGACCATTCCAGAAATTTCCACTTCAAAGAGCTACACTACAACACGGCCAACAAAGTAGAAGATCCTACAGCACAGACTCGAAAAGAGAAAACAAGGACTTGCCTTGGATTTTGATCGATGAAGCGGAAGTGCAAAAGGAATGGAAACTACCTGAATCGGAGTATGAAGTTCCAAGAGTCATACGTCCTATTCTATTTTTCGTCGGTGTTGGATCATTCTCGTTCATCTTTTTTGCATATATCACCGTGAAGGATACGGAAGATGCAATGAAGTATGAAATTGCTAAAAAAGACAAACTTGCCCTCGCTTTTTTCTTTATTCTCTTCGGCTTTGAGAAATTCCCGCTATGGTTTTTCTTGGATGCCGATGATCCACGATATCGAGCAAAGGCGGGGATGATTGTAAGGTCGCTCTTATATTTCCATCGACCTGAAGAAGGGTGGGAAGAAAATCAGTCACCAACCATATACTCCAGAGCATCAGATTCTTTTACATACTTTTCTCTGATCGCTCGAGAAGGATTAATAAGTCTACCCGTTCAAATTTTATCGTTTACCTTATTTATAGGCATTCTTGCTTGCAGAGGTGGAAGGTCTAAAAACAGTGCGATCAACTTTATTCGGAAACATCTTACTTTTTACCCTGCGGCAAATCGACCACACACTCTAACAACTTCACTACTTTCCCACACTCGATGGGACAGTATTTTCATTTATTGGTTTGTTCTTTTGGCCTTAGGATGTCCTGAACCAGGCAATGGCAAATTCTATACTGACATGTTTACCAAGTCTCAACATACGGTTGAATCGACAAGCCTGTTTCAATTTTTTGCCTTTTGCATCGCTACGGGCACGTTTGGTAATCTATGTTCTCAATTATCCGCGCGGCTTTTGTTTGTTCGAGCAAGATCTTTATTTGGCATCCAGCATGCAAAATCGGTAGCTGGAGCCTTGCCGCATTTAGGTGCTGCTCCTATAGCATACGGCATGTTGGGAATGGCTATTCCAGGCTTCTTGTTCTCAACAAATGATACCTCACTCCCGCTCCCACAAGCTTCATTGAATCCTATCGTTTTAGGCCTTGGTGTCGTAAGCGCAGAGCTTCTCCCTTTTTTGTTGTACGCAAAACGAGCACCACCTCTTCCTGGTATAAGTGGGCGAGTAGGAGGAGCTCTGTTTGGTTTCATGTACTATTACTGGGGCGAAAGTTTATGGCATCGTTGTAAAGAAGTCTTTCGAGAGAGCAATGGTCCAGTCGAAGCTATATACGTGTTGAGTATGACTTTCCCGAGGAAGGGTAATACTCTAGAAGGAGCATAAGCTCTTACAAGCCTTCTTAATTCTTCTATATGAAACTTGTACCTTATTGATCGATTCATACCTTATCAATGTCACCACTCTTAAGCAGAAAGTCAACAGTATTCAAATACTTTTCAACGAAATTTGGTGCATATGTGGACTCTATAGCCGTGTGAATGAGCAAATTTCACGGAAAATTAATGATTAGAACTTTCATGGGATTTTTGAGAAAAAAGCTCCCCTTTGTCAGGATTACATAGACTGATTGATTAGATCTTGACACGCTTGATTCATTTTCCTTTGTGTGTGCTTATCACTTGTTTTGTATATAAGAGCTGCGCTTGTGGTTTAAACCAGACCATTTACCCCAATCATACACAAACAAACAACCACATACAAACAATGTTTCGAACGGCCTGTTCCCGCTTGTTGACCAGTCGACCAAATGTTCACATCTCTGCTCAAATTTCAAGCTCAATACAACCTCGTCATCTGTCAAGATCATTAATCGATTGCCATCATTCGAGGGTAGCTTTATTAAAACACCACAACAAAGGAGCACAACACTATGCTTTCTTACGTGATTCAGCGCGAAAGTACAGCACACCTACCGGTCCACATTGCAAAGTCAACTTGGATGATGAAAAAGAGTTGGAACGTGAACTTAAACGTGAATTCGACCGTGATTTTGAAAGACAAGAGAGTTTGTCTTTTTTAACAATGCAACAAAAAAAGTGGCAATTACCTGAGTCAGAAGCAAAGCCACCAAAAGTCATTCGACCAATTCTATTTTTCGTTGGTATAGGAGCAATATCCATTCTAGCAGCAGCGTGTTGGACAGTTAAGAAGACTGGTGATATGGTCGAAAATGCGGAAAAGCTTGAACTTCTTTTTCCAATGTTTCACCAAGTATACCCGTTAGCTCCAACGGGTAGCAAAGAAGCTTCTTGGGGTCGATTTAACGAAGAAGAACTTCGATTTTTGGTGCATGCGAATGAACGCTTTCAAACGTTTTTGACAAGAGCAAAGCGTAGATTGTGGTATAACAAAATGAATATACTCGAAGCATATCAAGATGCACTGGAAATGATCCTTTCCTATTCTTCTTCGATCTATCTTGCCCTTCGCGATGAACAAAAAGCTGCTATACCAATCTTGGCGGTCACAACTGCCCTTTTTTTCACATTCAAGGCAGGCAAGACGGAAATCTAAACTTCAAAAGCGTTCGGTACTCTACGAAAACACTTTTTGCATATCCCGGCCGCCAACCGTGTTCATACGCTTACAACTTCATCCTTCTCACATTCTGGATGTATAAGCTTTATATTCAATTCTTCCGTGATCTTCATGTTTGGAGCCAGCAATTTGACAAATTCTACCTTTTATTCCGATCACGCAGGGAAAGAATTGCATACTGCAGAAACGACGCCTTTGTATCATTTTCTGGCGTATTGCATCTGTGCGGCAACATTTGCGAGCGCATTCTTTCAAATCACTACCCGACTGAAGTTGCATCGGGTAACAAAGTTTTACGGTACATCAATTGCCACAAAGTACGTGGGAAGAATTCCTCATTTAGGTGCAGGTGGTATTTCGTTTAGCTTGATGGCAATGCAAGCAGCAAAGACGTTTGAAATAGAACATAAAAAGCTTAAAATTCCTGAAGAAGAACTCAGACGCGAGCAAGCAATTCAAGGTATTTGTGGTTCCCTACTTGCTTTGAATGCTGGAGTAGCATTAAATTATTTGTTTGACCGGAGTCAAATAATAGGAATCAATTCTACAGTACGTCTTGGTGGAACTATATTTGGAGTCTTATATGCAATATGTGGAAATGCTATTTGGGAGAGAAGCAAACAAATCTTTTATGAACGTGAAGAGAGGCTGCAAAACGCAATTGCTGGCAAACCAATCCGTAAAGAAGTCCAGCTTTCATCAACCGAAGATATCAAAAGAGCTCGTCCAGAAGCAGAATCAGAAGCTGCCGCAGAAGAGCCTATTCGTCTAGTGTAGGATGTTGGCAAGAAAAGCTGGCCATAGGTTTGTTGTCATCCTGTATCCTCTTTATTGACCATCACTAATTTATAGCACAGTTTGCGGCACTTTACCAGTCTCTCTTAACGCGTTGCATAGATGTTTACTCCAATACAAAACACACGTGTGCCGTTAACAGCCTGCAATACAGTGTTCATATGCATGCACCCACAGGCAATAAACAGCGCGGGCGCCGCGCTTGCGCAAGTATGGACCCGGCTTAATACAGTGCGCGCGGCTTTCTATTTTGATCAATACAAAAACATGCACTCTTTTTTAATACACACGTAAATTTTTATTATTCAAATTCGATCTTTGTGGTTGAGTTAGACTGTTTTAGTAATCAAACGCCCCACGGAAATTATAGGATCGAATAGTGGCCAACAGATAATTTACAACTCTTGCACCATCACAAACACAGCGGTCATCTGATATAAACAATTGGTGGCAATTGATACTCTGAGACGGTTGCTGGTCATACCCTACCATCAGGTGCATGCCACAACAGTCATAACGACAACTTTTAAAGTGATCGATCAAGATGTCGCACCAAATAAACGGCAACAGTCGCCCTTTGGTGGAAAGACATCAAACCGAAATGATCGCTCAACATGCCAACACTGCCGATAATACACCAGAAGAGAAAGAATCATACTTTCAACAAAGTCATGTTGATGCAATCCGAAAAGGTGTTGAACCTGCTGAGCGCGTTGAAGGTGTTGAGAATGCAGTCAACGAACGTGAAACAGAAGAGATGAAAAAGACGATGGAAGAGCACGAGCAAATCTATGCAGAGAATCGCGATAAGCTGCTCGGTGCTATTGGAGAAAGCAAAGACTTGTTGGGAGAATTGAAGGAGTACAGCCGCGAACGTTGGTCCATCCAATACCCAACGGTTGTACCTACATATACTTCCGAACCAAAGAAGGAAGGTAAAGAAGTCACTGTTCGCCCTGTCCCTGCACGCTCATTCTCAACGCCACTTGTTGAGGCTGCAGGGGATATGTCAGTCTTGCGTTTGGACCTAAAGGTTGGATCAGCTGCAACAACACCGACTGGAATCGTTCATCATCTCGAAAAGACTGCAGTTGCACAATTGATGGATGGTAGAATGACATCCTCCTTGCGCCAGTTGGAAAGCTTGCGTCAACGTATCAGTGATACCCAAAGCAAGGTATTAGTCACAGGTGACTTGAATGCAGGAAAGAGTACTTTCGTCAATGCCCTCTTGCGCCGCAAAGCGATGCCAATCGATCAACAACCTTGCACAACCGTCTTTTGCGAAGTTTTGGATGCAGAGAAGAGCAACAATGGTGTTGAAGAGGTGCATGTTGTCGACAAGGGTGTTGCGTACGATAACATTGACGCAAGCACGTACACCGTTCATCCTCTTTCTGACGTTGAGAAGATTATGATGCACGCAGAAGAAATGGACCAACAAGATGCCCCTATCGTGAAGTGTTATTGCAACGATACACGCGCCACACAAGAATCTTTGTTGCGCAATGGAGTCGTTGACATCTCATTGATCGACGCCCCTGGATTGAATCGTGATTCATTAAAGACGACAGCTTTGTTTGCGCGTCAGGAGGAGATTGACGTGATTGTATTCTGTGTCTCAGCAGAGAATCATTTCACCTTGAGTGCAAAAGAGTTCTTGCTCAATGCTAGCAACGATAAAGCATACGTTTTCATCGTCGTCAACAAGTACGATCAAATTCAAAACAAGGAACGTTGCCGCGCTCGCGTGTTGGAGCAAATTCGTCAGCTAAGTCCGCGTACCTACGAAGATGCAGAGAATTTGGTTCACTTTGTCAACAGTAGTTCGGTGATGAAGCAAGATGCCACAGAAGCCGAAGTGCCCACCTCTTTCGTTCAGTTGGAAGCCGCTTTGCGTGACTTTGTCTTGTTGAAACGTAACAAGTCCAAACTTTTGCCTGCTCAAACATACTTGCTCAACTTGTTGTCTGACGTTGACTTTTTGGCACGGGCAAACATTGCCGTTGCCGAACGTGAACTTGAAGAAGCACAAGCAGCATTGGCAGAAGCAAGACCTGCATTGCAAAAGATTCGCGCTACTGCACGTAAATTGGAAGCACAAATGGAAGATGAAGAAGATCGTGTGGTTACCAGAGCAAGTGATGGTGTTCGCTCAGCTTTACACAATTCCGTTGAGAAGATCAGCTTGGGTGCACCTGCAGTGGAAGAAGTTTCTATGCCGGAATACCCTGGTTTGATGGCTGTTTGGGAATATGCTCACGCAGTCAGGCAAGCATTGTTGCAAAGTATGGACGTTGCTGTTCGTCAAGTGGAAGATATGACAAGAGAGAGTACTGATAAGACCCTCTCTTTCTTCCGCGAATTGGGAGAGAAGAATCTCCCTGTAGACGAAAATAACAAAAAGCAAGCCACGTTCGATGCCGCAAGAATGTTTAGCAAACGTCGTCAGCTCGGTACCGTTGCAGCCTTGGGATTGAGTGCGGAAATGACACAAGTTCGTCTTTCTGACATCTTTGATGCCAAGCATCATCTGCTTGTCATCACAGGCACGACTGATGAGGATAATGCAAAGAAAGATCATGAAGAAGAGATGTCCATGGTAAACAGCTTCTCGATTGGATTGGGTGCATTGACGCTTCTTGGTGGTAAAGCTTTCGGCGCAAAGACTGCTATGGAAGCATTTGTGCGCATTACCGATATTGCAGGTAATCCCACCGTGAGACGATGGGCATTGCCTGTCTGCATGATTGCCAGTACGGGCATGGTAGCATGGACGATTATTGATTTGCCTAATTCGATTCCACGCAACATCGGAAGAGCTATCGCACGTGAATTGAAACAGCTTGAACCACCGGCAGCATTGATCAGAGATGCGGAAAGAGATCAAGAAGGCGGTATCATCACAGTGACATCAATCTTGTATACCTTCGAAGAGATTCATGCAAGACGGATCGGTCGTGATGCGCGCAAGATCTTACGTTTTGGCGGTTACGATGTTAGCGAACGCTTCCGTATGGCCATCTCTAAACAGAAACAATTCGTTCAAACACAAGAAGACAAAGAGAAGAAAGCGGGCGAAGCACAAACTTGGTTCAACACTGCACGTGGAAGAGCGAGCAACGTTTGTGTTGGTTTGGATAATTTGAAGGGATGGGAACATTAGAAGGCTGCTAATTTCGTTCGTATACAAAAAATCACACACACCTCTCAAAAATTGTTCGTTGAATCTGCATCATCTCACATCTTTACGTTTTACCATCTCTTATTTTTTTTGCATTTGTACATATATATACCATTCCGCTTTTCAGCCAAGACAATTGTTACGATTCCTTTTTTTATTAATTAAAGAGCAATGTAGTTATGAAATATGATTTTCGCTTATAGCATGACATTAAGTATGAGAGGTGAAATACAGTGCAAGCAAAAAAAAGAGCGGTGAGGTTTCCTACAATTGATGAACACGAAGAGGAGCGGTGAGTTGAGTGATATCATCAACGACAACTTCATGAAGTCGATCACGGAACAAATAACGAACAATAAGGTGTTTTCGTTCACCCATGCATGGATCAAAGAATCCCAACAATTTGTGCTTCTGACGATCACCTGGAATGATCAATTGGCCCTTGTGGACAAGCATCATCACCGGGATTGTCACATCCCACCAATCCACATTCACATCTTCCGGCGTTGATGAGGTGTTCTCAGCAAACGCCTGCTCGTTTGGATCGGCATGTCCGTTTGTGGCAGCAGTACCCCATACGGACCTGAACAGTTCTTCAGGTGAGATGTTCTCTTCGAATATCGGCCAACTGTTCCGTTTGCCGTAATAAGCCTGCACGATCACCAAACCTCCTGAGGAGAATTCAGCGTGAGCACGCTTTCTTGCTCCTCCACGCAAGACATGAATGGCTTCCGCGGCTGCTTGCTTACGTTGAACGATCATATCCTTGTGTTGTGTTCGCAAATTCACCAATCTGTTTTGTACGTTGCGGCGTCTGCGTGGGCGGAAATATAGATGCTCAGCGGCCAACAAACCTGCTCCTGGGATTAGAGCGCAACCGGCCACCAACTCGGGACGATATTCTGGACTGAGCTGAATCGGAACAACTAACTTTTGTCCTAGTCTGTTGAATCGCAGCTGCAATGACACTCCGCCCATCGGGATGCCAAAATGCAGACCCATCCCGATTCGAACATGATCGGTAATCTTGCGTTCCATCGAATGGAAAGCGGTCATCCCGCTTCGTGTTCCCAACGTCAAACCAAGCCGTAGCTTAGGAGATCCAAGAATTGCAGGTCGATATGCATAATCAAGCGAAAGGGATTGATCCTCCATTCCTAGCCCGGCTTGACATGTCCAACCTTTTCCGTCTCCTAATCTATCCGATACTCCAAACGTGATCGAGGGCGTTTGTGGCGACCGTAGCCGTACATCTTTGCCCCAGAATCCCAGAGTGTATGTTCCTGTATTGAATACAGTAAAGCCTGTCATGTTTGTCTTTTCCGATAATCTTTGAGCAAAAGAAAGCTGTAGCGCTGGAGGTATCTTGAATGTTGAGCCAGTAGCCACAAAGCTCAAAAAGCTAAACTTTGTCAATTCGTATTGTCCTTTGAGAGATGCGACCCTTGGTGGGAGAAGTGTCACACTTGCCTCTGTACCGAGCTTGGGGTTCCATTGTGTTTTCAGAGTTCCGGTCACATTTCCGCCTCCCATTCCACCTTTACTTGCCATTTGACCGTTAATGAGGAAGCGACTGTACATCGTTAACGGTGTTTCCCAGCCATGCTTTCCAACCAATGAAGTGAAACCTACTCGTGCCCAACGCTCTGAGAAAGACACATCGGGCAATTGAACTTCGATATGTTCACCCGGATCGAACGACTTCCCCTTTTCTTTCTCCATCTGCTTGATCTCCTCGCCAATACGTTGAATGACCTCTTTGCTCCTTGGCACTCGCTCTGCCGAACAGAAAAGACTTGTGGCGTCAAGATTGGCTGTGAATTCACTCTTACTTCGTACTCTATTTTCCATCTCTTCTGCTTTCTGTTGTCTTGCCATCCTTTCCCATTCTTCACGCATTTCAGCTGCCGTTCTTGGTCCTCCTGCATTTGATCTTCTGACTAAAGACCAACTTCTCGTTAGACCTTTTGGTCCAAAGTGATCATAAATTGACCTCTTTTCAGCATCGGATAAGACTTCATAGGCTTTTTGTACGGCTCGAAATCGATTCTCGGCAGCCACTTTGAGATCCGGTGTAGGATGTTTGTCCGGGTGTAGTGCCACAGCCAAAGAGCGATATGCATCCTTAATCTCATCTTCGCTTGCGTCTTTTTGAACATTCAACAAAGCATAATATGCATCTGTGTCATCATCTTCATCAGCCTCATCATCATTTTGCCCTGCTTGAGGATTGTTTCTGAATCCATCTGCCCTCCTTCCCTGTGAGCTAGATCCCATGCCCAGTAATGGCTCCTCTCCAGCCTCTCTTTGAGTCGGATCCGAGCTTCCGTCTTGTTCATCGTCTTCTTCGAAATCATCTTCATCACCATAAGTGTCGAGATCGACGATACCATTACCGCCGGGATTATGGGTGAATTCGAATCTTTTCTCTCTATTTGACTGTCTTGAACCGCTTGCTGTACTTCTTTGTCTCTCATTGCCAGAGCTTGCAGATGTTCTAGAAGAGGAAGAAGTCGAAGCGGAAGAAGCGGAATTTGTCTCTTCATCTGATGAAAAGTATTCGGCATAACTTCGTTCCGAGTATGGGTCATCGCTATCAGCACTTTGCCGTTGTTGCTGGTCTGACATCTTGCCGGCTGTGATCCACTATCAGAAGAGCTGGTGGAAGTCGGGAATGAATCAAACACCAATCACCTGCGATTGCTGACGTTAATATCTTGTCCGTGCGACGCGCTAAGCAAAAAGGAAAGCGAAAAGAGCCGAACCGCTTAAAATAATATACACTGGAAGAAGATACTTACTCACCACCATCCCATAAACGAGCATGGAGGAGGAGGTAGGGATAGTGGCACCACCTACAAAAAGTAACGATGTACGAAAACAGATTCGAAAAGCAGAACGTGATCCATGGAATAGGATATTGAGCATTCTACAAGATGCGGAATGGGTGATGGACTTTTGTCAAAAAGAATTACCTGATACTCCAATCGTACCGAATTTACGTTGTGGTGCTTGGTATGTTCCAAGATTGTCATCAAATACACATAACGAGATCGCAGTGGAAAAAGGATGCTACTTCAAGTCAACAGATGGTCATACCAACGAATGGGGGTTCAGCTTGAAACGATACAATCCTAGCGTTCTGAGCTTAATCCAAGGAAGAGGAGCATGCATCATTGTGGATTCAACAAGGCGTGGTAAATCTATGCCAGATGCTTTGTCAAAAACAATCCCAATATGGTGTGCAGTGATCAATGAAGCTGCCAGATTTACCTATGAATTGCCCACCTCATTCAAGAACACTTTTCGGATTGCTGATCATGTCATCAGCGATAGCGAGCGTGATCAGATCAAATCTCGTATTGATGGCTGGGTAGAGGATTTGTTGGACTCACACCTGCATGTGCCTAGGCTGGAAAAGCCGCTCAAGCCAATTTTTGTCAGCCGATCATTTGTCGATGCTGAAATTCAGCAGATCCGTGATGGGAGTGCGGACTTTCATCCTGTGATCTTGGTGTCTGCTTCGCCGATGGTGTCCACGCCCGATCCAAGACCTAAGCAGTACAAGCCTGCAAGTGACACCTCTGAAGATGCACTGAATCTTGGTCAAGATATAGAGAAAAGCAGGAGAGATGCAGAATTCGTATACGTTCAGGGCTCTGGCGATGACGAGGAGATGTGGTCGTGCGAATTGACGCCGAAATTGCTATGGCAACAAGACAACCTTCGAAAAATCCTCCAAACTCGAGGAAACGAGCAGGCACTACAACATTGCTTGGAGACAATTGTCTTGCAAGAGAGACTTGCAAACATGTCGGTAGGCGTGCTTGACACAATGACTGCAGATGTGCAAATCGGACTTTTCGGTCTCTGGTTCGGACGGAGAGGTAAAAATCATACATTTAGCGAGGATGAACGCGGTAGATATGTATTGATCATACACTCAGACGGAGAAGCTGAAGAGGATGGAGACAACGACAAAGAAAAAGCAGAGATTGGTGTACTGAGACTTGGTCTCGAAAGCGGTAAAAGAGGATTGCAAGATTTTCGAAAGTGTATCACAAAAGTCATTGCTGCCGCCCAAGCAACTCTTCCACGTCATATTCTCATCTGCAGTTCCGAGCACGATGGTATCGGATACGACCTAAATGGCTCTCTGGCAGTCTGTATTCTTTCAACATGCTTTGACGAGGATAAAATGCAGCTCGTTGAATCGGAATTGCGACAAAATCTACCTGACGCATACATTCCTCACGACTTAATCAAGGATGATATCCACAAAAGGCTTCAATGGATAACAACTTTTGTTCCGCAAGCAAAGCCGCCAAGTAGAAAGCACATGTTGAGGATCAATGAAGTTCTACTCAGTCAGGAAATCCGTGCCGAAGTAGCCGAACAACGAAATCAGAGTTGGTTGTAATAATTGTATAGATATGATGTATTATTGTACAATATGATAGATGTGATTGTAAGAATACATATGATGATGTCACTATCACTCTCTCCCTTGTTGTTGCTGTTGTCTGACCCTAAAGCCTTTCTTTGCCAGACTTGCTTCCAAGGTCGACCGATCTTCAGCTTGTTCGCGTGTCTCCATTCCCAAAACCAACTTTTTCAGCTGTTGACGCTCAGCCAATTGCTTCTGTTCAGCCGCACGAGAGTGAACGGCCAAAGCTGCATCAATGGGCACATGAACATCCTGCGTATGCTGTTTGTTGCCCCGCTTGGACAACAAAGAGAAACGCATATGTTGCTCAGGTGCAATACCATCTTGAGCGATTATTTCCGGAGACCCTGCAGGTCTGCTTGCTGCCGTTGACGGATTGTCTGCATTTTGGTTGGCAGCCGTTCTTTTGATAAATGGAATGCCTATGTCAAATAAGCCGCGCTTATTGTTCGAATTGGACCCTTGCGCAGTATTGCTTTCTGCCATCATCTTTGCCAGCTCACGTTCGAATTCATCTTCTGCTTCTTCATCGATCGCAGATCTTTCTCTGCGTACGTGCGCATTAGCTTCTGCATCTTCTTCGGCTTGTTCTTCATCCTCAAAGCCATCCTCATCGCTACTTGACTCGCTATCCGTGCTAGCATCATCTTTTGATACATGCCTAGGTGCATCCTCCTCGCTTTCTTCGGAAGAAGAGGAGCTCACTGAAGAGACATCATCTTCATCTTCATCAACTTCCCCGGCCACTGCATCTGCTTTTCCAGCAACATTAGCCGGTTGTGCTTCTTCAGCTGCCGCTGCAGCAGCGGCTGCTTGCTGTCTTTGCAGCATCGCATCAACTGCTACGGCTGCCTCTTCGAAGTTTCTTTTTAGGACGAAATCAGGTCGTAATGTGTCCATTGTATCGGACAGCATAAAGTCAATGTCCATAGGCAACGGTTGCTCCTTTGATAGAATGTAGATATTGAACATCAACAGGTAGTCATCCAGCCGTTCCCGTAGCTCGCCTCGATCGAAGCACATACCACAAACGTCCAATAATGTACAGACAAGTCGAATGCGGAAGTAGTCATCTGGAGCATCGATGGGCGAGATTTGTCCAGGTAACGGTCTTCCCTGCGGGTGCCCAAACGAGGCAAGAGACCACAACTGTTCAAATACAATATCGGTATTTATCAACCGATAATTGTACAGCTCGCCAAGATATTTGATCGTTGCAACTCTCCTTTGATTGTCTTTGAAGATGTTTGTTTCCATTCCAACTCTGATTTGTTCACATACAGTGTCGATTACGTGAACGACAAAATCGAAGTGATAGGTTTGCAGATCATACAGCACAACTGCAAGTAAGTGCAAATTACTGAACTTGATACGCCAAGACCGTGTGAAAACATTGTGCAACGTCTCCAGCGTCACTTCATCCTTCCAATTCATCTTGCGTAACTGCTTCAAGACCCTATCTTCTTTCCGACGAGCAAGAACATCATAGATCAGATGATTGATATAGCTCTCCATAGGCGTACGCTTCTTTGTCGCAACTGCTTCCCGCTCTGGTGGATTGCACTGATAATAAGCATTGTCCAACAGCACCAATTGACGGGCATCCAGATTTTGCGCTGCCTTTTTGCGACGCAGGAGCTCTAGCGAACTGCGCATCCTTTCACTTGTCTCTTCGTTCCTCAGAAGGTACCGCCCGCAGGTCTCAAGCAACGTGGCAATATTCTCAATATTAGGGCCATTAAAATCGTCCAAACAGACTTTGAAGGCGTGAAAGATTGTTATGATGGGGGTTACCTCAAATTTGACCAACTCTCCCAAGAAGCGAGTATTCTTTGCTCTTGTTTCGGCCATATCGACATTCTTTTTCCGTTGCAAGAATCGAAATTCTTCGTCGAGTCCTTCGATCACGCCTGCACCAACATCAGGCATGTACTTGTTCAAAGTGGCTACTAAGCGGGCATAGTAAGGTATTAAGTCGCTACGATTCCTTGGGATTGCTAGAACTTGCTTGACTAGTCTTTTACGGGCAATCTTGTTGTTCAAGAACGCAAAATCAACTGCTGCTGAATCGATCATTGTCCGATTTGACATCTCTGTCAGGCTGGCAAGAAAAGCATTGAGCTGCGCTGCAGGTCCAGCAGCAAGGCCCTCGGCAACATTTTCCTCAAAGCCTTTGGACTTTTCAGCGTCTTTGTCATCCTGTATACTCTTTGCATTCAGCTGTGGGCTGGCAACAGCACTTTTCTCTCCATCTTTGCCATTGGCATTTTGTGGATCTGCTTCCGCCTTGCCATCACCCGTCTTGGCTTTGGGTTGGCCTTGTTGTAACAGAGCAGGCGGAACCATCTCCTGCAAGTCTACGAGCTCCTCATAAAATCTACGTGTTTCCTCATCCTCCCATTTACTCTTTCCAGAGACGAATTCGCCGTCGTCACGTTCCACCAAAGTCGATCGCGAGTCCAGATTCACTGCTAGGCTGTTAGAGGGCACAGACTTTGCGTCTGTCGATAATGGCGGGAGAGGCACTCCAAGTAGATCTGACAGAGTCTTCCCCCATTCGTGCATACGTTCGAACGTTTTCGCCATCTTTTCGTAATTCTGTTGGCGATCTTCGAAGATCTCTCCTGATCGAATGTATGCTTCGTGATTGCGTTTATCCTGTTCTTGTAGTCTAGAATGCTCTTTCACAATCCGCTTTCCAAGGGTGGAAAAGTACGTCTCAAATAACTTGCGGAATTTTGCCTGCGTCTCGTTCTTCACGACGCTGTCACTCTCTGCCAAATTTACCTTGGACATCATTTCTGTGACATTATCCTGCCCATTCTGAGATCCAATCAATGTAGAGCCAAGGGACTTGAGTAATGATATCAAGATTGGTACGTTTGAATGCTCCCGATCATTCACCAGTAAATCTTTGAGCATAGTAAAGAGCCATTCTTGACCAGGGTACTCAGGATCATCTTGTGGATCGGCTTTAGACTTTCCTTTTTCTTGCCTTATAAGTTCAGTAATCGCAAGTTCTGCTGCGGCTTTGAACATAATCCTCTGCTTCTGCACTCTTGTCTGTTCCTCCTTCTCTCTTTGATCTGCTGACATCGCCTGTAGTGTAACTCTCGAAGGCATGACGAGCTGAGATGCCAGCATGGTTGATAGCGGCTGTGCAAAAAGTGAAGTAGCGAATCTTGCATGCAACGACCCAAGGCTTTCAGCGGCCGCAATACAATCTTTTGAGGTGTTACATTTACTCAAACCTTCAGGAATTGCTTGGACGATCTCTTCGATGTACTTGTCGAGGTTGAGTGAGGTAGCATCTTTGATCAGCTGATCTTTCGTCTCCGCTCCTAATGTTTGCCTTATACGCTTGATGAAAGCTGTATTTTTCTTCATATTAGAGTCCAAAGGACCTTTGAGTGCCTTTGGACCATCTTGCCAGACTTGTAAGTTTGCCGACCTAATCGCTATCCTCTTCTTTTCCCTTTCTATAGTCAATTTGGAGGTAGAAGGTGCAGCATTTGGATTACTGCCTTCCGCAGCCGCACCTTCTGCATTCGTCCCGGCACCGATCATGAACGTGAGCCTTTTCTTAAGATGAATGTAATGCCGAGATGGTGGCGAGAGAGGTACGCTTTGAATTAAACGCGTAAAGTGTTGATCCTGTGCTGTGTGTTGCGCTAACGGGAAAGCAACACTTTGAACCAAAAAGCAGTGGAGAACAAAACCCCTAACTACCACTTCTCTTCCCTAAATGCATTCCGGATCGTACTTCATCAACGCATTCAGAAGAATGATAGTGACATAGATCTTGCTCAGAGGTCACATCGGCTACAATAGGGATTCATCAAGGCTTTCACTCAACATCGCCTCCCATGACGACCGCACAAAACAGAGAGCCGTCTGCTGAGCGGTCCATGCCAGCTTCAAGATCGTCATCAGTAAATTTGCAAAATCAGAGACAGAATACGGAATCCTTCACCTCATTTGGCTTTCTGAATGAAGCCGATGAAGAACAAGAGTCGGTGTTCGCTTTAGGATCGCTATTCTCACGCGTGAGAAGTGCACTTGTTCCCACCGAAGCTTCTTCCCCCGAAAACAGCAAGCTGATCACTAGTGGCAATGCAAGTAGTGCATTGGAACAACAATTGAATCGTTCATCCAGTCGTACTGTCTCGGCCTCTTCCTCCAGTACTGCACTTCATGCTCATGCCAATGCCAGCCAACCAAGAAAAAGCAGCGGAAAATCGCCCTTCGAAGGTGTAAGCAGAGGAGAATCAAGTGGCTCAATCAATGCACATGCTACTTCCTCCAAGACAACAGAATCTACAGCACAACTGAAAAGGTCATCACGTACCAACTCCCTTCAGAATAGCATAGCGTCCTCCTCAAAAAGCTCAAAGCTTCCATTCACCCTCACATCAACGTCATTTGCACCAGCAGTGACATCAACAGCAGCAGCGCATGCAATCGCTCCACAACGATTTCAATCCTTCACGCCAGAGAACATCAATGAAGAAGGTGGAGAAGATGGAGAAGATGTCTTGAGTGCTCTAATGCGTAAAAGTGGTGTCGATCAAAGTAGGTGGGGTGCAAATCGATTTTCATCGGTGCCGGGATTTCCCCTTTCGAAGGATACGCTTGCAGATGATTCGCGATCAATACATTCCTCATCATCAAGAATGCCCAGATCTGAAACTTACAGCACAAGTGAGGCACAATTCGTCATCGCACACGCTCAATCTCCCAAACGTGGAGGGAATGCGGGAAGAGGGGAAAACCAAAACGGTGCCACGAGCGCATCAGCAGGACTCAGTGCAAGTGCAGATGCTTTCCGTCGTATGCGTGGTGAAGGCACAGTTTTATCTCGTGATCTTTGGATGCCGGATGAAAGTGTAAAAGAATGTCGTGAATGTCAGAGCTATTTCACACCTTTCCGTCGCAAGCATCATTGTCGTATTTGCGGTCTTGTGTATTGTTCAAGATGCGCTTCAAATATCGTTTCTGGAAGACGATTTGGACTCGATCACACTGAAATTCGAGTTTGCAATTACTGTTTGCGTGTATTGTCCGAATACGAAAGAGCAGGTCGTCAATCTGTTCGAGATGGTGGCAATACCATCACAACGGGTAGTGCTAATGGCTCTCCCATGTCTTCTCCCCATCGTGTAGCGAACAGCTTTGCACGAAAAAGGGTTGAATCAAATGGGCTGGGCCCTAGACCTGATAAAACGATGATCAGTGCTCCATTGGAAGCGCAATTGCAGACACCGCAATCGCAATTCGCAGCCAATCAATTATTCTCTCATCAGCGCGGAGCTGCCAATCAGCATCTTGCAATCGCGCAAGGGCTACCACGAATGGACAGCTTGCAAGATATGCTTCTGGAATTGGAAGAAGATCATCGATCCAGATCGCAAACACCCATTGCAGAACTTATGAACGGCAGTGATAGCCCTAAATTGGAAGATAGTCCTAACGGACATGTACCATTCCGCATCAAGCTTGGCGAAGATGATCGAATACCCGCTACGATAGAAGATATGCCTCAATTGGCCATACCCGAGATCGATACACAGACCAAGGCTACCGAAATGGCACATGCCAAAAAGCAGAAGCCAGTAGGTTCTGACCAAGGTCCAACAAAGACAATTAGACTGAGAGACAATCGCTCAAAGTTGCTCGGTGATTCTACCATCCTTGACACTCGAGAGCGAGGTGTGGGAGAAGCTGCTCTGCGACACATACGCAAATCGAAATTAAAGGGGAGAGAACATGCACAAGCTGACGACTCTAGCCTACCAGGACCAAGAACAGCTTTATTGCCCAAAGGATCCATCTCTCGACGAACATCTTTGACAAGCACTCTCACGGTCCGATCCGATGACATAGACTCTGTCAGCATTGCACATTTGTTCGGACTTTTACGTCAAGCATTGATTAGGAATAAGATTCAACCTATTGACGCCTGGCAGGAGACGTTGGAGCCGCTTCTGATCAATGTCGTCAGGCATGTACATCCTCGACCTCGTCTTGGAGAAAGCATGGATGTACGACAGTATATCAAGTTCAAACGTATTGCGGGCGGACAAATCAGCGATAGCTCTTACGTCAACGGCTTTGTGCTTTCTAAGCAAGTGGCTACCAAGAAGATGGCACGCATGCTACCACTCTCAAACCCGCGTGTCATGATTGTCGCTTTCCCAATCGATTTCCATAGGGCTGATGAGCAATTTATGAGCTTACAGCCCGTACTGGCCCAAGAACATGAATACACTCGAATTCTCGTAGCAAGATTATTGCAATTACGCCCTAATGTTCTGGTGGTAAAAGACAGCGTATCAAGACTGGCTATGGACATGCTGGAGGAAGCGGGAGTTGTTGTGGTATGGAGTGTCAAGATGAGTGCAGTACAAGCCATTAGCCGCTGTTGCCAAGCTGATATCATCTCATCCGTCGAACGCTTGGCACTGGAGCCAAGGTTGGGTAGATGTGCATCTTTTGCAGTGGATACATACCAACATGCCGCATCATCACAATGTCGAAAGAGCCTCATGAGATTCAATACAGCCGGAAATGCACGTACTTTTGGATGCTCCATCATATTGAGAGGTGCAAAATTGGAAACTTTGGGCACTATCAAGATGATCGCTTCAACAATGGTTTATGCTGCACACAATCTCCGCCTGGAAGAGCAATTGAATCGAGATGAAGGCGCCCAACTTCAAGTGGATAACGTCAGCATGCCGGCCAATCGTAGAGCAGGTTCCACATTCCTCTGTCCTGGCCAATGTGATCAAGAGCATGATCAATTGTGGGATCGTATATTGAGTGCTTTGAAGCCGTTTGAGACGAGCATCTTATCTGCCAGTGCCAGCATCAATATCTCACCACCTTATCAGCTAATCAAGATGAAAGAAGCGCATCGAAGATTGAAATGTCTACAACAAGATTGCTCTGGCGAGACAGAGGGAGAAAAGGCTAAAGTGCATGATCTCGACGTTGCAGAAAATACGGATGCAGAAAAGGAAGGTCAAGATGCGGACGAGAAAGCTGCAACTTTGCCCGCTCTAGAAGAGGTCATGCCAAAGCCATCTGTCTTACAAGCAGAGTATGCGCGTGCATTGATGGATCATCAAATCTTCTTGAAAGAATGGTCCGCATGTGAAAAGGAGGACACGTCTGCCAGCCTGCGGAAGATCAGTGTCTTATGGACTATGGTATCAACTGCAACTCACAAGCCATGCATGGGACCAACACTACTATCATACATCTTTTACGGTCCTCAAGATGAAACGTTGGGTCAATACCTCGAACGAGCATGTCACGAAAGCAGTTCGATCTGTTCTGCCAAAGGCTGTGGTAGACCTAAGGGTGTGCACTATTCGTCTTATGTCCACAATGATACTCGCGTACAAGTAGTATTGGAACGGTTTGTTTGTCCGATTCCTGGACAGGAGAATCGCTTATTGATGTGGTCATATTGCAAAAAGTGCGAAAAAGCCACCCCTGTGACACCCGTATCCGATGACACTTGGGGTCTATCATTTGCCAAGTATTTGGAGTTGCACTTTTATGACGGTCGCAAAACAACAACGTTGTGCGATCATGACTACTATGCCGACTTTGTGCGCTTCTTCTCGTTGCAGAACCTGGCAATACGCTTTCATCGAGATCGCGATCTGGTTGTACGCGATGTTGTTCTGCCACCCATGCGCCATTTGCCACGACCAGATATTGATTATAGGTTAAAGGTGGAAAGCGCAAAACTATTACAAGAACGTATGGACGCCTATTGGGCAAGTGTGATGGAACGAATGATGGCAATTCGTAAAGAGCCTTCTTTGTCTGTTCAGCACATCAGTCAGTTGGAAGGTGCGATGCAAAGTGCAAAGAATGACGAGATTCAATTGAAAGCTTTGTTAATTGAAACGTGTCGTTCTTCTGATCAAACAGATGTTCTTGCTTTGAACGCTGTGAGAAATCGAATGCAATCATTCGTCGTACGGTGGGACCAGTTCTTCCACGAATTTGAGCGTGCTGCTTTACCGAGCGACCGCGATGTACGAAGAATGACAACACATCATCTCTCTCGTATCTTTCAAGAGAAGAACGATCAACCTGGAGCAAATACAGAGCGTGTTGTGGACGCCTTAGGTCTCTCGCCAGCCGTTGAAGTAGATGAAACAACTGCAATGTCTGGTATTGATGCAGTCTTATCGGTGTCTACCACGAGTGACGAAGCAAAGGCGACCGTCGCTCCCGCTGGATCGATTCAGTCAAATATGACAGATGATACACCTCTAGCAGAAACACCTAATCCCACACTTCCGCCTTCCTCTCCTACATTATCTTCTGCAAACACATGGCGGAGAATGCGATCGTCTACCCAAACAACGCAAGAGAGTCTGCCATCTGGAGGTGCATCCGTGCAAAGCTTTGCAGATGTGCACAGTGGCTTATCGGATAGCGATGCAATGTCGGCAAGACCGATGTTGCGAAGAGGAAAGACAACAGATGAAGTACATAAGGTAAAATCTGTAGATGATACGAAAGCAACTTCTGGCACAATTACTGGCAAATCCATGATCCCACGGACTACGCAATTGCCATCTGTTGGCCCTGCAAGTCCTGCAGCGCGTAGAAGTTCAGGCTTCCCGAAAAGAGGCCCACCAAGCAGTTATAAGCCCCCAAAATCGATTATCAATTCTGTTGGTGGATCAAGTGCACTCTCGTCAGGTCTGGAAACTGAATCCGACGGTGGTGCAGCTTCAAGTGGAATGGTAGGCGGATCAACCTTACGACGCAAACTGTCGGTCAGCAAACGTAAAGGCCGCCTTCAAGCCTTAGACGCAGCAAAAGAAGCAAATCAAAAGACTGGAAATGGCAAAGATACTATCAGACCGACAAGCAGAGTGCCAATCTCTACAGCAAATCGATCTTCAAAAGTCTCAACGATTGCACGTAGATTTGATAACCTACAAAAAGAAGCAGAACGTGAACGTGAACGGCAAAGATTGGTACGCGCCAGACGTGCAAGACCTGTGGGTGCTTCGCAGGCTACTGTGCAAGTGTACAGAAGCTTGAAAGATGCAGTACGAGACGAAGATGACGATGAATCTGATTCTTCCGAGCATGGCAGTCAGCGCGGTCACGAAGCAGAGTTGGAAGATGAAGGTGATTCTGATGCTGAAAGAGGACGTCGTCGGAAAGCAACCGGTACAATCAAGGCAAAGACTTCAAACAAGGTGACACAACCAGCATCTTCCCGCCATGAACAGCAAAAAGGGTCAGGCTCGACTATCAAGGCAGGTGATACAATCAAAGCAGCTGCAATCAAAAATGCTGTTGCGGCTCAAGAGGCAGATAAAGAGCAAAATGTGATGTCAGACTGTGAATCGGTGTCTACTCAGCAGACTTCTCTTGCTGCGCCAACGCTGCCATCGGAATATGAAAGCTCTCCTGATCGAGAAAGAAGATCACTTCGATCAGAATCTTCAGATACTTCAAGGATGAACCCTGTTGCTGCAGCCGGTGGACATGGACCCGAATCAGCAGGTTTGGAATTAACAATGTCTTCATTGCTGTCCGGTACAATTCCTGCTTCTTGGCGTGCAAGTCTTCTACCGGCAGATACAGATTCGGGGGAAGGGCGTGGGTCTTTGCTGAAAACGATCTCCTCATTATGGGCTCGTGGAACACTCAGTCTGCCAAATATTGAGCTACCCATGCGTAGTACGGAGCATTTGTTCTCCGATTCTCCATTGGTTGTCTTGCGTGAAGATGAACCGAGCAGTCTAATTGCATTCACTTTGAGTTCGTCTACATATGCATCTCGTTTGGACTCTTTACGCAAATCACATGCTCCCGTGCAAGAAGATGGTGGAGCAGGAGATCAGTCTATGGACAGTTGGCATGTGATCGAGCCCAAGAAGCTCTCTTCACCACCAACACTGCAGGCACACGAGAAGCAGATCGAGTCCGCATTACGACAAGCAGAAGGGACGCATTTGAGCTTTCAGTTCACAAGTGGCGATTCACGTTTCTCGATTCGCGTTCTGTTTACGGAGCAATTCGATGCACTTCGGATGGCATGTGAATGCAACCAAACATTTGTTCAGTCTCTAGCCCGCTGTTGGAACTGGTCAGATTGTTCAGGCGGAAAGAGTGGAGCAGCAATGATGAAAACGTTGGATGATAGATTTATTATCAAACAACTTTCACGCGCTGAAATGGATGCTTTTGCCAGTAATGCCGGGGCTTATTTCCGTTTCTTGGCTGATGTCATCTTTCAAGATCGTCCAACAACGCTGGCAAAGATTTATGGTGTATATCGATTGACGATCAGGAACGCGCAGACTGGTAAATCGATCAAATTGGATTGTGCGATTACGGAGAACGTGTTTGCCAATGCAAAGATGCAACAGATCTTTGACTTGAAAGGTGCTTTGCGTAATCGATTCGTTCAACCTAATGGTCAACCGAATCAAGTATTGCTCGATGGCAATCTCATCACTTCAAAGGTGCCGATATTTTTGCGTGAGGGGTCCAAGCGATTGCTGCGACAAGCATTATTGCATGATTCTCTCTTTTTGGCGCAGTGTGATGTGATGGATTATTCACTCGTAGTCGGCGTATGTGAAGGAAGGCCGGAATTGAGAGTTGGAATCATTGATTTCATTCGAACATTCACATTTGGCAAAAAAGCTGAATCTTTTCTCAAAGAAGCCGTTGGTGGTCATGGCTCAGAAGCGCCGACGATTATCGATCCAAAACAATATCGTGCTCGATTTCTAGCATTTTTAGATTCCGTTCTGTTATTATCTCCGGATCACTGGCTTTCAGAAGATGAAGAGAAGCAAAGAAGTGCGGAAATGCAAAATGCAGCTCTTGCGGCTGGATTGTCGACAAATTATCAATCTGCAAATAACGCAAGTACATTTACCCAAACAAACGCAAATGCAAATATCAGCGGTCTAACAGCCGTTTTGGCAAATACAGCTCCTGGTATGGTGATGATTTGATCTGTATTTTTAATTGTATATAAACAGATCCTATAATTTTTAACAATTACCCTTTCTCTTGTTTGGGCCAAGGCCTGAGCGGTGTTAGCAATGAGCGCATGAGGCTAAGAAGATAATTTGACGTCATTAATTAAATCTTACCCCAAAAAAATGAAATGGTTACCCATCATAACGGTCGATGATGCTTTCTGTTTCGTATATAAACCGCAACGATTATATGTTGCCACAACGACGATCATCAAGAACATCATCAAAAATGCAAAGTGAATACGAAAGGCAAGCAAGCCATAGTTCAGACGAAGGCGTACAGATCCAAGATGCAATCGAGACTGAGCTAATGTTTGAAGACAGCTCAGACAAGCTTGAATATTATACCGATTTCACTAAAGAAAAGCAAGAACAATTGTTGCAACTACAAAAGAATGAACAAAAGCTAGATTTGTTTAAAAGTTGGAAAGACAACGGTCAAGCGTTTACAAGACCAAAATTTGAAATTATTCCAAATAACGAACAAAGTGAATCAAACAACAACACTGTTGATAATCCGCTAAACAGTCGAGTACCTTAGTAGCCCAACTCCCAGGAACGCCGCGGGGATGAGTGATAAATGCTTCTTACCGAATTTCAATTTCTATTCCCGCTATTATTCCCATGCGGATCCGCTTCTGTGCTAAAATGCCTTGACGGCGTCTCAATTTGATGCGTTCGTACCCCACACCAATCAACGTTGCAACGGAAAGGTGCGGAGAAAAATAAACAAATAAACGAAGAGTGTGTGTTTGTGTTTAGCGTACTTTCATTGAACCCCTCTTTCTCTCTCAATGCTTGTACCTTTTTAAGATTGACATGCATAAACAGAGGTAGGCGGAAAATTAAACTCGAATCTTTCTTTTCTTTCTCAAACAACGGAAAGAATCCATGTGAAAGCCCGTCAATGTTCTTGCATAGAATCACACAATGCAGCTGATTGTAGAAAAAAAAGAAGCAATGGCAGATAGTATATAATAGGGTCTAGTCACCTTCTTCTCATTCCTCTCTCTTTAAACTCCCTATACCATCCAAAATGCACTCCTTCCTCTTGGCAGCAGCTCTGCTGGCCATCAGTACGGTCGCAAAGCCGTTCAATACCCGTGCTTCAGCCACACCAAGATGTATTCCAGGTCAATCATGCTTCCCAACAGTGAACGAAATAAACGCATTCAATGCATCATTAGACGGACAAATGTTTTCTCAACGACCAATTGAGGCATACTGTTATTTAGGTGATCCATTGTTCAATCTTGCAAAATGTTCAAACTACACGACCAATTTCTTGAACTTACAATACCTCACCGAAAACTCGCAGACCTACGAAGTTCCAACATGGGAAACGTGTGGGATAGGTAATTCATGTCAATTAACATCCGGTTCTTTACCCGTTGCCGGTCAATGTAAACAAGGAAATGTACCAAATTATGCCGTCGAAGCTCAAACACAAGATGACGTTGTAAAATTTATGAATTTTGCAAGTAAATACAACCTACGTATCGCTATCAAAAATACAGGTCATGATTATCAAGGTCGTTCGGCCGGTCGTAATACGGTAATGCTTTGGTTACACAAAATGAAAGAAATGAATTTTGCAAAATCATACATCCCCCAAGGATGTGACGCAAGCTCATCATCTTTTGATTCTGTAAAACTTGGTGCGGGTGCTCAATGGGGAGATGTTTATGAATTTGCCCATCAATTCGGTTATATGGTCGTTGGTGGAGATGCAAATTCTGTTGGTGCTTCTGGCGGTTGGGGCTTAGGCGGAGGACATTCGTTCCTCACACCAAATTATGGTCTCGGAGTGGATAATATGATGGAAGCTACGGTTGTCTTACCAACTGGTGATGTAAAAATTGCCAATGAATGTCAGAACACCGATCTTTTCTGGGCTATTCGCGGTGGTGGTGGTCCATCATTTGGTGTTGTGACGGAAATGGTTTTTAAAGCACACAAGGAAGTACCGATGGGTGTTGTCAATGCGTTTTCAAACGGTTTAAGTTTCACTCAATCCAATCAACAAGCCTTGATTGAAGCTTTGGCTGAAATCGCACCTGCCCTTGGAAATGCAGGATTTGGTGGAAGTTTGGAGTTGTTTGGCCCGGTAGGATTGGTGATCCAGGGTATTGTTCCTAACAAGACTGCAGATGAGGTGAAAGCATTATTTGCACCAATGTTCAACAAACTTCTTGCGATCAACAAACAAGATTTCGAGGCGTTTGTCAACTTGTTCCAATTCTCGACACAGCCAACATGGTATGATTATGGTAAAACGGCATTCTCTGGAAACCGTGGTTCAGGATTCGGACTGGTGTTTGCATCAAGAATTATTCCCGCAGCAACATTTAACAATCCATCACAACTTGCCGATAAGATGATTGAAGGATTACAACAAGGAGCACTATTCTTTTCCATTTTGGCCGTTGGCGGTAACAATACCGGTGCTCGAGCCGGAAACGATCCAACAAAAACGTCCGTCACGCCAGCCTGGGATACGGCAGTATGGCATGTGATCTACTTCTCCATCACAACTGGCAATCAACCTGGATCTTCTATCCCTGCTGCAGCTTATAAAACAGCACATGATTCTGCTGAAATTTTACGTCAATACTTACCCGATAGCGGTGCTTATCTTAACGAAAGTGATTTATTCGAAGATGATCCACCGACTGCATTTTGGGGACAAGCGAATTATCAACGTTTGCTCACTATCAAAAGACAGGTAGATCCGCAAAATTTACTCAATATATGGCATGGTGTTGGTTGGGTTGAAAATGGAGGTACATCTTTTGAGACGAGCGCTCCGGATGGAGGACCGTACTCTTGTTACCCAACGATTTCATAAGTCATTTTTTCATTGTAACACATACGAATTATAATGATTATACCTTTTCGCTTGATGCTGAGTAGTGAGATTTTTGCATGCTGAGTCGATTTAGCTTATCACTAGCGTTTGTTGGTTATCGTACTAGCGTTAAGCTGTGGTGATGCTGTTCAATAAATCCTACTCACAGCTACCATGAAAGAAAGATGTCAGGCGAAGAAAGCAGCCAGGTCTACTTTTGGCTAAAAACTTTGTCACAATCATCAAAAGGCGAACAAGTCGGAGAGGAGGCTCGCCGATTTGACGGCTTATTTGTTCGCTTGGTCGGCTCAGGATCAGAAGCAGTCGTTTTGACAGAACAGCCTCCTAAATTCTTACGTTCTCACCTTTCCACGGATGGACAATTGTGCTTCACAAGCAGTGCACCGCAACATGCAGGCAGACAATGGGCATTTGTACTGGATCAGAAAGCCAAAGAAGGCTTGCCGTCAACAACAAACAGACCTGCTTGGGCACCCGTTTTGATAAGAGAAGGTCAAGGGGACACCGGATTCTCTTTTGCGGATAACACAACCTTACATGCGGACGACTCCGTACTGACCTGCAATCGAGCTGATTTTCATGGATTTGTGGTTTGTGAATGGGTATATGGACATCCACAGTTGTTTTGGCTAACAGAAGCATTTAAAGGTCAATTACCTGAATTCATGCAACAGGTAAATTTCATCAAATCTTCTTATGCGCCTTCGTCATAGCACAGCTCTTTGGATGAAAGACGTCACTCGGTCCGATGCAGCTTGTTATATAGTCCGAAGAGATAAGATAGGCCCGAGTAGGTTATCATGCCTTGTCTTGGAATAACGGTTATCTCAGTCCGAGTAAAATGATCTCTTCCATCACAGAGACTCCAAGCGGAGAATTGGGTTTAACATAAAGCATGAGAACGTAAGACCGTATCGCATGAAGAGCAATAGAAACAAAGGTATAAATACGGCAACTTCTCATCCTTTATCAGCTCTTTCCATCCACACACCATATCATTCTTTCTTTCTATACTCTTCAGAACCACTTTCCAGCGAACAATGATTTTTCTCAAGCTCTTTTTTGCCGTATTTTTGATGGTATTCACCCTGTTTGACGATGCTAAAGCAACAAATTGTCAAGCAGTCGGTACATACAACATGAATAGCATCGGATTCGGCAGCGGTGGCACAACTTACTCTTCCTCTAATGGAGTTAAAATTTACAAAGATGGTAATCTTGTCGGTAGTGCTGATGGCAGTGATTTTAATGTTTGCACGGATTATTATGCCGTAAAATCACAACTTCCAATCGCTTTTGGTTGGGCGTCAACATGCGCCTTTGGCTTTTTTGAGTATGTGAACTTTTTTTTTTTTTCATTGAGAAGACAGTTATTGACATTGATTCAATCTTTCTACAGCGAATGTCACGGCTCCTACGGCGATCAAACTCATATCGTTGGTGAAAAGCCGGAAACTTCAACTGATTTCTACGGTTTCGGTATCGATACTATTTCAACTTGTAAGATCAACTTCAACTGCTGAGCGCGAGATCAGAGCTTTTGCAAGTTGTCAAAAGCATAATGGACTATTTACCATGTCAAGTTCTTTGAAGTCATTCCATCATCAAATCATGTATGCATCGTGACATTTCATTCGAATCGAATTGACATTGTAGTACCGGGAGAGCTGTGAACACAATACAGCAAGCGAGAGAGAGTGGGGGAAAGAGACGATAAGAGAACGAGACTCTCTATTTACACTAAACCATCATACAACGATAATGCTTGAACGATTGTTGGATCCTTTTTTGATCCTTCTTGAAATTCTTCAAAAGATAATTGTGCATTTTTATCTTTATCCATCATTGCAAACAGCTTATCCACTCGTTTTTGTGGTGTATCTTCATCTTCGGGTAATTTTACCATTTGTCCGGTCATTTTGTAGATTGATTTAACAATCGTTAACATTTCATCATATGTGATCGTTCCGTCTCCATCAATATCGTACAGTTGGAAAGCCCACCGAAGCTTTTCGTCTAATCGTCCACGAGAAGTAACGGAAAGGGCACAGATGAATTCTTTGAAGTCGATTGTTCCGTTTTTGTTCTCATCAAAGACGTTGAACACGAAATCGGCAAACGTTGAAGGATCTCCGAATGGGAAGAATTGCTTATAGATTCTTGCGAATTCTGCTTTGTCAAGTACTCCTGAAGGACAATCTTTCAAGAATCCTTTGTACCATTGTTGTAGTTCTTTGCGGTCGAAGTATGTACTCTTTTGTAGGTCTGCAAGTTGTTCGGGTGTGAGTTTGCTTTGTTTGTTACCCATCCTGTTGATCTGATGATGAGATTGTGATTCTGTCTGATGGATCTCCACTTGCTTCGAATTGCTGAGTTATGAGAAGTGGAAACCTGGAAAGCGTTGAGTTTGCTTCCTTCTGGTAGTATCGGGTTGTATGATAGGTTTGGCTAGCAATAGCCTGTTGGTGATTGATTGATAGGGGATTGAAAGTATGATGGTAGGATGGTAGAGCTGGGTCCCATCGTGTGTGCATTCATTCATTCATGATTAAATGCCTTAAGCAGCCCTTTTGAGGCGCATGATTACAGCGTGCATTTGAGTGAGTAATTGTGCTTCTAATTTTACAACAACACATAATTAACCTTTGGCGTATGGAAATCAATTTATGCTTTGGCTTAGGTTTAGTGGAGTTTAAAATAAGCCTACAGTAATACTCCTCAAGTGCCCGTTTATGCCCTGCGAATCGCGTCTTTTCCCTGACTACACAGCCGCGCCGCACTGGTAGGCGGTGTCTTTATGTTCGGGCTTATTCCAGCCCACGTCAGCCAGCCAGCCAGCCATTGCGCCCGCACTTGAGAGCAAAGATCGTTTTTGCCAAGAATGTTTTAAAGAACACCCTCTTACATTCATTCCTGTCATCATAACAATGAGGCTGTACATACAAACATTCGGTCAGGCTGTGTATTGCTGAGATTACCATAAGCGGATTAAACTCGATAATCAGGAACATGCTAAAAATAACTCACTATCATAGAAGCTTCTATATGATGGAATCCCGCCTCTCCACGGAATCGTGCAATGACAAAAGTGCATTTGATGATGCGTAAATGTTGCATGAATTTGTGTATTTCACCTTTCAGTGCTTCCCGAATAGTCAGGAAGATGAATTTGCATAACGGCGTAAGGGAATCGGCATATTCATCACGAATTGATCTTTTTACTCAAAGAATGAACATTACAGAATGGGAATAATTGAAGAAATAAAACAAGTTTGATATTGAGGGGAAAGGCACAAGCAGGAGAACGGATCTAGAGGTATAAAAAGAGGATACGAATCGTAAACTAACGCTGTTCCTCTACACTGGGAGTAGAATGACGATCTGCTCTTGATTTTTCTTGATCAGCAGGAGCGAGATCATCATTTCCGTGTTCCAAGCTACCTGGGCCTTGCAAGAGCCTGCCTTGTTTATCATAACGACGAGGGGTACGCTTCTCGATTCTTACAACATCGTAAGGGTTGTAGATTGACGCCTTTTCGAAGATAAATGACATTTCCTCCAAAGAACGGCCGGCTGTCTCTGGGAAGATGAAGTATGTGCTTATCAAAATTGCCAAGTTGAGCACTGCAAAAATGATATACGTCTGGTAACCAATGTTTGCGAACGCAACAGGCGTGATCAAGACTACCAAGAAATTGAAGATCCAATTTGAGGAGGTTGAAACACCGTTGGCAGCAGCTCTGATTGAAAGAGGTGTAATTTCCGCCGGATAAAGCCAAGTCATTCCTAACCAACCGATGGCAAAGAACGTATTGAAGACAAAGAGAAAGACTGCGGCAACGTATGCGGGTGCCTCATTTTGTGCTTCTCCTGCACCATTTGGCTGTAAAGCGGCAGGAGAAGTACAACCGGCAAGGATTGCCATTGTTGCAGACATTCCCGCTGCACCGAATAACATCAAATTACGTCTTCCAAAACGCTCGATCGTCCAAACAGCAATGAAAGAAGCAAGGAAATATTCTGTTCCGTTGCATGCCGCGACGATACGACTGACAAGGGGCGAGAATCCCAAGTTGGTTTCGTATAGAGTAGCTGCATAGTATGTGATCAAATTGATACCTGAGATTTGCTGGAACATTTGAATTATAAAGCCAAGAGTAGCACGGTGGAAGTTCTTCTCTTTTCCTTGACGGAAAAGATCACGAAGTTTTGTTTCTCCAGCAAGTTCGAGAGACGATTGAATTTCTTCAATTTTTGCGTCAACTTCCGGATCATCCACTTGCAGTTCATCTAGTGAAGCAATAACTTGACGTGCTTCTTCCTTTCTACCCCGTAAGACCAGCCATCTTGGTGATTCAGGCATCCAAATTGTGATAAACGTTGGAACACAAAGCAAAATTTGCCATGCAACAGGTACTCTCCAAGCTGCCGAACGATGTGGGAAATCTTCAAGGTTAAATTGTCCTTCTGGAAATCTTGAACTTGGATCGAGCCAATAAAATGCAAAGTCAACCCAATATGCCATACAAATTCCACCCGTGATCAATAATCCTTCCACCATGACAAGCATTCCACGCTTGTTTGGGGGTGAACATTCGGATTGCCACATTGGGATTGTTGCAGTATGCATTCCATTTCCCACGCCACCGATCACACGACCGATGATAAGTTGAGCAAGACTATAAGAAGACGTTTGAATGATTGCACCAACGATCATCCAAACGGTACCTATCCAAATAATTGCACGTCTACCCCAAAGGTCACCTAACCATAAACAAGACAAGGCACCAATCAAACAACCGATTTCATAAAGACCAATAGTTAAACCTTGCAGTGTTGATTCGGTTGAAGTACCTGAACCTGCTTCTGGATCTTTGGTTGTATCGATTTCTGGGAAAATTTCTGTAAAACTTGGTAGAGTTAGTAAACCACTCATCACACCTTGATCATAACCGAATAAAAGGAAACCTGCTCCGGCAGCAATACCGATCATCCTGCTCAATGGTGCACCACTGAGACCCCAGTACTTTGGGCCATCGTACGTTGGCTTCTTGCCCATGATTGCGGATGAAAAAATTGGTTTTCTTGTGTACGGAAGAGGGAAAGAAAGATGGGAAATAGATGGAGAGCAGGTCTTTCATATCGTTTATAATCGACTTGCTTTCTCCATGATTATAAAGGGGTCTTTCTGCATGCCAAGTAGACATCCTCACATTTAGCTTCTTACAATATTGTGTCGGTGAGATATTTGTCTCTCTTGTTAACTTTGTACCTTGAAGACGCCGGAGACCCCGCATTATTACCGCACTCTCCGCCCGCCGATGCGGGTTGGGAATGATTCATCAACAAAAACAATCGGATATCCATTTCATCTCAACGGCGATCAAAGGAGGAAGCAAGGACATGATCCGCTTCATCGGATCTTTGTCTTGGCAATTCATTATAAACATCAGTATTCCCTTTGATTCTGTTTAGAAGCGATTCTTGGCATTGACGTGAGGGAAAGCAGAACTTTGACGCTAATTGCTTGAACTTAGCCTTTCATGTCAAAAATACGTTGGCGTTTTTAATTTATAGCAAGACAACCTCTTACACTGATACAGTGCTACACTTTCAAGACTTGGCATTCAACGTGTTAAATGCAACGATAAGGAGTATCGTTCCTACTTGACCACCTTGTCAAGTGGCTGTGATTGCTCAATGTGCCCTTAAAAATATCTCACTCTAGGAAAGCCACTTATATAATAATGAGTTACTGTCTTATACTCTCGGTAAGATTCTCTCCCACGATCCCTGTCTTTTTTCTGCATGCAGATGGATCGGTGACTTGAATCTGCACAGCATCAAAAATAATCACGGAAGAAGGAAATACAGCTGTCACGTATGGCCAAAAATGATCGGGAATGCCGGAATAAGAGAGAGTTATAGACCAATGAAACATGATTGAATGGATGAATGATTAGCATTAAGCGAGTTTAGTATATTATAATGCTCATGATTTCCTTCTCGAAATACCAAGTGATTGTTCGATGAGACAAAGTTGAGTGCTGCCTGCAAGAAGGTCTGCCCGGACACGTCTATCATTTTGAGCGACATACAACAGCATTGGCTTGCTGTAACTTGGATGATCGTATTGCAGCTGGGCAATGAACTTATAATTGCTCGAAGGAGGTGCACGTTCATCGTTTTGAGCAGGGATCAGGAGTACTGCAGGATAAGGTTTGTCAGGGTCGAGATTCTGTAATGGTGACCATGCCATCACTGCATCAAAGCCTTCAGGTGTATTGACACCTCCAAATTCTTCAGCCACTCCAGAGCCAATACTGCTGCGTGTCTCGAGTTGAAAGATATCCAAAGGTGCTCTCGTCATCAGAACAACGCCAAACAGATCTGTTGCTTGATTCATCACTGCGCCCATAGCTGTTCCACCGACTGAAACGCCTTCCAGAATGATATTCCCGGCTGAAGTGAAATTTTGATTGATCAACTCTTCTGCTATTGCAATGATATCATCAAACGTTTTTTGCTTTTCTAAGCCTTGTGCAGCTTCATGCCAGCCTCCCGTCTGATCACCTCCACCACTGTGACATAGATGATAGAACCTGATTAGCATTATAGTGTCATACATAGCCAAAACACAAGCCATACTCACCGTGGCGTGCCCCAAATGAAATAACCATCATAACTTCTCAAAAAATCAAAATAATTCGGTTTATAATAAAATTTATCAACTTCTCCAAATGCTCCATAAGCATGAAGCCAAGCCGGACTTTTACCGTTTCTATTTGTTCCTTTTCGATAAGTGATAAAGTATGGCACAAGAGTGCCATCTTTTGATGTTGCATGTAATTCTTCAATCACAAAATCATCCGGATTTGTTCCTTTGATTTGACTAACGCTCACTGTTGTGGTATCGAATTGATAGCCGTCCCATTTTAGCTCGAATATCTTGTTTGGTGTGTCCCAAGTTTGGAGCGAGAGAGTGAATGATTCTCTGCTTCGAGTAACCAGCACCTCGGTTACTGTGCCTTTTTCTGCATGCAAGATCGGGAGAAAAAATCGTCAGCTCTACCAATACTCTGTGGGACCGCTCGCTTTACTCACCATGAGGAATGATTTGTTGAATCACCTTTCCAGTCTCAGCAGAAAAGAGATGTAAGACATTACTTCCGTCCTCAACATAAATGATCAAGATATTATTCCCGGCAGTGAGATAAGGACCTGAGAATGTTTGCATTAATGCATCTTCCCTTTCTGGAATCACATCAATCACCTGTGGACGGTCTTGTAATTCTGTAAATTTTTTCACTTGACGTGCTTTACTCCAATCAAGTTTGATTTTTGCAACCTTTGAATTTGGGGCATCTTTGTTTGTTTGGAAGTAGTATTCGTCATTGATGAACCCGATTGGGAACAACGAGAAGTCGTACGAAGGTGCCAAGGATATCCATTTCATATCCTCGGAAATCGTTTGTTCGCTCAGAAGGGTAGCGTAGGAAACCATGTTGTATTGAGCTGCTTCATAATAGCCAGTAACAGCTAGCCAACGGCCATCACGGCTTATTTGGGTGAAATAGTATGTATCTTTTCCTAATTCACCGGCATTCTTTGAGTCAAAGACTGTTACGTCCTTGGAATTATCCGTTCCCCGAGCGTGATACTGAATTTTATTAGCATGGTCCGTATTTGTACCTTCGTTGGAAGGCACAGTCTGTGGAAAGAAGATACCTTTTGAATCAGGCGTCCAAGAGATTGTATCAGCACAAAACGGTAATGTATCCGGCAATCTTCCTTCTCCGCCAAGTGTTGTACTTTTCACGTCTACCAATGGTGAATCGAAATGACGGAAATACCAAGTTCCTACTTCGCTATCTGTCACTACGAGATATCCAAACACCTTTCCGTCCGGAGATGTGCTTGTGTACCAAATTTTTGCGTTACCGTCTGGGCTTAATAAGGTCTCATTCAAGAACTTCTTGCCAGGAGGAGTCTGGAAATTGTTCGCTTTTGCTGATTGAAACTCGGCAACGGTTGCGGTGTACCAAATTGTTGATCAATCAGCCGAGCTGCTAGTCAGGCTATACAAGTAAAAACCTTCTCCAGCCGAAACCGAAGTTACTAGACTGACATGACTGTATATATCATAAGTGCCTGCCTCTGTGAGGGATTGAACGATTGCATCTTTCCCTTTACAAGTTCGCATGAATTGATCTGTGACTTTGATTTGATCAACAACGAATTGTTGAATATCTTTATCGTTTGCAGAACCTTCTAACCAGAAATAGGGATCATTGTAGGTCACATTACCGTTTGCCTTTGCAGATCGATATGACCATGTCTTGTTTACCCGGTGTACGGTTGGATAAGAAAGCTGTGGATTTGGATTGAACACCTCGGCAACGGCGGTAGAAAGCCAAGCAACATTTGTCGCCAGAAGGAAAAAGAGGGCGGCTAAATGCATTTCTGTCATTGTGGACGTAGTGAAACAGAATTGTGATCATGAACTCTTGTTATACCTTTCGCAAACACACAAATACTTGACCAAATATAGAAATGCGGCTCCGCATTGAAAACGGCAGCCGCCATACATATATTGAGGTACATAATCTAGAGACAGAAAGTGGCTTGCAACGGTTGAACGCCCTGTGTCCGCCTCTTATAATGTAGTTGCGGATTCGTTTATCCGTATTTCAACAACTGTAAATTGACTACACCATGGTATCGCTTTTGTACCATATCTGTGGTAAGAAGTATACAAGACGAGGGTCATTTGTGCTTATTAGAGGAAGTTGACCTGACGCGTCTACAACACGCTTGAATGTCCGAACGCGTAAAGATATTATTTTTTATTGCCCAACAGCTTACGAATGCATTCATCGTGTGATTGTGTTCTTCTCCACCACTTCATTGCATTAAATCAAGATGGGTATCAAAGGTTTAACAGGTTTAATCAGCGATGAAGCTCCAGGTGCAATTCAAGATCATGAGATCAAATCATACTTTGGCAGAAAAGTAGCAATTGATGCAAGTATGAGCTTGTATCAATTCTTAATCGCCGTTCGACAATCTGATGGTCAACAATTGATGAGCGATAGTGGTGAAACGACAAGTCATTTGATCGGTTTCTTTTATAGAACGTTAAGAATGATAGATTATGGTATTAAACCAATGTATGTCTTTGACGGGAAACCACCAGACCTAAAAGCAAAAGTCTTGGCAGGACGGTTTGGAAGACGTGAAGAAGCACGCGAAGAAGAAGAAGAGGAGAAAGATGTTGCAACGAACGAACGTGCAGATCAACTTGCTCGTCGTCAAGTCAAAGTAACAAAAACTCACAATCAAGAAGCACGAGATTTACTCAAACTTATGGGAATTCCATGCATCACCGCACCATCCGAAGCAGAAGCGCAATGTGCTGAATTGGTCAAAGCTGGAAAAGTGTATGCTGTTGGATCGGAAGATATGGACACTCTCACATTCGGAACGCCAGTCCTGTTGAAACATTTGACGTTCTCAGAAGCAAAGCGTATGCCTGTTGCCGAGGTTAATCTCGAGAAAGCATTAAAGGGAATGGAGATGGAGATGGATCAATTTATCGATTTGTGTATCTTGCTGGGTTGTGATTATATGGACCCAATCAAAGGTATGGGACCAAAGACTGCACTCAAACTCATTCGGGAACACAAGACGATCGAAGGGGTTTTGGAACATATCAAGGATAGCGGAAAAAAGATGGTTGTACCGGAAGTATGGCCATACGAAGAAGCACGTGAGATCTTCCGTAAACCAGATGTAACAGCAGGAGCAGAGATGGACATCAAATGGGAAGCACCAGATGTGGAAGGCTTGGTGCAATTCATGTGTACAGATCGTGGATTCAACGAAGATCGAATTCGTAAAGGAGCAGATAAGTTACAAAAAGCATTAGCACAAAAACAACAAGGTCGTTTGGACAGCTTCTTTACCATCAAATCACCTCAACCGAAACGTAAACAAGAAGAGAAAGAGGACAAAAAGAAGCCTAGCAAGAAGACCAAGAAGAAGTGAATTGCATCGTGTCACTCATTCTGTAATATATTGTATTTATTCATATAGTCATCGTCAGACAACCTATGAGCTGCATTTCAGGAACGTAGCTTCAACTCTCAAGCTTAAGTGTGTGCGTATGCGGGGAAAGAGCGAACGTGTGTATAATAGCATAGCATAATTAGCACATGCATGGAAGCCGACGCTCCGAATTGATCGGCGAACGGTGACCGAGGCAACGGTAAATGGCTTGAGCGCTCTTTCATTTCAAATCAGATGACCATACATGCACGAACCGGGTACCGTTGCAAAGTTCTCACTCCTACCACCATCTTTATCAAAACACAAAGATGGTGAACGCTTTGGGAGGATTGCTGGGATTAGCGTGTGCAGTTGTTGTATTGCACTTTTGCAGTTCAACAAATGCAATCGAACCCTCTAATCCAACACAAGTACCAAAACAACATGCATTTAGCAGTTATGTCAATACGACAGCAACATATACACAAGATGTCGATGATGTGCGAACTCCATGGACAGAAAAGATTCGATTCTTAGTGGATTATTATCCATCACAATGGCCAAGAGAAATGTGGGCTCGTGATGCTTCTAGAATGGCAAATGCTTCAATCACTCATGTTCGTATTTCGGAGTTTGATTGGGCTTTGTTAGAGCCGAGCGAGGGCAATTACGATTGGAGCTTGTTGGATGATAGCATCGAAGTGCTTGCTCAATATGGTCTCAAAGTCATCCTTGGCACGCCGACTTGCACTCCACCGATGTGGGTCGTACGCAAATACGATATCCTTGGCGTGAATGATGAGATGCATGTTCGTAGGTTCGGCTCTAGAAGACACTACAGCTTCAGTTCTCCGGACTACTTGGCGCTGTCAAAAGGTATCGTACGAGCAATGGCAGAACGATATGGTGACAATGAAAATGTAGATGCATGGCAATTGGACAACGAATTCGGTAATACACGTACCACACGTACATATGACCAACATGCAACCAGAAAGTTCCGTCAATGGCTTCAAGATAAATACGGTACGATTGAAGAACTGAACAATCGTCAAGGTAGAGTGTTTTGGTCAAGTCAATATGATACTTTTGATGATATCTTACCGCCAACGCTTGAGAATGAAGAAAGTAGTCCGGCTTTACGTTTGGATTGGTTCCACTTTTCATCCGATCAGTTGATTTCTTTTTCAGCCGAACAAGCAGAAACAGTTCGTGAAGTGGCAAGAGAGCAAGGCTACAAAGCCAAACCGATCACGACCAATTTTATGTGTTTCGAATTCTCGTTTGATCATTACAAATTCATGCAAGAGACAGGAATCGATTTCGCAACATGGGATTCTTATCCTCTCGGCAATGGAGATGTATTGGAATGGGCACCAGAGCATGAAAAACTGTTGTACGCACGTACTGGACGTCCCGATCATCAAGCATTGCAACATTCATTCTTCCGTGGTGTTGCAGGTGTACGGAATGGCAATCAACCTTATGGACCTTGGGGTGTGATGGAATCACCTCTAGGTCCAGTAAACTGGGCACCTGCCAATCCTTCCCCTGCTCCTGGAATCGTGCGATTGTGGCTGCATGATATGACCGCTCATGGCTCTTCTCTCAACGGAATTTTCCGTTGGCGACAGGTACCGTACGGACAAGAACAGATGCATTCGGGCATGCTGCGACCTGATGATGAACCAGATTTCGCGTTTGGAGAACATCAAGCAGCAGTAAGTGATATCGAACAATTACACAGAGCCAAGGTGAATCTTGCAGCAAATAATGCCAAACATGCTCCGAAGATCGCAATGATCTTTGACTACCCTTCACATTGGTTCATCGAAGCTCAACCGCAAAGTGGTCGTTATGTACGTTCAACGTATGTTGATTATACATTCCAATATCCGGAATTGTTCTCGAATTGGTTTTCAGCTTTGCGTAGATTGGCTCTGGATGTTGATGTGATTGGCCCAACGACAAATCTGTCAAGTTACGATCTCGTTCTGATTCCGACAATGGTCAACATCACCACAGAAATGAATGCCGCCCTGGCTGAGTTTAAAGGTGATGTGATCGTCGGTCCACGTACTTCCAGCAAAGTTGATCCGCTTTCCATCCCCGATGGTCTTGCACCGGCTCAAGGCGCATTACGTGATCGTCTCCCTCTCAAAGTCACACGATCAGAATCACTTCACAGGAATGGCGGATTGGGCGACAAAGTACGTCTTCATAGCGATCTATGCGGCTCACAAGATCCAGACCAATGCGTTTATCCCGTAGAAGTTTGGTCAGAATGGCTTGAATGTGAACGGGAAGGCAAAAAAGCGGTTGAATTCGTTTCTGCTACATATGAAGGATATCGAGATGGAAAACCGGCAATGTGTTCCCATATCGAAGAATCAAACGACCCTCATGTTGTGGAACGTAGAACGACGTACCTTGGCTGGTATGCAAAACAAGATGCATTGATGCCAATCTTTGTACATGCCGCAAAGAGAAGAGGAATCAAGACTTTACTTGGACAAGAACCAAACGTATATCATGATCTCGGTAAGCACGTCCGTTTTGCTCGTCGTGGTGATGCTTTGTTTGCATTCAATTATGATGATAAGAATGAGGCGGATTTGGTCTTGCCAAGAACGAAAGATATGCACTTCCAACTTTTGGTCGGACATATGCCTGATCATGAACACAAGATCGCCAAGAGCGGAGTCAATATTTATCGCATTGCTTCGAATAAGTAGTTGACATTCATCGTGTTCACGATCATGACGTGATATTGTACAGGATAATGATAATTTACACAGAAACAAGAGCGCTTGATGTGCTTTAGAATGAATGTTATAATACAGCTTACGGTCAGGTATAAATTAACGTCGTGTACGGACAATTCACCATACAACATCCAACTGGTCATCATCATCTACATCAAGATTTTGCATCGTTTGCTTGTCTTGTAGGATGTCACCATCGAGACGAATCCGCACCTTGGAGATCCGATCGTGTGGAATCTTGTCTCGATGTGTGTTGATGAAGTGATTCAAGAGCGTACCGACCAGAGTTGTCTGTTTCACCATGACTGATTCTTGAAGTCCACCTTCTGCTTTAAGGATCACTGTGATACGCTCTTCCTCAGGCTCCGGAGCGCTTTCTTCAGCAGGTGTTGGAACCGCCATCGCGATTGCAGAATCTTGTGGTCTTTCCGCAGTATATGCTGGAGTCGATATCAAGCTAGATTTGATGTCTCTTTGGTCCTGATTCGTGACGGCAGCCTTGGGAACAGCAGTACTTGTGGCCCGCCTGACCTCCATGACTTCGATGGGCGATGAATCCCGATCCTCCTGAGTATCGCTGCGAAGAATTCGTTTGGTCGATGTCGAAGGAACGTTGTCATCTGAATCAGACAGCTCAATGGCAGCATTCTGAGTGGAAGAGACAGCCTTTTTCACTTGTGGCGGTAACGGCAAAGGCTTTTGGGTTTGAGACGTAGCGGGTCTTGTTTCCCTCATCTTTTGCCGTAATTGAGCGCCACCTTTACCACGATAAGCCTTCAAAAGGTCTGGATGAATGCTTTTATTGAAGTCTTCGTTATTGAACAATTCATCCATAGCACTATCATCATTGATATCCTCCTGTGCACCACCATTTTGCTTGATGAACGTAGACACTGTCACTCTCAGCATCTTGAGCTTTTCCGGGCTAATTTCTGGAGGAGGAGTGACTTCTTGTGAGGCTGATCGTTGTCTTACCCTTCTCTTCGTTGTCAGCTGAGAGGGCTCTCTGGATGATCTCCCGATTCCGATGCCGCCCTCGGCCGTCGAATCGCTCATCGCGTTTTCATCGTCAGAGTCCATATCGCTATCCAAATTACCGAATCTCCGTTTGGGTGCTTTTTTTGTCCATTCAGCACGATATGCAGCTTTGTGGTCCTTCGCACGCTTCTTATCTTGAGGTGTGCCTTGAGAATTATCCGTCAATTCATCTTCCTCTTCATCGTCAAAGCTTGATGCTGCAGGCATGTGTAATTTGGCGGTCTTTGACGTGTTGAAGTAGAAGTCATCCTCGTCTTCTGAACCGTCATCATGAGCAGTTGCAGTCGTATTGGAGGATGTCCTTTGAAATGCCGCTGAGCTCTTCTTCTTACTTGGAGAAGCAGTTACAGAGACTGAAGGTGACTTGGAGCGTGCAGATTGAGTGCTCTCCCTTCCATCTCTGCCATCCTCTGATCCAGGTTCTTGTGATGCCCGAACTCTTGGTCTCGGTCGAACTTTTGGACGGCTCTGTGTAGCGCTCATCGCGTGACAAGTGTCATAGTTTTGCTTTCAAAAAGCAGAAAGAGAAGGTAAGAAGAGAAGAATAAGTTGCTGAGATGAGATGAAGGTATGGCAGAAGATGACAAGATCAACTCGGTGCATAATTACTGCCTCCTACAAGTAGACTCACACAACGATTAACACCTTACGCGTAATAAACACAAAGAAAGACACAGGCAAAGCACGTGAATTGAGTCAATTCTTTAATTTTGGCATGCAGGTAAAGTATGCATACATGCACTTCTCCTCAATGACCACCACCCATACATCCATCTATCTGTGATATATATCGGGATCACGCTTCCACCCCCTCTCGGTCAAGATGGCCATCTGTCCTTCTTGTCAATCGACAGATGTTGAACAATCAGAAGCGCAAATTGTATGTAAAGTATGTGGTACAGTGCTAGAAGATTCACAAATCGTATCGGATGTAACGTTTGCAGAAAATAGTGCAGGAGGTGCGGTTGTTCAAGGTAGTTATGTGGGAAACGAACAAAGAGGTGCAAGAACTCAAGGTCCAGGTGGTTTCAGAAGCGGTGGCGTTGGTGCTTCTCGTGAACAAACTGTTTCGAATGCACGTTATGCCATTCGTGCTTTGGGATCGGCAAAACGCGTTCCTCCTGCCACGATCGAAAAGGCGGGAAGATTGTTTCAATTGGCCTTAGAAGGAGGAACATACAAAGCAGACGGAAGTGAACCACACAACTTTGTACTGGGACGAAAATCAGAATACACACAAGCAAGTTGTCTATACGTAGCATGCAGAATGGATCGTACAAATCATATGCTAATCGATTTCGCAGATGCAATTGGAGTCAACGTCTTTGTATTGGGTCGTTCTTATCTTCGACTGATTCGATGCTTAGGCTTCAAAATGCCCATTATTGATCCATCTATCTATATTTCTCGATTCGCTAGTCTGCTTGATTTTGGCGACGAAACTCAACGTGTGGCAACGGATGCAACCCGATTGGTAAAACGGTTCAACAAGGATTGGATCACGCATGGACGACGACCAGCTGGTATCTGTGGTGCTTGTTTGCTCTTAGCTGCTCGGATGAACAATTTCCGTAGATCGATTGCAGAGATCATTCAAGTTGTCAAAATTGCCGATGTCACATTGCGAAAGCGATTGGAGGAATTTAAGGAAACATCTAGCAGTAAATTGACAATTGATGACTTCCGAAATATCTGGCTGGAAGAGGAAAACGAGCCTCCTGCATTCGCTCTGCAAGGCTTAACGAAAAAGGGAAACAAGAAAGGCTCAAAAGCACGACCCAATAAGAAGCTTAAAGGGGGAGATGAAGATGGGGAGGAGGAGGAGGAAGAGGGGGGCAATGAGGCTGATGTTGAGGAAGACGATGAAGAGGAGGAAGAACAGCAGCAGCCGGTTGACCCAAGGTTGGAAGCGCTGGCTGATCAGGCGACACATGCGGAAATCTCGCAATACCTCAATGAAGATGCGGCGAGAGAAATGCAGAAAAAGGAAGAGGAAGCTGTCCAGATCAAAAGCTCTCAGAAAGAGCTTCCTGCTCTAGATGACGAACTGGCAGGCTTAGATGAAGAAGAGCTGGAAGCTTTCATCCTCACGCCAGACGAAGTCAAGATTAAGGAAAGAGTCTGGGTTGAATTCAATCGGGACTATCTAGAGAAAACGCTCGAACGTCAGTTAAAGATGGAGGCGGATATCAAAGCTGGAATAACACCAAGACCCGCCAGACGAAAGAAGAGCAAACCGCGCGATTCATCTGCAGCCCCTTCAACTGCTGCTGAATCAACGAAACAGATGATGATGCGCAAAAAGAATTTCAGTAAACGATTGAATTACGACAAGATCAGTACGCTCTTTGATGTGCCAACACCCACGAAGGCAAAACGTAGTCATTCGGATGTTGAAGATGAGGAAGAAGTGGAAGAAGAAATCTATCATAATTTCATGGATCAAGAACGTCCCAGAGCCAACTCGCTTTACCCTAGTGAAGCGGAAACGGTTGATGATGAAGCCATTGTGGAAGAAGAAGGAGATGCTTTACCTAGCAATCATCCGGACGTACGCAAGAGATCAAAGAGGGATCTGCAAATGCGTGATAAACGTAAAAGAGATGCGAATTCTGCTGGGCGTGGAGAAGAAAGTGAAGCAGATGGAGCGACAAGTCATGGAGGCGCAACAGATGCAGAAACCGATTATGACGATCAAGACAATTGGATGGCGGGAATTCCGGGCTATCGTAGAGATAGCGAACCAAACGCTGAAGAAGACTATTACGAGCAGGAGTACGAGTAAAGAGAATGCTATTCTTGCTTCTTTGTGCGCCCTTTTCACCTTACTGTATCATAGAATACATCATTTGTACAATAAAAGATTGCTTAACGCAATGGCTAGTGATAAGGGTGATCTGATGAAGATCAGGAAACTTGCGTACGAAGTAACATATCTGATTATCTTTTGACTTTCAAAAGCGGTGACAGCCGGCCAAAATTGTCGGCCAACTCTTTGCATTCTTGCTGTGCTCGCTAAAAACATATAAAGAAGGGAGATGTAGAAAACGAAGATGCTTCGAGCACTCACCCCTACAACTTTCCTACCCATGAGATTGTCAACAATCTTATTTGTCATTCAGTTTTCGTACTGCTTGCACTTCATTGTGTTCTGTACCAAGGATGAAGAAAAAGAACAAACGAGCGGTAGCATCGATTATCATCTCGTGAAGCTCTCACGAGCTCGTAATAACTACGACAAAGCATCTGGTGTAGGTTTCACAGAAACTGAAAAGCATTATCAAGCTAAAATTAATAAAAATGTGAACAGTATTCATGATATTCGTGATCAAAAGAAACTTCCTGGAACGAAAGATCTGGCATACATCGACCAAATGGACGCAGCTAAACAAAAAGGACGTAAACCTAATTCCAAGTCTAAAAAACGAAAGAGACCGAACAGCCCCACGGGATCTTTGTAAGGCAGCATGACATCAAGTCACCGTGTCGGCGTATCTTTGTTCGCTTCTTCTTTTCTCCCTTTTCGCCATCCGAATTTGTTTTCAGCCAAAACGCATCCTGTGTAATCATGAACAGCTTTATACGATTTCAAGCTTTACCGTAAGCAATTGAATTTTTCGAGTGTACGGGTCTTCTGATTTTATCCTGCCTCGCGGCTGTGATAGTGTATGCAAATCCTCGGGTGCTCAGATCATAAGAGAAAACTGTTTGATAGGAAAACTATTAAAGGCTCAAGCTTATCGCAGGCTCATCAATCAACCAATCCTTTAGACTTCAACCGTTGCTCAAGATGAAGTTCTTTGCCATCATCTTTTTGCTGATTTGCACATGCTCCAGCATTCAATGCGCTTCTACGACAGGATTGCAGCATACGAAAGGTACTCTTGAATATCATACGTGGAAGTTAGCGAGCGCTCAACAGAATTTCGAAAGAGCGACAGGCGAACACAGAGCAGCGAAAGCCAAACCAGTACAGCCTGGTCATGAGGAAGCACACTCACATGAGGTGATGAGCAAGAAAACTGTCACACAATTGTATCGAGGTAAAATTAAGAAAAATCAAAATAATGTTAACGATCTTGAACGAAACCTAAAGCTTCCGGGACCCAAAACTACAAAGTACATTGTTGACAAGGATAATGCAAGAGCAGAAAGAGCGCAAGCTCGCGAAAATCCATCTCCTACCAAAAATCGACCAAGCAGCTCCAGCAAAACGGCAGAGAAGCAGATGACGAAAGGTAACTATCAGTACCACTATACCAAGTTCAAAGCAAACGATGGAAAAAGGAAGAGTATCTTAGCTGAACATGCAGAGATGAAGAAGAAAGGAGTACCTTCTGGTATGGATGCGGAACAACACCAAAATTCTCTTTTTCAAAAGCAGAAGATGGCTACATACCATGAGAAAGAAGGCAATAAAAACTTATCTAGTATGTATGACCTCGAAAACAATCTAAAAGTTCCTGGACCAAAAGATTTGAAATATATCGAAGTAAAAGAACAAGCAAAAAATCCAGAATTAGCCCGCAAGAAATACAACGAGATTTATTGAAGAAAAGAAATTTTGACCTATGTATCATACCCGACAATAAGTTGTTATACGTGGTCGATTTATTCCCACACAATCGATCAGTCGTATAAATACTCTTTAGTCTTTTATCTTTTATTTGACACCTCTCTCATCTTTTTCACATTTTTTTAACCTTTCGTATCTTTTTTTTTCTTTGTCCGTCCAGTTATCCAATGATATAATTTCCATGGAGGACCAGAAATTAGTGAGCAAATTCGGAGGTACTTTTAAACTACCTTGCCTTGCTGTCAAATGATGGTTTTTATGTCGTGGGACTAAACACATACGACTTTGCGTACTGCTGACGATGCAAATTGCAGTCTTATTCGCAATATATGCAAATTTTATAGGCTGTGATGGCGTGAGATTTGTTAAATGACGTTGATTATCACATCGAAAAGGGAAATTTACGTCATGAAGACAAAAAGACAACTTCATGATGCAATGGACCAAGCTCGCCATGCTTCTGATAGTGCCTCGCCAAAATCACCGACGTCATCTATGGCTAAGCTTAGGATCCATTAATGGACAATATTTGAGCTCATTACATGTTTCTTCAACTATGTTCGTACTTTCTTCGAGTTTGAAACCGTTGTACTATCTGGCAATAAGTGCAATTGCCGGCGGCAAAACGCTTAAATCCGAACGTGTGGAGTTAAGTGCATGCAGGCGCGCATGAAGTTTGAATGTGTGAGTGATTCGCTCTTGTTGTTCTTGACCACATTCTTCTTTACGATATCCATAACAGGCTGATCAAATTGTCTCAAAAATGTCAGTACCAAAGACTATGCGAGCAATTCAAATCAAAGATGGTAAAGGACCATCTTCTTCATTATTCATCGATGAAAATGTAAACGTACCTGTTTTGGTCGATAAAGGTGGAGAAGATCATCCTGGCGGTCATCATGGCGCTTCAGCAGAAAAGATTTTAGTCAAAGTGAAAGCTTTTGGATTGAATCGAATGGATATCTTGCAAAGAGAAGGTAAATATCCTTTACCACCAGGAGCAAGTACGATTCTTGGCGTGGAATTCTCGGGAATCGTCGCCGATGCAGGCGCTCAAGCGGACTTTAAAGTTGGCGATGAAGTGTTTGGTTTGGCAACGGGTGGTGCATATGCGGAATTTATCGCCGTTCCGTCAAAGATGGTTCTGCATAAGCCAAAAGAACTTTCGTGGGAACAATCAGCCGCCATTCCAGAAAATTTCTTGACTGCCTTCCAAGCCTTGACGAGATTATCAAATTTGGAAAAAGGTCAAGATGCCATGATTCATGCTGGTGCTTCAGGTGTTGGATTGGCAGCAATTCAAATCGCTCGTGCGATTGGTGCAAAAGATGTTTATGTTACCGCAGGTTCAAAAGAAAAATGTGACTTTTGCAAATCCGTTGGTGCAACAGAAGGAATCAATTATAAGGCCTGCGATTGGCAAACTGAATTGGCAAAGTTAACCAAAGAACAAGGTGTTGACGTGATCATGGACTTCATTGGTGCTCCTTACTTTGCACCCAATCTAGCTTCCCTTAAACGAGATGGTAGATTGGTAATGCAAGGTGGAATGGGAGGTACAAAAGTGAAAGAAGTTGATGTTGGTGCAATTATTTTCAAGAGACTCAAAATCGAAGGTTCTACATTACGATCACGATCATTAGACTATCAGAGTAGCTTAGTTCAAGACTTTGTCAAATTTGGAGGTCTAGATATGATTGTGAAAGGGGTAAAGAGTGAGAACAAAGGTGATCAAGGTCATCATCTGGCCATTCACAAAGTCTTCTCGTGGAAGGACATCAAAGCAGCACATGATGAAATGGAAGCAAACAAGAACACAGGCAAGATTGTTGTCACTGTTGATTGATACATGTAGAAGAGTAATACAAGCAAAATAAAATAAAATACATTAAGCATCAAAAAAGCAGTGCATTTTTATCAAACCCTCTTCGCATCCGTGTGCATATCTTTTGCATTGATCACGCATTCATTACGGCGAAGATGACTTGCAAAGCGGGTAATGAATCCAGCATGATCGCCAGTTTGTGGTTTCCAGGTAATGCGATTGATAGCATCATCTATTCCATCCTCTTCATCGGCATCCGTGTTTGTAGTGCCAGCAGACGCTTTGACAAGTTCCGTTGCTTGTCTAGTAATCGTTGCTATATCTTCCCATGGCGCTCTTTGTTCTAGCATTGACATTGAGCCAACGATCCACATTCCATTTCTGGCCCGTGTGAGTGCTACATTCCATCTTTTGTGTTCTGTCAAGAAACCCCAGAATCGACCGGCATTATTCCTAACCATACTGAATACAATCGCACGCTTTTCTCGTCCTTCGAATCCATCAATTGTTTCGATTTCTAGCCTAGGCAACTCTCGTACTCGAGCTTTGGCAGCTTGTCCTCCGCGTAATTCCAATTGACGAGTAAATAGCTTTCGTAGTGCGGAACTTGGTTCAAGAAGAGAGCGAGCAATCAACTGTCTTTGACCAGCATAAGGTGTCAAGATTGCAATATCCGATCCATGTAGATCTTCATTCTTTGCCAAAAGATCTGCCACAATGCTCACGACAATCTCTGCTTCCGCTTCATTTTCGAGTGATTTGCTTTTTGCTAAGCTTTCCCTTCCATTATGATGCACAAATGTCAAGAAGCCCGTATTTGCATTCTCGCCCTTTTCCTTTGCGAAAGAAGATTGGAGAGGGACCATCTTGCTTGTCTTTGCGCCATCCTTCAATTTGCCATCATAGAATTCTTCTCCGGAAAAAGCAGCCAAAGAAGGATGCATTCGATGTTGCGTGTCCAACATGACACTTTTCAAATCACCTCTTTCCATCAAACGTTCAAACATACTTTCTCCCAATCCTTCTGTTTGTGCTTCTCGACTTCTGATCAAAGGACTCAACTGTTTATGATCACCGATCAAGCTCAATTGTTGACATCCTTTGGTGATCGTTGCAAGTGTGATCGGTTCGGTAGCCATTGTTGCTTCGTCAAAGAATACCAACGGGAAATCGATAGCGTGAATTAGAGGTGCAGATAATGCTGTACAGCAAACCACATCAGCTTCAGCGAAGATATCTGTTTCAATATTCCGTCTGATCAAATATGCTCGTTGGATTAGGCGCGATAGCTTCTGTTTCAGTCTTGTGATCGAGCCGGCATCGTATGCTGGTGCTTGTATATCGTCTTCTACGATGGCATCAAATGAAGATGGGTGAAAGCGATCTGCCAAATCATCGTCATTTTTGCGTTTCTGTGCGTTTTCTTGCTTTCCTTTGTTCTGTTGCGAATATACAAACCTCTGTGCCTTTTGCAACTCCAGCACAGTATTCACTCTCTGCGCTTCCGTCCGATCCAACGCACCTTTAGAAGGATGCTTTTCCATTCTTCCCTCCAAAGTGATGTCCATGATCGCTTCCCGTACACGGGCAGTCGGTCCAGCACGAACAACGTTTAAGCCAGTCTCTTTGCAGCCTTGTGCAAGATTATCAACGGCCACATTTGTATGTGAGGTAAGAAGGATAGGATGAGGAATCTCATAATGATGTTTCAACACTTTGAGAGCAGCAACAATCGTGCTCGTCTTTCCTGTACCCGGTGGACCTTGGATAAGACTGATTCGTTCGCCGAGCATCAATTCGACCGCTTCGCGTTGAGATGTGGTCAAGTGACTCAAATTCGGTGCGGGTATTGTTGGTCGATGTTGTCGTATCCATTCAGTGATAGGTAAAGGTGCTGTTGAGTCAACATCAGTGCCCTTTTTCTTCTTTGGTTGATCCAGCAAAACATCAACAAGATGCGTTCCACTCAATTCCGCGCCCGCACGCTGGGTAGCATCGACATCATGTGCAACTGCTTCTACGCTTGCTCGGAGTCTCTCTTCGATTGTATCGTTGTATGCCAAATCTACACGCCATGCCGAAGACGAGAGCAGATCCAAATCTGCGGGCGGTTCACGAAAGACGATGCGCAGTTCAAATTCGGAGATATTTCGGACAGTACCAATGACTCCCTCCTCCTCTGTAGGCCCCTCTTGATCGGTATTCTCGGCGCTCCTCTGCTTCGGTGATTTCTCTGCACGAAGGGACAGTTGATCACCTTTTTGGATTTTCGTCCATCCTAATTTCGCTTTGCCTGGCCTGTGAAATACTGCCGTACGCTGAGATGGAGCAGAGGTTGTTTTTGAGAATCCTGTAAGTTCATCTTCCAGTCCCACACTTGCACTTGCTTGCAGCCAATACCCTTCCAGCCCTTGTATCATCACGCCTTCCAGTCTAAGCCGAGCATCAGACCATGTGCGTTGCAGCTCCACCGTCTTCCGCTCTTCCTCAGCTTCCAAGTCGATCAATCGCATGTTCCGCTCTATGTAAGGTTGTAGTGTGAGCAAGTGTGTTTTCCTTCTTTGTCTTCTTTGGGCGTCAAGCTTCTTTAATGCTTTCGTTTCAGCCTGTGCGGATAGAACACCATCACGCAGTGCTACTGACTCTATATGATTCTTGCGATCTAGCTTGTCTTGTTGAGTCATTCCTCCGTTCAGCACAGTCTTGCTAGCCGCCCTTCTTTGCTGACCTCGACCGAATAATGGTTCGTCTTCCTTTGTCTCTTTTGTCTTTGCCGATCTACGCTTTTTGACCTCTTTAGCTTTGCCTTGAATGTCCTCTGAGGGAGAAGCTTCTTGAATACCCGCAAGCTCTTCTGATGCAGCATCAACTTCATTTGAGCTGCAGTGCTGCATCTGCTCATCTTGCCAATCTTCTGCTGCGACAAAGCTTTCAGGTTCAAAGCCGTCATTCTCATGATAGTTGAGCGGCTGTGGATCCGATCGAGACCTATCGATGTCCGTGTACGATCCAAGACTATTCTCATCCGCTTCAAACACAGCCGTCTTTCCGAATGGGTTGCGAGAGGAAGAAGCCTGTTGAGAAGGTGGTAGTGCATCAAAATCAGATCTCAAGGATGCGACTTGCTTTCTATCAGCTGAATTGTACGTTGCTTGTTTAGACCGTTGCATCTGTCTCCAAGACCAATTCCCTTTCGAAGGAGGTAATCCTTTCCTCGCTTGTCCATCTTCTATTCGTACCCTATCAATATTCGCAGCAGCGGCAGATTGATGTGCTTGACGGGCGAGCAAGCCAGACAAGCTTTGACCGACATGCTGCTGCTGCTGTCGCTGACGGCCGCCAGACAATGTCACCGAAGAGGTCGAACAAACATTTTTACCTATCCGTGTTCCTATTCGATGAATGATGGGCGATCGACGTGTGTGACGAAAGAGAGAAGGGAGCAAGTGATTATGGTCGATATCAATTTGACTCGATTTTCATTCGCTCTTGACTTGATATCTTTTGTAATGATGGATGTCTGTATTGGACACAATGCAACTTTATTTTTTTCCGGATAAAATGCGACGACGGACGGGACTTCATTTAAACGCGTAAAAAGAATTTAACTCAGCAGCCGTTGAGCTGCTGCTTAATTAATCACGCACGCCATTTACCCCGCATGAACATCAAGTCAAATAGAGAAGAAACAAATATGCAAGAACATTAAAGACAAACATAAAAGTACAAATATGCTATTAAAAAAGACAATCAAATAAGACAAAAGGTTTATTATAAAATACGCTTTTTTGCTACTCTTGCTGTTGTTGCAAAAGAGAAGCTAACAAATCCGATGTATTACTTTTTCCAACGAAATCCGGATCCAAAGGTTCCATCAAAACTGCATCCAACAAAGAAGATGCATTGATAAATCTACCAATCAATGGCGCATTTCCTCCTCCTGCCGCGGTATTGGAAGCGGAATTCGATCTACCTCCTGTTGTTGGTGGGTAGGGTTGCATGGGTGGTAATGAACGAGGTTGTTGATATGTATAAGACGGCGTTGAAGCTTGATGCATTGGTGTGGATGCATGCGCTGCCACTGGTGTTCCTACCAAAGAAGAAGAGGGAGAGCGATGAGAAGATGATGATCTGGATGAAACTATAGGCATTGCGCTGTAATTTGGCGGTGCATATAGGCTCTCCTGCATAGGTGGAAGAGAGTCACGCTTGTGTCTCGCCATCTCATTATTGAAACTACCGATTGACACCCTTTGACGGTAAAGCGTACGTAATTCCTCTTGTGATCCAACCAAACCTTCAAGTAATTGCTTGGCAACAAGTGCTGTTCCGTTGCCACGATTGACAAGAATGTCAAGACATTCCAAAGTAGAGAAGATATTATCGGCCAACCACTGAACCTGCTCTTGCGGGAAACTGCTTCGGCGTGATTTACCCGTCAATGCCCTTAGGGGATCAGAGTCAATACCAGCGTACGGATCATGTCCCAAAATGACGACCGCAAATGCTGTTGCTGCACATAGCAAGTGGTTAGCATTCCACGTCATTTGAACAGGTTGTGAGCCTTCTTTTACGATTCGTGTTAGCGTTGGAATGGCAGAAACAATTCCTTGTGCATATGTCAAACTGACGAATCGTAAATGTGTTGGTGCATTCTCGTCAGTCAAGAATCGTCTGGTGATGGTGCAACGAAGGAAGAATAGATGAGAAAGCCACATACTGATCCCTAGTTGTTTCTCCTTCGGACATGCTTCCAACGATTGACTTGACAAATAACGAAGATAACGCAAATCGGTCAAATCCACTCCTACATCCGTCAATCCGTCAATTAACGTTCGTTCCAGCAGATCATCAATTTGTTGTGCTCTGCTATACCTCTGCGAACTGGTCAAAGAGCTAAAACGATCCAAAAATTCATGACAAACGGCCAACAACTCAATAAAGACAAATTTGACCACATGTCCATCATTTGCTCGAACGTGTGTTTGCAATCGTCCGTCTGCCATTGTCATCGGAAACGTTGGCAAAATCTGAGGTGGAGGAAGCTGTCCCCTTGCCACGACTGAATCGTGTTCAAAAGATGGTAAAGAGATATGAATGTTGTCGGGATGCAAAGCGGAGGGCAATTGACGCATGAATGCTTGCCAGCGTTCGAGTGAGAGCAGATACCATGCCAACCGTCTTCGATATTCTTTTTCCAAACTTGACAAAGGGCCCCAAGCTCGATGGCGTTCGTCAAACAAGCCCAAATTAAATCCTTTTCGGACAGCTACGCCCATACACTCCCATATCCGATCATGCTTGCCGATGAACATGTAGTAGATTGCTAACAACATCAATGCTGAGATGCTTTCGAAAGAGTTGTCTGTATGCTGACCGAAAGGTGTTGTTAGCGGGTTGCCCATAAGGTTGATCCATTCGTGGTGAGTCTTGAAAGACGCTCTATTGACTCTTGACTTTGGCGGTGCGGTACCGTTGGCGAGAGTGATAATGATACAGATAATTCTCACTTTGTTGCGTTCCAACCCGGCACCCTCCAGCAACTTATGCCAGTACTTATCGATCATTGAACGCTGTGTGACACGGAAATAGTAGCCCAGGTCTTCAAAGAACAACCTGATCAATTCTTCACACTCGTCCAATGAGGGCAAGTATGGTGCAACATCGTTCCAACGCACCAAACCATCAGGGCCTGAGCCTTGAACAGATTGTAGCTCAAAAGAGGTATTTGCCTTTCCAGCTTGCATAGATTGCAATACTGCTTCTATTGAATTTTCAGATGCATTTGTGATGGCTGAGAGCGAATGCAATTGTTGACGAAGGGTAGACAGATCATGATGAATCTGATCTGCCCCGGCCAAGATTGGGCCGGCGCCGTTTGAATTGTGGCCGTCCCCATTTGCTCGCGTTGATGAGATTGAGTTCTTCTTTTGCCGCTTTGCAGCATTTTCCCCACTATAGTGCCTTCTAGCATTACTGGGACTTGCATGTGTGACGCTATGATCTGATGGAGAAGTAGCATGGCGAACTTTAGAAGTACTTGCAGCTGGTGTAGAATGAGTTGACGTCTTTCCATCTTCAGCAGGTGTGTCTTGGTAGCACTTATCAGCGATTCCACGTTTTACACAAGTCGTACAAGGCATCGTTCTGCTACAACGTAACTTTCTCTTTCTGCAAGGATCACAGCTTATCCTGCTCAAACGCATATATTGTGCTGGCGGTGCATTTTCTTCAGCTCTTGGTGATGGTTCAGTGATGGCTGTACTGGTTGTGTTTGCTGTTGTTTCTGGTGATTCTTCATCACTTTTACGTTCATTCGGCAGAGCGGGAGTAGGACTTGGAAATGGATCGGTCATGATGATTCAGACTCCAGGTACCGAATTGACCAATAACGGATGCCTCCGTTTAGAAGATGAAGATGGATGTTATGATGAAGAAGATTTAATCTTGTACCGCTGAGAATCTAAGATCGTTTCTTTGAATAGAAGCCGGTTCCATTTGTCAGATTTAGAAAGGATCTTTTCCCCTTTCTTCTTCCTTGAATGTGTGATGATTGAACTTAGTGAAACATTTGCATTTAATTGATTTCATTTGGCGTTTCGCGCACATGGCCGCCTTGCTGTTCTATCGTGCGAAAGTGCCTCCCTTAGTGCACAGCATATGAACGCGCGGCGCTATTCTTCTTCCCATATTTCATTGTATGCAGCCGCGCTTCGCCGCTTTTTACGTCAAATTACCTTCCAAGACTTTCCTGTGCAGTTCAAGTCAAAAGCACAGCATGTGGGAACAATGGGATCTTGAGTGGGCTCAGACATTTATTTTTATCTAAAACTGGAAATTGGCTAGACCCAAAAGAAGCGAAAAATGGTCTGAGACATGAATTTTCGGAAGCGCGCTGTGGGAATCACGGAAATACTCCGAGCTAAACGGAAAAGAAGCGCGGCGCAGGGCAAGGCATAACACATGGAGCAATATAACTTTATCCCATTACCATCAAATTACGAAAAATGCAACAAAAACAATTTGTACTAGCTGGTTGTGTACTCTGACAAGAGTCATTTCCCCAATGAGACAATTTCTACATCCCCTTCTTTCTTCTCTACAGCAGCAACGTCATCATATATAACTTCTCCACCTTTACCGTCATGTACAATTCCGACTTGTAATTGAGCTTCACGTTCTTTTGTCGAAATTGCAAGTGCTTTTGATTTGCCAACAACGATCCAAGGCATTTCTTCCATGTACAAATCCATCTCTTCAAGTGTGCGTCCTTTTGTTTCAGGGAATAAGAGAAAGATTGTGAGTGCATTCGTAAAGCCACAAATTGCAAACACCAAATAAAATCGCCAACCGACATTAGCCAATGCAATAGGAGTAACTTGACCAATCATAAAGTTACTAAGATAAGATGCCATCGTAGTTACTGCTGTTCCACGTGCACGCATTCCTGTACTAAAAATTTCCACAGGATAAGTCCATGAAAGTGGACCGATACCGAAAGAGAAGAACCATTGGAATAGCCAAGTCATCACTACGAATGCATAAGCGGCACCTTTATTATTGTTTGCATTTGTAGCAGGATAGATTGCCATTAAAGCAGTTCCGATGATGAATGTCGTTCCAGATCCAATGTTGCAACCGATCAAAGGAAGTCGTCTTCCTACTCGATCAATGAAAATGACGGTGCAAAATTCGCCTACCAAAGCGAAAACGTTTGCGATACTATTGAATAGTAAAGATCGTTCGACACTAAATCCGAAAACTTTAAAGATTGTTGGTGAGAAATATTGAATTGCCGAAACACCAGTCATTTGAACGCTAAATTGTAAAATGATACCGAGTAAAACTTTGCGAAACGTTTGACGATTTGTAAATAAAGAACTCCATCCACCATGCTTTCTTTCTGCTTCTTGATCACGTTGAACGGCTGCTTCGAGTTCTGTCATTTGAGAAAGTACAAATGGATTTTGTAATTCATTTCTTGCATGTAATCTTGCTAATGTTTGTTGTGCTTCTTCTTTTCGTCCTTTGAGCATAAGCCATCTTGGTGATTCAGGAAGGAAGAACATGCATGTCACCAAAGGGATCGCAGGAGCAATTTGCAATGCTAAAGCAAATCGCCATTGGAATGCTGTGCCTAAATGATGCTTCAAGAGACCATAATTACTTAAACTTGCAATAAATGATCCAATTCCCAAAAACAATTGTTGTAGCGTTGTAAGAGAACCACGCATAGAAGGATGAGCGATTTCAGATTGATATAGCGGAGCAAGCATCGTTAATCCACCGATACCCAAACCGGTTATAACACGTCCTGCCATCATCATTTCACGATTTTGAGCGGCTGCTTGCAAAATTGCACCAAAAATAAAAATAGAAGCTGAAATCACAATCGCTGTTCTACGACTTAATTTATCGGCAATTATTGATGTTGGCAAACAAGCAACAAAAGCTCCTAAAACCATACTACTTGCAATAAATCCAAGATAATTCGCAGTTTCATCATCTTTGCCTTCCAAATTCGTCACACGAAGAAAATCGGGTGATTCCAATACACCGGCAATGACTCCTAAGTCGTAACCATATGTGAACGATCCAAAGGCAGCAAAACAGCCGCATAGAAAGGTGTATAATTTCGGATGGAGGGCCATGATGTTATGGAGTAAGGAAGAAAAGGATGTAGGTCTTGAATTTGAAAGGAACAAGTTAATGTAAACCGCCTTTTTAAGCTTTTAGGAACAGGTCTTGCCCTAAACTTACAATCTGGGGCTCCGCAACCCCACCTTTGCTTCGGACAAATTGCAATAGATTGATTGACTATTTGATTCATTGACGAACTGATTAATTGGTTAATTGTGGCTTCGATTGTCCAAGCGAGTAATATTTCATTAGCTTCAGGGCAGCCCTGAGCCCTTGCATATGATGTTGAAACTGATACATGTGATAGCATTTGGCGAGCGAGTCATTATTCCCGGTAATCTCTTGCATACTGCAGATGTGATAATCAACATACATCTCCCACTTTTTCGGGTCCCGTAGCATGCATTACAGAGTAGCTTCAAAGAGATCACCGATATGTTCACACTTTGGGCTATTCGCCAAGGAGAGAAATTGTAGCAAGTCAAGAGATCACCGAAATCTTCCCGCGCTTGCTACCCCACGGATAATTCTTTCGGTAATCTCACGATTAAATATTAAGCTGTCAAAAAGGGCCTAAATCGATATATTACAACATTAAAAGGGTCTAAATTGATATATTACAATATTACCTACGGAGAATTTTTTTCGGTAATCTCAAGATATAGTTTCAAGCTCTTTGAAAAGACCTAATTGATTGATATATTATAATATTTTGAAAAATACTGATTGAATTTCAACGGGTTCAGACAAGAAACATCATAATGTGTAACAAGAGTGAGAATTAAAAATCATACTCGTGTGTAAATACATACGTCGAGAATAAAGGAATGTTTTTAACTTGCCAGCTCACCACGTAAAAGCACCAAAGACCATGAATGTGGCTTAACAGGAATTAGACCTTTAGTATCATGCCATGTTTGTGCATCGATTGTTTGTTGTTTCGGAATGATTGCGTCTGGTTTTTCGAATGTGTTTGTAGCTTGAAGATCTTTGTTGAAAATTGAATAAACTTCAATGTTTTCAATTTCGAATTCTTCAGCAAGAATTTGCAAAGGAGCCTGCCAAGTTGCTGTTGGATGTCGATTGAGGATACTGAGATGAATTGCGCCTTTTCCTGGTAACAGAATTGCTACCAAATCCACGTATGCTGGTCGAGCAATTTCCTGTGACCAAACTGGAAAAGTCAGTCCGGTATAAATGTCTGGCAAGGAAGGTACTTGTAATAGATAACCATCACACATATATTTGGCAAACAGGCTGACTGGATAGTATGTACCTTGTCGTAATGTCGAAGTGGAATTCGTTAAAAGAGGCGAAAGAACGTTGACACTTTGTGCTAAACAAGCAATTGGCATTCGTGCTGTATTTCTTACCAAAACATGAAGCCATGCAACTGTGCCCAACATATCTGTATAATCGTACACTTGCTCTAGACCACGTTGTGGAGTTGCTTTACGATCGTCCCAAACATTCCATTCGTCCATACAAATTCCAATAGGAGCAGGATACATTTTATTGACCATATCTCGAAGCTTTTCCATCGGTATCGCATTGTATGCTTCCATTTGAGCCATGTCGATTAATTTTACACATGTTGTGATATATTGTTCAGCGGCTGCTGCGCCAAAGACATTCTTTTCATATGAGCCGAGGTTATCTTTCTCGTCAGATCGGATATGATTCTGATGACCAAGCATCGTATAATAATGAATCGAATGCAAATCCACCAAACCGTTCAAGCCTTGTAAAACAGTCCAATCCCATTCGCATCCTCCTTCTTTTCCACAAGATACAAGTTTGATCGTAGGATCGACTAATTTGAGTGCATGTGCCCATCTTTGAGCTGTACGTGTGTATTCAACAGCATTCATTCTGCCTACTTGCCATTCGCCCCATAGCTCGTTGCCTAAGCCCCAATATTGAACATTATGAGGCTCTTCCTTGCCTGTATTTGCCCTACGTAAGTTGGCCCAATAAGTGTTTCCTGTTCCATTGCAGTACTCTAACCACGCCAAAGCTTCTTCCAATGTTCCAGTGCCCATATTCAAACAAATATAAGGCTCAACGCCTAGCTTTCTGCAATATTCAATGTACTCATCAGTTCCGAATGTATTGCTTTCTGTTCCATGCCATGCTAGTTCGATTCGTTGTGGACGTTTGTGTATCGGTCCAATACCATCTTGCCAATGATAGTTACTTACATAATTACCGCCTGGCCAACGAAGTAAAGGACGTAAGGCTTGTTGATCTTTTGAAAGTGTATACCATTCCTTTGCCTCAATACCAAGTTCAATTGAAAGTTCTTCAAACACATCTTTACGAACCTTTAATCGATCCTTATGCCAATCAACTGAAGTGTTGGGTAAGGGAAGTAGCAAGTCATCCGAACAAGTTTGTTCCGGATCATTCACAATTCCACCATAAATGCATCTACCGACATGCTCCAAAAAGCCAGAATATAATTTTTTAGAAACAAAGACTGCATTTTCAGGAATTAATTGCTTGATTTTTGAATCTTTTAATCCACTTGCTAGTTCTTTTTGTTCTTTTGTCAGACTGCCTGAAACTGGTCTGCTGGTCTCCACAGCGATTTGGAATGGATGAATGTGAATCGGACGCTGTGAAAGCCCTTCTGAGTGGGTGAATGGATCCATAATAGAGATGAGGTTTGGTGATGTTTAGGAGTAAAGAGTAGTCGAATCAGTGAACATGCTTTCCTCAGCAAAGCAATACGCATCTCCGTCTTTCCTTCCACATGACCTAAATCGTTTCATCTTTCGTGAATAGCCGCTAACGCTTGATTGCTTGCATTTCCTTTCATATGTGGGTGAAAGTTGAAATGTAAGATAGATTGATTACCCCTTGCTATCAGTGCATCGACCACATGTTCTAATTTGATTGATGTGCCGAACACCCGAAGGCCTCATGAGGAGAGGATTATGCAAGTGCAAGAGATTACCGAGCTTACACAACAGCTACGCGTTCCTGGAAAACGCTAATAAATCTATCGTACGATAGAACTTGCATTTGCGGAGATCTAATGAACATTTTAAGCTTTCGGCTATCTCTTGTACAAACAAACACATGTGCTAGGCACTTTCTATTTCTTACGTAGTTGCGTAAACAATCTTGCAGCATCACATCATGCTTCTTGCTTTCATAATAAGCTGCGGGCTCCATACGCTATTCCTAGAAATGTGGGGATCCCCACAGATAATTGACAGAATTCAGATCCGAGAAAAGTATAAGAAGGTCAGCATGTATCACCTATAAAAGTTTTAATAATATATCCCATATATTCAAAGTTCACCATGAAGTTTCTTCATCTTTCCATCCTAGCAATTGCTTGCGTTTCTTATACGGTAGCATCCATACTTAAAAGAGATTTTTCCACCACAATCTTTACTCCTCCATCTTCCTACCAAGTACCGCGTACTCTTTATGCTCGCTCACTTATGCTCACGGTCAATGATGCTTCTGGAACGCTTCTTTCAACATGGGAGAATTATTCTGGAGGAGTGACATGGTTTCCAATCTATCGATCAAGTAATCACGGTCAAACCTGGTCACCGTTGAGTAAGGTAACCGATCAAGTTAATGGTTGGGGTTTGCGTTATCAGCCAATCCTTTACGAATTGAAACAAGATCTTGGAGGTTATAAAGCAGGTTCAATTCTTTTAGCGGGTAATTCTATTCCTGCAGATCTTTCAGCTACAAAGATTGACTTATACATTTCAACCGATAAAGGTTTAACATGGAAGTTTTTATCTCACATCGCTGAAGGTGGAGAAGCTGATCCTGTTAATGGAAAAACTCCAGTTTGGGAACCATTTTTGATGGTATACAATAATCAATTGCATTGCTATTATTCTGACCAACGTGATCCAAAACATGGACAAAAATTAGTACATCAATCTACAAGCGATCTCAAAGCATGGTCAAGTGTGGTGGATGACGTAACTGATTCAGACTATACTGCAAGACCAGGAATGCCAACAATTGCACAAATGGGAAATGGTAAATATATAATGACATTTGAATATTGTGGAACAAGAAACTGTGACGTATACTACAAGATTACCACTGATCCCACCAGTTGGGATAACGTAGCACCTACTCAATTGATTGCTCGAGATGGTACAGCACCTTATTCTTCACCTTTCATTACTTGGACGCCAATTGGAGCTCAATCTGGATCATCGGGTGCGAAGACTGCCAATGGAACCGTAGTTGCAAATGCTTACAGTGATGGCTCTCTTTACGTTAACAAACAGAATGGAGATCCTAATGCATGGACCCGAATCTCAACATCTTCTCCCGGTCAATATTCAAGATCGCTTGCCGTTGGTTTTAATCCAAAAGATATTGTAATCGTTGGAGGTGGAGCTTTGAACGGTAACAACAATGTCGTCAGTCTTTACGCTCGAGACGTTAACGGATGCAGTTACTGCACATAAGATTCTCTTTTTCTACAAAGCGTACGGCTGACAAACGGTAATTGCAGTACCAGAAGGAATTGTGATAGGGATCGGAAATCCACCTTCATCCGGATATTCGTTTGGCATGGTAAGACAAGCACCACTTCGCGTTTCATCCCCGTTGAGTAATCTTCCCTGCTTCAACGTTCCTTGGCCATCTTCAGTATTTACATAATCCAATTCCATAGCGCTCAAAATCCCAGTAAATTGTTTATTCTCGTGAGAGAAATAAACGCTATATCCCCATCCGATACACAAAAACTTGTCATGTGCTTCTTGAATCACTATTCCACAACCTGGACCTGGAACTCCAAAAACGTGTGCCCGTTTGATTATTATCTTCCAATCACCCATAATCTTTACTCTTGTTTCTTCGATTGTCGAACGTGAACGATCGATTTCATCAAAGCAGAATCCAAACGTTTCCAGACCTGGTTTTGCTTTTAATAAAGGCTTTTCAACCTTTTTCAGTAGTTTGAAAATACGTGAAAAAGGTGCTTCATTTGCTTTCATTGTATCAATTCCAAAAGGGCTTGCAGCAAGACAGTTATAATTTCCATATGCCAACATCAAACGTCTTGCACCATATTCATCCCTTCGCATTTCCGGAATGACCAGTGTACGTTGTGTTGTGTTATTCTGGCCTACGTACTGTTCGCAAACCCATTGAAAGTTGTGCAAATAAATATCAGGAGAAAATATATCAAGTGAAGGCGCATTTTGTTGCCAAACGTTCAGCATTTGTGGACAACAACCACCAGAAGGATAATCTCCCGGTTTATTCCCACCTCCAGCAGCAGTTGTCATATTATGCTTTAGTGGAATACCCTCTAAATCCAAACATGTTACGTCATCACAGCTTAACCAGGTATTTATAAAGAAAGGAATGGCGTAAGCCTCTTTTCCTGCACGTGCCACTTGTTCTACATATTGAGAGAATGCATCGGCCATAAATACTTCATCAGCTTGACTCCCAAAAACTTCAATCCATCCATCGGAAGTGGAGGAAGATAAAGCAGCATTTTGCAAAATTTTAGGCAGATTGGGAAGACGTGATAGAAGGATTGGATGCAATGTTGTTTTCGCCAGTCTTTCGAGTAAAAGTTTTGGTACACCAGCATCCCAATTTGACTGCGCTTCACGACTTCGATCACGACTATCGCCGAGTAGTCCTGGTTCATTCTCCACTTGAACCATAATCACGGTATTTTCTACAGAATCAATCTCTTTAATGTGAGACATCAAATGGCCAAATGCTTTTGCATCTGCATTCCAATTCTCTTTTGCGAAAGGTGTTAAAACTTCCACAATAGACTCTTGATCGTTGTTCGGACAATGAATCGAGCATCTCGGGAAACGATTTGGGTCTTTCTTTACCCAAGAAGGTACGTATGTGCTCATCCCATTTTTGTAATTGCCAAACCATACTAGCACAAGCTTAAAGTCGTATTTTCTGGCCAATAAGATGTTTGCTTCCAATTCAGCAAAATCGAATGTATTTTCTATTGGTTCAATTTGTTCCCAGCTTACTGCCATTAAAATTGTGTTTAGATTCATAGAACGTAAATTTTCCATCTGTTTTTCCATATAAGATGCGCTACTAGATGATGAATTTTGTAATTCGCCAGCTAAACATAGAAAAGGTTTATCCTTTACCATTAAAAGTTGACGTCCGGTTTCAGGGTCCATCTCAAGTCGCGGGATTGTGAAGCTGCTACTAGCCGTCATTATGATAATTACTGACTCGAAGGTGATAAGGGTAGTGGAAGAGTGAAGTGAAAGAGTGAAGTGAAAGAGTGAAGTGAAAGAGTATGGACATAATTGCATTCACACGAGAGATTAAATATTAGATCTCCGTCTACGGCCCCGCGCAAATAGGCCACCAAGGGAGATTGCCGAACTCATTTACAAAAAGGGTGCGGGAAGCTAGACGAACTAGTCCATTCTCATCGTTTCATCATCTATTGTGATTTGGCGTAATTGCAGGCGCAGCGCAAAACTTTTTTAATCTTCTTCAGATTCAGAAGTCGAAGAGCTTTGAGCTATAAAACTGATAGACGGTAGAATGTGCCTAACAGCCTCCGCTAAAGTAGCACGATTGAAACTCGGTGAGTCATCATTTGAAAGTGGTGTTTGGTGACCATTCCCGAGAGAAGAACTTAATTTGGTTCTCAGTATGCCATTAAAAAGATGAACGCTGTTCACTATCCTTTTGCTGTTGACGAGAAGACATAAGATGACTTATTTGCTGGCCATTGATACACGATCTGTTCTGCTAAAGGAAAAAACGGAAAATGCCATTTGCTGTGATTGTTCTAATTCTTCAATGATTTTTGCCGGTGAGTAACGTGCTTCTGAAGTCATGCGGGTAAGCTTTGTGGTATCCCACTTTGTTTCGTTTGGATAAATGACACGAGTCAATATTGAGTATCAATTTGCTTTATAATTTTCAGCTCTCTGTCAAAGATTGAAAGAATCTCTTGATAATAACATCTATATTTAATTCGAGATATTTCAAATCTAGTTTTATTATAAATCTAACATATTCGGATAATCAGTCCCAAATTTTTGACAACTGTAGTATTAAGTAGCTTGTATATAGCAGATCAAAATCAAAACCGTAGAAAACAGTTTTAAAAATATTTTGAAATCAACTAAAATATAAAAATATTTATTTCACCCAAATTAATAATCCCGACAAATAAATTCTATAATAGATGTATGAGTACAGTGACAGCTAGTATAGATAGAGTGGGAGTTATAAAGCATAGAAAGTACTTACTTATTTAGTCCCCTCTTCTAAGATGTTCTGGAGATGAAGTCATGGTCTGAGGGAAGAGGTGCGGGCAGCAAATATCCAACGCCCAGCCTGATCGAATTTTACCGCGTGTCATGCAAGCCACAGTTGTATCCCTGGCATGCTGGGGAATTTGCCGAGTCCCGTCTGTGCCTGCTTCTTTCATTCCTAAGCACAACGCGAATCTCTTATTGTTTGATGAATCCCGCCCATCGGGAACGGCATTATTGCAGTGTTTGTTTTATATTTCCATAAAAAATGTTAAACGCGTTTTATAAGTTTCTAAACAACTTTATTATTACTTTATTACACTTATTCTTTGCGCTAGAAACAATTAAATCGATAAAAAGAACACTTTTAGGTCAATTAAAAGGGAATACAGATCAAGTGCTCACCTGCATAACATCCAAAAGATCGACTTCCCCTCTCTCTCTCTATCCAAACAGGAGCGATGGCTATCTGTAAGATATCCAAAAACAATTGATCGTACCATGTTAAACTCTCCTTGTCACTTTCATCATATACCCCACTCTCCCCTTCCCCTTTCCAGGTAGTCGTTCCTTTTTCCCTCCTCTAAAAAAATCTTGGCAGTAAAACTTCCACGGTAAACACCGCTTCACACTCGTTCTTCTTTCACCTCTACGCCAACTTTTACACTCATTCAACAACATCACCACGACTAGGAGGCTCTACTTTGTGAAGAAGGCACAATGCCATCTCTTCAGAGAGTCATCCACGTGACAATAGCACTATACATTTCCGTTCTTTCTTCAACTTCTTCAGTAGCAGCCGACTCTCCTGCACCTTATCCACTCAATCCATCAAATGCAACAGTGATTGATTCACAAACGGCTTGTAATGCACTTGCAATCACTATCCCAGCCAAACTTGCCAATGCAAAATTTTCCAAACATTCAGCACCTCTCCAACTAACAAACGTGATTACTAAATTTTACTTAAACGGTGATAATCCAACAACGCAAGATTTGTTTAATGATATTCCCGCAACTGCATTTGGCAATGAAACCGATTCGATAAATGCTATCGTGAATAGTGTAGGCGATTGGGATCGGGATGCCGTCATGGCAGATGAAGGGTATGGATTGGAAGATTCGACTCAGACGCAGCAAGGCGGTTTACCTTCGTTCTGCAGATTTGGTGCAAGTATCATCACATCGAATACCTCCATGACTTGGTTTGAAACTTGGCTTCCAGTTCCAAGCAACGGAACGAACTACCAAATCACCTCCAGCACAATCTTCTCGGATCCGCTTGCCGCTGATCTGGACTCGGGCAGTGAGACAGGATTTGACTTTAAACGAAGGACATCGTCGAAATCGTCCAAATTTCCCAAAAAGAGATTACTACCACTACTATCTCAACCTTCCAGCACTGCTCCGGCCACACCGATAAACGTGAATGGTGTTGCGTCAAGAGCAAATTGGCGCGGTCGCTTGGTGTTTGTTGGAAGCGGAGGTCAAAGAGGTTCGTGCTCTTATCCTGAAATGAAGCAAGTCCTTGCTAGATATCGTGAAGCAACTTCTTCTTCAAATTTAGGTCATTTTGGAACGGGGGCTACAACAACTTGGACAATCGGAAGACCTCAAGCACAAACAGACTTTGGATATAGAGGTACTCATGTTTCTGCATTAGCATCTCAATTTGTCGTTCGTCAATTTTACGGCGTTGCAAAGAAGCCAAGCTCCAGCAAAAGAAGTAGCAGTTCTAGCGACCACAAAAGCAAGCATAAGTCCAAAAAGGGAGACAAAAAGAGACATCATGGGTACAAACGCGATGATGACAACCATCTCGAAGAGCGAGCTGAAACAGCAACGGATCAGAAAGCACACTTTGGATTCCCAACCTACTTCAAAGGCTGTTCAACAGGTGGTCGTCAAGCCATTGCAGAGGCACAAAAGTTCCCGTACGACTTTGACGGTGTTTTGGCTGGCTCTCCTGCCATCTACTATAACGAATTGAATGCTTATCAGATTCACGTCAACAGCTTCCAATCCAATAAATCTTCTCCCGCCTATATCTCTCGAAAGTTATATCCCGTCATTCACAAATTTATCTTGAGCGAATGCGATACCCTCGACGGATTAAAGGATGCCGTGATCGAAAATCCGGCTCAATGCAAACCTCGATTTGATCGTTTACTCTGTGCTCCTGCTAATCTAACAACAACTTCAAGTACAACTGCATCTTCAACGTTGGGCGCTTTACGAATCATTGATCAAGCTACAAAGGCAATCCTTCCCGAAGATGTGCCCACCACGTCAACTGATTCCAGTCTTACGCACAACAGTCAAAGCGTTTTGAGTGTTGAAAAGCGTGCCACGAAACAGCATACGTCCAGCACCCACCATCGCCATCACCATAAAACCTCCGACCATTCGAAATCTTATTCATCTTCGTCATCCGCCTCAAGATCTTCCACAACTTCATCGGCCTCAGCTTCTCCCACGCCAAAGTATGCACCTGTCGGTCAATGCTTGACAGCTGCTCAAATGGCCAATTTGAAAAATATCTACAAACCATACAAATATCCAAGCGGAGAAATCATTCATGAACCTGTTTTGTACGGCAGTGAAACAGTTTGGACGGTGAACGATGGCGTTGTGGGTGAAGCTTTCCCTCCTTCTTATGGTTGGTTCCAATATCAAGTTTTAGGTCAAAGTGGATCACCGGATAGTTTTGATTATTTCAGCATTGTTGATAACAATTTCCCTTTAATTCGTCAAGGTAATCGAATGGATCCCGGAACAACGGAAACGAGCAATCCTGATTTAAGTAAATTCTTCAATAAAGGTGGTAAATTATTGCATTATCACGGTTTATCGGATCAATTGATCCCATCAGGTGCTTCTGATCGTTTTTATAAAGAAGTTCAAAGTACCGTCGGAGGGGACTTATCGAATTCATACCGGTATTTGCACATTCCAGGCATGGGTCATTGCCGCGGAGGTGATGGAGCATGGAATTTCGGTGGTTCCGGTCAAACGGACGACGGTAGCCGACCTCTGGAATTCTCGACTAAATTTGATATGCTCTTAGCATTATTCGAATGGGTAGAAAAAGAAAAGACCCCAAAGAAACAATACGGTGCAGGATACAAGATCACAACAGGATTTGAAGCACCCGATTACGTAACAACCACAAAGCAAGTCCAGGCATACAGCAATGGAGTCAAGTTCACCCACAGATTCTGTGCTTATCCCGCTCAAGTAGTTGTCACCAACAATTCAACCGCCACAGAAACATGCAAGGTTGTTACCACACACAAAAAGCACAAACGTAGATAAAATTCTCACTTTTTTTTTCTGGATTTCAAAAGTTATGGTTTTATTTTAGCATCCACTTTGATAGTGAGCAATCACGTACTCTGTAATTATTTATCTTCAAACACGTTGGACAGACTTGTTTGTTCACGGAATTCTATTGAATGCATAATATACAATGTGTGATTTGATGTACAAATGGTATAATGTCCCTCCTCTTTCACATTTCAGCAATCCGTTGAGCCCATTGACGAAGTGTATTGCTGAGCACGTCTGGCAAATCAGCAACATCTTGCACAACGACAAAGTAGTCAAACGGAAATGTGTCTAGATACCTCTTCATGTTCAATTGTGGACGTCCAGCAGCATCCATCTTGTATTCAACCGAATTCATTGTCAAGATGGATGAATTGCCGTTGTTATTGCCGCTCTGTTGCTGAATGGAGTCCAGAATCACAAAGACGACCATGATATGCGCTTCAGCTGCACGTCGAAGCATTGCACGCAGTCCTTCGTGATCTTGACATACTCCATCAGAGATGATGATCTGCAATTGCCACAGCTGTTGTGAAGGCCCGGCACTTTGTGATTGTCCATGTTGCGCTCTTGCATCGACCAGCACATCATAACTGTTACGCAGCAAGTGCAACATATTGGTACCTTTCTGATCAAAAGGTAACTTGGCAAAGATCTGTGATCCTTGAACGTCGCCAACGGTTTCGGAGCTACCCGCTTCAAATCCTTTGAGCAATTCTGCTTGACGTCCAAATTTCATAACGCCCACTTGACCCACTTCAAGCTTTTGCAAGGCAGAACAGACCAAAGCTAAACTCTTGAAGGCCAAAGTACGATTAGCACTATCTGCCATACTCTTGCTATCGTCAATGCACAGCAAGACTTGATATTCACGAGCTTGAGGTTGATGGCGTCTTAGCCAGATTTTATCCTTGACATAATCACTGGCGATGAAAGGAATAATTTTGCGCATATTTAGCCGCTTTCCAGTCTTAAAATCTCCAGTCAACTTGGTAGCCTTGGTTGGCGTCAAGATCAATCGCAATTGCTCACTCAAGGTGAAAGCGTAATCAGTCGTGGCAGACGTGTACATCTTCCACAAATCTTGCGCCAAAGCCAGTCGCTTATCATCGTCTTTCTCTTCTGCCAAGTCTTCCATTGCAGCACGAATTTCGATCTCCAAATCTTCAGGATTTTCAATCTCTTCGACTTTTTCATCTTCCATCTCTGCTTCATCAGCAAATTGCACATCTGGCTCTTCTCTATCATCTTGGCGAAGATCGGTGCCCATAAGTCCACGTGAAGACTTCGGCATCGCTGCATTATCATCAGATTTGTCTTTCTCGGGCATAAGATCTGCCGTAGCATCTTCCACATCTTCTTGCTCCTCTGCGGGAGGCCGAGCATCAGGTTCATCTTTCATCTCTTCGTCATCACCTGTGTCCATTGCTCCGGTCAGATCAGCGCGTCTTTGCTGTGCCTCTTCTTCTTTGGCGGCACCTAAGGCTTGCATCTCACTATCTTCATCCTCGTCAATATGTTCTACTTGGGTGACAGCAGCCTTTTCATCTTCATCAGCAGAAGGTCCTTCACCATCCTGTTTTGCTTCTTTTGAGAGACGTTCTTCTATCGCATCGAGATTGCGCTTGAAATCTTTGAGAGCGTCACCTAACGAACGCGCAGGAGCTTCATCTTGATCCTGAGGTCCTGATTGGGTTGGATCATCTTGAGCAGTCTGACCTTGTTCTTGCTTTTGTTGTCCTGCATCAGCACTGTTCTGTTGATCTGCTCTTTCGAGAGAATTAGAATCATCAATATCTTGCGAAGTTTTCTCTTCTTCGCCAACTTGATTTTGTGCTGCAGCTGCACCACCTTGACGTTGTCGGCCAGATTGCGATCTTGAAGATTGTTCCTGTTGCGCCGGCGCATCTTGTTCAGCATCGCCTGCTGCGGCTGCTTCTGCTTCTGCTTGGCCATCCATGGAACCTTGATCTGCTGCAGAGGGTTGGGGTTGAGGACCATCGTCCCCTTCTTGTTTCTTTTCGGCATTATCTTGAGCGTTTTCATCATCGTCTTCATCTGCCGCGTCTTCGCCCTTTTCTCCAGGAACGTCTGGCTTCTCTTCATCATCCTCTTGACCAGACATTTCTGCATCTTCGTCATCGCCTTCAGCACGTTCGACTTGTTGCTCGACGTCACCTTGAGCATCTTCTTCTTCCGCATCAGGCTGGAGATCTGGCGTAAGTTCTTTACGATCGTCGCGTTGATCATTTTCTGACAAGTCATCCATATCTTCAAAGTCTGATCCGTCATCCTTGACGCTTTGAGCATCTTCATCCATCTTCAAATCTTCATCCAGATCAAGATTATCACCTTGCTGTGCTTCCTGATCAATCGCGCGACCCATACCTTCTGCTTTTGTCGGGTCCTCCTCATTCTCTTCGCCCTCACCATCTTCGCCCTCCGCTTGATCATCTTCTGTGGGTTTTTGATCATCGTCTCCTTCTTCTTCATTACCACCCTCTTCATCTTGACCTTCTTCTCCCTCTTTGCCTTCCCGCTTCTCTTCCCGTTGACCTGCTCCCTCAGCCCCATTTTGATCATCTTTTGAACTAGCTTTGGGTGCTTCACGATGTTCTTCTCCATCGCCTTCTGCATCTTTTCCGTCCATTTCTTTTTCATTTTGATCTTTTCCTCCTTCTTGATCTTTTTCATCTTCTTCGTCTTTACCTGCCCATGTTTTTTCATCAACAGTATCTAGATCAAGAGGATCGACATCGCCAACGGCATCTTCCATCTCTTTCTCGTCTTCTGGCTTTTCCTCTTCTCCATCTTCACCATCTTCTTCTTCAACATCACCAAGCTCTCCATCGAAATCTTGATCCATCTCACGAGCATTTTTTTCACCTTTTGGACCATCTTGATCTTCATCTTTGTCTTGTTCATCATTTTCATCTTTTTGCAATTCTTCCATCTCTTCATCATCGCGCAGAGTATCTGTCACATCTTTTGCTCCTTCACCATCGCCTAATCCTACACCACCATCTTCCAATTGCTGATCATCGTCATTTTGCGCGTCTGCTGCATCTTGATTTTGCTCTGGTGGTCGAGGTTTGCAGAAGCCTTTACTGGCCAATGTGTTTACCAAAGAGCAAATTGTCACGTTCAAATCCATCAAACTTGCATAAGTCTGTGTAGTACGGACAGCTAGCGCATCCAGCATACTGATGTAGGTGTCTAAGAAGGGCTGCAAACGCTGTAGAGATATTTGTACGACGGAGGAATTGATCTTTCCCTTTTCCAATGAGTCCGAGCTGATCACCTTCGATACGGCTTCCTTTATGTCCATCAGACGGAGTTTCTGCTGGTAAGACGCAACTGCTTTGGTTTCTTCAGTCAAGGCGCGATTCATCAAATCTTCTTCTGATCGATCATTTCTACCAACCTGTCGAAGATCTTGTGCAACGATTAAGATACTGGAGACCAAGTCGTCGCTCTTTTTGCCGATGAACTCTTCACCCTTGTCTGCATCTGTTTGAGCATCGAAAATAATCTTTTCTTGTGGCGAATGATTCTGCAAGAAGGCCAGCATGGGCTTGGTAAGAGCACGTAGTGAGACTGCTCGATGAACGAGGACGTCCAAGGAGGAAATAATCTCTGTCAAATCTTGCTCTGCAGCCTTAGCTCTCTCCACTTCTTGGCTCGTGACAAGACTGGAATCCATCAATTGCGATACCTTGACGAGGTCCAAGAAGCTCTTTTTGTGGGAAGAAGCTCTCACAGCTAGAGCTTGGATTTCATCAATTTCAGAGTTGACGCTCAGGTCTTTCACGGGAGAGAATTGAGCATGGACTGGTGCCTCTGTCGCAATTTCCAGCAATCCAGCAGTTGTCCTTGCCCAGAAATCAGCGTGGAGCAAGAGGCTCTTCTCACACATAGTTTGCGTTCCGCTGATTCTCTCGACCGTGCCTGCTTCCAAAAGGTGCTGAATTCTTTCATTGACTGCCTTGAACCAAATATGATCCGTTCTCAGATCTCTCAACCTTGAACGGTTTGCATTTGCAAACATGAAACCGTTCTCGACATAAGATAGAGCGAGTTGCAATTGAGCAGCGTCGACATCTGGATTTCTTTCTCGATTCGACACAGCACTTCGCAATAGCGGTAGCATCGCCAACAAACGGTAGTATTGGTTTTCTGCATTGATGAGAGCAGTCATTTCGCCTTGGTCAACCTTCAATCCCTCAAGCGAGAGTACGAATGCTGAATCTGACATGAACTTATTGCTCATCCCTTCACAAGCTGTAGTCGTGAATCCAAGTCGCCTTAACTCCTTCAAAAGATCGCTCCATGCTTTTCGTTTGCGGGTTTCAAGATTCTTTACCAATTTTGTGTTCTCCTCCGTGGCTGTGAATGGAGTGGCTTTTGATAATGCAGAACTGCGCTCAACGATTGTATTGGATAGATCTGTTACACCTTCTGCAAAGTTTTGATTTTGCATAGGTTTAGAAATTGAAGTGTTGAATATGCGATGCAATGTCGATGCAGTGGTTTCGAGATTGATCAAATGCAAAGGCACATCTTTTTCTGAAAGATGCCATTCCTGACGAGCGGATGCATTGGTCGGTAATCGTAGTGGTGCAAGATCTCTGGCCGAGATCACCGCAATGGGTTCGTTGGCTTTCTTGCCTTCTCTAGTTGGACCGACATTGGCAAGAAGTGGATCAATACTTTCTGCCAATGCATGACGAAACTTGCGTAAGCATTGATGCAACTTCCTATGAGTTTTTGTAGCACTGGTCTTGAGAGCGTGAACATTGGTGTCCTTCCAACTTGCCAATCGGACAAAATCAGCTATCTCACGTTCAACAACTGCTCGCTTTTTATCCAGGTGCTCTTCCACAGTAGGTGCAAATTGAGAGAAGAATTTGATGATATTAAAGAGCATGGCTTGAACCTTCTTCTGGGATTGTGTGAACTGTAATCCTTTGTCACCACCAAGATGGACATGATAGGAATGCATTGCTTTGAGTAGATTCAAGCGGCCTGAAAATTGACCTAGAGGAGATCCACGTAAAAATTGATCCAAAAGTGTCACTAATTCAGTTCGCTCATTGTCTTCTTCACTATCCGATTTGATAGTTGCTTGGAACAGAGTAAACCACCAATCCTTTGCTAGACTATAGGCTAGCCTTTGTTCCTTTTCCAGCAATCTCTTCCATCCATGCAATTCCAATCTGCGCCATTCGATAATCAAGGACGTAATAGCGTCTCTTTGAGGCTGCAGTGTAGTTTTTGAGCTGGCATACATTTGCCAATCTTCTGTATGCACTAACAAACCTTCCAAAGCGGCCAATAATTTGTTCACAGGGCTACTAGTATCTAGCTGTAACATCGCTTCGCATCGTTCGAAGATATGCTGCAAAACTTGTTGATCCGGCCAATCCTTGATAAGCTGTCGTAGGCGTTCTTGCACATGCAAAACAAGGGTTTGCAGCTTCTTTGACTCGGAAGGGCATGCATCAACGTAAAAATCGAGCTTATCCAATGTGGCCTCATCCGATTCACCCTCTTTTCTGGCTTTGTCCAACAACCCAATCTGCAAAGATGCACTGTGCTTGTCAAGCGATTCGCTCATGCAGACGTAATCATCTAACATCAAGCGATGCACATGCTCAACACGACTCTGCTTGTAGTTGGAGGCAGCTGTATGAGCGGATGAGAAGAGAGTCAAGTGCAATTGGAATAATTGCTGCACGTCTGAATCATCCACAAATGCTTTCTTGCCGCGCTTTCTCTTTCCGTTGGGTTCGGAAGCGGTGCCATTCGTTTCTGCTTTCTCTGCCATTTCTTCCATGATGTCTTGGTATTGCGGGAAAAGATTGGCAAACTCCTTTTCTTGCAATTCAGCATCTTCTTCAACTTGAATGTCGAGAGTGCGTGTTTTGTACAGACTACTTTCATCCGCTCGACGTTGGCGTTCAGCTTCCTGATCCAATGTCCAAAGATGCCAAATCTGATCGTAGCAAGATGTAAGAGGACCAAGAATAGATGGCAAGGGATGTCCGTTTTGCACATCCAAAACAATCGCTTCCAGCTTGGACAAAATCAGAGGCACCACCATTCCGGCAAAAGCAGATCCTGGCTTTAGGCGAATTGGCACCTCTTTTTGCAAAAATGATTTCGTGGAAGCACTGGTCGGGAATGTCACCAGCGCCTCTACCATTGAATCTATTCTGTGTGTCAGATTAGACCGCTTTGACAGTGTCTCCGATTGGCGTAACATTCCTAGACCAACTTGAACGATAGACAATGCAGAGCAAAAGGGTGTAGTGAGATCCTGCAGATCGTCATAACGGGATTGAAGCCGCACAATCATGCTATTAACAGTGGATTGAATATTGGTAGCCTGTGCGTCAGAAAATCGTGCTCCTGTCAGTTGCTGAACATTCTTCTTTGTGAAGATTTGATCAACGAAAGACCACATCTCGCTGTGCAACTGATTCAAAAACTCAGATCTTGTGGTGCGTGATGCAAGATTTGCTCCCTCGATCATATTCTCCACTCGTTGAGATGAGTGTCCTCCGGCCAGCTGTGCAATTCGTTGGTCTAGCATCTTGATTGAGACCGAATCTACATTGCCTGTCACGCTCGATTCAACAGCAACAAGAGCGGCTCGCTCTGCACGTAGACGCTGGATTTGATATTCGAGAAGGTCTTTCTTGGTTTGTTGCGTGATCACGGGATCAATGGCAACATTCGGCACGAAGAGCGCAAACATCGCGAGGGCAACGTGTAAGAATGCAGAACCTAGGATGCGCAACTGATCAACGTCATCCTTGCTATTATTGGATGTCTGTCTTTGCATCGTCTGCATGGCTTGAAAGCAATTCAACCAATTGTTTGCAATGTTTTTGATTCGAGCACTCAAGTTGCTGCACTTCAACAATGCTGAAAAAGCGTCTGGAAGGCCCAGTAGAGTAGCACACTCGATTTCTTGGATCGATGACTGCACCTCATCCGACAGGTCCGATTCTTCTTCATCTTGTAAAGCATCCAACAAGAAAGGCACCAAACTTTGCAACAGGTTCTCAAGCGATTTTGCGCATATGTGTGATCTTGGCATTAGCTCGGCTGGTGCGAGATAAGAGACCAAATCCTTCATCCGATCCAAGACAGTATGTCTTGCTTCGATATCTTGCAGAGCGATACGATCGCGAGAATTGCAAGCATCCAAGATAGCTCTGAGCACAACCGGTTGAAATAGCTGCTGCGTCGAAGCATTTTCACCATCATGCACCACACTAGCACTTGGCAAGCTGGCAAGCCATTCAAATTGACCACGGGTAAGTGCAATCTGATCAGATTTTGCAAACGGAATGGAATGCATCGTCACAGCACATGAAAGCGGGAAGCTTCCATTGCCTGCCTCCAATAGTTGTGCAGATGACTTTGCCTTGATCGCATTGTGCTGTAGCTGCATATTAATGAAGATCAAGCTCAATAGAATATTGTCACTTTCGTGTCGTGCAAGAGAAGTGCGGGGCATTGATGGCTGTTCTGCTTGTGCAATACCTTCCAGAGCAATTAAGATTCGAGTTGCCATCTCCGACAGATTCTTTTGATCAAATTCACTTCTGTCCCTGCGATCATACATCAACAAAGCAACAATTTCTGTTGCATTTGCGATCAAGTCAGAAGGTGCATATTCCCGAACATTTGCACATGCTTCTTGGATCTTCCTTGCCATTCGTGTACTTTCTTCATTGATTGTATTTGGTAGAAAGGCTTGCCAAATTTGATTGAAAGCGTGTCCCGTTCTTAGCAAGACTTGGCGGCCAGATGCATCGAGTAACGTCAAAACTTTCCCGAATTGATCGTTGAAAGCTTTGTTCAGATGAACAAGCTCTCGCCTCATTTGATTATACACCACACGGGATACACTGTTGTTGACCCGTGCTTGACTTGCATTCTTGCCAGCAAGGAAAAGAGATGATGCCAGAACCGACTCGAGTTTGCTGATAGTGTTGATATCAACATGACCTCCAAAGCCAATGGAAGACACGGTTTGCATGATCGTCCAGAGTAACTCAAACAAGTACTTCTCTTCAGATGCAATGAGCTCAATTTCAGCTCCATCAAAGCTCATTGCCGAGCGTGTTAGAACGGTCATCTCCTCTGCGCCACTCTCTTGCGATCTTTGATAGCGTTGAAGCTCGATAAGGGAGCAGGCTGCATTTACAACGATGCCCATCAAGCGAGAAATACTCTCTTCAATGGAATTGCTTTGATCGTTTAACAGACTTGGCCAAGATTGAAGATCTGGTCCGATGTCGCGAAGGTACTTTTCGGAGATGTCGTCTTTGCGCATTAAAGAGCTTTTGAGCTCAAAACTCTGTTCTTGGAGCGATTGATGACCGTGTAAGCAGTCCAAGGCAGGGTACAGCTCGCTTGCATGATAATGGGAGGCGTATCCTATCGCAATCTGCCCGATTGAACGACCCAAAATCGCCATCGCAGCATGTTGATCATGATCCAAGAATCTGCCTGTCGGGGTGATTCCGCTGACGTATGGTGAGATGCACTGCAAAGAGGCTTCTTGTATATTGAGTGCTGGGTTCACAGTAGTCCAATCCTCCAAGAAAAGCTCCATACCGCGATTACGCATCGCCCGACTCAACTCTCCATATTTAGGATCGATGGCAAAGAAGATTCGGAAATCCGGATGTGGTTTGACGATTTCAATTGCACTTGTTTCACCCGCTCTGCCAGTGGAAATGACTCCACGTTCACTCAAAACAATTGAACCTCCAGGTTCAAGCAAAGAATTCAAACGATCCAAAACCGATGCTGGACATAAATTGGCTTCGTCCATCAAAAGCCATTGGCCTTTGCGCATAGCTGAGATCACCGGCCCATCTTTCCAAGCAAAACGACCGCTATCCGCATTAATATCCTGCGGTGAGGTAGCCATGATTTGAATGGTATCCAAAAGCCGCTGTCCGCGTGCTCGATCAATTTGCGACAGAATTCCAAGACATAGAAGTAGATTGTTCACCTCTGCAATCCTTTGCCAATCAAGGTTGAAGAATTCATTCGCCGATAATGCATCCCGCTGTTGGTCCAGGATGAAAGACATTTGCTTCAACGTCATACACGTTGAAAATTGATCTTGCTGCTCGGTCATTGCGAGACAATTTTGCTTTCCGGCATCAATAAGGTTCTTCAATTCCATCAAGATATCTGATCGGCCTTGACGTGAATCAACTTGTTCAAAACCACCAACGATATCGATCGCATCCGTTCCCCCATTCAAGCGGACTTCTTGCAATGGTTTACCCATCAATTGGGCCATCTTCCGGACTAGAGAAGATTTGCCTGCACCTCCTTTTCCAACCAGAATCGCAGGCCATGCGAGCTGAATACATTCTCCCAGCGCTTGTGCTACTGCTAAATGGGTTTGGGACACTGTAAAAGTATCGAAAGCGCTCAATGACGGATCACCTCTCCCAGTACGCGGAAGCAAGACATGTCCAAGCTGAATTTGCGTGGACGTAACATTGAACCAAGGTCGTACACTTTCATCTACTTGATGACCGAACACTTCTGCTGCCACCATTGCAACTAACTTCCGGTCCTGCTCAGTACGGAAGCGTAGGGTGTACAGACTGTTGAAATACTCCATCGGTTCCATCCTGCGTTCTTTTCGAATCAGTCCCAGTTGCGAGCGTGACATTTCTAGCCAACGTAAAAGATCACGCAAATTGAATTCCCAGGGATGACCATTCTTGGAAAACGCATTTGTATCGCGCAACAAGATCTGTAGACGATCATTGAAATGAACCATAGCTTGAAGCTTCTCTTCTCCATAAGCTGGGTAAATCTCATGCATGATGGCAAGGAAATCATCCTGTCGTAATTCTTCAATGTATACTTTTGTAAATCTGTTCAAGAAGGATTTCGGTAAACCTTTACGTCCGCCACCTTGATGTTGAGGATTTTGAGCAGCAAAGAAGCGGAAATTTGGATGTTTCTGGAATGTCCTTCCTAATTCTGGTACGTAAACAGTTCCTCTATGATCCAAACATGAGTTGAGACCTTCCAAAACGGACTGAGACGCTAAGTTCATTTCATCGAGCAGTACCCAGGCTCCACTTTGCATAGCTTGCAAGAATGCAGCTTCACGCCACCCAAATTCGCCAGGCTTTCCTCCTTCGATAGGCAAATCAGCACCAAACAGATCTGATAATTCCGTTTGATCTGACAGATTAATTCTGGTCAGAGGATGACGACATGCATTGGCAAGTGCAACGATCAAACTTGTCTTGCCCGCTCCTGGACTACCTTCTAGCATGATTGCTCGATTGGACACCTGCATAGCTTTCAGCACTCGCATGGCATTGTTTGCTGGAGTCTGTGCTTGCAGATTGAAGACATTCGAGCCTGAAGAGTTCATCAAATGGCCTTTTGGGGTCAAGAATCCACCAATACCAAATGCATCTGGGCGATCCATAATCTGTAAATCAGAATTTGACCGGATTTGCTGAGATTCATGAACATCCAAACCACTCAATCGGACAAGCTCTTCGACCATGGTGTTGACCAGCGCTTCTATCTGTCTTTTAGGCTTGGCAGCTATCCATGGATGTAAGGGCAAGCCATCGATGAGCGTCATCAAAGCGCCATGAGCAAAAGCATACGATGGTGAGATGCTCTTATTGTTTGCCATTACCATATTCATGAATGCTGCCCAAGAGATCAGATCGCGCAATCCTACCAAAGAAGAATTGTTGTTATCCATACTTCCACCGATTTGCGATGAGTAGAAATTGACAAATTCAATCATCGAGTGACCGAACGGTTGAAGCTCTTTGACCGACCATTGCGCGTCTATGATTGCTAAGATATCTTCCCTTTCAGTGACTGCTGGCACCCATACTTCTGTAAATCTGTTCCTCAAAGCCGGACTGAGCTCTTTCTTGCCGTAGTCTCCACCTGGATTCATAGTAGCAACGACTTGGAAAGCAGCATCAGCTTTGATAACGACAGAATCGCTGGCTGAAGAAGATGCGCGTTCTGCCAGAACAAGTGTTCGGCCTGGTTCGAAGACAGAATTGAGTCTTTCCAGAACGCTATCATCAGCCAAAGAGATTTCATCCAAAAGCATGTGATAACCATTCCGCATAGCGTCTACTAAGGGACCATCATGCCATTCGAATAGAGCCATACTTTGATTGATTTGCATGCGTGCCTCTTCAATACGCTTTTGCTCCTCGACATCGTCCACTTTGAGTTTGGAGAGAGCATCAGCTACTGCCTCTAGGCTGTCAGTAGAGATGACGTTGCCCTCCTGCATATGCTGTTGCAAAATGGCCAAACCGCTGGCCCGAGCAGTTTCGCGCAAGACAGTACGATTTCTGATCGGTCTTTGTCCTCCCAATAAGTCGGCAGCATCTGTATTTTGATGACAATTTACTGTGACCAAAGATGAAGAGAAGACATTCGACAGAACCTCGCAGACTGAGGTTTTACCCGTTCCCGTTTCACCAACTAGCAGTACCGGCTCGCTGTATCGTAGAGCGCAAGCGACCAGACAAACAAGTCTCCTCATTGCAGATGTCCAGACAATGCCTGTACCTTCCACTGCTTTGCCTAGTGAGCTGGCCAAGTTTGCACCGAGAAGAGCTGACATGCGGTCTTGATCGAAAATGTCATACATTCTACCCAAGTCAATCTTCACTTTGAGAACTTCTTCGAGGACTTGCTTGACCACTAAACCGTCTTCTGGCTTTCGTGTACGTTCGGCAATCAACATGTATCCATTCAAAGCGAGCTGATTGTAATCTTCTGCTTGACGCATACCCCATCGGAAGAGATCACGTAATGTAACAAATGCTTGCTTGGTATCAAACACTCGAGTGGTTTGACGTCTCCTTTGCAATTCCAAGAATACACGAACAATCTTGTCTGCATAGCTAGGTGCAATTCTGCATCTTCTGGCCAAAATTGTTTGAAGTTCAGCTTGTGGCACATCATCAAAGTGAATTTCCAAGAATCGATTGCGGAAAGCACGACTTAAAACTTTACGACCTGCATATAAACCAGGCGGATTTTGGGTTGCAAACAACATGAAATGTGGATGCGGCTTGATTACCTCACCTGTTTCAGGGATAAGCAGTTCACGATTATCGTCCAAAAGTCTGTTCAGAGCTTCCAACACGTCCGTGGGCGCCAAATTCAATTCATCCAATACGATCCAATCACCTCGTCTGGCAGCTGTAACCAAAAGTCCTTCTTGGAACGCCAATCGACCTGTCTGTGAATCGGTGGTATATGATCCCAAGTATTCTTGCAGATCTGTGTGTTCATGATTATTGATACGAACGAATCTATGACCAGTTCTACGTGCGAGATATTCAACAGCACTCGTCTTACCGGCCGATGTTGGACCTTGAATCAACACAGGACTTCTCCTTGTTAACGCAGCACGCGCTAAACCAACCAATTTCTCTTGTACTGAAGTGGTAAGGATATACTCTGGCACATCCTCTGCTGGCTGTGATCCTGTCTCAAGCCAGAATGATCCAATTTGTATGTGCGAAGTGGATGTAGACGAAGAAGCGGGTCTTGGCGGGACGAATGAAGCTGCAGCTTTTGCGTTCTTTGCACGATCAAGGATATTGCGTTTCAGAATATCACGGACGATAGTGCCACTTTGTTGATCCAAGAGCATGGTGAAAGCCATGATAAAACCCTCAAACAAAGCTCTGCGTAGTCCATAGACAGATGAGGTATCCTTTGCGAATGTCAAAGCACGAGCAAGAGTACGAATAGAGTAGTGCGGACGCTGATTGGCGCCATCTGCTAATTTTTGTTGATGAGTGAGCTGTTTGATCATCACAAAACAATCAGCGACATCCATCACCGCACCACGATCCCCAATACTATCTGCACCAATGTACGACTCCACAATTCCGATCAATGCTTCACGATCAACATCGGGACTGATTGCATAGATTTCAGTGAAACGGCTTCGTAGATTGTTGGGTAAATCCTTCTTGCCGACATCCGTTGCTGGATTCATACAAGCGAAGAGGCGAAAGTCCGGATGACGAGGAACAGGTTCCAAGTCACCCTTTTCGCTTAGTACAATACTGCTCTCAGGCGTTTGTAAAAGCGTGCTGAGACATTCAAGAGTTTCTGATGTTGCCAAATTGATCTCATCCAACAGAACCCAAGTTCCATCCCGAATTGCTTTGACTAGAGGCCCTTCTACGAATGAGAACACCAAAGCTCGCTTTGATCCTGTGTACTGTGCGGCAAATTGTGAAAGTCTGGCTTCAAAACCCTTCCATTCATGAAGCAAAGCAGCCTCTTCCTCCTTTTGAGCGTCACCGTTTTCCATTTGAGTGTTTTGCTTATCGCCTTGCTCGGATGTACGCATCGTCTTACGAGCTCGCTGTTCGCTGTCTTCTTCCTCGATATGGTCTGAAGTGTCATCTGATAAGCTTTCCGTTTTAAGCTTGCCATATGCAAGTCGGACTGAATCTGTCCAGGTTGCATGAAGTCTGCTCCATTTTTGAGACTGCAACGCTTTACGTTCTGCTTGTAAGTATCTTGCATTACGTCGTAAGGAGAATGTCCTCTGGAAAAGGTCTAGCCAATCGTTATGAAGGTCCATGGCGGGTAATTTTGGATCTAATGGCTTGAAACCACCCAAAAGATCAGCACTTTCTGTTTGTTGACTCAAATTGAGCGCCACAAGCGGCTTTTGCATCATGGCAGCGAGCTGTTGAACGACAGTCGTTTTTCCCGTTCCAGTCTCACCTACCAATAGTGTTGGTTCATTCATTGCTACACATGCGACAATTCGTTCGAGTAGACGAGCAGCCGATCCCGTCATTGCAAATGATGCAGACGGCTTTGCGATCAGAGTAGAATTATGTCTCTTGGCCTGTAACACCTCCCATCGTCCAATCTGAATGGATTTGTTCTTGGTTCCATCTTCATTTGCAGATTGTAATCGCATCTCTGGTCTACGATCACGTACATTGTGCCACAACGAAGAGGCCTCTACGCCGATCTCCTGTGCCAGAATTTCAAGAAGAACGCTGAATCTATCCCGTGCATACTTTTGAGCCGAATCGTCATCTAGCTTTGTACCAGCTGCCGCAACAGACGGCGGCGGTGGTGTAGCACCAAGGAAGATATCGATTGCCTCCAATGCAATTTCTTCTTGCAGTGCCTGATTTGCAAAAGGTGCTCTAGCAATGTTATTGGCAGCAGACTCACCACCTTTGGCGATCATTCTATCAACTCGTCGACACCATTTCAAAAGATCGTGCAATGATGGTATCCTTGCAGTGCCGGCCGAAGAGCTTGCCAGAACGGAAGTGCTCTTTGTGGTCAGAGCAGCATTTGCAAGCTTTGACCAAGTTGAAACCAATCTTTCCACCGATCCATCTTCTGCCATCGAGAGATACTTGGCATTTGTTGTGACGATATCTAGGATATCTTCTTGTCGTAGCGCATTCATTCGAACTTCAGTCCAGTGATGATTGCCATAAAATGTCGGTACAGGCAGTGTAGTAGCGTCTGAACGTGCTACCGTCCTAGTAGCAAAGATCGCAAATCCTTTCCCTGCACGAATTTTACCTCGAGGTCCTAGGTCTAGATAAGGTCTTGCTCCAATCGTTTTGGTAGCGGCCATTCCTTCCACTAGTGGTTTGATGACAGAAAGTACTTCCACATTTGCTTTATCGATATCTTCCAATACCACCCATTTTCCCAATCTAACTGCTCTACTCAATGCACCCTCTGTCCATTCAAAATTACCAGGCCTCGTTGGCGAAGAGATAAAAGACCCAATAAGAGACTTTGCATCAATTCCACTTTGATCCGCTAATTGTAGCCAAACGATCGGAGCAGTAGAGGTGTCATTTGAAATCTTATCGCAGCTGTGCCGTATGAGTGAAGTCTTTCCGCATGCCTCAGGACCCGAAATAAGAATTGGCAATCGTTTTCGCAACTTTTCTGACAGAGCAGATAAGACAGGCTGAAGCGATTCAGTCTCCTTGAACTGCTGTTTCTTCTCAATGTCGACGTTTGTGCGATAGAAAAATCTTCCACCGAAAAGCACTGAGGTACTCTCCATACACGTTTGGTCTAATTGTTCTATCGATGGACTCGACTGCTCTTCAATCGGGGAGCCTTGTTGTTGGAATCGCTCCTTTGTCTGCTGTATCCGATCCATCTCAAGCAGAGGCAAAACCCACAGATCGACTTCTTCCACCAAGAGAGGCTGATCATAGTTCGAAGTCGGCATGTAAACCCGCAGCGAAGCGTCAAGAGGGGTATTCAGCTGACTACCGATCGTTCCCGGCTGTCCGACATGCTGAGAGATGAGGGCATTTAACGTACTTTCCGGAACATTTTCTATCCGAGCAAGTAGTCGAATCGCCAAAAGTCGAAGAGCTGGAGTAGTAGTCTGAAGTTGGACAAGCGAAAGTAGATTTGTCGTTGAGAGAAAGTGTGGTGATTCCTCAATTGTGATTGGCGATACATTGATAATCCGATAGCTGGAAAGAAAAATGGGTCCCAGCTGTTTTTGCGTCAAATTTTGCGGTGTTAACCATTCTAGCTGTGGCAGGTGTAGCATGTCTAGTACGAGCGGTTGCAGCTCGGGATGCGAAGGAAGAAGGACGGCCAAAGCATAGAATGCATGTATTACCTGCCAATTGGACCAAGTAATAGTATAAGAAGCTTCAAATCGATGTAAGATTTTGGCAAATAAGTCGATAAGAAGAGGTCCTGCATGTTGAGCGACAATTTCTGTACATTGAGGATGCATCAAAAGTTCAGCAAGAGCATCCAAAAGGTCACTTTGTGGTGTACTTGGTGTTGATGCTTGTGCCCATTGACCAAGAATTGCAACCGGACGCCAGGATGGAATTCCGTCTTTGTTGATTTGTTCGTATATTCTCGAAGCTGTTATCCGAACATCCATCTCCTCAACCAATTTAGAGACCATGATTGCCACCTCTGATTGTGACAAGCAAGTCTATTATGGAAGGAAAAGGCGAGCAATACGCTCTTTACCAGTCAAACTTACCTTTGCTGCAACTTTAGTCTTCTTAATCAAAAAAATTCCAAAAAATTATTTAACACGTGAGACGAGCAACACTCACGCCCTAGAGCAATTTGACGCGTCAGGGTTGCGTGCCCACGATCAGAGGAAGGATATCATTTCAACTTTAACAGGGTATGACTATGACTATATACAAGGGAAGCAATTGATCAAAGTTGAGCATTGCCATGTTTGGAGACTTCTTCTGTATCAATCTTGGTACCAGTCAACTCTTCACTTATGTTCCATAAATCTGTCATCAATTTCTCATCATGAGAAGCGGCAGAATCCTTGCTTTTGATACCATACGTTGCGTAATAATCATCAAATCCATTCTTTTCTTCAATTTCTGTCGATGTGGCAGCATATAATGGTGCAAGAGCACCATCCGCACTACTGATGAACACGAGTGGGGCGATGGGTGCCAAAGGCGTTTTTGAGTATAAGTTTGAGGCAACGAGACCAGGATGAACGGCAGTTGAACGAATCTCGTTCGGCTTGAATCGTTTGTTCACCTCTCTTGAGAATAGAAGAGCGGCCAACTTGCTTTGACTATAACGCATATATTTACCGATTTGATCGAATCCCATTTTGCGATTGATGGCTTCCTTTGATGTGAAGTCTAGTTTCAAGCTAGGATTGAAACGTTCAAAAGTGTGGGCAACAGAGGACAAATTGACCAATCTGGATGGATGTCCGGATTCATGTGCAGATTTGATCATCGTTTTGGCCAAATTAGCAAACAAAGCAAAATGACTCAAATGATTGGTTTGGAAAGATTGTTCGATTCCATCATCTGTTAATTGATAGCCTGGTGCCATCACACCTGCGTTGCAAACGAGGATATGTAAATCTTTTTCTTTAGCCAAGAAATCATCTGCTGCCTTCTTGCATGCGTTCAAGTGCATCAAGTCCAATTCCAAGAATTCCAATTCAAGTTTCTGAACGCCATCAGCACCTTCTTTTTGGTTTGCATCATGTTCTTCTTGTAACTTTTTCATTGCGTCCTCTGCTTTTTGCTTATTACGCGAAGCCATATACACTCGAGCTCCATGGATGGACAACTGTTTTGTGATCTCATATCCGATTCCACCATTCCCACCAGTTACAATCGCAACTTTTCCTTTAAGATCAGGAATTTCTTCGTTTGAGTATTTTTTCGACATGTTGTTTGATTGCGGATGCTCAATAAAGTATCGTGAAACAATCACTTCTTTTTATATATCACGCCAATCTTGCTTTCACACAAAGATAAACTTTATCATGCACCTTAATCCGTACTGTTCTTATGCATTCAAGGAACAAGATCTTCATCATGTACTTTTATTCTTTTTTCACACTTTAAATTTGTTGAACATCACGGCAAACAGTCTGCCGGAAAACTTTTTTATCTTTTTGTGGAGGTTTTGGGTCTAAAAATATTTCCCGTTGAACTGTTTTCCCGCTTAAGAACATTCTCTCCTTGGGTTCCTTTTGCGGGGTTATCGCACTCTGCTTCCTCAACGGCTGCTAGTCTATTCTATCAACGCGCGACACCTGTCTTAACCGGATTCTGATGGAAACATTATCCTGACGATTATTCTGGTCTGCACAATTACGTCTATGGCGGTAAAGAACAATGGATAAAATTATTTTGAGTATGTACAGAGATCGATGCACAGCTTTATGCTTGCTTGGAAGATCGTTTGTTGATCTTGTTGGCAGCGGATAAACAATCAGATCGGGCAGAATCAATGCTATGCATCCAAGAATGACAAGCACGTGCGGAAGAACAACGAATGTTTACCTTCTCACGACCTTGATGGAGTAATTGGAAGGATAAATCATCTCGACCTTTTAGGCCTGAAGGAACATCTCGAACGACCAGCTCCTCTAGTGGCATTGGCATCCTGTACAAATATTGATCAACATTTGTATTGCCGTCCGTCGTTCGTCTTCCAGATAAGAGGATCACTAAATCATTGCATAAAATCACAGAAAGTCTTCTTCCGCTCTTTTGTTTGATTAAGACTTCTTCTCTTAGGATTCTTCTTGGTCCCATCCAGCGTGTTTTGTGTGTAAGATCCAATTTCACTTGACTCGTTCCATTTTCACCGGCAGATGATGCATTGATCTTCTCCGTCAATTCCACCAAACGTTCATCGCTTTGTCTTTGTCTGATGGATTCATTGGTGGTATCCAACAATGATTGTGCATTTGCCATCGCATTACGCAAAGATTTGTATTCTTGTGGATCCGCATCTTCTTCGTTTGTATAACGTAGAATTTGTCCGATCAATAAAGGATATCTTGTCAGCCTTTGCATGGGTACCAATAAGAAATGACTCAAGTCCAATCCTCTTGCTGATGCATGTTCAGATCGAAGCCTTTTCAAAAGGTCATCAAGCTGTACGTTTCGATTTCTTTCCGTTGTAAGGATATGCGTTGCGGTTTCTTGATTAACGCAATAGGGTATATAAACTGACATTTGTTTCATATGATTTTCCAAAATGTCACCAATTTGAGTGATGAACATTTGTGCAGATCGTTGACGAGCTTCCAAGTCGGATAAAAGTGAAACAGCTGCCAATAGCACCTCCTCGATATTACCAAAGATCACAGTGGCCGCTTTTGTTTGCAAAAGAGGTTGCATTGCATTGAAAAAGACATCCACAATAATTTGCACGTCACGAACGTGAGTTGATTCAGTTGCAATAAGTTCAAATATTGCCTCTTGACGTTTCCTTTCTTGTTCGGGAATCGCACTCGATCCTTCACTGCCAATGATGCTACTCCATGTAGTTGCAGCGGCAATGCTTTCACCATCACTTATGCTTCCACGTTGTTGTGATAAGGTGCTGGAATCCGTACCGATTGCAGGACTTTGATTTCGTTGAACCATCATTGGCCCTGAAATGATTGGCGTAGTTCTACGTTCAACGGTTGCTGGACCTTGAGCGCCTGTCTTTCGAGAAGACATATTCTTCAGAGTATTCAGCAAGCCAGAACCAGTAGAGGACTTTGTACTAGCCAAAGCAGGAGGTGGCGAAGAAGATGATCCGATATCCGGGCTTGCATCACTTGTTGGAATTGCAGGCAAAGGGTCATTCTTTTGTTGTTCATGTACTTGTTTATTCAATTTAACAAAACGTTCATAAGCATCGTCCATTTGAACTTCTGGCTCTTTCGCCACCGGTGGAGGCGGAGGAGGTCTAGATGGCTTTCCTGGTCTCTCTTTGCGCTTACGTTGTTCTCCAATCGTTCTTGTTGGTCTTTCAGGTTTTGAGCGTTTGGCTGTTGGTCTGCGGTGCAATAGCAGGTTTTCAGCTTGTTTAGATGCATCTGCGTTGACATCATCTTGTGCCTTTCCTCCAGTGATGCCTTGATCGTCATCTTTACCGTGACCTTGGACGACCAGGATACCAGCTGCTTCCAACACACGTAATCGCTCTGCAACACGCCTTTGTTGTGCTTCTTCACTTTGATCTTCTGTTTCGGCTAGAATATCGTCATCATCGTCATCGTCCTCGCTTGAAGTCCATCCTGTAGTAGAATAATCCGAGTCATCTTCAGTCTCTTCTTCATCAGAGGCGGCGACTTCTTGCTTTGCGTTGTCGTCTTTTACAACGTCAGCTTTGCGTTCGGCACTTTCTTTAGACATTTCGATGGCACGTTGCAGATCTTTCTCCTCACGAGATTGAGCAACAAAACGTTCTCTTTCATCCTTTTGAGATTGCTTCATTGCCTGTGCAAGTGCCTCGTCTTCCGTCAAATTCAGAGACTCTGAAGGTTCTGGTCTGCTTTTGTGAAGCTGTCCCTGTTGTTCACGGTCCATGGCTATCGATTAATCAAGTCAATCAAAATGTTTGAAATTTGTTCAATTGTGTTGTTCGAAATTAGGTGGACATGCAGAAAAAAACAGAAAGGGGAGAGAAGAAAGGTTTCAGCAATCACTCTTCTTCTTGCAAAATACGCGCTTTGATCATGAAGCATGGCCAAAAAATGAGGATGGTGTAAGCATGGGATAGAGGCTTTTCGTTGAAATGAAGATGAATACTGAAATTCAACCTTCATCGCAAACTTCACCTTCTCCTTTCGCAAAAGCCTTTTTCCCCATTTCGTGCCCTGGCCTCAGTCAAAGCGCGCACGCGGCGAAGAGTGAATTGAGTCTTCCTCCAAACGGCGTGGATGAAGAGGAAAGGGAAACGATGGATGTGGAATAGGATTAAGGAAGATGGAGATAGATACAAAAAGAGAGGGAGAGAAAACAGCATAATGATCACTAACCACTTGTTCCTTCGACCAATTCCACATAAGCAGCCGGTACGATAAGAATGCGATCTTGTTTATCGATTACCTTCCACCAATTTTCATCTTCATCGTCAACGATGTGTAATTCTTGTTCGGCGGTCAGGTTCATCTCTTCGGGCGACGATCCTTCAAAATCGTATAGTGCTTTGGCAACTTTAGGTTGCTCGATACTTTGAACGTATGATCGAGGGAACGTTCCCTTTTTGCCGCTTGCTTCATTCACGATTGATCCGTACCACCAATCGCTACCCCCATCTTTAGCAGGATGAGCAAGAATGACTGAATTCTCAATGAACCCTAAATCTTCTGTCCGTTGAGCTTCGTAGGGATACAATGTCCTGACCCGAATAGATTTGGACAAATCAAAGTCATCGGCTTCGTCACCTGCAACTGCTGCCGAAGCTGAGCCATTCATTTGGTTTCCTGCGAATTTGGGACCGTCGAGATCTTCTGGCTCTTCTTTCTCATCGTCACTATCCTCTTTCTCTTCGAGTAGACTTGGTTCATCTGGCATTACACTAGCTTTTTGATGAGCGTGCATTTGATCAGCAGCTAAGCTTCCTGCCCAATCGACAGATTGTCTATTGGAATTGTGTTGAATCGTGTCAATTGTCGATTCTCCTACGTCTTCTAGCGGTGGACTTGGAGGCGGAACAAACTTTTGCACTGGAGCACTTGCATCTCCAATAACCTTCCCGCTCAAACCAGCTCCACTACGATCATTCGTTTGTGCTTTGCGCAACGAAAGACCTCCTCGAATCGCACCCAACAGAGCTCCTCGATCAGCTGTTCCACCAGAAGGAGGAGCGATCCTGGCAGCAGATGCTGGTGGAGCTACAGCTGCGATCGGCGCAGCTGGAGCTGCGGGTGGCGGTGGTGGAGCACCTTCCGTGGCGTTTGTCGTTGGAGGAGCTGGTGCTTGAGGTGCAGGAGAAGAACTTTGAGGTGGTGTAGAAACAAGATTGCTAAAGAGTGCAGCAGCCAAATTTTGACGAGTAGCACGCGAAGTAGATCCTGGTCCATCAGGATCCTCTTCTTCGTGATCACCATGCTCTGACTCTCCCCAATCATCATCATCATCTGGAGCACGTCGAGGCGCACTAGAGGGTGGCGCACTCATCGTGGGAGCAACAGGAGGTACAGATGCTGGTCCAGCCGATCTTTGCGGAGCAGGAAGATTTTCTGCAAATGCCGATTTGCTTGCTTCAATTGGCTGTTGTTGACGATAGAAAGGATTTGTGCCTCCAGGCGTAGCAGGAGGAACTGCTGCACCATTGGGTTGCGATTGCATTCGGAAGAAAGGATTTGTACTGGCATTGCCACTTGGTGTAGAAGAAATAGGCGCCGTTGGAGAAGTTTGAGCTGCTGCCGTTGGTGTAGGAGCTGGTGGTGCTGGAGGTGGTGGTGGAGGGGCAGCAGCAGCAACAGGTGGAGCGACTGGGGCAGGTGCGGCACGAGAACGAGTTGGAGGGGGTGGTGGTGGTCCACTCTTACCTTTTCTCATAGGAGCGGGTAGAGAAGAAGAAGGAGAAGCAGCAGGTGCTGAGAATTGAGCTTGACGTTGTTTGAAAGACTCTTCCTGTCTCTTTGCTTCGGCTTCCTCTTCTTCTAGCTTTTTGAAGCGGGCCAATCGTTCCTCTTTCTCCTTTTTGAGCACCTCTTCACGTCTGCGTAGCATCTCTTCTTCTTCATCAACTTGCTCCTTTGCCGCTTGTTGAATGAATTGCGGTGGAGGATTATCACTCTTTTCTTGTTCTTTAAGTTCAGATTTGACTGTCGAAAGTGCTGCACGTTCTTTCTCTAACTTTTGTTCTTCCAAACGTGCCCGTCTAGCATCTTCTCTTGCTGCAGCTTCAGCATCTGCTTGAGCTGTTCGAGCTTGTGCTTCAGCCTTGTCTGCTGCCAAACGATCTTCAACAGATGAATCAGGGGCAGGTGAGGTAGTTGATGGTACCGATAGACCCAAACTTCTCATACGTTCCGCAACTCGTCTTTGAGCTTCTGCGCGAACCCACTCTTTCTTTTGTTCAGGTGTCATACTCTTTGGAGGGCCAGAAGAAGATGGAGGTGGCGGAGCGGGTGCAGACACGGCAGCGACAGATGGAGAAGCAGGCGGAGGTGGGGCAGGCTTGCTGACTTCTGGCACTGGCGGTGGAGTGGGTGGAGGAGGTCGGTCACTTTCCGCTCGATAGTCATCATAACTATCCCTCGTACTTCTGCCATTTCTAGCATGGTCCCTCTGAGTAGGCGTTTGCGATCGAGAATTGTCATCGTAATCGCTGTAACGTCCACCACGCAAAGAAGACTCATTGCGACGGTCGCGATCGCGGCTTTCGCTTACATTCTTTTCGCGCTTTTTCTTGTCCTTCTCATCCAATCTCTTTTCCAGTAATGGCAAACGTTCATGCATCAAATGCATCAATTCCCTTTCTGCTTTTCGTCGGTTATCGGTAGCATCACGTCCACCTCTGCGATTGTAGTAATCGATGTCATCTTGCACACGTTTGATTCGGAATCGCAATTCGTCCATCTCTTTTTCTACTTCGCGATCGTCATCATCGTCTCGATCAGCTTGAGAGTCGAGCATGCGTTGCGTTTGAGCAAGTTGTCTCTTCATCTCAGTAAGATCATCAGCAGGGCTTTCACCACCATACCGGACTGTCTTTCTATCCAAGTGACGTGCGCTACTCTTATAACCCGAGCTTGCTTCATCAGTGTGCTTATAGGCAGTTGCGTCTTGCTTTTGAATTGGATTTTCGTGGAAAGATCGTGTTTTGCCATAATTGACACCACTATTCGAACCAGCCTCAGGTAAGTTTAGCGCAGTAGTCTGCCTCACATTGGCGTCACGCTTGAGTAGATCTTTGAGGAAATCGACCGAGTCTGACAGATCTTTTGCTGAAGGCGGCACAAGTTCCGGTGGAAGATGCTCGGGTATATCATTACCGTTCAAAGCACGATAAATCAAACCCATAGCAACGTGGAATTCTGCTAGGTTGAGCTTACCACGGTTTTCTGTGTCGGACAAATGCCAGATTTGCATCAACTTATCCCGCTCCAAACCACTTTGACCGAACACTTCGATAGCCACTTCTCCATTAAGGAAGCCGGTACCCTTTTGATCCCAAGCTCGAAAGATGGAATCGTATGATTTTCGTTCATCTTTGGATAAAGCCCATGGAATCTTCGGTTCTTTACTGCCTTGCTGTTGTTGAGAAAGATTCTGGATGGAGGATTGGAAAGAAGCAGGCTGCATTTGTGCATTGCTGAAATTCATATTGCCTGCCATTGGTGCTCCCGAAAAGGGCGTTGAGCCTGGCAAAAATTGTGCAGACATGAGTTGCATGCGAGGGTCTAAGGGCAATCCGGTCATTTGAGGCATCAATCCTGTCGGTTGCATACCCATTGGGCCGCCAGGATACCCAGTAGCTTGAGGTTGCAGGCCACCAGGATATCCGGTCGCTTGAGGTTGCAAGCCGCCAGGATAACCAGTCGCTTGAGGCTGTAAGCCACCTCCAAATTGTGGCCTTGGAGAAGTGGATTGCATCATACCTGTTGGCTGCGACAAGAATCTCTGTTGACCCATGACACTACCGCCACCCATCATTCCGGTAGGCTGGCCACCGTAAGATGCTTGTCTCATTCCGCCCAAACCTGGACCTCCTGGTTGACCCATCCCCATTCCGCCCATTCCTGTTGCTTGTGGCATCATACCTCCCATGCCCATACCCATCCCTGTTTGCTGAGGACCAAGGTATCCTGTTTGTTGTTGCTGTTGCTGTTGAGGAGGCATACCGGTCATCATTGGCCTTTGAGGTTGCATACCCATAAATCCGGTCATTTGAGGTTGCATATAGCCACCACCGGTCTGTTGTGGTTGCTGTTGACCGGGCCATTGCCCTCCGCCTCCGTACATCTTGACGACAGGTGATTGACAATGAGATTGGAACCTGTGCTAGGATGTATGTATATATGGTAAGAGGTACTGTTGAGTGATTGTGGTGTGTGAGAAGGTTTGCACGCAAGGGAAATGGTCATCTAACAATCCTCTCACCACAAGGTCATTACGGTGGAGTACGAGATGAGAACACTGTTGAAGTGCCTACGTTTCTCAATCTTTGATTATGTAGAACCTTCTGCTCGAATGCAGTGCGCCTGCTACACAGCGCGTATGTGCTGGCTTCTCAAGTACCGATCTTATGGCGACAATTCCCAGCATTTGGCCCTGAGCCTGGAAGATAAGTTCCCTTTTGAAGCTGAGCCCTTTGTTTCCGATTTGCTTATATAACCAATTCAATTTCCGATAAAGTCACAAGAAGATTAATAAAAATAAAGGTGGGGGGTTGCATATATCCCAACTTGGCTTTTGATTGTCATTAGGGAAGATGCCTTCTTCGTCATCAGCTTCTACTCTGCCAGAACCAACTGAAGCATCAATCGCACTTCAGCATACACGATTTGCCAATTGGTTTCCATCCTATAGAAGGTATTCACCCAAAGCGACCATAATCGATCTTTTGCATCTTCAACCTGATTTTCTAGATTGGCTAGAAGAAGATGGATTGGTCTTACCTTCAGGAAGCGATAACACAGCTGTGAATGCATCATCGAGGGCCACAATCAGTGAGGAGGATGATATTTCCGCAAATGGCTCTACATCAAGCGAAGAGGATGATGATGAAGAGGAGGCAGTACCACGTAATTTTACTGCTCTAAATGAACGCATTCGACAAATCATAGATCAATATGAAGGTGCCGTATTTCCCAAACTGGACTGGAGTGCTCCCTTGGATGCAGCATGGATGGTGCCCGGAACTTCATTACGTTGTACAGAGCCTTCCGATATCTATCTGCTACTGAAATCGTCCGACTTTGTTAACAAAGACGTTTCTCAGCTATACGAACTAGCTCAAATGGCAAAGGAGGAACAAGAAGATGAGACACGCTTAGCACTTGCAAGCTCTACTGTCAGTCCACAGCTTGTTCTCAAAAAATTCTTCTCCATACCAACATCACATGAATTCCGATGCTTTGTTCGTTGTGGCCAATTGATCTGTATCAGTCAACGTGATACCGGTACATTCTTTGATCATTTGCAGCCGATTGATATGCAGAATACAATCTTAGACAAGCTCACTCACTTCTTCAATACAACTCTGCGATCAGGTTCTCAGAGCCACGCCTCGTCCGGTGTGCCGATCTCGCCTTTTCCTATAAAGGATTTTGTCTGGGACGCATACCTTACCAGAGATTTGAGTCGGGTATTGATTATTGACATCAATCCTTACATGCCAAGGACAGATGCACTCTTATGGGATTGGGAAGAAATAGAAGAAGAAGCAAAAGATGTGATCCTTGCAGGAGAATCATCTACCGAACAACATCGACCTTCGTTACGGCTAGTCACATCTCGTGCTCAAACTACACAATCGTTCCCGACATATGCTCACAACATGATGCCAAGTGATGTGGTGGGTCTAGCACAAGGTACGGATATTGCAGAATTTGCACGTCAATTCAACGAACAGATTGCAGAAGCCGCACTTGATCAAACCAAAGAAGACCAGGATAAGCTGCTTCTCAATCAATTTCCCACACCTGGACGATGAAACAATACTGTATACTATGTGAAATGAAATTGTACTATAATGACATTGGGATAAAAAACGTCAATGTACACTACTGAGAAATGTGTGATCAGTGTAATGTAATGTATGTATGTATGTATGGAGGAAGAGTACAAACAACAGAATGCAAAACCATTGCGTTACCATATACAAAACACAGCCTACACATCGTCCGCAAAGCCGAACAAATCAATCAATCAAATCGATTATTGTACAGGCACATCTTGACCTCCATTACCCGAAGAACTGCCTCTACCACGACCGCGACCACGTGAATTTGGATTTCCGCCTACGCCTCTATCGTTTCGATGGTTTGATGAATCGGATTTGTTGGCATTTTGATTGTTGTAACGTTGGCCACCTTTTCCGCCATTATTGCCTCCACGACCCCCACGCATCGCATTGGCAGCTTGATGTTGTTGTAACATCTTTGTTCGTTTACTGCTCGCAACTGTGAATCCATCTTCATCCACTTGAGGAGCTAATTTAGGTAAAGGTGCTGGCTGTTGTTGCTGTTGTTGTTGATTCTTCCCTCTTTGCTGCTTTGCATTATCGCGTTGATTTTGTCCGTTTTGACGTTGATTGTTGGCTCGATCACGGTTCTTTGGCGCATTTGAATCTTCATATTTGGGCTTCGGCTGTACTGCTGATGAGAATGATACTGGTTGTGTGGCTTGAGGCGCAACCATCTTGCTTGGCTCAGGTTGCATTTCCAAATCTCCAAAGTCGTCGTCATCATGAGCTGACCAGTCGATCACCTTATGCACCGATGGAGTAGCCAAGCCAGATGCAGGCTCAGATACTTCTTTGGTTTGCACAGGTTCTTCAACGGCAGCTTTGGCCGTGCCATCTTGTACAACTTCAGTGCTGGTACTGGGTTCTGCTTGACCCAATACCGTACCAGATGCACCCTCTTCGCCCTTTTTCGAAGCACCGCCATTGATAGCGCTCGTTGCAACGCCGTCAACCGCTCCACCTTCGGGCTCGGCTTGTTTTACATCACTGGGTGCATCATTGGTAACAGCTCCATTGCTACTTGCATGTGCCAACGCCTCATTTTGCTCCAATTCGGATGCTTGCATGAATAAAATAGAAGGTTGGTCTTGGGTAGATTGCTGAGGCTTTGAGTCGGTCTCAGTACGTTCAGGTTGAACTACACTGGTCTGCTGTACCACAGGCGACGACAAGCCTTCGATGATTTGCAAAACGTCTTGGAAAGTGACATTACCCAAAATCTTGTCAGAAGAGGCAGAAGCAAGTTTCTCCAACAAGGTTGACTTCAAATCGGCATGTGTCACCTCAGCAGCAGCAGAAAAGTCAGCATAGAGTTTTCCAATTGCAGCTACTTGCTCTGAAGTTGCATTTTGCAAGCTTGTCGGCAAAGGAGGAGGAGCAAATTGAGCTTGCATGGAAGCATTCACGAGTGAATACAAGTACATGAATTGGAACAAAGTGTTGACCTTTTTTGCATTTTCATCTTTGAGTGATTGAGTTGTCTTGGCAATGACCTGGGAAGAATCCTCATTTGCCTTCTTTTGTTGCTCCTTTTCGTTAATCTCAATCGCTTTGAGTACTTCGCTCAATTCGCTCACTCCACCTTCCAAATTACCCTTGGAAGCGACAATTCTTCTCATGTCAGAATTGAGTTTATCTTCTGTCAATTCAGAGTATGCAATAGCACGTTGCAGCTTCTTGTTGAGAACTTTGATGCGCTTGTTCACCGATGTATGCAATGCACTTACAGCATGCTTTTCCTCACTGGGATGACTGCCATTTTGCTCTACAATCTTTACGGCTTCCAAAGCAGCTTGGTGTTCAGCTTGTTCGGCCACATCAGCCGGTTGTACTTTGACGGCTTGATCCACTTTTCCAGCAACAGGAGCTTGTTCCGTCAAAGAAGCAGCGTGTGCGGCCTCATCAATAGCACTTACACCATTCTTTCCTGCATGACCATTGGAAGTGTTTTTGTTGGCAGATTTCTTCTTCTTGTTACCACTTCCGTTTGCCTTTTGAGGTGCACCTGGAATGTTTTGAGCATGCGTTGAAACGCTTGAAGCTGTATTTGTGTTTGACAATGCCATCTTTGTTGTAAAAAGGATATTGAAATGTTCAAATATCTATAGTTTTGGCTGCCTTGCTCGCCTGCCTAGCTCTTTTTTTCCACACCTTCTCTTCTTTGACTAGGCTTGGAAGGCGAGCCTGTTAGGCTATTTGGCGGGAAAGTAATGAGAACCTTTTTTAAATCAAAAAAGGCAAACGATTACGGTAGATGGTCAAGAGAAGGGGAGAATGAATTGTCTCTGAACTAGTCATGCAAGAACCTCTCTTTCTCTCTCTCTCTCTCTTTAGTCTACGCCTGCGCCTGTGCCTGCGCCAACGCGAAAAAGAGAAAAAGGCCCCAAAAGAAGAATCACAGCGAGCATAGGATGATCAGTGCTGCTTAACTAAGCCAGCTGCTCATTTAAGTTATTTTTTAACTTTACTGACTATCGACACCTTTGAATAGAGCATAAGGGCATTTCCACTTATTCCTGCTTCTCCGCCCTGATTGCAAGTTGATCAGTAGAGCTTGCGAATCCAAGTTTGATCCACTGCACGTGTTCACGCTAACTCTGAAATGTCTTGTCGCTGACTGTATTCATGCAAGACCAACTTTGGCCGCTTTTAGCTCCGCTCGGTGCATTGCAACGCCGCGCCGCTCCGTACTTCCAGGAGTTTAATTTTTGTGTGGTAGTACGGGAATGCATCAGAGGATCAAAAACAAAATAAAATAAAATGCAGGATCAATTTTATTCCTGATTAACGTGGGGGAAATAATTCGGCTAAAAAAGGGAAGAAAGGGACAAAAGAAAGAGAGAGAAGTAGGGGAAATAATTTTACCGAAAGATGAACTAGAATAGGGTAATCATTACGGGGCACCACAACAGATACAAATTAGACTTCACTTCACTTCATTTTTCGCGGGGCTCAACAAATTTGCATACCATCAGACCCACTCGGTAAAATTATATTCCCACCCTTCCCCCACATCGATCTTCTTTTTGAAGAAATGCTTGGCAAATGAAGGCAGGTACAAGTATATAAGATGATGAGGATGTAGAATCAAACCTTTCCTTACACCACCTCTACCAAAATGAATACCTTCTTCAAAAATAAAGACGAAAAGGAGGCAAGTGAAGGCAATACCTTGCCACAACTAAGGACATCAGATGATGGTATTCAAGAAGTAGACAGAGACAGTAGCCTTGGCGGTCAAGATTCATCTCACATAGATGCTGCCAAACTACAAAAGAAACTCGTACGAAAATTAGACTTTCGTATCTTACCCATCATTGTGTTACTATACGTACTCAATTATTTGGACCGCAACAGTATCTCGGCTGCTCGTGATAATGGATTGGAAGCAGATTTGAAATTGGACGCTGCAAAGTCACAATATGACACCTGTTTATCAATCTTGTACGTCGGGTACATTTTACTTCAAATTCCTTCCAACCTTTTACTTTCTTACTGCGGTCGGCCTCGTGTCTACCTTCCCGTTTGTGTGGCAGCATGGGGAATCGTATCTGCTCTAACTGCTGTCACACACAATTTCACCGGGCTTTTATTGGTCAGATTCTTCCTTGGTGTTGTGGAAGCTGCATTCTTCCCTGGCGCAATGTTCATTTTGTCAAAATGGTACACTCGAGCAGAACTTTCATCAAGAATTGCACTTTTGTACGCCGGTTCGATTTTATCCAACGCTGTTTCTGGATTGATCAGCGCTGGTATCCTCGGAAATATGGAAGGCAAAGCTGGCATTCGTGCATGGAGATGGTTGTTTATTATTGAAGGTTCGATCACAGTCTTTGTCGCTATTTGCGCCGTCTTTATTCTTCCCGATTTCCCACACAATTCCAAGATGCTAACGGAAGAAGAAAGAACATTGGCAGTACAAAGAATGACTGATGATTCTGGAGGTGTGAGTGATGTCGAAGGTGCAAACGGTGAAAAGCCAATCGATGGTCTCAAAGATGCACTTTGTGATCCGATCATTTGGCTTTTCACGCTGTGTCTCTTGGCGTGCGTCATCGCAATGGCGTTCAATCAATTTTTCCCCACAATCGTTGGTACGCTTGGATACGGCAAGATTACAACATTGATCATCACTTTTGGTCCATGGGGTTGGGCATTCTTGGCCGTTTTGTTCAACAGTTTACATGCAAACAAGTCGGGCGAACGTACATTCCATCTTTGCATTCCTCTTTGCATTGGTGTTGTGGGTTTCATTATTTCTTCTGCAACTACAAACCTTGGAGCAAGATTTTTTGCTTTGTTTTTGGAAGCTCAAAGTTATGCAGGTTATGTGATCATTTTGGCATGGATGTCAAATTCTATTCGTGGTTCGTACAAACGTGCTGCCGGTTTGGCTTTTATCAACTGTTTGTCTCAATTGGGTAACATTGCAGGATCGTACGTTTGGCCTAAGAAATGGAGTCCATCATATTGGCAATCGAATGTGATTTCGATTGCATGCATTGTTGTCACGATTGCAACTGCAATTGCTATTCGAATCGTGCTTCAACGAAGGAACAAAGAATTAGACCGTAAATATGGTTCTATTTCAAAAGATGGTAATTTGAAAAACGGTGAAGAAGCCGGAATTGTTGCTTCGGGTAAACAACACAAAATGGGACAAAAAGAAAAAGAAGAATTGGCAAACGTTGTTGCAGGAGATGAAGATGCTCAATTGAGAAGGAATATGGAAGCAAGGGCTACTTATAGATTCTTGATCTAGTTTAACAATGTACATTCATCTCTTTTTATACCTATCGGAATTGGATCATGCTGTCTTTCGTTGAGAACCTTCTCGCGTCGCGTAAAGTTGTTGTAGAAATGCATTTATTCCATACGCGTGTATTTCCATCTTGCGCGTTTTAAGCTAGACTACAGAATGTGAAGGATCGCTGTACTGCCGCGGTGCGACGCCGTTCTTTTGGGCGTTTTGGCAGTGTTACTTTTTCGCTCAAAAGATGAAAAACTAGCATCTCACCTCTCGGGAAGTGTAAATCAAATGCACAACTTCCTTTCTTATCCTTCTCATCGTCCTCCTCCCATAAATCACACTCAACGGTCATGGCTCCACCAAAACAAGAAGGCATGATCTTCAAGGCCACCTATAGTGGTGTGCCAGTATATGAATGTATAATCAATGGCGTTGCGGTCATGCGCAGAAGGAGTGATGGATGGATCAATGCAACGCACATTCTAAAAGTGGCAGGATTGGATAAACCACAAAGGACACGTGTATTAGAAAGAGATGTTCAAAAAGGAACTCATGAAAAAGTTCAAGGTGGTTATGGTAAATATCAAGGTACTTGGATCCCATTGGAAGATGCCGTCAAATTGGCAGATGCATACAACCTTTCACACCTTTTCGATCCAATCACTGCTTATGTTCCAACGGCCGAATCTCCTCCTCCTGCTCCCAAGCATGTTGTGGCACCTTCTACTCGAGCAAAGAAACCTCTCCCAATCAGACGTCAAGTGAGCGTTGATACGGAATCAGAAGCAGCCTCTGCTGCCGTTCGAGCTGATGGCACAGAAGGAAGCATGAGCAGCCCTCCAAGTGAAGCAAGTAGCTCATCACGCACGCCCAGTCCAATCTTGCCCAATCGAACCGATCTCCCAGAATACTTTGACGAAAATGGTACAAATGGTCAAGCATTCGGTCGTCATCCTTCTCGAGATGCGAATTCGGCTGCTCAATACGCCGATGTCATCCTAAACTATTTTATCTCAGAAACGACAACAATCCCACCACTTTTAGTCAATCCTCCGCAAGACTTTAATCCGAACATGAGCATCGATGATGATGAACATACTGCTTTGCATTGGGCATGTGCGATGGGACGTATACGTGTGGTTAAGCTTTTGCTTACCAGCGGTGCTGATGTTTTCCGCGTGAACATGAACGGACAAACGGCTTTGATGCGAGCTGCCATGTTTTCCAACAATTACGATTTGCGCAAGTTTCCGGAATTGTTTGAGTTGCTGCACCGTAGTATTCTAAACATTGACAAGAGTGATCGTACGGTATTCCATCATGTGGTCGATTTGGCATTGAGCAGAGGTAAACCACATGCTGCTCGTTATTACCTTGAAACGATGTTGAACAGATTGCAAGAGTATGGAAGTCAATTGGCCGACATTTTGAACTTCCAAGATGATGAAGGAGAAACGCCATTGACAATGGCAGCCCGTGCTCGCTCTAAACGATTGACAAGATTGCTGTTGGAACACGGAGCTGACCCTAAAATTCGCAACAAAGAAGGCAAGAATGCAGAAGAGTATATTCTGGAAGATGAAAGATTCCGTGCTAGTCCACCTCGTGGCTCGGTACAAGCAGACAGCTTGAACAGCTTACACACAAGTGAAGCAGGTCAAAGAGCAGGCGGCAAGGCAGTTCAATTGATGACCTCTTTGCTACACAATTTGGCCGATAGCTATGATTCTGAATTAGGCACGACAGAGCGAAAGTTGACACAAGCACACAGTCTTTTGGCGCAAATTCAAGGTGAAATTGCCGATTCGACAAAGATTTTGGAAGATTTGAACAAAGAAGGTAGCCTGCGTGATGAAGAAAAGAAAAAGTTGGAAGAGATTCAAAAAGCGTTGAAATCAGGTGCAGAGAAACGTGCAAAAGAAGAACAAGAGACTGCATGGAACGAGGACTACAGAGTGTTGAAGAAATTACGTTCTGAAAGTGGTCTGGCTGATGGTGCTCTATTGGCAAAGGAAGACAAGGATGTCAAAACGGATGGAGAGATCATGTTGGCTCGTCTAGCACGTGCGAGTGATTCACCTGAAGCAGAAATTGTTTCTTTGAAAGGCAAAGTGAACGAAATGAAAGCAAAGAGAGCGGCTTTGTTGGATAAATTCATCAATTCTGCACGCGAACAAGGAACAGGAAAGACTATGGCAGCCTATCGTAGATTGATCGCGGCAGGTTGTGGTGGTATTGCGTTGGAAGAAGTGGATAATGTCGTGAATGCTCTTTGTGAATTGTTGGAAGAACAACCTGCAAATGCAAACGGAGCAGCTTCACTTACACCTGGAGCTTCTTTATCCAACGGTACAGCCAATGCCAACGCTTCCGCTTCGCCAAGTGCCCCTACTACAACTGTAGCTTGATTGCTCTTTCTCTCTCTCGATTATTGTATATTTAGTATGATTATTGTAAACGATAAGTATTTCTTTAAAGATTGTCTTTTGATATCACGACGGTAAAGCCGACTGCGTGATTTGCTGCGTGGTGAGCTTAAAAGTTGATTTAGCCGCCCGCGTCTTTTTTATTTAATTCATTCATTGGATTCACTTCCCGCAATTGGCTGTGGCTGGGTACCGACAACGGTGCATTGCTCTGGTCTTTAACAGAAGCGGGGCAAATGAACGCGGCTTTTAAAACGAGAGGTAAAATATGATTAAATGAAACAGCAACAAACAGCATAAGCTCTTCTCATGCATTCTCTTTAATGTTTTCCATCATCATCAACGACAGATACAACTGGTTCACAGGCTTGCTTACAAGTGATTAAGCACTGTCAGCAAGCTTGCGTTCCACGACTGTACACAGAAAGGAACCGCAAGTTAGGTTGCATGCGGAACGTAAATCGGACTGTAGACTTTCAACTTTGAAGACCATCACCAACAACAGTCTGATGAAAGATTTCATTTGCCCGTAATGCAAGCACCTTTGAACCCAGTCGCCCTACCGGTAACGGTTGATACGACTGGAGCAAAGATTTTAGAAGGTTCAGTAGCGGAACACGATAGTAGGGATATTTATTTACCCAATCATGTTGAAACTGTTAGTCATATAGCGATCGACGTTGGAGGATCTTTGGCAAAAGTTGTTTATTTTACACGTATTGCAAGACCTACAACAACGTCGCCGCCTGATCCACGTCCACATTCACCTTTACACAAACATGGCTTTCAGGAAAGACAACCTTCACCCCCGATTGCTGGTGCCGGCATCCCACTCGGAGCCAGATCACCCGCTTCACCTGCATCGATGAGCAGCAGTAGGATACATTCACGCGAATCGTCCGCAAATGTGGCTGGAAGTGAATTAAAGCGATCCAGCTCGATCCAGAGACAGCCTTCCAGGTCACAGCTTTCCAATTATGCTGTTCCGATTGCACATACAGCCGAAGGTTTTGCTGCCGTTCCTGCCGGGACACTCACGCCTACTTCACTCTTTGCAAATCCCAATAATGTGGTAAGTGCAAGTGCGATCCACTCCCACTTTATGAAGCGAAGATCGTTACCATCACAATTGCCGGGAGGACGATTAAACTTTGTCAAATTTGAAACGGCCGATATCATGTCTTGCGTAAACTTTTTGAAGGAGTTAATCAATTTGAGTGCAAAGGCAAACAATGTGACCCTAACACAAATGCGACAAGGAGTAAAATTGATGGCTACTGGGGGAGGAGCACATTTGTTCAACGATTTGTTTGAAGAGGAACTTGGCGTCGAAGTGAGAAGTGAGGATGAAATGCAATGTCTAATCACAGGATTAAACTTTATCACACTTATACCCGATGAAACTTTTTATTATTCTGATGAATTGGTCGATAATCTCAGTGCTACTTCTCCAGGCACACAGACAAAACGACAAGATCCTTCCTCGGCTGCGTCGTCTTCTTCCTCTTCGCTTTTGTCGCCCAATGGTGCACCTTCGCCTAGTCCTCAGACCGACCTTCCACGACCATCACCGGACCCTCCGCTATACTCACCTGCATTCGATTCCAGTCCACTACCCAAGCTGCCGTGCTTACTGGTCAACATCGGAAGTGGTGTGAGTATAATCAAAGTCGACGAAGATGGCAAATTTGAACGTGTGAGCGGTACAAGTCTGGGAGGCGGAACGTTATGGGGACTGTTAAGCTTGGTAACAGATGCGGAAAGTTTTGATGAAATGCTGGAGATGGCTTCGCGGGGTGATAATGGAACGGTGGATATGCTGGTCAGTGATGTATATGGATCTTCTGACGCTTTGAGCAATCTTGGTTTGAAATCAACCACAATTGCTAGCAGTTTCGGTAAAGTGTTCAGAAAAGATAAGGGCGATCGAGAATCTTCACATCGTGGTCAAGCAAGGGAAGAACGTAGCAGGAAATTCAAACAAGAGGATATTTGCAAAAGTTTGCTTTATGCAATATCCAACAATATCGGTCAAATTGCTTATATGAATGCGGAAAAGTTTGGACTAGATCGGATCTACTTTGGAGGATGCTTTATTCGTGGCCATCAAGCTACTATTGCCACTCTTTCGTATGCTATCAGATTCTGGTCCAAAGGTACCAAACGTGCTTTCTTCTTACGACATGAAGGATATCTAGGAGCGTTGGGTGCATGGATTAGACAATTTTATGATGGAAATGGGGTGCCCAATACACCGACAAATGCCAAAGCTGCTGCACAGCATGCGTTCAGTCAACTTGTGCCTAATCAAGATGCTCCTGCTGTAAATGGTACAAAATCCGACTCCGACTCTATCCCAACACCTGTTGCGGAGGAACCGAATTCGAATGAGGCAACTCCTCGGCAAACACGGGATGGCGTAGCTGCTCGTTCTCATGCTGTTACGCCTGCTATGTCACGGCAACAGTCTGGACCGGCGAATCTCAAGATTCATACACCTTCTTCGAATGGTGATAGCAAAATCAATTCAATCTTGGCAGATGCGTTGGGTGGGGCGAACTTGGACGGCGAGGCACATTCGAGGGACCAGGACCAAAGCGAAAATGGACAGCAAGCAGCTGAGCTTAACGATGTCACCGTTTCAGAGAAGGATATGGCTGCTCTGCGATCGGTGAACGAGTCTAATGGCAATCGAGAAGATGAAGCCAAAGATCTTTTGCAACTCGTTCAATCTCTTTCTGCAGAAGATCGTGAATTGTTCAGTCAATTTTCAGAACTTCAAAGCAATGCGAACGGAAGCACAGCTGAAGGTGAAGATGGACCTTCAATAGCTGATCTTCTCAAGAATATGGACTATGTAGATGGAGCGGCAGATGGATTAGAAGGCAAATTGGACGGATTGCTTTCAAGACTTGATGCTCTTTTGCAAGATGTTGAAGAGGAAGAATAATCGTGCATTCATTTTATTATATCATTCATGTTACTGTAACAAGCGTACGCAAATTTTGCAATTTCAATAATGTACTATCCATTGCGAGATGAGGGTATTTATTGACTGAGGTCAAGTTCATCTCTTTTTAGACCTGCCAGCAGGTTTTTGAGCATGTGTTCGTCTTGTAATGCAGCTTTGGCTTTTTTGACACGTTCCAGACTCCATTCTTTGTAGTCAAAAGGTTGTTCATTGTGTTGATTAAGGTGATACAGAACCGCTCCCCAGGCAGACCAAGTGATCTTTGATACGATTGACCATGCTTTGACTCTGTTTACTCGACTTTCAAGCCATTCTGGCCTGCTTTGTACAACCTTTCCGCCAAGCCAATAATGCATTGTTAATCGTTCGATCGCTTCTTCATCTCCGTCTAGTCCATTCTCAGATACAATATTACCCGATTCCCACGAGGCGGGTGCCATTCCGCTCAATTCAAAATCAATCAAAGCCAAACGATCATGGTCCTTCGTGGATTGCTTGATAAAATTGGCTGCAAGTAGATCGTTGTGGCAAGGAACAAGCGGTTCTTCTAATGCGTTCAGATGAATCTCTAGCGAGCTTGATAGCGTGATCAAAGTCTCATAATCTTCCCATTCGATTGACTTGCCCGTTATTGACTTTACCTGATTCTCGTACCATTTCCTAGCCTTGAACGGATCAAAGATGTTGTCAAAATGTTTCATCCCATGCAGTGCCCTCAGCGTATTGGCCAATAGACTGGCTTTGAAATCTGACGTACACAAATCTCCTACATCATCATCTCCCGAAGTGGTGCCATCAATGTAGCACAATGCCAATGCACCTCCATGCCCTTCTTCGTTGTCATCAGCTTGAATGAATCCAATCACTGGTGGACTAATACCATGATCTGCTGCTATCTTTGCATTGATGTATTCGCGGTATCGATCATATCCCAGATGAATGCTTGTCGATTTCTTGAACCGACGTAAGACCAATCTATCATTGATTATCTTGACCTTCGTATGTTCTTGGCAGCATGGTTTCTTGAGATATACGGCAATGTTGTCATTCGTCAAACCTCCACTGAGCTGCTCATAAGAAACGATTTCATTGCCTTGCTCTTTCAAACCTAAAGCACTGATGGCTTCTTCCACATCGATCACTACTTTATCCCGATCATTTGCCGATTCCATTTATGAACTTGAATGTCCGAAATGAAGTTGAGCTCGGATCCGTTGTTTGCATTCAGTCAATAGCGTATTGTAATTGTTTTATGGCTTGTGCTTTTATACGCTTATGCAATTGGGCGTAAAGGAGCGGTTCAACGTATAGTTTACTCCACTATATGCACCTTTTCCGTTGGATCCGTTGGACATCAAAATACTACCATCATCTTACTGCAATTCTTGCTAAAATGGACTGCTTTCCACAACAATTGCTAAATCTAGTCACAGGCCGGTCTAATGCAGGCAATATCAAATTAACAACAGAATTAAGTCAAGGACCTGTAGATATTTTAGCTTTAGGGTCTGGATGGACATGGTCATTTTTAGGTCCAGCAGCAGGAGAGGCAGGATTAAGAACGATTTCAACAACACGCAATGGAGGAAATGGCACAATTCCATTCACTTTTGATCCAGAAAGTGATGATAAAACCCCGTTTGAATCTTTACCCGATGCAAAAACAGTTATCGTCATCTTTCCACTTTATTCGGCAGATGCTGCTAAACGTTTAGTCAATGGTTATATATCTACTCGTTCAGAAGCATATTCGATGACACCCTTTTCAGAGAAAGCGGTAGACACATCAAGAGCACGATTCATCTTATTGGGAAGCACTGGAATTTATGGTCAAGGTGGGCCCACTTTACAAAATGCACCCTGTAATTTATCTTCAGCCGATCAATCAGCCGATACTTTATTCAATCAGACCCTTAAAAAGGGCTCTCATCAATCTCCATGGTTCGATCGTAACTCAAAGATTGACGATGTACCTCGTTCAAGAGGAGAGAATGCATTTTTAGAATTCAATCAAAACAAAGATGCCGTACAAACCTCCGTGCTATGTTTAAGCGGTCTGTGGGGACATGGACGTTCTTTACGGAGATATGTGGGTAGAATTGCGCCAACAAGAGAACGTTTAGCTAAACTTGGTTCTGTGCATTTCATTCATGGTCATGACCTTGCCCGTGCACTTTTGGCAATGCACGATCAATGGAACAAAGCGGCAGGTCAAAGGTGGATATTAACAAACGAGCGTGTATAGTGAGTACAAAAGCACGTTGACTGCTCACTCTCAATTTGAAAAAGCTGATATGAATTCTTCTTTCCGCCGTTTAGCGATCTTTGGGATTTGATAAGCCAGTGGGGAAATGCTGGTGAAGGTACGTAAATGAAAAATACACAGAAGCTTCCATGCAAGTTGGAGGCCTGAGCGTAAATCTGTATTAATAACACCTTCTCCTCTTTGCAGATGGACGAGATCATATTCCTCAGGGATTACAGCCAATTTGGGTACAAGAATTGATTAACGAATCTCGCAAAAGTAAAAAGGAGTCGACAAGGATTCGTGCACTTCCAAGAACGCCAGAGCAATTAGGCTATGCATTGGATAGTTCAGATTTCTGGTCAACATTTGGCCTGTTTCCCGAAGTTCCATGGGTGGACTGATGTGATGTACTGTTGCGATCTTGCTGTATCTCCGGTATGAGGTGGATAAATCCCTTTTTAATTCCATTAACGATCAGATCGCTTCAGAAACATCAATCAAACCAAAAGCAAGATCGAGAAGGGTTTTCCATGGAGAGAAACGGCGCTATTGCAGCGCCTCAAAGGCTTTGATCCCTTCGGTATTCATATGCTTGCAGATCAATTAATATTTTACTGAGCCAAAATCATATGAAGAGCACTATCTGGATTGCGCATGAGCCTCTTTTCATTTAAACTTCATTAAACTTTAGGGTTGTTTCTTTTTATATTCTCCGATGGCGTTCTGACCCACACAAGCAACGTCGGAGTTGCAAGCGAAGATAGGATTTCCCGAAATGGATAAATCGCTGCCTTCATTTCGTGAAAATGATTTTTGATCATCTTTCATTCATTTCCAAGATTTTCATTTCAATGTCGCGATAATCACTTTTGTTCACCTTTAATCATTATTTAATATCAAGCTTTCTTTAATCCTTACAACGATATGTCTCATAATCAATTCCTCGTTTTTGATCCGAAAAGGAAACGTGGTCAATCTATAGAAGCGGCAATGGCGTCCATTTCAAATATGATCAACAGCCTTGATAACGAAGAGGAAACAGGTACGAATAGTTCAATTGACAACCGTACAGGATACCAAGGAGATGAAACTACAGAAAATATAGAAGATGACGTTTTAGACCCATTCACACTTCCTCCAAACACGATCATGACTCGTCAAGACACATTTGGCGAGATCCCACAACCATCTTTCATGGCCCCAAGACAATCAAGTGAAAGATTCAGTTTACCGAGCTCCCCAAAATGGAGCTGGAAGAGTGACAATGCAAGTGGAAACGAGACTTTTCATTCGTTGGAAAGGAATCCCTCTTTGGATTACGGTTCAAGTGCATCGAATGCATCAGTAAGGGAAGCAAGGAGGGTATCCATTAGACAGTCTTCCACAATGAAGCGCTCACCGGATGTGGACACATTGCGAAAATCCTACAGCTGTGGTAACTTTCATTTAAGCGGACAAGGCATGATTACTCCAACACAAGAAAGATATGAAGGCTTTCCTTACAAGATGACAAACGTACCAACTTTGAATCTTGCTAGGCACACACGCGATTCATCATTTTCAATCTCGAGTCCGGAAACGGTTTTGACATCGTATTTTTCCGATACGGAAGATATTGAAACTCCAGAATCTCCCTATTTCAATACGCATGAAGATAATTTCTCACCAAAGCCAACATTACGTCAAATTCGAAACAGCTTTTTGGACCCAGGTCCAAGTAGAGAAAGCTCTGCGAATGGTTTCAAAATTAAACCTTTGACTTTGACGTTATCGCCTAGGACGAAATCAGAGGCGATCAATAAGATCATGCGAGAAAGAAAAGATTCTTCAAATGATCACAGGGGTGATCATCATACCATGGATGGTACTCCAATGCGCTATCATAATTCAGAGCCAATCAATGAAGCTGAACGGTTGATTCAGAGCTATTTTGCTGATACGAATCTGATGCGTCAACATTTGTACAACGAGTATAACGCAACACAGCAACAATCTCAACCTGATGCAGAAGTGCGACAAAGTTCAATCGACTTATTTAAGTCGGATGCTGAAGTATTATTGGACATTTCTACTGGCGGCTGGGGAGGAAAATACAGTACAGGCGAGGATGTACCGCCTTTGTTGTATCATGAAAGTTCAGCAGAATATTTCCGTGAACAAATGCCGGTTATGAAAGCAGAAAAAATGGTTGAAAACGAATTTCTCGAAACGATTGATTCTGATCAAACACCTACCAAGGAAATTCCAACAAATCTGCTGGCAATACAAACGCCTACCAATGAGTTCGCAACAGATCCACTAGCAACACAAACACCTACTAAGGAACTTACAGCAAATCCACTTGCAACACAAGCACCTATCAACGAATCTGAACAGAATCCAGTCGCCACGCAAGTACAGCTCGGTGAAAGTGCAAAGAATGAGACCACTACGGTTACACAAAAGAAAAAACCGCAAGCATTGCAAGTACAAAAGAAGAAAAAGCTAGCACCTCCAATCATTCCTCCAAAATCACCTCGTAGACCACAAACGGCAATGATGAGATCTGCATCTCGTTCGTTGGATATTGAACGGATTCCCGGATTGGCAGAAGAATTGTCAAAAACACAAGAAAGTGTTCCCGAAGTCCCAATTCTTGACATTCCAGTCAAAAGAAAAGACTTTGTGGATGACCTGAAACCGGAGATAAAGCAAACCCCAGTTCCGATGCCTGTCAAGCCACGCATGTTACGATCATCAAGAAGTGAAAATGCGTTGGATCGTTTTTATAATTCTGGACAGGCTTCCATGAAAGGAGAAGATCCATTGCTGACAGATGATAGAACAAGCTTGACTTTATCTCGATTGGGTTTCAATTCCAATACGAATTTCAACATGAATTTCAATACCAACTTCAATACCGATTTCAATGCAAACTTTGCAAAATCTCATCAACTTTATAAACCCAAACTTGTTGATTCTGGATCAGATGAGGATCTTGCATTTTCGACAAACGTGACACCTTCTTCACAACGATCTTCACGTTTGATCAGATCTGTTGCCGCTTTGAAATCTCTCAGTAAACGATTCACAAGTCGCAAAAGTCAAATGGTCGACTTTACACAAAAAATTCAAGCCAGCAAAGAAGCTTTGGAGAAAAACACAACGATGACGAAGAATCCAGAGCCAACGGATTATTCTGTCAGGAACACCTCGCCAATCTCACCTGGAAAACGTTTTGATCATCATGCGAGTAATTCAGACCCTCTTCGAGACACAAATCCAACTGACTTTGAGATGGAGAGAAGTCGATCTTTTTCACCTGTCCAGCAAACTCATCCACGCAGCCCATGGCCCAACAAAAAGGCTCCCAAATCACCAATGGTCGCAGCAAACAAGACTCAAAACTACTTTTGATAATATGTATCACACTCATTCTCAAGGCAAATCGCTCATCATTCCTTTTCTCTACCACATCTTACACACCTGACCTGTTTAATTGTGTTTACAAGTTAATTTAGGCTTCCGATTAGTGTGTACATATACCGAATAATGAATCTTATACACATCCTTTCCTATTTAATTGTGCGATCTTAAAGTTTATCACCAGCAATGAAACGATCGATCATTTCCAAAGCGACCTTTGGTTTATCATATGGCACCATATGTCCTGCTCCTTCTATCGTTGCCCAAACAAGATTTCCTCCTCTTTGTGTTTCACCGGCAACCTTTCCGTCAACGATGAGATCGTATGGCTTTGAAGAATGGAAAGCAGTCTGACCGGACCATTCGAGTTTATCCACCCAAGCTCTGTTTCCGACATGATTGCAAATCCAATCCAATTTTCCTACATAGATCATCACATCAATATCACGTTCCAAAAGACCTGCAACGCTAAGTGCGTTATTGAAAGTTGAATCATGGTATGCACTGAAGCCAGAAGCGACATTTTCATTGCAAGACTTGAACTTACCAATCTTTGAGATTGGTTCGGCACCCAATAATGTTCTTACGTCTTCACGATCCAAATAATTCCTGATATCTTCGGTAACCTGATAACAAAGGTTGGGAGAATAACCTGCTTTGCACAGATCCAAGACGTTGTAAGGGTTACGTCCTGTCTTGAAGAACGGCGTTTCCAGACGATCTGCACAGACATCATCGACAGCTTGACATTGTTCGGGGTCCCATGTTTCGATACATTTTTCGCGGAACAATTTCAAACAACGATCTTTCCAAGGAGCCATTGAGTTGCACTCTGCAATACTGACCAAAGGTCCATGATCGTTATGCTTCTTGCACACGAAGTCGTAGTAGTATGGCTTTTGAATGCCGCTTTCTGTTAATCCGTTACCGATAGCAACTTTTTTCAAATTGACCAATTCTCCTTTCTTGACCTTCTTTCCTGCCCGTTCTGCTTTAAAGCTGATCTTATGATTCTCGTCTAGAATTTGAGAAGCGTATCTTGGCAGGTAGCGTCCTGCGTATGATTCTCCCGTAGCAACAAAGTCATTGTCTTGGAATCGTTCAAAGCTGCTAAAGAAGATTCGCAAAAATCCATAAAGATCCTTTGCACCTTGATCGGCATTGTAGCTGTGCAAACCGTAACGAGAATAAGAGAAGCCAACTTCGACCGGCTGATCGATAAAGAAGACGCTTGCATGACTGTTCCAAGAATAAGGGTTCCATTTCGTACCATTGATCGGGGGTCCGTTAGCATCTTTACTGGAGCCTTCCATAATTTGGCATGGTCCCAATTCCATAAATAAACCCAATGAGCTGCTACAACCAGGTCCACCAGTGAGCCACATCAAGATAGGATCGGTATCCGGTTTGTGTCTAGATTCGAAAAAGTAGAAAAAGAATGATTTTCCATCGATCGTATCAACATATCCCGACCAAGAAGTGACTGTTGGATCACAAAATGCGTTTGGATCGGAAGAGTTATAAAGCAAAGGTGAAGCATTTGGAGCTTGATTCATTTGACTAACGGTTGCGGATTTTCCAGCAATCCTTTTGATACGAACGCTCATTTGTGGAAATTCTTCATGCGTCAAAAGGACGTGTTTGCCGTTTTGCTCCGCGATGATTTGTTCCACGTTTAGTGCTTTGGCTGATTGTGTTTTGATATCATCATCCTCATTGTACAATGGTAATTCGATTCTTGGCATATCGCCGAATGCTGAGTTGGGTGATTCATTGTACTCAGCAGTGAATGGTACTTGAGAGGCGGTAGAAGTGGGGATATTGGTCAAAGCCAATAAAGTAGTGCTTGCCAAGGCAATTACACCAATCAAATGAGAGCAACGCATGATGACAAGAAGGGGTTGATCTTTCGATCTTGATGGTGACGAGGAAAGAAAGAGAATGGCTTATCAATAGCCAGCTGTATAATTTCGAATTATAAAGTCGGACCTCATGGTATCATTCATGTTCCCCAACCTTATACATGAAGGTGGGGGACAATCACACTGTTACACTGCCTAATCAACACTACGCTAAATTCCGCTCAGGCCATCTATGATTAAGTGTCATTTTGGCATGCAATCTTCCTGGCAGTCACGTGTACCTCACACGATCCAGGGCGTAAAGCCGGGCGGCGCGACTTGCTGGGTAACATACAACAATTGGACATTTGTCTCATCATCACCATCATCGATCACCATCAACAAATTCCCACAATGTCAGACTCACAACATACAGCCTCTCATGAGGAAGCAGTGGCAGCACGATTGCCATTGGGCTACAGAGATCAATGCAGCGCGTGCGTATACGTTCTTCATATTGATTGCAAAGGTGCAACAACCGACTAACCAACAATCCTTTCCTGCATTAACAGTCTCTTGATCCCACTAAACAAGTGCCGTCGTGATACATTATACGCTCCTTGGAAGTGCGAGGATGAAAGGTAAGTGTGCAATGATTGTGTGGCTAGTAATGCATGTACTCATCACTTTCATGCTCTTTTTAAACCTACAGACACACATACGAAAAATGTCAATACGACGACTTCATCCGGCGGCAAAAGGATCTTTCCAAAAAGATCCTAGCAGAACGATCAGAGGATGATTAAATGCGTTATCTACTAGAAGGAGTAAGCTTTGGTACATTTCGAGTAATATAATACATTCTTACAATTGCGGTATGATACAGTAGAGAAGGGTACAATACATGCACGGGTAAACGTAATTGTTTGAGGAGAAGGAGAGTTGGTGATCTGGAATGGTATGCGAAGACCTTGACCTACTTTTGCGATCTTCTCTGCGCGGCAGACTGAAGCTTTTGTGCGATCTGTTTACGGGTTCGCAATTTGGCTCGGGCTAAGATCTTGCTCTCGAGGCTGTTTGCATGAGGCCGTTCATTCGACTCTGAGTGGTCATCCGTTGTGATGCTTTCTTTGCCAAAAACGGCTTTGGCTTGATCGTGATATGTCTGTCGGACCCGATCCATCTCTTCCAGTAAATTCGCAAGCTTGTCTTGTTGAGCAGTATTTGGCGCGCCTACGTATTGTGCTGATCTCCAATGAGTAGACTGTCGTGCTTTCGAAGATGGATCATACTCTACATCTCCGTCCAGATTTTTCGTGAGAAATCGATCTTCTTCATCGGAGGGATTCATCGAAAGGAGTGGCATTCCTATCGCTTTGCGAACTAGTGCATGTGCCATCTCTATTCGATTGAGAGCATGCGTGGAGTTGTTTTCCAAATCCCTGATTGATCCATACTCTCCTCCTTCTCTATCTACCTCGGATCTTGTAGTGAACGTGGTTGATATAAGTGCTGGTCTTGCTTTGTATTGCGTTGGAAGAAGAACATCAACAGAGGAGCCATGAACGCTTTCGTGGCAACCAAGGTCGGAAGGAGCTTGCAATTCACGTATAACAAAGATCAAATCATCAATCGGTCGTAGTCCATCTTGATCAATGGGCTCTTGTAGAATTGCACCTGCGAGGTCAGGCAATTTGTTTAAGACCATCAACAAGTCAGCCTCTAGTGGAAGACGAACACCATTGCCAGGCGTATGACGATATCTTTCTTCTATGATCGATGTTGATTGCAGCAGATACATAGCAAACACGGATCCGCATGCACGTAGTAGGGTGTCATGACCAGGACTGCTTCCTGACACAAACGGAATAAGGGATTGCAATGGCTCTGCAAAGATTCGAATGGTCGACGTATACATTGCCAATCTGGTTGCATCATGCTCGCTCCAAAACAACTGGGCCAGATGCCAGCCTTGCTGCTCGAATATCCGCTTAAAGATCTGAAATGGGATTTCCGTAGATCCCGTTGCTCTTCGCTTGCCTTTGGGATTGTCGTCCACTTCCGTTGCCTCCTTCCTCACCGCCTCCTTCCGATCTTTCCACTCCCGGACAAACGCACTCAACAACTTCTCACGATCCTCACGAAGACATTTGACGAAATGCGAAGATGTTGCCAAATTCTCAAATCCACTTTTTGAAATGTACGGTTTACCACCATCGGAACTTTGATTTTTCGGTGCCAACAAAGCTCCGGGAGGTACGGCGAATTTGGTTTGAAGAGGTGGAAACACTATCTTGCTGGCTGTGACTGGTGATCGCGGTACAGCATCATCCTGCTCTTGCATCACCCTGATGTAGCACAGATCGTGATGATGGATGAAAGATTAACACAACAACTTTAAGTTTTGATGGAAAGCGGAGATAAGTTTACGCGTTTGTGCAACAGTCACACTAGCTCTATGATTGCATTCAAAAAATGACATTACAGTTTATGAACTTCTTCCTCTTTGCAGCCTAAAGAAGCCAATATTCCACTCAATTCTCCTTGTTGATTGCCTTTCTTTGCACCTGCCACTTGAGCCACCATGCCATCAGGACCACAAACAAGAATATGTCTTGATTTTGGATCATGTTTTTCTAGCACTGGCTTGATTGCTTTATCGCTCAATCTGCCTAGCTGCAATGGCATACCTTCTTGTAGATTGATACGTTCTCTACCGAGCATCCAGTCTAGCCATGATTTCTTGACAGCGCTTCCCTCATCTTCCACAAATAATTGAATGTCCAGCCTATTCCCGTAAGCCTCTTTCAGCTTCGCAAGCTCGGGCAGTAAGAGTAATGACGAAGGCTTTGAAGCCGCATACATTAACGATATCCGCGGTATCCTCTGTCCTGAAGGCATTGGTCTGTCAGGTTTGCCGAATATGGTTGTGATCAGTTGATATGCAGGTGTGATTCCAGTTCCCGCCACGAGCTGTAGTTTACGCAAGAAGGTGTTGTCAGTTAATCCGTTCCACATCCAATACAATGTCCTACTCACCAATACCAAATTATCAACCTGCTTATCTTGCCATGTAACATGAGGCCCTCTCAACTCCACCCCTTCTCCAACCCTCAATCTATGTGCATACTTTCCCAATTCACCATCCGGATATTTCTTTATCATGAAATCGATTGTTTCTTTTCCTCTCGGTCCACAAACTCCTTCCACATAAAGTGGCGTATACGGTCTTTCGATTTGCAAAGAAGGTTCTTTCATATGAACGCTCAATATTCGCCAAAATGGATCTCCCGCCGCAGTTGCTAATGCTTGTTCATGTGTAAGTTTGGGAGGTGCAATATAATACGGTGGCTCAATACGCAGCAACACATGATCGCCATCAAGATTCGTTCCTACATCAGAAGGTGAAGAACATCGTCGTGTTTCTTGTAGGCCGAGAGTGTGGTATTTGTTTGGCAACAGTCTTGAAGGCGCTTCTGCTTTTGATGTGAGGGATAACACTAATACTGTCCCTGCAAATCCACCTATGAATGCCACCACAACACCGATTATACTGTCACTGCCATCTTTTTCTTTTGTAAATGTTGGTGTTGCAGATGAGCTACTCGAAGCTGTTCTGTATCCGATGAGTGAAGGTCGATAGAGTCTTTTTGAGCTTGATAGTCCGATCGATTGACCCAAACGAACCCTTCTGGGTATTTGCTTCAGTGACATTTCAGGAAGCTGCTTGTGGTTACGGGAGAAGGTGGAGAAATACTTCATAGTTTCTGTTACTTAAACTTTTTTGACCCCCCCCCCCCGCGTTGAGATGATAACCCGATTTCCATTTGTCCGGACGGATCCAATTTTAACTCTGAGAACGCGTCTTTAAGCGGGGAGAAAGAGAGAGAGCATTATCATACGCGTGAACATGACGATAAACTCATTATTTCCTTCTTAACTTTTACACACACAATATACTCTCGAATGATTTCAATTCTCAAATTATGGCAATAGATATGGATGTCGATGATGTAGATGACGTAGAGGAAGCATCACAAAACGAATCAGACGAAGATCGTGAAGATACTCAATTTGACGAAAATAGCGAAAATGCGGATGATGATGATCAAGAAGATGATGAAGATGATGATGATGGAGAGGATGACGATGAAGATGAAGAGGATGAAGATGCAGAAGATGATGAAGACGAAGATGAGGAAGACGATGAAGATGATCCCGAAGCCGACACAACTTCTCACAAACAGAGATCTCCAACACCTGCTGTCAATTCTTCCCCTGCTGCATACGTACGTGCTGCTGAAAATCGATTGAAACGACTAAGAGCATCATCCTCAAATCTAGCCAAACAGGCATCCGCATACTCGATAGAACCTGTTGGTGCAATACCGCATTCTGCCCATGTTCATTCTATGGCTCTAAGCGCTGATGGTACAAATTTACTCACAGGCGGAAGTGATGGTTATGTTCGCCGGTATGACGTTTATGCAAGCATGAATGGGAAAGCGCCTCTCACACAAAACATACGACATCAATATGTGGATGGTGTAGTGAAAGGTGGAGCATTAACGGCTTGGTGGGCATGCGAAGAAGTCCCGTTAGTAAAAGGAGAGGAAGAAGAAGAAGCAGAAGAAAGACTTGTCAGTCCGGTTCATAGTTTGGCAATTCAACAAGACGCTCTTTGGTGTTTGAGCGGAACGGAATCCGGGAATATAAATCTGAACAGCTTACGACATGATAGTGGACAACTACGGCATGTTTTACGTCGACATACATCTGCAGTCTCAGCATTGGCCTTAACCGACACAGATACGGTTCTCATGAGTGGAGGGTGGGATAGAGGTCTACATCAGTGGGATATGCATACTGGTAAAGTGGTACGATCATTCCCAGGACACACAGGACAGATAACTTCGATATCTTTCAGACCTCTACAGCAGGGAGAGACGTACTCCAATGCTCCATCTCCAAATGTGATCATACGACCTTCCGCGGCAGACTCGACAAATAATGGAGATATTTCGATGCAGGACAATATCGATGCTAAAGAAGAAGCAGCCAGTCAGAAGATATCGCCGTCACCCAGGAAAAGTCTGGGTGAGCGAAGCCAGTCGAAAGATGCCTCACAGAGGGGAGATATAAGTATGCAACTTGAACGAAGCAATGAAGCTCAACAGAAGCAAGGCAAGACGCAAGAGAATGGCTCATCTCCCAGCAGAAAATCACCCGAAAATAGTTCACTTTTCGGAGATGATGGCGAAAAGAGTAACGAGATTGACGGTGAGAATGGATTACAGGAGGCTCTAGGGCTAGGGACAACTTCTTCTGACGCACCAACAAAGCACAATTTAATGGATGTCACCATGGACGAAGCGGATTTGAGACCTACACAACCACTCAAGCTAAATAGAGAAAACGAAAAGACTGCTGATGATTCGGATGGCGATTCATTGTTTGGCGGTATGAGTGCAGATGGTTCGGCTGATGCGGATGGCGAAGCGGATGCAGACGGTGAGGCAGATGCGGATGCTGAAGGAGAAGAAGATGCAGAAGGAGAAGCAGATGATATGGACGCAGAAGGGGAAGATGAAGATGCAGAAGGTGAGGATGATGATGCACCTTTAGCAGCAAGAGCTGCAAGACCACTTTTACCTACTGCTTCAACGAGTAGTGGATTGGAATTGCCTGGTTCAAAGCCTGCATCTCAAGTCAATCAGAGTGCGGCGCCATCTTCTTTGCCAAACGGACATTCTGCACCTGCTGCCGCTAGACAAAGACAGCTGCCCAAGCCGGCATTTGGAGGAGCGAGCACATTTGCAAGCTTTGACGGGGATGTTTCGAAGTTCAGCAATGATATAATGATGACGACCACCCTTGGTGGTCAAGTGACTCTTTGGGACAAACGTGTTCCTTCTTACCCTGGAAGCAGTAGTAGCCAACCGAATCACACCAATGGCATCTCTGGCTCTTCAACAACGCACAAGGGCGTTCGTGCATTGGCCTTGCCTGACAAAACACCTCCATGGTGTACGAGCGCTTGTTGGAGTGGCGATGGAAACAAGATTTATGTTGGAAGACGTAATGAAACGGTAGATGAATGGGATTTACGAATGATACCAGACGTTGAGCAATCCCTCGATGGAAGTCAACCTCCTCGATCACGCAAAGGTGATGTTCGTTTCGTTCGTAATCTGCGTTTACCTTCTGGCAGTGGACCTGTTAGTGCGGTTTACAGTATGCCAAATTCAAGACATCTAATTTGTGGATCGTACGATAATATACGAATATGGGATACTATGGCCGATTCAAATACAGCTTCTGGAAGTGGAAGTGTTCCTTTCAGGATCGTTGCTGGTCATCATGGTGCAACTGTTTCTCAGCTATTGTTAGACCCAACCTCAAGATTCTTATTTTCCTCTTCCGGTGATCGTGGATGGATGTCCACTTCAACTGAAACTGTTATGCTACATGAAGTTCGACCTGCAAATTGGTGAATTTCAACTGCTGCTTTGTCTTTCTTTATCGCTTTTGTATTCTCTTTTCTTTATTTTGCTCACTTTTTTCTTTGCTATATCTAGATCCCCATGTCATCTTTATCAAATGTATCGTAGTCAACAAAAATCGGATATTGTAATCAAAATTCGCATTATCGAGTTTGAACAGTCTATGGGGGCGATCATGAAGGAAGTCATTATACACAGATAAAAAAAAATCAAAAGAAAAGCTTGGAATATCGACCGTGACCTGGCACGTCAAGCACCCTTGACCTTGTGCAAGGAATTGTAGTGCTCACCCAAACCATACATGTGTCGATGGTACGAAATGATGACTGGTAAATCATCAGGACCGGATGCTTCTTCTGTTCCAACTTTTACCACCGGACTGCCTGCTTGAACGACATGGATGGGCGTATGATAAGCACGAGATAAAGCCAAAATTTCCGGTTGACCACCCCAAACGGCCGTCTTTTCGATGGCATCACAATAACCTAAAAAGTATTTTTCTTGTTGTGACATATTGTGTGTTTCTTGTCCTGCTTCTTTGTTCTCGATTCCGGCCATATGTTCATCCGAATCAGAAATAAATGGCATAAAGTCATCACCATGCTTTCGCATATATTCAGCAGTTGCTTTACGTGTATCAACGTAATTGAGTTTAGATTGTGATTTGCCGAGAATGTTAAGTTGATCAGCAACGGCTGCATAAAGACAATGACCATCCGGAGTAATCTCATACATCTGTACTTTCAGCGCTCTGCACAAATCTGTCAAAGCAACTCGTTCACGTTGAGCTTCATCGGGTTTTCCTCCGTTCGCTTTAAGTTCCTCTTCTGCTTGTAAACGTTGAGCTTCCATTTCGGCAGCTTTGCGTTCCTGTTGGGCAGAGATAGAAGTTGCATCGGTTGACGATGAAGAAAGTTCATCCGAAACAGGAGAAGGTGGTTGAGTCATAATGCCAACCGAAGGACGCAAATCGACAAAATTGCGTGATGGAACGGAAATTGCCATTGGTGAATTACGGATTTCAGATGTTTTTGATCGTGGTAATTTTGGACGTTTCAATGTTGGTTTGATGGAAAGAGGTGGTGTGATGTGAATGCCGGGTGAGGCAGGCGGCGTGTACGGGAATGCAGGCAGCATCATCAATAAAGAATGCCAGGAATGGGGAGAGGGGTGGGAGAAAAGATAAGATTGTGTCAGTATTTATACCTTATTAAAACTCCTTCATCACAGCCAGCAACACGGCAGCGATCGGCCCAACGTAACACTGCCCAACAGAGCCTTGCAAGCTGCTCTGGCGATCGTTCAAAGACATTCGTGCTATGATCCGGTCCGAAATCTCAGCGAGAATTAGCCGAGGGGGATGTATAGCAAAGCCAGTCCCATCACCGCATCACGTATTTGCAAAGATAAGAACACGATGTACTCACCAGTCGTGCTTTCTGTCGTGACATTTTTTTCTTCCCTCCACCGCTTCCGTTTTGCTCTGCCTCCATATCAGCCGAAGTGTGTGATTTGTTCGGAGATGAGCCGAACAATCTTCTTATCGATCCTTTTCGCTGCATATCGCTTGCCAATTCTTTGTCTACGTCATTTGTAGGAATGACTGTTGTTGCTCTTTCTGGTTGGTGAGAGCCTGGAGAAGTGCTTTCGTTTTCGTGTCCATGATGACCAAAAATCTTTTCGCCAGCATGAAGTAGCTTTTCTCCTGCCTGTCGAAGTGGACTGGTAGAATGTCCGGCAGAGAGGCCGCTCTGTTCTGATGCGCTATGATGAGATCCAAATAAATGATGCCTTCCGTTTGCTCTTTCTTCGTCGATACTTGCTTTTTGCACTTTATCGGCTGCTTTATCTCGTGCATCGAGGCTTGCTAATAGTTGATCGGCTATATCCAGTCCATCTTCATTCTCATCCTCCCCTATGTCGTTTGAGATATGGTCCATATTGTGATGTCTGGCTGCTTCTATATCCATTCTTAATGAATCTTGATGTGTTGGAATTGGCCTTGCGGCTGATTTGTTGCCTGACTTTTTCTTCTTGCCCGGCATTATGGTGATATATATGAGGAGATGAGGTTTGTGTATGTAGTTAATGTAAAGGTTGCTATCTCATGAGCATTATCTTGTTGTAATGCTTAATTTTTTGCAAGAGTGGAGTTAAAAAAGGAAGATTAAGGCTGTGTTTGTACACTTCCACCCACAAAAAGAATATTCCGGCCAACCGGCGCCGATTTTATAAAAGGGCGAATCGCGTTTATACCTCAAATGCACAGACTGTCAAAACACTTTCTTGTTAACAAACAACCGGGATCAAACTTCCACTTCAAAAAGAAAAGCAGATATGCATCGTTCAAGAATAAGGTAAAAGATGACTTCCAATTATTGGGTTTCAACTCAGTGTAATCACTGGATTTTAAATCAAACTCAATTGGCAATTGCAAGGGCAGAAGATCTTCATTATGCTGCAAATCCGGAAGAATATACGGCGTTGAGGATTTGGCTTATCAACTGTATTTGCTTACTCACAAAAAGATTATCATTACGTCAACGAATCACCGCTACTTCAATCGTCTTTTTTCATCGATTTTATTCTTGCTCTCCGGCCAATTCTTTCTCTTCTACTGATCCCTCTTTAGTTGCAACTGCTTGTGTGTATGTGGCTTCAAAAGTGGAAGAAACGCCGGTTCACATTCGCAATGTGGTACAAGAAGCATCTAAGTTATGGGCTGAGCTAGGACACTGGAAGTTTCCCAATGATGTTTCATCGTTGGCAGAGATGGAATTCTACCTTTTGGAGGACTTGCAATTCCACTTGATTGTTTATCATCCATATAGAAGCTTGATGGCCATTCATTCTTCTTCCGGTAAAGGTGCTACCAAATTCGACCTGAAAATGACCGCCTCACCTACATGGACCAGCTTGATCGGAGCGGCGCAAAATGCCAGTGCGACATCAAATGCTTCGGGATCAGGCCAAGGCCCAGTGGGAAGTGGTGATCTTGGAGGGCCGTCAGGTCTGATTGATCCGGAATTGGCTTATGGAAGCCCGGGATCGGGATTGTCTGGTAAGAGTGCCGATTCAGCCAAAGCACCAATGAATGGAGATGCAGAAAAGATACGACAACTCGATCGACAATCACAAATTCGTGTGATGCAGGAAATGTTTGACGAACGTAATCGGATGTTCGTTTATGGGGGTGATGACAATATGCCTTTACCGAGGCTGGAAGAGCTGGATGAACAAGTGTTGCAGATGGCGTGGTTCGTACTAAATGATACATACAGGACCGATGTGCTGCTATTGTATCCGCCTCATCTTGTCGCAGTTGCGGCCATATTTCTTGCTTTCGTTTTACACGACCCAACGCGCGAAAGACTAATGCGAAGTAAGAGGATCATGGACGATCGCAGAGAACGATACAAGACAAGCATGTTGCACCCTCGTGAGAGCAAGAATAAATCAGCGACTCTAGCAAAAACACAGGGTGGACTAGAACCAATTAAAGATACCAGCAAGCCCAATACAACTCCAGTTATGGGAGCCTCTCCTCCCAAACCGATGCAGCCGACAACCGCCCCTTCGCCAAACGTTGCTCCTTCTCCATCTTCCGGTCCACCCTCTAGACCGCCGTTACGTGGACTTGCATCGCTACCTCCAAGGCCGGCACATTTACCAATGAAGCCTGGCACACACATCACCTCTCATCAATCGATTTCACAGCAACATTTACAGCAATCAGGAACGCCATCGACATCTGTCCAACCTTCACCACAGCTCGGAGCATCGCCAGCCCAGACTGGATCGCCCAATCCTGATTCACCTGCTCGAGCCGCAACTAATGCCGGACAAATGCCAAACGATCTTTCACCGGCAATCTTTGCAGCAGCAGAAATGAGTGCAAGTAATCCACCCGTTCCGCCACCTGATGCGATGACATTTTTGGCTGCTTTGAATGTTGATTTAGGTGCGGTTGGGGAGATTGTACAGGAAATGTTGGGACTGTATGATATTTGGCATAAAGTTGGAAATAATGCAGGAAGTGGAAGTGGAAATGCAAGTAGTGCAAGTAGTGTGGTAAGCTCGCCTGATCCGGATGGTAAACATACCCTCAAGGAAACAAATGGAAAAGAAACACAATCGGACCCTACACTTACGATCAATATCACAGATGGACCGGAGATGTTTCGTAGATTGACAAAGATGCGGGAAAGACGTAGGGAAGATTTATTGAAGAACGGAGCGGGAATGTGAAAGGAAACGCACAAAAGAAAAGTGTTGCATTTGTATAATAAAAAAGCATTGAAAATTGATTGTAAAAATACATTGATGATACGAATCCACAAGGTCTGATGTCCATCTATCATCGTTCGACGACCAGAGCAGTCAAAATTGCCACATCATCAACCTTTCCACCAGGATAGTGTATCCCATGACGAGCTGCATCACGTTCAAACGGAGAAGTCTTTGTGGTGGAGAATTGACACATTAGAGCGTACTGCAAAAGATTATGAGCTAGCACATTTGCCAAATCCCTTTCTTCGGCAACATGATCGATCGAAATATCACTCATTCTATCCAACCAAGCAACCCGATGTTTCTGACGAATAAAGGCAACCAATTGCAAGACTTCTGAAGTGCTAACGTTATCCCAAAATCCATCTGTTGCCGCCAAGACGATATCGCCATCCATCAATCTGCAGCTGAAGGTATCAGCATTAGACGGCTGCGAATCAATCGATCCGTCAAATCGATATTCAGGCGGTAGCTTGCTCAATTGCAAGGGCGTATTGAAACCATGTGTCTGTGGCTTGGATTGATGATGAATGACATGTAAGCCTATCCGATCACCTTCTTCGTTCACTGCACCTTTTTTCTCATCCTTTCCTACTGCAACAGTACTTGAACCAGGTCGAAGAACCAAAAATCCACTATCGCCCAAATTTGCACTTCTCAAAATTCCCTTTGTTGAGTCAAAAGTGAGAAAGCAGGCTGTTGCACTACCTGCGGGAACGTCCTTTTCTTGTTGTGTGCTTTGGTAGGCGTATTGTAGAATGTCGAGGGGTGTTCCAGGTTCTGCCTTAGAAGCGGCAGCAGATGCGCTTGAAGGAGAAGGAGAGGGTGGTGGTGTATCCAGTGGGGATGAAGGAGGTGAACTTTCTTGCGTTGGATCCAAATCTTCCGCCTCTATTCGGTCAGGACAAGCGTGAAATCGTTTTGCATATTCTGATGCATGATAAACTAAACTTTGACTGAACAAAGCCGGATCCACACCATTTTCACTCCATCCTCCAACACCATCAGCGATTGCTAAAAACCAATCCCCTTCATCTTTCATCTTTGTTACCGCTAATGCATCTTCTCCCGATTCTCCACCTTGTAACATCGCATCAGTCCATTTCCCAATCGAAGATGCAAGTGGAAAGCCTTGTCGGGGGAGTTGTTTAGGATCGACATCCTTCGCTTTTCCATCCTCTTCTTCTGTTTGTTCTACATATCGTGGCTTTCCGGCAAACGCATATCCTGTCAAAGCTTGAACGTTTCCTTGACGTGCGGATGTATGTGAAGAGAAATACCGTATTGCTATCAGCTTCGAGGGGCCATGCTGTATACCTGTATTCCTTGCATATGCTCTTGCAATCGCCGGAGCTCGCCTTATTGCGATCGAACCCAGCATGTTCATCTATTATTGCTGTGGAAGAATAGAGGACAAAGAGTAAGATATCGGAAATACGAATTTTCTTTTGAATAAATAAAATCTTGCGCCCGGCTTCCGCATGCAATTCAATTCCATCACATTTAGCGCGCATCTACTCACTCACTTCGGACAATTGCGCCTTATGTCCGTCAGAGGCTTTCATTAGCATCTATCGTGCTCGCCGTCATCACAATCCATACTTTTCACTATGGCTTGCAAGACCAATTCATAGCGATCAATCATACTCAGCCCTCACGGTAAGCATGGCGGCAATTGCAAATAGTCACTAAACTTTTGAGTAAAGCCAAAGAAGTTTGCAACCGGGTGCCAAAGCCGTCGCCCGAACATTGCGTTAGATAAAGTACTTCATGCTCTATGGTGACATCCTGAGAAGCATTCCAATAACCTCGAGTGACTGCTTTCACTTGTGCTCAACACGAGACGATATCTGACCGGCAATCCGAATCGTATCATCCGGCAATATCATCTGATAGTAGACTATCATTAAAGGCCGAGAAAACAATTACGGCATCTTTTATCCTCTTTTTCACCGCAAAGATGGTCTCGGCATAAATCCATTAGCGAAAGATAGAGTATCTACATCGAGTAAAAGTAAGCCACAATGCAGGCACCAAGAACATAAGAATCTTGGATGAGAAGCCGGACTCCAAATACAGCGTGAGAGCATTTGTTGCAAAAGAGTCCAAGTGTTTTCCTCTTCCAAAAGGAACAATCGATAAAGATCCATCCGATGAAGAACGTTTTGATTCTAATCTCAGGAACGCGTGCGGCAAAGTGATGCATAGATTAAATGCAGAATGTGCTGATTGCCATCAAAGAAAGTTAGAAAATCATTTCAACCTTCTGTTGCCAAAAGAAGTAAAAAGAGAAATGATATATCATTTCAAACGCGTTATATGCATTGCAGAAACAAAGGCGCGCGCTGCGTACCCAAACAACCGCATATACTCACACGCATGCACACTCACAGTGTGTTGGAGTGGAGAACAACACTGAACTTTAAAAGTGATGATGATTTGCTGCTGCTGCTGCTTCCCTTTGTGTTGTGATTGAAGCACATCACTCGCAATTCCTACGACAGAATGGATGTTACTCCTCTTGCTATTTTGGCCAAGACACTTGATGTGCAGTAGTGCCCTTTCCTTACTCAATGTTTGTCCGTGTAAATGTCACTTTTTCCTTTGTGCGGGAAATGCGAATTTCGGTAAATTTACATGTTTAAGGTACGAGATTCGATATATACATCAAGGTATCTCCAGATTTCATCTTCTTCTTCTCTTACCACCATCACACCCTAGCGGTAACGGTCATTCACTCTCATTTTCTCGGTCTCTCTCTCATTCTACTTCTCATTCCTTTTGAGATCATATTCACGCCCTGGAGGTGTTTATCTGTTCTCACCTTGTCATTCTCGATCACAATTTTACCGGATAAAAGCTCAATCGTTTTATCCTCTTCTTTTGTCTCGAAAGCAAGGTTTCTTTTTTTTATTCAAAAGTACATCATTCGTTAAGCTTGGTCACGGTACAACACATTCTTTCTTTTACCTCCAACCTTGGCGACTGGTCGTCTTTTACTAGGCATCATAGACTGGATCTAAGGTCCTACTTTTTACATCCCATTTTCTCAAAAAGACTCGATTATACAGTTATACAATATGCATTTGCCACAACTTGTAGCAATAGGTGCGGCTATCCTATCGACAACTTCAAATGCCGCACCTTTAGCTTCTAGTTCGTCATCAGGAACACAACACAAGCCATTGACCCCGATCAGCTACAAAGCAACAGGCGGAAGTAGATTCGGCTCAATGGCTCCTCAAGCTTTCTTTGCCTCTCCACCCAAAAACGAAGGAAATCTAATAAAACGTAGCGTTCCTCGTGCTCGATCAAGATCAATGCAAAAGAGAAGACCATCAGCAGCTCTTGAAGCTGTTTTGAATTACGTCAAACGGTTCGCAGCATCTGGTGAAGAGGAGGAAGACGATGAAGATGATGAAGACGATGAGGAAGAAGAAGATGGAACACAACTATCTCACTACTATCAACCTATCGGAGGACAGCGAAACGTTCAAAAGCCTTTCGCTGCTAAACGTCAAACGAATGGACAATGCGGCATGAAAGCAAGTACGACAGCATCTGCTCAAACAGCTTCTGCTGCCACTGCAAAAGCAACTTCGACATCCAGTCAGGCTGCCACCACCACCACTTCAAAGAGCGCAGCTCCATCATCAACGAATAATGCTGCTACTACTGGTAAAGGAGGTGCAGGAATTATGGCAGGATATTGGCCTTCTTGGGCTGTGGGCACTTTGCCACCAGAAAACATTGCTTGGTCAAAGTATGATATCGTATACTATGCTTTTGCCGTTCCAAGTTCTTCGGGAAAAATTGCAATTGATGATTCAAACTTGTTGAAAAGATTCGTTGCAGCTGCTCATAAAGGTAATTCAAAAGCAAGTCTCTCGCTTGGTGGATGGGGTCAATCACAAGGATTCTCAAATTCCGTTGTAAGTGATTCAGCCCGTGCAAATTTCATCAATAACGTTTTGGATGTGATTAAAACGTACAATTTGGACGGTGTTGATTTCGATTGGGAATATCCTGGAAACGTTCAAGGCGGACCAAGCAATCCAAAAGATACGGGAAATTTCCAAACGTTCTTGCAACAATTACGTGCAAAGATTCCAGCCGGTAAGCTCATGTCAGCAGCTGTTCCACAACAAGTTTGGCAAGGAAGTAACGGAAACCCGGTTGGCAGTGTTGCCCGTGCAGGCGGAGCATTGGATCATATCGTCATTATGAATTACGACGTTTGGGGTTCTTCATCAACGCCAGGTCCAAATGCACCTTTGGGTAACTTGTGTGGAAATAGTACACAGCCCGTTGCCAGTGCTGCCGGAGGTGTGAAAGCATGGACTTCGGCCGGTTTCCCAAGAAGTAAGATTTTACTCGGTGTTCCAAGTTATGGTTATTTGAACAAATCATCCAAGAAAACATTGATTCAACGTAGCCTGGTCGAAAGTGCAGAAGAAGAAGAACAGCATACAGTCAAACGTGAGGGCGACGTGGAAGTGTATGCTAATTCTCTTGCCAAACGTGCTGCTTTGAAGAGTATGGACGGTACAACGACGTCCGGACAGATTAACTTCAACCAGTTGGTCAGTCAAGGAGCACTAAAGTTAAACACACAAACTGGTACTTTTGATGCTTCTGGAGGTTATACGAAATACTGGGATGATTGTTCCGATACACCTTATTTGGCAAACGGAAACATTGTTGTCACTTATGATGATCCTGATTCGCTATACGATAAAGCAGACTTTGCTCGTTTGGCAGGTATTGCAGGTGTTGCCATGTGGTCAATCGATGGAGATACATCAACACAAGTTTTGGCAAATTCTCTTATCGCTGGATTAAAGGGAACTTAAATGCAATAAAGTCAAAATCGTCGTTTCGATAAAGAGAAGATGAGGTGAAAGTAGAATATTGGCAAAATCATGCATTGGTACTTCGTCGATTTTGATCGATAGGAGAAGCAATGCGAAATGTGATCAAGTCGAGCTTCATTTTCACCTAGGCAGCATCTTTTTTTCACTGATATAGCGATCAAACCTTTCCGACCGATAGAAGTAGATCTCTCATGCTGGCGAGGGCCGCCAATCAAGCATGAGGATCTACGAGCAAAAGTTCAAGTTTAACCCAGAATCCTTTAATAGATTGTCATTGTTTTCCTCTTTCTCTCTCTCTGTGCTCATCTTTCATGCTTTCATAGTGCTGTAATTTCTTGCAATGCATAGACTGTATCTTCAATCGTTTCTAGTGTGTTCTTACATTTACAAAAAGGGATAAAGCAAAAGCAAAAAGTCTATTATTCTAGCACTTGTTTATTCAAAATTGCAGAAATCTCTCTTCGTGGCTCTAACCAAGAGATGAAGGTTGGGAAGACACGACGATTATCTTGTCGGGCAAACAAGCTGGTTGTACTTGCTGAAACACGCGAAAGTGTCGACGGTGAAGCTGATACCACACTTGACTCTTCATCATCATCCACAGATTCATCTTCTCCTCCGTCGATTGAAGTGAATCGCAAATCATTGTGGCCGTTTGCCTTGTGTGCATGACCATCATGGGCAGATGCGTAAGCTGTGCCTGCTTCAATCATAGCTTGTGCTTTTTCGAGCAAATAATTTGCAAAAATAATCAAATATGCATATCGTTCCAAGTAATTACGATAAACACGATCCATATGAGACCTTCTACTTGATCCGGCATCTGTATTTGCCGCTCTGATCTTGGAATCATAAATAGCTTTTCGTAAGTTTTGAACGGCTTCCATTCGATCAATCGCATGATCGGTCATCCTCTTTGCCAATTTGCCGTGTTTGAGGATTGCGACGATCTGCAAGACCGTACGGTATTCACCTTTAAGCCATAAAGAATCTTGACGATCATCATTACTCTCTTGATTGTCATCATTTGAGAAAGATGAAATAATACTTGCGCTTCCGAAATCATGACTATTACCACCACCTCCACTGTTCCATTGATTTGAAATGCTTGCGCTCATATCAGTAGAAGAAAAGATTTCATGACCTCTTTGTGCAATCGTCGAAACCAGGGCAGCGATCACCATTCCAGTCGTAGTTCTTCCACGTCCCATTTGACAATTCCAAACGCATGCAGCACCCTTGCGTAAAGCAGTCAAAACACGTTCTTCCATTTCATGGAAAACAGCAGGAATTGGAGCTTGTTCATCGGTAACGGCAACACGAGCATAATGTACTTGGTAGCCTTCTTGATGAACCATTTGATACATCTCTTTTGGTGTCAAAACATCTTCTTCTTTCACTTCTTCCCAGATCGGGAAAAGTTCAAATTTACCTGTTGACTCGTTTACGGTTTCATCGTGTAAAAGGATTCTACCTTTGTATTTCCGGATCTCTTTGATGACGTCTTGTTTTAACGATTGTTCCATACGTTCGACAGCTTCTGTACTAATTCCAGTCGTTTCTACATTGGTAAATGGTTGATCTGCTAAACGCAAAACGTGTGGTCTTCCATTAATCACGCAAACGGCTTCTTCTCGCAATGAGGTTGCAATCACTTCCAAATCACCTTTTGGTCCTGCTCCAATTCGTTCGAGTCCTTTGCGTAATCCTGTTACTGAAGGCATACCGTGTCCCCAAGTTTCCATGAAATATGACAATTGCGTAGGAGGTGTTGGTCCGCTCCAGGGTGTTGTGGGTGTACTGTGGGATGCATCATTCACCAAGACTGCATTCACACCACGAAGATTCGGAATTCCTTCGATCTGTGAAAGTGCTTGTGCTGCCAGACCTGGGAACATGTCACTCTTTAGCATTGTATAAGCACTCAAGACAGATCCACTTCTGTTTGAAACAACTTCTTGAACTTCTTCGTTCAATGCTTGACCAGCCGATTTATTGTCAACTTTTTGCAAAGGCGTGATGGTAGAAATGTCAACCTTGTCAGTGTCGGCCCAGAACGTTGACAAAACAGGTTGGTCGCGTACAAATTCTTCAAAAGTGGGCATAGAATCCAGTTTGACAGGTGGTGTAGCATCAAGATATGCTTGAAAGACGATCAATTGGAAATACCTTCTGAAATTGTTTACTCCATGTTGAATCTTTTCATGTCGTACACTTTCATCTTCCGCTTGTTCAGCTGCAATACGTGCATCTTCGATCGAATCACGTAGGTTTACCACACCTGAACATTGATCGATTGCATCGTCCACCTTTTGCTTCACCTCAAGACCATGAGGAATTACGCGCAAGAGGCTGTTGATGAGGTGATAGGTCAAAGGTCTTCGAATAAGCGGCTGAGTCTGAGCTGCTGTCAGAGCAGGCTTCTCTTGAGGTTGTGGATGGTCTTGCGTGAAACGCTTGAGCCAACGTGAAACCAACAATGCCAAGATCGAAATCAAAGTTGATCGACCACGTCCAAGTTGACAATTGAGCACGATACAAGCATTTGCTTGGGTTTCAGAACGCAACACAGCACGTGTCAAAGCAGCAATATCCTCAAAATGCGGTGGCTTTTCTGCCGTAATAGGTTGACGACGATAAATCAAATGCACATTCGGCAAGCCAGACCGTTTTTCTCGATTGATTTGATGATCATTATTCAATCCATCAGAAATTAAAGGAGAGCCAGCATCATCCAACTCTCTTGTGATGTGTGACATCACATCTTGCAACGTTTGAATATCGTCTGGACTTGCTTCTTCCCAGATCGGTACTACTCCACCTTCCTCTGTTTCTGTATGCAACAAGAGGCGTCCATCGCCATGAATCAATTCTGTAAGCACATCATTCTTCAATCGATCTTCCAGCAATGCCAAGCGGGACCAACTGATACCGGAATAACTCTTGATGTTGCGTAGACTCATCCCTTTTTGTCGAAGACAGTACGGTTTTCCGTTCACATGACAGATTGGCTCTTCTCTTAAATTGATATAAGTCACTTGCAGAGGACCTTGATCATTCTTTGGAGAAAGCTCTTCGTAAATGCTATTGAGGATATTGTAAATACCATCAACCGTTGGCTGACCAGTTGCGTAAATGTTGGTATTAGGAATTCGTCGGAAATTCAGTGCTCCCCGTACACCTCTTCGTACGGTTGCATCATTCAAAGCCAGACTACGCCAAACATCTTCTTTGAGTAACATATGTGGTCGTAATACCAAACCTGTACGATTGCGTACAACATGATCAGCAAATTCGTCTCCGGGAACCAAATGAGGGTCTGTGTCATTTCTACGAATCAAGCTTGAATCACCTTTTGCGTCTTGGTTGGTCGTACTGCGGCTCAAAGCGCTCAAGTCAGCAATAGGATCAAAGAAGTACAGCTGATCTCCTTTTGAGCGAATCTTTGAAATGGTATGCCAGATCTCTGCGCGATTCCGTAGCCACGTAGCAAATCGATGTTCAAAGATGGCTGTTTCACTTCCTTCAACGTAACTTGCAAATGTGACCAAGAAGTAGTATTGTTCCAAAGCATGAACTGCTCTACGAATCCAATTACGGGCATCGTTAGTTTGATTCGTTCGTTTTTCTTGATCAGGCGCAGCGATCGAATACCGAACACGACTTTCCAAAATTGAATGACGAAGGTTGATCACATGAGAACAAGCGTCAATTGCCAGATCGACAGCCTTTTTGTTATCATCTCCATGATCCAATAGACCGATCAATTGACCAATGACACCATAGTTTCCTTCTTTTGCATTCTTTAATGCATTGAGCAGCATTGGCTGATCCAATAAGACGTCAATCGCGGCTTGCGATCCTCCAACTTCTGCCAAACTAGCACTCAAAGCTTTGACTACTTGCAAAGTGGACTGCTCTTCTGACTTTTGTTGACTGGCAGCTTGTAAGGATTTGGCAACACCTATTGCCGGAGATCCGGAAGCTTTTCTTTGTGTTTCCGCAGATGCTTTTGATGGTTTATGAATTTGCATTGGATCTCCATACCCTTGCAAAATCATCTGTCTTCTCCTGACCAAAACAGCTGCCACCATTGCAAATGACGTTCTTCGTACTCCAAGACCACAGTTTGCCACGAAGGCAGTATTGATCGGATCTATCTCTTTGATGATTTGCGTATAGGCATCTAGATAATTGTTTTCCATCGGTTGATCTTCTGCGATTGGAATTCTATGGTAATCGCATCTCCATCCCTCAGCTCGAATATCATCCCATACCTCCCGAACCGTTTTGACTTCACCAGCATCAACAGCAACCCAGGAAGGTCGAAGATTACCGCTTTCTTCTTCCTCGTGAACAAGTAGCAAATTACCGTACCGTTGTGACTCCCTCAGAATGTCTGCTTTAAGTCTTTGTTCGATCGATTCCAAATTGCTCGCACGTTCACTTAGTTGAAAGTTTTCCAACGGAGCATCTGCCTCTCTAAGCACAAAAGGTCTTCCACCAACATAAATCACAGGTTCGTTACGAGTACATGCCCAAACGCATCTCCTTTGTTTAACGCCAACGTTTGCCCTTAGTGCATCGGAGGCAGCAGCAGCAACGTCATCTGTTCTTGTTCGAGATCCTTTCCTGCCCGGAGAACTTGATGCAGCTCTATCGGTCATGTTTGCATTACGTGAAACGTTCATCAAACTTCTTCCACGTTCACCTGCCATTGAATCATTACGGTTAGGTGCACATTGCAACACGCTCAAGATTGTCTTTAATCCCATCACCGTTGGTTGAGCAACACCATATACTTGTAAGCCAGGTACATCTGCTTGTCTGAAATTGGGAGCACCTTGTAATAGAACACCCATATCCGGTCTCTTTAAACCGGCGAAAAAGTCCGTCTTCAAAACCAATCCTCGCGTTAAAACGCTTCCTTGACGACTTTTGACTACCATGCCTTCTCTTACATTAAACAGGAGGTGCAATCGTGATGAAACGTCTATTGAAATTGTTCGATCAGGATTTTGTGAATCGCGTATCCGATTACTAGGTTGTCTTGAAAGTGCATTCCTGTTCAATGTGTTGGGCATCGGATTAGCCTTCTCTTCTCCTTCTTTGCCTTGTTGTGAAATACTTGCATGTCTAGAGTACGGAGTGTTTGGTGACTCTGCATAATCACGTTTTGCAAGCCTTGTTGTTGTGATGAAATCTGATTGTGTTTTTACAAAAGAAGAAGAATTTCTGCCTAACGGAGGATGGGAAGGCAAAGGCGGAGAAAGTGTACGAGTAAAGCCGTCCTTGCCCGCACTTCTATCCGCCCCCTGCTTCGCTTCATCGTTCTCGCCCATTGTTATAGAGTGACGTGGTCGGATACCGGACCTGAACAAACAGAGTAATATGTATCCAAGTGATGATGGAAAGAAAGCGGAAAAGTGTGTTTGGGATGTGATCCGATATTTATTCGGTAGTGTTGTTGTTGTTTGTTGGAGTTAGGCACATTCACCCTATCCTTTGAGTGAGACCCTAAAAACAGCAACAAACACAAAAGCTTAAAGATTGACAAATAAGCGGAAATGCAGGTTAAGGCACATAAGCACACGTTTACAAACACACAAATGCGCCGATGCACGTTAAAGCACTGTGTGTACCGGCCGTGTTACCGACTTTTTGACATTTTGACTTTCATCATCATCTTCCTGAAAGGCGTTCTCGCTCTCAATATGGCAGAATTATTAAATGGCTGATAGCAGGCACGAGGCATGTTTATCATTCTCCCCACGAAACAGTCTTGCTTGATGGACATGGATGTGCCAAAAGTGATGCCTCAGACGCCAATTGTAATCACATTCTGGGCTTTAAAAAGATACGCCAAACGTACAACAAAACTCCGCAAACAGCAATCCAAAATAACAAAAAAAAAAACATGACTAAAACACTCTCGAGCAATGTGGCTGAAATCCTGATGCATTTTCAGTATGAAATTGAGGACAACAAAAAGTAAGGTAACCTGATAATCCGTTGAAAATGATGAAAAGAAAGTAGAAAATACTGTCTGCGTTTCCTAGAAACAAAAACGCGAATGATGATGACATGGCCATGAATGAATGCGTCCCGACAACAAATCAATACGTATCACGATCAGGCGCACGACTCTTTACCGTGCCTTCTGAAGGCGTATCAATACTTGCACCATAAATGTCCGCTTGTTGCCACGGCCCATCTAATGTGCCAGTTACGGCCGCATTTGAGGGGTTCATGATTCCCATTCCGGTAACAGGTGCAGAAGCAGTACTTGTGGTAATTCTTCTAGATCCGGTACGATAACGTGCGCTACTATCAGGTGGTAAAGTTTCACCGCCATGTGTATTGCCACGTTCACGTTCTCCATATCCTCCTTGTCCGTATTGTCCGATCGATAACAAATTATCCGAAGAAGCAGCCCTTGTAGGCGCAGCACTATGTGGACCGCCAATTAATGATCTTGCACGAGATCGTACATGAGAACTACCGATCGTATGTGGCGTATTACCAGCACCGTGCATGGTAGAAAACCTTTGACGGGTTGGACTTGAAGCTCGTGAACGTGCCATCGATTGCATTTTTTCATGTCGATGATATCCTAACAAAAGTGCATGTGCAGCTTCGTTTGCATTATCTTGATGTTCTATTTGCCATCGTGAAGGTTGCTTTTCGGCCGCAGGGCCGATCGCATGACGTGCAAGCGCATTAGAAAGTCGAAACCCCCTTCCGATTGCGAACGAACAAATATAACCCACAATTCGACGTTCCAATGCATAAAGCACGGAAGCAAACGGTACAACACCTTCGATCGTTTCACGTACGCCCCATGTATCCTCATGTCGAACGATCAATCCAGCATCGTTGAATTCTAATCGACTCATCAAACGAAGGTTGATTGTACAAATATGTTTGAGGACTGCACGAGGATGGAACACACCCCAAAGGAAAGCACGAACGGTTGTACGTCCTAATCCTTGATGACTCCAATGAGGTTGTAAAGCATCAGCAGGCATAGGAGGTCGACTGATTTGACCGCCACCTGCTTCAGCAGTGGACATATAATGTGATTCATCTCCATAACCTTGAATGGTCGTATTGGAGTTTGTATGATCGAAATCTTCATCATCACCATTCACGCTTGGAGGTGTACTTGGACGGAATGTTTGAGAAAGTGGTCGAATATGCGATGATGTCGTTCCGGGCGTATGCGGTCTTGAATTTCCCCACAAACTTGAAACGCTGTAGGGTGTTGTTGGACTGTGACTTTGACTGGCAAATCGACTGAACATAGAACCTCCTCCGGCTGGCGTATGTGATTGACTATAATTCGCGAATGGATGTGGTGTGATGCCAGAGTGTAGCGTATATGCAGGGGTTGCTGATCCCCCACGATCATGTTGGTAATCGTTAGGAGCATATGTTGCTGATCGAGGGGCTGATGTTGATGATTCGTCGTTGGATCGGCCAAAGAGAGAAGGTAGCAATGTAACGCTGATTGTTTGATCAATAATACCAGCACGAGTGCCGTCGAATTCAAAGTCACTGCAAATGACATCTCGCAACTCAGACTTGACGTCCAGACCTGGAAGTGTGAATGCCATGATGAATTGATTCGCGATTTGCTCACGACCGGAAGCGGCCAAAAGGGGTGATTCAAAGATTGCGTCTTGGTCGTAGAATCGGTTGACCATCTCACGAACTTCTTCTGCCGTTCTCTTGCCTCCGTACAAGGTTGAATGCAAGCCCAAGATGATATCTGTCAATGTGCTTGGACTTGGAGGACCATGTCCAAACGCGCCAAAGTCAGCAAAACTTTCGGGTGCTTGATTGCTACTGCCAGGTTGTGCTCCGTTACTCAAGCTCAAAGACATATTGTGACCGCCTGCTTTCCCTCTACTTCCTCTTTCGACAGAGCTAGTTGGGATTGCAGAACCACCTGAGACAGCAATCGATCCGCCGCTTGCCTGTCTGCTATGGTTACGCATACTGCCGGGCGTTCTGGGCTGTTGTGTGGTGGTGGAGGAATTTGCACCCGATAGAGAAGAAGCAGTACTGCTGTTTCCCGAATTTGGAAAATATGAGTCAGAAGACGGTAAAGGAGGACGAGGATGATGATGCCAATGAGATGGTGTTTGATTGGAAGAGCCCCTAGGAGGAACATTAATTGATGAATTGGCGTTTTCTGAGGAAGAAGCGGTATTGGAAGAGCCACCTTTACGATGTTGTGATGATGAATGATGTGCAGCTGCAGCAGCCTCTTCTTTTGATTTCGGAATGTCGATCTTCATTGCTTCTGCATCTTGTTGCTGTCCACTTAGGTTACTCTTCACACTTCCCGAAGAGGGAAAAGGAAGAGTTGTGGACATTGTCGTGGTGGTAGGTTTTGAATATGAACAGATGAAGTTGTTTTTAGCTTAAGCTGATTGATCCATATTCTGACTAGGGTGATGATGGAGGCCACCTAATGAAAATGAATGTTGAAGCGCTGACCCGCAAAAGTGTGTTGCTCAATATAATCACCGCTCGCTTTCAATTTCCGGTGTTCTGCTTACTAGTCTATGACGGCATTCTTTCACGCAGGGCAGGCAAGGGCAGGCAGAGCAGCAGCAGGGCAATAAAAATAAAATAGCCACCTTACGGGGCGCGTAATTTAATTCCCCAATAAATAACAGTCCCAGGCTGTGTGTAGTCCCAGGCTGTGTGCTTGTGATGCAAGTGTCATACCTTTCACGCTCTTCCTTTACTGCACTTAACCACAATTTAGCGTACATGCCGTTCCTCCCTCCTAAAAGGGCGCCACTGACTATAGGCCGAAAGAATCATCATGGCATATGGAATCCAAGGCCTAGCAACGGATAAGCCCCTTTCTTGATTAGTAAGGAAGATGTTCCATTGTGCCTGATTTCATATCGTTATTGGTTTCACATATTTTGTTATCTACAAATATTTCTTATGATTTCGATCTGACCTTTTAAAGCATTAAATATACCAAAGATTAAAAATCATTTTTGACAATGCAAGATTTAATAAATTTGACGTCAACAATCGCAATGCATAGCTTGTGACTATAATATATGATCACAGAATAATAACGGTTAGCTTTAAAAATAGGAACGGTGTAGTTTTTTCTGAAATGCCATTGTATTTTTTTAAATGTAAGGGATAAATATTAAATGTTTCAAAGAACAACAGATTACAACAAACTGGCAAATAAAGAAATCTCTGAAGATCGGAAGCAACAAAAATCGATAAGAGCAGTGTATACAAATTTAGTCCCAATATATTGGAAATAGAAGGGTTTATATACGTAATGAGAGGGGTCAGAGCTGAATTTACATGGCTAAATATATTCTACATTGAAGGTCAAGATAAAGTAGGTATTTAGCTGTCTGCAGAGTAAGCAATGGCCTCTTTATCCTGCAAAATAAGAATCAATACTAAAGATCACACTCAGCCACAATATTTATGGGAAACACTATTCGCATTTAAATTATCCTGTTAAACGAGGCAGATGATTTATTTGCTTTTTCTACTTTCTTCTAGTAAGTGCGATTGCCACAAACTAACCAATCCACAATTCCATATGAAAATAGACGATCTTCTTGTTGAGACCATTTCGACAAGTATCGATTAACACCCTTGATTAATTCTCACGGCGCTATCTTCACAAATCACACTTCTCTTTGTGATCCAACCAACACTTTTTGCCGAAGCAAAGGCCGTCGCGTGCGCACAGTCTCAAATGATTTGAGTTGTGTGTGTGGAGGTTTTCTCATGGCTGTGCATTAATTTATTGGGAACGGGCGCGTGCGCAGTGAAGTTCATCTTTCCATCAAGAAACGTCGATGAAGTGCATACAGCATACAACAACACATTCGTCATTTTATCTTGAACTTACGCACAAGAGGGAGATTGACTGTCTATTGATTGTATTCAAGGCACTTGACAACTGTTTAAACTCAGATCGGGAATGACTTGAAATCGAAACGTGGACAATCAAAGAATTAAGGTATATATAGACCTTATTTTCATGCTCTTAATCTTAACTTTAAACCATCATTTTCTATTTTTGATAAACAACTTCTTAACAAAATGTCTAACTCTAACGAACCATCTCAATTCAAGTGAGTATATACAACAAAGCTGTATTCCATACAAACATCATCATGCTGACAATATCCTCCACTCCTTCTCCCTCCTCTAGCGGTAACTTGAAATCCGTCTCTGGACAAGTTCAAGAACAAATTGGTAACTTGACAGGCGCTACTTCATGGCAGCAAAGCGGTAAACAACAACATGCCGAAGGAGAGGCTGAATTAAAGGCTGCCCAAGCAAAGGGTTACGCTGAAGGTTTGGTCGATCAAGTTGGTGGTTACAAGGACTCTATCGTTGGTGCAGTCACTGGTAACAAGTCTGATCAAATCGCAGGTAACGCTCGTCAAGAAGCAGGTGCCGCAAAGAAGGATGCAAACGCTCCCGCATAAACGAGCCCCGCCCTTCGTGATCACTCTTTCAATCACATACCCTTCTTTTTGGTTTAAACCCATGTAACTTCCATTTTTTTGGCAGTGGACACCTATGATGAAATATGATCAATGTTAAGAAATATCCTTTTTGTGTATTGATGTGTGATCAACAGTCGACATCTTCCCGCTCCCGATGTCAATCGGCGCCGGGCGCAAAGCTTGTCACATCGGCCCAGCATTTTCCGAGCGTCTTCTTGACTGACATCTACCGCCCTTACTTCCACTCTCTTCACCACCACTGCTACATTTCAAGATGGTTGAAAGTACACGAATATTGATCTACAATCCAAACTCAAGCAAATCAATCACAGATGGTCTCAAAAGCATTTTAGATCCAATCAAAGACGCAGGTATTGAATTGGAATATCGCTCTGGTCCTTCATCCGCACCCGAATCGATCAATGATGCACCTACTTCCATTCAATCCGCCCAAGCCGGTTACGAGTATTTGGTAGGCGGCGGCGATGCAAAAGGTGCAGCAGCCTCGTTAGCATCACAATTTAGCGCCATCTTGGTTTGTTGTTTTTCTGATCATCCACTCGTAAACATGTTACGACACACTCTCCCGGCAAATGTATCAGTCATGCATCTGTTAGAGACTGGTTTGTTGGCCGGCTTGACATCCTCACGTGGACGACCAATCGGAATAATCACGACCGGGCAAGATATGGTACGTGATATAGATGCTGGCGTTGCAGCTTTTTTTGGTTCAAGCGCAAAAGCAAATGATCGTTATGCTGGTTGTTTGGCTACCGGGCTTGGTGTACTGCAACTTCGTGATCCGAGCCAGAAAAAATTTGTACAACACGCCATCAGAGCAAAGGCTGCTACTTTGGCCAAAAGTGGCGTTGGTGCTGTCATGCTGGGTTGTGCTGGTATGGCTGGAATGGAAGAGATCGTTCGAAAGGGCCTAGCAGACCATCTTGGCGAACAACAAGCAAATCAAATCGCAATCATCGATACAGCCAAAGCAGGTTTGCATCTGTTAACAGCTCAAATTCGACTAAATAAAGAATTCTTGCCATAACACACTGTAATAAAATAGGAAAACCATCATATTAAAGATGAAAACCAGAACGTCTCGAAACAGGCACGGAAAGAGTATAAGAGATAACAAAACATAGCCGACATGAAAGTCGTGTGAGATTAAACGGACTGGCCGTCATCATTTTGGGGTGGGAAAAGAGAACGAGAATCATATTTGTATATGTATATGGGATCAGAAACGGAAAAGAGAAAAGAAGCGAAACACGTCACGGCCAATCGGAATCCACATCAGGCAGAAGTGCCGAAAGCTTGATCACGCTCTTGTTCAGCGCGAAGACAACGACGCTTCCACATCTCCATTTGACTCGTAAGATCTTCAATGGTATCGTGAAGTTGCTTCAATTCTTCCGCTTTACGATGTCTGCTTCTACGAGCGGCCAATGTGTTGCTCAATCGCTTTGCTGCCGTTGGGTCAGAAGTGTTGCTCAAATCAGGTGTGGATGGCTCGGCGTCCACAAGATCCTTCCGTGAAGTGGCCGAAGGGGTCTTGTAGGTACGACTTTGAATAGGTGCATCGATCGGTAACAAATCCGTGCTGTCCAACCTACGCTTGGTACCGCGCAAAGGTGCTTCGAGAGAAGGTGTACTTGGTGTTGCAATAGTAGGTGGAAGGGGGCTGAGGATGGCAGCTGGAGAAGCGAAACCGTTTGATTGATGCTTCTCAGCAGCAGCCACTGCGCTCAAAGGAGATTTCTCGGCATTGGCAACAGCAGTACTGTTGAAGGCACGAAGAAGTAGCAAAGCGGAATGTTCATTGGTGTCCTTGACCCTACTGAAAGCCATTTGCGGAGAACGTTTGTTGGAAGCATTCTGTTGTTGCACATCACCATTGGAGGTGTATGCTGCATCCTCTTGCAAGGGTGTTGAAAATAGTGGGAATTGTACTTGATCACCGAACAATGGCATTCCGGCCAATTCTGGAGCCTCATTGATATCTGTCAAGAGTGGGCTCGTATCGCACGAGTCCAAGTTGAAAGACATAGATGTTGTCAAAGCAGGCGAGGGATCGGTCCATTCAGGGCTGCTGAAAAAGTCATCAGCAGTGCCTGCGACTGTTGCCGAGCCTACTTGTGGTCCAGAAGTGAGAAGGATGTCATCATCGATGGTGAAGACAGGTTCATCGTTAAAAGCGAAATCAGGAGCAGCATTTGCTAGCTCCTTCTGAGGGGCCGCAATGGCAGCCCCTTGCTGGTATTCTTGTGTTGTGTTCATTGTTTGATTGTTGCTGTTGTTGTTTGGAAGGCAAAAGGCCTGACGGAATTGTGAATGAAGCCATGGTGGCAGAGTCAAAGGACGAACGTTAAAGTTCGAAGACAAGGTGGCAGAGTTATTGGGGTTCAAAGTTTGAGTTGTGGCTAAATTAGCAGAATGCACACACTTCAATACAGTGGAATCGAAAGACGATATCAACTGATTAAGAAGGCGGTTACGGTCGGTTTCTGTTAAAAGAGAAGATCGTTGGCCAAGCTTACGCTCAGGCTGGTTGGTAGAACATTTCGACGGTTCTAATGAGTTAAGTGTATGTGTAGGATTCAGAGACAAGGTGAACGTTCACCAAGAATAAGGCCAAAAGGCGGATGCTATTGAGCGCGCGAGAAAGTTGTGGTGGTGATGAAAGATTTGTGTTTGTTTAACTCTGAGGAAGAACCGATGGGGGAAAGAGGAAGGATTGAATTGCAAATAGGTTAGCCTTATTATATCGTTTTGAAAATTAGGGACATAGGAAGCACTTTGCCTGTGTGTAATTCTGTCCATTGTTTTTTTGACGCGTTGAATTTGAGGGTACTGTTCAGATGCTGTTTAGATGGAACATTTCTGATCAGAAGGATAAAATTTTATTGTTTCAGAGGTGAGCTGCCCAAATCAAGCCAATGCATATCTTAGCGCCCAAAAGTGGCTGCTTCTTGGCCGGATGAAAGGAAGGGGGTCTGTATTATTGCATCGCGACCCCGAAGAAAGAAGAATTCATGCATTGCTGCGGAACATACCGTATACAAGTGGCCTGCCTATCCGTTTCCAGCTAAACGAGCAGTATCCGTTCCATCTTATAATTCGACACGTCTGTCACTGCTTAGTGCCGGTGTAGATCTGATGATAACGTTCGCCCCGTAATCATTTTGCTGCTGCATGATCGATAACAGCTCCTTTTCATGCATTCTAGCGTCTGTGCTACTGTAGGCCCTTTTTCGAGTCATACTTGCAGCCCGTAAGGAACATTACGCGCTATGAGCCAAATGCAAGTATGACTCGACAAACCCGTGTTTGAATATGCTCAATGTGAAAATAAAGATTTTAAGCGAATGCAGACTGGAATTCTACCGAGTAAGCGTTTGAAACATACAAGATGGAATATCGGCTTTAAGCTTTACGACACAGGCACCATTACTGCTTCTTAAACCCTTTCTCCGAACATTGCCATCAATTCTCAAGCACGCTTCTTATTCGGACGTCCATTTTCCGTAAGCGGCTTGTATATAATTAATTACTGATCATTCGGCTTATCGGATTCGTCAGGTACAAACATGTTTTACGATTGCAATTAGATAAAAAAGATAAAAATTGTGACAGGTAATAGGAGACATTATATAAAGAAGCCAATTTCGATTCTAGAAGCTTTCTTTTGAATAGCATTATCTACTTTTATCCATTTCAAATCGATTTACACTTTTTTAATCGATACTCCTTGACTTCCACCTCGTCTTTATGTAAGTCAAATAAGACGGATTTGACCTTCTTGGTCCTATTGATATATTCCAAGAGGAATACAATGACACTTACGATGCGGAAACATCCTGCACATACTGCAATTGGGTCTACCGACTTCTCTAACAATGTACGTATCAACAAGTTGATGATGTAAAGGGTTTGATGAGTCGCTAGCATGCAGATGTATACAATATTGTTCGATGTATCAGTTTGGGTTCTTCCTCACGAAATCTTCTCTTGTTGTTTTTACAGAAGTATTCTATGATATTATAGTACAGATCCTCTAAAAGCCAACATCGCTTCTTGAAATTTTTCTATTATCCTTTACGCCCTTTCGCTTTTCTTTTGATTGACGTTTTCTGTTTTTATCTACTTCTATTAATTTTTCCACTTTTTGTCTTTGTTCTTTACTGGTTTTACCGGGTATATCCTGTGATAATATTTGAACCAAATGATCTTGCATCTTTTGCAATGCATCCCGCAAATTATCCGATTGCGAACGTGTATCGGTTGAGGTGATTCGTAATTCGTTCGAAGAAGCAACGTAATAAGGAGATTTCTGTTCCAATATTGATACCATCTCTTTTGTTAATGGTGGCAGAAGTGCATCTCTGTCATCCCCCGTCGCATGACCGGGCTGAGAGACACTGAATAAATTCAATCGAACGTCTGCTTTTGTATTGACTTTGTTCACATTTTGACCTCCTGCACCACCACTTCGACTGAATGTAGTAGTGATCCAATGCTTTGGGAAGTGGTGAGATGCGGTGGAGGGAGATGCAGTTCTTTGAATCTCATTTACCTTGTTGAGCCATTCAAACCGTTCTTCCAGTGCTTCTTCCGGACTTAGCTTCTTTGGGAGACCTTTCAGACCTCTGCTGTGGTTTATGATCGCATTGGATGGTCGTATCCGATTCGCGCTTGTTATCTGCCTCGAGAAGCCAGCTTCATTCTGTCGTCCAAATGTCGCTCGGAGGAATGAGAATATGATATTGTTCATGCTACCGGAGCATGTTATGAGCACTTGAGATGGTGGAAGGAGATCAAGATGGAAGAGAATCGGAAAATTGTTTGCTATTACACGCGTACACTATCTCCGACCCAAAAAGCAACAGCAGCAGCCACTAAAATTTCTCCACATTTACACTTCTTCCTTCTCACTTGCATTCATTCATCAAAAAACATGTCTCGATCATCAGCAATGAGTCTATCTTCAATTCCAACAATAGCTCAACTATTCAAGAATGGTCAATTAAAGTCAGCAAGCGGAAGCAAATTACCGTCTTATGCATCTGTTTCTGATCGAATCTCATTACATCAAGGTGATATCACACAATTACAAGTAGATGCAATCGTCAATGCAGCCAATGAAACATTGCTGGGTGGTGGAGGAGTAGACGGTGCGATTCATAGAGCTGCGGGAAAAGAACTTTTGGCTGAATGTAAAACCCTGAATGGCTGTAAAACAGGTGATGCAAAAATCACAAAAGGCTATCAATTACCTGCTTCGCATATCATTCATACCGTTGGACCGGTTTATGCAAAAGGTAGGACGGAAGAAAGTAAACGTGCTCTGCAATCTGCATACAAAAGAAGTTTACAAGAAGCTGCAAAGGCAAAACTTAAGAGTATTGCTTTTCCTTCCATCTCGACTGGTGTGTATGGCTATCCTATGGATGACGCAACCGATGTAGCACTAGAAACTGTTGGAACGTTCCTGAACAGCAAAGAGGGTGATTCTGTGAGTAGCAAAGACGGAATTATGAGAACGGAAGCTGATTGTTATGATACTGTCCCTCAGCTCCAACGGGTAATCTTTTGCGTATTCAGCGAAAAAGATTTGAAAGTATACGAAAAGCACATTCCACAACATTTCTCTGATTGATCATCTAGATGTATTGTTCGCTTCGACAATGATGTAGTTGTACAATATGAATGTAAGGATACAATTTGTGAATGCTTGTTCTTTTTATGAAGGCGCCAATTGTTCACCAGGAGGAGTACAATGTTCCGAATCTGTGGCCGGGTTCATAAACCAATGCGCAACAGGAAAGACTTTGAGAACTGTGAGTGATAATAAAAAGATACATAATGCATTCACCGAAGTTCCAGCATCCAACGCAGATGCTAAAACGTAATTTCTTCTGGCAAACCATTTTGGATGCTTTCTTCTTGCCCACCATTGTGATAACCATGAAACCGTAAATCCGGAAATGATGATATTCGTTGGAACTTGAGGTGGATAACCGGCACCATGCAAAAGGACAGGGAAATGGATCAATTTCCAATATCTACGTGGATAACGTTTATTCAAAAGCCAAGGGATGAATGGCAAAATAGCTCCCCATAAGAAAAACCAAAACAAGCTCCTATACTTCCCACTGAAAAATTCAATCGGTCCAATCGCTCCCCAAATAATCGAAGCTGAATAGAAAATTCGAACTTTTCTTCCATCCCATTGCGCCGTAGGATCAACCTGTGAGCCGTCCAAGAAACCTCTGTAACCTGCAGCAGGATTCAGAATCAATCGAACCACAAATAAGTTGACGCAGCATCCGATCATAGTCCCCATCAACTGAGATATAAACATATCTTTAGGAGGAATTTTCATATAATGGGCAATCTTCATATCTGTCGTGAGATCCAAAGCTTGTGACATGGCCATATATCCGTAGCATTTGAAACAAACATTTGCGATCGGCTTGCCTGGCATCAAGACTCCAGCGACGAATTCGGTAATCACATTCAATCCGATCGTGGTATCAGATACTGCTTTTGTGATGCCTACAGGAATCAAGAATATCAACGATAATAAAACAGCGATCAACAGTCCCCAAACCGGTATTTGAAGTGGTGTTGTCCAAACCAACACGATCGAAGCTGTCAAAGAGATTCCCAACGTCCAAAAGTACCAAGACCGTGGAACGGGCGCATAAGCACGCATTAAATTATTATGAATATCATCGTGAAAAGGTGCTGTCATTGCTTTGATCACATCTTTGTGGTGCCAGAGAGAAACATAAACAATCATACTGGTCAATGTTGCAAACGCGATCCCATAATTGATCGCAAACCAAGGCGTTAGTAACACAGGCTTTCTTTCCAAATATTTGTTCCAATCCAAGGTATGATCAGGTTTGAGCAAAGCTGCCACTTCGAACTTTTGATGTGTATGTGGGTCATAGAGACCTGCATCGATGGGCGAAGAGAAACTCTTTGCGTCCCAAAAGTTGGAAAAGTAGAGGATCGGCATAATCACGTACATTGCACCTGCCAAGCCGGCGTAAAAGTTCAGCGCAGCCCACCAAGGACGATAAAGAGGTCCACTTGTTGCAATCACATTCCAGTCGAATGAAATATTAGGCAGTCCGAATCCTTTGTATCCCGAAGACAAAACCCGAAAGGCCTTGTTCTGATTGTTGAAGAAGCACAGTATTGCCATTGACGATAACGTAGGCATGAACAAAGCCGGCAAAAATTGATAAAGAAAGATTGCGATGAATGCCATTGCAAAGAATTGCAATCTTGCTTTTGTCTCTACGGTCCTTTGAGCGTGCAAAGTGTGAAACATTGTCGTCGTGACCAAACAACCCGGAAAGATCATCGCAACTGGCTTGACGAGTAAATTGTGCATCAATCCCGCAAAACCGAATCCTAAGATTTGTGTTGTTAGCAAAAGTGTCAATCCTGAAATGATGCCCATGTGCTGATTAAAGTACAATTCTTGAATGTTGATAATATCGGAAGCATAGGCACTTGTAGCACCTGAAGACGATAAAATTGCAATTAGAAGATGCTCTTTGATGCTGAACGGACCCGGATTGAGATCAAATGACCACCTCCAGATATGTACCCGCTTCTTCGGCAACGCCGATGCCATCCATTTCCCGATTGGTAAAGATGTCAGAATGACAAAGTAAGATGAAAACGAGGGCGAATTGGATTTGTAAAAGAACAATTGACTGATTCCTGCTCCTAATATGCAAAAGAAGCTTCCGATCAAAACGACTCGAAACGTTAAAGTTGGAAGTGAAGGGTCATCCGTTTCAGGTACAGCACGTCTGATGAGTGACATTGGATCATCCAAACTGCTCTTCTCTCCTTCTTCTTCATCACTTGCTCTTCTTTGTCTCCGTTCACGTCTTTGTCTTCGTGTTTCGCCAACTAGAGGAGCGTCAGCCCCAAGCTCTTCATCATCTTCGTCATCCTCATCGGTTAGCTCGAATTCTTCTTTGCCATCCTTTGAAACCTTTCTCGAGCTTCCAGGTGTATTACCATCAGTAGTCCGCATTTGAAATGTTTCATCTGCATATTCCTCATCGAGATCCGATTCATCATTACTTGTTTCTCGCTTGCTCGTTTCTAGATCTTTGTACGAGATCGATCTCCTTCTCCCGCTTGCGGTTGTGATTGCAGGTGAATGTACGCTGGTATGTACTCCATCAGAACCAGATGTGAATTCGGCCATTTCATGTACATCTCGATTACTGTGCCCGTTCAAGGCGATTGGAGCAGGCGTCATATTCTATATCCCAGCAAAAAACCAGGATGATAGAAATGGAAGAAGCAGGTAAGCAAATTGCCCCTTTTCCAATTCACGAAACAATTATTCTCAAAATGTCCCTTTCAATACCCCGGTCTCGTGATGTTTGCAGCATCAATGCTCAACTCTTGTCCCTCTTTTCACTTTTGAATCTTTGTCTTGTGAATCCCAATCTGTCTATCCGAAAATAAATTGTTGTTCGGGTCGTTGCGATGCGAATTGCAGATGGTAGGAATGAAACGGGCCTAGAAGGACTTGCAAATATAATCGGAATCTTTCTCTTATGGTGTTGGACCATTTAGAATGCATGCATAAGATTGACACTTTAATCATTATCAACACATACGCACACGCACACGCACTAAACGCGGAGCCTTGCTTGTGTTGCCCTTACGCCTCGGCAGCCCGTGTGCACACACTTGAAAGCGGCAAGGTACCTCTCCTGTGACAGCAAAAGGTTAAAACATAAAAAGCCCGACAACCTCATTTTGGCGTAGCGCCAATTTTTATTACGCCCAGACGCAGCGTCATTTCATTATCAGGCAGATGCTGTTCACATACGAAAGTCACACTTTCATTCTAAAAACGGCTTCTTTCTTATTCTCTCTCTGCTGCATGTGAATAAGTATCTTACATTGCCTCTCTCTCTACTTTCAATTCTCATGTTGCGTGTCAAGATGAATACGAACTTCTTTAACTCCTTTAACGGCCGAAATGAGCTTTTCACGTACTTTTTGTTCAACAATTCTTGCTTGTTTAAGTTGAACATCTTCACGCATGATCAAAGTAACATCAACAAACGTGCTCACTCCACTTCGAACGGCACGTAAATCTTTCCAACCGAGCAATCTTGCATCATTTCCTTCTGTTTCCGACGACGTTGCATGGTTAGCCACACCCGTCCTTCTTCCTGCTGCCGCTGCTGGCCCTTCTAGCTCTTCTGTTCCGTCCACAATTCCTTGTAAAGCACGTTCAAAGTCATCCAAAACTTCAGGTTGTACTCCGCGATCAGATAAATCAGCCAAAGCGTTGATGAGTAATTCGATACCTTGTTTACCAATCAATCCGGCAACTAATAAACCTCCCAAAGGATCCAAAACTGGGAATCCCATATATGATCCACCAATTGCCAAAAATGTAACACCAGAAGAAAGTGAATCAGATCGATGATGAATTGCATTGGCTTCTAAAACGCTACTCTTTTCTTCACGTGCGATCTTGAGTGTTGCATGATATAACCATTCTTTTACCAAAACACTAATCAATGCAAACCACATCGCATTCGGATCTAAAAGGTTTTCCGTTTCTGCTCCGGTCAATTTTGATTTTGCTCCATCTGCAGCGTTCAAGATCGCATCTGCAGTATTCGAACTTGCATCAGCTCCTGCTGCAACGGCCGTATGATGATGATCGTGCAATAAGCCACCTGCCGCTCTTGCCAAATCACCAGTTAGATGTCCAAATGCTTGCAAACCAGATGGCATTTGATGCAAATGAGGTTGCAAAACATCAAGCAAGAGACCATAACTATGCATTCCGATCGCAAACGCACCTGCAACCAAGACGACCGAAACACCCAAACCGCCCATAGTTTCGAATTTACCGTATCCCAAAGGATGAGATTGTGATGCCGGTCTTTGTGACATCTTCCAACAAAACAGCGTGACCAGATCTGAGAATGTATCAGAGAGACTATGTGCTGCATCAGCAAGCAAGGAAGCACTATGAAGCCAAACACCAGCTAAGCCTTTTGCACCACAAAGAACCAAATTGGCAATCAAGCCAACAACGGTGATATTGCTTCCACGATCTCCTTTCCCTTTGAGGGCTTTCAACAACTTGTCTGCTTCTTCCGCACTGCCTTCTGCACCATGACTGTGCGAATGCGAGTGACCGCCTAGCCAACCATGACTGTGAGATTCATGAGAATGCTCAACTGCACTTGACTTGCCATTGGCAGAAGTTGTTGAAGTTGTCTCTGGCTTTCTATTCCTGAGAGCTTTCTCACTTTCCATTTCTGCCGGCATTGTTGGTGTTTGATCAATCTTCAATTCAGAAGAAGGTCCTGCTTTGTATGCGTATGACGTTGTCGTACTTGCAGAAGTTGCACTATTATGAAACGAAAATAAACGTGAAGATGGCGCACGTGTATATTGAAATAAAGCGCTCGGAGGTGCAGGAGGCGGAGGAGGTGGTTGAGCTGCTTCTGCGATTGGAGGATGTCGGATCAATCTTGGTGCACCTGTATGCGGTGGTGGCTGTGGTGCGAAATGGGAAGGAGGTGGTGCGTGTTGATGAGGTGGTAAAGCAGGAATAGAAACTGGCGTACGTTGAATGATACTACTATGTGTTGTACTTGGGTTCGTTCCACTTCCACGACTTCTTGAAGGTGGCGTTCGATGTGTGAATGTGGATTTGTAGCGATGTGACTGTATGGAAGAAAGAGCTTTGTTCGTGTTTGCTTGTACGAAGAATGTGTCAAAGCTTCTCGCCAAAGAAGCGTTACCGATTGGCCCGATCAAGAAAAGCCTGCGTTTTGTCGTACGCAATAGGTATTGTCCGTTCATAAAGATGGAAGCAAAAGGCTTCTTTAAACCGATCTGCTTCCTTAATTTGTACCTGCGAGGACCGTTCTGGTCATGACTTAACAAGTTTCTCCAGATAATGTTTGGTTGTCAATCAAACCTTCCAAAGAACAACAACCAAAAGGCGTAAAGACACTCATTTACTGCCTAAAACGCCTAAATTTGACGCGTGTGGTACGTACGTGTAAGGGCACAAAAAGACGCCTCCCTTTCATTTCATTTATTGTCCGCCGAATTGAGTCGGGTGGGGAACTTCATTATTACCTTCTCAGATGGGATTGATGATTGATTACTGATTCGGAATATTATTATCCTACAAGACAACAACTATACAAAACAAAAAAAAGGGTTGCAAGATTCGGTATATCTTTTTATTAGTGTACGGTATTAATCCATATTTCTATAAATCTAATAAAGTTCAAATTTAGTGTTGGGTTTTACTTCTCATTTTGTCTTTTTGCCTTCTGCTTTCTTTGCTTCAACCGGTTTGACGCTATCGGGTACCCAGAAGCATGGCTTTCCAGTCTCTTTTGTGATTGTTGTAATGACGTCATATACGAAATGACCATACAAACCAAAGCTCATACTCAAAACGCCAAATGCTACTAATCGAACGCCTCCTAATGAATTTTGCAAGATAGGCTCGGGTAAACGAGCATCGATTGTGCCCATGATTGCCCATCCCAAAGCGATGTTGACGTATGGGAAATTGGCCTTTGTGACATGAGCAACGATCAGCAAACCAACGCTGTAAGCGAACATCAAACCGAAAGCGCAATAGAGTGCAACGAACGATTGTCCATCTGCCATAATTTGAGCATCACGAGCAGTCATCCACAGTGTCATGCATGTCAACAAAGCACCGATTGGCAATAATCCAGCCAAAGGTGTTAGTGGAGATTGTTTGCGAGAAAGTCTTGCTCTAGCAACGTTTGAGTAACTTGCAACGATATTGGCTCCCAATCCGAAAGCACCAAAAGTCAAGAATGCATCGTTGAGCGGCAAGTTCCAATCCCGCAAGTTCTTGGCAATGAATGGGAAATGCTCCAATCCTGTCACGCTTAGAATACCGCGATCCCAAAATTGACTGCCAGAAGGAGCTAAGCCGGTGATTAAATAGATGACACAAATCATCAAAATACCTTCAACCGGTCCAGAAAAGGCGGAAAGATAAAGTGTTCCAGTATGGAATTCTTCCCAAGTTGTCAAGTAAAAGTTGATCAAACATGCAATCAAAGCTGCAATACTCCAATACGATCTTCCTACATTGAGCGCAGCAGTACTCAAAATACACTCAAGCGTTGTGTTGATTGCATCACATCCATGATCGAATAATTCACCAAGGGGACCTGCCATGCCCGTTCTGCGTGCTTGTTTACCATCAATGGAATCTAGTGATTGATAGGCAAACAAACCCAATGACCAGCTGTAGTGAGGAGAGAGATGTGAACATTAGACCAGAAAGTTGGCCACGCTGCCGAACTCACGTCAAAAAGATCCAAGCTGGCATACAAGCCGATCCTGATCCTTCTTGTTTGGCAATGACTGATTCGGGAAACCCAAATCTTGCCAAGAGCGGCGTTGGCGGAAGGATATCATTCGGTCCGCGAGCATCATAGCCAGGTGTTAACTTGGCAGCACCACAATTCAAAGTTGGGTCCCATGCCAATAGAGTGAGGAAGTTAAGACCTACCAAAGCCAAACCTGAGACTGTGATGGTATTTGGTGCAATGGTTGTTGGAAATAGGCTTACCAACCAATTCCAATATGGACCCAAGATGTATTTTGATACCAATGAATCGTCTGCTCCTGAATACTTGTACGTATGCAGATTCTTTTCGCGAGATTTTGGAATGTAAACGCCTCCCGACATGATGAATGCTGTTTTGTTGATTGGGGGGATAGAGGATGGAAGAAAGGAAAGAAAGGATTGAAAGAAGCGGAGAAAGATGTCAACTTTGATCCGTCTTTTAATAATAATCTTGTTTATTAATATTTTCTTTTTTCATATAATTCTGCAGCCCAAATGCGGGAAGAGCGAGGTAAAGCAACACGTTTACATCTCCACTTTTCACACTATAGAATAGCAGCACTGCATGTGCCCCAGCATTGGAAGGAAGACAAGACGCTAAACAAAAAAGAATGCTATCAAAACCCTGATGAACAAGAGGACAAAGCTCAAGAAGGTTGGAGTGGCTGTTGACTTTGAGGTGATTTAGGGTTATTTGTATGATAGAGAGAAGAGCATTCGAACGCAGATAAAATCAACTTGCGAAATACATCTCGGCCAATACTGAAATGGCAAATGTGTAATGAGGGAGGTGCCCATCCGGATAGAGATATACTGAAACCATATCCAGTCACTCACTATGCCAGGTTATCATGCTAATTATAAGCTATAGGTATGAATCTCTGAGTACATATTCTGGTATATTATAGAGATCGTGCAAGCGATCGGATAATGTCAATCAACAATTTTGGGTCGCGAAGAAGAGATGGGAGACGGTGCGAGCCAAAAGACTTTCCTGAAAGCATTCTTGACTCTTATAAGATGAAGTTGAAGAGAAAGATAGAAGAAACACGACCTCCGTAGAAGGGTAAATGCTGTAAAGGTTGCACCAATCAATCCACCAAATCGCATCCCTACAAAACTGTCGAATGATTAGTCCTTCCTACACACAATCACTGCTTTTCCAAATCAAGCACGAGGCATTTGTGCTTTAACGTTTGCCGATAGCCAAGAAAGTCCTTCATACAATCCTTCTCCACTGGTTGCGCAACTTGGATGAACGAACCAAGAACGATCTCGCATTTTGTGTAATCCAAGTTTTTCCGTTACTTCAGCAGGTGACATTGCTCCTTTCAAATCTTGTTTATTTGCAAACACAAGTAACAAACAATCACGCATTTCTCGATCTCCCAAAATACGATGTAATTCTTGTTGTGCTTCACTGATCCGATCGCGATCTTGACTGTCGACTACAAAGACTAAACCTTGTGTGCCGGTATAATAATGTCTCCAAAGAGGACGAATTTTGTCTTGACCACCAACATCCCAAACGTTGAATTTTACATTTTTGTATTGTACAGTTTCAACATTGAAACCAACTGTTGGGATCGTTGTAACGCTCTGATTCAGTTTAAGTTTGTATAGGATCGTAGTCTTTCCTGCAGCGTCCAAACCAAGCATCAATATCCTCATTTCCTTATTTCCAAAGATTTTGCCCATGGCCTTGGAGATTGAGCCACCCATGTTTGTTGTATGTGAAGTTGTTGGTAGAAAGATGAAAAGTGAAAACGCGTGAGAGGTTGAATCAAAGAACGTATTTCGGCCAGGTAAAAGAGTGTTGCCAGCAGCCGAGATTGTACGTCGAGATTTTAATGGGAAGCAGATTGGTTGGTGAGTATTTTGTGATTGCCTTGTTTTTGAGATTATCGAAGTAACAAAGCAAGAAAAGTTCGGATAGTGACTTCATTAGGAGGAAAGGAGTTTCTCGCCCGCACGCTTAATCTTTTGCTTTCTTTACACACACACTCATCTGCTGATATCTGCAAGTTGTCCCTTTCTTTAGAACAACAAGAAACGCGTACGTTCACTGCTTGCCTGCATAACTCAACCGCGCAACACCAGCTAAAAGCTTTACCCAAGCCCTTCCTTTTGATTTCATTAGTGATAGAATACGCTAATAATAAAGCGGTAGCCCCGCGATTGACTCTGTTTAAGGCTTGAGTGCCTGCCTGCTTTGTTTTTATTATTATTAAAGCTCAGCATATCTAATTTTGAGGCTGGGGACCTGACAAGCGCTTACATGCTATGCTGCCTGCCTGTGGAGGATATGATGGTATGTGCGTTTTGTGTTGTTTGTTACCATCACCTTATCATCACCTTAAGTAACGTTTAGCAAGAATCATCCTTGAACAGGCTTGCAATCTTGCTCAATGGTCACTTTGAAAAACTCATTGCCTTGAAGGTGGCGTGATTGGAAACAAGGAAAACAGGGTATCAGGGAGCGTGGAAAGTCATTGTGTCAAAGATGTTCTCTTACCTGTCTTCAGCATTTTCGGCTTTGCCATTCTCGAGCCTAGCTGCAAGCTCTCTATCGTCGGCTCTGCAGAATAGGATATTGCACTACCTCCTAAAACGAGCATTAGGAAGAATAATAAAAGATGGCGACCTCAAATTGGATCAGATCGAAGCAGGTATCGTGAATGGAACAGTAGAAATTCGAAACGTTCATTTGAATTCTGATTTCATCAATGATGCTTTACGACAATCACCATTTCGTATGGATTATGGGCTGGTAGGATCGATCTTTATCAATATACCCTGGTCGAACTTATGGGCTGGTCAATTGAGCATTGCAATAGATGATGTCGATGTAGCGCTTTTCATTGATGGTTCACATATGTCAAGTGATATGTCAACATCCATGTCGGAATCCATCTTGAACGTTGCAGAAGATGTATTTGAACAAGATGCAGAGGGAAGAGAAATCGAAGAGAGCATTGCATCTTTGGTGGATGTATCATCGGATATGGAAGAGCAACCGCCGGAAGCGTCAAGTCAAGGTTGGGCTGCATATGTCGTTTCCTTAGTTGATGGTCTGATTGCTCGACTGCACGTCTCCACGAAGAATGTTCGCATACGCTTCAAAAACCAAGATCAGCCTGCCAACGCTCCTATCGACATTCAGCTCCGACTAGACGATCTCCAACTGAATCCGGACGAGGGGGACTTGACCAGGAATGAGCTATCGCGTTTGCTGACAATCTCGGGAGTAAGCTTATGGCTGGATGATAGAAGCTCGGATGACGAGGTCAATGATGACGACTCATCTTCTGCGGGCTCGGAATCTTACATGCAATCTAGCCATGCAGATTTGAGATCGACGATGACCGAATCGATGGCCGAGAGCATGTATGCTAGCGCATACGGTGGCGATGAGGATGATGGAAACGCTTCAAGACGGGCGATCCCTCTAGGTCCCCATATAATTGCAAGAAGTGTGGGTGAATCGATTGATGTTCGTATGAAAATGATGCGCACCCAGGTTGGAAGCAGGAACACTTTGGTGAATGTATCGGTGGGAATACAATGTGGACTTGGTGCCATCTTAGTGACACCCGATAGTCTTGGCGCTGTATTGAGATTTTGTCAAGATGCTTCTTCGACATTTACTGCTCTAAGCACGGACGATGGCAAAGCAGAAGCAAGGATAAAGTCAAGCTCAACAGATTACGAAGCGGATCTTCAGGTCACAAGCAAAGGTTGCCATCTCATTTGCGCATATGAATTCGCTTCGCTGATGACACCACATTCGTTCATGGAATATCAAGAATCTGTGGAGAATTACTGGCTTCGACCAGGTCGCAATAGTCCACTTGCAGGTCACTTTCGACTTCGTGTGCAGGACTTTGAAGCACGTACGATGATCAACCGACAAGGCACGCAACTATCCCTTCAAATAGGCGACATGGGATTCTATGAACAACTTGCGGTATCATGGACCACGCAGAAGGAAGTCAATTCTCTATTACCTATTCTCATCTTTGACAAGGGATTGATAGAAGAAGAAGATGAAGAGAAGGGAAATGCACATTACGCTACCGATTGGCGCGCTGCTTCCATTAAAGGTGCAGAGAAATCCAAATCAGGTATGCTCTTCCGCAAAATGGACTTTTCCGAGCAAGGGTGGAAAGTGAAGTCACGCAATCGTCGGCAATCGTTGCCTTTGGGTTCTCCATCAGTTGACCCTTGCATTCGATTAGAAGGGTGGTTGAGCAAGAATCCCTCTCGTGAAGAAGAAAAGGAAGGGGTCAGGATACAGTCTCTACCTATTCATCTCTTTGTGGACAATACCACAGTCGATCGTACCTTACCATTAGTGCACCACCTTGGCTTGAAAGCGCGACCGCAAGGAAAAGACAAGTATGGCTTTGACTCAATGGCTGCCTCTTTCGAGACTGTACATGCACACATTCCCACATCGCAAAGCGATGATGAAACGGTCGAAAAGGAGCAAGCTAGTATTCTCCCAATCGCGTTCTCGTGCGATCTACTGCGAGTACAGCTCCGCATCTCAGCTACCTCCAACACCAACACCATGCAGGAAGGGCCGAAGAACGTTTCCCTACGCTCAGGCATAATGACACTCGATTTTGAAGCCATTGAAATTGCACAGAAGCAGCATCTCAGGGCGAGCAAGATCGAAAAGCACAATCTTAGAGGAGTCCACTTTGAATCAGGAAACGAGTCACCCAAGCTGCACGACATGAATGTCTCTGACAAGTACGAGAAAGATTGTAACAAGTCATTAAAGGTTTCACTGAGACAGATCAAAGCCTATTTCACCGATCTAGAATCTCATCAAGCACACTCGATTGCTTCTATTGGATCGTTGGGGTCTGAAGATCATGTTGACACGCCATTACCACCTACGATCGAGTATAGATCCTTCGAAGGTCAAGAATCGCAAGATGCTCAATCGATCGCTGATTGTAGACTACCTCTGATCGAAGTTACCTTGTCAAAGCATCTTCTTGATCGAATCGAGCTCATGGCAGATGATCTGTCGCTATGGTACACCAACATACAAGATTGGAAGGTGCATTCGGAAGTAGACAATGCAGCAGAAGCACTCAAGATTTTGGGAAGTCGATTTTTTGGTGCCAAACAAAGCTTTTCAACCCTTTCGAGTAGCTCGGAATTGACTGAAATTGGTGCCCGTAAAGCCAATCAAAAGCCTCTCTTTGCCTTGGCTATTCAAGAAGCTGAGGTTAAACTCTTGGTTGGAAGTAGCGATAATGAAAAAGAGGTTTTGTTGCACTCCAATGACATCTTGATCCATTTTGATGCTCAACATGCAGCCAATTCGACCCGAACGACTGTGTCAATTGCAACTATTGATGTTACTCACCGTCAAGATAGTGACGGGCCAAAGAATGTGATATTGAAGCGTACTTTGCAGCCCTCAATCACACGTCGTGCTGCTCCTATGCTATCCGTTCAGATCACATCTACTACAGAACCTGGCACTTCATATCGTGGATCGCAAATTGATCTCCTGGCTCAGAATTTCACTTTTGTTTATGATGGGAATGATGCGATTGTATATGACCTGTTGGCCTTCACCCGTTCACCAGAAGGTGCTTTCGAACACGTTCAACCTAGCGAGATGACAAAGATTGCCGTGCAGATCAAAGAGGCGTCCTTGGAAATTTCTCCGCCAAAGGTACCAGCGCTTGCTGTCGTATGCATTGGAAATCTGTCAGTAAGAACTAAGCTTATATCAGACTACCCAAGAAGCAGTTTGCGCATCAATCTTGGCGAAACGAGTCTTTTGCTAGGAGAAGGCGTGAAAGCGGATCAAGAACGTGAAGTTCGAGCAAGAAGATCGATTGAATTGTGGACCGTACGAGGACTTTTCAAGACTGTTAATGTGGATGACGTACGCTCCACGATTGTGTTGAGCAAGTTGACCAGGCCAGAAATTGACGTCAAGGTGTCAAAGATGGCCGTTGAGATTTTAGCTTGCGCAGATACGTTACATTTGGTACAAAAGTTGGTCGAAGCATTCCCTAAACCAACAAAACCAGCTAAGTCGAAAGAGAGCGGCCAAAGGCAAGCTTACACTGGTACTGAGAATATCTTTTCAAGCATTATTGAGGATACATTTAGAAGGGCAAAGGGATGGAATGCATCCGTTGATTTGGTGGATGACGATATCCCACGACATCCCGCTTTCTTGAGGGAAAGTGAGAGAGGCAGCAAGGAAGATGTGATGGATGCAATGTTGGACGAAGAGTTTCTCGATTCAGCTGATGAAGAGAAAGGAAAACGAAAGAACAAAACAGAGAACAAGAGCGCGATCCTTCTGCAAAATGATGTTGTTGCTGTTCGATTGTTGGATACGGAAAATGGAATTGCACCTTCTAGCAACTACTTCACAGATCCCAACCTGATTGCTACAGATAATTCGACAAGTAATGGAGATCAAGCACCTTCTCTACGCTTCACTGTACAGGACTTTGACTTGGTTGTGAGGCTCTTTGCTGGATACGATTTGGTCTCTACTAGGACTGCATTGGAAGAAGAGGCAAAGCGTGTTCGCAGACGCTTACAAAAGATTCAACAAATGCTCGATCAAGGACAGGTGCCCGATGATAGTGTTGAAGAAGCAGCTGCTTCACTTTTTGATTCTGTTCACCTACCTTTACCTCATGGCAAGGCGGCAGTCGAGATGGAAGCTGGGGAGCTGATGAAGATTGTGGATGATGAACTGGATGACGGAAGTGAGTCTGCTTCTTCTGCCAGTACCTGGAAGCAATTTGTGCCGGGTAGACTATCTTCTTCAGGCTCTTCTACACCGACAAAGCGCAAGAGAAGCAAGATGGCAAGGTCTAAGGATTCTTTGATCGATATTGAGCTGAAGGGAATACGACTTGATCATCAAGAATTTCGAACAAAGGGCGATCTATCTTCTCGTACAGATGTGCAGATTCTCAAAGTACGCATTCTGGACAATGTGCCCACGTCGACTTGGCAAACGTTCTTGACCAGTTTAGCAGCCAATACTCGGGATGTCCGCTCTTCTTCAAATCCGAAAGATATGGTACGCTTTGAGATTTTGAATGTGTTACCGACCATCGAAGGAGACGCAACAGAAGTTCGCTGCAAAGCAAGAATTTCGCCTCTCCGGTTGCATGTCGATCAAGATGCGCTAGACTTCCTGAAAAAGTTTTTCACGTTTGAATTGCCGAAAGGAAGACGTTCAATCGACGCACGCAATGATGACATTCCTTCGCCAAAGACGGAGAAAGACGAGCAGGGCCCGTTCATTCAACATGCAGACATTTATGCCATCAAACTCAAGCTAGATTACAAGCCAAAGAGGGTAGATTATCGATTGTTAAGACAAGGCAAAACGATTGAAATGATGAACTTTTTCAATTTTGAAGGAAGTGCAATCACGTTACGTCATATCACACTTCGTGGAATAATGGGATGGCCGAAATTGTTTGATACTTTGAACGAATTATGGACGCCTGACGTGAAATCGAATCAGCTTGCAGACGTTCTTAGTGGAATAACGCCGATACGAAGTCTGGTCAATGTAGGAAATGGAGTTGCAGATTTGATTTTGCTGCCTATCGAACATTATCAACGTGATGGAAATTTCAGTAGAGGATTTAGGGAAGGTGCGAAACGATTTGTCAAGAGTACAGCGTTGGAAGCTGCACGGATCGGTGCTCGTTTGGCATCGGGTACTCAAGTGATACTGGAACGTGCTGAAAACGTGCTTGGAGGTGATTTGAGCGGTAGAGAGGGCACATCGACATACGTTGCAAATATGTCAAGAGAGGAAAGGGATATGGCAGAAGAAGGATCAATTTTGATCTCTGATGAAGAAGAAGTGGAAGAAGGGCAGGCCAAAAAGGCAAAATTCAGTCGATTTGCCAATCAGCCAAACGATTTACGTCAAGCAATAGACGAAGCACAAAGAGGCATAAGCAAAGGTTTCAATGAAGCTGCTCAAACGATCTTGGCTGTTCCGATGGAAGTATATGATCGTAGAGCAGGCGAAGGAGGCTCAAAACCTGTTGTTCGAGCTGTTCCGATTGCGATCTTGCATAGTGCTGCAGGAACATCGGAAGCCATTTCGAAAACATTGCAAGGCGTTCACCGTGAGTTGTCCGGCGTTCATTTAGCTGACGATGAAGAGGAGAAATACAAGAAGCCAAACAGAGGCGCTTCTACCAGTTCCAGAAATACCACTTCAAGATGATTAGAGGGATTTGTATTTCTAATTCACACACATGTACATTAAATATAATTTTTGTTCCAGAGTTGATCGTTTCAACCAAATGACACATTGTGCAAAGAGTCCATTTGTTGTACAATTGGTAAGAGAAGCGGCTTCTGAGCCATCTGTCTTGGCAAGATTTGTTGCGGCCTACCGAAGTACAAAGCATTGCGAAATGCTTGTATTGCTGTGAGAGATGCGTGTGCGGATATGGCTGAATTTGTTTGGTCTCTTCGACGTGACAAGATGTTGCTCGTGTTTGGCACTGTCAAGGTTGGGGCTATTGCGTCTTTCGATTGTTGATGGACATCTTTATACGAGGGGCAAAGTTGCATTTGCGCATCTTTATCGATAGATGGTGGCAAGTTCACAGCTGTATCATTGATGGAACCTCCTTGCTCGACAAATGGTCTCGTTGGACAGCAAGCGGCATCTTGTTGAGGCCAATCGCTTCCCCACGCTGCAGGGTCTTGATATCCATTCCAATGCTTACAGTCCACCATTTCATATACAACCCACCAAACACCATAATCGTTATGAATTGAATCCAGCGGATAAAAGCCCTTTGGGATTGCTCTAGAAGGCCAAGCCAGATCAAAATGAATCACGCTTCCCAGCATGTTTGGCTTGATCGTCTTTGTTTCTGTATTGTATTCTTGTGAACACCAAGGCCCGCCTTTTGGACAAGAATCAACAACTTTGACAATGACTGAAGGTGCATTTGGATCGCCTAGCATGAATTGCTTTCCATCACCGTCCGGCGGCAAAGGTGAGTTGGGTGTAGAGAGTAGAGTGAGCCTATAGCATTCACCACATGAAGGCCCATAAGCGATATCTGATCCGAACGAAAGTGCATTGATGGCTACTGTAGGATAATAAGTTGACCTTCCAACGCAACCACAAGAGGCAACATAATCCAAAGGTAAATCATAATGAGTCATTGTTGCATTTCCATAGGTGAGATTGAGAGGGATGATCTCCGCTCCAGTAACGGGAAAGGTTGCTTGCTGTTGCGATAGAGTGAAGAATGAAAGTATACATACTGCCCGGAATGTATTAGAATGGAAAAAGACAATCTTGAGAGAATTCATTGTTTTGTCGAGAGCTATTGGAACATGATGAGATGAGGGAACGGAATCAACAAAGACAAAAGAGTAAAAGCGGGGAAATACAGATTGTCTCCCTTTCGGCGCCGCATTGTAAACAAAATTCAGATTGACGGATCACATTGGACAGAATCACTAATAGTCCAAATGTCGCGTCCTTTGAATCGAGTGACGGCCTCCGTTGCTTCAAAGATTGCATTCTCACCTCACCATCAGTACAGTATGATTGTTGATTAGAACTTGGTAGTATAATCAGCTGTACAGCTGTTCAAGTCCTTTACATCCTTTACAGGTTGATGTCACTAGCCATTCCTATTCTTCCTTTTGTCCACAGTGCCATCATCCTCGGCCTTAGCATTCTTCAATTCTTTCTTCCTTTGCGCTTTCTTGTGATATTTTAGGCGTTCCTCATGTCTCAACGATTTCAACTTTTCTAATTGACTCGAAGTTGCTTTACCTGATCGCTCCAATTCCCTGAGCCTGTTTCTTTCTTGTTCCTTACGTGTACTGAATCCACCATAATAATGGGCAGTTCTACGTTTTCGTGCAGATTCATTGTTCATCAACCTTGTTCGGTCAAGAGAGGCTTTTCTTTCTTCTGCAGGAAGAGCTTTAATGCGTTCTTTTCGCTGCAAACGCCATCCCTTTTCTTTCTCTTGACGACTCGCTCTCAATGCTGCTTTACGAGCAGGATCGTTATTCAATTTTGTATTGTATCTTATCCTTTGTTGTTTTTTTAATTCTTTCTTATGATTCTTCCGCCAAATCTCTATCCATTCTTCATCAGAATGGAGACTCTGCTTCGAACCAATTGGTTCATGCATAGGATCTTGAACTTCAATTCTACTCTCTTCCATCTCTTCGGCAGCAGGCTCGTTCAAATCTGGAATCGGTTCAGATCTTCTATTCTCTCCTTGCGAATTTCCCGTTGCTACACATTCCGAAACGATGTACAGGAGAGCAATGACGAGAACGCATTTCTTTAACCGCATTGTCATCATGAATATAGGAAGCATGTGTTCCCTCTAATAAAACCAAGACGGTGTTTTCCTAAAAAATTTCACCAGTCGAATGCAATTGCTGTGTCAGCGTATGCTGCAAGAAGAGGGGGCTTATAGGACGGCTTGACACTTCAGAAGCACCATTTTTCGGCGACAGAATCGGATCTGCATGACTAGATGCAAAGTCTGAATGCAAGCCAGTGCCTCTTACCGCAAACTTTCATCCCTGTGCATCGAATCGCAACGACAATCACGCTCATGATGTACACTGTATCCATTGTTAACTATTCTGACAGATTCCTCATCCCAATCGTACACCGCCTCTACGTGCAAGGGCCAAAGCGATCCATCCAGCAATGAATGCCATTCCGCCAAAAGGTGTTGCCGGTCCCAAAAATGATCGAATCTTATCGCCTTCTTTCGTGAGACACAATCCATAAATACTACCCGAAAACAGGGTGATTCCAGTTGCGAAACAATTACTACTGATTTGCAATGCTCTACTGGAAGGTTGATTGGCGATGAATAACAAAGCTGCTGAGTGGATTAATTGATAGTATGTTGCTGTTTGCCAAGAAGATTGTTGATAGGGCGTCAGACGTTGTTTGAGTGCATGTGATCCAAATGCTCCTGCGATCACGCCTGCAGCTCCAGAAATGCAGGCAAACTGATGGAAGAAGACGGATCCTGGCATGTTGTACGAATGATTTGTAGATGTGTGTTGTGGTATGAAGAGGGTTCGGCTGATAACGATGATGACCTTTACAAGCATTATCTAAGAATCAAATTTCCAAAATTAACAGCACGGGCCAGAACGATAACTTTCACCATCTTCGGCCGATTTTTTACCTCCTGAGCCACCCGAACCTCCTTGTAGAAGCAATTAGCATAGGCAAACATGACGAATCATTTTCCAGTTATTATTTCTCTCTTACGCTTTGCTAGAACTTTTCTGATTTCTTCGGCGTCAATGAAAGATTCAGAGTATGGATTTGTGTGACTTGGTCTTGAAGTATAGGTACAAAGATGAAGCTTTAAATGGCAAGGTTATGATACAGGTGGGATGGGGTGTATAGGAGAAGCGTAGGAAATTATACAAGCGTGGCGCGTTGCTGGACAGTGAGCGCTGAGAGGAAGGTGTGCGAGCGTTAAGGGGTTTGTTTGTTCGATAAGCCTGATGGTATTCTGATGTACAAATGATCATCAAATTTTTCTTGCATTCTTGTCTTCTTCTTGTTCTTGAAATACATTGCGTTGAGTTAGTCTTGTCAGCTCTTCGAATCTTGAATTTGATCCATTTCCCTACATTTGCTTGCTGTTTGAATCAGGTTTGTCAAGGTTCAATTGTTGTACTTCCTTTTTGAGTTCCACAAAAAGGTCACAAACTTCACGATGGAATTTGATGCGGAAGCGTTCAATGGTCGCCTCGATGGCGCTCACATTTGTCTCAGAGGCAGAATCTTGAAAAGGCACAGGACTTGAGCTTGGCGGATTACTGCTCATCACACGTTGCACCGGTGGTGGTGGTGGACCTTGTCTGTTTGCAGGTTGAGCCTGCGTATATCCTTGCGGACTAGGTCGCGGCGTCATGACCGGTCTCGAGGCCGGCAATTTGTTAGGCATTTGACCCGAATTCTGATCGTTGTTCGTCTTTCCAGGGCCCAAGAGCTGAGCTTCATCCTCATCGAGAGGGGTGGTCAAACAAGCTTGCGTTAACGCATTTACTGACTCTTGACTGGCGGGGCGCTCTTCCACTGTAGCTTGGAGAATCACATATGTCAGCATTCAGTCGGAATGACTGTCATCTTAATCAGTCATTGAAGTGTCACTCACCATTGCTGTAACGCAAGCCTTGTGGTTGGGGTTGGGATTGATTTTGTTCTTGTCTTGGTTCACCAAAACCTATTTGAGCTTGCTGTTGGAATCTTGCCTGGGCTTGTTCGATATGTTCTACTTTGCGCATCTTGTTAGGACCATGTTCTAGTAGAAGCAGGCAGCAGAAAGGTTAGTTTAACGTGGAAAGAACAGCATATATGCGCTCAAAACTCACCATTTCCAACCTGATGCCCAACCACGTTAGCATATTTTCTGAAGCGATCTATAGTAGTCAAAGGAGGTCTTGCATGCTCCATTGGATTTCTAAGCATGAAGCCTGTATGGGAATGGTTCGGTACGCATTCAATGATATTCACTGCTGTGATTGATTTTGAACTTACCTTGCCTTTGGGCCTGCTCGTACGATGAGCCAAACCCTCGTTTTTGCTGTCCTGCCTGTTGATTGACAGGAAAGTTGAAGCCATAGCCAGTGCTTTGGCTTTCATTAGTGATGTATGGATTCATCTGGAATGTTCTGTATGAAAAAAGAAATTTGTTTCGGTATGAAAAAGAAAAAGGTGGTGGTGGTAGTGAATAAATGCGCAACAAAAAGTCAGCTTGCCTCTCAAAAAGCACAAAACGCTTTACTTGTGCACTCAACAACAAAACTCAGCCTTTTCAGACTCACTCACCTTGATTGTGCTACACTTTGCCGTGAAGCTTCAAACTTGTACCTCCCATTTGAGTAAGACATTCAACACAAATGAATACAATTTCAATTGTACTCCCCATACGCGTTTCTCTACAGCCTGATTTTTGCTTACCTAAGCTGTATTCTTACGCTTTATTTGCCAGTTTGTTGTATTCCTATCAAATGAAGCTGCCTCTCCTTCATTAACACTGCTTGACAGCTGTACCATCGATGTCACTTGATGAGTTTGACTGCGTACAATCCTTCCATGATGAATGACATTGATCCAAGCAAGCAAGCTCATTCAATCAAATCAATCCAGCCAGCCAAAAAGCGCAAACGCGTACAATGCACTCTGCCTGTGGCAAGGCCATTTTCTTGGTATTACGCAGCGTCGGCAGTATGTTTTTCGCGTTTTTTTAGACATTCTCATTCTTAGCTCTTTTTCCGTTAACTCTTTAAGAAGCTCTTTACTCTCACCCGACATCCATTCGATCATCAGAATCAGCAAGGCAATTCCGAAAGATCTCGGTAGAAAAAGATTGGATAATTGTGCTCTTTTGATCTGTTTACTGAAGCAGGTCTCTTAAGCTAATCTGACGCTTGCTGTGTTCCAACCAGTCTGGTCATTCCACCAAGACTGCAACACAAAGAAGATCGATTAGACTTGCCGAAGATTATCACGTCTTGCTCTTTCTTCAAATCAAGCTTCCCTCTCCCACTTCAGCATTAGAAACAAGAGAGCATATCGTCACGATTTAGCAGAGATGGCTCCCCCAAGACGTGCTGCAGCCGTTTCAGCTGCGTCAAATCTAGCTGCTTCTGCTCCCAGTAACAGAAGTGCTTCTCAAAGCACGCCCAAAGGCAGCAACAGCAAAGAGAATGGAAAGCAGTCTCAAAAAGATGCAGCCTCTACCGTACCAGTCGCATCATCTTCAAAACCGCCAGCGCCAGTCATTCCACTCAGCCCGATCATTGCAAGACTACGGACGATGTGGAAGTTTGCTGCCATCTGCCAATTCTTGTTCACCTTTGATGAGGCTTTCGGATTCAGCGGTTTCGAATCAGATGCTCTTGAAAACGATCTGAATGGAACTGAAATGCAAGTCATTCCAGACTTATTCCGAAGACTGCTGTATACACTTACGCTCAATCGGAATATCAGCGATGAAAACTGGGAAGAACATCTGCGGAAACAATACATCAATCGTGATCCTGATGCTCCCCTACTAGGAACAATAGAAGAACCCCAATCATGGCATGCGCTACCCTTACAGCAAAAAGTTGATTCAATACATACATTGTGCGAATGGCAACTATGGGATGCTGAAAAGTTCCGAAAGCTTGTCAAGAACGAAGAAGATGCAGAAGTTTGGAGGATAGATCCGATCGGTTGGGATGCAGAAGATAATACGTATTGGTTATTCGATGATAATCGGTTATGGATCCAACATCCTCCTCCGGCCCCACCTGCAGCACCTAAAGCAAAAGCACCACCGAAAAAGTCATCAAAGAAAGCAAAAGCAGAAGCTCGTAGGGAGGCACAAAAGAGAAAGAGAGAAGCCGAAGCCAATGCTTCTACTTCAAATATTGGGACGCCAGCAAAGAGTGCTCGCTCAACACCTGCAAAGCCATCAGCTCGTCTACCACGCACACCTCCAACCAGATCGTCACCCAGGAGTAGGTTAGCCAATGGTGAATCAGCTCCAAAGCAATCGAGGTCGACAAGAAGCAGTAGACGCACAGGAGAATGGGAAGAAATTCCAGCTGAGCTTTTGTATGATGGAGATTCTGACCTTTCTGATCCACCAGAAGATGATACTACAGCCGTGGAAGTTGACACGACTGCTGACGTGAGCATGAAAGATGAAGGAGATGAGAGCGAGGCGATCAAAGAGGAAGATCTAATAGAAGGAGAAGGAGAGACAACAGAAGCAGAAGAGGAAGATCCCGCTGTAAAGGACGAAGATTCCACTCATGCTCTAAACGGAATTTTGAAGGAAGAAGAGAATGACAAGACTGGTGAGGCAGATGTGAAAGAAGAATCTGTGCAGCCTGAAGTAAAAGAAGAGGAGAAACCTGAATGGATTGAATTTGAGGCTTTGGTCGTTACACGTCAGGAATGGGAATGGATGTCAACTCGGTTCGCCAAATCGAGGCATCCCGATGAAAAGGCACTGCACCAATTACTCAAAGATACTGTTCTACCAAAAGTGATGGCCGATATGGACGAAGCTGATAAGCAAAGGGCTCATGAACTTGCAATGGCAAATCGCAAGAGAAGTAGTCGTATCGCACTGAAAGAAAGCGAACGTGAGGAGAAGGAACGTGATAGAATTGCACGTCAAAAGATGGAGGATAAGATGGCTGCCATTCGAGCTGAAGAGGATGAGAAAGTTCGTAAGGAGCAAGAAGAGATTGTTTTGGCACGTACACGTGAAGAAAGGTTACGAGAACGTGAGGAGAGATTGCTGGCTCGAGAAAGGGAAGCAGAAGAGAGAGTGCAACGAGAAATTGATGAAAGAGAAGAACGAGAAAGGTTACGTGAGATGCGCAAATTGAAGCGCGAACAAATTATCGCAAATGGAGGTCAACCTCCTGATGACGATCAATTGCTGGATGCTCAAGGTGCAGGTCAGGATGACGATAGCTGGGAATTGGATTGTGAAATATGCGGCAAAAGTGGAATCAATTTGGACGATACAGAGGAAATTGTCTGTTGCGAGCAATGTGGTATATGGCAACATACACATTGTTGGAACGCATTCGATCGTAAAGTAGGTAGGAGCAAACGTGATTGGGAAAATGAAGATTTCTATTGTTCCAAATGTCGACCTCCTGCTCCTGGTCAACCCCGTCCTCAAGGACCTACATTCCAGTCAATCCCTCAACAAAATGCTTCTACACAATCCAGTAAAGCCAACACGCCTGTCGTGCCTTCACAAAGGAGTCCAGTTCAGGAGACATTCTCATATCCTTCCGCAGCTGCTTACAGTGCTGAACGTAGTGATAGGCAACAGAACTCTTTTCCAAATTACACGACGTTGTATGGCAATTATCAAAATAATATGCAACAACCTCCTTATGGCTATCAAGCCCCTCAGCAGCAGCAGCAGCAGCCTCATTACCCTTACCCTTCACCTTCACACCCTACGAACGTGCCTCAGCCTGTACGACCGCCTTTCAGTCAATCTCCTCCTACGTCTGCAGATCAAGCAGCAAGGAACGTTGCAGGAGGTGCACCTTCACAAGTATCAAACCCAGTGCACCAAGCACGTCCATCACAACCTGTTCCACCTTATCAGCCGCCAATGCAGACATTACAAGGATCACAGCAGATGGCTTCGAGGCCTCTACCTATGCAAGCACCTCCAAGCAATGCAATGAGTGCTCCAAAAGTTCCTCAATCGATTGCTGGTGGTGGGCAAAATGTTCCAGCAGCTTCTCCTCGACCTCCCCAAAACCCTGTCGGACAAAATATTCAGCATGCCGGCGCACCTTCGCGAGCATCTCCGACCGGTAGTCAGACTAATGGAGCATCTGCACCACCACCACCCCAACACTCTCCTGGAGCAGGAAAGCCTAATGGCTCACCATCTTATGGTGGTCAGAATGCTCCTCAAGGCTATCCTGCTCGATCGCCTGGATCGATGAATGGCAATCAGCCTTTACCACGCAATATCTCAAATCAACCAAGTGGTTCATTCCCAATGCGTCATACGCCTGCTCGTTCGCCTCTCTCGGGACCTCATCGCGAGTCACCTTTGTCGATGCCAAGTATGTCGATTGGTCCACCTGTGAGATCTGTCAGCCCTTCTCCTGCTACTGGATTGAATCGACAAACACAACAAACAGCACAAGGTACGCCTCTCACAGCCGGTCGACCACCACAACTGAGTCACGAATTGTTGCATAGTAGACAACCATCAACTGGTTCGGCAACAAGTGCAAGTTCATCTGCACAAACGCCAGATTCTGCCGGTGCAAAAGCATTGTCTGCTACTTCAAGCCAAGGTCCAGGTCCAATAAGCGGATCGTTAGCACGTCCCTCGTCAATGCAATCGCCAAATCGACCTCCAGCAAATTTGCCAAGTGTGCCGGCAGCACCTCCGGTGGAGAAGATCAATGCAACACCTGTTCAAAACGTGCCAGCATCATCGGCAAGCACTGGGACACAACCAATCCAGCATGCAAATGGAATGTCGGATCAGACCTTGAACAAAAGTCTTCCTTCCGCTCCAATCCCCGTCTCTGATCGGCCACAAGAAGCACAGAACGCTCCCCAAGCTGTATCAAACACAGCAGCTCCATTGACAACTTCAACATCCAATCCAGCTCCACAACAATAAGCAAAGTCCTCATAAAACGGTAAATTATAAATATTTAGTACAATACTCAGCAATTTCACCTGTGTACAATTCAATGCAAAGCTTTTTCGATTACATTTTGTTCTTTTTTATTTCCTGCATATTACACATTCTACGTTTTTATTTTGGTGTGATTATGATATTGTACATATTGTTTCTTTGTACTATTCTTCTTCTTCGTCTCCCTCGCTGACCGCACTCAATCCTTCTTCCTCATCTTCTTCTTCATCTACGTCTGAGTAATCAGGATCATCGTCGTCATCTTCGTAGTCGTCATTGTCCTCTTCTCCATCTCCTTCTTCTTCCTCTTCCTCTTCTTCTTCGTCGTCGCCATCTACGTCATCCATCGACAATCGTGCACTTTGACGAGTAAAAGAGAATGGTTGCGTGCTAGCACTTGCACCGCTAGATGAACTTTTGTTCTTGTCACTTGAGATTGGCTGTAAATCCTGCAAACCTTTGAAAGTGGTTGCAGTAGATGAAGCAGCGGCATTACCAAAACTCGAAAAACTTGGATTGCTATTGTTCATACCAAACGAAAATCCATTCTTGACTTCATTTCTTGGTTGAGTTGGTGGTGACCAAGCTCCAAAGCCAAACGCTTTGGCATTCGCTTTAGGATCATTTTGCGGTTTTAGAGGAGGAGTTGTAATATCCAAAGGCTTTGCATCCGTACCTGACTTACTGCTGATCTGGGATGCAGGCATCGCGAAAAAGTCGGCCTTGAACGTTGACGGTGTCTCTGAAGGCTGTGGAGCTTGCAAAGCCACCGCAGGCTGTCTTTTGCTTGATTTCGAATTGTGGTGTGTACGACCGAATGAATTTTGCCCAGGCGCAAATTCATTCGAAGTCATTGATCGTGGTGCAAAGGATCCCGATGATGAGAAATCAAGGGCACCTGGAGGCAAGGTGGCCCCAAAGTTCAAAGCAGGTGCACTTGGACCTTTTGCATTTGCCTTTGTTTCCGCTGCAGTGAATGGTGTTGGCTCAAATTTGGGACCCGACTTTTGCAGAGAAGCATAGGACTTGGCAAACTCAGAGGCTTGTGATTCAGCCTTTGCTCTCTCGTCATCAGCCACTTTCTTTGATCTTGCCGCCTCTTCTGCTTCCCTCTTTGCTTTAGCCTCCTTCTCTGCTTCTTCTCTTTCTCTTGCTGCTGTCAATCTTTCTTGCCGACTCTCATCAAGGTTCACAGTACCTTTTGCAAAGACCATGTCCAAATCAGAAGCCTCAAACGCCTTTTCTTGTTTCAGCTCTCCATTGTTCCTTCTCATTTTCGTATTCAGCACAGGCTCTTTCCGGGCTTTGAGGAAAGCATCACGAATTTTATCTGCTTGCTTGTGTCGTTCATAGGCACGCAGTGCAGCACTATCCTGATCCTGTTTGATCGTGGAACTCGGCAGATGAGGAGCAATATTGCCCAAAGAAGGGAAACTGTTGTCGGCAAAACCAAACGAACGATCATCAAGCCCACCTAGCGACAATGAGAATAATCCATTCAATTCCTTCACTTCTTTGTTCGAGCGAGTGTTGAAGAGAGATTCATACGTCAACTCTAGCGCTTCCAGTTCCAGCAATTTTGCTTCAGCTGACCGTGTGATATTTCGTACGCTTCTGTTGATGCGATCGATACTTGGAACTTCCATGGGTTTTGCTTTGCCAAGTCTTGCATCTACGACCGATCTACGGATCATCTCCAACTGTCCATCAAAGTCTACAAGTGCTTGTCGTAGATCCAAGATTCCTCTGCGTAACTTATGCTGATTCTCTGTATGCTCGGGTCCCAATTGACGTACTTTGATCATCTTGCCAAAGTTCGGATCGCTCTTTGCACGTAAGAACTTTTCAATCTCTTCTTGTTTCAATTCCGTCTTGACCTGTTCAGCCCTCAATTGCTTGACACGAAATTCGTCTCCCTTGAAACCTTCATTAATCACGTCCAACTCCTTAAGAAGACTTTGTGCAATTCTTGACTTTGCTTCAAGTTCACCGAATGTCCATAATCCCGGATTTGCTAGATCTTCTGCTTCTAGCAATTCGTTACTCGATTTGCGAATCTGACTTTGGAACTTTGCACAATTTTCTACATTCTGTTTCAGGATGTCCAACTCTTTCTCCATGGTCAAGTACGTTTGTAAAAACACTTCCTGCAAACCTTGTCCTCGAACGTCATTTGGATTTGTTGTATCCACAGCAGGTACAGAAAGCTTCGGCGGGTTGGAAATGGGGGTTGATACTTGTTTCGGCGTCTTTGCTACTTGAGCGGGAATAGGAACAGCCGGAGCAACTGGCTCAACTGCAGCCTTTGGCTGTTGGTCTGTCTTTGGGGCAAAAGGTGACGGTGAAGCGATGGGTGTGGTGCTTTCCTTTGTCACTTGCTCCTCTTTCTTTGGCGTTGTTGATGTAGGAGCAAAGGAGAACCCTTTGAAGGGCTCCTTTGTTCCTTCATTGGGCACAGCAGGCTTGGACGATGCGAAGGAGAAGGCGGGTTTTTGAGCTGTTGCGTCTTTCTTTTCAACTGGACCAGCGCTGAATGACGATGCTTGTTGCGATGGCGGCTCATTTTTTGGTGCCGAAGAAGACGCGAAGGAGAAGGGAGGATACTGGACATCTGCATTCTTGCTCTGGGCAGTTGCAGGTTTCGACGGCTGCTCAGTCTTGGGGGCTGTAGAAGATGCAAAAGAGAAAGCAGGCTTTTGGGTAACTGCATCCGCACCTTTTGGTTCATTGTCCATCTTTGGAGCAAAAGGAGAAGGAGAAGCGATAGGAGTGGTGCTTTCCTTCGTGATTTGCTCGTCCTTCTTTGGCGTTGTCGATGAAGGGGCAAATGAAAAACCTTTGAACGGCTCCTTCGTTCCCTCATTCGGTGCAACAGGCTTGGACGATGCAAAGGAGAATGCAGGTTTCTGAGCTGCTGCATCCTTCTTTTCGACCGGGGCACTGCTCAATGTCGATGCTTGCTCAGTCTTGTCTGCAGAAGAAGACGCAAAGGAGAATGCGGGCTTTTGGTCGCTTGCATCCTTACTTTGTGCAGATGCAAATGCCGGTGGTTGCTGTGACGGCTGCTCAGTCTTGTTTTGCTCAGATTTGGGTGCAGGAGGAGATGCAAAAGAGAAAGCAGGCTTCGAATCAGCTGCACCCTTGCTCTCGGCAGATGCAAATGATGATGATTGCTGAGATTGCTGTTCAGTCTTGGGTGCAGAAGAGGCTGCAAAAGAGAAAGCCGGTTTCTTGTCACTTGTATCCTTGCTTTGAGCAGATCCGAATGCCGATACTTGCTGTGACGGCTGCTCAGTCTTTTGCTGCTCAGATTTAGGCGCAGAAGAAGACGCAAATGAAAAAGCAGGCTTTTGGTCATCCTTGCTTTGTTCCTCATCTTGTGCAGAGGCAAACGCCGATGGTTGCTGTGGCGGCTGCTCAGTCTTTGTCTGCTCAGCGCTAGGTACAGAAGATGCGAAAGATGCAAAGGAGAAGGCAGGCTTCTCGTCACTTGTGTCCTTATCTTGGGCCTTTTGTGATGGCTGCTCAGCTTTGGGTGTGGAAGAGGACGCAAAGGAGAAAGCAGGCTTCGAATCAGCGGCATCCTTACTTTGCGTAGATCCGAATGGTGATGGTTGCTGAGATTGCTGGTCAGTCTTGGTCTGCTCAGGTTTGGGTGCAGCAGAGGATGCAAAAGAGAATGCAGACTTCTGTTCACCTGCATCTTTACTCTGTCCAGATGCGAATACCGATGACGGCTGCTCAGTTTTGGATTCTGAGGGAGCAAAAGAGAATGCAGACTTGGTTGGTTTAGATGAATCGGTAGAAGCAAAGGAGAATGCATTTCCACCACTTCCAAACCCTGTTGTATTTGCTTTTGATGCAAAAGCACCAAACCCGCCCGAAGCAGGAGAAGCTGAACCACTACCAGAGAATGCTGAAAAAGCTGAAGGCGCTTTCGCGCCTATTTGTGCAGATTGTCCAAATGAAGGTGTGCTATTACCACTTTGACTTCCACCGAATGATCCGGAGCCAAAAGCAGAAGGTTGACCAAATCCTGATCCTTGACCGAATGATGTCTTTTGGCTAACTCCTGTAGGTTGCCCGAAAGAAGGTGTGCTGCTCCCGCTTTGGCTTCCACCGAATGATCCTGAACCAAAAGCAGATGTTTGACCAAACCCTGACCCTTGACCGAATGATGGCTTCTGACTAGATCCTGAGGTCTGGCCGAATCCAAATGACGTGCTCTGACCAAACGTAGGTTGACTGGTCTGTGATGCCGAAGTTTGTGGTACCGCTGCCGTATTTGATCCTTCCGATGTTGTACTGATTGTCATCGCTGAATCATTTGATTTGCTTTGCTGGCCTGGTGAGACCATATGCGTGTATGCGCCTGCCGATTGAGATGTATTGATAACATGGTAGGCTAGAAGAACACCATCATTGGTGTAAACCAACATGATTGGCACTGCTGATAACTTGCCCTTTCCATCTTCTCCTCGAGCAGCAGCTTGTGGATCATCGACCGCCTCTTCCGAAGTCACATCCATCTCAAGACCAATGGGTGATGTATCTGCACTTCTGTCTACCGACGAGAAAGGTAGCGCAGGTCGCGATGTATCCTCCAACTCAAGGACTTCCCAAGCAGATTGTCCAGTTTTTTCTGCTGAGCATCCCAACAACCCGACGTCTGTACTGCTTGTGTTTGCCATAAAGAGCATATGCTTCATAGGTTGCCAAGCCTTGAGCCAAGATACATATCGATGTCCTCGACGGGAAGTGTCACCAAATGGAGGAGCAGGATCGAAGAAATGGACAAATGTGATCTTGTTGTTTGCACTGGTATCTCGAAGTAGGGCGTAAATCTCGTACGCATGCTCGGGCTCTTCGGATGTTTGAGGTTTGTTGTAAGTGACAATGAATACGTGGTTCTCTAGCCAGAGAATATTGTCAACATAATAATCATCTGTGAGATCTTTTGCTTTTGGTAAGCTGCTCTTCAGCTCTCCCTCAGGCGTGACTTGTGCTATCTGACCATTTTCCAAACCCAGTGCCAATTGTTTGCCTTTGACTGACCAAGAGACTGAGGTGACCGGAACATTATCTGGGGTGCTGATATCACCTTGCCATTGTCCCGATCGTATGTTGAGCATGGCAACAGAGCCGCTCTGATTGGCATTCTCATCCTTTTTTGCGAAGATTACTGCACACAATTCTGGTCTGTCGGAAGGATTGGGTACAATCTCTCTCAGGATGAGATCAGGCGTTAATGGTTGGACAATGAAGGATGGCGAGGCTGAATCACTGTTTTGTAAAGCTTCGATTGACCATATGGCTATCCTACCGTTTGCCAAACCCACAACGATACTCTGCTCTGAGTCTGCTGTACGCAGGAAAGTAACTCTTTCGCCCAAGTCTGCGTTTGACTTTGTTGCAATTGATCTTAAAGGCTTCAATGTCGGTACTGTATCACGTTTGGCATCCTTGAACTCCTGCCGTAGGTCCCTCAAGGGGTGAAGAAGAAAGCCATCATTTGTGGCAGCAAACAAGAGTCCTCTTTGATTAGAGACGGCTAACAAATTTGCGTGTCCATCATTTCCAGGAATTTGCAACGGCTCTGAAAGTCGAACATTTACACCTTGTGCAAGTTGGCGGAGGAATGTGAAATCTGCTTGTAATTGATTTGCTTCGTGCACCTCACTTGCATCATTCATCGTTGTCAAATTGTAGCCATACAATCAATGCGTTGCAATGAACAATTGATATGAATGCTTAGTTGTGAGGTTGATGATGGTGAAGAATGTCAAAGTGCATCACACGCGTACAAACGCACACGACTTTCTTCGTATTTTTCTCGGGCCAGGCGCGGTGTATTTCTTCGCTTGCATGGACCTCTCGGTACCCCTTTCTTCTCTTTAACCGTGATTCTTGACAACAACAAAAGAGAAGATGATGGACGATTTCAACAAAATTTCACAATACATCGATCCAAAGAATCAGACTACATTCACTTCTGGCTTGCATGTCAACTTTAGGATCAAAAGCGATAATCTCTCAAGTTCAAAGAAGAAATCATTGCGGCGCTTTCTTGATACAGCCTCGTTAGCGAATCAATGCTGTATCATATGTTCGCAAGCCAACCTTTTTGGTCAAAATGAGAGCTGGCCAAGAGTAGACTGCGTGATCAGTAAAGATTTTGAGCGCTGTCTACTCTGCTTCATGCTGGACAAGACCCAAGCAGCATGCGGCGTAAACAAGACTTGCGGACCTAGCAAGGATACCCAAATTGAGCCAAAGAAAGGTGAATCAAGTACTCGCCCAAAGCCTAGGCCAAGAATGAGGGAGCCTATCCCTAAAGGTCGGCGAATTTCTTCCTCTCCTGAACCGGTCGCAACGACGAGCAAAAAGAGGAAAGGAAAAGAACGAGAAAGGGATCAAATACAATCTGACCCGTCAAAGGAGACTTCTTCTTCCTCATCTGCCAAACGAAGGAAAACAAAAAATGTAAGAGAACGTAGTGAAGCCCATCAACATTCTGAAAAATGCTCATGTTGCTCTTGTGTCAATCATTTAGACAGAGCATTTCAACAAATACGACAAATAGAACGCGAAAAGTTTGAGCAAAAAGAGAACATGACCGCTAAAATAAAAGATCTGGAGCACTTAATTGAGAAGAAAGATCAAACAATCGTTTCATTGAAACGCAAGAAAGTAAGTGATGTGGATTATGTGGCAAATTTACGCAAAGAAAATGAGATATACAGGGCGAAAGATAGATCCGCAAGAAAGCGCATATATGAGCTTGAGAAGGCTTTGCGGAATGTGAAAAGGTGTACAAAGAACGTATGAGATTGAATAGTGCTTGAGAGAATTTGTACCATGAGCCTGAGGGGCTATACCTCACCAAGAATGAGAGCAAGTAGTCTAGAGCGAATGACGATAAATGCTTCTGCCAACATTACGCGCTCTCAAACGGACAACGCTAAATCGATAGGTTTTTTTGTTTGGTGCACAAGCCAATAGCTCCTTCTTGATCATCACCACAATCTTGTCCGCCCGTTTTGTCTCAGCAAAGGTGATCGCAGATGGATTGAAAGTAATGTGGCAACGTCTAATACGATGGGTCTCGCTGAAGCAAAGGAGACAGCTACGCTCAGGATCAAATGGGCAGAAGAATGAAGGTCTCCTTTCGTTCAATACTATTAGCATTGGTCTTGTCATTCTTTTCTCACTTGCTGTGATCTTGCAACTTGCGTTATCGTTTGTCAATCTTTCAAAGAATTTGCATTTACAGCAAAGATGTCGGATGTCTCGTATGTGGCCTTCGTATATGCGCTATCATGCTCCTTCACCTGTTGGTCTAGATGCAAAATACAAGCTTTACCTTTATCGCGAAGCACCGCCGGGATCGACACCTTCACCTCCCACGGGCAGGCCAGCTCTGTTTGTGCCCGGCAATGCTGGGAGCTATGGCCAAGTGCGCAGTGTTGCCAGCAGCTCACATCATCTATATGAAAGAGGTGAAGGAATAGATAGCGTCAAGGGTGAAGTGGATTGGTGGACTGTAGACTTTAATGAGGACTTCTCTGCCTTCCATGGCGAGACAATGCGGGAGCAAGCAGTCTATCTGAATGATGTGATAGCCTTCCTGCAATCGTCGATCTATACGAATTCGACAAAGGTTCCGATTCTAGCGCACAGCATGGGTGGGATAGTAGCACGATTAATGACTTTGCAAGACAATCACAGGCAAGGAAGTGTCGAGACAATCATAACGCTATCAAGTCCGCATGCTTACCCACCTGTTCCAATGGAAACGGGACTTGAAGACATCTACCGAGAGATTGAGAAAGCGGCAGGAGACACATCAAATGACATCCTTCTGATCTCTTTGAGTGGAGGTATCTTGGATGATCAGCTATCGTCAGAAGCATCTTCACTTCGTTTGGCACGCTTATGGAAGCCTGAGGCATCCTTGTCCGCCTTCACATCCGGCCTTGCTGCTCTTTGGAGTGGCGTTGATCACTTGGCTATGATGTGGTGTGATCAGTTACGTGAAAGAATTGCTCGCGGTGTTCTGCGAATCGAAGGAGGCAAAGACAATATGAGCGAGAGGAGAGAAGCATGGAGACGTGTGTTGGGAATTGCAAGAAGTCAAGAGCTACAGCATTCTACCTTGCCGATTGGAGAAACTTCATTCCAGCTCTCCGAACTCGTTGCCGATCGCCAAGCAAGGCAAAATGTTCAAAGCGAATCATTTAACATTCCTGAGAGAGATATCACAGGATTCGAATTACTCACTAAGCATCCAGTTGGGCTGGACAAGAGCTTTGGTCCGCCTATGGATCAAGAAGCCAAAGTGAGAGTTGCTCTTTGCGATAGGGCCGAGAAGTGTCGATGGATATTGCCTTCCGCTTATGATCTCATCCCGCCATCAAGAAGCAAGGACAGATTGTCGAAAGATGGAGAATTTCCGACTTTTCCCATCTCTGACCATCGGTATGAGCTACCGGAGAACGGATTCCACTTTCTTTCAATCACAAAGGACGATCTAGTACGACATGCAACAGCAAGCATTCTGGTCGATGAATATCACAGAGAAGGAAGCTCGCCTAGCGGTTTTGTTTTTGCAGAAGGACCATTGTCAGTCCAGGAGCATTCGTCAAGCAGAGGCTTCCTTATTCGTGGGACACATCGTCAACCATCTACCGTAAACATAGTACGTGATATGGATTCAACTTTGCTTGCCTATACTTTGGAATTTATACCCACACATAATACATTACAAAGCTGCAAAGATTGGGTAGATAGTGCGCCAATGTTGCACGTAGAGAGCCTATCGACAGGTGACCAACAATGGTACCCAGCTGTGAACTCTGGCGAACGATTGAAGTTGATGTTGCATGGCTCCTCTCCGTTCATGCCACCATCGCGAGGACAGAATCGAGGGATGAAGTTCAACTTGATGCAAAATGATTGCGGCGAGATTGACTCAATAAAGATCAGCGTCGACTGGAAGACAAGCTTTGGGTTGATCTTGTCTCGATATCGCACAGGCATCGTTGCGCTGCCTTTGACTATCGTATTGTTACTTTCATCAATCGTTTGGGAACAATGGAATTATGGTGCTCCTTTTGTCGCAACGATAAGTGCTCTATCGGTGCATCTACCGTTTATTTTGCCACTCTTGTTGTTTGCTTCGTTTGCTGCTTCGATTTTGCAGAGGATTGCATTCCTACGTTTTGGTGTAGACGAATACACTCATATTACCAACCTCACCTTTGGCATACCCGCTTCTCCAATCTTGCACATCATTCTCTTGGCAGTTCTCTTCATTCCTACGGCCTATGGTATTGTAGTTCTGATGGCAGCGCTTCTCAACGTGGTAATCAGGTCGCTATCCGTCATGGGCAAGAGAGTATTGAGATCAGAGCAAAATCCAAGCAAAGAATCGTTGACTAAGAGAGATTTTGTCAAAGGAGCAGCCGTGTTTTCGCTTTTGGCATTGGCGATCTACCTCTTCTTGCCGATCCAATTTGTCTTTTTGGTTTTGTTCGTAATACAATTCATCAATACCGTCAAAGCGGTTGTGGTCGAATCTCGCAGTGACGAGAGAAGGAAAGAACACTCGACAGCAATTGCCAATCAGCAAGTGCTTCTTCTGAATATCTTCTTTTGGCTCTTACCTCTCAATGCACCTGTGCTATTGATCTGGACTCGTAACATGTGGAATGGATGGTACGGCACTCTGGGCAAATCGGATCATAACGTTTTGAAGATCTTGGGTTTCATCTTGGTGAACTATATATCTGTGTCAGCTGAGGGTTTTCCACGCATACGGGCCAAAGCAGCGAGCTTCTTGGTTGCGGTTCTCTTCCTTAGAGGTGCAATGCTGGGTATTTTCTATGGCATACGGTATACTTCAGACCTTTTTGGCGCTACCAATGTAGCTTTTATCTGTTTGGCTGCAATCACCTTTTATGAAAGGCTTGAAGATGGTTCAGTCTTGTCAGAAGAAGAAGTCAACAAGGAGGAGCAAAAGACCCTCTTTGATGCAGAAGATGACCAACCTGCTATTCACCATTCAACATTACCACGGTCGATGCTCGATGGAGATGAGAATGCTTTGCCTGCTAGTTTGCAAGCCTCCCTTAAGCACAATGAAGCCGTGCAGGGATATGATGTTGGCTCTGGTCAGGATGAGAAGAAGAACGCCAAGGGCAAGCTTACTGTTCTGGATGGATTGTTGCAAGAGTATCTGTCTACACTTGATGAGTATATGAAAGCGCAAACTTCATCTTCTGATGCTATCTCACGTGGATTGTTTCAGTTGAGCAAAGCACGCATGCAACTTGGCTCGCCTCACCTCACCCGTAATTGGGATGCACGCATGAAGGCAAGCGTTGGTGTGGAGATTAATGGCGATCGGGTCCATTTGTCAAAGTTGAAGTACATTGAAAGCGAAGAAATGGGCGACACAGCAGGAGAGAACGATGCTGCAGTTGAGAAAGGGTCTACAACATTGAGAAGGCGAAAAGGCAAGACGGAGGAGATGTCGAAGGCTACACTTGACGAAGGAAAAGAGGATGAGAAAGGAGAGAAGAAGAAGAAGCCGGCTGCACCGTATGATCCGCTATACCAATATTCCGCTCTGCCACCACAAACATTACGCAATGCACAAACGCAATTCAGTACCCTACTCAATCTCATCATTGGTTCAGCTGATGAAACAACAGGCGTAATCAACACAAAGGCCAAACTTCTTCAGCTAGAGAACGCGATACGCAAGGAAAGAGAACGATTAGACATCGAGCATGGACAATCAGTGTAACGCCATAATACGATAAAATTTGTACTTTATTTCCACTGGTACACCATGTATGAAAAGATATCTGTGTGATTGTAGAGCTTGAAATGTGAGAAAGTGGGATGCAATAAATATTGATTCGGAAGAAAGAGAGAAAGTTGCATTTTCCTTGAAGGTAGACTTACGCCCCTGATCCGCGCTGATGCTCATCATCACAGTATTGAGTATCAGCCCAGTTGGATCTACAGAGAAGAGGTAGAGCTTCACTTGGAAAGAGGCGAATGACTAAGGTAAATACATTCATTACGGATCTTGTTCCTACTCTACATCACTATTATGTACGGATGGCGGTAATGAAAAGATCATTATACAACGTACTTTTACATCATCCACCGTTGTTTGCCTCATGTTCAGTCAGCCATGATTTTCAAAAGCGCTTCTCGAAATGTGTCCTTCAATCTTGTAGTTTCCTGTACCAATTTTTCATTTTCGTCCGTCAACCTTTCCACCTTTTCGTTCGTTCGATTGTATCTCATTTGCAACTCGTCAAATAGTTCGTTTAGAGCTTCATTTTCCATTTTCAATTGCAAATTGTCATCAAGAACTTTTCTTAAAGAGGATATTGGATCAGCAGGCATCGTTGATGATGGCGTCATAGCAAAAGTCGAAGGTGACCCACTAGTCATTGAGCCAAACGTGTGCATGTAAGATGCTTGTACAACGTCAGGTCTTGTAGATTGCTTAATATTATCGTCATTAGCTTTGAGAGTGTTGGTAGTCTCTTCAACTGTAACATCTTTAGAAACCCGACTTGTCCCACTAGTACCTGCTGTTGATCTTGACGGTGTAGCATTCTGCGTCGGAGCTTCATACACCGGTGTTTCTGATAATCGTTCCATTCGTGATCGACTACCCTCTTGATAGACAGGATAATGTTCCCTAGCCATCTGTTTGTCTCCGTTGCGAACGGGGCTGCTTTCTCTTGCCAATCCTTCATCTCTGCTGTTTCTTCTATGAACAGGAGTTCTCTTCTGATCCTTAGACCAGCGTTCGGGATCTCTACTAGGTCTGTGAGCATAGGTAGATGACGGAGCACGATCTTGTGCGTACCAACGTTGGTGCGGCGTTTGCCATACTGTACCTCCCCTTTGTCCCCGATTCCACTGCGGCACTTGTAAATCATCGTTGCGTGATTGATGCCCCTTGTCATGAAGACGGCATATAGAAAGGCTGTTAGTGCTTATGCAGGATACACATCGATCGAAGTAAGGCACTTCCAGACAAGGTAAAGTGGGCATCCCTTCTGGCCTATTGCTATTGATAAACCTGCAAGAGCCACACTCCTCTCTTGTGAGCCTGACGTCATTCCAAGAAAAACGTGGACTCGTTGGCTGAAACTTAGGTTTGCCTGGTAATAAGACATGGTTGTTGACCTGAAATTCCTCACTCAAGTCCCACCACTTGGCCGCTCGCTTGTATGCTTTCATACCTCTATAACTTCGTGGAGATGAAACCCGATCAATCAATGGTCTTTGTTCGTTATTGTTTTCTGTAATACCTGAAGTTGAACTTTTTTCTTGTGGAAGGCTCTCCGTGATGTGCTCTTTTGATGCTTGCGCGTATTCAGTAGGACTCATCGGATCTTCATCGTCATCGTCATCTGGGAACCCATTTACCGGTATCGGAGGTGGTCCGATGTCGAAAAAGTCTTCTTGGGTCATTCTAAGGACCGAAAGAATACTTTGCGAGCGAGAAAGCAGCAACGAAAGGAAAACCACACGTCTTTACACGTTTTTGAAGCAATAGAGGTGATATGAGAGAAGGAAGAAGTGAAAGTGAATTACGCATGTATATATATTGACCGTCATTTTTCGGAACCGTTGCGCACGCACGCACGGACGGGCTAACATATGGAGTAAACCTCAGAATTTACTCCATATGCAAATGCAGTGCAACAGAGTCGATTGCAATAGCTTTGGATCGGAAGAATGATGAAAAGTTGAAACTTTGGGCCTCAAGGAAAGACGAATGCCCCGAAATATACTTTGAATTATTCGCAATGTATATCAACTCAAGTCATCTACTTACTATGCGACCAATTGCGAAACGGTGGGAAAACATGTGATCGGTATTTGATATGATTATGTCTCTTTCGCGTGTGGTATTCAATCTGGTTCTTTTAAAAGAACGGGAAGAGAAGTTCAAACCTTCTCATTATTGATCGCCAGTGTCCATGGCAGTATATCAAGGTATTTCCCCTTCTTCTACCATTGGTTGTATCATTTTCAGCTGACCGTGGCTGTCAAAAGCACTTGTGAAATCTCTGACATGGTCCTTGTATTTTGTATTCTCCGCCATCAATTCTTCATTTCTCCGCATCAATTCTTCATTTCTCCGCATCAATTCTTCATTTCTCCGCATCAATTCTTCATCTCTCTGCATCAATTCTTCATTTCTCCGTATCATATTTTCACTTTTCTGCACCCATTCTTCTTTCTCCTCCTCCACCTTTTCCAATACTTTGTTCAATCTGTTGTACCTATCTTGCAACTGATCAGACTTTTCTTGTAGCTCTTCCTTTGCCTTCCTTTCCTCTGAAAGTTTACGAAAAAGCTCTTCAAAACGTAGGAATTTGTCATCAGAGTGCGGTACGGTTGGCGTCGTAGCTGAAATCGAAAAAGATTCGATTTTCTCTACGCTGACTGTTTTCGGTGATGATGCTTTTACAGCTTCAGATCCTGTCATTTGATTACAAATATCACCGTTGATATCACGATTTGCAGTGGTGTTCGAAAAGAACCAATCAACAGCAACATCTTTCGAAACTTGATTTGTACTATTAATGCTTGATACTGATGTTGACGGAGCGGCATTTTGAGTCAGAGCTTCATTTAAAGGTGGGCTTGAAGGTCCTGGTATGCGTGATGGTTCTGCTTGATTACGAACAGGACTGCTTCCTCTCTCACTTCTTTCATCTCTGTCGCTTCTCCTACGCTTATGACCGTTCCCTTGATCGTAGTTGCGGGAAGAATCATGCAACGACTGGGAATGCCTCCTATTTGTGTGATCATAGGAAGATGAAGCAACATGATTGGAACCGCTGTAGTATGTTGGAGCTGTCTGCAATGATGCATCGTTTCCTTGGTACCCTCTCTGCGACCACACTTGCGGATAACTGTTATGTGAATGAGGCCTGTTATCGTGACGAGGACCGCAATCTAAAAGTTCTCGGTTCAAGCTGAGGCAAAATACACATCTCTCAAACCTAGAATATTGTAGACAAGGTAGACGAGGCTTTCCTTTCGGCCTATTGCTGTTGATAGACTCGCAGCATTTGCACTCCTTGCTTGCGTACCTAACATCTTTCCAGTTGAATCTTGAATTTTTAGGCTGAAAGCGAGGCTTGCCAGGCAACAATGCTTCGTTATTGACCTTAATCTCCTTACTCAAATCCCAATACTTGGCCGCTCGCTCGTATGCTGTCGTGTCATTAAGGTTTTGTGGTGATGAATCGTGGTGTGCTAATGATGTTTGTTCATTTCCGCTTTGTGTGATACGCAAAGTTGAACAAATTGCTTGTTGAAGGCTCTCTTGGACACGCTCACTTGATGCTTGTTCATCTTCAGTAAGACTTGTCGGAGGGTCATCATCATCTGGGAAACCATTTATTGGTGTCGGAGGCGGCTCAAAGTCACAAGAGACTTCTTCTTGCGGCATTATGATATCGAATAATCAATCCAAAAGCGTTGCGAACGAGGAAGCAAGAGCAAAAGCAAAAGTTTAGCACACAAAACACGAACTTTACTCGGTCTCGAAAGTATGAAGGAGATTTAAGGTGATATGAGAAGGGAAAGAGGTGGAAAATATTGACTCATGCAGAAATATTGATTATGGCCGTGATGTGTAGGGGCCCAAGCGCACGCATGTCAGAGCCAAAGATCGGGATAAAGGGAAATACAAACCATTACGCAAAGCACAGAAGCACTTCAACACCCTAATCTACCTGATCTTTGACTAAGCTGATGAAAAAGAAGGTATAATCAACACAGCGGCCAAACTTCTTCGTCTAGAGCAAGCGCCACTTCACCGCTTTGGTCAACTCGCAATCACAATCATTTTTCAGGCCAAATAGTTGAATTTCATTTAGGAAAATGGTAGAGCTTCACTAAGAAAGTAATATTTATACTGTGATAGATGGTGATAATATCATGAAAAGCCGCAATGAACGGATCTTTCTCGGTCAAGTCTCTTTTTTGATTTTCACTGTTGTTTCTTGCACGTTCAGCCGGCTTCTACAGTCCTGTAACGTGACTCGAGGCTCTTCGTTTCTCTGTTTCGATTTATCGTTGACCTTCTTCATTCTTCGAGCTTCTTGCTTCAGATCTCTATTACTCTGGTTTATTCTTTCAGTTTCTTGCTTCAGTTCCCTATTACTCTGCTTCATTTTTTCAGTTTCTTGCTTCATTTCCCTATTACTCTGCTTCATGCTTTCAATTTCTTGCTTCAGATCCTTATCACACTGCTCCAGTTCTTCATTGTGGTGTTTTATTTTCTCGAGATCCTCTCTCAATTTCCCATTATCCTTCCCCAAATTTTCAACTTGCTTCTTCAATCCTTCATTTTCATCCTTCGAATTGAAATAATCTCTATACATTTGCTTGCACCTTGTCTGCAAGTAGCGTACCAATTCTTCTAATTCTTCTTTTTCTTTCTTCTCTCTCAATTTCCCATTATCCTTCTCCAAATTTTCAACTTGCTTCTTCAATCCTTCATTTTCATCCTTCGAATTGAAATAATCTCTATACATTTGCTTGCACCTTGTTTGCAAGTAGCGTACCAATTCTTTTGATTCTTCTTTTCCTTTCTTCTCTTTTAGACGGTCACGATTCAACTTCTCTACAGCTTTATTAAGGTCGAACAATGAGTCATCCTCATCAGAGTGTTCTGTCAGGGGCGTTGCACCAGAACTTGGGAATGTCGCTATTGTCTTTGCATCAATTGCTTTCGGCGGTGATCTTTGTGCGATAACAGATGTTGAAGTCTGTTCGTCATTACATCCGTCAACCGTTCTGGTGTTTGCAGAGAGTGAAACGTGCTCAATATTGCCCAAAACTTGATCTGTTTCGCTCACAGGCGTTGTTTCTGTAGATGGAGCATCATTTTGAGCAGCCCGTTCTTTACACACAGCTTCGTATACTGGATTCGCAGTGCGTGAATGGCTAACTTCATTGGGGACAGGGCTGTTTCTTTTCTCCCTCTGTTCTTCCTCTTCGTCCCTTCTTCTGCGTTTGTGGCTGCTCGTCTGATTGTGAGTACTGGAATGTTGGTGTTCATCTGGCAAATGCTCGTGATACGTTCTAGGTCTGTTGTCATACGAAGACGTGGAAGCATTCGGATACGAGTTGCCATACGGCATTTCCATCTGATTCATGTTCCACTGACACATTTGCGGAAACCAGTTCATTGTCGGACGAAAGAGTTCTTGACATGGTTGAACATGGCAACGGTTGCTCGGTCTAAAGATTGTACAATAACAAAAGACACATTGATCAAAATCTGGCGAAGCTAGACAAGGTAAATCAGGCGCACCGTATGGTTTAAAGCTATTGATGTGTTTGCACGATGAACAAGGATCTTTTGCGTACCTGATTTTGTTCCAAGAAAAAGTACTGATTCTAGACAAAAAGTCAGGTTTACCAGGTAGCCAGACATGGTCATTAAGCTGATAAAGTCCGTATCCTTGTAATACATACCAGCTGGCCGCACGCGTATATGCTCTTAAACCATCGTCGTCTTGATTCCGTGAAGATGAAACTTCTTTGTGTGACGGTCTTAATTGCTTTTCGCTTACTAGATTACGTGAAGTTGAATGATTTGCTTGTACATGATTTTCGATGACACTTTCTCTTGATGTTTGTGCGTCTTCATCTGGGAACCCATTAGATGGTATCGGAGTCGTTTTCACGTCTGTGATGACGTCTTTAGCCATTGTCCACCGGTGATTTGTCCAATACAGAAACAACTATCAGGATCCTCCTCGGTATACGTATTTGAACAATAATCGAAACAATGGAAGGTGATACGAGGGAGGAAGGGTTAATGTACGTAGGCGCAATAATGAAGTTTTACCCTCATTTCGGGGCCTAAGCGCACGTACGTCTGGGCCGAGGTTTTGGCTGACAGGGAATCCAATCATTGCACCAATGCATAATGACCCAGCTGATGAAACAAAAGGCTCAATTGACAGCTAGAGAAAGCGAGACATTTAAGAAAGACGTAAGCTTCTTTGAGAAATGTATTCATTTCGGATAATGATACATAATTTACACTGTAAATTCGTCTTCTTGTGATGTACAACCTGCTTACGTACAAAAAATCGCTGAGAGAAATACTGCCAGTTTTGATTTTGATTAACAGCTCGTATTCATGGAAAGCGGTGTGAGAAAAATTCTTCTCCCTTCTTGATCAATTTCTTGAGTCATTCTAACCATCACTTGTTTCTAGACCGGCCAAAGCTTTCGAGACTTCTCTTCTCACGTTTCGGAGGGTGTCCCGTAAATTTTCACTCTCCTGCTTCAGATTTTCCATTCCATCCTTTAATTCTTGATTATCTTGCTTCAAAGTTTCGTTCTCCTGTATCAATTCTTCATTTTTCTCATACAACTTTTCCAGATCTTTATTAATTCGTATATACCTATCTTGTAATTGACTAGCCATTTGTTTCAAATCTTCTTTTTCTTTCGTTTCTTTTAAACGACCACTTTCCATCTTTTGATGAGCTTTCTTTAGCAATTGCATCACGTCATTATCAGCATCATTATCATCGGCTTGTTGTGGTGGTGGAATCGCGGCAGAAGTACAAAATGACCCACATGTCTTGACCGCAACCGTTTCCGGCGATGATGCTTGTACGACAGCCGGCACTGTAGCTTGCTTTTGATCAGCACCCTTTGTTCCGAAGCTGTTGGCGTTTTCATTTGGAAACAATAGACCAACAGCAGGATCTTCCGAAGTCGAACTTGTTCCGTTCACGCTTGTTGGTGTTGATGAAGGATCGTTTTGAGTTGGAGCTTCGTACACATGTACTTCAGATGGTGGTTGCATACGTGCTTGAGTAGCTTCTTTGCGGATAGGACTGCTTCTTCTTTCACTTCCTTCGTCTTTTTCGCTTCTTCTGCGTTTCTGACCGTTACTTTGTTCATTGGCGCGAGAAGTTTCGCTTCCATTAGGCAAGATCTCCGAATACCTTCTTGTTCTGTTATCATTCGAAGAAGACCCAGCACGGTCGTACGTGTCAACGTATGAGTATGGTCTCTGGGTCCTATCCCAATTCCGCATCAACGAGAAGTCATTTCGTGAACGATTGCCGTCTACGCTTGAATGACGATAGTCGCCGCGTGGTCGAACATTGCAAGGGCTAGTAGGCCTATTGTTTGTGCAATGACAAAAAACGCATCGATCAAGATCTGTCGAAGCCAGACAAGGTAAAACAGGATACCCTACTGGCTTACTTTTGTTGATGTATTTGCACGATGGACATGGATGTTGTGCAAGTCTGACATTTTCCCAAGAAAATGTACTGCTTTTTGGCCCAAAGTCAGGCCTGCCAGGTAGCCTTACATAGTCGTTGACCCAATATGCACCGGTCATTACATACCAATTTGCCGCATGGTAATATGCTCTTACGCCATCATGGTTTCGGTTTGATGAAGATGAAAGTGTTCCAATTGATGGTCTTTGTCCATTTTCTCTTTGTGTGATACGTGAAGATAACGCATCCTTTTGCGCACCACTTTCGGTAAAGCGTTCTTTTGGCGTTTGAGCATCTTCAGCACGACTCAGCGGAGCTTCATCGTCATCTGGAAAGCCATTTGGTGGGGTAGGAGGCGGTTCCACATCAGGAATGGTTTCCTGTTCCATTCTGAGGTTGTTGAACCGACCAAAGTGCTGTGCAAATGAATAGGAGTAACAATAAATACCAAGATCCACCTCAATACACGTATTTACACGGTTGCCGGAGCGATCGAGATGATGTCAAGAAGGAAAGAGATGAAATTCATTTATGCATGCACAACTATGGAGTATAATGTCATTCTCGGGGCCCCAGCGCCTGCCCGCACGCACGCCAGGGTCGTCTTTGGAACAAAGGGAACAAAGGGACTTTTATCATCCAGCTAAGCATGTACTACTACAGCAAAAACGCAATACACACTGGTAATACACTTTCACACGATAAGAGGGTCGATAAGAGGGTCATATACAAATTTTTATTCTGATTACTATAGATTGTAGAGACATTTTTTGTGTATATAGAGATGACGCTTTCACTTTTTTCAATGTTGTGCTATGACTTTGATTTGAATAAATTTTATATTTTATTGGTACTTTTGCACCATACCAAAGATGTTTCTCATCGTTGCCTCATGCTGACTAACTTTCTCCTCCGCTCGAATGCTTCGTTTATGCGATTCCTCATACTTCTCCTCATATTCCTTGTTTTTCTTCTCATATTCCTTATTTTTTTGGCGCAATATATTGTTTCGGATTTGCAAATTTTCAATCTCTGACTCCGTAGTTGCAATCTTTAACTCCATATTTGCACGTTCTGCACGACCATCATGTGCTTGCAACTCTTCAATCTTTGACAACAATTCGGCACGTTCTCTAAGAAGGGCTGAATTTGTATCTTCCAATCCTTTAATCATGTCATGAACCCCTTTCAGGTGATCAACAATTGGACTTGACATGGTAGAAGATCCAGCGATTGTGGTTGATTGTCTCGTACCAGCTCTTTCTTTTGGTAAAGTAGATGTTTGTTTCTTACTTTGACTGAATGCTTCAATTTGTTCCTTTGAAAAGTGTACTTCCTCGGGTTCATCGTCATCGTCAGGAGCTGGCCTTGGTGGTGTACTAATGGCAATTTCGGCTGGTCGAACAACTCCACTGTCATCATTACCACGAGAGCCAGGCTCAACGGTTGATGCACGGTGAGAAAGGCTTTTCGTTGAGCTGTTTGCCACTTCAAAGGCTGAAACTGATTGTCGTCTCTTTCTTTGAGCCATCATTTCAGCAGGCTCTTTGGGCGTGGGCGCTTTCAGAGTGTAATAGCGTGGTTGCCTTACCGGACTGGCAGAACGACGAGGTGCTCGTTCTCGAGGAGAATCACGTCCATCACGACGACGTCGTTCCTCACCAACTGTGTCCACAGTCCAAGCCGGAGATGTTGAACGTGGCGAAACCGGTGACGATTGCTGAAAAGGAGGAACAGCTGGTTTTGAAACACGGCGAGGAACATTTGAAGGCCAAGGATAGCTGGCTGGCAATACGCTTTGGCAAGCCCAAGTCTTTTGCTTCGTAACAAGACACAGAGCACAACGACCGTCAACTTTACTGACGATGCAAGGAATCTTTGGTTCACCTTCCTTTCTGGTTCGATTGATTTCTTTGCACTTTGCGCATTCTTCGTCTGCCACTTTAGCAGTCAACATAAACTTTTCAGTTTTGGGTACCACTTTTAATTCATGATCAATCATTGTATACCCGTTAAGCCATGTTTTATGATTCATGTTAAAGTAATCCGCTGTTGCCCATTGATACAGCGATTCACCCCTTTGAGGTCGTGTAGCCTCATAATCACGATCAAAGGTGTGCTGAGGAGCAGGTTTTCGGGCGCTTGCAGGCGCCCAAGACGACATTCTCACCTTTTGTAATTTTCGACCGGATGATTGTGGTGATGGAGGAAGGAAGAAAAGGTTGCGCGGTGCTCTTTTTCTCTTCAATCTTTTATTGTGCACGGATGCCATCAAGATGAACATTGATTGGCCGATTGATGTGTTGTTGTAGGGCACGCAAAGTTTACGCCACGTCACTTCCCCGGCCAAGAACGGCCCTCGCAAAACACGGACCGACAAAGAATAAGAAGTAAGAACATATCACATTATACAAAAATGCAAACCACTTGGAGCAAAGCACTACCCAGCTGGACAATCAGAAATCATCATTTGCTTGATGTTGCGGAAAGTCCGGCACCAATGATTTGTTCAGCTTCACCCGTTTACATTTGGAACTGCTTGTTTCCCCGTCCTCACGGAGTACCGGGCCATCATCGGGGAAGCGAGCTTTTTTGCGGATCTTGAATGGACCGACGTTCTAGAGAAGAATTCCTTGGGCGCTACTTGCCGTTAATAAGAAGAAATGAACTTCTCTCCCTCCCACTTCTTCTTGGCATCTTTTAATGCTGCATGCTGCATGCTCCTTCTTCATTTGCTCGGAATTCCTCTCTACCTTGATTTTCGCCTCTCTCGCTTCTTTCAATTCGTTTTCTAGCCCCCGCTTCTTTCTAATAAGACAGGACAGCAAAGCCTCAATATGGCTTGCACAGGGTGTACTGAGATTTATCAAAAAACTCCGATTGCTCGTTAGTCCTCCGAAAGGAGAGCAAAGCGAGAGTAATGATTGGCTGGAGGTGCTTAATATCTTTTGATCACGTTGGCTTTTTCGGCGCGGATCATTTTTCGAACTCAGCATCCCCAAATTACACCCTTCTCTCGATGTGGTCTCTTTCATTCATCATTTCATGCTCAAACATATGTTGTCGCAGTTCGGATAGACAGAAAGAAAACAAAAGTCAAGGGACAATCAATTCATACAAATACACAAATGGAGCTCTCATGAGGTTCACTTTCGGGCACAGCTGTTTGTTCTGAATCGACAAAGCTACCTGGAACTCTGTTTACTTCACCAATCTCTTGCATTTCTGGCAAAGATACTCGCTCCGAATCAGCCAAATCACTTTCAGCCCTGTTCGCTTCGCCATTCTCATCAAGTTCCGATAAAGGAGCCTTACTTAATTCGGTCAAGCAATTTGCGACACTATTCGCTCCAGCACCATCTTGAACTTTCAGTGCACTTGCCTCGATTACTTCAATGAACCCACACTGAGCATTTGTTGTTTCGTCAGACCTACGCAATACCGGTCCATCATTATGAAAACGAGCTTTCTTGCGGATTTGACGATCGAAATACGGCCTTTGATCGGACGATACTTTTGTTGTTTTCAGACAACTTTTCAGATCAGCTTCTCTTTTGCGCTTCTTGGCATTGATCGCTTTATAAAAAGATTTATCGGTCTCTTCTCTCTCGCTCTTGTCGCTTGTATATTTAGGCACTGCCTGATTAGGATGAAAGTCTTGTTTAGACATTTCCATGGCGATTTGCTTTTTGGTTAAGCATTCATCTTGACGATTCACCATAATACAGAATGCACAAGCATCAAAACCTGGCGAAAGGATACACTCGAATTGCGAAGCATTAGCAGCTTGCCGACAATTGTTAATGTGTTTGCATGGGGCACATATAGTCTTCGATTTGAATGCGTTCTCTTTAAAGCCATCAGGCCAGCTTTTCAGTCGAAAGTATAGGGTCAAGTGATTGTTGACCCAATTTGGTTTATTGGGCGAAAAGATGATATCCTTACTCTTTAAGTAAAGGATGTACTTTGCTACTTCGGAACTATATGACATGATTCTATACTGTGATAAACTGGTTTGTAACAGAGATGGAACAAATAGTACGATGTTAAAGTGAGGGGGAAATCTGATCAAAGGTGTCTGTATATATAGCCAAAAAAGTATATGATAAAATATATCAGCTCTATCCACACGGGTGTGAGCTACATCCTCCCTCTAGCCCAAACAAAATGTGTCTCTTGTGATGAGTACAGAGACACACTTGTGTTTTCATTTTGCACGAAAGGCACGCTTACGTTCAGTATCGTTTTTGACAAATGCGAAATAGAACCACAATACAGGCACGCGGCACAGCCTCTGTTCATATCGGATAACATATTTTGACAATATCGGATAACATATTTTGACAATATCGGATAACATATTTTGACAGAGGTGAAAAAATGTATCTTTTGTTCTTATGTTTATTTTTCACATAAGTGAGAAATCGATAGAAATTTTTATCAATTTCTGACAGCTGTGAGAAATTGATATCGCGACGGTTATAATCAGCGCCGGGGCTTTTCCTCGCAACCAATCAGAATTCTTCAATTTGATCGATGCCCCGACGCCGGCGCAACGCTCACAGATAGCACTCTCTGGCTTTCCGGGAGATAATGTGATAAAGGAACTTTTCTAACACAGCCTGCCAAGAGTAATTCAACGTCCGGTCTGAAAGGCACAACATATAAATTTGTTCAAGGTGAAATATCGATTACATAGTGGAGTTCTAATCGGAGCGGCACAAATACGGTGCATTATTTGTAACCCGTACAAACTGAGTGTGTAGCAACGGTTTCTTACGATCCGATCAGGGTGAGTGGAGGAAGGATGATCAAATTCCGATCGATTTCAATGAGGGACAAGCGAGTAAAAAATCAAAATTCTCGGATGAAGACCCTTCCTTCTTTTTGATGCGAGCAGACCCATGGTCGCCCCGACTGGATTTTAACTGCCATCAACAAATCGCACCTTCGGACTTTTCTGCCTTGTAGGTATCGGATCACTGATCATTTCGGGTACGTGATTTGTCGGAGTTGCAAATGCTGAGTTAGCATTTTTAATATTTGTTTTCGCCAGTTGAAATTCGTGTAAAGTAGAATGAAACTGATTTTCAAGCTTTTGCCTTTCCTCTTCTGAACGTTCCAGCCTCTTCTCTAGGTCATATACTTTTATGGCGTAGCTCGCAAGCACTTCTCTTAGGCAAGTACGGTCACTTAAAGGCGGTATGTCAAACTTAGTCGGTTCATTCTTATCCTCAGTGTTATCAATCGGTTTAGGGCAAGATTGCTGTTCGGTCTGACCAGCATCCTGTATTGGTTCGACCGATTCTGAAGCTTCCGACTCTATCTCAGCATGCTCTAGTTTAATCTTGATCAAGTCTTCGGTAGAAGGAAGGTCAGCTTGTAGGTCTTTGTCACATTCAGCAGCTTCACATTCAGCAGCTTCGTTTATTCCCTCTGTGCCCAACTTTTGCCTTTTGCCTCTATCGTCTTGACCTTGAACGTCACATAGAACAAATTGATCTGGAAAGCTGGCTTTTCGACCTTTTTCAATCGATTCGTTTTGCCTTTTACGTTTGTTGTTTACTTTTGGATGACATATTTCTGCTGCTTGCTCTTCTCTGGTTGGTTCTTCTTCGTCCTGAGCTCTTTTCTTTTCTTCACTCCCATTCACGGGAGTCGGAGTCATAATTGATGAAGATGCTGTAGAAGATTTTGATGTTGACTCGTATTTCCGTATAGCAAGTTCTCTTTGCACTTTGGTCAAGCATCCATCTTTTTCGCCATTCATTATGCAAAGAGCGCATGATGTGAACTGTGAATCAGTCGAAAGGATACATGGAAATGGGGCGGTATGGTGTGGCCTGAGTTTATTCATTTCTATGCAATTTGAGCACAGGATTGATGATGCAAAAGAGGTGCTTTTGAAAGGTGTTTTTGGCCAGCGAGCTAGTCTGAATGGTACAGAAAGCTCATCGTTAACGTACGTAGACTTTGTAAAGTCGATATAACCATTCTTAACATTTAAAATCATTGCCGTACGCTTTGGCGGGTAGGATGGTCGGCTGGCTGATATGCTATCGATGTATGTCTTTTGAGATCTTCCCATAGCGAGAGGAGAGCGAAGATAAATGAGCAAAGTCTTGAGAGGTAAAAGCTGAATGATACGAACAGCAGAAGGTTACCTGGGAAGGATGCAGCTGATATGATAGGCATAGACTTTATACATTGTTCGATTGTGACTTTAAAAGAAAGAAATGAACAAAGGTATTTAGGAATCGTTCGGATAGAGTTAAAACTCTACAATGTTATCGGACACAACAAGAGGATTTTATATCTTATCGGCCACAGCAAAAGGTTTTATTTAGCCCACGGAAAGCGTGAGAACAAAGGGATTGTATTAAAACGTTGCAGCAAGATTAAAGCCACAAAAGCAATCTCCCTTTGTTAGAACTCTCAGAACTAATACAATAAAGATCTTTTTTTCTGATGTTTGTTAAAGGCGATCTTATTAAAGCGATGCATGTTAGTACAATAAATATACAAAAGATATGCAAGCATTATTATCTTTCCCTCATTTTCTCAAAGAAAAGGTCAATCTCATTCTTATGTGGCCGTAACTTCTGTTACTCAGCGATCATTTCTTGTGTAAAAGAAATACAAGTTTGCGTACTTCCTCCATCTCTTCAGCTGATCTTTGATGTGCTTGCTCAAATGAATCTCGCTCGTTCTGTAGCCGTTTTCGCTCCGCCTCACTTGACAATTTCAACCCCTTAATCTCCCAGTCTTTTTGTCGAAGAGCTTTTTCGTATTCCTGTATCTTAGCTTTCGCATTATTGTTCTTGTAAGTGAAATCACTTTCCTGTTTTGCTATCTGTGCTCGAAGCTTGAGAATAGATTCGGTGTATGTTAGTTCCTGTTGACTTTTTGCTTCATTTTGTTGAGTTATAATTAATTCAAGACCTTTTTTCTGCTGCTTGATCTTATCGTTTTCTTCTTTTTCTTGAGTTAAACGTTCTTTGTACTTCCTCCTTTCTCGTATATTCTCCTCTTCGTGACCTTTTAATGATCTTTGTAGCAATTTGATTGTCTCTTCCGCAGATTTGAACTTTTTTGTAAGTTCTTGATTCTGACTTGCCATCACTTTGCCAAACAATATCCTCTCCGTATTGAGCATCTCTGTTAATTCATTGACCTTGTTAATTAGCTCGGCAGTCTTTTCTGACTCTTGTTTGGATGGACTGACTTCTTCTTGTGTCGCTTCTCCGTGATTTGCGACATCTTGAATCGCGTCGTCTGGAATCTCATCATTTTGAGCCACAACATCCTGAACCACGTCATTTTGAACCACATCATCTCGAACCACATCATCTTGAACCACGTCATTTTGAACCACATCATCTTGAACCACATCATCTTGAACCACATCATCTTGAATCACATCATCTTGAATCACATCATTTTGAATCACATCATCTTGCAGTTCTCCCTCTTGTATGTATTCTTCATCTTCTCTCATCTCCTCAAATGACTCTGCTTTGATTTCTGCAAGATCTTCTTCAGGCTGAATCTCCGTTTGAACGCAAATCTCAGACATGATCTGCTCAGGCATACTGATCAGATCCGATTGTTCGCCATTGTGACTACTTACAGTCTGCTCTTCCATACATACACTTTCCACTCGAGATGGAACCACGGTGTCCTCAAGAAAATTGATAGACGTAATCGCAGATTGCTCCATCTGTTCACTTTTCTGCCTTTTTCTTGCATCGGAAGAGCCTAGAATCTGTACAGAGCTTGATGAATATCCAACGCCTTTGATTTGCATTTCTTCTTCTTCGAGAGCTCTTTTTGAAGTCGTATTAGAAGCATATCTTGGGGGAGATTGTGCAAGAGATGCTATACTGTTCCAGGTACTTTCCGGTAGTCGTTTCCAATTGCATTCTACGCAAGGTATATCGGCACACAAACATGTTGCACAACAATCAAACGATTCTGCAACGATGCATTCAATTCTTTGTTTTCCTTTTGGTCGACTTCTGTTAGCCATTCTGCATACATTACAAGGGGAAGACGCATACTCTGCTTCAGAATAAAATCTTCCTGTCAATTTGCCTTTACGCTTTACTGCAAATGGGATTGTCACACGTTCGTTGAATTGTGTACCACGATAGTCGTACACGAGATAATCAGTCGTGATTTGCTCATATGTTAGAGAGTTTGTACCGATACGTTGGGACAATCCGGTAATCCTGTTCCATTCTGCCGGTTCGCTTTGCATACGTTCCAACAATGACATATTCGAAATTTCGTTGTTTGACGACATGATCACAAACGAAGTTTGAGGATTCATATGGTGGTAAAGAGCAGAATGGTTTATAGCATTCGAACCAAATTCAGCCGCGCTCAAGCCCCTTCACGTACATCAGTGATCACGGCGCCATCAAGAAGGGAGGCGGAACCGTGTGTGTGTGACTTTATCAAAGTCCCGGCATGTCCAACGGTTTTGGAACGCGCGACTCGTGGGGCACTTCAGAAGAAAAGTTTAAATGAATCCAACGCTTTTGTTCCTTTGATTAGTGCGGTGCGGTAATGACATCAACTTTCAAACAAATCACTCCAACCAACGGCAATTACTTCTACACTTTTAGCGTAGAAATACTTTCCTTTGTTCTCCAAAAGACAAAGCTTCAGCAGTCTTACTCGCTCGACTTTGTTTGTATCAATTTAAAGCATTTCTTGCATAAATTAAACTCGTCTTTGTTTCAAAGACAGATATCTTTAGTATGCAAAAATGGCATGAGATTGAATGGCCTTTTGTTTTAAAAATACAAAGGTGATTGTTATACACTGTGTTAATGCTGTTCAAAGATGTGATCTTATAGCAATGATACGGCTTCCATGCTTGCTGCACGCATTGGCCCTCCTTTGGTAGAACGAATAAGGACAAGATTGGAGAGTGGAATAGGATTACGAACAACTGCTTTGGTGCCATTGGAAGTCGGTTGAGTTGTACTATTGAATTGCTGCTCGTGCCATGCAATTTGCAAATAGGCCAATAAGCTGATGCTGCCAATCGCTTTACCTCTTCCGTTCGAGAGTGCAAATTGACCGGTAGTGATTGAGCCAATATGACTGGATCCTTTCACACCCTTTTGTTCTAGATTTTGAAGTTGATCACGTTGATATTTATCATCTTGTGTGGCTTGTAATGATGATCTCCATCTTTGACTTTGTTCGTATGAAAGCGAATGGATTTCATCCCATCTTTCAAATGCTCCTCTTCGACAAGCAGTCAATCGAACGACCAATATTGCACGACTTAATTGTGAAATGAGGGGAACAAACGGTAAAGAAGATTCAACAGCTTTATCCCGTTTGATCCAGTCCCCATACATTTCAATCAAGACATGCAATGTGAACGAGCGACTAACGCCAGCATATAGCCAAGGTGATCCTTTTGCAGAATTTTTGATATGTTCGCTATTATCTCCGATACTATAAACCATCCCATTTCGTACAACTTCCAACCACAACGCATCCCCACCAAACGGCCAACGAATTCCGTTGTGATCAAAATTGACTCTCTTTGCCGGTGGCGTACGATGCCAAATATCAAAAGCATATTGACCTTCACTTTCAGCCCACCGTTTGAAAGCAGGTGTTGATACCCAATCACAAGGAAAAGTTGGTTTACCTTTATCAAATTGCAAAGCGTGCAATTGTTTTTGTCCTAACACACGTGTCCCAGGATGAACGAATGAAAGCCAAAATGCTTTTCCCCATCCTCTTGGTAGGACAATCGTCCAATTTGATTGATGTGATGACTGACGACTACGGACCAGGATAACGGGTATGATATCATCTTTTGACGTTGGCTTCAAACGTGAGCCAGGTATAGGCAAAGAAGCCCTTCTGCTGTGTATCTCACCGCTGCTATATGTTGGAGTCGGACATCCCTCGACAAAGAGCTTCTGCTCATTTCGCACGGGAAGAGATGCAGCCTGCTTCTTTTGCTTCTTCTCACCTCGCGGAGGAAAGCTCAATCTTGGATCATAAACTTCCAGCGAAATGATCTCTCCATCCACGCCTTTACCGCTCCTCAGCTTGCTTGCCAGATGACTTTGATCGTTGTAATCCTCAGTCGGGACCAGAACTTTGGAAATCAATTTATCCGCTGAGGGTCCGCATATCTCAAATACATTGTAGGCCTGTTTACGCTGCCATTCCCGCAAGAAGTTCTGCGTAAGCTGTTCTATCATTTCCTTGCCAGACCGCCGCTGAATCTCTTTCACTTCCATTGGTTTTGCCTCCTTCTTCCTTACAGGTTGCTTTCCATGTCGTCTTCCTTTGGCGCCAGAACCTGCCGAGATGATAGGATGGGGTATATCGTTCAAACGTACCAAATCGACCTGTGCTTTGGTATTGGTGCTCTGTAAGCCGGGTACGATTGCCTGACGAACTGCTCTCTCTACTTGAGCAATGCTTGTCGGATGCGTTCTAATCAGTACTTCTTGTCTTTTGGAGGCGTCTTGGGCAGGTTGCCAAAAGATCTGCACTTTCGCAACAGCACGTCTTGATGCAGTCAAAGGTGTCTCTTCCACTTCGTTCTCCCTGTCTCGCCTGTTCTCTTTGTCCTTGTCAACAGGACTGGATAAGACGGTCTCGAACGCTCTTTGACTATAGATGCCGATCGAATCTCCCTTCCATTCCCCATCGAAGCCGGCTTTCTGTAGAATGCTGGACAGAGCCGCTATTGAGTCCGATAACGTGCCTTTCCGTGCAATCGCACTCACACGTAGCCAAGCATCATAACTGCGATCGATGATTGTGACTGCATTCTTTTCATCTCTCCAACTGCTTCTGAAACTTTTCAAATGAGACTCTTCTGCCAAATTGAATCCCCATCGATCAGTTCGTACGATCGGTTTACCATCAATCATCTTTGATTCTTGACCGGACATTCTGAACCGTTTTGCATGCCACATGTGCGTTTCGAGCCATGCTTTCCCATTTGCAGCCGCATCAGCTGCTCTATCGATCAGCTCAGATTTGCGTTTTCCCTCCTTTCTTCTTGGGTAAGCTCCCATCATTGCACGTAACTTCCTTCCTTTCCGTTTTCGTATATCGGATCGTGAAAGTGGTGTAGTATTACTGGCACGCAATTCAGCTTTACCCTTTCCACGTAATCGTTTGGGCAGGGAAAGTAGATTATGACTTGCATTTCTCCTTCTTTTATGTCGTGGTAGCATTTGCCATGCTCGAATACTACTTCCGCCCGAAGACGATTTGATCGCTTTGAGTAACGATTGAGTTTCGTATGCATAAGATGCCAGCTCTTTCTCTACAAACAACTGAGCGGGAAGCTTGACAGATGGTACTGGACTCGAGACCGCAGATGTGGACGTACTTGCTTGTGATTCGACATCGATCTGATGAGCCAACTTCTTCTGTTCTCGCTGTCGTGCTCGTTTGTTAGGCCGCAATGGCTCTTCGGCCGTACGTTTGCCCAAACTGGACATTTCAAGAAGTTGATAAGCTATATTTGTTGTGTCATTGAAGAGATCGTGGATGTAATGATATTGATCGTTGTTGTGGAGAAGAGGTTAAGAAGAATCATTTAAGCTAAAATTTGTTTCCACTTTTTCGGACTTTTTACAAAAACGTCACTGCAGCCTTAGCGCGCTCTTCTGGTAGTGCTCTCTCACAAACGCTGATGAAGGTAATGGTGTTGTTGTTCAAAGACAGACAGAATTGTTTCACTTACTGAACGGTATCAACTCAACTTACATTTCTTTGCTTTTAGCGGTGTTTTCGAAATATTAATTGGCTATAACATTCGGCTAAACTTTTCTACAACTCAGAAACCCTCATAATCATCAGCTTTGTCTAGGACATGCTTGCGATCCGCAACGGCAGACCACAATCTCCAACCCAATTTAGCAAAAAGTTCCCGTTCAAGCTCTTGTGTTTTTGTCTTTTCTTTGATAGTAGATGAAGTTCCCGCTCCAATTTCTTTGATGGCTTTACGTGCTGCTTGTAAAGCCTGACCATATTGACCGTTACTCATACTCCAGCTAATGTAAACATTTGCAAATTCTTTATCACTCGTATCGGCAAATTGACGGTATTGGCTAAACACTCCTTCGAATTCATCCCCCACTTTGCCTTCATCACGAGCTAAAATTGCTCGACTTTTACGATTCAATGCAAGCAACAAAGCTGATTTGGCTTTGTCCAATTTCTTGTTCGCTGCTTTGGTCTCTTTTGACTGTTCGGTGGCGGGAAGCTTCTTTGAGCCAATGTACACAAGGATAGCATTAGGATCCACATCCTTATGTTGCAAGATTGCATCAGATGATTCAATCACCGAAGCAGCTTCAGCTTTATCATCCGATTTGAGTGATTCCAATTTGGCAACCAATACACCCAAATCTTGAGGATGTTCTTTCACCAATCTGTCAATGAATGTCTTCTTCTCGGATTCTGGCACTTTTCCAGCCAATCCGGTCAACAATTCAATCACCTTCGCCGGTCCATCCTCTTCGGCTGCCGGTTCGCCCTCATCTTCCGTTGGTTTGCGGACCGGTGGAGGGACGAGATAGCGCAAAGGCGATTTATCATTGGGAGCACAGAAGCTAATCGTTCCGAGCAAAAGATCACCCGGTGCAGCTTCTTTCGGGAGCTTTTCAGATTCCAAATTGGTATCAATCACCAAGATCTTGCTCTCGCCTGGCAATAATTTGATCGAGGCATCCTTTACAGTTGGCTTCGTCGGGCCAAATTGCTCAACATGATCTTCATACATGTCAACGCTTTCTACGGGCTTGCTCAATTTCTGGTCAACCGATAACGTCATGTTACGCAAACTTTCCAAAACGGTTGGCTCTACATGCAAGAGCTGCACTTTGAACGTATATGAGCCCTTCTCCAATTTATCCAACGCTTTCGGGTAAACATCTCCGAAATTTACCCGTTTCTTGTTGACATCATACAATTGCGATAGCATCGGAACGTCAGAATCATAAAGATGCTTGCTCAATGGCAAAGATAGGGTGACTGTGTTTCGATCCTCTTTCAACTCAAAATTGTACGTGGCTTGCATCTCGTGCATTCTCTTACCAGATGGGACCAGATCGCGTGCTGAAGCAAGAGGGCGAACGAAAGAAGAAGCTGGACGAACAAATGTACGACGACGATCGAACGAGATGGATGGCTTGAAAGTCTCGACACGCAGATCAGATCGGCATTCCAGGCGTGCAATACCTTCTCCGCCGATGATTGTAAGCTCGTCACGACCTCCAACCAATCTCGATACGGTGATGCCATGGAATTCAACATCAACATCCAGATCAAACGCAGAAGCATTAGTGAAGAATTGTGCCAAGCAAACCTCCATGGTTTGACCTCCTTTTACCTTGAATTTCTTGCTGATGGTTTCGTTTTCGTGCAAGGCCATAACCGATGCACTTTCTACATCTGGCAAACGTCTTTGCAATTCCAATTGAACCGCATGGACCCATAAACGGACAGACGTACCTGGCACTTCATGATTCGCAGATCTCAATTTCAATTCTGCCCAAGTAGCACCTTCGGGAACAGTGATGAAATGTCTGTCAACCTTGCCTTTTGATAATTTCACCTTGTGAATTTGCACGCTAGGTCCAGAACTTGGGATCGCTTTGGTCACCGTAACTGGAACGTCGAACAGATGTCTTCCTGGCTTCTCTGAATCATAACCTCGAATGTTGGCTGTATGCAATCCAGGTTCAAGCTTTGTTGTATCAACACGAACTTCAAAGGATCTGCCATTTCCTCCCAAGAACACAAATTCGGGAGCTTGAACCCAGCTTTCGGTTGGCACTAAGGAAACAGGCAATTGTAGGTTGTATGCTTGCTCACCTTCTCCGAAATCGCGGAAAGTTGGCTTGACAGTAACAGTGAACTGGTTCACACGATTTGTTTGGGGTGCATCGCGCAGATAGATACCACGCTTATCAGTCGAACGACGTCCTACTGGCTTTCCTGCTCCCGTGACTGCAATGAGGAACTCAGCATCTTGATCGGGAAGATCTTTATGTGCAACGATGTAATCCCATGCTTTGTCAACTTGAATGAATGGGATTCCCAAATCATCATTGACATCTTTCGCTGTTGCACGAACAGCTTTGTATACGCGAGCTGCAGTGATTGGGATCTTTTCCTTCTTCATACCTGACAAAAGCAAGGCAATCGATCCACAAGCATTTGGACTGGACATAGAAGTACCATTGGCCATCATGGTTGCTTGCAAACAATAACGTGGAATGCATGTGATTGCAGCACCAGGCGCATAGATATCCACACCTTTTTCGCCGTCAGTTGTTGGACCTCTGCTTGACCAAGTAGTGGCAGAAGAAGGTACATTGCGTTCCACTAATGCATATTCAGCCTGTTGCATTGCTCCTGCGTCTACATAAGCACCAATACTCAAGATTGCACTCGTTGTTCCTCCTGGCATTCCAACGGTAGTCAAAGCAGGACCATTATTACCCGCACTGGAAATGAAGAGAATATCACGTCTACGAATAACATGATCTCTCAACAATTCAGCAAATGCACCACGATCTTCCACGCCAAAGCCACCGCTTTCACCAAAGCTCATATTGGCAATATCGCACTTTGTCACTACCAAGGCTTGAGCTGCACGAAGAAGAGCTTGTTGTGTCTCCATACTTCCCAACCGTGTATCACCAATTTTAAGTGTGACGATCTCACAGCCAGGTGCAACACCATTTTGCACTTCATCATCACGTCTGTGCGCTCCAACGATACCTGCTACGTGTGTTGCATGACTGCCAGAATTGACGACCAATGAAAGAGCAATTGGCTTTCCCTTGGGTGCAGTAACAGCTTGTTCGACATCCACATCATCAGTGAGAACGTTTGTGCTGTATGTGAGCATATCGACTTCACCGAATTGGCCATGTTGTCCTTTGAAGCGGAAATCTGTGATGGCGTTATTTTTACGAAGATCAAGTGTTGATTCTTTTAATGGTGTAAGCTGAGCGTTTGGGAGACCTTTTGTTGGGTCATGCACATCACCTTCTGCTCCACCAACGATTGTGCGATAATGTTTGCCGTCGTGGAAAACGACAACCTCGATAATCGGTCCATTATCGGCGTAATTTTGTTGAAGATCTTTCAATGCGGCTAATTGAGCTTTGAGTTCTTCTTTCTGCTTGGTGATTGCTCCATTCTTTGGCGTCTCTTCCACCTTTTTGTCCTTCTCAGTGGCATCTGCGGCAGGTTTTGATTGATGTTCAAGTTCATAGAACTTATGTTGAACAGAGTCGAAGATCTTGCCATGTTCAACATCAAATTCCTTCTTGCGTTCTGCTTTGCGACGAGCGATCAAATCGTTTGGCCATAGCTTGTAAGCTGCCTGAGTACCTGCCCACCATTGACCAGTTGGATTTTGATTTTGTGTTGAGATCAAAAGGGTTCTGCCTGTCAAAGGAGATTTCAGGCTGATGGTTGCATCATCTACTTTAGCGTCCAAAGGCTTGACTTCTACCAATTGAATATCACCTGATCCCGTACAATCGATTGCGTCTACAATCTTACCTTTTTGATCAAGACCGATTGCTGCAACATCGACACCAGTGTCCAAGATTGCAACTCGAACTCCGCGACCGTCATATTCGGGGTACTTTTTGATAAATTGTAATGCTTGAGTGGTCTCTTTGGGTAATAAGCCACTAGTTGGGAAAGCAGGAACGCCGGGGTTTTGATTTGCAGACATTGCTGGCATTATGATGTCCGATTGAATCGGATCTACTTGTTGGTGTGAAGATAGGTGTACTTTTCGTGTGAGACTATTAGCAGAAATGCTCAACGGTTGCTGATGCTGTTTCGAATAAAGCGAATAATGATACTGTCTTATGTTGCTTCGAATTGCCAATCGACTTTGACGAACAAAAGGACGACAGAATACCCACATACAGGTTCGCACAAGATCAGTGTGAAATGAACCCGTTCTCTTGTTTTGACAAGTGCAAATTTGTGGTGATGAATGTAAAATAGAAGGACGAGTGTAATGCTGATTGATATGAGTATGAAGTCTCTTTCTTCCGGCGCCGAGAGTGCGGTCGAGCCAGGCAGACAGGCAGGCAGGCAGGCATTTGACTTGTATTGGTCAGCTGTTCGACTGTGACGCGTTGCATTCCATCAAGAGAAGAGCATTCAAGTTGAATAGCATTTATTGCGTATTGTCATCATTGCCCCGTTTAACAAATACTCGACTTTTATAGCCATGTGTCCATTTGTTTCTGTGAAACTCCATTAATGTAATCTACCATTTGATCATGCTCGGCTCTACGCTTCTGTCTTTCCTGCTTCTGTTCGTCCCTTCACTACATGCCATACCACCGAATACTAAAGGTCACCACAGATTGCATCGCGAACAATCAGAAGAATTAGATGAAACCATTAATCGGGATAATTTGCAGCCATTGTCAGATCTTTCGGCCGCTGAACATGCTCATATTAGCACGTATTCAAACCAAATCCCTACACAAAGTACCCACAATACTCAAAGTGAACTGTCACCTGCTAAAAAGACTGCAAGAATCGAAGCGCCTGCCTCCATGACTGAAGCTGAAAAGGTGACATGGAGAGAAATGCGAAAAGTGAGCAATGCATTGATAAAAAAATAAATGTACCATTACTGAATGCCGCTCTTTTCTCTTCAGAAAGAAAGCCAAAGGAAATATCAAGAAAGCTTAAAACTGGTAAGCTTACACTAGAAATTTTGTTTTGGAGAATAAATTGATAATCTTCTTTTTGTCCAAAGAACCCAGATAAACGTAAGAAACGGTCTTACAATAAAAATCTAAACCGAATAAATCGAGAAGCAAAGGTAAGGGATAAAATTTTTTAGCCCCCCGCCTTGCATTCATGACCATTTACGCTGCATATCCATTGATTTTAGATGACTGTTGCGGAAAAGAAAGCAACTCGACATAGACATTACGTTAAAATCAAAGAAAAAGTACTGAATCGGTGAGTTTTTTCACAAATAGGTATGAAACTTTCTCGATCGCTTATTCCTTTTCATTGATTCATTCAGCGGTGAATGCAGTCGTTCATTGCATGCCAGACGTTATATTTTAAATCATCTCGAATCTGGTACCGCATCTGAGTACCAGATTGCCAGGCTTCAAAGTATGAGACAACATGATCGCCAATACCAATACGAAAAGAGGAAACGTTCCAAGAAAAAAGGAAACAATCAGCTCCCTGGAGACAATTCTGATTCTTCGACATGAAAGTCTCTTAGCTCTGTCAATTCTATTTCATGTTTTCCTTGATAATGATGTGGCATAGTAGCCCCGACGATCCTAAGAGACAATCCTATATTATTTTTTATTTCGGGGCAAAGATCAATAACTCACAACAGACTTTAATGATGAATGTTGATTATGCCACTTTTTTCATCCATCACTTTCCCTTCGACCAGTCGTGCATGATGTGCTTTGGGAAATTTACGATTGTACTACTCGTGGCTTTTTCTGTCGTCAGCTCTTTACCTACACAACAATCCTACCAAACACCTGATGAAACGATTGACTGGGACATTTTAGAACCTATAGAAGAATTACCAGTTTTTCATGATTTACCAAGTCAATCCAGTCAACATATCAAAGACCCTAAATCTACTACAGCTCCGCAGCTTTCTCCCGGCAAAAAATCTCCATCGAAACCTCGAGCTAGAGAGCATGAAGCTGCTAGACAGCCGGAGTATAGGGTAAGTAGTCTTGAGGATTTAGCCATTGACTGAAACAATCTTACAGCTCTTTCCCTGTTGCCTTTTTTATGTTGCAGAACTCGTACGCAAGACAACGCAGAATTATTTTGAAGAACACTGTAAGTTTGGCAGATTTTGCTTGTGATGGGTCTTAAATCTGATGAAATTTTTCATGACAGGACATGGAAGAGTATAGACGTAGAAATGAAATAAGAAATCAAAAACGAAAAGAAAAGAGACAAAGTGTAAGTCGAAAAGCTACTTCAGATGTCATACCCTGAAAGGGAGAAGCTCACACCCAATATTTGAGCATGCTCCTTCAGATGACCCCGGAGGAAAAAGAGGTTTATTTGGCCAAGAAAAGAATTTTAAGTCGACGTAGTGATCAGAATATGAAGAAAAAGTGAGTGTTATCAACTTGTTTTACTTGGTCTACCAAACTTAAAAAGAAAACAGAAATCCAGATTTTAGAAAGCATGCGACTCGAACCAGCATCGCAATGAGGATCGCAAACGGCACAGCCACTGAACGTGACAAACAAAGATTGGAGAGTCTACGCAAAATGGATAAAGTCGCTTCTGAAGCAAAAAAGAAAGCCAGACGTGAGGCAAAAGAAGCAAAGAACAAGATCAACGCGGAGTCTAGCCAATCGCAAAGGATATGAATACAGATCGATCTGATCTTTGAAGTGAATGTAAAATGTGTAGAAAGCCTAGTCCTATGCAACATATGCTTACTTTTTTTTGCATGCATGCCAACTTTGCTCATATAGGTTTATGTGCTATCCGGGGCTAGGAATTTTGAAATGCATTTTGATCGAGATTTCTGAAGAACGCAAGTTGATACCTTCTTTAAGCCACAACTATTACTATCGAATCACTAGACCTCACTTACTCTTTCATCTTTGAGCCTTTCCTTTCATGGCTACTATATTCATCGTATGGCTTTTAAGCTATACTTTCTTCCTTAAACTTGTCAGAAGTGTTCAGCTAGATGTTGATTTGAACGAGCCTTTATTACAAGGAGGAGATCTATGGCCTATGCAAAACGACAGTAAGCAAGGCTCTCCCCAAGACAGCGTTTTTCCTGAAGTACGAATCAAAGGCATCTCTGACAAGGAAGTAGAGAGAAAAAAGCGTCTGGTAAGTGTATCTACAGTAAATTGATTAAGACGCATTTTGTTAAGAAACGCTGTCTCTTTAGAAGGAGAACCAAATGAGGTATAAGGAAAGCTTAACGTTGAATCCAGAGAAGGCAAAAGCTCGCAAAGACAGAAGGATCGCATTACGGAAAGAGCGACGGGAAAAAGGAGTAAGATAAAATAGATTGGCATGATAAACAGATTCATACTTATGCACACTTTTCCTCCTTTTATCAGATTACCCTTCCGGAAACAAGAGCTAGGAAGAATTATAAATTGAGACTTCGGAAGAAGTAAGTGATGATAATCAACAATCACCAAAAAGTTCTGAAAGATCTCTGAGTCTGCTCTATCTTTTTTCAGAGGCATTCAGAATAGCTCGAACAGTTATAGACGCTTTCTTCGAGATAAAGTCGCAGCAGGCACAGCGACAGAAGATCAAATTGCCAGACTTAAGGGCTATCGAGAGCGGGATTCAAAGTATTGCAGAGAGAGAAGAGACCGCTTGAAGAAGCAAATGAACGATCGATCGGCTGAAGAACATCCGGTGGGCTGATGTATTGTAGACACTGCATATGAATGCTATGTCAGCCCCTGACAATAGCAATGAGCATAAATGCAGAGCGATATGACTCTTTCAATGAAAACGCAATGTGTAGAAGCCCCGTCGGACAATGTCGAAGCTTAACTTTAATTTGAATGTCTGCCAACTTTGTCCATTAAGATATATGTGCTTATCATATGTCTCTTAAATTTGACTTCAACGTTAGATGATGTTGCTTGTTTATGTCTTCTCGGTGCTGCTTGCATATTTGCCATTATTTTATGCTTTCCCCGCTGGCGACATCATTATTAACCCTAGGGAACATCGTGAACACTCTCAAGAACTCGATGAGACTATAGATTGGGAAGGCTTGCAGCCTTTAGTCGATCTTCCGCTTAGCGAACATGAATCAATGAGCACTATTTCGAAACATTCGCCTGGTCATTCTATCTCTAATATGCCACCGCAACCACCTGTAGATCCGGAAATCGATAAAAAGGCTCTTGATAAGGAAGCTTGGAGAAAACTGCGTCGGGTAAGTTTTCTTGCAGAAGAAAGTTCAGCCTAGTCTTAATTTTCAGCTCTCTTTCTCTATAGACAGAGACTTTGAGAAAGTATTCGGAAAGTTTAAAGCTGGTAAGAAGAAAGTATAAGTTACGTTTTCGTCTAAAAGCAAAGCTGAGTTACCACCCTTGACTACTGCAGAATCCAGAGAAGGCTCAAAGACGTAAAGATCGAAGGATAGAGTTACGGCAAGAACGATTGAGGAAAGGAGTAAGAACATGTTATTGAAATTTTATAGCCGATCTTTGATTGCTCACCCTTACAAAGTTTTATATAGATCCCTCTTCCAGAAAGACAAGCTAGCCGGAAACAAAATAAGAAGAACTTCAAGGTGAGGGCTCGTCAAAGGTGAGTAGTCACAATTGAGATGCAATGAGAGATTCTTCTCATTTCTGAACTTCATCTCTTAATTTGCCAATCAGAGGTAACTACGGAAGTAGTTCGGTCAATCACCGACGATTTCTAATGGAAAAAATTCAAGCTGGAACAGCGTCACAACAACAAATTTTAAAGCTCAAATCGATGAGAGAAAGAGATCGATTATATCAAGAGGAGAGGAGGAAACGTTTGAAAAAGCAAGCAAACAGTTAAGCGGATAAAGATAGCACTGCAAGCTGAACGGTTGCAGTTGCTATGAATGAATGCTGTGTCGGCTGCAAATTAAACACATTTGAAAGGCTGTGACTAAAATTAGTCACCAATTGTTTGATAAATTGAAAAGTACATTTATACGGAATTTGTTCAATTCTTCTCATTTCCCTATCGAGGCTATATGTGCTTTGTTGCTCACCATGTTCTGGCTATTATGTAGTGTTCTTCACCTTTCACTATTATTTCTTCCTCTTGCGCAACCTATGAATCATGGTTCACCTGGTTCGCCTCCCCATGTGATCAACAACACCATCGATTGGGATAAATTGCAGCCGCTTAATGCTGAAAATGCTCGATTTCAAACAGATCACTTAACATGGAATGAGGTACTACACGACCCAGAGTCTAGTCCTCAGCCAAATATACACACCGAAGCAGATAGATTGAGATCACCGACAGATTCCACCCTCAAACAAGAAGACATGAAAGTCGAAGCAAGCAGTCAAGCTAAAGTTGCAAGAAAGAGACCAAAACGAAAGGCAACTGAAGCTTCTTTGCTTTCAGTAAGTGCTTGTATCTGATTCAAATCTCCCTAGTTGTACACTGACTCTAACTAAAACAAATTCAGGGGAAAAAATACTACAATAAGATCAAATCGGTAAGAGGAGAATGGAGTTAAAATAAGAACGCTTCATAAGCTCAAAATGATACCCTTCCATTACCTAGGATCCTGAGAAATGGCGAACATACAAGGAGAAAAAGAGAGAGTGGTATAAGGGGTATGTCGCAAAAGTAAGTAGTATTTGGATCAATTCATTCAACCAATCTTCCTGAACAAATGACATATATTTCCATTAATACAGCAACCCGAACAGAAGAAACAGGAAATTCGCGCAAGAAAGGAAAGAGAAAGGAAAGCAAGACTTAAGGTCAGACAAGCAGAGTGAGTTGACCAACACATGCATCAAAAGTGGCTTATAAGCTCACCCGAATCAATTCTTCCCTACAGCCCGACCAAAAGAGCAAGACCAAATTCAAGAATGAAACTTCGTGCAAAAATTAAAGATAATACGGCAACGGAAGCGGAAATAGAAAAGTATAAATATCTATTAGAGAAAGACAGACTATATCATCAAGAAGTGAAAATGAAACAAATGCAATCAGGTCAGATCGGTAAAGGGGGAAAACGTTCAGATGATTCAGGACATCGCTAGATCTTTAAGGTACAGCATTTTACAAAATTACGTATGTTGATTAAATACACACGCAATCAAGCAATCGGGGCTATTGTATGTATATGTAATAAAAAGCAACAAAGTCAATAGAACCTTTCTTTAATCTTTTACCAAACTACCTTTGCCATGAAAAATTTTAACATTGTGCTGTTCTTAGCGGTCACTTTTGTCTCTGCAAGACCGATGGATCGAGATTCACGACCAAATGATCGGTCAGCGAACGGAAGAAGTGCTCTGCAACAGCCTGAGATCCGAACGAGTGACCATGAGTTTCTTCACTCCGGAATAGGTCCTAGACTTCTAGGGTTTGAATCTTTAGATAAAGCCACCACTCCAAAACAAGAAAATCATTCCCAGCTGACACCGATTCAAATCAAGAATAAGAAATATTATCGTAAAATTAGAGAAGATCCTACGTCGTGGGAGGCATACAAAGCGAAGAAGAGAACTTTGAGGGAAAAACGAATGAAGGATTTGCCAGCAGAACAATTAGATAGAATACGCATGCAAACACTGAAAAGAGTTCAGAAATGGAGACTTACGCAAAAATCTCAGAGAAAAGGTTCTCGATCCAATGCAAGGACTCGATTTCGAGATAATCTCAAGTCAGGTACTGCAACGGTTGCGGATTTGGAAAGGTACAAAGATCTTTTGCAACATGATAGGGCGTACCAAAAAGAAGCTAGAGAGCGAAAAAAGCAGGCAAATGCTCAAGCCGGGAATTAAATTATACATCTGACGCTCTCGGATCTGCTTGTGGGTCCTCAGAGCTTTACCAGCGTTTTGATGAGCTTGCTACAATGAAATTATCGTGTCTGCATCTTTGTGTGCAACGCTGTACCAGATGAAAACGCAATTAGAGTAAAGAATTATGCAAATTATATGTGTACATTTGAGCTGTAAAATGCAAGTGCTTCAATACATATATTGCCTCGAACAGCTTTAGCCAATATTTCAGCGGGGCTATAGTGTCTGTGTTGGATTTCCGACTATTGGGAAATGTATATTAATGCCTGTTCTTAGCCACAATCATCGCTTCCACATTATCACCACTTCTTTATTCTTCTTTAATGCTTAAAGTAATCATCTTGTGGCTTTTCAGCTATTTCTCGCTTTTTAAAATCATTAATGCTGTTCAGTTAGGCATTGACTTGAACGAGCCTTTGGCGCAAGGAGGGGATTTGTGGCCTATGGGCAACGACTCTGGTCAAGGCTCTCCTCCAGAAGGCGTCCTTCTTAAGGAGACCACAGATGCAACTTCGCAAGCGACAGGGCACCTCAAAGTACGGGCAAAAATCCATAAAGCAATGAAGGTATGGCTGAAAAGGTTCTGCTCAGTAATGAAACTATCACTGACTAGTCTATACATTCTTAGAGAAAGCACAGCCAAACATATCTGAAAAATTTGAGAGCTGTGAGTTTGAACCTCGCCTTTCCTTGTGATGTAGCCCTACTTACACAAAAAAATAGGATCCTAAAAGATATGAGATATACCTCGCTAAAAAGAACAGTTACGAGCAACAACGTAGAAAGGATGTGAGTAACATTGACCAAATCAATACAGAAGGAAAAGCTGACACATCTTATTGCGGTGAAAAGATGACACCAGAGGAGAAAAAAAATTTTGTTAGTCGTAATAAAATATATCAGCACAGGTATTATACAAAGAAGAAGCAGAGGTGAGTAAGAGTGACGTTGAATGGTTCGTACCTCTTGCTGATCCAATTTTCCATGTTATTTAACTAAAGTGACCCAAACTTTCGACGTCAAGGCCAAAGGCCCGCTCTGCGTAAGGAAATTGAGCAAGGCACTGCAACTGAACAGCAGATCAAAACATACAACCAATTGTTAGAGACAGATAAGCGCTATCAAGCTAATAAAAGAGCTAAAAGAATGATGCAAGAACAGAAAGATGAGACCATCAATAAAGAACATCATACAGGCTAGAAAAACGTGATGTAAGGCAGTATCAAGCAGTTAGTCGATCAAGAGTACGCATCGGGGCTCAACCTACCACTTTATAAAGTTTTTTATGTCCACTATAGTTTTTACATTAACAACGATAATCAACCCTCATGTTGCTCTTACAGCTCAATCTATTCATTCTCCTTTTCGTCTTGCGACAAACAAGCTCAGCGCAATTGGATCTCGACTTAAATGAGCCAGCAATCGATTCTATGAATATAGACTTGAATCTACCCCTTGAACAACATGAAGAAAGTATGACAGCACCAATGAAGCAAACAGTACAAGATTCTGTTCCAGACCAATCTCGCTCTACAAAGCCTAAGAGGCACAGAAGCAAACTCAAAATGAAAGTATATAGGGATACTTTCAAGGCAAAGTTGATGACGAAACCGGAAGACTATGAAAAGTTTAAAACAATAAAAAGTCAAAAGGCAAAAGACAAGTATCACAATTTAAATAAAGCTGAAAAAGAAGAACTACTCTTACAAAAGAGGCTTTCTTATCGAAAGCTTATGCACAGTAGGAAGCAGCAGAATCCCGAATATCGTAAAATAGACAAACGAACTCAATTACGTGCACGGATCCGTGAGGGAAATCCCTCAGAGGACGATGTACGCAAACATGCGGAATTGTTGAAGAAAGATAGAATCCGAGACCAAAACCGTAAACAAGCGGCTCTAAATTCAGCGAAGAAAATGCCTCTAGTTAGGACTGCGCCTTCAAATCAACCACACTCATAGCAAAGATGAAGGTGTGGCTGGCCAGAAAATAAACAGTCACGCAAAACCATCATACCGGGGCTAGACTTATGAAAAGCATATCACATACTCATAATCAGCACAGATACATGTGTCCCCTTGCTTTCCGCAACGATTATTGATCATGTTTTTGTTCTACTCTATCTTCCTCTTTGTACTCTCATTATTCTCCTTACACCGTGCGGGGCAAGTTGGGAAAGAAGTTGATTTAAATCGATCAGCTTCTCCCGTCGAAGGAGAGTGGCCGACGACAGAGATAATACCCGTGAGTAATTCTTCCTTATACCACAGCCTCTTCAAGGGAAGCTGAATGCAAATCTCATTCTTTTTCTTAAAAGACCAATGATCAGGCAGGCCCTGCTGGAGGTAAAAATGCACCAATTGACGCAAAAGAGAAGAGGAAGAGAGATAAAGAAAAGGCAAATGAAATGGGGAAACAAATCACATATAAACAGTTTGTTAGCCGGGGCTTCCTCATAGTGCCGTTCAAGTACACGTATATAACCTCAATACTCCTTTTTCTCAATCCACTTTATCCTCAACCATGTTTTCACTCAGTCTGATACTCTGTCTTGCCAATTTGTTCTTATACCAGATATGTGCGTTCGATCAAACGATTGATCTGAATCAGCCAGCCTTAGAAACGGAAGAATGGCCAACAGAAATGATGAAAGTGAGTTATTTCCTACAAGATTTATAGAACAAGACGAACTTATCATCTCTGTATTCATAATTTACTGACCAAAGGGTTTTAGAAGCTAATGAAAGTACGACTACGAATTCCCTCTCTGAACTTCAGAGAAAGCGTTTAGCAAATAATGCTAAACAAAGGCGCCGTTATCAAAAAGTGAAAAAGAACCCCGAAGCTTATGCGAACCTACTAAAGTCAAGGCGAGAAAACAAGATAAGAAGGTTCCAAAAGGCAGATGATAAGACGAAGGCCGAAATTCGTTTGAAACATGTAAGAGCGAATCTTATTAGCGAAAGGAAAAGAAGGGAAAGAGATCCTTCATATAGAAAGTACGATGCAAGAGCTGAAGTGCGTAAACGAGTGAGGGAGGGTAGAGGAACTGAAGAGGATAAGCAAAGGCTTCGTGAGATCAACGAAAAGAATAAACTTTCCAAGATGAAGAGCAGGTCAGCAAAAGAAGCAAGTCTTTCGATGGAAAATGAACGCTCACCTAAGAAGCGTCGCACTTCCAAGAGCTGAAGGAGTTGGTAATACTTTTTGTGTGTAACTTCATGTCTTTAGGATCAGTATTCCTGACATAGTTGTATCACCCAACCTTTTAAAAAGATTTATCAGATTTTACAAATTGTATATGGAACTGGTGGCATAGTTTCGACTCTTTCCCAACAAGTCATTTCATTAAAGGCAGATGCCGCTGAATTCGTAGTTATCTACACTCATATCAGACGTGAAAGCGATGTGCACTGCAAAAGAGTGTTTTACCGGGCTCGGATTGATACAGCTTTTAAATGAGCTGTCAAGTACGCCCATTTTCAACTTCACCTCCTTTCACATCTTTTTCCATTTTTGACCACAATAGACCGCCCAGTCCAGCCTTGCATAAAATGTAGAGCTTGCAGTCGGGGTTACATCATTACACCGCCTCGCCATTCGAGCTTGTAATGTATAATCATTCATATCGTACGCCTCTCTTTCTTTCTACAATCGTCAATCATATTCTCATTTATTCAAATCTTTTTATTTATTTGCCCTTTGGCTTTGAAGGCTCGGCCTTTCGATCAAAGCATTGATTTGAATCAGCCAGCTTCTCCTGCGGAAGAGATACCAACGGCTGCAATGATGAAAGTGAGTACTGTTGTAAAGCGAGTAGAGAAAAGTCATTAATTATTGTTTTTATAGTCTGTTGATCAAAGCGTTTCAGGATCCAGTGAGATCCCGGTTACAGATCCTCTCTCTCGTGAAGAAAGTAAACGTCTAGCAAAGAATATTAGGAGCAAAAGCCGTTACGAAAAGATGAAACAAATACCTGGTGCGTATAAAGCTTTCTTAGATAGGAGGCGCGAAAATGCAGCGAAAAGGCATGAAAGATTGGATGACAAGACAAAAGCTGAACATCGTTTACAGCATGCAAGAGCAACTGCTGAGTACGAACGAAGAAAGAAGGAAAAAGATCCTACATATAAAAAATATGACGCAAGGACAGGGATACGTAAAAGAGTTCGCGAAGGAACAGCAACCGAAGAGGATAAATAAAAGTATCGTGAAATCAGTGAAAGGAATAAAATTGCATTGAAAAAGTGCAGATCAAAGCCCACCTTCAAAAGGCGGGAGTCAAGGACACAGATACGTAAAAGAGTCCGCGAAGGCACAGCAAATGAAGAGGATATGCGAAAGTATCGTGAAATTAACGAAAAGAATCAGATTGCACAATTAAAGTACAAATCAGCAAAGGAATCAAGAAATAAAGCTTTAGAGCAAAATTTCTCCTCAACTTGACTTTCAACGCTTTTCCTTCCACTTTTCTTCGTCTCACTCTCTACAGTGCATACACTTCTACCCAACAATGCTTTACTAGGCGGATCATCAAAGTCTTATGCCGCTCAATGTCTCATTAAACACAAGCCTATCTAACTTTGATGTGATTTGTACTCCTCGTAAGATTTTGTACTGGCCTTGATCTAACGCAACTTTTGTATGAACTGTCGAAAATGCCCACCTTTTTCTATACCACCTTCTATTACACCCCTTTCTGCTTCGTACAGCCTTGCATATCAAGAAACACACTTTTCGTCGCTGATGAGCATGAATCAGTCAGAGTACGCAGACGGGACTCCAATACCACACCGCCTTGCTTCGTGAAAGTGTATAAACTAGTACTGCACATACGCATCCTTTTCCTCTTGGACTCGTCAATAATGTTACTGTCCATCCAAGTTTCTCTAGTCGTCTATACTTTAGCTTTACAAGTATACTCTTATGGTTTAGATATCGATCTTAATCAGCCAGCTTCTCCTGCTGAGGAGCCAACAACTGCAGAAATGATGAAAGTGAGTTTCCTATGTGAATAAATGATTGTTCTACAACATTGATTACTTACTTAATCGCTCTTATAGTCCACCGATCAAAGAAACTATACAATCATCAAGGTGTCACAGCCTCCAAAGAAGCAAAAAACGAAAGAGCAACGTTTATCAAAGAAAATCAGACAAAAGAATTGGTATAACAAATTAAAAAAGGACCCTAAGAAGTACGAAGTATTTTTGAAGCAAAAGGCGGATTACAGAAAAAATTGGTATAGCAATTTTGATGAAAGCAGAAAGAAGGAATTCCGAGCTGAGAAACGTAAGGGACAATTAGCTTACAAGCAGCGTAAACTGGAAAAGGACCCTAATTTTAAGCCTTTCGATCGAAGAAAAGAATTACGAAAACGTGTACGTGAGGGGACTGCAACGAAAGAAGATTTACAACAGTATGACGAACTTAAAGCCAAGCATGCAGCCGGACAAAGGGCATCGGCACAACGCACGAAAGAGAAGAAGAAAACGGAAAACATTTACATTCAATGAGGTATCAGATCACGCATAATTTGATTTATCGCTTTGTTTGTCAAAATTTCGAACTTTACGGGGCAAATGTCGCAAACTTACCGAGTGATAAAAACCGGAAAGACCAGAGCAAGCTTTTCCTTTAGCATCATCCATACCATCCTAGTACAAGTCATGCTCACGATTGTAATCGTAGCTTTTGTGCTAGCTTGCTCAGTAAAGTGTGTCAGCCCACCACATTCTCCTCAACCGATAGCGGGAGATGTTGATTGGGACTCTTTAGAGCCGCTTTTGGGGACAGATATATCTCACAGTCTGATTCGGTCGCCGATTCGAGCAGAAGCACATCAATCGCCACAAGTACCGTCCCAACAACCTGCACCTTCACATACTAACCCATCCGCATCGCTCTCTAAAGCCACCAATATTGATATTCGAAAGATTCCAAAATCAAGCGGTAAGCAAAAGATGACACCTGAAGAGAAAAAAGAAAGACATGCACTCAAGCAACGTATATACCGACAAAACGTAAAGAAAGATCCAATGAAACATGAAGCACACAAAGAGAAAACAAAAGCACGTCAACAGAGGTGGTGGACGAATTTACCACCCGAACGAGCAGTTGAGATACGTGAAAAGAATATGCATTCTGCCAGAGCATACCGTCAAAGGGTTGCACAAGTGACACCGCCCAAGATAAGCAAGAAAAGGAAAAGGACGGAGAAAGATCCAAATCAACAATCTCTTAAGGATGGTTGAAGTGTTAGGTAGTGTATGCTTGATGTGAAACAATGAAAATTGTACTGGCACGAAGCAAATCAGTCAGTTGAGATTCATAGATAAGGTGACATATTTAGAGTGACAAAGGGTCTGCATAATTGATTTATACTTCCATGAAAACACGCTGGCAATCTCTGATCAGGCTGATAATATGTTATGAAGGGTAAAAATGATTATATATATATATATATACGGTAATATACGTTGTTGTGATAGCCTGTATGACGTCTCATATAGCATAAAACTTATAAAGTCAATTGAATTTCTACAAGCCAGTCACATTCGAAATAAAGATGAGAGTTTGGCCAGTCAATACATAAATATTTACGCAACAGCTCCATACCGGGGCTAGAGATATGAAATGTATAGCATATTTTCATACTCAACACAAATACTCATGCCCTTGCCTCCCACGACGATCATTTATCATGTTGTTGTTCTACTCCTTCTTTGTCTTCGTTCTTTCGCTGTGCTCATTGCACCATGCCTGGCCAGTCGGGCAAGAAATTGATTTGAATCAACCAGCTTCCCCAGACAATGAAGAAGAGTGGCCAACGACAGATATGATGACAGTAAGTAAAATTATTTTAATTGATAAGGTCAGAAAAGAAATTGAACACATTTTACTCTTTCTTGTAGACAAATGCTCAGATAAGCCCAACCCAGAATGCTGATGCACCAATCAAAGCAAAAGAGAGGCCAAAGAGAAACAAAGAAAAGGCAAACGAGGCGAGCAAAAGATACTATCAAAGAAAGAAGAATGGGCCTAATTATGCAGAATATCTGAGATTAAAAAGGGAATACAAGCACAGACGTTTCCAAAATCTACCAGAAGAAAGAAAGAATGAAGAACGTCTGAAGACATCTTCAACTACAAAGGCTTACATAAAGCGCAAGAAAGAAGAAGACCCGGATTTCAGACAAAAAGATTCAAGAACGCTGTTACGCAAACGTATCTTTGAGGGAACAGCAACAGATGAAGACAAAACGAAGTATCGTATTCTGTGTGACAAGGTTACGGCAGCGGTAAAAAAACACCACTTGCTAAAAGGAAAGAGGCAGCAAGCACCCTCATCGATTGATAACAAAAGAGCAAAGAAGAAGCGCCGAATCAATGAAAAACAGCAAGATCCTTAATCGATTTCCAATTTATAAGTCTAGTAGTCTAATCTTCGATAGAGACATTTGTCTCAGTATCAGATCATTACGAAGAACTTAAGAGCTTATAATTATTGTTCACGGAATCTTGATAACATATGTACCAATATTATAAATGAATGCATTAGAAGTTCTTGCAACATTTTTATCTAACCATGACGCTCACAGTGTAGGAACACAGCAGCCGTCCGCATTTTGCTCTGATGTTGAGCAAAGGTTGAGCAAAGGGGCGAGCCTTGCATAAAAAGAAACACACTTTTCGTCACTGATAAGCATCCATCAACTGATCAGATTACGCAGCCGGGGCTATAATACCACACCTCCTTGCTACCTGAAAGTGTATGAATTAATATTATACATACGCCTCCTTTTCCTCTTGGACTCATCAATAATGTTGCTGTCCATCCAAATTTCTCTAGTCGTCTGCACTTTAGCTTTACAAGCTTGTTCTTATGATTTAGATATCGATCTTAATCAGCCAGCCTCTCCTGCTGAGGACTCACCCACGGCAGAAATGATAAGAGTAAGTTTTCTACGAGAAGAAAGATTGTTGTGCTTCTTTACTCAAGTACTTCATCGCTTTATAGACCACTGATCGAGTAGACGATACAATCAAAAAAGTCTCACTTCCTCAGTCGATACCGAGAATGAAAGAACAACGTTTGTTGCAGAATTTTAGACAAAGACAACGGTATCATGAAACGAAGAAAGACCCAAAGAAATACGAAGCTATTTTGAAACAAAGAAGGGATTATAAGAAAAGTCGATATAGCAATCTAGATGAAAGAAAAAATAATGAACGAAAGGCATTCTCATCATACATGCAGCGTAAGCTGGAAGAAGATCCTAATTTTCAGCGGACCGATCGAAGAAAAGATTTACGGAAACGTGTACGTGAGGGAATTGCAACGAAAGAAGATTTACAAATGTATGACGAACTTAAAGCCAAGCATGCAGCCGGTCAAAGGGCATCTGCAAAGCGTAAGAAAGAGCAAAAGCAGACGGAAGAGAGTCGCAATCAATAGGATTACAATTGACGCATACTTTATTTTACTCCATTTCTTGTCAAAGTTTCAAACTTTACGGGGCAAATGTCGCACATTTACCGAATATTAAAAAGCGGAAAGAATAAAGAAAAAATTTTCTCAAGCTTCATCCATATCATCCTAGTACAAGTCATGCTCACGATTGTAATCCTAACTTTTGTGCTAGCTTGCTCAGTAAAGTGTGTCAGCCCACCACATTCTCCTCAACCGATAGCGGGCGATGTTGACCGGGATTTTTTAGATCCGCTTTTGGAGACAGATATATCTCACAGCCTGATTCCGTCGCCAATTCGAGCGGAAGCACATCAATCGCCACAATTACCGTCCCAACAACCTGCACCTTCACATACTAACCCAACCGCTTCGCTCTCTAAAGCCACCAATATTGATATTCGAAAGATACCCAAAGCAAGCGGTAAGCGAAAGCTGACACTTGAAGAAAAGAAAGAAAGACATGCACTCAAACAACGTATATACCGACAAAATGTGCAGAAAGATCCAATGAAACATGAAGCACAAAAAGAGAAAACGAAAGTACGTTATCAAAAATGGTGGCAGAATTTACCGACCGAACGAGCGGATGAAATACGTGAAAGGAATATGCATACTGCCAGAGCATACCGCCAAAGGGTTGCAAAGGCAACACCGCCCAAGACAGCCAAAAAAAGCAAAAGGACCAAGAAAGATCCAAGTCAACAATTTCCCAAGGATGGTGGAAGTGTGTAGGTAGTGTGTGCTCGAGCTCTTCTTTCCCCCGAGCCTTCGGTGTAATAAAAAGGGAAGCGATCAATTTAGCCTTAAATTTAATTATTGCTTAAAGTCTAAGCGCGGGTGATGCGGGGTTGATTGCAGTTTGACAGTGTAACATCAGTATGTGTACACGTTTGAAAGCTGCCTTTCATGCGTAATCCAGGAACAGAAAGAGTTGATATTGTACTCAATCATCTTCCCTTCTTCCTCTTTCTCACACGCATACATTCGACATGGCGATCACAATAGACCATATTGTAGAGGTTTTAGAACCGCTTACAGGGCCACGCTACTCACCTGCAATTTTGGCCGGTTTGCTATACATCTTGAAAGGTGCAGAAGTAGGAGATGCATTTTGGCAAATCAGTAATGGAAAAAGTGTAAAGACTGGATTACCGATCCCCGTTCGAGAGCGTGTAAAAGATCTTATGAAAACTTTGTTTGAATCTCTCTTTCGTTCAAATGCTTGGCTTAGGATTTATTCCATCATTGCAATCACCAGATTGATCAATCGAATTGGCGCTCGTTTGGTCATTGATGGTTCTGCTCCAAGAACGATTCGATGGTCCGATCATCTCGTCGTAATTACGGGAGGATCACGCGGAATGGGAGGAAGGGTATGTGAATTGCTCAAGGAGAAAGGAGCTCGTGTGGTGGTGATTGATAAAGCAGCCAAGTCATTACACGGAAAAGAAGATTTATTCTTGGAAGCAGATGTGACAAAAGAAGAAGAATTAATTCAAGCACGAAAGCAAGTACACAGCGAACTTGGATACCCAACAATGCTGATCAGCGCAGCTGGTATTGCTCGTCATAGCGTTGTCATGGACCCGCCTCATAGATTCCCAAGCTCCTTCAGTAATGCGGTCATTGACGTCAACCTTAAAGGATCCTTCAATTTCGTCAAAGTGTTTGGTCAAGATCTTCTCAGTGATTACGATGAAGAACAAGATCAAGAACTGGTTTTGAAGGGTAAAGCAAGTGCTCAGCATGCAGCACGTCAAGAAGGAGAGTTCCCTATCCGTAATAATTTTGGTGGTCATATTTTGATGATCGGAAGTGGTGCAGCATTTGCACCTTTGCCTGCCAATGCAACCTATAATGCATCAAAAGCCGGAATCGTTTCACTTCATCATACGTTGAATTATGAAATTCAATCTTGGCATAAATCTGATCGTGTTCGAAATTCAGTCTTTTGTCCGTTAATGATTCATACTGATATGACAAAAGATCGAATGAAAGAACAAAAGAATCAATTCATCTTCCCTACCCTAACAGTCGATCAAGCTGCTGCGAAGATTGTCAAGGTCTTGGAACAAGATCGTTCGCAAGTATTCTTTGCACCAGCTGGAGCTTATGCACTTTCTTTGCTAATGCCTAACCTGCCAGCTTGGTTGATCAGACTGGTGGCTAATGGAGGAGGATCAGGATCGACATTTAGCGAATACCTACACAAACAACGTTTACCCATCGGAGAACACTAATCTGTTTACATTTGCAAGAACCCTTTTGTTTGTTGGTTACCTTTTATAAAATGTGATTTGAATCCACAAATGTAGTGATGGTAATGTACAATCATTGTGTGATATGTCGTAATTTAGCGTGAATTGGACGAGCATTTCCATTGTTTTCAGTCTTTCTTCTTACCACCTCTAGGTGGTGGTGGAACAGAAGGTGGCGGAGCAGGCTTTGATGCTGCTGCATTGATTCCATAATTGCCAGCATTCATTGGTTGGGCTGGAGCTGAAATCCCATTTCCATAAGCTGCAGGACCGTTTATTCCATCTGCCCCAGTTTTGATTCCCGGTGCAGCTCCATTGATACCTTGACCTCCCCAAGCACCATCCACGATTTGTGCTGCCATTGCACCTCTTTTGCCCGTCGTAGTCACACCTGTTCCAAGATCGACACCCGTTCCAAAACCTCCCGCAGATCCATATGCTGCTTGAGGAGAATGAACGCCATTCATATTGTTTCCATAAACACCATTCGATTGAGCACTGTACCCACTCGCACCTCCTCCAGCTGCAAACAAGGCAGGATTGGCAAATTGCCTTGCTTGTCTCCAGGCAGCGCTATTTCCACCTGTTGCAGAAGGTGTGGCCATAGCCGCTGAACTTGCATCGAGTAGACGAGGGAACGATCGTAATACTAATCTGTAACACTTTACAGTCAACCAAAAGATCGGTAAGCGAGGTGGCAGAACAGGTGAAAGGGACGTGTTTCCAGGGATGCCACTCGAGTTCATTCCTGCAGATGTAGGTGTGATGGTAGTCGTACTATTTGGCGCTTGGCGAGGTTGAGGGTTGCCGAGCATTGCCAAAACAGTGCAAATCGGAAATACGAGCATGAATAGCATCAAATTGAGCAAACCAGAAGGATGGAAGAAGCTGATTGCTGTAGATGGCAAACCGAATGCCACAAAATAAGCCCATCTACTTTCTGCATACCGCATCCTGCGTTCGACAGACCATCCACGAGCGATCCAACCCTGCTCAAAGCAGTAGTAAGCGTCAATAAAAGACATAAAGATAAATGAAAGTGTTCTTCCGATCCATGGGATATGCTGTAGGGCTATCGATATGACGAAATAGTTAAGAATAAGAATGATACGATAAGATTCCAAGATAAGCCGCCTTGATGTTCCTGCTGGAATTGTTGAAGGCACCATAGAGATACCACGAGCATGTTTGAGCTTGTAGGCAGCATGAGCAACATCGACTGTCCAAGAAGCAGCGAGAAAGTAGGAGCCTGCTATTAGAGGATATAGCCAGAATACACTTCCTATACTTCCAACGTGATCATCGAGATCCTCATGGCTCTCTCCAGATTTGGTGGGGAAAAGGTGTCTGGGAAAGAAGGCCAATTCGAAAAAGAAGATGAGCGTAGTGATTGTAGCGGATAATATCAATCCTTTGATGATGCCAAATCGTATCTCTGCTGATCTTGTTGCGACTTTTCCAGCCTCAATCCATCTATTTGCATCAAACCAACCAGCTTTTGCCCATTGAAGGTGTAATTTTGCCGATTGTGCAATGCTCATAGATGATGTATAGGCTGCCGGACCTTTAGCTGACCAGGCCGAAGAAGAAGATGAGGACCAGCCGCCATCGTAATCTTCATCTAGCCTACCACCTCCTTCAACATCAAGATCAACGCTAGCAGCAAGTGATAATGCTGGTCTATGTCTTGATGAATACATCTTCGTTGTGATGGTGGGTAGCAACAACTTCTTTCATCATCACGCTAAACCATTTCTCTTAAGAAGCTTAATTTGAGTGTCTGTCCCTGTTGTTTGATATTCAATTCAATTTCACGCGGTTCGCCCGTCTCTCTAAATTCGGAAAGCGGACAATATGCACACGCATAGTGAATATCGCGTTTTGAACTCCACGTTCCCCAATTGTAATTGTCCGCTTTCATCTTCGATCATCATTGCGTTTCCTCATTCACCCCAAAATAACAATTCGGGGCAAGTATACCTGCTGGTAAACGCTTGGCATCTGCTGGTTAAAAGGCAAGTTGTGTACAATCACAACATCCCACTCCCATAAATGCCTCGCGAAGACGTTGCTGGATTTCACGTTCACGTTTGCATTTATTCAACTCAATCACCACCATTCGAAGATATTTTCAGTAAATACGATAAAGTATATTCTTCAGATCCAAATCAATCAACAGTATTTGATAAAGCGGCACCGCGTTCTTTGTACGAAATTGCAAGGAAAGTTGATCGTCCCTTAGACGCTCGATTGGGACCGCTATCTATTCAGTGGTTAGACCGATCTATTCCAGCAGATAGAGGACGTGGCAATAACCGCTCAAGTATGAGCCCAAACAATCTACGGAAAGATGTGCGAACGAAAGATTCACCAAATCGGTTTGCTCAGGCTACGCCACAACCTTCGAGTATATCCATGCCGGGATCGCCGGTAGCCTCAAAGTCGCTCTCTCCCTCAGCAATCTCCACTCCTGTTTCGAGATTCGTCAAAGAAAGTTCTTTCAGGATAGAAGATGATGACGAAAGCGAAAGAAAAGATGGCAGAAAGTCAGGCTCATTGGATGTATCTTTCGGAATCGTCCATTTATTCAGAGATGACGACTCTCTAAAGGCAACAAACGCAAAGACATCCACAACACTCGAAGACGATACAGGCAGCATATTGGCCGTTTTGGGAGTACCATCGTACATTGGACCTGCAGATTTTCTGCAGCTGATCGAGCCAGCAGCGAATGCGATCAGTCAAGTACGAATGATCAGGGAAGAAACAGCAGGAAGATGTATGGTTTTACTCAAGTTCAGAGATGCTGCCAATGCGGAGGAGTTTCATAAGATGTATGCTGATCAGCCTTTTGATCCTACAGAAGATCCAGATGAGCTGTGTCGAGTGGTCTACGTAACAAAAGTCACTGTTTCCACCACATCCACATTACCCTATGCATACCCCTTGCTGGCAAATAGCGATCCTTGGCCGATCATTGCACCTGAACGGGGCAATACGTCAACATCAGCCGCCAATTCAATCCAACGGATTCCGTCACTTTCAGAATTACCAACGTGTCCGGTTTGCTTGGAGCGTATGGATTCAAGTGTGACTGGATTGATGACAGTCACATGTCAACATACCTTCCATTGTTCTTGTTTGAGCAGATGGTCCGATTCACGTTGTCCGGTCTGTCGTTATACACAATCAAGATTGACAAAGAAAGGTCACATCTTACCTTTTTTCGTGCCAGAACATGGTTGTTGTGCAGTATGCGGGACGGGGAGTGATTTATGGGTTTGCTTGATTTGTGCTACTGTGGGATGTGGAAGATATAAAGCGGGTCATGCCCATCGACATTTCAAAGAGACTGGGCATCTGTACAGCCTGGAACTTGAATCACAACGTGTTTGGGATTATGCCGGTGATGGATACGTACATAGACTCATCCAAAGCAAAGCAGAATTTGGTGTGCTGGATGAAGGTGGACCAACGCCAAAAGCTTTCAGAGGTGCCAAAGGTGAAAAAGGCGGAAGTGCGATGCAAGCCAGTGGTAGTATGGATCGTGCCGGAGAATCAGGTTCAACTGCGCCCGGAGGACAAAGTATGGCTGATGTAGAAGACAAGATGGAAGCTTTGGGGCTGGAATATTCGCATCTTCTCAGTACGCAGCTGGAAAGTCAACGTGCCTTCTATGAAGATCAAGTACGAGCGCATCAACAAAAAGTTGAAAGTTCTGAGGAGATAAATACAAGAACAGCGTTGGCTTTGGACCAATCTCAGAAAGAGAGGGAGGAACTACGAAATCGTTTGGAGGCAGTAACAAGCCGGCATGATCATCTTCAAACCAATCTTGAAGTTAGCTTGAAACGGATCAAGAAACTCGATGAAGATCTTCGTGGTGAACGTTTGATGGCACAGGGTCTGGTCTCACGCATCGAAAAGATGACAAGTGAGGATAAAGGATGGCAAAAAGAAATCGAAAGCTTACGATCCGAGAATGCAGAACTTAAGGAACAAGTACGGGATTTGATGTTCTTTGTTGAAGCAAGAGCAAAGGTAGAACACGAAGGAGGGGAAGAACTAAGGGAGGGAGACGTACAGATGGGTGGAAGACAAAATGCTTCGGCAGGCTCTGCCAATGCAAAAAAGAAAAAGAAGAAAGTTGCCAAGAAGCCGCCAATGCAGAACAGGGAAGGACAGCCGTCAAGTGCTCCTACAACCGAACAAGCAGAAGAGATTGCCGAGGTAAACGAGGAGAACAGCCCTCAAGAGAATGAGGAGGCAGATGGAAACGAAGCCTAATTTTTGTATATTTTGCGATTCCCGGGTAAAGATATATATTGTACAATGCGGGCGACTCTATTGGATGTATATTATACAATGACTGTTATGAATCAATGGGAGAATTTAAAGTAACTTTTAACGAACTTCCAGGAAAGACCACAGTGCGCCTTCATCCTTATAATCATGATGAATGACTGTGACCAACCATCTTTGTTGACCGATTTCTTGCAAAAGTGATTTTGTTGGAGAATGAGCAGGAAATAGGGTTTCCCATTCTGACCAAATTCCAAAAGCTTCTTCACGCCAAGCATCAAAACTTTCACGTTCAATTATTGTCGTTTGAACGATCTCTTTGCCAACAAAACAACCCCAAGTCACCGCACAACTTTCGCCTTGTTCTGCATCTACGTTTGTACGAAATTGTCCTGCACGATTTCCGGCAAAGAAACTTAACCATGTTCCCCCTTTTTTGGTATTGTATTCTTCTATTCGCTTTTCCAAATCCAACATATCCTTTTCAGTACTGAAGAATTCCACGAATGCTTTCTGGAAAATGTATCCATGTGCGGGACCGAATCCGAACACGGGATCAGAAGAGTCGATACCATCTGCACTGGGTTGTGATCCAACCGTCCACCATCCCTTCCCTGTAAAAGACTCTTCCAATTTGGCTCCTTTATCAGCATTAAGTCGTAAGAGTTCATTACTAATCGAATTTGTCTCCGGCAAAATTGGACAATCACACCAAGGAATCACCTCCAATTTGCCATTCAGGTACAGGGTGAAAATGTCGCTAATCTCTGCATTCGTTGTCGGTCTACCCCATTGTCGAAGTGCTTCTTGTGGTGGAATCTTGAGTGAAACACCATATCCATCAATCTGTCCGAAAGCTGGACTTCTAGCATCACCATATCGTCCGTTAGGGAACTCATCCCAAGTAGCGGCAGCCTCCTCCATTGTGGTGACTGGATTTGTCGGCGGTTTCAAGGTTTGCGAGTGGGTATTCGAAGTAAGGCTGGCCTTCTCAATCTTTGTTGCATCAGACGTAGCTTTTGCTGGATTTTGCTTACTTTTCGGATCTGACAGCCATTGTAATGCTTGCAAGATCGTCTTTGTGCTTTTCTCCAAGTTCAATGTGCAAATGTGAAATGCACGGATATCGGTCGATTGACAAATCTTTTCGATTAACGCCTTTGTAAGGTTCACGCCAACATCACGAACTGCAGCATCGTCAAACCGAACAGGTTCTATTGCATCCCATACAGCTTGCGGCACTTTTGCCTTGCACAAGCTTGTCACTCTGCGGAACGTCTGGTAGCTTTGAATGGGCATCACTCCGGGGATGATGGGTATCGTGATTCCATTCGCTCGGCAATCTGCATACCATGCCAAGAAATTGTCGACATCGTAGAAAAGTTGTGTGACGATGAAGTCGGCCCCAACTTCTTGTTTGGCCAAAAGGTGCTGTATCTCAGAATTTGGTGTTTCGTTGGCTTCGGCATCAGGGTGCATTTCAGGATAAGCCGCTACACCGATACAGAATGCGTTACCGTGTCTACTTCGGATGTATCGTACCAGATCTGTAGCATGTTGAAATCGATCATCGGCTGCCACCCATAGCTCTTGACCACGAGGCGGATCACCACGCAAAGCTAGAATGTTACGAATGCCTGATTTCAGGGCTCGGTCTAGAGTTTCGTCCAAGCTTGCCTTTTCCACATTTGTGCAAGTCAAGTGTAAGCAAACGTTTCGTGAAAGCAGTTCATGCCTTCCGTCTTCGATCGGAGTGGAGGGAGTGCTATCCAAAATAGAACTTTCCAAGATTGCCTTTGGACCCAAAGCTCCCGCTTGAACCCTTCCCGCCAGATCAAGACTTGTACTTTGTGTTGATCCTCCAGCACCCCATGTGATTTGAATCCAAGCAGGATCCAAATCTGTAACCATACGTGCGATACGGGTATAAAGGTTTGACAATCCTTGTTGTGTTTTTGGCGGAAAGAATTCCAAACTGAAAACTGGTTTATCTGATTTGATAGCATTTGCAATGATTTCGCTAATCATCTTTGGTTCGGCATTGTTGTTGTTGTTGTTGCTGCTGCGTAAAGTATCATCTTCCACCGCTGGCGTTAAGCCAATGGTAGGCGTAGACATTTTTTTAGATCAAAGAGCGGAGATGTCGTTATTAGTATTGTCGTACCATATAGCCTTGGAGATGAACAGGAAACGCAGCGAGGAATGTACAAGAAGTGATGGTGTTGAAGTGAATGACAAAGTCGTGTGAATGGATCTTCTTTTTGTTTTTTTCTTCTTAAGTGCTTGTGCGTGCGTTTACCACTTATGCCCGTGTACTGCCCGCTAATAGTGCTATGGCGCGATTCGGCTACTTTTGCACGAATGAATGCATTCAAGTTAATCATAGCATACGATGATGTTATTCGATCTATTAGAAAGTGTTTAAGAACACCAAATATGACATAACAGTAACACAGCATTATGGTGAAGTACCATGTCTTAAAAATGAATCTGGGGCCGCAGCAGGACTGCTTGCTTTTTCACCTTTTGCCTTTGCTCTTACAATGCGATTCGCTTTGATCATTGCTTGATGATTTTCAATTTTATTTTTATGAACTCGAACATTATGCTCTGTGATCACACGTTCGGATGCAGGTTGACAATGAAAACGACTTGGAAATTGCTCGTATTGAATTCCAATCTTGTTTGCCAGCACTTTGCCATGAAGCATTCCTTGTACACATCTATATTTCATTTCTGTCATATTACCCACTCCTTTTGTCGCTTTTGACGGTGATGAGTCCGTTGCGCCATGATGGGATTGATTATCTTCCATTGGCAAGGGAAATCCAGAAGCAATGGTGAGAAATGTCATTACGGCAAAAAGGGTAAGGATTGTACTGGAAATAGCAAATCTCATCGTTAAAAGTTAAGTTGAAACGATAAGCAATATAATCAGAATGTACAAATGATTCTACATGGAATCGGACTTTATATAGGTACACACATGATATTGAATCTATGCAAGCCGTTGCCAATGGTACAGCAACACGGGATCGTAGAAACCTTTTTTAAAGTTTGCGTACCATCATAGCAGAATGTGTAATAGAAGTAAAATCGTTGGCAGACTGGAAAAATCATGATACTCAAACAGTGCTGTGGGGAAGATGTTGTTCGAGAAATGAGTGCTATACACAGCATTTGCATATTCTCCTACAAGGTTGAGGGAGTAACAATAATTCGATTCGGGGACAACCTAATTTGCAACGCCAATGTGGCTACCACAAGATTGAGCCCCAGACTAAACAATTTATATTACCGGAGCTGTCCGTCTCTCGACAGGCTGGTTGCTTTTGTGAGCTACCAACACAGCTAAAACAGTCAATAGGAAGTCTCATTTGCTATCTTTTCGCAACAACTATGTTCAAGCTAGCAAGAATAAGCTTTTTCTGCTTGATTGCTACCTCACTTGTCCTAGCTTTGCCGCTGGATAAACCGGGCTCACAAAACAGGAGAGTGAAATTGCCAACAAGCCAACATGTTGCAGAAGGAAGTGCAAAAAGCAAGTCTGCCAGATTATCAAGTATTGCCTATGCATGTGTTCAAGGTGTAAACTTATGCAAACAAGCCAGTCGTCGAATGAGTAAAATAGTCCACGACATCGGTACGACTGTAGGACCGGATAAAGATTTGAATCGATTGCGGGCAGAATATGATAAACTTAAATTGAACATTCATAAAATCGATTACAATGCAAATAAGCTTGCCAGAGAAGAAGTTCAAAGGGCTAAATCTATCAAGAGAATATTATGATTTGATGTTCTGTGAAGATCGATGAGAATTATCGATCGTGTAATTCATCTACCTGTAAAAGAAAAGTGCGAATGCAAGAAAGGGACCCTACGCTAACTTCCACCCACAGAAAATGAATTAGCCTGGAACAATAATCATTGACGATCAGGAACGGGGCCTTGTTCGGATATGAAGAAAGTTTAATTTTAATCAATTTCAATCCATTCTGGAGCTCGGATATCATGCGATCTTATTCCCACATTAAAGTTCAAATATCAGAATTGATTCTTTCATTTCAGGAACGGGATAACAATCTCTAAACACTCGTGTGTGGGTAACAGGCGCATGCATTGAATTCATAAAGGCAAAAAGAGGACCGATTTGCTTATGAATCTTGCCGTCATTTTTACACATGGATGTAGGAACGGCCAGCAAGTCGTGATCGAATGATAAGATCGTCATAAAGTATAAACGGTGTTCTATATTCAAGTCCCGAATGCATAAGGTTTAGAGGGGGATTAAAAGAATACTGATGAAATGCTATAGCAATTCGATCATAATTAATCCCCTTGCTCGAATTATTCTCATGATTACAGGCACAATGACGGAAGTAAGATTAGAATCGTCTTATTTGTTTGTTAAACGCATGTCTCAGAATATCGATATGAAATGAGCTTATCCGTTACTATCTCAGTGTGACTTGATCCAACACTAGCGTGGAATGTTTAAAAGCAAGGAGTGGCAAACTTATTTCGATCAAGGTAACTCTCCTCTACAAGTCGGGAACATAATCACCTTTCTCCCGAGTAGACATCACAAAGTCATAGTAAAACACGCGTTTTTCTCTTCCTTCCTGTGCAGGCAACAGGGCAGTCGAATTCCTTTCGCGTTCGAGGGGTAAGAATGTCAATTTCGGTAGAAGATTTTTACGCGCTAAAGAAAAAACAAAACGATTGACAGCATAAACAGTGATATTTTGCGCCACTTCTTTGTTCACTTGCCAAAAATGGACTTTTTTACAAGTGATAGATTGCCTGACCAACCTTTCTTTTTTGAAATCAAAATCAAGGCACATTATGGCGTAAATGAAAGCCCAAAAATTAACCTTTTTGGCAAGTGAATTTGATTGCATGCTTTTTTATGCATCTTCTCTCCTTTCTGCTTGTGCATTTCATCTTAAAGAAAAAAAAGAAAGCATCTCTTTCCTTGTAAGACTGTCTTTATGAGAGGAATATCGGCGGAAATTTATCCGACTGAATATGAAGTGCAAGCGGTTTGGGCATTGTTAAATGAAATTGATCAATTTTTCTAAAAGCACGGCGCGGAGACCGATAATAAAACGGTAACGCTTGAGCCTACTGGAGCGAGATCTGTAATGAAGGCAGACACAGGCAGGCAGGCAAAAAGGCAGCAGCAGCAGCAGCATAAGATAGTTTTACCTTTTGAAACAAGCCTCGCGCTCGCGTTTCCTTTACTATCCCATTGTGTGTGTGTGCATTCATCATTTCATCCTCCCAATCCTTGCCATCATTTTCATTCATACCTCCATCATTTACCTTTAAGCCTTTTCGGCATTTTTCTCGGCTTATCCTTTTTGGGCGTTCGTCTTTGGCGTTGGGTTGACAACAATTCGTAGCGCGGGATCCGAATAGAGAAAGGAACTCGTGAAGTCGGACCAATTAACACCCCTCTTATCCCCATCACCTTCACCCACCCTTTCTTCGCCCTTTTTTTTTTATTTGCTGGAAGATGCTTTTCACTTCGGCAATCGTTGCAATTGCAACACTTATACCATCCATTTCAGCGCAATCTAGACCGGCAGGATGCATCTCACTACAAGGAAGCAAGCAATGTCCTGCTTTCCAAGATCAATATATCAATCCGCAAAACTTGTCTGGCGCATGGCCATGGATGGCACAGGTAAGCGATGTTACTTCTTTCGATGATCAATTTTCACAATATTGGACAGATCCTACTCGATTCACACGAACAAAGATTAATATCGGACTACAATGCAATCGAACCGGTTCTGCCAACGTCACACTACAATACGAAAGGACAGTTTATTGTGCTGAATTTACTCAGATCAGCTACTCCGCACAATGCAATGCTGGCACGCAAGCAAAGATGGTTTGTCAAAACACTTGCAGACAATACGCTGCATCGGAACAGGCAATCGTTGCAAATCCTGCAATTTGTGCTCCGACAAGCATCTTAACTGCCCAACACAACGCAACTCGATCACAAACACTAACAAAAGACTTTACACAATGCACCGATTGGAATTCTTTGGCCACTAATAACAGCAACACTTGCGTTGAAGGATCCGCCAATGAAGGTAATTGCGGTTACGGTCCCTATACCAGCGCCCAATTATGTCAAGCATGCGACCCTTCCGGCAACAATACAATCTCTTCTTGCTGTACTGCTTCCAATACAAATTTGAGCGATTGCGCTTCGTTTGGATACCCCGGAGCCGCTAGAGTGGCCGCCGCCGCTTCTGCATCGTCCTCATCTTCTTCCGCTGCCGCGGCAAGTGATACGAACGGATCTTCTGCTGCATCACGATACAATAAGAGCGGACCAGATTTGAGCGGTGGACAATTGGCTGGTGTGATTGTTGGATGTATCGTTGGTGCTTTGCTTTTGGGCGCTTTGATCGCATTCTTACTGTTTGGCAGAAGGAAAAGAGATCAAGATCCTGAAGCACGTAGAGGCGGCGGTGGCATTTATAGTGCCGCAGGAGCCGCTTCTTCGGGCCGTGCTTCTAGCGGTGATAAGCCTTGGCATAGCGAAGATCATATGTCTAGGCGATCGTTGGCAGGCAGCCCAGAGATGGAAAAATCTGCTGGAGGTCCAAGTAATGCAATGAACATGAACGCTTTGGGTGCTGCTGGACTAGGAGCAGGCGCTGCAGGAATTGGAGCAGCAGGCTTTGCTGCTCACCACCATGAGCAAGAACAACAACAACAACAACAACAAAGACCAGCTTCCCCGACCACCAGACCAACAAGTCAAGCTCTAACGTCCAGTTCGGGAGGTGATAAAGGCGCAACTGTACCAATGGTGCGCGATCAATATACCGGTCAAGATATTCACGTAGGTGAAGAGGTTGTTGCTATTTACCCGTACAACGCTTCCCTAAACGATGAATTGACCCTCGAACCCGAACAGAGAGTAACAATCGTTCGTCTGTATGACGATGGTTGGGCTCTCGGACGAACGGCTGATGGAAGTGAAGGTGCTTTACCGTTGGTCTGTGTTAGCTCAACAAAGGGAGACCTACCCGGACGTAGAGGAGGAAACGGAAGTGGAACAGGAACGGGAACATCTGATGATGAAGGCATGACAAGTGGTGCCGAATACACTTCAAGTGTTGACGGAGCAGTCACGGCAGAAGAAGGTGGTTTCACATCTGACGCACGTAGTCAACGTAGCAGAAGATGATCGAAGGTGATCCTTAGTGCTGCTCATTGTTTTGTTTTTCCATGTCGTATTCTTTTTTCGCAAATCCTTCTCGTTCTCAAGAAAAACTTTTCCTCTCTTTTCAAGCGGTACATTGGTTATCGCAAACATACCATCTTTGCATATTTATTGTTCTCGTTCAACTCAACTTGCTTTCAAGCCGTCGTCTTTGCAAATTGCTCTTCTATTCTTGATTCGCAACGCAGACAGACACATCCGACACACACACACAAATGGACATACCAAATTCACCGCGATACTTTACATTCTTTTTTATTTTCACAGTGACAGTGACAAGTCACAGACAATCTTTTCTACCTCCCTCCCTCTCACACAGACACACACACTTACATACCTCACCGCAATGCTTGTTTGCACTCCTCATACCTAACAGCAAGCATGCATCGCGCGCCGCTCATAACAGTACAACCACTCCTTTCTTCTACTTATTTTGACGCTGGCTGCTTTTAATATCAATCAAATGATCCAAATTTAGTGAGAAAAGTGTGTAATTGATTAGGGATACATGTGTGAGAACAAAACTTTAAGATCGACCTCGATTGGCTGCTGCAAATGCGGCTGAGCTACCTCGCCAATCTGAACTGGAAGGTGAACTGTTTTGTTTGCCAAAATTGGAAGGATGCCTGGACATTGCTGATGGTGGGGGCGGAGGAGCCAAGTTTCCCTTTGAGGCTACAGGTGAACTTCTGCCTGTCTGATCACCTGGGGTACCGTTTGAGGGTACAGGTGAAGCAGCACGAGAAGTGATTGCAGGTGTGACATTTCCCGTTGCCAAAGCAGATTTCATACCCGTCAAAGCAGGCGTACTCGTTCCATGTGCATGTGTGGCCGATGAAGAAGCATTATTGACATTTGTTGACGAAGCGTTCGCTTTCATTTCAGCACTAGTTGGAAACTTGTTTGATTCTTCACTTATCCAACTAACCGCACTCCAAACTCTTCCACCTAAGCTCAAAATTTCCCGTCCACTTCTTTGCCATTTCCGTGTAAATTTCGAAGTTGTTTGTTTATCAATCGTATTAGGAACCACAAATCCGATCGGAATCTTTGGCGGTGGTAAAACCGGTGGTCCTCCACGTATGATTGCTCTTATTGCTTTTCCTTCTTCTTGCATTGTTGGTACACTTTGTTTGGTAGGTACAGAAACGGGATTAGGTGTTGATGCATGTGTGTTTGCATTTGAGCCACTTTCTCGTCTTGCATCCATCGAACCTGCCAATCCGGCCGCTCTTGCCTTTCGTGCTGCAACAGCGGCACTAGATGCAGGATATACTCTGCTTGGCTTCACATCTGCCATACTCGTATTTCCAACAGATCCCGAAATATCCTCCCAATGTCGACTTCCTTCGCCTACAGAAGAATCACCATTGGGTGATTCAGATCGCATTGGCGTATTGGCTTTAGAGAGAGCGTCTCTTGCAAGAGCGGATTTTGGCTTTTGTGCAAACGAAGAAGGCGTTGTGGGAATAACTTGAGCAGGAGGTGAATCTCCCGGTGCACGATAGACCGGCTTCATGTCCATCTTTAAACCTTTTCTCCAGCCTCTACCGGGTCCTGCAGCTCCACGCAGTTTCATCCCCTTTCTCCTCTTGGCAGCAGGTAAAGCTTCAATCTCTGCCATGCTCATCTCATCGATCGTCTTTCCCTGTTCATTCGTCAAAGAAGCACGTTTTCGATATGTTCCCGATCCAGAAGGTGTTGGTGAAACTTCTTGTGATCCTCTTCTACTGGTTGAAACTGATGCTTCACGATCAGAACCTGTAGCAGTAGGTGTTCCACCTGCCGAACTTGTTGTACCTTTTGATTTTTTTAAACTGTTTGCTGCTTTCATCGCTGCTGCTCCTGAAAGTTTACGTACTTTTCCTTGTGCATTTTGATTCATTTGTTGTTGATCTGGCGGTGGTGGAGAATCTTCCAATTCGTCCTCTTCTTCTTCGTCTGCGATATCTTCGCTTAACAGGCTACTGCCATCACCTTCGATTGCAGAACTTCCACGTTCAAATACAGAATTCGATCGAGATGGACTTATCAGGTTTCGATTTGGGGATTCTTGTGATTGTTTGGTTGATGGTTCTTGTCCTGGTTTACCGCCCAATTTGAGCTTGATTCGGAATGAGCTGGCCATCTTGCGTGCGATTGTGCTTCCGTGCTTTTATTTTTATTATAATCAGAACATATAGTAATATAATTTTATGCTTCCCTTTATCTCTTTTCTGCAGCAGCGGCTTCCAGTGTGCAACGTGATAGGCAAATCAGATGGGCGTATATACCAATATGCGAATCCAATCGGAAAGTGATGGGTTATTGTTCCGAGAAAGTGCTGATTGCTTACAGCATATAATGTATAGACGCAATTCAAATCTGATTGCGGTGCCGTCACTTGGCGTTTGTGTGGTGTGAAAGGCTTGAGGATGGCAAGATGAAAGAAATAAAAGCCAGACCTGTCCTACTCCGAAACGGCGTCCCCTTTTGGTGCAATGAACTCCTCGAGTAAAAATATCATGCAAGTGTTTAAATCTTAGACAGCGTATGTATTCCAGAATTCCCCCACTCAGCCAAGGAGGCCTGCATTCAATCATCACGCTTAGATTAATTCCTGCTTCACACGACAGCATGACTAATCAGATTCCAGAATAATGCTAGCCAGGTATTCCGAGAGCTGTCGGCTACCAGAAAGAGTACATGCGAAGAAGCCACTCTTCCTTTTCGGTAGTAGGCTACTGTCAGTTGCCTTTAAGCTCTACACGCTTTGCTGGAATACAAAAACGACATCGTACTCTAATCATCCTTTCATACAAACATAGATCCCCAGCCATATTTGTATGCAATTATACGCGTCGAAGCTTTGCCGCGCTTCTTTGTATTGTACTTTGCTTTTGCCTACTTACCGGGTGTGTGTGTGTGTGTCTGTGTGCGCTGCGTTTGCGTGCGCTTTGTTTGCATTTATGTATTTGCTCTGCCCTGCGCGAAAACAATGAAATTTAATTTTAATTTGTGCCTGTGCCCATTGCACGCACATTATCAGCCTTTTTCTTGCCCCCCCGCTCGCGTTATTATTATCGCCGCTGCTGCTGCTACTGCTGATCCGGACGGGAGGTTGTCATTTTGAAATAAAAAGACAATTAGCCGAATTCATCCTTTCATCGTCACCATTACAGACGATAACCATCAACGTCGACTGGTAAAAGTATCAAGCAAGTTCAACGAGAGATCTTCACCGTCATACTAGATACTGCGGATATCAATCTTGGATCAAGAAGCGAGGTTAGGTAAGCGAGAACCGCTCCACATCCACCGTCTCATCGAATCGTCAAAAGAAAGTATTGCCCAAATCGTCTTCATTCTAGGCAGACTTGATCAGAGGCAGCTCACACCTTGAGCTCACATACAATCGTATACGCAAAATTCAATCTTTATTCGATATTAAATCATCATCCAACTACAGTCACGTCAACGGCCATAAATCTCTCGAATGCGGTGATACCCGGTTGAAATCTATTATTATCGAATCCCCGTATCATACCACCCTTCCAACTTGCTCGCTTTACGTAGCCAATCATAATGTCAGGTGGAAGGCAAAACGTAGGCGGACCCGGCGGATGGATGCATCAGCAACCTTCAGGTGGATCAGTGCATTCTAGCCCTGCAAGCTCTGTGAAATCAAACTCACACGGAGAGTATGGCAATCCGGCCAATGCTGCTGCTTATCATCAACAGCAACAACAACAGCAAGGAATACCAGGAAATGTGCGATACAACCCGAATATGATGCAAAATACTGGCAATCCATCTAACATGTATGCCCAACAACCTCAACAGCAGCAGCCCCAGCATATGCAATTCCAACAGCAGCAGCAGCAACCGCAACAACAGTACGGCACAGCACAAAATCCGAACTTCTATCAACAATACGGCCAACCTTATCCGCCAAATCAGCCGCGACCACAACCACAACAGATGATGCAGCATCATCAAAATCAGAGGCCTCCAGTACTCAATCAAGCCAACGTTGGTCAGTACGGAGTGCAAAATGGCCAGATGCCTCCGGCCGGTATGGGCGGTGCTCCCGCTGATATGACTTATGCCGGTGGATCTTGGATTAGCACTGTACCGAGCTCCTTCACTCCACAGGATGGCAGTGCAATTACCAAGTCACAACACAACATCCGAGATAATGGTGCAATTCCGCATGCCGGTGTGTATGGACAGATAGATCAAGTTCCGGGTATGCCTTTTCAACAAACACAACAGGCCCCGTTCCCTATGCCGAATGTCAATCTTTCCAATCAAGTCGAAGATGGAGAAGAAGATCATGACGAGAATGATGATGGTGAATTGGCAAAAAAGACTAGAATGCAACAAAAAGGAGCGAGCGAATTTGTCAAAAAGCTTTTCCGTATGTTGGATGATACTTCTTATTCGACTATCGTTTCTTGGAGTCCAAATGGTGACAGTTTCATCGTTAGAGATATGAACGATTTCACAAAATACGTCTTGCCGCGTCATTTTAGACATTCGAACTTTGCCAGTTTCGTACGACAGTTGAACAAGTATGATTTCCATAAGGTGAAGAAAGAGGGAGGAGAGGGACAACCGGTAGCATTGGGTGTTGACCAACAGTGGGAATTCCGACATCCTGCTTTCTTGAAAGGAAGAGAAGATCTCTTGGATAATGTAAAGAGGAAAGCGCCACCCGCAAAGAAGGGTAGAAAGGACGAAGATGAATCACCTCGTGATGGAAGTCCTTCTATGCCAGGCGTCGCAGATGCTGCCGAAAAGGGTGCTCAGGATTATGCTCAATTGAAAGATCAAGTAGCAACATTGACTGCATCTCAAGATCAAATGACAAGTCATATCAACAGTCTCACTAAGCAATATCAAGCAGTCATCGGAGAGATGCTCACCTTCCAGAAGAACATGGTTCAACAAGATCAATTGATGCAAAATTTGATTCAATATCTGATGAATCTGGAAGCAGACCGAAAGATTGATGCTTCCACTGTAGCACCTCAAGTTGCGGGTCCAAGTAGACCTCAACTGGAGAACGGTGGCGCATTTGTTTCAACATCAGATGCTGAAAAATTGGTCTCTTCCTTCTCCGATGTAGCCAAAGAGTCCTTCAGTCAAATGAGTCAAATCGCTCATCGTGCAGCTATGGGCAGCTCTGTTGCTCCTTCTAGTGTTGCTTCCACTGCAACAGGTGGAGATGCAAGTACGACCAATACTTCGATGCCCAGAAGATTGAGCGAAGATGAAGCATTATCACCAAAGAGTTCTCTTGCTACACCCGCCAATTTGCCTGTGCAAAGTCCAAGTATTGATAAGGGTAAAGCGCCCGGGCAGCTTGATGATTCGTCTATCTTCTTGCATCCACCTCATTTCGAAGCAGAAGATCCATCGAATGAATTATTCAGTGCTGCCGCCAATGCGATCAACAATCCAAGTTTGGCAGGGTTTGAAGATGCGGGCCTTCGTGTGTTTACGGTGGGCACCCTTCAACCTCGATCTGAAAGTGCGGACGCAAATCCGGAAGCTTTACAATCTGCACTTTCTCGTGATCCGCCAAGCGGCAAAGCAGGTGACAATGACAGACCGTTTGGAATTTCTGTACCAAATTTGGAACAACTTCCATCCAGGATGCCACGTGTTGACGGAAGAACAACATCTGCCAATCCTACACCTAGACCAGGCGAAGATGGAAATGAACCTAGTACACCAAGCGAAGGCGGAAGCAATATGCTACGCATCAGAAGGTCCACCTATGTTCCGGGTTGGGCCGTACCACCAAAAGTCTTGGTCGTTGATGATGATGACGTTTGTCGTAAATTGGGCTCAAAATTCTTGCAAGTTTTCGGTTGTGCGATCGATGTTGCAGTGGATGGTGTTACAGCTGTGAACAAGATGAATTTGGAGAAGTACGATCTCGTCTTGATGGATATCGTCATGCCAAATTTGGACGGCGTTTCAGCAACTTCACTCATTCGTGAATTTGATGCAAGAACGCCAATCATTTCTATGACGTCCAATTCTGGACCGCAAGAATTGTTGAGCTACATGTCTTCGGGCATGAATGATGTTTTGCCAAAGCCTTTCACGAAAGAAGGTCTTTTGAATATGCTGGAAAAGCATTTGATCCACTTGAAAACTGTTCAAAAGATGGATGAAATTCCAAAAGCGCTTGGGTTACCGCCTATAAGTGGTGATGTGATGCAAAATGTCTTGGCTGCAACAGCTGCCAGTGCTCAATCGATGGCATCATCGACTGCAATCATGTCACCGGGAGATGGTGCAAATCCTATGGCAGCAATGATGGGTAATGGACCTGAAGCGCTGCGAGCATCGCAAGATCTAGGAAGCAGCTTCCACAATCCCAATTCTATTCACGGTACCGGAGTCGATGAAGATGGTGAACCCTTGGTCAATCCGTTGGCTGGAATGGGCTTCTCTGATGAGGAATACATTTCCATGCTTCAAAATTTGATTGCTGCTGGAGCGGTCTCTGATACGAATAAAGGTGAAATGGCTGATTCTGTAGCCAATGTCATGGGTGTCTCGCGTGGAGAAGGAAGCTCGGCTGCTAATGTGCCAAGATCCAAGGAAGGTACGCCCATCAATGCTCCTCGTGGATCCATGTTGCCCCCTTCGCAAGGTATCATTCGTAAACGCTCTGTCGACAGCAGTGTTGAAGCAAGTGAAATGAAGAGGTCCAGATTCACAGAAATGCCATGATGCTCTTTGGCTTTTTTCCTTTATCTTTTTTGCTCTTATTCGGAACAGGCATCATCCCTTCCCCATAATATTCCCGTTTTGTCTTTTTATATTGTTTTCTCTTCTTGCAAGTTCGCTGTATTGTTTCCCTTTTTTTTTGTTTCTCTCTCTCTAATCCCTTTGCATTGGTTCGGTTCTTTATACAAAACAATTTCCAACCCTTTTCATCGCTCTGTTCGCATTGCATTCTGTTATAATCACCAAAATAATATGATACATCTGGAACGTAAAACATTGCGTGATTTGAATAGTGTACATGAAGATTTTGTCTTCTTAATACATCATCGGGTCCTCTTTCTTTTCGTCTTTGTCGAGGGTGCCGTGGGTGTCTCTTCTTTGGGTTCAGGAGATTTCCGCTTGGTGGTTGCCGCCTCTGTTGGTTTCTCATCCTCATTCAGCTTATCATTTAGCTTCAGAATACCATACGCCCAAACTGCTTTCTCGAATTGTTCGGCATCTTCCAAGCAGGGTTGCTCTTTGCCATTTCGTATCTGATCATCAATATGCACCGTCATCTTTTGATATTCGATAGGCGTATATTTTGGTTTATCAGTCAAGCCTGTTCCGTATAACAAAGCTTCATCGGACATGTATGGGAACGTTTTCGGCTTGAACAATGCAAGCAATGCAGATGCAGTTGCTGGCCCAACACCTTTGAGTTTACTAACTATGTCTATCGCTGATCGTGCAACTGTGATGTCATTCTCGGGTGACTGTTGAAGGAATTCGAATCCTTCTTTGGAAATTTGACGGACTTCTTCTTCGGTGTTTCTCCGTGCAAGGCCTTTAAGTGTTGGTCGAAATTTACCTCTCTAATGTGGAGAGAATGAGAAAATGTTAGAGATTTGACCATACATTTCCCTCTATCGTATGCTTCTCACAGTAGTCTTCCATCCGACCAGATTGACAAGTTCATCAAGTGTAATGTAAGGACCGGATTTTGACTTTGCTCGTTTATTGACTTCATCTCGCAATTCTATCCTGTACCATTTGTCGAGCTTCGGTAAGCTCTTTGCATTTTTCAGATCGAGAGCTTCATCGTACCTTTTCAAGCAGGCATTCCGTACTTCCACAGAAGGTATCATGTCGAAGTGATGGTGTATGAATACATGCGGAGAACAACACTTCGCGTCAATTTACGCGGGAAGGAGTGCGGGTGCTTTCAAAGGCGAGAAAGAACACGTGCACGGCGAGTTTACAAAAATGAAAATTTCAACGGGGGCTTCTAAGAAGAATGCTGTTGCGCTGACATTTAAACACCTTTCTTCTTGGTCATTTGTCACCTACTCCAAAGATGGCAGCCGTCGTACCGCTCCCATTCACGCTGCCCGCAGCCGATTCTTCGGCAAAGACTGTGGCATCAGGCTCAATCTCTGCACCTTCTCAAACTGTAGTCTTTCCCGCTGGACCTTCTTACGTTGCCCATGCTCGTCGTCAATTACGTCAATTAGACTTTGATGCGGATGATGAAGCCGAACAAACCAGATTATCCGCATTCAAGAAGGCAAGTGGATCAGCAGATGATGATGTTGAATTGCCCGAAGAAGAGGAAAGCAAGGATCTCTTAGCCCGCGATCCAAAAGATTGGAAAACACAAGATCATTATGCCGTTCTTGGTCTTTCAAGTCTACGTTACAAAGCCACACCTGAACAAATCAAGGTCGCACATAGACGTAAAGTGCTCAAACATCACCCTGACAAGAAAGCAGGTGCCACCGGTTTGACAAACGATGATACCTTCTACAAGTGTATCACACGTGCACACGATGTTCTCTCTCACCCCGAAAAGCGTCGTCAATTCGACAGTGTCGACGAAGGAATCGATGACGAAGCCGTACCATCAGGAAAGGAGCCCGAGAGCAAATTCTTCGCTCTTTGGGGTCCTGTCTTCGAACGGGAGTCTCGTTTCAATGATGAAAAGAAAAGCGGTAAAGCACCTGCATTGGGCGATATGAGCTCCTCAAAAGAGCATGTGGATTCATTCTACGACTTCTGGTACAACTTTGACAGCTGGCGTAGCTTTGAGTATCTTGACAAAGAAATCAACGAAGGCAGTGACAGTCGTGACGATAAACGTTATACAGAAAAGAAGAATCGTAACGACCGTGCACGCAGAAAGAAGGAAGACAATGCCAGATTGCGTAACTTGGTTGACAAAGCATTGAGCGTTGATCCTAGAATTAAGAAGTTCAAGGCTGACGAAAAAGCAGCTCGTGAAGCAAAGAAGAACAAGGGTAAACCAGGTCAAGCAGGTGCAGGGAATGCTGCTCAATTGGCTGAAGAAAAGAAAAAGAAGGAAGCAGAAGAGCTTAAACGCAAGGAAGACGAAGCTAAACAAGCTGAAGCTGACAAAGCTGCTCGTGCTGATGCAAAGAAAGTCAAGGAAGCCGCCAAGAAGAACCTTAAGAAGCACAAGAAGGTTCTCCGCGATCTCATCACAGCTAACAACTACTTTGAAGCTGCTGGTACTTCACCATCTGCCAGTATTATTGAAGCCAAATTGAACGGTTTGGATGCCATCACTGCAGCATTAGCCGAAGAGCCCGAGAAAGTACAAGCATTGCGCGAACGATGCGAGAAGGCCGGAAATGCAGATGCTATCAAGAAAGAATTGGCCGCTGTTGCTGAGGAGAAGGGTGTCGCAAAGGACGCATTTGCCTGATATGCTGTTACTAGATGTGGTGCAATAGAATTACAGTATTTTACAAAATGACTAATGTGTGATCTATGTTATTTTGAGTTGTTTGCAATGCCGCGGGATGCCCAGTGTGCTTTTCCGAAGGTTTTGGCAACGATGATTGGGAAGATGATGGTTGCATCGCAATAGACCTATGGATCGAAATGGGAAACGTCAGTTATGCCACCAAAAGAAGCATGCTCTCAGGATTGTACTCACCTTTACACTCTTCCCGCCTCTCTCGGCACTTTTAATCTTTCCCCAACTGACAGCTTCATCGGGTCTAGCGCCGCTGTCACTTCCGTCAAACTCTTGTCCGGTATTGATATAGACGGCATAGTCTGCTCCGTTACGGAATAGCATTGCATTGGCAATTTGATGTTTGCAAACCCCGCCGCCCAAGATGATCATACCCGCCTTCTTTGCCTTGACGCTCATATCGTTCAGTCTACGGATATCGCTTACCAAGTCAACGATGAGTCCAGGTGATTTGTAAGAGTGAAAGTATAGCATATCTCCCAATGAGCCATCCGTTAATGCAGGACAGAATACGGGTATATCATTCTTTGCTGCCCAATACAAAACACTTCGTTCATCATCGATCTCTTCTCCTAGCCGCTTACAAACTTTGCTTGGTGACCATGCCTTTGAAAGGTCATCACCTTGTTCTTCCCGCATCTTCTCTAGCTTTGGCATCACCCAATCTTCAAATTTGCAATAATTGTCATTTGGCACCAACAGATTTCCGATCCGGTTCAAACCTCGTTTACGTAAATCGGATCCGTCCAAATGAAATTGTCCAAGATGTGTGGTTCCCAAACATTTTATTATATCTTCTTCTATTCCACCTGCAGTTGTTACCAAAGCTGAGACATATTTATGCTTGACCAAAAACAAAATCACTTCACGTAAACCGGAAGAAATTAAATTTGAAGTATATCCTAAAAAGATTGTTGCTCCAATTTGTGATCGAACATGCTCTTGTTGTAATTCTTCATCTTCATCTTCTTGCATTGGTTCATCGGATAATCTCCATTTACGCATTTCTTCTATTATTCCACATGCTTGTGAAACTGCACTTGCTTGAAAACCTACATGAGCATATGCGTTCAATAGGCTTTCAATCGTTTGTGGTTCTTCTAGATTTGGACCTTCGACGATCGGGAACGAGGACGTTGGTAAGCTTTCGGATGGTTGCAAAATGGCTGCTTGTGCACTTGTTTGTGCATTGCCATTTGTGTTGTTCGCCATATCGTCTTATGATGTCGGAAGAAGGTAGCTGTTCATACCAAAAAACTCTAAATTCTTTAGCTTGTGGAGAGAAGATTGTAAGATCACGTGAATTTGATATTTTTCCACGATTGCTAATCGGAAAAGTTTAAAAAAAAAGTTGAGCCATGAACTTGCACGAACACGCTCAGACGACACGCCTCAGATTTTTTATTTTGACATTTCTTCTGGAAATTATTCAAACCTGCATTTCGGACCGCCTAGAGTTGGCTGTCAGGTTGGGCTTGTCTTTCAAACATATCCTCTTTGTCATCATCATAAAGATTAGCATACCAACAGGCGAGATGTCAAATCTAGGATCAAAAGAAGACATTCAAAAAACAAATGCGATCATCAAGGCATTCTTACAACAGACGCATCCTGCCGCATCTGCTTTGATCAAAAATGTTGATGATCAAACACCTGATTCTTCTGAAAAAAGTGCAAAAGAATTGGTAGATCTCATTGCAAAGGCTGTCAAGAAGGGAAGCCTCACTGTTCCGACTTCTGCCAAGGCCGAAAGCGATTCTGACTCCTCGTCTGACAGTAGCGATGACGATAGCAGTGACGACGACAGCAGTGATGAAGAGGAAGCAAAGGACAACAAAAAGACGCTCAAGGTTCCCTCTACTTCACATCAACGTGCTTCCTCCGAAACGACATCTGCAGCTTCAGCGATTAGTGACGATGCAGAGAGCGTTATGAGCGTGGAAAACTCAAAGATACTCAAAGTGGATGATAGCAAGCCAAAGGTAGTAGTCGTTGCAAAAGACGCAAACCACGACTCAAGCTCCGACTCTGATTCTGACTCGGACTCAGACAGCTCATCAGATTCTGACTCGGACTCTGGTTCTGATGCAAAAGAAGGCTCTTTGATCAAAAAGATTGTTGAAATCGTACCTGGCAAGGAAGATGCCGGAAGTGAAGACAGCAGCGATTCATCGTCCTCCTCCTCCTCAGATTCGGATTCTGACTCTGACTCTGATTCTGGTTCCGGTTCTGATTCTAGCTCGGAATCTGATTCATCTTCCTCATCTTCAAGCTCTAGCTCGGACAGCGATTCGGATTCCGACTCTGACTCAGGTTCAAGTTCTTCAAGCTCGAGCTCATCATCGAGCTCATCATCTTCCTCCTCTTCCTCCTCCTCAGAGAGTGATTCCGACAGCTCAGACGATTCAGACTCTGACTCCGATGCAAAGGTTGGTGGTAAACGTAAACGCAAGGGTGAATCAACATCAGAACCGCCGGCAAAGCGTGTTGAAAAGACAGAAACGGTGATTGCTTCTCCTTTACCTACGGCAAATGCACCTACTTCCAGCACTCCTATCACCCAAACAACGATCGTCAAAAGCATGCCACGCAAAAGTGGACAACCTTCAACCAATACACCTTTCCAACGAGTGAAAAGCGCAGATGCAACTTATGTCAATGACGTTTTGCGTGATAATAGTTTCGATGCACATTTGGCAAGATTGGGTAGAGATGATTTCGGTGCAAAAGCAAGTCAAAAGTTATTGCAAACAAGAGGACAAGGATTTACAAAAGCAAAGAATAAGCTAAAGAAAGGATCTTATTCTGGTGGTACGATTGGTATGGAATCAAGTTCTTTTAAATTCGTCTATAGTGACGAAGAATAGATTAGACTCTTTAGATGATCGTTTTCCTGTTTCTTTAGTTCTTTCTATGTAATTGCATTGTATATTATACATTTTTTGTCACTTCTTCTTCTTTCCCTATGCACCAATATATCGTACATTATTGACCTAAATCTTGCTTTCCGAATGCTTTTATGAAACTGTCCACGGAAGAGAATGCTCTAGACATTTGCTCGAGCAGCGGATCGTCCTTGTACTGGATTTGTGAGTCATTAGCACCACTTGTGCCATTCTGTCTCAATACAGCAGCTGTTGCTCTTTTTCGACGTTGCGATTCTGCAATGAGAAGGTCGATCCTTTCTGGTGTCAGGTGCAATGGAGGTGGAAGATCTCTGACTTCTATCACATCTCTGAATCCTATCGAATCACCGTTCTCTTGCATTTCTTGAGCTTCCCCAATCTCTGAGTCAATGACTTTCTGTTTGCCTTTAACATGCCTCTTGCCATATCTAGAGTAAATATCAGGTCCATTGCTTACCCGCTTTCCCGTTTGATCATAGACGGTAACGCTACTCATTCCATTTTGTTGTGCAGTAATTGAAGGAAGATCACTTCCCGCTTCTTCATCTAAAGGGATGCCAAATTCATCTTGCATTTGTTGCCTTTGACCGATGATTTCTTGTCTGGGCGGATAAGCTTCAAATCGTGTACGTTGTGGCGCATATACAGCCCGCTTTCGACTTGCGGATTTAGATGGTCCAACGGATCCCAAAGGTGGGAAATCATAAGGTCTGACAGAAGTACTGTTAGTATCACTTGTTTGATCATCAGAAGATACTTTTGGCTTTGTATTGCCCCATGCAGTCCGCCTTGATGGCTCTGCCATCGTTTTGTATACGTATTAGCATATCAGTTCTTTGATCCGAAGATGGAAGCGTAAGAAGAAAAAAATAATTCTCCGAAATTCTCCACTTGTACCGCGAAGAATTAATTGTACTACTTTTTGCATTTGTTCTTCTTTACCACGATGGCCAATACCTCCATGGTACCAGAAATACGATGAGGGTGAGTGAAAGCTTTCCGGTGCATGAAGAGAGGATGCTAACAGTATTCATCCCTCACAGATAGCCGTTGAAGGATGCTCGCATGGATGTTTAGATCAAATATATGCAAGCATTTTAGCAATCGATCGTCAAGAAGGGAAACAGACAGATCTATTGATCTTGTGTGGTGATGTTCAAACACTTCGAAATCCTTCTGATTTGCATTGCTTAGCCGTGCCTGACAAGTACAAACAGCTTGGAGATTTTCATCGATACTACAATGGGCAGAGAAAAGCGCCGATCTTGACACTTTTAGTCGGAGGAAATCATGAAGCATCGAATTACCTTTGGGAATTGTACTACGGAGGCTGGGTAGCTCCCAATATGTACTTTCTGGGAGAGGCTGGATGTGTAGAAGTGGGCGGCTTGACGATCGCCGGTATCTCTGGTATCTATAAATCACACGATTTTAGGCTCGGCAGACACGAGAGTATGCCATACAATGGTAGCACAATTCGATCTATCTATCATACACGATGCTACGATACTTTTCGTCTTCATCTGCTATCACGACCTCAAAGCACAGGAGGGCGTACGGATATTGTGCTCTCACATGACTGGCCCAACACAATCGAACAGCATGGAGATGTTCGATGGCTGATGCAGAAGAAACCCTTCTTCCGAGATGACATTGGCACGAAAACACTTGGATCACCGCCATTGATGGATCTGTTGCATGATCTGAAGCCAAAGTATTGGTTCTCAGCTCATTTACATGTTCGCTTCGCTGCATTGGTCAGACATGGCGAGAAGAACGACGTACGAGTGAAGAGTCTATCATCTGCAACTGATGATACTAAAACCGAGAACGCTGAGGAGGTCATGATTGACATCGATGATGAAGATAATATTCCTCAGGGCAATGAAGAAGAGATTGACACCAAAGAAGCTGGACCAGAAGATGCCATCAACCCCGAACAGACGCAAGAAGCAGGACTGCGCTCAACTACCCGCTTTCTTGCTTTAAGCAAATGCTTGGAAGGACATGATTTTCTGCAAATACTCGAGATTCCGGCTCCTTCTGATGAGGACCCAAGATTCCAAAATGCACCAGTCGGGGAAGTTAATTCCAAGAAGCAGCCTTCATTACGATTCTCTGCCTCTTGGCTGGCGATTCTGCGTGCTACACATCCTCTTTTGAGTCTGGCACGCAATCAGTGTGCTTTGCCTAGTCTAGCTGATGAAGGATTGGCAAGCCAACTCAAAGCAGAGTATGAGTGGGTACAATCAAACATTCTAGCAAGCCATACTGAAGAAGGACATCCACTGGATATTCTGACGACGCAACAATTCGTTCAAACGGCACCTTCAACGCTTGATCCAAACGTACATCATATGACGGGACCACCTTCTTGGTATACAAATCCACAAACGGTGAGTTTGTGCAACTTGCTTCAGATTGAGAATCGCATCAATGCACCGCCTCCCACAATACCAGCACCTCCTCCCGCAATGGCACCTAAAAATCCCACAATTCCGCATTTCTTGCAACCACCACAAGTGCAACAGCCTTTTGTGGACGCAGCATCGGCCTCTCAGGGCAGGTCATCCAGCAAGGACGATGGACATGTTCATTCCAATTCTGACGAGATTGTGGTCACTTTGAGCGATGATGAAGAAGAGAACATGCGATGGAAAGAAGGAACTGGTTGAAACTTTTTACTCTGATTGTGTACTATACATATACATTCATCTTTTACTGTAAATCATGTGTACTACTATACAATTGCAATGGGTTCCTAACAAAACAATCTATATATTAAACAAGAATTTGGTATTCTCTCTTGCTGCTTTTACCACAACAGAAACATCGATCCCTTTGGCTTCTGCGACCACTGCAGCAATATTCCCGATCGCACAAGGCTCATTTCGACTTTTTACTTGCTTTTCTGCTTCCCACTTTTCTTTTTTGACAGAAGCAGGCGAATATAGTGCAGCAAGATCGGGGTTGTTCTCCACGAATCGTTTCAGTAGTGGTGCAGATGCGTGTGTTTGTCGCAAGTCACACCAAGGTGCATCTGTTTCAAGCATGAGATATTCTAATGGCACTTCCTTGGCCACTCGTATACCTTCCTCTTCTTTGAAAGAACAGCCTGTCAAGCCGATAAAGAGACCTTGAGCGAACAATTGTTGCATTTCCTCTACTGTTCCTGTATGACAATGTGCAACGCCAATCCTCCTTCTCTTATGAGGGTCATTACGGGTTGCATCATTAGCACAAGCTTCCGCAATCGCATCAGCTTCTTTCTGTATGATAGCAATAAAATCTTCTTGAGCTGCACGACAATGCAAAAAGAGTGGCAGCTTGTACTCTTTTGCTAGCTGGAGATGATGTGGAAAATGCACTTTTTGGGTTTCTGCATCGGAAAATTGTAATCGATCATAATCCAATCCACATTCTCCGATTGCAACAATCTTGCCGCTAGGGTTTCTGGTAATGGATTCTTGATCGAGAAATTTCTTCAAGTCGTCCAGATACTTCATTCCTTCTCCAACGCCGGAAGTACGGGTAGGATGAATGCCAGCGGTGGCATAGAGACCATCATTCTCATATCGCTTCACTAGGTCTAACACTTGCTTCACTTCTGATACACTGCCTGCTGTCACCATTTGAGCAACCACTCCGGCATTCTTTGCTCTGTGAAGTACATTTTCAAGGTCGGCTGTTGAAGAGGGGATTAATGAGTTGCGAACAAAGAAACATGCATTGAAAATCACTCACGTTGATGTGCTTTTTTGCCATGGTATTTCCCTTTGTACATTCCATCTGTCAAATTGACGCCTATATCTACATATTCGAGTGATGCCATGTTGAGTGAGCGAAGATGGCGTAGAGATGACTGTTGTACTATTGATCTGACTGGTATAGCTCTGGATAGAATCATGCAAATTGTGTCCGATGTCGTTTTGCAATGGTTTTAAGAGGTGAATCTCTTTCGAGTCACTGTTGATGTTCTTCTAGTGCACTTCTGTTGTTAAAGTGGAGATTTTAGCCGCATACAAAATGCGCTTTAATTTGGCTCATGCGTATTCCGAAAGATTGGCATCATGCTAGCTTGACTTCTCTCTTTTCCCCGCACACCTTCTTCCTTCTCCTGCTATCAACAAATTTGCTACGATGCTTTCGATTACGAGATCGGGCAGCAGACCTTTGCTCAAACAGTCTGCTCTCCCGACTGCCCGCCTGTTCAGTACGACAGCCAGTGCATATTCATCACCAATCCGTGCATTGATAATCGGCAGTCCCGGAAGCGGTAAAGGTACCTTATCAAAACGATTGCTGAAATCAATTCCAAGTTTACAATACCTTTCAGCCGGTGATTTATTACGACATGAAAGACAACTCGGTACAGAATTAGGTCGTGCGGCCGAAGAAGTGATGCGGAAAGGTACACTTATGCCCGATGAAACGATGATGAAAATAGTTGATGCTCGTGTTTCTGCGCTGCCTGCAAATTCTTCTTGGTTGTTGGATGGTTTTCCAAGGACACGCAATCAGGCAATCATGTTTGATGGTGCTTTGCAAAGAAGAGAACATATGTTGGATGTGGTTCTGCATTTAGACGTCCCTAATGAAGTTGTCCTAAGTAGAATCTTGGAACGCTGGATACACGAACCAAGTGGACGGACGTACAATCTTTCATTCAACCCACCAAAAGTACCGGGAAAGGATGACGTCACAGGTGAAGATCTAACAAAGCGAATTGATGATGATGCAAAAACGTTTGAGGCAAGGTTGAAATCGTACGAAGCGGACACAAAACCAATGGTAGACTACTTTTCTAACGCAGGCGGCGATAGTTACGTTCGTCTTCAAGGCACTTCTTCCGACGAGATTTGGCCAAGAATGTTGGCAATTGTCAAGCAACGGTTTGGTGATGCTGTAAAGGGATAAATTACATTATGATGCGATAATAATACAATAAAAGTTTGCTAAAATTACATGTGTGCTAGCAAATCACAAATCTTCCACTTCCACTTCGAATCCACAATCGACGCATTTTTGTTTCTTATTTCCCGTTGCCAGATCTTCAACAGTTTCAAAGTTACACTGATGTCGTTTTTCTTGTCGCTTTTCCCAGACATTGTTTCTTGTCTTCTTACGCAAATCCGCCAAACCTTTGATGAACTTTGTCTCTCGTCTGCGTGCTTTCTCTGCTTCTCTTCGGGTGAATTCATCGTCTAAGCCTTGTTCACTGCCCCACTTCTTATCCGAGAATGCATATTGCTCAACTTGACATCTGAGATAAAGCATCATATTGCTAAAAGTAGACTTGTGCGGATTGGCTTTGAGGATATGTGGTAAAAGATCTGGATCTTTCAGCTCAGAATCTGTCAAAAGATAATCTTCCTTGACTTCCGTTTTTGTAAGTAGACTGTACTTTTCCGGATATCGCTTCTCGCATGCTTTGCAAACGTAAATTTTGAAAATCGTTCTAATCTCTTCTTGAACATCTCTCGTTCCACATTCACGACATTTGATATCATCTGCTAAGTTTATTCCCGGTTGCATCCCATCTCGCATTCGTTCTCGCATCCGTTCACGCTCGGCACGTAGTTCCTGTAAAGTTTTTTGGGTCTTGCTATCATCTTCATCATCGATTAAGAAACCACCTTTACTGTTCTGGATCTTACTCAAATCGAATTCGATATAATTACCCAAACTTTTGTCCCTCGGCAATGGAGCATTTGGGTCTTCGATCGCACCGGCTGCCAGCAAAGACGTTTGCTTCGCTTTATTCGGTGAGATGTGCGTCGCATCTACGTCCAAATTCGCATTTCTCGTCGTAGAAGGCGTCACTTTGATCACATTTCCATTCGGTCCAATCATCGTCATTTGCTTGTTCCGTAATCCTTCCGCTGTTGTTGGTTGTTCAGCTTCCAGTCTAATCGGCCCTGGCTTTCGTTTCCCCAACATACTCAGCCGTGCTTCTGGATTTCGTGCGGCTGCTTGTTGTTGAATCCGGGCTTTTGCTCGTAATCGGTTCTCTCGCATTATCCGTATATTTTCAGGTGTCAGTTGTGAAGATGATGCTATTGCTGAAGATGAACCTGCATGATTGGGCGGAGTGGAAGGTCTTCCAATTTCCGCCCCCGAAGAGGTAGCTGTGGCGGACATTGTTGATGGTGTGTAGGGATGGATGATGATGGTCGTGTGTGAATAGGATTGCGTGTGCGGCTCGGAAGTAAGTTTAAAATTGTATTAATTCCGTTGCTTAGTAAGTTTTAAGTTGCTGAGCGGAAAGCAACGTACGCCCATGAAATGTGTTTTCTGTTCCCACGCGTTAGCTTAATGAGCATGCTTTTGGTTACCTAAGGTGGGGATGCACACTTACCTTAATCAAATCCATTTTCCTCCACAAACAAGAGATGATTTCATATTACCCGATCATAGGTGGAATCCTTTGAATGAGCAATGGGGACAGTCATGTTCCAGATAAGCGATCAAAAATGTGACATAAGAAGCTAAAATTGTACGGTGAAAGATTGACGAATGGTAAGAGAGACCTAAGACTTCAGAAAAAAATCCATTCCTGTCATTATCACGATCCCATCACCCTAACCTCAGAAAACATGATGTCCACACAATCATGGCTGGATTATGCAACTGGCTTGCTCACCATGCCAATCGATCCAAGACCATTCTCACCAAAGAATCCACATTTCCGACCATTGAAAGAATCATCACCGATACCAGTCTGGGGAGCCCTGTTGCCGCCATTAACATACTTTCTGGCATTATCATTACTTCCTCCCTTTGAAAATATTTCGAAAACAAAGGGGATCACATTGTCAATGGTAAAGTTTGCACTGGCGATCACGAGTATAATCTCATTTGCAATTTTACCTTTTTGGTTTCACGTTCCGGGCAGTGCAATTTTAACATATCAATTAGGTTTGATCGGGTGTTTCGGTGCAGGAAGAGCATTTGATTTATTTATTCTTTCTCATCCTCGTGTTCCTAAACGATTAGCGGTATACGATAGCAAGACAGCAAACACACAGCACAAAGTTGAATTAGAAAAACCAAGTGGAAAATTATATCCAAACGAAAAACAAAATGAACAATGGAACTTCAAACCGCATCCTACTGGTATTCGATCAAGATTATGGTGGGCGCTGGATTTGATGATTAGCATGCGTGGTGTTGGTTGGGATTTTGCAACGCCTGATGTTCGACATGATACCAATCCATGGCAAAGACCGAGCAGACGCCAATTGAAACGAGCAATTTTCAAGCTTGGTCCGGTATTAGCCGTCACTTTGATTTCATTACGAATGATGATCACATACATCGATTTACAAGTTAATTCTAAGTTTCATGAAGATATGGTGGAATTAGCAGGAATAGGTAAGCTACCGATTGGTTTACGTCCCTTGTTCGTTGCTTGTACCGGTATTTCGCTATACGCTCTCTTCGACTTTGGATATACGATCGCTTCTGCTTTAGCACTACCCGTTTTACAATCAATTGCATCACTCGTTCAAACCGGTTCGATCAACAGGGAAAATGACGCCGTAATTAGCGCTCATAATATCGACTTTTTTCCTCTTCTCAATCCACTGGGTCTAAGGGCAATTCGATCCGTTCGTAGCTTTTGGAGTAAAGCATGGCACAGGCTCTTTCATCGTGCATTTTTGATTTACGGCATTATACCATTCAGAAATTTAGCAATTCGATTGGAATATTTCGTAATTTGCATCAAGAATCGTTTGCAGAACAAACCACTCCCACAACATCCGTTCCGTCACGGTAAACCTTCACCTGCACTTTATGCAGATCCAGGCAGGACGTTACGTAAAGGAGAAGGAGATTGGGGAAAAGTGTTGGGAGCATTTATTGCCAGTGGAGTGATTCATGCGATTTCAGAAAGGGCTGCTTTGGGAGGAAGGACAACGTTGCCAAACATTCATTTGTTTCATTTAAGTTCAAAATCTAAAATTGGAAGTGACACTTTTACTCTAGGGCGTGCTTTACCCCCATTTTCAGGTTCAGGTGAACTTTCATTTTTTGTTTTGAATGGTTTGGCTGTGATTATTGAAACGGCGATCGGACGGATGGTGTTGGCATACAGGAGATCGCAATACAGAGCAAAGAATCCAATCAAACGAGATGAAATCAGAGAGCAATCATCTATCGAAAAAGCATCTTCACCTCAACGCAATGCAACACAATACCTTCTCGGTCAATCAGCTTCTACGCTTTCCATTCGTCCAACATTAGGAGCAACAACCTTCCTCGGTCGAAGAACGACATACAAGAAAGACTTACCGCAAGATACAAGCGATCAGACTGATTCAGAAGAAGAAGTCAAACGATCAGGTGAACTTGCAGTGAAGGATGAAGAGCGAAGGGCAGAAAAGAATAGTAAGAAAGATGATATCCCTCAAGAAGCATTGTCACGGCCATACGATATCTACATTCAAATCGCTTGGACTCTTACTGTTTTGCTAACGACAGGCGAGTTATTCACAGAAGGATGGATTGCTTCTGGAGTTGTGAATGAGATCACAATGGTTTCTGTTTAGGGTTGTACCAGGAAATAGCATTCATTGTGGCTGTTATTTATCAAAGGCTTGTGCCTGTCTGTATTCTTGACGCGTGCATTTAAACGCGGCGCGACGCGTAGATAGACTCTTACCCACTTATCGTGCATGCACTGCACCAAGAAGTGATTTTGTGGCGCGTGCTACTAAGCGCTGAGAAATCAATTGATAAGAGCACAACGCGGCTTGCGCCTTCAAGCAAACACACACACACGCAATCACTTTGCATGGTGCATATTAACCTTGTTCCTCAATTCTTCCAGCGTGCGCGGCTTGTGCGTTTTTCCCCTTTGTTTGGATCAACGCGTGCGCCCGCATTTACTTGCTTGCTGATAAAAGATGGGGTGCTTGCTGAGCAGTCTTTAACCCAGTCACACTTGCATGAATTGGCACTGCATCAGTATCTTCATCGCATCACGGATCTTATGTCTTACTTCGCCTTGACCCTATGAGTGTGTTATTTGATTGATTGCAACATGCTACTCTGGTGCTGAGCTTCCTTTTGTTGTGCGTGCGCAAGTAAGTGTTGTACAACTGTTGCACACATGCATTGCACCGCCTGCACTGATGATGTGCTTTTCTCCTGAATTGGGGCCCTTGTGTTGTCGTAATCGGGAGAGAAGCCGTGTGTTGGATGGATGCCAAGCTGGATCAATTATTATACTTTTGGGGAACAAGTCAACCCACCCCATCGGATTACATCCATCATCTCGATCAAACAAACAAACACACAAAGAAGCCTTCTTTCATTCTTTCATTTCGGATCATTGAGCCGTTTTCATTGCACTTTTGCTCCTCTTTTCCCTCACTCAACGCCACCTCCTAGAAAAAGGAAACGCGGTACCGTTCAACTCAAGAATCTTATAATCCGCTTCTTCGCAAATAAAGGATCCGAAAATTCGGAGTATCTCAATCCAAAGGCTGTGTGTTTCCGTGGACTGAACGGCTTAGCAAATCCACTTTTCGGACTTATACTCCTTCCCATCATCTAAAGGGGGAAACGTGTTTTAGAAAGGCGTTGAACCCCTGTTTAGAAAATAGTGAGTAAGGCGTAAAAGGGTTTATGATAATGAAAGGGGGCTTTTATTGTTAACCACAAATCGATAGCCCCCTCATTTGGAAGTTCAATACATACTGATGCCGAGGATTTCTCCTTTCTTTTTTCTCTTCTTGTCATCGATTGTGACACATTCTATTTAGGCGCTTTACAGCCCTCCTATCGATTCGCTCAGCCGCTCAAATTTATCCCGGTGTCCGCTCCCGTCTGTTCCTAAACCTCAACCACCATCACCACTTACAACATCATGACTTCTGAAACGGAAATTCGATCTAGACCTCTTCAACGTCAAGCAGGTTTCAACGTTTCACAGAATGGCAATGATAACAATATGAAATCAAACACTTCACCTTCCCGGATTCGAACAACGACAGGCGACACTGTCGTACGTGGCTCATTCGATGGGGATGTAGAGATGGGAGAAGAAAAGAGAGTTGTATATCCGGTACCTATTCTACGATCACAAGATCTGCACAAATCAAACAACGACGAGAATGGTAAAGATTCAGATCGATCACGCAACGACCTTCCCACGCCACCCGATCATGTAGGCTATAACGCTAAATCAGAAGAAGAGAGAAAGGCACAACTCGGAAGTGATGTCAAACTACCATCATTACATTCTACTCTCATCAGTCCACGTATCGCCACAATCTCGTCATCGCACGTCTCCAGTGGTCCGGCATCGATATCCTCTGCGCAATGGTCTCCTGGACATAGTTCAGATCCGCATCTGTACTCAATCTCAAGCCAGCCATACAGCAACGCTAGTGTACGACCATATCTGAGCACAAGCTTCCAAACATCAGCAGAACGAGGTCCAGGCATAGTTCGTGGTCCACCGAACGCATCAGGATTACTGCCAAGACATCCACAGAATGATGTAATGGATGATGATGACGATGATGTATTTGGCAACACAGCACAAGGCTTAGGACTTCACAATACCGGTGAACCATCACCTCCTCAACTAAGACGATCGAATGATATGGACCGTGAAGAGGGAGATGCTGCTGGTGTGTTTAGCTTCTCAAGTCCTTACTTTGGACCACGATCGCTTGAAACGGCAGATGTTCCTCCACTATCTCCTCCTCCTCCTGGCAATGATTCAAGAGGTAGTGCTTATGCGCAAAGGATGATGAGTCCAAGTTGGACAGCTGCTTCTCTTGGGAAGATGTCACTTGGCGGTTCAAGTGCAGAAGGTGCTTCTTCAACTTCTAGAAGACCTCCATATGGAACATCACCTCGAAATACAATGGCCAACGCACATGCTGCTTATAGTCGATCTCTACCTTCAGGCGCTGCTGGTCTTCCGATTGGTGGTCAAGCAAGACGATCTTCGTTCCAGAAACGACCAGCTCCTGGCCCAGGCTTGCTTCATCCACATTCATCCTATTACAAATCTACCGATCGTGCCAGATCTACATCAAGATCCAGACCCGAAAGGAGTACGAGAACGATGGAAAATGTTGATGATGATGAAACAGATGAAGATGAACAAATGGCATCACGAGAGCAAGATGATGATGCGACAGAAGATGAAGCTGAACCGCAAAACCATGCTCGATACGAAAAGAGATATTCAAGACCTGAAGAGGCAGGGTATATCCAACAACCTCATCGTCATCCAAGCGGTCAGCCGACAACAATGTCCGCATCATATGAACGTGCGCAAAGCGGACTCAGCCGTCAATACAGCTCTGACAGGTATGCCCACCTAGGCATGAGCCGTCATCATCCATATGCTGCCAGTCCCAGTGGTGCATCACCAAGTAACGGCAGTATATTGGCATCTTATTCGCCCAACAATGCAAGAGTTCCGATCGGCAGAAGACGTAGCAGTTTCGGTCAAGGAGCCATGCTTAGCGGATCGCCTTCGAATGGAATGATGCATGCTCTTTCTCATTCACCTCGTTATATTCAAAGTATACCAACGCGCGATCGACCACCGATCGGAAGTTATACAAGTGCTTCTGGTGGTGACTATTCGCATTATGCTGGTTCGTTGCCTCAACATGCACAACACTCTAATTTGTCGGGATATGGAGAGTCACCTGATGCTAATTCATCATACAATGCTTCCCGACGAAGATATGAAGTGTATGGTGATGAAGAAGAAGAGGAGGAAGACGAAGAGGAGAGTAGACCAGATCATCGTCGATCGATTGGAAATAATGGAAAGTCAACACATCGCAGTACTTCAGCAAACAGAGCAGTGGCTTCTGCTGGAGCTGGAGGTGATGTGGACAGTCCAGAGATGCTTGAAGTGAATGCGATTAGGGAACGATTAGGAGGAGCGGCAAATTGTTCGGCGTTTATTTCAAAGCTATGGTATTTGATGTGCAGGCCAGAATTATACTCAAAGTACATTCATTGGTCAGAATCGGGTGATTCGGTAATTTTGTCGAATGATCCGGATATCAATAACGAATTCGCATCGGAAGTTTTGCCAAAGTTATTCAAACATGGAAATAATGCCTCTTTTGTTCGACAATTAAACTTGTATGGGTTCCAACGTGTTCCTTCTTCCCGTTTATTGGACGCTGCTGAAATAAAGGCAGCAAGACGATATGCGAATGGAAATACGATTTCAACCGCTTTGCAATTGTACGGACCTCATTCAAGCTTTGCCCATCCTAGGTTTAAGAAAGATCAGGAATCCATGTTGCCAAGCATGAAGCCAAGGAGCAGTAAAAAGACAAAGAAGGGCGGTAATCAGGGTGATCTTAGTGGCGGAAGAGGTGATTCGGATGTTGGAGAAGATGAATTTGCTTTGTGAACGAGCGAGCACACCGCTGTCAAGGAAATATTTTTTGGAATTATTATATGTTTTTATTGCCCACTTTTTTCTATGAACACGTATCGGAATCTGTTCTCTCTTTATCATTCGGTGCTGCTGCTTATTCGAGATATTGTTGGAAGGATGCCTGTCTGTTTTGTATCATTTATCACTTGCTCAAATTTGATTCATTTACTATTACATCAAGGCATTGTTTGTTTAGCATTCTCTGTAACTTTATCGGAGTCATTTCGCGTTAAAGAGCTTTAATTTTGAATTCATGCATGAGTCAGGCACAACAAAGCTTAAATTGCTGCAGGAGAGTGGAAATCATGCTTTCTTCTTGACAAACACCTCTATCAAGATGTACTTGAACGAGGATTACGCTGAACATGATCAAGATGCATTATTTGATCTGATTGAAGAACATAGACTAGGCGTCCTAACAACAGCCATCGAATCAGATTCTTTTCCCTTTTTACAATCAACACACATTCCCTTTGTCTTGGATCGAAAAGGTGGTAAAAAAGGCATTCTTCGTGGTCATATCGCCCGTGCAAATCCGCATGCAAAACAACTTGTACAGTACCATCGATCAAAGTTGGAGCAAGCAGGTTCATCCTCTGATCCTCACGTACCGACAGATCGCGTTTCTACCATCTTCACACACAAAACGCAAGCATACGTTACCCCGAGATTTTACCTTGAAACCAAACCTTCAACCGGGAAAGTGGTGCCAACGTGGAATTATGCTGCCGTTGAAGTACGTGGTGCTTTGCGTATCAGAGAATCAGGAGAGTATATCGTCAAACAAATTTCTGACTTGACGAGCGATATGGAAAGATCATTCAATCCGTCAGAAAACACTAAGAGTGAAAATGATCAAAGAACGCAAGACTATGAAGGATGGAAAGTATCTGATGCGCCAGAGAGATATGTGAACTTGATGACAAAAGCAATTGTGGGAATAGAAATCGAAATTGAAAATATAGAAGGAAAGTACAAGATGAGTCAAAACAAGACGGGAGGTGATCTTACTGGCGTGATAGAGGGATTTAAGTCACTAAACACAGAAGAAGCAAGAGAAATGGCAGATTTGATACAAGCTCGTTCAAAAAATTCGCGGTAGTAGATAATGATGGATTATCAGCGGCTTGCAATACGCGACCGTCATTTGAATCCAAGTCTGTTGCCGATACTTTTCAATTTGCCACCCAGTGTTGCTCTTTCCGGCTTCCAAATTACAGTTCTTGCCGGTGCACCCTTATGCGGTCCAGCGATCACGATTTCTTCTCTTTCTGGAGAATAATATTTGCCTTTAGCACGAAGTGGACTATTAGAACGAGTCGGCGGAGGTGATGCAGGTTTCTTCTGTTCTAATTTAACGAATTCTGGTTCTCCACTAAAATAGCCATGGGAATCGACACGATTACCTGTACCTTTCCTATAGCCTGCTGGCGGTTCACTTGAGGTTTTTGGACCGCCTGACGATGAGCCGGGGTGGCTCTTTGGGGAGCCTGGAGAACTTCGAGAGCTTGGAGAACCTGGTGGTGAAGTTGTGCTCTTACGTGGAGAACCTGGTGGTGAAGTTGTGCTCTTACGTGGAGAACCTGGTGGTGAAGTTGTGCTCTTACGTGGAGAACCTGGTGGTGAAGTTGTGCTCTTACGTGGAGAACCTGGTGGTGAAGTTGTGCTCTTACGTGGAGAACCTGGTGGTGAAGTTGTGCTCTTACGTGGAGAACCTGGTGGTGGAGTTGTGCTCTTACGTGGAGAAGACGGCGGTGTAACTCGCTTGAACAATGACATACTAGCATCATCCTTATTTGAATGTCCCGATACGGCTGACAAAATTGCGAAAGCAAAGAAGAAAATTGTTGACAAATGTGACCAGCGCATTTTTCTGTTAATTTAGATACAGGATCTAATTTATCATATTCTTTATTACCTATATATCTTTCAATGGCATATATTTAACGAAGATACACAATAGATAAAATTACACCCGATTGGGGCAAAGGTGTCTAAGCAGGCAGGGGCTAGTAAGTTCGAGGCTTTTGCATTCATGCTGATGTTACTTACGGGGCAAATACGTTAACGGCTACAACACTGATGTGATTCATGACGCCCTCTTCACTTCGGCAAAACCACAAGTCGAGGTACGCATTCGGAGAAAGATGGGAATATAATGTAGGGAAAGATCGTTTAATCCATCAGAAAACTCTTAAAGTGAAGATGGTCAAAGAATTCAAGACTATGAAGAATAAAAAGTGTGTAATACGGTAGAGAAATAATTGATGGTACAAGCCATTGTAGGAATACATAGATCAGAAGGAGAATACAAGACGAGTCAAAAGAAGACGGGAGGTGATCTTACTGACGTAATAGAAAGATTAGAATCACTCAATGTAGTAAACGAAAAAAAATGTGGACTTGATACAAAATCGTTCAAAGAGCTCGTAGTATCAGATCATGACTGATTTCCAGCAGTCTGTGTTATTCGTACCGTCATTTGAATCTGTTGCCTATATTTCTCAATCCCCTTTTCAATGTGCCACACACTAATGCTCTTTCTGGCCTCCGAGCTTCAATTTTTTACCGGTGCACGTTTATGCGATTCAATAATGACAATATGAGGCGGTGCAGGTTTCTTGTGTTTTATCTTTACGAAAGTTGGTTCTCCGCTAACACGGCCACTTGAATTCACGGTATAACCATTACCTTTTCTAAAGCCTGGTGGCGGATCACTCGAGGCCTTTCGAGTGCCGGACGATGGGCTGATATATTTCTTCAAAGAGCTTAGTATTGAAGTTATACTTATTCTTGGAGAACCTGGTGGTGTTTCTCGCTTGGACAACGAAATACTGTTGTCATCTTGACTATTATTTGTGTAACCCAATACAGTCGATCAAATCACGTAAACAAAGAAGAAAAATGTCGACAAATGTGACCAGCGCATTTTGTTATGGATTTAGAGCAAGATTTAAGTTTATAATGATCTTCCTTTTTTTATTGTTCGGATACATACATGTGAACGAAGGTGCATAAGATATGGAAACACAGCCAATTGGGGCGGAATAATTCACGCAGCCCCTGCTTCTACGATGACGCTGAGGATACGGGCCGGGCAAATATGTGAATGGCTGCAAGACTAATGGTATTCATGACGCCCCCTTCAGCTTCCCAGAACTCTTTTACGTTACATCGAAATGCGTATCACAGCTCAAGCAACGCAGTCAGATGAGCGAGATAAATTAACAAAGTACAGGATAGATCAAGAAGCATAAACGAAGAATGGATTTTGACCATCTGTCAAATCACGGAAAGCCCAAGCATCCCTTTGCTTTTGTACTTCTTCATCACTCCATCCGTTTTGTTGTTGTAATTCACGCACTTGTTGACGTTTACGTGCATTTGCACGACTGACCAACCAACGAATCCAAACGGCAACGATTGCAGCCAAAGCTAGAGATACCAAAGTTGAAGTTTTACCAGGGATATATTGTGGTGCATCTTCATCACGAAAGACGAATGATCCAGCAATATTACCAATACCAAAAGCAAACATATTGGCTGCGTATGCGGCAGTCTTTTTGCTGCTACCACCTATATTGGTAGCATTCCAAGCGTATACAATTGATAGAGAGGCTCCGAAAGTAGCCGTTAGATAAACAGCAAATACAACTGCACCTCGATGGTGCAAAGCGGCACTCTCTTCTCCATATCCAACCAAAATTGCAGCACCCACAATTGTAGGGATTAAAGCAATCATGATTGGGAGCATGCGTTCACTGTATTTATCCGAAAGCCATGCAGAAAGAATAATGGTAACGAATTCGAAAGCACCTTTTGGCATTCCAATCAACAAAGTTTGACGAGTATCGTAACCGAATCCTTTCAAGATCTTTGACGAAAAGCTTGAAAGACCACCATTTGGGATGGAAGTCAGGATGACAAAAGCTAAAACTAGCCAGATCCTCAATTCGAAAACAGCTTCTTTCACTTGAGACCACTTGAAATGACGTTGAGCTGTTCCGGATGCATTTGCTCGTACACGTTCCAGTGCGACTCGTTTTTCGCGATCGTTCAAAAATGTGGCTGCCATTGGATTATTGGGCATAAATAGCGTAACAATCACTCCAACAATAACGGTCAAAACTCCAAAGATGATATAAAGCAATCTCCAAGCACCTGAATTTCCAAATACGCCACCGCCATAAGTTGTTCCGTATGCGATCAAAGGTCCAATGACTTGCGTGAGACCGTTCATAGAGTAGAATGCGCAAATTCGAGTTGCTTGTTCTTCTTTTCGATAAAAAGCAACGATTGTGCTCAGTAAGATTGGTGTGACTGTAGATTCAAACATGCCCAACAAAATTCGTAAAACGAAAAAAGGAGCAAAATGCGGACTGATTGCAGAAAGTGCCAAAGTGATTCCCCAAAGGATGACATTTATACCGAGATATTTCGTAACTCCCCATGGAAATCTTTGAGAAAGCCAAGCAGAAGGAAATACGAAAACCATAAAACCATAATAAAATCCTGCGCTGACTTGATTATAATCTAAACCTTTGATTGGAAGTCCAGTGATTGAAGCATAATTTAATAAAGTTTTATCCATGAATTGTAAAAAATAAATTGCAGCACAAAATGCCGGAATACGTTTATCCAATTTACGTTTTACTGATTGTTCTTCTGCAGGTGTGAATTGCATTGCCACTTCTCCTGCAAGTTCATACGCTTCATCAGCAGATGCTCTTGCAGCTTTTTCCTCAACTCCAACAGCTTCCGCTGGAACGGCTGCATTATGATTGAATTCTTCCACTTGCACGTTTTGTTTGTACTCTTGCTCGCTGCCGGATGAATTTCTTTCTAGATCATCGCCGATATAATCGACTTTTGATGTCTCTTCGCCTTTCATGTTGAAGTTGCGGGAAGGAGGGAGGTGTTTAGTAGGTGAGTTGAAGGGGAGATAAGAAGTGGGTCAAGGCAAGAAGTAATGTATTGAGTGGATTTTATACTTTCCCCCTTGCTCAACCTTATCTGCTGCCCACGTTGATCGATTGTGGTCAGTTGGGTCGAGTTGATTGCCAAGGAATTTAAAGCATGTGAACCCTAAAACAGTCATCCTTTCCCACGGCACCGAAGTGGGAATCCCGCCACTACCGCCGATCTATTCTCCCCCCCCCCACCCCGATTGTATTTAAACATTGATACCTATTCGAAATTGCGGCGGTCAAGGTGATCCCACTCTCCCAGCAGTGAATCGCCGGTTTTATACGGCCGGTACCTTTTAACAAAGCACTTGTGCTTTCATTACTGAGAGATAAAGAGTCTTATCTTGCATGTATTTCTAACCAACATATGCACCTTTTCCCCCACATTTTTCTTCTTTTAGCTTATTATTATAAACGCTAAAATCTTATTTGCATTGATAGGATCATCAACCATTCCTTGCCGGGCCCGTTGGATCTTCACTCTTTCTTACACGCGCTATATAAATTGGACTCAACCAAAACCGTTATACTTTGCACTCAATCATTCAAAAGATAAAAGCCACTGCGAGCTACGTATTCCGAGAATCGACTGCCCCATATAGCTATATGAACCACGAACTTTGTTCGAGTATGCCACACCGTAGCGCTCCGATATATCTTACCAAAAGCAAAGTCACGCCCCCACTGATACGCCCCTCATATACTTCATGGTCGAGAAATATAGTCTCCATAGGAATATAAAATAGCTTTTTTGCAGCGATTCTTTTTCATCCTATGAAGTTTTTCTTTCGTGAATCATAGAGAATGATGCGCTGGTCACATCAATTCGCAGTATGGCTCTTCTTCTTCATGGTATTGTGCATGACAGCAATTATCATTACATCATCAGCTTTGCCGACAGAAAATTTCTTGAAGAGTCATAGTACCCAATTGGTTAAGAGAGGAGGTGGCGGAGGAAACAAACTTGAAACGGCAGATATGGCAAGAGTGATCTTCCCCGATCGTCAAAAGAAGTCCTCACAAAAACGTCCTCCAGGTCCAGAGCGTAGGATAGAAATACCCCTCCAAAGTTTGCCTAGTAGTCCACGGCGAGCTACTTCACGAACACAAAAAGTCGTAGGAGCAGTTAAGAAAGTGTTTGGCTTTGGTCGTAAAAATTAAGCATACGGCCGTATATCGACAATCTCCTATCAAATTCTTTTGTGATCAGAATTTAGTGTTTTTGATGTAAAGAATATAATCTACTTTGGTATCTCATACAATGCTGGTGTGATTACAGGAGTTATTCTCGTGCTCGTTCAATCTGAATAAATATCGTCATAACTTCAGTAAGATCACGTATAGCTAGTCTTCAATCTTGACTATCAGTATACTACACTGCTCAACTGATGAAAGATAGAGGCAGAGTTCCCTTTCCGGATCAATTCTCGCTCATTCTGTTATTGCACCTCAATCACCATCATTAGAACGACATAAAGAAGCAACTGTGAATCTTGAAACTTATTCATCACATATTCTTTTCGAATGAAAGTAAGAGCTATAAGTTTCGGAAGAGGGCCAACCGGGGCAGATTTATGAGCCACCATTGTTTCAATTATGTCACCGCTGGACGCTCCGAGAATTCTTACCTACCGTAGCTCCATGTGGAATGTACGCCCCTGATCAGATCGCCTTCTATTTATTTCAGCCAAGGAAGATAGTCTTCTGACGAATATAACATAGCCTTTTTTCACTTGATCTCTTTTCTTCTTTGTCAACCTTTTCTCTTTATACTTTGTTGAGAACGATGCGCTGGTCACATCAATTCACACTATCTTTACTTCTTTTCGTGCTTTTGTATCTGACAGCAACATCATTAGCACTGCCGACAATCTATTCGTCAAGTGAATATGATACACACTGGATCAAACGAGGAGGGGGCAATGGATCACCCGGCAGGACACCAGGACATGAAGTAGTAAGGTTTCCCGATCGTCAAGCGACTTCACAAACACGTCCAAAAGGTCTAGATCGCAGAGTAGAAATGCCTTTGCATAAACAAAATAGCAGTCCAAAATCTTCTCCATCGCCAGGGCGGACAGGCGGACATACAGTAATTGTGTTTCCTGATCGTCCAGCCACTTCACAATCACGTCCTAAAGGTCCAGATCGTAGAGTAGAAATGCCTTTGCATAAACAAAATAGCAGTCCAAAATCTTCTCCGCCGCCGGGAAATAAGAGCCCTTCGCGAACACAAAGAGCAGTAGGTGCGGTCAAGAAGTTGTTCGGCGGTGGTAGACATTGAGGATGCAGCTTCAATTTGACCATTTGGACCTTGTGCGCAACAAATCTGAACTTTGTATCCTCCCGGTATCTTCCACAATGTTGATATGATCACTGAATTGATTTGTAGTATGCTGTTTCTTATCTCTTACTCGATACAGTTTGATTGACTTCTAGTACCCCCACTTGAAGGTGTAAAAAGATCACGTATAGCTAGCCTTCAGCCTAGACTGTAAATGTTGTCCGCCGGTCAATCGAGCTGAAGGGGAAGAAATTCCTTTCCGTTTAAGTTCCCGCTCATACTGTTCCTGAGACCGTTTTCGTTGAATCTTTACAAGATGTTCTTGTAGTGGTTTAGGAGCCAAGATTGCATCATCATCAGGTTGACAAAAATAAGCGATTGAAAATCGAGAAACAGCTTCATCATCCGTTCTTGGCATCACAACACGATGTTGAACGCTTTGCATCACTCCGGATGTCCAAAATTCCAAAGCGTCTGCAACATTTACAACGATTGCATGTGGCTGAGGTGCAACGTCTAGCCATTTTCCTTCATTCTCTCGCCATACCTGTAGGCCGCTTACTTGATGTTGAAAGAGCAGTGTTATACTGCCATAGTCTGTATGCGCTCCTGCTCTTATCGACGAGCCTTCTTGTCCTACATCGGTAGGTGGATAGTGAATCAGACGCAAACGATCATGAAATGCAGTATGTTTGCTTGAAAAGTACTGTTGATCATCTAGGTCGATCGATTGCGCAAATGCTTCAAGGATCGTTCCGCATATCAGTCTACACGCTTCAAAGAGCTGCTCCAGACTTTTGTGATCTTTTTCGAGCGTTGGTGGTAGGGTCTGACGAGGTTTAGGCGATAGTTGAGCAATATAGAAGCTTTCCTTGAAGTCTCCTTGGCTAATTGTGGTATTGTTGGGATCTAACTTTTCTTCTTGAAATGCGGTATATCCCGTATGTCCTTCCCGATCTCTGCTTACCAACTTTTCTTCTTGGCTTGCATGTAAGAAGAAGTTGTCGCTGCTCTTCCATGCTTCATCTACCAACTTCCAATCGATAGGAGCGTCTGTTAAATAAAAGAAACCATAATCGGTAGCAGCCTCTAGCAAAGCTTCAGAGAAGTTCTTTGATGACAAAGTGTATGAAATTGAAGGAATCATTCGCAAGTTCGTGGTGGAGAAGAGAACAACACCTTATCGCTTCATGCATGCATTCAGGCACACGGACCTTTTTACGATCAAGCTTAGCGTGCGCTTAAGCGTCTACCCATGTACTCTTAATATTGACATGACCAACCAACTCTCTTTCATAAAAAGATGTGATGTCAATGATGTCAGAACAGTATGATGCTAACAGTATGTATTTGAAGCATTGCCATTCAATTCAGCGAGCCGTGCGTTGTCGAATTTAATCGGCAGCCCAATTCGGTGATAAGTGAGAGTGAGTAAACCGGCGGGAAAAGATGACGCGCAGCACTCGGCCAAAAGAGACAAAAGAGAAAAGAAGACACGGCCAAACCAAACAAACAAGCTAAGAGAAAGGATTGGGCCCGTTGTGTAAATATAACAACAATGAACTTGCAGCTAAACACAGCCTCGATCAATTTCTCACGATCGGTGTTAAGTGGGGTGAAAGATGAAATGAATAATGTATTTAAAGGATGCCATCTAAACATCTTCTGTAATCTGAATCACCAGCTCAAATAAACAAATTGACAATGACAGAAATTAATGCACCACCTTCTTACAATGAAGCAATCCTTCAAAGAAAGTTATCTGAACAAAGGCATACCACTATAGTCAACAATGCCCAAATTAACGATGAAATTCAACTTTTACAACCATCGGCAGATGAACTTAACACTGCAAAAGACAAATCACAACATAAAGAAACATATCCTTCAGACCATCCCACCGATCAAAAGGGTAACGGTAAAGTCACTGTAGGAAAAGTACTTTTGATCGGCTTATTAATGCTCGTCAGTCCATGGTGTGCATGCAGGATGATCAGAAAAACAAATGATCCTAATGGACAACAAAACAAACGCCCTCGCTCAAGAGGCTGTTGTGGACAAAGCTGTAACGGTGATCGAATGATTAGACAACAACAACGCGGTGAAAGAAGAATTCAAAGATTAGAACGTAGAATTGAAAGAAAAACGGAAAAGATGGACAGAAAAGAAGCAAGGGATAAACTGTGTGACAGGAAACGTGAAAAAGGTGAAAGAAAAATACAAAAATGGGAAAACAAAATTGAACAAAGGCAAGGCATGATTGGTTCAACATGCGGACCAAGTAATGCTCGCTGTCATCGCGGTACTGCAGCTCACACGAGGGCTATGAAATGCTAATGGATCGGACTGGGCTTTTTGATGTGCTTTATTTGTTGTGTCAAATATATGCTTCACTGTATCTTATTTATTTTAGCTATAATCTTGATAAAAGTCTATGCTATTTGGGTGCTTGAATGATTGGTGTCAATAACAAAGAAGGGCGGCTGATATAATCCCGAGATGATTATATTTATACGCCGAGATCGACCATCACCGTTGTTTACCCTTTCTAGAAGTGTTAGTGGCCTTTCCTGATCGGCTTGTATGCACAGCACTGCAATTCGGTACTTATCAATTTTCGGCGTAAGAATCACCGTAAACACCGAAATGAATACATGTGAGTGTGTGCCTTGTCATTCTTGCTGTGCATGTGGATTCATGACGTGCATCAATTTGAAGGACAGGGCGTTAATACGCTAAACAGACAAGCATGAGGAATGATAAACCGAGAATATGCTGCCAAATAAGCCGAAAATGAATTGAAAGCCGACATGTTCCCGCTGTTTCGGTTTAAAGAATGATCTCTTTAGCGTACTTTTATTTGTCCCCGTTAAAATTTATTGTTTTCGGCTTATTGTTGATTGACTGATATTCTGCAGCAGATATCCGCCGACAAGATTTGAGAATTGTGTTGCATGCTAATAGAAGATACACAATGCATTGACACTTGAGAAGATTGTAAGGGATTGGATAAGATATAAAGAGCCCTCTCAAAATCATCAGTCTCATCCCATTTCCCCATCACTCCTACAATCTCATCACAATGTTGCAAGCACAATACAACCAACACAACAACATCCTCGCCCAACACCATCAATTCCATGAAACAGCAATGGCAACCCAATTCAATGCTCCACCTTCATACGATGAAGCAGCATTAGAAAAAGACTTTTCGCAATTCAAACTTAACGAGAAAAAAAGACAAGAATATTTCAACAAAGCCCAATACACTCCCGTTCAACCAATCGCAGGTTCAAGTAGACTTCAATCAATTCCATCAAATACATCAGCATGGATGAAAATGCCTAATGGATCAAATGCACCACCGATCGTGATCCCACAAACATCTGCAAAGATGCTGCAAAAGAATCTTGCACCATTTTCACGTGCTTATCCAACTCAATTGGCTCAATACGGTATCCGAAAAGAAGAATTCATCAAAATTATCGATGAGCTAAACGAATGTTTCATCTTGAATCCTGCTTTTCAAATCATGCGAATGGCAGGTATGGCAGTTGGATGTGTTCCAAGTCCCACTTTGATCGGAATCGGTGCTGGTCTTCAAGTTGCGGCAGGTTTGGGAGGTGCAGGAATGACATATATGCGTACGAAAGCATTCGTTAAAAAGATGAACAAGAACCTGTTTGATCAACATGGTTTACAAATGCGTATTTTCTCAACTGAAAAAATGATGAAAGCAATTGGTGAACCAGAAGGTGAACGAAGATTGAACCTTGCTCCTTTGCCGGAATTTGACGGTGAATGGGATCCAACATCACCCGAAACGGATCCAAGATTGCGCAGGATGACAGCATTGAAAGGCCGCGTAGGTGAATTAGACTGGAACGTCCCTGAACCAGTGATGTCTAAAAATGTCTTGAAAAAGATGGGAGATTGGCAAGCGCAAAAGCAAGCTAAATCCGTTCAAAAACGACATGAAAAGATGTGTTCAAAAGTGAACAAATATCAAAATGCCACAACCCACAAAGAACGTCAAAAAGGCGCACGTAAAGTTGAAAAATTGGAAAAACGTGAAGGTAAAACAACTCAACGTATTCGTTGGATTTGCATCGTTCCGAAATCGCAATCTGAACTTATCGATGATGAGAGCGAAGATGCAGAAAGCGAATCGGATTACTGTGAAAAGAAGTGATGGGTATTTTGTTACGATGTTGTATTTGTACATATTCATTTGTCAATAAATATTCTGATTCCGAAAACTGTGGGAAGTTTGTGGTTATAGTCCACCTGATTTCGTGAATGCGCTTAAGAACCTTGCATTGAATGCTTTTCCAGAGCTTCTTCAAAATCGATTTTCATCCGTTCCGAATGTTTTTGAAGTGCTACTTCCAAAATAATCCTCGTTCTTTCTGTATGGTTTTGAGATACTTCGTCCAAAATATTTTTCATTTTCTCCGTATACGTCTTAATCGCTGTGTCTATAAAAGCCATCGCAAAGAAGAAAATGATGATCACCCAAGGAACAAAAGTAAGTGCCTCCGTCATGATGGTTTCAATGCGATCATCGTGGTTAAGAAGTAAGGTGTGTTTTGAGAGCTTTCATGAATCTTTTTGCCCTGGCTAGCGTAAAGATTCATGCGGGCGCTGCATACGCTACATGTGATCGCTTTTTCATTGATCACGCCGTCTCAAGCAATCCAACAGCCACTAGCAAAAAAATTTCTCGAAGATCTTTTTCATGTCTTGTTTTCCTTGTATAGATATATCTTCTTGCCAAGAATTTCGTATGGGTATGATGGTATCGTTCGGGCCATAAAGTACAAGACGAAACGCCATTAGCCACTCATTTGATATATACGGTGGGGCTAAATCATATCTACGGCCCTAAAACCATTGTAGGGTATGACAGCATCGCAAAAAGTATTAAAAGGAAATCAAAACATCTTTCCATCGCGAATCTTGTTCAAGAGCACTGGATGCCTTATTTTTACGATGATATTGCCAAACATTTATTTCACATTATTAATTGTTATCTTTTATGTAAGATGTCATACAATACTAGCCGTACCTTCTGATTCGAACCAACTTGTCAAGCGAGGAGGTAAAAGTAATGCAAATCAAGCGACCTATGTCACTCCAGCTAATCAAAGAGCCCAAGATTATGGATTCGTACATGGGGGAACACCGGACGGTAAAGCACCCCGAACACCTAAACCTAACATTTTAACAAAGGCTAAAAACTTTGTCGGTGATACGTTTCATAAAGCAAAAAGTCAATTTTCAAGACCATCAAAAGCGGATTTATGGGAAGTACATAATGAACCAAAGCCACGTGTAGATTTGTCTAAGGGTAAGAAAGCTCCTACCTCACCAAGCGAACGTCAACGTTTTAAAAGTGATGGTTGGGTTATAATTTAGTCTTCTTCTTTAACTTTTGTCCTTTCGTCGTAGATTGTTTTATGAACGCTTTTGACCCATCTTACTCTGGCTGTTTAAAGAGTGTAAGATCATGCAGCTATAATTACTTAGCTTTCTAATGTCCGATACAACTCCCCTCAACTAATTGCTTGCGTCCCTCGAGGTGTGATTTGGATTCTTTTTCAATACAAACGATACTTGCGAAGCGGAGAGGGGCTTCATGGTCATTTATAAACTTATATTTATGTTTGTCGTATCACTATTGCCAGAAGAAAAAATCGACGCACAGAGGATGTAGAATTTCACAAGGGGCGGCTTGGTCACAACTGATAGTTTTCCAATCGGAATCTTTTTGCGACATACTTCATCTACGAACGGTGAATTGATTTTTCTTGGTACCATATCCATTACCAGTGCACTGGTTGCAGCTGAAGCATACAAAAAATGATACGGCCATATACAAAGCTTATATCACTTTTATTTTATTTTCATTTCTGCCAGGATTGCAGACAGCATCAGCTGTGCTAAAGTTTCTACAATTGAGTTTTGTTGGCAGGGTTAAGAGCATCAAGTCTAATCCCTGACAATGTGAAAATGGACGGAATGCTAAGAGTATCTTGGCGAAGGGGCATGCACAGCGCCGATACTTTTTTGCCTTCTTCTTGGAAAGACCTTCTATGGCAGTGCCGGCTTTCATTGGTGACATTTGTCTTACCCCGATCTAAGCGGCGCACGTCTTGCCACGACGCCTTCTGTTACCATACCTGAGATATCTAAGATGTATATAAATTGCCACAAAGGAGTCTGTTTCCTTCAACAAGTATGAATTGCACTTTACGAGAACATTTATGATGCGCTGGTCACATTGTACATTGTTCTTATACCTTTTCATTCTTGTATTTATGGTGATCTTGCCCGCTTTGACCGTACCTACTACCTCAGCACTACCAAAAGATGAGTTGGAAGTTAAAATATCAGGAATAGCAAGACCAACGATACCTCAAAATGAGAAAGCAGTCAACCTTCTCAAGCGAGGAGCTGGATCACCACCACGTAGGATGACTGTAGCAGAACACAATAATCATATACACGAAGGTGGCTACGTTTTCGCTACATCAGATGGCAAGCCTCCGAATGGACAGAATAAACATCCTTATGTTCCCAAATCTAAACCTGCTGCTGCACCTCAACAACAGCATCAAGCGCCCGCACAATTACCTAGAAGGACAGAAAAGCATTTACCAGATTCTCAGAAAAGACCTGTAGAGATGTTGTATGGAGGCAGCACGAAAGGTTCGCCTGCTAGAGTTGTCATGAAGCAACCAGGAGGCGGCGTTGCACCTGCAAAAACGCCTAGAACGGAAAGGGTTATGAACAAGGTTACGGGCGGTCTTAAAAAGATTGGCAATGCATTTAGTGGTCGTAAACATTGACATCTGTTCTATATAGTACATTATCATCATCATTTCTTTCAATCATGACGTATCCGAACTGATAAACATGTTACGCATCCTTCTAATTTTTCGAATTCGGATACTTCTGCTTTAATGAGTTTGTGTCCCATATCCTCTAATATCTTGTATGATTTTGGTGCAGATGCTGAAATGAGTAGTGGAGTATTGCTGTCTGATGGATCTACGTTGAGATGTACGACTGCTACACCTTCTGCTTCTGGCATTGCAATAAATTTTTCAAACACACCATGATCTTCAAGAAAAGGCTGAAATCCGATAACTGTACCATCCGGTAGTGCGGTAACCATGGATTTTAGATGCAAGGCTTTCTTGACCGGAATCGTTTCTACTTTCCATCCTAAAGGTTGAACGAGAGCTGTGAATTGTCGAATACCTTCAACATTTGTACGTGCGCTATTACCTATGTAGATGAGTTGTTTGCATGGTATTTTCAATATATCTCCTCCATCAAGTTTACCTGGCTTGAGTATTTCTGCATGAGCATGTTGTGGTAATGATGATTTGATTGCGGCTTGTATTCCTGCGATTTCTCCTTCTCGAGCACTATTACCGGGAGAAGCAAAGATGAGCAAACCTGGCTTTTCTTTCTTGTCTTCTTGCAGGTTATCAACGCTTATTATTCCATCTTCTACAAATACGCTATCGGGCAAAGAATCATCTTGATCAACCGTACTTATTTCCCAGCCATGCGTTCGAAAGATATCACCGTATGCATGCCATTGTTGTAGTGCTTTTTTGTAGTCTACTGAATCACGTTGGTCTTCTATGTGAGAAACAATTCCTTGTGCAAGTGAAGTTGGAGGAGATCGTAGTAGTAATCGTGGCATGTTGATGTTGTCATGTGTATAATGAAAGAAGGAATGATTGATTGAATAAATGCTATCTTTTGCATTGATTGTTGTTTTAGCTTATCTTTAGGTACACGCGTGACAGCTGCCTAACAATACACACACAGTCAAAGTGCCCAATCTGTAATTTGTCACTTCGGCGTCTTTTTGTTTTTTTAATGATTGCTCTGTTGTTGCATTAGCTTATCCAAAAAGAAGACGTTGAATTAAGCAAATGCGGAATATGCCTTGGCATAACTTGGCATTATGAGAAAAAGTTCCCGTTCCCAACGGTTGAGAGGATAATACTCCACAATAAACATAAAATGATGAATGAATGTATGCAAGATTAAAAGCCACAATTCAAATCACTTCTTCTTCTTCTGCTGTGACTGTGACTGATGGAAAGATTCAAAGTTCGATAAGGTCAGCATAGAAAGGAACGTGTGCAAATATTCAACTTCAAGTCATCGTTTTGAAAACCTTTTCTTTCCATTTCCACCATCATCTTCTCTTCCCTCAATCGACCATGTCATCTTCCCACACACAATCATTAACAGAGGAAGAAATTGATCAATTCATCAAAACTCTTGATCACAACAAGGATGGCAAGATCAGTTTTGCCGAATTGGAACAACAATTAGACCATGCATTTGAAGAGCTTAAACCACACGTAGCACGAAAGACGGAAAAGGACGTCGAAGCGGATATAGATGAAGAAAAAGCTGTACAACGTAGACATGCATTCATTCGAAAGATGTTGGGAGAAGAACATGGAGAATGTATACCGGTCCAACAATTCAAAGACCGAATACAGAATTGGAAAATACCTTCACTTGAACAAGAGAAACAAAACGAAAAGGAAGAAGGAGATCACCTCAAACGGGCGTCATTTCGAAGAAAAATGTATGCTTGGTGGAGAGTTGTCGGACCAGAGTACGTATTCATGGCAGTTGTCGTGGCCTTGCAATTAGGGCTTGGGATATGGCAATGTCTCAAATACGCTCTAGGCAGAGAATATCAAGCTGCTTTTGGTTGGGGTGTAGCTCTGGCAAAGTTCTCAGCAGGTGCTTTGTATCCCACCTTATTCTTCCTCTTATTGAGTATGTCAAGATGGTGGTCAACTGCAATGAGAAGATTTTATTACGTTTCAAGATTTATCAATTGGGATCATGCTCAAGCTTTTCATATCTTGATGTCCGTTGAGACCCTTCTTTTTGCAACTTTGCATGCAATCGGCCATCTTTCAGGCTCGTTCAACTTTGGCAGCATGCCTGATCGACAAGCAGCAGTTGGTCAACTTTTAGGACAAGATGCAATCCCAAAACGATATATTGACTACGTCCGTACGTTACCAGGTTCTTCCGGATTGACTGCTTTGGGGACACTATACTGCATCTCCTTATTGAGTATGCCGATCGTACGTAAATGGTCTTACGAACTCTTTCAATCAGCGCATTTGCTCATGTTCCCGTTTATTGGTCTATTGATGGCACACGGAGCAAGAAGGTTGTTGCAATATCCTGTATTGGGTTTTATACTCGCCATTCCGACATTGTTGATTTTACTTGAACGTGGAACACGACTGATTAGAAGTTTCATCTCAATTCCTGCAACAATCACAATTCTGGATAAGGAAACAGTATGTGTTTCTTGTCAAATACCTGATTCACGTATTTGGCCATACGAAGCCGGTCAATTTGTATTTTTGCAAGTTCCTCAATTATCAAGATTTCAATGGCATCCTTTCACGATTTCTTTGTGTTTAGATCGTGAGATGCAATTGCACATTAAAACAGATGGGGATTGGACAGGTAAATTACGTGATTTAGCAGGAGAAGAGCCTATCAAGATTGGATTGGACGGTCCTTTTGGCGCACCTGCACAACGATTTTATGATTTTGATCAAGCGATCATCGTTGGAGCAGGAATTGGAATAACACCATTCAGTGCAATTTTACACGATTTACAAGAACGAGAAGATCATAGATGGTCACCTGGCAGAACAGCATCGAGAAGAAACAGTCGAAGTTCCCTCAGCCTTTCTCGTATACGATCATCTAATTCTCTTCATTCAACTTCTGCAATGGCCCAAGCGCGAGCTCGATTGGCTGAAAGAAACGGAGTTGAAAATCGTACCGAGGAGAAACGGTCCAACTCACAACGCACTCTGACAGGTTCATCAGAGAAGAGGAAGAAAAACGACAAGCAGGACAAACAACAGCTAAGCAGACATCCATCAATTTTACCCGATCACAATCACATCGATTTGGAATTGTATAGAAGAGTGGATATGCATTGGATCGTTCGAGATAAGAATGCATTGCTTTGGTTTTCGGATTTATTGAATGATATTAGCAATGACGAAAAAGGACATGATCGTGATCATTTGGATATTCGAATTTTTAATCATGTTACACGCAAACATGATGATATTTCACTTCATATCTTTCGATGGTTACTTGAACAAAACAGAACGGAAGAAAATCAACAATCACCTTTGACTGGTTTAATTGCACCAACTCATTTCGGACGGCCGAATTTTAAGGAAATTATGCAAAAACATTATACACAAATGCAAGAATTATTTGCTTCTCAACCCAAACGTAAACGTAAAATCGGAGTATTTTTTTGCGGTTCTCCGATCATTGGCGCTCAATTGGCTGATTTATGTGATGAATGTACTCTGCTTGGCGTTCGAGATGGAAGTTTGATTGAATATCATTTTCAAATTGAAGTTTTTGGTTGAAAAAAGGTTGTACATTATCATATGATGATGATTATTCTAGTTATTGAAATGCATTAAAACAATGGCAGCTACTGCATTAGTAAGCGGAAGAATGTTTTCTCTCTGTTAGAAGTCCAAGCGTTTGCACTGTCAGTTGTGCCTACAGTTTACCTTTCTTTTTCATGCAGTGGGGAAGCCGTTTTTATCGTGAAACACTCCGGCTTCCGCAAATGGACGTGAGTTAGGTACACCGTTCGGCTTGATAAAAAAGCATGTGCTTTAAAAGACAGCACCCACAGCCAAAAAATGCAACAACACGCGGCAGCAAATAAGAGGTGAACAAGGCACTTTACCACTTACAACTATTACGTTTTCCCCATTCTTCGCTTTTTAATCGGGGTGTTCGGTGCATTTGCCTGATTGTAAGAGGTGCATCTTGGCCGCTTAAAGATTGAAGTCCTCTTTTCTTTTTTTCATTCTCTTTTAGTCAAAGATCTAGCAGCACGCAATACCTCCTTATCCCAGGCTAGCTTTGGCGTATGCAATTCACCTTCTAACCGCATCCATTGCTATCCGCAGCTCATACGGATATCACCTTCACTTATCATTGCAATACAATCATCATCGTGATAAAAGAATGAAAGGTGATCAATGAAGCAAATCAAAAGCTGGGGCATATTTGCAGGGAAGTTGTAGCAGTACGCGAGAAAATAAAAAACAAGCAGCAGCATTACCACTCCAAGAAACTCAGCCCAAGCGGGAATCAAAACCTTATCGTACAATACATAAAATTCAACAAATCATGCGACCCCATACAAAGGGAAGCAGAGCATGTCGTTTATGCAGAGAACAAAAAAGACGTTGTAACGGAGAACAACCTTGCGGACTTTGCATTAAAAGAAATAACGAATGCATCTTTGAACCTTGGACAGGAACCAATCAATCTTCTCCTCCTCCTCAAAAAGTACCAGTCCTTCCTCCGCCACATCTTGCAAATCGAACACAATCACAAATGCCGGCTAAAGCAGCTTCCTCTTCTTCCTCGATGGATCACTCAAGAGCTGTCTCGGATTCGGAAGCACTATATACCAGCAATGGGGTTGGAAACGGGCACCCTTCCATCTCAAGCTCAAGCTCCATGTCCAACATTGGTCCAATGCGAACACAAAAGCTGACTTCACAAATCCGTACAAATCCAATCGGAACTGCACCAACACCGCCCGATACACATAACCATGGTCGTCCATCTGCTCATTCTACCGAACCTGCGTCTTCGCCACGACCTCGACAACCTCTACCATCATGGCATTCACGCTCTCCGTTCAATATACCCAGCCATCCAAGCAATCCATACGCAGCAAGAAGTCCACACGGATCATCATTACCGGGAAGTACAACGATGCATGCTTTGCCTCCACCATCTTTGCCTCATTATCATCAATCTCATCATCATTCACATAGTGGTCCAACACCGGGTGGAAGTAGTGCGCATACAGACTCGCCGGACAATCGAGCTGCTAATGTGCAATCGAATTCTGGGGTCTTGTTTGCTGCTTCGATTGCTGCTGATCTCGGAGCAAAGGCTTTAAATGGACGTGATGAAGGGCCTTTTATCGCTTGGAATTTAGGTCTACGGAATGCATGTTCAACATCATCTGCTCAAACACAACCATGGTCGCAAATTATACACAGGAGAGCGATGATGAAACATCTTGAAACGTATGAAAATGTTATGCATCCGATTTACAGATTTGTAAATGTGGATGAAGTTGCACATTTGGTTGATTCAAATCATGGACAAGATCAAAGGCAAGGTACATTATTGGATGCGATCATGTGTGGAATTGCGGCAATTGGAAGTTTATTTTCCGATTCAAAAGATATGACTATTGAGATCGCATTAGAACAAAACGTTCGTGCAATCTTGGACGCACATGCGGAAGATGAACATCATTTACCAGAAGCAGCTTGTGCTTGGCTTTTGAGAACGCTTTACTTGCGTGCATCCAAAGTACCACATGCTTGTTGGCATGCGTCTTGTATCGTGATGCATGCTTGTGAGAGGGCAAGATTGCATATAGAAGAGACAGTTTCGTTAATGAGGAATACAGGTTCGGCACCCGTCCTTGATCCGAGAAGAACGTATCACGTTGCAAAGCTGCTCAATACGTGGATTTCATTTGAATTGGGAAGGACGCATGTGAGTCTAGCCCGTGCTTCAACACTGTTACCCGATATGAGTAATGTCGGATCGGAATCAAGTACGACTATGCTTCATCTTTTTGATCTGTCTCTCAACCTTGAACCAAGTGCGACACCTTCACACGAACGTTTGTTGGACATATTGCAAGAAGTGGTAGATGTTCCTTGTCCTTCTCCTGTTGTGGTTTTGTCGCAAGCGATGGTTGTGTTGAGTATAGTACGAAGGCTTCGGTTTGGGCTTGGGCTGCAATTGAGCACGGATACGACTGCATTGATTCTCACAATCGGTCAAAAAGGCATGGCTTGTACGAATGAGATTCTGAACACGAACGGTGGTCCATGGTGGCATGTTGCGACTTTACCATACCAAGTACTTTGTACGGTGATGGCTTTGAATACAAGAAAGGCGTTGACACTGGTGCCAACGGTGATGGATACCATTCGGAACGCACATTCACGATATCCAACCCAAATGATGGATCGCATCCTGAAAAGAAGTTTAGCATTGGTACATGCGTTGCACAAACACAAATTGGACGATGCAAGATTGTTGAGTAAAGCGCTGGGAAGAAGTTTGAACGAAAGAACATCCATAGCGGAAGGAATGGGAGATAGATCTGCAGCAGTAGGAAATAGTCCATCATCAATCGTTGCAAGAACACCACCGACTGGTGGAGCGGGAGGTGTTGGAAATGGACATATACGTTCGCATACCGATCAAGATTTACCACCGCATATGATTCGACAGAAATTGTTCTCTTCTAATCCATCCGGTGGCGGTAATGGACAAAATGCAAATGCAAGAGCAGGCAGTAATACGCCTGGCGGTGTGATCAATGCAAATGGCAACCCTGTAGAAAAGTCAACCAGCGGCGGCGGTGGCGGTGCAGGAGGAACAGGAGGAGGAGGAAGCGGAATGGTTTGGGAAGGTAAACGTGTTGATCTTGAAGATTGGTTAGTGAATATCGATTGGGATTCGATCATGCAAAATACCGAACCTACATTCTTTGATGCAACAGGAACGGTTTGAAGATGTTTAATGGACGGTATTTGAGATTTTGTTGTTCATTAATCGCTTTTTTTATAATTATTTTTTATTTATTTGTCATTCGTGTATTATATAGCAATACTATTTATAATTGTATCTATGCTTTTTTGTCTGGTCATCAGATGCAATTTTGGGGTTGACTTGGGATAGCAGGATGATTAAAATGAAGAATTGATGAAAACGCGCCGCCAAATGCCGATTTGACAGAAAAAGAAAGAAAAGCGCCGCCTGCGAGCACAGACAATCGTCGATTGCAGTCTCTTTTTTTTTTTGGCGTATCTTTTTCCCCAGTCACTTTTTTTCAGATTTCTTGGGTTTTAAACGTTGCATGAAACGTTCACTAAAGGTCACATGGATTCAAGACTGCCTTCATCGTCATAAGCAACAATAAAAAGATTGATTCCTGGACCACTATCTCACCAGCTATAGGGCTATAATTCATCACCGCCTACACTGCATCAATCCCCTTTGTGACACCTACGACCTTCAAATGAACATCCTCCACAACCTTAACCTCAACAATTCTCGAATGCGTACAGACTAAATCAACACACAAAACTGAGCACCAAGAACGAGATACCCAAAGATGGATGTAGACGATGAGCGGTCGCTTTCACCACTATCACAATTCAGTGATGGTGGAGCAAATGGAAAAGAATCACCAAGTTCAGGACCAATACGTAAAACTGATCCATCCACCTCTACTTCTGCACGTTCAACCGGAGGAGGATCTTCATCTTCAAAAGCTTCAATCGCAGCACCCGTAAAGAGTGCATGTACATTTTGTCGTTCACGTAAATCAAGATGTAACGGTAAACAACCTTGTGCAGCTTGCATAAATCGAGGAAGAACGGATGATTGTGTTTATACAATCTCAAGAAGGGGTGGCAAACCTAAACCAAAAGGTGAAAAGATGGAACCGTTGGAAATGCATTTGGAAAAGTTGTTGGGTTTGTCTGAATTGCCACATCTTGTTCGTATCCCTAATGCTATGCCACAATTGCAATCTTTTCAACAAGATCAAGGCAACGATTTCGATCCTTATCAAGGTATCGATCCAACTCGTATGCTTCAACAACAGCAGAATAATAACGCAGGAATGGGATACGGTACACCTCAATACCAACAGCAGCAGCAGGCAACCATTGGCTCTCCGATGAACTTGTTTCAATCTCCAGCGATCAGTTCGGCCACGCCTTCTGCTAAGTCTCTCGTGAAAGATTATTATACGCACATCTATCGATTCGTTCCAGTTCTACCCGATCCGAAATTCATTGATGCATTGACGAATTGCATTCAACCAGGCTCTCCACTGTTGCTCTCGCTGCAATGCGTCATACCAATCTTGCGAGACCAAACGCTTTTGCCTCAACAACAGCCATTCACCACACCTGAAGCGAAGAAGGATGCTATTCGGGCGGAGGCGTTATTCTATGCTAAGCAAGCATATGATGCAATTGATGAAGTTTTGGAAAGGGTTGAACAAGAGCAGGACAAAGAGGATGCCAGTATTTTGGAAGTCATTCAAGCTTTGTGCATTTTGGTAATTTATGAATACGGAAGTGGAAGGGCGTTGAAGTCGAGGTTGAAGGTGGATGCTGCTCTGACCCTGGCTATGTCAAAGGGACTGCATCGGCTGTCCTCAACATCCTCGCGACCCATCAAAGCATCTGACCAAGGACTGAATGGTCAAGGCTTTGGTGCAGGTCAGCATTACCTCACCCAACTTCCAGACGAAGAAGTGTACGAAGTGAAAAAGCGAACATGGTGGAATTTGTGGATGTTGGCAATGTGGACTGCATACAATACAGGACGCATACCTACAGTACGTGCAGATGATTCAAGGGTTACAAGTGAACTTCCTTTTTCGCCTAATGGTAATGTGAATTTGTGGCCAAACGTTATATCTTCTTTGCAAGGCTTACTTTTGGTTCAAGATAGGGTGCTTTCGCTTGCCCATATTGAACATGGTCGATTGCCGTCCAACGGTATTCAAGATCCATCAGCATTTGGACAGGATGGCACTAGACAGAATGGTAGCGGTGGCAGACATCATGAAATACCTCAAACATTCTCGGGTCAGCCAACACTTTCGAGTAAGGAAGAAATCTTGCGATCGATGGTGGAGCTGGATGAGAATATTCAAAAGAAGATGCTTGAGCTAGAACAAACGACGTATGGAATCGTCGGACCTTCAGAAGGTATTTCAGCACACAATGCCAACGAGGATGAAACACAGAGAATACTGAAGTTCCTTTGGGCCATTCAATTGTACACAACCAGTTTGACATTGCATATCGGACAAGCATTCCATGGTGCTTCGTTATTTGAGCGTAAGTTGTGCTTCTTGAGCAGCATTAGCGAATCGGCAAGTGATCCAGCTGCTTGTCAAGTGCCAATGCCAAACGCTTTTGATGGTGGCAATTCATCTTCCAATCCTGCTATCGATCCAGTTTCGATGGCGCCCATGATGGATGTGTATGCTCGCGGTCCTTTCAAACCTCGTGATAGCTTAAAGAGATGCGTTGATGCAAGTGACAAGCTACTGTCAATCTCACGCAATCTACGTAAAAGTGAAGGTCATATGGCTTCCCCTAATCCTTTCAACGCTTGTAGCTTTGTTTTGATCAGCTTTGTTTGTTTGATGCAGGCTTTGGCGATCTCTACATCTTCAATGCAAGAAGAAGATCCAATGTTAGCTGCAAGTTTGGATGGAGCAAACGAAGATGGAACTTTTGGACAGAATTCAGCTTCACAAGGATCTACATCTACTTCAACTTTGTTGAGAACTGCACAAAGTGCGGCAGCATTAACGCCTGCCGGACAAGCAGGATCAGCGAATGGAATTGGATCTCCACCTTCATTGTTCGGAGCCGGTGTTGGCGGTGGGGATGCAACTACTGCACGACCATCACAACAAGCACAATTACAAAACATTTGGGCACGTGTAAAAGAAGCAAGGGATGCTTTACAAGGTTTATCGAAATATTGGGATATGGTTATACCAATGCGTGAAGAAGTTACAGGTTGTTTACAAGCCAGTCAATTTTTGTTAAGTCAACATCCAAATCCTGAACAAAGTATGCCGACACAACCGTTTTCTATGTAATCTACTATGTACCCTTTTCCTCTGCTCTTTACACCCTTTCTACTTTTTGTATTCTATCTCTCTTGGACGCCATTGTTCATGTCCATGTATATCTCGCAATATATTGAACTTCGATCTTACCTGCCCGCTCTCATGAGAATGTGTCTATATCCAATCACCTGTTATTCAACGAACAAAGTACATTTCATTCATATGTGTTGTTACTTTCGCTACGAATGAAGAGAGTTTGATGTGGTTTATGGTTATTGATTATAGCGAAAATTGTTTAATCATTTTGTTCGGCTGAAACTTTATCACGAATATCTTGCCATAGCTTTCCTTTGTTGTGATTGTTCCATGCACGTGTGGTTGCTGTGTCGTATGCGATTCCTGTGAGAGGGAAGACGAGAAGGATGTGTCAGCTGGGTCTGCTTCATTGTGTTGCTGAGGAGGACAGAATGCTTTCGACTATGTTGCAAGATAGACTTGCGGATCTATGCAGGGCGGGTCGATTGCCATCGATCACAGATATTCCTCCCAGTTATACTCACCGAATGCGAATGCTCCGAAGAAGACGGTTCCGACACTGTTGGGAAAGAGAGAGAGCGGTTGAAGAATAAGTATCAGCGGATCGGGTTCCTTCATTCAATCAAAAATCGTCATCATTTCCCGCTAGATACGCACAAGACGGAGTTACGCTTGAAGATAGTTGAATAGATTGTTGTTGCGAGAGACATGATGAACGATCTCTTTAGTAGGTGAATAAAAAGCGGATGGTGGAGAATTGTATGAAAAGAAGAAGTTATCATCACCAACTCACATTGCGATCTCATACAAGTGCTGGGCGCAATGACAGCCTACTGCTAAATTCACACATCTTTCTTTCCAGCCAATGTAACGCGTGCTATTAATACGCCCTACGACAAAGTTCGGCGGATAAGCCCGGGGAAACTGACCTCAAAAAGCCTGAGACCAGCCTGGCGCACGTGCAAACAACAAGGAAGTGAAATCCTAAGGGGAAGAGGTGCGAGAGGTCATTTATGTCCTCGCAATAGCCAAGGGTATAGAATTGGAATGAAATATAGTGTACAAAATTAATGATGATCAACTCTATCAGACGACTGGTCCAGTCTCCTCAAACAGAGTATGTTCTTCAAATCGACCCGGCTTCGACTCCATCACTTGCCACGTATCAACTTTTTGACCCCAATTAGAGATATTTATAATTCTTGTTCTTCTATCAAATCCTTTTTCTCCATAAGCAGCAAAAGATGAACCACCATTAAAGCAAACCCAAACACCTTTCACCCTTCTACATCCCGCATTCAAATGCATATGACCATGGAAAAATCCAATCACATCTTGTTCTTCTTTGGGGCGATCTAGCACAGCAGAAAATAGCCCGGCCTTCTTTTGTGCTCCTTCTACTGTTTTGATCTCTTTCATTTCACCGAATTGTGTTACTTGTGCTCCAATTTGTGTATCCGCTGCATCAAATGCTTCAGGAACGGGAATATGAACAAACATAAACGCTTTTGGTTTAGAGAGATAAGATTGTTGATCTCTCTTTCCCAAATCACTATCTCTTGGCCAAATCCTACCTAAATCCTTTGCTCCATCTCCTTCATAAGGTCTTGCAATCCCTGAAACCTTTTTCGAAACATCTTTGAACCATTCAATCTGATCCGGACGAACCCAATCATACCCGGAGAACTTGAATGGATGCCAATGGTCCACTGGCGCATATTCTCCCGAATCAAGTAAATATAATGTGAAAAGGTGAATCTTGTCGGATTTGGGTGATCGAATTTTTATGTAATAGTTTCCAGCACCATTGCCATCGTGTAGCCGCGTAGGACCAACACGACTGTGAGAGTAAGGCAAGCGTGACAACAATGCCTGTTGTTCTCCTCTCGTCAACACTCCCGATTGCGAATCATGATTACCTTGAATGGAAGCCCATGGGATCTTTCGATCGATCGCAAGCCTGGCCCATTTCGGTATCACACTCTTTTCATCCCAACTGGTTCCTTGCCCATTAAGTTGATCTCCGGTGAATACAATCATATCTGGCTTTTCTTCATCAAGCCATTTCTCAATCATCTTGATCGTATCATCATCAGCAACGCATGGCTTGCTTGGCGTATTCCATGCTACATCTCTACAAAGTTCATGTCGAACAGAAAGGTGTAAATCGGACAATTGCATGATCTTAAATGTTCCATCTTCTTTGAAGAGCGGGTCTGGAGGTTCATTGGGTAATCTTTCTGGTTTCCTTCTTGCAGTCAAGGTGACTTGTGCTACATTAAGGGCTTCATTGCTTTGGACTGCCAATCCCACTTGCTTGAATCCCGGCCAAGCAGGTCCAGTGCCGTAAATGACATCAACTTCTGTGATCGGATCAGAATTGAGTGCTTGGTCTGCCGCTGACAATGTCTCGGGGGCCATTCCTTCTTCGCCATCTTTATCCTGTGCTGTACCACCTACAGTGCGATAGTATAGATGAACAGGCATCTTCTTCGATGAAGCGGCCAAGAAAGTTGAACGCATGTCCTCTGCAACTCTATGCCAGCCAGCATAATCACCTCCAACAGGTCTATTATCAGCGCCAGTCTGAACAAGACGTAGATCAACGATTTTTGGTACATCTGATCGACGACTGCGACGATAGAAGAGGTACTTCGTTTCGAAAGAAGCCATCAATTGTCCCAAGAAATCAAGACTTGGTATTCCAAATTCACCAGTCTTTTTCGATCGGGCAGTTGCTGTGTCTGCATCTAATGGTCGATCGACAAGAACCCAAGGTCCTAGACGGGCATCCTTTTCTGGTGTTGTGAGAGGTTTGCAGTTGCCCAGTAGGAGTGGGAAGCATGAATGAACTGTGATTTCTGTGAGTGGGACTGGATTTGGTACTTGAGGTGCATAAACGTCCAAAGGATAGGATGGAGCTGTGCTGCCGAATGTTGAGGGGTCTGCATTATTTTGTACTGTTGAGTCGACTACTTGATCAGAGGCTGGGTTCGGATTGCGTATCGAATCAAATGCTTGTAAGCCCAGTAATCGAGAAGATGACAGCGGAGAAGGATGTGACATATATGACACGAATGAAAGCAGCAATGCGAAACATACCCAAGCACAACAAAAGCGTGCCGGTAGCCGTCTACAGCATCCTCTCTTACGCTCTTCTACAGCATACCAAGCTGGAGGCAATCGAGCAGATCTTCTGCGCATGATCGAAATCGAAGATTTACCAACAGGTCAAGATGGAAGTAAAGGAAGGAAGGAACACTTTAAGAAGAGCTTATTTTAAACACAGATTGTCCGTGCATTGATTCCGCGTTGGAATTAGACTTTTTATATTTTTCTGGCTGTTTGTTGTTTGTAGGCGTAGGATCGGACGTTGAACCCTTTTCAATTCTGCGTGGGGTAAAAACGGAAAGATAGATTGGGTCGTTACTTCTGTCTTTTCACCTTCAACACCTGACCTTGCCATGATACGAAGGAGAGCGGCTCAAGTGGTGATTCGCTCTGCAGGAAGATCGCATGGTCTAAGATTAGCAAGCGTCTCACAAGCTCACTTCTCCTCTTCCTCACACCTCTATAGAGTCTCTTTTCAATCTAGACGGAGCATATATTGTACTCCACTACTTCAACAAACTACCGATACTGCAACAAAAGCCGAGAGTGGGTCGATAACCCCGATAAAACGCTATGATGAACTCGTAGAAAAAGGCTTACTCAACGAAGATTCTCATCAGCGACAAGTAGTTCAGCGATTGGAGGATTTACACAATGAATTAAAAACATACAAGCAAAAATTGCAACCTGAACCTGAGACAGCCAAACCAGGAGGATTCTTTTCAAAGTTCTTCGGTCACAATAAACCAAAAGATGACAATGTTGGAAAACTAGAAATTCCAAAAGAAGTACCAAAAGGACTTTACCTTTACGGAGATGTCGGAACGGGAAAGAGTATGCTTATGGACTTATTTTACGATACATTACCCGAGAATATCCAATCCAAAAGAAGGATACACTTTCATCAATTCATGATCGATGCCCATAAGCGTATGCATGCATTCAAATCTCTCCATCATAAACCTTCCGGGATGGTGATGAGCGCAGCAAGTGCTGCAGTAATGGCAGCAGCTGCTGCAAGTGGTAGTGGAAAATCCGGATCGGTATCGGAAGAAATTGATCCAATCCCTTTTGTTGCAAGACAATTTGCTGAAGAAGCAAGTGTTTTGTGCTTTGATGAATTTCAAGTGACAGATATTGCTGATGCAATGATCTTGAGAAGGTTGTTTGAACATATGCTATGGCATGGAGTCGTTTGTGTTGCAACATCTAATAGACACCCGGATGAGCTATACAAGAATGGTATTCAACGGTCAAGCTTTGTTCCTTGCATCGAATTGATGAAAGAGCAGTTGGGTATTGTGAACCTGGACTCAGGAACCGATTATCGAAAGATTCCTAGATCTTTGACAAAGGTATACTTTTCACCCTTATCACCTGAGAACAAAGCCGAGATGAACAAATTATGGGACGCAATGACGTCTGATCCGAACGATCAACCGGTTTCCAATCGAACAATCACAATTTGGGGTCGTCAATTAGTTATTCCACTATCCAGCAAGAGATGCGCAAGATTTACATTTAACGAACTTTGTGGAAAACCAAAAAGTGCGGCAGATTATATTGAAATTTGTCGAACGTTTCCAACAATTTTCATTGATGAAATTCCAAAGATGAACATTCATCAACGTGATTTAGCAAGAAGGTTTATCACTTTTATCGATGCTGCTTATGAAAGTAAAACAAGAATTTTTGCAAGTAGTGAAGTTGAATTATTAAAGGTCTTCAGTGGAGATAGTGAACAAGGTCCAACGAAAGATCAAATGCGTGCTCTTATGGACGATTTAGGTCTCACAATGGATCAATTAGGCGGAATGCCAATGGCAACTGGAGAAGAAGAAGTTTTTGCTTTTGCTCGTGTGCTGTCACGATTAAGTGAAATGAGTTCTAAGCAGTATGCTGAACTATCTGCTGGATTTGAAGCACCACCGGAATATTGAAAAATTGTAAACACAAAATGATACATCACCATCAAACAAGTATTGAGTACATTCTATGCATGCTTGTGTAAAAGTACAATGTGTGAATGTTCTAATCACTATCATCTAGTAAAGATCTTTGACTTTGATAACTTTGTTGACGCGAGCCCAAACCTGGTCTTGCAGGAACAGCTGGCTTTGGAGGCAGTAATTCAGCTGTCGATTCAGGCTTCGTATCCTTTGCAATAGAGGGTTTGCTGGGTATTGGTGGTGGTACATTGCTTTTCTTGTTGTCATCTTGTCCTTTCTCTAATCGTGAATCAGCCGATTTCGTCATGCCTTTATTTGGTGGCGGTTGAGGAGGTTGTCGTCTTTGTCCGTTTGCACTAACTGCAGACGAGCTTTTCGGTAAAGGAGAAGTGGAAATTGGTCCACGAGCATATTGTGTGGATGCTTTGGAGGACTTCGAAAATATGTTGTTATTCCCCACTCTATGGGCAGATGTAATATCGCCTCCTTCCTCTTCTTCACTGGTCAAAGCATCATTCCACCACGCATTTTGTGCACTAGAAGGTTCAGGTAGTTCATCGGTCAAGTATCCATCACTTTCCTTATCCTGATCACTGACCGCCAAACGATCGCCAGCAGATGAGGGTGGGATCAATTCGCCGTTTTGCGATTGGATGGATTTGTACTTGGTTATCAATTGCTTGCGCAGTGCATCACGTTTATCGTTGTCATACAATCTTGCTTCAGCTTCGAAGAGAGCAAAGACTGGTCTATGATCAGAAGTGAGCAATTCAGCTCGATCATACAAGATCAAATCCATCTTGAAAGGATAATTACTCTTGTACAAGATTCGATCTGTCCAAGCAGGAACGCGCATCTTTTCACTTGTATCATAAATTTGACTTCGAAAATCGTATTTATATGTTGGCAAGAATACCAACATACTTTCTTTGTAACCCAAAAAAGCTTGTCTTGTTTCTTTCACTTCTATCAGCTGATCACGTTTACTCAATGCTTCCAAATCTCCACAATGACAAAGCGGTCTAATTTCCTCATTCGTTCCTTCAAGACGATAATTGAAATCGCCAAACCAGATCGAATGATGACTATTATCAATCGTTCTTCCCATATTAAATCCAAGTTCTCGATTGATCGTATGGAAATCTGCATTACGTTCGTCCACATTAGACTTACCGGCAGCAAAATGAGCAGTAACAAAGCAAAAGCTTGTATCATAAATATTCAATCGAATCGCAACGCCTCCTTTGTTGCCAGACATGCCTTTGAGACCTGTTTTCTTTGTTGCAGCTTCTACTTGACGAACATGTGGTAAGAGGGTCTCCTTGATCAATATGATCATCGCAGTACCAACAAGTTGCTCACTGCGTAAGGGGATGTATCGACTTGACTTTTCCGATCGTTTAGCAACAGCATCTCCAATGATTGTTTCCCAAATGCGCAATTTGTCAGGATCAGTCAATAGGATCTGCTGTGGTGTCAGTGGGACGACTTCTTGCAGTCCGATCGCAATGATATCAGGTTCATCCTTTGTTGGGAATAAGAATGGTAGCAAAGATTCACCACTTGGTCCCATACCAGCCAGATTCCATGTACCGGTATAGATTGATACTGATCGCGTTGTTGAGAAATCATCCAATCTCTCATTCAATTCAGCATTGACAGCATCATGAACAGGATCATAAACGCTGACCGGTTTTTGGTTCGCCATATTGCCCAACAGTGCATCAATAACGTTTTGCTTGGATTTGTCTTGGAAATTGTTGATGTACAGTCGTGAAGCGGACTTGGCGGCGTCTGACAATAAGCTTCCCAGCGTCTTCTTTCCCACACCTGTTCGTGTAAACGTGCTGTTCAAAGCACCTGTTCCAGCATAGATCTTTGAGAGAGCGTCTCCATTTTCGGCCCATAGCACACGATGGTTGGACCATAGCACAGCTCCAGAGTTCGGCAGTATCCCCTCATCCGTGCAAAGCAAGAGAGCATCTTGACTGAGAATATCCTGTGCAACATTGGTTCTATCCAAGCAGTCCAAGCAATTTGTACGAAAGACTCCCTGTTGGTGTTGAATAAGTTGGTTTTTATCGACGAGGGCATATCCGAAGGCCGCCCTTTTGGATTGTACCGGACCTAGCCTCTTTAAGTCTGCTTTAGTGCCGTCCAAACCTCCTGTAGCCCGGGTGGTGGCATGAAAGTCAAAGTTTGTCAAACCGATCGATTCAATGTCATCTCCTTCTGTCGGATTGATGGCGTCTTCTTTGGAGAGCGATGAGAGATACACTTCCTCTGCTTCCGAATTACGCATATGTTCAGCATATGCAGCAGCCAATACCGTTTCTGCATCTCGTGCTCCCAACAAATTGAGCGCATGAACATGTCGATATTGTTCCAATAGATCGGCAAAATGTCTATCGAACGCCGGTTGAGAAGCCAATCTCGAACGAGTGACTTGAATACGAGCATTGAAAGCCTGCAAGCCTTGTTGTTCCCAGAACAAAGGTACCGATCCTCGAACTTGAACATAGCTCATACTCTTATCCTCATAGGTGTACAGTGTTTCTGTTTCAGCAAAATTGGCCACATTTCCATCATCATCCACACCACGGGTTGCAAATCGTGTTCCGGCACGTTTCCAGCTCAGTCTGCTGATTAGGGCTATGTATGCCGGTCCGATTTGAAATGCACCGACGTATCCCTGAATGACAGTTGTCAGAAAACTTTCCTTGTCCAACGCTCTCCGCTCTTCCGGCTCAAGTCGACTTCGGTATTCGTGCAAAGACTGCATCAAATATGTGTTCCAAACGAATCTCTCATCGAATCCATCTTGCAGGCCAGACGTGGCTGGACTTTGTTCATCATCATCTGCGACACTAGGTACTGCACCCTCCTCATCGCCTAGAGATATGAGAGGTGGGGGCTTAGGAGCACGTCTCCTGGTCGAATTGGGAGCTCCAATTCGTTTCTCCAACCGTCTTGAGAGATCAAATGTGCCATTTTGTGCAAAGTAAAATGTTCCCGTGCTCATCAATTTGCGTATACTTGCACATGGATGCTCAACGATACCGGCTTGGGCGGAGGGTGTGTATCCTGCTTCGTGCGGTAGAGCTTTCGGCCCTTGAGGATCCAGAGAACCTCCATAATTGTCTTCGTAGGTTAGTGAGTTATCATCCCATAGCGACTTGTTGAGACAATAAAATCGTACTGACGATACCCTTTGCACTTTTTCGCCAGGTCTTATACTTCCTACCGAATTGGCATGATCGATTATACCAACAAACAGATCCGAGCCAATATTGATCAGACCCAGACAGCCAAATGCTTGATCATGCAATTTCCTGAATGTATCAAAGTCATCTATCTCATCTGCTGGACGTGTTTCAATTACCGCTCGATGACCTTCACTTGACGCAGAGGAGGAAGAAGAAGAGGCGGATTTAGCACTCAAGATCAAGCATGTCCGCCGCTGCTTGGCTCCGCTTTCTCCATCTCCTACTAAGATTATTGCCCTTGTTATTGAAGGTGGTTGTGATTCACGTAAATAGACTTGCATTCCGAAAAGACATTGTTTGTTGCAAAAAGACAAGGTGTTGTTGGTTGAGCATAACCCTCCAGCTGACCCTCTCGCTGCCGCCGCCAAAAGAGGGAGAAGGGGCCGCCGTTGCTGCTAATTAGTGGAGAGGAGGCTCGAGCGCGCCGTGTATGTGTGCAGTGCAATGCAGGTGAACTAAAGTCCGTTCCGATTGATTGATCGGAAGAGAGGAAGCAAAGGCACAAGAGCACTCACAGCGTTTGACCCACCGGATATAGTGGTAGCCTATAAAATTGTGGCTATTATAAGGACACAAACATAAAGAGAGGCAATTAATACTCCATACCCATCATCCCTTCTCTCACATAATATTATATCGAAATGACACCAACAGCAACAAATACAAATGGCAATGGCCAAAAGGCTACTGCTTCATCATCAACCTATCTGAGCAAGAACCCAGAAATAGCTCAATTCTCACAATTCTGTCAAAACAACTCCGGTGCTAATGCCAACCCAAGAACAAAAGAAGTGATTGATAGCTTGATGGCGCATTTACATGCCTGGTTTGAAGAAGTTCAAGTAACGCCAGAAGAATTCTTGATGGGTTGTGATGCAATGGCAAAAGCAGGAAAAATGTGTGATGACAAACGTAATGAATTCATTTTGCTTGGTGATATTATGGGTTTGGAAACTTTGGCTGACACGATGGCACATGAAAGAGCACGTAAGCAAGCTACGGAGAAAGTTGAAGGCGCAAAGGGAACGGCTACCAAAGCATTACCTACTTCATCGGCCATCCTTGGACCCTTCTTCAGAGAAAATGCACCGAAATACTCAATGGGCCATGATATCGTTCAAGACCACAGTACAGTCAACCACGAAGGCAAAAAAGGAGAGGCTACATACATGTACGGCACATTGACCGATGTAGACGGAAAGCCGATCGAAGGTGCAACAATTGACGTTTGGCATGATGCAATCAATGGTTTGTACGAACAACAAGACCCTAATCAACCAGAATACAACTGTCGTGGAAAGTTTACAACGGGAGCAGATGGCAAGTACAGTTACAAATGCTTGAAACCTGTCGCATATCCTATTCCATACGATAGCACAAGTGGAGATTTACTCAAACTTTTGGACAGATCACCAATGCGACCAGGTCATATTCATTTATTTATTCGTGCAAAAGGTTTCCAACCATTAATCACGCAAATTTTTGATCGTTCATGCCCTTATTTACAAAACGATTCAGTTTTTGCCACAAAGGATGATTTAGTGGTCGATTTTGCAAAAGCAAATCATTCTCAAGCAAAAGATTGTGTTTGGGAATTACAATATGATATTCGTTTGGTTGAGCAACTTTAGGGTTAAAGTGGCCCCCGGCTGATTGCCTTTAATGATTCATGCTTCTCATTTGTAAATTAAATTGATTCTCTTCTTATTGATAAATGACATATTCTTTTTTCTCTTTTCTTCGATTTGTGCAAGTTGCCAAGAATATTCTGTTGGGTTGTATGCATCGGAAATAGGGCACAATTTGATCCGATCTTATGCAGTATGAATGCGGGGTAAAGTAGGGTTCGTTAACGGCATTAAATACATACATGCAGATTGGAAGAACCCGTTGACGAGTAGGCGCGTCTTTTTTTGTTGTCGTTGTTCCTATCCAACGTTCGGAAGTGATTGAGTGTATGCACATACAACCAACCGGAAAACCGGGAGAGATTGATTGCCAGGGGGTATAAGTGTGTTTTGACTTTTGATCATGATGACCTAACAACGTACAAGACAACCATCACAACAGCCATAAAGAGATGGGTAGCATACGATCAACGAATGGTGATCATAATGGCGGTGGACATCGATTGATCGTAGGAACATTCAATACACCGGAACTATTCTTACTCAATTTCAATACAGACAAACAATCATTAAAAATCGAATCGAGATGGGAAGCGATTGGGAATCATTCTTGGCTAGCTCTAGACAAAACAAGGAAGCTGCTATTGGCAACTTGTTGGACTGATCCACCCTGTATTGCATCATATCGATTAGATGCGCTTGAGTCACCTAAACCGCAAGCGAAACTTGTTAGCACGCAAACTATAAAAAGTAGATCAGGATATGTTGCCGTTCATCATCATCTAGAAGGAGGAAGAGGTAGAGCATATACTGCAGGTGGACCATCGGGAGAAGTATTGGGGTTGCACTTAGAAACGGGAGAATTGACAGATGTTCTGCAAGAGATGAACTACATCACCGGAGAAACCACACTGACAGAACAAGGACAGCGGCTTAGAGGCGAGACAAACGGGCAAAGCAGTGCATTCCAAGAGACACCACATCAAAACGGAAAAGAAAGCGAGAATATACTTGATTTTGGAGGATTACGTCATGGTGCCCATAGTGTTGATCTTTCGCCTGATGGAAGGATGATGTATGTGGCAGATATTGGAAGAAATTGTGTTTGGGTGCATAAACTGGACGAGGAAGGATTGATCACAACAACACAAAAAGTCATTTCGCCTAGACCGAATGATGGACCGAGACATGTCTGGCCGCATCCGGGCGGTAAATGTGTTTATGTGCTTCAAGAGCATTCAAGCATGGTAGACGTATTCAAAGTAAATTCTGCCAAAGGAACACTTGAATGGGTCCAAGGTGTCAGAATCATCCCAGAAGATCAAGATGAGAAGCTATTTTGGGCTGATGAAGTGCGGACTGTTCCAAGTTCAGCTGGTGTACCTAGTGACGAACCTGACCTTCTGGTTGCATCAACACGTGGACTCGAAAAGGACACAAAAGGGTATGTTGCCTTGTTCAAATTGACGAGCGAAGGGTTGATCCATGTGAAAGAGAAGGAAGACAAACATGCTTGGTTGGATATGTGGCAATCTCCAACCTCAGGCGGTTGGGCCAATGCGGTTGAGCCTTGTTATAAATTATTGCATGGGCCTCAAGCATCTTTCACAAATCAATCAAGACGCAACGAAGGTCAATATATGGCATTGACTGATAGCGAAGAAGGATTAGTGATGATACTATCAATCGAAACGGACACGACCAAACAATCAAAGCACATTGTTGAGGTTGCTCGAGTTTCTTTGGGCAAATCGAACGATGGTAAGATTCGTGGTGCAGCTACTGCAGTTTGGCTCTAATTCATATCCATTGTAGAATATCAACATGTATAGAAGAATCAGATCTCTTCGTTTCATCTTTTGCTTTTGGTCAAAGCCATTCGGATATAATATCACACTACTGCACTGCGCCAGTATCGCTTTCCCTGGGAATGGCTGTCAAAATATTTTAGCTTATCTCCGGGGCCCGTTTTCTTAGATCCGACTATGGCATGAAAAGTCATAATGACTCGACCTTTTCATCTTCTATTAGAGATTTGTTCACTCCTGACCGTCATACTTTTATCGCTCGTGACAATGGAGGTGATTGACAATTTTGTGGATATGGAAAGTGAGAGTGGTACTCTAGCTTCTGGCAGTAGTACACCTTTCAAGGATGCACAAGAAGCAAGAGCAAGAAGAAGGGAACAAACCAGATTGGCACAAAGGCGATTTAGAGCACGTCAAAAATGTAAAGCAAATTTAGAAGCACTCAAGTTGGATGTAGACCCTTCTCCAAGTTGGTTTGATCCAAATGCAAAAACGATCAGTTTGGCAGATTCGGTTAGTAATGCATTGTTAAGTCATATGTACGTTTTCAAAACAAGTGAAGCAATGTGGGCTGCTTATCTATTGTCAAATTGGTTGAATGTTTCCAAATCTCAATCAAGAGCTTCCGCAGGTAAAGCGGTAGATACAGCTGGTATGTCAAGCTGCCCTGAAAATAGTCCTTGTGACGATGGAATGGAAGAAGCTCGATCAGCATTGTCAGATTTCATTCAAAATACATATGCAAGCTACATCCAATCAAACACATCAGAACAAGCAAAACCCATTCCATCACGCCCAGTCTTGGACTGGTTCCGAGCAAGTTTAGCAGTCGGCATCGCATTAGGATTACCGAATGATGAATTGGCTAAATGCAAATCCACCAGTCAAATAAAATATCATTGGAATCAAAGAACGGCAAAAAGTTTTCCAATCCCACCAAATATGCATCCAGTTGAAGAACAGTTCAATACACCACACGGACTAGCGATCGATCTATTACCATGGCCCGAAACCCGTAAAAAAGCAATTGTAGCAATCAAATCTGGCGTGATCGATCACGATACGTTCAAGATTGATACAGTTTTTGGAAGGGATGCACAAAGATTAACATGTTCACCTTTTATCATCCATGGAATTTCAAAAGAAGATGTGTTTTCATTTGAAGATTTTGATGAAAATGATGCAAATGTTGCAATGAATCCCGAAAATTGGGAATGCGCTCAAACTTGGTTGGAAAAATATTGGTTCTTGGTTGATGAAGAAACGGTCAAACAAACCAATTATTGGAGATCTCAAAGAGGATTACCGCCCGTTCGAATTTATGATGTTGATCTGTAGTAAACTGTACACTAACATTAATGGCCGATACCTAAACTTTTGAGCTCTTTCTTGCCTTGTGCGAACTCCACTTCAGGGTCATACTATAATGGGAAGGATAAGGGTCAGCTTCTCATCATCGGAGGATTCCATAGGTTATACTTACACCCCAGATCCAGTCCATGCGATTCTCAACATCATGTGCAATCTTCTTTCGGTCATCTCCGTATTCACTTGCAAATTCGTACACATCCCCTGCTTGTAAACTTGTTTCAAGTACTTTGTTCGCTCTTGGACGTCGGACAGAATCATATACAGTCAAAACTTGTTCTAGGTTGTTCCTCTCTACACCTGTTTGACTCAATAGCCAGCTCAAAAAGACTGCATCTTCCATTGCTTGTCCGGCCAAAGCACCTTGATGTGGCGTTCCACCATGAGCAGCATCTCCAGCAATGCAAACAGTTCCCTTTACGTACGTTTCCAGCGTTGGCATCAGTTGATGCAATGCCCATTTACTTGGCTTTTCCATACATTTGAACATCGCGATAATATCTTTTCCCCAACCAGGGAATTGTTTGATCATCTCTTCTTGTGTGGTAGGTTGAGTCCAAGCTTCACCTTCTGCAAGATCAGGTCTCTGTGGCCATTTGGAACGATCTGTATTAAATGCAACAAGATTAACAGTTTCATGTTGATCGATTGGGAAGATGAGAACGTGCGTATCTTTTCCCAAAAACATTTGTGGTGTTTTTGCATAAAATTCTCCTTTTTCTGGTCCTACTGCTTTTATGAATTCTTTTGTGGGGATCAAACCTCTGTATGCCCATGTACCGGACCATTGAAGTTTTGCATCACGACCTAAAACCTGCTTGCGTACTCTGCTGTGGATACCATCATATCCGATCACGACATCTGTATCGAATGTTGTACCGTCATCGAAATGCAAACGTTGAAGTCTTTCAGCCGGTTGCTGCAATTGTTCGATTTGTGTGAGTCTTTTACCAAAGTGCGACATCTTTCCGTCGATGTGCTTGACCATTGAATCCAAAAATTTTGCTCGATGAACGGAAGAATTTCCATGTGGTTTACTATACGTTGTTGCAATTAAATCTTGTTTTTCACCTTCTCCATCTCTCCATTCGAACCAGATCCCACTATCGACAGTAGTTGCTTGTTGTCTAAATTCTTCACCTAATCCAAGTTTTTCCAGTGCTGTTCTGGAATTAAAACCAAAACTGATTCCCGCTCCAATTTCACCATATTGACTTGCTGCTTCGAATAAATCTACCGGTACACCCGCACGTTTTAACCCGATTGCTGCTGAAATGCCACCAATTCCACCACCAATGATTGAAACGTGATAATTTTTGCTGGCTGTCATTGTGTGTGTGCGAGAGTGTGAGGAGATGGAATGGTTGATGTTGGAATCGATGAAAGTGTTGTTATATATGCATGTTCACCTTCTTCTCTCTCGGATACATCATTCTCCACCTTTTCTCGCACAGAGTCAATTCCGACTTCTTTGGTTCAAATGGAATGCGGGGTAGAATAGAGTACCGTTCATTTGCCTTGTTTCCAAACTTCCACACACGGCATACCGCTTATTCCGTATCGTACGGAGGGTAAAAGCCAAAGCGAAAGCTTCTTCACGCACGCACAAGCTTCCGACTTTGAATCGGAACGAATTAATCACCAGCTTTCCACTGTGATTATCTCATCGTGTGGCGCGTGGGGACAACTTTGTCAACATGCTCAAATCAAAACGGAGCAACTTGCGAGAGTCCGAGTGACTGTATGCGAATGGGAAGCTTATTGGCTCTCTTTCTATGTACATGTGATATCCTTAACAGCTGAAGTGAATGACTCATACTTGAATGACTCACTAACACCTTTTTCCATGGACAAGACAAATACTATAAAACAACCAAGCGTCCAACACATTCATCACCCCCTCCTTCCCCCTTTGCAGATGTGCCTATGACTCTTTTTTGCTGCTGAGCGGATTATACCATGTGGTGCTGAGTTGCATTTCAATTATCCATATTCAAGAGACGCGTTTTATTATTTCGTGAGATCATAAGCCCCGGCGCCGTAAGGAACACTGTCAATTTTCGGGCTCTTCTTGTAAAGTATGCCTGTTGCTATGTTCATGCATGAGATTGCCTTTTCTTGATGGAAGATCTGACAATGATGACTGGTTCACCTACTTCCACACTCCACCTCGTTGGACGTATGACATCGCAAATTAACCGAGACCGAGTAAGAATACATCAAAAGGATACAAAAATAGGCATGTGTTGATCTCAATGCTCCAACAAGTATACCCTAATCCTCTCAAATCGATCCCCACAGTATGATAACGACAAATGTGATCGCAACTGTAGGCTGCTCTATCGTTTGGGCTGGCTCAAGTATCATTCACTTACATTCTTCTCATAGACAAAATCGTCAAGGAGCAATCCAACTCCCTTCTGATGACGATGAAGATGATTATGGACTCACACAAGCAAGCATTCAAGGTCAACTTGGACCAGAAGAAATTGAAGCAATCAATCATGTTCAAAAACAATTGGACGGATCTCCAATAAAAGTTGAACAACATAAAAAGTACGTTCGCAATTCTAGACTTATCATTTCTGCTTGTGCTGCTTTGGCATTGGCACTTTTGGGAACGCAAATAGGATTACAAAAACCTGTCACGCAATCTTCTTCACATCCAATCGGCTGGAATGGAGCGATTCATAATCCGGCCTGTTGGCCACTTTTTGCTGATGTTTTGGTATGGCTCAATATCTTTTACTTTGCTTTACAAGGTATGAGAGGATCAACGTATTGGTCTGCAATCGTGCAGCTTTCGGCCCTTTCAATGGCTGCTGTCACTTCATCTGTATACATGCTCGTCATTCCAGGAGCTGTTGCCGATGATCAGATACCGTACTATGGTGCTCAACTGATTTTGGCTTTCGCGTCGTTGGGATTGTCGATCAATATTCCGAGCGGCCCAAGACACGAAAAAGAAACGTCAACTGGACCGAGAAAGATGGCAATGCTAAGTCACAAAGGTCGTTCAGTATTCTCACAGCTATGGTTCACTGGATCTTTCGATGTGATTCGGATAGCACAACAAAAAGGAAGCATTGATGAGGACGATGCACCACTTCTGGGTAGTGACTTTGATGCACATCTGGTACATATGGAATTCAAACGACAATACAACAAACATGCTCGAAAAGGCAACAATCAAGAAGCACGAAACAAAAACAAGAAAAAGATGTTCTCCGTCGTTCGTGATTCTTGGCCAATTGCAAAAGCATTGTTTCTTTCGAATTCTCGGCTTTTCATCGTTGATCACTTGTTATTGGTAATTGCAGCTTTTGGATGGTATATACCTTCTTTCGTATCGTATGCAGTGGTAAAATTTCTTGAAAATTCCGAAAAAGGTGAAAATGGACCGATTTCCGGTTCAGAAAGACTTCGGTTTGGATTTCAATATTGTTTATTACTTGCTTCTGCCATCCTTGCACAAAGTTTATTGATTGGTCAAGCACTTGCGATCACAATGCTTTGGTTGCGTAATCGTATCAGAACGCAATTGCAAATGGCAATCTTTGCAAAAGCTTTGCGTAGAAAGGATGTTGGAGGGATTGAAGACTTCAAGGTCAATGACGCTACTAATGGCGGTACCGAAGGGGACAAAGCAGAAGAAGCCGATGAGGAAGGCGATGACGATGCAGGATCTGGTTCATTCAGTAAAGCGCAAGTGATCAATCTTGTATCAGTCGACGCTGAGCGAGTCTCCAATGTTTTCTTTCTTTTCACCTTCTCGATGGCTCCATTTGAAATCATGATTGGTGGTTTCTTTGTGGTCTATCTTTTAGGCTGGGCAGCTGTGATTGGTTTGGCAACCTCATTCGCTTGTCAACCTCTCCTTTATTTCCTTGGAAAAGCAATGGCAAAAGCTGAAGACAAACATCAAGAAGTTCGTGATCGAAAAACATCATTGCTTAATGAAGTGATTCAAGCAGTTCGAATGATTAAATTCAACGCATGGGAATCCAAAGCTTCTGCACGTATTCAAAACTTTCGTGATGAAGAATTACAATATCAAAGATGGATTTATCTTATTGAAACACTTCAAAGTGTATTGATGGCTTTCAGTCCAATTGCAGCTAATCTTGTCGCTTTTGGATGGTACACATTGGTGCAAAAGAACCCCTTGACACCTAGTGTAGGTTTCACTTCACTTCAAATTTTGGACGAGTTACGATTCAGTTTGACATATATTCCTGAGGCGTTTAGTCAATTGATTCAAAGCCTTGTCTCTCTTCGTCGTATTCAAAGATATTTGGATAGCGAGGAGGTTGACATTCCACAAAGAAGCAAAATTGCACCTTTCTCAAATGAAGATGTTATCCTATCTAATGCATCGATCGGATGGCCAAAGATTCTGCAAGTTTCTCCTGAAGAAGAGCAAGACAACAAGCCAGCGTTCACTCTTGAAAACGTTAGCGTCCGCTTTACTCCCAATGCACTCAATCTGGTCGTCGGTCGTCTGGGATCCGGTAAAACCTTGTTGCTCAAAGGGTTACTGGGAGAAGCGGATCTTCTCACAGGTCAGATCAAGTGTCCACGATCTCTACCAAACAGCATTGACAAAAGCTTGAAACTTTCAGCAGACACATGGATGCGTGCCGATCAAGTTGCTTATCTTCCACAATCCTCTTTCTTGGTCAATGCAACTTTGCGAGAAAATATTCTTTTTGGATTACCACTTTTAGAGCCACGCTATCAAGCCACTCTGGATGCGTGCGGTCTGGGACCTGATCTGAAACTTCTCAATGATGCCGATGAAACAGAAATTGGTGAGAATGGAATTGGTTTGAGTGGCGGTCAAGCAAGCAGAGTAATGTTGGCAAGAGCAGTGTACGGACGTGCATGTACTTTGATCTTGGACGATCCTCTCTCAGCAGTGGATGCACATACGGCAGCACACATTCACACAAACTTGCTCCGAGGAGCACTGTGTCAAAACAGGACAGTGATCTTGGTCACCCATCAAGTTCAATTAATCGCCCAATCTGCTGCAAAAATTGTCATGTTGAACGAAGGTAAAGTTCAATTTGATGGAGATTCAACAACGTTTATGAATTCGGATCTGTACAATGGTCTGATTGAAGAGGAAGAGCAAGAACAACACAAGGAAAACGGCAAAGATGGTATTGAACAGGATTCAGCTCCAGGATCAAGCGCAGAGACAAGCTTGAACACCACACCTGCCACAACAGCACCACCATCGCCACAACTAAAGCCGGATGACTTACCTAAAAAGCCAAAGAAGCTGGTAGAAGAGGAAAAGCGTGCAAAAGGTGCTGTTCTTCGATCAATCTATGCTCGATACATCAAATCATGCGGTGGTCTACCTGTGGTTGTGATTGTGTCACTCACTTTGATTGCATTTAATCTGATGGTAATCGTTATCACGAAATGGTTGCAGTACTGGACAGAAGATGTCGAAAGAGGACTGAAAGACGAACATGCGCGACACCATTCAGATGTTTGGTGGTTGACATGGTTATCGATGATTTGGTTGTTCGAAATCGCTCTGGAAGCTGCAAAAATGCTTACATTAGTATTTGCAAGTTTACAAGCCAGTAAAGTGCTTTTCAAGGAAATGTTAAGAGCTGTGTTGAAAGCACCTCTTCGTTTCCACGATACCGTTTCTCGTGGTCGATTGTTGAACAGATTCAGCTATGACTTCAAAGAGATGGATTCCGAGGTCGTTGACACTTTTGATCGTACGGCTGATCAAGGAATTTCGATCGTAATCACAATGACTGCAATCGCGACTGGTGGTGGTCTTCCGTTCATTGGATTCTTCATCTTGATGGTTCCACTTTATGTCTACGTTGGACAACTCTACCTGCTCGCCGTGCGAGATTTGAAACGATTGGCTTCCACTTCTCGTTCTCCCATCTTGAACACGATTGGTGATGTCATTCGCGGAACGGTTGTCATTCGTGCATTCGGTGCTGTTGATTACTTTTATGCCACGTTGGTAGAACGTATGAACGCACAAACGACGTATAATTTCTTCATCTGTGAAGTTCGATTCTGGTACGAGGAAATGTTTAATACGTTTAGCTTTTTCGTGCTACTGGTCGCGATTGTGTTCATCTTGTTGAATACTGCAATCAAAGCAGCCCATGCGGGATTCATCTTTACATTCCTGATCAATGCCCATGTTCACATACTATTCTTCCTACGTGCAATCACCGAAATGGAACAAAAGCTGGTCAGTGTGGAACGCATCGTGGAATACAGTAAATTGGAAGGTGAACGAGAAACGGAGGTAGATGGCAGTCAAATTCAGAGCACCTCCCTCTCTCCTCAATGGCCTGAACAAGGTGAAATTGAAGTGGACAATCTTCATGTCCGGTATGCTTCCGATCTGCCAGAAGTCTTACATGGTGTCACATTCAAAGTGGCCCCGCACAGTAAAGTTGGTGTTGTTGGTCCGACAGGATGTGGAAAATCAACACTTGCATCTGCATTCTTTCGTTTTGTAGAAAAGACGCAAGGTTGTATTAAGATTGACGGAGTGGATATCGGTCACATCAATCTTGAAGAACTTCGATCACGATTGCAGATTGTACCGCAAGATCCGATCATCTTCTCTGGACCATTGAGAGCAAGTTTGGATGTGTTTGACGAGTATACAGATGACGAAGTAATTGCTGCATTAAAGAAAGTACGTTTGGTCAAAGCAGATGATTCGCAAGCGCCTTTGGTGGACGTCGAACCCAATTCGGAACAGGTTGCTACCACTCAAAAGAGAGATTTTAGTGATCTCAACTTCATGGTAGCAGAAGGGGGTAGCAATTTATCCAATGGAGAAAAGCAACTGTTGTGTTTAGCCCGTGCGATTTTGCGTAATTGTAAATTGATCATCTTTGATGAAGCGACAAGTTCGGTTGATTTTGATACAGATGCAATAATTTCTCAAACGATTCCACAAGCCTTTGAACGCTCAACAATCATTACGATCGCGCATAGATTACGCACAATTATCGATTATGATTTCGTTGCAGTGATGGAAAAAGGAAACGTTGTTGAATTCGAAAAACCTTCAACTTTATTACGTGATTCAACCTCAAGATTTTACAAATTATGCAGAGCAAGCGGAAAGCGGGAATTGGTTCATCTCAAGCAAAGCGCTGGGATCGAATAAAAGGATGAGCAAGATATCGGATCGTCGGGATCAAATATCGACTTTAAGTGTTATCTGTGAGACATTCTAGAACATTAGACAATATCATGAATTCTGATCGTTAATGTGTCTCTCGTACGTATAAGATGCCACTCGGATAAGAAGGAAGAGTAATTCCCGCTAAGAATAGGGTTAAAATTCAAATAGTTCACTATTTCATCCTTTAGCTTGAATTCTTAGCGTAATATTTGTCGTTAGTTTTCTTATCCTATCTGATTCTTCTACTTCTGCAAATGCAAGCAAGTCGTTGCGATTGTATGATGGTGTCATTCTAGCACCAAAAACAAGCGTGAGAAAAGTAAAAAAAATCGCTAACAATTTGTTTATTTGTTTGCATGTCATGCACAGATGTCTGATGATGTGGGGAAACTGCCATCTGAAATGACAGAGAAGACTTCTATGCAATCTGTCTTGACCATCTGGAAAAGCGTTGTTCCACCCACGTTTATAGCCGGGAATGTCCAATTATCATTTCCCGGTCAACCGGTTCTGTGATTTCACTGAAATGATTCTACTGAAATTTTTATGATCCGTAGAATGAATACACTTGATGAAGAAGGGTCTGTTTGCTGTAACGTATAAAAGATGGTACTAAAGAAAAAAAAAAGTGCCCTCCAATTACCCAAAGCCACACTTCTGAGCAAGAGCACAATGTTTTCCAAACTCCCACTTATTCTTCTCGCTACTCTTACTCTCAGTACACTTTCCACCAATGCTACACCATTGAAGCGAGCGGCATGCACCAAATACAGTGGGTATTGTGTCTCTTTCCCAACTAAATTCAAAGTACTAAGAATTTCTTGCCTTTGCAGCCATCATTGATACACGCGGTACAGGTGAGCCACAAGGCCCCTCTGCAGGCTTCCGCACGATGAACAGTAATATTCGCTCTCAAGTCTCAGGCGGTGATGAATATGATACTGTTTATCCAGCCGGTGCAAACCAAGATTCTTCTCAAGGAACCCGTAATGTGAGTTGCAAACGGTGTCTCGACTAAGAAAGGGTAGAGCTTAGCAATCATTCTTTTCTATTACAGATCATCAGCAAAGTGCAATCTCTTGTAGACGCAGACGCTTCTCATTGTGTTGTTCTTGAAGGCTATTCGCAAGGCGCTGCAGCAACGGTAAATGCACTTCCTCAAATTACCGGAAAGTACTTTGATGCAGTGAAAGCTGTTTTCCTGATCGGAGATCCCTTACACAAACCCAACTTAGCATGCAATGTTGATCCAAACGGTGGCTCCACAACAAAGAGTGCGACCGGGATTTCATATTACGGTCAAGGCGGTATCCCATCAAACTGGGTGGCAAAATCTTTGGACGTTTGTGTAACGGGTGATGGTGTCTGTTCAAAAGAAACCGGGAATGGAATCACAATCCAACATCTTTCTTACCCGAACAGCCAACCAACACAAAATCTTGGTACCAAATTTGTTGTTGGCAAACTTCAGGGAACTTCATAATGTATGTTCTCTTCCGAAATTTGGCTACTGAGAGCCAAACTTCGAGCGGGGCTATCCTTTGCACTGCATGTAGGCAATTGAATAGACCCTATCTGCGTGGTACCATAATCCAATACGGAATTCAAATTCATTTTACTTGCTTCAGCCTTTGACCATGATGTTAGCAATATTTGCTTCCGTATACCTTTGCTTCTTTGCCCTTAGTTGTGTTGCTGTGAGCACTGGTTCTCCCAAAGAGCAACCAGATTTGTCAAAGTTTCGCAGTACGAATAATGGAGATGCAAGCCTTAATCTATCCCTTTCCTCTGGCACGTCACCGGGGCAGCCTTTCACACAATCCATCACAGGCGAGGGTTATTGGACGAGAGTATTTGATGCCCGTACTAGAGAATTTAAAGAAATGCAAAAGAAACATCCAGGCGTAAGCTTGATGACAGAAAAGCAGCGAAGAAGACAACGAGCACAAAAAATATATCAAGCAAGTGTTTTAGACAAAGTCACAAAAGCAAATCAAGTTCAAGAATGGAGGGCACATATATATCAAAACAAAATGAAATCGTACCAAAAGAGAATTGAAAAAGTTGGTTATGGATATGGAAAACAAGGTGAACTACAATTCTTGAAGAAAAAGTACCAAAACCAACCAGAAAGCCTCTCGAAAGAAGAATTGGACAAATTACACAAACTAATGCTTGCTGACAGGTCTAGGAACAGGCAAGGCAAACGTAAGCAGAACGAAGAAACATTTAAGCCCCCGCCAGCTTCGTAAGACATGTCCTTTAATTTTATAGACTGCTTATTAGCATAGCCTTGTCAGGCGGGGCTTCTCAGAGTTTACTCAGAGTTTATCCTTATAAGTCTGTAATTCTGATTTTTCTTGTAACGTTGCCTCAAAACGTCATCCTTTCGTACTGTACGATAATGACAATGCGGATGAGCGCTGCTATCCTATTTATCTTCTTTATTCTTAATGCTTCAAATGCTGTGAAGAATGGAGAATCTCAGAAGAACCCCGACCTGTCTCACTTACGAGAACAGGCAAACTCAGAGGGTGGGGTTGATCTATCTTTGGGTATAGGCAAAGTCAGTAATCAACACGAAAAGCACATTAACCCGGCCCATTCGATTCGTCCAGCTCAACCTCGGCCTGTCAGAGAATTCGATATGCGTACAAAAGAATTCAAACAACTCCAAAAAAATTATCCTGACATTGATTTCAGAAGTGAAAAACAGAAAGCTAACCAAATTTATCAACAAGCACATAAAAAGGAACAACTTTCCACATTGAATCAAGTTGAATACGCAAAAGTACAATCAAAAATTTTAAAAAGTAAGAAAGAGTCTCGAGAACGTAGACTTCAAAAGCTAGGCTATGGGTATGGATTATCAGGAGAAATTGGTAAGCTCAGGAAGAAAGAAAAGGATGAGGGGAAATTGTCGGTCAACGATGCAGCAAGGCTATCACAATTACGGCAAAAGAATTCCGATAGAGTCTTCAACGCCAGACAAAAGCTCAGACTGCGAAAAGCCCAAGAAGCTATGCTTAAGGATACGATACAAAATAAATCTAAACAATAGTTCGATCTCAACTTCCGCTTTTACAAGGCAGTATCAAAAATGCAATTGTACTTTGTGGGACAATCGTATACTGTGTGTGCGGAGAGTGATATCACACTCCGTCCTTCTGTGAGCGGAGCACCGTCTTTGGTCGGCCGTTGAATTTACGCCTTTTATCTGCTGTGTTTGTAGTTGATAGCAATGATTCCTTTCATATTCCTCCCAACATCATTCTACATAATGACTTCCCCTCCAGTAATGCGAGCTATCGGTAAACATAATACATACGTCGTTATTCTTGATCATGGTCAAGATGTTCAATTATGGGACTGGACTTTACTCAATGCCATCAAAGCAGAAGATGATAAAAGTCATGCCCTTATGCATGCATACAGCAGGGGAACGTACAAAGGCACAACGCCTTCTCAACTTAAGATAAGTCAACAGGCCAATGCAAGATGTGTGGCATTATTGCAATCCAGCCTATCACAAGATGCGATTCATTTGGTTATGGATCTTCAAGATGCGTGTACTATGCGCAAACGACTTTTAGATGTTTTTGGAAATGAAACTTCCGGGGAGGATGAAAAGACAGTCTTGCTGTTACTACAAGTCCAACAAAACAAACTCACTATACAACAATATGCAAAAGAAATGAGGCGTAGACTCGGAGTCTGTAAACGTTTCGGGATCGAATTAAGCAAAAGTGAACAGATCCAAGCTGTCATCTTGGGACTGTCTCCTTCTACCTACGATGAAGAGCGAAAGGTTTTTATTGCGGATAAATTGACACGTGGAGATGTTACAGAGCCGGAAGAAGAGCAAGATCATGAAGTTCGCTGTCTCAGGAGAATTTTTGACCCTTAACGGTTGATGGCAGCTGACAAATATTGGCTGGGCGCTAATTTGTGTCGGAGCCGCTGTTGATTTGTTTTCGGGATGAAATATAAACAAACCAAATTGTGAATCTTGAGCGGTCTTGCCGACATTGAACTTTGTTTAATTTCAATAACATGAAATCGTAATTTATATAACCTAAATGATCTGCAAAGATAGAGAAGGTATCAGCTAAGTAGAAAACGGACGAGTAAAGTCTCTCTTGAGTCATTTACAATACAGTGGCGCCGCCGCTATCGGGGTCAAAGCGCCTCCGCTTCCATTTCCAAAGACCTATCATTTCCCTATTCGAAGGGCGCAAGGGCCGCTTCCAAAGCAAATGTTCCAGAATAAAGGAGTTCATAAGAAAAAACTTGATTAGCTTTTTGATTGTTACCATCGTCTCTTCAACTTCTCAAAATGTTGCCAAGTCTATTTCGTCAAGTAGGCACAAAAGGCTGTCAAGCTGTTGTACTTCAAGGTGAATACAATATAGAATTATGGGATGACGTTTTGCGAAAATGCATTCTAGCCGAAGATCCGAGTGGACTATTACGAGCCGTTTTATTGGATGAAGCAATGCCAGAACAACATAAACGTCTCCAAAGAAGTGATCATAGATGGCAAAAAGCAAATTTGGATTGTGTAGTATTTTTACAAGCTACTCTTTCTACGCAATGCCTTTATGTGGTCATTGGAATGGAAGATGCTTCAATGATGTACAAAAGGCTCTTGCATAGATATAGCGTAGATGTATCGAATCATTCAGCGGACCTGATGCTCTCTTTGCTTAATATCCGACAACAAGACAAACAGGACATACAAACTTATTTGGCAAATATTGATAAACAATTTGCTGTTTGCAGATTCCATGATGTCGTTCCGGCAGTAGAGGAACGGATGAAAAGTTTGATCGATGGTCTTTCGCCTACGTACAGCACGTACCGTGATGCCTTAAAGCAACAAATGCATATCCAAGTGGAATTGGTCAAGAATGGGAAACTTAGGGCAGGAGAAGCATATGAGCATATCGTGAAATGCATCCTAATGCTTCATCAAAGGAAGAGATTTGATATTTTGGTAAAGAACGAATCCGTCAATCTACCCAAAGCACCAAAAGAAGATCAAAAGTGGTGGCAATCTGCTTCTACTTTGATGCCTATCACAAAACCTTTGGTCAAAGAAGAAGATAAGACATTTGTGAGGCCTTATCCGCCGCCTGCACCACCCGTGATCGTGAATTGTTTATTGGAAGATGGTGATGGAACGAAAGGGGTCAAGGAAGTAGAGAAATCTATGGCAGAGAGAGAGCTTGACTCTAAAGTATTCAAGGATGGCATGGACCGGATGATGGAATTATTAGAGACAAAAATCTTCAATCTTAGGCAGTTGAAGTACGAGGAGCTAAGTAAGGATATCTTGATAGCGCTAAGAAAGGAATTCACAAAGCAAGGAGATTCTAGTGACGTAGAACAAAAAAGCGTTGACACTGACAAAGCCGAAGCCGTAGAGTTGAAAGAGCAGGAAGAAGTTGAGATTGCGAGAAATGAAGAGGACACAAAAGCAGAATTAGACCCAGAGACTGCAGATCAACCACAATCTCAACAACAATCGGAACCATCAATTGAGGCCAAAGAGCCATTCAGCGTAGATATCGAAAATATCAACCTTTCCAGCAAAGACATTATGCCGAATAATGCTGAAGTGGAGCAAATTGATGGAAATGAGGATAAAGAATCGAGCATTTCGAAAACGGTCGAGCGGGTCGAGTCGAAAGAAACTTTTGATAGTGAAGAATCCATAATAACTCAAGTCGATGAAACGCCTTCGAACGATACACTAGCTGATCATGGTAGTCATCGTACAACAAACAGAGCTACTCAAGGCGTCAAAGAGGTTGTTGATCTGGCTACTAATATGGCAGAAGAATTCAAATCACAGGATGAAAAAATCGACAGCACCGAATGCGAAAATGGGCATACAATAATTCCTGCAGAGAAGGAGGGATCGATGTTCAAACACCCAGACAATCAGATTGACCAACTTTCACTGGATCGCGAAAAGACCACAAGTAACGATCAATGGCAGAATATTGATGGTTTCAAGGCCCATAGTGATCCTCTAAGCGACGAAGAACTAGTAGAACAGCTTATGGGTAAGATGAAGGCTCATCAAGAGAATGAGAAGGACGAATTAGTCGAAGTAAAGCCTGTTCCCAAAGAGAATGGAGTTACACACCCTTACGAAAGCAAGGATACCAGAGATACCAAAGAGATAGAAAATTATCTACTTCAAACCGGGGTCACGGAGTAGAACATAATGCCTACTTCTCAAAGCTCAGGGACTACAACTTTCATTCGAAACTGTCCAAGTATGTTCATTTGCTATTTACCTCCCTGTATGGTACATCAAGCTCACTCCTTTTTGTTCCTTAGAAATTGATGCTGAAGAATGTCCCTGCGTTTGAGTGTAGTCTGTTGCTGTGAGCAAGTCTTAATACTCTCAAATGCAAATCCGCCTGGGCATCCGTTTCCTTTTAAGCAATTTGCAATTTTCGTTCCGGTCTGTTTACCTTCTTCCCATGCACCTTGAACGTATCCAAACATTTCTTTGCTATATGCTTCACCGGTGAAAAAGACTTTGTTGTCACCTACTGGTTGACGAAGATTATCGTGATGTTGATCTAATTCTCCAAGTGGCCAATTCGAATAACTTCCACGGAACAATGGATCTTGATCCCAGCGTGGCACAAGGACATCCAAAGGCTGCGGGATATCATCACCGTACATTTCTTTGAGCTTGAACATAGCTTCCGCCTTTACGTCATCATCACCCAAAGAACCAATCCGTCTTGCTTCTTGATCGACGTGTGTCACGAAATAAACATAACCATCTGTGCTGCCATTAAAGAACCCAGGTGCGTTCAGGTTCTGCCAATACGGATAACGTCCTCGCTGGTCTGGGTCTGCGTAAACTTGAAATTGTTCATCTCTCCAGAACTTTCGTTCAAACAGGAGGAAAGTCTTTTGATAAACTGCCATTGCGAAGCTATAGATTGCTTCCTTTTTCCAATTGGGCAATCGTGGTGTCCAGGTGATTTGATTGTCTTGCAGTACACCAATACTGAACGTGACAATGACATGCTTCCGAGCAGTGTAAGTGCCCTTGTCTGTTTCAATCTTGGTGTGCTTGCCAGAGTAGTTGATGTTCTTGACGGTTGTGTTGACGTGCAAGCGTGAGTCATTCAACGAAGATCCAAAGACTTCTTCCAATTCTTTGATAAAGATGTGTCTATAGCCACGTTGATCGATTACAAGACGATCTGCACTTGCATCTTCTGAAACGCTAAACGTGTTGAACAAGCTGCACACTTCAGGTGGTTGAGCAAATGTGAAATCGACATTGATCCATTCGTATACCTTTTGCAGTGGTGTGATCGGAATCCAATCCAAAATGCTCAACGCAGCCCTTGCTGTAAGATCGACTTCTTGTCGTTTAAGTCGCTGGTTCGCATAGGTTGTTACATTGTCAGCAGCTTCATCGTATGCGTTCATGAAATCAAGTTGATCATCGTTCAAGAATTTCCCGGGTGGTATCTTTGCATCATCAATGGCCAAGCCACGAGTACCATTGAAATAAGCAATAGAGGAATAATTTTGTGCTTGCGTTTTTAGGTCCCACTTTTTTGCAAGCTTTGTGATGTTCTCGTGCCCATAGCCTTGAATCCAATTACATCCTTTTTCAACATGAAGCGTTCTGCTATTTCTTGGATCGACCAATTCTTCCAGATATGCACGACCACCAACAACAGGACGTGCTTCGAGCAACAAAACATCTTTGATGCCATGATGTTTGATCAAAGTGTGAGCTGTTGCAATACCTGCGATACCTGCTCCCAGAATGATTACATCTGCTTCTTTGGCATTGGCGCTTTCGTTACCGCGAACGTAGAGATGTTGTGAAGAAGAAGGTGATTGACTGTATGCGCAACATGCGAACCATGCAAATGATATGAGGATGGAGAACGTTCTACCTCCAGCTAACCACATCATCACTACCAATACACTTTTCCCAATTCGTGATGGTGAGGAAGCATTTAGGGGGAAAGTTGACTCTTAAAGACATATTGTTATCTTAAGTAGGGTGTAGTCGTGTGATGTGTCATGTACACTTATGCAATATCCTATCTATTGATTGATGTACCAAATGCAGGCTAAACTTTATTATCAAACAGGGGGACAGGCGTACGCGAGTTTAAATTAATTGGAACTCAACTCGGACAATTATTTATTTCGGTGCCAAGCAAACAAAGATTGAGAACTGTCAAAAGTTGCGGATCTTCTTCTTATCAGTTTAACCGCGCGCTGCGCTGTGCAGCGCTCGGTTGAGATGCACTGTTGCTCACACGAGCCTATCTGCAAGCCATGTGTTTTTGATAAGAGGACTGGGGAGGTTGCTTGTGGCTCTAGCGGTTCGCGCGGGGAGCATATACATTTGACCATCTTTCAATAATCAAATCAATCTATAGAATTAAATAAATCTTCGGTATTTCGGTTTATATTTCTTGATACAAGCAGTCGATCATGGTATCTGCATCGAGTTAGACGATTTATGGTTTAGCGTATTTTATTGCACAGCCTGTGACGCGTTAATCTTCTCTTTTTTCATTCAAACATTCCTCTCTTGCTGCGTTAACTGCAATTGGATAGCGAGTGGAGTTTGCAAAGCATGACAGCTGCACTTCATGTACTTCTCCCTACCATCAACCTTTTATCACAATGGCAGAGGAAGGATTAGCAGCCAATTCAACTGCCGCAGCTGCTAATCAAGAAGCAGTTGTAATCCATCCAACTGCTTCCAAACAACAACAAAAACGTGTTCAAGTCGAATCTCGAACAGTGATTTCATCTCGTAATGTGACCGGTTTGATCTTACGCGTTCGTACACTCGTACAAGAATGGTTAAGTGTAGAAGTTGAAGAAGAGAGCCTAACAAGCGCAGAAGGTTTGCTTACAGAAGAAGCTGTTGATACTTTCTTGGCTGCTGGAGGTGATTTGGGTGATGTAGTTCCATTCGCTTTGCTGGAAGCAAGAAAGACGTTCAAACGACAAGTTGACGATGGTGACGATGGCAATTTGAACGATTTACGTGCTTTGGCTTGTGAAATTTTGGCACGTAGAGTTGTCGCACTAATCGAGGCCAATACCACTTCCAACACTGGCCAGCACAGTCATGTCTCATTGAGCAAGCGTTTCGTTCGATTGGAAGAGGATGGTGATGAAGCACAACCTTCAAGTGCACTAGAAAGTGCAGTAGATCAAAATTGCGTATACTTTTTATCGGGACCCGAGGCACAAAGATGTGCAGAGGAGATCTGGCAAGGAAAGCTAGTACAAAAGTTTGGCGAACATAGAAATGTGTTCTTTGAGCCTCATCATATCAATGATGCATCATTCATCAGTCGAATCAATCCTTCAAGGTTATCTGTGCCGCAATATGCATACTATTCCGGTCTTGCTATTCATATCGCTTTTATTGTCATTTACACCTTTTCCACGTTGGAGTTCACCGGCTTGGACGCATGGGAAATCGTTCTTTGGATCTTTGCAGCGGGTTATCTGGTCGATGACCTTACACGTTGGTTCAAGATGGGCGGTTTGGACAAAGTGATTTCATTCTGGGTCTTGGTTGATCTATGCTCGGATATTTTGTTCGTCGCTGCTTTTTCCGTTCGCATTACTGGCTGGATCGAAGGGAAAGATGCGGAAAAGGCTTATCATTATAGACTGCTTGCTTTCCAATTGTTGAGTTGTATTGCTCCTCTGTTGTGGATGCAACTGCTCAAGCTAGCCGATGGTCTGCAGTACTTTGGTGTGATTCAAATCGTGCTTTTACGTATGATCAAAGAAGCTGCAGCCTTCTTCTTGCTTTTGTTGATCACTGCTGTTGGGTATGCACAATCTTTGTTTGCTCTCGATGCAGCTGATGGTCATCGAGTAAAAGGTTCCGTTTCAGTGATCTCCAACTTGCTTATCCAAGCAATCCTTGGTCAACCTGATTTTGAAGGACCAAACAAGAAATTCGGCGCACCTTTTGGTACGATTATCTTTTACTTTTACACATTCATCACAGTGATGTTGCTAGCAAATATTCTGGTCGCCTTTTTTGCATCCGCATACGACAAAACAGTTGATGCTGCTGATTCAGTTTTCAAGGCATACTTCTGTTCCAAAGTTATTGCCTCCGTCCGTGCACCTGATCAATACGTTTATTTGGCGCCGTTTAATTTGTTGGAAGCATTTTTGATCGCTCCATTCGAACCAATCTTGCCAAGAAAGGTTTATGCAACGATTAACAAATATGTTCAAGGAGTAATCTTTTTTATTCCTTTGATCGTGATTGCATTTTATGAATCAAATTGGCAAGGAAGTGCTGCACATAGAATTTACTTGGAAATGATTGATGACATGCCGGAAGAAAGGGTACGCAAGTTGGCAAACGTTTCCGGGATTTCTAACGTTAAAGATCCGGTCATCGAAGGGGAAGAACAACAGGAAAATGCCGTCATTTCTCGTACACCATTTAAGCAGCTGGCATCCAAATTGCCTTCAGTAAAGGTGAGTACCGTTCTAATTATACAGTGTGGATGTCCACGTGCTTACATTTTCCTCTTCTTATTTAGAGCGGATCCGAAGAGAAGGAAGAAAGCAACGGCGATCAAACAGTATCGAACACAGATCTTGCAGCATTAATGTCGGAGCTGAAAGCATTACGGTCAGAGATTGCAGCACTTAAGAAGTAAAACGCTTCTCCAAAAAAAGCAAAACCTTCTCAGTGGTTACCCTTCTATCAATCTAGTGTATTTTTGTTTTGCTTGCTTGTCAATGATATCATGCTTTTGAATATCTGTCAAACGGCGGCTGTTGTCGGTGGTTGAATTGAGCGCGAATTAGTTCTATGCATATTGATTGATTTGATTGTTTGTGTTCTAGAACTTCGGAGGAGGGATACACTGATAAGGTGCCTTGCATCAACCCGTCGGTGAATTTAATTCGACGCTCGGTCATTTAATTTGTATCGGTCCGAATTGACATTTCATGTCTGTTAAATTCCCCGTAGACAGGTACAGTGCATGGTGCAGATTACAATGCCATTGTTCTGGTACGAAAAATGACGCTAGAATGCAAACTTCATTGACCTATTTGGCACGCAATCTTGCTTTTACACAACGGTCATCATCGGTGTTTTAATTGTTTCTTCTTGTTTCAAGATTTTACCGAAAGAAGAAAGCTATACAATGACATCGTATAAAAGAATGCCAGTAATACTCTACTATCATAATGCTTTTCCCTTTAACCACTTTATACGAAAGGCAAGGTGACGATGAATGTTTTGGAGGTTAAATCATTAACAATATGCCAAGACATGGTCAACAACAAAGAAAGTTATCAGATACAAGATCCGTCAGTGGGCTGCCAAGATCATCAGATTCACCACAACAGCCTCCTTCTATCAAAGCAGCATGTTTAGAATGCAGGTCAAACAAAGTGAAATGCAAAGTGGGCGAAAGTGCTCTTGCCTGTCAAAGATGTGAACGATTTGGCTTGGAATGTCGATTTGAAGCTGTAAATAGAAGAGGAAGAAAACCTAAAGGTCAAGATGGCACTAGTCAAAGAATCTCACCGGAAAGTGTTGTGAAAAGAAACGATAGTACAAGTGAAGAGTTTGAAGAGCGTTCTGCTTCAAACGTTTCTTCTCTTCGGCCTATCTTCTCAACTAGGAAGCGCTCCTACGAAGCATCAAGTCAAGCAGAAGATTCGAGCAATGCCGAGCATCTACTACCGAAACCACTTCGAAGCAGTATATGGAGAGCATTGATGCGTAATCAAGGTATGAGAGGGTCAACATACACCTTCGTATCCTCGGGCGAGGTGAATATTGCCGGTAGCACAGATCAAACGCTAGAAGCCAAGCAGGAAGGCGAAATCCAATCAGCAAATATTGATCAAGGTGAATCATCATATCAGCCCACATTGAGGCAGCTCTTCTGTCCGTTCAACAAACGAACTACTGGATCTCAACGCATCGAAGCCAGCCTTCCACTCGTCGTACGATTTGACACTCATCCTGATCCGCGGGCGGCAGGTGTGGTATCACCAAGTCGATGTGTGGAGTTGTTGTCGTATTTCGATACACATTTGTTGCCATGGATCGGTGTTTTTGCTTCTGCTGGAGAGCTTTCTCTACCACGTGCACGATGGAGTTCAACATTTCTGCTTTCAACGGTTTTGTATCTGGCATCTCGATTCTCGGACGGAGAAATAGAAGAAGCGCAAGGGTTGGGGATGCATACTCGTTCGCTTGCAATTCGAGCATTCGGAAGTGCTGATAAAAGTTTAGAAACGCTTTTAGCGTTTAACTTGCTCACTGTCTGGAAAGCACCCGATGATGGATATTCACAGTTGTATGCTGGATTTACAGATCAAATTGCGACAATTTCACGAACAAGTACAAGTGATGGAAAGCCTTTGTCCGAATATGATGCAGCAAATGCGCTACGAATTCAATTATTCCATTACGTTCAAAGGAGTGTTTTTCAGTTACATCATATGCCAATGACGAATATGATTATGGATCAGCATGGAGTCGTTCTACCGTTGCCGACACCTTCGCCTGCTCCTCCACCGCTTCTGGCTTTGGAAAGATTTGCGGCTGGAAATACGACTTTGCCTTCTGATTGGTTCTTATGTGCAACTGTGGAAGGTAGTTCGATTCAATGCAAGTATAAAGCCCTATTCAAACAGCATCAACAAGGCAGGTTCGGAACTTCACGTAATACGGTAGGACCTCAAGTGGCACTGCTGGAAGCATTCTTTGCCGAAATGGAAACGTGGGAACACCGATGGCGCAGAAGAGGCTTACGGGCCAGAGAAATAAGAAGGGGCTCAAATGCATCTTCAAATGGATCAGAAGATGTCCAACAGTGGGCAGGCTTTGAAATACTGGGTCACAGCATTTGCATGCATATCTCTTCTATCGCTTTTCGCAAAGGGCTGGATGTTTGGTTTGAGACGACAGGTCAGACAATGGTCCCTCTGAATGATACAGCAACGGCTGAATTAGTTCAACGTTCATATCAAGCATGTCTGGATAGCTCTGTAGGGCTACTAAGGAGAGTAACTCAATTACACCCAACCGTTTTGGTGCATATGCCAGATTCAACTTTGGTTTTGATCAATCATGCTGCTCTGTTGGTTATTTACTTGCTTTTGATACCTGCAGCGGCAGCAGAAGGTAATCAGACGAGCAGTGCTTCAACTTCAAAAAGAAAACAATTTCTTGATGTTGTTGGAAATTATACGGTAACCCAACAAGAATGTTTACAATCCGTAAAAGTTGCACAGGAGGCCGTTTGGCAAGCTGCATTAATACGATCGGAAAATACTTGTTGTGCTTTAAGTTCTGAACATCTTGCAAGTTTGATCGGATTGTTGGAAGGATCCGTTCAACATTCTCCCAACGTACAAGCAGGAGTGGAAATAGTGGATCGTAAACAAGCGCCGTTGAATAGAATGAATACCGGCGGAGAAGGTGCCAGTCTAACAAGCACGATCAACAGTCAAGATGGAACCCCGATCCCAATTCAACAAAATGTTGGTTGGGAATGGCTGCAGACATTCTTGGACGACACAGCTGTCAATGTACCCTTGCCGAGACAATAATGAGAAGGCAGGTTTAAAAGAAGATGATGATTTTTTTGTATTATATCATTTTGTTGTAATTGCACTTTTGCTAAATAAAAATTTCAAAATTGTTTATCAACTTCTGCCTTTGTTTTCGGGAACTTTTTTCTGTTTTTGACCTGTTGATGCGTCTGAAGGCATATTACTTGCAGCTGATCTACTCATATCCTTATCCGTCTGTGAGTGAATGGAAGGAGAGGGGGTCAGTATTAATGTGGAGGGTCATGATGATCAATGAATGCAGAGTAACATACCTCTTTTTCAATGTCTGCTGCACTATCTTGTGGTTTTGGTGTATTGGGATCAAAGGCAGCATCACTTTCCGAGACGGATTTTGTCTGGAGGAGGTGGGAAAGAGAGAAAGAGGGGTGTTAATTATACTTCAATAATTTGTTAGGATTTGTTGTCTTTTTCACTCACTCCTCCTGCATCACCCGGAATCGATTCACGATCTGGTCCGCCTTCCATTTTGTCAGGAGTTGGATCATCATTTTCTATTACTGGTCTGTTAGCATAGCCTCGAAGCATAAAAGCTGGAGATTGTCTTAGTGAAGGCTGAGCTGTGGCTGAAAAGCGAGCAGAGGAAGCCAGAAAGCGTCTAGAGATTGATTGTATGATTTGCATCTTTGCTGAATGATATATGGTGATGATGGCAAGTAGGGATGATTATAATTAAGCCTTTATCGTTATCATGTTCTATGAGTATAAATTGATTTCAGGGTCCCATTCATCATTTACATTTAGCACGTGAAGAACAATGCCCAATCAGCAGCATTTCACGATGATGATCATATGCGTATGATGCTGCATTCATCCTGATGTCATTTAACGAAGGGTCTTTTATTTTCGTTATATGCAGGACAAAGAGTGGGCCCCGGCGAGGGCAATGAGTATTTGACCCACTTTTAAGTCTGTGCGAAGGTGTGTTGATCTGATGCCCTTGAATGACGCGTGGATGGTAAAACGGACTTTGAGCCGAGATAGAAGTGGAGAAGTAGACCAACACACACACACCCACAGTTTACATAACCAACACACAACCCACAATTAAATGCATACATGCACACACACTAATGCACATCATGGGTGCACAACCAAACACTCGGACCTCGGAAACAAGGGAAGGGAAGGGAAAGCAGCAGCAGTGGCTAAATGATGATTATCACGGCTTGTGGCAGTGTGAGGCTTGCTGTTTTAGGATGACCCTTCCAACATTCTCATTCATTGCAACAACGCATTCATCCTCCTCCTTCTCCTACCCCTCTCTTCAACAAAAGATGATTAAATGAGTCTATCCTCTTACTTATGTGGAGGCATAGTAGTGTCTCCCTCGATCCATACCGTCATGTACAATAATTGATTCAATCCTGTTTGAAAAGAGGATAACTTGAAAACTATAAGAACCCACTTTATACTCAGCATTACCCTTTTTATATACCACAACAACCTCTTATTTGTTTCATCTCTATTCATAATGCAAACCGTTAAAGACACAGCGTAAGTATCTGGTTATACTCAACAGTTAACATTGGATCATGCTCCTAACCTTTCTTCTCCTTCTTCTTCACCAACAGTAACTACGTCAAGGACTCCGTTAACGAGGCCACATCCGGTGCCTCAAAGGAAGCCAACAAGTCCGTCGCTAAGGACTCAAACGCTTCCGTTGGTACCCGTGCCGAAGCAGCAAAAGATGCAATCGGTGATAAGATGGATGAAACCAAGAACAACGCTTCTGCTGAAGTGAACAAGGAAAAGGCAAAGAACTAATTGTGTTTTCCTCTCAAGCAAGATCATCATCAACATCTGCGCTCTGCAGTTTACACTTTTTGTATATTCACGTAACATCTTTACTCACGAGCAGCGAGTTATATTGAATAATATCAATTAAGTCGGTTATCATCATGTCTGCTGCATTGAGATTGTGTTCTCAGACATAATCATGTCATCATGGCAAGAGCGAGATAGTGAACCAATTCAAGTCGTTTGTGGGACTCATTATGTAATATGCTCGGTTTTGATCCTGCTTATGTACGCAGGTCTATTTCGACCATCTTTTGCAATTTGCTTGAGGGTCATTAGTAGGGACTTAATTGAGTGTTTGTTGACACTATACAACGGGTATCTAACTCCTAGTCTATTCTAAGGCTATTGTTCCTGTTAAAGCGTTGAAAGAAATATTTACGTCTTTGTCTCCGTACAGAATGAAAAGCATTATCCGTATAATCCGGAAAATAAACGTCATCGTATGTATGCCAAGACATTAGCTTTCAATCTTGAAGTATATTGCTTGACGTTTAAAGAAAATGTCTTCACCATATGAGGAAGGACATCACTTGCAACAGATTTCCGAATGATGAAAGGCCATCCATCCCATCTTTTAGCGCGAAAAGTTTATGCATGTCAGACAAAAGATCACCGAAAGAAGGGGAATTTTGTTTGTTTACCCCACGTTGAATTTATAACATTGACACATCCTCAAGAAAGGAAGAATAAATAATACGACCCTCTCCCTAACGGACAATAGATTACCGTCAAGGTAGCTATGATGATTAATAGAGAAGAAAGCTATAAATAAGACCGTTTAAGAAATCATACTTGAGATATTATGGAACCCAATCCCAAGTCAACATGCGTTCTCTAGTTTTCATCCTCTTGGCTCTTACGTTGGCAGTGCATGCCTCCTTACTCCCTCTTAGCCATAGAAGGGATGCATCGGCAGCCGATTATGCAGGCTATTTGTTCATTCACTTTTACGATGATTACGTCTCGCCAGGAAATTATTCCACTTATCCAGCCGGAGAACAAGTGTTCGGTCACATCAGTAACGGAAATGAAGCAACAAGTTATACTCCTCTCAAAGGAGGTGCACCACTCTTGACCTCAAATGTTGGAACGAAAGGCGTTCGTGATTTTTATCTTGTAAGCAAAGATGATCAATCTCAACATTACATCATTGCAACAGACTTGAACCAAACTGCCATTGGTGGTTTCAGTGACCCATTCTTAAGCCGAAGTTTGGTCATTTGGGATTCGGAAGGATCAAGTTTGACAAAATGGCAAGAACCTAGGCTGGTAGAGGTTGTACCGGAAAATTTCCGAATGGCATGGGCACCTGAATCACTCTATATTGCCGATGAAGATCGTTTTATGGTTTATTGGTCTTCAAACGTTTATTCTGATTCTTCACATTCGGGTAATCCGGATAATGATAAAATTTATTATTCTTACACTTCCGATTTCAGAACTTTCACTGATCCTCAACAATACATTGCTTTGCCGAACCATGTTGGTATCATTGATTTGACTATGCATCCAACCGGCGTTGAGAATGAATACGTTCGTTTCTTCAAAGATGAATCAGTGGGTAAATGTCGCGGTCAAGTAAGCACGAATGGAATCTTTGGTGATTGGAGCGATATTGGCTCGTCTACCGAATATGTTGACAACAATAGCTCATCAGAGGGTGAGTGTAAAAGAACGAAGAAAACATTTTAACTTTGACTGACAAAATTTTTATCCTCCCTCCCCTTTCAGCCTGCCTCTTCTTCAAAGATAACACCAACGACACATGGTGGGTCTGGCTTGACCAATACGGCCGTAATCCCGTAGGTTATTACCCTTACACTGCCGATAACGGAATCACGCAATATGGATATACCGATCGAGGTGTTGGAAATGGAATGCCATCGATGACAAAGCATGGTGCAGTGAAACCATTGACACAAGCTCAATACGATGAAGTGAAGCAAAATTGGGGTTAATTCAAATGTCATTACAATGATGTAGGAAGCAAAAGTTTCGGTTGAATTCTATTGTATTAAAATTAGAGGCTAGGATTAGTTGCCAGATGTGTACAACTTGGCAAAGAAGTTTTGAACGTAGCTACCCTCTGCCATTTGAACTGTTCGCTTTGTAGCATCCTCCAAAGATTCATCTTCTGCTAAGCCCAGAAGCTTCATTTCTTCTTTGCATTTCTCGTCATTATCAGCCGGATGATCAGGGAAAAAGGTTCTGGAATAAAGAGAAACAGCAAAAGCTGTCATATCACCTTGCTTCAAGCGATCAGAACCTTCTTTCCAGATCTCTTGAACATTTGCGTCGTTGATCTCCCAGTCTGCATCGGTAGTGTTTGTAACTTTTTGAACGGCATCTAACATTTGACGTTGGTCCAAGTGGAAGCTTTGTACGTTTAGATAGGCATCCCTCCATTTGCTCATAGTGACCTTTGTATCGTTTTGATCTTGTGGAAGGATGGGCAATGCCAAGAATGTAGCAACGGCGCGAGCCGAATGTCTCCAAGTTGAAGTAGATTGAGGAACTTTACCATTTCCATAAAAGTTTGCTTTTCTTGATTTGATATCGATTCCAAACATTTGAATTCCACCACTCAAGGACCATTCATACCAAAATCCATTTCCGATCGCAGTCCAAGGAAGACCTTTTGAATGAGCGTATTTGTTATGTTGTTCTTTACCAACACCGATAAAAGTTTCTTCTTTTGCTGATTGGTTGTTTGAGAAATCAAGTCCCCAATCGTTTGGAATATACCATCGTACTCCTGCTTCAACAGCTGCATCAACGAGCTTATTGGGTAAATCTCTTGGAGCCGTTGTTGCCAAAGTTGTGATCAAAATATCTTGTCCTTTAAGAGCATCAACGATTGATTGTTGTTGATCATAATCAACATCCACTACATTATGAATACCTTCTGGCATTTGACTTTTACTGCCTTTGCGTGTCAAGGCGGTAATTTTGAATTGTGGGTTCTTGAGTAGCTCCACTACGATATGACCGCCCATTTGACCACTTGCTCCGATGATGGCAACATTTTGGATTTTATTATTGAAGCCAGCAGGTTGATCTTTGACGTATTGAGTATTTTGAGACATTTTGTTAGAGAGTTGGTTGAAAGTGAGAAGATTGTTGTGATGTGGAGATGGATGGATGAAGAAAGAAGTGTCAAAATTGAGCTGTATTTATAGTTTTGTGGTGTTGCATGCTTACCATTCCCGAGAGAAGGACTTAAAGATAAGATTGCTTAATCTCCGTTCCAACTTGAGCACATCTAGGTATGTCAACCGTTGTGTCTTGATGCAGGTACGTACAACAATGAATAGGAAAACGTGGCGGCACCTTCCGTGCACTCTAACCTCCGCCCAAGTACACCACACACACACTGCCCGTGTGCCCACTGTTGGAGTTAGAATGTCAAGAGCGGAATTAGAGATACATGGCTCAGCCTTTCGCGTCTGTTATCACCGAACGAGAAAAGGGCGCAATTTCAGTGTCCTACAGATACACCGAGCAAACATTACACGCGCCATCAAAATTTCATTCGGCCTTTAAGCAGACAATCATCCGCGGTTTTACCGTCAGCCATTCAGCATGATCCTTTGTGTACATCGATCGATATTCGAGGCAAACATAAATCATACGCAGACCATCAATGAGAGCGTCGTTCGCGGATTTAAAAGTATTAAAGGCTTTATTGAAAGTACAATTTTTCAACTCTTTAGGGATGGCGAGAGAGCATGTATATCATATGATGATGTCCTCTTCTCAATGATTTATCCATTCACATCAAACATTTATGCTTCACACTCTTCCCCTCTTCTCACCATTCATGTGACGGAAGCTGCATTGCCTTGCGTATAGTCACGTTTGTACAGCCCCGAGCGGGTTGAAACTTTGTTTTTCGTCTTACACAATTTGCCCCCTACCCTGATCAAATGAAAAACGTTCTCAAACTGTATGAAGGGGAGATTTTACATCTTACATTCTTTGTTTTCTCTCACCATCAGGCAAGCTGACTTCTGATTTACACCAGCAGAGAAGATATCAAGATGAACTTTTCATTCCAATTACTGCTGGCAGTATGGCTATACTTCCTCAATATCGCTCAAGAGAGCAAATGTTTTCCTTTACCTACACAATTTCGTTTGGAAAAACGAGGTACAAGACTCATTCCAGACGGCACACGATTCAGAATTGCAGCAACTAGAGCTCAAGCTGCCATTTATAAAGGTGCATCGAAGATTAGCTATGCTTCGGGAGCTGGTAAAGCAGGAAAATTCCTGGATAAAGCAGCAGCAGGTAAATCAGCTAAAGTAAAAGTTTTAGGCCACCAAGCACAAACTAAAGCTATAGATGCTACGATTAGCATTTAAACGGATCTTTCCCAAGTTTGTAAGAATTTTTCTTCTGCCCCAATTTTTGTTCTTTTGACGACCAATGGCCTGGCCTGTTTGTTCAAACTTTGTATATAATTCTGTCGTGAATGCTTTGTACGCTCTCACGGGGCGCTTCATACATAGTTTTTTATTGATTGAATTTCTCTTTCAAATTCAAAGCCGTTTGGAAGTTCTGGTGGTGCTTGCTTCCTCTCTCATTGAATTAGCTCCTCTGAAGCTTTGGCCCGTAACAATGACGACCAGCTATGAGATGTGGCGTAGGGCTTAACAAGCCAACGAACGAAACCGTTTCGCAAGTGAAGCCGCAAAACCAAAACTTTCAGCCGCGCGAGGGGCATGGACTATAAGTTTAGCCGCAACATATTGTGCCATTTCTATCATGTATACCTTTGCATTTTGATTCATTTTACATAAAAGCAGGCGAACAAAAAAGTATCTTGTAAAGAATTTGACATCCATAGACATCAGTTGACTTGGAGTAAACTTTTCATTCGCCGTGATGATGATCATCAAAACGACAATTTATGTAATCTTGCTATTGCAAATGTACACTTTAAATACTTTTGCTATCCCAGTAAACAAGTACACCCAAGTTGGCAAGATCAAAGCTGCTGAGTCAGGTATGAGAAGCTGTGATCTCAAAGCAAGAGCATGTAATGTCGGTTCAGTAGTTGCATCAATGGTTGGGATGACTAAAAAATCAAACCAATTAGCAGCCAAATCTGAGGGTCACATTCAAGCTTTGCACGGGCATGCAAAGGACTTGAGAGCAGCTGTAGAACAAAAAGCTCCTCATCATCAGTTCGGTGGTGCAACCACGGCCAAACAACAAAAGAGCATAGTAAATCACGGCCAAAAGACGTTGAAAGGGTATGAAAGCAGAGTGGCAAATGCAAAAGCAGCAAGTGCAAAACAAAATTCCGCTTCTTTTGGCCGTATGAATAGTTTCGATGAGATGCATGGTGGAATATAAGCTGCACCCAAATCGAATTGTATGAATGCATTCATAGCTTTGATTGTCACCATGAGCTCCTTTTTCTCTTTGTGTATGAAGGTCGGCTTGCAATATTCTGATTTTCTCTTAAGCGAAGCTGTGTTAGAACTTGTTTGGAAAGATTGTTTATTGTACGCTGAGGTCCTTTTCGCCTTCTAGGCGTTGTTCAATAACACAAATTTCTCGGGGATCTAGTCGCTTTGATAGAATGCATCAAGCTCCTGCATTCGTGCATTTATAAAAGCTGTTGAAGAGCTAGAAAAAAAAGTAGGTAGAACTCATCACCACGGGAAAGTTCATTTTCTAGACGACTTTCGTCACTATGAAGATTCTCGTGAAGCTTACAGCTCTTCTCATTTGCATAGCCACTGTGAGTGGATCTCCTCTTCCCGCTACCAATTCACAACCAGAATCGAAAGTACAAAAGATCAAGAAAGCATCTCAGGGTATGGATATGAGTAATGTGAAAGCTCGTTTATGTATGGTGGGTAGTTGCGTAGCATCAAATATTGGTCTAAAGAAACCGGCTGAGAAGCTATTAGACAAAGGTGTGGAGCACATTGAGCAATGGAGCGGTCATGCAAATAAGTTACGAGAAGTGTTAGATACTCAAGATACAGCACACAAGTTTGAAGGTGCGAGATCCCAGAAAGCGTTGGATGACATTCTCACAAAAGGTCGTAAGAAGATCCAAAAATACGATACAAGATATTGAGCATGAAACTGCAGCAAAGCGAAGAAGCCTTTCTGCAGGATGTCATACCACAATAAACATGACCTTTTCCATTTCTGCCACCTTATACTTCGTCCCATTTGCGTTCAAGCTCATTGCCCCAATTCAAATACTTTTGATAAATTTTGGTTTCTTTTCAGTTCTTGGCAATTCCATCGCACTTATTGTATGACCTTTGGCTAAAAATACTATTCCTGAAACTATGCTGTGCTAGAATTTGCTTCAGATAGACTACTCTATGATCGGCGCCAACACCATTTCGTGGCGTTTTATATATAGCCACCCCGGGTGTTATTTGCTACATTATTTAGCCACTATCTTTGGGGATATACAGAGCAATCAGCAAGCACCGATTGTAAGTCTCTACTTCTAAGAATAATCGTTATAAGACGAAGGAGACCTATGCTTTTTCTTCGAACCTTCACCAATAAAGGGAATCTGATACTTCGACTCTCGCTTCATAATGATTTTCTACATAGGAATTACGTTTTACACAACCCTGATTTTGACATTCAATCTAATGATGGTTTATGCAATTCCTGTGCCCGCGGGTATTCCAGAATCGCAAATGCAAAAGATGAAGAAAGCATCAAAGAGTATGGATTCAAGCGCTTTAAAGTCAAATCTGTATGAAAAAGCTGCTCGAGCAGCCTCTGCTGTAGGGATGAAAGGTCAAGCTAAAAAATGGACGGGTAAAGCTGCAGAGCATATAAATGCATGGGATCAGCATTTAGAAAATTTGAGTATCGCAGTCAATACACCTGACTTTATGCACGAACATAGAGGAGCAAAATCCCATCAAGAGCTCTATATGGCTACCAATAAGGCTATGCGAAAGCTAGGTCATGCGTAAGCACAGACTATCAACATCTGAGAGGTGTATAGTTGTACATCCCAGATGTTTTTTCTTCATTATTTCATTTCCATTCTTATGTTCTTTTCTTTATGTAATAAGATTATTTTGAACGCAAGTTTGCACAGTACAGACAGTCTCGGGGTTAGAGTGGAGTCGTTCATATACATATCAGAAGCATTTGCCTCAGTCCAAAGCTATCTTGCAGAGAGGAGGAGCTCAATTGTTCTCAGCTCTACATCAATACGACTTGAAGCATCGTCAGAGTAATGATCTTGAAAAAACTTACGCTCTACTTGACGCTACTGCTGTACTCCGGTATTGGTTGCAGTACTGTAAATTCTCTTCCTGCTACTGGTACACAAACGGAATCACAATTTCAAAAAATCAAAAAAGCATCTAGAGGTATGGAGGCAAATGAAGCAAAAGCTAATTTATGCATGGTAGGCAGTTCTTTAGCCTCTTGTGTTGGTTTACAAAGTATTTCAAGAAAATTAGTGGATAAAAGTGTTCACCATCTCAGCAGATGGGGTAGACACAAAGCAAACCTTAGAGAAGCGGTTGAGGCAGTAGATACAACTCACGAATTTGGAGGTGCAAAGTCCCAAAAAGCGCTTCAAGATGCTATTGAAAAAGGTAAAAAAAGGCTCGAGTAGCACGAACTTACCATTTTTAAATGAGAAAGAGCGAAGTTTCTTTGCACTTTCATGACAAATATTTCTATTCCTCTTTGTATCTAGTGTGCTCTATTCATATTTGTCAAAAATAAATCTAGCCTTTCTTTTTACACATATTGTATGCTTTATGTAAATGGCCTGAGTTCTTCAACAAAGTGCAAGCGATCCAAGGCTAACCTCTGGCTGATATAAACAAGAGTATACTCTCATAACTTCGGGGCTTTCTCGTCAAGCCGCTTGCATCACCCCTTTATGCTTCGAATCTGTCATTCTTCATGACTCTTTACTCTTGTATGGGGCGATAGAAAGCGCAGCAAGCTGTGTGTCCGATCATTTCCAGCCCTTTTGGTTCTTGGCACTTCGCCATACTCACCTTCAATTCTAGTATATGATCTTCATCATTTCGCACTTACAACATCATTCAAATTGAACAATTATTCCATTATGCCTTTCATTAAGTCTTCCATTTTTATGACCGTGTTGATGCAAGCGATCATGGCAGTCTACCTTGCCGCTCCACTTCCAGAAAATCTACAAGTCACAAAGATCAAAGCGGCACATACAGGTATGAATCGATGCTCGATGAAAGCACATTTGTGTATTGCAGGCGCCATGATTTCGTCAGAGTTTGGGTTGAAGAAGAAACAATTTAAATTAGAATCCAAAGCTGAAAATCATTTGAAGTCAATGAAAACACACGCAGAAGCATTATCAAGTGCGATAGGGGTCGCAAGGAACGATGGAAGAAGTTCTAATGGAGCAAAATCTCATAAACAAGTCAATCGTGCAATTGATGCAGGTGTTAATAAACTTTCAGACTTCCACGCAAAGGTCGAGAAAGCAAAGATGAAACAAGCTCCTCTCATTCCTGGTAAACCAAAGCGATACAATGATATAGTAGGAAGATTATAGCGGCGCCAATTCAATTTATAAGCTTATTGTCAAGTATTGAACGGTGTAAAGCTCATTGATAGTGCTTTGCTGGTCGTATCAGAACGAGAATGATTCGATGTGTTGAACATCCTTTGGTACGCCTGCCTTCATCAAAGATTCTTGTGCCACCTTTGCAAATTTTTGTGCTGCGCATATGAGCGCCATATCGACACTTGCCATAAATTTTGCCGTATCAGGAGACGAAAGCGCAAAATCGTCAGAAGTTTCTTCACCGCTTTGATCGAAAGAGTGAGAGGTGATTCGCTTTCCTTGAAATTGGGTGACATCTACGTGTACGTCTGCGGGAAGCGTTTTCCAGCTCTCAATATCTTGTTCCGGGTTATCAATATTCTTGTCATCGTCTTCCAAGACTGTATTAGAAACCAACAGGATCAATTTGATATTCAAGCGTCCTTCCGACGTATTTCCCTCCCCACTCAATTCTCGGCTAATTGCATCTCGAAGAATTCCCTGCATTATGCCTGCTTCATTCTTACGTGTTGCAAGAAGAATCAGAATATTTGCATGCTTGTTTGAATCTTTGGCCAGTGAAGAAAGGTGAGAAAGAACGGGTGTAATACCAATACCTGACAGCAAGTATACAAGATGCAAAGGATTTTTGGGCGTTGTTTTACGAGATGGTAAAAAGCTCGAACCGTCCAAACCCAACACATTCATCTTTGGTTTGAAAGGAGGTGGATCCATACCTTCTTCCAATGCCTCACTTATGTATTTGCCAACACGAAATAGCGTAGGCGTTACGCCACCTCTATCCTTTCTGCGCAAGACGATCTCGAATTGCCATCCACCTTTAGGAGAAGGAGCTGCATATGCAATCGTCCAACTTCGTGTTCCATCATCGTTTAGATCTTTCTCTCCTCCTCGAAATTGTGCCATATGTGTATACATTGTTAGTCGGGTATCCATTGCATCATAACAATCTATCACGATATGCTGACCGGGTCTAAACTTGGAGGAAATCTGATTATCATCTACTGAGAACGTGAATGTAGCCACTGATTCTGACCAAAAATGAGCATTGACCATATCGGCTCGAACTTGTTTCGATTGAGCATCAAGTGGATAAGCTGTGTTTGCCTTTTCACTCTTCAGTAGTCTGACAGGAGGATTGTATGGAGACCAGCCGATACTTGGTGCTTGTGCTTTCTCTTCTGATCTCACATACATTGGTATCGTGCCTTTTGCATACGTCCAATCTTCTATCCACATCTTTACTGCTCCGCGAACCCCTCGCATAAGATCTTGCGCTTCTTCATCTGCTAATACTTGTGCAGAACAAGTAGCATAGATCACACTGCTTGTTTCTTCTTGATTTTGTGTCCAGATTGGAATCGCAATTCCCGCAACCGGATCTTTTGTTATGTTACCAAAAGACATCATCAATCGGTTTCCGCTCCAGTCGGGTAATATTATACATCTGCGTTGACGGTCTGCATCCCAGTATGTTCGGAGATATCCCGAAGAACCACCTCGATGATTGTTGCCCAGCCTAGGTGGATCCGGTGTAAAGGAGGTAGGATCGTTGCCCGAATAACGTGATGCTAAATATAGGCTATCCGCATTTGCAATCAGATCTAGTACCTCTTTGGGTAAATCTTGACCGGATTGCGAGCTCGACTGTACAATAGGACTTACTTTCGTCTGACTGCTGGGCTGAAGAAACCGTGTATTGATGTATTTTGGACAATTGCCGAATGTACTGATTGCCTGTGCTTCAAATACAAATTGATCTTCGCTTTCATCTTTTGGAACAGTATGAACGGCAACAATCACACTTTCGAGCTTGTTTCTTCTCCTGTTGTGTAGCATGATACCCACGCCGGCCATTTGAAATGCGATTTTGGGTACGCCATCCTGATCGAAAGCAGTCTCTCCTTCCTTGAATCGTTTATGTAAATCAAGTAAACAATCACGAATTGGTAGACCGGTTGCAGCCCGTATAGAAAGTGTGAAATGATGTTCCGTATCTGTGGATTTGATGAAGCCCGTGTTACCATCATTGTGTAAGATTGATGACCAAGGTCTTCCTTGTTGATCAAGCGTTGTAACACTTAAAAATGTTAATTGGTTCAAGAAAACCATCATCCAATCTGGTGCTCCGTCATGATAGCCTTCCCATCCTCCCCAAACTGCATCTTCAAATCCTCTTGCTTGTTGAGCAGCGATCTCACCCGGATGCCAATTTGTTGGAACTGGCATTGTGATTGTTGATGGCTGTCAAGAGGATAGCATACACTCATTGCGGAACAGGTTTTAATTTATTGTTCGGGAATAAGACTTGGTTCCCCCCGCATTGCATCATATGCATGCACCATGCGTGCGCTGAGGCCTAACCTTTTGCTTAAGTCCGGTGTCTAACGCCGTGCAAACGTTCATCCTTAATCTTGAACCGATCTCTGGCAATGACATTGGGTATCATAAATATTCTTTTATAGTTTGCATTCTGTACATTTCTATATAGATCCACGTTGATTGGATGCAAAAGGAGATCGTTCCCGCAAAAATCTTCCTTTCCATAAAAGCAAAAAAGGTGCAAAAGCAAGAATCAAAGCACAAAATCCCAAAAGAGAAGAAGCCCAAGGAAAAGAAAGAGTATCGTACATTCTTTTAGCAATCAGAGCAAATGCGGTTGCTAAAATATTCCGCAGAAAACTTTGAGCGGCAGTTGCAGAAGAAGTATAAGATCCATAACAATCTGCTAAATAATCAAAAATGCAAATGTAAACCATATATAAACCAATCATAATCACTGAAGTTCCAAGTTGTGGAACGATCCAATGAATCTTGTCCGGTTTGGCTGTCCATGCAAAGATGAAAAATCCAAATGAGAACAGTAGGGCGCCAACACACGCTTCGGGTAGGCGTTGTTCCGGTCTTGTGATCGTGCTACGATAACGCAAGACGAGCATGTGCACACCAAACCCGATCAAAGCACCTATCCCGATTCCGACAGACGACAACCCTCGTGACATATGTTCATGCGTGAAGCCATATGGTTCAAAGACGAGAGGTATCGATTCTAAGAAGAGGTACAATGTTCCCCAAGCAAATGCGATCCACAAGCTAAGCACGAAAGTGATTGGTTCCGTTGCCAGAAAGAACAGAGGTCGTAGCATGGGTATTAGAACACGCTCTTTGAAAGAGTCATGTTGGCTAGAAGTGGATTTTTGACGTAAACGTACCCGCATCTCTTTTGTCAAACTTTCATGTCGAAAGAAAAGAGCGATTGCCAAGAAAGACGGAACGGCTAACATCAAAAGAACCCAAAAAATCCATCTCCAAGAAATTGAACCGCCAGCCCAAGTGAATCCTATCAAGCCCATTGGTGTTCCCAATAGCGCACTCAAGGCGAATAATGACATTGGGATTTGACGTTGTTCTGGAGCCCAGATGTCGGATAATGTTCCTCCGACCATCGTTGAGCCTGCCGAACCCACTGCTCCAGAGATAAATCGGGAGATCAAGACGGTTTGAATATTTTGTGCCAAAGCGTTTGGCAAGAAAAAGAGAAAGAACAGCGCAAATGTGATCAAATAGACTGGTTGCCGTCCAAATCGTTCTCCCAACGGAGCCAAGATGATCGGAAAGATGGCAACAGTGAATGTAAAGAATGAGATTCCACTTACAGTCAAAAGGTAAGAAGAATGTAAATCTTGTTGGATTCCATCAACCGCTTGTGAATATGCAGATGCTGCAACCGAGATCAAAGATGACATATAGCATGATGCAATCGTTGCACTCCATTTCTTTCGAGTTGACCAAGTTCGGCTATTTCTTGGATCACGATCCCAATCCACTTCTTCATCCTTCACAAGCCCTGTTGCGAGGATTTTCTCTCCCGCCATTGTGCATCGATGAATCAAGCAGATTCAGAGGACAAATCTCCTCTTTCAGTATCACCCAACAGATTGTGAGGAATAATTCAGCCTCATTTCGCTAATGGCCGTCCTTGTGAGAGTGTGAAGTGAAGGAGAATGATTGGTAATGCAGAATTCGAAATTGATAGCTTGCAATTCACGCTAAGTATACTTTTGCAAAAGTGGGGAAGATCTGATTTACGCGTCAAGCAGTCAATGATGGTTATGTATGTATGTATGCAGCATTCATTCACGAGTCACTACAAATGGGGGGGAGAAGAAAACGGGAAAGAAGAAACAATGAAAGGGGTATTGATCATGAAAATGGTTCTGAGTTTGCTGTCCGAGAGGTCTTGTTCAATGCTAGAGCTAGAGATTAACGGGTACCATTTGTGTGTTACCGTGTTGATCGACTACTGCTCTGTATACTTGACCGTCGATCGGACCGGCTGCTTGTTGTTGTTGCTGGGGTGAAGTTGGATGACTTTCAGGAGCGACAGCTGTCTGATTGACAGATTGCTGTTGCGGTTGAGAAATAGCCCCAGTTGCATATTGTTGCTGATGCTCAGCAGTGGATTGTTGCCATCCAGCTGGAGTTTGAGGTTGCTGTGGTTGTGGCATACTGACGGGCTGAAGGTTGTGTCCTTGAGAAGAAGTGACAATCATTCCATCTCCTTTACTGCTACCATATTCACCGCCATCAAAAGAGGGATTACGTAAGGACGTCTCATCTTCTTCACTTGTTCGACGGTCCAAAACGAGAGTAACACAGATTGCAACGCAGGCCAAAAAAGCAAAGACCCAAAATGCAACCGTTGCTGCAGCGATTGCGACGATAGGACCGAGAGAGCCGAGCAAACCAAAAGAAACGATTCCAAAGATGAAGTAAAGCACCGTGAAAATGGCAAAGACCAAAAAGAATTTCTTGAAAAGTGTAGTACGTTTGTAAATTGAACTTGAAGCGTCTTGCATTTGATTTGATTGAGGGAGATCATTGGTATTCGCATGGATGTTGTTGTTTTGAGAACTCGTAATCTTCTCTTGAACATGGTTGTCCTGTTTACGGAATGTGATCATGAACGCAATACCGGTAGCCAAAAGAGCAACAATTGTGACCAATTGCAAAACGTAAAATGCCAAGATTGCTGCAGTCCTGCTTTTGGCTTGACTTACAGTGAATATTTTACGTTTTTGTAATGTGTGTTCCACATGTGTCCTTTGTTCGCGCTTAGTCAATGGTGCAGGAGTGTAATGAGGAATTTGACGGACAACGGGTGCAACAGTTGGAGATGCTCTCTTTTCTTCACGTTTTGCAATCCCCGTTGGCTCTGCTTCACGTTTACGAAATGTAAAACTGTATTTGGAGTAGATTGAACTTAAAGCAGAATCATAATCATAGGTTGAATAAAGGTCTGGATCAAAGCTTGAGTAGGTGTATGGATCGTAAGTTGAAAACGCACTTCCAAACACACCACCTCCATCACTGTATTGTGTTGAATAGGCAGGACGATAAGAAGATGTGAGACCTCCGATTTCGCCACCAACACCACCACCGCCTGAAGAGAAGTCTCCTAAATTACTATAGTATTTCACCAATTGGCTTAAACCTGCCACGCCATCTGCAACCAGTCCCAATGAAACCAAGAGAAAAATAGCCGAGATGGGGATGACGAAGAATGCTAGTGATCGCATATTTGCTTGAAAGGGATGAAGAGGAGAGAGGATCCAAAGATCTAAGGGAGACACGTTTGCAAAGATGCACAAAGAAAGGCCGTTAAATAAGTTTCTCCCAAGGTCAAAGTGAAACCCGCATTTTTACGAGAGCTCAGCGGTGAACTTGATCTACAATCAGATTTCAAAGATTTCAGGCACACAGGCAGTTGCGGGCGGTGAAGTGCATATCTGTCACAATAAAAGACGACAGCAGCTTCGATGGTTTGACATATAAGCAACAATTGACAGACTAGAGACATGAATTGGCCGTTTTTTATTGCTTGGCCGTCAATTGTACTTAGACATATTCTTGGCATTAATTGATATGACGCATACACGGTGTGTCAATTTGAATCATACACTGCACGTCACCTTTGAAGTCACACAATCAGTTGAAAGAGCCCGTCAAAAGGTGTTAATGCATTACGCCATTCGTACAGCTACAGTGCGCGCTGAGCAGTGACAGGTCAAAATGAATGTTAAGGCACATCCACTCACGCTAGCTGTACAAGCACTGCACACACACACACACACACACACACACACACACACACACACACACACACACACACACACACACACGGGAAGCTTAGGGGGAAAAGAAAGATCTTTTGCACCTAATCTGCCTTCGGCCAAACACTCCTTTTTTCCCACCCAAAATCATTCATACGAATCCTTTTGTTTTTGTTTAACCGAGACCCGATTTACCGAATGATGATTTAATCAGTCAGTCTGGATAAACTCAACCTTTTCACGAGGTGACCATACGATATAAATCATCTGCAACACCTTTTCCCACCTTTCAACTTTAGCTCTTGCGCGTTCTTTTCAACCATTTCTTCTTTCCATTTCTTTTCCCACAACCCTTCTATTACGTCCTACCTTCAAGAGCTAGATCTCCCACCTTAATACTTAGACATTCTTTTTTGCTTGTATAGCTTCTATTCAGATGACCATCACCTTCTAGCATCGGAAGTTGAATTAAAGTATTTTAAGCAGGATGTATCGGGAGATCTCCAGCCATGGTACATCACTTTGAATTCTTATTGCTTGATTTGACATGGATAATTGAGATTAAAGTGATGATTTTAGTATGCCATCTTCCATTTCTCCTATGCTACAGGGAAAGCATGATTCGTGGTAGAACACAAAATGCTCACGTGAGGGAACATGGAATTCACGGAGATGTTGTGTCGGCCACTCGGTCTGTACCCCGGATTAAATAAGCAAAGCCTCAAGCCACATCTCCGCTTATAACATCTAGTTAAGGATCAATATAGATGATAAGACGATAAATAAGCATAATATGGTGAAATACTTGCAGATTACCGTGCAGCACCGTAAGCCTCTTTTGCCACTTTTTGGCGATATGAAACTAATTGCAAGAAACAGTGCATCAGAAATAACCTTCTTTTCTTCTCCTCATATGGGACACTAACCAGTATATTGAGATATAAAGAGATCTAGAACGAATGCATGTTTTTAATTTGAAATACATAAATTGATAACTGACTAGACATCTCAATCACCGCGGTCTCGAGTCCGTGTGTAGTAGTGTCAGACGATATCTCTCCTTGCTTCAATAAGTCTTTATCTCTTCACTCTTCGTCTGTACCATATGGATTTAATGTGCCGGATCGGCAAGGTTGCATGCATGAATAAAAAAATACGCGAGCGAGTCTTATTTTCTTTTGACTGACTGCACTTTAACCGTTAACGCGTATTTTACCCTTTACCCCTCCTTTTTTCGTACCGCTTCTTACCGCCGCTTCTTTCCTTTCTTCCCGCCGGCTTTTTCCCCGGTCCGCTCTTTTTTGATAAGACAAACGGTAGATTATCAGTCTGTCTTGCTTATCATCAAAATCATGTGGTACATGCGTCGTGTGTGTGTGGGTTATTGCACCCCCTCCCAATTTATCCTTATGCGTTCCTGCATTTCTTCTTCGCTCGTATAAATTGGATCATTCTTCTTCCAATCAACTTTATTCTCGTTCATCCATCTTCCATTTTTTCCTTCTTCCTCTCTCCTGGCAAGCAAGCAAAAATGAGTACTGAAGAAAAACGATCCCCTGACGAAATTCAGTCAGAGCTACCAAAGTATGAGCTTACAACAGAAGAACAAGTAGTCAATGCTGCTTTTGGTGGCGCAAGCGCAAGAGGTGCAACATTGGAAGATTGCATGTACTATGCTGATCAACAATATTATTGCAATGATACCACCCCTCTCGAAGCATTCACAAAAGAACCAACGGGAAAAGGAAATCTTGTTCGTAGATTGTTCAAAAGAAAGAATGATGCAGTCGAATCTTCAGCCAGCTCTCAAGCCGTTGTTGAAAAGATTGATGAATTCCCTGGACCTGAGATCAAAAAAGGACCTTTACGTTTCATTTGGGGTCCATCTTCTCCACCATTGCAAATCGCACCTCAAGATGAAAAAGCTCAACATGAAAATGCAGTCGTTCATGCCGATGATCTTGATCCAGATGATGAACGTAATCAAGACACAATGGACAGATTGATCTTACGTCAAATTACTTGGATGAGATGTGTTTATTTGATCACTTCTGATGTCTTGGGTCCTTATCAAGGTCCATATGTCTATTCTCAAGTAGGATACGTTCCAGGTACAATCGTTTACGTTGTTATGGGCCTCATGGCTTATTTGGCAGGATGCATCTTGAGTGTCTTATATCTACGTACGGATTCTGATCGTATGCCTGTTCGTAGCTTCGGATCTTTGGTCGGTCGTGTTTGGGGCTTTTGGGGTAAAGCGGTCACAGATGTCTTCTTTATCATTCAACTTATCTTCCAATGCGGTCTTTTACTTTTGACAAACTCTCAAGGTCTTGGAATGATTATCGATGGTTCAGGTACAAACCCTGATGGATCACCAAAACATCATTTATGCTTTTCAGTTATGATTGTCGTCTTTTTGGCCATCAATATCGGATTTTCTTTCATCAGATCTTTGAAGCCAATCGCAAAAATGGGTACTCTTTCCCTTTACTTGGCAATCGCTTCCGTCATCATTATCACCGTTTTCATTTACATTTCACCTCCAAACTATGCCGCAGCCTTGCAAGCATTCGGAACTCCAAAAGGACCCGTTGTTACAGGTGCATTTATCTCTTTGCCAATAGCAGCAAAAGTCAACGGTATCATGAACATGGTTTATGCATTCGGAGGTAGTATGGTGTTCCCAAACTTTTTCGCAGAGATGCGTAAACCATGGGATTTCTACAAATCCTACTTTGTTGCTCAAGTGATCATTATGATCTTTTACATCTTATTCGGTATTCTCATTTACGCACGTCAAGGTCAATTCACTCAATCTTTGTTCTACTTTGGCGTAAGTGAATACTCTTACCAAACCGTTGGAAATGCAATCGGAACATACACAGGTGTTGTTGCTGCTATCTTATATGGTAACATTGCACAAAAGGAATTATACCAAATCATCGTTCGTAGATTGTTCAAAGGTCCAAGATTGATGTCAAACAAAGCATTGCCTTTCTACACAATCATCAATGTGGTTTTCTGGGGTATTGCATACAACATTGGTGCTGCCATTCCTCAAGTTCAAACTGTTTCAGGTATTATTGGAGCCGTAACAATTCTTCAATTCTCCTTCACTTTCCCATTCTTGCTCAAATTCACTTTTGACGTTCAAGTTGACGCAATGAAGGGTGATCTACCTTATGTTCCTGGTACGATGGGCAGAGTTCAACACAGAGCTGATACTTGGTCGCAATGGTCTCGTTGGCGCAGAGGTTTGTTCGGCGGTAATGTGTACAGTAAAGCTGTTTTCTTGATCCTTGGTTTAGCTTCTGCTTCTATGGCTGGCTTGGGTATTTATGGTTCATTAGAATCGATCATTACCACTTTCGCTTCGCCACAAACAACTAAACCTTACGGTTGTGCTACGCCTTGATTTCTCTTTTGGGTTATCAAATATGTCATTGTATGAAGTTTTCGTAAAATAATGATGATGACTTTCCGCTTTACTAAGTTTTGTTTGCCTGATTGGCTGAAAAGTTCAGGATCTATCATTCAAGTATGATAAAGACTTCATCTGAGAGACCGATGCATTTTCCGTGTATTCCGAAGAATCGCTGGTACGTTAATAGTAACAGCAAGCTAGACAAAAAGCGCAATAAGATCATTGCAGCTGCTCTTTGCGTGCTGTACCTGAAAAGTCTTTTCAAAGGCCAACATTGTTTAGTGGAATTACCCTTTTATCCGACCAATATTCATACTTGCTTTAAGATAGGCATTTAATCATATTCGTTCATATGTACCATAAAGAAAAGCATTTCTACAGAAAGAGAAGGCTTGATTCCGTGCCTTAGAATGCCTAAGTCGTGAGGCTCTATACGGTAATTCTTTATTTTCCCACCGTACGGAGATCTATTCCGTACGAAAATGCTAAAACAAGCAAGGCGTTGAGGCATGGTGGCGCAAATTGCTTCGTTAGCGTCTGATGCTTAAAGCATAATATAGCAATCAAGCAGGCATAAGAACACAGGATTACAAATACTCAATCCATTTTAATCGTCATATATTCCCATGGTAGCTGTCAAGCGGGCCGAGGTGTTGATACGTATTCTTTTCACATGAATTATAGACTTTATGATAAAAGCTTGATAATACCAGAGAAGGGTCATGCTTCCGGGCGTGTGAATGATCACCTTGAAAGGACATTCTGCTATTCTATATAAGGATCAAGCTCTCCACTCCAAAATCAAGACATTTCATCTCCCTATCACCACATTAATTCATTACAATCTTATCATCACAATATAGAGATATATATATAAGATATGGCAACTAAGACAGCCTCCGGCCTCAATGTGCCAACAGCAAGAAGAATCCCTGGTCAAGCAGAAGCAGAACGAGCTGCCAAAACTGCCGAAGCAGCTGCACGCGCATTGAAAGAAGGTGAACTCAAAATAAGTGAAACACAATTTCAAGATGGTCAATTCAAAGAAGAACAACCTGATGTTTGGGAAGGTTATGTTGAATGGGAAAAATATCCTGAAAAGAAACGTCTTGCAGGAGAATTGATGAAAGCAACAAAATTTCCACCTCCACCGGAATTTCAATTGGCTCCGGTTCCAAAACGTAATCCGGTTTTATACGGTGATATTTATAAAGATTTCCATCATACTGTCGGAATGGACTCCGTTCCTGAATATAGCTGGGGATGTGTCTTGAAGGAAAAGTCAAAGACTATGAATCACGTCCTGGCTTTCCCATACAATGGTGAACCCAACCATTTAGAATTGTTGAAAGATCCAGTCACGCCTAACGATCATCATTTCGTCAGAAACCACGGTGGAATTCCAAAATGCATCAATCCTGACAAGTATGAAGTCGAAATTAGTGGAAAGATCAACAAAAAAGCTTCACTCAAACTCTCTGATCTCAAAGATCCTAAACAATTTCCTCAACGCAAATTAGCCGTCACTTTGCAATGCTGTGGAACAAGAAGAATCGAACAAATTGCCTTATATCCAGGTCACGGTCTTTTGGTCCCGTGAGTGCTACAGATTGAAAGATGTCCGACGATATGCTAACCATTTCCTCCTCCTTCCAGCAACGCTCCATGGCCAGAAGCTGCAATTGGTAACGCAGTGTACACGGGTGTCTATCTTCAAGACGTTTTAGAAAAAGCTTGCGGAGGAATAACAATCGATCGTATGCAAGCACATGCAGAATTCATTTCTGCCGATACGTATTTCAAGTATGATACACTTTACAATTATGCCGTCAGTGTTCCTTATAGATTCGTTGATAAGGAAAATGTAATGTTGGCTTGGGAAATGAACGGTGAGCCCTTGCCCGAAATCCATGGCTTCCCATTACGGGTTGTCGTTCCAGGCGTTATCGGAGCAAGATCGGCAAAATGGTTAACACGTATCAATATCTTGGACGCTCCTTCTTTGGCTCCTGTTCAATCAAAAGAATACCTTTATTACTCCGGTCAATTTGGCAAACATAATACACTTTTCAGCAACGGTTTCAGTATCGAACGTATGCCCGTTTCTTCCGCAATCATGACACCAAACGATGGTGATATTATCATTCATGATGGCAAGCTACACCTTGAAGGTTGGGCTTATTCAGGTGGAGAAAATTGGGTGGAACGAATCGAATGTAGTGTTGACGGTGGTTTCACGTGGTATGTTGTGCCTGAAGAAAATATCTCAAAGAAGCACTACTATACTTGGCGTTTATGGAAATACGACATTCCTTTGGATGCTGAAGGCTGGTGTGAAGTACTCGTAAGAGCCTGGGACAGTTCCTGCAACACACAGCCAATCTCTGTTCGCTCTGTTTGGAATTGGGATCTTCACGTGGTGAGTAGAAAGATGAAGAAGACACTTTTATTCCTTCCCATATACTGACAGTCCACTATCCCCCTTCTTAGACACAATCTTGCCATAAGATTAAACTCTACAGTGTGAACCGTACTAAGCCTCTTACTGCACAACGTTTGAAAGAATACGAAGACGCAGGCATTGATTTCGCTGCCGAGCCAATTACTAGACCTGTTCCTTGGCCGTTGGAGGATATGGACACGTATCTGGCAAGAGTTCGCAAGTATCCCAGAGAACCAGTCGATTGATTTCATACTATATGCCTTACCAACTTCTGGTACAGGCGCTACAGCTATTTCATTGGCAGAATATAATGCTTTGATACGTTTACGAGCTCAGTGTGGTTATATAAGGTGTGTTGATAATGATATAAGCAGTATAATCCAAATCAATTTGTTTAATTCAATACAAGTTTTTGTGAAATTTGTTGTGCTAAAGTCTCGTCAACTCGTTTCCATACGGCCAATGCTCTTGTGAAAACGTGTTTCTTGCAGTCCGGTCGAACTTTGTTCATACTGTTACTAACATCTTTGACAAAGCGTTGACGTTCTTCATCCGAAAATACTTTTGTGTACAAGGTTTTTGGACCAGCAAAATCGGCATCTGAAATCTCGCTCAGAGACATGACTGCTTCACTTTCATGCTTTGAGTACAATTTCGTATAAGGGACTGGATCAGGTTTATAGTCCAAAGGATAAAGACTGCTTGGATAATTTGGCCGTGCACCCTGATTATCAACAGCATGTGCTCCATCTCTGGCAAAGTTCATATAAGGATATTGAACCATTGCTTTGTTTACTGGTAATTGTTGCCAATTTGCACCTACGCGATAGCGAGCAGCATCAGCATATGCGAATAAGCGTGCTTGCAGCACGGGATCTGCTGAAGAAGCAAATCCTGGAACCATATTTGCGGGTGAGAATGCAGATTGTTCGACCTAAGAAGAGGGTAATATTAGCTAAACAACTTTTTGAATGTGGACCGAACAGCATACATACCTCTGCAAAGTAGTTGCAAGGGTTCTCGTTCAGCTCCATTTCACCAAACCAGCGAATTGGATATTTGTCATAAGGCTATTAAAGAGAAAGTTAGCAAGACTGAAAGCGCAAGATATACTAGAGGTATTTATGTTCACTCACCCAGGTCTTTGTCATGTCTAAGACATTGATGCCAGACTTTTCTGCTTGTTCTTCGGTCATAGTTTGAACACCAATCTTCCATTTTGGGAAGTTTCCTTTTTCAATATTCTCGAAGAGATCGCGTTGAGCATGATCGGGAGATACCTTTGCCGCTTCTTCTTCTGTTAGTCCTTCTACACCTTGTGCACTCTTGAAGTGAACTTGAACAAATACCCATTCCCCTTTCTTGTTATACATCTTGTATGTATGACAACTGTAACCGTTCAGATGTCTCCAACTTTTTGGAATGCCTCTGCTACCAAAGATGTAAGTGAACTGATGCGCAGCTTCAGGATTTGTGCCGAAGAAGTCCCAAAACATTGTTGAGTCGTCTGCTAAGCCCAAATGACTTCTAGGATCGCGTTTTGCGACATGGTTAATGAAAACAAACTTGGTTGGATCACGAATAAAGAACACAGGAGAGTTGAGGAAGACCCAATCCATATTACCTTCTTGTGTTTTAAGTTTGATGGAAAATCCACGTGAATCTCTAGCTGCATCTGTTGAGCCTGCTTCACCTCCAACGGTGGAAAAACGAATGGTCAAAGGGCATGAATTACCTTTTTTGCTAAATAAATCAGTCATGCAAAGATCGGAAATATCATCTGTGCACGTAAATGTACCATGAGCTCCACTGCCTTTTGCATGAACGACTCTTTCCGGGATACGCTCACGGTTAAAGTGACTTAGCAGTTCGATCAAGTCTATAAGTGGGAATGGAAAAGTAAGTGACGTGCTTTATGCTTGATGAAATATGTTCACTCACGAGCATCTTGTAAAAGAACTGGTCCTCGCTCGCCAGCTCGCTGAAAAGCATTGGCGCTAGGTACAGAGATACCGCTTGCCATTGAGTAAACACCGCCCATATCATGGGGGTCTCCTTGAGCTTGTTTGACCATTATTTGGGTGTTGTGATTTTGCAGAAAGATATATATTTGGGCTGTCAACAGGGTGTATAGAGTAGATAGCTCTCAAATTGCATTGGTAATTTATACGTTTTAATGAAGAAATACAATGATTGGTGGAGGGACTGATTGACTTGCTTTAAGTGTATTGGTTAATGTGACTTTCTTACGAGTAAGCTGTCCAATCAATTTCACATTCGTATAGTCGGACGGCCCGAGTAGGATTGCGTGGGTAATTGCTTGTACATTGACCTATTCAAATCAAGAATGCATTCTTCATTGACGAGCGTATAGCTTTTTGTTCAGCATAAATGCCCAGTTATGCTTTGATTTTAGGTTAAACATATATGGAAATCTGCGAGATGAATACACATGCATCGATATCGTACTTACGCTAACGTCTTTCCCAGGTCCGGTTGACCTTTTCCGTTTTTAGCTTTAGCCACAATGCATGGCAAAGCGGGCTAAGGTGAAACAAGCTATTGTTACAATAGGGTAAAGGTCACGACTCATTAAAGCTTTCTGAGAATTTGAACCTAAGCACAAGCTTGTTCTACTTCAAATATGCATTCATGTAATTACGATTGGCTATCTGCTTTTATCAGCCTCCAATTCTAATCATAGACCTGTTTTGCTTCGCCGTTTCTGCAAGACTCTGCAAGTTGTTTTGACCTCCATGTCGTGCATGTTTACGTCCAACAGCAGCTCCGATGATACTTTTTAGCGATTCATCCGAGTTTTCTCCCATAAGAGGATCCCTCCTCATTTCATCGCGTAAAGAGACTTCTTCTTGACCAAACAAACACACTTTGATCTTTCCATCAGCTGTAATCCGAAGTCTGTTGCAAGTTCCACAAAAATGTTCTGTCATACTTGTTATAAATCCTAATGAACTTGAATGACCGTCGACCTGATAATGTTTTGTGGTGTCATTTGAATCATCTTTGATTTTATTCAGAGGACCGAATTCGCTTTCGATTCTTTCAATCAGTAGTTTGTAAGGCACTAACTTTTCCATTCTCCATCGGTTTCCATCAAAAGGCATATACTCGATAAAGCGAATGGTTATAGGCTTGTCCTTTGCCCAACGCACAAATTGAAGTACATCCTTGGTATCATTCACGCCTTGCAAAACAACAACGTTTACCTTGACACTTGGTATTCCCATTTGAAGTGCTAAATCAATTCCATCTAGCACTTTCTGTAAGCCAGCAGCAGGTCTTCTAGTCATCAATTCGAACTGGAAAGGATCGAGGGTATCGAGAGAAACATTGATGTGTGACAATCCTAGGCTTGCCATTTGAGGCAATAAACGTGTCAATAAAAGTCCATTCGTCGTGATGCCAATTTGCTTAAGCCCAATTAGATCTGAAGGATGCTTTTTCCTTAGCTCAGATAGATTTTCCATTATATCCATCAAATCTTTACGAAGAGTGGGCTCGCCACCCGTTAAGCGAATTTTATCCACTCCTTCTTGAACAAACAACCTTGCCAAGCGTCCAATTTCTGATGATGTGAGAGCATCATCTTTTGGCATTAATGGGATCCCTTCATTTGGCATGCAATATACACATCTCAAGTTACACTTTTCCGTTAGTGAGATACGGAGGTATGTATGTTGCCGGCCGAATTTGTCTAATAGAGGTGATGATGTCACAGAATGAGGATTGATTGAATCAATTTCTGCAATTCTTCTTCTTGCTTTTTGGTAAAGATCCAATGGTATTGTCTGGCGAAGTGAATCTGGCTGAAACGGTGTGTTTGGTTTAATTTCCTCTATATAAGGCTTTCGAGTTGTAGATGTAGTGATGATACCTCTTCGGAGAAATTGATTGTCACATCTTCTGTTAGACCTAAGGAGAGGCTTGATTGATTGTGACAATGCTATACGCATCTTGATTGATCTTTCTGTGGTAATGATGGGGGTATTCAGACCTGCTTTGCCGGATAATCTCCATAGCGAGAGTGAGAGAAGGGCAGATTATATAAGCTGTGAATCTCACTTCCATCCACCCTTCAGGTACTGAGTTACCTTCCATACATCGTGGCTTGTGCTATAGTGTTGCGTACCTGTTGCCCACCTGTAAAACGATATGATGGAAAAGAGTTAAGTTTGACTTTCCCACAGATAATCTTCTCGGCCCGTGAATTAGAGTTAAAGGTGGTTTGGTTGTGCTTCCCGCTAAAAAATTAGCGTTTCATCCTTTTTGTCAACCCCACTTTGATCAACGCAGCTGCATCCGTTGAGACATTTAGTAAAATCAAACTGAGCTACTGCACTGAAATAAAGGGCCCGTAATCATCAATTTTACAATCAGTAAGATCTTCCTTCGGACCGACCGAGATAATGGCTTTGCATGAGAAAAGTCAGAATTTATATGTGTGAATAGGATCCCGACCCGAATGTCCGAAGATAAGACGTTGCCAAGTAGATCAAACACGGCACAGACCCTACCTTCACATATAGAGTGAGTGCAGCACTGGCGTATCTTTTGAATTAAAGTTCTAGACGTGTGTCTTACCTGCATGTTAGGCACATGTTCTTCCTCTTTCTTGACTACATTAACGAATACATAAGGCCTCTTCAATCTTCTCCCCTTAAACCCATCCTCCATCCCCCTCCCAAAAGCTTGTGTTCGCAACTCTCTTATCTGCAAAATGAGTCTCGCAGGAATCGTCATCCTCACCCGTCATGGTGACCGTCAAGGATTCTATCAATCTCCAACGACGTATAGTGCAAGTCAAACCAATTTGACAGTACTTGGCTATTTACAAGAATATCAAAATGGTCAAGATTTACGTTCGACCTATTTGACAGGAACACAAAAACCAATTTCAGGAATTGCCGTAGATACTGCCCAAGATGCACAAATGTCCGTCGAGGCAGACGGTGCAGGTGAAGGTGAAGTGATTATCGATTCTGCAAACGCTTTATTGCAAGGTCTTTATCCTCCATTCAACGATACAATCACCTTGGCAAACAGTACAGCCGTAAGCTGGGATAGAGCGCAATTGATCCGCGTTAATACAATCGAAGAAGATGAAATTTCTTTGGAAGGTTGGACTGATTGCAATACATGGACAACACGTTTGAACGATTGGTACAACAGTAGCGAATTCGTCGCCCAATCAAAGATTGCCAATCCTTTTTTTGCCTCACTTAAAAACGTACTTGGCAATCGTCCCGCAACATTGACAAACGCATGGAACTTATTTGATTTCTTGAACGTCAACTATATTCATAATGCAACAATTATGAATGAGATCACTCCTGATCAACTGGCACAAGCTCGTTATTGGGCAAATTATCATGAGTCAGGCAGCTTTGCCGATTCCAACCCAAGTAACATCGGTAACGTAGCCGGTCAAACTATGCTTCCAGGATTGATGTCAGATATTCAACAAATTGCAAATGCAAGTAACCCTCTCAAGATTGCATATACTGCAATTTCTTATAAGCCTTTCTTGAGTTTATTCTCAATTTGGCAAAGCGGTGAAGCTTTAAGTTCAAACATTGTGGAATATGCTAGTGCTTTGGTTATCGAAGTTCATACAGATAATACGCTCAACTTTGTCTTCCGCAATGGTACTCAAGGTGACTTTGAGCCTTTTTCAGTCTTGGGCAGCAGTCAAAACCTTCCAATCAGTACATTTATGACTGAAATGGAAAAGTATCAATTACTAACTTTGGCTTCTTGGTGCGATGCTTGTTCGACAACTGAAGAGCGTGGCTGTAGCACTCTTGCTGCTTTAAACGGTACCGGTGGTGCAGGATATGCAAGCATAGATAGTACGATGGGTTATCATAGGGTCTCTCCTGTTGTAGCAGGTGTGATTGGAGCAATGGTCACTTTGGCAGTCGTTGTAATTGCATTATTACTTGCTTTCTTGGGTAAGTCACTATTGGGCAAAAAGAATAAATCTCGCAATTCTATTCAAAATCGTCCTCTTTACGCTCAAAATTCGCGCGAAGGTCAAAATACCATTTCGGGATCTTCCCATGAAAAATCAAGTGAACATGAGCAACAGGTTTAGAACTACTCTATTTTAGCTTCTGTAAAGTGAAACATCCGCATCCTTTCTATTTCGAATTTTGCCGTTCCTGTATCTTTTCTGGTTTTTTCGCAATGTGATGAGTTGAACTTCTTGAACTTGGTACTATTAAACGTTCCTAGCTGATTTCTAGTGTCCCTTTTGGTATAAACACCTCACCGTTCCCATGGTTTGTTTCATTCGGGCGGTCCGAGCGTTGCGCTATGAATTCCACTCCGACTAAAAGATACCCTTCTGAGGTTAAAGTTTCAATTGGTTCGTTTAGCTGCAAATGCAATAGCATAATCGTTGAGGCAAATCGGATAATTTATTTCTTTAATCTTTAATTAACTTTGTCCTGCATTTTTATAGTGATAAGATTCGTCGAACCAGCTTGATGAATTGTCGAAATCGATAGCCTAGATCCAGAGATGCCGAGTTATATGTTCCGCAGGTGAACAGTGAAGCTTATGTTCTCATAGACAGGACCAAGCTGCAATAGCCCGTCCGACAGCTGAGACTGAGCTGATGTGAACAGGGTTCGGTCCGTGCGGCATCAAAGTGTCACATCTAAGCTAAATTACTCTAATGAGAATACTGACCATGAAATAATAATATCTTATCGCCATATATTTTTCAAAACATATTTAAAAGCGTCATGGCCTAATGATCTTTGAGAGATTCAGATTCTTTCGATATATTTAGCAATGGGTTCAAGGCCTGCTAATCTCTTACTCTGCCAGACGTAAACAATGATCAATCACGGAAATACGATATCGGGGAGCATGTTGCTAGATACAGTGCCGGAAGAGGCAGAAGAGAATCAGACATCAAACAAACCTGACCAAGTAAATGAAAAGACAAAGAGTGCAAACTTAGGTCTGATGAGACCGCCTCTATTCCCACCGACAAGGATGGATACGAGAAATGATAGAAGATGTAGCTCAAGTTCTTCTTCATTAGATTCTTCTGAAGTATCTAGCGATAGCTTTGAATTCCAACCTCCGCTTCCAAACGGGCAGTATAGTTTCATCACAGCAACCTATCGGGCTCAACTAAAGAATAACAACTCATCCAGCACTTTCGACGGTAGTATCACTTCTCAGATTCAATCTGGTTCATTCACAAAGTCACCTTCATGTTCTACAACAAAGAATTCATCTAAAGCTCTTACAAAGGGTATTCAACTTATTCCTGTGGGGATGTATAACGATAATATAGGTACGAGAAGAATGCAAGAGCTACAAATGCCTGCTTTTGAAGCTTTGCAATCAAGGAGATATACGCCAAAAGCCATTACTGATCAAAATACAACTACATCGCAAAGTAGTTCACTAAAACTTCAAAGTTCTCCCCAGAGTAGACGTCATAAAGCGCTTAAACATTGGTGGGATGCAGAAATACAGGCAAAGAAACCTGACAAGCCAGGGAAGCCCCTTTGCGCAAAAGGTTGCGTTTCTCCATCAGGTACAATGAATGATGTGCAAGATAGCTCAAATGACGGTATAAGGGAAGGCTTTGTTCCATTTACCCCAAACAAATTCTTCGCACCTCCTCAACACATAGCACCGCAGGATGCAGTTCAACCACCGCGCTCACTGGAAATAGAAAGCGAAAGGATAAAATCAAGACTATTATGGGAAGCTGTTCAGGATGGCTTGGTGACTTTGGACACTATTCTAGCACTTCCTTTGAGCTGGGGAGATTTATGTGTGGAGCATTATGAGGATATTGGGCTTATTTCGCCAACAGAATCTACAAGAAGTGATAAAATAAAAGGTACCTTGACATCCGTCTATCCGATAGAGAATCCACTAACGATAAAAGCAAGGAAAGAGATGAAGGTAAATAGTAATAAAGAGAATAATCAATCACCCGCACTGCTGTTCAAAGGAGATAAAGCAAAGATTATGTTACAATACACCAAATGAGATTTTGTATTACATGAGGAAAATGCATTAAGGTTGTTGATTGAGAAAATTCATTTCAGGATCAGATTCAAAAGCAAGTTGCATGGAGGTTTGGTCACCATTCTCATTTACACCAGAATTGAAGTTTGATACACTTGTTGAGCCACTTTGATCATTTGATGGTGTCAAGGAAGGAGGCACTAAGCTGTCCAAAAATGAGTTCAGCCATGTTTCGTTGAATGGATCGGTTGTCATATGCCCAGACATACTAGACAGAATATTTTCTGTAGAAGAGATTTAGAGTAAGCATGACATGCACGTTTTAAGGTAAAACTTTTTGAGCTTACCTGTCGAATCTGCTTGGGAGTCGTTTCCAGAGATTGGCACGTTGGTGTCAGGCTGAAGATTTTGGTTCAGATTTCTTTCTACAGATAGAGACTGACTCTCAAGACCGCTGTTTCTCTCTGATCGAGTTTGATTGCCGGCATTTAGCGTTTGATCGGCATCTGAGGCAGATTGAAATTCGTCTAGATTATTAGTCGGAAAGCTGGGAAAGCGATAATTTGTGTTGTAATCGAACCTTTTATATCTTAACAAAGCTGCTGCTTTCCTCTCGCTAGAAGCTTTTGCTAGATCATTAATTAGCGACAATAGCCACCTTCCGCTGAAACGGGCAAACGAACTCGAATGCAAGTGATCCGATCCGCTTCCGGCTAACAAAATTGCAAGACGAGTAGCTAACAGACGCTGATCACGATATCTCAGCTGGAGAAGACAAGGGGGAGAAGTAAATTGTCAGTAAGTGCTTCGTTATTTGTACTTCATTGGCACGAACCTGTAGCATAATCATTACGCTCCATGTGACCATCGAAACAATATTGCGCCCTAATTGATGAGCTCGATATTGAAAGTTGTCAAGGAAGAATTTACAAAAAGCGATTGACATCTTGGCGCATTGATCTTCCAGTGAATCCGGGACCATATACATGGGCTGATCTGAGATCTTTGAAGTGTGCAGGACCGTAACATTGATTAGAAGTTGAATATGCGAACCGACAACCATCAATACACTTTTAAGCACAAAATGCCCTTGCAGCTTAGGATGTTGAACATAACGTTGTTGCCAGCTTTCAAAAAGTGTATTAAAGCTAACACGAATACTTTCCAAGGATAAAAATCGATGTTCTTCCATCTTCTGTAATTGTGACCGTGTATAAAATTCAATCCTGCGCAAATTTAGATAAGCACAATGTTGAGCATCACCAGGTGTCGCACGTTCATCTTCTGCCCATTTGTCTAATTGATTCCATTGAACGTCTAGATTGATCACAGACACCATTCCATGCAGCGATCCTAAGCTACGTTGTAGAAGTACTGCAGTTGCCCATGCTCGTTCCGTACTGCGCTGTTCATGATCGTCTTTCAATTGACCATCCAAAGTGGATCGAATTGTTCTTAAACGTTTACCCATTCCTAATTCACTTGCGATCCTTCCGGCTGTATCGATAAGCGTCCAACAGCGATCTTCCCGAGCAAAAGCAGGTTTTGTCATGAATAAAAATGTTAAAAGTAAAGTTTTCACAACCTCTGTACTTTTTGCATTTGAAGACAGTAGCAGAGAAGTACAGTGATCCATACTTCTTAGCAATATTGGAGAACAATGACGTGAGATTGCATTCTGCTCGTCGATACTTGCCGTTATTGCGCAAATGGTAATGAACAAACTTCTTGAAGATCTTTGGATGGTTTTCCATGAATCATAACGTTGATCTAATAGGCAGTGTTGGACATTTATCGTTTCATAAAATAATTCGAATAATCTTTCAACGTCTTTTTCTTGTAGAATACCACTTTGTATAGGATCCAATTTATCAACTTCAGTTGGTTCCGGTGCGATTGCATCTGCAAAGAAGTTTCTTCTCTCAACGCTTGCTTCATGTAGACATTTTTGTGTCCATCCCATCCGTTCTTTCAAGGCATTTATTTGCTCATCAGTACTCTGCTTATGTTCTAAAATGCTGAAATCATCCGTGTTGTCATCATTGTCCCCTTCTTCTTCATTTCCCAAGATATCTGTAAAGTCTTCCCCTTCGTTTATAGAATACTGATTTGCCGCGTTGTCATCTTGCCTTTCCAGATTGTGCAAGCCGGTTGGATGCGAAGGATCATTTGCATTTCGGATTCCATCCCCAAAGCTTGCTTGTGAGCGATGCTGTAGGATTGCTTCTTCTGGCGATAACAAAGCGACACTTCTTAGTGATTCAAAAGGTGCTGGATTTGATGTGGAAAAGTCAAACATTTGGGTTTGACCGGATGTTTCTGTATTCCTTCTCGCTCTTCTATTTTCCAACCTTGGTCGCTTTGGTGGATTGAGTGAGGTTTCATGATCGGAATGTGGATAATTGTGTTGAAATTGTGTTGATGTGGATGATTGAGGATCTTCACTAGCTAAAGCATCTCTGGGAATCGAGGTGGATGCGGTGGATGGAAGGCGATATAGATTCGGCTGTTGCTGCTGGAAGTGTTGTTGCTGTTGCTGCTGCTGTTGCTGCTGCTGTTGCTGCTGCTGTTGCTGTTGTAGTTGGTGCTGCTGCTGTTGTTGTATTTGGTGTTGCTGCTGTTGTTGTTGTTGTTGTTGCTGCTGCTGCTGCTGCTGTTGTTGTTGTTGTTGTGCATTCTGCTGGGTCATTGCAGTAGGTATGGGTGCTGGCCAAATGCAGACCTTATTTCGAGTCGTACAACGAGAACATTGAAAATCTGCATGCTGTAAACCGTCACATTTTAACTTGGATCTCCGACACCTGTGGCAAGGTAGAAAAGCTTTAGATCATGCATAGATTTGCAACACCCATCAAGTTCTCACTTACTCTAAACAAGCTTGGAAACTTCTCTGAGCTGCATTCTCGGGAAACATCTAGGGCTAGAATGCTATATGGTTGAGCCTTTTTGTTTAGACCTCATCAATAAAATAAAGAAAGAAAAGGATGTTATTGTCGATCAGTTGATGGTATAAGCGAAAGCGAAGATGAAGAAGATCCGGTAACCATTCTTCAAAATCAGCCGAAGCTCTATTTTGGAATGAAGATCGGGAAGTGTTTTAAATTCTGCAAACCCCTTCTCCACCCAATGCTTTCAGCAAATTTTAAACTTTTCTATTCTACATGCATGCAAGTTTAGCCAAAAGGATCAAAACACTAACCCGGCCACGCTAATCACAACCCTGCACTGAGGGACAGCCACTTGATGTATGCATTAAGATGCAGGACGCCATGGCTGTCAAACTGCCGATTGCTAATATGAAACATGTTAACGGGCATATGCACTTATCAGCCGAGTTGTATCGCAGTCTATATTCTATAGGTATTTAGTTCTCGGTGCCGGAGCGGGCTTTAATCTATGCCTTTATAGATTTCTTACAGTACACTATAAATCGAAGAAAGGGTCTATCTCACAGAGGATAATGTGGGAAAGATCTTGTTTATGGCTATTGTTTTCGGTTTATACAAGTAAAAGGTACAAGAAGAAGATCACAATATAAATCTTTTAACCATTTCGGATGTTTGTCCGAGCAACCGAAGCTTCGAAAGGGTGAAATAGAGTCTGAATGCAACAAATGTATCAAATCTACTTTAGCGCGGCAAGATGCGTTTAGTAGTACAACGGACGGAATATTAAACTCGCACTGAAACATTCGCTCGGTCCGAGCGATAAATGCTAGTTGCTTTTGCAAGTGTCCCGCACTTTTCCAATGGACATTAGATCAGCCGTCTTTTGTCACGGGCTGTTTTGACGGATAAAAGTTGTGTCCCACTTCTTGTTCTTTGTTTACCGTGAAGGCGGTAAAAGTCCCCTTGACCGGTTCCGCATCTACCATATAACATCCATAACCCCCTTGTCGCTTTCGCAGGCTAGATGTATACAATCATAAAAACCGGCAACGTACATTCGCGCTCATTTCTATTTCGAAGCATTCCTAACTTTCAACGTACTTTCTCCTCAATGAATCAATGCAAAACACAAAATATTGTTGCCCCTCTAACGCAAAGTGCCACCTTTCTCGTCTTTTCAATAAAAGGTGAACAAAGGGAGAGCATCGAAACCATTAAATCAACACTAGGATCTACTTCTGATCTGATAAAGAATATCAATATTCGCGATAATACAGCACGATTTGCTTGTACTGTTGGTATTGGAAATAAAGCATGGGATTGTTTATTCGGACAAAAAGGAAAACCAAAAGAATTACATGCATTCAAAGAAGTTCGCGGTAAGAAACATGTTGCAGTTTCAACGCCAGGAGATTTATTCTATCATATCCGATCAGATCGAAGGGATTTATGCTTCGAATTTGAGAGGCAATTGACAGATATGTTGGACGATTCTGTTAAAGTGGAAGATGTCACTGTAGGCTTTCGATATTTTGATACCCGTGATCTGCTGGGCTTCGTGGATGGGACGGCAAATCCACAAGATGCAGAAGCACTCGAAGCAGCTTATATCACACCTTCTATAGACCCCTCCGAATCAGCAATAGGCGGAAGCTACGTATTGATACAAAAATATAAACACGATATCAAATCATGGAAAACACTATCAACCGAAAAGCAGGAATCAATCTTGGGAAGAAGAAAGTTTGATAATGTCGAACTTGAAGATGCAGATGAAAAAGCACAAAAATCACATAAAACTTTGTGTACAATTTCCGCTTCTGATGGAGGTGAAAGAGCCATTTTACGCGATAATATGCCTTTTGGTTCACCGGCAGAAAACATGTTTGGAACATACTTTATCGGTTATTCTCGTGAATTGTGGGTAATGGAAAAGATGCTTGAAAGAATGTATTGCGGAGATCCTGATGGACTTCACGATCGTACTTTGGATTATAGTACACCACAAACTGGATCGGTCTTCTTTGCCCCTTCTATGGACGTTCTAGATTCTCTAGGTGATGACTAGGAAGAAAGTTCATGTGAAAAATCATTATATTTTCGTTCTATCATTAGTACATGAAGAGAGGTATATCTATAGATCTGCATCTTTTTTGCTTACCAAGCAATCTTGGCAATGGGGCCGTTCGGGAAAGAGCGAACGAGCAATTTGCGCATTTCGTCTGCAAGCAAAAGTCCAAGAGCAAGAGGAATAGGAATGAGCCAATGTTTGATGGGGACAGAGGCGGTGTTGAACAAGTTCTGCAAGCCGGGTTCTTCAGTAACAAAGATTGCAATGGAAAGTGAGACTAGTGGTCCAACAAAGATCCATAGATTTCTTCTTGATTTCCTGATCGGATCTGCTTGTAATATTGAAAGCTTTTTATTACGAACACTCAACAAGTTACCCATTTGCATGATCACCAATGTGACAAAGTAGACGCATTGACCTGTGTTCAAGAAATGGTTCAGTTCTGCTTGAGTATGACCGTAATAGCCATCGGAATAATGGGCAAAAGCGAAGAACATCTTGTCGATGGGAATACCAGCTGCTTGATAGATGTATAAGAAGAACATTGAGTGGGCTGTGATCGTCATGAGCATACCGATGAAGAGGTAAGATTGACCATAAACCTTTGCATTGACAAGATGGTCCTTTTTCGGATTGCGTGGAGGCAATGTGAGAAGATCGTATTCTTCCCTTTCCATGATCAATGTCAAGCAGCAAAATAAATCTGTAAAGCAACAGATGATAATCATCAAGAATGAACTCAACGGCAAAGGGCATCCAAAGAAAACGTTTAAGATAACAGGCCAATCTTCTGACCATGAACCGGCCGGCAAAAGATAAGAGATCACCTTTTGTAAATTTTGGAAAACCAATCTTCCCAAACGAATACCTTCAACGATGGATGAGAAGCTTCCCATCAAAACCAAATCGGCTGCTTCGATTGCCACATCAGATCCACCAACCATTGCGATACCGACATCAGCTGCTTTCAAAGCAGGAGCGTCGTTGACACCATCACCTGTTACTGCGACCACGTATCCTCTTTGACGTAAGTTGTTCACGATGGATAACTTTTGTTCTGGAGTTGTACGAGCAAAAACGATTTCTTGATATCTGCAAATAATGTCCCACTTCTCGTCGTTCAGGTCGGTCATATCACGACCTTCAACAACAAGACTTGATTGAATCATCTCTTGTACTTCTTGTATCGATGAAGACGAATCTTGTGATAGATCAGCTTTTTCCAAATCGTCATTTGAGTTATGCTCTTCCTTAGGTGCTTTCAATAACCCTTTCTTGCCAAAGTCTGCAATTCTATCAGGCTCACATTCCGAAGTGATGATTCCACATTCTTTTGCAATTGCGGTTGCCGTTAATCCGAAATCACCTGTAACCATGAAGAATCTTGAGCCGGATCTACGACAATCAGCAACCGTTTGACGAATTTCAGCACGTGGTGGATCGACGATACCCAAGATTGCAGTGATGCAAAGATCAGATTGACCTGCTTCAATTGCTTCATCTTCAAATTGAGTTTTTTCGCAGTTGATGTACGTCTCGAATGTTCGATGAGCAAGCATGATTACTCTTTGTCCTTTACGACTCCATTCTTCTTGTTTAGCAATAAGTTCGGCTTTCTTTGCTTCTGTAAGTTCTTCTGCTTGACCGGATGCATTCATGAAAGATGTGCATTTTGGCAAGAGAACATCAGGAGCACCTTTGACCAAAAGTTCATGAGCACCAGATTTCGCGTGGGCTTCATAGACGGTAAGCATGTATTTGTTCTTTGAATTGAACGCAAGCGTAAACTCTCTCTCGTTCGTATTCAACAGATCGGAAAAGCCGGGAAGTGTTGCTGCTAAGCGTAAGACGGCCACATCAGTTGCATTACCTTGTGCCTTGAGTTGCTTAACGGCTGATGGATCAGTCACATCTTCTCCGGCTTGCTTCTCATCTTCTCCTTGGAACTTTGCATCATTACATAAAACCATTCCACGTTGTAATTTGTTCATCGCTTCATCACCTGCAGTCATTTTGCCCGAGATTGATGCAACGCTCACCTCTTGTCCAACCATTGAAACTGAAACAACAGACATCTTGTTCTCGGTAAGCGTACCGGTCTTGTCTGAACAGATCACATTCACACAACCAAGAGTCTCGACGGTTGAGAGTGACTTGGGTAAAACTTTGGCATCTCTCATTCTGCGTGCGATTAAGGAAAGCGTGAAAGCAACTGCAATAGGCATACCTTCAGGAATAAAGGCGACCACCAAACTCATCAAGTCCGTCAAGATTGAAACCGTATTCAAGAAGTCGTAATGATCAACACGTAGCCAAGCCAACCAAGTGATCAACATGATCACGACGAGAGTAACGGTAAGACAGATAATAATCTTAACAAAACGAACGATTTCACGTTGCAAATTTGTTTGAGTTTCTTCTGCTTCATTTGTGAATTTGTTAATCCTTCCCATAACTGTACGTGAGCCTGTCAAGACGACAACACCTTTTGCTGTTCCATGACAAACATAAGTACCCAAAAGAGCAATGTTTCTTGCTTCAATAAAGTTTGTCTCATCACCACAATCTGTTGCACCTGCGACTTCCTCGGCTTCTCCTGTCAAGATTGAACGATCAAATTTGAGATCAGAAGACGTTTCAATCAAACGCATATCTGCCGGAACTTTTTGACCAAGCGACAACTGAATGACGTCTCCCACAACGATTTCTGAGGATGGAATAGTCATTGGTTTACCATCACGTAAGATGTCTGCATTTTCAGGTAAGAAGTTCATGATCGAATTCATGACTTTTTGCGTTGACCAATCTTGGAAAGCGGCAAACAATGCTTGGAAGAAGATGACGATAATCACAACGATTGCCAATGCGAGATTGTATGGTTGAGGAGGATCACCAAGTGGCTTCCAAGAAATGAAAAAGATGATCACACCGATCCAAAGAATTGAACAGAAATCACCAAAAACGTAACGAAGAAGTTTCTTGTAGTACGTATTCTTTCTCTTTGAAAACACATTCTTTCCATTACGTTCCAATCTACGTTTTGCAGCTTCTTGATCGAGACCTAAAGCGCTGTTGACGTTGAATCGTTGACAGACTTCTTCAATGGGAAGACGATGATAGTCAAGTCTGGCAAGATAATCTGCTCCTTTTTGAACCGTGGCCATTGCACTATCTGCATTTGGTGCTTGTGGATTAGGGTTAGTCTTGCCACGACGTAAGCAAGATTGAAGTGAAGTAGGCAAACGTGGAACAAAACGTCGACTTTTGATTGATGATTTACCATCTTTTAATCCTGGTCCATCATCATCTGCAGGAAAACGTTGAGAATCATAAACGTGAATTGAAAGTGTACGATATCCCATAGGAATACGTGCAGAACGTTTTGGTTCTGTAATTCCAACTTTACGTTTATTTTTCTTTTGCGTAGGAAGTTTAAACGTTGTTTGAAGTGTGGCAATTGTTGAATCATCGTTACTGCTATCCTCGCTTCTCGTACGATCAGCAAGAGGCATTATTTGATCTCCTTTCTCTTCATCGTGATTTTTTGATTCGATATCTTTTTGGTCCGACATTTTGACGGATAGAGAGAGAGAGAGGGTGGAAGGATGGGAAAAAGATTGTATGAATTTATTTGTCAATGCTTTTTATACCATCTTCCACACCTTCCCAAGTAAGACATAAAAATTCTTCATTGTGGTGCCTGATATGCACTGGTAACCGTCGGTGAACAGATTTTAACCTCAGGCACAAGGCTTGTTGCCCCTGAAAAGCGGTCTAAACTTTGTCAAAAGTGCCTACTTGTCTGAAATAATTAGAAGTCAATGCATTCGAATCGTCAATTAGTTTACCGATATCACATCAAATTATTCTCCTTTCATGCTTCTTTTGGACAAGGATGTGAAATTCAATTTGCGGAGGCTATTATTGCATTACCCTTTGCCCATGAAGAAGTGTGGAATCATTTCTCCCGAAGTGCTTCTTCCTAGGCGCAGCGCGCGCTTGGAGAAGGTATGCAAATAAAAATAGCATATGGACGCGCCGATACGGCAAGCACAAGGCGTAAAAGCAGAGGCAAAAGAAGAGAGACAAAAGTCATGCCCTTAACCCATTGAATGATACCCTTTGCCCATGCAAAAGTCAAGAGCGATCCCTGCTCAGAGAATTAATGGTGGCATGTTCCATCTGTGCTGTTTGACAGAAACGCCAAATGGTGCCACATCTTAAGCGAGCGAAAAAGAAATTTGTTGTTGATTCATTGAAGCAATAAAATCGTTCAAATCTGGTATTTCCAGCATGCCCTCAAGAAGAGTATTCAGGGTTGGCAATTGATCAAAAATCACCGGTGTAGAGGATTGTGTTTGATCATCAGAAATTTGACCCACTTGTCCTGTTGGATCAAACAGCATCGGGCTGCCATCCGGTAGGAACGCTTCATACCCTGCATTAATAGAATTTGTTGCATGAACGCCTTCGCTATCATGAGGATTCTGTTGAACTCTTGGAGCAGCGCGAGTCTTTTGTTTTTCCCGGTAGTTTGCTAGTACGATCCTTTGTTTGTTTTGCCAGTCAGACATTGTATCTGCTATTATACGTAAAATATCAGCACAACATTGTCCTATTCCCGTTTCAAATTCTCCTGTGATCGAATTAAATATTCGAACATCCATTCTTTCATCACTCAAAACTTCCGCTGCTTGTCGAATTATCACCACATACATATCCGTATCTTCATGAACGTGATTCCAAGCTTGCAATAAAACGATTTGCGTATCTAATAAGCTTTTTGTCGCATTCATCAAAATCGCACTCAGAAGAGGTACCGGTATAATTGCACGACAATCTTGCGTTTGTTCCTTCTGAAGAGCGGCTGCATCTAAACCGAGTTGGACATCCTGAATATGCTGTCTAAGTTGACATGATCGGGAGATGCAAGTCGAAGTCACCTTTTGGCGTAATTTACCATAAATAGCAACATGCTCTGACCATTCAGGTTGCTCCCAAATCCGTTGACGAAAATCGATTCGATAAAGCGAATTGGAAGCCTCAACACTTTGACCTACATTTAATGCATCTTCGCCTTTGGTTCGAATGATGAAAGAATGCATATTTCCCAATGCTTTCGAGAGGAGAATGTAATGCATGCCAATCGCTTCCAAGTCGAGCCATAGCCATGCAAGATTAGTGAGCGCCAATAGAAGTTTTGTATAGGAGCTTGCTTTCTGCGTGATAACATTCTCGCTTTGCAGATCCGATTTGATCCTACTCAAGCCTCTGCATCGATCACATTCTTCATCTTTCATTTTTGCTTGATAACCATCCAGTGCCGATGCTTGACGGGCTTGCATCTCTGCCTCATTCTTGGATTCTTGCATCAGCGCTTCGCTCTCCAATTCACACTTTCCCGATTCGAGTACCGCTCTTGATCTGAAGTACATGGCCTTGCATCCTATCCATCGGGCAATCTTACCAACGCAAATCCATTCGTCATCTTGCTGAGTGAATGCGATCGATTCAATTAGGTCGCCAGGTCTGGATGTATGCAACTGCCTAGGCTTGATTGGATGGTGGTCATGAAAGCTCAAGGCTAGTTCCCAAGAGCACAGAGATGTCCAAAGAACGTTTTCAGAATCCGATGCACTCTTTGGCTCAAAGCCTAAGGAAAGGAAAATCTTGATGGCAATTGCAATCATTACAGATCCAGCGGTTGAAGCATCTTCTTGTGATATAAGTCTTCTCTGATCAGCCCCTTCACCTGATGCCAGCAGAAAAGGACAATGAACGGCAATCAATTCTAGAGCCTGTGCTGCTTCAATGTTTCTAGGTGCATTTAGAACAGATTGAAGGGCCAATTGCGAGACGGTCCTTTGAATGGAAGCGAGTTCGTGTTTGAGGTTGGTAGAAGAGTTTGACCTGCATAAGAGCAACATCGTGTACAACAGTAACTTTCTTGAAGGGTTTGGTGATGATCTGTATAGCATATACAGATCTCTCAGTCTTGGTAAATGCGGATGTTGGATGATCACACCGAGATCGTAGACGTCATATGCCGCTTCAGATAAGAAGGAGCAATCGATGTCATTACCGATGATAGAGGTAGCTGCCGATTGTGGAATACCGCAGCGGAACTTATCTTGTCGTTCTAGAATCTGTGTCATCATCAAGATTGGACGACGCAGGATACCCATCAGTCTGACCTTTCCCATCATAGATTGTGTTTTTGTGCCGGAACGGTCAGGATTGTTGTGTGCCTGTTCTGTGGTAGGCTCATATCTAACACCTTCTTGCGTTGGCTTGAATGTTGGCTTGAAAGGATAGAATGGACTGAGGATCTGATCTCGATCGATTGTTGATTCATTTCTGGATGACGTACTTTGCCTTGGAGTCGTTGATCTTCGATCCTCCGTTGCTATTGATGCACTTTCGATCGTGTATCGTTTACTCTTTCGTTCACCATCCCAGACAATGCAATCTAGATCCATCTTTTTGCATCTCTGACAGGCGTCTTCTCCTTGCAAAGGCTCCAAGCTTGATGGAATTTCAACGTTGCTCAATTGACATTTCACCTTTCGCTTTCGACAAGCAAGACAGGAGCGAATCGCATATTTTTGTCTCTTTTTTCGATCAGGCGACATTCTAAGCGGGTATTGGAGGTGGTTGGTTCGGAAGAATCATTTCATTTCCAACTTCATTTGAATGACATCGGAAATTCGGTCAATCTTCCCGTCAAGATTCACTTCCAGAAACGGGCTAGTTGGTGTGCGGAATTGGGATGATGAACGCGGAATTAATTTGGGGAAGAAATGCTCCTTCGCACGCAGTACCCCTACACAGCCCATTCGCGTCCGCGTTTGGTGTCACCTCTGTTTCGTTCCGCGAACTGTGTAGATACACTGCGCCAGCGCCATAAAATCAGTTCCGCGTGGATTCCGTGATGTAGGATACAAATCAAAACTTCTACGACACACGATTATGCAATGAAAGATATATAAAGGCCCTGGAATCAAAACAAAGCCCTCTCGGAATTACACATTTCCTCAACTGTTACCAACCTTCTCAGCAATCCACAACTTTTATCATGGCAGACCGTAGCGTCAAAGCACCGGGAGTTCCTTTGGACAGCATTCTGTGTATGTGTATGTGAGATGTACGCCTGTAGGATATTTGCTGATACCCATTTTCTCTTCCTTTCCTACAGACTATATGCCGTCCTTCGGCGGGAATATAGTAATTGGCACCTTATTCGAGGTAGTAGCAATCTTTATTTTCATCAACTTGATCTTGCGTCGTGATTTGTGGGGATTATGTCTACCTATCGGCGCACTTTGTCAGGGATTAGGATTCTTCCTACGTGTTCCGCTGCGAAACAATCCTGGCAGTCTCGGATTGTACATCGTTATGGACTTTTTCGTCGTTCTTTCGCCCGCATGTTATTTCGCATTCAACTACATCTGGTTCGGCCGTCTAGTCCAACGAATTGAAGAGCATATGAACTTCAATTTGAACCGTAAGCATATCACTTTTCTTCCACCAAAGAAGTTTGGAAAGATTTTCATCATTTCAGACGTTACCACTTTTTTCATTCAAGCTGCTGGTGGGGGCTTACAGGCAAGTCCAAGCTCAAAATCACTTGGATCGGTGATCTTTTTGATTGGTATCATTGCTCAATTTGCATCTTACATCTTTTTCCTCATCTTGAGCTTGCCGTTTGTGCGCTCTTTGAGAGGAAATAGTTTTGACAATTATGCTAGACAACGAATTTCTCAGCTCCTGCCAGTCCTCTACTTCTCTTCTTTTTGGATTATTGTGAGTGCCACAAAGTGACTGCATCTTTGCAAATTTTTATTGACCACATTCTATTCCTCAGGTCCGTTGCGTATACCGTACTGTTGAGCTTGCACAAGGGTATGGAGGATACTTGTCCCGAAATGAAGGTATGTGGGATAAACGCTTGTATGGAGAATGACAAATTCTGACATTTATACCCTTCTCTTCTCAGCCTGGCTTTTCGGTTTGGATGCCGCGCCACTTTTACTCTCCATCGGTGTCTATATTTTCGCCTGGCCTTCCGCATTTGTTGAACTCAAAACATCGCCATATGCCAAATCGAAGAGTGTACCTTGGGAAATGGGATCAAAGTCTGTGCAGCTTCAGTGGAATGAGAATACTCGCTTAAATAGCACGGACTCAGAGCAAGGCTTTACTTATCCTATGCAACAAAAAGATCAAGACGAAAAAACGAACTTCATCCAATAAAGCACAAATTATAAAGAATCACATTTCGTTATCATTAGACTGGTTTTGGAGCATTTTGTGTATTGTGCAACATCAAAAATTAATAGAATAGAATGACGCTCTCAAGTTAAAGAAGGTAATTAGGCAGAGTATTTTGCGGCAGCAATGTTAGCTTGAACTGCACTTTCGGTATCATCAGAAGGGTAGCCAGTAGTGACAACACCTTCATAGAAAGTTCCTTCAGCACCAACACTGTTATCACCACCGATACCAAGGATCAAAGCACCTTCTTTGTGCATTGGATAATAACCATCTGGTCGTGCACCGCTGTAGTATGTTGAGACTGTGCTTTGAGTTGAATCGCCACCTCGTAAAGCCCATTGGTTTGAACTATTTCCCTTTACGTAACCTGTAATGAAACGTGAAGTAACAGTTGGGTCATTTGTGTTTTGTTTTGGGTTATAACCGCTGAATAGGCCATTTTCTAAATCTGCCATGATCCAAGGTCCATTTCCTGCACCTGAACCCCAATTGGTGTTTGTACCAAAGTAGACAGCTTCCATATGACCGTCTCCGGTGTCATGAGCGCTTGTTTCTGCATTTCCATAATCGAAGCAGCATCCATTGTTGTAACGAGTACCGTCGAAAACAGCGTACAATCCTTCAGGGTCATTACCGGTTGCGACACCGTTTGTGTTATCAGCGCGATAACCTGTACCTGGGGTAGAATAAACACCATAAACCTTTTTGCCATTCAAATAGATTGGTGCTTTTGTTGCGTCTGCCAAAATATCTTCACCATTTGGACCTGGACCTTTGAAATTTCCGATTGTGGCTCGGACAAGATTGTTTCCTTTGCCTGATTGATCAAAAATTTCTTTGATGTAGCAAGAAGTACCAGAGCAAAAGCTATCTTGAGCTCCAGAGTTTGCAATTCCACCGGTTGAGAGAACTGGAACGTTCAATGTTGCATTATCAGAGCTACGGATGACTTGATAAAGTGCACCACCATAACTTGAATACAAAGCACGGGTTGTACTGTGAGCAGCAACACAAGGTGTATTACCTGAAGCATAGATATCACAAGGTCCTTCGCTACTGGCGGCTGGTGCGGCACTAGCACCGAGAGCAAGTGTGACACTTGAAAGCAATAAAGAAGTTAGAACCATGATGAAAAAAGGGAGGGGAAATATTGTTGTGCGAGAAGTAGGGAGAAGATTGTAGTCCGGTAGGGGATTGGAGTGGATGGGGAATTGCTTCTATTAAAAGCTGATGAAAAGCTGTTCATTTATGCTTTTTTGACTAGCTTGCATCATGTCATTTGCAAATACAATGACCTACGGTAACTTCGCATATCTCCGCATTGAACCCCTTAAACCCCGCACTAGAATCAATCTTAGTTTCGGGAATGTTTGTTTGTAGTCGCTAAATACTCGTGCGTAGTGATGCATGATTCGGCTTCTTTTCTTTTTAAGGTGTCTATTTTAGCGTCGGTTATCTTTCTCCCCCGCATTCAACGTACGATCGAAATGGCAATAAACTTTATCCAGTTTTTGCTTACGAATAAACAAAAGAAAAGCAAGGTACCCAATATATCTATTGAGTTACCGCTATCAACATTGTTTAGTGTCGGTAATCTTCTGTTAAGGTTCACTAAATTTAACTCGATGGAGATCGTACATTAATCCACATCCCTCCCTTTCTGCGGAACTAGGTCATAACGTCTCATTGAGCGGGTATTGTGTGATGATAATATACATAATGATTCTTCGGAAGCGAGGGTTGGCCGAAATTGAACTTAAGCTAGTGTGAGAGGGTTGAGGATTCGACATATTTCCAATAAGACTTTCTCGAAAAGTGTCGGAAACGTTTGCCGAAGAACAGCATTGGTATAAAGGTGATCGTAATGGCAAGACCCACAAAAGCAGCCGAAACAAAAGTATTTTGTAGACCTAGATGAAGCCAAGGTGTGATGGCATATCCGATTCCAAAAGAAAGTGAATTGCGAACGAGAATGATGCTCAACATCACTTCACCCGATAAATCCTTGTATGAATCAAGTGCGTAGTTTATCGCAATCGCTCCTCCAACGGCCGATGAGCATGCTAATAAACTTCCTCCTACAACCAAGCCGATCCAATGAATTTGACGTGCTGCACCTACACCCCATAAAATAAGAGAAGAAGGAACAAAGACGACACAGAGCAATAAGAGCCAAAGACGATGTTCTGGCTCACGTACGCCTCCTGACTTTTTTGCTTTCCATAACAAGAATTTGTTACCGAACCAGCCTGAATAAAAGGCCGCGAGTGATACACCGACCAGCGGGCCAGCATACGTCAGACCCACCATGGAAGCTTTGAAATTGTACGGAGGCGATGATAAGATCAAAGAAGCTGTCGCGTTCAAGACATTATACCAAATAAGGAATGCTCCGTATTGAAAACCTGACCAGAAGATGACTGGAAAGCGTAAGAGCCAGATTGGACGATAAACCAATGTGATCAATTGTGATGTTTTCGCGTACTTTTTGTTGAAAAATTTCATCTTTTCCATGAACCGCAATGGTGTTCCTTGCAGGGCTGTAGTTGCGTTGTCGGTTTTGTATAGCGTATCCACCACCACTTTACCCTTTAGTTCAACAGCTTCAGCGTGTGCTTCTTTTTCATCCATGCTTGAGCGATTTTGTGCATTCTTTGCTGGCGAAGAAACGTCATCATCATGAGCTTCGCTTAACTCGGTGATGTTGCGAACAAAGTTGGTCTGGGTGGGACGAATTTGCAGAAAGAATTAGAAATGCGCCTCCTGATTGACAGATTGAATCACTCACCTCTTCCATAAACAGGAAACAGAAGACCAACCCTACAAATTGTATCATGATGCCCATGAAGAATACAAATCTGTATCCGTGAGCTTCGTACATGAACTAGAAGAAGCTAAAATGTCAGTAGGAAGGTATGACCAAAATTTATTCTGCATGCACTCACGCCGGCAACCAAGGGTGCAAAGTAGTTGCTACCAAAGAGGACGAATGCGTACACTCCAATGTAGAATCCACGTTCATGTGCATAGAAGATATCACCGATTGAAGTTTCAACAAGCATTTCGATTGGAGAGATGAAAAAACCCTGAATGATCTTGTTGACGATCCATTCACCTTTAGAAGAAACGTATGCATTCCAAGCCAGACAGGCTATACCGCCAACCATTGAAACCAAATAAACGCCTCTTTTACCAAACATGAGAGCCATCGGCTGAGAGAACAAGCCACCCCATCCTAGCAAGAGAAAGAGATAACCTGTTCCTGCGTTCAACGTTGAAAGTGGAATACCTGTATCCTTTTCGATCGGGATCAAGATTGAATAAACCAAAGTGCATGAACTTCCAGTACAAAGCGTATAAATGACTAGGCATAAATGAGCTAGTTGTTTCCTTTTCCAAGACCAACGTAAAGGATCATTTACGTCATTGCTTGGAATTGGTGAAAGTCGAATTTCAGTTTCTGATTCTCCTTTTCCATCAACGAGAACAAGTGATCCTGGCGTTGGTAGATTGTCGGTTGGCATTGTGTCGGAGGGAATTGATTTTGTTAGTGAAAGTTGAGAGCAAGATGCCTTTTGATAGGCTTCAAAATTATGATTTGTTGTCATTTATTGTTCAGAGATAAGGAACAAATGAGAAGAAATGGTCTTCATACCCCACACAAACGAAATGATGACGGCGCCGTTTTAAGGTGATTCGTTGTAGAAGTGTATTGCTCACCACGGAAAGGTAAACAGCAGGCTCCGTTCATTTTGAGAGCTGAAACTGAAAAGGGATTAAACTGAATTGAGTGATTTCCTTCAGAGTCTAGACAGTCATGTCCAATGCAGCAAGCAGGTACACAATGAAAGTAACACGTCTACGCGTCTCGGTGTTTGGATTTGACAGCAACTTTTGTCGGCTCCGCATTTGTATTTTGAGGCGCAACTGCAGTGAAACTCTAATTATTTTATTGCCAGTTAATGTCAAACACGCATAAAGTGTGCGCCACAGATAAACAACGATAATAGCAATAAAGAAAACGTCCGGCGCCGTAGAATGCTGACCAAGGATTGCTTCTTTCGGTTAAACTTATGTTTCTTTCTTCTTATCATAAAGTCAAAGCAGAGGTAGTATGTAGTATTCATTAGTAAGCTGTAAGGGCTCACAAGAACATATCGGATCCAGTACAAGCTGGCGGCATTCGAAAAGACCATACTCGAAGGCTTGTGGCTGACATTGAGGCATATTTCATCATTTTGTCATTCATTCATAGATAACATTTACTATATACAATCCTGCCTCTCTCTAGGCACTCGCTTTTTCAGCTTTGATGTTATCAGTCGTATCAATAACTTCAAAAGAATCATTTTGACAAGGCATTTCAACTCCTTGTTCTTTCAACCAAAGACGGAAATCTTCATCTTCCTTTTCAAGTTTACGAGACATTTCCGGAATAAGAAGCCAAGTAATAATCGCACCAACGACTGAAAATGTAGAAGCAACATAAAATACCATCTTTTGTCCTTCTAATTCACTCGAATAACGTTCTTGTAAAGCGCCAAAAGCTGATGTTCCAATTGCTGCTCCTGCTTTACCAAAAGCTGCTGCTAATCCAACAAAATGACCTCGAATCGCCGTCGGGGCTACTTCTGCACTGATCAAAATTGTTGCCACTCCAGGTCCTGCTTCAGCAGAAGAGACAAATAAGCCATACATGACGATGAAAGCTGGTAAGCTAGATTGAATCGGTCCCAGAGCACCTCCAAGAATATAACCGAGGACAGCTTGAACGACGAAACCCAGAATTTGTGTACGTTTTCTACCAATCTTATCCAGTAAAAATCCACCAACCACGCAGCCTGGCAAAAGGAACGCATTCACCAAAGCTCCATAACCGATTGCATAAATGAGAGAATCTTTTGAACCACTTAAACCGTCAATGATAGGTGTTGTCAAGAGCCCGGAAGGGTAGGCCACGAAATCGTAAAGGAACCAGGCCAAAGAAGCACCGGTAAGCTGTTTCCAGTACCTCTTTGCGATCAACCAATAGATTCGTAGAGTGAACCCGTTGTGAGACATTTTATTTTTCTGGAACGCAGTCGAGGTGACGACTTTCCAACGGAAATAAAATAGGGACAATGGAACGATTGCACCGAGGATGAGGAACACTCTCCAAGCTGTGTTTAGTCCTTTAAGATCATCAATTGAAGTGTTTGATGTATAGCCATAAGCAGCCAAAACAATCAGAGGCAAAACACCTCCCATCACAATACCGAAATCGATTGCAAAATCACCACACATAGCGACCAAGAATCCTCTTCTTTTACGTACTTGATCGTTCTCATCCGATGCTTCTGTTGCTGAGGAGCTGCACGTTGGATATTCACCCCCCGCTCCGGACCCTAAAATTCCACGAGAGATTGCCAACATCCACAATTGACCTTCAACAGATACACCACTTGCGGCCGTACACATGACTGTACCGATGAGCATTAAGAGTGTAGCGAAAACGACACCTGCTTTTCGATTAAAACGATCGATCAAGAATCCAAAGAGCAAAGCACCGACGATGATACCGATAAAGTATGCTTGTGAGATATGTGTCTTCATACTTTTTGTAAGCTTTTCAGGATGTAACCTGCCCAACACCAACAAAGCAGCAGAAATGACTTGAGCGTTATAGCCATCGCTCATCAATGCTAGACTGGAGAAGGCCACGTTGTGAACGACCTTTGATTTGGATTTGGGAGATGTCTCATGCTCCAGCGTTGCAAGTGGGCGAGGTTCATTCGACATGATTGCCTGTGAAGGTGATTTGGTTGGAGGATGCTAGGAAGTTGGGATTCTGGTTCCTGAATATCATTTTTGCTCAAGTATTTGTACTTTTGCGTCCCTTCGCTTCATCTACGGGGCTTCGCCAAGTGAACATGAATGAATGCTAGGAACGGTCAAAGGACCAAAGTGTGTACCTACATCATTCGGTCTTCTGTCCGATAACGTGGGTGGATATGGTGAAGAACACGTTCCCTTGTATGCGCAGCCGTTGCTAAAAGGAAAATCTTAGCCTACTCAAGCGGCACCGCAAGCACGGCCAACGGGCAGGGCTGTAGGCAGACATTTGAGTGTAAAAGCTTAGCAGAAGATGACCGAATGACCAGAGTTATCGATAGAACGTTCATCACTCGATAATGTGTTTTAACTGTCTGATTTCATTGTTATATTTTATGAGATACAAAGTATGGCTTCTATCCTTCAGACTTTGCCAGCTTGAAGAGTAGCACCCATTATCATCCTACTGTGCTTTTGTGCCCCGTCCATCGGAGAGCCGAATCCATAACGTAAAGCACCTAGGGAATAATCTTTACCTTCTTCTCGTTCTGAAGTGGGTGGCCAATGCTGACGTCTGTCGACATAATAAGCATCATGTCTATCACCGCCATCTGAAGCGGCATTATAAGTAGCATAAATTGCCGCTCTTGGAAAAGCAGAATTGTTTGGGCCACTCCTATGTGCTAAGAAAGATCCAAAGATCAAAATATCTCCAGGTTGTAAAGGAACTGAAGTCCATGTTTGACTATCTTCCCATGATTTCTCGATACAATTGTTTGAATCGATTGGGATTTGTTGTTTATGTGATCCGATCACAACTTGTAAACAACCATTTTCTTCATTTGCGGCATCAACTGCGACATTGATCGTTAAGTGCTTCAATGTACCAGCGTGTTGATAAGCAGGTGCATCTGTATGTGCATCAAATCCTCCAGCGCCAGCTATAAAATGGGGTCATTTAAAATTAGGCCTGGATCATTCACTCTAATGTCATGTTACTCACGATTCTTGTAATTGATCTTCTCTTTGAACAAGAGCATTTCTTCTTTACTGATCTGTTGCAATAGCTCGCGTGCTCGTTTACCTTTGAGCATTGCCTCAAAGCCATCATGGAAATTAACAAAATTTTCCGTTCGACATAATGTTCTACTGCCATCTTTTTTCACTTCTTCGTAATGCATCCATTTTCCTTTCTCGTTTGGAAGAGCATGAACTTCTTTTGCCCAGCCTTGAACTGTCTTCAAGTCTTGAGGAACGATGAAATCGTGCAAGAGCAAAAACCCTTGTTCTTCGTATGCAGCCAATTGTTCAGGGCTTAGCACGTAAGGGGTGTCCATTTGAGTAGCCATGTTTGAGACAAGGAAAGGATGCTAGCATTCAGACGTTATGATGGTACAAGGGCGTTTTATACCCTTTTCTCTTTTGTGTCGTATGACTGTAAACAGCATTGATCTCCGCATTTTTATCGGTAAGATGACCGATATGAGCACTTTAGCAGCTCATCTTGAAACGTGGACAAGGTGGCATTTGCGCGAGATCGGTCATCTTAGCTTATCAATTCAAACGTTCGCATACAAGTGCGAGCTGGGCGTTCGGCCTTCTGTCCTTTGGTTTAAGTCATATAGAGTATATAATCATCCAATGTGAGGGGATTTTTGACTACCCTCACGACAACGATCACTATGACCTTGCCTTTGAAGACAAGATTATCAGAAGAACAAAATGCACATCTACGCTTCATATTCGATCTTATGAGCAAACAAGATGATTCAACATATATCGGAGAACAAATATCACAACTTGCTCATTCACTGCAAGCCGCTCATCTGGCCGCAACTTCTGGTGAATCGGAAAATGTCGCAATCGCTGCTCTCTTACACGACATCGGTCAAGTACTTCCCCTAACGACAAAAAACGATATCCGTCATTTACATAAGCAAGGTGATATTCTAGATGAAGAAGGTAAAAGTGTTGGCCGGATAGGACACGAGTTGATAGGAGAGAAATATTTACGTGAAAATGGTTGGCCAGAAGAAGTTTCGGCTTTGGTAGGAGCTCATGTTATGGCAAAAAGATATTTAGCAATGCAACTTGATTATTTTAATTCGTTAAGTAATGCTTCAAGATCTTCACTTAAAGGTCAAGGTGGTCCATTCTCGGAAGAGGAAGCAGAGCATTTACGTGCAACGGATCCAATGCTAGAAAAAAAGATAGCTCTGAGGAAATTTGATGATGGTGCAAAAGTCGTTGGAAAGCAAACCCGAACGTTGAAGCAATGGTGGGAGACTGCATGTAGGGTATATCTAGGTCAAGGTAGATCATCGGTAGCCTTGTTAGAAGTAGAAGTACAGGATTAAAAATAGTGTAGAAATTTGTATGAATATATCCGATTATGATTGTGGAAAAGAATTTACAGCAGAAGCATCAAAAGCAGAAAGATCCCATAATAATGCATCACTGCCAACACCACTAAGATAACGTAAATCAGACAACAAGTCCAAAGATTGAAGATCAAAACTGAAAGCTGGCGTTCCTGATTGCATGGGTGATGTGTTTGCGATGGCAAAGGAATCCTGAAATGGTTGTGAGATATCCATGATAGAATCGAGTGAGGTTGTCGAGTTTTGCTGTAGGAATGTGTCATTCGCAGACGGATGGAGGTGAGCGCGATTGTCAAATTGGGGAACTTGTTGGATGATGTCGTCCTCTTTTTCTGAGACGGGAACATGGCTGTCTTTTGATAATTTGGCCCTTTCGCTGTTCGACAATGACAAGAGTCCAGGTAGCACAGTACCACAGATATGTGCATCAACACAATAGGGCATCAAATGATCTTGCAGAGATTGACAAACTTTATCGATCATAAGCATGTTATACCTTGGATTTACCGCAAAAGAAAGTTGTTGATGCTTTGTTGATTTATGTAAAAATAAACACGCGAAAATCAACATCGCAAACGGGTAGATTGGTTGACCGTACATCCCCGACCGTTTCCATGCATGCATAGTCTTGATTTGAGCAAAATCAGTATTTGTTACCAGTTGTACAAGATGAAATGCAACATGGTATGCACGCAAAGCGATTGTATTCCTTTGACTCTTCTCATCCTTACTGAATTGGTTCGGGTTACCATCGGGAATGGCGGGCATAGATTTAGTAGCGAAAGATGGCCGGTGCTCTATTTCGTCAATCATCTCATGCTCCTCTTCTTCTCCGCCTTCGATTTCCAAAGGATCAACATCGGGAGGCGAACGAAAAGCGTGTGCACCAATAAATAGGCGCATCATTTCAGCTTGCAGATTGACTTCTTCTATGTGAACTTTGTTGAGTTCACTTTTTTTACATGAATGGATTCTCTCCCAACGATTTTGCCAGCGATCCACCAAAGCAAAGAATCTTGGTGCTTCCTCCAGTACTTGTTTGCGGGTCAGAGCTTCTTGAACGTCCACTCCAAAGTCATCCAAGACATCATGAGCAATTACCCAAAGCTCAACTTGACTTGCCAATCGAGCATCTTCATCCGTCGCTAGACGACAGCCGGCTAGCCACGCTCGCACATTACGTACAGCTGCATGTTGTCTTGTCATCGGTGGGCGTGAGAATGGTATTGCGGCTTGATGGTCTGCCACGTAGACTAAGTAGTACAGTCTTGCAGCCTTGTAAGCTTCTTGTTCTATTCCTTCATCAACAACAACGTTTGACCCTTCGACGGCTTCTCCTGGACCGCATCGAGCTTTCGGACCACTTTGACATGCTTTTCTGCCGGCTTCCATATTGCTGCATTTCTTGTATGCTTCTTGCATCCCCCGTTCTGTTGCTAAGCGGACGGCAGATCCTGTTAAAATCCAACTTAAATCCCGCAACCACCAACTCCCGATCAATAGCGCTCGGATATCATCCAATGATTGATGTCTGACAAAACTTTGTTGGGCTGATAAGCGAACGAATTCGTCGTGTAAAGTTGAATATAAGCGAGAAGGGCGGTCCGCATTGTTACCTTGCGCACTGGTTTCCACCAAAGTACCATCTTCTAGAATGTTTGCAGAACAGTGTAAACTTGCAACTGTACAGATTGCCAATAACAACAATGGGCTTCTTCGAATGCTTTGAACGGCAACACGTAGATTGCTAGCCTGACTCAACTCATCAGCTCTTACGTGAACGGATCCAACAATTGAGTAAACGTGGGGATCCAAGTAAGTGAGGTAAATGTTCACTAAAGTGCACGTTTGATCAAAGGTGAGTAAACCTCGTTCAATGATATCACTTCGATTCCGTTTAGCCTTGTTGGTCGACGTACTTGCTTCAGCTGATTGACCGACATTGTTACTTGCCGCATCAGCAAGCATGTCCAATGGATCAGCGGTGATCGGATGGAAAGTAGGACTGTCCGTACCATCGGCCGGTACAGATGAGCTCTTTCTTCTTTTCCTACTGTGGCTTTCATTGCTGTTCGATAGTGCCTCAAAGAGTGTGTTGAGCCTTTGTTCTACACTTTCTTTCCATTTTGCGTCTGAATTATGTTCTTCCAATATACTCTGTAAATTCTTCGTTAACCGACAATCCAAGCTCATTCGTTTACATCGTGCACATGGAGTTGATTGATCAGGTCCCAAAGAGCATCTGATCTTATGTCTTCGGCATTCATCGCATGTTTTCACCTTTCTTGATACTCTTGCAACGATTGGTGATGATCTGTCGTTTGCTTTGGTGCTCATTGGGTATGAGAGTGTAATTGTTGCAAAATGATGAGGATGACCGATTTAAGTAAAATTATCTCGGTTTTCTGTCCGATGATTAAGCTCAAAGCCACACGCAGCGCATTTATTCATTGTACGAAAACGCGAGTTGGCCGACTGTAACTTTAAGGCGAACGTGGGCTTACATGGGCAGGCCGGCCAAAGCGGTTGCGAAGTATATAAACCCAAACAGATTGTGTGAAATGGATATGTGAGTGCCCCTTAGTGCTTATTCGGGAAGGTTATGAGTACCAGCCTCAATCAGTCTACGAGAGAAGATCTGCATATGCATGACAAGCCATGCCAGACAAAGGTAACGGCGCTGATTGGATGAAAACGGTTCAAAGATAAGGAAAATGCACGCTAATCCAACGGCTTTGCATTTCCCGAGCTTTTTCCCCTCATCTTTTCAGTTTGGTTCCTGATTATATGCACGTCTTATCATTCAAAGATAGATAAAGTATGCATCCTTATCGTACAATATAACAAAACCTTTTCACAAATTCACTCATGGCAATTCGGGAATGTAATGATTGCATCACACGAGTTGAGCTGGAAATTGGCAGCAGCGGAAGGCGGCGGAATGCGAGGATGAAATGCATTAAAATTCAAATTAAGGGGGGGCTGAAGGTGGGATGAATGCATTGCTATATAAAGTAAACCTACAACACTCAAACAACTTCTACCCTTTACCCCCTCTCCATCTCCCTTCACACAACATGGCAGCTTCAAGCGCTCAAGTTTTATCGCCCGGTGCAGGATGGGCAGTCGTGATCGCTCTCGGAATAGGTTTTGCGTTTCTGATGTTAGCAATTTCATATGTTCAAGAACGTTATACCTCATTCTCCGTTAAAACCAATGAAGAATTCACATCTGCCTCACGTAGCGTAAAGACTGGTTTAATTGCAAGTTCAATTGTTTCTGCTTGGACATGGGCTGCAACACTTTTACAATCAAGTACAGTTGCTTTTAAACTTGGTGTTTCTGGGCCTTATTGGTATGCTGCAGGCGCAACGATTCAAGTTTTGTTGTTTGCAATGATGGCATCCAAGACGAAACTTAATGCTCCTTTTGCACATACGTACTTGCAAATCGTTCGTGCAAGATGGGGTAACTTGTTGCATGTTGTTCACATCTGTTTCGGATTGGCAACAAACATTCTCGTTGGATCAATGTTAATCTTGGGTGGATCTGCAACTGTCAATCAACTTACCGGAATGCCAACTCTTGCTGCCATCTTCTTGACACCAATCTCAGTGGCAATCTATACTCTCGTCGGTGGCTTACGTGCTACTTTCTTGGCAGATTATTTACACACTACTGTTTTGGTTGCTTTGATTCTAGCATTCGCATTTACGGTCTACGCCGCAAGTGAAAAGATTGGAAGTCCAGAAGCAATGTTTGATTTGCTTCGTTCTGCAGCACCGGTAGAAGGAAATGCGGGTGGAAGTTATCTTACCATGCGTTCTTTATCTGGCTTCAAATTTGGTTTGATCAATATTGCCGGTAATTTCGCAACAGTTTTTGCCGATCAAAGTTATCATCAACGTGGTATTGCTTCTTCGCCCACTCTTGCTACAAAAGGCTTCATCTTGGGTGGAATCGCATGGTTTGCCGTTCCAATGTTAATGGCTTCTTCTATGGGCTTGGCAGCTCGGGCATTATACGGAAAGGACCCAGCAATGGCCATGTTAACTAGCATGGAAGTTTCGGAAGGATTAGCAGCGCCGGCAGCCGCAGCAGCATTATTGGGAAAAAGTGGTGCTGCTGCAATTTTGATCTTGTTGTATCTTGCTGTTACAAGTGCAACATCAGCTCAATTGATTGCTGTTTCTTCTGTTCTCACATTTGACGTGTACAAGGTATACATCAAGCCAAGCGCGAGTTCCAAAGAGCTCTTTTGGATGTCGCATCTCGGAGTCGCTTTCTGGTCTTTGGCTTTAGGTGTTCTTGGATTGATCTTTTACTACATCGGTATCTCGATGGGCTGGCTTTATGTTTTCATGGGTATTCTGATTTGTCCTGCTGTCTTTCCTGTTTTCGCTTGTCTTACTTGGAGCAAGGCAAATCGAATGGGCGCTTTGGTCGCAATGTTATCGGGTCTGGCTTTAGGCGTGATTGCATGGCTAGTCACTGCTTATAAGTTGTATGGAACTCTTACCGTTACAACAACAGGAGCAGATGATCCATTGTTGGCAGGAAATTTGGTTTCTTTGCTGGTTCCCTTTATCGTCTTGTCGATCTGGTCAATCGTTTCACCAGAGAACTACTCTTTCGAAGGTACACGCGCAATTAATGCTCCTACTGATGAACCACAAATTGACACAGAAAGCAGCAAGAGTGATTCAAAAGAAGACATTGGAGAAGAAACAAAAGAAGTTGCAGTCGCTAAAGCAGAAGCAGAGATCATGCCAGCCAATGCAACAACGATAAGTGCAGAATTGGAAAAAGGCACAACGCGCAAGACAGACAAACAATTGGCCACAGATATCGATGATGAACATGTACATGTTCGTAGAGCAGGTTTGGACCCTGTAGAACTACAGAAGAGCGTTCGAATGGCTATTCGTGTTTCGATTCCGATGACATTCATTCTTTTAATCTTTGTTCCATGCATGGCAATCATTCCAAAAACCTTTACGCCAACAGGATTAGGAGCATGGGTTGGAATAATTATCGCTTGGATGTTCTGTTCAGCGGGAATTGTGATTGTTATGCCAATTTGGGAATCATGGCAAAGTCTTGCAAGCATTTGCAAAGGAATCTTTGCTGATATTACAGGCAAACGTCGTCAATAAAAGATCTTTGTACATAGATACGCACGCAATGGGTTTAACGAATGAATGAATAGCATTTTTTGTCTATAATTCAGATTTGGAGTAACAATTTACCGGTTGTCGAGCGTCCTTGTAGATCTTCATGTGCTTTTGCTGCTTGATCGAGTGGGTATTTGACATAATCAAATTTTACCTTACCCGAGGCGATCCACGTTAGTGCCTCATTTGCACGATGACGTAGAGTGATTGCGTTTTCCACATGATGGAAAAGGGTTGGTCGTGTGATCTTTGTAGAGTTTTTCACCAAATCTAAAGGTTGAATTGGATCTGGCGGTCCACTTGCCGAGCCATAAAGAGCCACCATTCCACGTTTAGCAATCAAATCAAGCGAATGCGCAAATGTTGTCTTTCCAACCGAATCATAAATCACATTGAATCCTTGACCGTTTGGAGTCGTTTTACGTGCTTCTTCAACCCAGGCATCTGTAGGGGTACCATCTTGGTTTGCATATAGGACCACATTATCTGCTCCTGCTGCTTTGCTCTTCTGTGCTTTTTGTTGGGTGGAGACTGTCGTTGTCACTTTTGCTCCTTTCAACTTGCAAACTTGTGTGAGCAATAAACCCATTCCTCCTGCTCCTGCATGGATTAAGACATGATCATCTTTCTTGACTTCATATGTACCATCAGCACTTGTGAGATAATGAGCAGTCATTCCTTGCATCATAGCACCACAAATATCCTCAAAAGAAACATTTGAGTCCAAGATCGGAACGCATTTATCCGCTTCAATCAATGCATATTCCGCATACGATTGCAAACCCATACCCATATAACCAACTTTTGAACCCATTGGAAACAATTGTTGAACTTCGCTTCCTGCTGCAACAACCGTTCCAGCACCTTCCATCCCAGGTATGATTGGTAATTGAGAAGGATATTTACCTCTACGTACATTTGTATCAATAAAGTTAATTCCTGCAAAAACGTTTTTGATCAACACTTTTGTAGGTGTTACTTCTTCGAGTGAAGGTACTTTGTATGCCTTGTCCACTTCCATTGCCGTTGGTTCGCCATATTGACGAAGAATGATGGCCGTTTGTGTTTTTGGGATTGAAGGTGTACTCATATTCGACAAAGACAGGAGATGAATGTTGATAAAAAAGGGGTAGCGAACAATCTGACCCTCCTTTAACAACACTTCGGATATAGCCAGGCTTAAGTAGCGATTACCCCGCTTGAATAATCTCATGCATCGGAAATAAGGTTTCATGCTCACACAGTGTATACGCGCCACATGCAACGCCACAAACAAGCATCCTGACCAAATGCCGAATACAGACTCGTGATAACGATATCGAATGGGTAGACACGCATTAACCTAATCAATCCAAGGAAGAATGGGATAAAGTGATAACATTTCGCATCCCAATCAAAGTCCTGATGAGATGGAGGAGAGTATGTAGATATTGGTGTAATGAAAAGGATACCGAATCGAATCATGAAGAAAAAAGAAAAGTTACAATCGATGGGAAAACCGGGGAATCACTGCATTGTCCATGTGTCTGAGTCCGTGCTTATTGGCCAAAGATGGCTTGTAATCCTTGAGAGGATGTGAAAGTTTCTACTTCTGAATGACCTGCGTTTTGAATGGTAGAGATTGTATGTTTGATATCCGTGTTGAATTCTGGACGAGCATTGTTTTGCAAAGATGCAAACGTTCCAGGGTAAGCACTCAAAGAAGAATCCTTAACACCGGCCAAAAGGTGAGTGTATTTCCAGTACGTTCTCGAACGTAATTCTCTCGGAGCACCGCCTTGAGCGCGGGCACCGCAACTTTGATCACCGTTTGTGGTTGAAGTATCACCCAAAGAGACCAGATAACGTACATCTCTTGCTGCGTAGGTCTTGAAAAGGCTGGCAGGGTTATTGATATCGGTGGCATAAGGAGCGTCGTATTGATCCAAACCGTAGTAGTAAATGTTCAAAACGTCGCATGATTTGTATTGGTTGGTTGAACGATCGGTGGTGAAATATAACATAGAAGATGGATTTCCAAGAACATAACGAATTGCTGGCGAGGTAGTAGCTGAATCGCCAGTGTTGCGTAAAGCAGCGTATCTTTGAATTACTAATGCGCCTCCACCATGTCCGACAAATTTGATAGTCTTAACATTGGGATATTTAATTTTGTCGGAGTAGATGGTGACCAATTCATCGTAAATGGTGAATGGACTCATGTTGCTTCCTTTTGGTTGGATAGAACCGGTACCCATTGCCCAATCATTCTCAGGGCCCCAAGCGAGTGTGGTTGCGTTCATAGCGTTTCGGTCATCTGTTGTTGAGAAGAACAAAGGAGCGATTCGGATAATGTTATCGTCCACACCTGGAATCTTTTGGGCTTTTGCGTCATTGAATGCGGTTTCTAATGCGGTCCAATAATCTCCTGCATTTCTATCAACGCCATGTTGAACGATGATTACGGAAGTTGCATCAGCTTGATTGTGTGGTGACTTACTCATCCAAGCGAACAACTGTCCTTTGCTCAATTGGAATGACATTGCGTATGCGCCAACTGGACGTTTACTGGGTGAAACGGAAGCAGTTTTTGCCTCGAAGGATTTAGCTTGACCACTTTGTCTCAACATACCCAAAAGGTTACGTTTTTTGTACCTGCTTGGAGAATGTTCTTCGCCATGTTGAAAGTGTTTACGAACGAGTTTTGGTTCTTCACTTTGAGGTGAGGAAGCTGAAACGAGCGTGATCAGCACAGCGACGAGCAAAAAGGTGAAACGAGTAGCGAATCCGTTTGTCTTCATCTTGCCGGGGTTGGGTCGAGATGGAGGGGAAGAAAAAAGAATGTGATGATTCGATCGGAGAAGGAAAAAAAGAAGGTTGAACCGGATGCAAAAGGTGATGGTGGGAGCGAAAAGAGAAATCTTTGCAACGATAAAAATAACTATTGCATGTATGTATATTGTGTTTGGCGTAATAATTGAGATTGCTGCCTTTCTTTTCAACGGCGCCGGCTGGGTTTGAATGAAGAGTGATCATTTGTTCTACTTCCGGCACATAAGCGCAGAGAGCGACAAAGGGGGGCAAAATGCATGTCATGTCATGCATCCGCGCAAGCAACAAACAATTTCCATTCAAAAGAGACGCGTATCGCCGCTGCTCTTTTTACCCATACAAATGAACTCTGTGCCTCACTTTGGGGTTGGACCGCCGCTTTGTAAAAGATCCTTGCTATGTATGTATGTATGTGATGTAGTGCGATTGTGCAAGGGGGATAATGAGAAAATAGGGTGGTGTTGAATGCAATTATTACATGACACACTCCATTGACCAAACAAAGGTATTGATGAATGAAATAACCCCCCTTCTTGGCATAAAATTACGCTAAAATCATGACTGGAATGCGTTTAAGCGCGTTTTAGGGCCTGGGACTGATTCGGAGGTTTTAACTCTTCATGCCCAACAATACGCTAAAAGAAGTTCATTGCAATCCTTCTTGCCATCTTCTTTTTCTCTTTCTTCTTCTTCAACAAGACTCCGACTCCTGACAGAAGAAGAAGAATAAAAACACGTTCCTGCCATATCAAAAGTCTTCTTGCCGAAATGCCGACGATCAAGGTACGATCAGCCGGAATTGATGATGTGAATGAATGCGCTCAGATCGTTGTAGAAGCATATTCTACGTTGGAATCGAATGACTTAATGTTTCCAAATGAGAGTAAAAGTAGGAACAAGTTAATTCAAGGTCGAATCGATCAATTCACACCGCATTTACTGCAAGAGCCATCAGATCCTCATCATGTGACCCAATACCGTGTGGCCTGCTTTGAAGAGGAAAGCGGTGCTGAACGAACAGCAGCTCTATTACGATGGAGTATAAGTACGGTAGAAGATTCCGTATCAAACGACTCTGATACGATTGTTGATGCTGCAGTGGCTGATAAATTAGCACTTCTTGGACCAGAGTATGTGAACGTGGATATCTTTCGAGCCTTTCGTCTTGCAAGAGAACAAAAGCATATTCAATGGTTTCAAGGAAAAGGACAGCATATATTCATCCATACTCTTGCCGTTTCACCAAATTGTCAAAGGATGGGATGTGGGGCAGCATTGATGAAATGTATGACAAAAGAGGCGGATGAATTGGGATTGATGTGTTATTTGGAGGCATCAGATGAAGGTAAGCCTTTATATTTGAAAAATGGATTCGAAGAGGTTGAAAAGATGTTTGTACAATCACCAACAGATGGTCAGAGTTTTACTCTAACATTGATGATTCGACCTGCCAAGAAGCAATGATTGTATAATAGTAGATTAACAAATAGGAAATGTCGGATTGATCAGCTTTCCGATCGGAAATTGATATCGGATGTATGCTTGATGATCAGGGAGCAAATGCCACAACTGCCATGACTCGGATATCAGGGAAGTGAGATAACCCCGCGTTGATTGTGTGGATCACGACTGTGTTTTTGCCTGTTCCGCTTTCCCGATTTTATTAGGAACGCGCGGCGAACATAGGCCGGGCCTCTTTCCCTTTTTTTGTGATTTGTGGGAGATCCGCACTACACCGGCGGTAGGAAGGGAAGAAAACAAAAATGAGGCAACTTTTTCTTTATTGTTTTTTGCTTATTCGCACGTAAGAAGGCTGCTTTGCTCTTCATCCTCGGTAATCACGGCTGTCTTTCTCCAGATTCTTACCCCATCCAACGTTGTGCCTGCAGTAGTGTGTGAACACGCAAGATAGATTATAATCTGGAGTAAATGAGTCGTTGAAGAAGAGATTTTGTTTCTTACTCGTCCGAGAAGCAAATCATAAATCGTATAAGAATCAATCCCTTTCTTCCCTCCCCATCTTTACCCCACAACCCCATCATTATACCCCTCACTCTATCAACATGCTCTCCCTAAAGAGTACGACCGATAATGATCCAATGACACTTCCCGTTTGGAGAAAAGTGGCAATGGTCATCGTCATTTCATTGGCCGCTTTCCAGGGTAACTTTGCTGCAGGTGCACATTTGATCGCCTTCAAACCAATGTCAGAATATTTTCAAGTTTCGGTTACTGCGATTGCAAATACGATTGGAATTGGTATTTTAGGTGTTGGTGTTGGTTCTTTGCTTTGGTCACCACTTGCAAGTCCTACAGGATTAGGAAGAAGGAATACAACTTTACTTGCTTGGGGATTTTATGTCGCTTTAACATTTTGGATGGCATTTGCCAAAACTTTCAGCTCTTTTGCCGCTTCAAGATTCTTGGCACTATTTTGTGCATCCGTCGCACAAAGTGTTCCAGCACAACAAATCGGTGAAACGTTTGATCGAAAATACAAAGGAACAGCAGTTAGTGCTTGGGCTTTGTTGATGACTTTAGGTCCAATCAGTACACCTTTAGTAGGATCAGGCCTTTTACTCATCAATCCAGGTCCACAAGCTTTTAGGAATATTTATTATTTCGTAATCGCAACTGCTGCTTTCGTTTGGATTTTGATGTTCTTTTTCGTTCCTGAAACAGCATACATTCAACCTAATGCAGTCGAAATTAATCACAACAAAGCCCAAATCGAATCCGATCAAAAACTCGATAACGAAAGCAAAGAAGTAAACCGAATCGAATCAGCATCTTCACATACAAACGAAGAAGATGAAATTGCATCACGCGCACGTCTGTCGTTGGCACCATGGTACGTCTTGCTCCCGCTACCACTCTTGCGATTCTTTGACGGTCGTGTATTCTTGTGTGGTTTGATGTTTGCAATCACTTTTGGTTGGACAGTAGGCATGACGATTATCAATCCTCAAGTGTTTTCACAAGCACCTTGGAAGTTTGGCAATGTTGCTATTGGTGGTTTGTACATGTCTGCATTTGTAGGTGCGATTATTGGGAAATTGTTGGGAGGTTATATTGTCGATTCAGGATTGATTATGTGGCGTAAGAATCGTACAGCTTATGCCGAACAACGTTTATGGGCACTTTTGATCTTTTTACCTTTTGGTATCGTCGGTTTATTATGTTACGGTTTCGGAATCGGTCAAAAGATGCAATGGCCAGTTTCAATCATTCCAGGTCAAGCAGCTTCTTATTTATACTTTAATATCGTTTCTTCAGTCATTCAAACTTATTTGGTAGAAGTTGAACCTGCTTCTGCTACCCCGGTGATCACATTTATGAACCTTGTCAAATGTGTTTTCTCGTTTGGCGTTCCATTCTTTGTGCCTGCTTGGGCATTAGAATCAAATCCTTCAACAGGATTTCAAACTTCTTTCATCATTCAAATGGTCGTCAATGTGGTCTTATGCTTCATCACTGTTTCTCTTGCTATCTTTCTTCGAAATGGTCTATACAAATGGCAAAAAGGCACAGCCGACACGAAAACAACTGCTCTTGCTCTTCAAGCTCCTTTCTTGCCAAGGCTTAACAAACAGTTTGGTGGTGTATGAAAAAACATGTATATTACTAGTACAGTGCAATTAATTCATAAAGCGATCAAGATAGGTACGATAAGTGCCTGGGCGAGAGGAAATATTAGCAGGTCTTGTGTCAGGAATGGGTTCTATGTTGTTAAAAGTGGGTATATCGGAAGTAGTGTTCGGTACTAGCTGTAGCGACTGAAGGTTGGAAGGCATCTCAAATGCAAACAAAGCCTCTAGCCATTCGGATTGATCCAAGCCACCAAAATCGAGAGGTTGATACTGTTGATCATGATGGGATGGTGGATGGGTGCTCCTTTCATCGCTGAGCAATTGACTGATTGGAACGTAGTCGCGATTGTTGTACGGCATCTCACCATTGCTCGAATCTTCTCGGACAGGCGCACTGCCTTTGTTGGGAAATGCGGGTGAATCAACTTGCCCATTCCTCTTCATTCGCCTTCTCTCCATCAATCTTCTCCATTCATCAGCAATTCCTTCAGCGTCAATATCTTCGATATTTGGATCTTGAACAGCTCTGCAAAGGTCCGCTTGAACATCACATCGTTGCAAAACTTCAATAGCCGCACAGTGACAAATATCGCGTGCCAATTGCAATGCCAGATTCATCTGACTTTCACGAGCGATGTGACATAACAAATTCCTTCCTTGAAGAGCTAGTTTGAGAATCTCTTGTGCTTGCCATGGAACGATGGATTGATCCAATGCCGAGTACATCAATTCCATAATCGGTTCTGAGATATAAAACAAGAAGAAACTCCAACATAAAGCAGAATGATGAAAATCTTGCGGTAACACCAGTGCGTATTGCAATAAAGTGGCTGCCGTTTCTACCCTTCTGCGATTAAGCCAAGTAGGATCATCCGCGATTCGAGGAATAGCCATGCCCAAGCAAACTGCAGCATCTCGTCGTAATTTGGCCAATGTTATACAAAGGACGTTATTCTGCCACTGCGATGAACTTGCTCGCAAAGGTCCTTTGAATGATTTTGCTACACCGAACTCGACTTCATATCGATTCTGTAATTGCAAAAGCTGTTTGTCCAACGTACCTGCCGCTGTAAAGCATCGCAAAGCTTCCATAACTTCTTCTGATGCAGCCGCGTTGGGATCTAGAGATGTGAGTGGGATGTGCAAAACAGCATCAGTCGTTTTCCCACCAATTGCGGCTGCTTGAAGCATTGCAGATGAAAAGCTTGAAAACGGAGCGATCAAACGTGCTTCGACTTTACACGTTTGTACTTCTTCTATTGTTGCCAACAAAGGTTTAGACTTTAGCCTTGCAGGATTGTTGATCGGTTGAGAGGGCTGCTCATCCAACATACTCGAAACATCAATCTCACGACAAAGATCTTGAATGTGCATCATCTGTCCAACTTCGTCACACATCCATATATCGCATTGATTGGCCTGTAGGCAATAAGAGCTTGCATTGTCGATCATGATATAGAATCTATCATACTGGAAATAAGACCAGAATAGCCTTCTTGCCGATTGTCGTTGTAAAGGTGTTTTAAATAGATTTGATCGATTCCTAGGCGAATTACTGTCAAGCAAATGAATATGTGCAAGTTGCAAGCACGAAATATCCCTTGCGATTCGATTGCGAACGTGAGTCTTTCTTCCGCAATTTTTGAGGTAAGCCATGACATGCATAGATGCGTGAAGGTATTCTAATACGAAAACGTCTTTTGTCGGATCATAGGTGTCCAAATAATCATCTGTAAATCGAATCGCAAAATCAAATGCTCTGGGTGCCAAGTGTGCACTTGATGGGGCCAGGACTCTTGCATCTCGGAATGCTCTGTCTAGTTCCCTTGGTCGAAGTTGACCGGTCAGAGCCAGAAGGACGGCTAAAAGTGGTCTGAATACGGATCGCGGTGAAAGATCCAATGCGTTTGCCTTCCAGTTGAGATGCAAGGCTGTATTATTTACAGCATCATACATATAATCTAATTCTTGAAACCAAAAAGTGAGAAGGACATCAACGAATCGTTTATCGGTAAGTTGTTCGGGAAAGCGTAAAGATTGTTGAAATGGGTGTGGACTTTCGGATGTATGTAATGGGGAAGAAGAAGGAGATGCATGGGCTGACAACGGGCTTGTGTCTGCTTGACCATTCTGTACCAGATGTGCAGTTGCTTGTTTGTAAGAACATTGTTTATTATTCTCACCACATTGTTTGCATGGTTTACCACGATCACACTTTCGTTTCAATTGTCTGCATGGATCGCAAGATAGTGGCTTTCTTTTCTTTCTTTCTGCTGCTGAAAGATGTGGAGTGTCGATTTGTGTACTCTTTCGTTTTGATGAAGTAGATGAAGATGGTGAAGCTTCTTGCATTTTGGCTTATTGCCAAAGCATTTTTTTGTCTGATGATGAAAGATAACGATAAAAGTAATTCGAATGAATTTCACTTTTGGCACGGCGCGTAATATTATCTCTGCATGGCGCATTAAATTGACAGCCCGGGCAAGAAAGAAGCCTCAACGAGTGTTCTGTGTGCAGTGCATCAAGTGTAATACACAGAGAATTGAGTGAAGCACACCCACACGCAACGAACTGCACGTGAGACAATCGGAAATGCTCTCATCAGGTACGCGCCAGTCAAATTTCCGAAAGCGGCCCATAGACGCGGGGAAAGCGGCACTTGATCGGTCAAGATTATTTCCGATCGCCGGCATGTAAGGCTGTTGTGGGGTATGGTCTGACACCATACCAACAGGTACTCCTTCAGCCGCTTCTTTTCCGATCGTCGCTTAATCACCTTGTTTATCCGATCAAGTGATGTATTGCAATATATCTCCTTTTAAACCCTTTTGCGGGGTATTCATGTTTAATTTTGTTCCTGTAGATTGTCTATCTATAAATATCCTCAATGCCTTCCCCCACCTCTCCCATATCTCTCCTCTTCACCACATCCAAAAATCCACTTTCAAAATGAAAAGTGAATATTCTGGCAGAAAATGGATGGGACTTAGTGGAGTTCGCCTTTCTTTTATGATCGGTGCTGTTGCAAGTGCTGGTTTCTTATTATTAGGTTATGATCAAGGTGTAATGAGTGGTTTGCTCACTTTACCAAGTTTCACAGAAACATTTCCTCAAATTGATACAACGAGAAATAAAGCAGGTACATCAAGTGAATCAACTTTACAAGGATTAACAATCGGTCTTTATGAAATTGGTTGTTTGATAGGTGCTTTATCTTGTTTATGGCTTGGTGACCTTTGGGGTAGAAGAGCCGTTATTTGGGTTGGTACAATTTGGATGGTCATCGGTGCAATCATTCAAGCTTCTTCTTTTGGACTTCCTCAATTGATCGTTGGTAGAATTATTGGTGGTATAGGAAATGGAATGCATACTGCCACGATTCCTATGTGGCAGTCTGAATGTTCACCTCCTCACAAAAGAGGAAAACTCGTCATGATCGAAGGTTTATTGATCACGGGTGGAATTTGCATGGCATATTGGATCGACTTTGCATTTTATTGGCTCGATCCAAGTTCTACCCATACCGCACCAAATTCATACAATCCACAAGATTATCCACATAGATCAGCTGCTTGGCGTATTCCAATCGCTTGGCAAATTTTTCTCTGTTTACCGACATTCTTGACAATTTTGATGCCAGAATCACCACGTTGGTTGGTTCTCAAAGGACGAACAGACGAAGCAAGAGAAGTGATAGGCTGCTTAGACGAAACTTCAGTCGATGATCCGGAAACGATTGCAAAAGTTAAAGAAATCCAAGAATCTCTAGCTGTGGCCCAAAGCAAAGGATTATCAGATGTGTTCAAAAATGGAAAAGAGAAGAATCTTCATCGAGCTCTTTTAGGTATTGTAAGCCAGGCCGCCCAACAATTAAGCGGTATCAACCTTATTACGTACTATGCAGCAACACTATTCGAGACCAATCTGGGCTTATCGGCGCTTTTGTCCAGAATCTTGGCAGCATGCAACGGTACAGAATACTTTATCGCTTCTATTGTTGCTGTGTACACAATTGAAACATTCGGTAGACGCAAATTAATGTTGTTTGGCGCAGCAGGAATGTGTATCACAATGGCCATTTTGGGTGGACTCACGGCGCCTAGCTCTCTCAAAAAGACGGCAAGCGGAGAAGCATCCAACAAAGCGCCAGCATATGCAGCAGCTGTGTTTTTGTTTGTCTTCAATACATTCTTTGCAATCGGTTGGTTAGGAATGACTTGGTTGTATCCTGCTGAAATTTGTCCATTGTCGATTCGTGCGGCCGCAAATGGACTTTCGACAGCATCCAATTGGATCTTCAACTTCCTTGTCGTTTTGGTCACGCCCATTTCTTTCTACCAAATCGATTACGGAACATACCTCGTATTTATGTCCCTCAATGCAATCATCTTTTTCGTCACGTTCTTCTGTTTCCCCGAGACAGCAGGCAGATCATTAGAAGAAATGTCGGGAATATTCGAAAAAGCGAGTACCAGAAACCCGTATGACGTTGTCCGAATCGAACAAAGAACACCAAGACGATACGACAAACAAGGTCAACTACTCGTCAGCGATGAAGAGCTAGGACAAGGCATATTTGGAGATGAAGTTGTACAAACGAAAGAGAAATCTGCTGACAAGGACTCGCAACCGGATGCTCTCCGTGTGGAGACGCACGATGCTGATTCGCCCAGTACAAGATCTGGTTGATTGTTGCTTTGCTTCAAAAGTTGCTGTAAGAGTACATTTCGAGATCAGATGTTTCATTATCATTATGATAGGTCACTAATTAGAATGAATGCTCAGGGCACCACCTTTTATTTTGTCTCTGCATACGCGTATTTACTAGTTAATCTTAGCACACCACCCTCACCATCATAAAAAAGAAAGAGTGAATATCATTTCAAGAACAAACAGATACCATTAAGATGGCGACAAAATAAAAAAGGATCAAGAACTAGGCCTTGAAACCAGTGTTACCATCACCATTGCCTTCATCACCCGAATTAAAGCTTCCTACGGCGCCATTTTGGTTAAGAAGAGAGTTGCCCGATCCAAAGCTGAAGCTTGGTGCACTTCTCTTGGATCCTTTGAAACCTGTGTCACCATTACCGTTGTTTTGGTCCCATTGGTTGAAACTGCCTACGGCGCCGTTCTGGTTAAGAAGAGAGTTGCCCGATCCAAAGCTGAAGTCTGGTGCACTTCTTTTGGAACTTTTGTAGCCAGTATTACCATTCCCGTTGTTTTGGTCATTTTGGTTGAACGATCCGAAGGCTAGGTTACCATTCAAGATGGAATTTTTGCTTCCATAGTCTCCTGGAGCAAGACGTTTAGCAACAAAACCGGAATCTTGGTCACCATTCCAGCTGTCATGATCATTAAAGCTGCCAAAGCCGAAATTTTGGTTTCCGATGCTATTGCCCGACCCGAATTGAACGCCATCACGACGACGGAAGCCGGTGTCACCGTTTCCATTGTTTGAATCATGAGAATTGAACGAGCCAAAGCCGAAATTTTGGTTTCCGATGCTATTGCCCGACCCGAATTGAACGCCATCACGACGACGGAAGCCGGTGTCACCGTTTCCATTGTTTGAATCATGAGAATTGAACGATCCGAAGGCGAAATTTCCATTTCCTGCACTGTTGCCTGAGAGGAAATCGATGCCATCACGGGACTTTAGACCTGTGTTTGAATTTCCATTATTTTTATTATTTTTGTTATATGAGCCTGAAGCAAGGTTACCATCAGCGATTTCGTTGCCCGATCCGAAGCTAATGGATCCCATTGAGATCAATGAAGAGCCATCTGCTTGTTCAGAGACATCCTTAGAGTCAACAGCATTGCACAACATTGTGGTAGGAGCAGCTTGAGATGTCAAACCGTTAGCGGCGATAGCGACCAAGGCAGCAGCCAAGAAAGCGTTGAAATGAACCATCTTTAGTGAGTGTTTGAGTGGGGTAGGATATAGAAGTAGTAAGGAAAAGGAGAGAAGGAGTGGATGGGGAAAGTAGTGAGGAAAATATCAGAAATATGGGCTTTATATAGCCGTTAGAACGGATGGAATTAGTGATAGACTTTCTTAATGAGCGAAGGGTTTATTTTCACGGAGTATTCCACAGGAAAGCCCCACAAATTGCAGAGGTATTGTTCTCACCCCATCATTTAACTTCACCAGAACACTAACATGAATCAGGTCAAACATTAGCGTTAAACTGATGACTGAAAGGGTAAAGATCGACAAAATGATTTCGTTTCTTTAAGTTCCTTAGCCAGACGAGAACATTTGAAATTGCATCTCAGACAGATGGTATGCTGATTTTATTGGTGATTCACTATTTTCCCAAGATCTTGTTCCATCGGAACATTCACTTGATTAGTGCAGAACGATTTGATGGGATAGTTGCAGCTAAAGTGACGGATAGATGATTATTTTCTTATAATTAGACTTATTCGTCATCTTGCCAAAGTGGAATTCGGTCATATAGCAGCGACTGATGCATCTATCCGTCCATTAATTCTCATGATCATCAGTTCCCGACGCTTGTTTACTTAAACGCAATCCCATGAAACCATGATCGAGATGCAAAATAGCCCGCGCTAGATGGTTCTTTCTTTCACAATCCCTTTTAGCTAAAGAAGGTGAAGCATGTCATCTGTGTACTATTTTTGTTTGTTTATGCACTGCAGCCCGTGCTTTATTGGCGGTTGAGGCATATGATCGGCACACCACGATCAGATTCAACCTTCTTAGCGTGATTAAATTTAGAAGCTATATTTTATAATCCTGCCTTCCTTTTGGATAAAAATCGGAAGATTATGTTCAAACGGCGAAAAACTTGCATACGATCATGAAAGGGACTTGTACATTGCCCCGCTTATGTTTATGCATAGAAGACACTGATTTGTTTACAAACATGCATCATGTTATATTCTTCGTGAGAGAGAATTCTTCTACCCCACAAATTCGGCACTATATTACACTTTACGCTAAAAGAACTTTAAAGAAAGGGGACCCCAATGTACATTTTATGAAATTCGATTGAAAAAGTACGTTGGAATAATCTTATGATTTCTATGCATTAATTCATCATCATGTCAGCGTATTGAAAAATATATGCAAACGTGCCGCAATCATAAATAGAAATTGCTTGATTTGTTTCAGTACATGTGGAATCTTTTGCAAATCTCTGGGTTCTGGTGCAGCTGTCGTATGTAGGAAACAAAGGGGCTGTCATGTTCGGCAACGTGCACGTTCTATATAAAAAAAAACAGTCGTGCACGGGTGTGTGCAATTCAGTACAGCTTTTAGTCACTACTACAAGTGACATGAACTGATGACTTTTGATGATGAACCTAAAAATCCGAAAGTCTAGCCTTTCAAGCAGAGATTTATTCCGAGACCCGTAAATGCATGCGGGGTAAACGACTTTTAAGATTCTCTCTTCATTCACACTGCATAGAATTCTTGCTGTCGTCATATCTGATCCAATTCATCAAAAGCTTAAAGTTCTCTCGGTGTGCATGCTAATATACCACAGTTCCGCCATCATTTGCATCCGCCTCTTCAGAAAATAATATAAGCAAAAGGTAAGCTTGCTTAGAATACAACTCTTAAGCATTTCATTTAAGCTGAGATGTGTTTGCTAAAAGATAGTAAAGATCATCCGCAATGCACTAATCATCTATAAATTTTATCCTTATATAATTACCTATTGAATCACTCCACTTATTCGTATCACGACTTGATCATTAATTTGCGCACATTCAGCCGGATAAGCTGGAAGCAACTGATAAGAAACACTTACGGGGTGCATCAAATTTATAACGTTCAATAGCCTATCAAAAATGATACATATCTTTGCACAATGCTTCATCTGAACTTCATACCAGCTCTAATTCTGTCCAATAGAAACTGGCCTGTTCAGGGTTGCAAATTTAACTCAATCGTTAAGAGACTTTGAGCTTAGTACTTTTACCGCTTTGATATCTTTGAGTGACTTATCGTCATATACACAAGATATACCAAGGGTGCTGCTATATGGAGTAGAAGTTCGCGGGTGAGAGTCCAGTGAGATAAGGTGACAGTGTAAGGGCATCTTTCACAAGTAGCTATCTGTATTGTTCCTTTAAATTTGAGATGGCAGTGATCTATTAGCGGCATTCCTTCGCCTTTCCATATCTTGGTCAAACGCCGATTAGCTCGAAATAGAATCTGTATTAGCAAAAAGTACTCGTTGTCTTTTGAATGGCATCTGGCTGTACCTGAGAGATTAACGCGGAAGCCTAAAAAGGAATTCTAGGGTCGATTGACGAGATTCAGTTGTTAGGCCAAGATAAGCTCAAATTTAACTTTAATTCGAAGCAAACGTTGCGCTTCTTTTTCTTTTGTTAAGCGCGACTGACGCGCTTATGAAGATGCAAGATGATGCAGTTGAGTATCAATTGTAATGAATGAATGGATGCCCTTGCTTCTATTTCTTATCTTGACAGCTCATCGTGGGCAATAAAGAAGTGCACTTTACCATCAATCGGGATTTTATTAGTATAATTCAGCCGCGGTTCATCTTTTAATGAGCTTTGTTTTAATCAAATCACGGCGCCGTGATACTAAAATAGGGCCATACGAGAGGGGAATGAGCGGAGGCCAAGTGTAAGTGCAAGTGGCAAGAGCGCAGCAATTACCCCTGATACATTCATTCACCCACATACAATGATCAATTTCTGCTGAGAATGAATCGGTCATGAAAGACTTGTTCGGCATGTGTGACTACATACGCCACAAGCGCGGCCTCTGTTCCTGTGACTTGCAACGTTTTTATGATGATCAGATCACCGTTCAAAGGCGCACAAAAAGACAAAGTTGGCGCGCGCGCACTCTCATCTTTACACAATCTGATATTCTCATGCTTTTGCGGCCGATTCAATTCATCAATTGCGGGGCATCAATTGAAAAGGGCCGGATAAACCTTTCCTGTGCAAAAAATATATAATTTTGACATCAAACTCGTAAATACACTTTACACACCACCATCCTTTGGTTTTTGTTGTTTTTGTCGTTGAGAAAGAAAGACAACTTTTATTGTATCCAACAATGTCTTCTTCATCTACTCTTTTCGAAGATAGTTTTGAATCTCGTCAAAATGATTTGACTTTTGACCCTGCTATTCATTTGGCCTATCAAGCACCAAAAGAACGTTTGACGATGGACCAATTGAACCTTAGTCAAAACAAAGCACCTGTAAGTGGCAAAAGAACAAAAGATGTTTTACAGAATATACTCACTCTTTCTATCTTTTAGTCCCGTGTCGGTGTCACTTCTCCATTCCCCTTGGCTTCTCTTGAAGGAGTGAAAGCATTACGAGCAGATATTTTACAAAAACGTGTTTTGGATAATCATATGATGCAATCTGGAATTGCAGGTCCACATGCTCAACTACGTGGAATGGCTCCTGAAGCTGCTCAATTTGTTCAACAATTCTGGACTCATCCAGCAACTCTGGCAGCTGTCAGTGAAGCAGCTGGTGAAGATTTGGTGCCTGTTTTTGATTTAGAGGTGAGCAGATTCGTAATGAGAGATATGCTCTTGTGATCATGCTAACAATCCACTTGCACCACAGCTGGGACATACAAACATTCAAATTCCAGATGGTTCCGATCGTCGTACCTATCTTGATAGCTTACCCGTCGATCCATTTGCAAAAGACAAAAACAAGAAACTTGCTGCTCCCGCGAAAGATGAGAAAGAGCCAAAAGTTGTAGTTGGATACCATCGTGATGCCTAGTGAGTCAAAATACCGATGCGAGCATTCTAGCATAAGCTGACATATTTACTTCCTATTCAGCCCATGGGTTTGCGTGTTGATGCTATCAGATGTAAGTATAATGATTGCGCCAATCCTCAACGGAATGCTGACGATTTTGCCTCTACTCAGGTATCTGATATGATTGGTGGTGAAACAGAAATTCGTCGTGGAGATGGTACAACGATCAAAGCAATGGGTCCAGGTATTGGTAATGTGAGTATAACTTTAGCACACATCCTCCTCAGCCGCTGACCACGTGTTCCACTTCCAACCCCAGTGCGTCATGATGCAAGGCGGTTATATCGAACACTGTGCTTTGCCTGCTCGTGGAGCATCAGAACGCATCACGATGGTGACTTCTTTCCGACCACGCAACAAAGTATACCGTGACTTGACGGACTTACGTAACATTCGTGATTGCAGTAACCTTTACGAACTTCATGATCAATTCTTGCGTAGTCGTTTGGACATCGTTCAAGAAACATTGAACGCTTATCGTCACAACCTTGCCCATCGTCGTCATGATGTTGAAGTTGCTTATGGTAAGCGTGGTGGAATCAAACGTGAGATTGTGGACAAGCGAGAAATTCAAGGCTTAATTGATTTCTTTGTAAGTTGAGAAAAGGAGAACCTGTTTGTTTAATCATTTACTGACATCTCTTATTGCAGACTAACACTTTGACTAATGCAATGGAGCAAATGCGTGAGTAGAGAAGCCAGCAAGCCTTCAATGAACTGTCTCTGACCATCTCTTGCCCACCACAGCCGATCTCAAGAATGCACACGAAGAGCGTGCGAGCAAATTGTGATGAGACAATGCTCACGGTCAACAACTTTTCTTTATTAACGACAAACCTTTCAAGTTTTTTACGATGATCACTTTTGCTTTTTTTCTTTATTTTTACGATTTGTTTCTCTGGTTCTAACTTTGATTGCATGACAAGCAGCATTCAAAAGTCTTTTTTCTTTTTCCGATTTTCTTTTGTACCATTTTCACTTTTTTTCGACGTGTTCATGACTCTTTTTAATACAACTTTCTCTTTTTCTCTCGCAGATAAGTTGGTTGATCAGTAGAGGACAAATAGTATAAGCCATCATTGAGACCACTTTCTCACATTAGTCACACCGTGATGCTTTCATACGATTGAAATGATGATTCTACTCTCCTCTTTGCGCCGGTGCCACGCAGTTAATTTACCCCCCACCTTTATACTCCCGCCCCGCGCATTTACCGCGCAATCTCAAGCCTCTCCCCCTCTTTCGGACTTTTCGACCGATATCAAGGCTTTCATGCTAGATGCCGAGAGAAAAACAGCAAATTGTGTTCCCGCTATTCCAACGCGTTGAGAGTAAAACAGAGCAAAGCATCCCATGCGGATAAAAATGGTTTGCATGCATGCATAATCACTCTTTAGCTTATGTATCGTACGAAATGACTCGGTTGTATTTCGAATAAAATGTCAGCACAAAAGAGTGAGTGGGGGGGAACATGCCACTGATAATAACATACAATAATTTTTTGGCTGCAGGATTCATGCATTTCCAAATCAGACTCACTTCTCTTCGGTTGCTCGGCCGTCATTTGGAAATTGATTTGTACCCTTTTTTTAAACATTCTTAGCTGAGCATCTTTGAACATGATCCCATCATCTTCCCCTTTGTACAAGTGATCATGACGAAAGATGATGTATCACCCACTCCCAAAGAGGTCAAGCCAAAAGGCCAAGGAAATGGTCATTGGCTTAAACAAGAAACAGTGGTCATCCCAAAGAATAACTTGTTTGTTGTTTTTAGCGGATTAATGTTGACTGTCTTCTTGGCTGCAATGGATCAAACAATCGTTTCAACTGCTCTACCTACTATTTCTGCAAAATTAGATGGAGGCTCAAGTGGTTATAGCTGGGTCGGTAGTGCTTATTTGCTTTGCTCAACAGCTGTGATCCCTTTATATGGAAGAATATCCGATCTGGCAGGCCGTAAACCAGTCCTTTGGGTTGCAATCGTTTTGTTCTTATTCGGTTCAGCAATGTGTGGCGCTGCACAAAGTATGACTTGGTTATGTATTTGCAGAGGTGTCCAAGGACTAGGTGGCGGTGGAATCATTTCTTTGGCAAATATCTTAGTCGGTGATTTGGTTTCACTCGAACGTAGAGGAACGTTTGGTGGTTTATACGGTTTCGTTTGGGGTTTCGCAAGTGTTATTGGACCTCTGATCGGTGGGGTTTTAGCCGATCGTGCTTCATGGAGATGGTGTTTCTTTATCAATTTACCAATCGGAGGTATTGCCTTTGTTGTTTTGGCACTTACCCTAAACCTTAACCCTCGACCAAAAAAATCGGTAAAAGAGATGTGGCACAAGTTTGATCGGTTAGGATATTTGATCTTATTGAGTGCTATCATCATCTTTTTACTAGGATTCACATTTTCAGAAACAGATGGATTCAACACACCAAAAGCGATCGCATGTATCGTGGTTGGAGCGTTTATGTTTGTTGTATTTATCGCTTGGGAATTCTTTTCTGAACGCAAATTTCCTCACGTTTTACCACTCATTCCATCAAGAATCTTTCGCATTCGTACAACCGCTCTCATGTTGGTTGGAGTTGCTTGTCATTCTGTGACATTCTTTTCAGGTGCTTATTATTTGCCCTTATACTATCAAGCGTGAGTTCATCAACAGCATGTTCAATTCTTATCCAACTTGCTAACCCTTCTCTCCCTTACTCAGTGTCACAGGATCATCTTCAACTTTAAGTGCCGTTCAAATGCTACCATACTCACTCATCTCAGCCGCAACTTCAATGGCATCAGGAGCGTATGTCTCTCGTGTTCGAGCATATAGGCCAACGATTTGGGTTGCATTTGCGGTTTACACCTTAGGAATGGGATTGATGACAATGTTGGATGCAGATTCATCAAAAGCAGAACAAGAAGTCTACCCTTTGATTGCAGGTCTGGGTTTAGGATGTTTGTTCCAAACTCCACTCATCGTCTTAACTGCCGCAATGCCACCGAAAGAGATGGCTTCTTCCACAGCTGCGATGGCTCTGGTAAGAACTGCCAGTGGTACCGTAGGAATCACAATTGCGGGTAGTGTCTTCAATGCAGGCGTTCGAAGCAAGACGGCGGGAATAATGGGCTATGACAGAGCGGGTATGTCTGCTGATACGAAAGATTTACGGGGTTTGGTTCATTTGCAACCACCACAATTATCCTACGAAGTCGTCCATGCATACGGACAGGCTTTGCAGTTGATATGGATCGTAATGGCTCCAATCGTTGGCTTTGGATTCTTGTGTTCGCTAGGATTAAAAGGATACAGTCTATCTCGTAAGATCGTTCAAAAGGAAGAAAAGGAGACAGAGGTCATTCCCGCTACTGCTACTCCCGCCACTGCTGCTCCAGGTTCAGCAATCGATTTAGCCAAATCAGACAGTGGTGCAAGTGGCACAACTCCAACCGCTTCTTATCACGAGAATGAAACAATACAAGAGACCGATGTAGAGAAGCAGGAAGAAGATGTCACAAAATAAATATATTCATTAATAGAATAAAGTTGTATCATCATCATTGTATTTTAATTTTACAAATGTTTGTGTAATTCACCATTCCATTCGATTATCAGAGATAAATCGAACGTTCCCCTCATTTTCACCTCGCATGATTCGTTTTCCACTGTTGCTTTTAGCCACAATCGAACGCAATTCAGTCAACATTTCTCCCGGTCCACTTGCGACTATGCTGGAAGCACCAGTGCATGTTGCCAAGAAGGAGCGTACTGCTTCCTGCAAATCTGGTCGTTTGGAAGATTGTCCACCTTCTTTGGTCGGTGTTCCATCTCTCGTTGAACGGATTATGACCTCAATTCCACCATGTTGTCTGATCACGTCCAACTCTGGTTGAATCCATTCTTCGTCTGTGGCATTCCTTACAACCCACAACAGCGAGATTTGACGATTTGATGGCAAAGCAAATCTAGCATAATGCAACAATACAGGTAACACAAATGTGATCCCTGTTCCACCTGCAATGCACATAATATTGTCTTGTTCCTGGATACTTTCCAAAATTGAACCACCATATGCACCCGTCAAGATGACATCTGTGGAAGCCTGAGGAAATGCTTTCACCATCTCTGCAATCTTTTTCGTTTCACCGCTCTTGGCACGGAAGAGGTAAGAATGACGTGCCAAGCCTTCTCCAGTCAAAAATGGAAGTGACAATGGCGTGAGAGGATGGGCTTGCCAGATTGACGATTGAGGGAAGGTCAAAAAGAAGTGTTGTCCAATATGCCAAGCACTGGTTTGTTTTTGATCAAAATCTAAACGAACAATGTGACCACTTTTTGCATCTTCAAACAATTGTGAGCTAGCTCTCGAGACTTGGAATCCAGCCATCGTTGTTCCATCTTCTTTGGTGATGAGATTGTAGTGCAAGAGAAATGTTCTGATCAATCTCGCTGCACGATCAACACCCCAAAAGATGAAAGAAGGAATCAAGAAACATTTCAAATGCTCCCAATGACCCCAGCATGCGCCCAAGAAGATAAGCGCGATCAGGTAATGCACTTTGCGAAAGAATTCATACCCAGTCCTCTTGATGATTGATGGCCATGTTAATACCCACATGATCGTCAACAAAATTATTGCAACGCATCCCCAAATCATGTACGGTTGCTTGATCCATTGTTGTGCAGTTGTTGGTTGTGGTTGATACAATTTTGCTTCAATGATCGTCCAGCCGATTGTGTGCAATAAAGACTGGATAAGAATAATGTAACCCAACCAACGATGTAAAAAGTTAAAATGATGATAAGGAACACCAGTAATAACTGATAAAAGATTTTCACGACTTGACAGCAAAATACTAAACGGAAGCATTCCATATGCCAACACGCCCAAACGATCTGACCATGGACCAAGAGTTGTGCGTGTATTGTGCAGGGCTGGATTGGTCTTTACGGGCGTCTTGTACGTCTTCCATGAGAATCCCAAAAAGCTCCATATAAGCAAGTATCCTGCCAAGATGGCTAACAATACGATTTGCAGGCGTGACACTCTTCCAAAAATTGCGTGCGGACCGTCAGGAAGCAGTCTTTTGCGGGTCTCAGCAATGAATGCTGTGTAGAGACGAGATGTCCTTGACTTTTGAAGGGGTTTGTTTATTTCTGCACTCTCTTGACAACCGCATTGATTCGCTTTATCGGTCTTGTTTGTCTCAAAATCTGCGCTGGTGAAAGGACCAATTATTTCCCTGCTTGGCCGAATAGATTTTCTTGCAATTGCCCAGATCAACAAAATTGCACCAATGGTTGCCCAAATGATACCAATATAAAGCATACCCAAGTCATGACCATGGTAAACATTATCCAGATAAGCGCATGAACCTGCGTCATTTGTACAAGGTAAAACCCTACTCACATAACCCCAATGAGGTTCAAGTTGTTTAGCATCAGAGAAGTTCTGGATGTGACGAGGTTGCAACATCTTTTGTAGATGATGGCAAGAAGATCTTTTTGATTGCGAATGAATCCTTATAAAGAAGATGTTCCTGATCTTCAAATCTTTATTTGATCGGCGCCTTTTGAGCTTGGCATTGTTTGTTTAAGCGTGGGCGTGTAATAATCGGGTAATTTGTTTGGGTTATCTTTCGGCGACTTTTCATTGTTGGTCGGAAGCAAGAAGAAGAAAAACGCGCCGAAATGTATGCTGCATAAATAACCGAGAATGAAATATATGACAATCAGATCATTTACGGCACCGTTTATCTTCTTCATCACCATCATCACATCCATCTCTTCTTTCAAAATGAATCATATGATGGACGGTATGAACATGGAAGGGGAAGGATCAAACGCTTGCAAGATTTCAATGCTTTGGAATTGGTATACAATCGATGCATGCTTCTTAGCCGAAGGATGGCACATTCGTAATCGTGGAATGTTTGCTGCTACATGTATTGGTGTGGCATTAATGACGGTTTGTTTGGAAGCTTTGAGAAGGGCTGGTAGAGAGTACGACGTTTTGATTGCTAAACAATGGCAAGCACACGCAAGAACGATCACCAAGAGAATGTCTCTCGATAATAACGCAGTGGAAAGCCCTGGTCTTCCCTCTCTTGCACAAAAAGCTGATCCTGATGAGATCGCATCTTCGTCAGGATCTGCTCATCAAGCACAATCTCTTACTAACTTCAAATCTCAATACCCATCGTCTATCGCATTCCGTGCAACTCCACTTCAACAACTCATTCGTGCAGTTCTCCATGCGGCTACGTTTGGCTTGGCGTACATTTTGATGCTTTTAGTCATGTACTTTAATGGGTACATCATCATATCAATCATCCTTGGGGCGGGTTTGGGCAAGTTTGTATGCGATTGGATGTCAGCTACTATTCCGATTGGCGCAAAGGATGAACAAATCATTCACCACAGCACCACAGACGATCCAGCAGTTTGCTGTTAGGGTCTTTATGTACACTTATAATGTCAATAAAATATCTTCATATTCAACTCTGGTGAATGCACTGAGAGTATCAAAGTATGCGATACAGTCACACAATCGGCCCATTTGAGAAAATTCGTCAGAGCCCATCCTCTATGATTTCAAGGAAAAACTCCACTCTCTGATCTGAATGTGATGCATTCCTTCTTCTCTATATATTACTGTACTACAAATGGTCAAATATCTCACTACTAAATGGCAAATCGGAAGTCCAATCGTCTGTTTCCTTCATCCTTCGTTGTAGCAAGGTATTGAAGTTGTTCTTCTCTTGACATGGCATTCCACTTTTTGTCCCTTTGTTGATTTCTCGTTTTATAATAAAAGTAGACGCCGATATATATCACAAATGTTGCACAACTCAAGATCGCAATTGAAAGATTGCCCTTTCTATACAAAGGTGCATCAGAAGCTTGATAAACATTCGCTCCAATGATTGCAGAGATTTGAACGGTGATGTTGTAGATTGCTGCGCTGATTGTTCGTGTACGTACTGAACCAGCTTGTCGTGAAACGAGAGCGACTTGCAACGCATGTACGTATGGGTAAGCTTGTTGGAGGGATGCAATTGCCCAATAAGTCCATTTGCTTGCGTTGGCAGGTAGACCAAATAAGGTGAACAGGAAAATTGCGTTCCACACAGCAATCGAGCTGGCAACAAAGATTCGATATTTTACCCTTTCGGAAATCATAGTGATTAAGATCAATAACAATAGGCCCAATACAGGAGCTGGAATGCTGAGTGCATTTGTTGCTTCCACCGTGAAGCCAAATTTGCGTAATTGAATGGTTAGATAGTTTGCGATGGGATAACATGGAAGTAAGAAAATGAGACCAATCAAATACATCGGCCAAAGATCGTAGTCGGATAAACTCTTTTTGAATCCTTGCCAGTCAATGCCCTGTCGGTTGTGCATGTCTGCTTTACTTGGATCGTCACGGATTGCACGATTTACGATCAGCTTCTCTTCTTCGACTGAGAACCATCCGTTACGATAAAACCAATTCTTTGTTTGCGTTGGACCTGCCGGCATCTGTATAAATGAGAATACTCCAACGATCAAAGTGATCAAACCTTCGATCAAGAACAAATACCTCCAGCCAGCATGTCCGCTAGCTCCTCGAAGTCGCAGTAACCCAAGAGCCAAGAAAGGAGAAACAATTTTGACCAAATAATTTGAAACCCAAAAGAATGCCAAACGCATCGGAAGTTCAGTACGAGTGTAAAAGTATGAAAGGTATAGAACGATATCCGGGATAAAACCACCTTGCAACATCCCGATCATCCAGCGAAACGCCAAAAAAGATGAACGACCTTTCATGAAAAATTGAGCGCCACTGAAAATACTCCAAAGCGTAATTTGTGCAGGTACCCAACGATCAGGTCCTAATCGTTTACTGATCATTTGTGAAGGTAATTCGGCTAATAAGAAAGCAAGTTTGAAAAGTGTATTACCCAAATTATAATCCGCTTGTGTTAATCTTAAATCTTCCAACATGTTATCACTATTTGCTTGTGCAATATTTTCACGATCAAGATCTAAGCAAAAGAACATGACTACCGCCCAGAGAGCAATACGCCAATCCATCTTTTTTACAAGCTTCTTTTCTTCTCTCCATGTCCAACGGAATTTTGGATCAAATCTATGAATGTTCTCCCATTCCGGATGGGGTTTGTTGAATTTTGCATATTCTTCATCATCGTAGACGGAAGGTTGTGTGGCGATTGCGTCCAGCTCGGCACTTACATCTTCTTGTGTCTTTGCTGGATGGAAAAGTCTATGAAGAAATCCAGATGATTGTGGTGAGGATGAAGTCTTGGATAATTCAGGAACGAGATCAGAGTTTTTGATGCTGCTTCTTTTACTGCTATCGCTTGCCAAACATTCTTTTGGTGTCTCGCTGTCCATCTTGACTTCCTCCTTGTAGTGTTCGGAATCTAGGCGTGGCAAGACCATTTTGTCAACAAAGAAGGGTGGCGATGTAGAATTGAGTAAGACAAGACTTTCTTCTTTTTATACAGCCGTTCAACTTGATCAGGAACGCTTAATCCAACAAGAATCAGTCTCATGTTCCTAAAACCCGGCATGAAATATTATCCAATCGGCAAAGCACACAATCACCATAGCACGTCTTCGGAAATGGGTTATGCATTATTGCCCACCTTGCTCGAATTATTCAGCATTAAAAGAGCAAAGTACGCTAACCGTGACGTGATGAGCACGCCATGCTTCTAGAATGATGAGTGGTGGTGTGCTAAAATGACGCTAACTCGATCAAGTTACGTGCTTAATAAACTTTATCTTCATGGTTGCGTGCTCTTTCAGGTCCTTCTTGGCAAGATAATGCTGATTATGCCAATCCAGAAGAAGGGATCAAAACGGGCAAGTCCGAATCTTCCCCCGCACAAGTAAGGAACATGCGTTTATCTCCGGACTGATTAGGAATCCATGCCGAGATCACGACATTGCTCAGCAGCTTGTTCAAACGATTCAATTTCAAATCAAAAAAAAAAAAAAAAAAAAAAATGTGTGTTGAAAGGTAGTATGTTCAATCGTATATAAAACGAACCATCTACTGCTATGCCCCGGTCCTCAATCATCATCCTTCTCAAAAATGGCCCCAGATATCGCTACCTTGAACGCTGCTCCAGCACAAACTGCTGTTGAATCCATCAAATCAAAGCTTGCAACAGAAAGTGCAGGTAAAAGTCAAAATGCAAAACCGTTGCAATTGTCCGGAGTCCTGGACAAATACAAGCATTTTGAAGTCACTCCTGTGATCGGAAGAGAATTCCCTGAACTTCAAATTCGTGATTTACTCAAAGCTGAAAATTCTGATGAACTTCTTCGTGAATTGGCAATCATCATTTCGCGTAGAGGTGTTGTGTTCTTTCGTGCACAAGATCTTACCCCGGAAGAACAGAAAAATTTTACCGAACGATTGGGCAAATTAACCGGTAAGCCTGATTCAAGCGGCTTACACATTCATCCAATCATCAATGCCGAACGTGATGGTGAACATCAAGTTGTGGATGAATTTGGAAATGTGAACAAAGATGATACCATTAGTGTCATCTCTTCCAAATTCAGAAAGACGGCTTATCATGAATACCGTAAATCAGGCGCAGATGAATGGCATTCAGATATCACATTTGAACCTGTTCCGGCCGATTATACTTCTTTGAAAGTTCACACTTTACCTCCAACAGGCGGTGATACTCTTTGGAGTTCAGGATATGAAATCTTTGATCTTTTGTCTGATCCTCTCAAACGTTTTGCAGAAGGTTTGACAGGATACTTTGCCCAACCTGCCTTTAACGAAACGGCTGCCCGTCAAGGCTTCCGAGTTCATCCAGGTCCACGTGGATCACCTTTGAACGTTGGCGAAAAGTTGGAAGCCCATCATCCATTCGTTCGTACAAATCCCGTAACAGGATGGAAATCAGTCTTTGGCGTTGGATCTCATTTCAAGAGCATTGAAGGTTTAACAAAGCCAGAAAGTGATTTATTCAGACAATACATTTTACATTTAGTCACTTCTTCTCATGCCGCTCAAGTTCGATTCAAATGGCAACAATCTGGTGATTTGGCAGTTTGGGATAATCGTTCTGTATTCCATGCTGCCACGCCTGATTATGATGGCCTTGGTGATCGTGCCGGCGTTCGTGCTGTTTCACTTGGTGAGAAGCCGTTTTATGATCCAAATTCCACTTCTCGTCGTGAAGAATTGGGTGAAGGTCAATTGATCTAAGAAAAAGACTTACCCTGTCCTATCATTGTATGCAATCATGATGAATTGAATTCCATTTTGTGATGGTGATGAAGAGTGAACTTGTGACATATTCTCACCTCCCGGTTGCCCTAGATAAGCCGGACAATCACCCCAGCATGCCGTGTGCGCTTAATGTATGCAGACTGTATGCACTTTACCGGCGCTTGCTTTGCGCGATTAACGCGCTTAAGGTGGTTACTTTCTTAAACGCAATCCTCCTTTGGCCGAAAGATGATTAGCACAAGCCAGCTTTTGATGGTAGATAAGCTGTACTTGATTAATCAACATTCAAACAAGGTTAAAAGAGACAGATCTACATTGATCTTTTTCTCTTTTCTTCTCCATCTCTTCTCAGATTCAAAAAGAACAACTACCATCACAATGTCTCTTTTTAAAGTTTTAGACGCTTCAGAAGCCAAATTGGCCAGCTTGGGCAATGGTGCCATGTTGGGTGAGTATTCTTTTCCATTTCTCGAAAATATCAGAGCTATACTAATTCCTTCTCCCCACATTCCAGGTGATATTGACTGTTCAAAGGATAAGAAATTAACCGGTGGCTTTTACGAACAAAGTCATTCTGAAGAACCATTGAACTATACATACACTTATGACGAACTCAAGATTGTTTTGGAAGGTGAATTGCAAATCAAAAATACAGCAACAGGTGAAGAATTTACCGCAAAGGCAGGTCAAGTTTTAAACATTTCAGACGGTGCCGCTTTGCAATTCAATTCTCCAACAAAAGCTCGCATCTTTTACGTTGCCAAACGTGCTCCTCTCTGAGATGTGATCACCAAGGCTGGATTGATCTATAGAGATCATTACTTGTACATAATGTTGAATGTTATCATCTTATTCAGAGAGAAGACAATTGTGTGAGCAGAAGTGAGCCGCCGCCGCCGCTTGGAATCTTATAAGATTAAACGCGGGGTAGGATAAGCTTATCTTTTATCTTAGCTTCTCCGTTATATAAAAATTGGATAAACGATATTCCAGTAAGAATTGCTTCATTTATAAGCACAATCAATGGAAAACTTCTCAGCCGTTGCTTCAGCTGTTACGATCATGCTTAAATATGTGTAGTAGAGATCATGTTGTTTATATCCCCTTTATACCTTTATCTCGTATAGAAGTTACTGAAAGTTCGAAATGTCATCCAAGGTGCAAACACATCACTATGATGACCATACTGACACCTCTCTAAGCTATCCTGCGTCTATCTTATAGCCAGACAAGCCATGAAAGGAGCAGAAACTTTGAATTCTTCTAACTACTCCTGCTACTCATTTTTATTCGGTGGTATTAAAAGGGACACGTTGCTACCAGAGGCCCATGTGATCACCGACACCAATGCAATGCAACCGGGACAGCTCTCAGAAGCAGGTCAATGCTTTAAGTGAAAGGGTCGCAAGGGTCGTTCCCAAGGTACTTGCTCGACCAAAAGGTATCAGCGCTCGTCGTAATCAAATCACCCTTCGTTTCTTGGTCTGAGCGGTCTTTAATAAACTCTGAGGTTTATCAATGTAATAAATAGGCCCATTAATTGTAAGCCAAATGTATATTCAACTGTCGTCCTCTATCTCATTATCTTTATAGCAACGGTTTAAATCATTTTATAACGACGGGAAGATCTGTGTTTACGGTCCTATCACTTGCGGACAGCGGTAATCTCGGACATGATCTTTAATTATATAAGGGTTTTTACTGTAGGCAAATGCTGCAATCATGAACCTCATGACAGTATTGTGTTTTGGCGTAAATTGCGTCACTACATCTCGCACCGGCCTTCTGGATAGGTGGGGTGACAATTGAACATGCAAATGAAGGCACATTGTTTGTTTACACTAAAAAGCATTAAACGCCTTCTCTAGAACAGGAAAGTCCCGCCACTAATTGTCGTCTGTGCGTAATTCTTAATGGAAACGGTTAATTTAGTGTAGGATAGTTTGAATTAGTGAGTGAAATGGTGAGAATACAAACGTGCGTTGTTTTAAATTTACTACTAGGAACATAGTCAGTATAGAAATAGATAGATAATACTAAAGGCAGTATAACACTTTATTTTATAAGTGCACGCTTGTTTTAGTATAAGATGCATGTGAGCCCGTGTGCCGCTTAAACCGGCTTTCGATTTTTATCCTTTTTAGCGAAGAAGCTATTATATGCATGAAGGCGTCGATTGAATAATATATTTTTTCCCTTCACTAGGAAAGAGGATGAGCAACATTAAGGTTTGCTTGAAAGAAGGTAAAACGGCCGTGAAGGAAGTCCAAATGATTTTTATACACATTGAGAAACGCCGAAGGGACGTTAAGCAAGACTGTCCCCTCCCCGCACATGTACATGTAGAATATCAGTATAAAGAGTCTTCTTATCCTGCATCGTGAATGACGAGATTGAAAATGATGACAGGCGTTTCACATTATTCTCTCCATATCGAAATGCAAGCATAGCGATTGCATATATATATCAATATCATCCTCTCCGTTAAGGAATATGTTATAGCCGATGACCCCCTACCATCATTCCACCAACCCCCATCCCTCAAGCAACAATCAAGATGGCGTACGAACTCTCGCCACTTTATGCTCAGATGCAGAATAATATGACAGAGCACATGTTCTGTCCAACGACAGGATGTCCGCAAAAGATAGAAGTCGGTGGCGGATATTATATACCAGGCGATCCATGGAGAGCAAGAAATGAAATTGATCTATACAAGCTCAGTCTATTGCTCGTCATAGGGTGTACTTTATGGGAATATCTCGTTACCTTTTATTCGGAAGAACTGCAAAGATGGGGTGATATTTTCAGAGGACAGATCGTTCCTGTTAACATTTTAACCTTGTTCTCCCGATATTGCATTGCTGCAGCCTCCATAATTGCTGCTGCTTACGTTTATTTCGAAAGTTCGAGCAATTGTCAGGCAAAACTTTCAGCCTTAATGACCTGTCTTGCATTCGTTTGGATGGCAACAGCTCTCATTTATACACTTCGGGTGCATGCAATGTATGCCAGACCAAATGAACGCAATACTGTACGAATTCCAATCGTTTGCGTTTGGCTCGTTGGTAGTGCTTTGTGGATCAGTTCAATCCCTGGATTCAAAGCTGCTGCTGTCAATCAACTAATTCGTCAACCTTTCAGTGGAGGTTGCTCTCCTGCTCCCAGCCCTCAATGGCGAGCGATGGGTTTCGGTGCTGCAGCGATCTTTGACGTGGTAATCTTGGTCTTCTCCATCCGTTCTGTCTCTCGTCATTCTTCCGAAAAATTTCGACCGATCTATAAAGCATTCCGCTACGGTATCTCAGATCGTAATGATACCGGAGGCTTTATCATTCTATCTTCAACAATCACGTTTATCATCTCTTTCCCATTGAACACAATTTGCTTCTTTGTCACAGTTTTCAGCAAGAATTTGATTTTGAGCAACATTCCAATCGCCATTGCGGCATTATTCAATTTTATGATCGCAACCAGGTTGGTCTTCCATTCCAATCAATGGTCACAAGGAAAGTCAGCCTTGCTCACTATGCCAGCCACATATAAAGTACATAAAAGAGGTGGCAGCAACGATTATGACCGCGGTACCAGTTTCAATGCTATCGCAAATGCAATCGCCAAGAGAAAAGTACCAAACGATCCATTCGATCAATTTACCATCGAACAGGCAATCGAAAGTCATGCAAGAATGGATGCGATGGCTTGGCGTGATTATATGCAAGGTCCTGCACCACAAGATATTCGTGATGCAGTTACAGGTGCGATTTGGGAAGAGAAACAACAGCTTAAAGCATCAAAGAATGAAAAAGTTCGCAATTCTTTTATGCATCGTGATAGCATCCAATCCACTGGCGAATCTTCTAGCGCACCTTCTGTCCGTCATTCATCACGATACAAGTCTAGACTGGAAATGGAATTAGCACAAATGGATGGCGGTGAAGATAGCGATAACAAAAAGTCTAAAACGCCATCAATCGAAGATAAAGAAGAAATCGAGTCTCTACCCGTTGCTTTGGCGAACAATCACACTACAGTTGATATAGAAACACCATCAACCGATTATTATGGCACACCGGAAAACAGTACCGATGTTGTTTATTCACACAACTTCCAATTCCCTTCAACGAATCAATACCCCTCTTCTTCTGTACCAGAAGGTTGGACCGTTCAAGCATTCACACAACCTCGCACTCCCGAACAACAAATGGAAGAAGGTGCAGGTACGATTGGTTTACGAGAAGCACTTAACGAAAATCCTCCATTCGCTTACTCAAACCGTTCAACAACTCCTCAACAAGAAGGAACTCGAACGACAAAGAAGATTGGAAAATCTTTCTTTGATTCAGTTCTGAAGAAAAATAAGGGGGATAGCAGTATTCGAATCAATGATCAAGACAGACTTCCAAACGATAAACCAAGCGAAGGCATTCGTTATCAAACAGATGTCATTCAGGTATCAGATCGGGAAACTTGATTTGCAGATCCACTTTAATCATGTACATATATACAATCTCTGATGCATAATGAATAGTAACTAGTACTTTTTCTAAACTTTGTATGATTAACGTCTGGAAGTGAGAGATCAAAAATTAAGGGTATTTGGGGGACAATTACAGGCTTTTTTGAGTGGGTTTCAGTGGAGTTTGAAGTACTAACCTAGACGGGACCATACCGCAAATCAAGACCACGCCTTCAAGATATCATCAGAAAATAAGATTCATTTGAATTGAGCAAGATGATTGTAGAAAAAAATAACAAGAATGTTTATCAATTCGTTTATTAAACCTTCAAAACCTTACTGTTGAAGCTGTATCTTGAAGCAGCTTGGAAAATTGAACCGGCTAACAACATCACACCGATGAACACTTGCATGGGCACGTAATTAATATCGTGATTGTTATCCAAAAGTCTTCCTGCGATCGGTTGAGATCCTAAAACGGCAAACGAAGTAATCGTGACACCGATTCCGACCCAAGTTCCAATCAAAGAAGGACTTGGTGCTAATTGTGCAAGACAAGGTGAAAGAAGGGATTGTAAACTTCCAGAAAAGAATCCGTAAAAGCAACTGAAAACGATATTTCCTGCATTTCCTCTTGCTGCGATCCAAGCAAATGCAATGATTGCAGTACAAAGATCAAAAATTGCCAAACTGTTAAAAAAGCCCAATTTGCGGTCTGCTAGGATACCAATAATGAAACGACCAAAGAATGAAACTCCGTTCATGATTGCTGGATAGTAGAAAGCTGCACCAGGTGATGCGCCCCAACGGATTCCATAAGGTGTAATGTAGAACTGTTTTAGGGGAGATATTGTGTTAGTTCATGAGACAGTGTTGAATTAAACGGCATACTCACATAAGGAACGTAGAGACCAAAGAACATCACAATACCCCCAGAGACGAAGATCATAGTAGTTCTGTCTGTGAGGAATTTGGTAATTGGTGGAGGATCTTTGAGCAAGTTTCTAGGTAGGCGAGATTTAATTAAGAACGTAGCAGCCACCATGAGAGCTAATTGAAGGAAACCGACCATACGTAAAGTCCAACCGAGTGAGACGCCATCAAAGTTTAACATTCGGTTGATTGCAATAGGCCAAATAACACCACCAACACTCGTTCCTGAGACTACGAGACCGATTGCCAAACCTCTCTTTTTCAAGAACCAAGTCGATGGTACAGAAAGGGCGGGCGTGAAGCAGAGACCGTAACCAATGCAAGAGCATAGTCCCTGCGATAGGATGAATTGATAATAGGATTTTGAGATGGAAGCCATCATTGTACCAAAGACGATGAAAAATGTACCTATGGCGAGAGGTATCTTTGGACCGAACTTATCGCTCATCTTACCGGCCGGTAAACCAAAGAAGAAAGCGCCCCAAAGTTGAATACTACCGATCCACGCGATATCATCATCGCTATGACCGGGTAATGTTTTTGAACGATAATATGCTTGGAAAACAGAGAAAGAATTAATGAATCCAACACCAGCTGTAAAGGCTAAGCAGCCACCTAAAACGCAAAGCCAAGCATCTTTTCCACCTTCCGGGAATGCGCTTGGTGACATGAGTGGATTGGGAGCAGGAGGTGTGGTATCTTTTTGTTCGGTTGCATCTTTTGATTGTCTTTCGCTATTGTTAGTCGCTGTTGCATCTAAGCCATCTGTTGTGTCTAAGCCATCAGATTGATGTTGCTTTTCGTTTGAGCCCGCTCTTGCTTCAACGTCATCACCTTTGACGGTGTCGAATTGATCACTTTGTTGCATTTTTGTGAGAGAGGGGGGGTAAGGGGAAAAGGTGGTGATGGAGGAAGAGGACAAGATAAGATTCTTTGAGCTAATTCTTTTTCGGTTTGAGGTTATCCATGGACAATGATACTTTATCTGTATGATGCATGTCATCCATGTGGGTTGGGAGAGTGTTTACGCTAAATAAAAGTCTACTGTCAAAGTGCTTGAATGGACACCACGTTCTAAAAAAGAAGGAGTGAGTGCCTTAGCGTGAATGAAGTCTCTCTCTCTCTCAGAGTTCATGCGGGAAGGCGTTAAGAAATGAATAAAGACTAAACAAACTTTATCCGCTAGTGTGGTCATGGTGGGCGTCAAAATGAATTGTTTCACGTCATAGCCCAATCGAACAGTATTTCGGCGTTTAAGTGGAAGCTTCTTACAAAATGGACTGACAACCTCAACAATGCGCGCGGGTACACAGTTGAATTTCCCGTTTTTTGGGAATGAAGGCGTAATCACTCTGTATCCAAGAATTCATACCATATGCACAGATCATTACCCCGACTTACTATAGCCGATAGCCGGTACATAGATCGTTTACCTTCCATTCGGCATTCTATTACAACCCCTCATTACCCCATCAATCATGTCAAATACGGGCTCATCAACGAAGAAGAAAGAAGAAGTAAGCAGATTAGTCGAAACTTCTTATCTGACACCTTATCAAAAAGGCAAAGATGCTTATGCAGAAAAAAGACAAAAATTAATCAAATTGATGGAAAGTAGAGGATGCATTCCAGAAAGTATGACGGAAGAAAATATTGGATTTTATCACCTAGACGTTTTTGGTCATGTTAGCGGTCCAAGCTTGTCCACTCTCATTCATGGAGCTTTGGATAGGCAAGGTTCTTGGGGCTACGAAAGAGTTCTTGGTATTCGTGATGCCCAAGGTTTATGTACAGGTCGTGGACCAATAACCGTTTTGCCTCGTAAAGTGACTCAAACATATCGTATTCCTGTCACTTGGCCTGATGCTGTCTTGATTGTGAGTAGATGCAGTTGGAGGAGAGAAAGGGTTCATCATACTAATTGTACACCCCCCTTGTCTGAGCAGGGAGTTCGACCTATCGCCTTTGATGAGAAGACGGGACAATTTGGAAACGATTTCGAACTATTCAGTCTAAAAACGGGTCAATTATGCTACAGACATACCATAATTCAATCTTTGATCGATGTAACAAAAGGAGGTAGAGCGGTGCATATAAACAAACTTGCGGAAGGGGACGAAAAATGGAAACATTGGAGAGAATGGTGGAATGGCCATGCGACAAATTCACAAAAATTACTTGCAGAAGCAGAGGTGAGTGTGGCTGGATCGTTAGAACGAGTTTCTGCTTTTATTGACCACTTTTTCATCCACTCTTACAGGCTCAAAAGAGCAACAGCAAGCGATCAGCAGAAATCGAAAAGCAGAAGGACCTATCTAAAACAAGACACGCCAAGCTCTAAAGGACTGTATTGGTGAGCCTCAATTATTGCAATGATCTCAAATGATGAACGATAGTCTATATGATACATGGTGGATAGAGATAGAAGTGTAGAAAAATGCGACAGACTAGAATTCTTGCAGGCATGCTCTTTGCACTCAACGCATCCGACCACTTAATGAACCTGTAACCTTTTTCCCAAGTGTCAAAGATCTATGATAATAAATTGTAAGCATGGAAGAGGTAGTGTGGATCAGATCCAAAGCATCTTAAAATGTGAAAACTCTGAATATCAAAGCTTTCCTTTTTCTTTCCTCTGTCTGACTCCACGCAAGATGCATGATTCGGTCACTGTAGCCACTAACGTGAAATCTTGACCTGGCTTCTCTTGCCAAAGTTGTTCTTCTACATAATTTCTTTGATTGTTTGCCGTTGTGGATTTACTCTCACGTAAATGCCATTGAGTAGCATCAAGATCGTCAACGTGAAATCGAATGGCAAAATCTAGAGTTGAATATGATTCCATCTCTGACCAATCAATTTCTGCAAGCCAAGGTACGATTACTGAAGTCCAAGTGTCCAAATAATGACACAAAAGAATAGCCGAACAGGCGATTGCTGTAGGAGGCAGTAGAATACCATCTGAAGTGGGAAACTCCTGAATTGGCATAGGCTTACGGAATCGTGCCCAATCCCAAGTTCTTCTTTCGTGAATTGGTCGATTCGCCTGGTTGGATGTACGATCGACTTGAGTAGCAAAAGTATGCTGTGCAAACATACCTTCAGGACAATAACGATTATCCCACCCGTCTAGCAGATTGAAGCATGCCTCCATTGCATCGTACGCTTGTTGAGCCGTTTTCCCACTATCTATTTCCTTCTTCATGTGTTCTTTTACATCACACAACTCAGAATGATGTGCAATTTGTGTGAGAGGTGGCTGAACAGAGTAAGATACGATGTTCCTTTCCCTCTTCTCTTGTTCATCTTTCCCCTTTTGTGCAACGAAATCGATCAACATTACAAAGTTATCTTGCCAAATGCATTCATCTTTTGTTGATGTTTGAGAGATGATGATTTGACGTGTTGCAAATGTACGTGTTGATCGAATGTTCGTTACCCGAATTCGAGCAATTTTATCTGCTTGACCTGGTCCCAAAAAGTTTCCCATCACACTGTACAATCGTAATCCGGTAGCTTCCTTTGGTAATGTATGGTAAGCTGCATGAACGCCTAATGCTATACTACTGCCTCCAAATGTTCGTCCCATTGCTAGATCTGGTAATGTTGCACATGATTCGAACAACCACTGCTGTGAAGAAGAACTTCCTTGTTCGTTGGAAAGCGCACGAATGGCAACGATCTCTTCAGGCGTCTGTAATCGTGCCTGCATCTTTGGTGTAGGTGATGGCCTTACTTTTTTAATTGCGACAATCTACCGCATGTGCTCCATGATAGAGCAATCTTGAATGCTGAAAAGATGATGGGTGAGGTGCGGTGAAAAGGTAGCCCGTTGGAAAGTCATCAAATAGAATATCAGTGTGGGGGTTTACTTCCCCCGCTCACATACTCGCTCTTAGCGCTAATCGCCTGCAATTTATTGTATGAGAGACAACTTTAAGATACACAACCTTTCTGTTATTAGGTTTATAAAAGGTATACAATCACTCATCTCTTTATTGTGTGCTGTGCTATCGCTGTTAGACAGAGTAGCGATAGCATCTAATTGTAGTGTTATAGAATGGATATACGGCCATTCTTGAATTTAAGATCCAAGCGGGGCAAAAGATAATCAAGAAGTATGTCTTTACCTTAACTGTATAACAACAAGTGATTCTCTCCTTTCATCTACTTGATTCTAACAAGGTTCGATCAAGCTGATTCACCAATCCTATATAGTCACCAACTGAGTAAAATGAAAATATTCCGAAGCTAAATATGTCAACTTGAAGTAGTTCAGATCTGTATAGCGCGGGGCAGCACTCGGGCCGACCGGTAAGAGACATTGCATGGGAATGTCGGAATCTACCTGCTAGGAACGTTCTAATAAATCTTAATTTTACCTTTATGATAGCTGTAGGGTTAAAGGGAGAGATATCCAGGAACAAAGGTATAATAGATATTCTATCATTGATACGTAAGAGATTCAGCGCTATTTAGGCGATTGTCGGCGGGAACGAAGTCATTCTTTTCCATGTTATCATTGCAGCAGTAGCATGTGTGGCACAGACCACGAATCGATTGGCCAGATGAGAGGAAGCATAATTGATTGCAAGAACGCTACTATAGGAGCAATGTATGTTCTCTCGAAACATAAAGGTGTTAAACCTAGGAGAACAACAAGTATGGTTGATCTATCAAGACTTTTTGGCTTTATTTGAACTCATATTCAAAGTCCAGTGCACGCCAACAGTTATTATACGAATCAAATAAAAGTACATATATGCACCATAGTTTCATTATTATTAGTTACTATATTATCTCTCTCGTCACAAGTCAAAAGGAATGAGGCAAGTTGAATTTCCAATCCTGCATATTTATACCACCCAAATATAAATCCTTGTCGTCGTTCAACGAGCTCTTTGAAGAAAAGTTGGCGGCATTATAGTCCAGATGTTCTGGCATGCCTTCTCCAAGTTCTTTGTTAAAATTGTTTGCTGATTGCATGCCGTCACAATAGCATTGAACTGATTTACGTAATTGTTCAAAATCTTCCATTGTAATCTCATCATTAATCCAGCTCTGTTGTGGTAATGTTAGTGCTGATATTTTGCTCTCGTTTTGATTTACAGCCGAATCGAGGACGTAAGGGTTGTTTGAAGAGACTGAAACGCAATTCGAATTTACACTTGACTTTTCGCACCCAGATAGAGAAGTGCCTTGCTGTACGTCTTCGTGAGAAAGTCTTCTTGTAACCATCGGATCGAAGATTAACTCAGCCATAACCTGCTCAATCGAAGTAAGAGAGTCTCTCTGTTTCAATTTACTTTCTTGCAAGCATTCACCTAAGCCGTGAGTAGATGATTCACTGTATAATTGCAAGCCTTGAGACCATTGCAGAGCGTGTTGTGAGTTTATCGGGTAGGATCTATAGTCACTCTCACTTCCTACGCTTTCCGATAATGTCGAGTCGGTAAAGTTACTTTCCGGTGAGACTGTGGCTGAGTATAGTGTGTCACTCTTAAACACGGAATGATGCGAGCTACCATCTTGAACGTGCAATCTATTGACAGATAGGATTTGATGAAGTGAACGATAAAGCTCTTTACTTAATTCGTTTTTACTCCTTAAAGCTTGACTAAGTTGTACAACCTTATCTTGTAGATCTTTAATTAACTGTTCTTTGCCATTCCTTCTTTTTGCTTGTGCTATCCTGTTTTGTTCTTTTCTTCTTGCAGCTCCGGCTTTAGAATCTTTTGTAGAATCTGTATGCTTCATGGTGATCGTAACGAAAATCTTCTCGAATAGTTGGTGTCATGGGCAAACGTAAGGATTGCCACAGTTTCCATTTAATATCTAATGAGCATAGAATCCCCTTCATGACGAAAGGCCGTTAATCATGATGCCCGATCTTGCCGTTGTAAAAGCGCGCTAAGTAAGAACTTGAATTTGATTAATTCTCACGGCGTTCACCCGATCATCACTAATTCGGACGGCCCGGCGTTACCGTGTCAAAACGAAAACTCTAACGTCGCCCGCATTTATGAAAAATAAGCCTAATAAGTATTTGACTTCACTATCGATCATAGGCCCGATCAAATCTACGTCGAATAACAGACAAGTGAATATGTATTCCATGCACTCAGCCACTCTTACTTTCTACTCAACTCTTCAACCTAATCCAACGTCAGTGTGGCAATCTGAAAGTGCCTAAGATGCTGAAATACACTAAATCGGACGAGCTGCAGACACACTTTATCTTTGATTTTTATTTGAACTAAATTGATTGAATTGAAGACATTTACTTAAAATCGAAATTGTGAGAAAATTCGGGAACTTGTAAGGATGATATCACTTGTACAGATCTTTGTGAGTTGCTTTAATATAATCTGCACCCTTTTCGGCAACTGCATAGACTGCGTTTTGAATACGACAATCAGGAATGATTGGAATATTCGAAGCATCAATTGCACGTAGGTTCTTGACCCCATGAACTTTCAATTGAGGATCAACAGCTCCTTGATCGATCGTTTTACCAATTCTTGCAGTTCCACAAGGATGGAAAGCAGTTTGGCAACGATCTAATATTGCTTTGTGCATGGCTTTGTCATCATCTAAAGGCATGTTCCATGGATATTCAGCCTCCACAATATCTTTGAAACCTTCGACCTTTGTTAAAAGGTCATACGTGAATCGAACGCCTTCTCTCATTCCGATTATATCCAAATCGTTAGAAAAGAAATTTAAGTTGATGTTTGGTGGGAAGAAAAGATCATCTGATCTCAATGTAACTTCACCGCCGTCCAAGCAAGATAGCGGACGTACTAAATCCACAACAACTGAGATATGCTCTCCTTGTGGGATCGGGTTAGAATAGTGCCATTGGAAAGCAGGTCCAAACAAATTGAGAAAATCAAGTTCGAAATGAGGTTGACCTTTTGGACAGAAGGGATCTTTTCCTCCATTTGCTGCTTTCGCCTTACGATATGTCTCATCCCGTTCCAAATATTCATCAATACGAGGAAAGCCAACCAATTCCAATAAACCTGATCCCATAGGACCTCTTTTGCCTGTACCCTTTTTGTTATGGTAAAGCTTTACGGCATCATCATGCTTTTTGCCTTGATGTAAAAGGTAAGGGTCGAGTCCATAGCCTTCTTTGATCTTTAAAACGAAAGGAACAGCAGGATGATCCAACAAATGCTGACCAACATGTTCTGATTGTTGAATGACATCAATGTTGAACTTTTTCAATTGATCAATTGGGCCAATTCCTGATAGCATGAGTAATTTTGGAGTCTCGAAAACACCTTGAGAAACAATTACCTCACGGTCAGCAAAGTAGCTGAGCTCTTGACCGTGACCATCGATGACGGTAACACCTTTTGCGACTTTGCCGGCTTTCTCGATAATAATCTTTTTTGATCGGACATTTCCAACGATTGTAACATTTGGCTTATCATGCGTGAAAAGGAAAGAGCCTGAACGACGACCATGGTAAATCGTTGCAACGCAATGAGTCATTCCGCTCAATTGACCTTCAAATACGTTTTCGGTGATTTCACGGCCTGTGTTTTTCCATGCAGTGATTAACTTTTCGCGAAAAGGTGCAGATTCTTTAACCAATTCAGCATGAGAAATTGGAAGGGGACCTTTTGTTCCAATCTTTTGTGCAAAGTCCTTTGGATATAAACCTTCATCATCATGGTAGGTGACTGACTTTTGAAGATAAGGAAGTAACTTGTCCCAGTTCCAGTCGCTTCCGCCGAATTCTTCCCATTCATCAAAAGTTGGTTTGCAACCACTCAACCAAGTGAAATAGTTTAAAGAAGAACTTCCTCCAAGCGCACGACCACGTGTATCTTCTTTTTCAATTTTTGAATATTCTGGTCTGTCAACAAATTTTGCCAAATATTGCCAATCATGTTGTCCACCACGTAAATTCATCGCAACTGCTGGAGTTCGAATATCTTCATTATTGATCGAATCAGCAATTCCTGCTTCCAAAATTAAAATTGAAACGTTTGGATTTTCGGCTAATCTACCCGCGATCACATTTCCTGCCGTTCCTCCTCCCATGATAACGAAATCAAAATGACTTCCATTTTTCGGAGGTGAACTTGTTTCACGGGGGATAGCGTGATGGGCCATGACTAAAATCTGAGCTTATTTGGGAGAGATTGAAAATTCTGTAAGGAAAAAGATCTTCATTTGTTTTTTCTATGGCTCTACTTATACCTTTCAGTCATATAGGCGCACTATCAAATACTATTTTCATTTATGTCAAGAAAAGTACGAATAACTACGCTCATCCTTGAAGCAGTGGAATTATACTGTGCACGAGGCTGATTCAGCATTTTTTCCTTTGGTGCTACGAATGATGAGTCATGCTGAGTCCTCATACTGACAAAAGCTGATTCATCCACATCCTCTCTGCTCACCTCTATGAAAGACATCGTATTTACTACACACCAGCTTGCTATTGCATCGAAAGCTCTCAAACGTGCTGAGTACGATCTGCATGGTGGCTATGCATGCTCATTGTACCTTCCTCGGCCGCTGCGAACGAATGAAAAAGATAGCGAGCTAATCTTCCACTTATGTGAAGGTGACTTGATCGCGCTGCACTTCTATTGTAAATGGTAACGATCAGATATAAGCCCCGTTGAAAGCGGTTTTCCGACTGCCCTTTCATCGCTACCAAATCGGCTGTCGCCATCCAGAGCGGAGAGTGTGTATATCGGAAGCAGTCACCGCAGCAGATGACGTCACCTTCTACATCATCCTTCGTCCATTTGAAGCGTGTGCAGGTCCGCCAGGCTATGCAATAGTCAAATCTTAGTGGCAAAACGAAAGTAAAAGCATCCGAGGAAAACAGAATCTGTTCTGAATCGATTACAAAATAGATTCAGTAAGCTTGCTGATGAATCTCAATAAACTTGGTCGAGCAAGCTTTACTAGGTTTCTTGCACTTATCATAATAGCATTATATCACTTTGAATCGGTATAAGCAACTCTATTCACCGGTATAAATACATTTCGGAAGCTTAATCTACACATTTCCAGGTCCATTTAATTAGGTTCTTTCTTTATAATACCGATGTAAGAATATACGCCATTCTCTTGGTGGTCACACGTTTGCTCTTTTCTTTTACAGAGGATGTGCATTACGTCAAGGGCATCGTGGCTGCAAATTCGGTCTGAGATAATGAGTAGTTATACTTATACGTTGCACGATCGGAGTTTGCATCTGAGTGAGAAAGCACAGATTGTATAGGGCGCAATATTTCAAGTGAGGGATGGGGTCATGTGGACGTGATATACAGGCACAATCGAATTTCTGTTATTGACTTTTGTTTGCTAGTAGACTTTATTCCGCCTGCCAAGACAAATGTGTCGTATACAAATCCACCAAATGGGTACAAACATGCTCGGGTAACCTTCTACTCTTTGACAGTATATGATGGATCACATGACCGCTGATTGTAACATGCAAAGATTTATTTAAGAACTACAAAATTTATAGCCTCATTATTCATCACCCCTTCGCAAGTTTCTCGTTTTAATTTTTTCCCCTCATGATGCCATCTGCTAATTGGCTTCTCATCTTTCTCTTTGGCTACGTCTATGGTCAAACCAATGACAGTGGCTTACAAACGATGCCTTATGGCTGGGATGTGAGCGGTGAATATTTTGCAAGCGTTTGGGATAGTAAAGTGAAAGGTACTTATACTGCAAAGGGTGACAAAGCTGGAACATATTCCTTCCAATGGCAGGATGTGGATGATGCGATCGTTGCCAAAGGTTTTATAACAGGTAAAACGGACCGGTGCGTTTGAATCAGGTCATCTGAATGGCAAAAAAACTAACTTCAACATTTTTTCTTCTTTAGTGTGCTTTCTTACGATGGAACATTTGAAGTGCAAGAAAATGGAGCATACTTATCTTTGTACGGCTGGTCGGTTGGCAGTCATTGCGTGGAATACTATGTGACTGATAATTGGGGTGAATATGCACCTTGTGGTCCGGGGCCAGATGATGTCAAAGGGACATTTGAAAGTGATGGTGATTTATATACTTTCTGTACAACACCAGGAGGACAGGGTTGTATAGATGGGAAGGGTGAATCACACGTCCAATTCTTCTCTTGTCGTCATACCAAAAGATCTAGTGGAACGATCACGTTTGCAAATCATGTAGCAGCATGGGAAAATGCCGGAATGATTTTGGGAGAATTGGATTCATATCAAGTTATTGCTGTTGAAGCGTATGCAGGTTCATCAGGCTCTGCAACAATCAACGTATCAGAGGGAAATAGTACTGGGGCTGTTTTGAGTGGTCAAAAGAACACTAATGGTAATGAGACCACTGAACACAACACAAATCAAACCATATCAAACAATAAGAAAGGAGGAGACAACAAAACGCCTCATCACAAGAAAAATAACCACAAAAAGCCACATCGCCATCGCCATCATCGTCACCATTACAACCAGTTGGAAAGTGAAGAATAGAAAAATCACTGTCGGAAGGAAAAGCACCGAAATAAAAAAAAAAGCAAAAAACATCAACGCTTGAATCAAATCGAAATAAGTTCAACTTTCCGTTCTGTGTTGATTGCAGGTCGATTAAAGGCATGAATAGATTCATGTTACTTTTTATCATGGGCTAATACAAAACATCTCAACACTCTCTATGTTCAATCTAGTTGTCATTACAACAATTTTAGAAAGCTTTCGAAAAGCTTAAAATCTCAGATTCTTTTTACAATCCATATTTAAAGCAATTGTATTGTCTGAGCGATCACATCGTTCGTTCGAGTGAGATCAAGGGTGCGGAGTCGATTTTTTTGACCTCTCATGACGAATGCTCTCCTGGGGTGAATGTGCATAGGAGTACAGATATGAAATGATGCTGCAACAAAGGTCAGTCACACTTTATTCACGTGGTACGCGCTGAGTAATACGTCATGGACCAAGAAGTTTTACTGAAAAGTTAGCTTTCGCAATCATCCTCCAAATAGATGCAAAAATATAGCAATCAACAGCATGATTCGCCCATACAACGGTAAGGCTGATCCCGATCGGGTCCTGGATATCTGGCTTAGAGCCTCAATCCAATCACATGCCTTTGTAGCCGAATCTTTTTGGCGTGATCAGCTTGATGATATGCGTAATGTCTATCTACCTCAAGCTTAAACTTTGGTGTTGGAAAATAATGGTCAGATAGAAGGATTCCTGTCCCTGGATGGAGACCGCTTAGCTGCTCTCTTCATCAACCCAGATTCTCAAGGCCATGGGTTCGGCAAAGAGCTGCTTAAAGAAGCCAAGAAACGTCGTGATGGTTTAGAGCTTACAGTGTATTGTGAAAATACTAGAGCCTGTGCTTTTTATCAAGCCAGCGGTTTCAAAAGCATGAACGAACAGAACGATCCTCATACCGGACATCAAGAGAGAGTAATGCGATGGCCCTGAATACCTCCAAGATACTGCAAATTAGCATAAACAATGCGGATAATGTCCAAAGTGATTCAAAACGTGGACAGTGCCACGACTATTTCATTTGATCTCGGCAGCTTCGGCTTCACTTTTATTGCCACGAGGGTAAGAAGTTGAAGATTATGCATTAGGCAAGTACTGTTTATAAAGCCTTCAGCCACACCTGCCGCGAATGACGTTTGACGGGAATCTTTTGGCATTGAAAGGGCACTAGGCATAAGTCAATGCGTTTCTATGGCTGATGGAGCATGTTTGATTCTGCTTGTATGTACACATTTGTGTGCTTCTAGAAGATCTTACGGCTTGAATTGCATGTCTTCGGTGATCTATCGTTTAGCTTTTACACTAAAAGTTTAATTACCCGCTGTACCTGTCCTAGTTGCCGCAATTCTAGCGCTAAGAAAGAGATAGTAGAATACGTCATTCATCAACAGATATGTTTTGGATCTTCCACCCCCGCATTCTAGAGGATACCATGGGAAATAAGATTGTTTAATTTGATTCGGTAATCGCGATTAGCTTTCTTTCTCCCTCTTCCGTGGAGGCTAAAGAAACACAAATTGAATCTAATTTACTCGGTGTTCTATGAGGATGATTGATTCTTAAGTACGAAGAAAAGGGATAAATAAGCCATGCGTTTGTTAAGTTCAAATAAACATTCATCAACACCCCATTCCCTCACTACATCATGCAAATCTCATCATCTTTCTTAGCTTTAGCCCTTGGCCTGACGACAGCGGTCAATGCCGCCTCAATCGCCCAACCAAATCGTCGTGCAGCTGACACTTCATTTCAAAAACCAGTCTTGGGCTACAACACCTATAATGCAATCGGATGTCAGCCAACTGAAAAATTTGCACATGAACAAATCAATACAATGCAAAAAGATGGTTATCTGGCAGCAGGTTATGATCTTTTTTCAATCGATTGTGGTTGGCAAGAAAATAATATTCACAGAAATTCAAGTGCAGGAAATGCAATTCCTCAAAATTTAACATCTTTCCCTGCGGGTATGCAGGCTTTAGGACAATATGCAATCAGTCGTGGATTCCGTTATGGTTTATATTCCGATGCAGGCTATAGATCTTGTCTTCCAACCGCTATAAGTGATGAAGTTGGCTCTTTAGGATACGAAAATGAAGATGCCGCTCAATTCGCTTCTTGGAATGTTTCCTATTTGAAGTATGACAATTGCTATGCTTCCGGTCCAACTCCAGCTGATAGTGCTCCATTAAGTCCCAGAAAAGACTTTATCACAAGATACTCTCCCATGACGACTGCCTTACGCTCTAGAGGTATTATGGGAGAATTGGTATGTCAATGGGGTTTGGGTTATATTACGAATGCCGGCTACATTGAAGGTCCGGTCGCTTGGACAGGTAACATTTCAACATCTTTCCGTATGGCAGGCGATATTTCCGATAATTGGGGCGCGGTCAATCGTATTATCAATCAAGCAATTTATGTTGCAAACACAGACATGACAGGTCCCGGTCATCACGGTGATGGTGATTTATTGGAAGTGGGTAACGGTGGAATGTCGTTTGCTGAAGAACAATCTCATTTCGCTTTCTGGTCTATGATTAAATCCGCTCTAATGATGTCTACAGACTTGACAAAACTTTCTTCCGAAGAGCAAAAGTTGCTCACCAACTCTAAATTGATTGATATCAATCAAGATGATTTGGGCAAACCTGTCAAGCTCGTTCAACGTTACACAAATGATCATGATCTTTTTGCAGGTCCTTTATCAAACGGTGACATGGCAGTCTTGGCAATCAATCAGATGAACTCGACACGTTCTTTGTCGATTGACTTTTCCGATTTGAATATCACAAAAGCTAACGTGGAAGATTTGATCTCTGGTTACACCGGATCAGGTGCTTCAAGTTACTCAGCAAACATTGACGGTCATGCACCAATTGCTTTAAGATTGAGCAACATTGTCAAATCCACTAAAGCTCCACCTTCAGTTGATTGGATCGATGCAACTTCCGGTACTCGATCAGGTGATGCAAACATTCAAGTTTGCAGTGCTTGCCCAGGCGGTAAAAAGGTTGGCTACATTGGTAATGGGACGAATAATTCTTTAACATTTGACAACTTGAAGGTCAACAGTGCAAATGCGACAATTTTGTTTGATTATTTGAACTGTGACGTCACCGTTACTTCATCAACAAATATGAGAACAGGATCGATTTCTGTGAATGGAGGTGAACCGGTTGATGTTTCATTCCCGATCTCAGGTTACAATTGGGATGCAAGCATTACTCACAATTATCGTGTTGCCCTTTCAGGTTTCAAACCTGGTTCCTCAAACAGTATCAACATCACCTCTACATCAGGATATGCTCCTGATGTAAGCAGAATCGGTATTATTGCTTAAAACAAAATGTCCCGTATGTAGAATCTCTCATTTGATATAATGAGGAATACTATTTTTCGTGGATAGGGATGCCTTTAGAATGTTTTAAGCTAGTAAGAGAGTTGATGGTATCCAACGGATGCATGTCGTTCTAAAGATGGCTTAAAATATAAAGCATACATCTGCTAATCTTTTCTAAGGTTAACGCGCCACGCATGCTTTACTGGAGTAGTGCCGTTAGATATGTTAATCATCTTTATCTCTTACAACCACTACAACCTAATGGCTTCAAATAAGGATAGCCTGAAGCAAGATGTATCTAAATCTCAATTAATAGGACAGCCTGACGATTCAAACGATTCTAGACCAGCTGTTGAATCACAAAGGAATGATCCAGTGCCAGGCCTTTGTCTAGCCAACCCCGCCAGTGTTTATTGTGAAAAATTGGGAGGTAAACTTGTTATACAAAATACAGAAAACGGTCAAATAGGACTGTGTCACTTACCTGACGGACGCATTATAGAAGAATGGGAACTTTTTCGAGCGGATAATAAAGAAGAACAGGAGTGAAAGCATGTCGTTATCACCAGGTGCGCCATGTATGTACGCCAAGCATAAAATAATCTTATGCAGCATACATGTTTCTAGAGATGGTCGTCCGTATAAAGGATGATGGGTATGGTCGGTAAACTATGAGTAGAGCTTTGTTCTCTAGAACATGCCAAACAGCTCTTCACGTTTCTCTTCTCTTCCACATTTGCAAAAATGTCCTACCATCTTACCTTATCTTCGATTTTCTTCATCGTCGCGCTTTCACTCGCAAGAGCTCAAAATATTGCTTCTTACAATGTTGCAATTACAACAAAACATGTCATCGATCAATCACGTTTGGATCCTTTTGCACCGAATACAACACCACGTGCTTTGATGGTTTCAACATTCAAACGGGCAGGACATGCTTGTCATTTAACAAAGGTACCATACATGCCCTCAGAAGTGGCCAAATTCGAGGGTAAAAAGCTCAGCGCTTTCGGATTACCTGAATCAACTTTTATGAATCTGACGTATTCGATTTGTTCAAATAAGAAAAAGTCGCAAACGAATGATCCCATTCTCATATTCTCAGGCGCTTTAGGAACGACTAGGTTCTTTTACAATCTTTTGGCGGCTAAGATTGCTCAAAAAGGCTATACAGTTGTGACTGTCGATCATCCTTATGATACGGATATCGTTCAATTTCCAAATGGTAGAATTATAATGGGCTTGAATCTCAGCGATGATCAAATCTCACTTGCAGCTAATACAAGAAGCTTGGATTTGAATTTCGTTGCAAACTTGTTCATGGATAAAAAGCAAAAGAAGGCAGGGGTTTTAGGGCATTCATTAGGCGGTGCAGCAGCTTTGAATGATTTGATTTGGTCAAAATTTATTGGAAGTTTGAATTTCGATGGTTCTTTCTTTGGTGATATTTCTCAAGTCGGATCTCACAAGCCTGTACTATTCTTCAGTCATACAGGAAAAAATATTTCAACCGATACAACATGGCAATCTTCCTGGCCAAGGTTTACCGGCTGGAAAAAGCAAGTGGAAATTGTTGGAGGAAGTACGCATTATACCTTTTCAGACATTCCGTTGATTGCAACCAAGTTAGGAGCCGATGATGGAGCAATTGCGCAATTTAGCGGAACTTTAAAAGGCGATAGAGTGATGGAGATCTTGTCAACCTATACCGACGCCTTCTTCTCCAAGTTCCTCAAAGGTAGTAAAAATGATACTTTACTCGATGGCCCAACGAAAGACTTTCCTGAAGTTGCTTTTGATTTCTAGAGGAGTAGTTCTCCATCATTACATGATATCTGTTTAGTCTGTAGACAATGAAATGTGACCTGACCTACACCATGTCCCGCGAAGCCACACAAATTCGAAAACGCGTCCATATCACTCACTCAGTCACTCACTCACTCAATGCTGGTGACATATCTGCTTGCATATATGCATGCACGTTTAATGCGCGGATTGAATTGTTATCATGCTATTACGTTATCATGAACAACATTGCATCCATAGCAACCCTTACAACCACCACCACACAATCAACATGTCAGCTTTACGTATCATTCAGGTAGGCTTACCATGGACCTATCATGGATTCGATGCGGCAACAAAAGAGATGGTACGAGTGGGACTCGAGAAGGGAAGAGAGACGATGAAACAAGCAGGATATGAGAATTATTCAACTTATGATGTCACACCTGAAGAAGGACCTGGTGAATTGATTAAATTTTTGGGAAAAGAACGTGTGGATGGAGTTGTGATCGGTTATGGAATTCGTGGTATCAAAGAACATTCCGCTTTCTTTGAATTATTGGTCAACGTCGTTCACACACATGCTCCTCATGTCAAATTCATGTTTAATACAAGTCCAGATACAGCTGTAGACGCAGCAAAAAGGCAATTTCCGATCAAGTGAGAGTATTGAAGCTATTGTATATAGGACAAGAACAGAACCGAAATCTATGACCGAAAATATTTCTAAAGATGGAAACTTCTTCAAGGCTTCTGAAGTTTGAGAACCATGTAAAAGAGAATTCTATAAATAACCACAATGGCGAGCAAAATGATGATTTGGGCGTAGAACGGAGTCTCGTCAAGATCGAGAGATTTGATCACCTCATCACCATTAACGATATCCGGGTTGGTGGCCGAGGGAGGAAATGCGCATTGACCTGGGATGATGCATTTGAATTGTAAATTATTGAAATCCGTTCTAACCAATAAAGCAAAAGCATATGTTTCATAATTGATAAAATGAGCCCAATAGTACCAAAATCTCGGTAAATTGACTGTTCGAATGAAATAACCTTGCGTTGTCATCCAAAAACCGTTTATAAATGCTGCAATTGCTAAAGCGGCAACAAAGATTGGCAAGATAGCAGCGACCAACAAAGATTGCATCTCAGCTGCAAGAACGCCAATGTAGAGGAATGCTAGCCAGCGGAAAAAGTACCTTGCTCCTGGATGCAGGCCAATTGACCAGTACGAAATCAAAGCAAAAGCCAAAGCACAAATGAAAAGGAAAGGCATAATAACGAGAGTACTTGCGATGGTAAACGAAGCAGGTCCATATAAGCCATTGAACCTTTCACGTTTCATCACCGCTCTGTCCTCCAAGAAGCTTGGAATTCCTGCAACGCTCATGAAACCAAGGAATGCGACTGAAAAGAAATGGATGGAAAGTCTGTCGTTGATTCTGCTATCAGTCTTTGCAAGGTTGACCCAGATCGTGGCCATCAAAACACCCATTCCCACGTACATGGCAAAACGAACTCCATATGCTAGAAGGTTGCGTTGATAATTGAAGATGTTCCTAATAGTCAAAACGCGAGTGTCAAATAGCAAGCGAGAGAGGTGATATGTACGAGTGGTGATCGGGGATGTCATATCTTGTGATTCGCTTGTGATTGTACCTTTTTCCATCGAGTCAAGAGATTCCATGTCTTGTTTCTTTTGTTGCCATATTTCGCTCAACTGTGCGACACAAAGCGGTGCTGGTTCTTTATTTGCCGTTGAATCACTTTTTGTCTTTCTGGAGAAGCTATCATCGGCCACAATACGAAGTAAGTGATCTGCTGGATTTGCACGTTCAGGACAAGGCAAGCCAATTTCTTCCATATAATCCACAACGCCGTACACATTCCCGAAATAGATTGTTTTTGCTTTGGCCAAGAGCATAACTTTGTTGAATAGTTGGAAAATATCCCAATTTGGACTGTGGATTGTTGCGCAGACGGCAATATCGTATCGTTTTGCAAAAGACGAAATACTTGACATCACTTCAAAGGCTGTGTGTATGTCCAAACCGGAAGTTGGCTCGTCCAAAAAGAGTACTTTTGGCATAGATACCAAGCTGCAACCAATTGTCACTCTTCTTTTTTGACCTCCACTAATACCTCTTTTGATTGGTGTACCGATTCTGTTGTTTGCTACCTCGCTTAGCCCTAGCCCCTTCAAGACCATTTTTGTTCTTTCTTTCACTTCTTCGTCAGGTGTATCATGAGGCATGCTAAGCTTGGCGGAAAAGTATAACGTTTCACGAACGGTCAAGACACCCAGTAAAGAATCGTGTTGCTCTACATAGCTTGCAATTGTTCTTCCATGCTCAACATTCTTGCTTGACCATGAGATCGTTCCTGAAGTAGCTTTGACTCTACCCGAGATTAAATCTAATAATGTACTTTTTCCTGCACCGCTTGGACCCATGATAGCCAACATTTCTCCGCTTTTTAGTTGACCTGAATTCCTATCCACAAGAACTTTGACATTCTTTGCGCCGTTCTTGTCATCCTTTCTTGTTTTGAGAGGATTCCACTGCTTTGTTTTGACTTCCACCGATACGTCTTGCCAACTCAAAACGTTTTCCTCCGACATTGTTGTTTGTATTGATTGTTGTAATTTTGGTTTGGACAAGTTTCATTTTCTTTCAGATATACTCAGTATTTATATCTTTTTTTCCTCATTATGTTTGGCCATGAATGTGTGTGAATGTGATATGATTTGTGCCGTCGGGTAAATATTTTCAGTTGAAGCTGTCATTCTTATCTTACGCCCGTAAACGTTCCTGCATTGTAAAAGTACCCGAGACATCATTCTTTAAAGCCCGTCGGGTATTTATTGACGCGTGAAGATGTCATGGCAAGGCTTGTTGGATTGCTGTATGCATGCAAACTGAGTCACATTTGCACTTGCGGCGCATCATCAGCCTGATTAGAAACAGTCAGCGTGCACTCATGCTCGCATGCATCAAATATGCAGTTCCTTTGTCACTCTATGTATCTTACCTTCATAGACATTTTGACTAATTCACTTCGTGCCAATCAATCACACTTGCAGCTTTCATTGCAGGTATCCTATTATTCATAAGCTTTCGTAGATAGAAAAAATTTGATGGGGTGGTGAAATAAAGCGGTCGTGGACCAGATCGGGAAGAGTAAACTGTATCTAATAAATGATATTCCAATTGCAATAATCGTCAGTTAAACATTTTATTTTGTAATTCTTGCTCTCCTGACGTTGAACGACTGTCCAATGTAAATTTATCGTCTCTGTACGAATTGTACGATATCTGCCCAAATTTGGGCCAATCTTTTTCTTCCATTCACCCAATTCTGTCTTGATGTAATATCCCACCGGCCATAATTCCAATATCCACCATTTTTTTGCTTTTACAAGCTGATCACTAATTTCCGCCAGAGAATCGAAATAATCTTCATGCATTTCAGGCAAAACACCCGTTTCACGCCAGGTGCTCACGGTCGATACTGAACGTGTCATGTTGCCCATCGGACTGCCTTCTGGGCTCGAGTCAGCCGCAGGAGGAGTAAAGAGATTTTTGACGTGCTCATATGTGCTGTGAGTATTGCTCATTTCGTTGATCGTTAGAAGACGTCTGATACTATCACGCCGTTTGACTAAAGAGGGCAACGTTCCGCTTGCATATTCGTCCAAAGCAGATGGTGGTGGGCCGCATGAGGGTGCTTTGCGTGATACATATTTTGGCCAAAGAGTCTCCACGTCCAAGCCATGCTCTGCCAAGACATCTGTATGGAACAAGATGCCGGTATTGCATTCAAACGTTTGACGTAACATCCAACGTAACGGAATACGAGAAACCATATGACGAGTGTCGTTGGCCACCGCACCACCACCACAATCTGCATGGCCTCCCAGAAACCATACTTCCAGCACATCCGTCGGCTGTCCGTAATCGCCAAATTCTTTTCGATCGATCTCGTTGAACTCTTTCATCATTTCACATTCAGCATCTGACTTATCATCCCCTTTGATCGCTTTGCCATCCACGTCCACCTCGGTACTTTTACGGCGAGACGGCAACACACTACATCGACGGCGTGGTTGTTCAGGGTTAGATGGTAAGGAGTGCTCTTCGTCAACTTGAGCACCGTGACTTTGCTGCTTTTGAAGATTTTGCGCCTTTTTCTCGATATCCAAATCAAGTTCTTCTGGTTCGGCAAAAAAGGCATTTGTGGGCTTAATATCGGGCTTAACATCGAGGAGAGAGGCTCTTTTATGATGAGCATTCAAAGCGCGCTCAAACGTACTACTATCAGCATCCAAGACGTGTTCAGGCTCGTCTTGATGACCTCCCTCTTCCTCCTCGGTACGACGCAATTCATCACGTTGGGTCCAACGATTGGGTTTAAACTTCGCACGTCTTTCATCTAAAGCAAGAGCATGTCGGAAGTAGCGGACAGATCTATTGGTTTTTGCGAATGGCAAGGTTTTAGGAATGACTCCCACACTTGTTACTGTATCCCAGCAGCCAAGAAAATGAATATCAGCATCAATCGAGAATGTTCTCTTGAAATCTGCACTCATTTTCCAGCCATACTCTGAATCATCCTCGTACCATCTATAAGCGAAAGCGATCTGTGCTTGATTATGAGCGGGTAACAGGCCTACTTTGTGTAGCATGCCAGCCAAGGCACGAGCAGTATATGCGCCTCTTGAGAAACCGATCAAACAAATCTTATCACCTTCTCGATAATTTTGCATGAGGAACGAATAAGCCCCTCGAACATGGACGTCAAGGGAAGCGCCAACGGCTATATCCCAGCCAGCAGAGAACCCTTTCTTAATAGAGCCTTTGCACGAACCGTAGTATGTGCCAACGCCTGTTTGATAATAGGTCAATTGAGTTGGACAATCCTTTTTGAGAGCCGCAAAGAATTTGACGACGTTTGAGTTATCATTATCGAATTGATCTCCTGAACCGTCCAAACAAACGATGACATTCCTTGCTCGATGAGCTTGAGTAGTATTATCTTGCAATGCAGCAAGAATGGGAGGAAAACAAACTTGCGGTGTTGTTGACATGTTGAAGAGGTGATGACCGTCAAAAGTATAGATTCGAAAGAAGAGGAGCAAAACGAATACACTACCAGCCAATCATCTTTGGGTTTCCGTCTGACCATTCACATGAAGTGTGATATAATATTGTAACCAAACATCTTGCCCCACAAAAGCCAAAATTAGATCGAAGTCTTCCTTGCACGGTTGAATAAAGGTAACGTTTCTATGCAAAGCAAGACTCGCATGACGATCTCACTAATCAGGGGCCGATTTTCCGTATCAGAAGGCATTTCGTCGGTCCGAGCTTATTCTTCTTTATTTCTTTTTTGTATTTATGTCTTGTCGAATGGATCGACTGACATGGAACGGTCCATGCACGATTAGCGATCCTGCCCCGAAGATCTATCCTTGCACAAATTTTCCAGCTCTTCTTCGGTTGATTACAAGTCCAATAGATTACAGCGTGGCACCTTGTTGTGTAATGTACTCAACAAATAACCATTTGATTGGCTCCTGTCTTTCTTTTGCTTTCAACGTCCACCCTCATTTCGAAACATGACGCAAATCAAGAAGATCATCAATTCCATCAGGCGCAAGCCAGCAACCGCTAACGATGGCGAATTAGATTATGAAGCAAAAGGTTTATCTGAAGAACCAAAAAAAGAAACCTCAGTCTTTCACGATCTTGGTAAATTGGGTAAAGACGCATTACCACTTGCCCAGGGCTTGAAAGATTTAGCCAAAGGTCAACCTCACAACGATCGAGACTTGTTACTGGAGCACGGCACAAGCGCTTTGCAAAGATTGCCTGCCAACAGTGGTCTGAGTCATGCACTCTCTGATGGCTTTGTCGGGGTGAGTGCGAACGTATGATGCCTTCAGAACGACGGATTCTGACTTGACTCTTCCTGTGAATAGATGCTCTGGAAAGATTTGCCTCACCGTAAGTTGCCCATTGGAATAGTACCTCGCCACACTCGCTCACTCACTTCCCCCTTACAGCCCCCGCATCATACCTTGGATCAGAGTATCGCTATCACTCCGCAGATGGCAGCGGTAACAATCCGCTCAACCCAACATTGGGTGCTGCTGGGCAGCCATATTCGCGCAGTGTACCACCTCTTACGCCAAAATCGCCATTCTTGCCTGATCCTGAATTAGTCTTTGATCAATTGTTGCGCAGACGTACGTTCAAACCTCATAAAGCAGGTTTGAATCGTTTGTTTTTCAGTTTTGCAACAATTGTCATCCATGAGTGCTTCCAAACCGATTACAAAGATCCAAGAATCAATGCAACAACAAGTTATGTAGACTTGTCAACATTATACGGAAACAATCAAGATGAGCAAGACCGTGTCCGTACATTTGAACAAGGACGCATTTACCCGGATACGATTGCATCGGAGCGAGTCATGATGGTGAGTAAGATGGATGAGCGAAGCCCGCGCATACATTCACTGACATTGGAGAGATGCAGATGCCTCCTCCTGTGGTTGCATGTCTGTTGTTGTTCTCTCGTAACCACAATCATCTGGCTGAGCGTTTGTACGACATTAATGAAACGCAAAAATACAAGCCTTGGGAAACTCTGAACGAAGAGCAGCGCAAATGGCAGGATAATGACATCTTCCAACTTTGTCGTAATATCAACATTGCTTCCTTTGCCAAAGTAGTCTTGTCAGATTACGTCTCTGCGATTCTCAACACCGTTCGTGCTGACTCAGAATGGCATTTGGAGATCGGCAAAGAGACCAAATGCTTTGACGGATCTCGCTTAGAGAGAGGCACGGGTAATAGCGTTTCATGCGAATTCAACGTTTTGTACCATTGGCATGCTGCATTGAGTGCTGCCGATGAGAAATGGATGGAAGAAATGATGAAGAAAGCTCAACCTGAAACAGATATTGAGGATTTCGGTCCGAATGAATTACGGCAAATGGCTGACAAGCATAAAGCAGTCCTTGATGCCGTTCCACCATCGCAATGGACTTTCGGCGGCTTGGAGCGTAATCCTGATGGTCACTTTGACAATCATGCTTTGGGCGAATTGATCAAAGATGCAATTGAAGAGCCTGCAAACGCTTTTGGCGCTCGTGGTATACCGTCGTGCATGAAGACCGTGGAAGTTCTGGCTCAATTACAAGCACGAAATGTTTTCAACGTTTGCACCATGAACGAATTCCGTACTTTTCTCAATTTGACTCCTTTCAAATCATTCGAGGAATGGAATCCAGATCCAGAAATTGCTCACGCCGCTGAGACTCTGTATGGTCACATTGATCAATTGGAACTGTATCCCGGTCTTATGGCCGAGGAAACAAAGCCAAATATGCCCGGCAGTGGTCTTCAACCCGGTCATACGATCGGTCGTGGTATTCTAGACGATGCCGTCGCTTTGATTCGCGGTGACCGCTTCCTTACGCATGATTTGAACGCAAGCACTTTGACCAATTGGGGTGTAGCACACATCAAACCGACTCCAGGTGCATACGGAGGCTTTTTGAGCAACCTCTTGTTCAACGCCCTGCCTAATTCATGGGGTCAGGGATTTTCTACGTATTGTTTGCTTCCATTCTACACTCCTAATGCAGTCACACAAATCTTGAAAGCAAACAAAAAGTTAGAGCATTATGATACGCAACGACCGGAAAGTATGGTGAAGTTATATGGACTTCATTCTTGGAAAGCTTGCAAAGAGGCATTTGCCGATCGTGATACCTATCGAGTGATCTATTTACCGAATCTGTTACTCTTGACTGATAACGCAGGCTTCTTTATCGGCTATGATGACCGTGCCAGGTGAGTCGTAGTAGGAGATGCAAAGGTATTGTATGCATAAATTGATCCATCTTTCTCCTCTTCCTAGCCACGATCCGCCGCATGATATCATGCGCGATGCCTTCTTCGAGCCAGACTTTGAGAAGCACGTCTCTGACTACTATGGAAACTTGACCAAAGAAAAAATCAAGAAAGCATCTCTCTCCTTCAACGGTCCTGCCAAACGCAACCAATTGAACGTAATTCGAGATGTATTCAATGTCGTTCCGATTTATTGGATTGCACAAAAGTACGGTATTCCGCTCAAGACGAAAGAAACGCCACATGGTCTCATGTCGCCATATCAATTACACACCGCTTTGGTGGCCTTATTCATTTTTTCATCCTTTGATGTCATTCCACAAGCTGGTTGGAAATTACGTCAAGCGGCGGAGACGATTGGGCCGGGAATTCGTAAATTGTTCAAGGCACGATTAGATACTACAACTGGTGTAAGGGAAAGTGTAGCAGACTGGTTTGCAAAAGGAAGTGGATATGAATTGAGCAAAGAAGCCGAATACTTGTATCACAAAATTCACGAACGCAAGATGCCAACGGACAAAGCGGTTGCCACTTTAATGGGTACGATGCTCCCGATCGCGGGAAACATTACACAACAATCTGCACTATTATTGGATTTGTTCCTGAAGCCGGAATACGAGTACGCAAAAGATCGTTTGGTAGAATTATCACATCAAGATACCGAAGAAGCACAAGATGAAATGGAAATGTGGATTTGGGAAGGTATGCGTATTGCTGCAATTGTGCCTGGCTTACCACGAAAAGCCGCTCGCGATATCATCATTGAAGATGGTCCTGGTCGCACACTTCATATCAAGGAAGGTGAACATTTGATCATTGGAACGAGCAAGGCGCATTTAGAGTAAGTGCACGAAGTCATTTGGGAGAAATAGCTTTGTAGCTGACTAATCCTTCCATTCTCGCAGTCCCACTGTCTTCCCCGATCCGCAAAAGCTGGACCCAACTCGCCATAAGGACTCGTACATTTTGCTCGGTCATGGGTTCCACTTTTGCTGTGAGTGAAAGAAGAAACGTGGTTGATGACGATGACTGTTTCGTACTAATGCATATCTTATATTTCCCGCAGTTGGCGCTCGTTTGATCGCCCCGAGTATTTCGGCCATGTTGCGTGAAGTGTTCAAACTCAAGAATCTTCGTAGAGCTTCCGGACCAAAAGGATCGCTTGTTACGTAAGTATACTTTGACAGTTGATGAGGGCTTTCTGAACAAAGTGCTAACTTTGATTCCCCCTAAAAAGAGTACACGAAGACTTGGGACACGATGGCGACGCTGTTCGTATTAACTTGTACATCGATCAATCGTGCAACGAAAGTCCGGTGCCGACTTCTCTCGTTGTGGAGTACGACAGCGAAGAAAGCTAGACTTGTTGAGTCACCTTTCGTATCGCGAATGCAATGAGATGCCTACTGCAACAATCATCTTGAACTTGGACGTGGTTCGCCAACAGCCTCTTTAGCTAACGATTCTGCAATTCGTCTTGCTTCTTCATTTTGTTCCGATTCCGCCGGCTTTAGGCCATATGACTGACAGAATGCCGTCCAAGATCCATAACTTTGGACAACAACTCGTGCATCCTTACTCAGAGGTGGTATCAATCCATCGGTGCTTGGCATTCTGATGAAGATTGGAGTTGAGGTTGAATGTATAAGAAAAGAAGCAGGGAAGACAGCCATGTCGTGTATCATTCGTCACATAAGCACAAGCCATCGTTGTTGGAATATTGCGTACGCCTGGCGCGAGGACTGGCGTCTATAGGCTGTATTCTATCTGATGTGAAGTAATGCACGAAGCAAATCAGTCAAAATGTCATGCATAGAAGGTGAAGGTAAGATACATAGAGTGACAAAGGGTCTGCATACTCTATTGAGCCTATACGTCTTATGTTACGCAGCAAACCTTTTACCCAGCCTCCTGTATCACACAATATTTGTGAACATCAACAGGGCAGCAGTGTATATTCAAAGAAACATTCATTCATTGTATTCAACATTCTCTCACTTTCCCTATTCGGCACAATTTCAGTTCGGCATGTTGATCATCATATCGTACTCATAAGAAGTTCAAGATGTACTTCAAATACAACCGAATGAAATACACAATTCATCACCTCCCACAACGATGATCAAGACATGACAACAACCTATAAGTCAACAGAGTATATATCTCGATATGGCCTTCCACGATCTTCTCTGGCTTGTTTAGCATGTCGAAATGCAAAGAGTAAATGCGATGGACTGATACCAAGTGTGATCGCCACAAGACCAGACACAGCAAACCTTTCTGAAGATGTTCGTGCAGAAGTAAATTGTTCACGTTGTGCTAGATTACACCTAGAATGCAAGTGGAGACCATGTCAAAGAAATGGACGACCGGTCAAGAAGCGAAAACTGATACCGGAAAACCAACCGCAGAGAAGCAGTGATAATGAAACGGAGATCAACTCAAGCCAAGATGATGCAATGCTGGATAGCATACTATTTTCCGATGATTCTATGAGGATGATCTCTAATCTTCTCGATAATGAATTCATTCTACATGATCAGGACACGCTCCCCCTATCGACTGAATCACACCAAACGCATTCACCCGCTGAACAAATGGCAGAAATACAAAAACGGATACTAGATGCATCGTCTCCCGCAAAACAGTATCATCCAATGCCATTGTCACCCTCTACCGTATCAACAAATGACGCCTTGCACCAGGGTATTTCACGCTTCTTCTCTGGCGTAGGTCTTGCACTGCCGCTTTTTGACAGTAAGGAGGAGCTACTAGAGGAAGCTGAATACTGTGATGCTTTACTGTATACCGCCGCAACACTTGGGCATGCACTTTACGAAGGTCATGAAGGTCTGTCCTGCACAAAGATGCGAAAAGAAGCAACACAAAAGATTGACGCAAGTATTTTCCTGGAGTGTTTGATGTTTTCGCCTGATCGACACAGAGGTATCGTTCATCTATCAGCTTTGACTTTGATGATTTATATTGCTTACGCTATGAACGATACCAGTGGGCTGCAAAAATACGTCGAACAAGCTCGCACAGCTGCATTGACATTAAATTTGTACAGTTTGGGCAATCAAAACATGGAAAATACTGAACTGGCAAGGAAAGTATGGTGGGAGCTTTATGTGATTGACTGTATCATGGACGTGATGACGAACGGCAATATCAAACGACAGTTTGATGGCATTCGAACAACGATTCCATTTCCAGGAGCAGCAAAAAACGACAAAGAAATACAATCTGTTTGGGATCTTCGAGTTCGCAGCGTATCATTATTGGCAGGCACGTTTACGATGTTTGCCAGATCAAAAGACGAAGAAAGGCTTTGGACAGCTGATAAGATTCAAGCAAATATCATTGCCGAAGCGCAAGGAATGCTTCTGTCAGCCATGCAAGCTCGAATGGCAGGAGATACAGATTGTAAGCTGAATAGAAAGCTAACGATTTTGTTTGATTGTTTGATGATGTTGTACGCCGGTCGCGTGCATTTGCATCGTCTGTTCTGGTTTGAAGATCTGAATTTAAGCTTTGCTTCATGCAGCTTTCAAAGAGAGAAGATTAATGATCTATCACAAAACACTCCGGCTCCTCTCGGAATAGCGAATGGATCGTTAATTGCATCTAGCGTAGAGAAGATCGTGCAATCATCCGATTCAATCCTACATCTTATGCAAATGGATACTGACGCCTTTTTCAAATACAATCTTGCTCAAATGCAATCTCGATCCAATTTGACGAACGATCTATTACCAATCACATCTTCTCATTGGCCACCGATCGGATGTTGCCAAATGGTGGCTTCTTTTGGTTTAGCGGTTCATATGGCAAGTAAAGGAGCAGAAGATGAATTACGTGCTCAACAAAGCGTTAGCAGTATAGGAATGGCAGAAGCTTCTCTTGGTATTCTGACAAAGGTCTGGCCAATAGCGGGATATTATCGACAAGAATTGCATCAATTTAGGCTCTTAATCAGTCAAACTCTCTCCACAAATGAGCTCTCCTAAAGTCATGAAGAGGTATCACCGAATTATATTTACAAAAAAAACACCAAATTATATTGCAATCGTTGTTTTGAAAGCTGCCTTGCAAATTGAATCTTTTCCTAATGTTCCCATTCTAATCTATACCTTTGGCAAATGTACCGTGGAATCCAATAGGAAAGACGCAATCCAATTTTGCGCTTACAATCTGTTTCATTGTTTTTGCATCTCTGTATCATTCAAGTGAAAGAAATAGATTTGTCAGCACTGTCGAAACTTCAGACCATCTACCTTACTTACAAAACAACAAGTTCGCTCGATTCCGTCAAAGTATTCAGTGCCACAATCAAGAGCACGCCATCGTCCTCCTCAACGCAATCGGGCCTCGGAACAAAGATTGCTTCACTGGGTATCATATTGGGCGTGAACCATATCTTATGTTTTTGGGCATCTGCTATTGTGTTCGCTTTTTGGTCAAGTGCTTCATCATCCAAGTCAAGTTTCATTACTGAATCAATAAAGTGGTTTTGCGTTTCGGCCCTGCGTGTATGATATGTTCCATAACAATATCTTGCTTTACGCCAAGCCTTTAGAGGGTTGATAGTTGGCAACTCTACTCCAAATTGTTCTCGTGGAGGACGTGAGTGTATTAAACTACCGTTCGAGCCTTCGCTTTTCGAAACATCCAGGACCACTCGACGATATTGAGTTCGTGGAAGTTTATCTACGTCAAAGTTTCGTAGCAATTCCATTCGAAATGCATCAAGGATTGTTGTGTCTTCGTATGTGGCCAAGTCTAATACGATCCGTGATGCATCATCATTTTCGTATGCATTGATATGATGAAAGCAAAAGAAAGGATCAGACTTTATTTTTCGTACCAACTTTCCACTTTGACGGTTGATGATATAATGTACAGTCTTTCTTCTTGGATTCCATTTCGCCACATTCTCGACAACGTTATTTTTCAAAGGGATGCCCAAGCCCAGATTGGTGATGTCAGCCTGCCAAATTGTCAAAACCACATACGTTTCTGTCACAGCCATGGAATGAAGATATGCTGAGGGTGCATCGTAGATCGTGTGTAATATCTTGCATTTACCGTTATCGTCTAGGCTAAAGATCTTGTACGTTGGAATTGGACCAAATTTCAATATATAATTGTACCTTGTACCATCAATGATTGCAGGATGTGCGCCCGATAAATGACCTGCTAAATTCGGATCAAAGTCTTGATAAGATAAAATTTGAATCGGCTCTAAAGTGGTCGGATCAAGTTTTTGCAAAGTCGGATTATCTGAGCTTGTCATCAAAACATTATTTTGATGATCGTATCTTATCACCACGTTTACGTTTGCGTCTGAAGCTGATTCAGGCTTTTGCGTATTCGCTAAAGTGTGGAAGGCAGATTTAAACTTTGTATATAGTCTCTCGCATGGATCATAGGGCTGAGCAAAGGTGACTGTTGAACATCTGCCTTCTCGATCCTCTTTTGCCATTTGATCACTGCAAGCGAATCGTGATCTATAAAGTACAATACCCTCCTTACCGGAGATCCTAAATCGATGATTCAGAGCTTTCCCATCGAACCAATGTGAAATTTCAAAGGAATGCGGATTGTTTCCTTCTTTATTTGTCTTGCTGCTATTTGAACTATAGCGACCTGGACCGGTGCGGTACAAGACACCTTCGAGCCATTCAGGCAGGTTACCTTCTACCTTGAGTTCTCTTTCTTCTTGTTCGTCTGCATTGCGAAAGATCGCACTAGCAGCTCTACTCGTACCGTTTGCTTGCGTCATTTGATTGGATTTGGGTGTTCAACATGATTTCATGATTGTTAAGCTTGACTTTTTATATCTTTCATTGATTCATCTTCGAAAGTCTAAATTCGTTGCACCCTGCATTTATTCGGTTCCTGGCAAACGCACTCCTCCGCGTGGGCTCAATTGTAAAATACACTAACAACGGCGTTCTTCTCCCTTTATAAGTCGTTCTCGGTAATCCGATTACTAGGGCGAAGGTCAAAGAGTCCTAACATATGCTCAAACTGAATAAAAGTGGATCTTTACAGGCTTACTAGCTTCTTTGTTCACTGCTGATTTCGGCGTTGCGATCTTAATCGGTTCCCTGATGGCCTATGATGGAACGTTCCATAGCTTCAGCTGCAAATACCGAAAGAGTGAATGTACTCAAGTGCAAACGAACAAATATCATTGTATACTCTCATTGAACAGTCATTTAATCCATTACATAAACCTCGCTCAACTCTGGTCGTTCTTGTTGACGTCTCCACCAATTTGTTCGATTTATTATTTGACGATCTAAGAGGAACCACCAATTAGTCGCAAAGGATTGACTAACTTCCCAAGAACTTTCGTCCATCGGATCATCTCCCCATACGGTAAATGCAGGCTCACCATATCGTTCATGGGAAGTTAGTGTTTCTTGACAAAGTTGTTCTTCTGTAAAAATGCTTTCCATCAAGAGTAAAATTTTAGATCGCATAGAAGCCCAAGGAAAAACACAGTCGATATATGGATGATGTTCGATTGAAAGCTGTGCAGGCGTCGGTAGCATGTTCTGTGGTATTCGATCGAATTTCCAATTAGAGATACTCTGATGATCTTCGACGGTAAGACATGTCTTTGAATGTTTGATATTAATGTTTGCAGGAATGAAATTTGAGACTATCTGCGTTTGATCTTTCTTCGGACTACTCTCCCAGCCTTGCTGAATTGTGCTTATTGACCAATAATTTGTTAATACACTATCTGGAATTCCCATTCGCTCGGCATTTTTGCTTAAGGCTTGAGCAAGTTGAAATTTAGGCAAACAAATCTGAGAAGACTGTACTGGAGTTGAAGCTCTTAGTAGCAGAGAATGTATAAGCGTATCTGCTTGAGGCGAAAAGGATCCTGTACTGCACTCTGCATTATTGTCACCAAATATGATACTCGATGAAACCAAACTTTGTTCGCTTTCCTCCTCTGTCAATTTAGCCCCATCTTGATTCGTTCGAGATTTTATCAGTTCACGTACTTTTGATCGATGCTTTCTTTGAGCTTTACGATTCTGCTCCCTGCGTTTTTCGAGGGTTGTAGACATGCTATTGCTGACAGCTTCTTGTTACATTGAGGTGATGTGGGTGAAGATAGAAGCAAAGATGTAAAGGTAGGTTAATTACTCTGGGGTCCATGTACATAAATATAAAAAAGGCAAACCAACGGTGTAACCTTAAATGATTGTGATGCATCATCATTTTAGCGTCACTTTTCATTCACTTTGCTGACACTGACGCTGACCTCCACTGTCATGCTGACCTCCACCGGGAGAGACCACCGGGATGAGAATAAGGGGTGATATTAAACGCTAAAAGCGGAAGTAGGGTCGCCAATATCGTGATATGAAAGAGCATGATATACTTATGATAGAAGGTGAAAGATATATAAGCCCGTATGTCATTTTGAGTCATGATTAAACATATGACAAAGTACTATTTTCTTCAACATGCACGGTCAATATACCGTCGAAAAGGTGAATTACCCTTCCCATGGTGAAACAATTGCTGGAATCCTATATCGTCCAATCGGGATTAAAAACCCACCAGGAATTGTAATTACAGGACCTTACTCTTTCATTAAAGAGCAAGCGCCTTTGCAATATGCCACTCGACTTACAGATGAAGGCTATGCAACGTTGATCTTTGATCCACGAACTGTTGGTGAAAGTACTGGACACCCTAGAAGGTTAGAGAATCCAAAGATGAAAAACGAAGATATGATAGCGGGTCTAGATTATTTGACTTCCTTGCAAGATATTGATTCTTCACGTTTATTCTTAGTTGGAATTTATCAAGGTGGCCCTGAATCTCTGGATGTTGCTTCGTATGATCAACGTGTTCGAGGCGTAGCTTCTGTTACAGGTTACTTTCGCGATCACGAGACAGACATTTATATGATTTATGCTGGTTGCGTTAATTGGAAGCCTGGCATAGATATCGGGGAGCTCAAGATGCCAACACCGGATCAAGGAGAAGCATTACTTAAAGCACGTCTTGAACGAGCAAAGGAAGCTAAGAAGTTGTTCGATGAAACTGGAGAGGTTATTTATCAGCCACTGGTGGATCCAAAAGCTGCTGATCCAAATATCGGTTCAATGGCCGGCCTTCCCGGTCCAGTTGTTTGGTCTTTCTATGGACCATGGACGCTCAAAGGTTTCGAGAATCGATACGCAGTAATGAGTGATCTGGATCATTTTGATTACAGTACGGTATCTGGTGTGGCAAAATTAACCAAGCCAGCCTTAATCATTCACGGTGATAACTGTATGAACGCTGCTGCTGCAAAGCGTCATTACGATTCTATTCCAACGGAACAAAAGAAGCTCATTTGGAACAACGAATTCTCTCACTTTCAACATTACGATCAGCCTGATTGTGTTGACAGCAATGTGGGCAACATCAGTGCATGGTTTGCTGACATTCAAAAGAATTATACTTAAAGCCCTGTAAATAAGTGAATTATAAGTAATGACAGATTCAAGAAAAACTTGGACCGCCCATATGTGTGGAAAGATAATTATCTGGATCGTATTTTGCTTTGGCTGCTTTCAACTGATCAAAAGCACGGTAAGATTGTAGAATCGGTTGATCGGCATTTGCATCATTCAAGAAAATCGGCAACGTTGGATCATTTGGTGTCTTTTCAACCATTGTCTTGAAATCGGCCAAAGATTGTTGTGCACTTGGATAGCCAAGAGTAGTGCTATGGAGATAATTGATCCAATAATAAGGTCCATCAACGCTATCTTGAGCATTACCACCTTTTGCACGACTAGCTTGAACTAAAGATGCAGGAACAGGTTGCATATCGAAACTCAAAACGTCATAAGTACCTTTCGATTGATCAGCATAGTCTAGGAAGTCGTCTAGTGCTTGTTTCAAAGTGGCTGAAGCGGTTGATGAAGTACTGCTATGGCTTCCTGCTCGGAAGCTAACACTTCCGATTGACAGATTGCCAACAGGATCGATATTTGCAATGTTGGTATAAGGTTGCTTTTGACGTGTGTCCAAGATGTGTGGAATATTTGTGAATTGTTTAAATACTTCTGAGCCATCTGGACCATCATACACGTTGAACAAAAGGATAAATTGAGTCAATCCTTTCAAGACTGGATAGGTTAGCACATCCACAACGCTTGGTAGCCCAATAATCTCCAAAGTACCAATCACTGCAGCTTTTGGATCAGCATTTTCATTGGTGAAGTTGAGTACGGATTGGTATACGGCTTCAAATTGATCAGATCCATAGATTAAAACACCACCCCAAGTGTCTCCGATTGGATAAACATCAACCGTGTAGCCAACTACGATGCCAAATTGATTACCTCCCCCCTTTAAGCTGAGGAAAAGGTCTTTGTATTGATTCGTAGCTGTGGCTTGAACCAAAGTACCATCAATCAAAACGACATCTAGCGCTTTGAAAGAATCACAAGCCAAACCATATTGACCCGAAAGGAACGAGAGCCCTCCACCGAGCGACAGACCTGAACCAACATCAGCAATACGGCCACCAACCGGAATCACACCAAGATTTTCATAATAAGGATATAAATCTGACCACTTGTTTCCCGGTTGGTAATAGGCTGTTTGAGTTGACGAATCGTATGTCTTTGCTCTCATATCAATCATATCGATCAAAACACCACCTGCAGTACTTGACCAATAATTGTTCGTTTGATGACCTCCTGCTTTGATGGCTAAAGTTGAATTGAATTGTCGAATAACCTTGACTGCGGTTGTAACGTCAGAATAAGACGTTGGGCCAACAACGCATGAAGGTTTATTTTGTGCTTGCTGAGATGAGAAATATTTTTGTGTTGATTGGATATAAGCAGGATCTAATGGAATCGATGATACCTTTTGACCTAAAAGTTTACTCAATTGAGCACAAGCTGCTTGCCCTGCCGAATTTGAACTTCCTGTTGGGAGTAAAGCTGAAGATGAAGAGACCAACAAGATCAAGCTGATCAGAGCAGACCATTGTAGGAGGAATTGCATCTTAGGAAAGTGAATTGGGGGTGAGAATGATTTCGAGACAGATTTATCATTAAAGGAAAAGAGCTTTATATAGATTCACAAAGACTCAAAGTATAGAGATATGACCTGGACAGGTCTCATGCGCTTTTCATGGTGGTGTGTGGTAATTCTTCCCGCGGAAAGAAGTCTGCGAGAGGAGTAAAGGCAGGCGGGTCCGCGCTTTTACTCAATCAATTCTCTTGGAATCACATGCATGCTTCTCTTTAATTTCCCGAGCACAACCCTACCCCTACGCTGTGTTGACGTTTCTTTGCTATGAGATGCATGCACATTGACAGGAACAAATAAAGGGGACGATCTTTGAGCCGTTGAAAAGCAGCATAAACTTTTCATGACCCCACAAAAAAGACACTAATCATTTTTCCCGCGTGTTTAGTTTTCTCCACGGACTTTTAAAACAATCACTTTTTCCGAATCTTACCTCAAAAGTCGTTCTTCATTAATGTGAATGAGAAGGACTTGTACCTGCTTGGGTATATGGATACAATTAAAAGGATGATCATGCAGAAATGCTTAGTCAGGCATCAAAACTGAGTTGGACTTTCTTCAAGAATTGATAATTGACCTACGCAAATGATAAATCACTGGACGGGTTGAGTAGATCAGGAAATATCTTCCAATTTGCATTTGATCTGTTGCTATAAAGCTGGTTCACAATGCAAAAGTACTAGACACCAAGAGTGTCAGGCAAACTCATGTGCAAAGGCCAAATTGACGAGTAGAGTAGGCAGATCATTTGACCGATAATCAAATCGCGTTTGTCCAAATCTTTTTCCTTTTCTTTAGCTTTTTCAGGAGAATTCATTGACGACGACGTTACATAGTCAACAGAGTTTACGATGGCAATCACGATTGGGTAGGGAGTTAGGTAGGGTTGGGTAGGGGCAGTAGGGTTAGATTTTTCCCTTTGTTTTGAATAGGGTAGTGGTTTTCTTACCAAAAAAGCCGCGAAAAAATTAAAACGTGATGCATCTTTACACTCATATCCCTTTCTGCAAAATAACAGGAGCACACACTCCTCCGTGTCGCACTCCCCTTTTCAGAATTGCGAATTGAGTTGCAATCCTGCGAGAGTGCTGTGACGTATTATTCTGCGATGTTGAAAGGAAGCCGCTTCTCAAAGCACACATGATTTGTTTCGATCAGCCACCGTCATCTTTATCCAAGCATATATTTGTTAGTTTCAAGATGACCACGTGCATCTTCCTTCCGAAGCAAGAAATGCTTTAAGACCACTGGGAAAAACAATCTCGTGGCATCTGTGGTCGTGTACATTCAAGCAACAGACGATATGCATACGCCAAACAAAGTGACATTGCTGTATCGCGAGTTTCGTGAGGTACTCATACAACAACATCTCTTGAAACTACATCAATTTCCCGCCATCTTTATCTGATACCAAGGCAATTCTTACGAAGTGAGTATTTGTGGGAAAACACAGAGTAAAATTGCCGACTAACTACCTCTTCATAGATTCGTGTCAGATCTGCAGAACAAGATGAGAAGTCCAAGAAACGTAAACGAGCAGAACTTACGAGTCCCGTACCAGCTTCGTCTAGAGAGGCGGAAAAAATTAGGGCTTTCAAACTTCTTGAAATGCTGATAAAATTCGTAAAAACGGAAAATATACGAAGAAGCGGAGAGATTGATACTTTCCTGCGAGTGGAAGAATGTCAGGAGAGAAATGCAGGTGAAGTTGTTAAGTTGCATTTAGAGAAGCTACTAGCTGCAGAAATTGACTTTATTCAAGCTCGCGAGAAGATGAGACTTGCGTACTTTCACCTTGGTCAAGCATATGCTCAATGGATTTTTGAACTGCTACCAACTCTTGATGCTCTATTGACGCCGAAGATATTTCATCGTGAGGCGTATCCCATTGTCCCAGCGCACTTGCTCAAGCTTTGTAAACAGTCGAATGAATCCTCCGTACTAAAGCGGCTCGAAAGGGCGCGAAAATTTTTTCATATGGAATCCCTCGTTGAAGTCGAAGCATTAGCCGAATGCGAAGACTTGACCGTCAAGAGAATGGACAATAAATTTATGAAGTCGCTTTCATTATTGGCGTAGCATTGCAAAACGAACTTTACAAAAGCAGAATTAACGGACTTGATCGCCCTTGAGTCACTCGTGTGCTTTACCGTAGTTGCAAGTCGTATTATTTCTCGAAAAATTAGTACAGCAGTATCGTACTCTTACCAAAGATTTTGATAACCCCCATTTCAATGATTTCTTTTTTGCTTCTGATGTCTCTGAAAGATGGATTAGTCCGCCAAACAAGCATGTTTCTTCATCTAGTTTCAATTGCCTCCCGTCATTTATCATTGTCCTAGGCAGATGTTTGCACAAATCTGCGTCTGAGCATAATTGTAAGAGCAGTTGAGACTTTCAGAAACAGTTTTAGACTCCAAGTAAGTTATTGTGCTTGTCCGCCGGATTGCAGATTGCGGAGGAGCCAAAATAATATGTTAGCTGATTGTACTCTGCGTGTTTGGTGTTCTACATCATCAAGTAAAAACGCTTCGCGCTCGAATGCCTCCCATAAGGTTTTATGACCTCAAAATCGAAAAAAAGAGGCAGTTTGCATCTGTTTGCTACTCTTAAAGTTGTTTCCATCCACACAGGATGCAAAAGATGAATTTCACTGATCAAAGCCATTGGACGTGTATTGACAAGATCAAGGGAGACGTCTGGTCACGGTTAGCGACGTAGACCACGCGAAGATTCTTCGTATGGGGAAAGACTAGAAAAGGGCTTCTACCTGCAATAAACATGCTAAATCGTGGATCGAAGGTGCGTTGAAAGAAGTGCGAAATGCTCACAGGGTGGTCAATTTGCTTGATAAGATTTCCTCAATTAAGTTGCTCACTCCTGCAGCCGTAAGATCCACAAGCATCTTTCTTGTACAAGCGTCAGATTGAAGAATTGTTCGTACGGCAAAATATGATACCACCAAGTGCAATAGGGCTGTAGCATGAGAGTAAACCCCATCTTCAAAATAGCGTTGTACTTGAAGGCGGGAAGGTAGAAGGAGAGAGCTTCGATTAAACTAGGACATCTCGCCAGGTTCAAAGGGTTTCCTGGCTGGTATGTGTGTATTCAATTCTATAGAAAGATTCGCCTCTAGCTGGTCAGCCTAGCAGGTGTGAAGTACTTGCCCTTATCCAAAAGTAGTCTGGAACTGTAAATCAAGATAATCAGTCCCATAGCAAATCAGTTCCTGGGATTTGAGTCTCAAACCACTTCTTAATATTTGTTTTAAGATGAGCTCGGAAGCTCCCTTTGCGCAGAACCTGCGTAGGCGTTCGGCTTTTTAAAGTGCTCGACAAAGTTTCTCGACAACTCGAACATCATGAGACAAAGTTCCTGTGACTGACGCAAGCTCGATAATTTCGAGAGAACGGTGATTTTGGTCTATCAAATTAATCACATATTCAGCTGGTAGAGTACCATCTATGCATAATTCAAGTAATCTTGGACTGGCGAACGAGATGACGATTTTTGTCTGTCCCCAGTCTGGAGTATGATGTATTAGCTTGAGATAGGACAATCGAGGTAAATAAAAGCGCTGTTCCATATATTCTGCTGTGTTAGCTCGATCGCACATCTCTTGTGGATCAGTTGCCTGGATCTCCACTTCTGCATGTTCGAGCGTTTCTTGGGTACAGATATTCCTGCTACGCCCCAAGTAGGACTAAGAGATCGAATTTGTATGCTCTTTGCTTTCCGTAGAGTTCCATAAGCAGCATTGCTCACGAAAAAGGAACTGACTGAGTCTGACAATAACGTAAGGAGACTAATCTTGCTATTGGCAAAAGGCGAATTCTCGTGAATCTCCAAAGACTCTGTTCCTTGCGGAGTTGCTATGCAAAGGGATCGTAGTTGACTGCAGTTGGAAACTGCCCAGCTCGCTGATTTTCGTAAAGAATCGCTGAAGGATGTCGAGAAGAGTCGTTGTTTTCCATCCTCACTTTGACAGAACCAACGGGTACCACAATCGCTGCGAAGGTGCTTCACTTCCGTCGCGGCCAGAATTCCCAGCATGTGTCGACTGGCATCAGCTTCACCTTTGGTCGAACCGCCTATCCTGATAGCTAGCCAATCAAGCTTGCCACCTGATCGCAAAAGTATATTGTCAAGCTTCCTCCGCAAAGAGACCGGATCAGGCGCATTCTTTCCTGCGACTCGAGAGGCATCCCTCCAAACGGTGGGCATTGAGCGAGAAGTTCTGTGCCATTTCTGGCAAGCTAGTTCAGCTTCACATCTCTCGCTCGGATTCAAGAGGCTAAAAATCGTTGCTAACACTTCTGCGGGTAAAGACAAAATCATCGCGTCAGAGTTATCGAGCTTGCGGCATAAGTAAAGATCTCAGCGAGCACATTCCCTGCTATGATTATTTGTGGCAATGAAAGATGAGGTGGAACCTGGAGATTGGATCTTTCTGGCAAGGTATATCCTTTTCTTCACACATAAATTCCGACCAAACTTCTCTGCACGAATTTCTTTCCACGCCTCCGACCCAGAATGTTCATGAATGCAGCGGAACGCACAGATGCGAGGAACGAAGAAAGAGCAGCGATCTGAGGAATCCCACACGCTGTATTTGTGCAAGATTTATAGCACGGACGCTATACAATGTTGCATACAATCTATGAGGGGAAATGAGGGAGACAGGATTTCACGGTAGACCCTGTCTCAAGGTAGACAGTGAGTGCATAGATGCGCCTTTTGAGATCGCGCCAATCCTACAGATTTCGGATTATGTATGATGTAATTAGTGTTTTGCCTGCCCTAAATTTGTGGAGCTCAAAACCACAAGCCTTACTATGAGGGGAAATGAGGGAGACTGGATTTCAAGGTAGACAGTGCATAGATGTGCCTTTTGAGATCGCGCTAATCCTACAGATTTCGGTTTACGTATGATTTAATTAGTGTTTTGCCTGCCCTAAATTCGTGGAGCTCAAAACCACAAGCCTGCTTTTGATCTGCGTAGATATAGACACGTAATCAACAGACCTTCAGTCCATTGACGCTTAACTGTGATGTTGTGTGCAAGAAAGCGTCTAGAGGAATTATGCGCAATCTTGCGTATGTATTTTCATATCTCCCGCGTCAACTTATGCGTTGTGATAGAAAACGCCGTCACCGGATCCCGGCAAAAACGAGAAGGAAGTTACATCACAGTGAGCCTCCCTTTCAAACCAGTTCGAGAAGTGTGCACTAGATGCTATGTGTCAAGATCGTGCTCGAGGCTAACTCTTCCCAACATTATCTAAATGGCAGGACAAGGGATATGAAGGCCTATGAGACAAAGATCATCAGCATTCCGTTTTCACTTGACAATTTCTATGACGTGTGCGCAAAAAAAAAGACTGGGAAGTAGCACCAGCACCTGAGATACATCATCGCTCAAAGGCTCGGAAAGCATAGCGGCAATTAAACTTTAAGTGATACGCCCTCAGGCCAGTGAGAAATAATGTAAAATTGTAAAGGGAAAGTTTTTTCTTAAACGTCCAGCTCTCGTAAAATAAACGCCTAGGTCTCCTATTTATGTCAGCGACGTAGAATACACGAGCTTTGGTAGGAAAGTTAAATTGCAGAGCAGCACCGGTTGAGATGTTGAAAACTTGACCAATCTTTGCTAGAAAGAAATTCTTCACCTGTGACCCCAAAAATTCAGACTTTTAATACGAAGCAAAAAAACGTTGACAAAGTGTCATTCATGTCTTATTGGTATCTGATCAAGCCTGCAACTCGTTCGAGCCATTCATTGTTCGTATTTGTCAGAAAATGGATGAACTGTACATCATGTAGATCTGATTTTTCGAAGCGCCAATTAGCGTATGGATATCTTCCCTGCTTCCACCCCTTGCTCCTTGTTGGTCAGGACCACGCCCCTAATCACTGCGCGACGAGGCTCATGAGGAAATTCATTGGTGCGAAACGATACGCGAAGCGATATGAAAAAATGAGTGACGAAGCAATATTACGAACTTTTTTTCTCTTAGCTCTCGAAAAGTCCATTAAGTGCCAGATCTAGAATCGTCCTTCAGATTCAGTAAGTGCAAGCGTGAAAGAAACAATGCCTGAAAGCTACTTAAGGTTTTCTCTTGTTCTCACAGAGGTAGTCTAGTAGTGGCTAAAGAAGGGTGATCATTCTCGTATACAAAGACACGGTGTCTGCAGGTGTGAATCAATGGGTTACGTCGAGATCGTTCACCTGTCGTCTCCGAAATCACGCTCTGCTGAGCATTTTCATTACATGACGGTTGGGTATATGACAGAATATTCTATCACCACCCTATTGCTTCTTAACGTTGCGATGTCGTCCATATGGTAGTTCTGGCTTGCATCCAATGAATGTGACCGGCTCTTTTTTGTTATCGACATATTCATCCCTCTGGAGACATGACGGAATCTTAGCTCGATGCGATTGCAGGCACATCTAAAAGCCACATAGAAAATGAATCTGTTTCGCAGAGGATCTCACGCGCCGACGAAAATCTTTCCCAACCCAACAAATGATCGCGAAAGTCTTGCAAAGGCAAAGAATATTTTACCGATAACGATTTTGAGATTGTAGACAGGGGCTTTCGGGCAATGGCAATCAAAATTGTCGAGGTTCGCACGCATGTACTTGTCACATTCATTGATTTCATTGCTAGAATTCCAAGTATTTTGCTGGATTATTGGACTGCATTTGCACAGAGTTATGATCCGAATCCTCCTATGTAATCTTTCTCCATCAGAGCCTACAGCAGCAATGCAATATCGTCAGAATTCCGAGTGGGAACCTTCAGCCATCATAAAAGGGAGTTCTAGAAGCTGACACTAGGCCTCATTTCCATACAATCGATTCGTACTTTAAATGATAGACAACCCGGGGCATGTTACGCTTGTCCCTTGCTCACCTATATTGTATTTTGGGACGCCAGGAAGGGCAAAGCTACCTGAATGAATCTATGCAACAACATCGATATCCAGACGTTGGAACTCCATCTAGAGCTAAGCTGAGAATAAAATCCTTTCTTGTTCGTGATAGGAGCACTTTTCTTTATTGGCTATTTGGATCGCTCGGCGTGTGTTGGCTGCTAATCTTGCCTGTCTTACTTCTCCTAGTCTTCCTGGCTCTTTTCGATCTTGTACTTGTAGTTCAGTCGTATTTATGCCCTAGACGGGCCTATTATATAAGCATGTTCTGTGCTCTCGAGTCACTGAGAAGTCATAAAGGATTAAAGTCGTGTTCGTTTGTGCAAGTCAGGTGAACAATACCCCTATCAGTCGTACCACAGCGGAAAACGTTCGCTTTCTGCAAGACTGATCGGTCGGACCGATCAGGACGCAGGGTATTTGCCACTGTGCGCAGCGCAGCGCAGCGCGTCATTATAACCTAACCCCTTTCGACATACATCGGCTGTTAAAATACGCTTATAGTGATCTGCCAATATTAAACGTACATTTACAGTGATAGAGGTTGCTTTAGAGGTGGGATTTAACATCTTTCATATTAAAGTGAATCAAACCGTGATATATATTCCTAAAAGGTCTTTCTATTTAAGTTACATCTTCCAGCAACTGAAAAGGACTAAGAATGATAAATAGACACATTCAGCCTGGCATCCTTTTTGTTCACGGTGCATGTCATTTACCCTGATATGCATAGTCATGAACTTTTGCATTCACTGCAGACAAGTGGATTCGATGTCTTTGCTCCCCTTTTACCAGCTACTTTTCAGGGAAAGATGAATTCTGTTGGCTTGGTGAATGAAGCAGAATTTATTCGTGCTCAAGCAGAGCGACTTCTCGGTCAAGGAAGATATTTGATCATAATCTGTCATTCGTACGGTGTTGTGGTGATCACATCAGGACTAGATTCTCAAGTCTCAGTTCGTGCAAGGCGTTAGAAGGACCGGGTGGAATCTTGCATTTAATGTATCTTTGTGCCTTTTTTCCTAGATTAAGGACAATCTCTAGTCGATTTTATAAGCAACCATGATTTTTCATTAAACTTAAACGTGGATGCGGATGGATATGGAGAAGTAATGAATGCAATTCAGACTTTTTACAATGATATTGAACTACTTCGCGCAACTTACCTTGAAGCTACCCTGGTAAAGCATCCAATCAAACCTTCTACAGATCCTGCTTTGAATACCTCCTGGCTTCACTTTTCAATCATGTATGCTTTTTGTACTTTGGACAATTGCATACCGATCGATTGCCAATACGAAATGGTTAATCAACTCGTTTCTAAAGGAAAGAAAATATTTCCGTCATTACTTTAGAATCTGGTCATAGTCCTTTCCTCCACAGAACGACACAAATTGCTGATTTGGTTCAGAAAGTTTGGATTACCTTTGCGAAAAATGCTCGATTGTGAAAAGGGCTTACATCCTTGTACCAAAATTATTCAAGTACGCAACGCGTGATCCTGTTGACTAGCTGAAAATATATGACATTAACAAAATGAAAAATTCAAACATCAGTACAATATACAACAACTTGTAAATAATATTTCAATGCCCGATAGGTTAGGGCTACCAGCTGCAAGCGTGCTGTGTCACTGTCGCTAAACACCTAAACTTGCAGACGCGTATATCTGCTTCTTTCTCCATTCAGCACATATGTCGATGAAAAGAATGCCGTACGCATTTAAGCAGGTGTGTCTGATAACACTGGCGGGGTCAACGCTTGTAGCTCCTTTTTCGTAAAGCGGAAGAACACATTCAGCCTGTAGATGTAATAGTATTGCATGTCGTTATAATGAGCTGCTTGAGGCACAAGCATATCTCATCCATTACCTATCTTGTACCGCTATTTATTTTTATGGGGCAAGATGTGTATTTTCAAATTGGCAATTTTTAACGATTTGATGTACGATGGAACTCTCGATACTCATATTCGGTTGTCATCTCCAATGATCACCTAGAAGCCGTCTGATCGAAGCGATCTTCCATGATGAGCTTACGAGAGGAGACCTTTGCATTCCGGTCTATGTGTATATCGGGTCGAAATTTGGAGCAAATTTTGTTTGTCTCCTTTCAGTAGGAGTAATTTTCAGTGCTCCTTTTAATATCCAATATTAGGAAAGTGCGTTGCTAGCATGACTGGATCCACTTTGCGTAAGTATGTTTCTAGATATCACAAAAGGTCCCAGACATGCATCATGGAATAGCTACCGAGGATCAGATCTCTCAGGAGTGGGGGAAGACTAAATCGGTGTCATGCAAGATCTGTCCCTAACCGGATCATTCCCTCTACTTAATTGAGATTTTGTCAAGCTATGTGCGTTACACTAAAAAATCCCTACAAATGTGCGGCTATAATTGAGACTTTTTCTTGTTTCTCCGGTGCGCTGTACTGAATTCTGCACTACTGAGAGTCAGAACAACGCTAGGTTGTCTCTGTTAGTTTGATGCAGCTTATGTCAAGTTATATCCACTGTTCTTTATAGATCGGGGTGACGGAAAGAATCGCAAACATG